CATCTTGGTCATCATGGCTTAGAGAGAGAGAGCCAAAGATAGGGGTTGTGGTTGCGGTTGTAGGGTAGGTCGTTCGGGTAAAGTTGAGGTCGAAGGTTGGTTGTTGTAGCTTAGAAGTAGTTGATTCAAAGGTTCTAGGCCTATGTTGGTAGGCCTCCTTAGCTATAGCCCGTACTCGGAGCCGTTCTGGGCACTGCTTATTCCTAGCTGAGTGGCGACCCCCGCAGGCTGAGCATCTAAACTAGCCTGTAGTATGGGTAGGGCATTGCTCTTCGCCTTCCTTACCACCAGGCTCATGGGTTCCAGTACCACAACGGGGGCAGAGGGAATCCTTCCTACAGTAGCGGGCTATATAGCCCCACTTCCAGCACTTAAAGCACTGCGCTGGCCGTAGCAGAGCCCAGTATGGCTCGCAGTTAAAGAGCTGGGCCCGGTATAGGACCCCTAGGTCGCAAGCCTTTTTAGCCTCCTCCTGGCTAGTGAAGGCTATAACCACAGGGACCCTGGTGAAGTCTAGGTTGTGGGAGTACTGGAAGATGATCTTTTCCACGGCCCGTAGCCTAGCCTCTTCTTGAAAACTAGTCTCTATAGCCCCTTGGAGGTCAGCCTTCCTCAGGCCCTTAACTACCACTCCGTAGGTCCATCGAGCTTCCTTTGCCTGGCTTCCAGAGGCCTATTGAATCCAGTCATGGTTGGTAGAGTGCCATTGCTTGGTATCCGGGTTGTTGAAGGTGACTACTATGTCTCCGCTAGGCAGTTTCCAAGCTGCAATAGCCCCTTGTCGGCTAGAGGCCCCATTGACGGCTTGGATAATTTCTAGGGGGGTCCTCTTAGCTAGATCAGGTGATAGATGACCCCCCGAACAAGGATCTCGCAGTTCTGCTTGGCTGAGATAATCTTGGCTGGCTGGGCTATAGTATCTTATAGTGGTTCTCGGACTATATCAGCTCAGGTCCAGGTAGCTTGGGCCTGTCCTAGTTTGGTTTCCCTTAGTGCCACTCGCACTTCTTCCGCTACTACCTTCCATAGGGTAGGTAGGTTCAACCTCGTAGCTATAGCTATAGCTATAGCCTAGGAGGGGGGTATAGTAGCTTGTTGGTAGGCTTGTTGGTAGGCTTGTTGAATCTCTATTGCAAGTGCTCGAGCCTTGCCCTTGTCTTTGGAGACTAGGGCAAGTAAGTCATTAACAAGCCTGGTAATATGCTCGTATATATATAGGTGGCTGGTAGACTTGGTCGTTTTGGCCGGTTTAGGTATAGTGGCTAGAGTCCTCTAGCTTGCATGCTGGCTTGTATATAGCCCTAGCTAGCTACTATTGCCCTAAGAGGGAGGGGGGAGGTTTTCTCCCATCTCAATATCAGGTGCCGGATCCGGAACGTCGTTCATTTTCAACAATATATTATTAAGGGACCATTCGATACCTAATAGGTCCGGCAAGAAATAGAACTACTAGAGGTTATAGTAGAAGGGAAAACCACCAAAGTGGTATTTGATATTATTAAAATAGGGCCTAGGAAGGATATAATCCTTGGACGCCTATAATATCAAGATTACAACCCAGATATTAGTTGGAAGGGAGGTAGCCACCTACGACCTCAAGAACAGAGGCCATATCCGACCAACGAGATAGGAAGCGTAGACGACGGATTGCAGTAGAGAAGATTACCCCAGGAGGTGGCCTCTATAGATCTACCGCAAGAGATTGATAGTGCCAGGCAGTATACTACGGACTTAGGAAGAGGCGGTAGTTACTAGAAGGAACAGCGAGAGTCGGCAAGACCAGGCTAGAGACAATGCTGCTTGCAAAGACGCCTTTGTACGGCTTAGAGAGACATAGACGACGTCGAAATCGCTGTCATCTTAATCAATAAGACTAGAGAATTCGAATTCCAGGATTGAGTTACCTAGAGAGAAGCGGCCAGTATTATAGCCGGAGATAAGTTCTTGTACTACCGAAGTATAGAGAAGAATGCAGAAATAGGTAAGATCCTGGCAGAATACTAAGGACACCCGGCATTCAAAGCAAAGCATCTTAAAGGGCTACTAGATCATGGACCTTGGGATTATAAAATCAAACTCAAGGAAAGAGCCTAGTTGAAATTCTTTAAGGTATACTATACCAATAAAAAACAAGATACTAAGTTAAGGAGATATCTTAAGGAGAATCTTAAGATAGGGTATATTAGACTATTGACATTACTAGTAGGCTACCTAATCCTGTTTGTTCCAAAGAAGGATAGGAAGCTTCGGATATATATAGACTACTAATAGCTGAACGGAGAGACGGTAAAGAACCGGTACCCCTTGCCATTTATCTCGCGGCTTCGAGACCAGTTGGTAGGCGCCTGTTACTTTACTTACCTTGACCTTCCAATAGCATATACCTATATTTACATCAAGGAAGGAGATAAGTAGAAGATAGCGTTTTATACTCCCTATAGCTACTATAAGTACCTTATAATGCTCTTTAGATTGATAAACGTATTAGTAACCTTTTAGGCGGTCGTTAACTATACGACCCGCCTATTCCTCGACCAATTCGTAGTCTATTACCTAGATAATATCCTTATCTTCTCTAAAATATTCAAGGAATATAAGAAGTATATAAAGGTAGTACTAGACGTATTCTATAAATATAAGCTATTAATTAATAAGGATAAGAGCGAATTCTATATTACGAAAATAGTGTTTCTTAGATATAAAATCTCGCCTGGTAGAATTAGGATAGAGCTAGTAAAGATCGAAGCGATTAAAATATGGCTACGACTAATAATAACGATAGAAGTATAAGAATTCATTGGATTCGCCAATTTCTACCGAATATTCATCAGGAACTTTAGCGACCTTATACGACTATTATATGAACTTATAAAGAAAGATATCGAGTTCTGGTAGGAAGCCGAGCACAAATAAGCGTTTTAGAAGATCTGCGATATAATTATCGCCGATCTAGTGCTCTGGTTGCCAGACCTATAGAAACCATTCGAGGTTGAAACCGATGTATCAGACTATATGATCAAAGGACAACTTGGTTAGCGCGACGAATATAGGAAGTTATACCTAGTCGCATTCTTCTTGAAGAAACTCGAAGGATTATAGCTCAATTACCCAATCTATAACAAGGAGTTACTAGCCATTATCGAGGCTTTTTAAGAATGGAGACCATACCTTAGCAGCATAACCTATAAAGTTCAAGTCTATATAGACTATAAGAACTTGCAGTACTTTACCACTATAAAGGTATTGAATAGACAATAAACTCGATAGGCAGAGTTCCTCTCAGAGTTCAACTTCAAAATCAACTATAAGAAAGGCTCGGAAAACGCACAAGCAGATGCGTTAAGTAGAAGGCCAGATCACTTTAAGAATAGCTAACTAGAAGCCTCGCCACTATTACTTCAATAACAGCTAGATAGTTCCTTATAGCATACTCCTTAACCGATGGAAGATCTCGATGACAATACGCTTACACGACCGGGCGAAGATCCTGACCTATAACCTCTGCAACCACTCGAAGAATATTATATAGTCTTTAGGGAAGAACGGCTAGGAAAAAACTTCCAGGACCGGAAGCAGAACAACGTAGATGACAAGATAGGTATCTCTTAGAGAGATAGAGCGTTATAGTATAACGATAAGGCCTACATTGTACCACAGGATTAAACAGAACTGATCAAAACGATCCATAAGTCGAAACTCGGAGGATATATAGGAATCGCCAAAACAATCGCCAAGGTTCAGCAATACTACGACTTCCTAGGACTTAGGACTAGAGTCAAAACCATTATATAGGAATATAACCTCTACAATCGAAGCAAGTCGGCACGGCATAAACCATACGGGCTCCTGGAGCTATTGCCAGTTGTAGAACGACTATGGAGTTTGGTAACGATGAACTTTATCACCAAACTACCACTTTCGAAGGACTTAACTACCGGAACAAAGTACGACAGCATACTTACTATAGTTGACCGACTCACCAAGTAGAGCTACTTCTTCCTATATAAGGAATTATGGTCAGCAGAACAACTTGCAGATATAATCTACTGGCATATCGTATTAGTATATAGGTGGCCAAAAGAATGGATCATAGACCGAGACACCAAGTTTGCATCAAAGTTTTGGCAAGCGCTTCTAAAGTGTTTGGGCACGAAGAGCAAGCTTTCGATAGCATACTATCTATAGACTAATGGCCAGACCGAAAGGCTTAACTAGATCGTCGAACAATATCTTAGAACGTTTGTCAACTTCTAATAGGACGACTAGGTTGATCTATCGCTAGCAGTATAGCTTATATACAATACAACGCCAACGGAGATAATATAAGTCACTCTGTTCTTCGCGAACTTTAGTTACGAAGCGGATTTGCGCTAGGGACTAGATATTACGGTACCCAGGGCAAAAGTCAAGGTAGAAAAGATATATACGTTATATATAATACTAAAGGAAGAACTCGAGTTTGTTAGGCTTAGGATAAAGGAGTATTATAATAAATATCGGCTCGAGGGACCTTATCTTGAGAGAGGAGATATAGTTTACCTTATTTCTTGGAACTTAAGAATGAAACGGCTAAGCTAGAAACTCGACTTTAGGAAGATTAGATTGTTCAAGATTAATATAAGAATTTCGATATCCAACTACCGACTTTCGTTACTATCAATAATAAAGTTATATACTAACGTCTTCTATATCTCGCTCCTCAAACTAGTATCTAAGAATATATGGCTTATAAAGGATATCGAAGCTAAGGATAAAGAAGAAGAATAGGACGTCGAGGAGATCTTAGATTTATAAATAGCCAATAGAAAGCTAGAATACTTAATCAAATAGCTCGACTTTGGACTAGAAGACAACTCATGGGAACCAGCAGAACATCTTAATTATATAGAAAAACTAGAAGAATTCCATCGGCGGAATCCAGACCGGCCAGGGAAAAGGGCAAAAGCTAGCCGTATTCTAGCTCCATAACGTACAATATAGAGCCATTATACCACTAGCGGAAGCCTAGATGGGATTTAAACCTACGACCTCCCAGAGCATTCACTCGGGTATAATAACCAAGCTATACCACTAAGCTATTTCATTTGTTGGGAAACAGGCAACAAGAATCAGATTAAGAACTCCAGGCAAGGAAGAGCGGCTGCAGGCAGCTACGCTATAATACGATATATACGGCAGGTGCGACCAAGACCTAGCCACCATCGGCTACGAACCCCCACTACCTTGAGAAACTAGAGGGCTCCTACCACCAGAACTCTATAGAGCTAGAAACAAGGGACCTCCTCCAACAATACTCTAGTCTATAGGAACGTCCGATAACTAGTTGGGATCTAAGTAATCTAACAAAGCAGGACCTAGAGCAAGGAAATCCGATAAAGAAGGCGAAGCGGCAGTACCTAGGGACGCTACTACCATGCCATCCAAAGGCAGAGCGGCTAGGGAGGCATGCTCCGACTCCTCCTTCTTTTCCTGTCCAATAAATGAGACTCCCGACAAAAGGCTACGCAAGCCCTTTCCTCTAACACCCGCGACTATTACTCTAAACGAAGCAATTTACTAATTGTAGCCCTATGCTTGGTATTAAGACGCTCCTTTTCCTTAATAAAAGAATATACTATGGAAGTTAGTAAGTATAAGAGCAAGAAAAGCGGCAGATCTATAATCTATACTATAGATATTATAGTTAGAATAACCTGCCTTAATATAAGAAAGGCAATATTTATAATGCTTATAAGTAATATACTCTAGTTTCTTCTTATAGCAATAGGTATAGGAAAGTATAATAATACCGGTCTGTTCAAGGAAGCGTATCGGATCGCGATAATAGTTAAAACTCGTTCGTTTCTTTTTCTCTATGTAGTTAGGTATAATAATGACAATATAGGAGGAAAGAACCTACTAGAGTAAAATATAGGGAGAATAGTTAGGACTATTAGTTATTTTAGGAACTTAGTCGTCGGGGCGTCGACCCTAGAGGAGGGGCATTATATCACGAATTAACTAATGGCAGGCTATAGGGCAGACAGCCGTATATAGAGACGTAGGGGCGTCCCGGGCCAATTATTTAGATAACTAAACAGACTAGTTAAAGACAGGCAAAGGTGCTAAAGTGCCAATGTCGCTAAGTACTCTATAGGATATAAGCGATCAGAATAATTAGGGGCATATTACGATAAGCACCCAGGTGCTTATCCGAATCGAAGCACTGAGCGTCCAAGAAGATAGCTAGTATATAGTCACTCGTTCTAGAGGACTCTAGGAGTTCTCCAGTGAGCAATACAAGCAATAGCCTCTACCTATTGTGCAGACATTGCGGCAAGCATTGTTGTGAACCTTTTGGCTTCACCGAGACCTACAGTCCGACCAGCAGTTACCTTCGTCCGGCGAACCCTTTCAGAGGCAGGACTGCCTGTGGTTTCGTCATATACAGCCGGGATTGACAAACAGATAGCTTACATATAAACCCCAGCACCTATTCAACCCTCCCAATCTTTGACAATAGCCGCCAACGTATTCCTTAGCACACTATAGAAGAAGTCAGATTTACGTGGTCAACTGAACAGCCTGGCCATCCGGAAATAAGACCTCCTTATACGCAGGCTTTTATTCAAGAAGGTTGAGAAGGCTTTTGATAAGAAGGACTTCGAATTGGCTCGTTTACGATAGGAAAACGAAGCTCTGAAGGCACAGTTGGAAGCAGCCCGGCCGTCGAGGAGGAAGAAGGTAGTTCTTGATCCGAACAGCGTGTTCGCTTCGATTGAACAGATCCACCAGGCGCAGATTGAGTCCGGCCGTATAGATGACTCTATGGCTGAAGAGACCGGGTCAGAAAGTGCAGAATCAGAGGTTTCCTGTATTGTGGTGGGTTAAATAGACTGCGATATACGGTGTTGAATAAGATGGGTGGGTTTGCGGGCTAAGATTTGCCAAGCGGTCCGAATCTGGGGTGGTCCAAATGGGGGGGGTCCGACTTATGCCATGAATTAACCTGCAGACATCGGTAGGGGCCGACCTGATATGAAGTAGAATGGGCGATAACTTCCGGCCTCTATCGCCGGCGCTGTTTAGAGCCGTTACGGAGGCGGCCCCGGTCCGGGAATACGAACGCGTTCTTGACTGGTAGAACGTCGGGCGAGTACTGGCCCCGGGCCTACTAAGTCATTAATTGCTGGGGTGCGAAAGGCGAGATTTTGCGATGTTCGGTCCAAAACCGGAAAGTGGGGCGTTGCTTATTCATGGCGCTTACCACTCTAGGCCCCTATGCATCTTTCCATTTGATTTTCGAAGCCCTTCTACGCTTTGGAAATAACGATTGCACTCCTTATAACACCACATCTAGGCCGATATTAAGAATGATTCAAGTCTGCATCAGGTGCCCCTTCGTCGTCATGGCCATTTTGTATTCGTCTCTTGCATGTCTGCGGCCGGACACGGCCGCCAGCAATCCGTTATAGCAAGTCACCCAGTTAGAAGAGTTCTACGGAGTAATTACTCTGCGGCCTATAGCTTTTCACTGTGTGACTTGTAGCCTCACCTTTCTGCTGGTCTTGGCGCCATAGCACTCCTGACCGTCTGCGATTGGTCCGTCCTTTACTCCAAGTGATTGGTTCGGACTGCTCCCTATGCCCCGCATGTGGCCTCCTGTCATGCAGCCTGCTGTTGGTTAATTCGTGACACCTGCCCGCCTGCACGGAAATGCAACTTCAGTTTCTGTTCGCAATAGGTCTTCTAGACTTAATTGATACATATTGAGATTCCATTATCTAAAAATTGCAATGGTGGCTCCCGAAATAGGAAGACCGGTTTTCTGTACTGGCGTGCAGGCACCGCTCCAACTGCCAGTGCACCGCTTGGGGGTAGGCCATGCTGAATATATTTGTTTACCCTAGATTAGGGCTTGGATTAGCCTAGTACCTGAAGCAGTTGGCTAGTATTTAAGTAGGGCTTAGCAACTGGTAATGATGACCAGCTCGTAAATATTTACAAATAGGCTTTATAGGATGGGTCTATTTGCATAGGTAGGGCATCTACCTGACTTGTTTCACGGTTCCTCTCCGTTTAGTCTTGATGAACGGGCCGGAACGAAGGTATGCAAACGTGGCAAATGCCAGACTCTGGCCTCAAACGGCAAGAATACCGATATCCATCAGGGGGCTGTTGATGCAAACCTCAAGGCCCATAACCGTATCGTCGGCTCGCCAGCAGCTGTCAAAGATCAGACCCGCAGTGCGAGCGACGTCGTTGCTAAGGAGTCACATCAGTATATGCACCGAGCGAGACAAAGACGACAGTCAACTATAGCATTAGCAACTCACCAGTTTACCCGGTTCGGCTCCTGTTGCCCCCTAAGCGCGACAATCTGTGCGCCACCGATTTGGCACATTTGAGAGTGGTACTCTGTTCAACAATGTCAGTCACCCGTCCACAGCAGGGCCCGACCAGTAAACCATTCGGTGTTGAACGTACCGCCCGGTTTCGGGCCGCAGTCGTAGCCAAGGGCGCCCACGCGAGCAATGTAGTCAACACACGCCGCAGCATCCCGCCCCTTGACATAGATAACATCAAAACATTAGCATCAAATCCGTTCTACAACATGGGATATATGTATCAGAACGAAGGAGAGCACGTACAGGTGCGCGTTTCCAAACTCCAACGCCGTGGTCGCAATTGACCCTCTTCTGGATACCACCTGCGGGGCCGACGGTGCCGGCTGCGTGGGCCGCTGCGATGGCCTCGTCGACCGTGAGGGCCGTGTCGGGGTGGGAGATGATGTCCTCAACCCACTGCGCAAAGGAGAAGGTGGTTGAGGAGGTTGTGGTGGGGAAGGCAGCCACCGAGGCAGCCATGGCCAGCGCAGCCAGGGGAATAGCAGTTCTGACCATTTTGACTTGACGTATGGCTTCGAATTGGATTTGAGGCTTGAAGAACAGCGGCTAGGGGGTCATAATGGGAAAACCAATACTATATATATATGCCAAAAGTCCAGGTCTTCCGCCGCGTGTCCCTAGACGCGTTCGACCGGATTTTGGGGTCCAAATCAATATTCATCCGAGCTCATGCACCAAGCCTTTAGCACTGTGACGCTGGCTGACATTGACGCTGCTGCTAGTGCCAGCTGCATAACCGATATTACGGACAAGCTGCAAGGTTCATTTAACACGGAAATAGCGGACGGGGCACAAGACGGGGAATTAATTGCATTTCAGTGGTTGGTGTTCAATACCCGTGGCTATGACTGATCACAGCCGAGAAAGCGTTCGGGTATGGAGCTGTCCAGTGTTTGACAGCTCATGGGCCTTCATTTCAAGGTGATCGTGATCATCCCCAGCTCTATACGGGCCACCTGGAAGACATTGAAACCTCAAGAAAACCTGGGCCCAGCAGCAAGAATCCGCCTGGCCCCCAACTCGGTAAACGTGTCGCTAGTTGGATGCAACATTAAGTCGCACTCAACGAAGGCAGAGTTCAATGTGATGAGGCATTTCTGACACGCCAAGCCACTGCACGCCGCAGAGGCTGTAGACACCGACTTGATTAGCCAGCACTGCACAACAGGAGTGGATCAATCACAATACGGGGAATACGGAAGTAACTTCACTAACACCACACAGCCTCAGCCAGTGGATCCTGCTTTAACTGCTGAAGATAGGACGCTGAACACTTGGAGAACGCAGCCTCCAAGTCGATCTGCTAAACTAAGCCAAGAGGCAATAGATGGCGTGAGAAAAGGGGAGAGAGTAGAGGGCTTGTACGAGTTGATGATTGAACGTCAATGAATTGGATGTAGTTAGCGTGCCAAGGCCCTTTAGGCTTCGTGCCTCTGGGCGAAATAAATTCCATCCATCCAACTGCACAACACACTCAAAAACGCATAGTTTAACAGTTTTTAGGTCGCCAGATTAAAAGCAGTAAAGAAGCTATAACGTATCTTATAAGCGAGCCGGCCATATAAGCGAGCCGGCCACTCTCCACTACACTACCAACAATATCCTCAATCACAAAACAACAACACTAGGAACTAACAATAATTAAGTCGACCACCCCCCATTCCGCCCACTTTGTAAGCCCACACCGCTTTTTCAACCCAACCACTTCAACTTACCATAACTCACTCAATCTCTGGCCAAACGGCCTTTTTTTTGTATCAAACTGATTGCCAGTTCAAGATGGCTTACTCAGAGCAAGATATACAAGATGCAGTTGAGCAATACCGTCTTGGGCGCCAGTCATTGCGAAGCATCTGTAGTGAGTTCGGCATCCCACGCTCTACTATTCGCGACCGCCTTCGTGGTACTCAGACCCATTCAACTGCGGCCAAACCGCAACAGACACTTAGCCGAGTATAAGAAGATCATCTTACGCGATGGGTCTTAGCCCAGGTCGCTCTAGGTGTCCCACCAACCTATACGTAGATCTGGGAGTTCGCTAGCCGGGTTCTACAAGCCCAAGGAGCACCTAAAAAGACTATCGGGAAGAGCTGGATTAACTGGTTTATCCGAAGGAACCCGGTCCTCCGTACCTAGCGAGGCCGTAAGATCGACTTAGCCCGTATTAATGGCGCTACTGACTCGGTTATCCGCAGCTGGTTCCCACTCCTGAAAATCCCAGCCATCAAGGACATCTTACCGGCTAACTGCTGGAACTTTAATGAATTCGGCCTTATAGAAGGTCAGGGTATTAACGGCTTGGTAGTTGGAAGTGCCTACACACGCGTAGTGCAACGGAAAGTCCCTGGTTCGCGTGCGTGGACCTCCTTCTTAGAGTATGTCTCTACGATAGGGGTATCACTCCCACTAGCTGTTATTTTCAAGGGCAAGAGTGTTCAACAGCAGTGGTTTCCTATCGCCAAGGACGAACTAAAGGACTGGCTATTTACTGCAACTGAAAAAGGCTGGGTAAATAGGGTGGTTGCATTGGAATGGCTGTAACGGGTCTTCATCTCCCGGACCTAGCCGCAAGATCCTACCTAGAAGTGTCTGTTGATACTGGACGGCCACGATAGCCATATAAGCACTGAGTTTATATAGGAGTGCTTCAGCAATAATATCTAACTACTCTTTTTACCAGCCTATACCTCCTACGTCCTCCAGCTATTGGATTTATCAATGTTCTCCCCCCTGAAGAACACTTACTGCAAGCTCCTTAACCAGTTAACCAGCTGGTCAGAAACTACGACATTAGGCAAGCAGTTGATGTTGCGGTGCCTCGTTAAGGCTCGTAGGGAGGCAATTACAGCTCATAATATCAAAGCCGGGTGGAAGGCATCCGGGTTGTGGCCTCTTAGTATGGCGAAACCACTGATAAGCCCTCTTTTATTGGAAAATTCGAACCAGGCGCTTGGAAAAGACGATCCACTACTACTACCACAGACCCCGGCATCTAGGCTACCTAGCCAGACTATAACTATGACTTAGGAGGTCGAATTCCAGACACCACGCAAGAAAGTAGACCTTCGCGGTCACCTAATGTGACGAAACCATAGGCAGTCCTGCCTCTGAAAGGGTTCGCCGGTCGAAGGTACTGCTGGTCGGACTGTAGGTCTCGGTAAAGCCAAAAGGTTCACAACAATGCTAGCCGCAATGTCTGCACAATAGGTAGAGGCTATTGCTTGTATTGCTCACTGAGGAAGCTGGCTATCTGAATGAGTGGCAGAATGGTAGAACTATATACAGCTTCCTCCCCTAGGTATCCCGTACCTAGATCTCTGGAACACTTGGAACAATTGTTGTTCTCATTGTTCCATCTGGAACAATGCTTCTTGGCGTTGTTCCCCAGGAACAATCGATCTTGGCATTGTTCCTGATCTCCCCGATCCTCATTGGTTCTTTCTGACTCGTAATGATTGGATGCGGGCGCCGCCTGTTGACCATGCAGGTCGGCCCCCACCGGCCTCTGCAGGTTAGTTCATGACACCTAACCAACCTGGCTATCCGGCGGCAAGATCTTTCTATACGACGGCTTTTATCAGGAAGGTTGAGAAGGCATTTGACGAGAAGGACTTCCAATTAGCTCAATTGCAACAGGAAAACGAGGCTCTGAAGGTTCAGTTAGAGGTAGCCCGGCCGTCGAGAAGAAAGAGGGTGGTCCCGGATCCGAACAAGCAGTTCGCTTCCATTGAACAGGTCCACCGGGCTCAAATTGAGGCTGGCCGTATTGAAGAGTCTGGCATTGAAGAGAGCAGGTCAGAAAGCCCCGAATCAGATGCTTCTGTATTGTGGTGGGTTGAACAGACTGTAATAGATGGTGTTGAAGAAGATGGGTGGTTTAGACGCCAAGACTTACAAAGTGGGCGGAATGGGGGGTGGTCGACTTATGAGGGAGTGCATCACCCCCCCGCTCCGGGCGTTGGCTCCAGCTCAAGACCCTAGAGACGCAACCGGTCCGCCTCCTTGAAGTAGGCCTGCCGATCTGCGTTAAGCTATAGCTTGGTGCAAGTCTCAATGGTGATTCTAATTTGCCTGTGAAGCCTGTTCTTCTTACCCTAGTCGGTTGAGGCCTGGATCTCGGCGCGGAGCTTCGCGATATCCTTTTGTTTATGGAACTTCACAATCTGTTCTTTCGATACCAAGATAGGAGTGCTCTTATCTTGCATAAGAGATATATTATAAAGGTCGTTGAAAAGTATTTAATCCTGGCGTACCGTTTTAGGCCTAAATGCTAATATAGCGAGATTAGGTCTTATAATACCTATTTAGCAGTCATTTTTATAAATATCTTCTAAGTAACTTATAATATAAGTCTATAGGATACTTGATAAGCTTTTTATAATATATATTAATTAACTATCTAATATCTAATAGCGGTTAATAACTCTATGGAAACTTTAGAAAATAATAAAATTAATAATAATGTATCTTATAAGCGAGCGGGACACTAAGTTCTTAGCACGACGCGTCCTTCTTCATCCACCTCCAACAACGCGTTTTTCCTATAACTAAAGATGTCTTCCGCTTCAAAGGAAGCTAGGGTAACCTTGGCCTTTAAAGTGTCATGAATTAAGCCAACAGGACAGCTGCAGGTGGGACAACCCGCCGGGTGGCGCAGGGCGCACCTGAACCAATCATTCAGGACCAATAAGAAGGAGCTCTAAGGTGCTCTAGAGAGCAGACGAGAGCTCAGGGAGCTAAGCCAATCAGCACGAAGGAACGGAAGCTCTTGATGGAGTCAACAGAGCACCAAGCTCTAGGGAGCTCTATGGAGCACATGAGAGCACCCAAGATAGCCAGTATATAGTCACTCGTTCTGGAGGACTCTGGGAGTTCTCTAGTGAGCAATACAAGCAATAGCCCACACCTATTATGCAGACATTGCGACAAGCATTGTTGTGAACCTTTTGGCTTCACCGAGACCTACAGTCCGACTAGCAGTTACCTTCGACCAGCGAACTCTTTCAGAGGCAGGACTGCCTGTGGTTTCGTCACAGTTCATAACAATGCTAGTCGTAATGTCTGCACAATAGGTAGAGGCTATTACTTGAATTGCTTACTGGAGGACCCCTAGAGCCCTCCCTAACGAATGACTATATACTAGCTATTTTTCTATGGACGCTCGCGCTCGCCGTCGTCCATGAGCGTCCATGGTCGCTGGTGCTCGCCAGCGTCCCCGGGCGTCTATGCGGGCGCTCCTGGACGCTGTCGTCCATCGGCGTCCATGTGGGGCATCTTGCTGCCTTGTTCTCTCTGATTAGTAACCCCATCACCTGCATGGCCCTACCAGGTCGGGTTATATGGTTGGTTCGTAACAGCTATCTAAGCGAGCTTTTCTACCAAGGCTACGTAGTATAGAAGATATAGCTAACTAACTGCTATGTATATGATACGCCCCCTATTAGCCAGCTCTAGGCTTATAACTTCGTTAAACACTAGCCCGCTCTCTATATGCGTTGGTTACGTCAATATAACTACTAGAGGGCTCTAAGTGCGAGGACCTAGAGATTATTTGCGAGTAGTTCGCGCTTGTATAGAATGTCAAGGCCAAGTATAGTATTATGGATGACGATATCTATAACTTCGACGAGACTAGGTTTATAATGGGTGTTATCTTCCTAGGCATAGTAGTTACAACCTCTAATGGGTATAGCAAGGCAAAGCTGGCCCAGCCTAGTAACCGCAAGTGGGCTATGGTAATCCAGGGAGTTAATACTCTCGGCTGGGCTATCCCACCCTTTATTATCTTGGCCGCGCAATAATATTTCGCCAACTGGTATTAAGAGTGTAACCTCCCAGCCGACTGGCGTATTGCAACTACCGAGAACGGCTGGACTACTAATGCTATAGGCTTCGATTGGATCAAGCACTTTGACTTCTATATAGTACCCTATATAAAGGGCAAATATCGGTTATTGATCCTCGACAGCCATAAGAGCTACCACTCGACTGAATTTGAGCTCTACTACTAGGAGCATTATATTATCATACTCTATATACCTTCGCATTCCTCCTACCTCCTCTAGCCACTCGATATTAGCTGCTTTGGGCTGCTAAAGCAGGCGTACGGTTGCTAGGTCGAGGACTTAATATGTATGTATATCAACTATATAAGTAAGCTCGAGTTCCTCTATATCTTTTACAAGGCCTTCTTCGCCTCTATAATAGAGAAGAATATATAGGGTGGCTTTATAGGTGCTGGCCTTATACCGTACGATCTAGAGAGAGTACTTTCTAAGCTGGATATTAAGCTTTGTATACTAATACCCCCAACCTTATAGCCTAGCACTATATAGTCTTAGGTCTTCCAGATACTATATAACTCCCAGGAAGCTAATATACAGTCTATACTCATCAAGACTCGTATTGTCAACTATCAAAATAGCTTCCTAACCTCGATATTGGCTGCTGTAGACTAGTTGGCCAAGGGTATAATGGTTATAATGTACTAGATGGCTCTTCTTCGCGCTAAGGTCTCTTCGTACCGCAAGGCCAACAAGGCACTCAGCAAGCGCCGGAGAGCTAAAAGAACACACATATAGCTTGGAGGATCGCTTGCGGTATAAGATGCAAAGGATCTACTGGACTAGAAGGCCGTAGTTGGGGAGATGGCATAAGAAAAGGAGCCAGATAGTGGTGGTACAAAGGGAGCTCATACGAAGGTTTGGTGCTATAGTGTATGCGGCAAGCCTAGCTATAATGCCCGTACATGCTCGGCGGTTGTAGAAGGGTCTGATTCAGCTGTTTCTGATGTAATTGTAGTTGGTTAATAGTCTTATTATATTGCAATTAAAGATAGTTGTTGTAGAGTCATGTGACGAAACCACAGGCAGTCCTGCCTCTGAAAGGGTTCGCCGGTCGAAGGTATCTGCTGGTCGGACTATAGGTCTCGGTGCAGCCAAAAGATTCACAATAATACAAGTCGCAATGTCTGCATAGTAATGTAGGGCTATCTTACTGCTTGTATTGCTCACTGGAGGACTTCCAGAGCCCTTCATAATGAATGACTATATACCTAGCTAATCCCGTTAGCTCGCTATCGTTCGCCAGCTACCGTGGTCTACCCTCGGTCGCCTTGGGTAGACGGCTACCCAAGTCTATTATAATCGCTTTCGCTCGCCGGCGACCCTAAGCTACCCAGGTCGCCCCTATACGGCCGCCTGCAGCTTTCGCCCCTGCTGATTGGTTCTGCCTGTTTCCGTTGTGCCCCACCGGGTCTTGCTATATGGTTGGTTCGTGACAAGTGGTGAAGAGTGTCCCGCTCGCTTATATGTCCTGCTCGCTTATAAGATACGTTATATAAGTATATTATTCTAAATATAATATCGAGATTTAAACTCTGTGACGGTGGAATCTACTGTACCATGGCACAGGCCATTGCTTCGTCATATATCCGGCTTCTGGTACATGCATGCATGATTGGTCAACCCGGTTGGTGCCCCACCTTCCACATCTAGGCACATGCCCTGCGTCCTGTAACGTTATTTAGATCTTCGCATCGGGCACTTGCAGAACTCTTCCTTCTGCAAGTTCAATATTCTTGCAATATAGTCAGTTGCCTACTAGAGCCCTGAGCCTAGACTGCGACGACAGCTAGCGTGACAATTATACTATTGTTATAAGCTAAGGAGTATATTAAAATTAGGAACAATCATAAGAAAGTAGAGAGGAAGGGGATTCTAGGTTCAGGGGGGGAGGAGGGAGGCTATGATAGTATAAGCAAGCCAGGCTAGCACCGAGCCTAGAGAGTCGGACGTAGTTGGTTCGCGTCCCCGTATAAGGGACGGGATCCTGGCGCCAAAAATGCATCTCCATCGCGAATACGCGGGATGCATTCTTAAGGATTCGATGGGTGTGAACGAAGTAGAATGGGCGACGCCTTCCGGCCTCCGTCGCCGGTGCCGTTTATAGTCGTTACGGAGGCGGACCCGCTCCGGGAACGCGAACGGGATCTCGTCCGGCAAAACATCGGGCGAGCGTTGGGTCGAGTCTGCTGAGTCAGCAAACGCGCAGCGCCAGAGATTTTGCGGTCTCGCGGCTAAGTTGCTATAGGGGGGAATCGTCCGGGACTATACCGGCCGAGGGGACTCCCTCCAGATCGCAAACCAGTTCTAGATACACCGGTTCTTGACGGCGCTGTCTTTTACCGCGGACCCGTCGACCCCAGCACATTTTGGCTCGACTACGTTTGTATAGAAAAATGACCTGCGCCGGATAGACGCAGGATCCTCGCTTCCGTAAGAGAGCGTCGAACCAGGGGAAGGGGTGAAGGGCCGTTCGGATGTCGAGCGTCCAGGCATGAGCCATGCACGTCGGAGCAAAGCAGCGCCTGTCCACCTGTCCAGGGGCAATTCTCTGATCCGTGATGGTTGCGACCAGCCACCCGTACGTAATGTAGCTCATGCACTGGCATCCACGGGAATCGCAGTTTGCCGTCAAGCTGCTGGAGCTCCAGCGTGCGGAAGGAACGAGAGCATTTCCTTCCAGGTTCCAGCTGCCTGTCGGAGTGGTTCCGCCATACCTCTCGCCCTTCGGAAGGCAGGCTCTCAACAGACCGGCGTCAGGTATGTATGTGCAGAGCTCGCAACAGCTCTCAGTTGAGCGCAGTGTCAGTGGAAATGTCTCATGTGATTCCACAGCTGGTGGTTTTCCACACCGCTATTGTACAGTTTGCCAGTGCCAACGGAGAGGTTAACCTGCGTGTCTTGGTTAATGCATGCTCTCTTGAGGTCTTCGGGGAGCCAAGGGGAGGCGGTCATTTCGAACCTGATCTTCCCTGGTGTGTCTGCCGACGGTGTGTCTCTGGATGTGTCTGGGGGGGAGTGTCGTGCTAGCGTCGGTGGAGTGGAGTATGGGTGATCCTGCTTTGAGCTTGGTTGTGTGTTCTGGGAAAGATGACTACCTGGTATGCTGAGGTGTCGGTAGAAATACGGTCTTTGACATTAACTAAGGTATTTCCTTTCTCCAGGTCTCATGATTATCACCTCCGCTCGTTCCTTCCACGTATACAGATTTCTGCTAGCTCAGTATGTACAAAGCCTTACTTTCCATGAGTAACCGCATTCCCTTTCAGGATGCTGGCAATGGCAGCGAGGCCAAGTACAATGCCGAGTTTTGTAGCAGAGCAGTTTCCCAACACATCCCCATAGACAGACCTGCCAGCCTTGGAACTAAGGTTGAGAGACTCAGAGGCTTTGTGGCCTCGGTGGTTAGGTTGTTCTGGGAGGTGCCTCCCAGACGCCTTTGAGACAATCGGCATAACTAAGCCAAGGCTTCGTGAAGTCGGTTGGTGGATGCCACTTGCAAGGCCACTTGGATGTTGTTTGGTTGGTACTGTACTAGTACTTATCAGTGCCTAGGTGTTCTGTTACCTGTATCCACCATGATCTCCGTTTCCAATCATTTCTTCACCGCGGAGGAGCAGGGTGTCGATACCAAGCAACTCTCCACTTGGAGTGAGAGCCCAAGCAATCTACTGCAGTACGATCACGGAATCGCTTTCAATCGGAATGATCCCTGTATAATCCTTTGAAGAACTCAGCGTGGAAAGGTAAACTGTCCGGCAATGGTTCGTGGTTCGCCAAAAGACGCCGAAGCCGGACTTTCATACCGCATCTGGTTACGGATACATCATACGCCAGCTCCAGCTTCGTGACGCTAACAGGCCAACACCTCGAACTATTGTCCTCGACCCCTCGGTGGTTTTGTGGATGCCATTCCAAGAACAAACATCAACAGTTACGTTCCATTGGTTGGTCGCTTTATATAGTGCACACTAACGCACCTGCTAATGCAGTCATCTACCGGTACTCGAGCCACGCCAAAACCTAAAACCACGTTAGAAGGACGCTAGAACAGCACTAGAAGTTCTCGGCCCTAATTCGGGCCTTCTTACAGGCGTGTTCTCCGCCTTAATCCCCGCCTATACCCTGACGGCTTGGAAAGATCACCACCCATGATACCTAATCGGCAATTTCTCCCGCTTCCCCAGCTCCCCATTTCCCCGTTCCCCGACTTTTGCTCTTCCCCAAGTTTACTCGGCGTCTTACCCCGCATCTCCTCAGGGTCGATCACACCACCAGAACGGGTTGGAGCCGGCCTTGTGCCGGCGGCTCGGACTGTAACCCACCCCATACTTGCAGCAACCATTCAGTGACGGACAGGGGCGGTCCTGACTCCTATCTCCGCGACGTCACATTCATCGACGTCCTCGCAAACCATCCTCTACAAAGTGGGACGGGCAAGAAGCACAAGGATCCATGCAAGGACGGTTGAGTGGATACCCTCGCTTTGGCTTCCGCCAACAATGGATGCTCTACTTTGTTATCTCACCTCGGCGTCGCAGTGCGAGACCGGAGACGCCATGTTTTCAGGGCAGCCTTCCGGTAAGGCGGAGACGCCGGGCGGATCACAAATGTGCCTGACTGCATGATGACGGGAGGCATGTAGTGATAAAAGGGCCACTGCTCCTGCCTCTGTAGGCAACCAAAATCCTCGAGCTGGTCCAGAGTCTCCCTGTCTCGCTCTCAGCATTGGTTTTCGCCTCCAAGTGCGTGCTGTCAACGCTGTTACCCAACACCATGAGCTTCCTCAAGACCCTCACCCTGTCGGGGCCGGAGAACGTGGCAGGCAGGACATGGCCTGCTATCGTGGTGGGCATGTTCGTTGCGTTCGGCGGTGTCCTCTTTGGGTATGTTGCATGATGCGCTGGAATCCCGCCTCATCGAGCCCACTCGAGCTAACTGTTCGCCCCTTCGTAGATACGATACCGGTACCATCAGCGGAATCTTGGCTATGCCCTACTGGCAACGGCTCTTTAGCACGGGCTACATCGATGCTGAAGGGAATCCCAACGTCACCCCCTCTCAGGAGTCCGCTATCGTGTCCATTCTCTCCGCTGGCACCTTCTTCGGTGCCCTCAGCTCTCCTCTCCTGGCAGACCGCGTTGGCCGCCGCCTGGGCTTGATGATATCCACGTGGGTCTTCAACCTGGGTGTTGTGTTGCACACCGCTGCCACGGCTATTCCCATGTTCCTGGCGGGTCGCTTCTTTGCTGGTTTCGGTGTCGGCTTGATATCCGCCATGAGTAAGTGGTTGCTATGACCGTCGTCCCGTCGTGTCGTGTCTTGTCGTGTCAACCTCTAACAGCCTTGACCCAGTTCCACTGTACCAATCCGAGACGGCTCCCAAATGGATCCGCGGCTTCATCGTCAGTGCGTATCAATGGGCCATCACCATCGGCCTGCTCCTCGCGGCCATTGTGAACAATGCCACCGCGCGTCGGAACGACTCGGGGTCGTACCGTATCCCCATCGCCGTTCAGCTGGCATGGTCACTTATCCTCTTCCTTGGCTTGCTGTTCCTCCCCGAAACGCCGCGGTATTTGATCAAGAAGGACAACGCAGAAAAGGCTGCGCAGTCGCTCAGCCGCCTTCGACGTCTGCCAATCGACCATGAAGCCGTTGTGGCTGAGTTAGCAGAAGTCCGAGCCATCCACGACTTTGAAATGACCATGGGACAGGGCTCCTATTTGGATTGCGTGAGACCCCCCATGCTCAAAAGACAGCTTACGGGCATGGGAGTGCAGGCGCTCCAACAGCTCACAGGTAAATAACCGGACCTTCGTCGGTCCTTGCCTTCCGCCTTGGGTATCCCAAACAAATACTAAAAAACTCTCTTTTTTGCAGGCATCAACTTCATCTTTTACTACGGAACCAAGTATTTCCAGAACTCTGGCGTCTCTAGCGGCTTTGTCATCTCGATGATCACCTCCTCCATCAACGTTGCCTCCACCATCCCCGGCATGTATGCGGTCGACAAATGGGGCCGGAGACCTCTCCTCCTCTGGGGCGCCGTCGGCATGTGCGTATCCCAGCTGATCGTCGCGGTCTGCGGCACCGTGTCGACCGGTCAGCATGACAACGGCGAGATCTACGTCAAGAGCCTCGCCGGGCAGAAGGCGGCCGTGGCCTTTGTCTGCATCTACATCTTCTTCTTCGCCTCCACGTGGGGCCCGCTCGCCTGGGTCGTGACGGGCGAGATCTTCCCGCTCAAGACGCGTGCCAAGTCGCTGAGCATCACGACGGCGACCAACTGGCTGCTGAACTGGGCCATCGCCTACGCGACGCCGTACCTCGTCAACTACGGCGACGGTTACGCCAACCTGCAGTCCAAGATCTTCTTTGTCTGGTTCGCCTGCTGCTTCCTCTGCATCCTCTTCGTCTACACCATGATCTACGAGACCAAGGGCCTCACCCTCGAGCAGGTCGACCAGCTGTACGAGGAGGTCAGCGAGGCGTGGAAGTCGACAACGTGGAAGCCCACGTCGGCTTGGCAGCACGGCGGGAAGGTGGTGCCTGAGCACGAAGAAGAAATCGCTGTGCAAGCCCCTTCCTCCTCAGAGAAGAACTGAAACCGGGAAATGGGGGTCGTGCGGACTCGCTTCGTGAGAATCCCAGTCCGGATCGGTTGGCGTTTCTGTCATTGTCGTTAGCGGCCTGTTTGGCGGGCGCGAGGATGCTTGAATGATTTTCGTGGATAAGGGGGCGATTGGCAGAGTCGATGGGAGAGCTTTCACATAGAACGGGGCTGGCCAATTCGGTGACCCCGGGGTGATTGGCTAGCTCAAGAGCCTGTAGGGGCTCCATTCTCGGCTACTAGTCCGTAGCCGGTGTGTAGAGTTAATAATAATGGGGTCAAGCTGGTATGGAAGAGTTGGAAATGCGACAAGCTTCCGCTGAGGTCAATCAGTCACTTGACAAATTCTTCCCGGTGATGGAGCCGCGGAGCGTGGTCCGTTGCTGGGAATTTCGCTAGTGAGAATGTCTGAGCAAGGGGCCGTTGAGTAACGAATTAGTGATCAGCACTGCCGTTGGGCCAATCTGAGGTCTGCCCACCTAGCCTCCTACTGACGGAGCTGGGAAGAACCCTTTAGTAGGATTAAGAATTCTCCCTTTATTACCTAGCGTATGCCGGTCCTACGAGGTGGTGGCGCACTTTTTCTCCTGACTGAGCATCGATCCATTCTGTACCCGGCAGCCTGGTCGCTCGTGTTTGTATTGTACAGGACGACCCCTGGATGATTGATAGCGCGTAACTTGCGACAGGGTCTTCTTCTCAACCCTGAACCAATACTTTTGAATACTCTTTAAACTACCAAAAGAGCTGATTCAACGCAAAAAAGATAGAGCGTCTTGCAATAACAAACGGCTGAGTCCATCTGTACGTTTTTTTCCGGGGAAAGATTTGACCGTTTTGACGTTGAGATTGGGAATTTTAGGGCTGACCCTGGTCTTTGAGTCAGACGCTAACGAACTTCCAGGGATCCGACGTAGCTTCCCCCGCATTCTTTCGTCCTGCAGTCTGCAGGGGTGAAGGCGAAAATCCGGGGTCGACATGACTAGGTTGACTAGCAGATGCAACCCGGACGACGCTTAGTTCATATACGGTCGATCGCGGCAACCCACAAGCTTTAGTGTCGGGCTATATCCTCTCTTTGGGTTGGCCTGTGTGCGTCTTTCAGCTGCACGCAATGGCTATGCCGAGTATTAAACCACCAGCCTTAACCTTCTCTCGAATATAGCGTCAGGAGAATGCTTATTATTACTGTCTGTTCACTCTGGTACTCTGCTTCCACATCCACAGCACCCGAAGCATCACCCACGCCGTCCAAATGGCCGACACGGCGGCCGCTGATGGGCGGGAAAAGCCGTCAGACCCACGGCGGCTCACTCTCGAAGCATGGTCCCAGGGCTTCATGGTCGGTGCCCTGATCATCATGTGCGGCATCACTGTTGCGAATATGCGACGGGGAGTCCTGCTCCACAAGCTCATCCTGATCGAGGTCAGAGACAGACCGAATGCCCACCACACCGAGCCCACCTGCTGATAACGACACCTCGCAGCTTATCCTAGCCATCCCCAATGGGTTCTTTATGTTTTTCGACCCTCCAGCATGGGGCTGGTTTCTCTCCTCAACGGCTATTCTGCTCATCACGTCCTGGACGCTCCACAATGTCATTGCGTGGATGAAGAGCAAGCCCTTCCTGGGTCGCCGAGGGAATCTCATCTACATCGGCAGCGTCCTCCTCGTCCAGCCCTATTGGATCCTCGAGATATACGCGAACTTCGCCTTCTTCAACGGCCTTGACGGCCAGCTCTTCATGAGGACACGGCCATACGAGGCTGTTTTCCGGTACGCGAAGCTGCTTAATAGTAATGGGTAAGGCGGTGGAACATCGCTCCAGATTTGCTAACCATCCAGGGCTACTTACTAGCGACCCATGGTGGATCTTCACCATTCTCAATCTCTTCTGGAACATCCATTTCCGCTACGAGCTTGGCTTCCTCGAGATCGTCCAAGTCTCTCCCCGATTCGGCATCTTGCTTCTCTGCATGAGCCTCAGCATGATCAGCATCATCGTCGACATCCTGTCCGTGACCCCCGTGATTCCCATAGGCGTCATCAACCCTTTCTGGAAGTTTGCCTTTGTCTTCAAGTGCTTCACCGATAGTATCATCCTCGACGACTTCCGGGCGGCGTTGGACAAGCTCAGCCGTCGTCGAATGGCCCATATCCTCCCCTTTAGTATTCTCGGAGACTCCGTGCCGGAACAGAGCTTCGTCAGCCGCTCTCCAACAGAGGGCAACCGGCAAGGAGATCAGGGCGGGAGCCTGGATGCACAATCGAATACCGAGATTAGCATGGTTGCCTTGGGGGAAGGGTGTGTAGGGCTATCCGACGGCCGTGGTCTGTGTCCCCCATCCCCAGTCCGAGTTTATCACGTAGAACGCAAATCAACTCAGAGCGTCAGATAATGATCAGTAGCTGAAATGCAGACAATATTATCCAAGCACTCTACTGTCAAGGAAACGTTACCAATATTCCAAAGAGTTTCACGTTGACCCATGTTCGAAGTCTGTCAAACTTGTCCCACGCCCGTCTCGCGTCTCGTAGATTCAGTTAACTACTCTTCCCCAGCTCAGTATCAGGGCTCCTCGCCCTCCTCCGCCTCAAAATCCCCATTGGGAATGCCGGTGTGGCTCCGTCGGTTACAGCTGGATCGGATGTCCGCAACGACACTCGCATCGACCATTGATCGGGAATCTCAGGTTCTTCGGCTTCCTCGTCAAGCCTCCTGTGCTGTCGGAATTGTCGAAATGCGGCACGGCGACGTCTACGCTCTTTTGCCAACACCGACCAAGTCCTCGGCTCACCGTCCGAATGTAGCGAGTCGACCGTTTCATCACTGAGGTTTGTGGGCCAATCATCCAGGGACATTGACGAGCTGCTGAGTGGCTTGTCGGCCGAGTCGGTGCTTCCCCAGCGGGTAGATTCGGGTAATGGCAGTTTCTGCCGCCTCATCCTACGCAGGCAAAGACAGGCCAGGAGTACGGCAAGCAGTGGACGGAGCCAATCACCGAAGAAGTCAATGCCTTTACGCGTGTAGTAGTGAAGCGGGTAGTCGGCGATATACTTATCCTCGGTGACTTCCTTGTAGAGGTGCTTGCCTTTCTGGGCTTTCCGGACCACCCGGCTCGTGCGGTGGTACTGGCGGTACTTCCAGAGGTGGTGGAGGACGGGAATCTTTGTGTGAAAGGTGAGATCTCCGAAGATTGGTGCGTATTTGTGACGAGTCGTGGGGTGGGACCCGATATACCCCGTCATATAGAATGCGACGAGGATGAGTGGAATCGAGACACCGGCCGATACGCCGACTGCAGGAACTGAATGTCAGTCTTCCTCAAGAGAAATTCGTGCTCCGGGTTGATAGTATAACGTACACAAGTAGCTAGATACTTGGCCAAGCTGCCATTTTGTCTCCCCTGAAGCGGCATCCTTTGGCCACGCATCGACGTCCAGGGCGAAGAAGCTTGCCATGAACATGAGAGGTAGCTAGACCAAACTCGTACTTAGCCTCACGTTCCATGTGAAATAATGTTGGATCTGGCGACTCACAGATATGATCGTGACAATGGTGAAAAAGAGAATCATCTGAGTGAGGTATGTAAGCCGGGCTGCCGGAGCCTATGTCGAGACCATCCATCAGGTGAGAAGGCTCGGACTTGTGGCCCACTCACCTTTCCCTGACGCTGAGTCTCTTCGGAGCCCTCCCTCGCAAATCGAGCCTCCCAACTCTGCGCCTGTCTCTGTTTTAGGTTTAGGAGGCTTTGAAGCTGCAGTCCATTGTCAGTAGGGTGCTCCCTTTGACTCGATGTCAAGGGAGAGAGGAGTGTTGTCGTTACAACATACCATGCGCTCTACCTTCGACGCCGTGAATGACAAATCTGAGATAGCCCGAAAATTATTTGTCAAGATTAGCATTGTCTTATGCATAAGGCCACGATCCCAGAGAATATGAGGCTCTTGGCCCGCGCTCAGTAATGTCACCTGGTTGGTCACGGGTGTCTCTACGCCTAAATCCTTCATCTTCCCTTTTCCAATGCCGGTGTTGGTTATGCTCGCGTGGTCTTGTTCGGTATAAAGCTGCCGGAGCTCGTTGAGCGCAACCTCTTGCTGCGTTAGAACATCATTGACAATGGAGAGCTCGTCCTGAATGTCGAGGATTTCGCCTAACAGCTCCATCTCCATATCCAGGGAAAGGAGCCTTTCGAGTTTCTGCTTTTTTTGTGCAGGCGTGAGTTCTTGGTCTTGCAGGTCACGAGTCAAGCCACGGAAGTCACGGTATAGATCCCTCTGGTGCTCAGAGACATTGTTGATATGCGACTGAAAGCATTCGTAGAACCGACAGTCCTGCGGACCCTTCCGTCCGAAGAAGTCAAGACTTGTCTTCAAGACAAGGTGCAGCAGATCTTCGGTGGACTGTATCACCCAGTCTTCGTTGTTCAACAACTCGTCAACGAAGACTTTGCGCAGGTTGAACTCCTCGTCCTGGTTCCAGGTGTTTGGGAAACTGGTGATAACGGTTCCTTCGGTTGCAAATTTAGTGTTTTTGAACATTTCGAGTGTGCGATCAACATACCGTCCTGAAGAGCCCATAGCCAGAGCTGGTCAACCATGACAACGGGCCGGCCATCAGGGTCCGTTTGTGGTTTCTGATTCTCCGCCCATTTGTATGTGACTTGATCATTATCCCGTCTCTCAGTCGATTCCAACATGTAGTATGAAAATTGGTCAAGGGTTCGGCGACAGTGGACCGGCGCTACGCCGCGAGAGGCTAGGTAGCCACTGAGCAACAACCTTGCTGCTGCTTCGTCGGCATCGTGAACAGGAGCCTGTGCAGTTGCCACTTGTACGTCGCAGAATGCTTGACTAAGCTTCTTCCGGTTGCCGTGCTTTTCGAAACCCAAGATGGGCATCTGCTGACCGTCAGCTTCTCGTCTAACACCCAGCATCAGATTGCTGGGGGACAACAGGATTTCCATCCTTACGAATATCACTACAGCTTCCTGTTCTGCTAACTCCGGCTGCATTGCTATGCTCAACTGATGATCGGTACGGCGGGTGTATTTGTACTTCTTGGCCTGTGGGATCATGTAGCGGTTGATTAAACGAGACCCTAGAAGTGGTGCCATGTCAGGAAGCCTGTGTTGTGTTAAGAATTCCAGGATGCTCACCCTGGTATCGCTGGTCGATCATTGAGTGATCCTGAATCCCCATGCTGATAAAGAGGTCCTGCCAATGAGTCACGGTGAATACGAAGATCAAGTGAAAGGATTGGATCGCCATCAGACTTGAACCTGTGGTAACTTACGCGAACCCACTGCTCCTGGTGGCAGATGTTAGCCAGACAGACAAGAGATGCGGCGTCGATTGCGCGGCAAGTACTCACGTTGTTGGCGGGCAAATGCAGCCAGCGGCATATGAATGAGTCCCGACCGAGCTTATCTGGTCGGGAGTCACCCGATGCATGAGAAACGCCTCGATCACCCTCGTATATGAAATCATATACAGACGGGACATCAATAGCCTGGTGGGGTGAGTTGAAGTTGTTCCGTAATTTCCCATCCTCTCCTTCCTGTAGGAACACCTGAATGAGCGTGACCTCAAATGCGGAGCAGGCCCTTTCCTGTGGAGAGCCACGTTGCGGTCGCAACAATGGTTGGGGGTGCCGCGACGACATCTTTGACGAATTCCCTGCTACCATCACCTCGCTCGTCAGCTCCTTAATCCACCCATTGCCAGGCCGTTCCACGAATTGGTTGTCCTTGTCATCCAGACGCGAGCCATTCAGGAGCAATAGCTTGATGATCCGGGCAAACGCTTGTTGGATTTCAGGGTTTTCCTCTTCCGCCGCGTGCCGAATAGCCATGCTCAAGGGGGACCTTCCGGTCTTGTCCCTGCTCATAACAGACGCTTTCAACTGAAGTAGTTTCCTAACTGCCTCATAGTTGCCAGCTGCCGCCGCAAGATGCAAAGCAGTCTGTTCTCTTTGGCCCTTATAGTTGACCTGAAAGTCGTCCCCGATAATTTCTTCAAGGCTCTGGTTCAGAACGTTCGACTTCGAGGCGCAGTACTTGGCAAAGAGAAAGTGCCTGATGGTGTGCACAAGTGTGCGATAGTCTTCGTCCTTAGGCCCTTCAAATCTGCTGAGCTTGTGCGATGTCTTGGATTGCTTGGGGAGCAAGAGGGGTGAATCGAGTGATTCCCTTCTGGGTATGATATGCTAGTAACATGGTAAGCACGAGATAAGGTTTGGGTGATGAGAGAGCCACGCACCCTGCCCCTCTGCACCTCCGGAGTGTAATGCCACGCGACAGGGATTTCTGCCTTCAAAGCGACGCGGAAGAACTCAGCCCATAGGCTGGACAGCTCGGAGCCCTGGATCTTGTTAGAGCGATGAGCGCCTTCTGAAGTGACCAGCCAATTTTCTGACCAGCCACTTCCAGCCTGTTGGTCGAGGCTGCGAGGAAATGACCTGTCGGCTGAGTTGGGAGAGGGGGCGTCGAGAAGGATAACGCCAGCAATCATGTTGGGCTGTAAGGTTGGCTCGACGACGCGTCTAGACACCTCACTCAAACTGCCGACGACTCTTTCCACAAGCAGAGCACCGAACCCAAGCCCAATCAATATGATGGGCACCACATTGTGGTCGGTCGTCTCGAGTACTCTCTTCTGCATCAGTTGTCTGAGCAGGTCGTCGGCTGTTTCCCTGAGATATTGCGACGGCCGCGAAGGGGTGCGCGTGGTATGAAATGTGTAGCACATAACACGAGCCTGGTGGACCTCTGCTGGTAACATGTCGGGGTCGCTTAACCAATTGACTCGCCATCGTGCCCCGCGACGAGGGACGCGTCGCTTGGACAAGAAGTCGGGAAAGGGAGGGCCCATTTCAGTCAGTTCGTACGTGTCGTACGTCTCCTGGGTACTCAACGGTTGGGCAGGAGGCGGGCCGGTAGGCTCCGCAGGAGGAGTTGCATCCGAGATGGAGATCTCGTTTTGAAACGAAGCTGTCAGCGATGGCCCAGGCTGATTGTCTCGAGTAGCAGTGTCATCCATTGGTCCAATCTGCCCTGTCGCCTCCTTGGAGACCACCTCAGCCCAGACCTCAACGGCTTCGTCCCGGTGCCTGGGCTTCCAGCTGTAGGTCCAGGCCGTGTTCAAGGTCTCACCAATGTTGAGTGTCTCGCCAATATCGTGGACAGCGACGATATCCACGCATGGGACGAACGTGTGGCTCGAGTCTAGCGGATGGAGGATACGCAAGTCCGAGAAGTCCTGCGTAGGGATTTAGCGCAGTCGGGTCAGTTATCTCTCTCTGTACCCTTCTCTCATGCACGCTTCTGGCTCGTGTTATTACTCACCTCTGACTCGGCATCTTTTGGGTCATCTCCGGTACCCAAGCGTTCACGTTGTCGTCTATCCTGCTCTGCGGTTGAAACAACGTTTCCTCGGGTGTCCTCCGCCCGTTGTGATGCTCGGGGCTTTCGTTGCATCAGCACCCCAAGCTTACCAAGCGAATCAAAGAGAGAACGCCGGGGCAAGTGCTCTTCAGTCAGTGTTGTCGGAGCTTGTTCGGGGAGCCTCTCTGGTATCTCAGTAATGGTTTGAACCAACGCCGATTTTCCATGCTCTGCGAACAAGTCATTCAGCTCTTTGGACGAGATCCTAACCGCATCTCGATCTCCCGACGGTCGTGCGACTGGCGCGATATCCATTGGTGTGTGCTGATAGGTCTGGTTGTTTTGCAGAAGACGCTGATGAGAGACAGCGAAACAGTATAACACTACTGGCAGCGGAATGTTTGCACATAAGTATCGATGCATGGGACTCGACTCTCGAGCTCAGGCCTGGGTCTCTGAGTCGCAAATCTCGCAGTTCAGATGCATTACACCGCAGGTTCAGCTCGGCAAGAGGTCTGGGTGTGGCAGGACGACGGGATTGGCGCGATTGCGAAGGACATCAAAAGCAGACAGAGCCTCGCCTGGCTATGAGATCTGATTGGATTACCTGTATCATGCCTGGTATGGTACTGTAGTGTGAAGCGGGAGGAAGGAGGTGCGGAAGAGGTTCCTTCCAGAACCCGACCACAATTCCGCCCCTCCAAATCAAAGTTCCCTTTCTCTCCAGCCAATGAAGATTTCTCTGTCCCCCAAATATTCCCGCTCAAATACACTTGATTCAGGCACTTTCGTCAACAAGAGCCTCGATGTTCAGCCTGATGGTCTCCTCCAAATTAGTCCAGCCCGGCCGGTCCATCTCCTTCAGCAGCGCCTCCGCCCTGGGAGCAGGGATACTCTCGCTCTCGTTGAGCTGGGCAAGTGGTTTGCGCAGCACCCGGAGCGACGCGCTGACATCTTCCTGGCCACCAAGTTCGGCCTGGGCACCGGCGTGCGGGACGAAGGCAGACCGGGGCTGCTGGTCGACACCTCCCCGGCGTACTGCCGCCAGCAGTGCGAGACCCGACCACCGTAAAGTCCCTTGCAAAGACCTTGTTGCGGTGTAGTTCTGGATAATACGCTGAATCCCATGCCAGGTGTAGGGTGCTGCTTACGCAAAGATGCGCTCGCCCTCCTTTTCGGGCTCGATCTTGCATGCTGAGTACACCACACACCCCCGATCTACTTCGTACGAAGGAGGAGCCCAGTCCGCACGGCTTATTTCATCATTCCACGTGCCCGTGTCGATCCTCTGGTCAACTCCCGGGCATCACGAGTCGTTCCCGTGACGAGATACCCTCGAGTTGGTCCGCGATGGGCTGCCAATGAGGCCACTGGCGCCGGTCATAAATATCCGTCCACCTTAATAAAGGCGGCCATCACAATATCTTCCCAACATCATTCATACTTACCTACTGTGTAGAAAGAAGTGCAGCACTTGTTAATCCATCGCCACTCATGCCATTCGCTGGGCTTCCTAAAACGGCGATCCAGCTCCCCGCGACTCAGCGTCCTCCGTATCGCCAACACCACCCAATTATAACCGCAAACCAACGGCATCCTACCTTACATTAGCTCACCTCAGTTCACAAACAAGGCACGAAGGAGGAAAGCACTCAATATAACACAAGCTGCGAAGCAGCGTCGGAACTTCTCAATGTATGTACAATGCATGTACACATGCACCACCATTACTGGTTGGCTGGCTACCATCGTTTGGTGGTGCTGTCAAAGAACCCCCGCAACAGAAGACTCGTTGCGCCAACGCTAGTGACACCACTCCTCCATCCCTTCGCCGCTTCACTCTCGGTACTAGTAAGTAGCCTTTCCCGAGATATGCTCAACCACTAAGCTTAGCACTTGAAGACGCTGGGACCAGGAACCGTATAGTTGGTGACGGGCGGGTAATAGATGTTGATCTTGACGCCGGGGTCGGTGCCCTGGAACATATTCGTCAGCGTCCTATTCCTCCCAGAACCAGAGAAGCGGGGGTCGCTGTGCCATGGACACAAACGTACCTTGTAGGCGCCAGGGAAGCTGACGGTCGAGGGGGTCTTGGTGCCGGACCCACCGACGACGTTGATCTGGGCGCACTCCATGTAGAACTGGGCGCCCGGGTAGTTGCCGGCGCCGTGGAGGGCGAGCATCTCGGCGCGGAGGAGGTACTGGCCCGGGGCGATGCACTCGGGGATGGTGATGGCGTGGCGGCCCTGGCCGTTGATGACGCGCTCGGTGCCCCACACGCCGTTGGCGGCGAGGCCGTCCTCCTGGATTTTGAACCAGCCGCCGCCGACGCCCGAGTCGCTGGTCGCGTCGCTGACCTTCTTGAGGTAGGCCATGGTCGGGCCCTTGTGGCTGCTGTCCATGACGTCGTTGGGCGCCGACCCGGTCGTGCTCAGCATGTAGCGCCAGATGGCGGTCACAGTCTGGCCCGCCTGCACCGTGATCACCTTGGAGGTTGGCGTGGTTGGGTTGGGCGGGCCGTTGCACGCGATCGAGTTGGACGTCACGTCCTCGATCGGGCCGTTGTACGAGGGCACTCGCACGCCCTGGCCGACGCCCTGGTTGACGCCACCGACCTCGAGCGACGAGAAGATGGTGTGGGCGCTGGCCGCGCAGGCCATCGTGAGCGGCGCGAGGACCTTCATGGTTGTCGAGTTCCGGGGTTGTCTCGCTGACTTGACAGATGGAAACACGGGGGATGGGCTGCCAACTATCGTGTTGAGGAAGATGGTGCGAGGGCCGAGGACCGTTATATAGCTGCGTTTGGCCAAGCAATCCCTGGCCGTCGTGCCCCGTGCCAAGCCAGTTTGCGGCTTCGTCTCCCGGTGGTAGGTAGCATGGCCATCGGGGTTATGGGGTGGGTTGAGCGGGTCCCGGTGTTTTGCGTGCGAGATGCTGACAGAAGAGTGGCAGGCTTTGGTGGCATTCCCGGTCACCATACACACTGAAGTGGATGTAACATCTCGGCAACTATTCCGAGTCGGTGCGCGGACGGAAGGTCATGGTCCGGGCCGCACAGCAAAACTCGCCCGGCAGCCTTACCGATAGTTCCTAGAGCGGTTGAGCCAAGAACCTGGGCCTTGATTAACTTGGTTCTGGGAGTTTTCGTCCATGCCCATCAGTTGTGCCCCCATCGAAAGGCGGAGAAAGCCCCAAGGGACCAAGACGGAGACAGCAATCCCGTGCGGGGCCCCGCAACCCAATCAATGCCGTGTAGGAGTCCGTAGGACATCTGGGCATGTGTTATTGTGAGTACTGGTAGCCGGAATTCCTCGAGAGGTGATCAAGAGAGATCCGCGCGAAATGAAATCTGATTGTACAGGATCGAGATATTGGGACAGCTTGGGCACTTATTGGGGTTCCTTGACAATTTCTCTTCGGGAACTGTGAAGCTGAGCCACCATTGGTATGTACTAGTAACAGCGCTTTTCAGCAACCTTTCTTTACTAAGGTATGACAAGAAAATGACAATTGGAGAGGAGATGCGGAACAACTTGAAGTCCAACAGATTCAGGTACGTGTCATTCGACGACCGTCTCATTCTCAGGCCTGCCGGTCCAAGTCCTGCTTGAGTCCTGCGACGCCCACGGGTCCCCGCTTCTTCCCGTCCTTGTCACTGTCGAGCGGCGTGTTCAATCCCAAGCGCTCCCGAGTCGAATAGGTCGCGATGCCGCCGTTGGGGTCTACCTCCGTGACGAGCTCCTTGCGTCGGGTGTCCACCAGAAGGCGAATCAGATCAGGCCGCATGTAGTGGCCGGCGAAGTCGGCAAGCGCTTTGGTCAAGTGGCATTCGTTGAGATCGATCTGCCCCCAAAAAAGCGCCGGATCGTCAGTACAGCTTTAAGAATAAGAAGCAAAGATTGTGAAGTGCATTAAGAAATGGATCCGGCCCGACTTACATCGACGAACAGCAATCCGTCAAAGTCCTTGTCCGGCTTGGCCACAAGAGTCCCATCCGGCTTGTAGATGCGCGCATGACCGTTGTAAGTCGACGGATCCGTCTCCGGCTCCACCCCCTCGGGCGTGTTCTTCTTCAAGCCCTCCTTGCTCAGTCTCTGGAACGGGGCAAGGGTCCAGGTTCCGGTCTCGATGGCATAGGCCGGCGTCACGAGGTCGGATGCCGGGTCGGCAACGTTGGTCGCCGGGTCCGGGTACCGGAGCGTTTCTTTACCGGGGTACACGGGCCATGCGGCGATGTGGATCTGCTCGCCGAACGAGACGTTGAGGGCCTTGAGGAACGGGTTCATGTTCTCCCAGCAGTTGAGCTGCCCGAGCCGGCCCAGCTCGGTCTCCGTTACCGAGAGGAAGGTGTCGCCCGCGCCGTCGCCGTAGACGAGCTTCTCCACGTGCGTGGGCTTGATCTTGCGGCGGTGGTTGATGACCTCGCCCGTGGGGTCGATGAGAGCTTGGGCAAGATAGAGCGTGGCGTGGTCGATTTCGGAAAAGCCGAGCGACACATAACTGCAAAGCATGGTCAGCTTCACGGTTGAATCATCCCCAGTGTGACTGTGAGTTCGGCGATGCGTTACATCTGGTTGTCCCTGGCAGCCCTCCGGATGCGCCGGAACTCCTCCGAGTCGACGGCCATGGAGTTCTCGCGGTATTTCTTCAGCATTGGCAGCGATTGCTGGTAGTTGACCTTCCACATCCAGTACGGATATCCCGGAATCCATACTTCGGGGAAGGCAACGAGCTTGCACCCGGCTTGGCCTGCTTCGTTGATGAAGTCGATGGTCTTGCGAACACCGCCCTCAAGATCGAACCAGGCGGGCTCGGAGGTGACCTAGGTATGCATGTGTCAAACAGAGAAGAGGAGAGAGACGGTGGGGACATACAGCTGCGGCTTTGTACTTGGTAAGGACCATGTTGGCGGATGGAGGTCGCAAAGGAAGGGGGGGGGGGGGGGGGGGGGGGGTGGTAAGGGGACAAGAGAAGTGTAGGTGAACAGACGAGACTGTACTCTAGCGGATCGGTGAAGAGTGTGGTTCTGGTTCTCGAGTAGATGCGGCATGTTATATAGTCCTGTCCTCGTGCAGCGTATAATTGGCAACCGCCAATGTTCCGGCTGACCAACACCAGTCAGGCATCACTGGGCACCCCTTACCCGTCCCTAGATGCCGTTCCGTGGGTGGTCTGGTGGTCTGATGCATCCCGCATGCCCATCCGCTTGCTCTCGGAAAAATGCCGGAGTGTCTAGACTGTAACGTTAGGTACCTCTAGCAGGCCTACCGCTGAGCTGATCCGTGCCCATAGGTAGTAGTGCCCTCTCTCATGCAGAAATGGCGGAGATGCTTCGGAATGTTGAGAGCCTGTTTCACCAGGATACCTCCAATCCTACTAGTATAGTGCCAGCTAAACATGCGAAGTGGCAACTTTCCGAACCTGCGTCATGGAGGAGGCCCGGCACATTTGCGCCATGAGCTGCCTTAGCTGCGGCATCTCCGGATAGCACTATCTTCAGTACCTGCACTTGGCGCCTCCCTTATGTGGTGCGACGCTCCCCGAGTTAGGAATACGACATTGTTTCCCGCCCTCCCGCGACGGACGACTTCGGAGTCTCGGCGTCAGCTGGGTCACTCACTGCAGAGTCTGCAGGTGGTGATGTTCCAGATCGCAACAGCATGTGGACTCAGTCCAATCACGGCTACCGGTTATTCCCGGTTCCGAGCCTACATCACCCGGCTCGGGATCCCGGCCCCATTACGGGGCCCACCCCGGCCGGTTCCGGGCGGACGCCGGACACGTCCTGCGCGGGCCGGGACGTCTTTCACATTTGCCCCTACACTATCTACCTTGAAAAGTCTCCTTCATTGACCGAAAAGGAATGCCTCAACTACATTATTCCTTGCCTTCTACGCTCTGATAACAATTTCTGGTTCGTGCAAGGCGGCCATAAAGACGGGAGAAGCCGGAAGCCTGATTGATGATCTTAGTCTTACCCCTAGCAAGTTTAGTAAACATGTAGGCCTAGGCCCGACGTAAGCAGCCTCCTCTGCAGCTACACAACCGCAATTCTCTCCACTTGTGCCAGTGTTGAATGTCATGCCACTTAAACACGCATCTCGGGACGGGAGGGTCGACGGTTCACTGCCCTTGCTCCGGCTGTAGTTCCATGCGGTAAGGACGAACTAATATAATCATAGAAGTATATACTCCAAAGGTGAAATATGTACAGAAAGTTAGGCCACGCACAACGTGGCCGGTGGGAGGACTGCTAGGACCTCAATACAGTTCCACCAATACTACTAGTACTTCCTAGTTCTGCCACTCTCGCATCTCCTTCCCCTTTCCATTCCCCTCCCCGTTCCCAAGTTGGATCCCAACCAACCCACCCACTCAGATCTTGCCGAAGCCAGCCGTGTTGACCACGTTCTTGGCGGTGTTGTAGTCGGTGGCGCTGGCGACGTTCTTGCCGGCAAAGTACTGCAGGAACGACGTGTCGGAGCCGGCGAGGCTGCCGGAGCTGCCGAAGCCGTTGGGCTGGCAGGCGCGGCCCAGGGCGGCGGAGCAGGCGGAGCTGGCGCTGGAGCTGGCGAAGAGGCGGCCGGTGCTGCCGGACTCGATCGGGGCGGCGCAGTTCTGGAAGACGCTGCCCTCGACCAGCACCTTGGCGTCGCCGCTGGTCTCGAAGTTGTGGCCGGTGCTGTCGTACCAGTAGTTGTTGACCGCGTGCAGCAGCGTGTTGCCGGCCACCTTGGGCGAGCGGCCGGACATGTGGTAGATGTAGTTGTTCTTGAAGGTGATGGTCTGGGAATTATTTATTAGTTTATTTGTTAGTAGTTAATGGGGGGAATAAAGCATAAAGTAATAATAAAAAGAGAGAGTGAGCAATTCGACACTCACATCGCTGGATCCGGTAAAGTACAGGCCCCAGTAGTGGTAGCCGTCGCAGGTGGCGGACCACGAGGTCTGGCCGTCGAACTTGCTGTTGGAGATGGTGACGCGGCCGCTGGGCCCGTTGCCCAAGACCACGTGCTGGCGGCCGATGAGCGAGGTGGTGACGTGGTCGATCCAGATCATGTCGGTGTTGTCGAGCGTGATGGCGTCGCCGCCCCACACGTACTGCGGGTTGAGGTTGGTGATGTGCACGTTCTGGATGATGACGTTCTTCGTGCCCGAGACCATGCGCAGGCCCTTGCCCCGGATGACGCCCTTGCTGCCGACGCCGACGAGGGACTTGTTGGACTTGACCGTGATACCGAGGATGCCGGCCTTGTCGTACTTGACCGACATCTTGGGCGCGCCGGGCTGGTAGTTGGTGCACCAGTCGTTCTTGTTGATGGCCGTCTGGCACGCCGACCCCGTGCCCCACGGCGCGCACCCCGTCTCCGTGGCCGTGCCCTCGGTGCCCGTGAAGTCGAAGGTGCGGTCCAGCATGATGACCCGCGCCTGCGAGTCGCCGAGGTACGATACCAGCTCCGCCGTGGTCTTGGGGTACACCGGCGTGGCACTGCCGCCTCCCGTCACGCCCTTTGCGAAGCCCTCCGCGGCGCCCGTGACACCAGCTGCCGTGCCCGTCTGGGCCAAGGCCACAAGGGCCGAGTAGAAGAAGGATGCTGACCTCATGGCTCGATATGCTGATGATGGTAAGCTGCAAGGGAGTGGATGAAAAAAAGGAAGAGATCTTCTTGAAGAGGCCTACTAGTATCGAAAAGTAAATGTTGATTGTTGAAATGCCCGAGGACCCGACAGATATATACTTTGTCCCTGACTCCCGAACACTAGCCCACCCCATGTCGCCGCGCTAGTAGCCCATCGTTCTTGGTTGCAGACATACCGCCGTTCGTCAGGGTCCGCGCGGATGATGCCGTCAACCGTCTCTGCCCACCAGCCCTTCATCGTCCATGGCCTCCATCTTAGACACACAGTATAGCGTGATTGGTGGACTCTTGGCAACTTCTTGTCTTCGATTTCCATCCATAACGGTGCATCGATCGGGTTGCCGGCAGATGTTTCAGGGATTACAGGAGCAGGAGTGGGGACATGTTACGTCCGCCAGCGCGGTGCGAGCCTCTGTTTTGGGCGGAAATGCCGTGATGCGTAGCGGAGAAACCAACTCTTCGGGGCATAGCGCTCCGGTTTGTCCCCATAGCGAAACGACGCTACCTCAGTGCTCCGTTCCTTTGTAACAGAACGATTATCCGAACCTCCTTCTAGAATTGTGTTGTGATAAAACAGATTCCGCTGCTCGGATTATTTTTGCCGGCGTAATCACATGTGCCACCTTTCTTATCGCATATCGTGCCTTCAATTTCTCACCTAGCGACTTGAGCCTACTTAATACTCTCCTCATCCGCCGGTAAGCCGATTCGCATGAACGGCGATGATTTGGCGGACAGAGGAACAGGTCATCAAACGGGTCGAAACTGGTCTTCCCGTCTGCTAACTCGCCCGGCCCGGAGACCAAGCTAATAATTACCTACAGGCGAGATACGAGGAGGAGGCTGCTGTTCCACGCAAATAAATGATAAAACGAAAGGTGTGTTGGTTACGAATCCATGGAGATGAAAGTGGAATGTGACTCTGTGTGGAGAGCTAGCCACCTTCGGTCTAAACATAGAAAAGCGGCCAGTAGTTGACATCCGCGGCGTTTTGTCTTCAAATTGTTCCCATTATACGTCGATCAGACAGGTTAAGATAGTTGTTATCAACCTGAGTTCTAACTTGTCATTTGCTTGCTGCGTGTCCGGCAATAAATACCTATGGGAAGATAGTAGTATCGAAATTATTGATAGTTATCGCAGGTGGTGGAGCGCACGGAAAGGTATAAATGTGACGAGACCTCGGCAGTCCTGCGTCTGAAAGGGTTCGCCGGTCGAAGGTAATCTGGTCGGGCTATAGGTCTCGGTGAAGCCAAACGGTTCACAACAATACAATCCGCAATGTATACACAGTAGATAAAGGCTATTGCTTGAATTGCTCACTGAGGAAGCTAGCTATCTGAATGAGTGACAGAATGGTAGATATATAGCTTCCTCCCTTAGGTACCTTCGTACCTGGATCTCCCGGACCGATGGTATCGAACTCGATCCATCGATCCACCCTGGCTCGGCTGAATTGAACCCCAATCCCATTGATCCTGTTCCTATTGGTCCGTCTGGGGCCCGGAATGATTGGACGCGGGCGCTACCCCTACAGGCCTCTGCAGGTTAATTCATGACACTAGGTAATACTTATAACCTTCCTATAGAACTTAGAAGAGCCAAAGTTAAGTGATAGTGACATTAGTAAGGCGAGTACTACACGTATTAGTATACTAGCCATCTTATATACGCTCAAGGATTACTTTGGCTTCGGAATGCGCTTTATGCTAGGTGTAGCTAGCGGGTTAGTGCTAGAGCGGCTCGTACTGCCCCGCTACTAGGTCAAATCGCATGACGCGCCGCTAAGCTATACTGGGCTTTTGCCGTTCTTAGGGCGGTCGACCGATGTGCTGCGGACGCTGTAGGATGGGTTGGATGAGGAGGAGAAGGCTTATGGTGGTGGTGGTAGTGGTAGTGGTGTTTAAGATCGAGAGGAGAGAAAGCGGTCGAATCTAGTTGACGTCACGAACGGGGCTTGCTTTGTTCTGGTGTAGCCTATAGGGCACCTTAGTAGCTACCTACGTAACTGGTTCGCTCTTGACTGCACTGAGGTCCTCAACCCTAGGGATCCAACGCTCCGCATCAAAAGACCGGATCATACGCTTTACTTGGACTTCCTAGCAGAGGGCAGGTTCAGACTTGTGTCGGGGATGGGAACCGGGAACCGGGCAGAGACAAGAAAAGACATTGCTATGTTGATCTCGGTATCTAGGTAGGGAACAACTAAAGCGCGAGACAAGAAAGATAAAGCGGACGAGAAACAATAGCAACAACCTGCCCCCATCCTAGTCCTCCCTGTTCTGGTTGACTGCGAACAAGGCGGGGTGCGTTTCAAAGGTGCGATCTTTGTCCCACCACTCGCGCAGGCGTTGGAGGGCGAACTCATCGTGCTTCTTGTGCGAGATTCCCCACTCCTTGTCGTCCTCGTCACTGAATCCGGCGGTGCCGAATGTCATGAGGCGTTCGCCAAACGGCGCGCACGAGTCAAAGTCGATCAGCACGGGCATGCAGGAGCCGTCGTCGGCCTCGCGGAGCATGATGTTGGCAGGGCTGATGTCGTTGTGCGCCAGGCCCAGCGAGTGCAGGAACTTGATGGCCGACTCGACGCCCGCCAGGAAAGCCTCCTTGTCGAGATCCTCGAACTTGGTTCTAGACTCGTCGTTATCATCGTCGTCCCCGACGGACATCTTGTAGGCGCACATGTCCAACGTACGCCCCAGTTTCTCCAGCGCAATCCCCGTGATGCGGCCGCGGTGGACCTTGCAGCCGTAATAGCGAACGATGTAGGGATGCGGTGTCTTGGAGATCTCCTCCATGATGAGGGCCTCCATGAGCATTTGTTGCTTGGCGCCGCAATCGTCCGGTTCGTCGACCTTGTATCGCCTCAGGCCTGAGCGCTTGACGTAGACAGCGCCGTCATCCAGCTTGTCGGGGGCAGTGGTAATATGGGCGTTCTGGGGAAGCTCAGGGTAAATGGAGTCGTCGTCGATGCGTTCGAGCCCGTCGACGAACTCCTCGAGCATAATGTCGCACTGGCGCTTCTTAGAGGATCCGAAATAGGCTTCATCATTCGACGTGAAGTGGTACCAATCAACGTGCTGGTTGCCATCCCCATTACAACACATAGCTATCTCCAGCTGGCGCATATCCGTGATGCTTGGGTGCTTGTTACCAGCCATGGTCTGTCTTTGAACTCGGCTCCGGTACTCTGAGATAGGACGGGCAGAGACAGAGGCAGATATCCAACGCAAGGTAGACGGTGGGAGGAGGATGAAGGAGAAGAGGGAGGGCCTGTATTGGAAGATGTCTCTGCGCACCGAGCAGCGAAGGTGATGCAGCGTTTGAGAGAGACAAGAACTTGGGCAGAAAGGGGAAGCGGAGTTTGGAGACGAATTTAACTGCCCTGGGTACACGGGGGATGATGCTCAGCTCTCAGAAAATCAAAGCAAACAAAGCCGTGGTGACATTTCCGGATCCGGGTGGCATGATGTCTCACTTGTGGGGGCGGGAGGCTATATGACCCCCAGCCCGCTTCTGGAGCCAATCGGCAAAGACAGTGGCTGTCCTCTGCCAACGGGCACCAAAACATTGACGACTGATGTACGGATACGGAGCCAAGAGATATGCACGTGTAGATATGGAAATGTGACATGAGGATCCCAGTCACAATGACCGCCTGAGGACAGGCCCGTCGTCTCAGGTTCCACTGTTGTGATGTCTCACAGTCTGAGCATCTCCATGCCTCGCCTCAGGGGAATCACTTGGACACTCAGCGGGGAGATACAAAGAACGCCACACTGAGCGGTGAACCGCAGACCGCGGTCTCCGCCACAGCCATGCCGCCAAACAGAGGACATTGGTGGTCGGCGAGCGACCTCTGGCCCATGAGAAACAACTGGGATGGACTCATGGAGAGCGCTTCCGCGAGCTTGTCGCGGGTCTTGTCTGGTTGGATCGTGCGCAAAGATGAACAGATAAATGGAAACGGCAGCCCCGGGCTTCGCCGGTGTTGAGAGTTTCCCTCATGAAGACAAACATTCTGGCACTCTCTCCAGTCCACCTTGACCTCCCCACAGCGACCAAGCAGCCCAACGCTTCTCGGCAAAACACCAACTCTCATCTTCAAGAACACAAGACAACATCCGCAATCATGCAGGTAACCCTAGCTATCTCGGGAACTCGCCCGCCTTCCCGACTTATCCGTCGCAACCTTCCTCAGTTGGACAGTGCTAACGCGGTAGCCTACCATGCTCTAGGTGCAAGCTTACAATCGTGACCAAGTTCGAGGTCCACCCGGATGGAAGCCGGACGGCCGAGGTATCCAAGAAGGCCTACAACTGCGGGCGGACCACATGCCCGTACTCGGTCAACTACAACCCCCTTGCCAGAAAGACGCAGCAGGTCGAGGATACGAAGGAGCCCGAGAGCAAGACCACGGCTGGGAGGGAAAGGGGACCACCGCTTGATGCTGTTCCGTGCTATGTCATCGACGGCGGGTCCCAGTATCTAAAACGGGCCGGAAATGGGGTAGGAGATGGGGTGCGACAACGGAGGCGACATCCAAGGCACCACCTGGGCACACACAAATCTTCGGTTGGGGGTGGCGGAGCTCGGAGCATGTTGTATGCTGAAGAAAACGTGATGGCTGACTCGGTTGAGGGGCTCAGGTCGTTTGGGAGTAAAAGGAAATGGCCTACGGCACGTGGGATGCTGAGGCATATATGAGGCGTCCTGGTGGTCAAGTGCGTCTGAGCACCTCCGGCTGGTTCTGTGTACTTTTGCCACACAGTAGGTACTTGTACCTACGGTATCTAAGGTAATTACCCTCTTTAACTCATCCGATACCTTAACTCGGCAGGACATACCTGGTATGAAACCCTGAGTATCCGTCATAACCAAAAGATGTTGCGTCACCACTTCCATACGTATTTAATGCACCACCATTTGACGAAACTACGTCGACTCGACGCTGCTAGTGCTACCTTGTCCTTGTGCTCTATCGAAGCTACTTCACATCTCATGAATGAGATGTTTTCCCTGTCTGCTTTCTGGCTTTTGTTGCCCAGATTATGCATCATACATATACTCGTGTAGTCATGCATATAGGCACCGTACCTACTCTGTGTTCGCCACACTGACACAGTATGGTAGGGACCGTAGCACCGTAGGTAGGGCTGAGCGGCTGGTGTGGGTCTGCCAGCCCATGCACCCCACATAGAGCCTGCATTGCCCCGCAGCAAGACCCACATGGCGGGACGAGTGCAGATGACGTGTTTGACGAGTTTCATCTCCCCAGGACTTTGGATTCGCGTCGCCGACATTTGCACCGTCGCCACAGCTGCCCTCGATGACATCGTGCCGCGGTGCTGTGTTAGCGGAGCGCAAGTCCGCACGAACGTTGCCCCATGCACTGGCCGCCCCGCCCGCCGCTTGAGCCACCGATAGCGATAGCCTCGAATTTCCCTTAAATCGCCGTCATGGCAACGCCCGAGACGCCTGCCGACACATCCATTGCTGATGCCGTCAACGTGTCGACAAGCCTTCACTCCCTCCAGAAGTCCGTGTACGCCCGTCGCTCCGAATACACCCGCCGACATCGCACACGCATCAAAGTCGGGACCTGGAATGTCGCCGCATGCCGTGGAACGGATAAGGATCTTGCTAGGTGGTTCGTCGACGGGGAGGGCCTGGACGTGGCGCTCGGCCCCTCACGGCCTTCTACCGACGGGCGACAGGTCGGTTTGTCGGGTCCGGAAGCGTCCGTTCACCTCGCGGGGAGTGACCAGATCGGACTTTACGTTCTCGGGCTTCAAGAAGTCAGTGTCCTCTCGGCTCCCGGGCAGTACATGACATGGATCTACGCTGCGGATACCACGACAGTCGACCGCTGGAAGGCGGCCATGGAGGCGGCTCTACCTGAAGGCTACCAACTTGTTGCCGCAGAGCAGTTGGCGGGGATGCTGTTGCTGGCCTATGCTTCCCCCGAGGTCGCTCCCACTGTCAGCAACATCAGCACTACTACCGTCGCGACTGGTGCCCTGGGTTACCTTGGAAACAAGGGCGCCGTTTGTGCCCGCATGATTCTGGGCGAGACCACTCAATTGGTGTTTGTCAACTGTCACCTCGCGAGCGGAGTCGAGGAGTACAATCTCGAGCGTCGGATAAACCAGGCCCAGCAGATTGTGACTCAAGCTCGCTTTGACCCAGTCTGCATTGCCGGAGTCGTCGATGACGAGAAGAGTAAGATCGGCGACGAGGACTTTGCTTTTTGGTTTGGCGACCTAAACTTCCGTCTCGATCGTCTGCCTGGTGACGACATCCGGCGACTGTTAATGCTCCACACACGGGGCGAGTACGACCTATCTAAGAGAAAACTACGCCGCGAGAGCTCACTTGATGGTGAGCCCATTGTCGTCCACAGGCTTTCGGACAGCAGTGACGAGGTGGTAGACCAGGATCCCGACGATCAATCCCAGGAGAATCTACCAGACAAGGCTGAAGACGCGGATGACGAGTCGGTCGAGCTTCCGGACCCCGACGAGTTCCCTCCCGACCCGCACGAAGATCCGGCATCTCTTCAATCCACGCTCGACTCGCTGCTTCCCCATGATCAGCTTCGACGTTTGATCAAAGAGCGTAGGGTGTTCCACGAGGGTTGGAAGGAGGGCCCCATCACCTTTCTGCCAACCTACAAGTATGACGTCGGCACCGTGGCTCTCTTCGATTCCAGCGAGAAGCGTAGGCCACCTAGCTGGTGCGACCGGATCCTCTACCGCACACGCAGAGACATGGAGGAGTACGAACGGAAGATCAGAGAGGAGGAAGAGGCGCGCAAGAAGGACGAGGAGATGAAGGCTCGTGGCATGGAAGAAGCAAGTGATGATGACCAGGTTCTGTTTTCATACGATCCCGAGAACGACGGAGATGAACATCCGAGCTCTGCTGGTTTGGAGTACGATGCATATGATGAGGCGGAAGACGACGGCAGCGGGCAGATGCCCGAACACAGCAGCCAGAACGGTACTAGTATACACCTGGACCTTTATACCTCTCACCAGCGTATAACGTCGTCAGACCACAAGCCGGTCAGCTCTATTTTCACACTTGATTACGACGCTGTTGTGCCGGAGTTGAAATCAAAGGTGCATGCCGAAGTCGCACGAGAGCTGGATCGAGCCGAGAACGAGGGTCGTCCCGCCATAACCATCGCGGTAGACCACGATAGCCCACACGTGGCTGACAACGGCTCAGACTCCTCGCCTCACGTCGACTTTGGCGAGATAGGGTTCTTGGAGAAACACACACTGTCACTCACCCTGGCAAATACTGGCCGGGTCCCTGCGACTCTGTCCTTCGTTGAGACACCGACAGCCGGGGGCTTCGGGGACAAGGATGCCGCTCGGACGCAATGGCTGACGCCCTCCTTTGTGCACTCAGAGCCCGCACATGATCAATCAGACCCGGTAGACCTCGGCAGTGAGGTCACACTTGAACCGGGAGAGACGGTCAATGCCGTGCTCGATGCTCTGATTGACGATGTCTTGCATGCTCGGATGCTCAACGAGGGTCAAACACCCCTAGAGCAGGTCCTCATTCTCCGGGTTGCGGACGGCCGCGATCACTTCATCCCGGTTCGAGCGTCCTGGAAGCCCACCTGTATTGGCCGTTCGGTCTCGGAGCTTACGGCAGTCCCCGATGGCGGCATCCGAGCATTTGCCAAGTCCCTTGCAGAAAAGAGAAACGGAGCCAATACGGCTCCGTCCGACCTCCCTACCCGCCAACCAGTGACTAAAGAGATGTTTAAGCTTGCCGAGGCGGTCGAGGCCCTGACGCAGCGTGTGCTAGCCGACGCCCAGATGCTTGAAGACTGCGCTGTCCCATCCGACCCCGGCTGGCCCTTCGACGAGGCTACCTGCAAGTCGACTGACGTCAACACCAGAGTCAATCACATCGCCACCATCATCGACGCTCTCGACCGAGACGAGCCTATCTCCTCGGCCTTCGAGCCCGAGACACCGTCCATTGAGCGCCTCGAAGCGGTATCTCAAACCCTGCTCCTTTTCCTCCGCGGCCTTACGGATGGGATCATCACCGCCGCGCTCTGGCAGTGTATCGAAGAGGCAGCACCTTCCCTCCCGTCGCTGGCCAACCCAAATACTACGGCTGAAGACGACTCCGCCCTCGAGAACGACCGCACTACAGTCCTCGAGATCCTCCATTCCAACCTCTGGCACAGCGTCTGCTTCGAGTTTCTGACTACCACTCTGGCAAGGGCGATATCAGAGCTCTCTCCCCTGTCGAAGGCCGAGTGGGAACTTATCAGGAATGGTGGCGCCTCCATCTCGTCGTCGTCATCCTCTTCATCGTCCTCCGCCCCCGCCCCTGCTAGGGGGTTGGGGTTTATCTTTGGCAGAAGGAACACCAATACCGCAAATCAGCCTCTGGCTGAGGCGACCGCGGCATTGGAGAAGAGACGGGCGAGGGAGAGGAGGGTGGCGGAAGTCTTTGGGCCGATTGTGTGTCGTGGAGGTGGGGAGGTGGGGAGGGAGAGGGAAAGGAGAGCTGTGGAGGAGAGGAAGAAGGCGTTGGTGAGTTTGTTCCTGGGGCGGCCTGGTGGGTAAGGTGAATAGAACTCGGAGACGTCGTCTGCGTGCTTGTTGTATGACCTGTCTGAGTAGGAGTTACGGCATGGTTGTTGGGATCGGACCAATGGATGGCTAGTCATATCCTGGAGACCAGTATGTTGGCGTTACCAGAAGAAGGCATTACTGTAGTTTACGTCTATCTGTTTACATAGGAGCACTCGGCCTCGGATGCTCTTCAACGAAGGCCAATTCTCTCCGAGCGATATCGACCAGCTGGAACCCCTATAATCCAGTTGGTGCATGAGCTCGCACAGATGTAAAGGTGTCTCTGTCCTGACTACTACTAGTAGTCGCCCTCCTCACTACCTAGTCTGGCAGGTTATGTCGAGTGGCTCGCTGCTCTATCCGTTGCTCTAGCCGTGATGCTCTATTATTTTTATTTTTAACATCTTCCTGTCGGCTAAATTTGACGTCCTTGGTCCCGGGAGAGTGACCTCGCCAAAGAGGGTTGGCGAAACCTGGTTGCAGCCTCTCCCGAAACCAGCAGCCTGGTATAATAAGTCTAGACCGCTTGGAATCCCCGGTTGAAGTGCGCTCCCGGTACGTTGTGACCATTCGGTGGTTATCCTGATATTGGACAACATCCGTGATCGTTAGCCGTAACGTGGGACACTGTAAACATGCACATACAAGGCGGACCCGACTCTCCGTGAGTGCCTCCGTAACACGTGTGGATGCAGTAATACAAGTCCTTGCCCTCCCCTTGGCGTACATCGTGATATGACTGTAGTCGCCCAGACCTACTTTGCTCTGGCTCTTGGTTCAGTCTATCCATCCGCGCATTCGCGCCCCAAGCCTGGCAAGCCATGCGAAGTCTCCTCTTCTCATTGGGGGCTTTGGTCCCCTTTGTCGCCTCCCCTTCCGAAGCCAAGGAAAACTGTCCGCTCTATGGCCCGTTGTTTCCGCGTCCCACGAACCTTATTCAGGACGCCACCATCAAAGCAGTGGCGTCAACGCTCGACAATGTCTTCGTCGAGCACATCGACAACGACACTAGCACGGGCTCGGAGAGGTACTCGTACGCCGTCGAGGTCTTCACGGGAAGTGAGGATAAGCCGCTGTGGGCACACTACTGGACGGCCCCGAGTCTGAAGAACTTCAACTCCACCGGAGTGTCCAAGGTGGATGGCAATACCGTCTTCCGTATCGGTAGCGTCACCAAGATCTTCACCGTGCTCACCTTCTTGGCGACGGTGGGCGACGGAATCTGGAATGATCCTATCACCAAGCACCTGCCCGAGATTGAAGAGATCAGCCGCAACGCATCTGGGAACCCCATACTCACCACTGATTGGGAGTCCATCACAGTCGGCTCTCTAGCGAGTCAGACATCCGGTTTAATACGGGACTGTAAGGGGATCCACCCCCCCCCCCCCCCCGCTGCTACGTATACGTTACTGCCGCTAATAATCAGCTCTAACAAAGATGCCCTGCTCGGCGAGCTCAGCTACCAGATCAATCTGACCAACCTCTACGACATGGGCTTCCCACCCCTGAACGCGTCGGAGTACCCTCCGTGCGGAACGTGGCCCACGTGTGACAGGAAACAGCTGTTTGCAGGCCTGGCGAAGCTCCCGCCATCGTTCCCACCGTTCGTGACCGCGACATACTCCGACATTGGCTTCGTGCTGCTCTCATACGTGGCCGAGCGCATCACCGGGAAAGACTTCAAGACGCTTGTCAGGGAGACGGTTCTGGAACCCCTGAGCCTGAAGCACACGTTTGTAGAGGTGCCGGAGGATTCTCTGGGTATCATCCCCGGGACTAGTCGTTCAAAGTCCTGGGGTTTTCAGCTGGCAGAGGAATCGGCGTGGGTCCAGTCTCGCTGCCTATTATTTCTTGGATCCCGGCTGACAGAAATGTGTAGGACCGGAAACATGTATTCCTCTTCGGGGGATATGGCCTCCCTCGGCCGGGCCATCCTGCGGTCGACGCTCCTCAAGCCAGCCATGACCCGCCGCTGGCTGAAGCCGTCGTCATTCAGTTCAGACCCAAAGGCATTGGTTGGCATGCCGTGGGGCATCAGACGGATTCAGCTGGCAAAGAGTATGTTTTACCGTTCCCCCCTATCGCGTTAATGAGGGTGGGGAAAAAAAACCAGAAAAGAAAAAGAAAATAGGAATGCAGTAATTCTCAGTCGCTAACACAATCCCCTGCAGACCAGACGTACCAATTCGTCCACACCTTCAACAAAGTCGGCAGCCTGGGCGCCTACAGCTCCCTCCTCGCCATCATCCCCGAGCTGGACATCGGCTTCAGCGTCCTTGCCGCGGGCGACGCCCCCGCGGGCCTCACGACCGCCATCGCCGAGACGCTCGCCGACACCTACGTGCCCACGCTCTCCTACCTTGCCCGCGCCCAGGCAAACGCCACTTTCGCAGGCCACTATCGCCATGCGAGCCTGCTGTCCAACAACTCAACGTCCGTCCCACAGCAGCCGCCCTTCGCCAACACCACCACCACTACTACTACCCCTCCTCCTTATTCCAACGGCAGCAGCAGCAGCAGCACATCACCACCACCACTCCCCTTACTGAACTCCTCCCTAACCATCACAATCGACCAAACAGCCCCCGGGCTGGGCGTGACCGGCTGGCTGTCCAACGGCACCGACATGGCACGCCTAGCCGTAGCCATCAACAACAACGTCAGCGCGGCCTACCTCGACCGGCTCTCCCCGAGCGTGCGCCTGTACCCGACCGGTCTGGAAGACCTCCTCGTCGTCACTGATAGTGAGAGTGCTAGCACTAATAATACAGGAGCCAGAGAAGGCAAGAACAAGAAGAAGCGGGTTGCGTTCAAGGCTGTGTTTGAGGACATTGCTCCGGCCGGACTCGAGAAGGAGGAGGAGGGATTGAGTTTTGTGACGGATTGTGCCACCTGGGTTGGGGTCACGGCCGTTGTGTATGCGTCGAAGCCGTTGGATTTGTTTGTGTTTGAGTTTGACATGGATGGGAAGGTGGTTGCCGTGGTTAATGAGGCGCTGAGGGTGCGGTTGGAGAAGGTTGATGATCATGATGTTGATGGTTGAGCGTTGCTCTCACGTTGGGACGGGGTTTGGTGAGAGTTGAGGAGCGGTGCACAGGAGGAACATGAGAAGGAGGGGACAGCTTGCGGATCCAGGCGCGGAGCCGGTGGCGCAGGGTTTTGGAGAGGGTGGATTCAAGGGCGGTTATCTGGGCGCGCAGAGCTGCCGCCTCGGCTGTGAGGTGGGAGTTGGTCGAGCGGAGGGCTTGCGTGTCAGATTGTGATTGTAGCAGTCCTCTTTCGAGACTCCGACGGTCTTCATGGAGGTGTCGAATCTCGGCCTCAGAGGTGGCCAGGTCAGTCTCGAGACGACGAACCTGCTCGAGAGTATCAGCGTTCTCCTGGGCCAGCGCTTCGTTGGCCCGGTTAGCCTTGTTCGCTTCGGCCGCGCGCTTGGCTGCTTCGGCCTCTGCCTCCGATAGCTGTCGCTTCAACTTTTCTTGTGCCTCCACAAGCATCGTGTACTTTGCCTTTGCCTCGTCTAGCAAGCGCTCGGCCTCGGCATTGGCTGCCGATAATCGGGCCTCGAGATCTTGGTTTGCCTCCTCCATTCGCCTCGTCCTGTCCTTCTCCTCCTCCAACTGATGATCACTCCTTGTCTTCGTCTCCGATACCTGATGCTCCAGTCCTTCCATGGCTTCTTCAAGGTCTTTGGTCCTGATCTTCGCTTCCTCCAGCAGGCGCGAGAGAGCAGCCTTCTCCTCAACTACTCTCGCCACACGACGCTTCCAGTTATCCTCCGTCTCCCTGAGCAGCTTCAGAGTGCACATGCGGAACTGCTCACCTAGACGGGTAATCTGGGTCTTTGCCGTCATGCCAAGCAGTTCTCCGAGGCGACTGATCTCGGCGATGGCGGTCTCCCCGACCTGATCCAATTCCGCACGGTGCTCCTCGGCCAGCGCAACCTCCCTGAGTCTGGCCTCCTTGAGTTCCTCCTCCAGAGCCTGTAACCGACTTTGGACGTTGGCATGAGCCGCGGCAAGGTCGCTTTGCAGCTGTACTGCTCTTGCCTCGTTTTCGCGCCTCTCGCTCTCGTTGTGGGAGACATAGACTCTCAGCTTCCCCACCAGATCCGGCTCGTTCACCTGGACACCTAAGATCTCAAGGCACTTCCGCCGCTCGACGAGCAGCTTCTCCAGCTGAGCCTTGTCCCCGACACCGTTTGGCTTTGATAGTAGTTTCTCGTGGTGTGTGACCGCCGTGGCCACGACGGACTTCCAGCGCCTAGTGAGTTGGAGCCATTGATTAGAGTGGAAGCGTTCGCAAAGACAAAGCTGGGCAAGGCTCTCCAGGTCTTGGTTTGTCGCTTTGCTGGGCGGCTGTGCCGCCAGCCGCCTCACCATGGACCGGATGGCGGTCGCATCGTCGCCGCTCTTGGTCCATCGACATCGGGAGTCGTACTTGTTTCTGCCCACACACTGGATTTCAAAATCCCTCTCTGGCTCGGTGATCTGGAGGAGGTTGCCAGGGTCCCAGTGCGTTTCAGTCATCGTCGCGGCATGCGGAAGGTGAAATCGCAGGCTTGGCAGCTCTATACGGAGTTACGGATGGTTAGTGTGAACTGTGAAGCACAACTCCTAGCTCAATCACAGCCGTCCCTTAAGCCACCTTTATTAAGCACTTCAGCTCCCAAGGTGACTCTGGGGGCTGTCTGCACAGCCTGGCCAGCCCGTGCGCCACGGCGCATCCTGAGACGGGTTGGTGCATATAAAGAGGGGTGGATCGACTCCGGTTGAGGCCCACTACAAGGCGCATTTGGGGCGGGGTATTGAGCCATTGATGCAGCGCTTGCAGGGGTCGGAAATGTCTCGCGGGTTGCGGTAGTCTTCGGATACAGGGGGACTATGTCAAAAGTGAGCAGGTCCTACTCCAGGAGCATGATGGCTTTGTCCATATCATGCAGGGAGATGACGCCCGGGTATATACCTTAAGGTACCTTACCTAGCAAGGGCGCACCGGTGAGGGTCACCATGAGGCCCACCATGGTGTGCGCAGCATCCTTCTAGGGGTTCCGGGTTTTTGGGACGCTTGGTGCTGGACATATTCCGTGATGACGAGTCCTTGGTCCTCCAGGGAATCCACTTTGCGATACCCATCACCTCGACTTTAACTTCATTGTCCAGAAACCACCTGCCGAGATTAGATACCATGCTCCGGGAAACGAATTTGCGAGCTAAGTATCATAACGGTGGAAGTCAGGGGCATCTTTGACTGACTTTCCGCATATTATTATCAGGCGGTTAACATAACGGGAGGTTTATTGAAGTGGGCCGGGTGTTGCAAGAGGTCTTTCCCCAAGATTTTAGGCAAGCTCGAGGCAAGGCAACCAACCACGCCCTGGCAACATTAAACCGAACGCAAAAGACAATGCGTCACCACTACCTAACAATTCACCACAGCTAAAACATATACAATGTCAGCACTGCTTTAACCTTACTCAAACCTTACTTAGGGCATCTACGTTTCTATACATTCATTTCAAAACCTACGTATTTGGTCTGCATAATCGTTACTAGATTCCTGTTTCGACACAGTCCAGCTATCCGCTAACGTATTTTATAAGCGAGCTGCGCATACAAGCGAGCTGCGCACTGGTAAGAGTTCTGAAGACATTTAGTCGCAATACTAACAGCTAATTCCGGGCTTAATCCCGGTTGTTAGTGCCACCACTAAATGTCTGTGCAGCTCTTACCAGTGCGCAGCTCGCTTGTATGCGCAGCTCGCTTATAAAATACGTTATGGTTCTTGCGTTCGGTTTAATGTTGCCAGGGCGTGCCAACCTACTCGCTGAGCTGACCCCGCAGTCCTGAAGAAGCATCGTGCTACGCGTATGCACAGGGCAGGGGCACAGGCCCGCCAGTCGATGGAGGCCCAGACCCACTAACTAAGAATGGCAATAACGACCAGAGTTCCGTGCTCCATTTAACACTATACAGTACCGCAGCGCAGCGTGATACAGAACTCGCCTGCAGGTTACGGGCAGAACCAGGCAGTGATGTAGACGAAGGCTTTAGAGTCGAGACGCAAAATCCGACGCTCCACTGTGTAGGTGTCTGTCTGTTGTTAGCCGAGAAGTGAACACGATTTATTGTGTAGAGGGCGAACTTACAGCAGTGTTTGAAGTTTCAATTCTCTTCCGTAGTCTTCAATCCCGTGATCTTCAGGTCCCAGGTATATGCTAGATACGTGTTAGGAACGCGGTAGAGAGCATGTTTCCAAGGTCCGTTAAACCATTCGGGTTGAGATAGGAAGAGCATAAGACTGATTCACGCTTGGAGAGCTCAAGATCCAGAATTGGGCCAAGGCCACTCACGCTCAAGATCTTGGCCACGATGTAGTGAACGCGGAGCAGATGACGATTGGGCATCGGTATTGACTGCCCGAGACTATGTTGCTGAAGGGTAACAACCTCTGGCATGGCTTGCCCATAAAGGCCAAGGGGTTCATAAAACTTATGGCACCGGTACCGGATACCCTACCGGTGTTAGTAACAAACTGCTATATCGGTTCCAGGGCTATCCGGAAAGTGCCAAAGTACTTGTGGATTTCAGGAACCAATGTGATAGCGTTCTCCCTGGTATTGATGGTGCCCGAGGAAATCACTCTGGGACTGAGAATTGGGAATTAGCGGTATAATGCCCACCATATCGTCGCCTTGTTGCGCATCTAGACCACGGGTTAGCTATATATAACAGTTAAGGCAACGGACCACTATACCTGTCGAGAATCCTTCTCATCGAAATCCCTGAGTGCAAATGGAAGGATATGCGCGCATTCTAAGTCGCTGAACGTATGATTTGCACGGGCGCTTTTCGGCATTTTATGAAACCAAGTTGGGTCAAGGATGCCGGTAACGACGCAACGTTGGCCGTCTCTGTTCAAGCAGTCCTCCCTCAACTTCGTTTGCTCGGCCTTCGTGGATACCTCAATGGATGCCATGTCCGCTTCTACTTCAGCAGCGGCGCCGGGGGAAGGAGAAGGTCCGATGCTAGGAGCACCGCCACCGGCTACCCTCACTATATAAGATATCAGTAAGTTGCGCTTGAGCTCTAGGGAAAGAAGGACATACACGCCTTGACAATGGCATCGACGAGGAAATGACGCAAGGCACGCAATTTCCCATGATCTTCTGCATATTCTACAATCTCTCTCGCCAGTACCTCTTGTCCCTTGGTCGGTAAATGATCCAGGAAGGCATTCAAAGGAGCCTTTGTATCATCGCCAAAATGGTCGCGCGCATAATCATCCAAGGTCCGGTGAGCCTTGTCAAGAAGCTCGAAGGCTTGGTCTGGGTCTTCAAAAACCGAAGGTAATAGCGACTCCCATCCGCTGCTGCTGTTGCTGTCATTGCTGGGATGGCTTGAGAGCTCCGGCAAGCCAGCAAGAGGGTCTTTCCAGGAGTGAAAGAAGCGCATGATGTCCTTTTATTTGGCGAAGCGGCGAGAGAATTTGTGGCGAGTCTACCTTTTCTGAGTGCGGAGGTTTGGAAAATGGTATTCTGAGAAAGTGGATGCTCAGACCAGTTGTGGCGTAGGTGAAGTGATTTCGGGAAAGGCAAAGGGGCATTCATTGCCAAGCCAATCAAGCTTCTGCTGTACTGGACCCTCGACCCATTCCTTTTGACTGAGTGACGATTCATCAGCTGAAAGACCTTTCTGCCCACACAGTTGCAAGGGGAACACTCTAAATTTTCCCTGCCCCTCCCTACTGAGGCTTCTGCTCCCTTACGAGTAGGTGTATGGAACTTGAAGACGCAAAGCGATGACCACAGAAAGGCCACTGTAGACAAGCTCGCCATGATTGTACTCACTGTAGGCACGAAGACGAGCTCATCACGGTGCTCTGACTCGGCAGGCTTACTTGGGCGCAGTGATGAAATAGGAAGTCAGCCCTCACATGTTCGAGTTGTAAAGAGACCCCTACTTTGCTCATCAGTTCCTACATAATAAGGTAGCTAGCTACCTGGTGATATCGGCACCGGGATGTCTCAGAATGCGGAGGCCGCAATGAGCTCTGAACTGGCAAGACCGGCCCAGTCGCCCAGCCTTGCAAGGACTCAACCGCGGCAACCTGGAATGCCAGGCAATTTGGACTAGACCCGACACACGCGGGCTATCGGGGAGCGGCCCCGAGATTCATGATATCATCATGGAGGAAAAGCGACCCTGAGCCTCGGCTCAGCGATCGGCCTCACAGACAGCATTGTGTATGTTCGATTCAAAGGGCATCTCCCATCAGCCAATCATTTCAGGTTCCATTGGTTTCCTCATGTGTCATGATGCTCACAGACCACCCGTGAGCACTGAGCAGCGGTCACATCGATGCGGCAAGTCGGCCAATGCGATGCACCATAATCGAGCTCGGTCAGCTGCGGGCAGCCCGCAACCCCAACACTGGGCAGTTGTCATTGGGCAGATCTAGGCCCAAGCTTGTTCGCAAACCGGGTTCCCTCGTTCCAACCACCTACCTACCTACCTTACTTACCTACCTTACTCACCTCGACAGCCTCACCTTGTCAAACCGCTCATTCCTTTTCAATTTTTACCTGCGTGCCTACGGTAACTAGGAAGATTTCTGCAACCACCGCCTTGATCGGGCCTCACTATCTGAACAGGACATCCTGGTCGATGTCCTACTAAGGGCACATCGATTCATCAGTTCTAGCCCTCTGGATTGCCCAGTCATTCGTTCGCCTATGTAGTATGGAATCCACCTAACCTTAACCGATCTCATCACCCGTTTCGCTCCTACTCTTTATTCCCACATTGTCTGGACAACATCAATGACTCTTTGAGACGTTAAACAATTGGCATATCGTTTTCACATCAGCGCGCGTCAAAACCACTTCGTACGTCAGTGTGGCACAGTCACCATCGGACTGTCGCATAAACTGCCTCAGGTTCCATCCCAATCCCCATGACTTCTCTCCGCGCCAAACTCAAGAAGTCCGCTCAAAAGTGGAAATCAATGGCTAAATCATTGAAGCGGCGCATTTCAGGCGTGGATGATCTGTCTTGCAATCTCCAGCAGGCCAAGCAGCCGCGCGTGACCATGGATCATCATCCAGGTAGCAACGCCGTTTGACAACGTCGCATCCCCCACGATTATGATCTCTAACTGGACTCTAGAGTCTCCAGCTCATGGCGAAGCGACGCAAAGTGCGCCGCCCGCGCATTCCCTATCGTCTGCGGCCGCGCCTCGGTCCCCGCCTTCCCCTGAAATCAACAGTGCCGGTACGCCATCACTGTCATCGGACTCATCACCCGCACCCATAAGAGAGTCCCACGCAAATCACCCGGCTTCAGCAGCCGACTGTCTTGGTGAGTTCTCAGTTCACAGCCCTTCCTAACGAACCGAAAGATATGGAGCGCTAGAGCTGGCATTCTCACCGTAACGTAGACTGCGGAACCCCCCCGGGTGGCCCTGCAAACGGGCAACTTGAACTGAGCCCAGACGAACTCAGCCGAGTATTTGGAGGCAATTCGACGGCCTCACAAGACCAGTGTGACGAATACGGACCCGCCACTAAGCGCCCCGGAGCAAGACACATGGACGAATTATTACACCCCGAACGCGTTCGGCAACCGAAGTGTCAGCCCAATGACGAGCAACTGCTTGCAGAGTACCGGGAGAGCCTGCAGTCCCTTCGATGCGTCAACTGCAGTGCCGCCTTCAAACTCACAGACACTGAGCTCATCCAGCGGACAAAGAAGATGTTGGGCAAATCCTGTTTGTCTAGCTGTGCCCATGCCGCTCACACGATCGGAACTGACGGATCAGGCTTCTTGCATCCTTGTCTCCAGTGTCGCAAGTGCAAAGGTTGGTCGTGTGTTGGAGGAGACACGTACCATGCCGGTGCCAACATCCCTGTGCTGAGACACGTGGCATCAGGGAAAGGAATCAAATTTAACTGGTGCTGCGATCGAGGACGTTTGTTTCTAATCTTTTCCATCTTGTGCGGCTTCTCGGCCATCCCCAAGCCTCCACCCGTCAAGAGAGACTTACGGCCCAGGCCGCAATCATCGGGCGCGGTCGCACACTCTGGACTGTCCGAAGAAGAAAGGTCTCCAGCACTTGCCAAGGGCACGGGATACGGCAGCTCGGTTTACGATCAGTTGGCAAACCGCCCCAACCAAGTCCGGCAAGGCGGCACTGACGACGTTGCCCCGGAACTCATGGAGCAGTATTTCCTTGCGCTGTCGTCCCTTTTGCCTTCCCCAACCAAAGTCGCAGCAAGTTCGGCCACAGCCTTTGACTGCCGCTCCCAGCCGCTTATTTCGCAAATGATCCGACGGAGTGCTATGCTGGACCATGCCTCCGAACTTCTCCGCTATGCGGCGATTGAGGAAATCAACACCTGGTGCGGCCCCACCACCGCCGTGCTCGACTTCATGGAGACTATGGGAAGCCATTTCGACTTCATTCCGATCCTCCTCCGTGAGAGAACGATCTTTCCACCAGAAGACCAACTCATCCAAGTCGTCCTTGGGAAGAACGAAACCCAGGGCACTGCTACGAGGACGGTCTACGAAAGCGCACAGTCGCTGGCGGCGATTGTGGAAGAGTTGGGAGTCCCTTGTCGCAAGTTCCTGGAAGGAATTCGCCGATACGCTAAATTAATCGAACAACAGCCCAAACAGGAGCGGGAGTCGGTAGCTCTTGCGACCCAGGTAGCAGTGGCACAGCGGATAAGCGATCTGGCCGATTCCGTTGCATCTCACCGGCTACAAATGAAGAGTATGATGGATGACCAGCTAACCTGCCCGGCGTCGGATTCGTTACGGCGCGGTTGGGCGCTCCACACCAGCGAGCACGTGGTAAACGCAAAAGCCACGCACTCGCAGGCACAAGTCGCCACGGCGCCCCAGGAGAGTGCCATGACGTTTCGCAAATGGCATCGCGAGAATTGCGTCAAGGACCTTCCAGACCATGTCATACTCGAGGGTCATGCCTTTAAGGAGAAAGCAGGGAAGCTGGTGAAATCAAACCACTCGGTTGGCCGGATGAGAAAGCTGGTCGGCCAGATCTCGTCTTTAAGCACGGACCTGCCTGAAGGCATCTATGTTCGGCACGGGGAGAGCCGTCTGGACGTGCTGAGAATATTAATCAGTGGACCAGCGGACACGCCGTATGAGAATGGACTCTTTGAGTTCGACATGTTTTGCGACCAAGAGTTCCCAGAAGAGCCCCCTAGAATGCGCTTCCGAACAACAGGCGGCGGCCAGGCTCACTTCAACCCAAACCTGTACAACAACGGGAAGAGTAGGTATATCCATGACTTGGACTTCATCCAAGCATCTCGGCAAGGATGGATCGTGTTCAACTCGCTAACTTCCTTCATAGTTTGTCTTTCGTTACTCGGAACCTGGACGGGCCAGCCGTGGGAACCCGGTCGTTCGACGATTCTACAGATCCTAGTTTCCATCCAATGTATGCAAAACCGTAAACCCTTGTCGTCTGTCAAAGTCACTAACCGGTATCGCAAGCCATGATCTTCAACTCTCAGCCGTATTACAATGAGCCCGGGTATGAACAGTACCAGAACGATGACCGGTCGAAAAAGTATAATAGAAACGTCGAACAACTGACTGTCCGATATGCTCTCCTCCCCTGGCTGACTCAACGCCTGGCGAACCAACGACGGAGCTCAAAAGCAGATACCTCAACTGCTTCGGGCCCCTCATCGACACCGCAGGTTCAAGGACCGGTACCGGCAAATCTCGACCACGCCAACGTGCCGCCACTCCAGCCCTTAGCCCCCTCCATCTATCCGTACCAGGACACCAACGAAGCTGCGCCGTTGTCAGGAGTAGGGCTGCTGCTTCCTCCTCCTCCAGCAATGATCGAACAGCAATCCGAAACTCCTGAAGAGCCCCATTCTGCACTTTCTGTCATGACGGGGCTGGCGATGCTCCCATGTTGCGCAAGATTTACCCAGGGAGCTCCAGCCCCTCCAAAACATGATGATCCCGTCTGGGGAGACGTTATTCGCAAGCACTTCGAGACCAAGTCGAGCTGGATAATGGAGAGAGTGAGACAGTGGGAAAAGATGGCTGATGAGTACAAGCGCTATCCCGAAGCAAGGTGCGCCGATGCTGGGAGGCTCCAAATTGAGCTCGCGAAACAGCTCAAAGAGCATGGGTTTCGGACCTAGGGACCGGAAAACTTGCAGTACCGGGGCCTTCTTCGGTGGTGAGCTTCATCTAACACTGGGTCCCACGGCAGGCAGAGACATTTTGGTGGCTGGAAAGGTCCCTTGATAGCGAGGGATTACAGCCCAGCCGTAGACCCTACGGTGGCATGAGACTCCCGGACTACTTGGGTCATTACAGCCGCTATGGAATTCATCGAGGCAGTGCAGGCCCAGGGCTTCACTGGGCCAACTACCGTAACAACGCGACTACTATGGAGCTTAAGCGTCAATCCAAGAGTCCCAGGCTTTCAGTCGCTGCGGAGGTCATGGAAGCTAGCTACGGAATGCAACGAACCTGAGCAGGGGACTCAACTGCAAATTCTGTTATTATTTCATTTCCTTATTTGTTGCACACCACCTTCTTTTGGCACATAGATTGACGACATTATGTCGATGTTAGCAGATCTGAATCTTCTTTGACTCCCACAGGACCGGCCAGGAAGGACAGAAGTAGGGAAGTGGCCCTCCATATGAAGGGAACAGCATGAGCCATGTGAAATTTTGAGTTCGTTGAGACTCGACATTGTTGAGTACTTCAGTTTACCTTGCCTAGATACAGTACGTTAGGTTGGTTGGCTAGGCCGGCTGGCTAGTTGGCATCAATGAGAAGCTCATAAGTAAACGCATTTTCCAAAGCCACACCTGTCTCCCCTTACTCGTGAGTTCGGTTTCGTTAGAGGAAGCCAGGCCGCCATTCTAAGAGTTTGCTTGATGGCTGATTCCTAGTAGGTGGTATCATTTGTGGGATGGGAGATGGGAATCGAACACCTCCACATGACCTGTACAATACCGCTTTTCACGAGACTAGCACTAGTACTGAGAGCTGAGTAGCACACAACTATATGTTGATCTCTTCGAGGCACAACACTGGCGAAGCGGACGATGTGCCTCCTACTAGCTAGGCCGTCATCTCGCCACTCCTATACAGCTGCAGGCGTTTTGTGCAGGCCCCCCCCCTTCTTGAAATTGCTCAACCCTCGTGAATTAGTCAGGCTCGCTTTTCCTTCCAACGCTATGCTCTGGAAACCGCCTCAGACCGACGGTCAAACCTAATTCCCTTCTACCTCCGAAACGCCGGTTATGCTAACTGACAAGATACTATCGCTCGGCCAGCTTCCGTATTGTACCCAATCGCGCAGAGACCTTTCTATTCACAAAGCCGGCCCGAAAGGATCATCCAGCCCTTTCCCTACCTTTCTCCTCTTAGAATCCCGCGGTAGGGGCCCTCCAAAGACCGCTCCGTCGGCCTCAACCGTACCCCCGGCGGGCCCATCCTCGGCATCCCCGTCCTCTGAATCAGCCTTTTTGCTTGCCTGCTCACGGCGAGCGCGCTGCAGCTCGACGAGATTCCACCGTTCCGGGTCGTGACACTTGTTGAGTTTCTTCCTGAGAGGTGTGATTTGGGCTTTTATTACGGTTTTCTGCTCCTGGTTAGTAATTTGGAGAGAATAGAGAGCGAACGGGAATGAGAGGTGGGTGGCGGAAGACGAAGAACTAAAGGGAAGAGAAAGCAGGTGGGAAGTGGGTGATGTGCATACATTTGTCCAGTGCTCCCTCCGCTCAGGAAGTTCTTTCGAGAGCATGTCCCTGCACGCCTCGATCGTGCCGAGCACCTTATCTCGGATGTGGGAGCCGATTATCTGGGTCCTATCTTCGCCATCGCTCCGTGGGGCAGATCTCCTGGAGGGAGCGGGAGCGTCGGGGCCCGAGGAAGCCGGGGTGTCGGCGCCGCTGTTGTTAGCTGGCGGCGCAACGTAATGGAAGGTTTCCGCTATTAAACGTTCCGCGAGACCGCGGTCGGCGAGGGATAGGGCGGCCAACATGATTTGGCTGGGCGTGTAGTGGAAGTAGGCGTCGGTTATGAGCGGGCTGAAGCGGAGGATCTCGCGGGCGCGGTGCTCGGCAGCGGCGAGGCGGGCGGGCTGAGAAGCTCAAAGTCAGTGTGCGTCATGGAAGACCTGTGTCGGGGAGATTGCGGCTTGCCTCGATATCGGGTAACGCACTGAGCTCCATTATGGAGCCCCTGAGTGCTCGGAAAGGGTGTTTCACGTCGATTGCAAACCGCAGACCTTGGCAAAGTAGAAACTCTCCTGCAATGATCTCTTCTGGGTTTTCTCTACCGAAAGTCTTGATGAAACTGGCAAAAGCGAAAAGCCACCAGTCAGCAAAGTTGTCCTAGGCGCGCAGTCAAGGGAGACCGACTCGGTGATGGATAGGAACACCCCCTCTGCCTTGCATGCAAAGTACAACGCAACCATAAGCATTTCGGTCGGTGGATATGTCATGATGCTATTCGTGACGTAGAATCTCCTGAAGAAGGCAGCGGCCGTGGCCTTGATCTCGTCCGACATCTCCGCGTGGTCGCCGGCTCGCAGCAGCTCTGAGGTGTTGAATGTTACCAGCAAGGCTTCCTCCGCGGGAGTCAAGAACTCGGGCAGTGCAGGCGTCGAGGCTCCTTCGGGGTCGGGCGTGTTCGCACTCGACGTGGGCGCCGAGGTGTTTCTAGACGAGGGGGCATCGAGGCAAGTCTCCCTGCTATACTCGCACGCGCGGCGGCGTTGGTCTTCTCTCGCATGGCGGCGAGCTGCGTGGGTGAGAACGACCACAACTGGTACTGTGACGACTCTCGATATCTTGCATCTTCGGTCGCCATGGCCGGCCGGCTCGAACCCTCCTCGTCGGTCGCCTCGATACGGGTCAAGCTTGGGCTCAAGTTCGGGTATTAGTCGTGGTAACAGATGATGAATCGCAATTAGACAGGCGCAGCCACACGGAGCAAAATATTCTTGTATAGCAAGTAAAACATCGAAAGCCAATGTGGAATTGGGAAGAAGGCGCGTCACGGGCTTTGAGCTTGAAACCGCACAGTCGGTGGAATGGGATCCGTTGGCCCACCGTCGGCGGCCTTGGCATTTCTTGGCAGCGAGCATGCGGTGCCCCCACTCGAGCCCCGCAAGAAACTGAGCTCACTGTCAGAACTCAGAACTTGAACTCCAAACGTCGATGAGAGCAACGCTGCAATCTAGATGTATTCATGATAATCCTATGACTTGCAATGGCAAGTGTCCCATTTATAACGGTCTCAACGTCAACGCCTGTCCCATCTCCACGTACGCGGATCCAGTCCGCCGAAACACAGACCGACACCGAAGACACACAGAACGCCCGTCGCCGCCCAAGAGCCATACCAACACCGTTGACTAGAGGCCCCCTACTACATGTCCTCTATGTCAATGAGGATTCCGCGACGCGAAATACCAGTGAGCTGGTCTCACCGCCCCGGTATTGAGGTATCGTAGTTCTTGCCAGATCAGCAATTGGCGTCACGCCTCGCCGGCACTGGCGGGGGCGGCTTCTTCGACCTGTTCGGCGGCGGCGGAGGCGGCGCCTTCTTCACGCCACCGACGCCGAAGGGTGAGTTCATTGTGTTGTTGCTCGGAGTGCGACTTAGGCTGCCAATACTAGTCGCAGAACTCGTGCTGCGGTTCCCCCAGCTCGGGCTCCCCGTGTCGCTCGCCGTGTCATCGTCTCTGTCGGCGAAGACATCGTCTCTCGCCATGCTGCCAGTCACAATCCTACTCACTGGGCGCAGCTGGCCGCGAAGGGCACTAACATTCGTGATGTTATGGCTGGTAGTAGAGGTACTGGGGACCGGAGTGCTGGCCCCGGAGATGCGAAGTCGCTCTCGGTCTAGGCTCGCGCCGCCTTGAAAGCTGCTCGTTTTGCCAATGATCGGGCGGACCGGACCGTCGACCTGCTGGGGTTGCGACAACCTCCGAGGGTTGCTGGGACGAATAGGCATACGAACTGGCGGTGCGGTTGACTCCATCTTGTCAGACTCGGCAATGCTGAATGTGTTTGATCGCGGCAGTCGCTCGGTGTAGCTGTGCGTTACCGTGTTAGACCTGCTGGGGACAGTCGGCCGTCGCTCGATTGACCTGTCACCAGCGGCCGAAGTGCCTGGCCAGTTTTGACGCACACGTCTGAGTTCTTCGGCGCACCGCTCGTGGTAGTCGATCTCGGCGTCCAAGAAGTGCGTCAAGTCACGAACACTGTCAGCCTCGGCCTCTTGGATATCCTGCATGCGGCGAAGGACATCTTCTGACGACTCTTCGTACTTCGCCTTGGCTGCACGGAGCTCCTCCTCGAGCCGAAAGTCATCTCGCTTGGCCTTGTGGAGCTTCGTGGTGCTTGCATCGTAATTCAGACGACGGTTCTCGAGCTTTTTGCGTGCGGCCTTCAGATAGCCAGTTAGCAAACGGCTCAAAGATCCGGATGTTGGAAGATTGGCCACTGACCTGATATTCCTTCATCATGGCTAGCGACCTCTCGAGCGACTCCAGCCAGCAAGTAGTTGCGTCGCAGACAAAGTTCTCCTGGAGTGCCGATATTCTCTCGTTGGCACGGCCCACCGATATCAAACAGTTACCGAACTCGGAATCGGGCTGGAATTCCTCTCCGTGGCCGACCATGGTGCGTCCTAGATATCCAACGGGAAGAGCCTTCTCTTTGTCTTCTGAAGAATCCAGATGACGACCCAGCCACTTTATGTATTGGTTCATCGATCTCTGGAGGCGCTCCATACCTGGACCCCAGTCAGCACTGCTTTTGGAGTTTCCAGCATTGTTAAACATTAATGGGCGAGTACATACCCTCAAACCGCAGTGCCATCTCGGTTTCGAGCATCTTGAAGTCCTCCGACATGCTGGTTTTTGCCTCGCCGCCCATCTTCTCGCCGGCCCATTGGAAGGCGCGGTCGAACTTCTTGGTGATGTTCATGTTTGCGAGCAATGCTTCGAGGTGTGATATGATGCTACCGTCTAGTGGAAACGGAAGGACCTGTGTGATCCCTCGAGGTTGGGAATTTGGGTCTTTTGGCCTTCGTATGGAGCCTGCCAACACGCTTGCTGGCTCACCAACCCCTTGGATTTAGTTTGATGGTTGGCTGGCGACGTTCCTCAATGCGACAATGGACAACGAATGCACGCCAAGCAATGGTACTGTCCATCCAGCAGGTGTCGTGCAGCAAGGCGATTGTTGGACGGGTACGACTGGGATCAGAGCAAAACGAGAGAACATCAAGAGAGCACCCGAGGGCGAACAAGCTCTGATATGTAACGAATGAGATGATATACAAAGGTGGCAATAACAGCTCGACCTTGACCTCATGGAATGCGAAACTCGTCAAACGGTTGATTGGTGATCCCGGTTGCTGTCTGAGGTTCCAGGTTGCGACAGGGGTCAATTGGCGGGGCGAGCGGCGGTTCCAGGCCAGTGCTCTTGCAGTTCCGTACCTGCAGTAGCAGGGGTCTGGACAATCGCCAACCTGCCAACACGGGAAGTCACCTCCCATGTCCGGTAGCCAAGCACGGGAATGTGGTGCGTCTTTCTTTCGTCAGACAGATCAAAGGGGTCGTTTTACTGTCGATAATCTTCATCAATTGTGCAAATTGAGAAGAATATGATACAAAGCGCGAAGTACTTCGTATAACACAGGATAGATTACGTATAGTACATACAGTACAGTACGGTACCTTCGGAGGTACAATACGAACAGCGGAGTCCTTTGCTGGTTGCAAGCACCACCACCGCAGCTCGCCCACTTTAGTACGAGGGAGGCGGGAAACGATGGCCTTCCCTTCTCTTCACCTCCACTAATGTAGACGCGCGTCTGGGCATTGGGCAGATTGTCTCCTGATCTCCGGATGATTGGATCCAATTTCTGTGGTTGGACAGCGACCTGCCTCCAGACCTGTGGTGAGTTTCGGGCCCAAACCGGAACAATTGGATTGCTGGTTCACGAGGCCCGCTTCAAGGTTCCATTCTCTCGGAGCAGCTCCTAGCGAACCGCTTGGGAGGCGCAGCAGTTTCCACGCGATTGTTTCCTCTCCGGCGAGACGCGGATTACCACTCGACTAATAAACGTGCGTGTTATGCTCAGACGGCTATCAGAAACTCCGTCGCATCTCTCAGAATATGGATACATGCCCGGGGTACCAAACGTCATCCAGTTCGGCCCGCACAGCCTGAATTGTTCCTCCAATTTCCCAGCAGTTATCCGGATCGTGCATCGCATCGGCTGTCGTCTACAGTCTACCACAGTAATAAAGCAGAGCCAAAGTTGGAATCCGACTCGGAAGTGTCCAACCAGCTTGCGAAAACAATCCGCTTTCCGTGTTACTTGGATTCAAGCGCCGGCCAACAGGAACCGCACTACCTGATGCACATCATTGCTCCCAGAGTTAAACACGGAGAATCCCGAGAGTCGCCAATTTTGAGCGCTTGGTCTCCAATAGTGGCCGCAACGCCTGAAGCGCTTCTCACGCACTTTAGCCAAGCTGTTTCAGCCTCCGATCTGGATTCATCCAGTCGCTGCGGTGGCGGTCAGCGACGGCTCGGTGAAACCGCAGGCCCAATTGGTGAAAGGTGAGCATGTCTTCTCAAAGTCTTCTAACTGGGGACACTCTCGATAAGACCGGACACCTTCAGGGTGTCGAATTCCAGCGATTATCAGTCTCTCGAAATAGATTATGACAACTTCCTGCCCCCAACCTTGCCGATCCATAGTATCTCTGGCAGCGACATGCACTGCCATCGCGTCGGTCGATCCCGCGCACGGGCCGGAGGGTACGGCGCGCGGCATAAGTACGGACAAAATCGACCTGTCGTGGAGAAATTCCCTGTGTGATCGTCTTGGATGCCGATTTGACTGTTGAGACGAGCCGCGCAAACCGCTGCCAATGTCATGTGGAACTTAAAACGGTCTTGGGTCTCGGCCTGCCCTGTCCCGATGTTTCTTCTAACATCAAAAGTATATAGTACCCCAGGGACATACAACACAGCAGTCGACCTTCTTCGATGAAGAAACGACGGTAGCTGTCATATTGTTTGTCCCCTACACGGTTCGGCCCTAGAGCGGGCCCAGCCCTAGATAAAGACACTGATCGCATAAGGGATATATTCGTCAGATACGCCTCGCGTCTATGTGCGATGGGCATCATCAATTGCATGCCGTGGGTAAACCGAAGACCCTTGAAGAGTAACCAATCACCAACCCGCGTACGCCGTGAAGCATGATCCTACCATCTTCCAACCCTCCCCTTCCGGTCGGAATGTCTACCCTCTCCAACCTGTGCCAGGGCCAGCTCAAACCGTCCCGCTGATGCTCAACTCCCTTATCTCCTGCAGCACCTGCTCAACCCTGCTATCCAACTGCCCTTGGGCATACTGCTCGCGAGTATCAGGGTCAAGGTATTGCTGCACCTGAGCCATGCGGCTATAGGCCTCGGCACAGAAGCGCAGCTGGATCTTGACGAGCGCTTCGAAGGACGGGTCCAGGTAGGGGACCCGCAAATCGATTAGCTGCGGCAGCTCCGAGCACAATTGTTCGTTTAGCTGCTCGTACGCCGCCTTGGCCATCTCCATCTCCTTCTCGGCCCGCGGGAGCTTCGTCACGTCCTTGTCGGGCTTCTCCACCAGTTTCTTGACCTTGGCGCGAAGGGCGTCGTAGTCAAGGAGTTTGTGGCCGCGCTTCTTTATGCCTGTAATGGAACTCTGGTCAGAATGAGCGGTCGAGGAGGAGGGGCAGCACCAACGAACATTCGTTTACATCGGGGAAGTAGGCGCAGAACCTCGAGATGGGCTCTAGAACGGTTGTCCGATATGGCCCGTCCAGGGCCTTGATGGTCTCGGCGTCGAGGTCCTCCACCGCTTGCTTGTAGCTTCGGCTCACGCCGTCCTTAGCGCCGGAGTCTCCGTAGAAGGCGTCGATCGTTTCGGCGATGCGCATTTGTGAGGCCGTCATTGCTATATTCCTGCGAGTCAGCACCCGAATCCCTTGCTGGCAAGCTGTCAATATCCATGCCTCGTAATGAATCCAAGTACCCCTTTGCCTCTTTCTGTAACCGCAACGATGCCGCCTCCATCGTCCTAAATCGCCTATTGGGAAAATTAACAACGGCGCCGGTTTGTATTGTGTCCACCTCGTCGCTTCTCACCTCTCCTCGACTTCATAATCCCGGTCGTTTGTCTTCTCGACATGACCTGATGCATGCCTCATCAGCAAGACTGTTCCGGCACCGAGAGGAGCGGAAGTCGGTGGAAACGAATCGACAGACCGGTTTTCATCATAACCTGCGTCGTCGCGCGGTTGACATTCTTCTTGAACCCTATGGGGCACGAGTCAGCAAAGGGGATCCGGAATCGAGGCCTCGCGGGGTCAGGTACCCGCCCAGGACATGTTAGAAGAACTGAATCGTTGGTTCTCGTCTTCTCTCCTCTTGCTGATGTATTCGGGGTGTTGAAATCCAGGGTAGTTTGCGGAATATTGAAGCAGATATGCCACAAGAATGCTCGCCAAATGATATCGCGAAGTGCAGGCTTCAGAGGATGCGGCGCGTAAGGGCAGGCATCCCAGGTCAATCTGGTTGGTTCCTGGTGAGGGTGACGAAAGTTGTCTGTGGCGGTGCTGCTGCTTGCGGCGGGACGAACGACGTCAGCGTTGAGTGGCTGACTTGTCTGAGCGAGCCACTTCACGGCAATTGACGGTTAGGAGCCACGGGTACCTAACTAAAACTACCAAGTGGGTCAACACCTGTCCAGGGTCCAGACTCCAGACACTCCAGAGCACGATTTTCGTCCTGTAACCAAGATAGCCGGCGACGACAAAAGAAAGACGGGAGTTACCCACTCTTTGGATACAATCACATACTGGTGCTCCTTGAACCATGCGATAGGGTACATCGGACGCGTCCCTCAGGACTCTGACGCTCCTTTCCGCCACCGCAACCTCCTCCGCGTGGAACCGCCCCTTGCATTCCTTCCGGCTCGACCGCGAACAACGGGGCAGACGCCGCCGCCGACGGACCCCGGCAGATACACATTCACTTCCTTCGCTACGTACCAGCGCCAACAGAATTCCAAATGCCCGACTTAAAACGCATCATCATCGTAAGCCTGGGCAACCCGGGTCGCGCCCTGGACACATACCACTCGGCCGGCCATCAGGTGCTTGAGTTACTCCCCCTCCAGCTAGGCCGTCAGCACCCGAGTTTCGACAACATGCGCATCGCGAAAAAGACCACGCGCTGTTCTATCGGCCAGCGATATTCCCTCTTCCAAAGCCCGACAGTTATGAACGTGTCCGGACCGTGGGTGTCCAAAGCCTACCACGAACACCTCGCCGAACAGAAACTCAAGCCGGGAGAGGTCGGGTTCGTACTCGTGCACGATGACATGGAGGAGGAACTAGGCGCGGTTAAGATCAGGGAATGGGACAGGAGCCACCGGGGCCACAACGGGGTCAAGAGCGTCAAGGAGTCCCTCAGGGCGTATCCAGAGGGCAGCTGGGCACGCGTGTCGGTGGGAATCGGCAGGCCTAGGGAAGACCCCAAGGCACGGGATCGCAATACGGTGTCTGACTTCGTGCTGATGACAATCCCCCCGAAAGAACGGGAGGTCTTGGAGACAGTCGGGCCGCCCAGATTACTCGATTGCCTCTATGAGTTGGAGGCGAAATGGGGGAGGTAAGCGTTGGGCTAACCGCACCCATTGCGATTAACCGCCATATGGGACTGGCGGCCGCAACATGCCGTATGTAATGCAACCAAACCGTGATACCCCAATTGGCGCCCTTACGTCGCCACGCTCCAGGCGTGATGCCCTCGGGTAGAGGCATTCGTGACAGCGGACAGGAAATGCGCGGAGGTGGTGGCGCCCACCGGAACGGATGTTGTCTATCAGACGCTGCCGCTCGTTGCAGAGCACTTGATTTTCAGTATTCTGTGACCTCGCTAGCCCCTCGAGGATGAAGGATTCGGGAGCGAGCCCGTGCTCTCTTTGTCAAAGTACTCGTGGTGGTCTCCGACCGCGTTTGATATCGATGTCTACGGCAGAAACGTCCTCCATTGCCTCCTCTTCGCAATATCTTCAAGACTGGGCGGAGTCAAAACTATCCGTACGGTGACTTGGGATCAAGTCACCCTTCCCGGCCACACCCAACCAATTCTTGCCATCCGCCTCTTTATTGATGGCATGATTATCTGGTATGAGATACTGAGACCGGATTGTCTCCTTAATAGCATGTTGCAGCCGATTGACTATGTAAGTTCTGTTCCCTCCGCCGGTTCTGGGACCGTCCGTTATTCTGCTCCAATACGTCTTACATGGCTGCACTGCCAACGACAACACCTGTATGATGAGGGGAAATTTATGTTCGAATGTCAAGCATCCACGATCGGCTTTTCAATCCCTTTGCTGGACCAGTCAACGAAGACTCCCTCACACATCGCTCAAGGCCAATGGTCGTGGATTTGGGGTGGTAAACATCACTGAACAGGGACGCGGAAGCGACAAAGACGCACAGCAAAGGTATATACACCCCTTTTTCGTATGCTATAATCCGTGATATCACACCTCGAGCTAACAAACAGTAGCCTCACCCACCATCCCTCCCGGAGAGGGACTTTCTCACCTCAGTTGATTCCGAATCTCCCGCTTAGCCCCTTCCGCCCAGGGAGAAGACAAAAGCACAAAGCAAAACGCATCACAGTTTGGACTTAGACCCTTCCTTCCTCACCCCTCCAATGGGCCCCGCCCCTTCGCCAATCCCAACCACCACCCCCTTTTCCTCCCCCTCCGCCTTGGGATCACCCTCGAGCGACGCACGGGGAACCGTCAAGTCCACGCCGGCGTTGCCGCTTCCCAGACCCTGCTTACCGCCCTTGCTACCGCTGTCCGCGGACGTGGAAGGAGGAGGAGAAGAAGGGCTGTTGTCCTCGACCGAGTCGTCGGGCGCGTCGCTCGTCTCGGCTTTGAGGTCGCTGGGATCGCCCATCAGGGTGGGATTGGCGCCCTTACCGCGGACCTTCTCGGCGGCTAATTGCCGGAGGGGCTTCTTGTGTGCCATCTTTTCCTGATTGTGGATTGTAAGATGGCTCTGTTTTATTATTAAGGAAGAGTCCGGAGTGGCCGTGTGGACTATACTATGAGTTCAATGGGCGTATCAATGGAGTTCTCCGTCACGCTAGGTGATACGGAGTTTGTTCGACCGAGAACAGAATCAATCTATTATGTAGAGACAAGATTCGGAAGGTCTTTGCTCGATGTATGCGTCCATTTGCAAGCGACCTTGGATTGCCATCCTCGGCGAGGGACCGAAAGTTTTGATGTGGGGTGCTGATATGTGTGATGTCAGGCGATGACGTCGTACACAACACGTTGGGTAGCGTTTCGAGTCAACCGGGGGGTTGTCTTGTGCTGCTCTTGTGGGCATGTATGACGGACAACGACCCGGCAAAACGAGTTTAAACATGGATTATGCATTAGATAAGAACCATAATAAGCTAACTGAAAATACTATCAATATCGTAAAGCGAATTGATCCAATCCCACGTCTATCCGTGTCCAAAACTGTGGTCATCACACCCACAACTCAGACTTTTCAGCCCGCTATGCATATCATAAGTTCGAAATTCATATCTTCTGCCCATGCACCCAGGTCATTGCGATAAAACTAAAAGCACGCGCTCAATGCCACACCAGCCGGTCACCAAGCTCATGCAACCGCAGTCAACTCAGTTGGCTTGACGGTGGCATCCACGGGCGCGCACTTGATGTCGCGCGTGGAGTAGAGCTGGCCCATGGTCCAGTTAGGGTTCTGCCACGTCGACTCGGTGCATTGCAGCGTGAGGTTGGCGTCTCCGTAGCCCGTAAACGAGATTCTGTTCATCCAAAGTCAGCGCTTGGCCCCCACCTCTGACGGCTATCAGACTGATTTCATGTATGAAAAAACCTACGGCCACTGCGGGTCCTGATCGTCGCAGGTCCATGTCTGGTTCACCCGCAACCGGTTGGTTGGTCGCGCGAAATCAAAGGTCGTGGATCCCGACCTCAGCGTGTCGTTGCACGTGTACGGCATGGTGCCATAGAAGAAGTCGCTGAGCTGGTTGCTCCGTGCCTCGCAGTGGGCCGTCGACTGGTCGGCGGTGTTGTACAGGTCGAACGACACATAGCCCCACGAGTTCTGGTGGGCGGGCGTAGAGAAGACGTACGACGCGTGGAAGTCGAAGCTGCGCGCGATCCATTCAAAGCTCTTGAAGGAGGTGTCTGAGCAACCCTGTGGCTCAGCGCGCGGAAGGGTGATAGGGGAGCCGGTGATGAACGGCACTGCGAGCACGGCCAGCAAGGCGGAGGAAGCGTGGAAGTACATCTTGATGGTTGCGGTGCGGCGGGTGGCGGCTTGGTGCTGTGATAGCTCCGTTGTTGAAAGAGGGCAAGATGGGTGGTGACAGACTAGGCGGGATGTCGTCAAGGTAAGGTACAAGGTATTTATAAAGATGCTTGCTTGGTGCCGAGCGAAGATCTTGACCCGATGTGCCAAGCAGTCACTTAATCTGGCCGGTTTGTGGCCTGTTCCTTGCTTTTGCGATGCCTGGATGCTGTTGGATACTACGATACTCCGGGTGTTCCGCGCAGCTGGGCGGTATACACTATTAATAAGTCGGCGGTCAACGCTCGCTGCGGGAAACTGCTGCCGGGCTCGTACTGAAGGCGATCATGCGTGCTGCGCCGACTCCCGAGTACGGGGAGACCGTCACGCCGCAAGGGACGTTGCTTGCCAAGCTCGCTAGTGATCCCGCACGAGGGCGACGTTGTAGATCTTTTCGCGATGTCGGTGTGCGGTGGAACCAACACGGCGCCCAACGGCGTCGGGCCGCCGGGCGAATTACAGCCGGGCGATACATGGGTGGGTGTGAATGGTATGGGAATGGCACCCATGGATAACATCCAACGTTACTGCCGGGCTGCCATTGGCGGCGCCGGCCTAGCCGAATTTTGGGTATGGAGGGACGGGAGGTAAGTACCTAGGTACATACAGTGATTGAGTGTTGGCGGCCGCTGCGTGTTACCTGCCGCTGTCATGCCACTATCCGCCCAGTCGTCTTTCGCCTCTGCCACCTACACTACACGTGTGACAGAGGCTCGTATCGAGACTGACCCATACCGCATAAACGCAGCAAGCACATTCCAACGTCCATCCTTGGTTGCAACGACGGATGCAAGGCATACGCATGGAAGTGGGGCAGATCCGGCAATTAGTCGGCGCTGACGGCTTCTTGCGCCGCTAACATTCATCAAGGTTCTGAAAAAAGAAGATGCGTCGTTTGCACAAGCAATTTTCCTTTGATCCTGATTGGAACCAGACTAGCACTGCGATTGGCCCAGATCACAGTCCTTCAACGGTTTTTCCGTCTTGGCTTCCGCCTTCTGGTCCATGGCCGGAAACCCCGGAAGCCGACAGACAGGGTCCGGCTTCCCGCAACTCCTTCGAGTGCTAATCCGTGCGCCGAGACTGAGAAATCTCTCCCACGTTTTCAAGATTCAGGCACCACAGGGTGGCACAGACGGCACGGCGGAACCCGTGGCTCTTTCGTCGGGGCCGCTTCCAGAACGCCTAATCACGCTGGCACAAAGTACAGAGAATGCTCCTGTCTCTTCATAAGTTCATTCTGGGCTTAGACAAAAGTCAAACACACATTTTCTCCGCGACCTCGGCCACGGCCACGGTTGGGGTCGGAAGGCGGCCCTGAAACCAGCAACACAGGCACAACAGATATATCGAGGCAGCCTTCGGCGAAGAACCAACATGCTCTTCAGGAAGTCCCTCACCGCTTGTTCAGCATATGCCCCGAATGGATGATGACAAGCACTGTACGAACGCGTACGGCTTGGTGGGTGGCCAAAAGTTTCTCTATGGTCTGACAAGATTTATCTCGATCTCGATCTCGAAGAGACATCCAGATTCTTCTTCTTTCTGGTGCATGCTGTCTAACCCGAAGCTCACGAACCCAACTCGTCAGGATGATTATGCCTTCATCCCCTCCAGAGACCCCATAGGCAGTGCCTTGAGCCCTGTGTGACGGTACCTAAATCAGCATCGGCGGCACTTGAATCACTTGTCTTTCCGTCTTTTCGACTTAAGACAGAGCTAGTAGGGGGAGGGGAGTGCGTACAGCCATCATAGTTCTCGTCGACAACCTTCGGCACGGAGCACTGGTTCATGGCCGAGATACTCTGCGTCTTGAGCGTCGGGCAGTTGACGTAGCACGGCGAGTCCATTGCCCGCTGCAGCGAGTCGCCCTTCCAGCCGAACATGTAGTCTCCGTGCGAGCCGAAGCCGGTGCTACCGAGCGTCAGTACCTTTTTCTGTTCTGTTCTTTTCTATTACCATGTCTCGCTTATTTTTTTTGTCCTTTCCTGCTAGCTTCCGAGACCTACCTGTCATCCATCGACCACACGAACGGCTGCGATCCATCCTCGGGCCACAGGTCCTTGCTGTTGAACTGGCGCGTGTCCCAGACGGTCTCGTACATGAGCTGCGGCACGCGCACCGGGTGCGAGGCCGGGCAGGGCCCACCGTTCTCGAACGTGCCCGTCTCCGGGTACGACATGTGGCTCATGTGGTCGGGCGAATCGAGGTTCTTGCCGTCCCAGCACGTCGGGAAGCGCACGTTGGCCATGATGCCGGCCGGGCACGGCTGCTTGGGGAAGTCCATCGTCTCCGGGAACCGCGTGCCGGGGTCCTTCAGGCAGGTGTAGGTGATCTGCCGGAACCTGTTCGCCTGCTCCTTGCTACGGTACGACGCTTCGCCGACGAGCATCCGGAAGCCCGTCTTGAAGGCCGTGACCTTGGACGCTTGCTCGTAGTTGGCCAGTCCGTCTTGCATGTAGTAGACTGTCATGCCGCCGCTCTGGCCGTCGAACCCGACGTTGGGAATCTGCGGGACGCGATGGTACGACCCGTTGCGGGCCTTGAAGAAGAGAACAGCTGTCCAGTAGTTGGAGAAGTCTTCGCTGAACTGGCACGTCGTGCACGTGGCACGCTCGGCGATGTCGCCGCTCGACGGGTCCATGGTGACATTGAATGCATTCTAACTCAAGGGCCAGTCAGTTAGAATCTTTCCAGTCAGGCCTCAACGCTTTCCCGTCATCCAGCGGCCACTTACACCACCGATGATTTGGTGCAGATGCGGGGATGGGTTGAGTCCAGGCGTGACTAGCGGGTCGAGGCGCTCGACCACCAGCTGCGAGCAGCCAAACCGGAGGAGGGCCGACGCCGGCGCAACGAGCGCAAGCGCTGTGAGAGAGTTGAGATGCATCTTGGTGTCTCTGTATGATCGACCTCTTTCGCTCAAGTCTCGTTGTGGACGATCCCGGATGGAGTGTATACCCGAGCTGGAGGTAAAGGTATCCAACGACAGCTACGACAGGGGCAGGCCTTGACCGCAGACATAGGCCGGAAATACACCAGACTTATATAGCCCATCGTCAAGCGTCAGCTATCGATATTGTTCATCTGTGGTTCGCCCACCAGAGTCTTCATCTTCTGGGCGACCACCACGAGGTCACATATATTAAGGAGTGGGGGTTACTGAAGCTCAATAAACGATGCCCTGGATTGAGATGCTTTGGGTATCATCCTTGGCCTGGTTCGACACTGTCTGCCTGGCGGCGCTGAGGTTGCTCGCGGTGTGGCCGCGGCCCGGGACCTCCCTGCTACGAACTGCCGATATCTAATGTAGCTGCTACGCAATCTATTTACTCTACAGCACGGTCTTCCCCGAATTTCCCGCAGAAAATAACCCCGCACCAAGCAGGAGCTGTCGTCACCCTTTAAAGGGGGTTAATGATGGTGATTGGTTGCTAAGACCCGGCTGGGCTAATATAGTCGACCATTTTCCCGGTCTGGAGGTTCTGATTGACATTGCTATGCTCTCTCCCAAGGTGGCTCGACCGAGAAATACTAGCTTCTGAATCTCCTTACTGCAATCGTATTGGTCCTTGCTCGTTCAGACACTTGCATCAGGTAGTAAGTAGTGTGGGAGTTTCATGGAAGCTGCCAAGCTTCCAGTGATAGATTCAGGGGTTGATCCCTCTATGGCCCGTCCTACGTATGATATAGGATGCTGGTGCCAGCCTGTCCTGATAATGCAGCACGTGTGTTGCCGTTACCACTCCGCATACCCGGAAGTGACCACTGTTGATCCTTCATTGGATCTGGCCATCATGCATATGGCAGCCACGTAGTGTTGCGCGCTCGTTACACATCGCTTCCATGCCGCCGTCTAATATCGACGGTCTCATGCGGAAACAGATAGCATAAGAGTCTAGAACGTATTGCGCTGATAGGAGGTTAAGTTTGGTGCACGCACGCTTGGCACCATCCAATCTAATGGGATCTAAACTCCTGCGTGCCTGGGAGTATCTCGGAGCTCAGGGACACGAGAACAGAGGAGCCATCGATGGATCATGCAAACTCACATCCAGTTACTTGTTCAGTTGTACTTAGGTATTTATTCAGCGAACATCTTACTCGGCATCTAATGGTGCTCTGGGCGGTGTGTCGTTCACCTGAACACCCCCTCGCTTCTTCTCGTGGCTGTCGGGCATGGGCAATGCCCAACCACCCTCGCCCTCAGGGGTAGCCAGCCATAATCTGAGGAGATGACGCCGTGGTGCAGGGGGAGCAAAGTCTGCCAATTCCGAGTCAGTGTGCCGCCCGGAGCCCCAGAACCAAAGCCAGGTTTTAAGTTATCTGGAGGAGGAAACAAGTGTGCTCTATAACTCACCTTTATAAGCCGTCCTCGCATGCAGCAAATGTGCGTTGCTCAGGAACTGAATATCCCCGACCTCCAACACCATATGCAGCGCCTCTCGCTGGCACGTCTCCTCCAGGATCTCCATCGCCCTGACCTGCTCCGGGCTCAGCGGCGGCACGATGCCCTTTTCGGAAAACCGCGTCAGACTCCGGACGTAGTAGGGATCCCACTTGCAATACAGCCTCCCCCGGCCCCCGTTCTCCAGGTACACGACCGGCTGGCGGATCCACTCGTCCTGGCCGTGCGACACCTCGCCCTTGCGGTCAAAGTACCACACGGGGCGGGTCAGCAGCTCGGCCACGTCCGGGTGCTCGCGCTGCAGCACGTTCCACACGCGGTGCACGCTGACGACGTCGCTCTCGCCGCCCTCGCGCGCGCGGTGCAGGCACAGCAGGCCCACGATGTCGCCGTCGTCGGCGTGGAAGAACTGCCGCGCCGCCGTGCGGTAGATGCGCACGCTGTGGATCTGCGTCGGGTCGTCGCCCACGTCCTTGACGTGGCCCAGCACGTGGCCGCGCCCGTTCTGCGAGACGAAGTAGCCGAGGTGGGTGCCCAGGCCCATGTACGCGACCGAGGTCTTGTGAACGGACCACTGGTCCGCGGAGAAGCCCTTGAAGAGGATGAAGCCCTTGCCGTTGAGCAGCTCGTCCCGCAGGGCGGAGAGCGTCTGGCCGAGGTGCGGCAGGCGGAAGTTGGATTGGGAGATCCCCGTCAGCGGCGTCCCCAATGCGATGAAGGCGTCTGCCGCGGTGCTGAGTTCGGAGATCTCGAGGGGTGTAAAGCGGTGGATCCAGCGCTCGGGATGCGAGGCGAAGTCGGAAGCTTGCCAGACTGTGGGACCGGTAATTTCCTTGGGGAAGGAGGAGTAAGACTTTAGGAGCTCGTAAAGAGGCGGGTGTTGGCCCGAGGTGCGTATGCCGTCCGGGAAGATGTGGCGGGGGGCATCTTCGTTGCGTTTGGATGAGTTGGGAAGCTGTCCTTGCGGCTCATCGACGAGCAGTCCGGGTGCCATGGTGTTAGGCTGGGCCGGCCAGGGAAGGATGATGAAGTTGGGAGGCCCGTGAACCTGAGATAAGGAAGCGGGTAATCATAAAGAGCAACATGGAGATGTCTGCGAGGAATAGAGTAAGGCGGCCGAGGTATGTGAGAATATATGAGGAGTACTAGTACGTACTAGTACTCGTACTCATATGGAGCGACGCTCATCGCCTTGGGAAATGGCGTGATAGCGCGTGGCGGGGAAGTTGCATCACCAGCAATGGAGACAATGGGATCGCTCGATTCCTTTGACCAACTCGGTGTAGTTTAGTGACCGACGTACAACAGGATCACTGGACACTGCGACACCAAATCGGGCAATGGCGTGCTCATCGACCACTATGTCGTGAACCGTCCGCCCCACAGTCCCCCCAATCGCACTGCTGTCTCCGTCCGAGGCATAGGTACTTACCTTACACACCGGGCACTCGCAGTCGTATCGGATGCGTCTCGCCTTGTGTTGTGCCCATTGGATAATGCTTGAAACGGGGGGCTTTGGGATGTTGTCGAAAGAAAGAGCTTGATGACCACGAGCTCCCCTAGCGAGGACCTTGTTCTAGTCCGCACCCCTAGGTCACTCCCGACTACACAGTGGTATGGAATGATGTAAACGCATGCTCGAGAACTGCCATGGTTTTAACCTACCTCTCTGACCCTCGATCATAAATGCCGTGCTTGTAACATATCCTATAGCCGCAACTCATTAGATCCCTATGGAGAACAACTAGGAGATAAATAACTTGGCTCTAGAATAGGTTCTCGTCTATTTTTAATCAGTGTACACACAAGCGCCAAGGAATCGTCGTATACTTGCCCAAGTCCAGCCACCGTAGCCCCAGCCAGCCGGAGCCAAATAAATCAACGTGACTTCGTTATCCAGACCGGACACCCAAAGTCCTAAACACACCTTTTCTCATTCCGGAAGTAATCTCTTAAACGGATGCGCCTCCGTGTTAAAGACGTACTCGTCCAGACTGATGAGCTCAGGCTCGCTAAACATCAAGTAGAAGTACTTGAGCGTCTCGCCTAGCCAGAAGCTCTCCATCGAGTCACTCATCGGCGGCTTCCCCTCCGTGACGGTGATGTCCCAAACCGCAGAGTTGGCCAGCCGCGTCTTCGTGGTTTTGTCAATGGCTTCCCACATCTTCCAGGCCGCATCGGGCAGATCCTTGCGTCCTGTAATCCGGTACAGTATGAATACGCTCTCGATGGCCTCGGGGCGCAGGACATAGCGCTCATCGTCAATGGAAACGAAGCCCTTGGGTATCCGCTTGCCGGTAATGGCCTCATCGGCCTGCTTCGCATCCATCTTCTCGTCGAGCCCGGCCTTCTTCAACACTGCCTTTCTCCACGCGTCTGCATCCCAAGGGCAGTGGTCCGCCGACTCGCAGCGCAGCATATAGAACCTCTCCGGCATAATACCCAGTGGCATTCCCTGGTAAGTCCAGATGCAGCCGTCCATCAGCTTTTCTCCCTTTTCTACGTGCGTCTCGTTCTGAATGAGCCGCCCGCCGAGGGCAAGCATACCACCGGCAAAGCATGTGAGGTGCTGACCCTCGGGTCGCAGCTGGCGGTAATACTCGCTCCTGTCGCTATCGAACTTGGACATCATGTGGCCGGAGATAAGCACATCCTTCTCATCCGGCAGCATCGGCCGGAAAAGGTTATAGCGGATCGCCGTATCCATGGAGGCCTCGTACATCTCGCGGTACATGGGAAGCAATCCGCCAACGAGGGCGTGTGTCTTGGGCAGGTACTCGTACAACGAGTCGGCCAGAGCACCGAGGCTGTAGTCGATGTGGCTACGGAAGTCCATCTTCCGAGCGTCGACGATGACCGGCCACATCCCTGGGAGCTGGGTGGCTTGCTGTTGCTCCTGGAACAGCTCGGTGATTCGCTGCGAGGCGTCGTACCACTTGGGATCGCCAGTCAGGATGGACAAGCGGGTGAACTCGAGCGAGAAGGTGCCGATTTCGGACAGGATGGTGTGCTCCTGGGCGAGCTGTGGCTTGCCCCAGAGGGCTGCCCGCGCATCCCATCGCGTTACGGGCATCCGATTGGGAGTGTCGAACGCGACGTAGAGCATCTCGCCGACCTCGCAGGCCTTGGCAAGAAGGCGCTTGTCGCCGCTGAGGTCGTACGCAGCCAGGAATCCGCCCAGGTAACGGATAGTGGTCTCGAAGACGTTGACTTCCTTGGCGGCCACCTTGTCGAAGTCTATCTTCGACGCGGCAGCAACGGCCTCGGAGAATTCGTCCTTCATCCCCATGATCCAGAGCGTATCGAGGCTGTCGACGAGAGTCGCGCCCCAGCCACCGAAAGGATCATGTCTGCCGCCGGTCACGGGCTTGAGCTCGTCGCTTCCAAAAGCGTACTTGCGGTATGAATTCCAGCAGCGCTGAAAAGCCTTCTTCACGGCATCCCGGCGCTGGAGACGCACCTCCCGTTCTGATGCGGACTCGGAGTCAAAGGTCTTCTGGATCCTAGGCAGGTCCTTTGGCTGCCCGGTCGGCAGCTGACGCATGTTCTTGACGGGATGCCTGGTCTGCAGCCGGCTCCACCGCGTCTGCCGGCCCAGTGCGGTACCATCTCTGGGTCCGGCAGCCGGGGCACTGCCGCCGCGCTGTGAGCCGGCAAGTGGTCGGGTTACTCGGGTACCTAGAGCGTCGGCATCGAACCTGCGAAACGAGTATAGAAAGAACAGAAAGACACTGGCGCAGACCAATACTAGAACCCTCCGCTTCCCGAACGGTGCCATTCTCTGAACTGGGACCCGTCACCGCGAGCCGAGTTGCGTGCTGGCCGCGGAGGATTTGGGGTTCGGTTCGTCTTCAGAAGAGGGATGACGAGAGTGGGTCCGTAACCCCCCGCGGTAAGTTTCAGAACTGCCAGATCTTGCGGGGTAAGCGGGTGTAATAAGTATTGTACCTATATGTATCAGAGAGTACCTTACGGAATACTTCACCGCCTTTGTGCTCTTGAATTGAAATTTCCAAGAACCCACTGGGTAAATACGGTATGTATTGTGCAGTCCATGTACTGTACTCGGTACGTACGTCGAAACCAAGCCTCCTTGCAACTCATGGCGCAACAATACAGCCCGTCCCGATGAGTTGGCTAATCGGAGGCTTTTCTAATTCAATTGGACAGCGTCGACTACTCCTCCAGGACCGAGCTCATCTTGTCAAGACACGACCCTTGGTTTTATACCTGTATACCGATTACCGCTGCTATTGAGCCGCCAACAATCTGCAATCTCTGCTGGCAGCTGTGATGCATCACGACCTTGGCACCTTGCCGTCGTTGCCGACGCATCCGGTACCATTCTCGTCTTAATTACCTACTCCTCGAAGAATCTGGTTATTATGGAGGACGGTCGTTCATTGAGGAGTAAAATGCGCACTACCCGCTCTCCCCGCTCTATTCGAGACTGTTTCCTTCTCATTCTCAACGACCTGATATTCGAGCATATCATCAGTTGACGTGTATCAGGGGCTAGTAGTCTCACTGGCAGCCTAGTCGCGTGGACTCATCGTTTCACCATACCATAGAAGTGCCAGCGCATTGGATCACGGGTCAATTTTATACGCGTCCATGCCCGGTCTCGATGTTCTTGGTCGTAGCCAGAACGGGTTAGACTGCTATGGCATCATCGGTTCACCGTCTCCCATGCAGTTCCAATGCCTTTCTCGCCTTCTGGTCCCGAATGTTGTTTGTCGGCACCGGCGAGGACGTTTATGACTTCAACAATCATTTAGAGACAGCGCCATACCGGGGGGAGCGAGTGACAAACCCAACATGCTATCCCGCCGCATCCGGGCACAAGGCCGCCGGGCATGGAAGGTGATCCGAGCCAATTGGTACGAGTTCATCTCGGTTGTGACACCTTCTACGGCCGTCTTGGGAACCAAGGTCCTCCTCGGGCGGTGGCCGCCGTCCCAACACAGATTCCGTAGCTTACCAGGTTGCTAGGCACTTGGGTGTCACTGCGTTCGGCGGGCCGCCAGTGCACTTCCGGATCGTGAGTTCTCTCTCTCCTCTGGTGCCGCCTAAGCTGCCATTTGACCGTGCCTGGCCCTCTGCCCATCCCAGTTCAACGAGAAATTCGTCAAGAAATTGGAATGGATCGATGAGCAGATCTTCCAGGAGCTGTTCAGCATCTCGCAATCACTGTCCGGTCCGGCCAGCACCAAGATGCTGTACTGCATCAACCTCCTGCGCGACGGCTTCACGGCCGCACTGCTAAGCTTTCTGATATGGAGCCTTCCCGGCGCTCTAGGCATGTACGGGCTGTCCATTGGTGTCTCGAACATCAACGAGAAACTGCCGGGACCGGTCTATGCCCTCCTGTCGGGTCTCAACGCGGCCACGGTCGGTGTCATTGCATTGGCGGCTGTCGAGTTGTCCCAAAAGGCCATCACCGACAAACTGACGCGGATCATCGTCTTCCTTACCGGGACTGCCGGCATGTTGTACAATGCACTGTGGTATTTCCCCGTGCTCATGGCAGCTTCCGGTCTTGCGACACTCACCTTCGATTTTCGCTGCCTTCACCGGCCGCTCGCAAAGCTAGCTGCTGCTGTAAGCAGGCTCCGAGGACTATGGCCCTTCCGCCGCTCAGCTCAGGTCCAGACCAGCACAGACGCAGTAGAGAACCCGCATAGCTTTGCGCGCAATCCTCCCGACCCAACCACCCCTCCCATCTCCGAACTCCCCATCACCGAAGACGCAGCGCAGCAGGATGGCAACCCCTCCATAGCCGAGACAGAGCCGCGCATTGTGCCGCCATCTCACCAGCTCTCCATCCGCCTCTCTATAACCTGGAAAACCGGCGCCGCCATCATCGCGTCCTTCCTCGCGACCTTCGTCGTCACCATCACCCTGCGCAGCACCCTCGGCCCGTCGCCGCTGCTCTACCGGCTGTTCACCAACATGTACCTCGCGGGGACCATCATCTTCGGCGGCGGGCCCGTCGTCATCCCGCTCCTGCGCGAATACGTCGTCGCCGAGGGCTGGGTCGCGCCGCGCGACTTCCTCATCGGCCTCGCGCTGATCCAGGCGTTTCCGGGCCCCAACTTCAACTTTGCCGTCTTCCTGGGCAGTCTGACGGCGCTCGGGGAGGGGCAGAGCTCCCTTGCTGGCGCGGCGGTCGCGTGGGTGGGTATCTTTGCGCCCGGGCTGGTGCTCGTGCACGGGACCATGGGCATCTGGAGCGCCCTCAGAGGGAGGAGGTGGGTGAAGAGCGTGCTGCGGGGCGTGAACGCGGGCGCTGTCGGTCTGATGTACACGGCCGTGTATCGTATCTTTGGGGTGGGATACATCGATGACGGGTTCCAGGCCGGCAGCAGCTTGGGCGGCGATCCGTGGTGGGTGGCCATCACCGCTACCAGCTATGTTGGTGGGAGGTACTTTGGGATCCAGGCCCCGCTGGCCATCGTGCTGGGTGCCGTGCTGGGACTCCTCCGATACGCTGTGGTTTCGTCTTGATTGGTGCGGAGTACTAGTACCGTACCCCGGCGCGCCAGGCCTAGCCAACAGTTCACTCTATCCAGTATTCACTGACGGTCCAGCCAAGACGGAACCCTCTTTTAGACACATGGAAGTCCGAGCCTCAATTACGAGGGGTGGACACTGCCGGACTTAACATGTCCTTAGTCCCGCCTAACACCGCTGTCTCCTCGTCGTTGTCAAGGCTCTAGATGAGGAAGGCCACCATGTATTATTTGCCAGCACATACTATATAGACGTTGTTACCCTCAATTCCTCCATCCATCCCCCAATTGTCTTGGACATCCCCTATGTCACTTCCCACATATCTCCCTCAACTCCACGCCTTAGTCGAAAAAAAAAAAAAAAAAAAAAAAAAAAAAAAAAAAAAAAAAACAGCAGTGACAATGTCCGAACCCAAGCCCACAGCTCCTACCCCTACCCGACCGCTCACATTCCTCATAACAGGCTGCTCATCCGGTTTCGGCCTGTCCCTCTCCCGCATCGTGCTCGCCCACGGCCACCACCTGATCGCCACCTCCCGCAACCCGGGCCGCACCCCGGATCTCGTGGCAGAGGTCGAGTCGCGAGGCGGCAGATGGCTTGCGCTCGACGTTGACGACCCGGCCTCGGGCTCGCTCGTCGACAGCCTAGAAAAGAAGGCGGGGGGCATGGGCACGCACATCGACGTGCTGGTCAACAACGCGGGCTACTCCATCCACGCGCCCGTCGAGACCTTCACGGAGGAGGAGCTGAGGGGCATGATGGAGACGCTCTACTTCGGCCCGACCCGGCTGATCCGCGCGGTGCTGCCATACATGCGGCAGAGGCGGTCCGGGGTGATAGTCAACATGAGTAGCGGTGCCGGCTTGGAAGGGAGGGAGAGTATGGGCGGGTACGCCGCGGCCAAGGCGGCCATGGATGGTGAGAGGCTCTTCTTCTTCTTCTTCTTCTTCTTCTTCTTCTTCTTCTTCTATGAGGTTACGTAGGTGTCTTTAAATTTTTCTGTTCTGCAGGCGGCTGACTAGTATATACAAAAAGGCTTGATGAAGGTGCTCGGGAAGGAAGTCGCGCCATTCGGGGTGCGGACTCTGACCGTCCAGCTCGGGGCCTTCAACACCAACATGCCGAACGCTGCGAGCTGCGGGAGGGTTCCGTTTCCTGATGATTACAAGGGAACTCCGGTCGAGACGGTCGCTGGGCTTATCACTGGTGGGACGTTCAATCCGGATGGGGATCATGAGAAGGCCACAAGGGCTATCTATGAAGTTATTGTTGGGGAAGGCGTTGGAGCTGGTCGTGAATCCGAGAGGATGTTGCCGCTAGGGAGGGACCTGGCGGTGCGGCTCAGGGAGGTGCAGGACGGCCTCGGCCACGCCATGGAAGTGTTTGGTGAGGTGTGTAACAATGTATATCTGGAGACGCGCGGACCGTCATCGTCGGTCTAAGCCTACCCATCTGGCTAGGTTGCGGTATGGGTAGTAGTGGGCACTTACAGGTAGTCTTCAGTGAAGGAACGTATTGGACGCAATTCCTGGCCTAGTTTTTGATCCAGGTTCTCGCTGTAGGCACAATATGTCTTCGCGGCCTGCAGTAAGTCATGCTCCTCATTTCCAATACAGCTGGTACGACGAGAGGAATCCCTCTCCTTCGAATCAACCTAGAACTGGAGCCATGGCATGTAGCGGGCACCCAGCCTGGATGCTCAAAATAGGTAGTCTACCTTCGGAGTGAAGAGAAATACATAGAAAACCGTGGACTATATTTTCGACAGTTAAGAAGTTAGTACCTAGCCTTGTATGTAAGTGAGATAGCCAGACGCTTTCTCGAACGGTCATGCTGAACTTGGGGTGCCAATTGGTGGAGCTGTTGATCATCATAGCGGATGTGGATCCATGGCAAAAGAAGCATTTGCCAAGACGGAAAGCGTGTGGGGGTGGCGGAACTCAACTGTGTTCGCTCTCGAACTTGTTGAACCAGCTGCGGTGATCACAACGCGAGAAGAACGACAGCTCACGAAGTGTTCGTTGCGGTATACTAATACGGTGCACGGTACACATGGATGTGACTTGGATGTAAACAGGCGTTGGAGGCTGGCATTGGACCCAGGCACATCTGGATTTGCGCCAGCCTTGTGGAGCCACGGCTGTGGGGAGTGCCAAGACCAATATTTGCCAAGAGATAACGCTGGCTCGGCGCCTGTGCCATCACCTCCTGCTGTGCGCCTTGGCTGATAAGCACAGCCCAATCCGGGGCCCAGCTTACCGAGGATCAGATGGCCTTTGTTTCCTCTCGATAACCTAAGATCAGAACTCCATCTTTCGTAATGGCAGTGTTAATTGTATCTGCTCAAACGTTAGTTGAACTCGGTCTCGCACTTCTACTACGTGGAGAGTAGCTACTCCAGCTGTAGAGCGCTTATCTTCAGTTGTCCCGATGAAATCAAGAATGCCATCGGTGGAAAGCCTGAGCTGGCCCTGAACTGACGGCCGTTGGATGATGCAGTGAAACTGGCAGCTCGTGACATTAGAATCAAATGCGGTTCTGGTTCCTGCAGCGGTACCACAGGAGTATATGAGACTGCAACCACATCGGATGGGCATCTGATCGCGCTGAAACAGACACATACTTTTTCAGGGATCCTCAGACATTGCATCGCCAGGTCTTGCCGTTGGCATTTCCCCGGAGCTGCTTATCAGCATGCGGTTGGAGGCATGGACCCACTTCGGTCTCCCTGGAATCCCTGGAATTTTCAAGGTCCATTCAGGCTCGGTTCCCGTCCCGAAGCAATCATTCAAAGTTACTCGCACCAGACTCTTCGTGATCCCACAAATGCGCTCTCGGACAAATTCGAGGGCGATACTCCCATGCGATCTAGAAGCGTTTATAACGCTCTCCATGGACATCAACTCCCACAGTCTGTTGTGAGCAACCCGATTCATATCGGCATGCTCCGATGCGTTCAATTTTGTATCGACCCCCCACCGAATTCCGAAAGTGGTGAAAGCCAAGGTCCCCTTATCAGTGGGGCCGCCCGCCGTATGTATGCAACGCCCGGGCCCAAGAAAGAAACACACCCGAAGAGGAAGCAAAGGCGGTTATTGTCTGAGGGCCTTATCAGTCTGCAGGATGGAGGACGAGAACGGTTCGGCTCAGGCCCAAGAGCAGCCTGCTTGAGCTCCTTTCCCTGTGGCACGGTATATGACCCTGCTGATCCCCCACTGAATTCGGCCGGTTGCGTCTCTGGGCCTTTTGGTTACACGTGTCGCGAGGTTCTGTGCTGGCGACAGAAGCGGCATTGAAAACAGAAGCAGTCTCCCTCAACACTCCCCGTTGACTTGGACATCTCCTGAAGGTTCGGCTTTACAGTCTCCGCCATGTCCGCCGGACCCCTGACCGAGTATGGCGGCGTCACGGGCGTCGCCGACGACGGCGGCAACTCGCTAACCGACGACCTCAATGTCTACTACTCGGTACGGAGCTGTCCCACCCGTTGAGATGGGGGTTTCCCATTCGCGCCACTAACCGATGGCTCCCTTCACAGTCCGGCGATTTCGCATGGATCATGACCTCGGCGGCTCTCGTGCTCCTCATGGTTCCGGGCGTCGGCTTCTTCTACAGCGGACTGGCGCGGCGGAAGTCAGCACTGGCTCTGATCTGGCTGTCTTTGATATCCATAGCCGTGGTCGGCTTCCAGTGGTTCTTCTGGGGCTACTCGCTCACCTTCTCCCACACGGGAAGCGCCTACATCGGAGACCTCAGCAACTTTGGTCTGATGAAGGTGTTGGGCCAGCCCAGCGTCGGCAGCACCAAGGTCCCTGACCTCCTGTTCTGCCTGTACCAGGGCATGTTCGCGGCCATTACGTGCGTACACCCCTTCCCTCCCCAGACTTGATTTCCCGCGCGAGGGTGCTGACCTTGCCCAGCCCAGCTCTCGCCATCGGCGCGGCGGCCGACCGTGGTAGGATGCTCCCCTGCGTCGTCTTCATCTTCGTTTGGGCAACCATCGTCTACGACCCGATCGCGTACTGGACCTGGAACGCCAACGGCTGGTCCTTCAAGATGGGAGGGCTCGACTTTGCCGGCGGCACGCCCGTGCACATCAGCTCGGGTGCGGCCGCGCTCGCCTACTCGCTCATGCTCGGCAAGCGCACCGGCTACACCAAGCTCAACGGCCTGCCGCACCGGCCTCACAACGTCACCCACGTCGTGCTGGGCACCGTCTTTCTCTGGGTCGGATGGTTTGGCTTCAACGGCGGTAGTGCACTGGCTGCGAACATGCGTGCCGTCATGGCTTGCATCGTGACGCACATCTCGGCTTGCGTCGGTGGTTTCACCTGGTGTCTGCTTGACTACCGGCTCGAGAAGAAGTGGAGCACCGTGGGCTTCTGCAGTGGTGCCATTGCTGGCCTGGTCGCCATCACGCCTGGTTCTGGTTACGTCCCGCCCTGGTCAGCCGTGGTCTTTGGCGTCGTCGGCGGCATTGTCTGCAACCTTGCGACGAAGCTCAAGTTCGTGCTTGGTATCGACGACGCACTTGATATCTTCGCCGAGCACGCCGTTGGCGGTATTGCCGGCAACATCCTGACCGCCTTCTTTGCTGCGTAAGTTGTCCTGCTTGTCTTCTGTCAGGCCTGACGCAGAGCTAACGAATACCCCAGTGACTACATCGCCCACCTTGATGGGTTCAGCGAGATCCCCGGCGGTTGGGTCAACCACAACTACGTCCAGCTTGGCTACCAGATCGCCGACAGCGTCGCCGGCTTCTCGTATTCCTTTGTGCTGACTTGCGTCATCCTGTTCATCATGAACCTGATCCCCGGCCTGTCACTTCGTGTCCCCGCCGCCGAGGAGGAGATGGGTCTCGACGACGGTGAGCTGGGCGAGTTCGCCTACGACTACGTCGAGATCACCCGTCATGTCGACGGCGACCTCACCGGCATGTCCGGTACCCCCGCCCACAGCATCAAGGGCGGTAATATCCCAGCGGGGAAGGAAGCTTGAGACGGTGTGATTGATCATTGAGGGTCAGAATTTATGTAAAATCAGCGGTGTGATTCAATATGGCGGACTGCGTCTTTTGTTGTGATACCTCTCTTACTTATACCACTTGATAATTCACTTCTACATAAATCTGAACATTTATTCTGTTCTCTGTGGCTCTTCGTGCCGCTACGTTGGGCAAGGCCCACTCCGAGCACGGGGCAAAGGATGGCATATAACTACCAACCCTAAGTGGCGATGTTGGAAACGTGTTATGTAGTCCTTTCATTCCTCTCGCTGACGGAACGTTTAGTCAAAAACGATAAGCAGCCACATCGATATGGGACAGCTCTCGTTGCAAAATGCTAGATGGCGGGCACACAAGGGTGTACAGAACGACCAAGAACAGTGAAGCGCCCAGGGGATGGAAAGCACCGTCCCCGATGCTAAAACCTTTCTCGGATGATTATTCAAGCAACGGGGTTAGATCTTAACAACTGAGTATGGTTAGCCAAGGATATGTAGGATCTACCCGCCCTTGCTAGCACCGATGATGCTGCCCTGATGAAGATAGCGCTGGTCCTGTCACCGTCGTGATCGGCCGTCGGCTCATATTTCACATCCTTAGTTGACAACTTGGCCCGAGCGGGATCCTGCTGACATTAGAGACGGCACTAAGCACAGTACTATATCCTACAAGGCGCTTCAGAACAGTTCCAGAGAAGAAGAAGAAACAAAAGAAACAAAAAGAAAAGACAGAAATAAGGAAAAGAAGAAGAGGAAGTGGGAGGAAAATAAAGGAAGAGAAGAGCAACAGAAGAATGGACAAAGGTTGAAGGCATCCCGCTATGCGGGCTAGGGATACATATCCGCTACAGCAAGCATACCGCTGTTCTCACCCTCCGCTCGCCACTGTCAGCCCTTCGAGGCATTTTGCTACGTCCTTCTTCAAGATCCCCAGTATTGAAGCTGTTCTTGCCCTGCAAGAACGACCCGGTGGTGGCTCACATCTTCGCCATGGAGGGACTGGATTGCTCTCAACAGAAAGGGAATTGCGGCTGCGGTGTTCTGTTACCGGTACTGTCTTGGTGATTGGTGGTACTACATTTTTGTTTAGTTATATATCAAGGTATTCAAATTCCCGGATAACCTTTCCAATACCTCCGGTTTAGAGTTTCGAGCAGCGGTCGTGGCCGTCCTTCAATGGCGCCCTCGATTAGGTACGTGAGTCACGTCGGGTCCGCGTTTTCGTCTTTGTTGCCTTCGCAGATCGGTAATCCCAAGTCCTTGACATGCCATCGCCTTCCACGACATACGTCCGTGATTTTGAACATGGAAACGTCATCTGTATAGTTGCAACTCTAGTCGAGACTCTCGACACGCCATCGATGTCCAAAACAAACGCTCCCCATTTTCTTTCCACAATGCCAACGATCACATTATTCAGGCCTCTTTGGCCCTCCATCCCTCATATGCGGAAGGCGGTCGACGGGGCTCCATGCCCCGCGACTTACTCACCTCGACCTCAAACTCGACGGTCTTGCTGATGCCCTGTCCCGACGGATCCATCACGTCCAGCTCGACGTCCGAGTGCGCCGTGCCACTCGACTCGGCACGACCCTCGAATAAGCGCTCCTCCGAACTCGCTCTCCTCCGATTCCTGAAAGCCGCTCCTGTGGCACAGATGCCACCATGCACCTCCACGACGTGTTCCGTGCGACCGCTGGTGGGAAACGCCGTTTTTCCTTCGTCGTCCTTCCCGCCGCTGCGGCCGCCTCCCGCCACCGACCGTATCTTGCCGGAGGACCGCGCGTGGTGCGGGGAGATCGGGTATTGCTTTTGGTTGACGTAGACAACCTTCGAGGAGAGCATGTCGATGCTATGCTTAGTGTCAGTTGGCGGGGTTCGAAGGCTGCGTTGTGGGGGAGGGACGGATGGGGCACGCGAGATACTCACTACATGACGATGGGAAAGAGACACTCCATCGTGTAGGCGAAGCGGTCAACTTGACTGGCCAGGTTCGTGGCCCTCTGAGCCCTGGTCTGAAACGCATGTGTGACGGCGCGCATGATGCCGACGACGGCGAGAAGCGCCATGCGCACCTCGGTGCTGCGCATCAGGTATGGGAACAGGCCGAACTTGGTGGTCTGCTTGAGCGCGCCCATCTGCGCCTTGGCGAAGATGGTCAGCAGGTAGTAGGCGTTGACGCATTCGAGCACGGCAATCATGGGGAAGTAGGCCATGTGCAGGTGGTTGACTGTGGCTTGGAGCGTCTCGTCGCCAGTGATCTGCCTCACGCGGGTGATGACGATGGTAATGCGGACAGCAGCAATGGCCACGACGAAGATCCAGAACACACTCGCGAAGATGTACCAGCTCTTATTGCGCAGAATACGGCTCAAGATGACGTAGCCATAGAACGACAACCCGGCTTCTTGGATCTGCCAAAGACGACAATTAGCCAACGCGGTCCACACGCTATAGATATTCCTGGAGTCTTTACCAGCCACAACATGTCCGCAAACCCGGAGGCGACGGCCCGGTTTGTGGCTGGCTGCGATGGCTGATAAAACGCATAGAAGCAAAGGCCGTTGGCGATGGCGCCGGCGGCCGACGTGACAATAGGGACAGCAGCGATGGGGGACAGGTTCGTAACGCTGACAACGAGGATGCCGAAGAAGACGTTTCCCGCTCCGATGGTGCTGAGGATTGACCAGCTCAACTCAAAGAAGAGCGGACCCTCAGGCATGATGTCCTGTTAAGGTCGCGGCGACGCCAGCAAGCGGGGTGTTGACGAGAGCATATGCCGAGAATGAACTGACATCACCAACCGCGCCACTCGTTGCCCCAGGGCGCGGGCAGGGCGGGAGACGCAGGGTGAGCTAGCAGACGTTCTTGAACGGAGAAACGGGTCCGAAGCAGCGAAAGAATCCCGGTGTTACATGTCTTATCGACGACGCCGACTGCAACGCGTACATTGGGAACAATCATGGGGCAAGAGTGTAGAGGTCCCGTCTCGGACCGTTGATGTCTGGACATCAGACAGTTCAACGACTCGTGTCAGTGTCTGAGAGGAGAGGCTAACTGTGCGAGGCGAGCTAGCAAGAACCTTGTTCCCAGATACTGGGGCGCTAATAAGAACGCGCTACTCATCTGACTTCTCGGAGCATCCATCCCGAACAGAAACATGTCGGATGATGTCGCTCGTCCACGCCATGCTCAAGCCGGTCCCGAATAAAAGAGCCAGCAAACAGCGGCATCTTCCTAGCAGAAGCTTGTCCTCCATAAGATAACGCACGCCATTTCAGTGAAAGTTGAGATGATGTCCCCTGCAAACAGGGCTGCCATGTGGCCGGGCGGGGTTACACTGCATGCACGGATCAGTCTCCGGGGTAGCTGGGGTAGGTAAACGTCGGTGCATCGAAGCCTGCATTAGCGTGTTCTGGGGCCTTTGACAGTCTCGAATGCAGGTGGTGGAACAAGCGAAGGACTGCGAGTTATAGAACAGTTACAGTCGGAAATGGCTTGCTGGCAGCTACACCTAGGCGTTCCCACCGAGCCTCTTATTAAGTTACTATAATAAGTCGCTTGGTGGTTGGCGTTCTCGGCTCCAAGCTCTAAGGGTGAGGGTCCAGGTAACTACTACGGACTGTAGTTAGGCCAACTCCGGCGGTTGGTCCCAGGTGTATAATCCGGGGAATGGCAGGCGTATCGAAAGCATCGACGCATCAACCCACTGTTTCGATTGCTGCTCGCTGCTGTTTGACAATCCACCTTCTCTAGTGTATACTTTCCTGGTCCGCAACGGTGCGAGTTTTCTGCCGTCTGGGGTTGCCAAGTTGCTAGGACCGTGGACGTCTCTTGGCAGCTGAACCGAACAGACCACGGAGAACCAGACCACACCCACATCCGAGAATCGCGACGAAACAATAAGATGACTGAACAGGGCTCCGATTGATTGGCCGCCCTGACTGGGCCGTAGGCGCAGACCAAACTGCAGGTGGTGATAAAACTGTTGCGAAAGAAGAACAGGAAGCCACGTGGAGGCCCAGTGCCGGAGATTCCAGGACCCAGTTAAATAGGTGAATCCACGCCTGGGTTGCACCAGGCGTGCAAGCATCGCCGTGTACTCTCGAGGTGCCTCAACGTGCTTCACGTCAACTTCCACGCCACCGAATCCCCACCTCGCCACCGACTGAACGGACTAGCGTAAGGCACTTTACTCCCATTTACAGCTTAGTGCAAAAGCTGCATGACTAGGTACGGTAGTATGTATGGGAATGGGAGGATGGAATTTCTACGACATTCGTTTTATCCAAGTCATAGAAACCAATTTCCATGCCACACTCGTGTCGGAACCAGACTTTGGCCAGGCTCTTGCATCGTGACGCCAGATGGAGAGTAGTATTTCCCTAGGTACAGGATCCAATAAGTATCTTGGCACCAGGGACCAGACTTCGTCAATAAAGCAGTCGTCTTGTCATCACCTGCTCCCACCCACTGGGAACTCTCGTCTGCAAAAAGGGAGCTCTCGGTTCTCTGTAGACTCTGTCTCTATAGGTTGTTAGATCTTTTACATCGTCGCGACTTTATAGGTATGGCTAATTCCATATTCTCGGCAGCTCTCTAAACTAACTTGCCCTAGACGCCACATCTCGTCGGGTGTCTTGCAACCCTGTCAGGTTTTAACCTTCGCACTGGTAAGCGAGGGAGTGCCTGTGGTGCTGTGAAATTTGAAGGTCCTACTTGGGAGGCATGGAGGTCAGCTGTGGGGAAGAAGAGAGAGGAAGACAGCATAAGTCCCACGCGCCGTGCAGCAAAAGTAGTGGGAACTGTGAGGATCGAACTCACGACCTTACGATACCTCTCGATAATTTCTATCATGAGACGTATACTCCACCAACTGAGCTAAGCTCCCTTTTCTCTTGTTTGCCTGGTGGGATGGGATCGTGAAGATGTTATCGAGGCCATGCTGTTGTCTGGGGATTGGGTGGGCGACTCTGCGTTCTTCTCGATTGGCTGTGGTGGTCTTGCGCGGCGTTCACCGGTTGAACCGGCTGCTACACTACGGTGGCTCCAGGGTGGGTGCAGAAAGGTACAGCATGACACTCACCGTGAAAACATGCATGTCCTCTTCTGAATTTGGCCGATCTGGGGCCTGACGGCTGGGCGGCCTGCCTATGTGTGCCGGCACTGAACAGCTATCTAGCCTCTTATCCAGCTACTAGTAAGGAAAGGCTGTCCTTGCGTGAATGGTATCGTACCGTATAGGTACTATACCTAGGTAGTTGCAGGGGGTCATTTGCATATGCAGGTGAAGTAATGACAATGCACAGCCGTATGTATATGTACTTGTACATCATAGGTGCCAGGTACTTCTTTTGGCCAAGGCAGTGTGACTACCTGCCTGCTCTTAGAGGTCCTGACTTTGCTTCTGCACTTCTATATCATGCTTCCGGAGGTAAGTATACTATTAATGTCACGAATTAACCAACGGCAGGCTGCAGGGCAGACGGCCGTATGTGGGGACACGGGGACGTCCCGAGCCAATCATTTGGACAATCAGGCGGACCAGTCAGAAACAGGCAAAGGTGCTAAGGTGCCAATGTCGCTGAGCACTCTGCAGGACGAAAGTGATCAGAGTGATCAGGGGCATATCACGATGAGCACCCAGGTGCTTATCCAAATCGAAGCACTGAGCACCCAAGAAGATAGCTAGTATATATAGTCACTCGTTCTGGAGGACTCTAGGAGTTCTCCAGTAAGCAATTCAAGCAATAGTCCTTACCTATTGTGTAGACATTGCGACAAGCATTGTTGTGAACCTTTTGGCTTCACCGAGACCTACAGTCCGACCAGCAGATACCTTCGACCGGCGAACCCTTTCAGAGGCAGGACTGCCTGTGGTTTCGTCACAATTAACCCTATATAACTATGCTTATTCCCTCTCTAGTCTTATATATAGCTCTAACGTATCTTATAAGCGAGCCGGCCATATAAGCGAGCCGGCCACTCTCTACTACACTACCAACAATATCCTCAATCACAAAACAACAACACTAGGAACTAACAATAATTACATCAGAAACAGATGAATCAGACCCTTCTGCACCCTCCTGGCAAGTGCGGGCATTATGGCCAGGCTTGCCGCATACACTATAGCACCGAACCTTCGTACGACCCCCCCTAGCACCACTACTATCCAGCTGTATTTCTTGTATTTCCTCCCCACCTACAGCCCCCTGGCTTACCACCTCCTGTGCCTCCTGCACAGTAAGTGATCCTCCAAGCCGCATACGTGTTTTTTTGGCTCTCCGGCGCTTGCTTAGCGCCTCGTTAGCCTTGCGGAGCGAAGACACCTCTGCCTGAAGGAGGGCCACCTGGTGCATTATAGCCATTGTACCCTTGGTAAGCTAGTCCATAGCAGCCAACATTGAAGTCGGGGAGCTATTTTGATGGTTGGCAATGCAAGTCTTGATAAGCGTTGACTATGACTCGGCTTCTCGAGGGTTGTATGGTGTCTGGAAGACCTAAGATTGTGCAGTGCCCGGCCGTGAGGTTAGGGGTGTTGGTGTACGAAGCTTGATATCTAGCTTCGAAAGCACCCTCTCTGGATCGTATGGCATAAGGCCAGCCCCTGCAAAACTGCCCTGTATATTCCTCTTGGTGATAGAGGCAAAGAAGGCTGTGCGAAAGGCACAAAGGAACTCGAGCTTGCTTATATGGTTGATATACGCATGTACCAAGTCCTCGATCTGGCGACCGTACGCCTGCTTCAACGGCCTAAAGCAGCCAACATCAAGTGGCTGGAGGAGGTAGGAGGAATGTGGAGGCATGTAGAGCGTAATAATGTTGTTCTGCTGGCAATAGAGCTCGAACTCGGTCGAGTGGTGGCTTTCGTGGCCATCGAGGATCAACAACCGGTATTTACCCTTTGTCCGAGGCACTATATAGTAGTCGAAGTGCTTGATCCAATCAAGGCCTACCGCATTAGTAGTCCAGCCATTCTCGGTGGTTGCGATACGCCAGTCGGCTGGGAGGTTGCACTCTTGATACCAGTTGGCGAGGTGGTACTGTGCCGCTAAGATGATAAACGGAGGGATAGCCCAGCCAAGGGCATTGACGCCTTGGATCACCGTCGCCCATTCGCGGTTGCCAGGCTGGGCTAGCTTCGCCTTGCCACGGCCATCCGAGGTTGTAACCACCATACCCGGGAAGATAATGCCCATTATAAACCCAGTCTCATCGAAGTTGTAGATATCATCATCTACAATGCCGTACTTAGCCTTAACATTCTGCACAAGGGCAAACCATTCGCCAATAACCTTCGGATCCTCGCACTTGGCCCTCTGGTAGTCGTATCTATACGTATAACGCGTCCGGAGCTCTGGCTGGCGTTTGACAAAGTTATACGCCCAGAGCTTGCCGACAGGGGGCGCGTCGCGTACGCGTAGCAGTTGGTTGGCCATATCTTCCACACCACGCAGTCTCGGCGGAAAAGCTCGCTCAGATAGCTCAATTATATACTGAACAAGAGCCCTCTCTTCGGAATCGGTGAGCCGGCGCAAGTTGGGCGTAGTGTCGCGTCGTGCAGGCCGGCCCGCTAGTCGGTCTTGCAAGGTTGTTCGTCGAACGTCGTAGTACTTCGCTGCAGCCCTTATGCTTAGTTTTTGGTCTTTTTGTATCGCTTCGAGGGCTAGGTTTATCCTAGCCTCGTACGAAGAAGAAGACATGTTAGGTTGTAAAGAAAATCTGGTTTTAAGCGCGGAAGTGACGCGTCGCGGGTAAAGTGGCCGGCTCGCTTATATGGCCGGCTCGCTTATAAGATACGTTAGGTCTTTTCTCTTGTCAGTCTACGACAATATTTATTTCGTTTATATAAGTTGAACAAATTCCCATTGCAAGTCGTCCAAGTTTGAGTCTTGACCGAGTCCGCCGCCAAAGGAAACCCCAAGTAGAGGCAAGTCTTTGTCCAAGGTACGTCTTCGTCTATTAAACAATTTGGACTCGAGTCCTACTAAATGAGCGGCAATTCCATAGTACTAGAAACGCCATATGTCAAAGATGCATCCGAGGGTCAAATACGCCTATAGCCATAATGTTGAGTAGGTGTTGTATATGGTGAAGTGTAAGGAAGCAGAGGGAAGAGGATCCGAGTATGATAACCCTATAGACAACTATAACCTGGGTATAGGATCTAAGAAAGGCGAATGCCTAGACTGCGAGGAAAGTTGAGGACTATCGAAAGATGTCATACCGTATAATAATGGTAGATGGAGTTGGCAGGCTTTGATTAAGAGAATCTGTCGCGTAGTATATGCTGGCGAACTGAGAGCAACGAAGTGATGATATTCGATGTCTAGTTAGCTAGTGGAAGACGGGGCAAACCATGCATTGTGGAGGTCAGGTCGAAGTGGGCTGAGGTGGGGCTGCCTGCCGTGCCTCGAATGCGAATCAGCTGCGACCAGCTTGTTCTCTCAACAGAATATGACAATGCCACGGCGCATTCACCATTTTGAGTGCTGACATAATTCACCTTGCAATAGAAGGCTCATTAAGTAACTACCGGAGCGGGTCGCCTAGCTGTCAGCTGTCCGCGCTAGCATCGTTATATCACCCCACAATGGCTCCCTCCCTCCAAATACTATTTCACTTGCTCTTGGCCGACAATTTTATATCTAGGGGGGTCGCCGGCCATATTTTCCGTATCAATTAAAACATTGTCTTAAAATATCCTACCAAGTTCGGCAATGCCTTACCTGAGTAGATTAAGGAAATAGAAGAAAGCGGCAAAAAGATTAAGGCCAAGAAGGCGGAGTATCGCGTCTTAATAAAGCACCCATACCTAAATATCGTCCAATATATCCTCTACGTCCCGGAAGGCATCTTCCTATACCGAATAGAATCCACGTTTTAAGAAAGGCTATCCTAGTCTCGGACGGCTCCTATTCCGGCCCGTATCTAGGAACGATAGGTTCTATAGTTAACCAGTGCTATCGCTTGGCTTGAACGCCTCGGCCTCGTTCACGGCGATCTCCGGCCGGCCAATACCCTTCTTAATATAAAGGACAACATCCAGCTTAGCGACTTCGACGCAACCGTTAAGCCAGGCGCGGAACTTATAGTAACGTACGAGCCTCTCTATAAGATAGATGAGAATTTCAAACCGCCGCTTGCTGGTCCGGTTAGCGAGCAGTTCTCACTTGCCTCGTACATCTACAATATCCGTTTTAGACATTGACCTTGGCACGAACTTAATTATCTAGCTCGGGTTAAGAAGCTAATAAGAGATGAATTTCCGTCGGTTTCGGTAGATTTAGTCTTTAGCGACGTAATAATGCGATACTAGCACGGCGAATACGTTTCTATCGCGTCTGTCCAGCAAGATGTCCTTCCCCGGCTTGGGCGGAGTGCTGCTGAAGACATAGCTTTGATGCAAGCATCCATCAAGGAGGTTGCTGCGCAGTATCCTCTGCCGAGAGCTGAATGTGAGGAATTCGTGGCAAAGCAGGCGTGGGGATGAAGCTACTAGAAAGGAAAAGTTCCTTCATGTTCTAGTTGTCGAGCGTTGCGTTACCTCGCCGAGAGACCCGCTTACACTCAGTTTGGTAATGGTGTGGCCTCGGCCGAGCTGTGGTTGCCCTATCTCCTCTCCCAGGGCAACTTGGGCAAGATGCTACTTATCTACCATGGACTTCAAGGCTCCATATCTCCCGCTCCCTGGCAATGGCCCTGATTTCGATATCGGACGGCGATTATACTGTATATACAGGTGGCTGAATAAAGGACACCTGTTTAAGATGGCTTCTGCAGTGAAATGGCATTTTCCCCTAATAACTCTCTCTCGAGAGATGACCGGCAGATGTATGTATTGGACAAAGGTACCTATCTACTTATGCTTGCGACGAGTCATCAGGATAACGTTCAGGCATCGTATGCGCAGAGACCGGTATCTGCCTAATCACTAGCCCGGAGAGGGAACGTTGGTTCGCGGTCTAACTGAAGTCTTTGACGTAATGCATCAGTGTCTTCCAATAAGCCTAGGTCTGTGCGAAAAAGTTCCCCTCTTTCCCTTGACTTGAGACCGTCCCTTACTCATCCGGAGTCCGGACATTCCGTACTTTCTTTCATCTTGGAAGAAACACATCGACCTGAATCTTTTACGTTACACTTTACTCAGACTCATCGGAGGGTATCCTCGGGGGTAAACCGTCAACCTCCAAATTCACCACAATCCACCCACTCTTCCACGTCTGTTCAACTTCTTTGCCGATTCCATCGATGCAATCCCAACCTCCCACCTCCATGACGCCCCGGTACAACCCAGCCGGGCAGACCCGAGTCACCCAATGGTCCCGACTAGAACTTCTCCCCGTGGAGCTCCTGCTTCTCATTTCGGAGGAGCTACCGGGGGAGTCGCGCATCGTACTGGCTCTAACTAGCCGTACGATGAAGCACAAGACGGGCGAGGTCGGCCCCGGCACCAGCAACGTTACAACTGACGAGCCTGACGAGCATTGGCCTCGGTCCCCTCGCATGCCGCTGCTCGACCTCCTCGAGCGCGACGCCTTGCTCCTCACGGCCTGCGACTATTGCCGGAAGCTGCACTCGCCCTTCTGGAGCGACCCCGGGCCGGATGGCCGACGCTGCGGCGAGAGGGCCCAGCGCTTCGACCTGCCGTTCCCTGCCGAAGACGACGATTGCGGCGCGGGCTGTTGCCACACAGTCCCCATCACGCAGCCGCTTGTTCGCGCCGTCTCGTCGTGGCACCGCCGCGGCCTCGACGCCCTGTCGCTGCTTGGAAACGTCTGCCGCAGCATGGGCGGAATGCTCGGGCCCTACTCGTACGTTATCGACTACAAGGCTCGAGTGGTCGATGGCCATGTCCTCCTCCGGCACCAGCTCTTTTTGGCCGGGACCTTGCCTCCGAAAAGCCACGACAGTCCTACAGCCCAAGACGTCGCCGCCCTGAAAGAACTCTGCGGCAGGTTTTTCTCTGGCCTTGGCTATCTCGCGGGCTTGCGATGCATGCTCACCCATAGCGTGCCATGCCGGAGCTGCAAAGGCCCCGGCTACTCTTCAGGGCGTGTTGACGGCTCCGATCAGATCTTCGTCAACTCCCCTACCAACGCTATCCCTGCGCCGAAGGGGTCTTCGGACCGCATCCTGGTCTTCACCGCCTGGAGGGACCTGGGGACCGGGAGTTCGGAGTACAAGGCGGACTGGGGAGCTTATACATGGGGCAGTTCTAGTAGCCACCAGATGTTCAGACACCCCAATGGATTCCCTGACTGCGGCATGCTCCGTAACGGCCGGATGGGCGATGTGTATGAGGCGTACGAGGGCGCTGCAAGGGGAACCGCTTATGTTCCGGAGCTGCCGCGGTATGTAGAACAAAAGTTGTTCTAGACTTTTTTGCGCCATCGCGAATCTGAGCTATTACGTTTAGACGCGTTTGGGGAATTGGATCGATCTCACTATTGAGTTATTCACATATTCGGCTGCATTCATCTTACGAATCTCCAAACAATAATAGCAGATGCATGTCGAAGTCTGACAGATGCTTTCCGGTTTCCCAGTGAATCAGTGATTACTCACTAATAATAGGTGTACCCGGAAACCATTGTTCCCTACGATCAAAATGCCGAGCTGCCCGCGATCAGTTCTCGGGCAAGGGACGCATACAGTACCTACATTAGTAGGCGTCAATATGAGTGTAGTATTCAATAGTATACTACGATCCAGTTCCCGCCGATGTCAATGAGCCCAATCTATCTACCTTGCCTAAGGTACACTTGGGCCCCGAAGGCGTAGTGGTCACTCACTCCCGCCTGAAACTTGAGTCAAATGGAGCCCTGACACAGCTCTTATTGTTCAAGGTTCCGTTGAATGGGTGCAATCGATAGTCCATATGGAGAGTTATGCTCATGTCGATGAGAGACGTTCAATTATTTCTTATGTGTATGTCGTCCCTTGTCTCAAGGAGAGTTGAACCCTGACACAGAAAATGGTACCGGCAGCTTCCCGAGAATCAGGCACCGCCGCCTCCCGAACAGAGACCGAGCCACATCCTACCTAAGGTAAGCATCGCTCATTCGTGAAGCCACTGCTTGAACCAAGCGACCGCCGCATTCTTCCCCCGGACCATGGCGGCCCTCTCGCCCTTCTTGTTCGCATCGCCCCTGACCAAGCACCCGTGCTCGACCCCAGGAAGGTGCTGATACTCAAACGGCACATTCTTCTTCTGCAGCGCGGTGAACGTGAACTGCTTCATCTCCGGCGAGTAGACGAAGTCGAACTGGGGCGCGACCAGCTGCGCCGGCACCAGCACCGACAGCTCCTCGACGTCCTTCTCCGTCAGCATGCTGGGGTGGCCCGCCGAGATGGCATCCACGAGGGGCTTGCCCGTCGCCGGGTCGACAAACTCCTCTGCGCCCAGCCGGAACACGGCCCAGCCGCCGTAGCAGAACCCGATCGCCCCGATCTTGTCGTACTGGCCCGACGCGCGCAGGGCCCGGGCGTAGGCGAGGATCTCGGGCTCGCGCACCGACCGCGCGTTGCGCGTCGTGAGGCCGGGCAGGTCGAGCTCCTCGAACCGGCCGGCGAGCGCGGGCTCCAGCGGGACGACCTCGCCGCCGAAGAAGTCGGGCAGGTAGACGGTCGCGTTGGCCTCGCGCGCGTAGGCGTCGGCCAGCAGGCGGTTGTTGAGGAAGGTCCAGCCGAGCATGTCGTGGATCATCAGAATGGCCACGCGGGAGGGGGACGGGGGTTGGGAGACATATGTTGGGTTGGGCACGCCCGGCAAGGTCGTTTCTGCACCGGCGGGCGTGCCCTCCCAGAGGGAGGCCTTGAGGCAGCAGTCGGCCTTGGGGGTTCCGGAAGCCATCATGGGTCTCGTTACTTAAGTGTCGGGTGGTTGTGTGTGTTTATGTAGTGGTGAGAAATCACAAATGCTTGTCGCGAGTCTCTGGGCCGTTTCCGGGTTCTTGGCGGCGTGGGATGAGGTCTTTTGTATATGGTTACACACATACCACCGTCCCGGCCTGAGTGGTTGACCAGTGACCACGGAGCATCCTGTCGCACCCGGAGATAGGTGGCAATTGAAGTCCGAGGCCCGGCGACGAATATAAGCCACTACCGTGATACCATCGGGCCGAGCCATGTCGGAGGAATTACAAGATCGACTCGCTCACCGCACTGAGAGCAGTCGAATTGTCAATTTCTACGGATGTTGGCCCGCTTGTCGCTGAGACGGTGTAGATGACTGCGCTTACATTGATGACCACGGCTGATCGATGCGATGAAACCAGTAGTTGCTGCGGTAGAATCAGTCAAAACTGGCGGCCATCAAGTCGGGCAGGAATGAGTCGGACGGATTCAAAGAGCGAGCGGCGCAACTGGGCGCCGAAGTGGTGTGGCTTCCGTCAATTCCGACTGCGACGATCGACAATTGCGTGGCCAGAGTCGTATCCGTTTGTTGGTAGCAGGTGAACTGCGATACCCAGACAGTTGCATTGAAGCATGCTTCTTCCCCATGACGCCACGGATGCGGCGTTCACAGCGAAAAAAAAAAGGTTCAGGGTGGGTTTGACATCAAAAATTGCGGCCGGAACGGCCCCGAAGGACAATTCATGACGGCCGGCACCACGATGTGCAATGCAGGCCTTCCGTCATACTGCAAGGAATTCTTGATCCCCCTGCAGTCAACCAAGGTAAGTATGAAGAAGAAAAAAAAGAAGGTGAGGAACTTTGGGCAACGTGAGCGCGAATTTATAGCCTAAGAATTGGTGGTTTGTGCACGTTTGCAATTCGCAGCAGCTTGCACGTGATCCCGCCAAATGTGGGCACAGATTTCCCGATTTAGATTTGTGGTCTGGCTGGTTCCAGTGATTTGTGGTTTGCTAGTGTACGGCCGTAGCTGGTTGACTTCCTCGAGTTCAAGGGTTTCCGTTCACCTCTGGACGATAGCGTAGTCTTCAAAGCTCCAGCGACCTCCAGGTCAACCACACATACTTTCCCACCTCGCTGTACGTAGCACCGTGGATCTCCTCCGGTGCATCTTCCAGCCCAGGCGGGTTCTTCGCGGAGCTAGCCATGAGCCCATACTGGCCCCATCGCAGACAATCCACGCCCGGAATCGAGTTCGGGAACGGCCAGATCTGCGCACAGTCAGCCACCTACTTCTACATGATATCCGGGGATTATAGCAAAACCAGGTCTTACGCCGAAGGCATACGCCTCGTTTCCCTCCTGGCAAGTAAACCTCGCACCCAAGATCTTGCACGGTCCAGCAGCGCTGGTCAGCGTGAAGGTGCGGAGAGTGCTGCTATCGAGTGTAGTCGCCGTGAAGGTGCCACAAAGCGTGTTATCGGCCGTCCACAGCCCGGTCTCGGTCAGGCAGCCGAGGTCAGCGTAATCGCCATCGTTCCACCGAGTGCGCAACTGGCCGGTCCCCGTGAAGCTTATCAGGGCTGGTGTGGGTGAGGAAGAGGAGGGTGGAGTTGGCAGGGCCACCGCGATGGCGGCGAGGGTGGATAAGGTCAGTGTCAAGGCAGTGAGGCGGTGCATTATTTATCAAGACGCGATTGAGGATGTGTCGAGATTGCTGATGTCGATGTTGCATGGAGAACTCCACAGAGAAGTCAGGATTAAGGATGCGGTAACAGGATATATGAAGACTAAGGATACCTACGTCTACGTACGAACTCAGTCCTACCTCCCAGTTCTACGGAGAAGCGCAAATCTGACAGACCTAGCATATTGGATGGCGACTAATTGGGTCTGCGGTCCGTGACCTTCATCCTTTTCAGATGCAGCGTACCGGGATTGCATGTCGAGTGTAGGTCTCATGATACACACATGCGAATTAGGAGGTTGCAGAGGCCGGAGGATTACCCCATTTGCTCAAGGGCGGGTTGACTGAAAACGCAGGTGTCGGCAACGAGACACGTCTCCAAGGAGTAATTCCCAATCCGTAGTACGCAAGTTCGGAGGTGGCGCCCGAAATGGAGGGTACCTAACTCGGAGTAAGCGCTTCGTCTCTCGCATACCTCACCTCACCCCTCGAGTCAATGTCTTGCAGGAGCACCAAGGACTTCCTAAATGCGCCAACCTGTAATGCAACTGATCATAGCTGCCCGTGGGCCGGTTGCCTACCTGGTGTTGTGAGAGGATTGGACGCAGCACTGATCTGGTATGTAGGTCACTCGCTTTACCCTCCCTGCCTGTGATGCTCTGCTGGAGGTGAAGATGTCGAACATTGAAGCGAAATGCAACCCATGTTCTTTGATACGTATTTGTACTGTAGAGAGAAAAGTGAAAAAGATAAAGACAGGAGAACAGATCGATCCCGCAAGTCAGCGGTGCTTTCGCCTAGAAAAGCAGAATAGCTACAAGCTTTAAATCTTAGAAGACATATCTGATATCAACCTCGGACCCGTAAGAACCTTTGGTACAGATAAACGCCCAATTCAGCTTCTACTGCCAGTCAGCTCCCCTTATCGGGCTGCCCTGCGAAGTCCTCCATGATCGAACGCGCTACCCTCTCGACCATCAAGGAGTACCCGGGTCACTGGCCGGGTGATCCATCTAGCCTGGTCAAGACCGCATGCATCCGCCGCTGAGGATCGCTATACCATCACTCACAATGTATATTCCCTACCAGCAAATGCTGTATTACCTCAAGGAAACCCGTTTCCATCTGAGTTGATCCAGCTGCTTGAGAGCACACCATCCTCCTGTGACTGAGGCAGGGGCCTTAGCTAGCATTCTAACCTCCACGATGACAGGGAACTAGCAGCAAGCAAAGTAGAATGAAAAGACAAGCGCATGGTGACGGATTGAACCTGACACCGACCGTCAAATCAAGTGTTATGGGTTGCTTTATATTGAAGGACCTAGGAAGGTAAGGCAGCTCCTGCAGGTCGCGTCTTCGCAAGGCCTTGCAATGTTGAACCGGGGCTTTCGGAAGACCCTCATCACCAGGATCGGCGGTATAGTTCTAGTGAAACAGGGAAATTGCGGAGTTGGGGTATATTTGACTTGATCTTTGGTGCACTGGCAGCGCTTTCGTGAATTACCGCCGGCGAGACAGAGGCAACTACAGACGACCTTTGCTAACAGCAAAGCCATATGAAAACCCATGCTTCCAGACCATATTCGTACTACTTGTGTATGCAGTCTAACTAGCATATCGTCAAGAGCCTTGTCCAAGAGATCGATTGGTTTCCTTAGGCCTTGGTCCTTTTGATCCTTTCTACTGTCAGACCCCTACAGTTTCGGTTACTACCTGGGCGTCCCATTTCACTGGTGTCTTGCCTGGCGATGTCGAGATAGAGAGGTGTAAAATGACTGTTGTCATCTCTCAACTCCTTCCTTGACCGAAAGCCCACCACTGCCAGCCGGCAACATCGGAGTTTCTCCATCCTTAGGTGTATGTAGCGCTAGGGACCATAATAAGTCTTAATGATATCGAAGCAGCTAAGCTCGAGAGGGCTCCAACTCAATAACATCACCGTTGCTGTGATCGGGGGAAGCACATTACGCTGCCAACACGAGCTAGAGGCAGTGGCGGGGTACCGAAAGAAGCCGAGGTTTGGTTGCGTCGTGGCGTTCGGGAATCCAAACGGAACTTTCTCGCTCGTGGCACATCAGAAGTCCGCTTACCTTTGCACACCGCTTCGACGACCTCGTCTACAATCTCATCCCATCACCGACCACGCGAGAGTACAAACTGAATTAAACATGTCGACGCCCCAGAGACTACAGATGGTCCACCGTCTCCAACGCGCGATGGCAACGGCCTACGCCGGCCTAGGCGCATGGTAAGCATCCGGCCCGCCCCAAATCCCATCGTCACGAATACGTACGAGCTGTTAGGTGCCTCATCCACCCCTACTCTGTCGTCGCCCTCGGCTTCACGCCCAAATACGTCGCCATGTCCAACGAGACGACGCACCTGCTCATGCGTTGCTTCGGCGCCCAGGCCATGACATGCGGCCTCGTGCTGGGCACGGCGGAAATGACGGCGTCCAGCTTCACTGCTTTCGGACTGGCCATGATCCCCTATCTCGGGTGGAACTTTTGGTTCAGCGGCATTGGGCCCGCGAGGGGTATGATCAACAGCCTGATGTGGCTCGATTTCCTCGGGAATGTGTTCTTCATGGGCGGCTCGCTGTGGTGTGCGAAGGTGCTGAAGAGGGAAGCAAACAAGAAAGATTGATTCTAATTGTTACAACGTTCTGCGGCCTCGGGAAAACATTGAGCAGCGATTTGGAGGTTCCTCAGCTTCAATGGATGCCAGAAGAACTTTACACTATCAGACTCACGTTTGCCATCTCTTCGGTTGGCGCGTTTGATCGCACCCACCAAGTGCAGTGACTCGAGAGTGGGGACCCTTCAAACCCCACTTGCTGCGAATGGAGGGCTCCACACTGCCACCCCGCATTCACGATGCGTGATCCAGAGGGAGAGTTTGAGAGGTCCAATCTCCAGTTTCCCGGGCTTCTGTCTGTGTGACAGACAGCCTGACAGCTGGGAGCGAAGATTTCGCCTTCCGCTACTGTGACCGCTCTTTTCCCACCACCTCGATGGCTGGACAACAATATAACGAGCCCGGCCGTGATTGGCAAACCCGGGGGTTGGCACGCTACGTCGCAGTTGCCTTATCGCAGCAGAGCCTGCGGGGTCATTTCATATTGCGACAGTTCCTCCTGCCCGATGTTCCTCTCAGCTAAGATACCAGGTAGCGTCGGGGGAATATTGTCTTGCGAAGATCAGTGTCCTTGCGATAGTACTACCTGCCAGGCTGGAGGTTCGACCTGCCAAGGCTAAGCGTTGAGAGAGCTGCGGAGACACAAGCCATATCTGTCACCGTGGGACATTCTCGTTTACCAGCAATGGCGGAGCCGACAAACACCCCGATGCCCCCGAGCACTCCGGTGCCGGCATCAACGCCGCGCTCGTCGTCCCCAGCGCCGCCCCTGCCGAGCTTGAGCCCGAACGCGATCAGGTCCGCGATCTCTCCTGCGGGAAGGATCGCACCAGTACGTCCTACCGTCCTTCACATCGGAGACCCCATAAAGTACAACCCAGCGACCTATGCCGAGTTCAGCCAGATATTCGAGGTGATACGTCCCAGCGCCGCCGAGCGTGAGCGCAGCGAGTTCATACGGGCCCTGAAAGAGCGCCGCTGGGGTGACTTCAGCGCTATCTTCCGGCCCTTCTGGGGCACCGGCGGCGAGATGGGTTGCTGGGACGCGGGACTAATCGACCTGTTGCCGGACTCCGTGAAGGTATTTGCTAGTGCTGGGGCGGGCTTCGACTGGGCCGATACCAGACTGTTGGGGGAGAAGGGTGAGTCCAGTGGTTCTTCTAGGGAACGAGGCCCTGTCTCCTGACGTAGCCAAGGAATCATCTACTGCAACTCAGGTCTCGCGGCCGCTGAAGCGGTCGCCGACTTTGCCGTTGCCATGATCATCTCCACCTTCCGACACCTGCCCTGGTGTATGGCAGCCGCAACCGTCGCCGACCCCTCCCAAGCGGGCTCGCTCGCGCGCGCAGCCTTCCACGACTGCCATGACCGCGCAACGGCAGTGAGTCACAACCCGCGAGGTCATGTGCTCGGCCTGATCGGCTTTGGCAACATTGGGCAACAAATTGCCGCCAAGCTTGGCAATGCGGCCTTTGGCATGCGTATCGCCTATTACGACATTGTCCGCAAGCCAGCCAAGATCGAATCCTCACTCCACGCGACCTTCCATCCGACCCTCGAAAGCCTCATCCGAACCTCGGACTGCCTCGTTCTCTGCGCGCCCGCATCAACAGATGGCAAGCCCCTTGTCACGGCCTCCACTTTCCACTCCATCCGACGAGGAACACGCTTCGTAAACGTGGCCCGTGGCTCCCTCGTCGACGAAGACGCACTCGCGGACGCGATTGAAGCAGGGACGATCAGCGCCGCCGCGCTAGACGTGCATGCCAACGAGCCTAAAGTGAATCCACGGCTGGTGCGCATGGCCACGCAAATTACAGCAGAGGGGATTCCTGGGCCGGGGAGGGTGATGTTGACGTGCCACAACGCTGGCGGCACAGTTGAGACGCATATCGGGTTCGAGGAATTGAGTATGCGGAATATAATGGCGGTGCTGCGGGGCCAGCCGCCCATCACGCCTGTGAATCTCGAGTTTGTGCGGGCCAAGAGCTGATGGGAGAGCGCCGAGTGGGGGGCATGATGATGACGGGAAAGATATAAGGCATAAGCAGATCTGGGCCCTGACATTCTGGATTTCAAGTCGTGGATCCGAGACAGGTTCGGATACAATGGAGGGGATGCAAAACCCGAGGTCCAAGGAGCGAATGAGCGGAGCCATCGCAGTTCGGCGCGGGGACAAGCGTTCACACCGACATCAATAGACACGCCTTGCTAAACCCGTGCTCCATCCAGGAATCGCGAGTTGCTATTCCGGGATGCGTGTGGTGAGGGTACAAGTACAGACAACCGCCCGCTGAAAATAAACGAGAAAACTCGAAGAACATGTATAACGAAGAGACATTAAGTATGTCTTCCGGCCCACTACATCCCGCTTGTCTAAATCCGCAGTCCCGTCCCCATCATCAAATCTCATAATATAACCGGGGTATCTAACGTTGTGTGGATGAATTGTCCGCCATCTCAACCGGATTGGCCACGTGGCCCAACGGGATGCTGCCGTCCAGTTCAGAGACAGCTTGATGCGCAGGCTGCTGCCCAGGAGCACCGGGATACGCCGCATACCCACCAGGGGGGGACATGTGGCCGGGCTGCTTGCTGGGATCGTAGTACGACATCCGCGGGTCGTACGCCCCGGGAGGCGGTGGCGTGGTGCTCGCAAGGTAGGGAGTTCCGGGCTGGAGGGTGGTGTTGACGCTCCCTGGGGAGAAGTAACCGGATTGAGACATTTGAGGGGACGCTGACGTTGGCGCGTAAGTCGACGGCGGTACGGCGCCGACCGCGCCGGGGTACGACGTGTCCCCCGGCGCAACGGCACTGTACGCCGTGCCGCTGCCGACGTTGCCGCTCTTGTTCCGCTTGCGGATCATGACCCAGGCAATGGCGCCTGCGATGAGCGCTAGGCCGGCAACGCCGCCGACTACTCCGCCGACAATGGCGCCCGTGTTGCTACTGCTGCCGGAGCCGTCTGGAGGTGGCGAAGCCGTTGTTGTTTCGGCCGGGGCTGCGGTTCTGCTGCTTGCGGTCGTCGTACTCGACGTGGATGACGTGGATGACGTGGTTGAGGTACTGGTTGTCTCAGCGGATTCTGGTTTTTCCAACATGGTGACGATCGTCTGCGCGGTGTAGCATCGGTACATGGACCGCGGTGTACTGCCGGGCCAAAGGTAGGTGATGCATGCTCCGAGGCTCTCGGTCATGCTGTATCAATGTCAGCCAAAGTCGATGCCCACAGCTCAGAGTCTGGGATTCACCCACCAGCAACCCGTCTTCGGCCCAATGCTTTCGCACGCGCCGGCCTGGACGGCGTTATAATCGAAGCATACTGTGAAGAAAGGGCTTGGTCCTCCAGGCGAGGTGCAGCCAACAACGTTGTCGGTGTTTGTCGAGCATTGTGAGGACTTTGGGCAGGTAAACGCCTCGGCTGTGTGAGACGCTGAAGTAAGCAACAGCATGTGTGAAGACTGGCGAAGCAGGATACTCACCCTCCGTTCCGGCGAACCAACCGCATGTCTGACCATTCAACCAGGTGTTTGATGTTTGTCGCTTTGCCTTGACCCAGTCTCCTCTCCTCCTCGCCAGCTCCAACGCGTCTGCCCCATGAGCGACGAAAGGGGCTTCAGTAGGCCTTGGTGTCCATCCAATTACGCCCGCTTGGTTTGACGCCCCGGTTTCCCTCGGCCAAATTAAGGCCCCCCTCTGGTCGAGTTCCTGACCAAGCAGCAAGTTTGCGCTTGCTAGATGGCCTGGTGCAGCCAAGAGCCATAAGTAGGACCGCATTCCGTGACCTCCCTGTGCGCGCCAATCTTGCCGTGTAGTTCTGACCGTGTACGCGAGTAGGGTCGATTGAGGTGCTGCTCGACCCGAAAGGCTTCTTGGAACTCGGTCGCAATTGGAGTTTGAACCGGTGGTTTCTTGGCATGAATGGTGGTTGAAGAAACGAAGCTTTTGTTTCTCAACCTTGCCCCGAGGAGGTCGGTACCCGACAAGTTGAGAAAAAACGGCTGGGCCGACTGCTCGGACTTCGTGGCTCAGCTGCATAGCACAAGGGGTCGATGACAGGGGTTGTTCTGAGGTGGCTCAGCCGCTCAGGGCATTGGACGAATCAAGACGAACCTTGTATGATACCCCAAGTTCCTTCAATGGACGGACGGCCATTCCTACCTCGGACCGACACGGAAACGAAAAGCCCTGGCGCGTTGAGTGCGAAATATTAAAGGCCATGGTTGTCTACCTAGATTCAAGGGTACATGTACATGCCCCGAGTGGTTTACTTGCTGACCTTCTCCGTACAACTAACTACCGCGCACCTTATGCCAGTGTGTTTTAACTAACGTTAAGTGAAGCCTGGCCCGTCCGTCACCCACGCAGCAAATCAACTGCGCATCGTCGGCAGCCCCGAACCACTCGTTGCCAACCTCTCATCAGCAAACTTGAACTGAAAATAGACGGACTTGGCTGCGCTTACCAATTGTGTGGGTGCCGCTCGATCAACCAATGACTTCACGGGTCACTCAGCCCGGGTGGGGATGGAATCCTCTTTCCCACTTGGTGTTCGTCCGGAGTGGGGAACACGTGGGGAACTTTGTACAGTTGTGGCTGCCTAAACTCGTCTGGTCCCTAATTTCAACACGCAGCATCACCTCACCTGCATTCTCGACGTCTTTCAAGACTCTCGAGTCCTGACAGCGCGGCGTTTGTCATGTCCGTGCTACCTCCGTATCCAACTGCCCCGCGGAATGTTCCGCGGGCACTTCCGTCCATTGTCATCTTGAACAGCAGGTTCTGAAACATTCCTGTCGCTTAATGACCAATCATACCACAAACAGTCCAACCTTAATCGCATTAGCAGACCGCGACTTACATAAGTGATGGCTCTCTTGTCGGGAAACAGCAAGACGGTGTCTCGCAACCGGCATGGACGGGCTGTACCTCAGGTAACATTAGTTGGTGAGGACAAGAAATAACAGAAGAGTGCAGCTTATACACCCTCAGCACTCAGCTGAAGCTTAGCAATAAACAATAGAAGATTCTTGTCAGTCTTGATTCTATCCATCTTGTACAATACAATACATTCTGCCGCATTCGGAATCGAGAAGCGCTCTAGCCGTGAGAAATGACCCGTCCCATCCCTACAGAAAGCGAAGAACTGGCGATACCTATGCAGGACCCTGCAAAACATTTGGGAAAACATCGTTGGAGCTGTTTCCGACGTAAAAGGAACACTATGGTAGACCCTAACCCTGACTTCACACAACCCGAAAAGCTTTGAACATTTTTTCAAGCTTCGGATACGCAGCAGCAAATTGGCGCATGGTGAAGGGGCCGAAACCGGGATAGATTCGCGAAACCCGATCACACGAGTCTGACAGGCGCCGGGGAAAACGACTTTGATTGAGTGAAGGCATTGTGTCACAGCACCACGCACAAATTTCAGGCCACCTCACACTCTACCACGGGCCTCCTGTTCTGACGCACGGCGACATCATGGCGGAACCTTGTCGCATCGTCGTCATGGCCAGCGGTAACGGCTCAAACTTCCAAGCCCTCATCGACGCCATCGCCGCCGGTCGCATTCCCGATTCAAAGATCGTGCGGCTCTTTGTGAACCGGGCTAAGGCTTATGCCACGACCCGGGCAGATGTTGCTGGCATTGCGTGGGAGTACTTCAACCTGATCTCGCACGGCTTCCAAGCCAAGGGGGAAAAAGATCCAGAGAAGGTGCAAGAGGCACGGGATAAGTATGATGCAGCCCTTGCAGAAAAGCTGGTAAACGGCGACTTCAAGCCCGACCTTGTGGTCCTTGCCGGCTGGATGTACGTCTTCGGCAAGCACTTCCTCGACCCGATTGATGCCGCGGGCATCAAGATTATCAATCTACATCCGGCACTGCCAGGTACTGCTTCTTTGCCCCTTAGCCGCGTGATGCTCGACTCTCACGGCTAACGAGCACCAAGGGAAATACGACGGAGCCAATGCAATCGAGCGGGCCTTCGAAGATTTCAAAGCGGGCAAGCTTGAGAACAACAAGACAGGCATTATGGTCCATTATGTCATTGACAAGGTCGACAGGGGCGAGCCGATTCTCGTCAGGGAGATTGAATGCCGTGATGGAGAGGACTTGGATCAGCTCGAGGAAAGAATACATTCTCACGAGCACGAACTGATAGTGGAGGCCACAGCATTGGTGGCTAGAGAGGTCCTTGCGCGGAGGAGTATCAGACCATGAATGGAATAGAACTACCACCAATACGTCCCTCCAACGTCTGGGAGTTAAACGGCGTGGAATGTTCAGTTTGGGTGCATGAGGTTCGTCTTGTCTTGGTGAACACTGCAGCCTGAGCCCAAGTTCCATGTGCACCAATATCAAGCCACCCACTCGGGCTAATAGTTCCATTTCCATGTCGCAGAAAGCTTGAGCCCGCTCACTTTATCCGACGATCCGTCCAATGCGTATTAATTGCAACTTTGATGGGAATGCTTGGAACAGCTCGAGGTCAGATCGTACGGGTCCACCACTGAGCTTTGCCTGCCTGCCTGCCTAACACGGTGCAGCTGATTGGTTGGCTGTAGGCAGCTACAGACCAAAGAAACTCTAACCTGCCTGGTATATCTCTCATAATAAAGCCGAACGAGGGGAGAGGTGCAATACTTCAACATTGGTCCCTTCTGCTCTCCTGCCCAGAACCGCTCCTAGTTGTCGGAACGAACACTAGTCTTTCTACCACCACCATGACCGACACAACCATGGAAGACGCTCACGCAACAATGACTGCGATGGACCCCCAACTCAGCTCCCCACTGGTCCAGATGCCACTTGAGGTCCTCGTCCGGATCACTTATTTCATCTCCACGACCGATCTCGGAAACGTGCGACTAAGCTGCAAAGCACTCGAGCAGGCGCTCTTCACCTTTTTCTCGCACGAGTTCTTCCGCAAGAAGCAGTTCATGGTCACCAGCCACAGCCTGCAAGCGCTGGTCAATATCTCGAAACATCCAACCCTCTCTCCTACTCTTAGGCATGTCATCATCGGCGCCGACCGCCCGGTTTCCTCCGCCAGGGCCAATGTAGACCGCACCAAATTCGAAGAGGACAGCGCCCGGCTGAGGCTTGCCACGGCGGACCACGAGAGCTTGTTTACCACAGGGGCACTGCGAGACATGCTTGCAGAAGCATTCGCCAATTTGGCGAACCTTGAGACCGTCGACATCCGTGACTTCGACGCTCCTAGCCGCAATCGCGATGGGCTGGGCACGCCGTGGAGAAGCTACGGGTCCGCCAGGCTTCAGGCGTTGATACCTGCTGGCTGGCCCATGCACGGTCCGCGGATGTCCCAGGACCCTTACATCACTGAGCTCTTCAGCGCCGTTATTGCCGCCCTCGCTGTTGCTCAAGCGCGACCGAAAAGCGTCGAAGTGCTCATCAGGAACCCGCGATACTCAAATCCATGGGGCCTCCAAGACAACGCATTCTACATCCCCCCGCGCCTGGAAGAAGCCACGGCGGCGCTTTTGTCGAGCCTGCAGTCGCTTCACTTGTCACTGGTCGTGGCGGATAATACCGTTAGGCCCTTTATGTACCAGAAGTTTCTATCGCTCGCATCCAACCTCACTTGGCTTCGTTTGAACTTCAGAGGTTTCCAGGAAGAAGTACGGAAAGTTTTCTCCTGGCTGGCGCTGAGAGAGACGGAAAAGCCGCCGATGTCTTTTGACCTTGACCCTATCCGGTTTCAACGGCTAGAGCGGTTTGACCTCGGGCAGGTCACAATCGAAGCCGACGTCTTGCTCAAGTTGGTTGTTAAATTCTCCCCCAGTCTAAGGTATTTGTACCTGCGGACGGTAACCCTCTGGGATCCTGAGGATCCGAGTCAGCTACTCAGGAAGATCACCCCTTGGACGGGGTTTCTGTCCGCGCTTTCTAGGCTGCCAGATCTAAAACTCCGACAGGTCTGTCTTAGTGGGATAAAGCATGGGTGCTCGATGCGCATCATCGGCGGTCGATTCAACGGCCACGTAAGGTTTCAGGATCCCAACGCGTCTGGGCTCGTGAACGACTGGATGTGCTCGACAGACCTTACCACGCTGGACAAGGCCGTTGCACAGACGATTGCGGCTATGATTCCGGAGTTTCCACCGGATGGTATGTATGCGTGCATGTCCCCTAAGAATGCTTTGGCTGACTCCTTATATCAGACCGTTCGCAAGACGAGGAGGAGCAGGACGAGGATGAGGATGATGAGGACGATGAGAATGAGGATGAGGAAGGGGAAGACGGTGGAAGCGAGGAGGAATAGAACGGAGAAGGGGTGGCTTAATCTCTGGCGTCAGTTTTACAACGTCACCTAACGCCTTGATCTTTCCTTGGGTCCTGAATATTGGAGATATGGACACCATTCCGGGTCCACGACTCGTGCAAACAGTGCCTAACGCTGAACCAAGAGGTTCCAACAGCTGGTTCAAGAGCTGTTGCAGCATATATCGATGCTTGAGGTTCAATTGGGCCAAGACAGGACCATTACGTGTAAAATTGTATAAGTGCGATGGGATGTCAACTTCATGCGAGGCATCAATCCCTGCTTTGAGGCAGCATATGAAGGGAGGTACTCACTCCGAGCTCAAGAGTTGGCTTGCCGTGCCCCAAGGATGTCCATCAAGGATTCAGGTACATCATGCCCCTAGCCCGGATATATGCCAGGTGCTATTACAGTACACAGAGCCAACATGGACATAGCGGACATAAGTTCTACAGTAGTGGAGGACAATTGTTGGTACGATGGCCAAGGATAAGAATGATCGTCGGTCTTGGCCAGCATCAATCTGGACCGTCAGTAAGCCGGTGGATTTGTCAGCAGTCACGGTATCTCCGTCCCGGCTTCATTAAGGATCAGTAGGGCGCCCTTTCTTCCCAAGTAAAGAACAAACAATATGGTCGTCCATTGTTTCACACACAACGCTTTTACCTACATACTTCAGCCCTCCACTCCCAAAACACCTCCAAGGGGAGAGAGAACCAGAGACACTTCCAACACTACTACTCAGTCCTACACGACATTCGCACATATGCCATCCTGAAAAAATGTCCTCACCAGCACAGCAGTCAGTGCTAGTCATCGGCGCCGGCGAGCTCGGCTCCGCCATCCTGCGCGCCCTGGCCACACACCCGCTGCACAGCCCGCAACACACCCGCCTCTCCGTCCTCCGCCGCGCCGAAAGCATCGCCAAGCTTTCACCACCACCACCACATTCTTCTTCTGACTCTTCTTCTTCTTCTTCTTCTTCTTCTTCTCCTTCTCCCCCTACCACCATCATCACCACCACAGACAACGGCGTGCGCGTGGCCCTCGAAGCAGGCGACTTCGTGTCGGCGCCCGTGTCCGAGCTGGCCGCGACGTTCGCACGATACGACGTGGTCATCCAGGCGGCCGGGTTTGGCGCGCCGCGGGGCACGCTGCTGCGCGTGGCCGAGGCGGCCGTCGCCGCGGGCGTGGCGCGCTTCTTCCCCTGGCAGTTCGGCGTCGATTACGATGCCGTGATGGCGGCGGAGGGGAGCGGGAGCGGGAGCGAGAGCGGGCAGAAGGAGCTCTTTGGGGAGATGCTGGCTGTGCGGAGGCTGCTGAGGGGTCAGAGCCGGACCAGGTGGACTGTTGTCTCGACGGGGCTGTTTATGAGCTTTTTGTTTCTGAAGGGGTTCGGTGTGGTTGATTTCGATTTCGGGGGGGAGAGGGTGTTGCGGGCGCTCGGGGGGTGGGAGAATCGCGTGACGGTTACGGAGGTGGAGGGGATTGGGAGGATGGTGGCCGATATTGTGTACTCGCCTGGAGACACTGAGAGCAAGGTCGTGTATATTGCGGGTGATACCGTATCGTATGGGGATATTGCGGATATCATGGAGTGGGTCTACGGCAAAGGGTTCAGGAGGGAGGTGTGGGATATGGAGTATTTGAAGAGGAGGCTGGAAGAAGAACCGGGAAATGTTATGCTGCGGTACCAGAACGTGTTTGGGGCGGGTGTTGGCATATCCTGGGAGATGGAGGGGACACTGAATGCCCAGCGAGGGATTAGGCTGATGAACTTAAGGGAGTATGTGGAGGAGAACAAGGATCGACTGGCTGACGAGACAAATTGAGTGAGTGCCTGAAGGGGGCGGAACTGAGAACTCAGGGGTAGAACATCGGTCACAGGGTCACCACAACCAACACTGTTCCTCTAAAGAATTTCCTTGTCCAACACTAGTACCTATGTACAACATAGATCCATCAAAGAAGCGAATGAATGAACACTGTCTCGACCAAGCTTCGCCAATCCCTTCTTCGACGCTCCGAGCCATGCATGCCCCTGGCTGCAAGCAAAGAGAGCACCTTACTCTAGTAGACCTTGTAGCTGCGGATCTTGCGGGCCGTCATCTTGTAGTCGCCGCCGTCGTTGCGGTAGCTCAGGCCGTCGCAGTTCTTGTTGACGTAGAGCTCGAAGGTGCCCGGGTCGGTGTGCCAGTCGGTCTTGGGGCTGAACTTGGCGCGGTTGACGTTGAGCACGGGGGTGAAGTCGATGTTCTTGCAGCCGCTGTCCGCCGTGCCGTGCATGGTGGCCTTGCGTCCGTCCTTGCTCCAAAGCTCGAGCTTCCAGGCGGAGACGAGGGGAGTCAGGGCGACGAGGAAGAGGGTGGCCTTCATCTTTTGTTGATTTGGATTTGGATGGGGGGTGCTCTGAAGCGTGTTAGTGGGTCAGTTGGAGCAGACAGAAGTAGGGATCGAGACGAGCTGTGGAGGACTGACTGCTGATGCTTTCCACGGGAGGAGTGTTTAAGATGACTTTCTGCTGTTGGATTCGATGGTGTTTGTGTGCTGTGATGCTCCTTTCCAACCCGAGGGCATTGGACTCCTTTAAATATCTCTTCATTCCTGGGTAGACCTGACTGCACGTCCTGACCGCGGACGTGACCTCGCCGAAGAATTAGGAGATCAACAGTCAGCCCGGACGATCTCTGCAGTTTCCTGTTCCATCTTACCTGCGGCATCTCAACCTAGGCTCATGGACTGTGAGCATCCAAATCGCAAGGTCCGCAGTGTAGTTGCTGTAAGCCATGTTCTTCATCATGCGTCCGCATTTAGGACAGCCTGTGCAACCCAAGGCCGGTATGGGTGCGGGAACCCCTGATCGGAGGCTTCTACTGTCGTAGAACCTCACTTGGGCTCCTGGATTCTGTGTGATTGTGGGGTTCTCGGGAAGAATGTGGGCACAACGTGCCTGGCATGCCATCGTGCAGCGCAGGCTGCACGCCTGCAAGGCCAGCCTGAGGCGAGAGTAAGCAATTCTTGAACCAGCCGTTCAGCTGAAGGCTTACACTCTGGGAGTGGTTTGTGCCGCCATCAAGCATAGGTGCAACCCTTTCGTCCGCAATGCAACCACGGCAGCCCCAACCGCACCATGCTCAGCCGCAGCTTTTGGCCAAGTGAGGCGCTGAGCATCTCGGGGAAGCTGTTCCTCCGTCCTACTCGGTGAATGGGGACTCGATTGGACCTTGGGCATCTGATCATGCAAGGGACCAGATAGCTCACAGACTCGGCACTACTAATCCTCGATCTCCATATTGAGCCAGCAAATCAGATATGCCAGCTCGTCCATCAGGCATGGAGCGCCAAGTCACAAGCGTATGCGGTATGTAGGGTCTGACACTTGGCAGGTATTGTTGGTCCGGTCAGACACTGCATGCTAAAGCCGTATCATTCTGAAGCCCGATGTTGAAGGCGTTGATGACCACGAGATCCCATATTCATGGCATATCTGAAGAACGGATGTTCAGGAATGGAACCAAAATAGACTGGTTATAATTGGTATCACCAAAATCAGGATCTCCCACTGCAGCTATGTTCGGTCTGTAACTGGGCCGCAACTTTGCTCGGTTGTGGCTCTGATTGGGACATCCGGGGATGCTGACAGCTTGGCAAGCAGCATAATGTTGCTTGAGTGTATCGCAACTCTCTTGGAAAAACAACATTGGCCCATCGATCGAGGGCCTTACTGCGGAGAAGGCGTATTTCTGTTTTGGGATGCTATCATCAACTTCGATCTTCAACAAGCAGCGCTCGTCCAGGATACCTCCTAAGTTCCAACACATGTATCCGTGGCTAACTGCCAGAACTCCTTAAAATTTTCCATCATCCGCATGATCCTCTGTTCACCGGTTTACCCGACAGCAACAACCAACACCTTGGGGTCGCCCGCATTGACTTTCCCGCTCTGATCCTCGCCCCCGTCGGGCTGCACATCATCATACGCAAAGGCGTATCCCTTGCCGTCGATATTATGCATATGGACAATCCTGGCATAGTGGTTCATCGGATCGCACCTGTAAAACGTCTCCGGGTGTGAGGGATGTTCGGCCACATCGACAATACAGCCCCTCTGAAAAGCCGCCGCAAGTCGCGGGATTATTGCGTTGCGTTTCGGGGAGGGCCCCGTCGTGAAGGGCCCGCTGTTGCAGCCCAGTATGTCCGACGTCGTGGGTCGACCGAAGGGCTCCCCTCCGATGACCAAGTCGTTGGAGCCGCTCGGTACGCTCCCTTCTAGAATGCCCGGTGCAGCTTGGGTGTTGATGCGCAATACCGCTCTCTGCTGGTGGGCTTGTGTCTCTGGTTCCGGGCCGCGGTCGAGAAGGGGGAGCCGAAATCTATGATGCCGCCTCTCCGGCTTCTGAGGTTGATTGTGATGTGCATGTTGCTGGCGATACTTCCTCCATGCCGCCTCGACGAGCGGCTCGAAGTAGCCCGCGAAGCTCGCCCCAACAGCATTGCCATGCGTCGGACTCAGTGCACGTAGCGGCTTCTCATGCCCCGGGCGCTGCACGACAAGCTTATCCCACGGGCGTCCGTCCTGGGCAGCCTGCGCTCGCAGGGAGGCGCACACCAAGCCCAGGCCGTTCGCCGGCATGCCCCGGACCTGCTGCACGCCACCTCCCCGTGTGTGCAGTGTCAGGGCAATGGGCATGCGGGGAACAAAGTCGACGTAGGTGATGTTGGCAAAGATCTGGTCGTTGTTGAGGGTGAACTCGCAAAAGGCGAAGTCGACGTCGGCGTTGGGATCGCTCGGGTTGAGCACAGACGGCTCGACCAGGGCCGCGCCCCCGCCCGGTCCCCCTGGATTTCGGAGGAAGGTGAGTTTGTTCCCGGCGCTGAACCAGATGCGCCCGCCGGCCATTTGCGGGATAGTGACGGCGACCGTGGTGCGAGGCGTCAGTGGGATCGCGCAGTCCTCAGTGAGCGGTTGCAGGATCCGGCCCGGAGGAGGCGATTCGGGGAAGTAAAGCCCCTTGCCATCTGATTTGAGAAAGACACGGGTCATATTGTGCTGAATGGCCAGCCCCGTGATGAAGGCATAGACATTTGCTGTTGATCGGTTGACCAGTTGGATATCCAGAGAGGCAGGCATTGTGTTGTGGTGGTCCTGTGGGTGATTTGAATCTGTTGTAGCGGGGGATGGATCATGAATCAGATTATCAGAAGCCTGGAGCTTGCTGGGAGATGGCTGCGCGGTGCCGTGAAGGCTCCAATAACGCACTTAGCAGTTTTCAATAGTACACTAGTACAAACAATTGAAGTCGATAATTTCAGGTGTTCAGCTGTGTGGTGATGTGCTGACGTCGAGGGGCACCAAGGTTGACTCAACCTTGATTTGAGGTTACCACCAAAACTGAGCGGGGCCAACCAAAACTGCGAATTGCCTTGTTCATCAAGAAAGTGATGGGAATCGAAAATGCGGCTTCGTGTGGCTCACGCTTGCTTAAGAGTGTAGTAGTATAGATGCCGTTTTCGTAATCTCTACCTCGTAATGACTTTTCTTCATGTTTGTTGCGTTCGTCACAGGGGCCCACTAATCTCCGGGGACTAGGGACTCGAGATTTGAAGCCGACTGTACGAAACATTCATGGGATGTTAGTTGGGGGGAGCGGATGGAGTTGTAGAGCATTGAGGATCGCCATGAACGTGTCTACTCAAATGGGTGGAGGCCTACGTCTATCACCTCAAAATCCTGCGTTTACCAGATGCCGGGAGGAGTCCTGCTGTCCTGACTTGACTCACTTGAGACAAGTTGAGAGGGAGGCATCATCTGTGCTCGCTTGCTGCTCCTCATAGGCTGTGCCGAGATGCAGCGAGCATCAATCCCCTTGTGGTGTAGTTGGCTATCACGTTCGGCTGTAAATGACGTTTATTGATACCGAAAGGTCACCGGCTCGATTCCGGTCGAGGGGACATCTTTTTTCTCATTTTTTGCTGTTTGAAGCCGCGAGCGCTGTGTGCGGCCGGCGGGGAAGCACGGGCTGAAAAGTTGCCGAAGATCCGAAATTCCACTTTCGTCAACCCGCCCCCCCCCCTTCGTGCCCCCGCAACTCATGAACAAAATCGTGCAATCGTCGTCGATTGATCGTTGTAACGGATCTTGTCAAGGGCATGTGCATTGCCCAAGCCTTGACTTGTCATCGATGACTAGTACAATACACGGGCCCCCTTATTCAGCGACCGTGACGTTTGCTCTCCGTTTCCGGCATTGGAGAACCCGGAGTCCCGGACAAGCAGAAGGAAGGAGCTTGGTCATCAACATCGTTCAAAACCCACGCCAATGACTGCCTAGGTTTCGGGAATTCCACCGATCTGTGCAAGATCCCGTCACAGCAGCAACCTCCTTAGGCTCCTCCCGGAGCAGCCGAGCTCCCATCCAGCCAACGTCGGACCTCGACTTCCTGACTACCGCTGATCATGTACCACGTCAGAAGAAGGCGCTAGCGCCCACATCATGCTGGCCCAGGCTGCCCAGGTTCCAGTTCAGCTCGACCGTCTTGGTCAAGCTGTAGTGGTCGTACCGCGTGCTATTGGTCGTGCCGACCTTGGCGCTTGGGATGGCGCTGCCCAGCAGGACGGCGTAGATCTGGTTGGTGCCGACTGTACTGCCCTCGTCGAAGGTGAGGATGACCAGGGTGCGGTCGATGTTGAACTTGGGATTCGACAGCAAGGGCGTGAGCCAGTTCCGCGCCCACCGGCCTGCTACTGTGACGGACGAATCGTGGCCGTCGTTTGCTGTGCCAAGTGGGTTAGCTAGTCGGAACGAACCCTTGGTAGTGGCTGCTACAACGGCAACTTACTCATGTTCGGAGTGATGAACATCCACTGTGGGAGGGTGTTTGCCGCGAGGTCCCTATCGAACATGGTGAAGTTCTTGCACCTCGCGAGCCGATTCGTGTTGGAGGTGACCGAGTCGAAACTCATCAGCGGACTTGGCCGAGATTAGTGGACTGGGTTCGGAACTCATTGAGCAAAGTGGCAAGCATTCTCACTTGTGCTTCCGGACATAGTCGTTCTTCCCGGTCCGCTGGTTGACCCAGTTTCCCTCAAAGCCAGAGTAAGGCATGTCCTCCTGATAGAGACCCCAACTCACGCCCTTGGGTTCCAACAAATCTACGATTGTCTCCGTGGTGGAGCCAATACTGCGGAAGCCATCATCAGTAACGCCGAAGGTGTTCGCACCAACTGCAGCGACATAGTTCGGCTAACGTGGGAACATTAGGACTATGCTCTTGATCCTCATGTTTTGGCTGGACTTGCTTGGGAAGGATGGGTGATTGCGAAGTAGTTTGTCAAACTAATGCCTTGGGTTGCCAGGAAGCCGAGGTTCGCTGGGCAGGGTCAATATGGGTCACCATGCCCGGTGTCAACGGCGCTGCAGTGTGTACTCACGGTCCGCAATAGCCTTGCTGTAGTCGACGTTCTCCAGGAAGATCTGGACAAACCGCTCAAACTTGTTCCCTGCAACGTTGCTCGTTGGGGACAGCGTCAGTGCCGTAGCGGCTGCCTTAGCCACGGCCGAGACAGCGGTGCTGGTGTACTGCGTCTGGGCAGCCGCACCGCCAAGCAGACCCAAGAGGGAAAGATGGAGCAAAGCCATACTTTGAGGTTTAGTGGTGAACGAGGCAGCTATGTCAGAGCAAAGGACAGGTGAGGATTGGACCAGGGGTTTGCGACGTCCTGATCACGGCGATGAGACTCGAGGGATTGTGCTGCAAGATGTCTATATACCTAGTAGCATGTAGGTAGGAAGTGGCCCTGTCGGAGGTGGTCTCCACGTCTATCTCGAGTCAGGGGGAGCATCTGGCGCGGAGACATAGACTTCCTCACATCAACACGTGCTTGGCAACACCCCGCTCGACCCTGGGCTTGTGGCCTCGAACACTCGAACAGACCGCCATGTGGGTTTACCCCACGTCTAACTAACACTGCCAGTACCTTTAGCCATTTTTGACGCGGAATAGTGATACGACCTGCCTCATAAATCCATGTCACCGCGCCAATCGTGTTTTCCGGCCCGCCCCGACCCGACTACCGAATCCTGATCCGACTATTAAAACCTGCCGGAACGGGCACATGCACCGCCGTCGTTACACTTCAAGAGCCCACCTGTGCTGGCCGCTGGCTTCAACTTCAACTGAGACGTTGAACTAAGCCTCTAGTCATGCAACAAGCTTTTCAAGCTAGGTTGATGGTTGTATCGGAGCGGAAGCTAAGACTGAAGCATTGACCGAAGACGGAAATAAGGCTCTGAGTTGTAGGGAAAGCAGGACTATTGCAATACCGTGGACCACCAAGTGAGTTTACCTACCTTACACGGCCACAAAAGCGGCCTCCGGGGCCCCCGGTTACCTTCAGTCTGGCAGTTGTTGGTATTCAATTTCCCACGTCGCACGTGTATCATCCGGCTTGGGGATTGGCCGTCCCGTTTCCGTAGATCCCCGATCGGGACCCATGTTTTGCCGTGAGCTTCGTCCTCCACAGTCACCTAACGGGCCGGGAGTTAGGTACCACTCACGTGGGCTGCTTCCGTGGCCCTACTGCTGTTCCTCCCGTTTGCCACTGAGGAACCATGAATGGCAGAGACACTCCCCTTCAGGGACATGCAAACCCCCAGCCCCGGTTTTGGGGCAAAAGGCATGAGCTTCGGCTTCAGACATAACCTTGACCTCTAGGAGGCCGAGCCTCTGCTATTGATGGCGATTGAGCGGGTCTGGACCTTCTGGGATACCGAAGTAAGTGAATCCCAGGCCTCCGGTTCCCAACAGGAGGTGACTATGTGGCTGACATCGTTGTGGGTCGTCTACGGCGCTGGCTTGAGCGAGAAGCTCCTTGACGACTTCATCAGGAAGCACAATGTGCGGGATGGAGTCTTTAGTGAGGTTTCCCATGTGTGTTTGGGACCGTGAGTTCCTATTGCTGATGGCTAGGATTGATGCCGTCCAGGCAGAATATTCGGCCTTTGAAACCTGTCGCGAGAGAGACAGATGGCCTGATCGAGACCGTCAGGAAATTGGGAATAGCCTATGTGGCCTATAGCCTGCTAGGCCGCGGCTGGCTCGTCAACAGTTGCGATCCCTAGTCTCCCGGAGGCTTTGCGTCTGGTGACTCCCGAGGAATTTGCAAGTGCCAACGTCTCACGCCTCTTGCCCGCTTTCTATCGGGTAGCCATACATACGGACTAATAACCTCTTCCACTTATAGAATACTAACCCCTAAGTTTCAAGGCAACAATTTCCAGAACAACGACGCGTCGTGGAACGAGTCAAAACGCTCGCTGCGAACAAGGATCGTACAATACCACGGCTCAAATCGCGCTCGCCTAGGTCGCTGCTCAGGGATGATTGCCATACCAGGCATTGTACAACCAAGGCAACCAGGTGGGAAGAGAACTGGGTATTGAATCTAGAGGTATCAGCTCGACTGATGAAAAGAAACAGATGAGCAGGCTTATTGATTCCGCCAAGCCTGAATGTACTGGATGAGCCCAAACGTTACAGTCTTCGGCATTCTTCGCACTCAGACATTCCGCCGGCTTACACAGTATGAGTCCACCGTGATCGCCGCCGGTTCTCGTATTTTCCGCGATTTCCCGGTCCCAACTGGTCTGTGCCCCACCCATCGTTCTGTGAATAGCTTCATAGCTCATCGATAAATTCAAGACCATGTCCTCACTACATTTCTGCCCTTCCGTCGCATAACTACAATATTCTCCCAGTATGGTACCCAACACCCGCCTCTCTTCTCTTACCTCGAAATGGGCAATTGGGTTGGTCGTCTTGCCACTGGTCATCCCGGCCACCTACCTGCTCTACCTCGATCGCGCAGTCTCAAAACAGTTCAAGACGGCAACTGGCATCCGGAACCGGAGGAAAGCCACCAGAGCCCTCCCAGCTGAGATATCCAGACCGAAGTCCTTGCCCCCAGAAGTTGACTCGGATGACTCGGAATGGGTCCTCGCCTGCGAGCGTGTCGTCTCGATGCCCGTACGACCGCGCTGCCTGCTGTACGGCGAGCCGAAGACAGAAGTGTCGGGCATCTTGACGACGTACATCCGCGCAAGCATGACCGCCTTCAGCTGGACACCGCAGGCGTTTATCCTGTGGGCATCAGCCGGTGATAGTGCGGCGAGGGAGACATTCCGTGCGCAGTTCATCCGGAACCTGGAGTTCCGCCACGGCGACCGAGTGAACGGGTTTTGGCGCGTCATATATCGCGGGACTGCAGCGATGCATGGCGATTGTGGTGAGCGTCTGGAAATGGCGCTGGATCCCCCGACCAATTATCGAGGCCCGGTCGTCAGGGGCTTGATTGTGGCTGCGGTGGAGGAGCAGAGTGACGGGAGCATCGTGGTTGTCAATGAGACGTGGATGTGGAGGAAGCAGAGTGAAAGTCCGCTGTTGTTAGAACGTGGTGTCGGTCAATGGCTGCACGTTCTGTTGTCCGAGTGGCTTGTGATGAAGGGTGTGAGAGCTGTGGTGGAGAGGTCAAAATAAGCAGTGGGATGCAGGGGTACTCCTACAAGGAGACGCGGGTTGGCAACTTGGCATGGGCGGATCGACCGATCAACAAGGCATTTTGTGGAAGCGAACCCTAGAAGCAGCTCGGTGATCCTTCCAACCTACCTTAACACCGGCTAACGACTCGGAAGCAGAGTGACACATCGACAAGGAAAGATATACCCATAGCTACTACCTAAGGGAGTATTCAGAATCAGATGAAAGCTTCAAATGCAGATCCCTACAAGCCTGGGAGACTGCAGTGAGTGACAGCACCACCCAAAGCGACTGAAGTTACCGTACTTGCCCAGTGGTATCATACTTGTATATCGCCATACATCGTGCAACATTGTGCAGATTACGGTGCAAATACAGTACATTCCTCACCAGCTGTTCAGTCCGTCAACATCCATCCTCCGTCTCTTCTCATCAATTCCATGCCCAACGAAAAACAACGACCCGCCTCAAAGTAGTAGGTGGTACTTGGTGCGTTGCACTGAAAGGCTTCAGCGGCCAGAGAGCACGGAATGACCCATGCGCGAAATTGAGCTATGCCAACTCCCGCAAGTTAAGCGAGGACAGGCTGAGCTGCGCATCCTCGTCGGGAAATTGATCACCGGGCGAGATGCGCCTCTGCTCCCGATGTCGCCGACGATGAGATCCCGGGGCCCAATGATCTTCGCCCCCCGCACATTGAATCGCGAACCGCGGCAGTAATGGCACCCTCTCTCACGCCTCCATTGGTTTGGCGTTCTGCCGCTTGCGCGGGGGCGTGAGGATGATGGACGAGGGGAGAAAGTTGAAATCTCAGATGCGATGAGAATCTCTGAGAATTTTGCCGTCGCGCTGATAATGTTGGAAGCGCACGGCAAAGCTCCCGCTCATGTCCGCTCAGGAACTCAGGAACCTTCTTGCATGTCCTGGGAGTCACAGACGCAGTTCCAGCATCCCTGAGGCGTGACTGCGAGGACCCGAGTCACCTGACGACGCAAGATGGCATCCCTTGTCCAGTCTCTCCTGCGCCTGGTGGGCTATCAGCCACGCCAACCAAGCGCCCGCGCGGACGAAGAACGGGCGACGGGCGCGTACTCGGCGACGGGGTCGTCAACATTACCACCGAGCCACTTCAACATGACAAGCCCTCGCGTTGCGGGCGATGACGCCCTGACGCTCTTCCGCTTGATGCTAGGCATCGCGACGCCTCCCCACCTGGGTTTCACCGAATCGCCCTTCCGGCCTGCGCAGAACGTTGGTCTCTACGAGCGCGTAGTGCACTCGGAGCAGAAGGCGAAAGACAGCTACAAGGTCTTCTCGGCCGTCATCAACGCGTGCTACTTCCTGCAGATCATCGTTGCCGCGGCCCTGACGGCCCTCGGGGCGGCCAACGCCAACAACAAGGCCATCACGGCGTTCGGCGCCATCAACACCATCATCGCCGGCTTCCTCACCTACCTCAAGGGCTCAGGTTACCCCGCGCGGCTCAAGTACTACGCCAGCGAGTGGAAGAAGGTCCGCGAGTTCATCGAGCACCGGGAGCGCGACTTCTCTCTCGAGGGCTGCACCCTGGACGTGTACGAGGTAGTCAACGCCGTCCGGGAGATGTATGACGACACGAAGCGCGAGATCGAGATGAACACGCCGGACAGCTACAACTCCAAGACCAGCATGCGGTTCGATGGCGTGGATACGTCCAAGGCCGAGGCCATCGCGGGCAAACTGCGCGGCCTGCTGGGGACGCAGGCGAGTTCGGTGGCCGCCGGCGTGGAGACTAAGGCGGGTGGCGTGGCAGGCAAGCTGCGGGGACTGGACGAGGCGGTGCACAAGCTGAAGAACCACATGGGCTCCGTGTCCGAGGGCGTCGAGTCCAAGGCGGTTGATGTGGTGACCCAACTGCGCAGCCTGGAAGACACGCTGGAGAAGGTGAAGTCGCACGTCGAAAAGACGGCGCGGGACGGACATGACATCGCGCACCGCACCGTGCAGGACGCCGCGCACGCCATTCAGGACGAGGAAAAGCGGGCGTTGGCCGAGGTACGCGGTCTGGGAAAGGCGGTCGCCAGGGAAGTGGAGGAACACAAGCCACGCCCGCCGGGGGAGGTCTCGATTAGCATATCGCATCGGGACGGCAACGACCAACACGTGTGAGCGCGATGGTGGGCCCACGAGGTGACGGAAGAGAAAGGGAAGGAACGGAACGAGCAGAGACACTTTACCTCCGTCGGCGGGTTTACCGTCATGAATTGGTATTCAGGATTTCAGATTCCCTCCGTTTTGTATGTTCAAGAGGTTGGAGGCGTAGTTTCGCAACGCCTGTATGCACCTCAAGCTACTAGTAGTACTACTTTCCAATGGGCATGTTGGCCAAAGTGATGCAGAAATCGACGAGAGCCTGGATGGAAGGTGCTTTGCTGTGTCAGTGGGCACCTTCCTTCAAGCCCTGCAGCGCAAACAGGGTGGGAGCTTCCTCAACATCACGGTACCTAGCTGCCATCCTCTCTTTCTCAAACAGGTAGGGTCCCCGGCAGACTCTGCTGGTCATGGTGAATGATACATAATCGATTACAATCCACGAAGACCAACACACCTGCTGACTGCTGAGGACGACCATCCATATCCAGCGATTTGGAATTCATATCCCTTACGACCACCATACGCAAATAACGCAATAGTCATGTCCGGTCATGCCTCCCCGCCGCAGGGAGACCCCGGCAACGCTAGGAACTCCGACGCAGCGGCTCTGGATTATGCGCTTCCCTTTCTTGAGGCCGCGCGACATCTCATGCAGCATCTTGACCCCGTTGAAGTCAGAACACAGGCTACCGGCGTGATGATTCCCGGCTGCAGCTCTGCGAAGCTGCAAAACGTCATAAACTTCTTGTTGTCGTTCCTGAAACACCCAGGAGCCCAACTCGCGGCCCTGCACGAGAGATATGTGTACCATCCCCCTGGCGCCGGTGCACGTGCCTTTGGCGACGATGCCATCGTGTCGCTTCTGCGCCAGATGGTGCATGACGAGTACCTGGCCTATGAGAATTCCGCCCAGGTTGCATTACAACAGCGGGCTCAATACCCCCCCTTGGCCCCCGCCCCTAGCGCCAGGCCCATTATCGTCCACGTCGAAATACAGCCCGACAGGTTGCTGCACTGCGGCGGACTCGTCGTCCTATGCTTCGCTTTCGCAGTCGCCCACGCTATACACCGCCATGCGCAACGGCTTCATTGGTTCACTCTGGTATCCGTCGAGTTAGATATCATCGACAGATTCGACACCGCAGTCGGGGATCAACAGAAGTTACAGAATCGCCTCGACCACAGTAAACTCGTCGAGTTCCTCTCGGCCCGGTCCGGCATCGCCTAGGATATGAAAAGTCGGCTGGAATTCTTCAGACACCCGCACATGCCCATGTTGATCCGATACCTGGCATCCCGTCGCACGGCCCTCGGCAGCCAACTCTCGCCACAGCACGGCACGCTTGGTCTGAGCGCCACATGCCAGGTGGGAAGGTGTCAGAAGCTCGACACGCCCGGGGCATACACCCAATACCGTGAGCTACTGTCCGACGGGTCGGTGTTGTCGTCGTCGGCTGCCACGGGGTTGACGGCAGGCCGCACAAACGCCTTTGAAATCATCACCAACTGCCCCGACCACGGACCACAGGTGCTACAAGTCGGCGATCCGGACAACATGGCCTGGACCGAGCGCCTCGTGGCCAGCGGCCCTGTACGCACGCTGCTGCAGAGCATGCTGAACCTAACCGACTTCGGGTCGCGCCACGTGCTCATCACGGGCGCCGACCGCGCCGGTCTGTACCACGAGACCACGCTGCTCCGGCCACTGGCCGAGTGGTCGGCCACGGCGATGGGTAGTTTGATGGACAAAGTGCGCGGGAGGATGCCGCATATTCTGTATGCGCCGCTGGTGACGGACTGGAGCGGGGCTAGGCTGTGCTTCTGGGCGACCGCGGCGTCGCCCTGGTCAACCTCGCACTGGGCCAGTAGCTATCGCGTGATGGTAGACATGTTTGGGGAGGGCATGTTGGGCAGGCTTTTCGACGAGGTGCTGCGCTGGGTCGGGGATTCGAAGATGATGTTTCGCTCCTATTCGACGCTGTATCTACAGCATATTCTGGAAGGACGGGATTGGCTGGTGGGGTACTTGGTTGCGGAGTCAGGACAAAGGCAATAATAGGGGATAGGATGGGCTCATGCCGTTAGGTCAGGTACGGCTTCTTCTTCTTCTTCTTCTTCTTATTATTATTAGCGCCGTGTTGGGTGACTGGTTGTTGGGGGGTTGTTGGTATTGATTCAGAGAAGGACTTTAGTTAGCGTCAATAGAATAGCAGGTTGATAACAGGTAGATACGGGTACAGGTTTCAACCAACCATCATCCTTCCTTGGTCGGATTATCAGCGGAAGTGACGGAAGTCGGCTCAGGCTAGCATGCGGTCTATCTGCTTTTCCAATTTACGGAGGTGCGTTCCACGGCATATTGGATGACAATGTCATCCGCTCAGTATGATGAATCGATCCACGGTACTGTGTCAAGACTCCAACGGTGGGCTTGCATATATCTCTCCAACTCGGTGCTACCCTGGTTGCTTCCCTAGGCTCTCTAGAGACAACCTCTCTGCGTTGTTCAGAATGCCGATCACAGCCTGCACATCCTCAGGGTCCCGGGCCGTATACGATCCTGCACGACAAATTCTCAAAGGTATATCCAGATCTCGAAGGCGAGGCCCAAGGGGTATATGATATCTTATGTCACCAAACGAACGAGGGCTCAGAGCCCTCGGCCTTGCTGTCCGCTTTGCGTGCCAAGCCAGTCTGCCAACTCGCAGACGATGCATGCTACAACACTCCAGGGTTGGCGCCCAATCCTTTAACACGTTCGGTAATACTATGAGGAAATACCATCGCTTGGGCCGAGCAGGTAAGCTTACCGTGCAGGGAGGTGTAGTGTAGGTGAAATAAGATGGGGACGCCATGATTGTCTCAAAGCAGTTGTGACCCTACCTAAAACATGGTGGGATATCAACCAATGTTCCCGCATGACCCGGCCTCTAAGAGGTGCTGTCTCCAACCACCACGCAAAACGATGTTACCTCAACGTGTCAACGAGGCTCAGACCATAAGCCCCAGGCGTCCCCTCCTCGGCCCTCACTTCTTTTCGGCAACTTGCCTGCGTCAGAGTCGAAGTCTCTCTTGGATATTTCACCTTGTTTAGGTTGGCTAGAGTACAAATTACAAACCTGGGAGCTTTAGTCTTTGCGATACTCTGCCGATTGCCTTCCGCAAAAAAAAGTCAATTCTGGAATCCCAGGAGATGCGCAGCGAAGTCTTCCACCTGCACCCCGCCGGGTGGGAGCAGGACCCCGAGGATGAATACTTCAAGCTCTCGACGCTGGACTATTGCGTGGCCATGGTGTACAACGGCTTCGGTCTCTTCTTCAAGCTGACCGACGCGGAGAAGCCCAGGACGATCCCCGTGCTCAAGCGCGGGCTCGAGATCACGCTGAGCCAGTGCCGGCAGCTGTGCGGCTTCATCGAGCCGCACCCGGACGGCGGAGGAGGGCTGTGCTTCCACAAGAAGCGGGACAGCACCGTCGAGTTCCATGTGCAGTGGCTCGACGGGCCCGAGGACGAGGGGAAGTACCCGTCGTTCGACGACCTCGAGAAGCGCCATTTCACGTCGCAGGCACTGGGCAGCATCGACACGTGGTCGGTGGCGCCCATGACGTACGGCGAGAAGCCCGAGGCGCATCCGTCGAGCCGGCCCAAGGTGGCCGCCTTCAAGGCGACCTTCATCCGCGGCGGGATGGTGTTTGTGATGCACCACCACCACTACGCGAACGACGTGATGGGCTGGGCGGGAGAGCTGCACCAGCTGGCCGAGAACTGCGCGGCCCTCTGGAAGTCGCCCGAGAGCCCGGACCTGCCGGCCTGGGACCCGGCGTGCCTGGACCTGTCGCGGGTGACGGTGCCGGACCCGCCCGAGGACCAGCGCGTCGACGGCCCGCCCGCGCCGCTGCGCCATCCCGACCACAGACCCAACCAGTGGCTGCTGTTCCACATGCGCAAGAGCAAGGCCGCGGCGCTGAAGGCGCTGGCCAGCCCCGCAGACGGGAGCTACTGGATCTCGACGTACGATGCGTGCATGGCCCTGATCTGGCGCACGACCACCAAGCACCGCGCGAGGCTGTTCAAGTATGATCCGAAGCAGCCGCTGCTCTGGGGCGAGGCGGTGGACATGCGGAAGCGCTTCCGCGACCCGCCCGTGCCGCCTCGCATCCAGGGGAACGTGGTGATGGTGGCGCTGGGCCCACAGACTCCGTCGTTGCCGCAGCTGACGGCGGAGGAGGTCATCTCGGAGGCGCCGCTGGCTAAGCTGGCTTGGTAAGTTACTTGTACATTACCATAGAAAAAAAACAAGAAAAAAGAAAAATAACCTTCTTCTCCCCAGGTACATCCGCCAACTCACCAACACCGCCACGCAAGAAACCATGGCCGCCACACTCCACGCCATCGCGCCGGTCCGGAACAAGACCGACCTCTTCCTGCGCATCGACTCGTTCCCGCCCCTGAGCAGCTTCACGACCGACTGGCGGGACGCGCGGCCGTGCGACGCCGACTTTGGCTTTGCCAAGCCGTACGGCTTCCGCTTTCCCTTCGACACGGTCACACCTGGCCTGACCGTCGTGTACCCGGCGCGCACGACCGGGGCGCCCGCGGGGGAGGACGAGGGCAACGAGTTCCTCGTGGGGTTTGAGAAGGAGCTGGTTGCAGGGTTGTTGGCGGATGAGGAGTGGGGGAGGTGGTTTGAGTTTAGGGGGGTGGATTCTGAGGATAAAGCGCCGTGAGGGTGTCGGGTGCAGATGAGCTTGGGGGGGAAAGGAGGAGTAAAGTAAAGCGGAGAGTTGTAGAATTTGCCCTAGGATTGCTGAATAGACACACACACAATAAAGCCTGCGTACCTAGCTACCCGACACAACCATCACCCCCTCCCCCCCTTCCTCCTGCGCAACGCAATCTCCAACCCCAACGGCTTCCTCAGAAACCCCTCCCTTGTCTCCATATAATCCTGCCGCAGCGCCACCTCGTAGCGCCGCGCCCACGTGGCCGCAATGAGCTTCATCTCCATCTCGGCCACGTTCCGCCCCACACAAGCGCGCGGGCCGTAGCTGAACGGGATGAAGGCGTTCTTTTGTCGCGGTGTCAGGCTGCCGGCCAGCCACCGCTCCGGCCGGAACTCGTCCGCGTCCGGGCCCCAGATCTCCCGCGAGTGGTGGATCGAGTAGGTCGGCACGCTGAGCACCGTGCCCGGCGGGAAGTAGTAACCCCTGATCCAGACGCCGCCGCCGTCGCCGTCGTTAGGGACCTGCCGCGGCAGGCCGATGCCCGACGTCGAGTGCACGCGGAGCGTCTCGTTGACCACCGCCGACAGGTACGGCAGGTCGCGCACCATCTCGAAGGTCGGCACGTCCACGTCGGCGGGGATGGCGGCGTCCAGCTCGGCCTGGAGCTTGGCCATGACCCCCTCGGTGCGCACCGCGTGGAAGAGCAGCGCGCACGACGAGTTGGACGTCGTGTCGCTTCCCGCGATGAGCTGCGTCAGCGCCTCGGCCGTGAGCTCCTGCCGGCCCAGCGGCTGACCCTTGTCGTCGCGGCCTTCCATCAGCCGCTGGAGCAGGTCCTTGCGGTGCGTCGGCGGCGGGTTCTCGAGCCGCGCCTTGACCCGCGCGATGGCGATGCCCGCCAGCTTCTCGACCGCGTGCAGGCCCTTGGTGAAGAAGGGGTCCGGGAGGTACTTGGCGAACGGCTTGAGCTCGGGGAGCGTGCCGAGCGTGGCCGACACCTCGCCGCGGCGGTTGAGGATCTCGATGGCCGGCGCGTAGATGGGCGCGCTCTCCGGCGACGCGCGCACCTCGGCCATGTCGGCGCCGGCCGAGAGCATGCCGAACGGCGCGCCGAACGCGAGGTCGCCGATGACGTCGAAGGCCAGGTAGTTGAACCAGTGCAGGCAGTCCAGGTGCGCCGCGCCATCGCCATCGCCGTCGCCGTCGTTGGTCGACCGGTAGATCAGACTGTCCAGCTGCCGCACAAAGAGCTCGAGGTTGCTGTGGATGTACGGCTCGAACTGGGCGACCGACTTGACCGAGAAGGTGTGCGACACGATCTTGCGCTTGCGCGTGTGCTCGGCCCGGTCTCGAGTATTGAAGAGGCCTCGCTGTATGCTGACAAAGGCGTCGTAGAAGGACCTGCGCAGCAAAAATGTTCAGCTTGGGGCTGTGCACAGGCACCGGTACACCGATTGATGATGGTTCTCTACCTACGACTTCAAGAAGCCGTTGCCGTGGCCGTAGATGGTCTGGATGGCCTGGTCATCGCATATGCTGACGTGGTTGGGCTGGATTCGCACGACCGGACCTAGCCGCTTGTGCACTTGGTCGACAGTGTCGTATCTGTGGCCGCCGCGGCAGACCAGCAGCAGCCACCAGTTGGTGAACTGGGCCGGGAACGGCGCGGGGATCCGTCGGAGGTGTCGATATGTCACCAAGTACGGATACACATAGTAGACGACCGCGGCTACCAGCAGGGCGGTCGGTGCCCACGGCGAGAGGACGAAGCTGACGATCGCCATGTTGGGACAGATGAGACCACTCGCAAAGGTCGGGATAGGAAGGGCTACAGGCCACTGCAACCTATTTTATATCAACCAGCGGACACCACCGCTTCGGTCTCCATCACATGTGCGTTCCGGCGATCACCTGTGACATCCGAGCCCCGACCTGAGTGTTACCAAGGTGTGGAGGGCCTGAGTAAGGAAAGAACTGCCCAGCCTCCGTTCGGCATAAGCAATCGGGCGGTCTGTGATGCGCCACGGCCCCGGATTTGGCAGGGTTGCCAGGGGCAGGTCTAGCTGCTTGGCCCGCCGAGTTGTGCCCCGAAAGTGCGGGGAGATGGAGCCTCCCACATCCCGGCTCGCTGACCCGGCATTGGGGGGCGCCCGTTGTAGGGAGAGCACCATTGCAGGGTAGACGTGGTTGAGCCTGACGTCAGGTTCGCGCTTCTCGCGACTCCGAGTCTGTCAGGTTGTGCCGGTACCAGAGTTCGGGAGAGTTGATGCGCAAGCGCACCGGCCGCAGAAGAGGAGGATGGGCGCGATAGGGCGCGAGGCTTGCTCTTTTGCAAGATGGCTAGTCATGCGTGCAGTAGCGTGCTGTCATATAAATGTACTAGTATGTACGGGTGTATACAGAGCAAGCAAACATGATGTGTTGGGACTTAAGACGCCGATGCCCATGCTTTGAACCGACACAGGTTTACATCACACGGGTACAAGTACTAATAAATAAACCATAGCTTGTGCATCCATGAAGGCAATTGCACATGCTCTCGTGAATCCTGCCGAGAACGGTTATCGGAGCATGTAGGACAAATCCGGCAGGTTCGAGATGATCCGTTGTGCCATCTCATCGTGTTGCTCCTGAGTGTTACTGCTTTCATTTGATGAGGGGTTGGAAGATGTGGGAGCCGAAAGCTCCACGGGGTCGGGGACGACGATGCTCGGCTCGACATGTGGAGCCGTGGTCTTGGGAACGGACTCAAATACCGACAAATCAGCAGCCGCCCAGCCATTGTCTGGAATAGGTCCGCTTGATGGTTTATCATCGACAGCAACGTTGTTCTGTTCGTCAGATGCGATTGGAACAGCTGGAGTAGCGAGGCGTTGGATTGTTGAACCATTCGCGGAGAATCGAGGGACAACAGGCGACGATACCATCTCGCCCCATTCGTCGTCGTCGTCGTCGTCGTCGTCGTCATCGCCGCCGCTGTCGTCCTCGGCAGCGCCGGTTTCGTTGCTCCCTGGTGGTGGGGCGAGGGGACGGTCCACAACCGCACCATCGACCGATTGCTTGGAAAGCGGAGTAGGACCTGGTAGCGAAAAGGGCTTGGGCCGTGACACCGGCGGGTTCAGTGAGGGAGCAAATGTGTTTGGTGGCATACTCGTGGGGCGTGGTGGCTTCGTGGACTCGGGCGAACCGCTGCTCCACCCGAATGAAGCGACAACTGGCCCGTCACTCCCTGACGGGCGATGTGTTGGGCCTTGTGGTAGCTGCTCAGCCGTCGCAACGGGCACTGGCGGACGAAGAGGGCCAGGGGTCTGAAAAGATTGGAGGGATGAAGCTCGCGAGTGCGACTTTCTCCGCCCGAACACTGCTTCCAGGGCAACCGGTTCTGCGGAAGAGTCCCAACCAAACATGTTCTTCTGTATCTTGGCGATTCCGCCACCGAGAGCAACGCGTCCTGCAATAGAATCTTCCTCCATCCACCGGCGCACAATCTTGATCGTTTCATCATGAACTGTCGAAGTCGGCCAAGCTACCCGCCTGTAGCTCTCGTCGTCTCCGGAGTTGTGCCTTCGGGATGACCCCAACCGAGAGATGCGATACCAGGTTTTGCGTTCTGATATTGTGGTAAAGCTGTCGCTGATGACACGGTCCGGTAGCTCGTAGTCAACCCTGGTATCGCGGGTTGACGGTACTGACATGGACGGAAACAGCTTTTCGGCCAAGTCTAGATCAGCACGGAAGTCCAAGGGACCAAACTTGACAATGGGTGATGCCGCTCTTATTGGAACGTCTGGTGCTGGGAGCTGCATCTCCATGGATCTGTTGACCATACCCGGTGTATCCCCGATCGTCTCAGTCACTTCCAGGTCAGGGACCAACGATGTCTCGTTTCCGTCTGCATCCTCGAAGTCCCCGAAGTCAGCGGCGGCGTCTGAATCATCCGCTCCCTCGCTCAGCTGACTTCTGCTACGGCGTTCCGGGATGGAAAGACGCTCTTCACTCATTGCCCTAGCCAGGCCATCAAATTTGACAACCAGTTCTTGGACTTTCCCAGATGTCTTTCTCGATACTGGTCGCCGTGTCCCGGGTTCTTCGTCAATAGAAGTGATTGGTGAGTCCTGTCGCTCGTCTTCGTGGTCTGTGTTGTCGTTCGACTGCGTTGATGACTGGTAATCATGATTTTGGGCTGTGCACTCAACAGTGGACCGCACATGGTCGCCGGACGCCGTCGATACACCTGTGTGTGCCGTATCGTCTGCAACCGCCTCAGAGCCCCTGACGACCGTCTCCTCCCTCGTTTCATTCGGATTTAGCTCGTCTGCCATGCTTTTATGTGTTTCTGAAGCATCCATCGCCAACGAGACGGTGGGCAATGCTATTGGAGAGGGCGCGTCGACAATGAGGCGAGGGGTGGATCTCCCATCATTGGAACCTCTTCGCGATGAGAACCCGCTCGCCCACGGGTCCGGAGAGGGCTGCCGAAGCGAGGCGCCGTTGACCGGTCTCGGAGTCGCGACATTCTCGGGCCACGCGATCGGGCTGGCTTTCCCCAAGGCTTCCTCTCGAGGAGTGCTCGAGAGATTGGGACTTGAGGATCCCCACCCCCCGCCCCCGCCCCATACGGTATGTGCCGGAGACATCTCGGACGCTGTCGCCCATTCTCCGAATCCGGTATCGTCACCTCCCCATGGCGATTGTTCCGGAACGGCCGGTATTCGCGGCGAGCTCGACGCGGAAAGGAAGGCGCGCGGCGGAGGAGCAATGTCGAGCCCGGCGGGCGATGCGGGCTTCTTGTCCCCGTCTGAATCTGTTGAGGCCCATGGTGAACCCCACGGATCGTCCATAATGTTTCGCGACGATGATCATATTGTGGACCGGAGCTTCCGCGCAAAGCTGAGCATCGTTCGGCGAGCGGGAGACAGCGGGGGTGAATCCGCAAAGGGGGTTGCTATACTCGTAGTCGTCTTAGTGTGTAGGTTGCACAAAAATAACAACCTCCGTTGGTAAGGCAGAGGGCGCAGATGACGTTCGCTTAAAGTTGCAAAGGATCAATGCGGCGAACGATTTGGAGAGTCGCCAATGCCGTGGCCCCTGCATACGGAGAGCCCCTGAGCTTGGAAGTCGTGCCAAGCATCCCTTAGCTCATACGTACCTTAAGTACTGCACTTTCCTCCGTGCTGAGATTCCAGAAATGAGGAAGAGGGTGACGGCCGAAAGGTTGCTGGATTATTTTATTTAGCCTACGGTGTTGATTCTGCTTCTGATAAGAGAGGAGCGAACTGAATTCACACCAGAGTGGATCACTGATCTCGGCTCATCAACGGGTATCTCTGCGCTTGGCACTTGTTATCGCGATCGGAACTTGTTTGGCGAAGAAGTCGTCAACAACAAGCAAGAGGAACGTTCTGCAAATTCTTTCAATCCACGGCACTTGAACTTCTCTCTCCAGGTCTTGGCTTTCCAGCCACGAATCGTTGTGCAGGGGGGTCGTGCTGGGCTGCGGTGACCCGCGGGGTGCTGGCTCACCTGCTTCTGCAGTCCCCACGCCTTGCTGATAAAGCAACCTAGCTGGAAGGCCGATCCAGGCCGATGGAGGGGCCAATTTGCTTCCGGCGGCGCAACACAAAATGGCATTTGACGATGGAGATGGAAAACGCTAGCATGGTTTACTCTCAGCCACTTGAAGCACAGAGACCGTGATCTTCAGAGGCCTTTCATCCATTCCTCCTCGCTGTCCCCTCGCCCATCGCCATGTCGCTCTCCAAAATCAAGCACATCGTCCTGGTGAGCAGCGCTGCCATCGCCCCGCCTCCACCCTCCGTCACTGCCGGCTGACCAACAACCAACACAGGTGCTGTCAGGGAAAGGCGGCGTCGGAAAATCGTCTGTGACCACCCAGCTAGCACTATCGGTCTCTCTAGCCGGCCACTCTGTCGGCGTCCTCGATGTCGATCTCACCGGCCCCTCCATCCCGCGCATGTTCGGGATCGAAGATGCGAAGGTCAGACAAGCGCCCGGCGGATGGCTGCCCATCACTGTTCACGAGGCGGATGCCTCCGCGGGTATTGGCTCGCTCCGAGTGATGAGCCTCGGGTTCCTGCTGCCGCGACGGGGCGATGCTGTGGTATGGCGAGGGCCGAAGAAGACGGCCATGGTCCGGCAGTTCCTATCGGACGTGTTCTGGGACGAGCTCGACTATCTTTTGATTGATACCCCGCCGGGTACAAGCGACGAGCACATATCCTTGGCAGAGACGCTTCTGCTCAACACCACCGAACAGCAACGGGCTGGCGCCGTGGTCGTTACAACTCCACAGGCCGTAGCTACGGCCGATGTCAGGAAAGAGCTTAATTTCTGCACGCAAACGGGCATTCGTGTGCTCGGTGTCGTTGAGAACATGAGCGGATTCGTGTGCCCAAATTGCAGCGAATGCACGAATGTCTTCTCCAGCGGTGGTGGGGAGGTGATGGCCAACGACTTCAACGTCCGGTTCTTGGGCCGGGTCCCCATCGACCCACAATTCCTGGTATTGATCGAGACCGGCAGGAGGCCATGCTACCCCCAAGGGACTACGGTAAATGGTCAGGATATTTCCACGCCTACCGAGGCACCAACTGAAAAGCAAGAACGGCGAGATTCCGCGTTGCTGGTGCACAAATACAAGGAGTGCTCCCTTGCTCCTATATTCAGCAGCATCACGGCTGATGTCGTGGCCGCAGTCCAGGCCGCAGCGTAGGGGTCAAGGGCAACATCGAATGCCTCGCGATACCACCAAACACGAGGCGTCGCCGTCTGATTCTGGCTGTGTCTGAACGACAAGCCACGGCTACTTATATCGCAGTCCCCGCACAGCGCATTCCATACTCTACGTTGGACTGCACGAGGAGAAAGGCTGTGAGAGCCCCAGGAACATTCCACTTCGCGCAGAGGAAGACTGCGCACGAGTTGACGCAAGTCTGCTAATGGCTTCACCGCGTTGGGGAGAGACTGCAATGCAGCTGTACAGGCAACAAGCAGGCTGACGTCGAGCCCGAGGGCCCGATCGGTGGTCACTAAATACGGATAACGAGCCTACTTGACCGTAGGGTACCATATTGGTCTTTATCCGTATGGCATCTCGTATAATGTCCTAGGCTGCTCAGATGATAATGCAAGCAATCACCAGCCGCGCGATATAACCCTAATGCTGCGTTGAATGCAACCATCCACACAAGACTACAGCCTCTATATGAGATAGAGAATAGATATGACGACTGGCTTGTGTAACCACATGTCGACCACCAGCAATTCGCAAGCGGCGGTCCCTTGTGCGCTCATCATCTCCGGCTCCCCTCGCTCCCTCGCTCTACACGTACCTCAAGCTCTTAATGTCTCCCTGCACCGGCCAGGCGGGTGTATTCCCTCGGCCAGGAGGACGCCCGGACGTTTGTCGGATCTCCACACAAGTGATCGATTCGCATATGCTCCAGAGTGGTTTTACTTTCCAGGGTTCACGGATTCTCCTGCAAGGCACTGTATCACACGGCGTTAGCCAAGGCACGGCAGATTCCGGTGCGGGAGGACCTGGCGCTTGTCCAACTAAGAATCGAAACCCAACCTGGAATTGATGCTGTCTGTTGGTAAGAGGCTGAGCTGCCCAACTGTGGGTCCCGTTCTTACTCCGTAATGCTACCTGTATGTATCCGTCGTGTATTCCTCTGTGAAGCGCAAACGCCAGTTATGCGATTGGAGCGGCGTTTCCCTGGTTTTTCGCACTGCCTCTTAAGGTGACACCGGAAGTACAAATTCAATTCATCGCGTCTTCCACTCACTGCAGTTTTTGGATATACCTGCGTGACCTTAGCAGAAGGAACTTGCAGTATCGGTACAACTACATGCACTTCGAACTCCAGGGACACTGTGGGGCAAAATAAGTGGTCCCGTCCGTGACGGGTTGGCGATGCACCCAAATTTCTCAGCCCACCAAACCTCCGGAATCCTGTCTCGAGAATTTATATCGGTTGCCGAAATTCCATGTCTCTTTCGCCACTTCTGTTGACTTTTGCTCGGTCTCGTGCCACAACGCCATCTTCTTCTGATCTTCAGTGGAAGTATCTTGCTTGACAGAAAAGCTTCCGGGCCAACACTGTCTCACGAGGATCTCGTGCGCTCTCAAGGCACCCCGCCTCGGCCATGCAAAGAGCCATCTGAACCACTCTCCGCCCCGCGCAGTGTCCTTCGTGCAATGAATCTGGGTCTCGCTTCCTCTGCTTTCCCCCCTGGTCAATGACCGCAATTGATCTCCTGCGCTTCCTCTCCAAGCCCGCAAAGTGTGTTTCCACGTTTATGACTCTGGCGACCAGTTCCTGACCCCCGACTTCTAGGCCCCGATAACACCGCTTCAGCAATTGACCTCTACAATCAACGTCCAACGAGAGCACGACTACGCTCTATTGCCGACTTGACGCCTCATCGCCCACCTCCCCGATACTCTACCGCAGGTATCGGCACGACCGCAAACACGGCGCACTCTAAGAGCACGCCCAAAATACCGCTCCCAAAGCTCTACCGCCCTCCCGTGCGTGGCCGGCCTCCCTAACGTCTCCCTCGGTGACGTTCAACTACCACACCTGCGAATTGCAGCTGGCTAGGCCAGCACGCTAAAGGACACCACTTCCTGTGGGCCTACTCTCTCAAACGGACGCCGCAAGGTTCGTTTGAGCGGCAGCTAGTGTCCCGCGGACGCTTCCAACACAGACGGCGCTATCGGTTCCTGGCCACAGTTGACCATGGTTAACCTCGAGGTCCCCGACAACTACACCTTTTCGGTCTCTCCCGGAAGTCTTCAACTGACCATCAACCATGAGGTCGCGGCGGACCTAGACTCGACCAACGCCTTCGAGGGACCCGAGAAGCTCCTTGAAGTCTGGTTCTCGCCGAGCCCGAATGCCCTCCCCGCCGGTGTCAAGGAAAATGGGCTAAAGGCAGTGAGCCCGTCCACTTGGGAAGGGATGCTAGACATGGTCAACTGCAAGGTCCTGTCGATCGTCAAGTCGGACCATGTTGACGCATACCTCCTTTCCGAATCCAGCATGTTCGTCTTCCCTCACAAGATCATCCTCAAGACTTGCGGAACGACGACCCTGCTGCTGGGACTTCGCCGTCTCCTTCGCATCGCGGCTGTGGATGCCGGCTTCCCCTTCCACAACGCCGCGTCGCTGGACGATATCCATGTCGCTGCCACTCCGCACCGCGTTTTCTACAGCCGAAAGAACTTCCTCTTTCCGGATCGCCAGCGCGGCCCCCACTCGAGCTGGAAAGAGGAGGTCAAGTTCCTAGACGACACGTTCGAAAATGGCAGTGCGTACATGGTCGGCAGAATGAATGCCGACCATTGGTATCTGTACATGACGTCTCCGACGAACACGACGCTGACCCCGCCGTTGACTCCACGTTCGAGCAACCATGGAAGCCCTGTCCGAAGTTCCAAGATCCCGACTGGCTTGGTCTCGCCCTTCGGCGTAGCTGTGGACGACCATGCTGACGAGACGCTCGAGATTCTGATGATGGACCTCGATCCTGAGCTTGCGAAGCAGTTCTACCTGGAGCAGGCGAGTGCGGTCGCCAGTGAACGGGTGCCTGCTAAAGCTCAGGAAGCACGTCGTTTTGCTCATGATAGCTTGGGCGACATCGATTCGACTGTTGATGTCTTCGCCAACTGCGGAGAGTCCGACATTTTAGGGGACACAGGAGCTCCCGATGCCGAGCCGACAGCTATTGAGGCTATGACCACCGAGGGGCATGCGCTCGGAACCGTCGTGTCCGATACGTGTGGCCTATCTCAGGTGTACCCTGCTTCGACCTACCCTGATGCGATCATCGATGCCTATTTGTTTTCGCCTTGCGGTTACTCCGCCAATGGTGTAGTTCCGGCCCCGGGCGTCAGTGCGGATGATACTGGCAGCAAGCCCGCCCATTACTGGACCGTCCATGTGACGCCGGAGCCAATCTGCTCCTACGCCTCGTTCGAGACGAACGTGCCGAGTGGTCAGAGCGGCCGCCAAACCTCGGATGTCGTCGAACATGTTGTTAACATCTTCCGGCCTGGCCGCTTCACCATGACCTTCTTTGAGGCAAAGAACAAGCCCACGGACGAGGATGCTCCATTCCAGGCGCCCCTTGTGTCGGGCGTCAACAAGCGGATGGATCGCATCAAGGGATACCGCCGCATGGATCGCATCGTGCACGAGTTCGACGACTACTATCTTGTCTTCCGCTACTTCGAGCGCGAGGGGTGGGTTGGTGATAAGGGAGCCAGAGTTGGTGAGGATCTCTAGGCCATTTCGGGTCATTTTCAGTCGTTTGGTGGTTGGGAATCAAAACAGGGTTACGAATCACGACTCTTCTTCACTCGCAATATTGTTTGGTTGGTGTCCAACAAGTTTTGCCATGGATCTCTTCTGAGCTATTTTAATCTCCTGACTTGTCATTGCGGTCTCAACCGACTTAGAACGGATGTCCGTCCACTTGAGCTTTCTTAGGATGTCTCTGACAGTGGTTCGGCTTTGCGAATATGCATACTAGCGCTATCTGTCGAGTGTCGCATTCCAGTGTTGCTCGGTGATTCAAACTCAACCCGCATCCCTTGAGCGACTCAGCCCCCGGAGCCATGTCAGAGAATGTTGCCGATAACCTTGTGGCGGGACATTCTTGTGATTCTGCCACCAGAATTTTCCTGAACCCCGGGTTGAAAAGTGTCGCGTTGGGTATATCTGACATGCACTTCACTCGATGGCGCTCCTCTCCTTTAAAAGTTGTTTTCTCTTGGTTGGGTAGCGCAGTCTATATCAGTTTTTCTCAGAGTATCCTCGCTCAATGCAGTCCAACACCGCGCTCAACGATCCTACTTCTGATCGGATATGCCCTCGTCTGCTTTCTACACCAAGAGTCAACGCTCCCAGGGAACTCAACGGATTCCATGGCGACCAGGGCCTCTTCTAACTCTCGTAGCGTTATTCTTCCTCGCTGTCGCATCTACTGTCGGACTGTCGGTATCTGCTGTCGCCTTTAGTGACACCCCCGACCTAGCGAAGCCAGGACGTGGCATCGCGCAAAGCTTTGTTTTGTTCGCAGTGAGTGGATTTAATTTAGCTAACAACTGCCATACACCTGGATTGGATCCTTAAATAGCTGACGATTTTACCCTTGAATCTCGAGTTAGAGCATACTCTCGCTGCTCCACGTCTCGCTGCACCTCTCCGTGTCCCGCAAGGACGAGATCCTCTACTTCGACCCTCCCATACCGTCATTCCGCCACCAACTTCATGCTTGGACGACCATCGTGATATGGATCGCAGCCGCCATGTGGGCGGGTGCCACCATCGGCGTGGCTGTCTTGCTTTACCAAGGGAGAGGAGGCAGTATCACAGTCCTTGTCAAGGTCGACATGTTTGCTTGCGCTACGGGGCTGCTGTTTGGCTGCGTGGTGCTCGGTGTGGTGCGGTTCGCAAACCAGCCTTTTACGCTGCCCTGGATATCTCCTGCGCGACCCGAAGCGGACACGTCCAGTAATGGGGACTTCGACGACAAAACCAGCCGCATCACCCGAGGGTCGACCAGTACCGACGAAACCCTCCGCGGCTCACCCGCCGAGAGATCCAAAGCACCATCGAAGGCGCCGAGTAGTAACACCAGCAGGTCCACATCGCCTAGCCGGTCCAAGACCAAGAGGATGATGCGAACCAGACGCTACATCCTCGAGGCAACACCAACGCCAGTCGTGCTGTCCCCGTTGAAACCTCAACGCTCCGGCGATTCCGGCGGCTCAAGCAACCCACCGATCGGCACCCAAAGGGACAAATCGAATGTGGAGGGCAAACTGGTCCCGAGCGCTACGGAGTCTGAGTCCTTCTTTGCCGCGAGCACGACTGACTTCCCCGAACAAAAGGCAAAGAGCGGCCCTTTGGTCACAGAGAGACCCGTCACGCCGGAGACGACGATCGGCAGTGTCACGCCTCGGAGCAGCAGCATCACCACCACCGCCGCCACCGCCACCGTCACCGTCCAGCGTCCGGCCAGGGTTGCTATGGTGCCGGTTGTGCAGCTGGGATTTGGGGATAGTCCTACAAAGTTCAGGCTCAAGAGGAAGAGTGTAGCTCCGCCAGTGGATGTGTTGCCGCAGAGTAGTGGCCTGAGTGGTGCTGTATCGGGAGAATTAAAGAGTGGTGGGTTTGTGGCGCCTTCTCCCCCTCCTCCTCCGCCGCCACCGCCGCCGCCGGCGGTTTACTATGTCCCTGGGTCATGGGTACCGAAGTTTCATTCTTATGGGGGGATGAGTTGGGATGATTGAGTCCCTTGATCCAAAAACGTCATCCGTAATGGATGCTGAGTTCGATTTTGAATCTTAGCGAGGCTATTGGACCGAATCAATGAGGAGATGACCATATCTACATTGCAGTTCACACCTAGCACCGTAGATTGCTGAAGCGGTAGTAATTTGTCATGAACCCGGCTTTTGGCGACTTATAGGTTTGATTTGAGTATTGCGTGGCCTAGGAGTATGATGTATCCCCCAGTTTCTTGCCAAATACGTCGAACCTATCGCCAGTCTGGAAGGGTCTCAACATAGGACCGGGGCCAAAGGGGTCGGGGCAGCTAAGCAGGGCCAAATATCGAGAGAATAAACCAAGGCAGAAAACAACGTCGATACGCAAACAAGTGACTGAATCGCAAATATCCAGTTCCTGGAAGACGGCGAGCACTCGCGTATAGCGGCATAAGCAGAAATCCAGCCAAGCCCAGGGGTTCCAGGTTAGGTCAAACCACCCGCCTCGTCTTTCCCGTCTCAACCTCGTACACCCACCCACTGATAAGAACCGAATTGGGGACGAGATTCGACCGCTTCAGGAACTCGACATCAGCCTCCACGGCCTTCTCCAAGTCCGGAAACGGCAAGAAATCAAGGTTTGCCTGACAAAGCTCCTCAACCGCCTCCTGGCTGTAGCAGGGGGGAAGTGAAGTCAGCCACCAGTACCGTAAGTAAGGTAGGGTATCTTCTGTGAGATTTGATCATGAGAAGATCGAAGGTCGGATACTGAGTACTAGCATCCCATAAACTCACCCCAGCTTCTCCCGCACAAGCTCATATGCGTCCTCATTCTTGAAGGTGAGCATGCCACAGCCGGTATGCTTGACCAAAGCAATCTCGTTCGTCCCAAGCAGCTGCTGGCTAATGACAATCGATCTCAGGGCATCCTGCGCGGAAGCGCCAGCCTGGTCACAGTGTTCGTTAGAAGACTCATCAGCACAGGAACCGAGTTTCTCGCGAGACAGCCAACATGGAAAGGGGGTATATTTGAACGAGGAATAAGGGAAGAGGGCGGTTCCAGCGTACGTTGCGGATGACATGTGCGTCGCCCAGTTCGATGCCAAATGCCTGGGCGGGATCGATCCGAGCGTCCATGCAGGTGAGCACGAGGTATTTCTTTGCCGGAGGCAGGGCGAGGCTGCCGTGGGTGAAGGAGGCCGAGTAACGGGCCGAGGAAGCCTCGATGTTTCGTTGGATGGCGCTCATGGTTGTCCTAGGGGCTGGGGAAAGCTCAGGTGAATACGTGGGATTAAATATGTTGAAGCTGTTGGACAGCGAATACGTTCGGAACAGAGCAAGGTTTGGTCAGTGATCTCGGATATTTCACGAGTAGGGTGAAACAACCACATGAAACCAAGGGACAAGGGCTCTGAGAGGAGGGGTCGTGGAATCTTTTCATATACAACATAAAAAGTACATGACGACGGATTAAATATCTAGAACCACATAGCCCGCCTGCTGCGATCCTAACCGTCGTACGGCAGTCAACCTCCCATCTCGGCTGTCCAATCAGACAAAGCAGGCTTGGCAGCGTCCACTCCAAGCGCTGCTTTTGGCAGGGGAGGATGGCGTGCTCACCACTGCCCCTCCTGGAACTCCAAAATGACCACAAGACAGACATGCTTTGGCTGACATCACAAAGCCACACCATTTCGCCATGCGAACGATCTGCAGTTGTACTGGCCACCCTGGTGCTACTTGTGCCTTGACATGCTAGTCGCCTGAAGCCAGTGGGTCGATCGAGGTTGTCGGAGCGAGCAATGGGGAAGGTAGACGCAGTGGGATGTGGTGTAATGTACAGTTGAGTGGCAACAGCAGCTTCCATCTTGTCAGCTGCGGTGTCGATGCCGGCCTCTGTGACTCCGTGAGGACGTGACTCTCGATGCATCATGTGATGCCACAGATCGTCCTTCATTCGTAACGGTCATCCTTCAGCCGCTTCTGTTGCAGGCGCGCAACAAGTCTCTCCTTCTCTTCGAGCGCCCGCTTCTCTTCGTACTCGCGAGCGGCCTTCTGGGCGCGTTCCTTCGTGCCCCGATCCGTACGCTCCTCGAACGTCTCCTTGGCATCCTTCAGCGTGGATTTAAGGCTTGCGAAAATGGTCTCGGAACTGGCAACGGCGGCAGCCTGGCCTGCTGGCGAGACTCTCGGGGCACTCAGATCCACGACCCGCGGTGCTTGCCAGGAAGGCTGGCCTGGGTCGACCGGTTGTTGTAGCTGCTTCAACCCGAGCAATCGCCTGAACCAGGACTGGTGCATTAACCATGTTTGCGCGAGATGTAAAAAGGACGACACAAAGAAGTAGAAGGTCGTGCCCGCCGGGAGAAAGAGAGAAACCACTCCCGTAATCGGGAGGACCACAAGGCTCATGATCTTCATTGTCTTCTGTTGCTGACCAGACATGTAGGGGAGAGGAATCTAGTTCAAACCGTGGTTAGTTGTGCAAAGGTACGGCAGTAACAGGGGAGGAGGGAGAAGGTCAAGAAAGTGATAGCGAAGCAAGAAGAGCGCATACCCTCATGCCCATAGTAATGATAACACCCGTGAGGATGGGCAAAATGAACAACGGGTCAGGCGCGGTGAGGTCCGTAAACCACAAAACTCCACCGGTTTCAAACGACGGCACCGGAAGCTTCGCCATGCCCCCGATCAGACGAAACACGCCGTAGCCGAGGGGGATCTGCAGCATTGGGATCAAGGCTTTCCTGAAGGAATAACCAGCCTCTCGGTTCATCATTCCGATCCTGGCCCGCGCCTCAGCGCCGGCCAGGTGGTTGCCGCTAACCATGGTGCGCTTCATTTGCTCCATGGCGGCCTTGTATTGCGGGTCCTTCTGTAGCTCTTGATACCTCAGCTGGTTCTCCTGGGCATCCATGACCGGCTTGAAGAGGGCAAGCCTGAGGCCAACGGCCACCAAGGTGATGGAAGCCCACCAGGGCAGACCGGTGTAGACGTAGACGGACTCGAGGATCGTCTGCATGAGCGAGGTTGGACCCCAGCCATAGTCTAAGCCAAGGGTCTTCAGAAAGCCAATCTGCTCAGGGATATCAAGGAGATCGCTTCCGGACAGCTCGACGGGGGTCGCCGTGACATCTGCGAGTGTTGAGGCGTCGGCCGGAGGGGCAGCGGGCGGTACCGGCGTCTGAGTCGATGCATTGCGGGCTTGCCGGAGGGAGGACAGTACGGGCTGAGAGGCGACGGCGAAGACAAACGGACTTCTTACCCGCCATTTCGTCCGTGCGCCAAGTAGTGTAGTACCGTTGTTGGTGCGCAATGCTGTGCCGAATTGTCGGGCAAGATGTCGGTTTGGAGGCTTCGGCAATACCTAGTAAGGTCGCATGTCAATGGAGATTCTTCGGAAGGACGAGCGAGAAGACAAGCAAAAGCAGTATGAGGCGGATCAACGGTTACTCACTGCCCTTGCCAGTCCCAAAGCTGGGTTCTGCCGGAGAAGGCCTCTACTTGGGAGCATCTTGTCTTGGTGTCCCTGGAGCTGCAGGAGCTGGAGTCGTGAACTGCTGGCACGGGCCAAAATTTCGTGATCCTCCGATGGTTCCAATCGGGTGGGCTGAGAGTCGTCCAGTAATATTGCGTCTTGGCACTCATGTCTCTGACGGCATCACGCCAAGCTTTCTAGTACCCGTCATGTGGGGTACACGCTGCGCTGCGTGGAAGCGCATCTGGTTGAAGCGCTGAGCTGCCCAAATGTGCAGTGGCATCATTCAATCATTTAATCTTTCTACCGAGTGCCTCCGGCTTTGCAACGGGTCCACGAAATGTGCAGGACGTTCCCAAGAATATGTACACATAGGGCCATGTTGACGTCCCTTTGTAATCGTTTTCATCTCGCCCCCAACGCCGTGATTTGCAACGATGCTCCCGTCTTCCTTGCTGAGCCGGCCTGGAGCCTGTCCAACTGGCGAGATTCACCAAATAGTCCGAACCACGCTCATCCAGCTCTTCAAGAGGCTAACGGAAAGAGAAGAGAGGCAGCAGGTTTGATGAACGTCTGCTAGGCACTGTATTTCTCTGTCGGCATGTTCCCAAGGAGTCGTCGCCACACTCATCACTCCAGGCTTGTCAGGTCATCAAGTTCGTTCCTCCGCCTCGGCTTCTCTACGGCCTCGATACCAGGACCGATAGGATGCGCTTGCCGCCTCGAGAGAGGGAATACCTACAATACGTCAGTCTTTCTAACCTGGTGCGCCGTTTCGTGCGGCAGAGAGCATGACGTACCCTGGTATTGCTCCACCCTAACCTGAATGCGGCCTCGTGTGCAAACAGCTCACCAAAGCCAAGCATCATGCCATTGATAAACGGTAGCAGTAGGTTGATTGCGGCACCGCGGAGGATGGACCAAATGGTAGGTGGCTGGTAGAGAACGACGGCTGGGGAGGAGGACTGCGGAGGCGAGACCGACAGCTCATCGTGACCCGAGTACTGCTCGCTGTCTGACCGGATTGTGACCCCGGACTCGGCCATGGGATTAGGCGGTTCGTCGGATGCCATAATGCGGTGTTGTTGTGGAATCAAAGACGGGATGTTGCGCGCCGTCACCCGGAAAGTTGAGCGATGGCAGCTGCTGTTCGTGAGGTCAGTTGCCCAATTCTGACAGGGGTCAGTCAGTTTTGGAGTCCCGTCTTCGGACCAAGATCACTTGCAGTGTCGGCAGTCGGGCAAAATTGTTCCGGTCTCGTCGAACACGCCCGGGCGTACTCTGTCAATGCAGGTGAGCCCAGAGAGATTTGAGGATGACGCAAACGAAGCAAATGCAGACAATGGGTAAATATCCGTGGCTAGCAGTAAGATATTATTAAGAATGGCAGGAGTGTAGGCTGTAACTGGAAATATTGTAATACCTTACTTTGCTAGCATCGACCAGTATCCATGGTTTACGTAATTTACAGAGCGTTGGCGGGGCGGCCTGGAGAGCCAGTGACGCGGGGCACGGAGACATCGTCGTGCGGGAGCTGCCTGATGGCAGGAGCTCGCAAACAACTTTTTGTTCAAGACACCCGACCTCCCAAGTTCATCTTTCTTTTCGTTTCGCAGCGTTTCCCTATTGTCATAACCGCCCGAGATTTCTAAACAGCAACGACTTCCTGACTCTCAAAATGGCCGATCACGACACGCTGGTTAGCAGTTTCTGTGAGCTGACAGGGGCTTCCACGCAGCAGGTAATTGATGCATTCACGATACGGACGTTCGCTCTCGAGCCCATTCTAACTCTCGCAGGCCACAGAATACCTCAATGCAAACAAGTGGGATATCGACTCAGCCGTGACTTCATATTACACGGACATGGACGAGAGCGCGCAGACTTCGGGGGCCGCTGCTCCCAGAGCTGCCCCCGAGCCCGAGTATACTGGTCCCCGGACATTGGACGGCCGACCTGCACCCGAATATGCCACCGCCTCATCCTCATCGACCGCTAAGAAACCGCAAAAGCGTACAGGTGTTGCCACGTTGAGTTCTCTAGGCGGCGGCCATGATCATGACGATTCGGAAGACGGCGATGATTACGACGATGAAGACGAGCGCCGCGGCCCTCGGGATCTATTCGCTGGCGGGGAGAAATCCGGCCTGGCTGTCCAGGATCCCGCCCAGCGATCTTCCGACCCCCGAAGAGTGATCAATGACATCGTGGCCAAGGCTCGCTCGTAAGCGACACAACGGTTATCATTTCAAGGCGACTCCATCAGCTAACATAAGTCTGCGGCAGGAACACCCGTCAAACGAATCAAGAGTCCGCCGGTCCGTCGAGAACCCACTTCCGTGGCGCAGGCCAGACAGTTGGCGGTGATGGGGTGGAGAGCCGCACGATTCCTGACCCCCGCGGTGAGCCGATCCCCACCGTCACGAGTAGGCCTCAGCAAGTCGAAGAGCGCATTTTGCACATCTGGAACGACGGCTTCAGTATCGACGATGGTGAACTGCGGCGTTTTGACGACCCACAAAACCGGGCAGCTCTGGAGATGATCAGAGAAGGTCGTGCGCCGATCCACCTTATGAATGTGCGGTTCGACCAACACGTCGATGTTAAGCTACAGCAACACAACGAGAACTATCGGCCCTTGCCGAAGGTGTATCGCCCATTCAGCGGGCAGGGACGGCGCCTGGGCAGCCCCGTGCCGGGCGAGTCCATTGCAACCCCGGCTCCGGTGGCCGCCCCGACCACTACAACAACCACAACCACCAACTCAAGCCAGGCACCGTCCACGGGCGTGGATGAGTCGCAGCCGACGCTGATGCTCCGCATCCAGCTTCCCGACGGCACCCGCCTTCCGGCGCGCTTCAACACGAGCCAAACGGTTGGCGATGTCTATGACTTCATCCTGCGCTCATCGCCCTCTCTTGGAAGCCGGCCGTGGGTGCTGTCCACCACGTTCCCGAATAAGGAACACGAAGATAAGGGATTGGTGTTAGGCGAGATGGCCGAGTTCAAGAAGGGTGGTACCGCGGTGGTCAAGTGGAAGCAAACATAGGGAGGAAGCTGGTTGGAACTTTGATGGATGGGTCTGGGAAAGTGGCTTGCTAGCGATGGGAAGTTACGACTCCCGAAACATAGGGAGTCGTATCAATAAACTGGCTCCTAAGCAAGGGCAGCATTAGACTAAGCGTGAGAACTTGCTACCGTGATTCAGTCCCCTGTGACCTTTAGTCAATCCAAACCATAGGCCCGTATCTCCTCCAACCAGGAGCGCCTTGATTGTCCTAACCCTAGTAACGCCTAGAACACCTATACCATTGGTATCACAGTCCCGCGTGCAATCGGGAAGTCGTCCTGGGGGGCCGCCCTCTCTCTTCTGCACCCGCTTCGACCCATCACTCTTAGTACAGCTCAACCATCCGGCGCTCCTACCGAGCCCTCGCCGCCATAGCCCGACGGCGTACTCCCCAATACCTGCGAGGAGCTCATGCCTCCGCCAACAGCGGACTGCGCTGGCACAACCGGCCCGTCGAGGAACCTGAACCACGGCCTCGCGGCAGCAACGTTCAACTTGGCGCTGTTGAACCTGGCCTCTCCCGGCGGCATGCACACGAGGATGTACGTGTTGGTGGTGAACTTGGTGGCAAACATGCTGAAGGTGGCGCCCATCTTGTACTCAAAGTCCGAGAACTGCTCGGCGTTGCGCGGCGTGCCCGTGTACTTGGAGCACGTGTGCTTCCAGCTCTTGAGGATGTTGCTCATGCGCTCGAAGCGGTCGCCGTACGGGTTACGCTCCCCTTCGCGCGACGTCCACTTGGACACGACCAGGAAGGAGGTCCGCTCGAAGAGGAGGATCTCGTCCGCGTCGATTGCGAGGCCCAGGGACGCGAGCTGGGCTTCGATCACCGACAGGTTGGGGACGAGGTCGTGGATGATGGAGGCCCAGGCCTTGTAGAGGGATTGGTCCCAGATGGAGGTTGCGAAGAGCTGGAGGTTGATGGACAGATCCTCGCCGGCCGCAGAGGGGACGGTTTGCTGCTGGACTTGTTCGGGCTTCTGTTTGTGCATGATGGCGACGGCCTCGGCGGTCTTGCGCCGGACAAGGGCGGCCCGGTGGTCGAAGACGTCTTCCCGCGTCATGGGTTGGATCAGGTCCATCTTGTGGATCAGGACGAACACCTTGGCCTCGCGGGAGTACTGGACCAGTGCGCTAATGATGTTGACGTAGGTGGCCAGGTCACGCTCAACGTCGCGGCTCTCAATGTCGAAGACGTAGATGAGCACGCCGACGTTGCTGAAGACATGCGCCCGTTGCTGGGAGAGGTAGTTCTCCATGAAGGCCTCCTGGCCGCCGCAGTCCCACAGATTCAACGTCAGGTTGCCCAGGAACTTAACATGGGACAAGTCAATGTCGATGGTGGCGCCTCTGAGTGAGTGGTCAGTGAGAGGTTCCCCTACATCACAGAGACGTTGAGGGTCTGTGGGGAATAGACAGAGTAGACTCACAGTCTGCGGGTGTCTCGGGCCAGGTAATTGCTGAAGATGATGCTGCGCATGCTCGATTTGCCGGAACCACTCTTACCCATGAGCAACACCTTCTGCTTCTTTACCTTCTTCAGCTGCGCAAGGGTGGCCGCGGGACTTCCCGAGTCACCCGCGCGGTGCCCTGCCGCGGGCAAGGCGCCCATCGCTGTGTCGAGATCCGACATTAGTGGCTCGTCAGCTCATCGGTTCATCTGCTTTTCCGCCGTGCAACTGCTCAAAGAGGTCACAGGATTGGAAGACTTCAAGCCTTTGACTTGTGTGCCTGCTGATGGGGCGTGCACCTTTCGAAGGCTGGGCTCTGGAGGAAGCGTGCTGTCGGCTGTGGGGCAGGTGCCACCTGAGCTGTCCCCTGATTAAGCTTTCGTTCACAAGATAGCGATCACGTGACCTGCCATTGAACGACTCAACCATATTTCTTAGCTCCTTTCCAGACTGATGATATGGACTCTGTCACCTCATGTTCGTTTTTGCATTGAGCGTATCACCAAGTCCGGATCGCCATGATGGATGATCACTTCAGTCACGAAAAGTCGTCGGATTAAGAACAACTCCAGCTAAGGGTTAGGGTCCAGCTTCCTTCTCACCGTGTCTCGGCCTCTCAGCGTGTTTGGTGCTCGAGGTGGCAGTAGAGAAGAGGATTCATGCTACATGTATCTTGGATCTTGAAATGTGGACTTGTGCGATTAGTGGTTTCCGAGTTGCTAATACCCTAAGGGGATGCTTGGAACTTTGGAAGTTGTTGGAGGTAACTGCTGAGCTACGCAACTACTTGACACCTCTTGAGCCACACACACATTGTGTCTTTTCTGGATCATTTGTTGATGTCGTGGGACTGGGGCAAGGTTGAATCCAGTTGTTCATGTTCCACTGCCCTTATACCGAAGCAAGGTCAGTACCATCCCCGTGAACGAAGCCAACAACCCGACGAACATCAGATCATCGCCGTTGAAAAACTATCGCTGAGGTGAACAAAGCTTTTCTATGTTCCCACTCACCTTTCACAGTAGAGATATCGTGCTGCCCTGTTGCTTCGGGCCTCGGGTGAGTATCATAATAATAAGATAGTCTAAATATGCAAATGTATCTAGCAACTAGAATGAGAATGGGGATGAAGCTGATAGTTTTAGGGAAGATGAGCGCGACTTACTACCTACCACATGAATCCCATAAATCCCTTTTTATCGTATCAATCAGGCACTCACCGGGAATACGATGAAGGGAACACCGGTTCAGAATCGCTCGCTTTGTCCCCGACAACTCATCAACAATGGCACCGATTTCTGAAGAACACTGTGGCCATTGTTGGCAGCGCATTGTTACACCCCCACAGAATGAAGAGAAACACAAGTGACTCAACACTCGCTGTCAGACTTCTTTGGTACAATGGGATACGTTTTCAACTGCCCCCGAGCAGTGAGTTTCTAGTATTTAAATGGCCAGGTAGTCGTCAACCCTCCTTGATCCAGCAAGACCAACATCCCGGGCCAGAGACCACCAACCAAGATGACCCCCTCCAACAAGATCCGTCTCTTCGCCTTTGCCACCCTTCTAACTCTGGGTACCCGGCCCGCGACAGCACATATGGAGATGACCTACCCTCCACCACTCAAATCCAAGGCCAACCCCTACTCGGGCACCAACGTCGACTACAGCATGACGTCGCCCCTCAAGGCCGACGGTAGCGACTTCCCCTGCAAGGGCTACCTCTCTCTGCTCGACGCCCCCGAGGGCAAGGCCGTCGCATCGTGGACCGCAGGCGGCGAATACAACTTCACCATCTCCGGCGGCGCCGCACACGGCGGCGGATCCTGCCAGGCCGCCCTCTCCGTTGACGGCGGAAAGACCTTCCGGGTCGTGCACAGCTACGAAGGCGGGTGTCCCGGCCAGGGGGAGAGCTCGTTCAAGTTCGGGTTGCCCGGGGACACGCCGGCGACCGAGGGAGGCATTTTCGCTTGGAGCTGGTTCAACCACCTGGGGAATCGGGAGATGTATATGAATTGTGCTGTGGTCGACATCGTCACTGGCGGTGGCACAAGGGGTGGTGATCGGAACGGGAAGGGTGTCCCCTTTTCCAGCCGACCTGAGCTGTTCAAGGCGAATATTGGGAAGGGCTGCAGGACGGTGGACTCGGCAGACGTTGCGTTCCCCGATCCTGGTCCGGACGTCCACTCTACTGGCAAGGCTGTGCCTCCAGCTGGGACTTGTGGCGCTGCTGGTTCCTCTTCCTCTTCTTCTGGTGCTGGCGGCGCCACTGGTGGTGGTCACGGTTCCGATTCCGGTACCGGGTCAGGGGCTGGCACTAGTACTGGTACTGGTGGTGGTTACTCAGGTAAGCATCCCAGTTCCACGCAAGGGTCCTCCTCTTCCACCATTACAGCATTCTCGCCCTCGCAGGGTGACGACTGCAAGCCAGCACCCTCCCTCACTACGCAGCCCACCCCTGTGCCAGTCACTAACGAGTCCGGGACAGGTTGGACGCCGGGGAATGACTGGCCAGGCTGGTTCCAGTCCGGGGCCTCGGGGGCATCTTGCCAAGCTTATTTGGCTGTGTTCCTTTCAGCAATGTTCTTTGCGCATTACCTCTTCTAGAGAGGATCTTCCTTGGCAGGCATATCCGCCGCGGGCAGGCTCTGTTTCTTTTGCTGTCTCTGGCTACCAGCTCTCCTAGGTATGAGCTTGGATACTGAACTGCCTTGGACATTCAATCCCTAGAATGATAGACTGAATTCACCTTGTATTTTGTTAAAGACCTGTTCTGTTTTTCACTGTCGAATTTCCGTGGATGAACGGAGGACGTCTTACCTGCAACTGAGAGTCTTGAAGATGACATTACTACATCGCCAGCATACATGGATGTGTTCCACTCCCTGAATAATCGTTGCTGAAGTTCTGTGATATGATCGAATGATTTCCGCTCTGCCATCTTCTCTCCTTCAAAGCAATGACCTCATTATGTCTATAGCCTATAGAGAATGTTTTGCACCTCAGGTCGCGCCCCAATGTCGCGGTCACATACCCAGCTATTGGAAATACCAACAGCCAGGTATCCACGGTTATCACACAGATGACGGGAGCCTACAACAATAGGCTTGATTCAACTGCTTGGGAGCAACCTAGAAGTGATCAATTGGAGTCAGTGCTTTCTTGTCCTTGTTCTCATCCGTTGAACTCCCAGACTACTTCCAGCAGAATGGTCTCGCCACATAGGACACTACTCGGCGCCTAAATTGCCAAGATATGCCAAGTACTTCGATCTTGGTGGTATCACTACAGAGAGTCCTCACATACACATCACACGGTGGGCAAGTTTGTGAACAACATGCGAGGTTTGACTTGATGTCAAGATAAATTTCCATGCACATCCCATGTGATGTTGTGTGGCATTGATTGGAATCTTGTCAGGAGGAAGGTAGAGCAGAAGATTAAAGATGAACATAAAGAAGTTATGGTAAATAGGAGAAAGAAAAAGGAAGCTTCAGGTCACGGAATTTAACCCTAACCTGTATTAGCCACGGAGCCGTACGAGTTTCTATATATCAACATTTTAAACCACCAAACTCGATCGCAGCAAAGGTTCGGCTAGCCCGGCACCGATATACGGCAACCGGTTCGCCGGATGAAGTGCCTGATCCGGGGAGTGAAGATCGACCTCCGAGCTACAATAGGCAATAGCCCCTGCGTCCCAGATACCTGAGGTAACTAGTCGGGCACCACCGACAATTTACCCTGCCCGGAACTGCCAGTTCGGCTTTGACGCACGGGAAGTACTACATATGCAGTCCAAGGCGAAGTCTCATGTGAACGACACAAGAAGCCGATCTTCTTTGCCAGCCGTAACCCCCTCAGACAACAGGACCTCCCAAGGATTTCAAAACAATGCCATGCAGCTTTTGCCTCTTTCAACCGTATAGTGGATGAGGGGTTGTAGTCGGTAGAACAGGGCGACCTAGCCACGAGATTGGCGATGCGTCGCATGCCGGGATCTGTTACCCATTTACAATGTCCTGTCGTCACCGTAAGTCCTTACCGAACCCCAGTGCCGAGCAAGCTTGGAGCTGGGTTCAGGAACGCGAGAATTTCCCTTATTAGTTGGCGAGTGACGGAGGCACTTGCGTTTGCCCCGTTCACGATCTGAGCACTGTGGTCTGTCTCTACAAAGACCCAGCCACGCTGTCCTGAGATTGCGTTTGACTTGCCCGCGCTTGTCTGTCCTTGTGTCTTCCAGAATCGAATAACCGAGATCAACAGCAATATGACGCGATCTCTTCGTCAAGTTCTACTATCTGCCACGGCAATGATCGTGGCCGCTCTTCATGGCGTAACAGCTGCGAAGCCGTCAGCGGGGTGTGGAAAGACGCCGACACTCATCACAGGCGGCGCTGCCACGACACCTCTGACGTTGACCTCCAACGGCAAGACGCGCCAGTACTACGTCAAACTCCCCGACAACTACGACAACAGCCATCCATACCGGCTCATCTTCACACTGCATGCCCTTGGCGGCAACGCACAGCAAGTCACGGTCGGCACGGGAGGCTACCTGCCATGGTACGGCATCCCAGCGCTTGCGAACAACGACACGGTGGGCGCCGTGTACATCTCGCCCAACGGGCTCAACAACGGCTGGGCCAATCAGGGCGGCGAAGACGTCGCATTCCTCAAGGCGGTCATGGACACGGTCGAGAGCGACCTTTGCATCGACCAGAACCTCCGCTTCTCGACCGGCTTCAGCTACGGAGCCGCCATGTCGTACAGCCTCGCGTGCTCGCTCGGCAGGCAGATCCGGGCCGTCGCCGTGCTGTCGGGCAACCCGACGATCAGCGGCTGCGCCGGTGGCACCGAGCCCGTCGCCTACTACGGCCAGCATGGCATCAAGGACTCGGTGCTCCCCATTGCGGGCGGCCGCCAGATGCGGGATCGCTTCGTCAAGAACAACGGCTGCGCTGCGCAATCCTCCGCCCCGCCCGAGCCCGCGTCCGGGAGTGGGAAACACGTCAAGACCGCTTATACTGGCTGCGACCCGAACTACCCCGTTGTGTGGAATGCCTTTGACGGGGATCATACACCGCAGCCCAAGGATCAGGGTGCCCAGAATACCTTCTCGGCCGTGGAGACTTGGGAGTTCTTCTCGCAGTTCAAATAGGGTCAGAAGGCGAGGGGCGAGAATTTTTGTTATCGTTGTATGAGTATTTCGTGGTAGCTTCAAGTGTTAGTGCGGAAATGGTGCATAGTACATCCCTAGGTACTAAGGCGTGCGAAGATTCGCAACCGTGTTTACGGTGGGAAGATATAGTAACCCAGGTAAAGCAAGAGTCAGAGATTTGGCTTTTCGTCGAAGAAGAAGACGGGAGGGCTAGGACTTAGGGAAGTTCTCAGCCTGTGCCCCCAAATCAGACGAAACTCGCAACCCACACATCCATGGCCCTAACTCCCTCCCTCCCGCCCTGCACACCCTCCAAGCTCGCCTCACACGCATCCCGCGCCGCAAGAACCACCGCCCGTTCCCCCTCATCCCCCACTCGCTCCTCCACTTCCCTCTCGAAAGAGGAAGCAAGACAAGCAGCGACCTCCCACTGCCCGTCCAGCAGCCCCTCCCCACCCTGCACGCGGCTCTCCCTCTCCAGCCGCCACCCGGCCGCCAAGGCCAGCTCGGTAAGCCGCTTGGGTCCCAGCACCGTGCGGACGTTGGAGTCGCTGCTGCCCCTGGCTTTGCGGCACTCCAGCGCTGCCTGGGCGAGCGCAGCCAATACGTGAGGCTGGGCGGCAGGGTGTGTCGCCACCAGCGACCACTCGGCAAGAAGGAGGCGCTTGCTGTGCTGCTTGAGGGCAGCGAAGGTGGAAAGGATGAGCGAGGGCGAGGCGAAGTACCATAGACTGTGGGCGAGCACTGCTGCGTCGAAGGTCTTATTATTGTTGTTATTACTTTCGCTGGCGGATGGCGGCGGCGGCGAGGACGTGGGAGAAGAGGGGGAACGGGGACGGGAAGGGAGGGAGGAGAGGTAGTCCAGGGGGGATTGTTGGACCCAAGTAATCCGGCTCCCCAGCGGGCCTTGCGAGATGTGGCCTTGTGCTTGGCCGAGAGTATACGGGGCACCTGCGGGGGGATGATTAGTCCGTCTGCTTTTCCGCCGACGCGCACTGCCAGGGCAGGTAGCAAGCAAGTGTACGGAGTAGTGTAAAGAAAATCAAAGCGAGATTGATTGACTCACCATAGTCCAATTCTGCCGGATCGACCGCCACGACCGACCCCTGCTCGCCTACGGCAGAGGCAAGGACAGTCGTGCAGTCCCCCTGCCCGCATCCTATCTCCAAGACTTGCGAGCCAGTGGGAATGTTCCAGTGCTGCAGGAGCACCACGCGGTGAAGGGTTTGGGAGTGCTGAATGTTGAAGTGGGCGGGGTCGTGTAGGGAGAGACGCGCGATAGACGCGGCGTCGAGTTGAGTGGACATGTTGTGCTCGAAGGGCGTTGGGCACAAGACGGCTGAGTACCTTAGATACCGTAGGTTCTGCGTAGCCAGGTGATGGAAATTGGAATTACTATGTATAGACTTGATTGTAGCTGCAGAAGAGCTGCGGATGGGGATATCTTATGCTGTAATACCTATGATGGGGATGATAAGCTTGTTCTTCGGATTTGTCCCCGTACCCCTGGTAGCAACTAAGGTACCAACCAGGTATAGGTGCTAGGCCGTAAGCCGTTAGACCATCAGTATATTGAACGACTGATATAGTAGGCTCGGAACTGTTAATAAATGGAAAACGAACCTCTAGTCGTTATTGCCTGTGCATACTTATTAAGGGTTCGGAATGTGAATGTCACTGTATTATACATGTACGAACAAGCACACCAATCACAATGTCTTGATCATCATTTTTCCCATGCTTCCTTCCGCTACGCGGCGCATTTTTACACAAGCCTTGCTTCCTTGCCTATAGCAATGTCTCAAAGATCTCACTGGAAAGGTTTTCTTGCATTTTCCTTTTATTATGACTTGAGTATGGTGAGTTTTGGAGGGATTTTGGGAGTATGAACCTACCTGTTTTCGATGGAAACTTTACGTTGATATAAGGTACCACGTAATCTTACCCACACTGTATACAATCGTACGATCTTGAGGCTTCTAATATTTTGATCTGAGGTTCACGCCGTCCATCACGGAAACGCGGCGTATAGAGAGGCCGTCGAGACTATGTGTCACGCCAGCGGACTTATTGTCTAACGAGGGATGATGAAGGTTGAATGCTTGTTGCAATGATCGTCCAACCGGACCGGGCAATTCCACGGTCTATCATCCCCGATCCTTTCATGCACGGAGCAGCCTCTTTTCCAAATCCGGCGCATGGCAATGCTCTGCAGTCAACAGATGCCAACACCAGAATTTCGCAGCCTGATTTCAGGTTTTCGTGGCACCATGGTGTTGGTCGAGCTGCACTTAGCAACAACTGCGGCCCTGCGGGGTTCTGCGATCAGGATTGCACCGCCCCCCCATGGTCGCGTCAAGGCCGCGTTCAGGCGGATTCAATGGCGCTTAATTGCCGGCCGAGGATTCGCGGTCGTGCTCAGCTCAGGGCTGTTTCAGCGGCTACTGATGCAGACTCGGAACATCGAAGAGCCAACGAAACGAGTGGCCACCATTGCTCCAGGATGACACAAGTGCTCTCTGCTTTGCATCGGCAACGCCATGCCCAGTCGAAGTGCTGCAAAACTCCACTAAGCGCGAATGGCGATGCCACACATGCAACCACTTCCAGGGTCGAACCATATCTTCGGGCCAGAGGTGGGAGTCTTGGCTGCATACCGAAGATGCCAGTCACAAGTAGTCATGCAGAGCGATGCAGCTTCGTGTTGGCAACCTACAGGCAAGATGTGCTCTTCGTTGGCCCCTGTTGGGATCGCTGGTGGTTGATGCATATGACAGGCCAGCCGCAAGGGGCTTCGAAGGGGTCGTCAGATCCTACTCAGTTCTGGTTTTTTCGTCAGCGATGAAGTGCAACATACCTCGGTGGGATTGGATTTGAACTTTGTGTGCGATGACATGGAGAACGAGATCAAGCAGGCTACACGACTCCTCCAAGCACAACGGGCGGCGGATCGGGACGAGCAGCGACTCTCATGGATCCGGAACCGCTTCTCATCGCAGGCTGGCAGCGAGTTCACCACCCGCGAAGTCAACAAGGTTCTCGCCGAGGTCGTCGAGGCAGATGGCTCGGTCGGCGTGGTCAAGGCCCTGCTGGCTCTCGGGGCCGACGTCAACTATGTCCGGCGGCGCCACTCCACCACGTGGAACAAGCTGACGCAGCGCAATGACCCGCGCGAGAGGAGCAATGTCCTCCTACGGGCCACGATGCGCTGCCGTCCCGAGACCGTCCGCGCCCTTGCTGCGCGCGCCGACCAAGCCAACCTGGACGGTGTTCTTCACCACGCAATAGCAAGGGGCAACCTGGCTGTTCTGGCCGCGCTGCTCGAGCACGGCGCGAGCCCGGTTCACCTGCACGACGACTTCCAGGAGATCGTTTACCACAACCGAGTGGACCTCCTCAGGGTCCTGCTGTCCGGCCACCACTTGCCTTGTTTAGCCTGCCGTTCGACGGGGCTCCGCATTGCCGTTGAGCACCGGTCGCTGGAGGTGATGCGCCTCCTCCTTGACCATTGGGCCGATGTCAATTACGGAGACGCCATTGCTCTCACAAGGGCTGTGGAACTCTCTCGCCCCGACCTTGTTGCCCTCCTGTTGTCTGGCCCCGTCCAGCCTTCGTCTCGCTCGCTCGATTCTGCCGTGGGCAAGGTTCGACAATTGTTGGAGATGCGAAACACCACCTCGGACCACGAGATTCTCGAGTTATGTTTGTCGGCAGGGGCTACTGGCCCCGAGACGCTGCGCCTGATAACCGAAGGCCTGGTCGAGTTCGTGAAGCGGCGCCAGACGCCTCTTGTGGGTACCATCTTGCGGTACAAGAGACCGCCGGGCCAGTACGAAGCGGCTGCGCTGATCGAAGCCATCCGTGCCGAGCAGCTGGATGTCGTTGCGAAGCTGCTCGAGTTCAGCCCGTCCCAGACGAGCCTCGCAATCGCCATCTCGCAGACGGTCAGCGTCGGCAGCCCGCAGTTTCGGTACGAGGCAACTCGGCTTCTGATCGAATCTGGAGCTCGGGGTCCCTGCGCCGCCGAGGCCTTGGTCAAGACGGTCCACTGCCTTGTGGCCGACCTGCGACGCGGCGACAAGTTGAGCATCGAGCGGGACATGAGACTATTCTACCTGCTCCTCCACGAAGGGAACGCAGAAATAAATTTCGAGAAGGGAGAGGCTCTGCAGATAGCCGTGCGTTCCGCATGTGTCGACGTTGCTGAGGAGATAATCGCCAAGGGCCCCTCCCCTGACTCGCTCGGCGCAGCGCTCGCCTGGGCAATGGATGTGCAGGACCGGCAGAAGAAACAGCGGCTGGTCGAGTTGCTGGTACGGCGACACGTCAATGAAGATGCCGCCGGTAAGGCACTCGTGGCCGCCTTTACGTCGGAGCCGGATAATGTGTGAGTCGAGGCATTCCGTTTTAATACCACCCTTTATCTGCTGACGAAGCAATAGGGCGCTCATCGAGCTGCTTCTTACCCGTGCGTCTGTGAACTACAATAACGGGGAGGTCTTTATCTACGCCGTTCGAAACTTCCGGCTCGAGACCTTCCACCTTCTTCTCGGGCAAGGGATCGATTACAAGGCGCTGTTCACGGCTATCCTGGAGGCGTTGAAGACTTCGAAGCTGGAACGAAGGACCCTGTTCGGAGAACTGCTGAGCCGGTTGCAACTCGATCACCTGAACACAGCGCTCAAGTATGTGGTCTTGGAAGAAGAGACGGACCTGGTTCTGGCGAGGATGCTGCTCGACTCCGGGGCCGAGGCAGCCCACGAGGATGGGTTGTGCGTAAAGCATGCTGCCACCGCTCTCAACCGAGATCTGCTCCGTCTGCTGTCCGACTACGTGGGCCACGATGGGAATGTCTACAGCCAGGCCTTTGCGGCCATCATCAACCGCGACAAACGCTGGCTTGCCTTCGAGCATCTGGAGCTGATAGACATCCTTCTTCAGCATGGCGCATCGAGGCATATGGCTGGAAAGGCCATGGTCGAGATCGTCGACCATCTTGCTTGCCAACGAGCGCAATCCGACCTGGCGGAGGCGTTCCTACGCAAGTTGTTTGCCGCTGGCGTGGACGTCAACTACGAGAATGGGAAGGCCATCAGCATCGCCGCCAGCAGAGGAGACCCTTGGCTCCTGTCCCTCTTGTTGGCCAACGGCGCCACCTCTTCCTCGGCCACCCTTGCACTCACCGCTGCAATCATGGCACATCACACGGAGGAGCTGCTCCTGGAGCTCATCGCTCTCTTCTCAGACCCACGTTCTGCCATCCCCGACTTCGATAGATCCATCCCAGGCATGCCACCGCCAATCCTCATGTGCCTCAAGTCGTATGGCCACTCCGTTGCCGTCTTGGACGGTCTCGTCAAGGCCGGGTGCCGGATAGAGACAACCGTTCCGATGCAGGTTCTCTCCGGCGCTACTAGAGACAGGGGCGACCGGAGAGTCAGCTCGGAGCCGGAAGCAGCATCCGTCCTGATGTGGACCTTGCTCCAAGAAGAAGGGCTCATCAGTCCTGCAGTCATCAGAGCGTTGGTTCAGCATGGTGGTAAGTCGACTTTTCTTTCTTGTTAATACATAACAGTTCCTCCCACTGACCATTGCAGCCAATATGTCGTATGCGACACCGATATCCCGGACCACGCCACTGCTGCTGGCAGTGAAGTCGGGGCGACTTGATATTGTCCAGCTGCTCCTAGACTCCGGCGCAAAGGCCTCCACAAAAGACGCGTTAGGTCACTCTGCGCTTTTCTATGCTTCTCGGGCCGGAAATACGGACCTGGTACGGCTTTTACTGAAGAGCAAGCCTGTCGTGAATGACGGGAGCCTCCACGAAGCCTCCCGGGGCTTCCATGTACAAACGATGGAACTTCTTCTCGAAGCCGGCCATGACCCGAACTACCGGTCGATAAAGCACGCAGGACGGACGGCCCTGGGCGAAATCGCTCTGAACGCCATTCCCCCGACTGATGTTGCGACTGCAGAAGAAGCTTTGGATCTCCTCTCGTCCGTCGATGCCAGTCCCCTTCTGAAGGTCCACGGCAAAACAGTCATCTTCCTCGCACTCGACAACCAGCACAACGAATCTATCACGCGGTTGCTGCTTGACCGGATGCTCTACCGAACGCTAAACAGCCATGAAAATACGTACCAGCAAGGTCTTCTCCATTACTCACCCACCATGTATGTCTCCAAGGGCATCCTCCTCGGACCCGGCTCGGAGACGCTCCTGCAGCTCCTAAAGGCCCACGGCTGCGAAGACCGCTTCTATGCTAGCATGGAGGAAACCCAACCGCCTGACGCAGTTGGCCTCCCGGAGGAGATCCGGGACTACGAACGGGATCGTCGCGCGCGCGAACGGCAAAACCGCCTCGTCGAAGAGGACCACGCCAACACAATCCGCCGCGAGCGCGAGAAGGCCATCGCCGTTGCCCAGCTCGAGGACGACAAGCACCACCGTTCCATCCAGCACCGCGAAGACCTCTCCCAGCAGCAACGCAGGCACCGCGGCCTCGAGCACCACCAAGCCATCCTGATGGACGCCGAGAAGCACCACAGCGATGCGCAGATCCAGATGAGCCACGCCAACGTCCAGTCCACCCTCCGCTGGCAGCGCCACAACGACGACCTCGCCATGATCTCCCAGAAGCGGCACGCCGATCTATCGCACCGGCAGCAGGCCCACCAGCAGCGCCTCGACCAGCGCCGCGACAAGGCGGCGCAGGACCACGTCGACCGAGACCTCGGCCATGCGCGGAGCCTCGCCAACATGCGCGACGCGCACCGCCAGCGGTCGCAGGAGCGAGAGGACCGCCACGCGCAGCAGCTGTCGTACGAGAACCGCAAGATGATGCAGGAGTACGAACTGATGTGGCGGGCGAAGCAGCTCGAGAAGGAGGGCCGGCACGAGCAGCTGGCGGCGGGGCGGGAGAGGCACGGTATGAAGATGACGGAGCTGCGGACGCAGAGGGGTAATATCATTGGGCAGGTGAACCTGGAGGAGCTGAGGCGGTGGCAGGAGAGCGAGAGGAGTAAGGGGATGACGATGATGAATCTGGGCCAGGTGCGGGTGCAAGGGAGACTAGGTATGTTGACATGACATGATGATGGTTATGAGGAGGTGAATTGGCGTTTTTTTTTTTTTTTTGGTGTTGGTCTTCGGGATGAGCTTCAATGGAGGGGTTTAGGCAATGGATATTTGGTAGATACTTATGCATTTATTCATATTCATGACAGTGTCTCTGATTTCGACTTCCTTTCAGTTAGTACCACAGAGAGGTACTAGTTGTCGAGTACTTCTAGCAACGATAACCTTATTTGTGTCTACCTACCTGAGGCTTTGAGAAGAATGATGAGGTTGAACACATCTGGTTGCTCTCCAGAATCTTTGATGTCCATAGTAACTTCATCATGCCACAAACGTCATAATAGGTCTCCTCTACCCAGCTTTACATGCCCAAGCAAAGTGACCGCCTCCTTGGCAGCCACCTGGGCAGTCAGCAATTGGTAAGAATGCAGTTTTATGTTCCCTATTTTCCAACACAATGAGAGCCCTACACCAGGCGTATAATAAGCCCCCCCTATTGGATATGTCCCGATGTGCCAAGTCTGTGATCGACATAACAAGGGCGCGCACGCAGCACGCTGATGATGAGTGAACAAGCTGAGCTGAGCTGAACAGCGGCCAAGGGATACACACCACAATTGTCATACAGTATTCCAGAATACCATAGGTTTAGGGTGGCAAACATCTCGCAGTCCTGGTGGTACAAAAAGGGAAGGTGCTTGTAGGTACGTGGCTGCCACTCAGCCACGAGATCGTCGGACACCAGTTTCTCGTAGCTAACTGGTTAACTACAGGTTACAGATTCAGTCTCCTGCTTTTTACGGTCAGGAAGCACCTTTTCGTACCTACCTAGGTATGTATCTCTTATGATGTCGATCCCGCGGTAGATGGATATTCTTCTTTTCAAAGGAAGAAGGTATACTTGGTCTACTACCTCCGCACTTCCCTACCTCTTACTCAGAAGGTCTTCGTACACGTCGTATAGCTTCGGCATTTCTATCTTCCACTTCGGACTAGCGTATCATAGAGCGTCGAAACAATGCACAGCACTTAGGTAGGCTTAACATTGTGTCTCTTGCTCTCCTCGTAAATACAGGTTGGCGACGCTCGTGCTACAGCAGCCAGTGAATCGTTCCGTATTATGCTCACCCTCGAACACCAGGTATAAGATTGATCCGACTCGTCTCGAGGATTGATTACTTTCACATTCTTGCGCTCTTTGCTCATCCCTACTGCTTTGGGAGCTGGGCACGTCTTGGTCTCACCGTACTCCCTTAGCTACGGCGTCCGAATGGTTATCGTGTGTAGGTCATGAGTCGGAGGGATGACAGGCACTCGGATAGACTCAAACCCGGACGAAATCAAGGTATTGTTTGCTGCACTACCTCGCTTTGGAGGAGTTGTCGTGTTACGGCGGAGTAGAAAAGGTATAAAGAAGCCCGCGATGCTCGTCGTCCGTCAGCTCGGGAATCTCCCTCGCACCCAGCATCCTCTTGCGCCCTCAGCACTGAAATAACCATCTACACTCCACGTATATTCCATTCCCAACACTTGTACACCTCCCAAGGCTTTGCAGCATCTACCATCCCCAGGCCATCACCATGAAAACCGGGCCCGTCATCATCATCCTCGCCAGCCTCGCAGCCGCCGCCATGGCCGCTCCCACCCATGGCGACTCCCCCTCCCGCAGCGCACTCCTCGACGACGTCGACAAAGACAGCAAGCGCCGCCAGGCATGCTCCCGCCAGATCAAGTGGGAGGCGGGCGGGTGCGAGACCGACTGGAACGAGCACTGCCAGCAACACTGCGAGGCGAGCGGCATCGGCCGGGGCTGCTGCGCCGGCACCGTCAATAACCACATCGAGTCATCGGGCTGCTTCCCCGGCTGGAACGTGTGCCGGTGCACCTGTGCGGCGAATTAGAGGCTGGCAAAAAAGAGAAAAAAAAAAAGCAATGGGGAAGTAACTAAGTAGATGGTTGAGAGATTGCAGGATTTAGGATGCAGGATGGAGTGTGTTGGGCTTGTTGGGTGGCTAGAGAAAGCAGCGGAGAGTAACAACGGAGCGGGGGGGGGGGGGAAGGGGGGGAGAGGAATAATAAGGGGACTTTGGGAGAAGATGGAAATGGTAAGGCTACACGGGCCAGGCACACATTGGAAAGATCCTAAGCTGGATTCGCGAGGCCCTGCGAGTATCTAACTGAGTGATGAAAAGGATGTTGTGCCGGGAATGGTTTTCTAGTTCCGACCGGCAACTGTTTTTATCGTCCTTCCACCATCACCTTCCTCACAAGGAGCGCAAAGACGGAGTTGTGGTTCCCCGGATAAACAGCTTACTGAGGTCATCATTGTAAAGTACAGGTAACAGCCTGCCCTGTTTCATGTCCAAAACGTCTCTCAACACACTGAATGGAAACTTGTGTCAGCCTCCTCTATAGCCACGTTCCGTGTTCCCGTAGCTAACAAGATTGAGCCGCCCCTCGCTTTGCCGTTATCAACCCAGAAGTCCGCAAGACATCCCCTTGGAAGGCTCTCAAAACCACCATGACCGCAAAGCCGCCCCTAACCCTCCCTTGAAAGCAATGCCGCCCATGATCACTCATCTTCACTCTTCCGCCTTGCAGTTACCCTGCTCCATATCCGCCTCCAAATCCTCTGCCAACGCCCACCCGCTCGGCGATTCGCTATCGAGAAAGCAACTCGGGTCGACAGCCTCACCCTGCTTGAGTATGCCCATGCCATCCGTATCCCAGCGGAACGGTGTGACCTTCCCAAAGTCCCAGTCCAGTGTGTCGAAAAGCTGGGATTGGTTCTCTGGGTTTAGCTGGCGCCCGTGCGCCTTATCAGGAGGCGCCGTAAGAGTCGCGGTGTCGCTCCACGGCCGACAGAGAGCGAACAGCAGCGAGAAGGAGAGGCTTAGGAGTTGTGGATTCGGGTTTGGCGGGATGGTGAAGAGATAGTCTATTGGGTGTTTTTCATAGGCGGGAGTCGTGGCGTTGAAGGCGTAGTGATCTGAGTGGTCAGGGGGTGGCGGAACCCAGTCCTCAACCCGCTGCATGGCAGGGTCCTGACCCTCCGGCACGAAACGGGATAAGCTGTTGTAGATTCCCGACAAGCGGACGCGGAAGCGCAGGGCGACGGGGTCCATCTCGCCGCAATGTCCGAGCACGTCGAGACATTGTTTGGCTCTGTTCATGTCTTCGGCCCAGGAAGAAGGAGGGAAGCGGTGGAGTTGCTTCTGGGCGACCGAGTGGAGAATTACCACGCAGGCTGTGTGGGTTTGAAAGCTGGAAGGGTTCAGTACGAGGAGACAGATGGCTTGGTCTTGGTTCCTGGGGATCGAGCTTACATGACAATCCAGCATCTCCTGAAGACGCCCTGCTCACTAAACAGCAGACCCACCAGGATCGCCGTGTCCTTCGCGGAAATGAGTCCTTGCTCAACCAAGCTCAACAAGGTCGGATCGCGGGCGGCCGACTCCAGGTCTCCTCCTGTCCGCTGTAGACGGACACAGTGGGCGGCAATCCGGCGGTAGACCAGCATAGGGGCCCCGTGATATAAGATATGGAGATGGTAGATCGACCATCGGACGATGGGAGCCCAGTCGTATCTCCGGACGTCCAGACTGCTTAGCTTGATCTCCTCGGGAAGCTGACTGCACCAATCCTGGAGCTCCTTGATGATGCCATCCATGCCGAGCATCGTGAGCTCGCGGACGGCAAGATGATTGCGCAGGATGCCGGCTTTCAGGAGGGTTAGCTTTGTCATTTCTGCTTGGATAACTGAGACACAACGAGGTCAGCATCATGGAAGCACTAGCGACGGCGCATGGGTGGATGTCTCACGTACTCTCGCCCAATTCAGGATTGTAGCTGTCAACATCTTGGTCGGCTACCTGAGAACGGAGAGGATTTCGGTCAGCGGCCATTGTGATGGTTTCTGGCGAGCGCTAGCAGGTCAAATATACCGGGAGCACTTTAGCAAATTCATCCGAGTTGTCGGCCCCTGAAATGTATCCCAAGGTTGATGATAGCCAACTGCGAACCGTCAATACCGAGATACACCGTGTTTAGGTGGGTAGCTTGCCTGGAAAAAAAGAGCAGAGCTCTCCAGGTCCTCCGAAAATCTATCCAGTCCTCATTTGAAACCAGAGACGGGTGGCATACACCAGTATTCTCGCTCTGTCTCTTCGACATGCTGAGACCAACCTCTGCAGAATGAAATGCTTAGCACAGGTTCCGTGTGAAGGACGGGTAGCTGCATGAGACTCGGTTACTCACCAACATAGGCCAAGGCCGCTGTAGCCTTATCCATGATATAGTACATGGCGAATAAGGTGCAAACCTTGATTGTGTCCAGCGCCCGTTCTTCCACGACCTCGGCAAAGAAACGGCGGCTGACATTGTGGAACACTTTCTCGAGTCCCCTCTCAAAGTCGTCGGGGTTGTACTGGATACCCACAGCAGCAACGGCGGATAGGCAGCATATGGCCAATTTTTGCGAGGTATCGGGTCTGCCGTCGATCCCGAAGACCATCCGATAGTAGACCTCCAGCTGCTGCTGCGAATAGATGTGGAACAGTCTACCACACGAGCTGAAGAAGCTTTGGACACCAGCCCACGTCGTCTGGGCGCAGGGGATGGCAAAGCTCAGATAGTCAGCCAGGCCAGCAGCCAGAAGTCGCTGCTGAGAAGGCGAGGGGAGCTTCCCGGCTGGCGGATTCTTCGAAGACGTTCCCACGAGCGGTGCAACACCTCGGGCGACTTGCAGGGAAGCATCCGAGGGGTGATTTGCGAACGAAGACTCGGAGGAGGCCGACGAAGCTTCAAGCGACAGCGTTGGCGTGTTCAGGTCCACAGTATCGGTATCACATACGGAGGAAACATCGTCGGCAGACCTGAGACGTTGCAACAAGCGCAGGGCTTCGTCATCCGGCTTGGACTGCAGGGCGCCCACCAGCTTCTCGAGCGATTCAAGGCGAGCTCTCAAAGCCGCTTGCCGTGACTGCCCTGCCTCTCCTTCGTAGCCGCAAGCTGAGCCCTTGGCAGTGCATCCGCCGCATCTGGGTCGCACACCGTCGCACTGCGGAGCAGGCCGGAAGTTAGCATGCCGGCTCCAGCTCACGATCCTGTACGCACGGCATTTGTGTCTCACCTTGGCCTTGTTACGACGGCAGGTGTGACATGCCTGCGTCACTGCCTTGAGCCTCTTCGTGAGACCCTTTGCGAGCCAGCTTGATGAGGTGGATGCTGCGGACCCTTTGCCAGGAGCAGGTTGGATCGGCCGATACTGGTTGGGCGGGGCCATCGTGGACTCCTGCGGAGCGTGCGCCGTGAAGCTCCCGCCTCCAACGCTCCAGATCGCAGCTCTTCCTGCCGACTAATATGCACAGGACTAGAGCCAACTGCTGGAGCCCGAAATGCTGGCATCAAGCAACTGGGGTTATTCATACATTTCATGCACCTCCACCCGGTGCGGAACTGGCTCCGGGGAAGCTGTCAGAGTTGGAAAGGTTGAAGACCAAAAATAAAAAGTAGCGAATCAATGATCGGCAGCTGCTGCTTCAAGTGCGAGAGAGTGGGCACCTGTCATTGGGCGGAGAACCCCGCAACGCTACGCCGGCTCACAATCCATTGGCCAGACTCACGAGCTAAGTGGGACCGTCCGGAAGAAGCAACACGACCGTTGGATCCTTCGCTGGTCTAAGCACCTTCCTTCCGTTCCCAACTTTGGCGGGACCTACCAAGTAAGAGCGAGACCAAGACAAAATACACCTCATGGTTCCATTGGCTGCACAATCCTCGTAATAAACAACAAGTATCCCGATTTCAGGTCAGAGGGCGAGGGCCCCCCGAGGACGGCGAAGGAGCATAGGGAAAAGATGCAGCGTGGGAAAGAAGACAATTGCTCTGTATAAGGCCAGTCTGTTTTCTCACCGGATGCACCTACATAGGAATCAAGCAGACCTGGAATGATGCCCCTCATTCATTCTCGGCATAGATAAAGTTTGCCCCTAGCACTCCTCGTCAGTCATCACACGGGCAAAACGCAACACCCAACCTGGTCACGGCCAACAACGTCCACTTACCAACCGGAGCAAGTCCATTCTCCGCCGCCCACTCCCTCACTCCTTTCGTCTTCCCCTTTTCCGGATCATAACCCCAATGTTTCCTGTCGGACGGCTTCACCAGATGCAACTTGTCGGTGGTCCCATTGCTGGGAACAAACGCCAGGAACACGTAGCGATGCTTCCCCGTACCCTTGGGCGGCCCGGGAGGCTTGTAGGACGTGACCTCATCCAGGTCCGACAGCACGGGCGGGCACCCGCCAGGGTCCTTGGGGTCGCACAATGCCGGCTTCAGCACGCCGGATGCTATCCAGTGGCAGAACTCGGACCACTTGGGTTTGTCGCGTGACGGGGCGTCGGGGTCGGTCAGGGTGATGACATAGGACACATTGGAGGCGTAGGTATTGGGCGAGGAGGTGGCGGCTTGTATGTCGTGTAGCGCGATGGAAGGCTCGTCCTGTAGCTTCTTGGGCGTGAGTGTGTTGCCGAGCAGGGCATGCTCCTTGGACGGCCAGGTGACGTGGAGGCCCAGGGAGGGCTTGAAGTCGTCAATGACTAGGTTTGAAAAGTCAACCGGTGGCTTCCGATTGGAGTAGTTCAGTTCTAGCTGGTACCAGTAGGTATGATCTCTGCGTCCTTCAATCTGACTTCATTTCAGCCCTTGAACCGCTGGATGTTGTTCATGCCGACACATTGTCGCCTTGAAAGACTTACTTCTCACGGACCAGCTTAGCAGCTTCCGAGGACGGATCGTTCTCTTGGGAACTTTGCAGCACATGCTGCGGACTTTCACCCTGGCTCGAGGCCATAGTTTGCCATGCCAAAGCGGCAAGCAAGACAATGAGTCGGGTCATGATCTCCGTGTAGGTTAGGATGTCGAGGCGGGAACAGTAACTACTACTAGTAGTGATTAATTCCTCACGTCCTAGGGTAATGCACCACCTGATCAGGCTGGTCTAGGCCAAAAATGTTGGGCCTATCCCATGGTTATGGTTTCAATTGTGCTTCGTGCTGTTGGCACTTGGTTGCAACGGCAGCGCAATATGATGTCATGGATGGCTCTGCCCCTCGACAAGCGATGGAATTCAACCAGTTTTTACTAGTACACTACACAGGAAGCTTGAACATCATCTTCCAGATGCGCGTTTATGTCTCATGCACTAGTGTAACGCAATAGAATTGATATGGGCGAGGGTGGAGTGGCATTCAAAACACCCCCCTAATAATAGAGAGAGAGTCTGGAATTGCACCCAAGCTCTACGAACAACTGCAGTGGTATCTCTACGCAGTGAGTTGATGAGTCGAACGGTTGAATGCCATATCCCATCCAGTTTTCAGTCGAAACTGAACTTGCATCCTCAATTCAACTTGAAAGGGATCTAGACCCCGCGCGGAGAAGCTTGCCTGACGTCAAATCATCAGATCATCCAGATGAGCGTGTGGACGGAGTTGCGTCATGGTGAGTTTGAGACGACCAATCCGCGTCTAATAAGGGGCGATCTCTTTCAACGCGTTTGTCAACGACGAATACACGCAGCTGACCTTTGGATCGCGGGACCATCGAAGGGGATCTCCTCATGAACCGCCCCGCCACATTCGGCGGACCATTGCGACATACATTCAGTCCTGCATGGCTAATTTCAGTTTCACCAAGCTGCACAACAACCCACTTATTACACTTACACTTGGATGGTCACCATCATCGTCAACAGCGCCAACGGCAACACATCCACACGACCACGCCGCAGCACTTACCTTTCTTCAACCGCACCAAAATGTCTGCCCCTGACCAAGACGGTCGCACCGTCGCCCTCCTCCGCGAGCACCTGACCCCGATACCGCCCCTCTCCGAATCCACATCCACCCTGACGAGCTTCTTCTCCTCCTTCGGTACCAACCCGGACGACCCCAAAGTCATCCTCCTCGGCGACGCCTCCCACGGCACGTCCGAGTTCTACGCCGCGCGCGCCGAGCTGACCAAATACCTGATCGAGCACCACGGCGTGAACGTGGTGGCCGTCGAGGCCGACTGGCCCGACGCCGAGGCGGTCGACCGCTACGTGCGGCACCGCCCGGGGCCCGGCCCGCGCGCCGACATCGGCCCGGAGGCCGAGACGCGCAAGCACGGGCGGGAGCCGGCCTTCATGCGGTTCCCGACGTGGATGTGGCGGAACCAGGAGGTGCAGCACTTCACCGAGTGGCTGAGGGCGTGGAATCGGGGGAAGGATCCCAAGGCGCCCGAGGCGGTCGGGTTTTATGGTTTGGATCTGTATTCGCTGGGCGCGTCGATGAAGGCTGTGGTTGACTACCTGGACACGGTGGATAAGGAGATGGCCGACAAGGCGCGGGAGCGGTACAGTCGCATGATGGCGTGGGCCGAGGATCCGCATGAGTATGGCCTGGAGGCGCTGGCGAGCGGGTTCAAGGGGTGTGAGAAGGACGTGGTGAGGATGCTGAGGGATCTCTTGGCCAAGAGGCTAGAGTATGCTGTTGTGAGCGGGGACGGGGAGGAATTCCATAGTGGAGAGCAAAATGCGCGGTTGGTGAGAGGTGAGTTTTGAGAGCCGATGAGGTGAGGAAGAGGTCGCTGACGGTTGGGCAGACGCGGAACGGTACTATAAGGCCATGTACTACGGCCGGGACGAGTCCTGGAATCTGCGGGACACCCACATGTTTGAGACGCTAGTGCGCGTACTCAAGCATCGCGGCAAGAATGGGCCAGTCAAGGCGGTGGTGTGGGCTCACAACAGTCACGTTGGCGATGCCCGCGCCACGAGCATGGGCTGGGCTCGCGAGGAGCTCAATATCGGACAGTTGAGCAAAGAGACGTTCGGTAAGCAGGCACTCAACATCGGGTGCAGCGGCAACACGGGAACGGTTGCGGCGGCTCGGCGGTGGGATGGCGACATGCAGGTGATGCGAGTGAATCCCGGCCTTCCCGGCAGCTATGAGGACTTGATGCACAAGACAGGAGTCAGGAGCTTTGTCCTTGACCTCAGGGAAGGCTGCTGCAACGAGGAGCTGAGAAAGGCACTCATGAAGAAGCGGCTGGAGCGCTTCATTGGGGTCATCTATGCTCCACACACCGAAAGGCAGTCGCATTATTCTTCGGCAGTGCTGCCGGAGCAGTTTGATGGCTTCATTTGGTTTGATGAAACCAGACATGTCGGCGCGCTTGAAGTCCATCAGCCTCATGTACCGCTCGAGTACGACGAGACGTGGCCGTTTGGGCTCTGAAGCGGCATGAAAAAAGGGGAATGGAGGCGGAGATGAGTCTGTCTCGACGGGAGATTGTAAACATACCTCGATGCGGCGATTGGTTTGGGGATCTAGGGTGCTCCGACACTGCGCAGAGAATGCCTGTCTAGCGTTAGTACCTGGCTACGTTACTCATGCCCTGCTCCTTGTAGCTGCAGTCGCTGGCGAAGACGCTCAGCGATGGAAAATTGGTGGTGACGGTGGAATCGTGACGCCCGCCGTACGTCATGTTCTCCTAACTTTGTGAGGTTACCCCTCACTTGTCAGGAGATCCATCATCCAGTTGCTCGTTTGCTGGGGGTATAACTATGGCTACTGGCATAGCTGTTCTGCTCCTCATCACGAGCTCCGTGCTCTAGAAGTCCTCGTATTCTTATTTATATCAGTAAAGGTCGACGTCTCGCACATCATGTCCGATAAAAACCGAGAACGAGGCCTCAAAGCGGCTATCCACAACCCCAGGGTGTCGGAGGAAGCTAAACAGCATGACCGCGAGCTTCTCGCCAGTGAGTTCGGTGAGCAGGTAGAGGAGCCAGAACAGACGGGAAAGAGCAAGCGGCGCTCTTCGACCAGCAGGAGTGCGGCCCCACGCCTTCACCAAACAAAGAGAGAGACCCAGCCGGGCTCTTCCACGGCTGCGCCTGAAGCGCATGCGAGTGGCACAAAGGCCCGGCGAGCTTCGAGTGGAGATACAGGGGGCTCGCAGCAGATCGGCGAGGAGAAGGACAGGGGCAATGTGTAAGTGCAAGCCTTAGCTCAGCATTATATCCCGTTGGGTAAGGACAGGTTGACAAGGTTCTGGTTCTGCGCGCATCAGAATTCGAGGACTGAAAGCTGCTCTCAAGAACCCGCATGTCTCGGAAAAGGCCAAAGAGGAGGACCGCAAGAGACTGCAAGAGATGGGTGAGACAGTCGAGTAGGGTTTTCAGCGACCACCTACTTTAGGTGATCTCCTCAGTGTATAGTCTTGTAATGATCGCACCGGAAAGTTGAGAACTTGTTTTCTAGGTGATGTCCAGCCTTCTTTGACTGTCTAGAAGTGTCGTGTGCAGTTCCATCGATGTCATGCCCGGCGATAACACTGCGCTTGCGTCGGCCGAGAGGTGGGGCCGGTCCGCTAGGGCACCGGGCCGGGCCCGGCGTTTACAACTTCGTTTCGTGGAAGGAGTTTGAGATGACGAGAATATGCAAATCCATTCCAGCGTTTGTCGCCAATAGGCGTGAATCTTCTAAGCTACGGTATTGTCATACAGCACTGCAGTCCCACATTGATTGTCACAACAGCACATCCCGCCCACGACCGTAACTGCAGGATACGTCAGACAGGGGTCGATCCTGACGATCAACAGGATGAGATCATAGGGTGCAACACATGGACATCGCGGCTGCCACTTTAAGAAGCTGCTGGGTTGGACTTGCCGGACAGACTCGATAGATGCCACCTCGATTAATAAATCCAATTTGGCCAAGGCATTCCGGATTCCAAGATGCAGCAACTCGACTTTTTCCACATTTGGACTTTGGACCATCCAGAAAACGGAGAGTCTCAGTCATCATCGTCAACCACCACCACGGCCATCACTGCAACCCGAACCGCAACTGCCAGTAATAACACACACGCGCGGTCTCACTCCACACACACCCATCATCGTCGTCCCCCACTTTTCGATCTCGCACAATGGAGTCAGAACTTCCCGCCAAGGAGCAGCTCGCAGCCCGCGCCACAGAGGGTCTCCCGATCAGCCAGCCCGAGGCCTCCGCCATCGCCGCTGCTGAGTCCGACATGACCGGCCGCGGGCCTATCAAGGGCGGCCCCGCTGCCGCAGCCCAGAGCCAGCACGACCGCCAGCAGAACTTCTTCGCTGTGGCCGGCGAAGTGGGCCGCAAGCCGCCCGAGGAGATGACGAAGGAGGATGCTGCGAAGGTGCAGCACTTTGAGGTGAGTTAGCCTTTGGGACTTTCCATTTTTCTTTTTTCCGTTTTTGCCAGTTTGCTGAAAAGGGGGGTCCCTGATGATTCAGGCACGCGCATTGGGTCATCCGCCTGGAAAGGACTCGTTGGCTGCACAGGTGCAGCACATTGCGGACAAGAATGCCCAGACGCAGCATGCCGACAAGTGAGCATGAGTGACATGCTTCACAAGGGGTCAATGTCCAACCAGGGCCTCTTCGAGGTATGGAAATATGGGAGGTGCTGGAGATGGAATGTACGATAGGGTGTATTGTACCAACGCGACATCATGGCATTATGAGTTGAGAGATGGGTTATGAGGTAGACATGGAGTTGAGCGTTGTATCGATAGAATATCTCACGAGCTACTTAAGTCTAAAGCATGAGACAACCTTACCAATACTTTACTGTGACGACTGAGTGGCTTTGCACCCTTGGGTTTGGTTCACCTTGGCAGCTGCATACTCGCTGTTCCTGGTTCCAACTGGAACTTGATATCATCAAGATCGGAACATAAGGGCAAGGAGACAGTATCTCAAACGTAAACATCCAGATTCATACTACATCGTGAACTGTTCATGAGCGTAATGGAGTCATGGGACTGTCATTGTAGGTAGGCAAGTAGCAATCATGCTATACCCCGGAGAATATTTGTCTCACATTACTACCAAGCTTGAGTTGGTTATGCTTGCCTCTAGACCCCTTATTGCTCAGCTTCGCTTCCGCCATCACTTCAAGCACATGCATTCCAATCGGCCAACGCATCCTCCCCAAGCTTCTCCTTGATGATGCGGTGGGAGAGATCCCACAACGCAATGCCAAGCTTCTCATCCGAAGCCTGCGCCGACTCCTTTCCTGGCTGGTCCGGGTCGTTGTAGTACCAGCCATTCTGGACCTTATCCGACGTCAGCGCCCACAGCGCGCTGTACGCGCCTTGCTTGACATCGCGGCCAAATGCAAGCATCGCCCACGTGAGCAACTTTCCGGTTATCCCCGGGTAGGCATCCTTCCATTGTTGCTGCATGGCGGTATTGACCTGTCTCTCTTCGTCAGTACCATGTGCTGTTCATAAAGGGCTAACTAGCTGCAAGATAGTAAGAACTCACCGCTCCAGGGTGGACTGTCGTCGCGATGATGTCGTCTTCATTCTCCTTGATCACCTTGCCCGCCAAGCCGTACTTGGCAAACAGAATCATGGCCAGCTTCGTCCGCGCGTACAGCTCGGTCGGCCCCAGATTCGAGTCGTTGATCTCCTCCAGGCTCGCAAAATGCACGTTGTTGGGCGCGCCGCGGTGCATCTCGCTCGCCTCGAACACCACCCTCGGCTGCGAGCCCTTCCTCGCCGTCTTCCTCAGCACCGGCCAGAGCAGGTTGCACACGTAGAACTGCCCGAGGAAGTTGACGCCGAAATGCCGGTCGATGCCGTCCGCATCCAGGCCGAACTCGTTGGTGTTGATGCCCGCCGACAGCACCAGGTAGTCCAGCCGGTCCAGCTTCTCCTTGGCCAACTGGCTAAACACCTCGCGCACCTGCTTGAGGTTGCCCATGTCGCACTCGACCCACTCGGCCTGTGCGCCGGGGGACTCGGCTGCGATGGTGGCCTTGGCGTCCTCCCCTTGGTCCTGCTTGCGGTTCACCATGATGACACGGCAGCCTGCGTTGGCCAGGGCGCGGGAGACTTCGAAGCCGATGCCGAAAGCGCCGCCTACCACGACGGCCACGCAGCCGTCGAGATTGTCTGGGTGGACGGGCTTCGGACCGAGGCCGGTTACTGATTGGAGGACGGACTGCATTGTTCCTGTGATGATGGGTTTGTGATTCTTAGTTCGTCGGGTGTTGTTGATGGATTGTGGCAGTTGTGGTGATGGCGACTCTCCGTTGCTGAGAGGGTTCACAACGATGATTTAGCCCGGGAACGGTTGCACGAGATGCTTAGATCACTACTTGTATTGTAGCAAGACCTTGATGCAAGTGTATCATGGTGACGTTTAGTGGTCACCCTCTGAAGTGCACAGCACTTGCCAGTTCCAGGGTCCTGTTGTTTGTCGATGACATCACGTCTCTCGAAACCGGAATCCACACGGCGGGCTGATGCAACGCGGCCCGCTCCGAAGGACCCGGCGTATTGAATCGTTGAAGGACGGGATTACGGTGAAATAGATGCAACCCACACCTGGAAGGTATTCCCTTGAGTCCCTCTCTCCGGGGTCAAGTGAAGTCCATTGGGATAAGCGAGTACCCGGGTGATGCATTTACAGAGGTAAGTTAAATGGCGGCTCACTTGTAATCGGCAATTTCAAATTCCCACTTTTGGCCGGAAATCGGCCCCTGAGACACCTGCAACCGGCACTTTCTCATTGGAGTTGCTTATAACCTTGCAATCCGCGTCAAGCCAGCTGAAAAGACATCTCAGAAGTACTTACGTAGGTGACTTCCCGCGCTTTCGCATGCTTTGGGTTGTAGCGGGTAATGTTCTATATCGAACCGTAGTTAACGCACCGATGCTTACCGTTAGCTACATGCATGCATCGCATTGGAATTGCAGGTTTCAATGTCTTTTGGCGAGGTCCCACATTTCATGTGACTTCGTGGAGCAGGGTATATCCACCCCTAACCCAAACATTGCCCGCACTCAGAACATTCTCACACATCAACGACGCCAAGTCATTCGACGTACTATGCTCTGTACATCCTGAGATTAGAATCGGCATTTCCAGATCTGGTCAAAGACCTCACTTTCCAGGAGTTGCTGGAGCGGTTCAGGAATAGGCCCCGCATGCTCCGGCTATGCAGAGCCGTGGAAGTTCCGGCAAATGGGGCAGAGGGAGATGCGTTGCAACGCTACTAGGCATAAATCATCTCGATGAGTGCCGTAGTTTTCAACTACAGCATAAACCACAACGCCTTATCCAGAGGAGTCTGCCTGTGGTACCTTGGGATTCCCCGTTGCGCCTGTTGCTCGTCCTAGGCTATCGCCAGCGTCGTCACCTCCTATGAGCCCGGTATGGCCGGATTTGCCCCCCCGCCGATGCCCCCCGACCCCCCAACGGAGCTGGGAAGGCTCCGGATCCTCTCCAAGACGGCCGGAATCCGCGTGTCCCCACTGGCGCTCGGTGGAGGTAATATTGGACAGGCATGGAACGCTTCATGGGGGGTCATGACCAAAGAGCGGTCCTTCGAGCTTCTTGACGCATATCTCGAGGTTCGCCTACCACACAAAAGCCGACATGCTCCCTGTTGCTGGCTGGCTGGCTGACGCAGAGAAAAAATAACTCCCAGGCGGGCGGCAACTTCATTGACACAGCAAGCACCTACCAGGACGGGGAATCGGAGGTGTGGATCGGGGAGTGGATGGCAGCGCGCAAGGTTCGCGATCGCCTCGTCGTCGCCACCAAGTACACGTCCGACTTTGGCATGTACGACTTCGCCAACCCGGGCGTGCAGAAGGGCCAGAAGGCCAACCACGGCGGCAACTCGCGGCGGAGCCTGCACATGAGCGTGCGGCAGTCGCTGCGCCGGCTGCAGACGGATTGGATCGACATCCTGTACGTCCACTGGTGGGACTACACGACGTCGGTCGAGGAGGTCGTCGACTCGCTGCACATCCTCGTGCAGCAGGGCAAGGTGCTGTATCTCGGCGTCTGCAACACGCCGGCCTGGATTGTCAGCGCGGCGAATACCTACGCTAAGGCGCACGGGAAGACGCAGTTCAGTGTGTATTCGGGCCGGTGGAGCTTGCTGGTGCGCGACATGGAGCGTGAGATCGTGCCCATGGCGCGGGCGTTCGGCATGGCCATTGTTCCGTGGGGTGTCCTGGGCCAGGGCAAGTTCCAGAGCGACGAGGCGATCAAGGAGCGGGAAGAGTCCGGGGAGCCGCTCCGTCCCTACGGCGGCGGGCGCGAGGTCGAGCTGAGCCGCGCGCTGACTACGGTCGCTGCAGAGCAGGGCACCAACTCTGTCACGGCGATCGCGCTCGCCTACATCCTGCGGAAGGCGGCGCTTCTTGGCGTGCACAATGTGTTCCCGGTGGTCGGTGGGCGGAAGACCGAGCAGCTGAAGGACAACATTGCCGCGCTGAGCATCTGGCTCACCGAAGCGCAGGTGGCCTATCTGGAGAGCGTCAAGGACTTCGACATCGGGTACCCGTCCAGCATGATAGGGGAAGACCCGAATGTGACGGGCATTCCGGGCCATATGTCGGCAACGAGTGCGTATTTGGCGTTTCCTGGAGCGACGAAGCGATAATCCAGACGGTGACAATTTAGACCTTCTCTGGCCGGATAGAAGGTAATACTGCACACAACATCGATGCTAGTGGAACTCGCGCCTCAAGGGACATATTTTGTTCTGTTTGCTCGTTGCTTAAAGTGCCTGGTAAGAAAATATGAAACACTCATAATCCGACTCGTTCCCAATCTCTGTTTAGTAAATCAGGTGCTAAGTGCTAATGGTTCCAAGTTCCAGCTTTTAGCTCTGGTTCCCCTCTCCGTTTTGTGTTCAGGTGCCGACCGAGAAACATGACTCAGTGATCCTCGGTAGTGTCCTGAGCAGTCCCTGGATTTGCGAATCGTTCGCGGATGTTGCAAGAATGAAGTCTGGGGTCAACTCCGTTGGCATAGAGTTGAGTCCTTCAACCACCTTACGTGGTAGTCAGCGAGCCCGTCAAACCTCAACTTGATTAAGCCAATCTACGGTCTACGCTCAAATTCCGTCTCCTGTGGCTGAAGCGTATCTGTAAAAGCCGGATGGGGCAGTGTATGGCGCCCAGAACAACCATGACTCGGTTCTGCAACGGTGATTCCCGCCTCCGCGCTGCTGGACAAGGAGTATCCCCTCCCGTCGCCACGTGTGTTGGGACTCTTCGATCTGCGATCTATGACTGCAAACGTGGAGCAAAGGGAATGGGAAAAATAACAGCATGGTTTCACATATTTTGATACACTTCCCAGCTGGTCAATCCACTTCCAAGCTTCCCAGCTTTCCCAGGCGGCTTCGACCACGCAACCACCCCGTCCACGCGCCCCGATGCCATGGCGACGTCGAGTCCGGATCCCGCTCGCGATGGGGAGTCCAGAGTCGGGATGATCATCGCAGTCCTAGTTGTGGCGAGTGTTGTGTCCACGCTGGTCGTGCTGTTGAGATGCTATTCCAGAGCCATCGTCCTACGGAACTTTGGATTGGACGATACCATCATCGTTCCCGCGCAGGTACCGACGTCCACGCAGTCGACATGTTGGAAGGCCACACAGCCATAGCTGACACCACATCAATGAACAGATCCTGACGATAGCGTCAGCGGTGGCCATCGGTCTAGGTATGAAGGCTGCTGCCGGTCCAACTACCCTCAACAATTGCTGACCCCGGAGCAGAGGCCAAGTGGGGGCTGGGCCGCCACGCGTGGACGATGCCGAAAGAACATATAATAACATATATGAAGGCAAGCCGCCGCAGCAACTGGGTTTCCAAGAAAGCGATCACCGAAGCGGGCTAACGACGAACAGTTCTTTTACATCTCGATCATCGTCTATAATGTGGCGGTTTGCATGACCAAGATCTCCATCCTCCTCCAATATCGCCGAATCTTTTCCAGCACCTGGCTCCGACACCTTATTATCATCGGCCTCGTCTTCCTCACATGCTGGGGCGTCACGCTATGCTTCCTCCTGCCCCTCGTTTGCATCCCGGTCGCCGCCTTCTGGGATCCCGACGTGGAGGGCTTCTGCCTCGATAACGTCACCGTCTGGTATGTCATGGCGGGCGTCAATATCGCAACCGACATCGCCCTGTTTTGCATGCCGATTCCCGTCATCAGCACGCTCCGTCTGCCTAAGCGGCAAAAGGCGCTGCTGTTCTTCGTCTTCACGCTTGGTATTTTGTAAGTGTTTCCCAGTTTCCCTAGGGGACCCCAACCCCTTTAGCCCTTTATGTCGCCCAGGCCCCCCGACTGACAGGAAGGATATCATGCAATCAATAGCCCCTGCGCCGTCTCCATCTACCGCATCAAGACGCTACGCGAGGCCGCCAAAACCAGGGACGCGACATGGCACAACGTCAACGCAGCCATCTTCTCCTTCCTCGAGCTCAGCGTGGGCGTCATCACCGTCTGCCTGCCCACCCTACGCCCCGTCCTCCGCCGTGCTTGGCCGCAAGCCTTCGGCCACGCCCTGCGATCCTACACAAATGGGGACTCCGAGGAGGGCGGGGACTCGACCGGCGGCAGCCCCAGCCGGAACCCGCTCAGGAGAGAGGAGAGCAGAGCGTCTGCCGCTGCCGCTACCAAGACCACCACCCTACGACGATCCGACACCGACAGCACCGAGGGGCTGCGCTTCGACCACCCCATTAGCAGCAGACTGGAACATGACATTGAGTTTGGGGACATGAGTCCGTCGGAACACAACCCGGGCGCTCGCAGGTACAATGTGAAGGAGTGGCATCCGGAGTTGGAGCATACTGCCAATACTGCCAGTGAACCGCCGCCGCCGCCGGCGGACAGTGGCGGGTTGCCGAGGATTCCGACTCCTGCGGTGCTGGCGGCGCGGAAGGGATCGCTTGCGACGGTGGAGGAGGACTGGGGACGGGAGGTCGAGCGGGAGATGGGCGCTGTGGGGTGACTTTTGAAGTTCAGATCCATTTGCATATGTCCATACTAGTCACCTTATATTATATATTGCCTGTGGACCTTTAACTGTTGTGTTGGCGTATGTTCATCATCACCCTGCGAGACAGCCCAGAACACGTCCGGGCCGCTTAGTGTAAACGGTTATGTCAAGCATTTTCGTAGACAAACCGGCGTTTCTACTAACCCGAGTTGACCCACGTTTCTCATCAACGTGAAGTCGCCGGGGTAGGTCATGTTCAGGGCGGCGTCGGGCGGCGGCTCTTCACAAATGTTTAATGGTATTTCAGATTTGTAAAGGGGATAGCTGCGTCTTTTTGCCGATCAGGGACTTTCGTCGTTTCGGACAGAAGAAGAAACAAGAAAAGAAATAAGAAAAGAAAACAGGCAGAACATAACCCCTTACTTACCTCCTGGAGCACCTTTCAAATCTTCCTCCTCTTTGTCCGTGAACCCTCGGCCTGTTCTTCTTCCTCCTGCCCCTGCTCCTCCCGGCTCCGCTTGGTCCATCGTGTGCTTCTCCTCTGACCCTGGTCTTCACCAGCCCCAGCCTGTCCCCTGGTCACCCTCCCTCCCTGCGCTTGCTTCTTCTACTGAGGCAGAGGCAACCTAGCCGTCTTGGCCGTCGTTCTCCCGGCCTCTGCCTCCTGGCCATCAGTCTTCTTCCTCTTCACAGGTCTTCCCCGCGGCTGCTGCTGCTGCTTCTTCTTCCCGGCTTCCTCTCCCTCCACGAGAGGAGCATCAGCGGCCTTCCGCTTCAGCGACGCCTTGCCACCGCCTCTCCCCGACGCGCCCTTCGTCCTGGAATCCTCCGCCCTCGCGGAACCGGCGGTCGTACTCCTGGTAGATCTCTTCGCAGGCCTTTCGTCGTGCGCGTCCTCCTCCCTGTCAGAAGGCCCCGTCGACGGCGCCTCGTCCGGTGGAGTATATGGCTTGCCTGCTTTCAGTGCCGCCGCCATGGCGTCTGACCGCTGTCTGGCCAGTTCTTGCAGCTCGGCCAGGCGGGCGGCCATGTCGCGCTGCTTCCGCGCGCGCTCTTCCTGGGCCCGTGTTGTCCGGCCGAGGGCTGCCCCGGCCGCTGGTCGGGGGGCGTCGGATTGGGATCGCTGTCCCGCTCTGGTTATCCGGCCGGATCTGCAGGTCGTCGGGTTTGCCCTTTTGCCTTTGCCGGTGTAATGATCCGTTCGGTCTTCGTAATCCCCGTCCCCGTCCGCGTCGTCATGGAAGTCGTCCCCCGCCATCCCATCCGCAGAGTCAGACAGATTCTCGCCATCTCGCTGGTCACCCCTGCCGTTGGCCATCCCCTGCAAGCCATCCTCGTTCGCGGCGTTTAGCGGCATATTACCGAGTCGCAGGCCCATACTGTTGTGCAGACACATGACGATCTCCCTGCGCATGTTTCTCACTGCCCTCCTTCTGGACTTCCGGCACTGGTTGGCCCAGTATGGGATCCTGTGCCATCCGACGGCCTCGTAGCGGATGAATGCTAGGATATTGGCCATCACCTGGAATCCGCAGCTCCACCCATCTTCTTGATCCGGGCTCGACGCACACGAGTGCTTGTCGGGATTGGCAGGAGGCAGACCTGACTCTTCTAGCCACTTATGAAAGGCATCTTTGGCCCGTTTGCATTTCCCTTTCAGATCGTTTATTGCATCTTTACCGTAAACCGTTCGCCTCTTCTTGGGCTGATGGGTGTAAAGGGAGTCGACATAGCAAGTGGCCCCGGTTGCGGGCTGGTAGAATAACACAGCCCAGTGCCTGGGAAGGTTCACAAGATGGACCGTGACTTTCGCTTTCTTGAACATCTCCCTGAGCTTTTCCGTGGTTTCGGGCGTTGAAACGACAGGGTGTCCCAACTTGATCGTTGGTGCAGCCCATTTTGCACCATCATCAAGCCGGATCGCATAAAGCGCAGGAAGAATAAACCACTTTCCTTGGTCGCGAGGGCCCAGCTTCGTATCACCTCCGTACTGGGCCAACGATACGAATCTCTGGGCGAGATGGTATACTTCGTCATCGAACAATTCCTCTCCGGCCCGAGCCTTTTGCAAGCCATTGTGGCAATGCATCCAGGCGTCCAAGGCCTCATCCCATGTCCCATCGAGACGTGGGTCGTACAGCCTAGCATACGTGTCCCGGAGAAACTTCTCCACATCTTTCTCTCCTAAGCTGCGGTCGATATTGGGGCTTGATGCATCGTAAAGGTCCTCGTCTTGGAGGGGTGGCTTGATAAAAGTCAAGTCTTTGTGGGTAGGCCAGCGAAAGGCGGGCAGCGCCGCGCGGGAAGATCTCACAGGGCCGTTGGGAACCTGATGCGTCATAGTGTGCACTGACGCTAGAAGAAACCAACTTATGTGAGAATTGCGGTGTACTTGTGCATCGAGACATGGGGTTCGCGGTCCCCGACGTCCGGGTTCTGTTGGCCTTGTGTTCTTTAAGCGCCACGCAGAAACAAAGAACTCGACACATTTTCCTCGACATACCCGCCCATCCTGCATCCGGCGTGTTGTTAGATCGGTCTTGGTTCGAGGATAAAGAAACGCCAACATGCTCGCGTCGTCTACAATTTCATTGAGGCGTAAAGGATCACTCAGATGGAGGCATGCATTCTGTTTGAGGGCCCCTCGCCTGTCGTCAATGTCAGGTTCACAGACTTTGACTATTCCCGGCTCGATTTTGCTTCAAGTCTGTCCTTGTTGGATATGTCCGAGCATGCGGGGCGGCGTTCGCCATCTTTGTTTCTCATTTCGTCTCCTTCGACGCTCAAAAACCCGCTCGGGAGAAGGTTTACCCTATTCTACTCGGTTACGCAAACTGGACTTCTCATCGCCTCATACCCAGGATCTGTCTCTGAATGGATTGGAGAGACCGGGGCCGGCAGCCAGCCACTTGAAGTTAAAGGTTGACTTCCGGCCGTTTGCCGCCTGGTTGGGTTGGAGACATGCCGAATCGCTGGTTGAAATCATCGAATATTGAGGAAACACGCAAGGACCTTACCCAGAGATAAAGCCCCTCGGCTGCCCGCGATTACGCTATGAACACGGCACATCGCGTGGCAATCATCCGTCGCCGAAACGACCAACCCAGCGACAATCACTGTGCATATGGCTGATGGTCGAGGTCCGGCTGCAAGTGAGAACCCAACCAACAGGTTCAACTTCCAGGTTCTATCGCCCCAGTATCGATTGAGGGAGCCACGTCACATCGCGTGTAAGCGGGAAATAAAGCTTATCCATCCGTCGCAACTACATAACGTACATGTACCGAGTACCTAAGCAGGAAATGGAAGGTGCGACGAGAGAAATGTTTCGTACCCCGCGTTGCTGAACCCGACGGCCGACACTCGATCCCGAGGTTCGACCCTATCGCTGCCCCGGATGGGATGGCTTCCGGGCTCACGCACGAGCAGTGCTGTTGTTCGATGGTTTGCAGGCATTGCAATGGCGTCACCCCGGCTGCTGCTCGGGCATGGCATATCGGGAAGGTGTCGGTTCCCAAACCCCCCCGGAGCTGAGCAGGGAAAGTAAACTTGCGAAGCCTGGATCTTTCGAGGCATGTACCGAAGTACCGGTGACAGGCAACCTAATCAAATTTGATAAGGTGTCTCAAGCTAATCCAGAGAAACCCCCTCGCGATCCCGCGTGGCGGGGCCGGCCGCAGGCATAACAGCCGGACGACCGAACAGCGCTGCCCGCCATGGATCACCATGCTGCGGTGGAACAAACTCTGCCAAGCTTAAGGCCTCGTTTTCTCCTCGTGCTTCTTCATTCCAGTTTTGCGATCTGGCTGTACTTGCGAGTGGGGTTTCCGAAATCATATCTCCCGCCGTGAAGAAGTAAACAGATAACCCAATGAGCTTGTCATGGTATCCTAGGTTGGCTGGCCATATTTACCGCCGGGTGCATAGCACGGATTGGTCTGTCAATTTTTGTCTTCGCTTTTCCCGGCCGCCTAAGCGGGAAGCTGCGACGAGATTCCCAATCCTTCCCGCCTGCTGGCCGCAAGGTTCCGCAACGATCGGTGCGACATATTGCCCGCCACGAGACTCTCGAGGTAGCTGCCATATTGGGACGGAACCAGGTCACACAATTGGCCAGCCGTCCAACCCGTTATCAGGCCTTGGCGCCGGGGCAAAGCACGACGGAAACCTCCTCGTCGCAAGTTGCCCCCGGATCGGCGGTGCCACTACATGGACGGGACCCAGACGTACTTGGCTCTAGGGCACTGATTCTGAATGGTACAATACGTGAACCGCTAAGGTTGCCACATCCCGGCAACCGACTTCTGCTTTTTACCGAGCGGCTACTTGCCCGTCCCTGCCTGGTGCCAGAGGGATCTAGGCTCGGGGATGGATATCAACAAGTTCGGGGCTTACGACGGGCCTCAGGGTCAATTTGAGAAATGCCATTAAATCTTGACACACGCCGACCTGAATGAGTTAATGCCATCTGGCATACACTTGGCATCTGTTTCACACATGATCAGTTCCCGGGCCACACCGATCCCAGCTAGAGTGAGGGACTCAGGCATGTTGGTGAGATCAGTAGTTATCAGTTCGTCGTGATGTGAAGTGGGGGGTTCGAATAGCTTCTCTTATCAACAGCAACGGAAAAGAGAAGGAGATTGATTCCAAGTCCGTGTGCGCTGCGCCCAAACATCTCGGAGTTGCCATCAACGGAAGGAACTGTCAAGGATCCGATTACTTCAAATCGCCACTGCCGTGCACCTCTCGAGTTTGGCCACCGACCCTGCCACCTGCCGTCTGAAGTCACAAATACACCCGTGGACCTGATTAGTTCGTGGAGCACACCACAAAACGTTTCCCACGAACTGTTCTCTCTTCATTTTCCATGCCAACCCCATCTTAATCGACCTGCCAAACCGATTTCTTTTCACGTTCACAGCACTTTCATCGCCCTTTCCGGTTAACCTGACCTCATGCCTCATTGATCACGTTCTGGAATCCCCAAGCATGTCGATCACAAACGAGAAACTAGAAGCGAAGGAGCCGGTGACGGTTACTGCAAGCGACTCTGATGGCGGCCAAGTCAACCATGTGGTATGACCGATGCTGTCGTCTCCCCTTACCTGCATTTGCTTGCGTTGCTGACTCGTATGAAACAAGCCATCGGGTCCAATTCCGGGCGAGAGCCTACCGGCCGACTTGCGCGAGACCGGCCAGGCACTCAACGTCACCGAAATCGACCTGATCGAGGCTAAAGACCTAGCCCGGACATTCACAGTCGAGGACACCAAGCGCGTATGTGGCACTGATTCCATTAGCATCCGCCCGAATTGCAAGCTAACCAAGTCTCACTATCGGTCAGTTGATGGAACAAGTCCATAAGCAGCACTGTCGAGATCCCAACTTCCCGATCCAGATTATCGAGAAGATCGAGGAATTCCTTGGTTCGGCGCGCCTGGAACCCCAACCATTGGTCGTCCTGGCGCTAATCAACAGACAGGACATGATGAAGCTTTCACTGACCCGGAGAAGCATGAACAACTCATTGAGGAGATGAAGATCCAGGCGGCCCTCATTACCAATAACTCCCCCTATGCCGAGGTGCGCGCTGTTGTGGACAACCATGATGACCCCACGCTCCCTGTGTCGACCATCCGGGCTTGGGCAATGGGCATCTTCTTCTCCTGCTGCATTTCCTTTGTCAACTCGTTCTTCGACGTCCGCATGCCAAGCATCGTCGTCATCTCGACCGTCCCTCAGCTTCTCGCCTACCCCCTCGGAAGGTTCCTCGATCGCGTGCTGCCGGACGTGGGTTTTACCCTGTTCGGTGTCCGCCACAGCCTCAACCCGGGTCCGTTCAACAAGAAGGAGCATATGCTGATTACGATCATGTCCAACGTGGCCAAGAGCGTGCCCTACACCAACTACATCATCTGGATCCAGGTTTTGCCGCAGTACTTCAACCAGCCGTGGGCCATCAGCGTTGGCTACCAGACCCTGATCGCCTTGTCGACCAACTTCATCGGCTACGGCCTCGCTGGGATCTGCCGCCGGTTCTTGGTGTATCCGGCCTATTGCGTGTGGCCATCCTCCCTGGTGACCATTGCGCTCAACTCTGCCTTCCACGACACATCAACCGAGGCTGCAACGGTCGTGGGTCCATTCAAGTCCATATGGAAGATGTCTCGGATCAAGTACTTTGGCTGGGCGTTTGGACTCATGTTCGTCTACTTCTGGTTCCCCAACTACATCTTTGCGGCACTGAGCTTGTTTGGTTGGATGAACTGGATTGCGCCTAGCAATGGCGACCTCGCCGCCATTACGGGAGTATCGAGCGGCCTGGCTCTGAATCCGCTGCCGACGTTCGATTGGAACATCCTCACATTCAATCTCGACCCCCTGATGGTGCCTTTCTTCTCAACCTTCAACTTCTTCCTTGGCGCCTTCTTCGCCATGTTCATCATCATTGGATTCTACTACTCCAATGCGTTCAACACGGCTTACCTCCCGATCAATTCCAACCGGCCATTCGACCACTTCGGCCAGGCTTACAATGTCAGCTCCATTATCGATGACCGGGGCATCTTCGACGCCGAGAAATACGCGGCATACTCCCCACCGTTTTTGGCGGCTGGCAACCTCATCATTTACCTCTTCTTCTTCGCCGTGTATACTGGCACCCTGACATATGGTGCTCTCTACCATCGCCATGAGATCATGCTCGGGTTTCGCGAGGCCTGGAAAAGCGTGAAGCAGTGGGCGGTCCGGGTTGCGCGACTGAGAGTCTCGAGCAGGGGATCCGAAGCCGAGGACGATGCGAATCTCCTCGATGTGCACAACCGGCTGATGCTGGCCTATCGGGAGGTGCCCGAGTGGTGGTACATGATTTGCTTAGCCATTGCCCTTGGCCTCGGCATGGCCGGTATTGCGGCGTACCCGACGAGTACCACGCCCCTTGTGGTGCTGTACGGCATCATTCTCTGCCTCATCTTCGTCGTGCCCGTCGGTATCATCAAGGCCATGACGGGTGTCGAGGTTACTCTCAACGTGATGGCGGAGTTCATTGGCGGAGTGTGGGTGCAGGGCAACGCCATCGCCATGTGCTTCTTCAAGTCGTACGGTTACGTCACTTGCGCGCATGCTCTCTCGTTCACGCAAGATCTGAAGCTAGCCCACTACCTCAAGATCCCTCCACGCTTCACCTTTTGGGCGCAGATGGTGCCCACGCTGGTCTCAACATTCATCAGCATTGGGGTCCTGCAGTACCAGGCCCACATTGAAAATATCTGCACGAAGCACGCGCCGTTCCGGTTCACGTGCCCGGGAATCAACACCTTCTTCACCGCTGCGGTGTTCTGGGGAACCGTGGGCCCGCGCAAGATGTGGGGTGTGGGTGGGCAGTATGCCGTCACACTCGTCGGCTTCCCCTTGGGTGTTGCTCTCGTTGTCATCTTTTACCTGCTCGGCCGTAAGTGGCCCAAGAACGCCATCATCCGAAACGCCCATCCGGTCGTGATGATCAACGGTGCGCTGTCGTGGGCGCCGTACAACCTCGCCTACATCTGGCCGGCCGTGCCAGTCTCGGCATTCTCATGGTTGTATCTGAAGAAGCGGTATCTGGGGCTGTGGTCCAAGGTATGTTACCCTCTAGTAAGGGCCTGGAAGCAATAAGAGATACAATATTGACGCGTCTGCAGTACAACTTTGTCACTTCGGCAGCCTTCTCGTGCGCCATCGCCCTCAGCGGCATCGTCATATTCTTCGCACTTCAGATCTGGGAGGTCGAGTTGGACTGGTGGGGCAACTCGGTTCTGGGCGAGGGATGTGACGGGTCAGGAGACTGCGTCCGCAAGGTGCTCGCTGAAGGCGAGTACTTCGGCCCCAGAATCGGTGAATTCCACTAGGTGGCTTTCGCGAGCTATTTCATTGCTGTCACTGTACTCACTTTTGCTTTTCCTTCTCATCCTTGTCATTTTCTTCTTTCGGTGGGCGGTGGTTGGGTTTGATCTCTGGCATTCTGCAGATTTGGATCAATACTAGTGCTTATGATTCGGTGTTAACTGGAGGATATGGGCGTAGCGGACCTTAGATAGCTCATGGATAGCTCTCAATCTAGAGTCTGTATGTCTGGGACTCTGGATATATTGGCAAAGCATCGCATAATGTTGATGACCAGGTATTGTCGCTTGGGTGGGTAGTCAGGCACATGGTAACACTTCGTCGGGTCAGATTGTTCTGGTTCCGGGACGCCTTTGTGAGGTGAGGACTGAAGATTGTTCAAAGTGAAAGGGAGAGGTTGCACCTTGACGGCTTTAGCCGAGTGCCAAACCCGCCCCACATGTGACCCACATACCAATCAGGGGGGACCACGGGAGGCAAGGTCGGAAATTTCCTTTCAAGTCGGTCTTTGTTCCAGGCCAGCACTTTCCAGATTTGGACCACACAAATGAACTGTGCCATTGTCTTAGCACATCCTCGAATCTGAGTTTGCTTCCTGCTATGTTTGCATTGGCTCGGCGTCTCAGAACGGGCACAATCATTTTACCACGGTTGAACCATCACTCACGGACATTTGTGGTACGGACTTTGGCGACGATGGCCACCGACAGCGGCGGTCCGGTTCCCTTCGCGCAATGGGCTGGCACACTCAAGCCGCAGCTGCTTCAGGCTTTTGAGTCGATGGGCATCACACACACAACACCCGTGCAGGAGAAGGTGTTCCAGCTGCCCAACTTCAAGCAGGACTGCCTTGTGCAGGCCAAGACGGGCACCGGCAAGACCATCGCCTTTCTGGTGCCGGCACTTCAGAATCTGCTCGAGGCCAAGGACCTGGACAGGTCATTTGTCGGCCTGTTGGTGCTGGCTCCGACGCGGGAGCTGGCGCAGCAAATCGTCGACGAATGCGTGAAACTCACCAGCGCCTGCAACCCGCCCTTCGAATGCCACATCGCCGTCGGCGGCAGCAGCAAAAAGAGCCACCTCTCCAAGTTCCTCAAGGGCAAGCCTACCATTCTGGTCGCCACCCCAGGCCGACTGATCGACTACCTCAGCGAGGATGCGGCCCGCAACAAGCTGAGCAAGATCCGCTGCGTCGTGCTCGACGAGGCGGACCGCATGCTCGACGCCGGCTTCGCGCCCGCCCTGTACCAGATCCTGCAGCAGATCCCGCCCAAGGCGAGCGCCGGCTGGCAGGGCATGTGCTTCAGCGCCACCATCCCGCCCGAGATTGAGAAGATGCTGCCCATGGTCCTGGCCAAGGGCCACGCTCGTATCTCGACCATCGACGAGAATGAGGCGCCCACCATCGAGACCGTCCCGCAGTCCGTGTACCCGGTCGCCTCGGTTGACGACGTCCTGCCGACGCTGCACTCGGTGCTGTCGTGCGCAAAGGCCGACAACCCGGCCCTCAAGGCCATCATCTTCTGCCCCACCGCCCGGCATGCGGGCCTGCTGTATCACGTCTTCGGCCACACGGGCGGCGCCGCCCCGCCGAAGCTGCCTGTGTTCCAGATGCAGTCGCGCATGTCGCAGGCGCAGCGGACGCGGACGGTCGAGGAGTTCAAGCAGGCGGACCGCGGGCTGATGTTTGCGTCGGACGTGGTGGGCCGCGGCATGGACTTCCCGGACATCAACCTGGTCGTCCAGATCGGCGTGCCGGGCGAGAAGGACCAGTATGTGCACCGCGTGGGCAGGACGGGCCGCGCGGGCAAGCTTGATGGCAGGGCGGTCATGATCCTCGCTCCGGAGGAGATGTGGTTTGTGAGGAGCAACCCCGAGTTCCCGATCAAGAACGAGGGTCCTTTGTATGTTACCCCTATCCGTTCCCTCCCGCTAGCTCTGAACTAACACCGTGATGATAGCACCCACCCCAAAGCAGGAACCTGGCCGTCAGCGGAGATCATCAGATCCGCCCTCGCCAAGGTGCCCCAGCAGACTAAAGAACAGGCCTACGTCGGCAACCTGGGCTTCATCAAGTCGCTCATGAAGCGCTATCGGCTCGATGCCCCTGGTGTCGTAGAGCTCGCCAACCGGTTCGCCAAGGCCTTCGGGTGCGAGAGCATCCCGGAGCTGAGCCCCATGACGGTGGGCAAGATGGGCCTGAAGGGCGTGCCCGGGATAGTCGTTGAAGGTAGAGGACTGGTGAAGGGGCCGGTTCCGGGCGCGTCTGGGTTCGCTGATGGGCGAAGGGGAAGGGGAGAAGGTGGTCGAGGAGGCTTCGGAAACGGCGAAGACAGGAATGGGAACCACGCTGGAGCTTCGAGGGGTGGTGGAAGGGGCGGTAGGGGTGGCGGTAGAGGTGGCAGCCGGGGTCGCGGACGGCAGGGTCAATCGGCGACGGCGTCGGGCGGGTTTGGTGAGGAGCCCAAGCCTAAGAGGCCCCGATGGTGAAGCAGTGCGTCGAACGGGAATTTAGGGTTTCTGTGCGGAGGGGCAGATTGGTGGTGTGGTCGCGTTGAGGCGTCTTTCTTCCAGCAATTCTCTGTTATGATCTTTTGGCACAGCATGATGTGGGGATACCCTGTGCGGATAGATACCCTTTGCATACCTTATACACCAGCGGGCTTTAGACGGGAACTGGGAACTGGGAGTGGGCAAGGGATATGGGTACAACACCTGGGTTCTGTCAGGATCGGGGATAGACTAGATTTCCTCGAGCAATTTCACTGTTCGTGGAGTTTCTTTGCGATAAGCTCGACTCACAGTACTCATCTGGGGTGCTAAGTGACGCAACGCCTGCGATCCATATCCACTACCTTACTGTTGTGACATGTCTGGTTATCACACTAGTTAGGTATCCCGTTTGGCCTGCACTGTGATAGTCTAACAGAGTACGAACCTACCATACCCCCAGATGAGCCTAGAGGGCTTGGATCTCGAACAAATATCAATAACAATCTAGAACAGCCTAAGTTGAGCCCAACTAGAAGCATCGAATCCGCGTCCTCCTGCCGTTCCCGCCTCACTTTCTCCAACACTGCAGGAAGATTGATACATGTCAACCAATAGCCGTGGTGGGCGTTCTCCAAAGCATGCATGATGCATTTGCGCTGTGCAACCCGTTTGGTGGGCTGTGCCAAGTGTCATTGAGTTGCCAGAAAATCTGCCTGGTCACTCATAGATTTATCGTCCAAACACACACGCAGTTGGCATGAAGCTTGCGCAGAAAGGGGTTGGTCTGATGGGGGAGGGGAGGGGAGAGGAGGGGGAGGGGGAGGGGTTTGCAGCAGAGCTGGTAGTAGGTCCGCCACAACTGGTCTGCCTGTGCCACCCTCCTACAACCCTACCGGCACGATAGTGAGTGGCAGTGTGTTGCTGCGTCGAGAGTGTGGCGCGCGGAGGCGGGGGCATCGACAGAAGTTTTATAGTGGACTTTTCAAACCTTCGATCAAGCCTTCTGTCCCCTTCTTCGTGTGTACTAATACTTGACCCCATCATTTGCCGTCATTATTAAATCCTCATGGGGACATGTTCGAATACCCTACTCCTCAAAGGCGACTCGCAGCACACGCACACAATGGCCAAGTACATCTAATTAGACCGTCACGCCGACATGATCGACCCCCTCACCGCCATCGGCGGCCTAGCCGCTGTCCTCCAGCTTTCCTCCGCCGCGGCAAAGGTTGTGGACGCCTTGTGCAAGTTTGCCGAGGACGCTCGGTTTGCGAGGGCCGAGATACAACGGTTTGCCGGCCAGGTCCGGACGTTCTGCCACATCATCACTATCGCCCGAAACAACTTGCGTCGGTACTGCAGGGAGTTCTCGAAATCCCCGCTGGTGAAGTACATCTCCAAGCACAATGTGCTCGACAGTATTTGCTCCGAGGCCGCGGCGGTCGAGCAACATATTTGGGACATCGATCTCGAGGTTGCCAAGTTAGAGAGCCAGTCGGCGTTGTGGGCAAGCATCAAATGGGTCTTCAAGAGATCCTCCATCCTGGAGCTGTCTCCGGAAATGCAGAGTCTCATGGCAAGCCTCAACCTGTTACAGTCCACCGCGATGCTGGATGCCGCACTTCGTTCCGGGAAGGACAGCCGCCGGGAAGCCAGGTCAGTTGTGGCACCACTTGCGATGGAACTAACTGGTTTATTATTAGTACTCCATGCAAACATTAATCCTGACCTATCAGATAAATGCAGGAGTCTACGGCGCGAGATCAAATCACTCGTCAAAACGGTCGACCAGTCCCAGTTGCAGCTTTCCAATCGTCGCCAACGCGCTGAGAGACCGCCGGACCTCAACTACGTGCGCCATGACGCATTGATCGAGCTAGCCGAGAGCATGCGCAAGCACAACACGGTTCCCGAGTCTCCTGGGTCTTCCTCGCCCCTGAGCTCTTCGAATGATTTCGGTGCGCCGCAAATCCCGCCGGGCAGCAACAGCAAAGTCCTGCACGTCAGGGCGGAAGATCTCACCGAGAGCGTCACCGGCTGGGTGCGAGAGCCGACCGGGACCTTCCGCGGCACCACGGCGTACCTGGCGGAGAATCTGGACGGAAACATCATCTCGGCTAGCCGAGCGAGCGAACTCGGCTTCGACATCGTCGAACCACCGCCGGGACGGGACGACGGCGGCGGCGGGCAAGTCACCTTCTTCCAGTTTGATGACGCCGGCGAGTCCCCCGTGCGCAGTATCGGGAGAGCGGTCATCCACTGGCGGAAGTTCCAGCATCACGACGCCCGGTATCCGACGCTCACTCTCACGTGCGACGTGTGCGAGAATACCAGCGTTGGCTTGATCCTGGGCAGGCCGTTCCTGGAGGAGATGGCGCGGCAGTGGCGGAAACGGGTTCCGAGTGCAAACGTTTCAAACTTTGGTTTCTTCTTCCAGTAGAATATTCCATGTTTCAGGTCCGAAGTGGTAAAATATGAGGCTACTGACCACACTCCGGTTGCGACCAGCAATCGGGGTCATTGATTTTAATACGAAGCAATACAGACGGCTTGGTTATGTACGACAATAATCAGGAACTCATGGAGGGATTGGATCTATGTTGCGGTACGTAGGTCAGAGACATATAAGTGGTCTGAAGATGGTCTGTAGAAAGTGAGGATCCGGACTACCTACCGGGATGCCAGCATCGGACCATAAGAGTAAAGCAAAGCTCCCACCTAACAAGAGCCTGGAAAGTCCAACGGGATTTCTCGTAGTTAAACCGTACTACCGAGAGACGTATGAACGGGCCGCATGGGAACAACAATCTGGCTCGGGTCGGAGTGAAGTGAGCTTGAAACCGGTTAATATATCGACCATGGATCCCTCCAGACCCAGAATTCTGGCTTTAATCCGGAGCTACTCAACCCTTACTTTATACTAATTAATACCTTTGCTTCCTTTGACATCCGCTAGGCAACTCAAGACGGTTCACAAGCCATCCCATCTCGCCCACTGCTCATCGGCAACCCCATCCGGCTCTCCCACTCCGCGGATGAGGTTTTCGAAAGCCATATCCACTCCCTGCAGGGTCCAGTCGTCCGCCTCAACCGCCAGGTGGTCAGCAGGCACAAGCAAGTGCGAGGCTTGTTGTTCGACACGCTCCAACTCGATGATCCCGAAATGCGGAATACGGATGCGCAGCGCCTTACCCCCGTCGCCCATTCTCCCGAGCTCGACATCGCCGGACTCTCCTCCGTCCTCGCCCACTCCCGGGGACCACGGCCGCGAACTGGTGTGGTAGGTGCCGCCGTTGGCGGCATCCTCCTCCAGCGCGAGAAGATGGCGGAGGATGGTGGCCATCTTCAACGCGACAGCGTCTGCGTGGGCACTGGCTTGTTGGTCGAGACACTCCACAGTACGCTCCACGAGGCCGCGGTCGTTCGGTCTCTGGTGTATGAAGAAGTCGAATGCACTACTGTGATTTGCCTCGCGGTTCTGAGGGCCTTCTGCGCTGTTGGCGTAACTCTGAGCATGACGGCGTCGCCAGGCCTCAATATGGGCGAGGCACAAGATGGAACTAGAGGTGAAGGGGAGAAAGTTGAGACAGTGGGTGCAATACAAGCCGGTCGGATTGGCACTGCGGAATGACACGAAGCGGGAGAGCACCTCGCGGCTGGCGGTGAGGGCTGTGATCCTGCTGTACGTGCACATACGGCTGTCATTGGCCTCGCCGGCAGAGCACAGCAGGTAGGGCATATGCAGGCGCTCTAGGAGATGGTAGTGCACTAGCTGGTCCATGACGCGCAACCATTCATCCAGCGAGACCACCTCCAGATCGTCTCCCTGGCCACTGCGGCGTCGAGAAACACTAAAGGTGGGGGGTAACCACCACTGGGGCGGCATGCTTGCGGATGCCTTTTGTAACAGGCCATCAACTTCATACGTCGACGCGCTGTCTCTCATATTGTCGTCGTTACGCTGTAGGATACGAGCAGTTGCAGCGCAGTGGAAGCGCCGCATTCTCTCCACAGCCGTGCAGCCCTCCAAGGCCTCTTGGGACGCAATGTCGGTGTCGGACGAGGCGGGCGGTAGGCCTAACATCAGGGAGAGGTAAAGGTCTGTCTGCACCAGACGAAACCACATGCGCTTGGGGTCCAGCCGTGTCCGACTCTCCGGCTCGAGGACCTGCGGTGACGAAGAGTTGGTCCCCCGAGAGACGCGGTGTATGCCCAACATCTGGGCCATGGCGATTGCCCGACGAGCCGCCATCCACGCTCCGCGGATGTTACCCGCGTCGTCCTGGTAGACGATATCCATTACGATGCACTCGATACCCTCGAGTGAGCTGACGAGCGCATCGTTGCTGGTGACTAGGCCGGCTGCCTCAGCAGCCCTCGTCATGAGTTGGCGGTAGCTCACACTCAGGCGCCCTAGAGCCGGCACGCTGGACGGGACGCCTCGCAGAAAGATGGCAAGAAAGAAGAGTCTTCTTGCAATCAGCGTTGGATGATCTCCCGGTAAAGGGGCGAGCCGTAGGATTTCCCGGGGTGACGAGAAGTTCAGGCGCTTCGCACAGCTCGCTTTCTCCAAGAGGAACCCAGCGGTCCCGACCGGGACGCTCAGGAGCAGATCGATGTCGCGCTGGCTGGGCCATGCCGCACAGAGCTTGTGGGACAGCTCGGCGTATTTGGTACTGAAAGGCGATCGTACATGCTGCACTTCGGAAGTGGCTGGCGTTAGTGGAGGGACCGGCCTCGGTGGGCAATCTCGGCGCAGGTAATCCGAGAGGTCCGGGTCTTTTGGGGCGCCGCTGGCACGAACATCCTTATCCTTGACCAGGTGCTCAACCAGCTGCTCAACCAGTGTCTCGACGCGGCCAAGCCTATCTTCAACCCCGACCTGTTTGCTGCTGGTCCCGGGGGTCCCCGGAATGGTGGGCACATCCGGGAACTCCTGGCCGATGCATGCGGTGCCGCGCCCCTTGCAACCTTGGCAGAGAGTCTCGGCGGGCCCTTCCATCACACACTTGATCTTGCGTCTCTTGCACTCCCAGCAACTCCGGGTGCCTTTACGGACCTTCTTCCGTGGCGGTTCGGCTTCCGGCTGAATCGGCGGAGATCCATGAGCGCGAGTCCTTGTCTCCGTCATCGCTCGTAAAAGACCGCCAATGTGGCTGCCGTGATGATGAGTCGATGACTGCTTGCGTGACAGGTCTATCTTTGCGCGAACGGGTAGCACGGAGCTTCGGGTTTGACTCACCGAGCACTTACTGACTAGTAGTCAAGGCCTCACGGTTGATGAAACGACAGGGGAACCACATTGTTTCCGCCGAGGCTCGGCGGACGAAATTGTCTGTTAGTCAGCATGGCCATGAACTCCTTGTTATAAAACCCCGGGGGAAGCAGGGTTAAAAACTTCAACTTGCAGGTATCTGATGCTGTCCAATGAAATGTCGTATGGATGAATTGAGACCGCCCGGCATGACTACGGTCAAAGAAAACAGTCAACTTGATAGGCATCGTTCAGTGATATGTTGAAAAGGTGGGGGATTTGAGGCACTGCAAGATTAATAGGTACCTACTAGTACCTAGTACTCGGACCACACACCACGCCCCAGGCCCAGGGTCGCTGCTTCCACAACCACGACTTCCACAAGCGACCAAGGGACCCAGCTAACATAATCTTCAAGGGTTTGAATTCGAAACTCAGCATGTCACAAAAGGGTCTCAAAACTCGCCATTCAAAGTCATTGTCCACGTCTGTGTTGCGATTAGGGCAATTATTGGTCGAAAGTCCAGAACGACTTAGGAATATCTGAATAGAATCGCGTTGCAGAGACCAAAAGAATATCTCAGGGAAAAAGGGGGAGTACCATGCGAGCTAGGTAACTGGGCCACGGGCTCTGAGTGGTTGCTAGTACAAAGAATAGGTATCCTCGATGACCGTCCTCGTTCACGGCTTGCCGTTCCAAGCACCACTCAAAAAGTCCTCGGCCTGAGTGAACTGATAGTCCGGCAACAGACGGTTCCACTCGTCCGAGACATTCCAGTCCCCAACCGACATGGCTAGCAGGAGGCCTGTCGTGAACGTCTTCGCAAGTGCTTTGGCCTGTTCCGGCGAGAAAGAAGAGTGCTCGAGCGTGGGACACCACGACGCCTTGTACACGCCAGCCTTGAGGTCCTCGGCCTTGAGCTTCTCGGCATCGAATGGTCCACCTGAGTCGGAGACAGAACCCGGCGGGTTAGGCCTCGGATACCAAGAGCAGAAGGGAGCACCACTCACCGCGAATCTTCTCGCCGAGCTCAATCAATTGCCGAACAGAGAGCTCGGTGCCCTTGATTCCCCCGACAACCGGCCATTCTCCCTCGTACTCGACAGCCCTGGCCACCACGCCCGCGAGATCCTCGACTCTGGTGAGGGTGATGCGGACATCCTCACTCCCTTCCACGATCAGAATTCGGCGCTCGTTGAAGTCGATCGGGGTATGCATCCTGGGAAGGTGCTTGGTTAACTGGTAAGGGTAGGTGAGGTAGTTGATAAAGAGGCCGGACTGGAAAAGCGTGTACTCCAGGACCTACGACGGGAGTGTCAGTATTTTCTTTTCTTTTTTTTTGAACCGATGCAGGAATTTATCGATGGCCTGCCTTCTTGTTCTTGTTCAGGTCCTTGAGATACTGACTGATCTCGGCCTTTCCGGCATACCAGGGCATATACTCGCTGCTCGGCCTACGAGGCACGGGTCAGTCAGTTAGTCACACACAGCGGGCTTTGCCTTTAGGGCTGGGTAAGCTTACAGGCCCCATTCGCTCGGCGCAAAGCGCCTCACGCCCGCTCGAACAGCAGCATCGATCAGGTTCCGCTGTGCCACGTTGCCGGGGTCCATGTGCACGACGATCACTGAGAGCACCGTATCGACTCCCTGCAGCACCTGGGCCAGCTGCTCCACGTCCTCGTAGTTTGCCTTGACCCACGTCACCCCCGGCACAGCCTTCTCCGGAGGAGGAGCATCCTAAGCACTAGTTTAGCGGACCAAGCACTCCATGCTGGAAAGGGAAGACCATTGCGTACCTTTCTCGAGAGAAGCAGAATCTCATGCTTCTTGGTAGCGACTAGGGCGTCGATAATCTCGCTGGCAACCGCTAGTTATTCGAAGGAAGGTTAGTGGTGTGACAGAAGCCAGTCACGCTGCTTATGGGAACACGTACAGCCGGAGCCGCCGGCCACTGCGATTTTCACCATCTTCGTGCCTGGGCTTCAGACGGATGCAATGTCGGACGGATGCAATGTCGGACGGATGCAATGTCGAAACTGAAAGTCAAGGGAAACAGGTCACAGGTGTGCTCTGTGTTCTCTCTTATACTTGGGGCGTGGAACCCCGACCAGCCGTGCTTCGGCCGTGCTTCGGCCGAAAAGTGCTAACTGACTGATACGAGCGGCGCAACCATGATGTTTTCTTCCGCCGAACGGGCACCGTGGAGCGGCCGGCTTGTAGGTGTCGTTGGCCCTACCTAGGTAAGGTACCTACATATTATTGCTTGGTCGGCGGCGTCAGTGTGCCGTCTCCACAAAGACTGCATCCAAGTTCAAACCGCCTTCAAGTTTCCAATGACTCCGCCACTATAGCGCTTGTCAGTACGGTATAGCAGGCTGCCGAAGGAAGCAGGAGGTTCTGTTGGTGGCGAGCTCTCCTAATGTAGCGAACTCTTGATGGTTGGTGGCTGAGTTCCGGCCAAATGTTATCAGCAGGTTCCCTTGGCTCGGTAGCCCGGTATATGCTAATCCATCTCGGTGGGCGCGGTGTGCATGTTTACAATTAGGTAATATCTCAAACCTCAGCCCGAACGCCAAGCAGCGGTCACATAGTCTTCTCTGGTGCTTACTATCAGCATGGGGTGAGGTGATGGTGACAGGCTGGCAGCTTGGAACCTAGGTCATAGTACATATCGTTAGGTCGGTATCCTTTCCATTGTCACCGACGAGCGTCGAGCGATATTTACTCAGGCTCTCCGCCATTAGACTTGCGCTTCAATGGTGTTTGTCTATGAGTCGTACTCCTGGCGACCTTAAGCATCAACTCATCTCTCATGTACAGGGTAAGGTGTTCATGCTTTCGTTTTTTGAGAGGTGCGGAGCAATCGGAACCGGACGAGCAAGAGGACTCGTCGGAAAGCCTTAGGCCGTTTATTTGTTTGCGGATGCACTTGATCTATATGAGAAACCCGCAAGATACCTAGCTAGTCGTTGTGGGCAGAAAATATACAACAGACAATTACCTCTTCCGAATCTCGGCGCTAATAAGCGTTTCCTCCTTCTGGAGGGCGCCGGGACCGCAGGTGTACTGACCTATGCGAGGGGGGGTGTGCTTCCCGGTGCTAGGGGGGGCGCACGGGCCAAAGGAATCTGGGGTAGTGGAGCCGGACCAACGGGAGCTAGGAAGCTCAGCACTAGTGTAAGGGCCCTGGACGGTTGGAGAGGAGCTGAGGGGTGAAGCTGAGGACGCCTCTGTCGGTAACCAATAGGCGCCCCGTCCGACAATCCCCCTGCAGCAGAGTGCGCGGAACGCTGGCGGTCCTGGCGGTGATGTCGGGGCAAGGGAGGAGAGGGCTTCAACTTGAGGCTTCGAGCCAAGAGTCGTGGCGAGGCCCCAAAAGGCCGGGGGGGCAGCACTACTGTACGTCCTGCGTATTGGCGACGGGGGAGGGGGCGGCGGGGGCGGTATGGGCTGGTGACCAGCCGCAGGACGGATCCGGGATGGGTTCTGGGAATGGACCAAAGGAAGAAGTTCGAAGGATCTCTTGGGCAGCAGCGGTCTGGCCGCTCTGGCGCTCCCTCGCGCGTCACCCCGGATGCTCCGTGGCCCTATATGTAGGCGGGAGGGACCTCCCCAGCACACGACAGACGGCCAGACACAGCCCCAGCCTCCCCCAACGCACGCCGCCACCATGTCGATTCGTTCCCATTCCAACGGCCACGAAGAGGTCGCGACCAAGGTCCACCGCGAGCACCACGAGCACTCCGACGGGTTCGCCGAGCTGGACGTCGCCGAGGTCGAGGCACAGGCGCGGCCGGTGCAGAACCCCTATGCGGTCGTGGCGGCGCAGACGGCGCCACGGAGCCTCGGGGCCGGCTCGGCCCTCGCCATCAGCATGTTCGCCGTGACGCTGACGGGGCTGGCCATGAGCCTGATGGGCTGGCGCGGCGCGTCAGTGACCAACGCCTTCGTCGGCAACCTCTTCTTCGCCGCCGGCCTCGGCATGTTCGTCACGGCCCAGTGGGAGATGGCCATCGGCAACGGCTTCTCCTACACCGTCTTCGCCGGCTTCGGTAAGTTCCCCTTCCCCGCCTGTCGTGTACTAGTTCGTAACTCGACCCGGGCCGGGCGCTGAACGAACCTGACCTGACCTGACCTGACCGGGGGGCAGGCGCCTTCTATGCCGGCTACGGTGCCATTCTAACGCCGGCCTTTGGCGTCCGCGAAGCCTACGGCGACGACGTGACAATGTACTACAACGCCCTGGCCTTCTACTTCATCAGTGAGTCTTGACTGGCCCCCGTGCTTCCGAGTTCCGACTCCCAGGCCTCGTAACTGTTACTGACCAAGCGCCTTGCTTCTCCTCTCTCCTCAGTGTGGATGGTCTTTACCCTTGCGCTGCTTGTCGCCTCCCTCCCGACGAATCTGGTCTTCATCCTCATCTTCACCTTCGTGAAGCTTGCCTTCCTCTTTCTCTCGGCCAGCTACATGGCGCTCGCCGACGGCAAGAGCTCGGCGACGGGGCTGCTGAAGACGGGCGGCGTGTTTTGCTTTCTTGCTGGTCTACTTGGCTGGTACGTACGGAATAATACTAGTAGTAGTGAACATCCCGGCATCCCTTCCTTGTGCCTGTAGTACTAATAGCCGGTGGTGCAGGTACCTCACGTTCGCCATGCTGCTGCAGGACGCCATTATCGAGCTGCCTCTTGGTGACACATCGCGCTACTTTGGCGGGAAGCGGAAGCGGGCTTGAGGGGATGGCACTTTCTCCGGACCTTGACATGTCATGTTTCCCAAGACATCATATATCCCAGTGGTACTGTGCTGCAATATACTGCAATACAGCATCCGCATTGCCTGTTGGCGGTTGCATAGGCTGTCTCCGACGCGCTCCTGATGCCAGAAACCGGCCTCCAATCAAGCTGGCAATAGGGGCTGGTCTCTGTGCCTACCTGTCAACCGATATTACTGCCTGTCGCTTGTCCGTGGTTGAGATGACTCGCAAAGGCTGTGCGATGTTCGATAAGTTAGTCGCTTTGTCACAAGCCGCGCTAGCTTCCAAGTATCCCTCGCAGCCTATTCCGGTCCAGCCTTGACTCAACCCCTGCCATTCGGATCTCCCCTTCGCATCACAGCATAACCCTTACTATGGGCATATGTAGTCATCGACGCTCTCTCGGAGATCAGCGTCATCGGCCGTATACAGGCGGCCCGTCTTCGAATATCCAGGTTACTCGTCCAGAAGCCAGGCCCACCTTATCACTCACCAACGCAGCTGTCCATGAGGTCTGATAAACAAAGGTAGCTGAGTAACACACTAGTACATATGAATAGGACCTGTACAGGCTTCATGTGCTCGGAGTATCAAAGAATCAGAAGCCAGTCGATGTGGCGTATTGTTAATTGTGGCTAACCCGCTTACGGCACTGATACTATACCGACACCCTAAAGATCATGCTGTTTGTTCAGAGAATAGGGACTTGGGGTTTCCATTTGACCGTTTGGCGTATCATTGTCTCGGTGCGAACAACCATCGCTGCTACCCAAACATCGACCAGCGTTGCTGAAAGCAAAACATCAAGTCATTGTTCATACCTACTGAACAGTCAGCAGTGGCTGTAAAAAACAGCTATTATCGTACTCCGGCCATGCCTCTCTCATCGAATTGCTGGCGAAGTGTGAACTGGGACGCTAACTCCTGAAGCTGGAGGAATTGACCTCTCTGTACAGTTTTACGTGTGAGAGAACAACCACCATACATACACCGACCAAGGGGACGCTGGCTATTATCAGTAATGGCCACCGGGGGTGGTGGCAGCCATGTTGTTCTAGTCCTACTGTCCGCTTCCCGTACAGACCGTCTGAACTGCGAAACAATGTGGAAGGCCAAAGCAACATGAACAGGCAATCACTGCACAGTTCACCCCAAGTGTAGGCAACTTAATGTTTGTGAAAGTGCAGATAAATAAATCCTTTCTTTCTATCCCAAACGAAAACCATTTCTTTCTGTCCCTCAAGCTCAAGCGAGCACCTGCTCCCTCATATTTCCGCACCTCGACACCTGGGGGAAGAACGGGAAAAATGCAGTCCAGCACGAGCAAAGACGACTGGACGGCAGCCTATATTCTTGTTCTCTTGATCCCAATCGGGTTCGTCGCCGCAGCAGTCTTCTGGTGCTTCTCCGCGCGTCGCCGCCGACAACTCGACGCACGACGGAACCAACACAGGGACGTTGAGGTCGCCGTCTCCGCCGCTGCCGCTACCCGAGACACACCCCTTCGTTTCCTCCCGAGAGAAGCTGCTGCTCACAGGGGACCCAAGCCATCATCACCACCACATCCCACCATACCCTCGAGGGCCCTCTTGTCCAACTCTGTCTCAAAGCGGAACCAGCACCACCTCCTCGCCACACACCATCACAAGGCGGCGCACCGACTCCCCAACACCAACCTCCTCACCGCCCCCGACCCAGCTCTAGCATCAAGAAGAAAGCACGGCTCGCGGAGGCACTACTGCAGTGGTCGAGAGGAAGAGGAAAAGAAGGAGCAGCGCCGCAACAACCAGCCAAGCACAACTCCACCGCAGCCATCATCATCTTCTCCGTCCGATTCGTTGGGGGATGTCTCCTCCCCCGCGCTCCGGCACAGGCACGACGTCCCTGACTGCGATCCGCGCCGGCGGAGGGAGCATCACAAAAAGGTTGCGGCGCTGCGGAGGATGACTGAGGTGCTGGAGGAGGCTTCGGAGGAAGGGTCGGTTTCCTCTGGGGGCTGGGGAAGACGGAATGATACAAGAGAGGTCAGACAAAACGAGTAGGAGCTGGAAGGATGATCAGTATCGCCCAAGGAAGGGGCAGATGAAATGGTAGTGGGCCAATGGGAGAAGGCAATGAAGACAGAGCTAGTCAAGGAGAAAAGAAGACGCAGGAGAAAAGAAAGACGTAGGAGAAAAGAACGACGTCGGAGAGTGAGAATGAAGGGAGCAGCAGCAGCAGCAGCAGCAGGAAGAAGAACCAAGAGATACCTACTAGACTGAGGGAAAGCCAGGGAGAGGGAAGGGGGTGTCTGCGAAAAGCAAGCTTGCTCGTAGTTTATGTACCAAGATAAAGATAACATAACAGGATATTTCCATCAGCTTGTCTGTGTTGGGGCTAGATCATAACATTCCGTGTTATACAAGATGATTCCCATATATGAGCTGAAGTCCTAGCCAGACCATCCAGTATGCCGAGGACTGCGAATCATGACAGAGAGGGCCTGGAAGCAATCATACATACTAGGTAGGAAGACAAACAAGGAACATCCGTGAACCTGGCGAGGCGAAATCTGAAGTCATGGCAGAGCTGAAACGAAATCGCAAGCGGACCGTTCAGCGCCAAGAGCTCGACTTGGCATGTCTTGTTTCCACGAGCCTTCAAGGTGTCCGGCTAGCATGTGAACATGTCTCGGGAGTACATGTCTCGGAGTGGTATGACAAGGGATGCGCCGCAGCGCGGCCTTAGATGCCTGTGTGCAAGTGCGTTCTGTGTGCCATCTGCCAAGTCCCATCCCACACCAGTCAGGCGATGACACGGCATTGTCACCCGAGCATAACGCACAATGAGCGACAAAGAGAACAATGGCCGGAACTACAGAGGCATGACAAAGCCGCCACAACCTCAATAACAGGTTTGAATTCCTTGTCTCGCACCAACCAACAAGTAACACCACCTCAACATCGCAGCTGTTCTTCCAAGCTCCGCCACCCCGTGTCTGAAGCCAAAGGACACCAACGAAACCTCTCTTGTTCCCATGACAAAATACCCATAATCGCCATCCCTGGCATGTGATTATTATGTATCAATGTATCATAGTCCACCACCTGCGGAAAGGCTGCAACGGAACTTGAGATGACCACCCTTCTTGCGTCATGATACCCCGAACGCCATGCAAATGCTTGAACCAAAGAGAGAAAGCACAAGAACGCCTTGTCTCTAGGAAACTGAAGTGAAGAGACCATGCGAAGAATCGGCGAGTGATGGGTATCCCAAAAGTCAGTCTGGAATGAAACCATGCCTCAAACATCCATCGTCGAGAGGGCGAATGTGAGCCGGAATTGGTCGCCGAAGTAGAGAAAGGCGAAAATTCAACATTGTCGGTGGTATGGATCCAGGTCGAAACAAATACCTGGGACAAAAGGAAATCATTTGGTGGATCTGGATACCACAACGGGCGAGCAACATGAGGACCGTGGTAGGAGGGAAGCGAGGCTGCCCTCATGGGCCATTCTGGGTGTCGCTGCGCCAGATGTCCGCCCCCAGCGGCTTGCTGACGCCGAAACCAATGGCGACCGCAGCGCCGATAATGAAGACGATGATGGCGATCTTGACTAGAATTCGGTTCCGCTTGCTCAGCTTTGCCAGGCAGGTGCAGGTGTGGCGGTTTTTCTTTGCCGCTTTAGCCTTGCGTTTCCAGTGGTCCTGGCCGGGCCAGACCTGGCAGTCGCTTCCCCCCTTGGTACATTCTATTTCTCCTGACTTTCTGTTGCAGCTGTCTCGTGTGATCATAGCTTCAATGTCGGTGTCAAAGGGGTTTGCGCGCGCGGTGGCGGGGGTCGAGGCATCGGAGGGTCGGCATGGTTGTGAGTTCTTCTCTTCCAATGCGGGGAACGGCTCTACCGAGGCGAGCGTGTCTTGTGATGGCTTGTGTACGAGCCGCGTCGTTTCGACGGTTAAACCCATCTTGCTACCTAAAAGTTGAGAAGATCCGGAGGCCATGGCGACGTGATTGGGTGGGCGGTATCTGGTATATAAAGCCGACGTAGTGGCTGGACCTGTAACGATATCGTCGACAGATTACTGTGCGCGCAGATAGTCTAGTGGGTGTTGTTCGTGGTAGCGCAAGCCAGATCCTCGAATTTATAGTTGCGGCTGTTTGCCGTGATCTGGAAGGTGTCAGTCATGTACGGAGCTAACCTGGGACGGAGGGAGCTGCGACACAACTCCTCCGTTCCCGTGCGGTAACCACATCGTCTGCTTGTGGCAGGCGGCGGGAGGCACTGACCCTAACAACAATGGCTGCGCGATGTACTTGTACGCCCCTTGTTGGCCACGGCCGCGGACAACACACGACGAGAGAAAATGGCGGCCCGTGACCCCTTCCCAGCAGGAGAAACGAGCGGATCAACGAACAAGAGGTATGGCGGGCAAATGGTCGGCAGAACCTTAATCTGTGTTTTCAGATGAATACCGCAGCCACGATGGGTCCCCTTGGCGATCAGCGCCTACTGTAATCGTCCACTCCAGAGGGAGCGGTGAACTGAGGCGAATTGATCGCAGAGGGAGAGAGCTGGTCGGTCTTGCAAGGAGAAGAGCTCAGGAGAAATGGGAAATGGCAGTCCTGCTGGGTGCTGGTGGTACGTATCCGTACCTGGCAGATCATGCTGTGGAGTGCACCAAGCCGCAGTCAATCTTGGCGGGAGTCGGCTAGCAACCGCATTGGCCCATTGGCCGGACCTCCCCCGGATAAGCTAGCGTGGCGCCACTTCCTGTTCTGGGCAACACAGCAGAAGCTTGATTGGCTTGGCAAGCTGAGACAATGAATGCCCCTTTGCCTTTCCCGAAATCACCAAGGAAGATCCCGTTGAAGAGCTTTGCGAGCGAGTTTCAATCCATGGGCCCTGATGACGGAGACAGGCAACAAATCTGGACTTATGTAGAGGCTCCTTTAGACTTCGCTCTACTTCAGCAACACGACATACGGAACTGGGGATACAAATAGTCACCGGATTGAGCAAAAGGCCACAATCAGGGGCCACAGGTGCGTTTCGACCCACTTTCCATTGGCAGATCCTTGATCTTTCGACAATCACACCCAACACACAGAATCAGCCTGCGAACCCTGACCATCTGAGAATTCGGCTTTGACGCAGACAGAAGCGCCGTTGCGTTTCCCGCAGCAGTCCACGGAAACATTACTTTTTTCGGTTGCAACATGTCGCCACCTTTGAGGGTTTATGGGTGGGCGAGCGAAGGGCGATGCGATGGTACCGTCCGGCCGGTGCCTTATACTCATGGCTGCGCTGTTAGTACTATACGGAGTACGAGTAGTATGTACCTTATGCAAGTCGAGCACATGCATACCTACCTGCGATTGGGCCCGGCCAGACCTATCCCATGCCGTCGCGTAGCATGGGGATTGGGCAAGCCGCTGCCACTTCACTGCCGTCGAGGAAAGGTCTTTTTGGCGATTCAGCAGATAGGTACTGTACTACACATTGAATCCGCATCGCTCAGCACCTGCAGGGTCCCTCCCTATCACTACCTAGGGACCTGCGTGGATCGAACCGTTACAAGGAAGATCGCATAGGTACTTCTCCGATCGTCAAACGCTTGTCTTCTTGTTAGGGTCGAGACGTTCTCTACTCCTTGTTTCATACACTTCGACTTTACTCCGTCGGGAGATACTTCCAGGTTGTTTCCTGCATCCATCGACTGGCGGGCCTGTACCCCTGGCCTGTGCATACGCGTAGCGCGATGCTTCTTCAGGACTGCGGGGTCAGCTCTGCGAGTCTAGACCCCTGTCAAATAGTCCGCGGGGCAAAATCCGGCTCCCAGCGCATGTTCAGCTGGGACTCTGGGGCCCGACCAGAATTGTGCCAATTGTGCCAGCCCAGGACGGGTCCGAAAGATGGTCTCCGCTACGGATGAAGCGAGTGCGTATCGGAGTGTCTAATAAGTGTTGGAAGTCGTTGGTTCTCTCGATCAGTACTGCTAAGTATAGACGCAAAGGAGCTTTCGGCGGTGTGCCTCGTTACATAGCGCTTGTTAAGTGACTGCACTTGCCATCTTCAGCCGTCGGTGTCAGGGGCAAAGTCTTGGCTGTGAGAGAGCTTTTTAGTTTTTTTTTACACCAAGGACATTGGGCTGATCGGTATTCAAAACCGATTCCCACGCGCCTCACGATGAGAGAGACGTGGCTTCGATATAGCCCAACGTACTGGAATGGCGAAGGGTCCTGCAAATCACTTACTTTTCGACACTTTACCCAAGTCAAATTGTGTCATGTACAGTACAGGCACCTTCTAATCCACTAAGATGTGATTCCTTTCAACTTTGTATCTCGGGCGTTAGAATTTTGGCAGTCAAGGTGTGTTTTGGTCATGTGTTTTGGTCATTGTAGAAGACACGACTCATGGTAACCTTTACGCCAGTCATCGCCAAGCCGATCAATCACAAGAGCAATGTTACTGAATCTCAGGCTGTCTTGAGCCCAACTGGCCTAAATGTATCCAAATCCTCAGCTCGATCTCAACCTGGAGGCCTCTCACTTGTACATTGCCGTCCTGAAAGTTTCAAAAGGGCCAACGGAGAGCTGGTCTACGCTGATGGGAAGCTGAGTAGCCACCAATTGTAGGCCAGAACTGGGAAGGGGATCCAGATCATACCTTAGTACGTTGTGGATAAAGAGTGAGGGATTGAGCCAGACAAGCAACACTTTGTACAGACTAGGGCTAGTGCTAGAGTAGGAACGAGAACAACCTCAACCTAGTCACCATCGGCGTGACACCCCGGAAGGACTAGTCACCTCGTAACTGGCCCCAGGTACTACTAGCCAGCGCTTCCCGGACTACCGGGCCTCTCCCCCCCCCCCCCCCCCAGCCGCATTTCTCGGTCCCCCCCGAGACGGATGCCCGGCGGAGACAACGACAACCTTCGGAAGAATACACCCTGCTGGCCGTCCCTGTGTGCCTGGCGGCCCCGCTGCTATGAAGGTTTTGGAGGCTCCGCGCACTGCAGAGGAAGCTTGCTACTGTGGCGGGGAAGGGCTATGAATGGAATGATTAGGGGTTTGGCCAGGTTGTAGACATTACCGTATTTGTGCCGTTGTAGTGGAAATGACCGTCGCGGCGGCAACATAAAAACTGAGTCGCGTAAATGCCATGGGGGGAATGGGACGTGTACAAAATACAAATCGAAACAGGGACGCTGGACAGGAACAACACCCTGGTATATACTGTGGCGAGAAGGCACCGCTATCGAGGAATAGAATGTGAACGTGGCCTCTGTAGAAGAAGGGGTTCAAGTGGAACGGCTGAGAGCCTTCCAACTTTGGAGATCAGACATCGACACCCCTCTTGGATCCAGGACGAGTCATACAGAGAATTATCGGTTGTGTTGTACATGGCAATCCCTCCTGTATAAGGTATTGAGCTTCCCCCACGATTCCTTGGGGTATGGTAGACCCTGTTCCCGATGAATTGACATCTCGGCCCAGATTCCAACTATGTTGAATCATGGTTACTGAAGTCCAATTCGAAAGCTGTCTACTGTGTGATACAGCAACCTGGAAGTGTGTACGGAGCGCCGCGAACATTCCTTTTGCATGGCCCAGTGTTATAGTAGCCTCAGTGCATAAATTGGCCTTCGCAATCACCCCATTTCCTCGGATTTGAACGAACTCCCGTTCACCTATCAGCGTATTGCATACTGCCCACCTCTAGATGTCGGCGCTCGTTCCCAGAGAAGGCTGTTCTGTCCATCTGTTGATAGAAAGCCACCGCAACGTTGCCACTGACTTACGCAGAATGGAGCTTGTTGCCTGAGACGTTCCTACGGGGCCTATAAAGGATGTTTACATGAGTACGAAAAGTCGAACGCCAGTTCTCAGAGCACTGTGTAGTTAGTTGGTAGAGCCTAGCTATCTGTATCTCCAGAACGTCAGCTTGCTGCTTTCATGCTAGGCCCGAGATCAAGGGGAAAGAAGCCAAAGCACTGGCAAGCTTGGATGAGCTCATCCCATCCCCATCGGATCTTCTTGCCGATTAGCAGTAAATGCAATGGCCGGAACCTTACTGTTGAACGAAGTGCATATTCAATGTGGCAACGCAGGCTGATCAGAGTACATTTACAGTTACCTACCGCCCAAGCGTCCTACCCGTACCATCACAAGGCTCGGTAAAGAGATGTGTCTCATTGTTCTCTATCTACCGTGCCTAATGGTCTTCAAAACAAGGGTCTGATCGAGAAAGCCAACGATGAAATGGACCGTAGAGAGGCTGACACTGTTAGTGCTTGAATTGAACAAACAGAGTGGCTGGTGTTAAAATGTGTGCCGGCTTGGATTCGTTGATCCCAAGCCAGAAGCTATTCCCAATTAATGAACAATGGGCCAGTTAGAGGGCAATATGATGGGGCTTTGGGATTTTTGGTCATCTGCTTGCCGCGTGAGGACTTGCAAAGGGCTGCAAAGCAAGGATGATGGGATGAGTGATGATGAGGAAGTGAACGATTCCACTGCTTCAAGGCCTGCTTGTGGGTATATAATGCCTCCTATCCCAGTCATGAGCTCTTCCAGCTTCTAACTGAGAATCCACCAAGGCAACACAGCCCTAATCGGCATCATTCCGTTCCCACCAACTAACACGCCTCACCATGATTTGCGTCTCCGTTCTGCTCGTCGCCTTTCTCCAGGTGGCTGCTTGCAAGCCATTATTGGGGTGGGACTCGGGATGCATCGCTACGACGCACAAGGTCAACGCCAAGGACTGCCAGGATGTCATTGACCCCATGCACGGTGAGTGCCTTCTGCTCACGATAAAGTACCCCCTGAGTGTGTGTGAGATAGCAAGGTGACAAGCACTAACGAGCCCAAAAGAGTCGATTCATCCCGTCACATTCCACGGCGGAGAGGCACGATCTTTCAGCAAGGGCTCCTGTGCCGGTATCATCTTCAACAAGATGACAACCAGCCTCGATGTCCACCTCTCAGATGTGTCGTCCATGATGACGGAGCGTATTTTCAAGCCTTGCGTCACCCAGGGCATGTACAGACGGTGGGAGACAAACAGGCTCAGTGTACGCCTGTATGCTCCTTCGAACGTCACCGCCTTGGGAAAGCGCGGTCCGGACTCCCAGCTGTCCACCAGGGAGAAGCATGATCTTGCCCTGCATGGCACCATGTGCGAAGACTCTGGTGAGGTACCGGTTGCTGGAGACTGTCACAGAGCAATCGATTCGCTCAGCCGTAAGTGCTTCCCGGTGTTCTCACGAACCGTCGCTGGGGATAGGAGACTGACGAGCCGGAATAGAGCATAGCAGCACGGGATACTTAGAGTTGCCCTCCATGACGTGCCCGTGGAAACTTGTGGACAGCTGCGCCGGTCATGTGTGCAATGAACACAGCAAGTCAATCCGGATCAATGAGGTGACTCTGGCCTGGAATATGACCTCTAACATCTTCAATCCGTGCGTCGTCAATGGGAAATACGGCTTTTGGGAGGATGACAGCGTCCAGACGGGCCTAACTGAGACTCCGCCCAATCCTTCAGGAATACAGACTTTGGAGACGTCCATCACTGAGATGGTGAACATGCTGAGGAAGGCTCATCATTGAAGATGCGCTCAGGAAGGCGGGAGGCATCGGCCGCGCACGGCTGAGAAAGTCAACGAGGAAGGGATATAGTTGGAGAGACCAGCCAATTTCATACAACAAGCTAAACCAAGTCAAAGACCTAGCTTTACAGGATTGGGACTTGTGAAACCATTAAGATCTGTGAATTTCTAATTTGTAGGGATTACCTGTCGTCTGAACGCTGCAATGGTGTATCGTGAGGCATACTCAGGGTTAGGGCTAACCGACTACGAGTCTTTTGCACCTTCAGCCATAGGCCTGCGCCTCACACAGGCACGGACTTATGGATGCACCGCCACGACTTTCCTCTTTACGTCAACCGCGTGCGTCTTGGCAAGATGGAGTTTCTGAGCGACCCCAGTTCCGACTCCAGTCGATCCCTGACGCCCCCACAAGCACGTCTTCCACTCAGCTCGAGCCTCAGTGAAATGGCTGCGGGTTCAAGCTCGGCGGAGGAGACGTGGGTTCACAAGCGCAACATTGACATCTCCGTTTCCCAAGCTCCCGTTTCCTGCACTATGGTAATCCCACTCGCAGTCAACCATCATCACCCCGACCATGACGACGTTAACACCGACAGCAGAACAAAGACAGCTGCTACACGTACGTGCACATGCACAAACCGCATCATGCGGACCTGTTTGAGGATTTCTGCAGGGACAAGCTCCCCGCCGACGACATCTATGTGCCGCCCAACTTGCAGCCTATCAATCCCGAGGAGGAGGATGACGTGGTCCCCGACCAGCACGCCGCCTATGGGGTCCAAAAGGCTACGCAGAAGGCGAAGGAGCCCGCATGGAGAGACCTCGGGCTGGCAGAGCTCATGGCTCGTGGTCCGAAGCCTGGCGCGTCGAAGGGCCGCGCTGGGGGTAGGCGGAAGGTGCCGGGAAGCGACTTTAAGGGTTTGCCGCGCTGATTGACGACACCGCTCGTCGATTTGTCGCACTGCATTGCATTGCTAGGTGCTGGCTGGGGGATCCGGGGCTACTATGAGCGGTCTCAGAGGCGTTTATTAGGAGTTGATGGAATGGCGCATGGGGGCAAACGGTCAACGTAGAAATATCCATTGCTTTCCACATCCGTCTAGATGACTGACTCCCTTTGCAAACATGATATCTCAACCGGATATAGCCATAGTTGAACCCGAAGCAAAGTCGCTCTTACCCGACCCTAAACGCCAGACCGATGCAAAAAAAGCCCAATCAGCTCCAGCTCCCAGCGAACCGTCAACACCTCACCCCTTGCCAATCAGCGCCTCCCTCTCCAGAACCTCCGGCTGAAACTTGACCAGAAATACCGTTTTCCCGGGCCACATCTCCCCTTCCTCCTTACCCCCCACAGTATGCGCCGTGACACGAGCGGGGAACATGGCCCCATCGCACACGCCCTCCACGATGCCCGCGACAAAGGCGGCGCAGTTCAGCTGGCTCATCTCGCGCGGCACGCTGATGTACGCGTTGACGAGCGGCTCGTTGTCGATGATCATGTACTCGTCGGGCGTGTCCGGGTTGGAGCTCTTCTCGAGGCGGTCGGCCTGCCGCCCGAAGAGGTGGGTCCACAGGTTGATCTTGATGAAGTGCAGCAGCGCGATGATGGAGAGCGGACGGGTCTGGGAGCGTGGCGGTTCGCGAATCAGGAGGAGGTCGAGCAGCTTGAGGCCTATTGGGTGGCCTTGGAGGTTGAGCCTTCCCGCCGGTCGAGGTTAGTCGGGTGAGGGGGAAGAATAAAAAGCCCAAGGGAGCCGCCCGGGACACATACCGCTTTTCTAGTTCTTGAATCCCGGTTACTCGCCGCTGCGCGTAGCTCACCATCTCGGAAAACAGGTAGGCGAAGCTCGCCTGGCTGAGCTCGGCTGTCTTGGTGCGGTTCAACGGCCGGTGGTAGATGGTCTTGCCACTGGACGGGTACCGCAGGCCCGCCTGCTCCTTGCTGCTCGCAGCTTTGCTAGGCCCAAGGTGTGCCATTTCCGCCGCGGGGATGCAGGTTTGTTTTGTTTTATTCTCCTGTTTGGCGCATTGATAGGTGGTTTCAGTTCTGTAGGCTCTGAATGCGCTTTCGCAGTTGATGAACTGGGCGTGTACCGGTTTGTATTGTACAGTACTAAGCGAGCTTAGTCAGCCGTATGGCACTTGAAAGTTGAAACTTGCAAGCTACTAATGTGTAAGACTTTACTATAACAGTACGGTAGGCCGAACACGACTCAGCCATGTAAGCCAGATGTAGAGTAGAATGACGGAGACCTAATATCGAACGTTTAGTGAGGTTATATTCGTGAGCCATTGATTGAGATCGAGGCGACTACGGGGACGTTCGTCCTTCCTCAGCAAAGTGCGGCTGCGTACCGTACATATCCTTACATCTACTAGTACTGTGTTAGGTTGGTGCCGGCGAGGATGAGTGGGGTATTACAGCTTTATATGGAAGGCGGTGACGCAGAGCTCAGATGTGGCGGGGGCCCGAGCGGCAGGCAAGCGGCAGAATATCAAGCTGCCCCGCTGGAGCTTCGGTCGTCTTCTGATTCTTCTCAGGCAGCAGACTGATTGCATTACACTTTTCTCATCTTTCCAGTGCCCATAAAGCCCACCACATCCCATCCTGCAGTCCCTGCTAACTCTTCCACCGAGAATCAAACTCCATCCCGCAAATACGATCTTGCTGCTGAGCTTTCGCACACTCATATCTTATCTCCTTCAGGCTTCTGCCCCACTTTCGTTTGTTCATCTCCACAACCAGAACTATCATGTCCGCGACGACGTTCGGCCACCGGGGCATCGAAGCAGTCCAACACAAAGATTGGGCGACAGCTATCTCCCTCCTCGACAAGGCGCTCGAATCATCAAATGCGCCCGGTTGGCTGCTCGCTCGTGCGCAGGCCCATCAGCAACTGAAGAACTACGATGCAGCCCTCCGTGATGCCGAGCTCGCCTACCACGTGGCCGCGGAGCGAGGTTCTGGTAACTCGCGCAAGCAGATGATTGAGGCCCAGTATCGTCGATCAGTTGTCTACCACAAACTGGAGCGCTACGCCGATGCGGACTGCTGTGCTAAGTGGAGCATGCTGCTGGCGGAGGGCCGCCCGGTAGGCGAGGACGACGGCGTCCAGAAGAAGGTAGACGCAAACGGCAACTACGTTGTCACTTATGAGGACGGCGTTAGTGACCACAAGGGGCAGCCGGGCCAACCTGCGCAGGGCGCCTCCCTTAGTGACCGTGTGTTCGGAGTCATGAGCGCACAGTCGGCGGGGACGGCCAAGACTGGTTTCGAGAGCGACTGGAAGCGCGCCTACACCTGGAGAAGCCAGGTACTTGGCCGCTTGAAGTCACTGCCGGAAGACCATCCTGGGCGGAAGGTCAACGTCGCCAAGGTCCCCAAGAAGCCGCAACCGAAGCCGGAAAAGAAGCCCGGTCCAGAACGGTAAAGTGGAATAATAGAACCAAATAGCATCGCGAATACTGATCGTGTTTATCTTGATAGACCCGAGTCGGCTAGTGATGTGGAGGAGGAGCTGAAGTCAGCTAAGCTTGTAGAACCTGCCCCAGGCAGTGTTCCCGACGAGCAGCTAAAGCTCCGCGTCGACTTCTATCAGAGCAGCCAGAACGTTTCAGTCTCTCTGTTCGTGAAAGATGTGAAGAAGGAAACTCTCAGTGTCAAGTTCTTCAAGAACAAGGTTTGTTGAACGCATCTGGCGTTTCTAGCTTCGGGTGGTGCTAATTTAGACAGGTTGAGATTTCGCCGCTTCCTCGTCCCGCCGCTCCTTACGTGAAGCCCGGTGACCGCGAGGCCACATCCACATTCACCCTTGGCGGTGAGATTGACCCGTCGAAGAGTCGTTGGTCTGTCACACCGCGCAAGCTTGAGCTGGTCCTGCAAAAGGCCACGCCGGGCGTCAAGTGGGGCACGTGGGGTAGCGAAGAGATCGGCTCGGTCGCGTTGGCAGATGCGGGCGACGAGCCATCGGCTACGCCGCTCGCGGAGAGAGCGGAGAACAAGACCGCGGCCCCCACGGCCTCGGCCCCGGTCCCCGCCGCCGCCGCCCCTCCGTCGACTGCGACGGGTGCCCCAGCCTACCCCACCAGCAGCCGTTCCGGCCCCAAGAACTGGGATAAGCTTGGCGATGCCGAGGGTGACGACGACCCCCAGGACGTGAACTACTTCTTCAAGCAGCTGTACAAGGGCGCAACGCCCGAACAACAGCGGGCCATGATGAAGAGTTTCATCGAGAGCAACGGAACGGCGCTCAGCACCGACTGGGACGACGTCAAAAGCCGGAAGGTCGAGACGGTGCCGCCAGAGGGGGTCGAGGCTAAGAAGTGGGAAGCTTAGGCTGTTTGTCGAGGGTTCGCCGGGGCGTTGGGGGGAGAAGGGGGGCATTGTACTTCCAACAGCCGCGGATGGGGCGTTGATTATGTTCGGTGGGGATTTGTTTACGACAGCATTGCAGCGTTGGGTCGCGCATGGCGTTGGAGGGATAGTCAAGAATTCTCGGCGCATGGGTGTTAGCCGGACGGACGTAAGGAGCAGGAATAGGGTATCAGCTACCTCGTGTTCGGTCGAACCTTTTTGATACCACGAATAATTACAACATTACATGTCTGCTTGGTCTTAAGACAGGACTGAGGATGTCTTCACGTTAAACGGCATTAAGTATTATTCAAGGTGGTATCTAAGGGTATAGTGATATGCTCTCGCATCTAATGTATATGGCTTTTGACATGGGAATGAGAAGAACAACTCTTTATCGGGGGCGTTGAGGGCCGGGACTTGATCCCCTCGACCTCCACGACGCTCATATCCATCTGCACCCTGAACTGCTTGCCCCTCCAGTTCACCGTCGTTCCTAGCAGCACCGCCCAGGTCCAGATCGGTAGAGCCAACAGCTCCCTTCCAAGCCAAGTGGTCACCCACTCCGCGACCGGCCGTTCCTGAATTCCTCCTCGGCGGCACGATCCCCGAGCAAAAAATGGAGTGTTCTCATCCACCTCAACACTCTGGAGCTTGCGCAGCTTACTGCTCAGCCAGCGATCTACCAACATCCAGGCAGCGACGGCCGATACCCAGATGAGACCCATAGCGCCCCATGTCTGAGGAACGGCAAGACTCTCATGGAACCACGGCAGGGTAGTCAGCGCGAAGGTCAGGTGCAGACAGCAAACTAGCGATTCCACGCCGGGCTCCACCAGCGTGGCAAGCAGGACAGTCCACTTCCGAACCCGCAGCCAGCGGACGCGGCGCGCGATGTAGGCTGACACGGACATGCCCGACATGGGCTGGATGGCCACCTCGCCAAACACGAGACCGTGGTTCTTGAAGCCCGGGATGTGGGACCGCCAGATCAAGTCCCCGATCAGATGGTCCTCGCAGATGTAGGAGGAGAAGAAATCCAGACCCCGGCCGCGGAGCGAGTCGGATGCCGAGAGGATCGGGTTCTGGGCCGGGTCCGTCAGACGCTCGAGGTGCGACTTGCGGAACATATTGCTTTTGCCGACGATGCAGGGCGCAAGGCCGACGGCGTTGATCGCGCTATAGAACTTGGCGTGCGTGGTCGACATGAACATCTCTTCCAGCCGGCCGCCATAGTTCCAGATGCTCCTAGAGGAGTGCTCCCGTTCCTCGGCGGGGCTGGTTCTCTCGATATCGACAACGAGGGGAAGTTGGTGCACGAACTTGTAAGGGGTCGTCCTCATGCCGTCGGGTCCGAAGCCGCATAGCTTGTCGACCATCCTCCCGGCGGACCCTGTCCCGACCCAGACATTGCAGTCGACAATCCAGATAATGTCGCCTTTGGCCTCGCGATACGCCCTGCTGATATTGCGGATCTTCGGATTGGGACCAAGGTTATTCACATCGCCTGCAGTGCCATGGAGCAACGGGTCATCCTCCTCGACCAGGACCTTTGCATCGAAACTCGGGAAGTCCGCAACGACTTGTTGAAGGACCGGATGCGCGGCATCAGCGGTGGAGGCAACGCATAGGTATATGGTCAACTTCGACTTGGGATAGGCAAGCCGGAAGGTCGAAGCCAGGCACTCATATAGTCCAGCCTCAACGCCCTTAACCGGTCGGATTATTGTAATGTGAGGGACTTCATCTTGTTTGAGCGTCGGGGACTCGGGCTTCGCATAGGGTGCGGAGTGGTGGCGGAAACTGGGGCAGGCGCGGTCAGTAACAGCGAGTACGACCAACAAATTAAGACAGGCACCGTACAGCTTCGAGATCCCGATGCCTTGAACGAGAAAGACGGTACAACTCCAGAGCAGACTTACCAAGGCGGCGCCTTGGACTATCACGGACATTGGACCATTTCCATCAGTCATCACTATAGGGGAAAGGCAGGTGAGGAGAAAGAGCTTCCCGTGACGGATAACTCGGGGTGGCAGAGGGAAAAAAAGCCCGCGATTGACCGTGATTCCCATGTGGATGTGGGGCACCAAGCAATAGAACAGTCAGCAGCATGCGGAATCCGATCTGTGAAACATGCGAGTTGCAACCAGCCCGTACAGTAATCCATACAATAATAGAAGCTATGAAGGACAATGCGCCGCTCCTCCTTGAAATAAAGGTTGCAGAGCGAATGGATGAAGTGGCAGCTTGCGCGCTAGAAGAACGATGTTCCCGTCTGTAGCAACGGGACGTCATCCGTGGTTCGTTCCTGCAACTTTAAATTTTCTGGAGCATAATAAGTGCATCCTTCAAAGCGCAAAGGGGGTCCCCTAACTCCACTTCTTCTCCCAATTGCCGGAGGACCAATTGCTGCCTTGTTTATTAGGCCAGAGGCAAGCCAGCACATTCGGCTGGTTCAAAATCTGCACCCGAGCCGATCCCGAATCCTCCGTTCTTCACAAGTTTTTGTTTTTGACAAGCTTCGACATCATGCCAAAAGCAACAACCCCAACACCTTCCAGATGTGAACCAAGCTTTAAGGTGACCTGTCAGTGACATCTCCATACCTCTGGGATCTGTTTTTGGCACGCCGGATGGTCCGATCGCCTTGCTAGTGTTGGTTGCTGAAGCATTGGCCTTGCGTAAGTTAAATTTTCCTATTTACATTTGGTGGCTTTACCCTCGGCCACACGGCCTCTATACTGCAAGCGCAGCAGGGCCGCATCGAGACGGAAGAGACTTGAATGTGTGGCGAGAGACTCTGAGCCGGTGGCATTGCTTGCCTTGCTTCCCCTAAATCTCGATCACGATGGAGGGGTTGCGAGGGGCACTGCTTCGGGCAACTCCTACGTTGCGCTGATGACACCAAAATACTTGTGCTTAGAGCAATGTACTTCAGTGTACGCTCGATGAATGCCATCTATTCATAGACTACAACGGTATCTGAGCAATGACAACCCAAATCAAATTCTGGCACTGGCGCAGTTTCCTGCTTACTCGCAGAGGGCTAACTGTTGGCACTGACAGGCCGAGATGAGGCGCGCTGGACATGGCTGAAACCACGACACTTACCACAGCACACGCTGCTGGCAGAGATGCCAGCACGGCCGCTGGAACGGCCTCGACGGGCAGCCTCGATGGTGAGAATCAGCCGACCGTTGCCGAGCGAGGGTCCCCACCGAAGGCACCCTTGAGTCAAATCTACGCTCTCCCTGCTCCCATCCGAACATTCCCTCTTCCCACGTTTTATCCAAACAACCCCGTCTCCCTTATCCATCTGGTCTACGCGTGGCTCGGCCAGATTTTTCGACCGCCTCCACGCGAGCCGTCAGTGGTGCACGTCGGGTTATGGGATGCTGAGACAAGGTCGGTACATGTCACAGACCCTACCTCCATACGGGCACTCTGGGAGCAAGGATTCTACGGCAAAGGGAGCCTCAGCAGAAGCGAGCCGAACTGGCTGAAAAGAGAGCTGGCTAGGCGGGGCTCCCCAGAAGGAAAGACCGTCAGCGAAGCACGCACCGAGTTGCGGCGAGAGGAGCGTCGCCTCGCAAAGTGGGAGAGAGCTAAGGCGGAGCTGGAGGCCATTGAAAGACAGAGGCTTGCGGAAGCGGCAGCCCGGGCGACGGCCACCAAACCGAATGATCTCAATGGGGATTTGAGCAAGCCTGCCGGTGGTCCAGGTCCACTGCCATTCCTCAATGGGATTGAATCTCCGGTTACCGAACCGAGGTTGGCAGATGCTGGTGGTGTAGAGGAGACTGCGCCCGTCGCCGAAACTACCCGAGCACTTCAGCTCCAGGGCCGTGCGACGCGCTGCCTAGAGCAGTTCAGAGCGCCCGTCGGTCCAGCAGAACTGCTAGCCCTCCCTAACTCATTGGTGAAGCCAGATGCAAAGCCCATCAGCCCCAATAACTTCCCGGAACCTAAAGCGCCAGTGGGTCCCGCGGAACTGCTGTTGCTCCCAAATTCCCATTCCGATCTGGTCTCCAGGTCGGTCAAAAGCCGCCCTCTGTGTGAAAGTGGAGAGCGCACGATGGGACAGTCAACGCTGCAGGCCTCCCCTGACTTATACGGTCATACAGACGACAATGCTACCAAGAGTCATGGCGTACCCAACGGTGTGGTCAATGGCAAGGGGCACCCGACCAAGGCAAGTGCCTCGGCTGAGAACCATAAAGTGGGCAAGTTGTCCAGCGAAAGGACGCAACTCGATGGCGTCACCAATGGTACTACTTCACCACGCTCCGTACCCTCTCCCAACGACTCTGCCGCAGAACCCAATGGGCTACAGGCTCTGAAGCGCCGAAAGAGCGTCCGCTTTTCGCCTACGGTTGAGTCAACCACGTTCTTAGATTCTGACCCACCGAGCCCGGGTCGCTCAGCGAACGCTTCGTTGAGGAGGGCGGTGGCCGCGTCATCTAATGGACAGGCAGTGAAGAAGCCGACGGTTTCCTCGACGGTTTCCTCGACGATTCCTACAGCTGTGGTGTCTGGATCTGAAAGCGCTCCAGGAGTGCCTCTGCACAGCCCAAGTATGCCGACTGAGCTTGTGAACAAAGAGCACTTTCAGCTTGCACCGGAAGAAGCGTTTTTCCTGGTCTTCTCACTCGGGGTACTGAAGGTTGTGGACCCTGTGACCGGCTCCCCCATTGCCACAGAACGCCTTCTATTCCTCTTTCGCTCGTACTCATATTTCCCGCCTCGGTCGCTCGATTCCGGCCTCAGGGCCGACGACCCGTTCCTCGTGAACTACGCTGTGTATCACCACTTCCGCTCACTCGGCTGGGTGCCGCGCCACGGCATCAAATTCGGCGTCGACTGGATTCTATACCAGCGGGGCCCTGTCTTTGACCACAGCGAGTTTGGCATCATGGTCCTTCCCTCTTACTCACACCCCTCCTGGGCGGACCATCAACACGAGGAACCCAAGCGGTCTTGGTCCTGGTTGATGGGGGTCAACAGGGTGCTCTCGCACGTCCTCAAGAGCCTGGTGCTCGTTTACGTTGATATCCCACCACCGACGGAGTTTGCTGAGGAGATGGAGCGTGGTGGGATCGCAACGGCATTAAAGAAGTATACGATCCGGGAGGTTATGGTTCGGAGGTTCTCGGTCAATCGGAATCGGTGATGTTCGGAGTCTGTAGGAGGCTTGGGACAGGGCACTGTTGCATGGGCATGAGCATGGCGACGGCGTTGGGTAGAGTTATGTTGCATAGGTAAGGTGTTTGATACCTCGACGGTTTGATCAATAGACCTGTGCTCTCACATGGCCGACACGCTCCTGCGGCATAAATACCCACCGGTTCACTTCACACCCCACTGTGCCTCGCATGTCACTCGTTCTTACCCGACTTTCCTCAAGCCAGGACTGGCCCTACTACGTCCACGTTCCCTCTCCAGGTTCACCACCATCCACCCCAACAGGTATCTACTGGCCATAATGACCCCCCCAATCTAAACCAGCTCCCTCAGCACTAATCTCCCCGCCTCATTGTCTGTCTCCGGCACCTTCTGGTTCCATATGATAGAACACCTGGCGTTGATGCAAGTTTTTGCATGCAGTGCAGCTGTCAATCACACTAGATATGGTAATCCACTGGGGGTTCAGGGACGACTTGGCTTGATAGTTGGATTTTGTCCCAGGTCGCTTTCGATCCTTTGCCGGATCCGAGAACATTTTCCATCCAAATAACGCCAGAAAAGCATGTATTGCAATCATCTTCTGGAATCGAGACTCAAACTCAACGCTTCGAAGCGCGCCCCAGGCTCATTCCTACCTCGACCGCCACCTGCACCCGCTGCTTGCTCAGCTCCACGAGATCCCGATCAAATTCGATTCTTCCCTTGCCAAACGCAACGATGATGGACGACCCGCCAAACTGGAAGATTCCTAACTCCTCGCCCTTCTTGATCGTTGCGCCAGGTTCTCGGAAGCGCTGATGAATCCTGCAACATCGTCAGCAAGAACAAATGCCTCCCTTCTCCCAATCCGCTGTCGGCTTCCCCTGGGGGGAAAGGCTAAAGTCTCTTACTCAACAGATCCGACATCCGTAGCCCCGATCGCCACAAACAACACATCACCAAACGCCTCCGTCTCGATCACCACATACTGCCGCCGGTTGCGCGTCAGGATGTCCACCTTGCTCTGCAGCGCGACCGCGTCGACCTGGTAGTAGTCGCCGGGCACGCTTCGGAACATCTTGACCCTGCCCGTCACGGGCGAGTGGTAGCGGTGATAGTCCTGCGGCGAGAGCCGGAAGCTGGCCACGGCGGCCTCGCCGAAGCGCGCGCCCAGGTCCGTGTCCATGACCAGGTTGGTGATGCTGAAGTCGTGGCCCTTGATCCACAGCGCCGTCGTCTCGGCGACCGACTCGTACGCCACCACCCGCGAGTCGGCCACCACCACCGCCCCGGCCGCGTCCTCCGGTTCGTGGACCGGGCGGGAGCCCGGCTTGTGCTTGCGGGTGAAGAAGTCCTCAAAGGTCGCGTACTGATCCGGGTCAGACGGGTCGAAGTCGGCCATGTTGATGTCGTACGTGTCGATGAACTGCTTGATCTGCTTCTTGGACTCTGGGGTGCCCTCTTTCTTGCCCTGCTTGAGAGCGGACTCGTGGAGGTAGAGTCTCATGGCGTGCGTGGTGTCGAGCCATTCCGTGAGGGGGTTGAAGAGAAGGATGAGCTTCAACTTCTTCAGCAGCGGTTGCTTCTCCCGCTCAAACTTGCCCGTCTGATAGGTAGGCTTGTCATTACCAGCGTATCGATGAGATGAGTATTCAGGGGCGTGGTCATACCTTGCGGACGAAAGACATCCAACCCCATTGAACTTTCTACAAAATAGGGAGTCAGCTTTCTTTTTTGTACGGTCTAACCTTAGCCCATGCGTCTGGAGAGCTCACCGGATGCATCCAGGACATCAAATAGTCCAGGATGCGATGCAGGATAGCTTGGAATGACATCTTGCCGTTTTACTAGGTATCAACAAGACACGAATGTTACGAAAAGTCTGTATTAGATCTATATATTTCATCATATCTGTACGACGAAGTTCGCATCTGTATATCCCGAGTAGTCGCACTCTGATGACGTCGCGGTGTCGGTCTTTGACCAATGACGTCAGACGTGCTGTAGTACTAATAGTGTGTAGTAACAGGTAGTAGTGTTGTACCTGACGCTCAACTTCAGATGGGTCTTGAATTTTTATTAGTCCGATGGGATTGTCGCTTTCCATGCCAAGCAAAATTGCCATGGGCATAGGAGAATGATCCCAAGTTGAAGGAGATCTTCATACCATCAGGCGCCATGTTGTGTTCGCCTTAGGAGTCACCTATATATGGCACGGTCACACATCCGAGCCAAAACTTACTTGATCGAAGGTTCTGCTACTAGGCCCAGTAGCTCCGCAAGGGTTGGCGAAGATGGACCATCGCGAGGGAGAACTACATCAGCTAGCGGTGGTGGTCGAGAGGGAAACGGGGAAACACCCATTCTGGGATTATAGGAGGAGGGTTGAACAACTTCTGATAGCGTTTCTTGGCATAGCCGGATCCCAGACTCGGTAGAAGAGGACAAGTTGACTTCAACCTTAGCTACCTAAGTTTTATCCAAGATGTCATTACCATAGATTCAAAGGCACTTCATTCAAAAGCCGTCAGCAAGCAGCTGGTGGTAAACAGTAACAACCAATGGTCGCAGGGTTAAGAACACTTGCCCCTGATGGGCGAGCCATTGGTAAGCCGGCAAAAAAAGGAAAAATAAAAAAAAATAAAAATAAAACAAAAATTGAAAAAATAAAAATGAAAGCGAGAGACGAATAGGAACGGCGGCTCTATGGCTCTCGCCGCATGCCCCATTACCCCTAACCAAGCGCAGCTTTCCTCTTCTATACCAACGGGGCGCGCCCTGGATATAGCATCTGCAGCAGCAGAACGCTGCCCGAGTATTCTTCAAGAAACTTGACAGCTAAGGCAGCTGCTGGACTGCTGTCTGAGGGTCATGGCAGATCACATCTGTCGGAACATGTGTGGCCTCGGGCGAGCGGGACTCACAGCACGACGACATACGCAGCACGTGCTAGAGGTAACTTGAACAGTGGTGGACAGGCTCGCTGGACCCTCCCAGGCCGAGGTGCTCTGCTGGTGGTCAGCACGCGGCATGTCTCGACGCCGAGGGCCGGCAGCCTTACGGGAGGGCAAGCAGAGCCTCATCAGCCAGGACCCAGCACAACACCGTGCATTCCATCCTCATTCTTAAAGGCGAAAGAAAGAAGCCAAACATCACCGACTCGCACCCCTCTACACGGCTGTATTTATTTCACCATGCACCGACCACCCGAGTCCTCACCCTCCCGTGGATCTCGAGCGCCAGCCCTTGCTCGAAGCCTCGCCGCCGAGCGGATCGGGCGACGATGCCATTTCCGCACCCACCCCGGCGCGGCTATGGCGATGACAACGGCGATCATTCCGCGAGGTCTTTCCCCAAGCCATCGTCCTCGCCATCGGCACCCAGATCTTGACCTTTGTGATCCTTCCCCGCATGATCCCTACCCCGATCACTGCGGTCACCTCCACTTCGGCGTCCCCTCGCCCCCCTGCCCCGGCCGCCCCAACCCGTAGGCTCCCTTTGCGCTGCGGCACCCCCGAGACCGGCCGGGCCTGCTGCTGTGTTTCGGCGGGCCGCCCGGGACCCTGCCGTCCGCTATTCTAGCCCACCGTTCAATAGACCAGGTCTATAAAAATTACGACCGCCAAATCCCTGCTTACTATACTTGGCCGGACTTGCGTCGAAGTCGAGCAGCACCACATTGGCCAAGTGTCTTGGGAGTTGGTGTTTGCCATCCGTCACCGCGAGTTCATCAGGAGGGAGATCGTTGAGGAATTCCTCACCGTGGGATGGAACCTGTTCCGGAATATACATCTCGAGGAGCTCCTCCTTCCTTTAGGAACAGAATTAGCCCGGTCTTATTATCAAGACTACCGCAAAGAAGAGGCTATCGAGCTCCTAGACGAGATAGCCAATGGTAGGGAGCCGTTCAACTACCAGTCCCCGCTCACCGAATGATCCCGCTGGCCGCCTCGTTGTGCTCACCGATTCCCTGCCAGACGCTGCCTTCGTCCGAGGGGCTGGAGATGGGGGATGCGCCGACCTGGGTGCCGAGGAGGACGTCGATAAGGAGGAGAAACGGGTAGGACAACGGGCTGAAGTCAAAGACGCCAACGGGCCCCAGGGCGCGGTTGCGCTCGTAGCCACTGGGGACGAGTGAGCCTGGCTGCTCGAGGGCGACGCTGCCCATGTGCAGGCTCAGCGACATGGATGCTATCCGACCCTGCGACTTGAGCTCCTGCAGGATACCCGGGGGGGCGGAATCGCCGAGGACCGTGGGACAAACCGTGGGGAAGCCCAGGCCGAGTACGCCCACGTTCACCGGGCAGCGGCTCCCGTCGGGGAGCCGGTAGTTGCTCTCGTCGACGACGGAGAGCGTCGTGTTGAGCTGGAGGTCCGCGTCCAGCCGCTTGGTGGTCAGCGTCACGATGTCCACGACGCACCTGCCCACGGGGGACTCGCCCATGACCAGGTACCACCCCCAGTCGTCCGATAGAACAATAAACGTCGTGGTGTTGACGGCGGTCGGCGAGTCGGCCAACGTGTAATTGCCCCCCGCGCCAGGCGTCGGTACCATGGACAGGCCTCCGCCGCTCGGCCACATAGCGGCGAACTCACCCTCGGCCGATGGCAGGCCGTTTAATTGCCTCCTTGTATACGCGGTGCCGACCCTGACTGCGATGGCCTGCCACGGCCCGTCGGGCCCGTACACGTAGGCACCCTGGTTGTCGAGTCGGGTCATGTTGATGTCGGTTGTCCAGGCCAGCTGCATCGTTTCCGCAGCCGTGGCCGCAACGGGCGCGAGGAGGCCGAGGAGTCGCATTTCTAAGCTAATTAGGTATTCTACATGTAAGTAAGGTACTCGTGCCCCGATGCAGGCGCTTATTGTGTTTGAGGCTGGTCGTTGTGTCCGGCACAGTTGAGGACAATGGCGGACGCCCTGGTGCCACACGCGTTTTCAGTCGGAGCCTGGTTGTCTATAAAGCAGTTGAGAGGATGCCGGGGACGCCTAGTTGATTCAGCTGTGGCGGAGCGGGCAACCTTGCATATGTCGGTCGATTCAGCTTGCGGGGCATTCATTGCTCTCCTTCGGGGAACCAAGGATGGAGAGCCACTAACATGAACTTGGCAGGCGTCCGGATTCAAGAGCCTCCCGAGGGACCAGTAGTCGTGAACCCTTGAAAAACATGGTTTCAGTTCATGTGAACGGCCGGAGGTATCTACCTAGGCAGGTAGGTATTGTACATATATACGTCAGGTAGACCCTGTCTCTGGGGGTGGATGGGCCACAAGCATGACAGGTCCGCCGAGGGGAGCACCCGAGGATAGCAAAGTTGCACGGAAGCTTGGAAGAGCACGAATTCGTCGAGTGGGAACGTCGGGAGAAGAAGAGGAAGACTCTTGATTATGGTAGATCCTTAGAAATTCAACGTTAAGTCTGCGATGAAATACAGCACCTCAGCAATCTCGAGACCTTCCTTGCCCTCACACCATCTTCTCACCAGAAACGAGACCGACGGTGCTCTCTGCAGCAGCAGCCGTGCCGAGGCTCTCTACAGTCCTGGTGCGATACACCCTGAACCGCTGGCTGGTCTTCCGGTTCTCTCTCCTCGCCCAGAGCATCCACACAAGGAACGTCGCCAGCGTCAGCGGCACCGCCACCACGAAGTATATCCAGATACTCGGCGACGTCCTCAGCGCACTAGACGATCCCTCGCCGCCGGCAGCACCGGTGCCCCAGTCGAACATGCCCATGCTGAACAGGGTCGCCACGAAGGTCGGCGGCAGGTAGACGATGCCGAGGATCGAGATGGTCTTCATGGCGATGCTGTCGCGCTTGCCGTCGACGGCTATCGCGGCCGTGTACTCGGCGTCGTTTTGCGTGATATTGCTCAGCATCTACATGTAATCATATGCGATTAGCCTGGGATGTGAGAAGCAATGACAGGGAGCACCCACGAAATCAGTCTGGCTCTGCGCCCTCTGCATCATCTGCTCCACCTGCGACAGCAGCATGGCCGTCCGCCTGCGGATGTACTCCACCTCTTCCCGAACCACCACCCGCGCAGCCTTCAAACTCTTGGAGAAAGCATCGCCACATGCACCGTCCTTGACCTCCCCGTAGCCACTGTCATCAGCACCTTGCACAATCCACCCCCCCAACTCCAACCCACACCTCGCAACATGCCCCACAACTGCCAGATCCGTCTGGCAATAACTCAGCCTCTGAATCGTCCGCCTCGGGTCCTCCAGCACAAAACACCCGTCCAAACTGGGCCGCGGCCCCATCTCCCCTGTAACAGTAGCAGCCATCAGCTTGCCCGGGTTGCCGTACTTTGTCTCCCGCTCAATCCGCTGGATTGTGTCGTCGATGGTGTTGCGGTGGACTTCGATGTGCTGGTGGTGCGAGCGGTAGAGGGCAAAGGCGAAGAAATGGGGGGTAATGCAGAGTTCCGGGGAAGAGAGGAGGGTGGCGAAGACGGAGGGCTCGTCGGTTAGGTGGTGGTAGAGGATGTACGTTGTTCGGCGGGAGGGGTCGAGGGTTATGGAGGCGCAGTCGAAGCCTGTGGAGCGGGAGTTGGCTACTTTGAGGAGGAGCGAGGTTCGGCTGGTGGTGATGGTATCGGGATGGTTGCTGGGGGAGGTGAAGGTGGCGAGGACGCCGTTGTTGGAGAGGAAGACTTCGGTGGTGCGCGGGTGGAGATGCCAGGAGGATTGGATCTGGTGGAAGGTGGGCTTGGGGAGGGAGAGGACGAGTCGGCCGTTCTGGAGGCGGGGGAGGGAGAGGACGCGGAAGTGCCAGAGGCTGTCGTCGGTTTTGTTGTTGCTGTGAGTCTTCAAGAGATGGTCCTCGATCTGATCATATTGGATCTTGTCGTCGGAGATGCGTACAGCATTCACCGAGCCGTCTGCACTGAGCGAAAGCGAACCCGTCAGGACCCTGAGGCTGGTTTGTTCGTTCTTTGGAGGGTCGACCCATCTCGCGAGCTTTTCCTCTCGGGTTTCCATGGAAGGGTTAGAATTCATTTGAGTAAAACAAAGAACAAATGATGAGAATTGTGCGTTGTGACCAGGAGAGAATGCGAAAACGCAGGTGAGCACCGTAGGGAAATATAAATGAATGGGACCACTAGGAGCCAGACTCAAGGCACAAAAGTGTAACAGTTTGCTCCAAACGGATGTATCGCTGCACTGGTAAGGTATGTGCCATGCACCATTCTTCCACAGGCACACCTCTGCGTTGGAGACGTGGGCTTGGAGGGACCCGATGCAGCTCAGCCACCACCAAGTTATGCATTCGGGTGCATGTGCCCAACCGAAGGCCCTGGGCGGATTCCCAGGCGGACACTGATGCGCCATGATGCACCGTTTGATTGGTCGATTACCTGGTATGGTCAGAAAGTCCGGTCCAGCACTGAAGATTGAAAAGGCTCGGTTGGAGGCTGATTCCAGGGCTCTGTTAGATGGGCTGGGCGGCTGGCTGATCCATTGCCACTTCTGTGCCGCATCTGCATTGGTGAATGGGTGACAAAGCCTGTCATTTCATACTCGTTGGCTGGAGGGTCTACTCAAGAGCGCCAAAGGAGAGGAGCACACATGCATGCAAGTGGCAACAGTTTGCCCGTGCTTGATGGCTGGGAGTTGGGTAATTAGAGAGGAGTTAATATTCGAAACCTCGTTGTTCAGTATATCGTGGGGGAGGCAGGGCTAGTTCCGGGAACGTGCCCCAGGGACGGGAAACGACCATACGCTTAAGAGGGCATCATGCCGTCCCATGGCCAGCTGTAGGATGAGTTGCTAGTCTTCCTGCGCTGATGGCATACCCTCCTCGTTGTGTGTGACTATTCCCTAGCATTCATATATATCCGGGGACAGGCCGCTCGGTGCCGCCCGAGTCGCCCATCGATGACCTCCCCGTCCAAGTCTTCCCGGCGTGAGTGAAGCCTGGTTTGTCCGAATGAGTCCAAAACTCTCCTTGTGGCTTCACGGATCTTGTCGCCAAGTTCATCCTCTGACAAAGTAGTTCCGAACATGGGCTTTAGTTCGGCCGCCAGCAGCCGCGGTAATTTATCGTCGACAAACTCTCGCAGCTTGAAATGCTCCACGGGTGGTTCGAAATCTCCTTCACGCTTGCACAAGGGAGGCTGAGGACAGGGCAAGGGAATGTTGAGGGAGGATGGGTATTGCTGGGAGGAGGGAGTCCAACCAACCGGGCACCTCTAGCTACTACCATCTACTGTACTCGTACAAGGAGTCAGCGTCTTGTATAGACGGTATATGCGGTGTGATTGCGGGCGAAGTTAACGCCACCGCCGCCATTAACGGGGCCACGACGCCTGCTGCCCAGCAGCGAATAAGGGACATTCAACCATCTGTGCCACCGACTCCAATCCATTATGCTGGTTGCCGACCAGAACCGTTCATTGTCGTATAAGGATGACCGGAAAACACCGCAGAACAAAGACATCCCCTTTTATCCTTTGCTCCGTCGGCTCCTGCTTACCTACGATACCTCAATGTTCTCCTCAGCACGCAGTCCTCCAATCCGCCCCTCACACAGCGAGAGACTGTACAAGATGATTACCTTAGGTATTGGCCTGGTACTCGAGCATCAGCATCCGCGCCGAGCGTTTGATTAACTCAACCCCGAAGGCTTGCAGATCGCCTGATGTGCCGTATGCAGTGTTGCCGTGTTCCGTGGGATCGGAGACCACTGGGCAGACGTCATGCAAAGTGGTGTGGCCCAATGCTCTGGGGTATTGAACAGCGTGCGGTGTATATCTCCCGTGGGTTGGGAAGGTGGTACAAGTACGGTATATAGGAACAGCACGGCCCGCCCTTCACAACTTCACCCACCAATCGGCTCGACCGGACCACCGCCGAAGTTCCCAGGAGGGAGGGGGCGGCCCGATGAAGAACCACCGCTGGCTTTTGAATAAGAGAGAGGGCTGGCATCCCCTTTGTTTGAAAGTCAGTTGATCCGTGGGTTTGTTGCACAGACCGGAACGAGCCCGACTCCTGAGCCGCTTTGACCATCAACATCCAGCCTTCCCAGGTTCTCAATGAATCTGAAGACGAGATTTGATTTTAAGGTTCCCCTGTCCTTTCTTGTGACAGAACGGGACTGGAAGAGTCGGTATGCGTGTGGCGACTGGTAGAAGAGAGTCCATCTCAGCCTTCATGTTCCCAGGAATCTATCCCCAGCATTCCAAGGTCGTCAATTCGCCGCGGAGATGTGCTGTCTCCCAAGAGGGAAAGAAATGTGTAGATTATGGTCCTCGAGTCAAAACGCGAACGCTCCGAGTCCTCAAGCAGCGGCATCGAACCCATTCAAGTCCATGCCTTGTACATGTATTGCCCCCTCCCTCGGCCTCTTGGCAGCACCAGGAGACGACGTTGACGACGCGGCTGCCGACGCACCGCAACACCAAAAGCCTTGCTTGCCGTATATCCGATAGTGATGACCAACTCTGTGAGGCATTCGGCTGACAAGACGTGTGACCAACGAATAAAGACTCCTGGTTCATCAACTACCTCACTCAGTTGGCCAAGCTGTGAGCTGATACCCTGGGATACATCACCACACGGCGAAGTGAACGCTACCACAGCTCTTCTTCGGTCCAACGACAACCCAGTCTCTGTTCGCGATGTTGTAACAGCATTCACAGATGGCAACATCATACGAGGCTTACGATGTGAAAATGAGTGGCGCCCCCATGGGCTCATAACCTCTGCCGTTGTGTTACTTCCTAACTAGTAGCTGGTCAACCCCTTGCACATTATGCGATCTCGATCCCCTCTCGCCCGCCACGCTTGAGCCTTCTCAACAATTTGATTAACTGCCAACCGTTACATTGTTTTGTCGGAGCAGCATCTCACCGTCTGACAACCTCTCTTTCTCCTTCTCATGAGTCTCTTCAAGTTAAAAGGGGGGCACTCGTCCTCGACATGGACGATTCCCTCTTGCTCCTCAGAGTTCTCGACTTCACCCTTCGACCAACATCCCCAATATCATTACAACCAAACACTTGTTGCTCCTTCAACTTTAACAGCAAACATGCGCTTCTCCACATCGTCTCCGCACTCCTCGGGGCTGCCTCGGCTCTGCCGCACCTCCAGGAGCTCCAGGCCCGGGAGGTGGGCTTGCTCGACAAGCGCCAGTGTGGCTATCTTCCTTGCAGCTGCATTGCCCTGGGCGTGAGTGCTACGGGGTTTCTTCCTAACTTGCAAGAAGGCTAACTTCAGCTTGGTACGTAGTGCTGCTCCGGCAACTGCGGCTTCTGGTGTGTAAGTGTTTCCCTGGTTTATTGATGTAAATCCCTGGCTGTATACTCACAAAGTCCGACACCCAGGACCAATGCGGCGTCGAGTACGCCTGCTGAAGGGTGTCGAACGTGCCTTGTCCAGGCGCACAAGACGAGTGTCCAGGTTTCGGGAAGGGATCGAGAACTGGGGATTGGTAATAAATTGTGGCCAAGAGGTAACAAAGTCTCGAGAAACCACGACAGTCATTATAGAATGCAGTTCACCAAGTTCGTATTCGTAATGATCTTTCTGTATGCTGCCTCACTGAAAGCCCAGGAACGGAAAATGGGCGTAACGGGTGTCAGATACCAGGTAGCTTGTATTGATGTGACGTCTCCCTCATTTCCTCATGATTGGTTTCTAGTTTAGCCATTGGCCTTTCCACTGCCGGTATCTGGGCCGCCTCTGATAACTTGCGTCCCCCTCTCCAACCACAGTGGTGCTAATTCATTAGCCTACATGGTGCCACCCCCCTTTCCAGCCCTACAGATGTTACCTCCCCTCATACCTTGTCCTACGCAAGATTCGAAATCCATCGCCGTGTGCCCCGATGGGCCCGCACAGACTCTGTTGTGGATTCTCTCGCAGAAAGTAAAAAGAGACTGTCTCAAGGGGCTCAACTATCAACCTATGCAGCCAAGAAGCACGGTGACATGGAGGCATGGGAACTACCTGGTAGGAGTTTGTCGTTGCCGGTTGCCAACAAACTCTATAGCCCCTAAAATACATCTATAGCAGATATGGAGTCTACCTCATAGGCACTCAAAGTTCTCACGAACCTTCGCGGCCCTTCTAAGGTCATTGGGGTTAGATTCTTGGAACTGTTGGTCCTGTCCGGCCGGTCAGGAATTATGTGTAATTACCTAGGCACCTGAGCCACCGTGTCACGCATGCGATGATTCTGTTCCATGGCCCGCGAATTGATCAAATCTGGAAGACAGCCGACATCAAGCATCACCGCATCCTTGAACTAGTAATTAGGCCGCGACGAGTCCTAACCCGCGAAGCACCACTTACACGGTGTTTCAAATTTTGCTCACTCAGCCTTTCTACAATATCTCGGGTTCTATCTCTCGCCGCTGGATCGAACAATTTCCAGAAGCACTCGACCTACCTCCGATCCACAGCACCAAGCGGTGATGCGAAGGCCACTCCCCCGGGCCACCACTCAAGGCAGCTGCCCTCCCTCTACCGCCACGGTTTATGGGAATGAACCCACCCGTGCAACTCCCGCCCGGGAGCCACGCTCGCGGCAACTCGATCACTCCAAATCCGGCTTCGAACCGTGGTATTCCCGCTGCTGGCACAGGAACAGCCGCCGTAGTTAACAGCACCGGTGCCGTCAGACTGGGTTCGGCAAACACTACAGCTGCCGCTCCAGCCCTCAGTAAGGGAGGCCCATGGTCCTCCTCGTGGGAGTAGATCCGAAGATACCTGAATAACTCACACTCCTTCATCAGCAGCGAATGCTGCGCCTCTCGCGGCAGCCGACGGTCTGGCATTGAGACAGAACACGGAAACAACGAAGCAGCCGGCAACGAATCCCGCCCCGGTGCCGGCTGTCAGGATGGACATTGTGGTCGAGGCCGAATTCATCCTTGAACCGGTGGAACAATCCGGGTCGCCACAGGACCCGGCGTCGCTCGCAGAGGTCTTGATCGCGGACTACTATCAGCACATGCATGCGCACAGCAAGCACTTGTTTGGCAAGAAACGGGCCGCGGCGTTCCCAAGGCTGTGCGTCAAGGTGTGGGTTCTCCATCCGGTCCCAAATTCGAGTAAGCTATGATTCATGAAGAATGTCGTTGGCTCTTCTTGTCTTCCTTTTGAGCTAGTGTAAGGCAGTTTCCAGTCCACTCTGTCACTTACATCTCGATTGGGCAGACGGGACCACGTCAAGTTGAATCCCCCTCGTTCCTCCACACCGCCGCACACATCCGAGTCCCGGCAAAGAAGCAAAGCACGTGGTCGCCCGAGGAGGATGCGCTGGTCATCGAGCTCCGGGGCAGCGGCATGAAATGGGACGACATCTCGAAGCGTCTTCCCGGGCCGGGCAGGAGCTCCAGCTCCATCAACGGCCGCCTTCATTACCAAAATTGCCCCGAGAGAACGGACGCAGCGAATGGGGCGAGGAGGACCAGAACGAACTTGAACTCGCGAGGCTCTACGAAAGGTGAGCCTTGCTCAGCCTCTGCCATGTTTTTTCTGACGGTTTCCCTCAGGTTCGAAACGGTCGACGAATTCTTCGACTGCGCCATACTGGGGACTGGAAGGGATTATTGGCATGGGGCTGACTGGGCTGGAATGGGGTAGTAGGGAATTATATCTCATTATTTCTCCGACTAAGGTTTGGCCGAAATCCAACTTAAGTAGCTCCGTTGACGGTACCCCAGAATCGATTCCCACACCTCCTCCAAAACCCTGTTATCTAGCAGTGTTGACTGAGGTACCTTACCTAGGTACCTGAGCATTACCTTATGCAAGGACGAAACCAAAGTCAAGGTCCAAGCAGGTCAGGCTCTAGTTTGTTGTTCGGCAGCTCAACAATGGCACTGTATAGTAGGAAAACCCGTCGGGGCCTCGCAGTCAGCAATTGAACGGGCCAAATAAAGTAATCAAGCATGAGAGTGCTGCCAGCGAGGCGGATTGCTCACAGGACGTGAAACCTAAGGCCATACGAGAACTGCGCGTCAATTCCATACAGAAGGTCCTAGGTTCTTTCCTTGTTCAGGGCCTCGATATTCTTTGCTCCCTTCGACTTGCCGGCACCAAGGCCGGCATGGGGAGATTTGTGACGAGAGACGCTCGGCACGGGCGAGCCACGCCTTGGGCGAGTGCTCCAGTTGTCGGGGTTGTTTCTGTTCGGGCCATCAGATCTGGGGGTTCATGTTGCGTATAGTTGAGGCAGACTGCGGGATGTCCAATATAGACGGGAAGCCTGAAGAGTGCCTGGGGTCCGCGGTGAGGGTCGCTGCCAGACTTGGTTTCCCGCCCAGGCATGGAGCTCGGGTTAGGCACTGTCCATGCAGGACCGGCAGGGGTGAAGCCGGCAATACCTGCACTCCCAGATAAACCAGAACGGTCCATGGTGCCAAGGCCTTGTATGTCCACTGGACCAAGGTGTTGTCGGACTTGATCCTCTCAAAGGAGTGGGCACAGTGGGAGTCAGGTGGCTGGCGAGCGCCACTGAGGGGGAAAGGACGGCTGGGAAACCGGGCAACGGGTGCGAGGAAAGACAACAGTCAGGGGTAGGAGAGACGGAATGAAGTGGGAAGATGTTACGACATGTTGAGAGGGACGGGAGATAGGGGTAGAAACAACATCACCTACCCTGTGGACATGGCCGAGGCAGGGTGTCCCGAAGGGAGTGCGGGCGTGCTGTTTAACAACTGTAGGGCAAGCAGGAGAGAAGTATAGAAAGGACCCTGAGACCGGAGAACTCGTGGACAACGAAGGAGAGGAGAAAGACTGATGTTCACACCCAAAGCAAGTCGGAGGGACTCTACAGCAGAGAATCCTTGGGTCACTGAAGCGCAGCCTGGTGCGAGGACGGAGCTGGGAGTAAAGACCGTGGCAACGGCTCCGTCGAGCTGCCCAGCCGCCGTTGGTGATGATGATGGGGCAGTCAGCCACAACCCTGGCTCGCCTGGTCGCCACCACGTCCGGTCTACCTTCCATGTCTCGTACCTGGACATGGGACAGGGCGCTCGGTTTTCCCCGGTTTGCCCGCCAGAAATTTGTCGCCGGTACATGCTAGATGTCGCCCGGTGACAGTGACGGTGCGGCGCTTTAGGCCGGGACGAAGCGGCCTCGAAGCATGGCATCCCCGAGCGACCTGCAAAACGGATTCAGGGGAAGCCGGGGTACCTCCAAAAGCAGTCCGATCGTTGCCGATGGAGGATGTTGACCGCCGCATCGCGGGACAGCCCCGAGCGACTGACGAGCCCGACGCCTCGGAGAACTCGCACGCCCTGCACTAGGTCATGGATAGCTGCTGCCTGATTGGCGAGCTTGTTGAAGCCCAGTGGTGCCAAGAACGTGGGCCAGCGTACAGTACACATAGCCGTGGAGCAAGTGGGCCGGCGCCACCACCACCATCCCACGTCAGGTTGAAGAACAGCGGCTGCAGATCGACGACCCCGTGGGCCGGCATGCAGTCAATCAGGTTCCCGACATGCTCATGAAAGTAGCGCAGGTCTTGATACTGGGCGCGGATTAACTGCTTGCGGAACAGCTCGCGCGAGTGCTTCCAAACGGCACCCTCCTGGGTGAAGATGCCGTTGCCCAGCAGCGGGGCGAAGACGGCCGGACGGCAGCCGAATCCATAGTCGGCAAAATTGGTCGAGAGCAGCGCTTCCACGTTCTTGGGGTGCAGGATGTGGTATGCGCGAGGGCCGATGAGCAGGTACTGGTACAGGTTGTTGCCTGGTTCGTATCTATCGGCGATGGAACAGAGGAAGGCGAGGAGGCGGCCTGCTGCGTTGGACTGCTAGAGCGCCTTGATGCGGTCGATGCTGAGGGGCCAGCGCTTGGGGAGTGCGGGCGGGAGTTGGCAGCCGTGTTTGTGGCCGTAGACGGTGTCGGTCTGTGATGGGTTAAGAGGATGGCCCTGGACGGATCGATGATATTGGATCGCTCACTCACTCGGTACTCCCATGTTTTTTTGAGGATGATGAAAAGCAGGCGGGCAGTGGTCAGGCCCACGACAACAAAGAGTATCGCTTCGACACGCGAGCTATCCGTCAACGCACTGTCGCGGAGCGTCTTGAGGAATGGATGGCCCATTATCTCGACACAAAGGCTTCAGTTGCACTCATCCCTCCTAAGCTCCACATTAATTCGTCCCACCAGTATCAGGTAGGTAAGGTAGATTACCGCTATTCAAGTTGGCCGTTGCCTCATGTACAGTAGTTATGGTACGTACGTTTGGACAGTTCAAGCCTTACGGTTGCATCGCGTCCTTCTGGACTTCTTGATCCCATCAAGTTCTCCTCCCCTTCTTTGCCCAATGGACATTGACATCCTCAAACACTCCTCCCTTCCTCCCTATAAATCATGGGTTAGCCTTGCTTATAAACTAACTAAGTAGGCCGTACATCTAGTCGTGGTACTAGTCGGACACGGTCAAGATAACCTCCTCGTCGTATATGTCCTTGAAGGGTAAGGCTACGAAGGCCGTCGGGGTACTGGCCGTAGATATAGGAATGATACTAGTATGTTCTAGGCTAGTTGACCTAGATGTACGTTAGCACTTCTATATCCAATGAACCAGAGCATAACTCACAGTGAAGTTGTACGTAAAGCGCTCTCCTAGCGGGATAGGACACTACGTTACGGAAACCGGTCCGTCCATATAAGTAGCACCGCGTATAAAGAGGCCGTAAAAGTAAAGTGAAGAAGACTCATTGGCAAGCGAGTTGGGCACGTTGGCAACGAGCTAGTCTCCCACGTTCACGCGTATAGTAGGGATCGGCCACTGTCCGTTGATGCCGATGGTCGGTCGGTCTACCATGCTATCTGGGTTTGCCGTAACCTATATGATGTTGAGGTTGTACATGACAGTGGCAGCCCGCGCAAGGAGGGCATACTAGAGGAGCCATATCAGCCAAGCAGGACGCAGCGGGTGGGAGAGACTATGATGTCGGTGGTGAGCCATATCGAGTCCACGGCTGGTGTTGATGTTGACCTCCGGATCAGCTGCCTCAAACTCTGGGACAGCAAAGCCGGGCAGCCAGAGAGGTGGTACGAGCCTGATCAGCTTCCTAAAAGGTTGCGAGACGAAATATCTTATCAATCAGAATCAGATAATTGCCCGGATCCCAGGCCTATCAGATCCAGGCTCTGAACTGAAGCGGGGATGCCGCGGATGACACAGCCCATCCATGGATGGGTTGAAAACCGAGAAGGCGCACCCTCCAGTATCGCAGTGGCCTTGTCCATCCTCCGCCCCCACGCAGGCAGCCGAGAAGCATTGATGCTCTTCTCACCTTGGGGTGAAGTAGCGTGATGAAGTGGGCAGTGGATTCTCGTCTGAACCCCTATTGATGATCTGCAATGCATAACTGGACTTGGCTACACTTGGCGACCTTGGCGGTGACAGGGTCCATCCTTCAAGCTTGGCACAAGCCAGTGGTCCGAGCATCGTCCGACTTCAACCCACTGGCAGGGTGCACCGAGTCAGCCCTAGATTACCACTGAAGCGTAGTAGGTCAGGTAACAGAGGTGTCGCGGGTGCCGCCAGAACGGAACTCGCTTCCAGAATAGAGCATCGGAGCTAAATATGATGTGGGATGACGGGGGGAAAAGACGTGGATGGCGAGCAAGTGGACGAGACTAGGTAGTGGACAGCGGGGTCTGGTCTGGATGCACAGGGCACCTTCCAACATGAATGGTCGGGAAGGCACCTCAATCTGCATGTGGAATGAAGAAAGCGCGATTTTAACCTTGGATGGCCGGGGTCAGCCCAGTGCAGACGGGGAGTGTCGGGTGACACCACACCGCAGCAGGGACCTTCGTTTCTGATCCACGGGTTTTGCGCCGGATCAGATAATCACTTTCACCATCCCTCTTCCTCACTGACCCCTTCCATACACGTGGACCTCCTTCAAAGACTCAAGACCAAAAAAAAACCGAAACAGCAACAGATAGAAATACCCAACGTCTTCTCACTCCCCATCTTCCTCGTCACCTTCCGCGAGGCCCTCGAGACTGTCATCATCGTCTCCGTCCAACTCACCTTTCTCATGCAGACCATGAGCCATGACAAGGCCCTACACAAGCGGCTAGTCCGCCAGGTATTCATCCATGCCTCCTCCTCCCACCCCCTCCATCCCCCCTTTCCCCATTCCACCACGTTCCACCACCCCAGCACAGCATAACCAACTGGATGTGTGGTATCTACAGGTCTGGCTCGGCACCACCCTAGGCCTCTTCCTCACCCTCCTCATCGCCGCCGCCCTCATCGTGGTATTCTACACGGCCGGCGCCAGCAAGTGGGAGGCGTCGGAGCTGCGGTTCGAGGGAGCTTTCTCGCTGGTGGCGTGTGTCATTATCAGTGTTGTTGGGGCCGCGCTGCTGAGGGTTGGGAGGATGAGGGATGAGTGGTGGGAGAAGTTGAGGGTGGTTATGGAGAAGCGGGATATGGGTGGGAGTGGTGACGGTGGTGATGCTGGGGTGGTGGTGAGGGTGAAGGGAAGGGGAAGAGTGACGAGGGTGGGAGTTGCGGTCCAGAGGTGGATGGAGAGGTATGCCATGTTTGCGCTGCCTTTTATGACGGTGCTGAGGGAGGGGATCGAGGCGGTTGTGTTTATTGCCGGCGTGACCTTCTCGGCGCCGGCGACCGCGGTGCCGTTGGCCGTGGTGGTGGGCCTTGCCGCTGGGGCGGCGGTTGGGTTTGCGTTTTACAAGTGAGTATTCTCAGAGGAACAAACGCTGGATTATGCTGACTGTCCAGGGGCGGTTCAACCACCAAGCTGCAGCTCTTCCTCGTAATCTCGACATGTCTGCTTTACCTCGTCGCCGCCGGGCTCTTCTCGCGGGCCGTGTGGGCCTTTGAGCAGGACGCCTGGCAGACACTCATCGGAAGTGACGCTGCAGAGCTTGGGGAAGGCCTTGGATCGTACGATATCGACAAGTCGGTGTGGCACGTCAACGTGAGTACTCCCCTTGAATACAGGCCCACAGACCCCAGCTGACGGTCACAGTGCTGCAGCCCGACGTACAACGGCGGCAGCGGCTGGGGATTCTTCAATGCCAGCTTTGGCTGGACCAACTCGGCCACGTACGGATCCGTCATCTCGTGCAACCTGTACTGGCTCTGCGTGATCGTCTCGTTCTTGGTCATGAGGTACCGCGAGGTTAAGGGACACTGGCCGTTGGTAAAATCCAAGGGATCTCAGGTGTCGGAGAATACCTTGTGGGCGGAGGACCAGAGTAGTGGGAAGTCTGCGAGTCGGAGAGAGGAGCTTTCCGGGAGCAAGACGGTGGCTCGAGACGAGATCACCGTGGCTGGAGTCTGACAGCCGATGTCTGGTGCGGGCAAGACGAGATTTGATTGTGACCTCTGGATTCAACTGCCCCCCCAGCGCCAAAACGCCTGGTGAAGACTGGAGCCTCCCAAATCCGTGCTGCCTGGATCAGACGCAGCAACAAGTCCACCGATGGCACCGGACATCCGTCCTCTCAGACATCTGAACTCAGCTGGAGCAACACGCAGCCTCCAACCCGCCGGCTTTCGCCGGCTGAAGACAGCTAACAACTCCTGCAGCAGCCCTGGCCAGTGACGTCCACGCCGCATGATTCCATCCCAACCCGTGACCAACATATGACAACGGCCCTCCAGACCGCACTATATGTATTAGGCCCGCATTCCTCCTGCCACCGCAACTCCCCTTCTTCCCCTCCCCCCTCCCAACACCTGCCCGCGCATCCATTCTTCTTCGCAAACCGACACGTTTCCACGCGTCTCAATCCTCTCCCACCGTAAAATGTCCACACCTCCTCCAAAGTGAACCCCGAGACACAACCACCCATGCATCTATCCCATCTTCCCAAACTTTTGAACCACCTCACCTCCACACCTCACTACCCATAACAGGTCACCTCCCAAACTCCACCCACCTCACATCCTCCCTCTCCTCAGCCGTCCAATCCCAACCCCCCGCCGTAAACAGCGCCCTCACCATGCGATCCACCGCCAGCGCGCCTTCATACCTCAACCGCTGATCCGTCGTCATGCCCCGCGTGAACCGAAACACCCTTCCGTCCCCCTCCCCTCCTCCTTTTCCTTCTTCGCCTTGCTGCCGCCGCTGCAGCAAAACCCACGACGTCCCCTCCCGATCTTTAACCCACGCCTGCCTCGACACGGCCACCACCCCCGCCGCCAGCATGGCCTGCACGAACTCGAGCACAGGCAGCACGCGAGCGCGCAGGCCGCAGTTGGTGTGGTGCTTGTCGATTTGGTAGGCGGGGACCTGTTTGAGGGTGGCGATGATGTGCCCTATGTCCGTCGTCTCAGAGTCATGCGTCGGGAATACTGGGTTTGCTGGTGGATGGGACTGAGAGGAGGAGGAGAAATCTCCCAGGAACAACAACCCTCGACCTGAAAGGAACTTGACCATCTCGCCGAGCTGGTAGGAGTCGCAGCTGGCGGAGGGATCGTAGCCTAGCTTGCACTGCCGCGTGCGAGAGGTGTAGAGGGAGAGGAAGCGCCGCTGGATGGAGGCGATGGTGTGCAGGATGCATTCGCGGCGGTGGTGCAGTTCGGTTTCGAGGTCGTCGGGTAAGTCCCACCATGCTGCTGTCATGCCACTGGCGCTGTCATCATCGTCGTCAACGGCGGCGCTCCAGCGCCGCGAGCCGTACATGATCAGCTCGCGCGTGGCGGCCTGCAGCTTGGGCGGCTGGTCGAGCAGCCAGGCGACGAGGATCTTTTGGCGGAGGGTTTCCTCTGCTGCGCGGCTGAGGACTGGACCGTCGTCTCGGGATAGACGGGTCTATATGGCCGGCCACTTGTACTTTAAGACACTCACATACTTGGAGACGGTGGTTGTGCAGTCGAACCGGTCGGCGAGCACGGCCAGGACTGCGAGAGCGTGCATCGTCAGGGCCTTGGCGGTGGACTGCTTTCTGTACAGGATCCGCAGGAGGTCCTCGAAAGGAGAGTCCTAGCCTACTAACTAGGTTGCCTCGTCGTCTTCGTGGACTTTTACCAGGGGGAGGTCTGCGGCCCTTGCCTCTGCCGGCTTCACATTTTGGAGGGACAGTTTCTGGAAGGCCGCCTCGATAGACCGGGCTTCGGCGAACCGCGTGTCACTGAGCAGGTTGTCAAAGTACCGCGAGTTCCTGGGGTGCAGAGATGTCCGCAGATAAGGCATGGCTCTGCGTCAGGGAGAAACCACTTGTGGACGTCCCGAGCGTGCGTCAGCCGTTCCCAGATGCTTATGGGCTTGACGCCAACTCGGCCCTCACAAGTGCAGAAGCTACAGGCGCGGAGGCCCTCCCTACGATACCGAGGAACCCCGGTCCGGTTCATATGTGTGCGGAGAGTCCTCGTAGACGTTATAGGTGCCTCGCAAAGAAGATAGCTCAATGGCAAGTTTGACGGACAATCCGGAGGGCTAGCACCTGGATTGAGCCTTGGTGTATGGATCAGGCCATGGGTATGCTCGAGGTGATTGTACTACTCCGCCGGGCCGTAGAAAACGGTCTCTGCCGGGTTGTGGAAGATGACTTCTGCCGCCCTAGCGTGCTTGTACTCGCGACAAGCCAAAGGTCCGTCGAACGTACCGTCGACAAGATAGGTCTCTCGAAAGTGCCGTGTAAGGGAGGAGCGATTTCCGAAGCCTTTGGAGCAGACGAAACAGCAGGAGTCCCGTTGGGCCTTGGAAGCAGCTGCTACTGTCTTTCAAACCTGCCGCGGAACGCTGGGTGTGATAGATGACAGGTACTATAGCTATGTATTAATATACCGCTCTGATACGCTTTTGTCGACCGTTAACGACTCGTACTTGCCTCGCAAAGTCAGGCGCGCTAGAAGGTCGGCTATAGGAGCCGCCCTACTAGGACCCCCGGCGCTGTGCGTTGGCTCCGGCTCAATACCGTAGAGACGCAAACGGTCTACCTCCTTGAAGTAGGCCTGCCGATCTGCTTCAAGCTACAGCCTGGTGCAAGCCTCGATGGTGCTGTTGATTTGGGAGTAGAGCCTTTTCTTCTTACTCTAGTTGGTTAAAGCCTAGATCTGGGCGCGGAACTCGGCGATATCTTTCCGTTCTTGGAACTTCGCAACCCGTTCTTTCGACACCGAGATAGGGGCGCCCTTATCCCGGGTAAGAGTTATACTACGGAGGTTGCTAAAGAAGTCTTCATCCCGGCGTACTACGTTAGGCCTAAACGCTAATCCGTGGAGATCTTATAACGCCCATTTGGTAGTGGTTTTCGAAAACAGCCCCTAAATAACTCATTATATAGTTTCGTAGGGCGCTTGATAGGCTTTTTATAATATATTCTAACGTACATTATCAGCGAGTCGTACATATCAGCGAGTCGTACATATCAGCGAGTCGTATACTCTCCCCTACCCCTACAACAACTATTCCCATTTGCAACATACCAACACTAGCAACCAACTATAATTACATCAGAAATAGATGAATCAGATGATTCTGCAACCTTCTGGCAAGTACGTACGTTATGGCCAGGCTTGCCGCACACACCACAGCACCGAACCTTCGTACGAGCCCCCCCTGCACCACTACCATCCGGCTGCGTTTCTTATACCACCTGTCATGAATTAACCTGCAGAGGTCGGTGGGGCCGACCTGCATAGTCCGCGGGCGGCGCCCGCATCCAATCATTCCGGTCCAGGAACGGACCAATCAGAAAAGGATCACGCTTGGCATAGGGAAGGCTTGGTGATCCAACTATAAGGCTTGCAGAGGATCACCAGTGATCCAAGGTAATCTAGTATAAGGGATTACCAGTGATCCAAGGTGATATAGTACGAGGGATCACTAGAGACAAGCAGTGATCCTTGGGAAGCCCGTAGTATATAGGCTAGCTAGTCATTCGTTCTGGAGGAATCGGGAAGTTCTCTATTGAGCAATTCAAGCAGTAGCCTTCACCTACTGTGTAGACATTGCAACTTGTATTGTTGTGAACCTTTTGGCTTCACCGAGACCTATAGTCCGACTAGCAGATACCTTCGACTGGCGAACCCTTTCAGAGACAGGACTACCTGTGGTTTCGTCACACTAAAGCACTATCTAGGAAATCTTAAAGGAGCATATTAACGCTTTCCTCATCTGCCATAACAAAGCACACCGATTATTATACCATTATACTAAGCCAAGGAGTACGTAATATATAATATAATATATAGGGAGCAGAAGGAAAAGTGAAGTAAAAAGAGGAAAGGACAAATTTCCGGAGGTTAGAAGAGAAGGGAGGCTACAGTAGTATGAGCGAGCTAGGCCACCAGCACCGGCTGCTCAAGGGTCGGACGTAGTTGGGTTGTATCCCAGCCGGGACGGGATCCTGGCGCCTGATATACGCCGCCATCGCGAATGTGGCCGGACGCGTCCTGGAGAAACTCGATGGGGTGTGAACGAAGTAGGATGGGCGATGCCTTCCGGCCTCCGTCGCCGGCGCCGTTTGTGGTTGTTACGGAGCCGGCCGTGAACTGGGAACGCGAACGGGATATCGTCCGGCAAAACATCGGAAAAGCGTTGGGCCTGCTAAGTCATCAATAATAGCCGTGCAGACAGCCGGCAGTTTGCTAGTGTAAATTGCTCGGCACGTCCCTATGTGCTAAGACAATAGTTCTCTCGTTCTTCCACCAACCATAGAGTAGTGCTATGATGCCGGCGAAGAAAACACACCTGATCCTGGCTTATCGGGGCTGCTAGACTCTAGTAGCCCATACTCCGTTTGCAACGAGCAATCGGAATCGGCTGCTTTTATGGATGGGAAGGTACTAGTAGTGGTCGAGTTGGAGAAGCTCCAAGAGAAATTATATGGCTTCTATATCCCTAAACAGGTAATCTATATGTATTCTACTTGGCTCAATATCTATATTCTAAGACTCGGACTGCTTAGATCCAAGCTAACAGCCATGCATCCGCAGCCGACGGTCCCGGACTAGTTGTAATTGAGCACAGCCCACAAAAGCTCCATCGGAGACGCGCCATGATGCAATCCAAGCATTGCAGCCAACAGCATGCTGTAGACCAATCACTAATGTTCCTCCTCTATCCCCACACGATAGCTAATCTTCAGTGTACAACTCAATCAATAGATTATCTTTGTATGTACTGTTCTCAAGCCCTCAGCTTCTATCTATCGCCCACACCCGGCCTCAACTCGACTCGACCCACCCCACAATCCCGCTTCCCACAAGCAGGATAGCACTAGTCATGGCAGCACCACACCACGTCCTTCTCCTAGGCGGCCACGGCAAGGTGGCCCAGCTGCTCACGCCGCTGCTGCTGCGGCGCGCCTGGGACGTGACCAGCGTGATTCGCAGCGCCGAGCAGGTGCCCGCCGTGCAGCGGCTGGATGATGCCGCTGTAGGCAACGACGGAAATAACGGACAAAAAGTATCGGTCGGCAAGCTGAATGTGCTGGTGCGCAGTCTGGAGGAGGTCAAGAGCGAGGGGGATGCGAAGAGGGTTTTGGAGGAGACCGGGGCGGATTACATTGTTTGGAGTGCCGGTGAGAGTTTACTAATATCTTGAAAGTCTCTCAATTCTGTTTTCTGCAAGGAGAAAAGCCGGCTGATATGTACGATTCATGAAATCAGGGGCTGGTGGAAAGGGCGGCCCCGAACGGGTATGTCCACCGGCATCTCCCCTACTTCTCCTGCTTCTCATCGCATATACACTGCTATTGACGAGATGAGCACAAACTAGACATATGCCATCGATCGCGACGCAGCAATCCACTTTATCCGCGCTGCCGCATCCACCCCGACCGTGACCCGCTTCCTGATGATCTCGTACCTCGCCTCGCGCCGCTCCAAGCCGGCCTGGTGGTCGGACGAGGCCTGGCGCGCCGCCGAGGAGGTCAACACCAAGGTTCTGCCGCACTACTACGCCGCCAAGCTGGCCGCCGACGAGGTTCTGTATGCGGTGTCCAAGGAGCGGAGCGGCTTCGTCGGTATCAACCTCCGCCCGGGCTCCCTTACGCTCGACCCGGCGGGTAAGGTCGAGTTGGGGAAGACGAAGCATTCGAGGGGGAATGTCAGCCGCGAGAGCGTGGCGAAGGTGGCGGATTTGTTGTTGGCGAGCGAGGGCGTGAAGAGTGCGTGGGTGGATTTGTTGGATGGGGAGGAGGACATGGAGCAAGCGGTGCAAAGGGTTGTCGCGGAGGGGGTGGATGCTGCTGAGGGGGAGGCCATTTTCTAGAGGTATTATGTTGGATTGAACGGCAGATACTATGCACGTGTCTTGGTACTTCTGTTTTGCTCATGTCTGGAGCCTCGGGATCCTGAAACCTCTGAGATTACCTAGAGGTAGTATGTATACTACTGCAAGTACTCTCCGACACGAGGACAGAGGCAAGAGTCACCAGACAGAGGCGCGGACGACTTGCGCAGACAACTGCACAGTGTATTGGTTGTTTTGAAATGTTCATCGAATTCATCTAAACAGTCATCCTCGAGTCTTTATCCATAACATGTGGTAGTCCACTCTGAGAAGAAAGAAGATACCATATACCACAGGAGGTGGAGGAGCCCCACTCTGTGTCGGTAGGTGTGCCATACGCAGCCCGAGAGAAACAGGGGCCATCAACTTCCTGATGATTTTCGATGCGAGTAAGTCAGGTTGAGAGATCTGCGATAACATCAACATGCATTGGATTGGAGCTCAGCGTTTGGTCGAGCAGTCGGTCCGGGTAGCGCGGCTGTTGGTTGTTCAAGGCTCCAAGCGGGGGCCGGCAGGATGTTGCAGCGGGAAGAGAGAAATTCTGCAACTCCGCGGGATTTCCCGCTTGGGCTGAACATGGACGGGGATATCGATCCACAGTGATGCTTAAGGTTAACGTTATCTTGCGGGCGGCTCCTTCCCTAATAATAAGGCCTGAACTGCCCGACGCTGACTGCGCAGGAGACACAACCCTGGGAGCCTTAGGACCCCCACGCGGTGAACACTCCTCCTTACAGGTGCTCCCGAGTCCCAACCCAAAACTCATACGTGCAGCAGTACTTTTGGCCGAACCGGGCATGCGGAGAGCCCTCACTGCTACCCCACCATGAACCCGGCGAAAACGGTCAACGGCCCGCTGTTCGTTGGTCGCACCTCTTCGTGTTCGATTTCGGGGGCTGAATGTTATACTCTCTCTGGACTCGCGCTCCTTCCTTTACTTTTCTGAACCTCCCCGCTGAACGCCTCAGCCGGCAACGACAACGGCAGGGGAGTATCTTATCCGTAAGAGTTTGCCTGATTCGGCGACCGCAGCTGCTGTGTTCTCCTGCAACCCATGCGGATGGGACGGCGATGCAGCGGTACACAATACGGCGTGGAAATGAGCGTGGGGGCATCCCGCCGCTCGGGCGCGCCTGGGCAGAGTCTGGGGAAAGCGCAGGGCGTGTAGAAGTCGCGGCCCCTCTTCATGCGTTTCCCATGCCGGTTCGGCTTACGGAATTATTGAACTCGACACCGAACCCCCCTTCCCAATCATGCTTCCAGGCAGGCTCTCAAGAGCAGCGCCAATGTCCTTCTTCTGGTGCGGATAGGGCGGGTGACCGCGATCTGAGCAGCAACTCGCTCCTTCACAGTCCACATGGAAATCCCATGTTCCATTTCCGAATGAGCCCAGACTCCCGCGAAGGCGGCACGGCAAGAGCACGAGACATCGCATCACCTAGAATCCATGGAGACGCAACAGGCGCCGCAGCCCCAGACCCGGGCTGCTGGGCCCGGCACATACAAGCGCGCGAGCCGCAAAGGTGCACCGCGCCGCTTTGCTTGCGACTACCCAGGCTGTGAGAAGCTCTACTCGAGGGCTGAACATCTCCAACGACACCAGTTGAACCGTGCGATCATCCACTATCCACGCCATCCGCTACTCTCTCTCGCCCGCGTTTGAGCATGCCTAACGAAGCTGATCTCCGTCCAGATGCGCCAAAGGAGATCTATCGCTGCGACGTTGCTGGGGTATGAGCCTTCAGTCTTCTTCGAGCCACGGTGCCTTCGTCTCCCGGGCTTGTCCCACCGTGAGCGTAGCCTTGTGAGCGAGGCCTGCTGACACGCCTATTAGTGCGAACAGAAGTTTGTGCGTGCGGACCTTTTAGCTCGCCATCGCAAGCGGCATTCGGCCTCATATGTCCCTCGAAACCGGTTGCCGAGTTTCAGTACTACGACGGAGTCTTCACCCACGGCCACGGCGATATCACCTGTTGCTGGCAACGAAGCTCGCCCAACCCTCGCACGGGTCCCGCATGACGCCGCGATCCTGCTAGTGCCAGAGACGCGTACCCAGCCACCCGTGTCCCTGCCGCATCCTGCCCCGAACCCGGACCCCAGGATGTCGCACCACCCGGGCTGGCATCATCCTCCGATGCCCAACATCGGGCCCTGCAACGCCATCCGCCCTAAACATGGGTACTACCCGCGCGAGGATCATCAGCGGGTTCCGGAACAGCACGCACCCGTGGCCTACGCCACCGCCGAGTTTCAGCACGACGAGATGTCTCGCGAGTCCTTTGGCATGTGGTTGTTCGATCCGCACGCGCGGTATCCTGAGTTTAGCGTCTCCCACTTGCCCTTCATGGACGGCGGCCTCGAGTCGACACTCAACAATAACATCCACTACGACTACGAGTCCCTGACGAGCGGCCGGTCCCAGTTGGATACGCCCACCCGGTTTGCCGAGACGGACGAGCTCATCTCGGAGTTCCGGCGGCGGGAGATCCTCCGATGGTTCCAGGCCTTCCGCGAGAAGCAGCCCAAAGCCCAACCCCTCGTCGCGAACTTGGTGCACGACAGCAGCGGAGACATCGCGGACCTGAACGTCGAGATGATGCGTGACTGTCTGCAGGAGTACTGGGACCGGGTGTCGCCCAGGCTCCCCATCGTCCACCAGCCAACCTTCTCGTGCAACCGATGTTCAATTTTCCTTCTCATGGTCATGGTGGCCCTGGGTGCTGTCTCACTGCGCACAAGGGACTCGACCGGAAATCTCGCCGACTATGGAGGCTTTGCAGACGTGATTATCTTGGGCGTTAGATTGGAGATCCTGACCGCCGAGGAGGCACAGCCCCCAGTATCTCTCTGGGTGTCGCAGGCCCTCCTGTTACTGGAGTTCTATGAGAAGATGTACTCGTCTCGACGACTTCACGAGCGAGCCAACATCTACCATACCGTGACGCTCACCCTACTTCGGCGAGGCAGCCCGCTCATTGGCCGCTCCGGAAGCGAGTCGCCGCCCGAGGTACCGTCAGCTGAGCATCCGCAGGGGGTATCGCTCGATTCCCACACGTGGTGGTGTCGATGGGCCGAGACGGAAGCCATTCACCGCGTCGTGTTTGCCGCTTTCATGATGGACATCATCCACGCGGCCATGTTCGGACACGCAGCGGATATGGCGCCTTACGAGATCCGACTGCCGCTTCCCTGCGACGACAACATGTGGACAGCCTCGAATCCGGAGACCGTGCGGCAGCTGGACCAGAACCTCCGCATGTATGGCATCAGACCGATATCGTTCCTCGACGGGCTGAAGCGTGCTCTGCATGGCAAGGAAGTCAAGACTCACTCGTTCGGGCGCATGATCATCATGTCTGGGCTCCTGAGTATTGGCTGGCATCTGAGCCACAGGGAGACACACCTCAAGTGGCTCGACCTGACCACGCCATCCACCGAGATGCACGAGGCGTGGAAGAAGATGCTCTTGAGCGCCTTCGATGACTGGAAGCACAGCTTTGACGCTGCGCAAGGTGCAGCGGGGAATAATCCGAGCCTTGGGGACGGGCCCGGCTCGAACGGACCAGTCCACAGCGCGGCGGTCATCTATCACCTGGCGCACATCAGCTTGCACGTCGATATTATCGACTGCCAGGTGTACGCCGGCGCGAAACGCTTGCTGGGCAGAAAGATCTCGGTACGGGACCAAGCCAACGTTGTCGCGCGGATGCCGGGGTGGGCCTCGCTGCCATCGACGCGCCACGCCGTCCTGCACGCCTTCAGGCTGCTCCATCGGGTCCTGGTCGATCCCCGACGGAGCGCAAGTGCCGGCGACCGCGAGCGCCTGGAGATCGGGCCGGGCGTAGTCAGCCTCCCCCCCATCGAGGTTCACCAGTCCTACTCGTGCCGCACCGAGCCCGACCCGCACCGGCCCTGGGTCATGTACTACGCCGCGCTGAGCATCTGGTCCTTTGTGCAGGCCATCAACAACCGGCCGGACTCGTTGCAGGAACCACCACCACCACCCGTTAGCCACTACTCGGCTGCCGGTCCGTTCCGGCCGGCCAAGCTTTCTCTGCCCCATGTAAACTATCGGCGCGTGGCGGCCTACCTCTCCAACATTGCCAACCTGCCAGAGCTGACCGAGAAGGTTGCGCTGAGCCTGGGCGACGGCCTGCCGGACTTGTTGGACGCTCTGCGGTCTGTCTTTGCTGAGGCGGATTCTGAGCTGCTGCAGGAGGCGCAGGAGAGGCTGAGGGTGTGTAAGGAGATGCTGAGCGCAGCGGCGGGGTGAAGTGTCGTGGGTCGATTGTGCACCGGCTTTGAGTGCATCGGCTCAACATTTGGGAACATAAGCAGTCCGCTTTCTGCGGATGTCGGAAACCCCGTAGCCCCCACCGTGCGTTGTTATGCTATGCAATCACATCGACGAATACGGATCATAGCTAACCTAACCGCCCAGTTAGCTGGCTGTTTCCGACCCTATCTCCAACGACGGCAGTGTGCGGTTCGACACGTCCGCGTCAGTACAACCGAGTTACAGGCCCTCACAGCTTGAAGTATCCCTTCCACAGCCTCTTCAAGTGGCCCTTCGGATCGTATTTCCTAGCCACACTCCTCAACCTGGCCTGGTTCTGCGCCCCGTAACCAGCATACACATCCTGCGTTTTCCCCGCATAGTTCATGTATATGTACCCGTTTTTGGACCTCGCTCCACGCACCGCAGCGAGCACATCGACGTTTTCAACGAGCTCCCGGCAGCTGCTCTCGACAACCTCGTCCAGCACCGAGCTCGTCCAGGTAGTCGCCAACTGCACCATCATGATCGGCCCGTCCTCAGGCTTCAAGCCCAGCGCATTGCCCCCGTTGACCTGCATTGCCTGCAGGATGTTGGACGAGATGGCCTGGTAGACGAGGTAGGGAGACACGGAGGAATTGTCGGCGGCGGCAGCGGCAGCGAGGAGGCGAGCCACATGTGCCTCGAACAGCGGGACGATGTCCAACAGCAGATTGGGAGTTGCCGTGGCGGCGACCGTCGTGTCCCACCATGTCTGGCGGTCGCCCACCGGCTGCTCAATGTCGCGCAAGAGGCGCGACGTGTTGGCCAGGCGGGTGTTGTTCGACAGCTTGGGGATTGCCGCGTCGTGGAAGGGGGAGAACACAGCTGGCGGGGAGGCGACGTCTAGGTGCGTGGCATGGAACTGGTCGGTTAGCACCACATATCCGCCCAGCAGGGGGGTGTAGGTCATGACGAAATAGGTGTGCGCGGCCGGATCCGACGGCAGTCCCTTGACGAGCAGCTCGTGCAGCAGCGGGATGAGCGTGCGGGTTGCCGCGCCGGGGTAGATGAGCGAGCTCGCCCACAGATCGCCGTGCTCGAACGAGACCAGGTCAAACCTGGTAACGACCCCGAAATTCGACCCTCCCCCGCCGCGAAGCGCCCAGTACAGATCGCTGTTCTTCCCCCCGAGCGATGCCTCCACCACCTCGCCCGACGCAAGCACTACCTGGTAGCGCCGCACATTGTCGCACGCCCAGCCGTAGGTACCCGAAAAGTACGAGATGCCGCCGCCCAGCACCAGACCGCTGACGCCCACCGTTGCGCTCCGCCCGCCCACCACCGCCAGGCCGAGCGGGTCCAGGGTCTCGGACACGTTGATCCACCGGTTGCCGGCGCCCACCGAGACGGTCCGGCGGTCGGCGGACACGGCGATGGTGTTGAGCCCTGCCAAGTCGATGGTCACGCCGCCCTGAATGTTGGAACCGCCCCGGAAGGCGGTGTGCCCCCCGGCTTTGACGGTGAAGGGCGCTTGCTGGCGGGTGAGGATCTTGAGTGCTGTCGCGACGTCCTCGGCCGTGTGGGGGCTCACGAAGCAAGCTGGGTGTACCTCGCTTTGGTGCGCGGACCAGTAGAGGTTGTGGGCGGCGTAGGCGGTGGTGTCGTTGGGGAAGGTTACCTTTTGCGGGAGGGCTGTGGCGAGGATTGAGCACTGAAATGAAGGTCAGCCCAGGTAAAATCAGGGAGACGACAGAAAGGTAGAGATCGCGGGATAGGCTTCTCACTGCTTTTGCGCAGATCAAGTTGTCCGTGCTGCCAGTTGCGGAGGCGGCTGCTGGGAGCAGCGATGCGAGGAATATAGGCCACTGTCGAGTCATTTTGGTCTGCTAGATCTCTGTATTATTACTAGTAGTTTACGGCGTACGGGCCTGGAAGTTTGGAAGCAAGCTGCTATCAGGAAATGGAAGTGCCATTGCAAGAGGGATGTAGTCGAGATATACACTATGCCGATCGTTCATACCACCGGAACTCGGGTCATCCATGTTGTTCCGCTCCCGTCGGCATTATACAGTAGGTAGCACCAGACACCAGAAGTCTGGGGTCGCCCGCCTGTTCCATCCCTTCTCACACTTGGCCAGGGCAGCAAATACCTAGAGGTAAGCCAGCCTTGTGTAGCTGGGGCTTGCAGCCCAAATGGCCGCGCCACCAATCGCAAACCGGGAACGGAACAGGAGGGTACACGGGAGCTGGCCGATCCGTCGCTAGCGCTGACGGCGTGCAATAGGGAATTCTGGGGGAACCCGACCAATATCCCATGCAGCGGACTTGCGCAAGCCTGGCTGAGAGAGAGCCTAGATCTAATGAGTGGATGGATCGGCAGAACTACGGAACACAAGCAATTTCGATGTAACCCGGGCCCAACTGGTGGTCCAGATGTCCAGATAACCCTATCGTCTGTGTGTCAGCCGTGCGTGTATTTTGTAAAGCATCGCAGGTGTTCAGTCATCCATTTGGATTGCCATCTCACAGGTTATATCACTGAGTATATATATATGCATTTGTATGTGATGAGCTCAGCCTGCTGAACTCAAGCTGCAACACTTGAAATCGACCGCTTAAGCCATTCATATATAATATATACCAAATAGCTGGCTCTTTTACCTTTAAACCCAGATCCGAGGATTCCTAGTTACCTAGTATACCTTACCCAACATTGGTAATCAGATCTCATGGTCCAGCTGCAGTCGGTGTCTTTATCCTCGTCACAGCGGCTGGTTCACGGAACATACAAAGTTGTAGATATATCGACAGATCATCTAATACAGTAATAAATAATCATAGTTCTAAGGTCTCTATTCAGATTCTGACACGCTATTTCGTACAGAACAGCTGGCAGGACGCACCAACCTGATACCAGCAACAACACAAGGTATAAATAAAGAGAATGAGTGAGGGCACAACATCGGCTCTCAGCGCCTCCGAAAACCCCCAATAGCGGTGCTGTAATACCCATCCGCGCCCCTCCCACGACCGCGGGGGAGGAGGGTGCCACGAAACGCCTCCACCACCACCTCCTCCTCCTCCTCCTGAACATCCATCTCCTGATACCTCTGCAACTCGCTCACATCCCTCTCCCCCCTCACATACCCCACCAACAGCCTCAGCCACGCCCTGGCCTTAAGACTGGCCGGGCGATCCAGCAGCGTGTGCACGGTATCCCACCACACCCTGCCGTGATCCGCGTACGGGATGGTGTCCCGCTGCAGCCGACTTAAAAAGTACTTCCAGTCGCCATCGATCTTACTGCACCCGTGCGTGATGCGCGCGTGCTGGAACCAGGCCGGCCAGTAACCGGCGCTCTCCCAGTCAATGATGGCGCTGACGACGGCGCGCCTCCGGCCCCCGCCGCGAAGAAAGTCGACCATGACGTTCCCCACGTACAGGTCGCAGTGCGTGAACTGCAGCTGCCCCGCGCAGGGCGGCATGGTGCGGCGCAGGAGGCGGATCACGTCCGGCGCGACGCGGGCGTGCTGCAGCGCGGGGAGGAACTCGCGCGCGAAGATGTCGTCGTCGGTGCGCCACGTGCCGCTGAGGAAGCCCCTCGCGCCCTGCGGAAAGGGGCGGGGCACGAAGAGGTTGTTGGGTAGCCGGTGGCCGGACACGGAGCGCATGTGGCTCGCGGTGAAGCGGCGCAGCTCGGCCATGTATTCCACGACCTGCTCGGCCAGGTCCAGCTTGTCGTCGATGGTCAGGCGCGGCCAGCAGTCGGCCAGCGTCTGGCCCGCGATGCGGCCCTCGAGCAGGTAGTGCCACCGCCCGTTCTCGGACCGCCACTCGCCGTACACGAACGGCACGGGCACGCTGGTCTGCGCGGACACGAACCGGTGCGTCACCGCCTCCGAGTTGGTCCCGTGGCTCGTGGTCGGCGTGCGCTTGAGGATGTACTCGTCGCGGATCTTCCACACCCGCCGCTCGCCCGCCTGGTAGATCAGCGACGCGCCGTCAAAGCTAAACCACGCGGGCGGGCCCGTGGGGAGTTGGGGGTTATTGGAAGACATGGTCGAGGTGAGGGAACGAAGTGTGATCACCGTGTTATCTCTCAGGTAAGTCCCGAGGGAGCAGTGCGGGAGGGATGATGCAGGTCTGAGATGGGAAGAAAGAGCAGTTGCAATGCGAATTTGCTTTCCTGAGACAGATTGCTTTAAATAATTGACTTTGAACTTCATCACGGTTCTAGACAAGACAGATACAACTAGAATGTTGATGCCGTGTCCCGGCCAGTTATGCCTTTGTTGCAGTCGACAACACCATTACGGTCCTTGACTAGGGGTCAACAAAAGATGTAAACAAAGTCATGGTGTGGCCCGGGCCATTCTTTTTGCGACACTGTTCATTGCAGCAATTCAGTTCCAAACCCGATCAATGATCTTGTATCGTACATGTAGCTTAAGAGGCTATTCATACAGATGACTCGGGCTCTGGCAGCGCGTCATCTCAGCGAGAAGTTGGAAAGGGATTGTGCGAGGCGGTAAGGGAGCAGCCAGGATCGCTGTCAGTCGTTGCGCGGAAGCGAGGGTGGCTCCATGAGAACCCCGAGAAGTCTGGACTGTTATCGAATGGCTTCTGGTCGATTGGTTGGGTCTTTGAAGGCGGCAAAGGGGGGAGGTCGAACAAGCAGCCGGGCAGCAAGCCGTCAGATGATACGTTCATACGCCTTCCGTAGGTAGCTAGACGGCGGGGAGAAGAATTGAGCAGGCTGTGATATTCGATGCTGTGTATTACTGCAATTCGGTTGAGCTGAAGTTCAGGATGGCAAGGACGGTGCTGGTGCCTAAGAAGGCATAAGTTCTCTGGGGCCGGTTGCTCGTCTATATCTCGCTCATGGGAGTCGTTCCTCGACATTCCCGGGTGCCTCGTTTGCTTGTGCGTTTCACGCTCGGCGTTGCCGCAGAAAGAGGATTCTTGGGCCCGGTCCCCTTGTCACGAATGTCTCGTTGTCCTCGTCCTACGGATACTATTGTATGATTCAACATCAACTGGAGCCAATCAATGAGACAGTATTATTTCGCTGCGCTAGAGACTCCTTTGTTCAACTCTTTTGAATGCCAATAGGCAACAAAGTATGTCTCACAATGCATCTTACTCTTTTGTTCACCAATTCAGCGCTCGCTACCAACCACACTCACACTGTGAGTTTGTTACAAATGCCGACTGTGCGCATGATGAGCTGCACTCAAACCCGCCGATCTGACACTGATTGTAGTGCTACTCCTTGATTTCCTTCTTGTGAAACAGACCTGCCAATATACGACGGTTAGAACCTCGATCGATTACATGTTTCCGTCTCCGCCAGTCTCGCAGCCATACCTGGTATCTCGGGCATCCACGCGGGCCTGTTCTTGCAGAAAAACTCCCCCTTGGGTGGTATCTTTTCCGGCTCATCCAGCGATCCCCTGAGCCAACAACAATATCAGCCACCATCGTCTGATTCCAGGTGGGATCTCGGGAGGGTAATGCGACATACCACATGATGTAGCGGAACTTGTCGGCCGCCTCTTCCTGCATGGCGTGAGTAAGCCCCATCAATCAGCATCAACCAACACCGTAATCGTACCACGACAAAAAACGCCAGGTAATTAAGTAGGAATTGAGATAGATTGTCATGCACGCACCCCATATTCGCAGATATACGCGCCGCAGCTATCGCAAAACTCCCTCGTCACCCCGTTCTTCTGCTTGTACGTCTTCGGGCAGCCGCTCTCGTACTTGAACGCCTGGACGGGCACCTTCGCGGTCAGGCCGTAGTTGGTGCCGAAGGCGCGCCGGCAGCTGCGGCAGTGGCAGAGCGTGGTGCGGGCGTCGTCGGGCGTGTCGAGCTGCAGCGAGTACTGCAGCTTCTCGCAGACGCACCGTCCTTGCATGTGGATGGCCATGGCGTCGCGTTGGCGTCTTTGTAATGACAATGAGTGTCGGAGAAGGGCCGCTGATGTGAATTGTGGTCGTCTTGTTATTGTGGAGAACAATAGTAGTGAAGTAGTGAGTCGAAACGGGCGTGGTGTGAGCATGCTCGAGTATGCTAAGGTGTTGGTTCTAACTTGGCCTACTATGGGCAATGCTTTTTTCAAGAGTTCTCAAAGTGTTTGTATCCCCGGTCTTGAAAGCATGGGGGCGCATGTGATGGCGTTGTGGTGCAGTGACGTCAACACCAGGACCGGGCCAAGGTTGGGAGGAAGTACAGTACCTAACCTAATAACCCGCTCAAGGCACAATTGGTCTCATAATAAGGATATACATACGCCTTGATATAAAACGTCACTTCGGAACACTTCCAATTGCTTTTCTTTGATGACGCGACGCGGTCTGCTTCCAAATCCGGTCCTAGAGCTCCTGAAATCTGGTGGTCTCTCGTGGTCTATCATGACGCTTTTGGGGATTGAGAGAGCTGACTTCAAGACAATTCCCATTGAAAGGGGCGCCCTCTGAAAGTTCGCTACTTTTCGTACTCATCGCCATCCGGGTAAAAGAAAAGCTGACAATAGGCATTGAATAACACAATAACACGGCAAAAGAAATGCCCAGTAACAGGATTGAACTGTTGACCTTCGCATACCATATACAAGTGGAACCGGTATTAGTACGACGCTCTAACCAGCTGAGCTAACCGGGCGACTGGTGAAAGACGTCAGCGACGTATTGCCTATGTGAGGGTCAGCGACCAGCACAGACAGTACGGGAACAAGAGTTTGTTGTTTGGGACCCTGTTATTCGTCCATTGAGCATCCATATGTGATCCAAGCCGCGCTGGTCAAGGATCAACGGCGGATTCAGCGCGCATCAACTCAGCGGAAGGAACAACCGACGAAGCGTCCAACATCCTCAGGCTCCTCCAGCTTGCGGGCTTGCGGCTGGCTCGAAATGGTGACAGAACAATCCCCGAGGCCCGACACTGCGAGTCTGCGACCCCGTCGATACGACGTCGGGTAGTAAGCGACAATGCCTTCCAGGCTGATAATGCTGTGTGCAAGAAGATAAGGTGGGTTTCGGCATTCCAACTCGGCCATTGACGTACGCGGGGTCTTAGTAAGGACTAAGGAAGTCTAGATGCATGACGCAGCTCTGCATATTGGTATGCAACGGTGGACCAGGCGGGTTGCGGCCGTGACGTGGTGATGACGGCACTACCGTAGCGTTATCGCTCGTCTTCGGCAGCAACCGAGTAACACGCCGATCGTAACTGCCGAGAATGATCTTTGAATTAGTAGCAGTACAAACTGCTGGGAAACCATCCCCCGTTCCCATCTCCTCAGTTGACTGGCCCAGTCGCCCAGCAACACTCAAGAGTCTCAAGTAGATCATAACTCACAGTAAATACCTAACCGGCTGCCAGCAATCATCATGGCTCCCGCTGAACCCAACGCCCTGCCATTCCGGGCCAAAGCGGAAATACCGCATTTTGCGGAGGAGCGGGATGGCTGGAAAGGCTACGTCGAATGGGAGAAGTATCCGGAGAAGAAGAAGCAGGTGCAAGAGCTGATGAAGAAGTATGATTTTCCCGATGTAAGTCAGCACTTACGAAACCCACGCTTCTCAAACGATGGCTTCATTAGGTGCTTATACTTTTATGTTTGCTTGCAATAGCCACCCGAGTTCCAGTTGGTCCCTTTGCCCAAGACGAATCCCGTCCTCACCGGCGAGCGGTGGAAGCAGTATCACTATGCTTGTGGGCTCGACTACATCCCCAGGGACAGCTGGGACACGGTGCTCAAAGAGAAGTCGGCCGACATGATCCATGTGCTGCAGTTCCCGTACAACGGCGAGCCACCGGGTGTAGGTAGAACCACAGCAAGACTAGCGGCGTGAGTACTGCTCAGAGAGCGAGTGGCTTACCCTGTCTCTGTTTGTGTGTGTAGGATCGACTCATCGAGACCGAGATGACGGACAACAAGGACTTCTTCGTCCGGAACCACGGCGGCATCCCAGACATCGACGCCGACCAGTTCACGCTGGACATCGAAGGGCTGGTCAAGAACCCCAGGACGCTGGCGCTGGCGCAGCTGCAGGACGAGACGCTCTTCCCGCGGCAGAGCAACATCGTGACGCTGCAGTGCTCGGGCACGCGGCGCATTGAGCAGATCCACGAGTACCCGGGCGACGGCGACGAGCTGATCAACGCGCCGTGGGGCGAGGGCGCCATCAGCACGGCGCGCTGGACCGGCGTGAGCCTCAAAAGGGTCATCAAGTACTGCGGCGGCCTGGTGGACGGCGCCGACAACATCGAGTTCTACGGCGCCGACACGTACTTCAAGAAGGGCAACGTGCACAACTACGTTGTCAGCGTGCCGTGGCGCAAGGTCAAGGTGCACGAGGTGCTGCTGGCCTGGGAGATGAACGGCCAGCCGCTGCCCAAGATCCACGGCTACCCGCTGAGGGCGGTGGTGTTCGGCTACATCGGCGCCCGCAGCTGCAAGTGGCTGTACAAGATCCGCGCCATCAAGCATCCGAGCACGGCGCCGGTGCAGATGAAGGAGTACCTCTACTACACGCCGCAGGTCGGCAAGCAGAACGCCCAGTACAGCAACGGCTTCTCCATCCAGGACATGCCCGTCAGCTCGGCCATCATCAGCCCCAAGAACATGGACCAGATCATCCACGACGGCAAAATCACCCTCAAGGGCTGGGCCTACTCCGGGGGCGGGCACTGGCCGGTCCGCGTCGAGGTCAGCGGCGACGGAGGGTCCATCTGGTACGAGGTGCCGGCCGAGAACATGAGCACCAAGTACTTCCACGCCTGGCGGCTCTGGAAGATGGACCTCCCTGTCGATGCCGAGGGCTGGCTGGAGTTTTGCGTGAGGACGTGGGACAATGCCATGAATACGCAGCCCACATACGTGCGGAGCGCTTGGTGAGTTACAGTCTCCGAAATTCCAGGTTACTTTTTTGGGTGATTCTTGACAGAGGGGCTAATCAAACATGTCTGCAACTTTCTGTGCAGGAACTGGGATCTGCACGTCACCTCCTCCTGCCACCGTGTCAAAATCTACAGCATCAACAGGTCGAGACCGGCGACGGCGGCGAGGCTGAAGCAGCTGGAAGCCAACAACATCCCAATCGTGCCGATTACGCGCCCGATGCCCTTTGACTTGGAGACGGACGACGAGTATCATACGGCAATGCAGTCGAGAGCGTGGCGTGATCCGCTTGAGTAGGTTGGTCTGACGGTGCTGGGCAGCCTGCAGGCAGCAGTCTCTTGCTCGCGATTGCCGTACGTGGGCGGTACGTGTAGTGTTAGGACAAGGTTTCAGTGGCCCTCTTTCTAAGATGAACAGAGCCAGGGGTAGCTTTTCAAGTTCTCCATGATGCCAATCGACCAGTAACTTAGCTTAGGCAAGAACTTGAAATTGTCTTCAGTTTGGCCAAAATCTTTGAATATCGGTCGGGAACCAACTCCAACTAAACTGTCTAACTACTAGTAGTATCATGACCAAACACCGATAGGATGGTGCCTCTTTTCTTTTTTTCTTGCCCGTTGGGTCTCGCCTCGACGACCTCCCACCGCTTTCAGCACATACTCGGCCACATGTAGACACAAAATTCTTGATCTCCGGCATGCGGGAAAGAGCAGACCGGTTGACATGGGGCTGTGTCGGGCTTTGCGTCGGATGCAATTTTCTCTCTCCGTGAAACAAGATACATGATCCGCGGCGGTATAAACTCTATAAAGTACACAGCCAAAGACAAGAGGACCCTTGCGAACCAAACAGCCACGGCAATGAGCATGACGTATATAAGTTACTCAGGGGACACACCATCACCTTCAGTTTGATATAATGTGCCCTCAGATGAACCCGCCCTCTTGACCTCCCGGTCCATCTGAGCCCCCCTTCCCCCAAAACTCCCCGTTCCGACTTGACGACGACGAACCAACCCCATTCCCATTCCCACCCCGACCACCGCAACGATGTCCACCCCCCAACATAACAATAGGAACCATCTCAGCCCCCTTCCCCTCCTGCATCATCATGATAGGCCCGCTCCCCGGAACCTGCACGGGTCCTGTAATAGCAACAGTCCCACGCCCCTTCACCTTGATCTTCATCTTCCCCTTCCCCTTCGCCGCTCGCCTCCTCATCCTCGCCCTCACCCGGCGCACATAGAGAAAGCGTGCCGCCAGGAACAGGCCGAGGAAGAGCACCAGCCCGCCGACGACGGAGGAGACGCCGATGGTGACCAGGTTGAGGTAGTTGTTCTCATTGTTGTTGTTATTGTTGTTATTGTTGTTATTGTTGTTATTGTTGTTATTGTTGTTATTGTTGTTGTTGGAGGGCGAGTCCGGCGGTGCGAGGTCTAGTACGCCACCCGTCCCTGTTCCTGGGCCAGAACTTCCGGTGGTGTCGGAGGGGAAAGCCCGACTAGGTTGGGCTGCTGTATGCGGGGTTGTAGGAGGGCTCGTTGTGGAACTTGATGCTGTTGTTGTTGTTGGTGTTGTAGATGAAGAAAGGCCTATGAATACTGTGGTGAACGAGGTTTGGACCTCGGCTGTTGTCTGTGGGCTCAGGGCGGTTTGGGGGGCTGGGTCGGCAGCCGGTGTTGCAGTTGGCGGAGGCGGAGCGGTATTGCTCGTGACACTTGGAGAGCCACCGCTTGATGAGGCAGCAGCAGCAGGAGGAGGAGGAGAGCTAGGTGAGGTTAGAGCAGGAAATACCCTTTTGCGGAGAGAGAGGGCTTTCATACGCTGGCGTGCTGTTGGCCACTCCCAAGTTTTCTGCTTCCTCCAGGGGAACCATCGAGACGGGAGAGCACATTGGAAGAGGCGTATGGTGCTAACTAAGTATTAGAGGTCCACACTTGTGGCGCCGTTCCTCTTGTGCCGCTGCAACCCCCTTCTACCAAAAAGATGACACGACCGTGGCGGTTTCGTGCTTGCTTGCTGATAAGCTCCGGGATGATGGGTTTTGAAGCCTTCTCTGTTCCAGAATTATAGATGTTGCGGTCGTTCAAGTTTGCTCCGCCTCGCCAGTCATACAACAGACACGGCGGTATTATAATGCAAGAGTTTCCCTGCGAAGGAATGAGTTAGCCAGTTGTTTATATACCTCTGCAGAACAGGGTCAAAAGGCTTAGCGTTCTAAACTTGGGGTCATGCGGCACGTAGGGCCATCTATGAACGGAGCGGGAACCACATGCTGGTGTAACGCTCATCATAAGAACACAAACGGCCCTTTCCTATTGGGATGACCATAAGCCCATTCAATGTATGCAGAGCCTCTAGGTATTGGTATCTGTGGAGCCCCGAGAGCAACCTGGCGCTACCTACCTGACCACCGTGACTCGGATTCCCCATCAGGTGTTCATCTGATATATCACCCTTGAAAGGGCCTCTCACAGGTGCCACGCGCCAAAAAGGCTCCGAGGCTCATGGAGGACTGATACTTACTTCCTCGTCCCTTCTCCCTCTTTGCCCTTCCCGCAAGTGCACGAGGCTAGGGAGCATAAACGACCCGAAGCACACCAGTGCCGGGGACGACGTTTGTGATGGAACAAAGATATTCACGTACTCGCTACGGCCCAGCTCTCCTTACACCCAGGAAGCAAACAGCAACCTGCACCTAACCGACGTATACAACAGCCAGTGCAGTCCAGCCCCATTCCACCTCCCAGCCATGGTCTGTCCTCCCAGATAGATACTACAACTAGCTGGTATATCCTAGCATGTTATGTATTAAACTCTCTCACCCCGTTCCATCGACATCCTGCGTCAGGGCCAACCGGCAATCGACTTTACTTTACATCCTCCAGGGTCCACTCCTTCATGACGTCCCGGCAGTCTCCGCACCCTGCACAGTTCCCTCTTCTCCAGCCGCATCCGCACCCGCAGCGGCCGAAGAACCCGCACTTCCACTCCCATCCCTATCATCCTGATCCCCATCCTCATCGAGATCCACCAACTGCCTCGCGCGCCATGCCTTCTTCGCCGCGGCCGCCAAGCTCGCATAGTCCCCGCTCATCTCGCACATTCCCCGGAAGCTGCCGCCGGCCTTGCGCATCAGCTCCCACGGATGGCCGTACTCGACAATCTGGCCCTTGTCCAGCACCAGCACCTTGTCGTAGTCGACAATGGTCTGCAGGCGGTGCGCGATCGTGATGATGGTGCTCGTCAGTTCGCGGATGGTCTCCTGGATGGCCGAGTCCGTGGCATAGTCGATCGACGCGGTGGCCTCGTCCATGACCAGGACGGTCGGCCTCTTGAGCAGCGCACGCGCCAGGCACAGGAGCTGGCGCTGGCCCTGCGAGAGGTTGTTGCCGGACTCGGTGACCGGGGAGGAGAGGTCGAGGAAGATATTCTTATTCGTGACGCTGACGGTGGTGGATTGTTGATCTTGATTGGTGGTGGTGGTGGTGGTGGCGGCGACCGTGTCGGCAGCCGTGGTGGGTTCGGGGAGGAGAGGCGTCGGCGGATTGGTGACTGCTATGAGCTCGTCTTCTCCGATGAGGTGGACACGGCGCAGGGCGGTGAAGATCTGTTCGTCCGTGTACAGGTTGAACGGGTCGAGGTTGGTGCGTATGGTGCCCATGAAGAGCGTCGGCTCTTGCGGCACGATCGTGATGGCCTCGCGCAGGTCGCGAAGGCCAATCTGGCCGATGTCGACGTCGTCGATGAGGATCTTGCCCTCGTCGGCCTCCAAGGCCCTGAAGATGGCCAGTGTGAGCGAGCTCTTGCCGGCTCCGGTCCGCCCCACAATGCCAACCTTCTCGTGAGCCTCAATCTTGAACGTGAGGTTGCGGAGGACTGGCTCCAGCTCCTTGCGATACCGAGTACTGTAATTGATGAACTCGACCGTTCCCTGGGACGGCCAGTTCTCCGCCGGGCGGTTCTTCTCCACCACGGCCGCCGCCTCCTGCTCCACGTCCAGATATTCCTTGATCCGCTCGACCGAGTTCATGTTTTGCTCGTTCATGGCGTACAGGCGGACCAGCCAGAGGATGTTGTCGGCGAACCCAATCGCGTAGCTGAGCGAGATGCCCGCCGAGCCCGGGTCGATCTTGCCGAGGCTTATGATGACAAACACACCGGCAAAGAAGGCGACGAAGTCGCCGAGAAGATCGGTCCTGAACGCAAGCCATCTGTTAGCGGCCCACAGGTAGATGAACGGCCGGAGCTGGGTGTTGATCCGGGCCAGGTTATCCCGGATGAAGCGCCGCTCGTCGCCGTATGCCCGGATCGTCGTGACACCGCTCAGCGTCTCTCCAAACTGTTGGAAGAGCGGGCTCCTCTCGACCGACTCCAGCCGCTTCAGGTCCCGCGACGCGTGAAGGTAAAACTGCCCAAGGAAGACGTATGCCAGCGTGATGAAGACACCGGAGATCAGGAATCCAGGCGTGATGTAGGCGATAAGAATGACAGTTACGACAATTCCCAGCGCACAAGACATGACACCGATGGCGATGGGCGCCACTTCCTGGTCGACCGCCTCCAAGTCCTTGCTGAACCGGTTCATCATCTGGCCCAGCGGAGTGACGTCGAAGAACTTGAACTTGGCGCCCGTCACAGCAGTCATGAGACCGTCGTGGAGTTTCCAGGAGGCCGTGAGTGAGCCGAGGAAGATCCACAGGTCTCGGACCAGAGCAGCCACCGCGCCTGCTATGCCAATAACAGCCAGCACCGTCAGATAATACGTGACATTCACATCCCGGTTTCCGGCTGCCGAAAATGTTGTCGAATTACCCCTTGCGTAGTTTGCAATCGAGGCGAAGTAGGTCGGCGAAAGCGTCTGCGTCGAGTAGGTCAGGGAGTTCATGTTGAACTTGACCTTGGCCGACTCTTCGCTGGCGTACTGGTTGGACCACTGCTTAATCCAGAGGCTCGACGCCACGCCGGACAGCTGCTGCGCCCCGAACACGAGAGCCGCGACCAGCCAGAAGAACCAACCCCCCATAGACCGAAGGTAAAGCTTCATGACCGGCCACTTCACTGCGCCCACTGCCTTGGTCTCCTCCATGGCATCCTGCTTCTTGATCTCCTTTTTCTTCACCGCTACACTCCTCGCCCTCTGTTGATCGCCGTCCGCGTCATTCACGAGAGTGTCGCCGCTCTCCTCGCCGACACTGGAAGGCACACGGGACGGCACCCGTGAAATGTGAGCGGATCCCGGCGCAGACCGCTGGACGGCAGCATCTTCGGGGAGTTTTCCGGCCGTGATGAGCTCCTGTGGTGTTCCTTGGCCGGTGATGCGTCCGTTGGCCATCGTCACGACGAAGTCGGCCGGTGGCACACACAGCGGGATGTTGTGCGAAACCAGGATGCAGGTCCGGTGACGCATTAGCGGGCCCATGATACAGTTGTTGAAGATCCACTGCGCAGTATGGGAGTCGACCGCGCTCAGACAGTCGTCCATGAGCAAGTGTTTGGAGTTCGAGTAGACTGCTCGGGCGAGGGAAATGCGTTGCTTCTGGCCGCCAGAGAGTGTGATGCCCTTCTCACCAACCAGGGTCTCGTCGCCGTTGTCGAGGATCTCCAGGTCGCGCTCCAGCGCGCAGGCCACGATCACCTGGCGATATCTTTGCTCGTCGTAGGGGGCCGAGAACAAGATGTTGTCCTTGATGCTGGCGTTGACAAGCCATGCCTGCTGGGCGACATACGCGCATGTCTCAGCGAGCCCTGTCTCGGGGTCCGGGCGGACATCCTCCCGGCTGCGGCCGCCGGGGAGATAGACGCGGCCTTGCATGATGGTCATCTCGCCAAGGAGCGCCATCAGCAGCGACGTCTTTCCAGACCCTGTTGGACCGGTGATGACGTTCAGTTTTCCAATCTTGAAGTCGAGGTCCAGATCAAGCAGGCGGAAGGCCATGGAGCCGTCCTCCGCCACGGTGGTCTTGCTACCCCAGACGAAGGTGGCGTTCTTGAATCCGATGACTCTATTGCCACTCTCGTCGACGTTGTCAATGCCGAGCTGGGCGAACTTCTCGGTCTCCTCCTCGGCCAGGAATTCCTCGATACGGTCGATAGACACTTTGGATTCCTGAACATGCGCGATCATGTCGCCGAGCTGGTCGAGCGGATAGCGAAGAAGCATGAAGAGCGAGATGGCCGTGAAGGCGACCGAGGGGTACAGCGGCTTCTTCTCGACGACAGTGTAGATGAGGAAGGAGAAGAAGGTGATCAGAATGGGCACAGTGTTCCAGACCGCCACAGCCGAGGCCCAAATCATGAAGCGCCTCCGCAGCGCCTTGAGCTCCGCCCGCCGCTTCTCGTCGACGATGTCAGCAAACCGGTGCTCCCAGGCAAAGTACTTGATGATCCTGATGTTCTGCAGAATCTCGTTCGTCGTATGAATCCGCTTGTCCGTAGCAGCCATGATCCTCTTCTGACTCGAGTTGAAGCCCCTGCCGAATGCAATGTTGATCGGAAGCAGCAGCGCCATGACGACGAAGCCGGGAATGGCGCTCAACCCCATGACCTGGTAGAGCAAGATGATGGAGACGAACAGCTGCGTGGGGGCTGCTGCAACAAGGAAGTGGATGTACGCGGTTACTTCGGACACCTTGAAGCTGTCCACGGACATCAAGTTGATGATGGTACCCAAATTGACCTGCTCGTCCGAATCGCCCGCCTTGTCCTTGCCACCTGATCCATCCGTAGCAGTGTTCGCAGATGTCTCGCCGCCCTGTTTCGCTTCTCCTCCGAGGCCGAGGAATCGCTTCGCCCTCGCGATGATGCCGCCTTTTCCACCCTGAGATGCGGGGTCCTTCTTCTTGTCCGCCCCGAGGGTGGTATCTTTGCCGGCCGCCGCTTTTCTGCGAAGGGCCTTGGCATAGATTTCGCCCACCAGAATGGCCCGGATGTTGATGCAGATCTTGCGGCCGATCCACAGGGCTTGGCCGTCGCAAACCGACCGGAGGACATCAGTCACAGGGAGCAGGATGACGTACAGCCACAGCACGTTCCTCGGGGCCATTGCGGGGTCCTCCACATATTGCAGGATCGCCCGGAGCAGCAGTGTGGGCGCAAAGGTAAGAATGCCACCCATGACAGCCCAGACGGCCTGCTCAAACAACAGGCCCTTGAAGTACCTCACGAGGTGGAAGGACAGAGAAGTGGTCTTCCTGAACTGGCGGTAACTGGCCAGAACGGTGGCTGCCTTGTCCCTGGGAAGCAGGTTCCAGACCCTTTTGATATCCAACGGCTCCTTCCAACCGGCCCAGATGATCGAGTCGACCCAAGAGAAGGTGTAACGCGAGAACAGGGACGCCAGGCTCTCGCGGCCAGGCTCAATGCCGTCCTCCCACTCCAACAGGATGGTCTTATTACCCTTGCGAGTACTGATGGCCATGACGAACAGCAGCGATGTCAACGCGAACTCGGCAACCACCAGCGTCTGGGCCGTTCGCTGCCTCGGGTGCACCAGAGCAGAGCGGAACATGACCAGCGCGAACAGCCATTGGAAACAATATATGGCAGCCGTGTGGTTCCAGATCCGCGGGATGCGACATGGCGTGTTCCCCAGGAAGAGCCGGAGCGAAGTCAGCAGCAGGACGTAGACCCAGACAGTCAAGCCGGCAACGGCGGCAATGCTGCCTCCCCGCTCCTTCCCATAGGCGCCGGTGGCCAGCGCGACGGCATTGATGGCAACGAGACCTAATACAGCGAGCTCCTCGATAAGAACGGAGAACGTCTGGCCCGGGGGGACGTCGGCCTGCACGATCGAGCCCCTCGTAGTCGTCTTGACCAGCGCAAGACGACCGCCGCCGATCGTCAGGTCTTCTGCCTCGTCCTCGCTGACCGGTTCTTCCTCGCGAGGTAGCTCTGTGTGTGTCGCCGGCGATAATGTCGTTGGAATGCTCTCGTACCCTCCGCCATATTTGAGCTTCACGGCTCGCACGATGTTTTGCACGGCGAGTTGGAGGAACGACAGGCCAATGATGACCAATGGCAGTAGGATCCGGAGGTAGCTGTCTCAGATGCCGCTCTTTAGCTCTCTCCGGGGTTCGACAAAACCAGCGCTACGCTGTTGATTGATATGCCGGGTTGCTACTTACTCCTGTAAGAAACAATTGGTGAAGTCATCGGTCCGCCATATCGGCCACGAACATGAGGCGAACTCCATCTCCCTCGCGTCTATTCGTCGCATGGAAGAGGGATTCGCACAAAGCTCCGGTCAGTGGTTCAGCAGAGACCGGGTGAAGAACAGGCCACGCGGGCGTAAGCGTTGGCGTCGCGGGTGGAAAAGTGTGGCGTGTTGTGGGAGAAGAAAGAACGAAGACGGATCAACAACAAACGGTTCTTCGCTCTTGGATTCTTCGATGGCGGGCCGCTTAACCAGCTCCCTCGCCGAACTAGGTTAGGCCTTGTTGCATACACTAGCTCCAGTTCTCTGCATTCTCTCCACCAAGCTCCTCCTGCCAGAAAGGTTCTTTTCCAGTGCTCGTTTACAACCGGGCAGGGCGGGTCCGCGGAGGGTCGCAATTGCCCCGAATGCACTTCTTCCTGTAACGTTATCAAGGCTCGGTAGCACGGTACGCTAATCAGCCAAGGGTGGGGTGCAGAACACCCCGCAGGAGCTCTGTAAGTGTAGGCTGTATGTACTGTACATGTACTGTACTTCAGGTATAATACGGAAGGTTACCGATGCAATTGGAAATCTTGAGACCTGCCTTGACTCGTCGGGCTTAGTTTCGCTTCCGAGAAAGTGATCAGAAGACAAAACAGACGGTTTTCTTGTTCAGATGCCGGTTTTGAGTGCTTCATGCAGTGGGTTGAAGAACTTGCAGTAGACCACCTAAACCGGCAGGCACCACCGAACGCACGGATACCGCAACCCCGGCACTGAACCTCTCGAGCTTCTTAGATCCGAGACATTTGTCGTCACACCCGAGTTGTCGGCACGGCTGGGGTAGCTCAAAGTTTGACTTGGTTTTCGATGATGTCAGTCGTAGTGCTCCCGTCTTACAAAGGATTGAATCCAGCTTTGTCAGTCATGGAGTAGTCGTAGTTATCAATTGCCTTTTTTTCCCTCCTGAGCCAGCCAGACCCAAGTGCGATGAACTGAGATGGCTGCTGGCTGCCGAGTCGGTGTGCTTCGCATCGCAGCTGCTTACGGCTTACATACTAGATATGTAATGCATGGGCGTCTGTCGCCTACTATTAGTTATCTTACACTAGGTGCACATGCATCCAAGCACGTGAAGCTTCGGTTGCAGCAGCATGTATCGGGCCGTAGTAGCCGCCCAGCCCGTTGCAGTATGGCGGGGTCAGCACACGTCCCTCGCGCGAAGCTTACTGTTACACAGTACCTATGTACTAGTAGTATGAATCATGACCTTCCTATTTCGATCACAGGGCCTGGAACCACTTCATCCCAGGCGGCCACTTCCCGAATAGAAATTGAGTCACCGATATCTTGTTGGAGGCTCGGCTGATGACTCTGTGTTACCCCCAAACTACATATCGGTATATGGGAGAAGCATTTCAATGGCTTGTTGGGTGATAAGAGCTGATGTTGGGTACAACCTGGAAGCGTACATACAGTACCTTAGGTACTACATACCTGGGCATCTTGGTATAAATAACATGTAGGTATGCACTTGACTGACTGCCATGAAAAGCAATCCGTGCACATGTGCCCCTGTAGCTCGGATTTAAGGTATTGTAGACCTGCTGGGTTGACCGACGGGCTTGGATGCAAAGAATCCCCGCCCCGTTTTATCAAGTCTCCCTCGATGCGTGTTTGCGTAATTGCTAATATACAGACGGCCATTGCCCGGAGCCCAGATGATTGCAGAGCATCTACCCCAACAAAGAAATACTACTAGATGTGACAAGCCGAAAGGCAGCGCGGGCTGATTGGGTAAGGGCGCAATCACCTGCAATGGGAAGAGGTGCTGAGCGGCGCTCAACCCATGATCATACCCTTCATGCCTGCCAGATCGCCTTCCTTGGCGGCAATCTCAAAATAACCGTAGATAATCCTGCTCACGGGTTAGTGTCGGATACAGGCCACACATCCTCGGGGCAACTTACGTAACGGCAAGGAGAGTTCCAGTGCCGGAGCCGAGCGCACCCATGAGGTCGCTGGCGACAGAGAGAGCACCAATGCAGGCGCCACCGAAGGCGGCCGCAGTCGGGATAATGCGCTTGAGCTCCTTGTACATGCTCTGATCACGGTGGCCAGCCATGACGAGGCCCTGGTCCTTGAGCTGCTTGGCAACGTCGCGGGGGCTGGAGCCCGAAACCTCGATCCAGGTCTTGGAGAAGACAGCGCAAGCAGTGAGCATGTAGGCGATGTAGACTGCGGTATGAATAGGGTCCAGCAACGCGTCCTTGAAGTTGAGCGGCGGCGACATGTAGTAGACGAGACCGGAAACGGCAGACAGCTGCGCGGAGCCATCCTTGGCCTCCCAGACACCGAAGAGGCGGACCAAGAGGTTCTCGGAGAAGCGGCTATACAGCATCTGGCTGATGAGGAAGATGTTGGAAGACAGAGCCGACTGGAGCATGATGGGCATGTTCGAGGTGTAGAAGAGGCGCACGGGGTACGAGCCACGGGCACCGCGCTGGCGCGACGATTTGACCGGGATCTCGACGCGGAAGCCCTGAAGGTAGATCACGGCGGCGAAGACGACGAGGGTGGCCAGCAGGTTCATGATGTTGGGCAGGTTCTGGCGGTAGAAAGCTTCCTGGAGAGCGCGCTGCTTGTTGGGCCAGGTCATGAGCAGGTGGAAGAGGGCGATGACGGCACCCTCATACTCGGGGCCACGGCCAGTGTTGATCGAGGTCGGTGAGAAAGCCTTCCACATGATAGACTCGCAGATGTTGGTGGCAATAAACAGCGAGATACCGCTGCCAAGACCGTACCCCTTCTGGAGGAGCTCATCGAGGAGGATGACGATCATGCCGGCGACAACCAGCTGAAGAATCAACAGGAAAACAATGCCCGCGCCGAGCTCGCTCGGCGGGCCATAGAGGCCAGTGAAGACGTAGACGGTGGCGGTGCCGACCGAGAGGATGAGGGCGAAGAGCTTCTGGGCCGTCTGGTAGAGCTCACGGTCCGACTTCAGGTCGAGGTTGACGTCGATCATGTGGGTGCCAGCAAGGAGCTGGAAGACCATGCCAGAGGAGATGATGGGCGTAATACCGAGTTCCATCAAGGTACCCCTGTTACTAGCCATCATCATGCGCAGCCAGTATAGCGGATCCGACGTGTCTGACGAGACAATGCCGTACAGCGGCATTTGGCTCATGACCAAGAAGATCAGGAGCGTCAAGCCCGTCCACATCAACTTCTGGTTGAAAGGAATCTTGGTTTCGGGCTGCTGAACCTCAGGGAGGAACGGCACGAAGGGCTTGACGAGGTCGAGGAACCGTACTGCATCGTGGGCGAGACAATCAGCGCATTGTTGCAAACAGCTGGGAACACAGGACCTTCGGGCTGCGCAAGCTTCACGAGCTCCGCGACGCGCCCCGTGTCCTATCGCTACTTACGGGAACTCATGTTGGGCAGTCGTGGAGGGGAAAATAAAACCAAATATTAAATCATCCAGAAGAAGGAGAAAGAGGCGAAGAGAGCGACAACGTCTCTGTTAAAAGGAGAGGGTTGTTGTCGCGCAATGGCACAGAATAGGGAGAGAGGAGGCGGATGGAGAAGCGGCTGCTGAAGATCTGGCTTCAAAGTTATTCTGTGATGTGTCCAATTTCGAATGGGTCCACACGTGACAGCTGCCAGCCCGAAACGAACAAAACAGGGGCTGAAATGGCGGGGTGCTCCGTGCGACCCTGGGAACTTGAGATGCCAAGATCTTTCCCCAACTTGAGCTCCCAAACTGATCGGCGATTTTTGGCGTTGGTGCTGTGAGCCTTGCGCAGTGCTTTTGGGTGGAAAACATCATCGGTGTGGTGCCGGTGAGAGTTGACTTTGGCTATTGCTGATGCGGCTCGCTTCCCTCTTTTTCTCTTTCCTAAGTCCCACTGTCCGCAGAAAGATGAAGCCGTTAATCATCATCTACGGCTCGACTGGCACCGGCAAGTCGGATGTAAGTGCTGCCCATCTCCATGCGCTTATCAGTGTTAGAGGTCGCCACAGACTGACAGCATGTAGCTCGCCGTGGAACTGGCAACGAGATTCAATGGCGAGATTATAAACGCAGATGCAATGCAGATGTACAAAGGACTACCCATCATAACAAACAAGCTCACAGTCGAGGAGCAACGAGGAATCCCACACCACCTTCTCGGCAGCATCGATCTTGACGAAGACCCCTGGGTCGTTACACGGTTCAAAAAAGAGTCCCTTAGGATAATATCCGAAATACGTGACCGAGGAAAGCTTCCGATTGTCGTCGGTGGTACATCCTACTACCTGGACGGCCTGCTCTTTGACGGCAGGCTGGTGGAGGACGAGCCGGCGCGCGAAGGCGGGGTGTCGAATCGCGAAGAGCTTGCGGCGAGGTATCCAATCCTCATTGACTCCGCCGACGCGATGTTGAACAAGCTGCGGGAGGTAGATCCCGTAATGGCGGAGAAGTGGCACCCCAATGACGTGCGCAAGATCCGAACATCGCTGGAAATCTACTATGCGACGGGCCGACGCGCGTCTGACATCTACGCTGAACAGCGAAGCAGGAAAGAGTCTAAGTGGGCATCTCAGGACCCTGCACAGAGGCACAGCCTCGGAGAGATACTGGTATTCTGGCTCTATGCCCGGCGAGAGGCACTCAATGAACGGCTGGACAAGCGCGTAGACAAGATGGTACAGAATGGCCTTCTCAGCGAGACATCACAGGTCTATGAGTATCTCCGAAGGAGACTGCTCTCGGGTGAAACCGTCGACCGCTCTAAGGGCATCTGGCAGTCGATCGGCTTCCGCCAACTGGAACCCTATCTGAGGGCTCTCCGGGAGGCTCCTGACAGTCCCGAACTGTCCGAGCTCAAGGAGACCGGCATCCAGGATACCAAAACGGCGACTCGCCAGTATGCCAAATACCAGGTCCGGTGGATGACGATGAAGACCATTTCATCCCTGCAAGAGGAGAGACTCCTTGATAGACTCTACCTCCTCGATAGCTCCGAGATCCAACGCTGGAACGAGGAAGTTCTAGAAAAAGGCGTCGATCTGACTAGGAAATTCCTCGCCGATGAGCCGCTGCCTGCACCAGCCGAACTGTCTGAGACGGCGCGGGAAGTGTTGAGCAGCTCAGTCGAAAGGAGCAACCGCGAGGACACCCCTTGCAGGAAAACCTGTGATATCTGCCAGAAGACGCTCTTGACAGAAGAGTTGTGGCAGTCGCACATCACTAGCCGAAAACATCTCAAGGCCATTCGGGGGGCCAAAAAGCGGATGATGATCCCAGCCCACGCCATCCCATCAAGAGCCTTGGTAACTGTCAACTCTCGATTCTCAGATAGCACGCCACCCGCAATAGATCCTCTATGAGCCCAACATGATCTATACAGAAGCCAAGGCATGTACATGTACATCATCTTCGAACAATAACAATCCCGCATCACGCGAGGAAGGCTGAGGCTTATGCACCCCTATAAACGTGGTATCAGATCACCAGCAAACAACAGGCACGACGATACCATCTACTGCCCACGGCCTCTTTATGCCTCCGCGATTTGGCTCTTCACCCAGTTCTCCAACCCGCCCCGCGCAATGATCTCCTGCACATTCGGTGGCAGCTCGCCAACCTTCTGGCTCCAGGTCTTGCCCCCTTCGCCCTCCGTAACGGTTACCTTGCTCCGCCTGACATCCCACACCAGCTTCCAGCCGGTGCGCCTCGTCAGTGTCTTCTCTCCGTCCTTGCCACCAAACGTCTCGCGCAGCCTCTGCACGAGTCGCGGTACCTCGACGCCCATAAGCGCGTTGTTGATGCTGTTCCGGCTAAAGATGTTGCCGAAGCTGCCCGCTACGACGAGCGGGATCTTCTTGGCCAGGATTGCGGTGGCGGCCTGCTCGCGGGAGCTGCCGCAGCCAAAGTTGAAGCCGGACACAAGAATGTCGCCCGCCTGTGCGATCGAACCGAAGGCTTTGTCATAGTTCTCCATGCACACCTCGGCCATCTTCTCGACGGGGACGTTGTCCTGGTACGTGTACTTGCCCGGGTAGATGCCATCCTATCAAGAACGTCAGTCTTACTGATGATCATCGAGCCTTCTAGGACGTCGTTCGGGAAAGCTGTGGTTGGCTTGGTCGTGTTTCCCCTAAGACAGCTCTAGGGGGGAATTGACAGCCCAGGCGGGTTGCTTACCGTGTTGATGTTATCGGCGTCGCAGAAGACGATTTCTCCCTCAATCTTCTCCGGGAATCCCGGGAGAATCTCGGTCAGTGTCTCCTCGCTGCTTGCTTCTTCCGTGGCATCGACAGGGGCGCCGAACATCTCTTTCTCGGCCATGGCGATCATGCCATCGGCCTGCGAAATGATCTTGTCGAGGGCCTCTTCAATGCTGATGACCTTATCTTGCACGTGGTCACCGTTACCCTCGCCGATGATAACCTTCTCCACACCATCAGGCTTCTGGTACCAGCCAGGTCCGGCGATCTTGCCTTGCAGAGCGCTGGCTGCGACGACTTCCGGGCTGGCGAGGTAAGCCTTCGCCTCGGTAGAGCCCATACGGCCTTTAAAGTTTCGGTTGCTCGCGCTGATACCAACCTCGCCGGGTTCAAGCAAACCGGTGCCCTATCCAACAATGTCAGCCAGTTCTTCCCCGATAGGAGTGTCCCTGGGGTAATTCGGGCGTAAAAGGCCTGTCTCAGGGACACGAATGACTCCCGAGACAGCCAGACTGGGGCATAAACAGCACGAATTTGACTTACAAGACCGATGCAGGGGCCGCAGCCAGACGGGAGAGGCTGGGCACCCGCCTCGAGAAGGACCTGCCAGTCACCGGCCTCCTCAGCTGCCCGTTGCTCGAGAAGAGACGCGGCCGCGATGTAAAAGTTCACACCCTCTGCCACCTTGGGGCTGACCCCGTTCTTGGCGGCGTCCCTGAACACCTTTGCGGCCGCGGCGATGTCGGAAGCACGGGAATTTGTGCAGGAGACCAGATAGGCCTTGTTGAGCTTGATGTTCTGCGTCTCGAGGTCTTTGAGCGGCGTAGCGACCTTGACCGAGTTCGGGCCGGAGACAAAGGGCGATAGCGTTGCCAAGTTCAGGTACAGAGATTTGGCATATGTCGCACCGGGGTCCGCCGTGAGTGGGTCGTTGAGCAGCTCGTCGATTTTGGCGTGCGTGAACTTACCGCGCGCACCGAGTTCCGGGTTCAACATTGCCGAGGTGGTGGCCTTGGCCCTGAGCCATGATTGCAGCATCGTGTCAATCGGGAACAGGCCGCTGAGCGCACCCCACTCGGTCGTCATGTTGGCGATAGCGAGGCGGTCATCAATCGGAATGCTGCGCATGGTCTGCTCGGAGCCAGTGAACTCAATGGCGTGGTTCAGAACCTCGTCGTTGTTGAACAGGCCACAGAGAGCGACAATCACATCCTTTCCGGTTACGCCGGGGGGCAGGACGCCCGTGAAGGTGACCTTGGCGATTGGGGGGATCTGCCACCACGTCCGGCCCGTGGCCCAGATGCTGGCGGCATCTGTCCGCACCATCGGGGTGCCTAGGCAGCCTACGCCGCCGTACATGTTGCTGTGCGAGTCCGACGCAACAGTAACGGTGCCCGGCCAGGCATATCCCTCTTCAACCATGATCTGGTGTCCAATTCCCCGTCCAGCGGGATAGAAGTCAACGCCGTGCTTTTTCGCAAACTCCTCGATCTGCCGGTATTTCTTGAGGTTCGCCTCGCTCTTGTTCTGCACATCATGATCAAGGGTCATGACGATTTGCTTGTTGTCGTGGATCTTGGAGGCGCCAATCGACATGAACTTCATGGCAACGGGCCACGAGTTGTCGTGGGTCATACAGTGATGTGGTGCTAGGGTCACATAGTCACCAGCCCTGACCTTCTTTCCCGGCGCAAGACCAACTGCGTATCTCTGGACGATCTTTTCGGTCAAGGTCTGCGGAACCTGTGTTGTGCTCTTTGATGAGAAGAGAGTTGGGCCGGAGGCCGAGGTCTCAAGCTGTGTATGAAATGCATTCTGGCGAAGACGGGGCGTCGTCGTGTAGGATGCGATCCGACCCGTTCGGGTTATGCTCCTCGAAGCTCGCGAGGCGACGAGGGCCTGGCGGCGCCAACCCCGGCTGGCGGCCAATGCCAAGCTTCTTCTCTGTCAGCTGGTCAGCGAGCGACTAGGAATGGAGGTAACAAAAGCCGCATCATAGCATACCACAGGCGCAATCATGGTGGTTTATGCCAAGATGCAATCCTTCCCAGCTCCGAGAACGGTCCATCGAGCCCTTCAGCACAAATACCCCCACTCCAATTGGCGGCAGTTGTTATGTAAACTTCTGAGTGGAGTACGGGCCGTGGTCAGACCGCTCACCGCCTTCCGGGATGGACATTGGTATTACCACGGTGACAGTACAAGTACAGTACACGGTAACTTATGTGCGGTCCGAGTTTCGGGATTTTTAGCGGTCGGGTTCGGACATAGGCACATAGGTTGTCTCTCTTATTTCCTCCATCTGGCCGTCGTAGTTGTGAAAAGCATGTCGTCAAGGTCTAGCTCCATGCCACTGAATTCTATAATTCATGCACCTTGGCTAATACTAGGTTCTATGATGTGAAGGAGGCATCGGCCCCTTTTTGAAGAACCAGAACCCTTAGGCGCTTCCACCGCTTCCCATTCTTCCACGTGGATGTCAGCGTTTCATTGACCGTTTCGGACCGCGACGGCCCTAGACCACAACTTTAGCTCTGTCACGTTTACTTTTTTTACAGTATATCCATGCCATCAGACGACACCATACAGTACATATGCCGATCCTGTCTCGATAACCGGGAACATTGCCTGTACGTTTGAGCCGTCAGAGCAGCCCTGTGGTACTGGTGTGTTATTGGTTCTGCGACGGTTACACTACTTTCAGCGGTGACGTTCCACCTTCATCAGTCTCGCCTTGCTCTGAGGCGGTTGCCCGGTGAAGGCCGCGTCCCGCGCATCCGAATCCCGGCTCGGCATGATCGCCCATGTGATGTGACGCTGCTATGAATCATAGCATCTCTTCAAAATGATAAAGGATCGGATACAGAATACATCCCCAGGGTTGCCACGCTCAACAAGACATGTACCGGTAACTATCGGTTCGTGCATACACGTGTACTAATATCATTGTATGTACGCCAGTTTCACAGACTGTGTAGTTGCGAGGCAGCCGATTGACCTTCAAGCCGGGACACCGGCCGGAGATTTCTTGAGCCAATCATTACGTTAGACCGCGAACAGCGGAGACTAAAGTGTCCAGGGGGGGAATCTCTGCCCCGATCGCCGACAGACCACCCGGAAAGTTTTAGCTCGAAGAACAAAGCCGAAACGTACGGCGCACCCGCGAAGGATTACGTACCTCCATTGGTGGGCAACCCTCAGCCCTGGGGACACATTTATTAGCTAGGTATGTACCTTACCTAGTAGGTGTCAGGTTGCAAGTGCTTCCGCGTATTCGGGGATTTCGATTTCGTTCCTCCATCCAACGGCTCTCTATTCCTCCCCCGCAAGCACGACATTCCGCTTCAAGGCTCCACACAACCCCCCCCCCCCCCCCCCCCCCAAAACGGGCAGCTTGCCTGTGCATTGTTCCATCCAGCCCGCGCTACCAGATGCTGTGGGAGCGGGAGAAATCTTGTTTGGTTTCGGTTTCGCTATTCCACTTGATGCGCGCAACGAGTGCGACGACGACTACGACTCCGATCTGGAGATCTCATCTCGAGCCCCTCATACAGACCTCCCTGGCCCGCCCCTGCAGCACAGATCTCGGAAGCTTTGCCTACCAGGCGGCTTACCACAGGAGACCCTGATTACCGTGGATTACAGACACGCTTATCAAATTCTACTGTAGTTGGGCTAAAAAACAGCAGTGCTCAGCCCAAACCGCTTCTTCAACCTTACATCACATCCACGGGAAACCTCCACTTATCACCGGGCTTTCACTACCGCTTGGGTCTCCGGTCTCCTGCTTTTCCACTCTCAGATGTGACTCGGACTTGCGAGAAGCCCGAGCACGACATCCGGCGCCGCATCATAGCGAGGCGAATCCGGTGCTGCCGACTCTTATCTATTTCTTGCAAAAACACACGCTCTTGACACCATGGCATCGTCGACCACAAGTTCACATGCCTCCGGTCCCGTTTCGGCCTTTTCTCTCCCGCACAGCCACAAGCCTCAGCGGATCCTAGCATGTGTCCTCTGCCAGCATCGAAAGATCAAATGCGACCGAAACTTTCCCTGCGCCAATTGTATCAAGGTAAGGCTCCAAGATGGTTTCGCGGTTCGAGGCAGGCCCTTTTCTGACCTGTCCAAGGCCCATGTCAAATGCACACCAAGCACTCCAGCCCCAGCGCGCAAGCGTAGGCGGCCAAATCAGGATTTGCAGGAGAGATTGGCCCGGTGTGAAGAGCTTCTAAAGGAGTATGCGACGGAGAAACCAGATCACCTCACGCCGCGCCCGGCACAGACCAGCATCCATGAGGATCCGTACAAGCACTTTCCTGCCGGGAAGCTCGTCAATGAGGACGGCGCTATGCGCTTCATGGACAGTCCCTTGCTGTCGGTCGTTTACGAAGAGGTATGCCATCACATCCAGCTAGTCCGCCTAGGTATGCCTGCTTACAGTCCGAGCCCGACAGCTCCGAGCCATGAGGGATATCGTCGACAATGATGAGCCGGAAGCGTCCAGCCCCGAAACCATGACACCTGACAACAATTCCGACCTCCTCCTTCGCGGCGATAGTCCCGGAGTGAAAGTGGAGACCCTTTGGCCGGACGCTGCTCAGATCTTCCGTCTGTGGCAGTTCTATCTCGACCGAGTGAACCCTCTAACCAAGATTATCCACGTTCCCTCACTACAGCCTTACGTTGCCGAAGCCGCTAGTGGTTCCCAGAACGTCCCCAAAAACATCGAGGCGCTTTTATTCTCTGTCTTCCTGATGGCGGTTGTGGCGCTGACACCGGACGAGTGCTTGGCGCTGCTGGGTTATTCTCGAGAGGACGCCATCCAAAGGTTCTCATCAGGGGTGCGGTCAAGTCTCAACCGTATCGGCTTCCTCAGGTCTCATGACTTGACCACTCTCCAGGCGCTTGTTATTTATCTCGTACGCTCTCTGCTAATCGACCCGCACTGGCCCTTCCCGCTAACCACAGGAGATAGTTCTCTCTTCAGGGCCGGTACAATCGGCATGCCGCGTGGATTCTGAACGGTGTCGCAATCCGCATCGCGCAGAAGATGGGCTTGCACCGTGACGGCGAGATTCTGGGCCTTCCCCCGTTTGAATCCGAAATGCGAAGGCGTCTCTGGTGGCAGATCATCTTGGTGGATTCCAAATACGCCGTGTTTTCCGGGCTCAGCCACTCATTACTGCCGAGAAATTGCGACACGAAGCCACCGAAGAATGTGAATGACGCGGATATCTTCCCGTCCGCCACGGAACCCTTTCAAGACCGGGAGGGCCCGACCGAGATGATCTTCTGTCTAATGACGTACAAGTTCGCCAAGTATCTTGTCGAAAACCCCGGGTTCGAATCCGTTGTAATGATGACAGAAGCGAGCGGCGAGCCAGGCAAGAGCGGCCCCACGGAGGAGCAACTCGCAGAGTACCGACGGGGCCTTGAGCATCTTCGCCAAGAGCTTGTGGAGATCCTCGACAAATACTGCGATCCAACGGCTGGGCCCGTCCACCAGATGGCGATGAAAATGAGGGAACAGATCCTCGAAAAGCTCAACGAGATCATCAATCCGGCCAACCAACAACCCGAGTGGGGAGACGAGATCAAGTCGGAGAAGGACAAGGCGTTCAAGATCGCTATTGGGACAATTGAACACAACGAGGCCAATTACGTGTCAAGCAAGGACCAAGGCTTCGCCTGGTTCTCGCTTCTGCACTTCCAGCTCGACATTTTCATGTACATGGCGGGCCAGCTATGTCATCGCACCGAAGGGACCCTCGTGGAGCGCGCTTGGAAGCAGGTGACCGTGGTCTACTCGTACCATCCGGAGCTGTTTGACGTCACCAACAAGAACTACGCTGCGCTCGCCGTGTTTATTCTCAAGGCGTGGAAGAAGAGGGAGCTAGTTATCTTTGGCCGCACCGGACAGCTTCCCGAGGCCCCCTTCTACATCGAGAAGCTGCGGGCGTGCATGCCCAACGAAGACTACAAGAACGAGCCAACACCCCCGAACCCCTACACCCCCTCGAGCCTGCACATAGGCCCCAACTCCACGGCCATCATGCCTGAGAGCACGCTGGACCAGTTCTGGAATTTCCTGGATCCGGAAACAGTGAACTGGGACATGTTTAGCAGCCCGACTACGAGCGTGAATGGCCAGATGGTGGCCGATTTTAGCATGTTCGGTGGCAGATCTTTCGTCTAAGTGGTAACGGATGGTCTCGAACAGTGGCGAAACGGGAAGATTGGTGACTTGGAAGTCATGATGTCAACCGCGAAACATTTTTCTCCGTCTGACACATCCAGATGGAGTCAGAACGGCGCAGCTTCCTGTGACATCTTCTCTTCCCCACCGCGCTGCCGAGACAAAAAATGTCAGTTTTTTGGGTAGCCTATTACCAGGCCTCTCTTCTCCTCACTTTCACGGCTTCCTTAACAATGCCCCCGCGGAAGTAGTGAGCTTGTATCACTATTAACATTGGTTCATCTGGGTACTGGCACATTCTCCACAGCTGAGGGTACATTTTGATAAAATGGTCGCTGGCATTATTTTCGGCGCTCACTTGTGTTTTTTCTTTTTTTTTTTTTTTTTCCACCGGATACAGCAGTCAGTAAAACGGAATTCGGCCCTGAATCAGGCCGGTCTGTCTTACTTTGGATCGCTCTCTGGCCATTTACGTGGCGGTCTCGGGAACGGGGTTGGTGACACGGGCCAAAGTTAAAGTCCGCGTCTCGGGCTTTGCTGCACCCGCGATTTGGCCAGTCGGGATGATATGTCTTAGAGTGACGGCAGCCTGCTTGGGCCGCACTCTGGGAGCTGGATTCTGGCTGCGTCATGCAGGCTGTGGCTAATGCCGTTTGAGACAAAGTGTACCTAGCTTGATTCCGATGGCATATCTAGGTGCGCACACTGTGAGCAAGGGCGAGCCCGAGGCGTCTGGCGACGCTGGTGGGCAAGGATGCGGAAGTTGCCGGAGTCGGTGTTTGCAACTCGATCAATGGGTTTGGATCGGGGAAGCGGCTCAGTGGGTACGCCGAACATAGGAAAGGGAGCTCCCCATACTACTTATTATTGTAGCAGTATCTCTGCAGACTTCACATCTATTGATGATAGACTTTTACCATACTGCTTTCTCCACGTCACTTCTTGACAGATGATATGAGCGTTGGAGCCAGAACATATACATTAAGAATGCAGAAACATAGAGGAGCCCGAATCATACCTAAAACATTGTAACGTTAGTGGTTATATAATACAATACATACAGTCCGCAAAAGATTAGTGTTCCTAGACAGTGAATATCGTTAAATACCGACCCGAAGCCTCATTATAGATGGCCCCACCATCCACCATACTGTACCTTACGTATGCATACAATCCTGATACTTCACTTCACTTCTCACCCAGCAACTCTTATGCCAAAAAGGGAACAATCATTGTCTTTGCCCGGTAAACAACTCCTGACCAATCCAGCATGGAGATATCAAACCCGCGACGAATTCTCGCTGTCTCCCTGACCGACTCGGCGCAGCATCTAAGCGATGTCATCAAAGGCATGTCATGTCGCGTCCTTGAGAGCCCGCCCCTTGCATCATCTCATTCCCAAACGCCCTCAACTCATCCCACCGCTCCTCATCTTTAGCATCGTTCACAACATTCATGGTCATGACGACGTCGCTTACCCAACTGACCGAACGAACACTACTAACCCTCATGAGAATGGACCCAACAGACCTAACAGGCACCCACCCCACGCCAGCGCCATCATCGTCATCATCATCGCCAGACCCCTCACCCGCAACAGCCCCAGACTCAGACGCCGCCGACGATCCCACTCCTTCCCTCGCGGGCACAACCCACCCCTTTGCGCTCTCCACGGCATATTACACCGCCTCCATCCCCATCTGGCTGGACCTGATCGCTTCCCCCGCAGAATGGGCGTCCTCCTTCCTCTCGCCCGAGGCAAAGGAGGTGCTCGACGTGCTGGGGGGCGTGTTGGTCGTTTTTGCGCTCCCGACGCCCGCTCACCCCCCTCCTCCTTTAACTTCGACGTCGCCGACGAATCTGTCACCAGATCACCATGAGCAGAAGCAGGAGCAGGCGGATGGGGGACAGGATAAGAAGAAGGCGCAGGTGAGGGAGCTGATTACACAGGTCGGCAAAGTCGTCAGGGAAGGGCTGGGAGGGTGGGAGTGGGATGGTGTGGGGTTGGGGGTAGGCGTTAGTAGCATTGGAAGTAATGGCGGGTTGGCAGAGGAAGAGGGAGCGGGGGCTCTGGACGAGTGGGAGGATTTGTGCGCCGAGTGTGGGCTGGAGTTCGTCCACGTCTCGAGAGCGAGTCTGGTGGTAGGGAAAGCGCCAGACGGCGACAAGAGGAACGAGTTTGGCGAGAGGATGGGCATGGCCAGGGTCATAGAGGCGTTGCAGGCGAATGACTGGTCTGGCGGAGGATTGGAGGGCGGTGGTGATGGTGATGGGGAAGAGGAAGAGGAGGGTCACGAGGGGGAGGGAGGGAAAGGGGGGAATAACCAACGGCGCGAGGAGAAAGAGGGGGATGAGGCCGGATCTGACTTTGATCCGGAGAGTCTTGATTTTGGGTTTGATCGGGAGGACTTTGTTGGGTTGAGGAAGGCTATCTGGAGTGGAGGTCAGGCTGGTGACGAAGAGGACGAGGAGGTGGGTGAGGAGGATGTACAGAAGCTGGAGCGGATGATGCTGAAGCTGCAAGCCGTGAGGGATACGAGCGCTGGGCTGCCCGAGGAGCAGCGGCGGAGGATGGCCGCGCGGGCAGTTGGAGAGGTCATGAAGGAGCTGTGACGGTGGTAAAATTGTCTGTCGGCCCTCTTCGGGCTTGACTGACAATGGAATATATTGCCACATGCTCGATTTGGCAAGTGAGATGAGACGCCGGAAGGTGAGGAGATTTAGTATCTATTCCAGCACATGTGCTAGATTTCTATATCAGGTACGCAAGGGATTGAGATGACGCCTACCTGGCTCTTATCTTCGGGACTACTTATACACCTTAGCCACAAAGGAATGGGGAAACACCGTGGGCATCCACGGGTACAGCGCAGCTACCAACCAAAAGCTCCAGCATGGAAGCGGTTTGCAAGACACCGGTACGGCGGACCTAGTGGTCTCATGAGCTAGAGGCTGTCACAACCATGGTTGTAGGAGGACAGCCTGTGACAAGGGCGAGGGCTTGGGTATGGTATGTACTTATCCTTGTACAAGCCGAGAAAGTTCCACGAGGAGCAAGCACGCTCGCCAGTTCTCTTGCCCAGCACCGTTACCGTGACGAATACATCATACGACACTTCCTGCTTACCATTTCAAGATCTTGAACACACCACACCACCTTTGCTCAAATTTCCAGCGCGTCTGTGGTTACGGACGACCTACCCATGCGTCTCTCGATCGGCAAAGCCGTCACGGTTGTGGCTGCTTGGCCTTGCCGCGTAAGGTTAGGTACTCCATTGTAACCAAGCGCTGGACCAGGGCAGGGGCGTTGTCCGAAAATACCCATGCCGTCTAAGGTAGGCATGAACATGGGGATGACACTGGAAGCGATGCACTCATTTAATTACGGGGCTCGATGTCGAATTGGCGCTGAAAGTATGTAAATACACGCATACCTTGTCTACACGGAACAAGAAGGATAGCCCGCATAAGATCGGTACGGGCCGCGAAGTGGCACCTAGGGACGGAAAGTGAGTCGTTCAACAATTCCGCAGGGTGCTGAACGTCTTGATTGCCCGGGACTAACGTTAAAGATTCTGAGAGCATTCGGGCAGGCATAAACATCGACTGTACTGTACATAGCTAAGGTACCTACTGTTACAGAAGAGCAGGGGGCGTCAGCCGAGATGCCGAAACTCTGATTAGGGTCGTGAGATTGACGCGCCTCAAAGCTTCCAATATTTACACACCGAGGTGTGTCTAGCATCTGATATGTATGTATCCATAGCTGAATCCATTGTTCGTTTCGACTGTTGCAGGATCCTAGGAACTGCGTCAAGTGACGTGGCCAGCGAAGGCGGAGACTGGGATGGGATCTGGGCACGTCGTCTCAGTTTGCTCCTACACCTGTAGAAGTGAATTCGCGGCGGAACCTAACATGGAAGAATTTGGGGGCGCAACAGCATGGACGTCGAGGGCCGAGGCGTAGAAATATGTCTGATTCGGTAAGAGTACGGAATACTCGGTGTTTATGTCGCCATTGGACTGTCAACAATGCACCAATACCAGCTGTTCGGTGAAGCTGACTCAGATTTCGTAGCCTTCATTCCAGGAGAGTTGTTACACGGCACAGCAGACCCTGGCCTGCCTGGTCCGCGCGAGTCCTGAGCTGGCCACCGGCCATGTCTCGTCGATGTACAGTTGATGCTCAGCTCCCGGTCTCGTGCATTCGACAGGGCAAGGGGGGCCCACGACGCCATGGATGCAAGGGATTGTGTTCTTTCGGTTTCACGGCTGAGTCCTTACAGTGTATGCGCCACTCCCGATGCTTGGGAGACGGATTGGTATCCGAAGGGCGGCTATCCAGGTCGATCAACCTCACCAGGGGACGGGAGTCAGGCAACTGTCGAGTCAAGGGCCAATCCGAATTGGTTGAGGGCAATGCGGATAACCACCTATGCCGTACCTGTACCTACCACAATACGTACTTGTAGTTGTATGTACATACATGTACAATATGGACACGATACGGGGCCGCTGCACGTCTGTAGAGGTCTTAGACCCAGCACATTGTATGACCCCGCATCGCCAGTGTGCTGTTCTGGGAGGTCTCGTGGTTGAAAGAGTCGCGTTACCCCAGGACAATGGCATGCTCTCCCTAAGGTAAGCTGAGGTTTCCCTTGAAGCGTGCTGCTGCTTAGTAGTGTCCGTAAAGGAGCTCGAGTTCGCCTTTATCATCCGACCGGGATGCTCTCTGAGCCAAGGCATGAATGTCGTGGTGTGCAATCGAAACCTCGCATTCGCTGCAAAGGACAAAGCAGCTGCGGCAGGATCAGAACGCCTACACTACACTAGGTACACTAGTGGAGGAGCCTGCGATGGTAAGTTAAGGCATGGCAAGCTGATCATGACCGCGGATAAACTTTCTGCGAAAGGGAAATCCGCTCGAGCCCCCGACAAACAACGTGGAACCGCGGTTTGGCTGCACGCCGCATGTGGGCTGACCAATTGCGTGACTCTCTTGCCCCATAGACCCACCAGAGCCCACATTCCTCAATCAGGGGCAAGTCGGGTGGAGTTGCCGACGGAATGTGCCACCGCCTCGACTTACACTACTAGTACGAAACACTTAGGAGGTTCCTTACTCCGTACAGAGCATGTACAACTAAATACTAGGTAGTAACACATACATTCAAGACTATAGGGCTACGAGTATAATAAAATATCATATATCGCCTTGCCCACTACGTCTTCCTCTTTCGTCCTCGGAGCTTTAACGGAAGTAGTAGCTGCGAGGCTATTACTATGGACGTTAAGCACAGCGATGTATGTACATGTACTGTACCCGCTGTGTAAGCCGTCGGGGTGCTCAGCGACGGCAAACAACTACTGTACCACAGTCGTGCAGGCCGTACCCTACCTAACATGTAACATGTGTCTGTCATGGTACGCATTCCGTGTATCGCATCTGCAGACTATCAGCCGGTCCGAGGCGACCGGTTGGCGAGTGGCCCTCTATGACGGACAGCAGCATGAGGGCGTTGCATGTACCTCCACATTGAGGAATGGTTCGTCGGCTCACTGCAGGTCGTCTTGTGCGCCCCCCGCCCCGGCGGCCGCAAGCAACTTCGGACGGAGCAGAAGGATTGAGGCAGAGACACATGGCGGGTTGCACAGTATGGATGCCGGGACGCTGGGCAAGAGGCATTTAATAAATTGTGTACGGATGTACGCTGCAGCAACCAGCTATATGCCTACGGTAGTGTAGGTCCGCTGGTGTCGAGGTTGGTAGGATTCTGGTCCACGCCCGTGAGGGCATAGTAGGCAAGATACCTTAGGTATATCTTTAGCTAATACATAGGTGCATCTTGTCGTAAGACATCGACGAGAGGCGAAGGTCTACCTTGCTATATAGTGTACATGGCTCGTTGTTGATCGGCAATCATGGGAAGCCTTGGTCGTTCTGATCGATGAAACAATCCCGGGTGAATAGAGGGGTGCTTCAAGCAGGCGCACTGTGCGATTAACCTGGAACCCTTCCCAGTTCCCAACTTTCGGCTAGCGCATGGATTGTTCCCCTTTCGCCGCAGCACACAGAGGGAGCGAAGTTGAAGTGACGGTAAAAACCAAGCATGCCCTGGTGATGTTTGCGTGTGGGACCGACAACAGCGCAACGACATGCATCTATCGCCATTTCGAATTTCTTAGACCCGATAAGTTACAACCTTGAGGGGTCCCAGGACTTGTTTGCTGTCGTCAAGAGTCAGGACAATGTCCAGCTGTGCCGCAATGCCCAGGCTAAGCCAGGTTAACAATAGTGAGTACCTACGGGTATTCCCCACGTTGCGCTTATCCGGACTCCCGTCTGGAGCTTTTCTCCTGGATCCGCCAGGGTGCGGCGGGGGATCAGCAGCCCACAGTCAGGTCGCAAGAGTGGGAAGGCTGTGCAACCCAAGGATGCCCTGCTGCGGATGTCGCGATTTAGCACACAGTACTAGATGTACAAGAGCTCAAGAAGTGCAACTCCCGGTAATAATGGATTTCAAGCCGGTGACGGGACCGCAGGTGGACAGGTGTGTAGCAGTCCGATGCTACACTGGTGAGATCTCCAATGCGACATCCATCTCCGAGCCCGAACCCAGAGCTACCTTGCTGCTTGGGAACAATTCGTGGTCCATTTGCCGAAGTCAAGCTGGCCATTGAAGGCATCCTCCTTGGCTGCTGCTTCGCTGATGCGATGACACCATCGGATTGGCCACAGCGGCCCGGGGGAGCGACGGCGGGATATACCGTACCGTGCGTGCGCGGGCCACAAGTTACAACTGGCGTGCTGAGGTGCGCTGAGGTGCCCCTAGTTCAATGTACTCCCTATGCAGAGTCCACTCATGAGGGGCTAGCGTGTGTTCATCGAATTCATGCCGCTTCATCGCAAACCGGGCCTTTGATTTCGTTCACCGCGACGTCGGCCCCGAAGTTGGGTGCAAAGTGAAGGGCAGTTTTTGCCGTGGCTGGTGTGCCGTTCCCTCAGGGAGGGTCCTCGGTTTGGACAACGTACAAATTCGCTCAGCCCCAAAGGCACTCGGCGGCAGAGTTTCCCGATCGCGGTAACATACCGAGTGGCACAAGCCGTTTTGTCGGGAGACACACATCCCATCCATCGGCTGTCACTGACTCCTGCTCTTCTAGATCCTCGAGCTCGGCTCTTTTGCACCTCAGCTCTGAGGCTGGGCTGGCTCGTGGCTGGAGACTAGGGTTCGCAGCATGGCGCGAACGCTGGTTGGACAGCTGCATCATGCAGGAACACAGCAGTTTCGCACGGCGACCCACATTGTATCTCTGCGAACCAAGCCGCTGCCATTCGTTGCTGCTGCCGTTGGGCTCCTGTTTGCCCGAGGCGCTTGACCGGCAGGGGTTCGCGACCCACGACCCGCCTAGAGTGGGAGCCGCCCACACATCCGACGATGCTCGCTGTTGGCGGGTTTTCCTGGCGACTCTTGAACCCCCCATGTCCCCCTTCTCGCTTTTCCCCCCCGTCTCTCATTTTTGTCCACCTTCGATCGCATTTGCTTCGTCCCCCGTCAAAACCGCCGTACCTTTTCCCCTTCCCTCTCCCCACTTCTACCTTCGCTTTTCTCACTTCAGTCGCTCCCTTGGAATAATCTTCTATCAATTCAAACGGAATCCGTTCATTCTTTCCGGGTTCCATTCACCCCCTTTTTGGCTTGACCCCAACCACAGTTTGGATAAAACATCAACGGTCGACCCCTATCCCAAGTTGACCCCAATACCCAACCTCCTGTTTCGATCACCGACTCAGGACGACGCTCCTTTAGCAACAAGCGACTTCCATATTTCATTCGGTCATTCATTTCAGCCACACGCCTTACACTTATTGGATACGACATCCATTTGCCGACGTGGGCATCGACCGAAACGAGCAAAAGGCCCACACTACCGACTCGGAGCGGCTAGATTTGAGTGCTCAGTCTCGGAACAAAAAGACAGGATAACGCGTATTTCTTCCCTATATACACTGGGCGACGCACGAAACGATCGCCCCCGAAATGGCGACCGACGTGATCAAGGAGGAACCACAGCTGGAGCATAATGAGGAGCTCAAAGATGAAATCAAGCAAGAGGAGGGACCCGCTCCATCCTCGGCTGCGTCGACTTCCCCGTCCGGTAGCAAGTCTCCGCTGCCCACGCCCAAGTCAGCCACTCCCAGCAAGGTCGCCAAATCCCCTGCAAATGGCTCCAAAAGCCATAGCTCAGGGTCACGGCGGCCATCGCGCAAGAGCACTCTCACCCAACAGCAAAAGAACCAGAAGAGACAGCGGGCAACGCAGGATCAGTTAACCACGCTCGAGATGGAATTCAACAAAAACCCCACGCCAACTGCCGAAGTCCGCGTGAGGATAGCTGAGGAGATCAACATGACCGAAAGGTCTGTTCAGATCTGGTTTCAAAATCGGTGAGGTTCCCAACCCCCTGGCCGCGGTCCCGGAATGCAGCCCGATTAACCCTAAGACAGGCGTGCCAAGATCAAGATGTTGGCGAAGAAGAGTCTCGAGAGCGGCGAGGACATGGACTCAATCCCGGAGTCGATGCGACAGTATCTTGCAATGCAGGCGATGGAATCGGGCAAGAGCATCCCGGGCTTTTTTGGCCGGACTGGCTTTATGCCCTATGGACACCAGGGAATGATGGGCGGTGAACAGTCCGGGCCAGGCAAAGTCTGTAAGTCGCGACTCTCAACGCACACACCGTGGCGTCCCATACTAAGTCTCTAGTGATTCACCATCTCAATTGCCGGTCCCTCACCATCGGAAGGTGGATGCGGGTTGGCCAAAATGCGATGGACTTGATCATCTTCTACTCTCCCGACAAATGCACGATGACCTACTACATCAACAACGACCAGGCGGGTTACAAGATTGAGTATCCGTTTTCATACATCAAGAACATCTACCTCAACAACGTTGAAGGTGGTGATCAGCTTGGTGGGATCACGATTGAGCTTCTGCAACCGCCCTTGTTCTACATGGACTCGTCGACCACTGCGACCTTCATCCAAGTCAACGACTTTACCGAAGACCTCCAGGCGTCTCGGGTACTAACGCACCACCTCGGTGGAAACCCGAAGGTGCTGAGCGGTCAGCTGGCGAAGCTGGTCAGTCTTGAGGCTTTCATTCACCGGCATAGCGCCCCGGCTACTGCGTATGACCAGCTGCACCCTCTTTCCATGTCCGCTCCTGTTTCGCCTGCAGCCCGACCGTCGTCGCAGCCGAATTTTGCACAGCCGCACGTGGGCATGTTCCAAGAGTCGCAGTGGGGTATCGCACCTCATCATCAGACCATGATGATGCGCGGGCCGGGACACAAGAGACAGCGAAGTCGCAGTGTACCGGGGCCCATCGACTTCCAGACAATGCAACTGCTTCAACATCCCCCGAGCTTTCACATCACGCAACCGGAGAACCAAACGCAGCTACAAAACCCAAACATTTTCAGTCCGATTCCCCAACAACCGAACATGCTGGGCGCTGTCGGGCCGAACCTACGGATCGATACACGAGCGGGCTTCGGCACTCTCGACATGCGAGCGTACCCGCTCTCCGCGACAACAGCACCCTCGCCGTCCGACTATTCGAGCCCTAACTTCTTCGCCACTCAGCCTCCTGACAACGGTGGACTTCCAGCGCCTAGCTTTACGCCTTATAGTGGGACGTTTTCGCCAATGGCCAATCCCGCGAGCTTGGGTCTCCCTCCTCCTTCAATCTCTCCCCTCTCATTCAACCACTCGGACCCGGCCATTGTGGGCGAGTCACCGCCAATGTCGATGCCTCCAATCTGCGAGGGTTCTGCTATCTCGGACGACGGCACCGGTCTGAACGACATGTACGGGGGTGGGAAGCCGAGCATCACGCTGCCACTCCACCCTCACTCGCCGTATGTGGAGTCCAACCAAGCGGATATGGAGCTCAACCAGTTCATGGACCTCAAGCGGTTTGATGCTGAGCGGGCTTCAATGTCGCCCGAGAGCGTCCATGCCCAGTGATTTGGCATGCGATCATGCCTCACTTTCCTCTGGTTTCGCGATCCCAGCGACGGGCATTACCCTTATCATCGCTCTCGGGACAGCATTGATGGTTCATGATGTGCGATATACCCTTCGATAGAGTGGCTTGTTCCATTTGGTTTTCTTTTGCTTGCGGCGTTCCGTGATCTTTCCTCGTTGTATGTATCAGGGGGGCTGTCTCATGGCTGCCGCCATCGTCATTTGGACGACGAAGCAAAAAGTGCGACATATACAATCATCTCCGATCTATCAGCACACACTGGCAGCTTCTGGAATACTCTCCGACTTTCTTGCCACATCCCATCCACCAAGCCGCGATTTCACACGGCAGCATCCCACCCCTTGTGCTTCGAACACAATGGGCCCCGGATCGTTGTTTCATTTTCCGCCCGGAACCTCACTTGGTCGCATTTTGCGTCGTTGACTTTCTGCCTATTCATTCGCGAACTTTTCGCTTGTTGTTCTCCTGAGGAGTCTCTTACACCCTCCTCGGCGGCAATGTTTTAATGCCTATTCCCTGGTCTTTGGTTCTGGTCCTGTCAATTACCCTTTTTGGGCTGGAGTGGAGAGGAATCTCCATGACGGCAGTATCGGGCATTCGTGGGCTGCGGGGGGAAGGATGAATGGCGAAGCCCAGGAGGCTTAATTTTGGTAATGCGGTTCTAATAATTGGGGTTTGGGAGCATCATTTGCACTGCGAAATAGGGCTGGTTGGCTCGGTTGGAATTTAGGAGTTGATATTTGGTCTGCTAGTTTTGTTTTCTGGAGCAATGAATTGCGAACGTTGAAAAGTCGAGGCGCCATCGTGCCATAGACAAACGGAGTGACATGCGAAGGCTTGGAAATGAGGAACCCAGGAGGCAATCACGTCTTCCAGCACGCACTTCTTTCCCCTGCTCGTACCCATCGGGGAATCGTGAAACGTCCGGGGCAAACAACAAAGGCATTCCCAACCGGTGGTAAGGCTGCGCGGTTAGACTTGAGAGAAACTGGGTAGATCGCATGGCGGCCTATGTGGAAAAGCAAGCTGGCACTTGAACGCGTTTGGAACCTAGCTCAAACCTCTCGCCGGGATCGACGCCCCTCTGCAGCGCTCTGCGGGATGAGGATCCGCTTCAACTACGGAATCCGCTTCAACTAGGTACTCCGTAGTTGAAAGCACTCAGGGTCGAGCCTGGCATATACAAGGCACCATGTCTCTTACTACTAGTATTGTTCATATCAAGCATCTCCAATGCACCAGGCATTGGAAAACGGCGCCGTTTCGAACCACATACCACATGGTGTGGTGCGGTGTGCGTACAAATTACAATACATACGTACATAGGACATTTATACTCCGTCGAGAAGACAGCGCCGAGGGACGCAAAATCTTGGGCCCTCAAACTACCTAAGTTAGCACTTTATCTTCCCTGCTCAACCCCATCTCCACCACGATTACCTTAGTTACTGACGGTGAGTTAAACTCTTCGTTGAGAAACTGTACCTAATGTACGAGTGAGTACAAATTTTTGTAGTTGTCCGAAGCGGACGGGTAGAGCAAAAGCTGGTGGGGTCGAGATCTCACCCCCTCTGCGGGGATTTGCAGATCGGACCATTGGCATCCGACCGGAGTGATCCCAGATTCCCAATGAATTCTCAGTGATTCTTCACAGTGACCTGCGCCCATGCGCAGGTCACCCGGACGGTTGTCGTCGTTGGTGTCATCACGGTGACGGGCGGTGTCGGGTACACATACCATAAAACCACAATCATGTAGGTACCTACCGAGGTGGCCGCGCGTGTGCGCACTGGGATAACTTTAATACTTGTTGTTCAAGCCCTGATTCATTCCTGCTAGCCCGATTCAGGTTTCAACCATCTTTAAAACATTCCTCGTTAGGCTGAGTGTGCGGAGACACGCCACTCCAGCCAAGGAATTAGCAACCGCAGGCCGCAGGAGTCAGGACGCGTTACAAGAGCAGGGATCGATCTTTCAACGTGTACTACAGTGTACGTGTACGTACGAATCTCGCTGCATACTTGAGAAGGTTAGTCTGGCTCGAGCTTGGCACTGGCATTGGCAATGGCACTGGGAAGTCCCGTTGCTGGCTCGCACTGCCACAGCCACCGCGTGCCAAGCTTCCTAGTTCGGCCATGATTCCGGTTCCAAGTCTCGGGGCAGTTACGAAGTTACGAAGTACCCACTGTCTCCCATCCAACCTCGTGCAGCTGGTATTCCGAGATGCCAAACCATTCGTTCCAACTTGGTTCCTCTCTCCCATCCAACTATCGTTTATTCACTTCGCCACGCTATAGCAACAGAGTCAGAGCTCGTGCTCGGAGATGTTCACTCGTTACCGCATCACTCTTTAACCTGTTCGGCTGTGGAGATCCGTCTTGTTCCTGGGTGCGGCATGGAAGGAAGAAGCCAGCGAGAGACGGTCGATGCACTAAGAGACCAGCTGGAACACATCGAATTGCAAAATCATAGCCCGAGTATTCCTTCAGATGATTACCGCACGGCGCAGGATCCCCAGAGTGGTGAGCTCTCCCCGACACCGCGATGGGGCGTACGATTTGAGAATGGCGACGATGCTAGACCGCCGGGAGAGCCCCGGCGACCGCAACTAGCGCGAGCTAGGACAACAGCCGACCTCTACACGATCCAGTCGCATACATTTGTGCCGCCGACGAGGCAACTTGGTCAAGACCGGCTCGACCCGTCTTCTTCCACAGGACCACACGCTACCGGGCGAATTCGCATAGATGAGCCGAGAGTTTCCTTGACCCGGCCGCGCCAGACCATTGAGGAGTTACGAGAGAACGTCAAGTATGTCGTCGCCCCCGACGGGAAGACCGCCGATGCACAGTCGCTGGGGAGTTGGATTTCGCGGCGCAGGAAGCAGCAGAGGCGACTTGCCCGCCAACCGTGGGAAAAGGCACGGGCGATTGCCGAGAGGGCATACAAGCGCTATATCGTGGAGGGATTGTTGAGACAGAAGCCGATCCCGCCAAGCCAGGATGGGAGGCACATTCCCCTGAAGCCGGGGCTGGCAAGGCGGAAGCCCTTGAAGGACGAACGGACAGGCCATCCGTACGTGTCCAACGTGATTCGGTCGAGCAGATACACCATTTGGAACTTCCTCCCCAAGCAGATGTTTTTTCAGTTCAGCAAGCTCGCCAACTTTTACTTCCTCGTCATTGGTATTCTCCAGATGATACCCGGTCTCAGCACCACCGGCACCTACACCACCATCGGGCCGCTCATCGCGTTCGTTGCGCTCAGTATGGCGAAAGAGGGCTATGACGATTACCGCAGGTACAGGCTCGACAAGCTGGAGAACAGGAGCTCGGCTTGGGTCTTGGACCCGGAGAGGACCGTCAAAGAGCAGACGAGGAGCGGAGGTCGACGATTTCCGGGACTCCCCATCAGGAAGAGTGAGAAGGCAGCAGCCGACACGGAGGAGCAGGCCCAGGCGACTGGGGATGAGGCGATAGGGACCAGAGATGCGGAATCGGGGCATTGGGCAAGGGTTCAGTGGCAGGACCTCCGAGTGGGAGACATCATCCGGCTGCGGCGAGACGACAATGTGCCGGCCGATATTGTTTTGCTCCACGCGACCGGCCCCAACGGCGTCGCGTACATCGAAACCATGGCGCTAGATGGAGAGACGAACCTGAAGAGCAAACAAGCATGTCCGCTGCTGGCTAAACAGTGCTTCCCGGTCGAGAGCATGGGGGCGTGCGTGGCCGAAGTCGTGTCCGAAGATCCGAACATGGACCTGTACAACTTTGAAGGCAGAGCCACGGTCAACGGCGAGACCATGCCGTTGACCTTGAATGAGGTCGTGTACAGGGGGTCGACGCTGCGGAACACGGCCGAAGCCGTTGGTCTGGTCATCAACAGCGGTGAGGAGTGCAAGATCCGCATGAACGCGAACAAGAACGTTCGCGCCAAGGCGCCCGAGATGCAGAACATTGTCAACCGCATCGTCATTATGCTCGTGTTCTTCGTCATTTTGCTCAGCCTTGGCTGCACCGTCGGCTACATCGTTTGGCGGCGCCAGTATGAGCGCCGCGCCTTTTACCTTCAACACGGGTCTGTCGAGCTGGGACAGATCTTCATCGCTTTCGTCATCGCCTACAACACGCTCATCCCGCTGTCGCTCTACGTCAGCCACGAGATCGTCAAGCTCGGGCAGCTCTTCCTGCTCCGGGACATCGAGATGTACGACCCGGTTACCGACACGCCAATGGTGGCCAACACAACCACGATCCTGGAGAATCTTGGCCAAGTCAGTTATGTATTCTCGGACAAGACCGGCACATTGACCGAGAACATGATGAAGTTCCGCAAGATGAGTGTCGCGGGGACGGCATTTCTCCATGACCGGGACCTGCAGAGAGAATCCGAGAAGAAGGGAAAGAAGCCGATGCGCAGAGACACTGTCGAGCGTGATGAGAAGGTGCGCGATACCTCGACTGCGAAGATCTCGACGCGCGTGACAGATCTGGAGATGATGGAGGAGGATCCTCTTGTCGAGGGCCGCCGTTCGGAGACCCGACGCCTGCCGAGGACCAACACTGGCGCATCGAGATGGAAAACAAGCACCCATCCCGCCCACGGACAGCCGGAGGCCAAGACGGACGACCTAATTCGCTATCTCACCAACAAACCTCACTCCCACTTCTCGCGCAGGGCTCGCCAGTTCATCCTCTGCCTAGCGCTGTGCCACACCTGCCTCCCGGAAACGGGCGAGGATGGAGAGATCGCGTTCCAGGCGGCATCGCCCGACGAGCTTGCTCTTGTCGAGGCCGCAAAGGACTTGGGATACCTGCTGGTCGACAGGGCCGCGCAGAGCATGACGCTGCAAGTATGCCATGCCGACGGTTCGACGACGCGCGAGACGTACGAGATCATGGACGTTGTCGAGTTCAGCAGCAAGCGGAAGCGCATGTCCATCGTTGTCCGCATGCCGGATGGCAAGCTGTGCATCTTCACCAAAGGCGCCGACAGCGTCATCTTACCGCGCCTGAGACAGAAGCAACTTGCCATCCAAACCGCGTCGGCCGTCGAAAGGAGAGCAAGCATGCGCAGGAGCATGGAGCAGGAGAGGGCTCTCCGCAGACAGAGTCTGCACAGCGCCAAGCCGCGCAACAGTTTGAACTTCAGCAGACGGGCATTGGACCGGAAGGACAGCTGGCACCGGTCGGCTGCGATCGCGGGCGAGGTTGACAGCTGGCTGACCCGCCGCCAATCCGAGGCCGCAGACGAGCAGCTGCACGACGCTGACCCTTACTGCCACACCCCGCGCCGCTCTCTGGCCGGCGCGCGATCGCTGGAACTGGCGCAGATCGCGGACCCGAGCGATGCTTTGGTGGACGAATCGCTGGTGCTGAACGAGGCTGCCGTGTTTGAGCGCTGCTTCCAGCACGTGGACGAGTTTGCGACCGAAGGTCTCCGGACGCTCATCTTTGCCTACCGCTACCTGGACGAAGACGAGTACCGCAAGTGGAAGGCTATCTACCACCAGGCGACGACCAGCCTTGTCAAGCGCCAGGAGCGCATCGAGGACGCCGCCGAGCTGATCGAGCGGGACTTCGACCTTGCCGGGGCGACGGCGATCGAGGACAAGCTGCAGCAGGGCGTGCCCGAGACCATCGACAAGCTGCGGCGGGCCAACGTCAAGGTCTGGATGCTGACGGGCGACAAGCGCGAGACGGCCATCAACGTCGCCCACTCGGCGCGCATCTGCAAGCCCTTCTCTGAGGTGTACATCCTGGACGTGACGCAGGGCGACCTGCAGGAACGGCTCTCCCTGACGCTGACCGATGTCAGCCGCGGCATGGTCCCCCACTCGGTCGCCGTCATCGACGGGCACACTCTGTCCGCGGTGGAGGACGACGACGCGCTCCGGGTGCTGTTCTTTGACCTGGTCGCTAGAGTCGACTCGGTCATCTGCTGCCGCGCCTCGCCGTCCCAGAAGGCAAACCTCGTCAAGTGCATCCGGCGCCAGATTCCCTCGGCCGTGACGCTTGCCATCGGCGACGGCGCCAACGACATCGCCATGATCCAGGCCTCCCACGTCGGCATCGGCATCTCCGGGCGCGAAGGCCTGCAGGCGGCGCGCATCTCGGACTACTCGATCGCGCAGTTCCGCTTCCTCCAGCGGCTGCTCTTTGTCCACGGCCGGTGGCTCTACGTCCGGTCCGGCAAGTACATCCTGGGCACCTTCTGGAAGGAGGTGGTCTTCTACCTCGTCCAGGCCCACTACCAGCTCTTCAACGGGTACACGGGCACGTCCATCTTCGAGTCGACGTCGCTCACGGTCTTCAACACCATCTTCACCTCGCTGCCCGTCATCATCCCGGGCATCTTCGAGCGCGATCTCTCGGCCGAGACCCTCCTCGCCGTGCCGGAGCTGTACACCTTCGGCCAGAAGAACAAGGGCTTCAACTTCCTCCAGTACCTCGGCTGGATGCTCCTGGCCGTCGTCGAGTCCGTCATCATCTATTACGCCGTCTACTACATCTACGCCGTCCCGACCCACTGGCCCGTCCCGACCGACCTCTATCCCGTCGGCACCCTCGCTTTTGCTCTGGCCGTCGTCTTCATCAACCTCAAGCTCATGTTCCTCGAGGTCCACGACCGCACCTGGGTCATCCTTGGCGCCATGGTCCTGTCGCTCACAGGCTGGTGGGTGTGGAACGTCCTGCTGAGCGCGCTCTTCAAGGATTCTGTGGGGCCCTACGTCATACGCGACGCCTTCCTGGGCGGGTTCGGCCGCAGGGGCATGTGGTGGCTTGTGTTTTTCGCCGTGCTGTCGGCGCTGGTGGTGTTTGAGCTGGGCGTCACGGCTGTGCGCAAGTCTCTGTGGCCTACCGATCGCGATCTCATGCAGGAGATGGAGGCTGTCAAGGGGGTGAAGGAGGTGTTGAGGGAGCATGCTACTGCTGCTGCTGCTGGTGCTGGTGGGACCGACGATTATGATCGCGATTACGGTGATGGCGGGGAGGCTGTCGCTGCTGCTGGTGGTGGTCCGGCAGTAGTGGTCGCGGGGGATGCGGGCTCGTTGGAGACGGTCCCCTGTGCGGCTGTGCCGTCGCCGTCGCATTATGTCCATGGTGCGGCCGGCGGTGGTGGTGGGCGGTTGACGGGGGAGTTTGCGAGGCCGCCGTTTACGCCGCCGTCCGAGGAGCGTGAGGACGTCACGGCGGAGAGTTCGAAAATACGAGGTGATACTCCTCAGCAGGCTGCTGTGGCACGCCAGTCTACGATTTGACGAAATGATCTATATTTATGGGCGTTTATCCGGTTGCTTTTGGGTTTTGGCTTGAACGGTGGGGGAGGGGGGGGGGGGGGGGGGGGGAGGTGTATATGAGCTGGGTTGGGCAAGGTAACATACATACCTAGATACTGATGCATACGATACGACGGAACGTTATAACGGGGAGAGCACACGGTCCTTTTCGTTTGGTTGGAACAGGCATTGGAAAGGGAGCATAGGCACTGGGGTGCATTGGATGGCACACATACAATACCTGAGGGGTTGGTTTATCAACACCTCTGGTCGGCTTTCGTTTGCAGGATGTGATTGATAGAGTGGCAGCAACTGCTTCGTTTGGTTGAAACGTCAGGCTTGTCGAGATAGGTCTGGTAAGATACCCTAGCTGAGACCAAAAACTACTGTCTCTTTTACGTGATGTTCTCTTGAAGAAATGTGGATTGTGAGTTGTGGATGCGGATGATGTGCGCACTTTGGTGTGGTTTGTGATCTGTACATATTAAGGCATCCGGGCGACTCAATGTTACCTCCAGCCGTGGGAAGACATGAGAGTCTGGGGTACTGAGATGGTATTACGGGCTAGGCATCTATGGTGGGACTATCCGACCCTCTATATATGCTTGGTATATGGTGTATATGCCAAACAGCGCTTCAAAATTTGGCAAGAGAAGGAATGTTACTCAGAGCCCCTGCTGTGTGCGCGGGCTCGGGGCTCGGGCCTCAGTTAACCGCCGTGCTGTTTGCAGCATCTGGCGCCTGCTCAACCTTGAGCTCGGCCATCTTCTCTTCGATCGCGACCGCCTCTGGCTCGCTCGAGTCAGCCTTGTCTACCGTGGGCTCCCCGGTCGGCTGCGGCCCTGCAACACCAGTCTCGGTGGCGCCGGCGAGATAGTCCTCCGACTCTCCGAGCTGCTTCCCGCCCGCAAGCCAGCGCTCCCACCGAGCCTCGCGGCGCTCGCCGCAGAGCTTCTGCAGCGCCGGCCAGTACACGGAGTGGTCGTACTCGAACTCGAGGTTGCCGCTGCTGAACTCGTTCCACATCTGCTCCGGCGGCACGTACTGGGCCATGTCCTCGTTGAACTTGAGCTTCTCGCGCGTCATGGGGTCGATGAAGGGCGTGATCAGCTTGAAGAAGCCGGTGACGATCCAGGGCATGTTGATGATCAGCGCCTTGCCGAGCCGCTCCGGGTAGTGGTGCTGCAGGATGTGCAGCACCTCGCGGGCCAGGCCGATGCCGGGCGCCGTGTTGGAGCGCGACTTGCTCTGCTTGAAGTTGATCAGCAGCGCCAGCGTCTCCTGGCCGGGCGGCATGATGTCGATGACGCGCTCGACCATGAAGACGAGGTGCTGCACCTGGCGCGGCGACGGGTCCGTGTTCTGGCGGCCCGGGTTGAGGTAGTGGCACACGCGCGCTTCCTTGTCGTAGCCGAGGATGATCTGCTTCCCCGTCTCGTTCTCGGGCGAGATGTGCTCAGCCGTCAGCTCCTCGACGCCGTACTCCCTCCGCCAGGTGAGCGTCTCGAGCAGCCGCTTCTCGGCCTCCCTCTCGTGCCATTTCGTCGCGCGCAGGTAGCGTAAGAGACACTCCCGCGTCAGCCAGAACTTCTCGTTGTCGCTGAGCGGGCCAGCTTTCCCCCCCTTTGTTGAGGGCACCTCGGTCCACGCCTTGGCCTGCGCGAGCAGCCAGTCGTACTTTTGCTGCTGCTCGGCCGTCAGGGCTGCCCGCTCCTTGGGGCGGCTCCCGGGCGCAGGCGAAGTCAACGGGACTTTGAGGGGACCCGCGGCTTTCTCTTGCCCCGAGTCTGTGGCGGATGCCTGTGCAGCGGCCGCTGTCGCCATGCTGTTCTGAAATGTGGAACTGATTACTGCAACAACAGGAAAGTGGATTGATGCTGGACTGACAGAAGATCAGTCTCAAGGCTGCTTGGTAGCGTCAGCATCGGGTCGCCGGATCCTTTGGGAACTCGAATTACGGATACACACCGCCAAAAGACAAGCTGCACTTTGGGTCAGCTCAGGCAAGATTCTCCAGCGAACTCCAGCAAATCTGGCAAGGCAGGCTGACTGCTACCAGATTAGCTTGATTCAGGTTAATTCATCTAGCGATTGGGCAGTAAAATGCTGGGAATATGGAGATAGCGAGCCAGATTATCAGATGAACTGTTGCTGACAGCGGTCTTCTAATGACCCTTGGCGTTGCAGGGATCTATCTTAGGTATGTGCACGGTCAATTCGAGTGCACTAACTGGTTTTGGCTCAGAACCTCGTTCTCGCGTAAAGTGCTTTCGTCGCGTCTCACCGCGTCCCACCTAATGCCCCTCCATGAACGATTGACGGCTCCCAATATTACGGGTCGCGCAAGAAACAAGCCTCGATATCCGTCCTCAGAACTGGCATGAGGATCGAAATTGACGCAATGGCCGACGAGACGCTTGCAGAGCTGAACCAGCGGTTCGGCTCGGGAACCAAGGACCTGGAGCCCGATGTCGTGGCCGAGCTCAAGTCCATCATGCGCCTGCACCAGCTGTCGGTGCAGGATCTGTTCTTCAAGTGGGAGTCGTACGGCATGAAGATGGGAATGGACGACTTTGTTGCCTCGATCGACAATCTCCGCGCATTCAAGCAGAACCTCCAGGACGAGCTGGAACGGAGCAACCGGTCGCAACAAATCAAAACCGAGAAACGCGCCGGCGCGACCCCGCGGGCGGGCAAGGGCGGCGATGTATTTGGGATGCTAGATGGCCTCGCAACTCCCGGAGCAAGGCGGATTGCCAAGGCTGCGAGGAGAACACCTGCCGTCTCGCGGGTCAAGGCTGAACCGACGAGCTCACCGCTAAAAGTGGAAGAGCAACCCAACGTAGTGGGCGCAATCCCGTATGGTGCTCCTCTAGCCCCATTCGTGGACGCTGAGTATGCTAACATTTGCGATTCGGGTAGCCCATCGTCCTTCAAGGAAAGACCGAACGCCGGCGAAGTGCTCGAAGTCCTCAACGAGCACTTAGAGGCTGCTGAGCCGCCCATTTCCCCGTTCAGCGAATCCCGCATCAAGCTCACCGCCGCGTCAGACCAGAAGAAGCTCGGGTACAAAACTCTTGCTATGAAGACGTCCGAGGCATCCGAAATCCTAGACGACCGGATAGACCAGTTCGTTAGTGCGGTGATGGAGCACCACAAGCTCGAGGAATCAGCTTTCGGAAGTCCGGCCAGCCAAGGGACCACGGAGATCGTCGCCGTTGGCCGGATTGCATCAGATTCGCCGGAAGGCAAGCTAAACGCAGCCTCTCTGGTATTAGAGACGTCAAGGAGGATGGGCAATGGGCTGCGCGTGCCCCTGAAGCTGGACAAGCTCAAGGGCTACCAATTCTTCCCCGGCCAGATCGTCGCTCTTAGGGGTATCAACACCTCCGGGCGCGAATTCACCGTCTACAAAAGCCTCGCCATCCCCCTTCTTCCCAACGCCGCCTCGCCCCCCGACGCTCTCTCCGCCCACATCTCTCGACTCCGCGGCGGGCCTGACGCGATGGACGCCGACACCGACCCCCCCCCGCTCAACATCCTCTTTGCCTCCGGGCCCTACACAGCCGACGACAACCTCGACTTCGAGCCCCTGCACACCATCTGCAGCGAAGCAGCCGACACATACGCCGACGCGCTGGTGCTCGCAGGGCCCTTCATCGACATGGAACACCCGCTCATCGCGTCGGGGGACTTCGACCTACCCGCTGAGGCGAGCTACGACTCGGACACGGCCACCATGACGACCGTGTTCAAGTACTTCATCTCGCCCGCGCTCAACCGGCTGGTCAGCCTCAATCCAACGGTCACCATCCTGCTGGTCCCCTCGGTGCGCGACGTGATTGACAAGCACGTCGCCTGGCCGCAGGACGCCTTCCCGCGCCGCGAGCTGGGCCTGCCCAAGACGGCCAAGATCGTCGGCAACCCCATGACGCTGAGCATCAACGAGATGGTGGTGGCCATCAGCTCTCAGGACGCCCTGTGGGAGTTGAGGCATGAGGAGCTCATCGGCGGTGCCCGCTCGGCCGACGCCCTGTCGCGCGTGAGCCGGTACCTGATCGAGCAGCGGCACTACTTCCCGCTGTTTCCGTCGACGGATAGGAGGAAGCTGCCCAAGACGGGCACAGCAGGGGTAGCCGATGGCGGTGAAGGAGGCATACCGCCTGGCGCGATGCTCGATGTGAGTTATCTGAAGCTGGGCGAGATGGTGAATGTGCGGCCGGATGTGCTTGTTGTGCCGAGTGCGTTGCCGCCGTTTGCGAAGGTCAGTTTTCTCTTGTTCTTCCCCTGTTTTTGGAGAGATAGCTGACCGCGAGAACTGTAGGTCGTGGAGAGTGTGGTTGTCATCAACCCCGGCTATTTATCAAAGCGAAAAGCTGCCGGTACATACGCCAGGATGACGCTCTATCCCCAGTCTCAGAAGGATATTGCGAGTGGTGGCATGGTCGCCCATAGGATATTTGACAGGGCGAGGGTAGAGATTACGAGAATCTGATCGAACGTTGTTGCAATATAAATTATTCATGACCACGGTATGGCCCGGCTATTGAGGGATGCGCATCTAAACCGACAGGAGGCTTGGGGGTATCAAGACATAACGGTTACAGAGGTACTGTACAATGCATCCCGGCGTGCAGAGTGCACAGTCAGCGTTATCTGGCTTCCACTCTCCGCCGCTTGTCGCTCTCGTACCGATCCCTGTCCCGTTCCCGGGACGGTGATCGTTTCCTCCGCTCTCCCCTGTCCCGTACGGGTGACCGTGACCTCGACCGTCTTTGCCTATCCCTGTCACCGTCCCTGTGCCTATCTCTGCTCCGATCTCTAAACCTGTTCCTATCCCGATCAGAGCCCATATCCCTATCCCGATACCGATCGCCTTCCCGCGGCTTTTCCCTCCGCTCCCCAAGCGGAATCGAATTGGCGCCCTTGCCGCCACTGTCATGGCTCCTCTCCCAGTCCCGGCGACGGTCGTCCGGCTGGAACCGCTCATCGACACCGCGGTCGAACTGCCGCCGCGGGCGCCCATCGTCCCAGCGCCCCCACTGGCCCGTATCCTCGCTCTTGAGATCCCTGTACTTCGTGGCGCCCTTCTTGCCAATCTTGGTCATGTCCCTCAACTGCAAGGCCTTGGGGAGCAGCTCGCGATTCACGTCGTCGGCGAACTTGGCCCCGACAAGATCCCGCTTGTCCAGCCCGGCCGCCTTGCTCTCGTCCTGGTAGAAGGCGCCCCTGTGGAAGTACTTCTGCATGTACCCCATCTTGCCGCGGCTCTCCTTCTCCTCGCGCTGCGCGGCGAGATGCGCCTCGTCCTCGGCGCGCCGCTCCTCCTCGGTCAGGTTGCGCCGCCGCTCGATCTCGGCCAGCTCCTTCTCCTTGGCCTCGATCGCCTCGCGCTCGCGCCGCAGCCGCTTCAGCTCGCGCAGCTTCCACGCCGCGTACTCGGCTTCCGGGTCGATGTCGTCGGTGTCGTCGACCTCGTGTTCTGTGCCGCTCTCGTCGTCTTCCCAGTGTTTCTTACCGGCGGCGCGGGCGGCCAGGTCCTTCTTGATCTGCTCTTCGACCAGCTCGTCCGCAGCCTTGCGGCGGGCTTCTTCGGCGGCTGCTTCGTCTTCTGCTGGAGCGGAATTTTCTGCCTTCGGGGCCGTCGTCGAGCCGTTCCCTTGCCGTTGGCTCCTAGGGATGAACTTAGGCCGCATCATTAATCGTCGCGGGGCCTCTTCTTCTTCTGAGCTCTCCTCCTCTTCCGAACTCTCTTCTTCGCTCCCTTCCTCGTCTTCTTCTTCTTCCTCCTCCTCCTCTTCCGTCACAAACCCCTCCTCCTTTGCTTTCTTCTCCGCCTCGATGCGCGCCTTTCGAGCGGCCTCACGACGGGCTTCTTCATCCTCCACCTCCCCTAGACCCACACCTTTGAGATCAATCTTTGCGCCATCGCCGCGGCTGATGATTCGCCCGGGTCCCGCGGCACTCGCGAACTTGGGTGGCGGCGCGGTCCTCCGGGGGGCCGCTTTCTTGGTTGTTTCCTCTTCTTGATCGGATCCGCGGGCGTCTGAATCAGAATCGGACTCGGGGCCAACCGGCTTGCCGGCGCGGTAGCGCGCTGGCTTGAGCGGGTTGGCGGTCATGCGCTTTTCGGCCGGCATTTTTGGGCAACGGAAGAGTGGGTTGGGAGGGTTGTTTGATGATTCGTGACAGCTAGGGCAATCGGGGGATTTATTAGATTTACTAGTACAGTAGTACGTCAATTGTCAATTGCATGGTGCCGGGTCGGGCTAGATGCACTGTGGCAGTAGCGCTAAATAAAGCACCTACCACATCGTAGTACGTAGGTACCTTAGGTAAACACCGACTTGGCTCCACCCTGGTAAGCCGCGCTCTTGTGTGGAATCGATTCACTCAACGGTCCGCTATCATCAGAGCTCTATATGGATTTTTCTAAACTTGAATGATGAATATACTCAAAACTGGTGAAGGCGCCCCTGGAGACAGGCCGGCATGCTTGTCACCAAAGCTAATGAACGAAACGTGACGAGATCCGTGAGACGAGAATAAGTTAACAACAGCCTTTCTTTGTAGGTGCTCTGCTCTAAGCAAATCCAAGGACCGATCTGTCTGCTATGAATCCCAAAGTTATCTCTCCCACAGTTACCTATCCCAAACGTATACCGGCGCACTTGCCACATATCAAGATCCGCCTAGCTTCGGGGCTTTCCCAGCTAGCTGCATCACTCCAAATGCTCGATCTAACTCCTGCCCTTCATCCGGGACAGCCATCTCACTGGGTCCCTCAACATACGAATCCCCGCTTTCGTCACCGAAACCATGGAAGTTCAGTTGCACCGGCTGCTGCAACAGCCACATATACTGCCCATGTCCATACCCCTCCGTGAGCCCTTGGCCCTGCTCAGGAACGGCCGCACCAGTCTCCGCCCGGCCACCGGTTGCGACCTCGTGCCCCGCAGCCTGAAGATCTTGAGCCGCGATCTCGGCGGGCTTTCTCTCTGGCTCCAACAACCTTGCCTCACTATCCAGCCATCCCGGCGCTAGCCTCCGCTTCTCGGCCAGCTCCCGCGCCTTGATGCGCTCGTCAAACTCCCGCAGCTCCTTCTCGGACTTTGCCTGCAGCTGCGCGACATACGCGTGCAGCTCCCGGCAGGCCTGCAGAATGTCGTCGGGGTGGGCTGTGTATCCGGATGCGGAGACGACGTATCTTGGTTTGTTGGCCGGCGCTGATGGGTTATTGGTGTTGTTGTTGGCGTCATCTGTTGTTGACGCTGTAGTGATGCCCAACGTCGAGGGTGGCAGCGTGGACGGCATCTGCTTGTATTGATACGGCAGTGTGGTCGCCGTGGGGAGTTGGATGAACGGCGAAACCGTGAGGGGAACTTGCTGAAGAAGCGGGTGAGTTTCTGTCTCGGGGTTAGCAAGTCGAAGTGGCTTTTTGGTGCTGGAAAGTATGGCGAGATTTACCGTGGTCGTGCATCGTGGAGTAAATGCGCTGGAAGAACGGAAGTTGTTGTTGAGTCAGAATGCTAAGGCAGCACGAAATAGAATTGTTAAGATTAGAGTGCGATGTTGATGGTAAGTTAGACGTTCACGTTCGATTTGATATCAGTTGTAGGTTGTTGTGTCCGTAGGTGGTGTCGGGGGTAGTGGCCCTGGTTATAAGGCGGCGGCGGCGCGTTGAAGGCCCCTGCGGGCTACCCTCACCTACCTACCCGACACAGTACATATTTAATCCGTACTGTGCTCCGCTATCCGGTACCTGAGCGTTGACAGCCACTCAAAGCGCAGGCCCCACTGTCGATAAGCCCGATAAAAGCTCGAGCTCATGTCAACCCCACGTCACTTGCGATGAAACAAACAAATGGCCATTGCCATCGTTCAGCGCTCAAGATGAGTCTCCAGACAGTCCGGTCACCGTTCGCCTTGAGCGACTACACCCCGCTCTCCGACCACCAGGAGCAGACGCCGAACAGTTTCTACGAAGGAAAACCGGTGCTATACTACTATGCGACGGGCGCAAAGGCTTGGATCCCAAAGTCGCAGCGGGGCAAGCTGCCTTTCTTCCCTGCCGACCTCTCGTCCGAGCCAACCTCCCCCGAGAACAGCGCGTTGAACGGCCAGACCGAAGAGAATGTCGAACAGAAAGTCGATCTCTTCGTGAACTCTCGGTATGAGCACCGTAGGCCAAAGGCAGTCAACCGGTCCATTCTAACGTCCACCTTCCAGAAACCTCTCTATTTTCTGTCCCTCGGCGGAGCGCGGTGTCTCAATTCCCTACCAACAGATCAGCATCCACGCGATCAAAGCCCTCCGTGCCAGCTCCGAGTCCGGCGATCAGACCTTCCCTTCAGTCTACCTCCAACTCGAACTCGCCGAGGGCGGTGCTGGTGACGACGAGTTCGAAACGGTTGAGCTCACACTGATCCCTCGGCCCGAACCTTCTACTACCGCAACCTCAACCTCAACGGACCCCGAAACTGCGGGGACGGCAACGCCATCCAAATCCGAAGCAGCCAAGCTGTTTGAGGCCATCTCGGACTGCTCCAATCTCAACCCGGACCCTGTCCAGGACGGGGATGACGAGGAGGACGATAAGGACGGCGCGCAGATCATCTTTGAGGGAGACTACGAGCCGGTCGAGGGGTTCAGCGGCGTTTTCGCCGGCGCAAGGGACGGTGGGCTACCGCCTGCCATGCCTGGTAGTGGAGGCTGGATCACGGCGGAGAATGTACATGAGTATTTCGACGAGGAAGGGAATTGGATTGGTGGTGATGCGGAAGGAGAAGAGGAAGGCGAAGGCGTGAGTGGTGAGCTGGGGGAAGGGGCTGGTACTGTTCATGCAAGGGAGGAGAATGAGCAGGGGGTAAACGGGACCAGGACTGGGGCGGATGAGGGTGATATTAAGAGGCCTAGGAGGGAATGACATGACGACTGGTATTCGTTGAAGGTGGTATTGTGCCTGGCGCACGGTGTTGCGATCGCCGGGTTGTGTCTAGGATAGTTACGGTCGAGCTCTAGACAGGGCATTATCGCACGATGGCATGCCGAGGCAGGCAAAAGCAGCGTGGGATGGACGGTATTCTCACCAAAGACCTATGTTGTCTGGGTTTGAACCGCGCATAAGGGTCTTCTCCCACCTGCGAGCGTCGCAGCCGCTCATATGGAATTCTGACGAGCCAACCCTAACCCTGGTCTCATCTCATCTCATTCTTGTAAAGTTCCATTTTCTGGGGCAGTGAACTCGCTCTAATAAGACGACAGGTCTCCAAGCCAACGAGATGGCCCGTTTGCCATACTGGCAGCAGTATAGCGAGAGCATTGGACGCATATAACACGATATCTTATTGGTTTTCGTTTTCCCGCTTAGAAGGTCGGCCGGCGGCCGGCGCGGATCTAGCTTTGCTCAGGATTGTTCCACGACAGGAGCCAACTCGCTGTCACATGAAGACGCGACTGTCTAAACGTACAAGCGAGCAGGGGCCTTCCTGTCTTTTTTTCTTACTAGAGGTTGGTTCTTTGCGTTCCTTGCTGCATATCCCTGCTTCTCCCCCAGGTATTAACTGACTCGGTTTGGCATTCGTAGCATGGCCTCGCAAGTCCCATGGCACCGCGTTGGTCTCGGCCCCAAGACCCGCGCGCGTCCGCGTCCCAGACTGAGACCGCGGTCTTTGCTATGTCTTGGCCTGGCTATTTGCATGTTTTGGTGGCTCGTCCTGCCGTACGATAATACCGTCTGGCTGGCCGTCCGCTGGAATATCAAGAGACTCGAGGCTGCCATGACATCGCGCCCGAGCGAGCAATGGATTTACGGGCAGCCGACGTATCCTGTAGACCTGGGTCAAGACGTCCTGGTCATCTTAAAGACAGGATATGGCACCAAAGACAGGGTGCCAGCTTGGTTCGACTCTCTGAGCGCTGTGAACGAGTTTCGGGATATTCTCCTCATCGCCGACTACGAAGGTGATAGAGGACATTACCCCGACGCTTTTCAGCATCATGGCGAATGGCTTAAGGTACATGACGGTGTGGGACGTGCCCTCCGCCATCTGCGCGCGCACTTGTCCCACCCAAGGGTTGGCAAGTATAATGACCTGCGCGAGGCCATCGACAAGGGGGACGAGAGACTGGCCCTTCGATACTGCAAATCGTTTGGGTGGGAACTGGACGCGATGAAGGTGAGCTGAGACCCAAAGATCCAACCCTCGCCCTCCTGTTCCTCCTCGTGCGCTAACGGCCGGCGTACTCATCTAGTTCATCTCAGGTCTCGAATTGGCCTACAAGACATACCCCGGCAAGCAGTGGTACCTCCTGGTCGACGATGACACCTTCGTCATCCAACCTTCATTGAAGCCGCTCCTTGAACATCTTGACCCTACACGACCACACTACTTAGGAAACGCGGTTGGTGATTTCAGGGCCCGTTTTGCGCATGGAGGGTCTGCTGTCATTCTCTCACATGCAGCGGTGAGCGCCCTCTTCAAGACTCCCAAAGCACTTTCATCCGTGTACGTCGACTCGCTCGATGAGACGTGGGGCGATCGGCTACTGGCCAAAGCCCTGCTCAGGCTGGGCATATATCTCGATGAGACATACAGCCACTTCTTCAACGGCGAGCCGCCACTGCTCAGCAAGATCCGCGCTGACAGGCTCTGCTCGCCGCTTCTTTCCTTCCACAAGCTGGCTTCGCCGGCAGCCATGAGGAAACTCGGTGACCAGTTCAGAAACATCAGCAAACCGGTCATGTGGAACGATCTCTGGGAAATATACGGATACACACCGCCGTGGAGACAAACAGACGCCACGTTCCACGAGGACTGGGACCATGTCGGGGCTGTGGATGAATCAACCCTCACGATCCCAAACATCAAATCACCCAAGGCCTGTAAGAAGGACTGCGACCGCCGCTCTCGAGCCTGCCTTGCATGGTCGTGGGATTCGGAGACCAAGTCTTGCCACATCAGCCATTGGATGATCGTGGGTGGAGAAGCGCCCGGCCACGTCTCTGGCGTCAATATCCCGCGAGCCAGATATTTGGAGACCAACTGCATCCGTTACTGATCCTACGCTCGAAGTTTCGAAACGCCAGAGACGCACTTTTCGCCGTCATTGAGGCCACCGTCAAAACAACGTTTTACCGCCGTCCCTTCCCCAGATCAGGTGCGGTGTGGAATCACAGCAGGAGAGCATTGCGTGGGCTCAAAAACAAGCAGAGTGCTCGAGATATATATCCATGGGTTTTTTTTTTTTGGAAATTTGCAAAGTTCGGGATTTCAACTACTGGTGGGTCCACCTTGGCACCTTCCAACCGCTCTCCAATCCCCAACCGTGCACGCTCGAGGCCGCCTCTGAACTTCTGAAGACCCTGCTTCATCAGGAAATGGACCCAGACCAGGGGTAACTAATTGTTAAGATTCTGGCAGAGAGTAGCCGGGCATCACTATCTAGAACCCACTGTACGCTAGTTGACAGGAGGATCCGACTCCTGCAGCGGGTGGAGCCCGATACCAACTTAGGTTAAGTGGGGTGGCCGGCGCACTCCATGTAGCCCCTTTGGCTTTCTTTCCTCGTTCAGCTCAACAAAGTCACCTCTGCGATCGAGATGCGCATCCCTATCAAGATATCGGTCGTCCTCTGGGCGATTGGTCTGGTGACGCTCTTTGGCTATGTGACTTCGCGCCTACTCTCCTTCGCGCATATCTTCTTCCAACACCAAGGGATCGCGTTCACCCAAGGCGAGGTCGCGGCGGCCTACGCCGCTGCCAACGCCTCCGAGACCGCCAAAAAGCAGCACATCCAATATATTCCGAAACTCATCCACCATGTCTTCCACAATTGGCACGACCCCGGGAACGACGTGCTGCCGAAGGAATGGGCTGAGATTCGGAAGGGGTGTATGGATCTGAACCCAGACTTTGAGTTCAGGGTGCGTGCGGTGCTCGTCTCTCTGGACGGACGATTTCAGATCTTACTGACACGGCTGAGTGCCCCAGCTATGGACCGAGAAGGCGTCGCGCGACTTCATCGAGAGGGAATACCCATGGTTCCTACGCACGTACGATGGCTATCGATATCCTGTGCAGCGCGTCGACGCGGTCAGGTACTTCTTAATGCTGCATTATGGCGGAATCTACATGGATCTGGACAATGTTTGTGGCATTTCGGGCGCCTTCCCCGTCTAGTGCCATTTCCAACCCGCTAACCCGACCTGTCTTTCCAGGGTTGCAAAACTAGTCTCACTCCTCTCCTCTATTACCCGGTCTTTGTCACCGACGGCGGCCAGGGCGCCTTGAGCAACAATATCCTCGGCTCCCGACCACACCACCCTTTCTGGAACCGTCTGACGCTATCGCTGATCCCGTATGACTGGAAGTGGCCTCTGCCGTACGTCACCATTATGTATGCTAGCGGCCAGTGGTTTGAAACGGCCATCTGGGAGGAATACCATTCCTTGCTGCCGAAGCCGGAGAAGAATCCAGAACACGAGCACCGCCTATATCGCATCATGATGGATGGCAGGCCCGGTGCTGCCCCGTGGGTATTCTTCAGCCACAGCGGTGGTGGAACTTGGAACAACTGGGACAACAGGCTGTTCGGAGCCATTGGCAACCACCTCTTCCTTTTCTTCGCGATTCTCCTTGGCGGCATCGGGCTGCTTGGCTGGGTGGGCTTGCGGTTGTTCCGGCGGTACATGGGCGGTTACACCCTCTTGACGAACCGTCCTGCAGGCAGCGAGGTCTAAGCTTGTAGTTCCCGACGTGGAACACAACAGGAGATACTCAAGTCCCCTCGAGGTCTCTGGTCGGAAATACTCTCATGCCAGGCTCAATGATGATACCCAACGGCAAGGCCGATGCTCCAGGCATTGTATTCCCGAGGCGTGTGCTAGCCTCAGCGGCCGCCATCCCTAGCGCCATCCCCCCTCCCACTTCGTCCAGGGGCGGTTTTAGCCATGACGACACACCCAGCAGTGCCAACCTTTTCCAGCGCTTGATCCGCTAGATCCACAATCACTGACATCTCTACGCTTGTGTTTGGACGCCATGAGGGGTTCTGAAGTTGCGATCACAAGCATCTCAATTACGGCAAACCTGTCCATGGGCAGCCAGCGTTACCGGCTCCGCTCGGCTATTGCCATTCATAATCTACCTACTTTGACTTTTCACGAAAGCGGGGGAAGTCGTGGGCGATAGGCTCGATTCCAACACGCCAGTGCACAAACGCTCCGGAGCAGTCCGGACATCCTTCACCCTTTTGAATGCGCGAGGGAATAGCTGCATAATGACACGATATATACGGCGCTAGCTTCGTGGTGTTGGGTTGGATTCGGCGACTCGGTTGAAATACTCCAAGAACCCCTATTTCAGGGATGATACCCAAGAACTCTATTTGCGCGGCTTATTGTATGTAAGGTTTACACTAGACACATCGGTGGCTAACGTATTATCTCACTCGTAATTGACGATTCTTGGATCACGTCTTTACCTTTACGCTGTGTCGATGAAGGCACTTGAAACCAAGACAGAATTTGTGGTATATGGTAAGGTTACTACATAAGGTACTCAGAAAAGACGAAACGGAACAGGTGAAACAGGTAAAACTTTGGTGGGAACTCTCTTGGGAAGCGAGTTGGCGGCGCTAAGGCCGGTTACCTGATGGGGATTTATCAGGTTTGACGGTGCCCGCAGGATCCCAGACCTTCGGACCAGGAGGCGTGTACTTGTCGAAGGGGATATAAATGTTGAAGAACAACCCCGGATTGTCGTACGTATACCCCCTGTTGAAGTCAAAGTCCTGATCCGGCAACGCCTCCCCGTTCCCGCCCGTCACCTCGACCTGCACACAGCTGGGGTACAGCTCGGCGCCGCGGCCCGGGTTGGTGTCGCCGCGGAAATCGGCCTGGTGCAGCGCCACCAGCTCCTGGCGCACGAGGTACTTGCCCGGCGCGAGCTGTGCGGGCAGCGAGAAGTCGACCTTGCCGCCGTTGGCGATCATCTTAATGGTCGCCCACTTGCCGTTCTCGAACCCTTGCTCCGCCAGCTTGGACCAGATGGGCCCCGCGCCGTTGCCCTCGGTGTAGGGCGCGATGTAGGTCAGGATGGCGCCCTTGTGCGACGGGTCGAGGATATCGTTGGGGTCGTCCGGGTTGAAGTGGAACCACCGGAACGAGAGCTTGTCGCCCGCGGAGGCTTTGACGAACTCCGGCGCCGGCTTGCCGCCGTTGGTGTTGCACACGATGTTGGGGTCCTTGAGGTCGCGCAGCGGGTCATTGGTCGCCGGCGAGCGGATGTACTTGTTGCGCCCGTCGCCTTGGTCTTTGCCGTTGACAAACACGCCGAACATGGTGGCGTGCGCGGATACCGTCCCGGCGAGTGCCAGGGCGAGCGCCGTGGTGCGGAGCAGCATTGTTTAGCTCGAGAGAAAAGGGGAGTACTTGGGGGTGATGAGTGGATATTGAAAAGGGGCATGATCGCCGCCTTGAGGGTTCTACAAGGGCCATCTTATATTTCCTGGCTACCCAGCGGGTGCGGTTGGGGGCGACGTTCATGGCGCCTCCTTCCAAGGCCACATTGGCCTCTAACCTGCGTTCTGTGCCCATGATGGTGCGAGGTCCAGCGCTTGCTAAGCGCGGCGGGTGCTTGGGGGCCATGGCCGCTGAAGTCGGATGTGGATCTAGGCATGTTTAGTGGTAGCGTTTGGGCGGCCTTGATTCTCCCGACCAGATTTATGACCTTGGCCAGACTGGCGAGGGTTTCAAGAGTGACTTCAGATGATGATGTTGATTTACAGGTTCTCCAGTTTGCGGGGCCGGCAGTATGGTCGCCCTGGGTCTAGATCTGAGATCCGTGTGGGACCCTGGCCCCGCCAACACGTTAAAACTCCAAGGCCGCGCAACACGGCTGAGATTACATACCGGTACCTAGGTAATCGGGGTGACACGGCCCTGCTCCGAGCTGCGTAGTGTATTCCGTACTCAGCTCTACTGTCAAGGTCACAAGCGTTATTGTCTTAATTACCTAACTGATCTGATCAGCATAACGAACAGAATTTCCGATAGCGATACCACATACCCGTATTTTAGCAGCACTTACATACAGTAATCCCGTATACACATACGCGGAGTACAAGTAATTACCGACGCTACCGTAGCTTCATTCTATTCATACGGAGACCATACCGTGTTACAGTATGGTATTGTTCGCAGTTGTATGTAATATGTAATATCTTGGAGACACATGCTTTCCTGCAACGCCACTCCTTCACTCAACAAAAGAACATGAATCCTAGTCGCCATTGCGCGAGTACGAAGCTGCATGTCACTTTGACCATTTGTTCGAGAATGCATGTATAGACTGACGTCCAGATGGTGGTGGGTACGTTTATGTTCATGGGGTTGCCTAACGCGGAGACGGATGGGTTTATGACTATTGTGCCTCGGAAAAGGGGGGCCGGCAGAGAGAGGCATTGGAGTGGTCGTGGCGATGTACACCGCGGATATGGGGGCACTGAAGAGGGATGTTGTGTGGAATGACTACCTCGTTTGATGAGGGTACAATACCTAGCCAAAGACAGCACACCTTCCGTCTCGTAGGTATCCAATGCTAGCCAACCCGGTAATATTCTCTCTACGCCATTTTCGTTCGTATACGTCCAGCTACGGATATAAAGCCTATGGAGGAGCCAAGGCCCACATCCCGGGAACCGAGCCTGGGAATATCATACCAATTCGTGAGCGGGGAATCACTGCCAAAGCAAAGACGCCGTGCCACCAACGCCTAGAGCACACCAGTCCCGTGGCGAAACACGGACATATCCAGACAATTTCTCCGTCTCTCATCACTGCAGCACTCGGTCGCAGACCAGGAGCGTCCTCCGAGGAAGCGGAGCTCGGAGAGCGTCACACCTTAGAACTCTCCATCACCTCCACCTCCGAGGACCCCAGCCGCCCACAACCCAACCAAGCCCCACCAACTGACCTTCCAGCCTCTCCATAACCCATCCAGGCCCTGACCGCGCCGATAGACCGTCTCGGCCACCGTCGCTGTCTTCCCCTTCTTCGCTGCCGCCGATTTTGGACCCGCAGAAGTAGGCACAGCATGGGAGCCCTCCTCATAAACGATGCTGTACATAGTCCCTACGACACCATCATACCGCCCAAGGGGCACAACAGCCTCCAGCTCGACGGCCGGCTTCTCGTCAAGCCTCCTTCCTCCCCCGACCCCAGGCCCTTCCAGCGACCTGAGGTACGCCGGTGAGGAGAGGACGGCGACCTGGCCGCGGCGCAGAACAGTCTCGAGCGGGAGCTTGAGCAGCAGCGCCACGGTGGACGAGCAGAACTTGGCGATGGAGAACGTGGTAGGCGCCAACTCTGGACTAATCATGAACTGGGAGCGGAGGACGAGCGGGGTCGAGAGGGTCAGCAGCGGGTGAATGAGCGAATGCAGGATGGTCGGCACGGCGAGGGAGGACGGGCAGAGGTATGATGGCAGGCTGCGGAGTGTCGAGAGGGTGCGCCGCGAGGCCCGCGAGGCGGTGGAAGTTATTACCAACCTGGTGGGAATCAAATATGTTAGTTGGGTATGGTGAAGTATATGATTCGGGCACGCTCACTCACCGGGTGCGGACTAGGTCAAGTGGAGCGAGGATCAGCCCTGTTGTGACGGCGGCCGCGGCAGCGACGAAGAGGGAGGCCCAGGGGTAAGGTGAGGCGAGATCGACGAGTCTGTCGGTGTCGGTTTTAACGCCCAGGTCCGGGACGTTGAAGAGAGCGCTCAGCAAGCTGCGGGACCAGTTTTCGAGCAGGGATTGGAGTACCGAGTAAATGAATGTTGCGTTTGACCCCTTCCACACGCCCCAGGCGCCTTCTCTCTGCCAGAGCTGCGCGATCACCTCTAACACCGAGTCCGGCGTGCGTATGGCCAGTTGGTGAGCCAGTACTGCCCTGTTTGGCACTCGTGACGGCTGTGGAGACGGATGTCTCTGGCTTCTCGGCCGCCTAAGCGTAGGGGATGGTGCTCGGGGTTGATGTGAGGTGAAGAAGGCCGACTCATCCACGTCGGACTCAGAGTCGGAGGGAGTATGCTGACGCCTTGTTAGTCGAGGAACATCCCCGTGGGGTGGGTGGGCTCTCACCTCGTCACGCATGCTCATCCTCTGGCTAGCCTGTCGTAGCCTGGCCTCCTCGGCTGCCTCTGCCGCCGCCGCCAACCCTCCGACGTCATCCTGGGCCCGCACTTGCATGATGGTCTTGGCGACCTCGAAGGGTTGCGCCATGAGCACCGACGTGTACTTCCATAGCAACTCGTCCAACACTTCCTTGATGGTTTGCACAACTGACGGCGAGGGCTCGGCAATATAGTCTTTGTAGTCGATGTCGGAGAAGATATCGCGAGCCTTGGAAGCGTATCTCCCCGTTGAGTTGGACTGGGCGAAGGCCCGTGGACCCGGCGTTGGGAGCGCTTCGGGCGGCTCCCCGATAGACGGCGGAATGTAGTATGGTCTGAGGGGGTTAACCCCGTCGTTGTGGCCGGCCATTATGTCCTTTTTGTGCGCAGGACCATGGTATGACAATACAGAGAGGGCTTCCGGCTGTCCCTGTGCAAAGGGTTTGGGGAGCTACAGGTGGGGAGAGCTTGGTGGAGAGCTCAGTGACGATTTTCAAGCTTGCACTCAAATCACTTGTGGAGGGGACGCCCCGAAACTTTCAACCACCACCCATGCGCCAATGCGCAATGCCACTTATTGCATGGGCGGGGCTCCGATAAGCACAAAAGCAATTCACGCATACTAACGTTAATCCGTACAGACGGGTACCAAAAGCCACGATGAATTTCCTCTCTACGGAGCTATCGGAGCTGGGTTCGCTTCTGATCGGTATTCCAGTCATCTCGATGAATTGAAGCTGCAGGGTCGTTGGAACGATTTGCAAAAGATCGGGAGTCATATATTCCAAGTCCGACAAGGGGTGCGGTTTGTCTGTTTGTCTCAGTTGCAGGTTCAGACGGGTGGCTGTTTGCTTTTCGCGCTCCCGCATTGGCAGCTTTTAACTCCGCTTCGCTCTCACATTCCAGCCTCCGTTGAGCAGGGCTCTCCGTCGAGTCTCCGCCCTGATTCCTTCCCGGCCCAGACGCCGCCGATATGTCGATTCCCAGACTGCTTGCTCGGACAGTCCCGAGTTTAAGGCTTGCCCGGGAGCGCACTGGCGCCTCCGTTGCGCGGCATGTGCGAAGTTACACAATAACCAGCGCTGCCAGCCGGTCTCCCCGGCCCCGCGTGCGCCACTCGCCGTGGTCGACCCCATCACAAACACGATCCTTTTCCGCCTCGCCCGCCGTTTTGCATGGCCACATCGACCCTCCAAAGCCAGGTGAAGAGTACGGAGCGTCAATCGCCATCCCGGTATACCGCTTGCGCCGCTGACTGCCCGCCAGGCTCTACGTAACGTTCATCGACAAGGAGGGCGCTGAGCACAAATTTGCCGTGTCCAAGGGCGACAACCTGCTAGACATCGCGCAAGCTAACGATCTCGAGATGGAAGGCGCGTGCGGAGGCTCCTGCGCCTGCTCCACGTGCCACGTTATCGTGATGGACCAGGAATACTACGACAGGATGCCCGAGCCGGACGACGACGAGAACGACATGCTCGACTTGGCGTTCGGCCTTCAGGAGACAAGTCGTCTGGGCTGCCAGGTCGTTATGACGCCCGAGTTGGATGGGCTGCGGGTCAAGTTGCCGGCCATGACGAGAAACTTGCAGTCAAGTGATTTTAAATGAGGGCCGGGATGGCCGGTTTTTGCTCTTCAACTGTCGTTTTGTGCGATAGGGTCAGGGAAAGTATGCATAGATACCAGAAGCACAAACCTGGGCATGGCTTGGGCGTGAATGTGGCTTGGAGGAGTCGTGCCTGATTGGTGCACCTCCAAATCCCTTAGACATTTCTGCATTCGGCAGAGCAATGTACATGTACAATACATACTGTACGACTAGCAGGCATCTCGGGAGGTGCTGTACATAAACAACCAGAGGCTCTGCTCTGAAGATGACAGAGAGTGGTGACGGCAATCCAGACAGAAGGGGTGCGACGTTCATGCCTCCTCCAAACCTCCCTTCTTCAACCCCCCCCCACCGCTCGCAATCAAGTCCAAGAACCCCTTCCGGCTCATCTCAGCCACCTTCTCCTCCTTCCTCTTAACGCCGACAACGCCCTCCCTCCGCGCCGCCCGCTCCGCCTCGGCCGCCTTCACCTGCGCCGCCCGCACGGCATTAAACAGCTTGACCACACCGCGCTGCGCAACCTTGCGCAGCCGCTTCTCCGCCGCCAGGATCTGCTCCGTCGTCTCGGCCCCTTCTTCCGGCACCTCCTCGATTTCGCCCGTCGCCACGTTCAGCGTGCGCGTCGTGCTCGCCACTAGCACGTTGCGCACTCGGCCCTTCTCCATGGCTAGCCGCTTCTGCTCGCGCAGCCGCTTGCGCGCCTTGGCTTCCAGCGCCGAGTCGGCGGCCTGGCGCGCGTGCTCGGCGGCGTCCGCGCTGCGGGCCACGATGGGGTCGGCGCGCCGCGAGGCCGGGAGCTTGGACGACAGCATCTTGGAAATTGAGGTCGCGAAGGCGGCAGGGTCGTTGCGTTTGGATTTGGTGCTCGGCCGGCTGCTGCTACTCTTCCCGCCGCCGGTCTGGGAGGCGTCGCTGTGGCTGGCGGCATCGGACATCCCATCTTCGTCATCGTCATCACCGCCGTCGTCGGCATTTTCCTCGGCAGAGGATGCATCATCCTCTGAGTCGGGGGCGTCTCTGGCGATGAATTGTTTCGCTTGGCTTTCCTTTTCTTTTGGTCTGGATTGCGGTTTCCGTTTTGATGACGGATCCCTTGCTTCTGACGCAGAATCAGAGTTTGAGTCTGAGGCAGAGTCGGCGGAAGAAGCGCCATCGTCGACCTCAATATCATCTAAATCCTCGTCCTCTGAGTCGAGGAGATTGGCGGGCACGCGCGCCCCTTCATCATCGCTGTCGGACTCGTCGGAGCTGCTGTGGTATGCTGCTATTTTCCTTTGCTTTTTGGTCGGCCGTACCGTGCGGCCCTTGGGACCGTCGTTGAAAGAGCGCTTTCTAATTGATGAGCCGGCCATGGTGTGCGGTCTGTCACGCAGTTCGATTCGCTTGTGATTGTGGAACTGTGAGCTTGACGATTTGCCAGGACAGACGGCTCCCCGAGATTTTTGGCGGTGAGAGCGGGCAGATCGCCTGCCCCGCAACATGACCGGCAGGGGTCACAAAGGTGGGGCGGTGGCAGGGGTCTTAACCTTAATTCAACACCTTCACTCTGCCGGTCTGCAGGTTCGAGGTTGGTGTAAGACTCGTGTTATTTGTTGACGGAATGTGTCGACACATCTCAGTTTTGAGGTGGAAGTTAGTCCTACTCGTGTTTCCCGAGGTTTCTACATCTAGAATCATCTCCAGAGGCAGAAGGCTGGAGCTGCAAGGGACAACCTCTTGAATAACAGGTTCACGACTAGACACTAACAGCCCAATAATAACTTCGGTAGGTATATCGAGATTTGATTGTATTGACCTTGTATTCAATCCTGCCAGCCATCCAAATCATCGACAACGAGACATCCAAGTCGATAAACAGAATCATTGATTATCCTCGACATAAACCGCCGTGGCAATTCGCATACGCTTGCCCACCACCAAGATAGGAATAGTAAGTAATGCAAAACCGCCCAGTATCCCGCTAAAACCACAAAAAGGAACTAAGTACCCGTCACGCTCCACCCACTGTGCCACGAAAAATGTCCAGGCGAAGGGAATTAGGCCGCGGAGGATGCAAATCATCACAAAACAATCGCTCGCCAGGTTGTCGTACGCATCAATCAGGTAGCCGAACCAGATGGACGGCACCTGCGCGAGCGCGAACGCCAGCATGCCGTAAGCACACTCTAAGCCGATCCACTGGTACCGCCCGGGATACTGTGCGCAGAACCCAAAGACGAGCAACCCGCCCGTGCCGATCAGCAGAGCTGGCACCATGAGCACGAGCCTCGACTCGGGCTCGGCATATCCGTAGTCTTGCTCGTGCGCTCGCTTCTTGAGCTGCCGGTCCGCGAGCAGGCCGGTACAGAAACCGCCAAGGATGATGCCCACCAGCGCGCCGACGAAGAGGAGGCCCGCGTTTTGGCCCCACCGGTACGGCGGTAGTGAGAGGATCTGTGGGCCGACTGTCGAGATGACCGCCACGCCGCCGACTAGGCCGCCGTATTGCAGCATGATCACCCATACTGCCGGGAGTCGAAGGGTTGACCAGGGCTTCCGGAGTTGATACCACACCTTGCCTCTGTAGTGGCCGAAGCGAATGGAATCAGCGAAGGTGTAACGTGGGTGCTCCGACCTTGGCGCTGTGCGGACAGTGCTCCTCGTACTGCTTGGGCCCATTTCAATGATTGTCTGGACCGGTCGCGGGTGTCCGTCCCACTCGAGCCTAATACTGTCTCTTTGCCACCGTTGGCGCCACGAGACTGGTCGAGGTTGCGCACCTGGTTCTAGCGCCGCCGTGCTCCCTGAGAGGTCCTCGTCCGAGTTGGTCGAACCGTACCACGGCATCCCTTCCGTTGAGGCACCAGAAGGGGCCGGCTCCCACTTGAATATCGACGGGATCGTAAGCGTCATGGATGGGAGGCTTCCGAGGCTCAATCGCCACGAAGCGGACGAAAGCTGTGAATACGCCGGATTGTAGGCGATTGGTAGCTCTCGGATACTACCCGGCTCCGGGACGGTGTCGAAGATGCGAGAGAACCGTGGGATGTTTCTCTCGGTCGGCAGAGATGGCCGGGGACGGTCGAACATGGTCTCCGGGACGAGGAAGACGGCACATGCGAAGGCTGCCCCGGCGAGGTACGTCGCGATGAGGAACTGCGCGAACCAGCCGAGGTCATTGGCCACATAGCCACCGGTAATGCCTCCGACTACCGAGCCGCTGGCCAATGATGCCGTGTAGAAAGCCTGTGAAAGTGTGTTAGCAAATTCCACGATTGGGTTGTTTTAAGGGTTCAGGTGACATACCATCCAGCCTCCGCGCTCATGCACGAAGAACAGGTCTCCGACCACAGCCGGCACCACCGTCTCGGAGGCAGAGCTTCCAAGTCCTTGGAAGACCCTGATGATCAGGGTCGTGGTGAAGCCCGACAGCCCGATCCCGCAACCGGTGGCCACAAGCAAAACAAACGTCGACGCGACAAGGACGAGGCGCCGCCCAACGATGTTGGACAGAGGAACCCAAAACACGTTCCCAAGTCCGACAGCAAGTACGTTGAACTATTCAACTTGTCAGCAACTACATACACGGCCACCGGGGGGGAAGGGTTGGCGACGTACTGCAACCAACTGCATCAGGTCGTGGAGCGGCCTGCGGTCGCGGTGGAACTCGCAGTTCCAGAGCGGCAGGGCCGGCGCCATCGACGCCGAGATGTAGTTGGCGACGAAGGCGTACATGGCCAAGCTGGCCATGCACGCCCCTTTTCGCCAGCGGGACCAGGTCAGCGGGTCCGCTGGCGATGTCGTTGGAATCGGGTAAAGATTTACCCGATCCTCGTAGCGGTAGCGGCCGCCGTCGTTGCCGCCGACCTCGTGGACGCTGTGGTCCACGAGGGCAACGGTGCCCGGCGGCGAGGCGTCCTTGACCGCCTGGCGGGTCAGCCCGAAGGCGTGCCGCCAGCCAGAGCCCGTCGTCGTCGTCATGTTAGAAGTATATAAAAAATTATCTCTTATTAAAATTAACATTGAAAATTCGAAAAAGTTTGACACGACGAAAAGAATATCTCGTGATTATAGTAGTATGCTTGTATTTATATCACGAGAACTCACGCACATGAGGTCACCATTGGATGATACTAGTAGGGTGGTGAGGGTAGCCTGTGAATTGTGCACGGCACTGGGCTGGTGTGGCAAACCATGGCTCCCTGTGGCCTACCTAGGTTACAGGTAATCGGACGATATAGGTTCGACGACGTCACTGGCACACTCCGCCCGGGCCTTCGAGTTCGGGAGGCGAATCCAGTTCAAGCGATCACGATCGAGAGGTCATCTGGCACCTTCGTCCGAACTAGAAGGGGCCGAAGCGCAGATTCAGGTGGCGAGTTCCCTTTTGAATTCTAAGACAAAGACCCCATCCCAACTCATGTGCCACGACTGCCAAGTACTAGTAGTAATCGGGGCAGCAACAGCCCGTTGACGAGCGTAGCGGTGTGGGAAAGGGGGGCAATCGAATGACTTGAAAGCAAGTGAGGTCTCTTTAGGCTCCAGACCTCTTCGGCATGGGGGAGACCTTAGGTTCGCTTGGCGACGCGAGTACAATACACATACACGCCGATACATAGTTGCTCACTATTGCCTTCCATCCCTTCCTGTTTAACCTTTTGATCTGTGACCAGCACGGGGAAGCAACCTGGTCACATGGGCTAGCACTGCCCCTTACTGAAACGGCGCCGTGACCACGGTAGTAGCGGACTTAGTAGTAGTACATCGATTGAGCTATGAACTGGATTCCTCCAATTAATCTACAAGTTACAACTGGGACACCAGGCTATCACGTCCCCACGCCGCCGGATTCCTGTCGGTCGTGGCAGTCATTGGTGAGGGAGGGGAGTGTTTCCATCCCTGTCTACCCTCGGCAGAGAGGGAGGAGGGCGACAGAGGCGCAGGGGAAGATGTCCGATTCACTTCTGCCTCGCTGCTCCGATTGCCATTCCTGCCATTCACAACCGGTTCGCTCCCCGGCAGCTCGTGGAGGCCGCCCGGATTCTCCGCCACGCGAGGTAGCGGGCCCTTGATCTCGTTCCCGTCAAGCTCGGTGTCTGGTCTGACCAGCGTATCGCGGCCATCCAGCTCCGGCGTGGATGAGTTGGCGGTACTACTGTCGCGCAGTCCGCTTGATGCCGGTCTGGCGTATTCGGCTGTCGATCGGGACCTGGTGGCCGATACATCGGCCGCCGAGAAGGGCACCGACGAGTCTTGCGTGGAGTCGTGGCGAGCGGAGGGCGAGTTGAAGACGGGGCCTTTGAGGACGGCTTCGTCGGGCGACGGCGGATCCCTTTTTGCGGCAGCGGCGAAACCGGCGCCCAACCACTTCCTTCGGTAGCGGAGGATGATGATTGCGGCGACGATGAGCACCACGACCACGGCGCCGACGACGATGCCGGCGATGGCTCCGGCGCTTAGGCCCGAGCCGCTCGAGAAACCGTCGCCCGGGTCCCCCGAGTTGCCCGAGTTGCCCGAATCCGAGTCCCCGGGTGTAATCGTGACGATGGTCGCCGTGGCGCCCTGGTTCCATTCGCACGCCGATACATTGAATACCTTGCGCTCGTAGTCGACAGAGAGGTAACTGAGTGGCAAGAGAGTTACTGAGTTAGCAGGATTGCCAGGGAGAGCTGCAAAGCTGTACTCACGCCTCCTGTAAAAAGGTCCGCCCGAGCGTGTACTGCGCCGAGCTGTTGGCCCGCTTCAGGGGGAAGTAGTGAGTGGTGTTCTCCACGAGAGGGTTGCGCGCCGTGAGGTCGAAAGCCGCGTAAGGGAGAACTATCGTCACTGTATCGCCCCCTGACTTTACGTCGGACAGCCTAAAGGACACTTGGGCATTCGAGTCGAGCAGCGCGTTCCGGTGCGTCTCGTTCACCAAGTATAAGCCGGATTCGCTATCGAGGGTCAGCCCGAAGGCCGCTTCGAAGGCATCACAGACATCGGCGGGGAGCCAGAGATTCGGATCTGTCGAGTCGATCATGATGTCGATGGGATCGGAGAGCAGAGTAGCAGAGGTCGATCCGCTGTAGCTTATTGACTGAAGAGCGACGACCAGGTCCCGGGTGATGTCGTCTGCCATGGAAAATGAGACGGTGTTCTCCCTGAACCGGGAGGTGTCGTATCCCGAGAATATTAGCTGGCCGTACACTTGCTTCAGCCCTGTTCGGGTCATCAAAGCTCTGGATTAGAGGGGCTCTGGTAACGTGTAGGTCTAGGTGTTCAGTCAGCCGGTTACTCACGATATTTAGCGCCTGCCGTGTAGCTCCAGCTGAGGCTTGGGATTTTCTTCTTCTCTTTGAGCGTGGTGAGAAATGACGGCGATGAGAAGTTGCCTAACGAGGTGAAGTTCAACGGCTGAGGATTGATTCCGAATATGCCACTAGACGCATTTTTGGTGTCAAATCTTCTCATCTTACAGTGTCTGTATGTGTGAAACCAGCAGGCTACATACAGGTAGAACGGCTCGGGTGTCGCGATCCCGGCGACAGTTTGGTTGCTGATATTCGGTCCCGTGAGCCCAATTCCCAAATGGTCAAGGCCATACTGAGCCCTCTGGTTGTACCCGAGATTCGCCTCGAGCCCGACACCGTCTTGGTTGATTCCGTAGAAGCCGATCTCATGCCATGTCGACGAGTGATTCGGGTTAAATAAGTTGCCGCGCGACACAGCGCAATCTGGAGGCACGGTCTCGAATACCGAAGTCGAGCATGCCTGGTCTGCAAAGGGGACAAATGAAAATGGCGAAGCAGTAGAGACGAGTACTCTGATGTACTGCTCCGGCTGGCCAACGCGGATGTCAAATGTGCTCCACGGCCCGTCATTGCCTTCGCTATATCCCTAGGTTAGTAATGGGACCACCAACCAAGCAGGAGTCCGAGGGAAGGCGAATTCACAAGTATTGGCTCGCGGGGATCACGAGAGGTCCCGGGTTAATATCATCATTCCGCGCAAAGGAGTTTGCGATGAGAACGGCGACCACCCAGAGCATCGCAGTGAAATGCATCTTGAGCGAGTGCCATGCAAGTGGTACAGTACACAAAACTACTGTATGTTGTTGCCAGTAGTGCCGCTAGTTCATTGGGAACATCGCAATAGTTTACAGGGAAGAAGGAAGACGAGCATTCGCATTCGTAGAATCGTAGCGACCTCATTCCAAAATCACTTTAGATATTGAACTATTTCCTGATCTTGGAAGAGACTGCACCCTGTTGCTTGCAACATGGTACATAATGCGACGTCCTCTTCATTGAGCGTGGCGTGCTCGGCGAGCAAAGCCGCCAACGCCAGCCACATCATGATCTCCAGGAGACAGGGGTAAGACCAAGGTTTCGCTCCCCATCCACACGTCACTCCGCAGCATCTCGTTCCAAGCTCCAATCCTGTAGTATACCCCTACTATTGCCCCGCCGACCAATAAGATAAACAACCAAACTTTGCTTCCCCTTCTGGCCCTTTCCCAACGTTCCTGAATTGGTGACAGCTGCGTCATTGCAAGAACCTGATGCCAATTCGGGAAAGTCCCCCAAAATCCAGGAACCGGACATTGACAGAAACGTGGCGGCCAACGATGCCTGCAATAGTTAGCAATGCTGTTATAAACAAGAGAGAACCCGTCCCCGCGTGTACAATGAAGTTGGATGATCGGTGAAGTCTGTCCATAGGTTGTCCGAGGCTTCAAGCATCGCTGCTGCCCTGACACTCGTTCAACTCACCACTGTGGGTGATAAGTTTGATAACTTGCAGGTTGTGGAAGTCGCAACCATGCTCTCCACGCTACCAACAATAGCAGCCACGCTTGGGCTGCTCACCCAAGCTGTGAACGGGTGGCGAGAGAAGCGTATGTAGCTGAACCTCCTGTGTAATTGGCATGGCGAACGGATTGAACTGACGGACAACCCCCAAGCCCAACACGCTCACTCATCTGTTTCAATTGATTGCGACAGTTCGGCGATCCACGACTTTGTCACAGTCTACAACACGACGACAGTGGAAATCACTCACTGGGTCGCTGTTACCGTCAACACGACACACATCAACACCGTCACCGTCGACGTGACGCAAACGGCTTTGGCGACGGTCACAGCCACCGACACCGACTCGGTGACTATCACAAACTCGACGACCATCACCAACACGGCAACAGACTCGGTCACCATTACAAATTTAACGACCATCACGGAGACAGACTCGGTCACCATCACCAATACGGATTCCGTGACGACCACCGAGACGGATTCGACAACCGTCACCAACACAACGTCTGTGACCACTACTGAGACAGACTCGACGACCGTCACCAACACCGAGACGGACTCGGCGACCGTAACAAACACCTACATCGACTCCACCACCATCACGGAAACCGATACCACCACAGCCACCGTGCCCACGACGACATACACCACCCGCACGATTTTCTCGACGACATATGAACCATGTCCGAAGTTCTGCAGCATGTACGTTTTTTTTTTCGCTCCTTCCTTTGATAAGTACAATGTTTCAATGATCTCCCTAACACGAAATCTGCAGCTCCGCGGACACGGTCAGCCTGTACTACTGGCCCACCAACAAGCCATACACGTATCCGGCCACCTATTATGACAGGAAACTGAGCTACACCTTCACCTCGCCCTCGGTGTACATGCTGATCCCTACGGCAGTCGGGATCAACAGCGCAAACCAGACGGCCGGCCCGCAGACAACGAGCTGGATCCTCCCGCTCGACCTGTACGACGTCTCGACCATCTTCGCGGGGACCAGCACGCGGCAGCTGACGCTCAACGACCTGGGCACCAACTGCCCGCAGACGGTCGACCCGACGGCCATCGCCAGCCTGCCGACAGAGTGCAACCCCGTGCTCGCGGCGCCGACCCAGGTGCGCAAGTGGGCGTACCCGTGCAACGCCTGCGGCCGCTTCGGCATGGTCGACCCGCCCTACGCCGTGCCCACGCTCACGGGTGGGCTCGTGATCGAGCCGACGACGACCAGGGCCACCACGTGGCTGGAGGGGCCTAGCTCGGCCATCCCGTCATCGGGCACCGTGGGAACGGCCGCGCCGAGCCCCGTTACCAGCGTCCCTGCTCCGACGGGGACGGGGACGGGGACGGGTACGGGTACGACGACGCTGGCTGTTGTGCCGGGGACCGACACCGACACGCATACGGCTACCGGTGTTCCGGGCTCAGCTTCGACAGATGTGCCGAACTCTTCGGGCACTTTCACCGAGACTTATACCTCCACTTACACCTCGACCTTCACTGGCAGTGTGCCAGATCCGGCTTCTACCGGTGAGCAGGGCTCGGCTCCTACTACTACTACCGCGAGTACAGCTGGTGGTGCCAGGCTTGCAGTTGGAGAGGGGGTTGGAATGTGGTTGGTATCAGTTGGGGGTGTTGTTATTGCGACGTTTTGGCTGTAAAGGGGGTGTTGATACACTGATACTTTTTGAACTAGACAGCGAGTGCAGAGATTGCAATGGCCTTCTCTTCATCTCGAAGTAATAATCAGTTGTTATTTTAGATACCATTTTAGAAAAGGTCTTATTTTAATTGTAAAGGTACATTGAGAAATGACTGGTTGGTTGCTTGCAAGAAGAATCAATGGTTGTACGGGTTGACCATTGAGTATAGCCTATCGACCCCATCACCTACTCTTCCGTTCCATCCCTCTCCTGAGGTAGGCAGGCGTCCGGTATTGTATGCTGCCGTTGTTGGCCTGGCGAGCCCAGAGACGGACTGGTCACAGTCATGGCTGGGAGTCTGGGACCTTGGAAAGCAAATCTCCCCGCACAATGAACTTAATGAATCAAGGCGTTAAACCCGGAAACCCCCCTCTCGGGATTCCGAACATGTACCAAGCGAACTGCTACCTAGGACCACATTTAATATTTTCCCACCATATTTACCGGCCGCCTGGGATGATGCGCCCCAATAAACTTGTGCGATCGACTGCGCTACTATGATCACCCGTCTTGGCATAAAGGTGGTTGATGATGCATGCAACATGCAGGCAGCAGGACTGGTACAAGGCGATGGATATGACGGATGATGGAGAGGAGGATTATATAGAGACGCTCCTTTGCTACTAGGCGTCTTTCGTTCCCAGAACCACCTTTGCTGCAGCCTGGCATTCTCTAAGAAGTCTCTCTCTCTGTGTATATATTGGCAACCCCCACAATGCGGTTTACACCCGGCCTGACTCTGTCTGCCCTGGCCGGAGCAGCAGCGGCCGCCAACTCTACGTACTACAACCCGGTGCTCCCCGGCTGGCACTCGGATCCGTCGTGCGTGCAGGTGGAGGGGACCTTCTACTGCGTGACGTCCACCTTCATCTCGTTCCCCGGCCTGCCCATCTACGCCTCAAGGGACCTGATCAACTGGAAGCACGTCAGCCACGTGTGGAACCGCGAGTCGCAGCTCCCCGGCTACAGCTGGGCCACCACGGGCCAGCAGCAGGGCATGTACGCCGCCACCATTCGCCACCGCGACGGCGTATTCTACGTCATCTGCGAGTACCTCGGCGTGCCGGGCAAAGACGCGGGCGTGCTCTTCACATCCACCAACCCGTTCGACGACGCCGCCTGGAGCGCCGCCCTCACCTTCGTCGCACCCAAGATCGACCCAGACCTCTTCTGGGACGACAATGGCGACGGGAAAGTCTACGTCGCCACGCAGGGGATCCAGCTGCAAGAGATGGACCTCACCACCGGCGCCATGGGCCCCGCGATCGCGCTCTGGAACGGCACGGGCGGCGTCTGGCCCGAGGGACCGCACCTCTACAAGCACGGCGGCTACTACTACCTGCTGATCGCCGAGGGCGGCACGGCAGAGGACCACGCCGTCACCATGGCGCGCAGCACGTCCGTCACGGGACCTTACACGCCGTGCCCGCACAACCCGCTGCTCACGAATCGCGGCACGCAGGAATACTTCCAGACTGTCGGCCACGGCGACCTCTTCCAGGACACCGAGGGCAACTGGTGGGGCGTGGCGCTCGCTACCCGCTCCGGGCCGGAATACAGGGTCTACCCCATGGGCCGCGAGACCGTGCTGTTTCCCGTGACCTGGAACGACGGAGACTGGCCTGTCCTGCAGCCCGTCCGCGGCAAGATGTCTGGCTGGCCGCTGCCTCACCAGACGAGAGACCTGCCAGGCACGGGGCCGTTTAACTCGGACCCGGATGTATACGATTTCAAGACGAGAGGGGGAGCGATCCCGCGGAACTTGGTGCACTGGCGGGTGCCCCGCGACGGTGCGTTCGAGGTGACAACAAGCGGGCTGCGGGTGGTGCTGGGGCGTAATCGGCTGGATGGGTGGCCCGGGGGCGACGAGCCGGCTGCGATGGCGGTTTCGTTCATTGGGCGGCGCCAGACGGACAGTCTGTTTCGGTTTAGTGTCGACATCGAACTGGATCCGACCGCGCACGGTCAGGAGGCGGGTGTGACCGCGTTTCTGACCCAACAGGCGAATGTGCAGCTGGGCGTGGTCCTTGTGGAGGGGCAGCTGAAGTTCAGGTTTAACGCGTCGGGTGAGGTGACAGAGAAGGCGGTGCCAAAGGGGTGGGCGGGCAGGGCGATTAGGATGGAGATCCAGATGGCCAAGCCGACCGAGTATGTCTTCTCAGCTGCGCTAGCATCTCATCCCAAGACGAAGGTTGAGTTGGGCACGGCATCGGCAGAGCTGTTGAGCGGCGGGTCAGGGTCGTTCGTCGGGACCTTGATCGGGGTCTATGCAACCTGTAACGGAGCTGGCCAGGGAATTGACTGCCCCGCGGGGACACCGAGTGCGTACTTCACGAGGTGGCGGTACACAGGGGGCGGCCAGTTCTATACCGAGACCGAGACCGTTCCTCGTCGTGGAAGTGCCAGAAATCTAGAAAGGGTAGAGGTGACAAGGGCCGAGCAGGAGGGAGTGCGCTAAGTGTGTCAGGGTTGTGTACGGTAGTGTGCATGATTCCTTCCTTTATTGAAGCATATTGTACAATATAGGGTTCAGAAACCCATTCTAGTTTCTACCGTTTCTTAACGGCTCGCAAATCCCGCAAACTGCTCCAGCGGCTGGACCTCGAGAGGAGCAGCAAGGTTGCCTTCCTGCTTCTCAATCTCAATGAGCCGGGCCAGTGCAGGACTGGTCTTGTGCGTCTCAAATGCAGCCTCGTCGGCATATCTGTCACCGGTCAGCATCCACATTTGTAAAGTGTTCTTTTTCTTTTTCTTTTCTTCTCTTCTTGGTTTAGGAACATACACCTCCCACACAACGATCGTGGGCGCCTCAGCGGTTCCCGTCCGGAACCACTGGTACTTCAGCGTGCCCGGCTCATTCTTCTCGACCTCAGTCGCCACTTCTTTGGCGATTTCCTCAACCTTTGTTTCTCATTAGCACATCTTTCGCGTCGCGACCCAGGGTCCCCGACAGTCCGACTCCCACCGTCCCAGAGGCTAGGACGCTAGGTACGTACCCGCGCAATTCGGTCCGCCTTAGGGGTAATAATGGCGAGGATGTGGAACGGCATGGTGTAGGTGAGTGTCACAAAGTAACAGCTATATGATAGTATGACAATCAACGAGGTCCAACAATAGTGAAACGTAGAAACATCGCAATCGGAAGGCCATTATGTCGCTCCGCTTTTCGTCGACCTAGACGCGGACCCACAGGGCGAAGGACGGAACTCTCGGAAGGATCGGGCGCTTGCGAAAGATACGCTAGGCATTGTAACCGCGGATCACCTCATCACGATAAGAACACTCAACGATATCGGAAGCTGATGATCGCATGCGTACCTACCTAGGTATTCCGTAGTGCTTACCATGCTCCACTTGGGCTGAATCTCTCCACAGTACCTGCGAAAGTCATGTCGTGTCATATTACTCATATCTAGGCTCTGCAGAAGACCAACGACAGCAAAATGAGCAAATACAGTAGCATGCTTGGACTTCTGTTAGGAATCAGCTCTAGGCATTGCCTTCACTGCGTTATGGATATGCTGGCTGAACTCCGAGACAAGGAGACCGGCAGTTTGTCATGATGTGCTGTCGTGGCAGCACCTAGTTTACATGATGTTTGAACACCACTACGTACGGTAGGTAGTAACCATCTGCAGATGGATATATGCCACCCATTCCCTGACTTTCCAACCTATATCCCTGGGTATCTTCTTCCCCGCAACCCACACCTTGCGGCCTGCCTCATCTACCTCGGTAGGTATCTCATCAACCTAGCCTGTCTAAACCGACGCCGGTAGAGTAGAGAACCGCGCCAGCCGTCTAATCATCAAAACCACATGACCTGAACATAAGAAAACATGGCCCTCCTCCCTCGAATACATCATACCGCCCCGCCAGCGCCCTTCAAGGCCTCGGTGTTCAGCCTCTTGAAGTGACTAAACAAGCTCAAAACGAACGCAACACCAACCGCGCCGATAGCCAGCGCCAGCGCCGTCTTGATGCCCGCCATGTACGCGATCAGGATGCCGGGCACCTGCTCGGGCGCGAACACGTGGCGGATCTGGGTCGCGCCGGTGCCCAGGAGAACGAGCGGGTTGACGTCGGGTGCCGACGTCGCGATCCGGTTGAGCATGGTGTTGATGAAGGCCGACTGCGCGGCCGAGACCCAGAAGGCGCCGCCCACGGTTTGGAAGACTGCGGGTTGACGACGTATTAGTATCTGACATTTGGCATGTGATGTCGCGGTGTGGCAGAGGATTGGGATTGGTGGTTGGGGGGAAGAGACTCAGGACTCAGGAGAGGCTTACAGAGAACGATGGCGGTCACGGAGGACATGTCATCAGGTGCGGCTGTGGCTTGGCCGATGATGATGGGCACCTGAAACGCGGCTCCCCATCCAAAACCACCGAGGATCTGGTACCCGATCCACTTGCCAGTGCCAGTGCCGATGTCGAGGGTGTACAGCAGGCCGGATCCGATGGTGGCGAGGACAGCTCCGCCGACTGCGACTGGCGCGGCGATGCCGGTGGCCGAGATGAAGCCTCCGGCGACGACGGTCGCCACCGTGACCGCGAGGATCAGCGGAAGATTGCGCACGCCCGAGTCGGTCGGGCTTGAGTTGCCGATGCTCTGGAAATAGATGGGCAGGTAGTAGATGACGATGAAGTACGAGCCTGCGAACAGGAAGCTGAAGATGGACGACACCCACACGTCGCGGTGCCGGAACAGGCGCGGGACGATCATGGACCGCTCCCCGTTGAAGGCCTCCCAGAAGCCGAAGACGACGAAGATGAGCACAAAGCCGACGAGCAGGCCGATGACCGTCGCGCTGCGCCACGGCATGGTCTGCCCGCCGTACTGCAGAGCTAGAATGTACGAAATCACGCCGCCCATCACGAGCGCCGTGCCGACCAGGTCCATCTGCAGGAGCTTCTCCCTGAGCGGGGCGACGACCGGCTTGGCCCCCTTGGGCGTCTTGAAGAACAGCAGGATGATGAGGCCCGACAGACCGCCGATGGGAAGGTTGATGTAGAAGCACCACCGCCAGGTGACGTGGTCCGAGAAGGCGCCGCCGATCAGGGGCCCGATGACCGCGGCAATCCCGTAGGCGGTGCCGATGATGCCCGTGAAGACCGGCCGCTTCTTGGGAGCCGCCGTGAAGGCGATGATGGTGTAGGCGCCCGACCCGATGCCCGCAGCGCCGATGCCAGCAATGGCGCGTCCCACGATTAGCGCCGTCGAGTTGGGTGCCACGCCGCAGATCAAGCTGCCGAGTTCGAAGATGAAGATGGAAATCAAGAAGCTGATCTTCAGCGGGAAGTATTTGAACACCTTGCCCCATGTCGACTGGAAGCCGCCCACGGTCATGAAGAAGGCAGAGCCGTACCACGCGACATCCTCTAGCCCACCGAACTCGTCGGTGATCTTGGGAATTGCGGTTGCCACGATTGTCTGGCTTGGGTTAGTCGCTGCTTCGAGAGAAACCGGGCGTCATGCGGTAGATAAGCGTACCATATCGAGCGACACGAGAAAAATGCTGAGCACCAGAGCCACGACAATGAAAGTGAAGGGCCACCCTGTGGGATAGTCCATGTCGTCCTGTCCCAGAGGCTCCTCCCTGACACTACTAGTACCTTCTGCTGCAGCATCTATCTTCTCGTTTCCTACCGGTGATGCTGCACGAGTACTTTCGCCACTTAAATACGCATCTTGGCCGGGAGCTTGGGGCGGGCTGAGGGTTGATGTTGGACCTTCACTGGAGTTGGGCCGGCTGTTAGGCGGGCGCGCGAGGGTTGAATCTGAGGAGGACCCTAATGGGCTAGGTGTAGGAGACGTCATCTTTCTCTGTTCAAGAATCAATCCAACTGTGGCTAACAGAGTGAGAGATGAGGTGTGATGAGAATCAAGATGATGGGGCCAACACCCGGACGGAGTTCGTGGCGAACCCCAGGAGTTATATACCGGCGAAGCATAATCACACAGTGCACAGACGTTGCTTCCATCTAGGATTCCAGATAGACGAGATCTGGACCGGCCACGTTTGAGTACCGGGGTTCCGTTCGCTACCGCCGGGCTGACCAAGCATGATGGGAGCTATCAGCTATGTCTCCGACAGGGCAAGCTGCCCGTCCCATGCTCATTGCATTGTGCCGTGGACACATTACCGCATCGGTCCGTGTCCGAGCGCCGCTAACGTTGAAGGCCGTATGTCCTTGGGTCCTGTCAGCTTAGCTCAGACTCCTCGGAAAGTTTTCAAACGCCGCTTGTCCATTGGTGACACAGCCACCATGAGCTCGGACATGATATGTGCCCGGGCTGCGGTCTTCACCCTTCAGTGCTGCGGCTGTCATGACGTATCCTGGCCCAATTGGAATCCCCGTTGCGACGGCATGCAAAAGAAGGTTATCGAATGGAGCTTCGGAAATCTCGTTTGACAACCTTGGGACAGCCCGGACAGGGGGTTGCCAATCGCTTGGGACGCAGGGGCCCCAGCCGCATCCAGCTCCTGCCACTGTCCAGGCAGCAAGTTGCCTGTCAAAGGCGCTCAAAGGTTACCAGGTAATACACTAGGTAGCGCGGATCGATTTGTTAAGCTAGCGGGTCTAGGCCGGCCAAAAGTCCCCGAGTAACTCCGGGCCATCGACCGTTTCCTTTGACATGCGCAATGGCGCATGGCCTTTTAGTAATCGCCGGTAAATCCGTCATTCGACAGCTTTGGACTCGTAGCGACGATTCGATATTGATGATGAGCTGCTATGAGAGAGAACGGTGAGAAACAAGGTCACGGTAAGACCTGGAGAGCCATGTAACTTTGTTCGACGTGATCTGTTTTCGGGGGAGACCAGTCATGACCCAGTCACTCGGTACACAGGCCCAAAGTCGCTGCCACGCCTTGTAGATTGCGACATGGGATGACGGCTCCATAAAAGCCGTGCCAAGTCGGAAGTAAGCCTTTTATGGCCGAAGGAATCACGGAGACGTTGTGTGACAGCCATCCGTAACTTTTACACAATAATAAGCGCCGGAATACCACCAGTAACTAATGGGCAAGCAGGAGGACAAGCATTTGCTCCTTCACCGACGGACCCATCTCGCATGCATGGCACGACGTCTCGGGGCATCCCAATGGCTAGTTCGTTCTTGCAGCGCACCTCATGAGTCATCATGGCCTCCGTGCCAGTATCCGCAGAAAGCGTAAAGAGAGAGAGAGCGCGGCGTCCAAGTGGCACGTCTGAGCTGACGATCATTTGGACGGAAGCGATGCACGTGTGGATTCATCGACACTGAGATGTTCAACGTTCAATCGAGCAGTGCCTCTCAATGTGCTATCGCAATGGATCAAACCTGCTCTATTTTGTGCCAGATGTTATCTGGACCAGATTCGACATCTATCACTTCGAAGAGGCGTCATAGAAAGACCTCTAGATTAATCTCCAATGTGCTCACCGGGTATCTTTAATCTGGTCAGCACCAAACTCTATTGCGAAGCATGGGGTTTACAGCCGGACATACCTCAGGTCAAACTTCTCCAGCACGGTAGGATGCAGCACACCGAGCTCACCGATCCGCTGGAGCTTGCCGCCTAGCCGCACGTAAATGGCAGCAGCGCGCCCGTTGAAGAAGGTAGGCTCGTCGATCTCCTTGATGAAGTAACCGTCCTGCTGGCTTGGGTTCTCCTTTACCTCATAGTCGATGCTCTTGCCAGAGAGCCCCTCCTCGTGTGTGACGAACGCGACACGCAGCATCGTCATGACCCGGTCCAAGAGGCCGTGCACAACCTCGAAGCCGCTGGTCTTGCCGTAGTACGCCGCCGCCCAGTGGCGCTCGTTCCGCGCCCGTCTCTCGACCGACTCGTCCTTGAACACAACATCCGAGGTCTCGAAGATCATGAGAGGCAGACGCATCGCCTTGTTCTCGCTCAAGGTCTTGAGCAGACCAGGAAGCAGCGATGTCCGCGCAACTTGGTACTCCACCGTCTTCGGGTTGGCAAGCTTGACAGCCGTCTTGCCGTCATCCTTGCGATTCAGGTACTCGAAATTCTCATCGTGTGAGCAGAGGATGAGAGGCATGACCTCAGCCCAGCCGGCCATGGCACACTCGTGCCGAACGATATCACTAAGCTTGTTGATCATGAGCGGCCCGCCGATGGTGACAGACTTATTGGGCGACGAGCGGGGAAGGTCGTTGAAGCCGTAGGCAATGGCAAGATCCTCCATCTGAGGGGTGTCAGCTGGTATCAACGCACAGGCCAAAGGGGGGTACTCCCAGACATACAACATCGCATGCATGCAAGACATCTGCCCTTGTCGGCGGCACCGTAACCTTTACGAATTTCGGGTCTTCAGATGGCTGCGCTGTGTATGCCATCTTGCCTAGGAATTTGCATATCGATGCGGGCGACTCCTGGAGTCCGCAGACCTCATTGAGATAGTCGACCTCGATGTCCATCGTCCGGGTTGCTAGGCTGGGTGTAACCCGAGTACAGCCGTTGTGTTCCGAGATAACCTTTACGGGCTCGATCGTGAAGGGCTCGGCACAGTACTTGGAGAACATGGTAACCATGATGTTGCAGACGATGTCGAGCTTGGTCTGGTCGGTCGCTGTCATGTCGATGAACACGTTCCTGGTGCCGAGCGTGATCTTGGAGCGCTCGCTGTTGATAATGGGAGGAAGGGAGCAAACGTTCCTCTCGGCATCGAGAATTACTGGATATACCGGCTTGTCACGGAGAATGTGCAGATATCTTCCGAGATGTCTGTCGGTCTCGTAGAAGCTCATCAACTCTTGTCCGTTGATCTCCTTGGTTTGATTCAGCGGCACGAAGTTGATGTCCCTCGGCGGAAGTGCTTCGTATGTGAAGGGACCTTTGATCGTGTCAAGATCGTGTGTACCGATTCTGCCCATTAACCATCAGTAACCCCCCATGCGCCCACCCAGTAACTAAACTTTTGTCACTCACGCGACCAGGGTACGCTGTCTCGCAAGATTCTGGTGGAGCTTGTCCTGAAGGCTGATGAAAGAATCATAGGAAGCCTGGGTGAACTTGATGTTGCGGAGTATTGCGCCTGCAGCATAGGGGCGAACCTGCGCCGTCTCCTTGCTGATTGTTAGGGTCTGCATCTCGTTCTCGGGAATATCAAGGAGCTTCCAGTTGGGTGTTGCATGCTTCCCTCGGAAGATGTTTAGGTGCATTGCAATTCCTGTCCGACCCCTTAGTAAGCTGGTCCGAAAGCTGTGCTCAGGCAGGGACATATCCTACCCTCAAAGCACAGCATGTCGTACCGGTTGGCCGGAATCTCGATAGCCAACTCGGGTGCCTGGTCCTTGGGCCGCGTGGGATCATTTTCGGTGTCCTTGTCGAGCTCAATGCCAAACTCGAAGCATAATTGTTGGAAGCTCTCCTCGGTGAACCTTGATGATATCGTCGGGTTAGATCAGGCGAGGACAGGTGGGATGTGTTCGGGCAAGTTGATGGCGGGGTAGCTGTCTTACTGCTCGCCAAGCTCCTCGAAGAGGGCGTACTTGTCGACGTTAATGGTCGGCATGTTGTGTGTGAAGGTTCCTGTCCACAATCAAGAAAGGCCAGGAGCAAATGACTCGTAGGCTTTGAGCGAGCTTCACGTCCGAAAACACTCCCTGCAATCCACACTTTGGGACGTGAACTTTTGACACGGCTCAAACCCAAAGACACCGGCCAATCTGCCACAGAGATGACTCAAATTGCGGGGCGAGCTTACTGCTTGCTCAGACCGCCCACCAAATCTGGAAAGAGGGGTTCGGGGCCGGCTTCCGTCCTTCCGATGCTCCGAGTCTGAGAGGGTCTGTGCACAGCTCCAAATTTGCAATTGTGCACAGGCCACCCGCTCTTGCCTATAAATATGTTGCCAGTTTGCCGAACTCTTGCTCCTGTTCTTTTTCCTTTCTTCTTCATACTTACCTTGATTGAGCAAGCCTAGATCAAGAAGTAGGCTTGCTGGGGTGGTAGGCCTGCATTGCACATCGTGGAGCTGGCCGCCTCGGATTGTCCTTCGGGGCCGTCCCGGTCGTAATTTTTGATGTCAAAGTTCTGTTTCTTTTCACTGTGATCGTTGTTGAAGCAGCGACATGGAGAAGAAAAGCTGGACTGCTATGGCGACTGTTGTCACGCCAATGATCTCTGTGGCTGTTGACTACGGTATGTCATCACATTGAGTGGTCTTGTGCAATACATCCAGGGCACCGCCTCTTACTAGGAGAGGGTCAACATAGGAAGGATGTCTCGAGTAACGGAAGAATGGCTTGGCTGTTTGATCGAATCATCTTGAACAAGGAGTGGAACATGTTGTTATTTAGGAGACTCGAATATCATGACACATGCGTGTGAATCGAGCCGCCAACTGACCGACGAATCAAGACGGAAATAACATTGGTATTTGTGCGACACAGCGGCCTTACCAACGTCTAGCTATACCCAGCCAAATACCCTTTTCTACCTTAAGGTAGGTTAGGTGTATGGAATCATGGATACCGAGGCGAACAGCGGGTAGCCCAGTTGGCGGGTTCAATGTCTAGATGTGATACCCGTTGACCCCTACGCCGAAACAACTCCTGCTGGAATTAACTCCTGCTGATGCAGAGTGGATACAGAACCGATGTATAGACGACATGACCATGGATTTCCAACAAGCGAGTGAGGGAGAATGCAAAACACGAGCTGTCCTGCAACCGACCTAGGCAGTGAGGATTGATCTAGCATAAACAGGTATCAAAGCAATGAAATGCAAGAAGGTATCACAAAACACAACAATTCCACACGCGCATGTACCCAACAGCATCACCCAACCACTTCTCCACGTTGCTTCACCCCATCAACCCAGCACCAATCTCGTTCTGCGCCATGAACGTCCTGGCAAGCTCGTCCCCCCCGCGCTCCGCCGCCTCCATCCAGTGAATAGCGACGCACATCAGCGCCGGATCGCTCCTCACATCCCCGACCCCTCCCAGCCCAGCGCCGACACCACCATCCTGGTTTCCTGCTCCGGCTCCGCTGCCACCACCAACACCACTTCCGCCGCCACCTCCGCTCCCTTGGCCCAGCCCACCAACCCCAGCTGCTTGGTTTCCCTGCGACCTGCCCTGCACAGCACCCTGGTGTGCGTGATGATGCCTGCCCAATCCGGAGCCGCTCGCTCCAGACGACCTCCCACCATACATCTCCATGACTGTTTGCTTGAAGACCTCGCGGGGCTTGGAGAGTGGGAGGGTCGTCCGCTGTACCAGCTCCGGGTTTGACAAGTAAAAGATGGCCAACTCGCGCTGGGCGGTGGGGTCGCCCTCCTTCGCTGTGATGGTCCACATGCGAGCTGCGTCCGCAAGGGAATGAGTTGATAGCGGTAGCGGGGACGGAGGGGAGGGTGGCGGAGAGGAAGGTCGGTCGGTGGTTGGGGTGGCTGCCGAGTCGGAGGCGGTGCTGCCGGGGCCCGTCCCGGGGCGATTGGTGATTCCGTTGCGCGATTGGGTGTAGTTCTTGACGATCTCGTCGGCCACCTCGACCATTGTGCTGCATACCTCTTGCTTTAGCCTGAGCGCGGCGAGCCCGGCGTCCCAAAAGGCCTTGCCTCGTTCCGGTTTGTCTAGAGTGTTTGGAGACACGAATGCCGAGATAAACTGCAGGTCACGGAATAAGGTTTTGGGCCTTAGAGACGAATCGCGGAAGAGCGTCTGCAAGATGTTGGTGACAGCGTCAGTGTTGGGGGGGTATGCGGAAACGATGGTGCGGGTTTCTGCGTTTCCTCCCCCGCCCGACGCTCGTCCTCTTTGGACAGGACCGTCCGCACCGAAGTTGGGTACCTGCATTAGGGTGTGTGAGCGACGCTCCCTGATATTGTCAATTGTTTCCTCTAGTGGTTGAGACCGGACACCGCCGACGCCGGTTCCATGCTCCTCAGTGGCGGAGGACGCCGAGCCCAGCTCGGAGCGCGCCCAGGCCAACCGACCTCGCCGAGATCCCGAATTCAGAGACGCAATAATGAGGTGCTCGAGTTCACAAAGTGCGTTAAGTTTAACATAAGGGTTCGGATGAACGCAAAACATCTTCAGAAGCCGCTGATAGGCCTTCGTAAACGGGAAGTCCGGCATCGATTCTTTCCTCGACTCCTTGTTTTGTCTCCGGGCAGATATGGTGTCGCTCGTCGCCGAACTCTCATTGCCATGGACGCTGCCTCCGTGGACACTGCCGCGCTGACTGCCACGCTGGCTGCCACGCTGGCTGCCACGCTGGCTGCTGCCCGCTCCTTCCGCCCCGAGACTTTGATTGTCGGAAAGCGCCTTGTCGCTCAGTGCGTCATTGCCGACAGCTCCCCGCAGGTCGCCAAAGCTTCTCTTCTTCTCGAGAAATCGCTGCTTCAGCCCGGACTTGGCAGAATGCCGCTTTTCCCTCGCCAGCGCTTTACGCGCACGGCGATGGATTGCCTCTCGACGGTCGATGCACTCTTGACCTAGTCCCTCGAACCACGCGTCCGTTTCTGATCCGCGGGCGAAAACGAGGTTGCCTAAGTCGGAGAGGAGAAGGCTAGTCAGGGTCTGCCTCAGGTCCGTGAGGAAGCGGGACTTTTCCTCGGATGCCCGTTGCTGGTACGCCGTCTCGTTGGACGAGACGGATGCGCCGGAGCGGGCGGTTGACTGAGAAGACTGCGACGGGAGCTGCTGGTGATGCGGCGGATGGAACGAGCCTGAAAGGTTCGTCAGACTCGTCGTCGGCGAATGCGCTCGGGATGTAGCACTGGGAGATGTAGCCCGGTGTTGGAACGGTGACCAAAAGGTCGCATTTGGATCGATCTGGTGAACTGGAGACGATGCGCCGAAGTATTCTTGTCCATCGAGGATCTCTGACATTGCCGTGCTGGCCCGGGAGAAGCTGAAGCTCCTGGAATCAAAGGACATCTGACTCATGTTGTGGCCGGAAACGGCCCGCAGGTCCCGGCCATTGACGGAACCCGGGCGGTTGACTGACACGAACCTGCGGTCCGGATCACTAATAACGCTGATTGAATCATCCCAGACCGACGACTGGGCGTCTCGATCTCGGTCTCGGGCAGAGCTTTTGTTCGTCTCAAAAGCGCGGCGCTCTCGGGCAAAGAGCTCGCTCGACCACAGCACAGGTCCGTCAATGATGCTATCGCCGACGAGTTTGCTGACACAGTTGTCCACTTCGCAACAGAAGCGGTGTATGCGCTCCTCACCTGCGCAGAAATTCTCCACCCCGTTTCGCTGCAGCCAGCGCGCGGTTTTCTCTGCTTGTTCGTCGCGAAGTTTGTTGGGGCCGCCTTGTTCCTCGGGCGCCGCCAGCAGCTCGAGAACTTGGGATTCGGTCCTAAAAATGTAATTCTGTGCAGGGCCCCTTTGCATGAGCCTGCTGCTGCGCTGGAAGGATTCCCAACGCCGGGGCGCACCCATCGTCTTCAGCGCATTGGCGACGTTGCGCGAATCCTCGTATGGAGCCGAGTTGCGGACATCGGTAACATACCACATCTTGTCACGAAGGGCTCGCAGGCGACGCATCATGCTCTCGATCAAGCCTTCTGCCCTCTCTTGGCTCTGCTTTAGCCAGACCAGCCAGGCATCGTATTCTTCTATCGCAGCGGCAGACCGTCGGATCGAGTCCCGCGGCCCGCGAGAAAAGATATTGAGCAGTGCGGCAAACCCATCATGGCGCAGTGATTCGGATGTCAATGCATTGAGCTGCTGCAAAGTCCGCCAGTAAAGGTGTGCCGACACGAAATCGGACTGAGCGCGAGACTGTGAACAGGCTGCAGTCAACATTGTGATGAGCGGAGATGGATTGTCCGTCTGGTCTGTTTCTTTCCCTTTGGAACTCTTTGGAGGGCTATCGGCGATGCTGCTCGCGATACTTGCAGCCCTCTGCCGGTACGGATTCCGACTCCCCATCGTAGTGATGATGCGGTTCTTGGATCGATACTTCTTCAGGGTTGATGCACGGTTGCTGAACGTTTGCTGCTTGGTACTGTCGCTTTCCAAGCTCTGAGGGATTTCGTAATCCTGTACCAGCTTGAGAATAGCATCGCGGAGCTGGTGGTAGTCCTTGTTGAGCTCCGGACGTCCGTCATCCGTTTCCTCCCCCTCAGTATCACTAGTGTTCGAAGAGCTATCCTCGTCCTCGACATCATCATCAGGATCGAATGTCATCTGGGTCGACAGCCTGTTCCCATCAGGTGAGATGAACAGCACTGTCCATCTTTCAGCGCATGGGTGGCACAAGCCGTGCACGACGTCCTGTCCAAGAATCTGTGTCATTTCATGCATTGCAAGGCGTAGCCTGTACCCGTCTTCTTCATAATTCTCCGGCTTCGGTGGCTCCTGAGAGGGTGGGGAATGGCGACGTGGGCTGCCTTCCTCCATAAGAGGTTCCCTGGACGTGGTGGCATCACTGAACGAGGACTCCGCACTCGTGCTGAGAACCGACATTGTATCGAAACTGCTCGGCGCCGTCCTAATGGACATCGGTTGGGAAATGGAAGAGAATCCGGAGACGGAAGGCGCGCCAGACCGAAGACCGCTTGAGTGCGACGACTGCGGACGGCGTTCAGGGAAGAGGGCGTTGACCATGGTAGCAAGGTCCGCTGGGCTGATAACAAGGTAGGGATGGACCTCGGCTGTCTCTCTCAGAGAGGTAATGGACCGGGCTGGAAGTAGACGGGGCTTCTTGGGATATTTGGACGAGTCCTTGAAGCGGCCGTAGATGTTGTCCAGGTGGCCTCTGATCTTTGGCGGAATTGATACTGGAGTCGTGCTGTGGAACATGTCAACCGCGTACTTCTGAGCGGTGGTGGCGACTGTCTTCAATATCTTCTGGCGGCCATATTCAGTGATGTGGTACTCGGCCATCATGCCGTAGGCCTCCGGGTGGATGACAACTCCAAGCAGCCAAACTGTGAACATGTACTTGTAAACCAGCCAACGACGCGTGGCCTCAACATGCTTGTTCAGGCGTTTCAGCATTTCATTTCCAAGCTCAATAAGGCCTTCCGGAATGCCCGTGGCGTCTTCATCGTCGAGAACTTCAAACAGCTCATCGACAGCCCTGGTGAAGAATTCCTCGGATGCGATTTGGTCCTTGGATGACCACTTGGAAATCTGGTCGAAGCGGGTCCCGTGTTCGTCCTCGGCACGATCAAGCAAGAAGGCTCCATCCTCAAGGATCTTCATGAGGTACCATTCCATGTTGGATTTTCCGGCCCAGTCACGCATGGAAACCCAAACATTGAGAACCGAGATGATGGTCTGTTCGTTGCCGGTTACCGGGTGGAGGACCAGGCGGGCGAGGGCATTGGCCCAGGTCACGGTCCGGCGCTTGTCCTCGGCGCTGTCGGGCCCTGCAGAGTTAGCGAAGCAGGTGTAGATCAAGGCCGAGATGGGATCATGGCGCTGAAAAGAGAGGAGGCGTTCAATCGCGCTGCGTTCCTTGCCTGCTCCCCCGGTGGCACTGGACCCGCCGAATGCCGAGCCAGTCATGGGATTAGAAGCACCCGAAGGCGCGCGGCTCGAGGACCGGCTGGTGTGGTAAGGAAGAACGGATTCGATGGGTTCGAGCGTCTGGTGAAAGCTAGTGAGTGCAGCAAGCTCCGATTGCTTTAGAGATGTGATTCGTGTGGCCAGATAGTCAGGGTTAGTCCTAATCTGACTGAGAAAGCTCAGAAATGTTTCCCTGGCTGAAGCAGATATCTCATTCAAAAACGGCGTCCCAGCACTCGGGGAGTGGCCGGCGCCGGTGACAGATCCGGTAGGGGTATCCAGACCCTCGGACGAGGTCAGGCCGGGCGGCTGCAAGAGTTCCATCTCTGGCTCTAGGAGTGCGTAACGGCGGGTCTCGTCGCAGCTTCGCCGAACATCGATGACGGCGTTGTACAAGGCGGCAAAGGTCTTCTTGTCATCTCCACGGAAGCCCTCAACCAAACTGCGATGGGCCATCTCTCCGCATCTCATCAGCCGGGCGGATAGAGCGGTTGATACCAAACTCCTCTGGAGGCGGATCCTAGTGTTTGCGCGCTTGCGCTCTTGGTACTTGGACAGGCGCACAAGGTGCGCAAGCTCTTCCAGGCTTGTCCCATCATTCTCCGGGCCGAAGTTCGGGTTTGTGTACAGTGACACATCGGTTAGCAGTGGACGCAAGAACTTCATATTTCCATGATTGCCGTCCGAGGAAGATGGTGGGAATCCGGTAGTCTCTAAACTGTCGGAAGAATCGTTTGGAGCTGGCGCTGGCGGCGGAGTGCTCACTTGGTCAATTATCGGCCTGCTGCGACTCGACATGGAACTGGGAATATGTAAGACAGAGGGACGTCTGGACTGGTCGTCAATGCGACGTCCGAGGACGCTCATGGCGTCCCCGGATGCGCGAGGTGGGCTCCGCGACCGCAAGCGCCGTGAGCGTGAAACCTCAACATGATTGTCGGACGGGGAGGGAGTCGGCGATCTCGAGGTGGTGGAGGCGGGAGCCGACCGGGCTGTGTTTTCGGAGAGGTAAGTCAGCATTGGCACGTCGTAAGGTTCCTGATGTTTATCCCTCCCAACGTACGCGGCGACGGGTGAATGGTGACGGGCGATGAGATGGAACGCTGCATGGATATCATAATGGGCCCATGAGGGGAATCGTGGAGGCGACTGCGGTCGCCCATATGCTACCAGCTGTGGGGGGCTGCCGGCCGTGGGAAGGAGCCGGCCGTCTGGTGTCCTGTTAGATCGGGCTCTGTTGCGCGCGAGTTGGGCACAGCGGGTAGGTGTCTGCGCAGTTTACGGAGAACTGTGTATGGTAAGGTAGGTTCCAAGTTCTGGACAACGTCGATCAACCACACGAACGAGGTAGTGAAAATAGGCTTCGGCTCTGGCCGGCTTGCGGACCAAAGTGCTGGGCTCAAGTGTCCCGCAGGGACATCGTATTGTATCGATGGAAAAAGGAGCGGCTGAGGATTGCGAAGTGTCGTCTGAGCTGTGCAGTTTCTTGGGATGACGTTGCAGGCCGCCGCCGAGGCACTTGACAGGGTGAGCGAAGAGAGGACCGTGTCGAGGTTCCCTGCGGCTCAGAGCGACCTGCCCTAAGGTACTCCGTGTTGATGTATTGTTGCTGGAGCGTGGGGTAACGGACAAACCAGCTTATCCCGAACGGGTCACGCAGCGACGGAGCGGGACAAGCCACCGGGCTGTTCACGGCTCCACCTACTCTGCCTAGACCCCTGTCACCTGCCGCCCTTCAACGGCAACCACCCACCTCAAGGCTCAACCTAGCTGGAACCCGACCTGGATGGAAGTCGCGACTCGCGAGTCGCGAGGTGAGTTGGCTGCCGTGCCGTCGCACTGCACGGCTGCCTCGCACAAATTTTCTGCTGCTGGCCCGATTTGCTTCTTTGCTTCGTGCCAAAGGGCTGTAAATCCCGCCAGTCACGCTGCCCCCTTTCCCAAATGCCCGACAGAGGCCTGGCGCAGACCCGGGCTGTCCGTCAAACCATGTTTCGGTCACTTCAGCTTCGATTCCCGGTTCTGGAGACAGCCTTCCTGTGTCATCGCTGCCTGACCTACACTCAGCTTCATGGTCACGGTGGCGTTGCCAACCTTTCTTCGTCTCCAATCACTATCTAACCCGAAGCAACGGTTCTGGTAGATCAACTTGGCGGTTGAGTCACCAGCCGACTTGAAGAGGCCGCGGACTGACAGCTCACCTGAGCTCACCTATCACTGGGAGCCCCTCGTAGGTCCCAAACGGTTTCCCACACAACTTCCAGAGCGCCATTAAAGTGGCAAGACCTCGCTTCCGAAACAGCCATGCATCGCCCTCAAATAAGCATGCGCTCTTTCGTTAACGCTGTTCGGCTGCGTCCCGTCTCGTCTTCCTCGTTTCTCTGGAGGGCATCCGCCTGGTACCTATCTGCAAGCAGCCATCTGCTGCCGTCTCCAGTCTTCATCCTTTTTAGGCCACAGCCCCGCTGAGCTGGCCTTGCATATGATTAGCCCCGCTTTTCCTTTGCCTGGAGTCCGGTTTTAGCGGTGGACATGTCGACAGCCTGTCCAATCTGCGACGTCCACGACCGAAAACCACACGGATGGAAGTTGCTTGCAGTTGTTGAACCCCAGCACTCTCCAGCTTGCCAACTCATCGGCCCCTCGCCAATCAACTGCCGCCACCCTACCGTACGGTGTCCGTACCTTCCCGTTGGCTGCTGTTGCAGGAGGGCAAAGCAAGTGTTTCTGTTGACACTGGGCCATCATAATCCTAGGGGGGTCAAGTTTTCTTACCTCTTGTTGTCCGTCGGCCAAGGCTCGCTGTCGCCATCGCCTATGTCACGTCAACCGAAGTCTGAGACCCGAACTTGTGATCTGGCTTGACCGATTCAGCGATCGGTATCTGCCTGGATTGGGCGTTGTGTAACCATCTCTGCGAGCCGTCGAATTTCCAACGGCCGAGATCTCGCAGACGAGACACTCGGCTCCGAACGGTGCGCTGACTGCGAGATTCCACTGTGCAGGTTGTTGTGTCCATGTCTCTGTCTAATACTTCGCTGTGCTGTGCCAGAACAGGCGCCAACCATGTACTACACAGCAAGGCCCATTTTGGCAGTCAAGTGGCGTCTCGTGCTTTCGGAAGGACACGCTGCTCATCAGCTCCTCCTAGTACGCCAGTACAGTTTGCTATCTTGGGTGCTCGGCTTCGTCGTATAGCTAGACACATCAGATAATCCGGCTGTCCGGCTCGCTTGCTCTGCCGTATAGCGGTGTAATCCAACTCGACGAGTAGATACCACGCTCTCCATTCTGCCGGACACTGATTCTCATATGAGTCCGCTGCCTCACGGTACAATTACATGTAGTACGCGAACTTCTTCAGATGGTTTATCGGGGAGTCCAGAGTCAAAGTTGCACAAACCAAGTTTTGGAGGCATGGTCAAGCTGCCTGCATATGCAGTGACGGTATGTCCAGACGAAGGGAATCCGCTATTTCTGTTCGTTCTCATATTTCCATTAGGGCACACCCAGAGCAAAATACGGATTATGTGCAGTACATATATGCACGATACGGATATGCCGTACATGCAAGTGCGCAATGACATGCCGTCCTGCCCCTCATTGCTGAGCTACATAACCGCCCATGCGATTACCATCCAATCCGCAGACGCCAACTCCGACAATACCGCTAGCATCTGCAAGTGATGTCCGAGAGAGTTTCAACCGCACCGGAGAACAATTGTGACGAGACACGGGAGGGGCAGATGTTTGTTAGGCCGGTCGCATATGTGGCCGCATGGTCTTGCCGCCCGTTGCTCCCCACTATCGTTTCTCTCTCACACCCTGGCAGAAACCAAGGAGCGGGGAGGCACATGACTTCCCCTTCCTGCACGGGATCACCAGCAATTTTTCCGCGACTGCAGCCTCTCTTCCCCTCGCTGGCCGGTAGAATGCTTGATGAATCATTAATCGCTCACTCGCCTCTGCCAAACCGTACATCAAAGTCCTTGAGCACGCTCATGATACTTGCCGCCTCCACCTCGATTGGTGCCCGTCCATCTCGCGCTCGGGCCCGGCCTCCTACGTGGCCAGGTCCGGGACGCGGGACAGGCAAAGCCTTGAGTTTCGGTATCCAGGAGCCGATGTCATCAGCTGCTTCGTCAAAGTGCCGATGACTTGCCAGCGTTTTATACGCATCGGCGCAGGAAAGGCTGAGACTGAAGCCAGGACTGGAATTGGAGGTTCCGGCCGCGTCCATCTCCCCGCCTAGTTGTGATTGACGTCGTTGGGACTTGCAGCAACCCTCAGGGCCACCATTGCCGCAGCAACCACTGCCGTTGCTCCCGGAGTTGTTCTTTTCAAAACTGGCTGCCAAAGAACGGCAGAACAGGCCAGATTTGGGGTCGGCCAGACATTGCGCGCAGGTTCCGGGGCCGTTGGGGCCGCACCCGCCGCCTGTACTTCCCGGAGGCTTGGTGGTGCGAGCTTGCTGGAGCGACCGCAGACCGGGAAGTTTGATAGCGCCTGTTGCTGTGACCTCCATAGCCAGCGGAACAACATCGGTATCGGAGGGCGGAGGGGTCTGCGTCTGTGTCTGCTCCACCACTTGCTGACTTGAGGGCCCTGCCATGGAACTAGATGTGATCATCGTGTCGGCGCATACACAGTACGTGCCCTCCTTGCAAAAGCCGCAGGGGTCCCTAGGCTCTATGGAGGCGAGCGGCTGGTGCTGCGGTTGGCCCTGTGGTGGAAGGACGGACTTCAACAAATCCTTAGGTCTTTGCGAAGAGAACATCGTGGTAAAGTCCATTTCCATGGTGATGCGAGCATCTGATCGCTGCCGCTTTTCTTCTGGTGATGTCGATGGGGGTGAACTTGGAGGGAGTGGTCGTTTGAGGTCAGGGCCACTCATAGATGCTCCGAGGGTCTCCTCGAGGCATTCACACCTGGTGCCCAGCGAGCATTTGCCGCAGCCCATGGCGATGTCTGTATTCCGGAGAACCTCCTCGGCGCATGCACAAGTGCCGTTGGTCTGGCAACTGCCACAGCCCAGATTCACCGTCCTTTCCTCCTGTGGGGATGAGACAATCTGGGAGATGGAGAATGGTTGGCCTATGGGCCGGGGTTCTGCGATCGGAATCGACTGCGCAGCAACATTCATTGGCGGTGCCGGCTGCAGTGAACGCATCGCCTTCGAGAGCTCGGTTGATTCTGGATGTCCTCCCGCCTGTGCGGGCATCAAGTCGTCATTCCTTGCCGTCGCCCGAGGTTGGGTGTTGTCCCAGCTCGCTGCCATGCTACCACGGCCTTGCCGTTCCTTCTCCAGCATCGACTCCAGCCATTGACATCTTGATTGTAGCGTCTGCGTCTCGATCTCGAGATGACTTATCCGGCCCTGCAATTCCCGAACCGTCCGAGTATGACTTGCTCTCTCCTCCTCGAGTAGTTCCTCTAGCTCTCCCACGCGGGCTGCCCGGCGTTCCCGGAACGCCCTCTGCGCCGCCCGGTTCTGAGCCTTGCGTTTGGTTGGCGGGGTGTCAGTGGCCGGCTTGCGCCCCGGTTTAGGCCGCGGAGGTACAATCCATTCCTTACTAGTCATGCTCATGGTCTTGAATTGTGACGTGGAATCTGGCGACAGAGCAGCTGACGCCGTCATGTTCATCGCTGCCGATGCAGGTGCACTGTTTGCTGTGCTGGGCTTGATTGCGATTGGAGGGACGGCCGAAGACGTCGGAGTGGAGACACCCGACACAGGTGCAGCCGAAGCGGGGCTGGACGCAGAACCCGGTGAACGCTCCGCCACCGTCGTGATTGACAATGCTCTCAACGGCGCTGTATCAAGCGTGCTAGAATCCAAGGCCACATTTGTGGCGGGAGCTATGACAGCTGCCATGCCGATAACTGCCTCTTGGATTCAGCAGAGGAGTTCGCTGACCAGCTGCGATTCGCTACAGTATGCAGCGTGCAGCGGGATTTTGAGCCGCAAACCTTTCAACCGCGTACTCCGGACGGGGCAATTGTGTGAAACGAGGCTGAATTGTCTGGCGTATTTGAGGGAAGCTGATGTTCAAATCCAAGTCTCGCCAGTCGAACGAGGCGGAGTCCTGAAATGCTGGTTGGGTGTCGTTGACCTCGAGATGGCAGGTGTGGCCCAACAGTCCTGCAGTCTGGATTGCTGCAAGTCCCGAATTGCGGCTGCACAAGAATCATAAATTTCCTGGCAAAACCAGAGAAGCGATTCGTCGGCTGAGCCGTTACCCAAAGGGTTTGGTCAACCTTTGTCAAATGGATGTGTCACCCGTCAAAGGTTTTATACGGGTATGAGGGCGAGATTCTGCTGCCCTTCGTGGCTGGAAAACTCAGTAGAAAAGGCTGCTTCTCCTGAGGTTTTGACCGAAGACCGGTGAGAGAGGAGATTCAGGGAACAAGCCCGGGTCTATAGCCCCAGGTACAAGTGCTGTGGGGGTTGTGAACTTGTGATTCGGCAGAGATGGAACGGAGATGGCTGATGCTACTGATTGATTGATAAGATTACAGAGAGAGGCTAATACAAGACAGGCTTAGCTCATTTCCATGGGCCCATTCATGCATCGGAACTTCCATGCACCCGAGTCAATCTGTCCGATGCACGGCGGGACGCAGCCAGACCCAGGAGGATAACAATTCAACCTGGCATGGGTGGGTAGGTATTCTGGTGATGCGTTTTCAAGAGAAAGAGAAGATAATCAAAGTGATGATATCATTGAAGGGGCGTAAAAGTTGACAGCCGCAAACTTAGTTTGACCCAAGATTTTGTATGTCCTCCCCTCAAAGGTGCTTTTATTACGGTGACACCTTTCAATGGTTTCGAGGACTACCTAATACGATCCCCTAGGTACTTGTTAGAGGGTCAATCCGCGGGCTTGTTCCACAGCAGAGACATGGTCTGCGTGTATGTATGTACCTTGATAAATGCTTGGGCAGATCCCGGGTCAGTCTGGAGGCCGGTGAGCGATATCGGAGGAACAATGTATAGCAAACCCTTGGATATCGTCAAGTCGAGGGCCTCGTTCAGAAGCTTGGGCGCTTATTATTACATCGTTCCATCAAGCTGGGGATGTCTCACACCAGAATTGCCAGTGAACAATCTTTGGAAGTTTTCAAGCCGGCTCATCGTCTGATCTGATGACTGGCCCTGACACCTGTAATGGAACTTGTAATCCGTAAGCCTGCGCGAACCATCCACCAAGAAACATTACCAGTCACAGCCAGTCCCATTGAAAAGAAACAGGAAAGGAAAAGAAAAACGCAAGAGAAAATCAGAAAGTGAAGCTAAGCGTAAGAGAGATGGAAAAGAAAGTAAGAAAAAGAAGAAGTAAAATGAAATGATAACACTGTCAGCGCAAATTAGGAGTATCTATCCGTCTGAGAGCGGTGCAGGTGTACACCTTATTTTGTCCAGAAGGAGCGAGCACTTGGGGGCAGGGTTCAGATAACTTCGAGGGTTAGGTCCCTAGCAATCGTGTCAAGAAATACCTAATAGAGGAGGTTCACCGGGAGCTCCAATCCCAACAACCACCGAATCCTCACGGCGCCCTGACCCAATGCAAGCATTTTCGATCCCGCAAGTTCCTTAGAACTCCTCAACCACCTACCCGGAAATCAGTGGTAACCTGCGACAATGGCGCAATTAAACCCGCCTGTCTCCCACTGCCGGCCCGCATCCTCCTATTCCTACTCCCACTCAAATCACGCCCTCCCATCCTCCGCAGTGTCCTCCGGCTCCGAAGCAGACCATGATGACAACTCCCCACTCCCCTTCCCCGCCGCCCTCTCGCGCGCCGATTTCCTCGCCCCCGATTTCGACGCCGCAACCTATCTCTCTGCCCTACACACTGGCGGGCCGGCGGGCCGCCACCAGACGTTGGAGGACTTGCGATCCGAGCTGCGTGACCGCAGCGCAGCCATCAGCGCCGAGCTTTTGGAACTCGTCAATTCCAACTACACCGCCTTCCTCAGCTTGGGCGACGAGCTCAAGGGCGGCGAGGAGCGGGTCGAGGACGTGAGGGTCGCACTGCTGGGTTTCCGGAGAGCGGTGGAAGAGCTGCAGGGGAGGGTAAGAGAACGGAGGGTGGAAGTCGGGAAACGGAATCGGGAGCTCCGGGAGGTCAAAGGAGCGGTGGAGCTGGGGAGGCGGATGTTGGAGTTGGATGAACGGGTGGCCGGGTTGGAAGGGAGGCTTCTGGTTGGAAGTGTCGGCAAAGGAGGGAAACTTGATGTGGATGGAAAGAAAGCAGAAGAGCAAGAAGAGGAGGAGGAGTGGAGGGAGGATCTTGACTCTCTGGAAAGTGACGAGGATGAGGAGGAAGAGGCGGGTGACGACGTCAAGTTCACCAGCAGCAGCCCGTCAAAACTGGAGACACTGGCAAGGGAGTATGTGCTTGTCGAAAAGATCGCGGAATCCGTCGGTCGGGATTTGCCGTTTGTGAAGAAGATGGAGGAGAGAATGGCGCGCTGTCGGAACACGATATTGCTTGACCTGAGCACGGCCTTGAGGGAAGCCCGCAAGGCCGGCCCGAAGGGACAAGGGCGTGTGCTACAATATTTAGAGATATACAGGGTTCTGGATGCGCAAACAGAAGCGGTTAGGGTGTTGAGGGGGAAATGATAACCCTGCTTAGACCCATTGAACTTACGGTCCTCCTAGATACCCAAAACATTCAACGCGCCTTGCTTTCATGAAATTATGGTACACTATACATGCGTTATGCAAGGAGTCCTACATGACTGATTGCAGGTCCTCCGGCTTGAGCTTGGGGTCAGTTGGGTGGAAAGACCCGTTTAGACTGAAACCAGGGCCGTTGGTTGAGCTCAGAACGACCTCATCGAGCGCCTTTGGGTGGTTGTCGTCCGAGTTGCTGATGTCCTGCTTCAATAGGTTCATGAAGGACTTGATGTTGTCTGATAGCATCTGCGGCGTGAAACCCAGCTGACCAACTGCCATCCTCACCACACCGTCCCGCTCCCTATACTCGTCCGCGCCTATGAGCTCCTGAACGGTAGCCTTCAAGTCGCTTGTGATCGTTTTCGTCTTAGGGCTCGGCATCAGACCCTTCGGGCCGAGAATCTTGCCAAGATTTGCCTTTCTTAGGGCTTCAACGCTGTCCACGTGGCATATCAACTTGTTGAAAGGGAGTTGGCCTGCACGAATGCTCTCGAACAGGCTCTCTTGTCCCACTGCGACGGCACCGAGCTGCTGGGCTTCTATCATCAAGGGGCTGTCCTCAGGGCAAATGACGCCAATGCGGGTATCGGTTTTGACGGGGAAGGGAAGGCGGATGCGATTCCGGATCACAGGGCCGCCCTTCTGTGTTCTGAGCTTGACGGCGAGCTCGTACTTGACAACTGCGGGTGGACGGCCAACCTCGAAGGCACGCAGATACCTGTAAGCAGAACAGAGTTAGCGCAACCGCGCCGGGTACGATGACTAGACGCTGAACTTGCCTGAGAGCGTCGCAAAGCGAAAATTGCTCAATCTCTGAGAGATCCCAGGTCTTGTATGTCTTGTACGTCTTCTTTTTCTTTACGGGCCGCTTGCGCATGCCTCCCCCTCCAGATGCATGTCGAACCAAGGGGGCCGTGGCCGATGGAATGAGAAACTTGGGTATTGTCGGGGTTAATATCGGCCTGGCTGGTGTTGACAGACTAAGCCTTGCCAGCGAGGCAAGACATTGGTTGAGAGAAGCCATCGTGCCGACGCCGCTGTCAAACACGAAGCTCCCGTGATGTGAGCCCGCGTCTCAAGGTTCGGCTGCGCCGTCGAAAAAAGTTGGGTCCGAGCTGCAGCAGAGTTGGTACCTCAGATTTCAGGCGACAAAACGTTCAGGAACCAGGGAGACAAGGGGCTGAAGCTTTGGGCCGGGGTTGGTGAATGCGGCATTCACCGCCCGGCGAAACAGGTCACTACCCCGCCACAGTGAGGTGTTGCCCCTCCAAAGTTTGCGAAAACAACCTGATGGAGGAATACCGCCGGTGACTCAACGGCTACCAGGATAAAAGGGGCGTTCAACTGCAATAGTATCTCCGGGTTCACTGACTAGAAATCAACGACACCATGAAGCCGGACGAGCTCAAGCCTCTTGAGGCCCTCCTGACGGCGGATTTCCGCCAAATCGAGCCCCGCCTGCAGGCGCTTGACAAGCACCTCATTCTCCGCACATACCTCGACGGCTACACGCTCGGAGATATCGACACCAAGATCTGGCTGGCACTCCGTGGAAACCGTGCAGCCGTATCCTTTATCAAGCGCGGCAGTCTCGTCAACCTTGCCCGCTGGTTCACTTTCATCGAGGAAAATCACCCTGAGATCCAGGCTGAGGTTAAGGCAAAAGATGCCGCTGCGAAGGCCAAGGTTGCCGCGGCCAGCAAGGCCGGTGCGAGCTATGCTCTAGCGCTGCAGAACGCTGATCAGGGTGTTGTGACGAGATTCTTACCTGAGCCCTCGTGAGCCGCACCAAAATACCCCCCTCCTCGGAACGCATTCAGCTAAACAAGACGCTAGGGGATACCTTCACATTGGGCATGCCAAGGCCGCCCTTCTCAGCGATTACTTCGCGCACCAAGCGTACAAAGGGACATTGCGCCTTCGCCTTGATGATACCAACCCGTCCAAGGAGAAGCAGGAGTATCAAGACGCCATAATCGAGGATCTCGCGCTAATGGGCATCAAACCCGACGCGGTGTCTTACACGTCGGATTATTTTGACTACCTGTACGAAATGTGCGTCAGGCTCATCAAGGAAGGCCATGCCTATGCCGACGACACGGACCAGGAGACGATGCGGGATGAGCGCTTCAAGGGCATTGCTTCGAAGCGCCGGGACAGGACCGTCGAGGAGAATCTACGTATCTTCGAGGAGATGAAGAAAGGCTCTGAGGAAGGTCTTCAGAACTGCATCCGCGCGAAGCTTTCGGTCGACAACCCGAACAAGGCCATGAGAGACCCAGTCATCTACCGATGCAACGTCGAGACCCCCCATCACCGGACTGGTACCAAGTGGAAGATGTACCCTATGTACGACTTCGCCTGCCCGGTAGTCGATAGCTACGAGGGCGTAACCCATGCCCTGAGATCTACCGAGTACACCGACCGGAACCCCCAGTACCAATGGTTCTTGGATACGTTGAAGCTTCGGCAGGTTTACATGTGGGATTTCGCTCGGATGAATTTTGTCCGGACATTCCTTTCCAAGCGTAAGCTTGCCAAGCTGGTTGACACCGGGAAGGTTTGGGGCTGGGACGACCCGCGTATGCCAACGATTCGTGGTGTCCGCAGGAGGGGCATGACCATCCCGGCCCTGCGTGATTTCATCATCAAGCAGGGCCCTAGCCGGAACGTGGTCAACATGGATTGGACGACCTTCTGGGCGAGCAATAAGAAGGAGATTGATCCTATCGCACCGCGCCACACCGCGATACTGCAGAAGGACGTGGTCAAGGTGACTATCACTGGCGCTGAGGCGCCAGCTCAACCGTACTCGACGGACAAGCCAAAGCACCCCAAAAATAAGGAGATTGGCACGAAGAAGGTCGTGTTTGCGTCCGAGCTGTTGCTGGACCAGACCGATGCCAAGAGCTTCAGGGACGGCGAGGAAATAACCCTCATGGCCTGGGGCAACGCGTTTGTTCGCCAGATTACTAGCGGCGATCCCATCCCCAGCCTCACTTGCGAGCTGAACCTACAGGGCGACGTCAAGACCACCGAGAAGAAGATCACCTGGCTCGCAGCTGAGGGACAGAAGCTGGTACCCGCCGAGCTCTGGGACTTTGACTACCTCATCACTAAAGACATCCTGCAAGAGGAGGACAACATGGAGGACTTTTTGAATCCCGTAACCGCGACAATGGACGATGCCTGGTGCGATGAGGCCGCTGCACAGTTGAAGAAAGATGATATCATCCAACTCGAGCGGCGCGGCTACTACCGGGTGGACAAGGGGCTGGACGACTGGAAGGATGGTGAGGAGGGGCCGAAGGGCAAGCGGCTGGTGCTGTTCTGCATCCCGACGGGCAAAACTGGGCCGAAATAGATCGCTCAGTTATCATGGGCTACACTACCTATCTCCAAGCACCTATAGATGAATGGAAGATGTCGGATGTGTCTGGTAGCTGTCCGTTACCCCAGAATCGGGACTATGGTCACTCAACACGTACCGTACGAACTGAAATTTTGTGTACGGCCTTAATAAGGGGCGCTTATTCTCACTGTTAGGGGATGGATGATGCTGAGGTTGGGGTTATACATGGGCCATGGTCCCGTGGAACCGACTGTCTTGGTCCTAAAAGACCATCTCCTTTGAAAAGCTGATTTCAAGCCAGCATCCACCTTCTCGCTGTCAGTTTGAAGCTGGTTCCTGGATATATCACTTCGACTTTCTCTTCCCCATATTAATTCTTCCGCTAGGAGTTCTACATATTAAAATCCAAAGAGCTACCTCGCTGCTCCTTCTCCCTCTCCTTTCCATCACGCATGGATGGCCTGCTGCACATGCGGATAAACCTGCACCATGCGATGATACAAGTCCGGATGGTCCCGAATCATGACCTCCGGGTCCCAGGCGGCCGCCACAAAAATGGTGTCGATGCCGCTGCTGATGGGCGTCGTGAAGACGTTGCAGATCTGCAGGCCGATGAGGAAGGCGAACGCCACGACCACGGGTGTGTATCCGCCGCTGGCGTTGTATGCTGGGTCTGTGAAGACCATGTAGACGTAGGCCAGCAACGCGCAGGCGTAGCCGACGAACGTGGCGCCCATGCCCAGGACGGGGCCGATCAGGCACTCGTTGACGAGCGCATCGATGCCGCGGTCTTTGATCATGCTACAGAAGTGTTTTGGTCAACATTTGTGCGGTCAAGGGCGAACAGCGGATGCTATGGGGGAAATAGTGATGCGGGAATAAGTACGGGAAGGCAGCGGTAAGATTGAAGAGGGAAACTTACTTCCAGGTATCCTTCGCCGCGGGGATATAGGCCTTCCCGTACAGGGCAATGTGCGAAAAGGCGTAGCGGTTCAAGAATTGCACCGCCCAGTCGAGGATGCCGATCAAACAGCCGACAATGCAGTAGAGGATGGTGCCGAAAATATCACCCTGTCCCGCAGCCCGCTGCTGGGCCACCGAAGCCAACTGCCTGAGAAAGTTGATGATGGCCACAACCAAGCTGCCCAGGCTGATGCTCCCAAAGCTGTAGGTAAGCGATCTCCTCAGCGCGCCGCGAGTGACCTTCCGCGGGTAGTTCCTCGAATTGAAGTACCACGACCCATACACGCCCGAGATGGTCGTATGGATGGTATTCTTGAGCCACTCCGAGATCCAGTAGGCGGCGAAGGTGATGAACGCAATCAGTCCGATCACCTTCGCCGAGCTACATCCGCCCACGCCCTGGCGGCACGCAGGATTGTTCGCGCTCGGCTCGTACTTGACGTAGACGCTGACCAGCGTGACCGAGTACCAGCCCGCAAAGGCCGTGGCCAGGATCCCGCCGACGGCGCTCACCGCGTATACGTGCCCGAACCGCTTGGCCACGTCCATGGCCGTCTGGAGCATCAGCACACTGAAGGGGATGCGGCTGCGCCAGCTGAGGAAGGCGATGACCATGAAAACGGCGAAGAGCAGGAACACTATGCCGCCCGAGTAGTAGCGCCGCGTGAGCATGTAGATGGCCGTGGCGAAGCCAAAGACGACGTTCAGGATGCCGGTGATCCAGATGAACTGCTTGGTGAACTTGCGCGCCAGCCACATGTAGGCGTAGCTGAGGACGATGGCGGTGAGGAGGACCCAGAGAAACAAGTAGATCGTGTGCGTCGTCAGGCCGAAGTTGTTAAGCTGGCCGTCCAGGCCGCCGGAATTCTCGCGCCGGGTTGCAGCTGGGAGACCCGTCTGTTAGCCTTGGTTGGACGGTTGATGAGGAGTGGCTTAAAACAAACCATAGCCTTGAATGGAGATCGCGGACACGACCACGAAGCCCGCGCAGGTGGCTAGGAAGAGAAGACCCGCCCATACGTCGTTCCACTTCGGTTTCGGAATAGCAAAGATCTCATCGTACGTCGGCGGCGGTGCTTTGGGTTCGGACTGCGGAGGAGGATAGGAAGGAGGTGCGTATTGGCCGCCATTAGCTGGTCCATTATTCGCATAGCCGCCTCTCGGCTGGGGTTGTGCGCCGTAGTCGGCCATCGTGTCACCGACTTCGCCGTAAGGCGCAAGGCAAGGTCTTTTGCGTGAACCTCCGGGGTCGATTTTATCCGTTGCGTCACGCACGGGAGTCTGAGACTCTGCGTCGGCTGAAGTTCGAGTACGCGTTCACCCAATCCTGGGATCGATGAAAGGCCAGGAAAGTAGAAGGGAGCTGGGGAATGCCTAAAGCATCAGGACCTGGTAAGATATGGTGACATTGTACATTGTTGCACATACAATCAATGCAATACAGACCTGGATTGATCAGAGCAGGAATGTGGCATCTCAACCCAGGTTTCCACAGTACCTAGTGTGTGTTACGTCATTGGAATGCTGCGAGGCCGACTCTTGATATAACAACTCTTGCCAAGACAAAGTTCTATCGTCCTTAAACGTTCGAATTTCGCTAATCTCATTAGTACGAATGAATTGACCATAAGAAAGTACTTGTAGATACATACCCTATCTATAAGTTAGGGATATCAGGCGATAATTGTCTCTGTAGATTTCGTCCTATCTCTGTCTCTGATATGGCCATCATAGCATCCCACCCGACAACACTGGTCAGTAGTGGAATCATACTATGATACACTGGACGTCCAACCGACTCAGAGTCACACAACAGCAGCGTCACGACAATCAAGAAGCATAAGGCCTCGCCATGTCTATATTTCGGTTCAAGATACGAATATCCGATGTACCAGACTCAAATACATTGAATAATATAAAATGAACCGTGCAAGGAACTCCTGAATGGGTTCCCTATCTATAGAGCAGTGCCCACTCTCAGCGCCCAGTGGCGGCTGGATGAAGGGGGTGGACCCTCGAGGGTGAGTTGACGAGCTGCGACTGGCGCACAGGCCTAGGCGCATGGACGGCGGGAGGCCTGGCGTATCTCACTGGAGGTTCGGGCTGGGCTAGGGCCTGGGCCCGCTGTTGACGCTGTTGCGGCGTCATCATTGGTTGTGGTCGCTGTTGCTGCTGTTGTTGCTGTTGTTGCTGTGGAGGTTGTGGAGGTTGTTGTGGAGGATGTTGTGGAGGATGTTGTGGAGGGCGTTGCTGGCGGCGCTGTGGATAATGTTGTGGCTTCTGGGGTTGCTGCGGCCGCGGCTGGGGTGCCGTCGCCGTTGGCCTCGGATGCTGCTGCACTTGGATCTTGACGTGGGTACCCGGCGTCGGAAACGTCGGGAGGGCGTCAGGGTTGCTGGCGGATGGCTTCTTCGTCTTCTTCGATGCCGCGGCTCGCGCCTTTGCCGCTTGGGCTTCGGCAACGAGATCTCTCAGCGGAGCGCGGAAGCCGTTGGGCGCCGCCTGGGCCTCGTACATCAACGAGACAGGCTTGTACGTCCTTCTAACCTGTCGTGCAGCAGAACGGAGTTTCTTGACCTCTCGCTCGGTCATCCTGGGCGCCATGCCGGCCATGTAGAGGTCGAATTGGGTTTGCGGGTCCAGGAAAAAGAATGTCTTCCGGTAGTAGCTGAGGTTCCTGTCCTGGCTGGATTTGCTGGATTTGCTGGAACCTGGGATCAATCGTCTAGCTGCCTGACCGGGGTGGGTGACGGCCTTGGAGGCACCGGTCAGGCCTGTCAGGGCTCTCGTCCAGATAGTCTTCTTAATAACATGTTCTTCGGTCTCTAGTATTCGGTAACTTTTTGTTAGCTATTAGTGACACAAGGCTTGGTAGAATTTGAGAGCCATACCAACAACCTGCAGCGGGTGGCCCCCCGGTCGATGGACAACTTTCTGAGTCGTCGTCTTCGTGACCGTCTGTGACTGGTGTGCTGGATTCTGAGCTGGTCGCTGTACTGGATTTTGAATCGGTCGCTGTCCTACAGTCTGAGCTGGTCTCTGTGCTAAGCTTTGAGGTCGACCTTGACCTGGTCGCTGCACCGGCTTGGCCCCTAACAAGCTGCTGCTCTGCCCAGGTGTAGGCATGGTGTGGGATACGGGAATGCTCAGATTCAGAAAGGGGAATAGGTTTAAGAGTAGGGCATGAAATCATCTGTACCGGGATACAAATCATACAATCGGAGCAGTCAAGTACATGCCCGGGGCCCGGCGTCTGAAGAGTGCCAGCAGCGTACATTTAAGTGCCGCCAGAACGGCAACATCTGGGAGGAGAGTCAATGGCCTCATCTTGGGGGCCGTGCCTAGAAGGCGCGCAGGAACGTAGGCGTGTTAGAGGAGCTCTGAAGAGACAGCAAAAGTTCCACGCATTGCTGACATGACCCGACACTCTGCCCCGGTCTGTCTGCTCGACCCGATTTGTTTCCTGTATTCTGGGGCAGAGTAGTTCCACGTCCGGGTGCAACCTCGGTAGCCGTTGTTGGCGGCCGGTAATTGTGGGGGCCGGGTTTTGCGCCGTTGGCCGGGGCCGGTTCTGGTTTCGGAGTGACCGGGCCGCTAAACTAAGTACTGGCCGGTTATGAATCTGAGACATTAGCCCAGTTACCAGTATGCTTGGCAATAAGTCGGCGCGAGAAGAAACTGAGATGCAGTGCGTTTGAAGAAGTCTGCTTGGCCTTGAAGCATACACGCGATTTGAGACTATCGTAAAAAGGTCCAGGGAAAGAGAAAGGAAGACCAGATGACACGATTTACGGTTGCCACTTGACTGAAAGGAAAGAGAAAGCGAAGAGAAGGGAGGAGAGAGGGATTCAATCTTCAGAAGACTTGGAGCTTGGAAGGGTTTACCAGTTTACCTGGAGGCATTGAAATTCGAGCAGGAAGCTACCTCAAACATAATACCTTATCAACCAAGGTACCTAAGCATAAAGCATCGGCCTTTTCCAAAGTGGTCATTTCGTCAATCCCCAACCAGATGACCACGCCCCTCGCAAGCCAATCCGTCACCCTTCCTACTGCCGAGAGAGATTCCCCATCCGAATGCTCTCCCCAGACACCGAATCATTCCCGGTCCTCGTAGACGCTCCGTCAACCGTCTTGCCAACCCTAATAGCAGAATCCCTCTGCCGAACCAATCTCTTCTTTCTCTCCCTCTCCCGATAAAACAACAACCCCAGACCCACAATTAGCGCAACGCCCACCACGCTCCCAACCACGGCGCCGGCAATACCGCCCTTGGAAAGTCCCTTGGGACCAGCATCCGCAATCACCGTCGCCGTCGCCGTCGCCTCACTTCCCGGCTCTACCAACGGCGGGCCCTCGTCCCCGTGCCCAGGCAGGTTGGTAGGTGTTCCCGTTGTTGTCGGGGCGGGCACGTCCACGTCCTCGGTCGCGTTGAAGCAGGGGACATCGGCCTGGTTGAAGGAGGCGGCGGCGACATAGGTGATGTCGGCGCAGGCGTAGAAGGTCTGGTTCTCCGGGCGGTCGAAGTCGGCCGTGTATTTGATCTGGATGGTGGCATTTGCGCCGGCGCCGATGGTGGCGGGCGGGTTGGGGATGGAGATGCAGGTGTGGCCTGGGTCGAGCTCGGGGATGGCCGAGGTTCGGAGCGTCGTGAAGTCGGATTGGGATTTTGGGTCTATGATGGGGAGAAGCGGGTTGGATTAGGTACTGATATCGCGGGTATAATGTAAGGTAGGCAGAGCCAGGTAAAGAGGGACCAGGTGATTACCGTTGTTAAATGAGATGCTGATCTCCGTGTTGTAGGAATCATCCTGAGCGACGAAAGCTAGTTTGCCGCCGGCTGCAGGGACTTTTACATCAGCAACAAGACATGAGTGTCACGCTCAGGATCCAATCGTACTCACTCAGCGGAAACCCGGTCCTGTTTGTGACGCTCGCGACAGAGCCACAGGGGGCGGTATTGTCTACCTGTGCGGACCAGGCGCGATCGGGCGGCCACATAATCGCGGCAGGACCCATGTCGTCGGAAGCACCTTGGACCCCAGCTGCCGCTGCTAGCAGTAATATGGACTGAAGGACGACCATCTTGAGCATACAGTGTGCACTGCCCATGGCAGTTCGGTGCTCAAGAATGAAATGCAGGCGGGAACAGGATGCGGATGAACCAGACCCTTTGGAATTCTGAAGAAACTAGGGGAGAGTCAGTACAATCACATACGGACGGGCGGGGTTGTTAAACATATTGAGGGATGCTATGTATGTCGGCTATCTGCAGAGTATGACTGAGGGTGTATGAGTGGCCCGCAAGGGCAGGTGCACCGGCACCCTTCATGTTCTGCTTCCCCCGCCCTTGTGATCTCCTCTCACCGATAATTCGGACTGCTTCTTCATTCGTGATGAAGCCAAGAGCTTAGGAATCCGTCGGCAGAAGGAACTAACGTAGACTGAATACGAGTCCTAACCTGACAGACTCTACGTTTCTCGAGACGCGAGAGTGCCACACTTGGGTTAGCATCATTCTTGCATCCGATCTTTGTCCGAGCAATCGTCCGATTCTTCCGGTGGCCTGACTCTGACCATCTAACAGTAGCGCTCCTCGAGACCATTCCCTCGATGTCACCTTCGAGCACTGTTGCCCCATTGAAGCCCCGCCTGGATGTGCTTCTGGATTGGGCATAACTGCTTATCAGATGATCAGATAATTTGGCTTGGCACATCGATTTCCACTTTGATTAGATCTCACTCAGCAGCCCGATTGGACGGTCGATGAGAGCGTCCAACTCAAAGTTCCGCCCAGGGTTCGGACAGACTTGGCGAAGGAAGAGAAGGAAAGCATCCGGAAACCACGGTATCGCTCGCAGAGTTTTCCAGCCGATATCGCACCTAGGCACCATCGCTCAGCTGTCTCACTGCCTCACATGGATGAGGTAGAGTCGTAGCGACGTAGACTACTCACTCAGCCGCTGTTTTGGTAGGGGAGAGCCGAAGTCCGATGCGAGAGCTCTGTTAGTGTTACCACAGTAAACTGGGCAGACTGGCTTGGCCCGGTGTTATCGAGGTCAAGCTGTATCGTGTATATACCGCATGATCTATCCCCTGCAGTGCCCGCTGCAGCATCCTACAGTAATGCATCACCGAAGCAATTTAGCCAATCCCACCGCTAGGTATTATAACCTGCCGTCCTGCCCTCCCTCAGCTTGGTTCCCGTACCTCTCCTCGTCTTGGCCAGCCGAATCCCTGCTTCTCAGTTCTAACCGTCTCCAGGCCATTTGTATCACCCCCTTCTTCCTTGACCTCATACGTTCATTGTCTGCACTTAGCTAGGCCTCCATAGTCTTCATGATGTACAGCCGTGGGCTCTCTGTCGTTTTCGCTGCCCTACCAGCTTTTGCTGCTGTCAATGCGGCTCTGCCGGACAATGGCTTAGACTTTCACATTGCCTTGATGAGTCGCCAAGCACCGGGAACACCAGCATATGATTGCCACTTCAATTGCGGTAAGTGAATTCTTCAAAATTCTTCTCTTCTCGTTCTGGACATTTGGACTTGCTTCGAGCGCGTTTGCTCCCGAGCGGCCCACCTCTCAATTGTCCCGTCACAAACCTAATTCGACCTCGTGTCTCGGGCACAAACCCAACATCAACTAACACTTTGTCTTATCTACCTAGGCAGCACCATCTCCGGAGGGCGCGTGGAGAACCACTGCGACAACTCCACATGGGTCGAACTCTACGAAGCTTGCCTGGACTGCGCCCTGGATTTTGATATATGGCAATACTACAGCAACGGCGTTACCAGTGCCGCCAGAGCCTGCGGATTGAGCCCTACTCCGTCCCCTTCCGGTGACTCCGGTTCTTCATCCTCGGCGACCGGCGCCGCTTCCACTTCTGCGTCCATTTCTGCTGGAGTATCTTCTGCGGGTACTACTGCTGCTCCAGGGTCTTCGAGCACCACTGCGGCTTTGAATACGACATTCAGCCTCCCGACAACTGCGCCCCCAAGTGATACTGCCGCCACCGAATCGACTGCGTCCCCCACAAGTGTACGTTTGAAGCTCGGCTACGGGAACTCATATGTGCAGAGAAGTTAGCTGATCTTTATTCTGCTTAGTCTGTGAGCACTGCTGGTGCACCGGGAAGACAGATGCATGCTGCTGGATATATGCGTGGTATCTCAACTCTGGCGGGTGCCATGTTTCTGGGGCTCATTGGGCAGTGGTAGTCACCATGGTGTTTACAATCCTAGTATGGGACTTTGCATTGGGCCGACTTGCATTTGGGAACCCCTACCAGGTATATGTTCTCCTAATCAGTTACGAGGGGCTCGATTTCAGGTGCTACCTAACTTAAGTCTGTAATCTCGTATCCGAACAACCTAATATGGAGCGGATTGCTCAGCTCCGTTCTCTTAAATCTCAGTTGGTGCGATGTGTCCCAAACTTACGATAGATCGTTGCATTAACTATCCATCAACACCAAAACGCCGCTCCCGGTTATACAAAGTCTTTTAAAGTAGCCAATATTATTGTCACACTCCTCGCGTGTGTGCCTGGTACTAGTATCTACCGTCCACTTATCAAGCCTCCCCCTTCCATTCTTCCGCAGCAGGAGGAGCCCTATACCTCACCAAGAACGGCACGGCCAGCGCAAACAGCGTCTCGAACCCAAACGCAACCCACTGCAGCACCTGCAGCGTCCGGCCGGCGTGGATCAGCACCGTCGCGTGCGCCATGCCCGACGTGGCGTACGCGAGCGCGCCCGCCGACTCGCTAGTCGCCAGCGCCGCCGCGAACGCGAGTGCCGCCGAGCCAAACAGCATGCCATAGGTAATCCGGCGGATGATCGTGCTCCGGCGCGGGTGCTCGTCCCAGCCCTTGGAGACGTCGCGCTTGTGGAGCACCAGGGCAGTGATGCCGAACACAAAGAGCACGGCGGCGCCCGCGAGGACGGAGATGAAGATGCGGGATTGCAGGTCGATCGCCGTGGAGACGAGGTCCGTTATTTCGTCGCGGGTTACCGAGGCGGTGGCGTTGGAGGAGGAGGAGGAGCTGTTGCGGCCGAACACTTCGGGGAAGAGGTCGGCCCTGAGCGTCTCGACCGAGCGGCCCGAGACCGACTGGCAGCGTTTGCCCTCTCCGTCGATGCCGCAGATTCCTAGTTGTCCTTGGTTAGTATCTCTGAGGAGATGGAGGTTGACAAGGGAATAGACTCACCGAAATAACCAATGCGAACTTGAAGGGGTTCATCAGTTACGTTATTGTTTGGCCGCAAGGAAACAATGTAAATGTTGGGAACCCCAGGCGACGTCGAGACACATCCCGTCAGGGACAGTGCTGTCGAGTCCGTTAGTTAAGAATATCATAGAGGATTCAAACGATGCTCGAGAGACCTACCCTGGAAGACAATGATCGGGACGATTAGGAGATAAGGAGCGTAACGAAGCATGCCGTAAGCTATCTATATGTTAGCGAAACTGTCTTCATTGAGACTTTCTGGGAGCAAGTCCCGACTCACGCGTAAAGTACATCTTTGCCAAATTCTTCAAGAGAGTCATCTTGACGGGTTTTCAAACGCAAGCCAGGGGAATGAGTTGGGGGATCTTAAACTGTTGGCCAGCAACAAAGAGGCAATAACACAATAATAAAGGAACCCAAACGCCTTTGATTAGGACAAATGGACAATGGAGAGAGAGACCCAAGAGGAACAGACGAAAAGGAAAAATCCAGCGTGTTGGTCATTCACGGGTTAACATTGCGGCAAGAGCAGCACTGGCAGGTGGAGCTTTAATAATTATCCCACATCGTCACAAAAGCATAACTCACTTAACGACGTGTGCTTCGATCATGGAGTGTTTGCAACTTTGCATCGGCTATCTGCTACATTGGGGTTGCTGGTCAACCCCGGCTCGACCAACCGATTCGCTACCAGTCTCCGGCGCGGCGTTGCAGTGTAGGACGCTGTTTGGGGAGCCGCCCTCGCCGACCCATACCGCCGTCCCAGGGCCAGCCGTTTGTCCCCGCGCGTGCGATTCGACGTGACAAGCGACAATCGCTGATTGTTCTGGGCTTCCACTCCACCCGGCGCTTAGACAAAGGCTTTGGGGCTCAAAGAACTTGGAGGTGTCGGGAATCGGCATAAGTAGTTAGCGGCAAAACTCTATTTTTAGGGTGGCAGAAAGGTCTTGGCACTCGAACCATCAATTCCTGTCTCCGTATCCGTAATAAGACACACTCTCTACAGTACATATGATAAACTTACACAAGTGATAGCTTGGCTTGTATTGTAAATATGTACCGAGCATTCATAAGTGTAATATGCATGGTATACAAATACTTGTACAGTACAATACCCCGGTGAAACACATTACAGGTGTGGCGCAAGTACGGAATACTCCGTACGCCTGCTTGGATCCCTATCAGGTACAGTAGGTACCTAGCAGGGTAGTACTAATAAGGTATAGAGGTAATGACCGAACAGAGAGAGGTGATCCTACAATTGAAGTCTACGACGGGCTTCGCAGGAAGTGGTGGGTGAATTTTGATCTTTGATAGCTCAACTACTACGGCTCGCAAGCGACATTTACAGCAGCGTCTCGTACAGTATAGCTCCCGTGGGTATATTACCGCCCCACCCTACCTACAGCGGGTAAGTACATACCCAGGCATCTTACCAAGATACCTTAGGTAGGTAGCTTTACGGCCCGGCGAAACTATGGCTGGGCCCGGACTTGGCTGCCAAGGCCCCCACAATTCTGGACATCCGCAGCGTGAGCTGGCCCCACCTCTCCGCCCCGACCACCGACAACCTCCGGCCATTGCCAACCTGCCTGCTACCTGACACGGGATCCCAATGTGGTAATCTCCATCAAGCCTTTGAAAGATTGTGTCCTCCGGGTCAACTCTGAAGATGCTATACGTCTCAAATGCTTGGCCTGTTAAATGGTCCGCGAGTTAGTTCGCATCGGAAAATACGAACCATCCCGTCCCGCAAAAACCTCTTGGGGAGCGGTGAAAGCCTTGCCAAAAGCCTCACCGAAAAGCCTCGCCTGTATTGCCTCGAGCGCGGGGTCATGGATGCCTTATAAGAGTCTCGGCACCCCTTTCCCCAAAGGGAGGCCTCCTTTTGATTTGCCCTAATAAGTGGCCTTTCATGTTCCTGGAGGTGGTAGCCCAGGATGGAGTTGCGTACCGTCGGCGATATGCTGTGGTCCCAGACTTCCGCTTTGAGGATATTGTTCTTGATCATAATCATTATTAGTGCCTCGCATTACTGTTATCGATGGTTTGATCCTGTCAAACGTGAGCTACGCTCAAGAACTGTTTGCATGTACGAAAAATCGAAGAATCAATGATCCCGGTCCGACTACTTCAATGTCCCCAAAATAAGATCACGTTGTAAGTCCGCAATATCATGGCCAATGATCGTCATCCCGTCCCACCTGCTCCATCTTCTCCTACCAGCCCGTCTGCCCGCAGAGCCCACCCAGTGTCCCGCCTGGCATCTATCCTTTCCTTGAAAGTTTCGTCCAGTTCATTCCGTCGCATCATATGCTTCTTCCTCACGTGCTGCCATCGGTTGTCGTCCCGGCTATGCATGGATCCGCATACAGGACATTGAAACCCCCCACCAGGCTCTTGGCCAGTATTTCGGCGGTGCCTGTTGCTGGTATTGTGTCGCACCATCTTCTTGCGTTGATCTGGTCCCTCATCTGGGTAGTAATGGCAATCCCGACAGTACATAGATTCATTCTCGGCCTGCCTTCTTCTGAGCCCGGAAGCTTTGGACTTGCTAACCCGCTGCTGGCTTGGAAGCCCCGAAATGGCGGAGTTGCGAGGACGGCCGGGTAGCGCCAAGCCCTCGGGGCTCGTTAAATCCTCCGTTGTCGGCATGGCTGGTACACTGCGTGTTGTATAACCCGACGAGTTCCGTCGCGGCCGTGGAATCCGCGGTTGTCTCCGGAGCCGGGAATGCGGAGGCGAAGGAGAGCGTGGCTTCATAAAACCAGAGTTGACTATTTCGTTGGCAATTCCAAGGCCATAGACTGGAGATGTGAGCCACCCGCTTTCATCTAAGCCAGGTTGGGCGACAATACCGCCACTTAGGGGCTCGATTGACCGAGTTTCGTCGAAAGCGCTGGGCAACGATGTCGTTCCTGGAGGATGGATGGGCATGTGGCTTTCGGATCCTGGCTTTGGCAGCCATTGTATGGCCTCCAACTCCGGTAGGAGGGAACTATCAGGTAGTTCCGCCACGGCAGTTATCGAGGTCCAGCGGTCATGGGACGAGGCGGCCGGAAGCCAAGCGGCAACGTTGTCACCGTTCTGGCCGTACTCGACAGGAGAATATGTAGTGTGCGACGCAAAGAGAGGGCCCTGCTGCTCGACAGATGCTGCAATGGAGGATACGGCTGTGGAAATGCTCGAGTTTTGCGACTGAGAGAAGACAGACTGGCGGTGACTAGTTGGCGTGGATCGTAAAAAGGAGCTCATTGCCAAGTTACGGGGAGGAGGTCTGCCGTACAACGTTGAGTTTGGCGTTGGCGCCGTGTGCGAGGCGGAGATCAGTGTTTGGTCGGGGAGTTCATAGACACCGGGGATTTGGTTGTGATGCTGATTAGGCAACGCTTGGGGAATGGCGATCATGCCGGCGTCCAGAGCATACGAAGGTTGTCTATGTCCAATGGGGTTGGCATAGTGACTGGCATCGTGGGAATGGACATCCGGCAGCCCGGCTGGAGACGGCATGAGCTGCGTGTTGTATGCTGCGGACAGCTCGAAGAGAGAAGCATAATTTGGTGATAGCTCAGCGGGCCTGGAGTTTGCCGGGAGTTCTGCCACTGACGGAAGCAGAAGGTTGTCGTTGAGCCAGTGCAACCCTTGTCCCTCTCCCTTTTCGCTGGTCCTGTCAGACGCATGTCCCTGTCCTATGTCGCCGGGACAGTCGGGCTCCTGGCCGTGACCCTGTCCCTGTCCATTCTCGAAAGCATCCTGCGACCTCCTGCGGGACTTGTTCGACACTCGTTGCCTAATGCTGTCGAAGAAAGATTTGGTGCGGCACCATGTCACTTGAAGCTGGCCTCTCTTCTGACCACATGTCCCCTCGCTCACATTGCTCCGTCCGCACCGGCATTGAGACCGCCTGCAGTAAGCATCCAAGTCCGCCATCTTGGCCTCCAAGTTGGCGAAGTGTTCCTCGCACAGTTGCCTGGCATGGACGCATTCCAGGAGAGCATGGGATCTGTGGTCCGATGAGTATCAATGCGCAGGTTGGCGATCATCAAGACATACCTATAACGGCCATCATAGCTAGCAGGTGAATACGGCGGCGGAGGATTGGGACATGTTGATACAAGGGGCGAGGCATGGAAGGGAGCTTCACAGTCAACCGTTGCCCGAAGTCCATCAGGGCCAGCAGCTGACGCGGAGGCAACTGAGTAGTCCTGGAAGGCTACCATCTTGGGAGGGGTTGACAATCGTCCGTAACAGTCGTTTCGCATTGCAGCTGCCCAAGTGGCGAGAGTTCGGAGAGGGGACCCCTTTTGTGCCGCTCGCTCGGCGATCGTAGGTCGCTCATCCTGACGGTTAGGTTGTGTCGAGACCGATCCAAGACACCCCTCATACACCCGGTCGCTAGGTCCTCAGATCCAAGGTGACGGAGGTCCATCCAAACTTGCAGGCAAAGCCCACTTGCCCCAAATTACACTTCCCATACACGGAGGCAAGGCTCAATAGCCAACATGCCATCTCTGCTGCGACCCGGCTAAGCATGGTCCCGAGGGCACCGTATAGAAGATACCTGCACCGAGATGTGCCGGACAGGGGAGGAAGCTCTTTCCCCCATCGGATGCTGACCGGCGAGGCGGCGACGTTGTATCCAGGGTGCTGTGTTATGTTGGGAGACGAGATCTGTAACGGCGGGGGTGAAGGTCTGACGCGTGCATGCCTTCATGAACGGCTCCGGCAAGACCGGCCCTTTCTAGCTTCACCGACGCCGGTATCAATGATTGGTGCCGCCATCTCATCTGTTTGGCAGGATGGGTGAAGACCTGGAAGGCCCGGTATACCCAGGTAATAGTAAAGCGCATCGATACGGAAATCTAGCGCAAGGCAGCGAGGCCTCCGGCAAAGAAGGAACTGCAGCGTACGGAACGCGTAAGGTCTCTGTAGTGATATCGAGGCAAATGGGCCGAAAAGGTACCTACCTACGCAGCAAGTAGAGCGTGGCCCGTAGGTGGGGGGCGGGGCCACTCCGGGAGCTTGTCGGGAGCAGCCGAGCAGGACGGGATGTCGGCTGGCCCATTGAAGTACATACGGCGTGAGGCTTGTTCTTCGCTTTCATAACCGGAGATGACGGGACCTCCGGCGGACATGAGGAGGAAGCAGAACCGAACCCCCTAAAAACTAGCATTCGCAACGAGCGGCCGGGCGCCTGGAGGCTCTTATATCACTGCCTCTCAAGTCAGTTATCGCTGATTGCTCTTTCATTGATCAACGAGACGGAAAAGGAATTGTGGCAGTGCCCTGCTGTGAGTTGCCATAGCCGCAACTAAGGAGGCAGTGTTTGTTCAGCTGTGTGCGGGGGGAGACAAGCACCCCAATCAGAGGAAGGGAGGCCCTGGGGGACTCGAGGGAGTGGTTGGGGACCTCAGGAGACACAGCGTTTCTGCCATTGCTCGCTGAGGCTCTGCTTAGTTAATCCGTGGATATATGTACTTGTATTGTACACTGTAACACTATGCATGATTGAAGCTCGAATCCATGGAGCCTTCAGGCGCTTTCCCAGAGCCAGAGGTTTCGTCGATATCTCACGGCTGGTGGGGCTCTGGAGTCTGGAGAGTTGAGCCTCAATGGGGTGAGGAGGACCTAGGACCTTAGGTACAGTTCAACCCCGGAATGATTGTTAGCGCGGAACTTACGACAGGGTTTCTGCTCTCAACCCCGAACAAATACTCCAAAACTACGAAAAGAGCTAATTCAACGCAGAAAAATAGAGCATCCTGCAATAGCCTACGAGACTGAGTTCATCTGTACGTTTTTTCCGTAGAAAATTTGGCCGTTTTGACGTTAAGATCGAGATTTTGGGGTAGACCCTGGTCTCCAAGTCAGGCGCTAACGAACATCCAGGGGTTGGACTGTAGACCTCAAGTTACCCCGCTTGTTGCGCCGGGGGGCGGGGGAGGGGGACACCTACGTAAGCTGGGCCTGGCGATGTCACCTACATTTACGATATGTAGGACCTACGATAGTTGGTGCACGGCGTCTGGGTCTTCTTGCCTTATATGTCCGTCAAAGTTGCCTTGATGTGCGGCCGCGAACCAGGCAGTCATCTTCGAGTCGCGGTCACAGCTGGAGCTCGAAGTGCATAGGTAGCCACCAATGATCCTAGGTTGATCTGCGATTCTGATGAGCACTGAGCTGATATCTCCAAGCACCGCTACTCACTGAATCCAGGCAAGAAATGCAAACATGTTTTTTTGTAGTCAAAAATCACCTCGCGTGCTGCTGTTCAGTTGTGGACTTGTGGTTCTTTTTATAAGCGGCCAAACGTTGCTGACTGGCGGATGGGAGAAACTGTTCGAGAGGCCTCCCGTCAGAAGTCCAAACTGCCGCTCAATGAAGGAGCACTCGATGCAGCCTGCAGACTATCATGCCAGTCAGCGCGATGCCGCGCTGACTGCCTAGGCAGCGACCTGACAGCCCACTCGCGAATCGGCATAACGTTAACGTGCTTATTAGACCAATAGTACTAGTACCTCGCATTGGCCAACGAGATGCCGCGCTATCGCTGCATGTAACAATTGAGGGTGCACCTCCAGCCTTGTGGGACCCTAGGGATGGTCCAAGTCGGGATCTGCCCGGCCCCAGCCCTCCAATCCTTCAGCATTCTAGCTGCAGACTTACATAAAAGCACCCGTCCCCCCATCTCCATTGACAGTCCCTTGTGTCCCTGCTGTAACCTGGCCCTTGGCATCTCGTCTCTGGCTCGGCTCTTCTGGATACAGTCCCAACCCCTTATCATGGTACTCTCGCTGGGCACTTCATCCAGGGGAAGAGGCCCGGCACGGACCAGCGTCAGCATAGACGACGACGAGTGTGCTGTGTTTAGTGATGCCGAAAGTGTCTCTAGATGCTCCACCGCTTCGTACGACTTCTCGCGGACCCCAGGCAGGCAAGATTGTGCACCTGTGTTGTGAGTGAATCCCGGCTAGAGCCGCCAAGTCGGCATTGATAGAGGGGCTGACAGATCTGGTAGCTGTGTCAAGGAAGGGGAACAGGACAAACACGTGTACGAAGCCTGGAACATCCACTACTTCCCGCGGAAACGGGAAACCGTAGACGGCTTCAGAGTGCTCGGAGTCAACATCGAGCACTATGAGGAGTTCCGTGGCCGCACTGATGTGAGACCGCAACCATCCAGCCAGTCGGAACTGGCGGGCATACACATGCGCGGCATTGAAGAATTCGGAACCAAGCAAAAGCGCTGCTGGGCAACTCGACCGTTCCGTGGCAAGGGCAAGACTTACGAACAAGATCTCGAAGAGAGATGCGCAAGGCTGCCAGGCGACGTGAAGGACGCCATCGTCCGACTCCTCTTCAACCGGGGCAGTGCATCTTCAACACGCTTCCGCGCTCGGACGTGGACCGTAGTCTGCATGCAAGAGCAGCAACGTCACCGGTTCGCCCAAACGGACTCTACCGCAGTGAGGCGCCACAAGTTCCGCTTCTGGAAGAACCCTGACCGCGAAGAACCTCTGCTCTATTCGGTGGTCATCCGAGGTCACGAGACCAGCGCCGCTACCGATGAAGACGGCATCACCTCTTTCGCACCGTTCTCCAATCCGTGGCGCCATGCCGACAACGCCGAATTTCGCCGTAGAGTTCGCGAGCAACGAGACGAACGTGACACCCTTCGACGCAAAAGACGCACATCGGCTCCGTTACATCCAACCCGGGCACGCTCTGCGTCGCCACCGTCGTACCAAAGCATGAGCGTCCGAAGCCGTTATGGGTCGCCATCGCCGTCGAGTTTGAATAACCGATATGAATCACCTCCTCCGTATCGCCGGTATACTCGGAGTGAATCTCCGGTCCGTAGCCGCTCGCCCAGCGCTCGGATCCGGATAAGGCGGAGATCAAACAGTCATCTCGACGAAGCACCAACTCCGCCTTTGTCCTTCACACCACCACCAGCCGTCGCTGGATACAGCAGACCGCCAGTAGTCTCGGTCCCGCTGCCAGAGATCCACGGCAACCCTTGCCTCCCGCGGCCGCCATTTGCACCCAACGGCTTCTTACGATCCCCCACCCCTAACACCACCACTCCCGGACTTCAGATTCCAGGAAACTGCGTCGCCTGTCGCGCCTCGCCCGCATGTCGTCACTGCCCAACCCTGGGGCCCTGCAGACGGCCCCTAATGTGGTGGGGCGGCATCTGTTACCATCCCCCTTGCATCCTCTGCGCGAGGAGCCACCCACCCGCGCCGGCACCAATGTCGATGTCCCCCGTTCCCGGACCAGCGGCAGGAATGCCCGTCCCGTGTCGGTGCCGCCTGGCTGTACCGCCGCCGCCGCCCCCGCCGCCGCCGCGCCCGGGCCCGGGCCCGCACTGGCCGGCTTTCCCACGGATTCCGAGTCCGGTAGGGCCGATGCCGCCGACGCCGAACCCATACTCACCGCTGTCGACTCCGCCTCTGTCTAGTCCCGGTGGGTCAGTGTCCGGCAAGTCGACGATGTCTGCGCCGCAGACTCCCGTGAGCAGGAGCATTGGGGGTTCGCCAGCGGCGGAGGTGTTTGGGGATAATGCCTCGTCATCGAGTGAGGCAGGGGGCGGCGATGAGCGGCTGGGAGATGTGATTTCTCATGACCGGTTTGGTTGAGCTGAACTGGACCGTTTCCTCTGGGTTTCTGTCGATATCGGATTGTGATGGTGCTGTGGAGAGCCGGGCTTCCTTCAGTCTGGATTATGATGACATGTGTCACGATTGCGGACTTCACGATCCACTGAACGCTTCCTCTTCTTCTTCTTCTTGTAATCTCGTAGTCATTTCCAGCTACGATTCATTTCCTTACCACGATAATTGTCGCTTATAAATCTTGGTGTTTCCTAAATTTCGTGCTCAACTCGTTCGGAGTACTAATTCAGTAGATGAATAACTTCAATTTAAAGTGATGATGTGGGTTGCTGTTCGCTGTTAAGGTGTGCTCGCCCCACTTCTGGATTCTGGATGGTATTGTCTCCACTCAAGCCTAGTGGATCCATCCCGTTCCTTCCATTGGCGAAAAATTTCCAGAACAATCACCCATCAACGCCAAAGCAACACCCCTTCTCCAACCTACACAAACCCACAAGCGACAAAGATGCATCTCATGTACCTTCCCACCGCTGACGGCTCCGGCCGTCGGTATACTCTAAAGAAGGTCATGGACGGGCAGGTGACCAAGTCAGCGCACCCGGCGCGCTTCTCACCCGACGACAAATGGTCACGACACCGGCTGGCGATCCGCAAGCGGTTTGCTGTACTGCTGGAGCAGGCGAAGAGTATGGTCTCTCCTTTACTCTTTTCTTGCTGCCCTGAGCCCCATTTTCTGTTGCACTGTGAGTACTAACATGCCATTCATGTAGCAAAATGAGTGGGTGAAGGAATCGTCCGCGACGAGTGGTCGAACTCTGTGCATTCGCTCAGAGCAGTCTTAGGACACCAGCACGATTCACTAGCCGAGGCACCCTAGAACTAGCAAAACCCCGAAGATGAAGCGATGTGGTCCGCTTATCGAAAGGCAGTCGCACCTATCATGATCGAGATCCGCGCACCCACGGGACGATCGATTGTTGGATATAGTCACCTAACATTCGATGCGAATGGTGTGAGCAGGGCAGTGGAAAGGGTTGCTTAGATCTCGAGGCGTGGAGCAGACGCCATGTCGGCGTTGGCTTGGGTTGGGTGGGCTTTTACATCCGGCGTTAACTTGGTCTTTACACACTTGCTCCGTCGTCGATACTATGTATGTATACCAGTGGTATACGATCTATTGACTGACCGATTCACCCCTCTCTCCCCCAGCCTTTCAATGTGGAAAAGCATAGCTCAGGGATCCATACATCATCTCCTTCTCTTTGCATTGATGTCGCGCCCGGCCCCGATTTTGACCTTCCCACTGCCTGAATGCCTCGAGCCGGTTAGGATGCTGGGCAGATAGTCTTGATCCATGATATCCCGGTACTTTGTCCGGCGGTCCTCCTCCACTTTCTTCTGGTATTCTTTCTGGTCCTCCGCGAAAATCAACTCCCTCCCCCATCCATTCTTGCCGCCTCCCTTGACGTTGTGGCCCTTCCCGCTTGCTGAACCGTGGGTAGGCTTCGGGATGCTGTACACATTGCCCCGGTTGTTGTACTGGAAGTTCTTCTTGAGATGAAGCGTGAAATTTCCCGCCGCGTCTGTGCTGCACGAGACCCGGGTCAAGGTCGGTTGGCCACAACCGGGACAGAACTGCTTTGATGTGTCCTTGCAGACCTTGAAACACCCGTGGCATCTCAGGACCCATGTCTTGAGGAAAGTAATGCGAGAGAATCCCGAGTCCAGAAGGCTTTAACAGTCAACACCTATTCCCAAGTCACTGCGTCAAGTCACTTACTTGAGGTTCATTCTCAGGGCCACGTTTCGCATCGCCATATCCGCAGTGATCAACGCGGCCTGAAGCACAAGCTGCACTGGTTGGGGTGCCACCAGCGCGTTTTCTCTGGCCTGGTACTTTTTGATGTTGCTCGGCGCTGTTCGCCTACTGTTAGCAGGGACAGTTGGGGAATATCAGGAGGTAGCAAACGAACTTATCCACTCTCCCCCGCCATCATCATCTTCTTCTTCCGCCGACGCCCCCGCTTCTTCTATTGATGAACTGGTCCCCTGAGCCGCAGAACCGTTCAGGTCCAAACTTGATAGTTGGTCGGCAATCGACCCCCCCGGGGCTTCTTCAACCGGGGGAGTAACTTCCTCTAAAGCCTCCGGTGCAGAACTGTCCTGTCCCTCGGTTACGTTGGGGTTGGTAGCCGATGGATCGGGAACAAAATTCCCCTCCGTTTCCGTTTCCCTTGACCCATCTGCGCTCGGCTCTTCCTTTCCGGGCGGCTTTCCGTTCACGCCTTTCTGGTTCGGTTCCCGTCTTAGCCGCCACTAGATGCCGCACATGTCAGCCATGCGCCGCCCCGCAATCAGCCACAAACGGACATACGTCACCACCATTCCTTTCCAGTTCCAAATCGTAAGTAAGGGCGAGAAGGTGAAGATCGGGCTTCGACAGGACCTGCAGGTCCCCAGTCTTCCGTGCGAAGGCGGTAACGAACTGAACCGACTCGGGTCGTGGATTTCGCAGTTTCAAAAAGGGAGACAAGGTCGTCTGAAATCGCGATCTCGTTGCCTCATCGCGAACTAGAGCAAGGCTTTAGCCGGCAGGTCAGCCGCACGGGACGGAGGCTGGGCATACTCTCTGAAATCACAGCAGGTATGGTATAGAGCTCCTCGGCCTGGGCAAGCAATGTTGACAGAGTTGGGTCGTTCTTGATAATCGCGTTTGCGTCTATAACCAGGGAATGGACAGGCTTGGGAGGTGACGTCGTCTGCGACGATGATGCCAGGGTAGGCACACTCTCTGTGCTGTTCCTATTGTCTGGCATGGCGGGGGCGGGGTGTGGTCCCTCGGGCTGCGCTGGGGCAGGAGGTTTCGTAGCTGGTTGCTCCATAGCGAGAGTTCAGAGATTCACTTTCAGTGTAAATTGCTTGAAGAAAGTCAAACCCGTTCCGGGTCCTTGACGGTTTAACACACGAACAAAATCATCTCGCTGTCGGCAGACTCCCAGGCTACGTTGGAGGGCACTCGTTCCCGTAATTTCCAAAAATTCAGGCGGGGTTAACGGGCAGAATTTGGATCCATGGCGGGCGGTGAGATAAAAGCTCCACCTGCATCCCTTGGTACGACCCCACCCTTTCTGAGTTCTACCTGAGAACACTACAGATTCCCTAAGACCGGGAGTTCAGAGCTTCGCCCAAGAACTCCGGAGCGGTCGTCTTATAAGGTACATACATACGGCGTTCCACCTTACGAGTTCAAGTCGAAGAGCCCAGTTCTCCGCAAACGGTCAATTGATGGGCACCAACGACCAGTGTGGTAACAGATGAGTACGGCTTCAGGGACCTGCAGTGCACTATAACTAGGTAGCTTAGGTACATGTACAGTACATGTACCTGGGTAGAGCCAAACCCACCTCAGGTGCCGGTGCTATGTTTGCCAAGACAAACTTATTTAAGTTGCTCGCCTGCAGATACGAGGTATATCGTGGTCGCCCTATTTGGAGACCACGATCGTTTGGGTGCGGTCGCTCAGTATCGGGCGACTATGCTTGTTTTGAGTCCCGGTGCCTCAGACCGCCTGTCCTGGCTCTCGGTCAGACGGGAGACCTGGAGTCCGTCGAGTAAGATGGGACAGTTCTAAGTTGTCTCCCAGCAAGTCAACTCAGGCCGACCAGCGCGGCGGTTTCGGGTAGTACAATGGTTACTTTAGTACACTAGGACTGCTGACCCTGATCCTTCAAGTTCAAGGACATTTACGATATGGCGGATCAGTCCGGTCAGACACATGACATCTGCACGGTACATCTGTACTATATCCTGGTCCCGAAAGCGAACTGGGCCTGGCTCGGTCTCAGCTCATCGATGCGCCGCACCACCCAGCCCGAGTGGGCTGCACCTTGTGATACACCTCTGGAAGAAATATCTCTCAAAACAGATGCGATCAGCGGTTCTGCCCACCGTGTTTGCCGAACACCTCTTGTACAAGCTACAACTACACACATACATACGGCATCCCAAGGCAGGGCGCTGGAAGCGATGTAACGACACAAGCGAGGAACCACGCAAGGACCCGGTCACTCCCCCGCATTCCTAACTCAAACTGTACTCTGTTCACGCTGTCGTAATCCGTACAGTATGCACGCAGGTGCGTTGCTGCATATCTGCTCCGCCCAAAGCTGCGAGGCCGCGATATCCGGAACACCCGACCTCAGCGACCTCCGCACTTTCGGCCAGGATCTTTTCGTGAGGATCATGCTATGTCGGTCAGGAACCAGCGGGCGCTGTGCTTGGTCTCCGACTCTCCGCCTCTGGAACTTCGTATTTGGCTATCTCCCTTACCTACTTTGGTAGATATCCTGACGGGCGCTGACGTGCCGTGACGGTTGACCAACGGGAGAGGACAAGCTGGGGGTGTTGCTATTTCGAGGATGCCAGAACGGGATAGGCGGCAAGAAGACGCTTCTCTGGTTGAAGCACTCGCGCCGTCGACAGGGTGATGTCTCGCGCACTTGAATGTCTATATAAGGCCGGCGATGTTCACTCCTGTTAGTCTCCCGATTCCCATCCTCCTCCGCCATCACTCGCTCGTCGCTCGCTCTTGTCTCAACGGCTACCCATCTCATCCACCGGACCGCAACCTCGCCCAAGCCCCTCCGCACCGCTCACCATGTTCGCCAAACTCACTGTTCTCGCCCTTGCGGCTGCCGCCCCCCTCACCTCCGCCCTAGGCATGGCCCGCGTGGTCAACAAATGCCCGGACACAGTCCACGTCTGGTCCGTCGGCTCCTCCGTCACCGGCCCCTACGCGCTGGGCACCAATGGTGGCTTTTACGCCGAGGAGTTCCGCAAGGACCCCGTCACGGGCGGAAAGGCGCTCAAGGTGACCAAGAACGCCGACGGCCTGTACACGGGCGCGCCGCAGACCATCTTTGCCTACAACCTCGACGGCGATAAGATCTGGTACGACCTCAGCGACGTCTTTGGCGATGCCTTTGTCGGCAAGAAGCTGGTTGTGGCCAGCCAGGAGTCGACTTGCCCTTCGATCATTTGGCCCAATGGCGTTCCGCCCGCCGGCAGCCAGGTCAAGACCTGCACGGCCTCCAAGGATGTTGTCTTCACGCTTTGCGGTTGATAAACCGGTTGGGAATTTGGGATTGAAAGGCGGGGCAGGCAGGGGAAGACGGCTCCGCAGCGAGAACGGGACGACTCTGTAACAGGCGGAGAATTGGGATGGGCGGACCATCTTGTGTGTAAGGTACAGGCTCATACTGGAGGGGCTGTGGGAGGCTGGGCTCTATTGTTACGTGCCCCGAGACCATAGAATTCGTCGCTAAGAATCGGAATTCAAGTCTGCCTTGCGCGCCATGGCCCTCACTCGAACCATTATGATCAGTACTATTAGTACTAGTAGTATATGAAAGGGACGTGAATGCCCCAAGACATCACAAGTCGGTTTCCAGGCCTGTTTGAATACTACCACCGATATAGTAGTGCGACTGAAAATGCAAAACCTTACCAGGTAGGTATGCAACAGCAGACTAGTAAGATCCCAGATCATACGTGAATCGTTAAAGCTCCGAATGCACAACCCGTCGTTACATCATCGTTCTTGCCTTCCCCGTTTCCCCCTTCCTCTTCCCATAATAGATGCCACGGTATCAGTCTATGAAGGTATCGAGCCCATTAGCCTTACAGGAAACGACGAGGTTGGCGAAGTACAGATGTTCACCTATGATGTACCAGGTAGATGCTGAGTTTTTGGGTGGTCGTAGTCATTTTGATGTTTCATTCATTCTTGTTCCATTCCATGTATTGCTTTTTTGTTCTTACCTTTTTCTTCTGTTGTCACTCTTTCTTTCCTTCCTTTTCGTTATTTCTTGTTTGGATCTGATTCAAATCATTTTGCTTTAGTAATTACGACTACTGTACTCGTTATAAAGGCCTAGCTGACAAGCTTGGGTAGGGCTTTATGAGGCCTTAGGGTGCGGGGCTCCCTTTGACTTCATATTGTGTGTCGGAGAAAGGGTGATCTTGGGAAAAGAAGGAAACATTGAAATCTAGCCTCATTCTGTATCTTACCTCTTGGGAAATGCTCCCTGGGCCGTCATAGATCTTATGCCACAATCTTGGGGCACACTTATTGTACACCCAGGGTCCAACGAATCCGGTCACGACTCCTCTTTCACTCTCAAAACAGCAGTAGGTGTGCTGGTGCCAAAGCCTTCACCCGACGACAAAGAAGTCAGCTTACCGCTGCTGTGTGGTGTCCACTCCGACTCCGGATGCCCCGTTTCGTGGCGTGGCAAAGCCGGGGAGAATGATACGGGATGACGAGATGCATTCAAGTGGTATCTCCTAAGATTGTTAAACCAACCATGGCCGGGCGATTAGCTGACACCGTAGGTGCAGCACAGAGCATCCCTCCCAGCCTGTGCAGTCCGTTTCCAGCCAGGTTTCCTATAATGTTTATCCTAGCACGCCATCGACCTTCATTGTCCATGTGTGCACCTAAAACACCGTCCCATCACTATCGATCAAAATAGGCGGCTCCTTGGTATTCGGCCGGCTAACTTCAGCGATCTCTCTGCCTCCCTGTTGTGAGAACTGTCAGCATTACATCCCGGTTATGTTTATGAATTTGTCTGCAGAAGGTACTGCGAGTACGAACCTTCCAGCTCCCTGCCTCCAGGACCTGCGCCAAACTCAACTCGTGTCCAGCCAACTCGTCCTTCAACGCCTGATTAACCTCGACCGTCAACATATCCAAGAACCCCACCGTGACACCCCGCCACTCGACAATGACATCGTCGCCGGGCTCGAACATTGGCGCCACCTCGACACCCGAGGTCCCGGTGCGCTGGCAGTACTCGGTGTAGTGCTGCAGGCCGCGTTCCTGATCCTCGGGCTTGAGCGTCAGGACGCCGAGGTCAACGAATAGCCCGCCATTCCGGTACTCGGGCAGCCCGGTGAGCAGCTCCTGACCGGCGAACTGGATCTTCATGATGCTCTGCATGGGCTGCATGAGAGAGTACGTGAGCCACTGGGTGAGCTTGTGGAAGGGAAGAATACTCTCCCATGGTGCGACACCGTTGGATTGGCCAGTTGTATTGGGGAAGGGAGAGAACGTCGGGCTGGTGGGTGATTGGGCGGGTTGCGGCATCGAACTGCATGGCCAGGCGTCACCCAGGGAAACGCCGTTGATAGCTGTCCGGGAAGGCGGCCAGATCGGGGCGAGACCGTTCATGAGGACGTTCCACAGTACGGGTATCGGGACGATTATGACGCTGGAAGCCTGCGTTGCCGGGTGGGAGAGAATATGGTCTGTGTTCTCCTGTCAGCGCAACGAACTCCAAGCTCCGGTAGCTATGCAACGGCACCTACCAAGCATGTTGCCCGGCCGGCCATCCTCGCCGAAGAACTCCTTGCTTTGTTCTAGGGCCGCCCCAAGACGGATTAGAAGCTGTGCTCTGCCTTCAAGGCCCGCCATTTCATTTCCCGGCTTGGACTGCAGCCCCTGGGCGAGCTGCTCCACGGTCAACTCCCGTAGGGCATCCTTGTCGACCTGGTACTTGTTGGTCTTGCTGCTGGAAAAAAGCCCCTGGAGTGCGCGTTAGCGCTCATAGGAAGGAATCTGGGACTCTGCCGGCGAAAGGAGATCTACTAACAGCCTTGAACATATCCAAAGTCGCAACAGCAATGCCCTCAGACCGCCTGTAGACACGACCATTCTCGGCGCTCCTGTAACTCCATTCCGTGCCAGCGCCGGCATCCAACAGCACGCTGACGAGGAAGAGATCGATCATCCGCTTGCATTTTTCCGTCATATCAACCTCCTCCGACCACGTCGCCAACAGGTGGGCGATTCTGTCCCGGCCACCCACACCGAAATGCTGGTAGCGGCCATGCGGGGGGATGGTCGTAAAAGGAGCATCGTAGTCACGCTGGGAATGAACCTTATTAGCTGACTGCCGCTGACGGAATGGGAGCGTGAAGACGAGTTCCTAGGCGACGCCGGAGCAAGCCACCCTCGCCACACACGATGCCCGGCTCAGGAACTGACCTTGATGATGTTTGCAACGAACGATACAACGTCCGGAAACTTTTGCATATCCACGTCGAAATGTCGCAGCTCATTTCTGCGCGCCTTCTCCGTCACGATCCTGCACCGTTCTCGGACCGAGTTCAAGCTGCGTAGGTAGCCCGCAGGATCGAGTTGCGGGTCTGGCGGCCTCGGCATCGCGATGTTGGGAATTGGGCCGGGAGAGAAAGGCGTGAGCGGGGTCCCTGGGCCGCCCATGGTGCTGGTGGTGCCCGCTGATGTCCGGTTCATAATGCGAGCGCTTGTGTTTATGGGGGTGATATTGCTCGACGAACCCGACGTGAGAGACGATTTCGACTGCGAGCTCGAAAGCGTTGGTTGCGTCGGTTGGGTCGGCGGTGGATTGCTGGCCGCCTTGGAGGCTTTGTCCTTCCTCGAAAATAGGCCCATATCTGCGTCAGTGGGACTTGGGATGTCGCCTCAGTGGCCGGTCTGCGGGCTCTTTGCGGGCTCAATCTGCCCAGTTGGGTTGCGGCGGTCTGCAGGTGGCCGTACAGTATTCGGATTCGACAGCGGTTGTGCTCGTGACTCGGTGGGGCTGCGAGTTGGCAGCCTGGGCTGGGTTACGGATACGATTGGATGTATCGTGGCGGCCTAGTCGCACTGGACAGAAGCAGCAGGAACGAAAAGCGGCCTTGTGAAGCCGATAAGCTCGTTTGAGCTGTCCGTGCAGAATAGCGTCGGGTGTTCGAGCAAGTGTTGTGTTGTGTTGAGCCAAGCTGGGCACTCCGGGCTGTCGGGAGTTTTGTGTTCAAGCACACAGTCAATCGTGCAAGAGCCAGGGCTTCTCTGCCGCAGGGGTTAGCTGGAGGGAGAGTATTGGCTTCTGCTGGCCCCAAAACAGCAAAAGTCAACAATTACACACTCGCTAGGAGACATTGGAGCGAGCTCGTGGGAACGGCTAGGCCTTCACATGGTGGATCGATGGGGCAACTGACAAAGTTGGAGCTCAATCGAGAGGGGTAAGGTGGGGTGCATCAGGGTGACCCTTGCAACTTGCGGCAGGAGCAATTGCATGGAACGGGAAATTGAAGGAGAAATGCATCGGCCTTGGTTCCTCCACAAAGCCAATATTTCCAGCTGTGAAGGCAAACGGACGGGAGCATTTCAGTACCAAAAAGTCGGATGCAGTCTCCTCGAAGAGCTGTTTCAGTCCTCGTTTGGTTCCTCGCCCGCCCGGATACGTTTTCGGTCGTTTCCGACCCGTGTTTCCGGCCGCTTCTCCCTGGCTCGGCTCCCCAATGCCTGCCTTCGTCGGATTGTATGTTGGTCTCGAGACGCCTTTCTGCACGCCCTCGAGCTGTTCTGTGCCTAATAACCGTACCCACTTCTCTCCGAAGGCCTGTCCGTGGATCGTACCTACACAACGAAACTATTTTTTCTTTGCGTCCCGATCGAACGAGAGATGGTGTGATCAATGATAAGAATTACCGCGCTCGCAAGACCCGGGACAGCGAGTCAGGAGCCTTAAACTTGACTCGACGGATCGCAGCTGGGAGACACGAATCCTCTATCAAAGCGTTGCTCCCATCGCAGGAGCGAGACCTTCCCTTTTAAGCCCCCTCGGTTGGCGGGCAGAGCAGAACCCCGGTGGCCCGCAGACCGACTTCTTCACCACGCCGGCGATTAGCGAAAGCACGAGGATTTCCAGTGGTCGAGAACTTTGTTGCCTCCCCCGCACCGAGACCCATCGCTGTGGATGAAGTAAACGCATCCCTGCAAGTGGGCGCCGGGAAGCATTCCAGTTGGACTTGCTGAGAAATGGCGGCGCCAACCCGGCCAGAACGTGGTGACCAAACCCCGGTCTCCGACTGTGGCTATCCTGCAGGTACGGCGCAACGTCAACCCACCACCACGGAGCGACCCAGATTGAGATGCAAATTCTGCGAAATGTCACACAGCGACCGGTGTCTGCCCGCACTAAGAGATTGGCGATTGGAAACGTTGCAATCCGGCCGTTCTCGTCGCTCGGTGACCGGGTCGGTCGGAATAGTAGTGTAAAGTCCCGTCGGTCTACGTCCCTCTTTGCTGGTGTGTACCTTAGGTACCGTAGCGTAGGTTGCACTGTAATCATTCATCCTTCCAACGAGACACTCCGAGGTTCTTCACGAAGTACGTATCATTGCAAGGCTAATCCTGTCGTTCATCGAGGAGCCCTGATTACCTGGGAAACCTTTACCGATGAGTCCAAGAGTCGAGACTTGTGTTCGAAGATCCGAGCACTGTCCGACACCATTGTGAATGAAGATGGCTGCGCTAGCTCAGTGCCCTAACTCGAGAAACAACGCTATGTACCCACCGGTGTGGTTCGTCCATGTCTTGGAAGCCCCGACTCTCGCCTGGCTTCCCTTGTTTGGTTTGGGGGGCTACATGTACAGTACATACAAAATGGCTCATCTTACCATAAGATGCGTGTGCCTTGATCCAGGGGGTACGGGACATGAGAAATCCATGTAGTATCACGACGTTCAGGAATAGGCATACCCTCTAGGCACGCACTCCCGTCACTCATATCTGTCTGTAACTTGAAGTTAGGTGTCAGCAATCCCTTGTCGTGGATGGTAGCCGGCTCATTCTGCCAAGAAGTCGGCCATGCTTGGAAACCCAATGGACCCTCGATGGTTGTCACTGGATCGGCGATTCCAAAGCCTCGGCATTAGCTAACATTACCATACAGGCCTTAGCTGGTGATTACTGTGCATTACCTACTGCGCAAACTCGGCAATTCGACAGGTGTATGGCGTGGATGGCCATTGAGATGGTGAGAAGTCACCTGTTGTTTTGGTGCACCTCCTCACATTCGATCCGTGACACCTAACGCTGATTATTGTCGGGAATTCATATGATCCAAGGTCTCGTAGACAACATTACCGGATAAGTCACACTTCGGAAAGTGTAACTATCCGCTCAAAATCATGTAATCCGTACGGCTCAGGAGACCGAGCCTTGATGGCCGACAAGGTAGGTTATCCGGTGACACCCGCGAGCTGCCCTGATCATCCTCAACATGGATGATGGTGGATGGCTCTGATGGGTAGTAAAGATGGTGGTGTATTACGCTTTATTACCCTATCAGGGCTCTCGACGGCATCATACATGGTTACACTCCAGAGATCTGCGCCTAAAATTCGCAAGATCGTCCTATGCGGCCCGCCCATGACAGGGATAACGTTAATCATGACCGGGAAGAACAGCGGCATCATTATCTCACTGAACGCGGATTGAAGTATTGTATCACATGATGGGTCACTACTAGTACGTATACTTATTCCGCGTCGTGTTGGAGATAACTAATACACGTCAATGACGAGGAGTACGGAATCTCCCGTGGTGCTCTGGTAGAAACTCATGATAATCCCTCACGGCTTCATATAGATCGTCACAGTGTCATACAAGCAACACGAACTTCCCATCCCTGCTAACCCAAACAGTAAAAAGAGAAAAGGAAAGATAGAACCAAAGTGAGGATAATCAAAGTGAGAAATTGAAAAGTTGGGGAGGCAGTCAAGGGCAGAAAAGGGGGTAGCAGAGCGTGAAGAGTTAGGGAAAGGCCAAACAAAGGAGGCTGAATGGGTACGCCGAGTTGAATATACATCCATGCGCAATATGCCCGAATGTGCTCGATGCTAGTACTAGTATGCGTGTGTGCTGCCTATGCTAACCACCAAGCCCGAGAAAAGGCATGAGCGATATCAACCCTCCCTACCCAAGAGCTACATTGAGTTTGAAAACTGGGTTTGAGCCTCAGTGGAAATCACCCAGGCATTGACTTCGCCTCAACCTGCTGTGACGCATGTCTACTAGGCACTTTCGGGTGAGCAGGAAGTAGAGTGACGAAGTGCTTACCTTACATTAACGTACCTACCACATTATGGACGCACAGATCCCCGAGTCTAGGCAAATGGGGAGATATCACATTTAGTAGATCGAGTCTTCACATATTATGCCCCCGATTATCATTATGATCGTGGAAACGATACAAGCGTATCATCGGTGTCGCGGGGCTCCCATGCCGGACCTGGACCATGTAACCCACGTGATCGAATCCAGAAAAGACGGCCCCAGGCCAAGTTATGGTGGCCGGGAATTACTGAGTGAGATGCAGCGAGCGTCATGACACCAGGTAGGGTTGTAGGTACAAGTACACATTCTTTCTAAGTCCCAAGCCGAGCGTCCCTTGGGACGTGAGTGTAATGCGGCAGTAGATACGAGTGTGTCTACAAAAGCGGTAGCTTATAATTGAAATCAGAAAGCCTGTCGCGGGAATCTTGTTGCTGTAGTACCAGGGCAGCGAGTCCAACGCCAGCAAATTCAAGCTGAGAGCAATGCCATGTAGGGCCCGTTCCACCCAACCTACCATGCACCGCAGAGAACGCCCAGTCCAGCCGACCCGGCCCATTGCCAACAATACTAGACCTCCGTATCATGCAACACGCGGGCGTCGAAGTCATCCCACTAGGATTCCTTCCTTGCATCCATCCAGGACGCCGCCTCGCCACGATCCTCCAAAATTTCAGCCGCATTTGATGCGTGATGATGGTCGACAACCGCCTTCTTATCCTCTTCGTCATCCTGGTTCACAAGGTCCACGAACATGCTATCATCCCCATCGTTCCCAACACCGATTCCGATAGGATCATTGTCCCTCGCGCCGGCGCTGGCGCCATCCCGGTTTCTATCGCCCCAGACCCCGGGCCCGAAGATCTCTTCGGCGCGACGCCGCCCCGTGTCAGTGCGCGACAGAATCTCCAGCACCCTGGCCTTGCCGGTCTCGGTCGAGAGATGGGCGTTTAGCTCGTCATCGCCAAACGTACCCCGAAGGAGGCGCTCCTCGAGGTCGTGCGTCGACTCACTGCCAACCATCAACTGAGGACCCGCTCCGACCACCTCACGAAGGAAGAGCGGCGCGTGCGCCGAAGCATCAATGTCCATGCCATCGTTTCGTAGGACAGAACCCGATCCAGGCCGGCCCTGTTGATGGTCGTGTGAAGAGGTGTCAGCTCTGCTTGTAGGGTGGGCGTGGACACTATTTGAGAGGCCCGGCGTCGTGGGTTGTGCAGAAGAGTTGCGTGAGAAGATCGAACGGGGCGCTTGTCCGTATGCTGGGCTGGTCACCATCACAATTGAGCCGGAGGCGGTGCCCGCGGCCGCAGCAGCGGCGGCCTCCGCATTCAACTGTTTGCGCTTCAAACTGTTGGCTTTGCCCTTCACGCTCTCTGGAAGGTCGTCGGGATCGTCGACTCCATACTGGGCCAGAATTTTCTGCAGCTTGGTGGGCCGCGGCTTTCGGGTGCTCTTGGACATCTCCATAACAGGGGGCGGTTCAGGGGCGACCGGGGCCCACTTGTGCAGTTCCTGGCGGAAGAAGTTGGTCTCGTACGCCAAGAGAATTTCCGCGCCCTCAATCTTGCGGAGGTAAAATCGCTGCGTCTCAGCTTCGGAAGCCGTGGCAAGTATCGGATTGCAGTACGACGCGATGTGGTTGCGGAACTCCGTGGCGTTGTCGATGATCTTTTTCAGCACCTCCTCCTCTTCCGGCTGGAACGGCAGGTTTGGGATTTCCTCCTGCCACGCAATGAGGTCTTCCAACTTCGGCCGCGCGGCATCGCGAGGGATCTTGACTCGCCAGTCGCATATTGGGCATGTGTACTTGTCGTCCTCTTTAACCTTGCCGCGAGCAATCTTGAGGCATTTGCCGTGATACCACTCATGGCACAGCTCGCACTCGATCATCATACCCGCCTCGGTGCGCCGGCAAATACAAAAGACCTCCCTGAATTTTGGGTCCTCCCAGCGACTGACTTTATCTCTGTCCGGGCTTGGCTCCCTCGATGCAGGCTCTGCGGGCAACCGGGGCTTGTCATGGACGATGTCGAAGCAGTCCACGTTACGGTCGAGCACATATTCCATATGGCTCTTGAGGATATGCAGCGGAGCATTTGTCTTTCCGAAGAGCTTTTTGCCTTTGCGCATCCAGTCTTCGTGCCGCTTTTGCTCCTTCTCGAGCTCGTGAGTACCCGTGGGCTTGGCCTGAAGCTCCTCGATCTTCTTCATAACCTCGGCGACTTCCGTGTATTTCGGCCTCTTCCTGTAGTCGGGGTTCTGGGAACGGCTGTTCAAGTCCATAATCTGTCGATGTGCTTCGCGCTGCTTGTGAAGGATTTGATCCACAGCGGCCATTGTTTCCGGTGAGACCGGCAAGTTCTGGGTTTGCACCTGATCGGCCAGCGCCTGGAGCTGCGGGTAGTGTATGGAGTCTGCATTGATGATCTCCTGCACCTTCTTGTCCCACATGTGGCCAGCTGCCAACTGCTCCATGTAGAACGCGAGATGGTCGTTGTAGACTGGCACGTTGAGTCGCCGGCCCTCGTCAATAAGCTCCCTGACATTCTGCAATGTCATCAACGTGCTTCGACTGCTGCTAGCCTTCTCGTTCCACTGCAGCTGCTCCAGCAGGCGCGATAGCTCCTCGACCTCGGGAATATCGATGTTGAAACTCTGCCCTTCCTCCAGTAGTTTCTCAACTGCGCCGATGGAATGGGACTGCCTCTTGCTGAGCAGCTGCCTGGCGTCTTGCTGGAACGTCGTGATGGCGTCGGCGCGCTCCTGTAACTGCGCGATTTCTGGGCAATCGAAACCTATTCGCTTGGCATCTTCGAGCAGGCGGTAGATATTCTCAACGTTACGCGTCTCCCGTTCCTTCTGCTCATGTTGTGCGTTTCCGACGGACTTACGAGCCCCGGCCTGCCATAGCCTGTCGTTCTTGCGGCGATTTTGCTGTTTTCGGACCGTGTAGTTGGTAGCTTCTTCCACCCAGTGATTGCAGCGGTCGACAAATTTCCTGAGGACTGGCAGTGAAGGTAGTTCGTACGGTATCTTTTCGCCTTCGCTGAGAAGGTTTCGTAGTGCCTTGAGTGACGGCATTGCCTCCTCCTTGAGGAGGTTCTCGTACTTCTCTTCCCACGCTTCCGGCACATGAGCCTTGTCCGCCACCTTCTTGAAAGTGGAAGCCATGTCATCCTCCGATTTGCGGTAGTAGAGTGCATGCTCTTTCCCCAGATACCGATCTGACTCTTGCAGATCACAGCATGGATGGTTCCCGGCATGCTGGAGACAGAGGACCTTGCCGGTCTTGAGGCAGATGAACCTTGAAAGGTATGTAAAGGCCTTGCAATAAAAGCAGCCGTAGTCGTCTTCTAAGACCTCGGCATCGTCGATCTTGAATCTCATGGGGCATTCGCCAGTTTCCTCTCCACCGAGAATGCATCGGTGCTGCTGCGCCGGAGGTTTTGATTCCAGGTGCTTCTTGATGAAATTGTGCTTTCCGACGAACTCACGCCTATCCGCAAGTTCCCGCTGATGGATCCTGTCCAACGCAGGCGCCAGCCACTTGGCTGTTGGGATGGTCAGCCCGCCGCTTGTGACGCCTTCCGCGGCGGTCCACAATAGCTCGTCATGGGAGAAGCAGGGTTGCCGGCGAAACTGTTGGAGCCTCTCAACACCCGCAAGCCCGAACGGTTCCCAGTCGCAAGGAGCAAAGTTGACGGCCTCGTTGAAGTTAAAGCCGTGGTTAAAACCGGCATGGTATGCCTGCGGGAAGGTGATGACAAACTGGCCTGCCCGCTGGTCCAGCGCGTACACACGCACGCCAGCCTTCTTCAACTGCTCGGGGGTGAGGAGGGTGACGAGCTGGAACAAAAGATCAGGTTGCGTCTCGAACAACTCCGGAACCGCCGCCCGCATTGCGGCCTCGAACTTCTCAGCATCCTCGCCGGGAATTCCATACCAAGTCTTGGTTGCGCCGAAGTGCTGGTAGTTCGCCGAGTACGCGTAGTGGTCCTCGTTATGCCAGCAGAATGTTGAGAAGGTCATCCCAACGTAAACCCACGGGACTGTCATACCGGAGATATCCGTCTTGATGTGGCGGAACAAGCTTTCGGGGTGGAGCGGGAGCAAATTGAGATTCCACGGATCGGTCGAATACGGGTTGTCGGGATATTTCTCGATGGTGGGAAATCCGGAGCCGTGGGTGGTACAGTGAATGTCAGCGCCATACTCTACCTCCACGGTCTCCTCCAAGTTGGCAACCAGACGCCAAAACTCATGCTCCACATCGTCTTCCGTTACTGGCCGATGACACTTGAGTACGGGATCAAACGGTATCTTGTCCGCAAAGTAGGTCTGTTTGAAGTCGGCGGCCTTCTCCTGGAATTGCTTCAGCGAGTACAGTCCGCCTTCCTCAAAGCCGAACTGTCCGTCGCCGACCAGACACCGCGGACAATTCCACTCGTTCTCCGGTTTGACTCGGATTGGCGGATCGAGGCATGTGCTATGATAACGGTGGTCGCAGGACTCGCAAACAAGGATGAAGCTGCCCTCCACCTTGCCTTTGCCGCATTGCTCGCATCTCTTGCTCTTGTGTTAGGCGCTCTGATACCTTGTTTGAGGCTTACGGAAGTCCGACGTACCTCTCCAGGAACTGCTGTTTCATCCCGAGATATCCTAGGCGCGGCTGAGCGGAAGAGAGACATATGAGAACCGGCTACAGTAGGGACCGCATCTGCGTATTGCTCTGTTTCAGTACTCAGCCCATCACCGGGGGTACCGGACGGTAAATCACCTTTCTTGAGCCGCTTACTTCGGCGGCTCCCGGATTCGTCTTCCTCTTTGTCGGCTGATTCCTTCTTGCCCGAGTCCAGGCTATCACAACTCAGTTTTCGCTTGGGGCCGGAAGGGCCCAATGCCGACGGACGATCCTCCGGCGTGTCTTTAGTGGACGGGGTGGGCGTGCCGTTGTGTTTGCTGGGGGTAGCAAAGCCCTTCCCGTCCGAAGCCGTATTGATCGGACGGTTAGCGCTAGTGAATCCCTGGTTGACCGCTGTAAAGCCACCCGAAGGCGTCGCTACTGAGCAAGACGCTGCCTGTGGGGTGCTGGAAGCGGGTGTGTCCGACATCGACGTATCCCGTTCAGAGTCTTTTGCACGACCGTCCATTGACGCTTGTAGTGCGTCTGTCGCATGTTTTGCTGGCGAGTGTGCGCGGAAGCTCGTGGGTGTAGGCACGTTGGATCGCTTCATCGGGCTCGGAGCGGGACTTGGCGTCAGAGGTCCACCGTACTCGAGTTCGAGCTGCTGATGAACGCCAGGTTTGGCAATCCGCAGATACTCCTCGTACGGGCAGAGCCATTTCTGGTAGGAATTCTTCAATGACGTGGACAAGGATGACATTATCTTCCCGCTGTAGCCCAAGTCACGACCAATTTCTGCCCATTTCTTCAACTTGCAGACCTTTTCAAAGCCGCCTCGGGACTCAACGGCCTTCTTCAGCCGGTAAAGATCGAGGGGCTTCTTATCGACATATGGGAATCGCGTGAGGTTCGTTCCTTGCTGTTTATGGAACTTTGCGAGACCATCGAGATACGTGAGATTCGCGCGGGTGCCTAAACCATTTCCTTCAGCAACAAGACCTGCCGAAGGGGCGTTCTCAGAGGGACCGGCTTACTGCCTTCAACAGAGTTTAACTCCTGTTTGCGTGTCCGGAAATGGAACCTCTGTAGGAAAGGCCGCGGTCAGCACTTGCAGATTGAGGTATTTGGTAGTGGCTCTGCTAGCAGGCTTGACGACTTCTCGCTTAATGTCACGGCTCACCTCCGTATCAATGGCGAAGTCAGGGTTCCACGATTCTGGGGGGATGATCTTGCAAAGGCCGTATCGTCGTGCCTCGGGCGATATCTTCCTGATATACTCGAACGGCTCCTTCCACTCTTCCTCTGTGGGACGATATGTTGGTGCTTCTTGAAGACCATGGGGTCGGTTCTTCTTCGTCACCGGTTCTGGGCACGCATTGGGCTGACCGCGTCGCTCAACCGAGGAGAGGTCGAGCGGAGAACTTATCAGCGAGCTAAGCGGCGTCGGCGGTTTTGTCACCTGGGTGCCGTTCGGGTTTGAATGTCCGGCCTTCTGTTTCCCGCCGCTGCCGGCCATGGCCGAGGATATCGTGGTCGGTTGACCTTTCATGCGTCCGTGGGCAACCAAGCTCCTGGCGCTGCTGATCACCTCGACGTTGGCCCAAAAATTGGAACGATTGTGCTGACCGAGATTGAACCCGCAAACGCTCGTTGGGAATCGCTAACAGAGGTAAACCTCGCGGTATGTGGTCTTGGATCGCTGTTCGAGGGGAAACGCCGAGTTGCGGGTCAAATCTGTCTCAAGCGCATGGTATAGGGAGAGACTGCAAGGGGGCTGCTAACTGTATTAAAGCCGTGCGCCAACAATGATGGACCGCAACATGTCGCGTACCTAATATCTTTAAGTGGCCACTGCCCATTCAGGTGAACTACGAATTGGTCCTCCTTCCTCAATGACACGCACATGTGAGTGTATGCAAACACCAACAGGCCTTTTTGCTGGTCGCGAGAGGAAGGAAAGCCCGCCAAGCCGTAATCGACATTCAGTTTTGTGCCGAGAGAGATAATGTTCCAGCAACCTGGGTACCGTGCCGGCAGGAGGTCGGCGAGAAGTTGAAGGAACTTGAAGGGTGAAGAAAGGGTCGCTTTGGATCGTGGCCAACCGAGACGGGAGATATTCTAAGTACGGATATGGGTAAAGGAAAGCGGTAGCTTACTGGGTAGAGCGGCAGCAATCGGGACCGATTTGGGGCGGCGCAAAAGCGCGACATGGCACGGGCTTCAATCCGGCAAGGTGGGCCTGCGGGGGCCCCTTCATCGCACGAGCGGCTGACGATTACATACGTAAGTCCCCACCTCAGGCTGGGATCGATGAAGACAAGTTATTTACCAAAGCAACATCATCGCACGTGGCTGTTACAGAATGTGTTTGTATAGTGTATGTTCTCTCTTTGGCACAGTTATCGCTTGGGTCCAGCATGGCCCAATCACACTAATTTACCAGGTAGTTACATTCGATGTCGACTAATTACGCCCGAAGCTGCCAGCGGCAAGATCGTAGGCGTAACCATTAGTAGTAGACCTGGTGTCGTCCTGCTGAGCTGATAAAATCGGAGCTAAGCTGACCTCGGAAAGAGAGCGGTGCACTCAGATGTATCGTGGGTTTTGCACTCGCCGCCGTTTCTCATCTAATACCGGACCTAAAAAAGGAGCTTGTCTTCCATCGAAGCTGCCAGGCCAATGTGAACTACCAGTTCCTCGACGTTGAACTCATAATCTCACGGTTGTTTGGAGCAGCTTCTTTTTATCCTAGTGGAGATACTCTGTGAAGTCTGCGATTTGCCCAAACGGAAGGTGGGTGTGATGTCAGGGCCCCACATTCTGGCCAGAAAAGGCCGTACACACCAAGCGTCAGGCCAGAACGACATGCGCGATGGAGTACGGATTTGTGGCTTGAAAAGATCCGTCACTCATTGCTGTGGTATTCCATGTTTTCCTGGTCTTCATTTTCTTTCTGCTTCCCATTTGTTCGGTTGTTCACTTTGCTTCTTCAGGCGCTTGGGGTTAAGTGATAGACGGTCTTTCTTTGTCCACGGGGAGGGCCCTAAGAACGGACAAGCTCTTTGACTCGGTTGATAACGTTAATAAGCCAATCACAGATGCTCCGTTAATAGATCATGGGCAATCGGATCCGGATCGGCAACTTTCGGTCCAAGACGCTGGGCCGGCGGCTGGGCTCCAGAGATCATGACACATTGTCCACTCTACGGAATACATTACGAAGGCTCAGACTTAGAACATCGAGAAGCCGGAGTCCTCCGGCACTGTCAAGCAGAGAATGAATTGAAACTTGCATTCAGCAAAGGGACGAGGAGGTGCTGATTCTAAGGTATCTCGATCCGTTCCCTGCTGGAGGCATACACGACACTCGAACGGTGGAGCGACGATGCCAAAGCCACTGCATTGTTGGTGTTATACTCAGTACTAGCTGCAGATATATCACGTCTTCAAATCCTTCCTAGTTGCACGTCGGCACTTGCGCTTCAGAAGTGTCTCCACCTCCTTCTGCCCTCTTGTTCGGAGGGTCAGCTCTTTCATCATGAGGCCCCTGCTTGCCGTGTCAGCAAGACTGTGCATCAGAGCAGTACATTGGCAAGGCGACTTGAGCAGTCGGGTATGTTGCTCACCAATGCACTTCCCCCATACACTTGGGACATTGGCCCTGGATAGGCAGGATACTGTCTTCCTCGTGGCCTTTGAGGATATGCCGGCTCCAGCATGCAAGGTGTCCAACACCATCGCACGCATCGTTTGTGCAAATGACATGCAGGCCCTCCCCGGACGGCATGTCTTCCCGGCAAATGATGCATCTTCCCTGGCGCTCGAACTCGAATGTCTCCTGGGCCTTCGCCACGTAATCCTTGATCGGCTCGTAGTTCAGCGGGAGCGCATGTATCCCCCAAGCCCGCCCCTCTTCCCCATCGTCCGGCCCATTCCTCTCTGCAGCGGCCCTTTCCGTCCCAGCCACCGACGGCAACTTCCCGCTTCCGAAGTCGGTAACTACCCGTAAACTGGGCCTCAGCTGCTCGCTCGCCGTAGCGCACCACCGCTCCCAGGCGGCAAACACGTTTCGATCAAAGAAGTGCAGTGTCAGCGGCCAGCGCACAAAGCTTGGCACGCGCAACAAGAGGTGCAGGTTCGACATCACCGACGAGAGGCTCTTGGACGGCTTCTTGGGTTGCCCATTGCGCTTGACCTGCGAGGAAATGGTGATGCGGGCCTCCGAGGGGATGTGCACTGAGAGGTGAGGATTGTTTAGAGCCCACCTGACACAAGTTGGTTAGCCATGACTAGGTATCGACTTGTAGGATGTGGTAGTTCAGTGAAGGCAGCAAGCCGAGACTGGGAAGGGAGATCCATACTCAAATTTCAATGCGGCGGTCATGCTAGGAAAGCCCGATACTAGCCCCACCATCTCCCAAGGCCGGAGGCGCCGTCGCGCTGTTCGGGCGGCTCCTCCCTTGGCGAGGCCGTTGTGCTGGCTCAACCTGCGCGGAGGGTTTGGGGTGGATCCAATGTAGAGTGAGGCATGTCGTACGGTGGAACGCAGGATGTAGACGGCGTAGAAAGCCGGTATTGGTTTGCATTGAACCGCCATGACTTCCAGGTTTCTTTGGTTAAGGTGCGTTCACTGAGGTTCGCTCGATGCTGTATCACTTTTGCGACCCCGGGCCGGACCACATGTCGCTGCAAATGCATAGCATAGCATTACCTTTGCCGGCACGGGAAGGCTAACGAGCATGGAGGTAAAAGACTGTGTAGGTACGGACGTGAAGATGCGATTGTTTACTCCAAGCAATTATTTGGTGCCTGGGGTGACGGAGTCCTGTCCTGAGCTCCTGGCTAGACGACGAAAGTGGGTCTGTTTATCCCAGTAAGGCTGACAATCACATGCACCCGGCACCAAGGCCGGGTGGGACTCAGCAATCAACGAAAAGTTTGAACATGGAAGCATGTTTCACGATAGAGGACAGTTAAGATATTTTCTGAAAGCCCGTAGTGTGTTGAAGCACGCTGAACATGCAATGGCAACCTGAAGGCTTCTGCTGGGTATCAGCTAGAGTTACAATCCACTCCCCCACCCCCCCTCTTTCGAAATACATGGCGCATCGTTTGGCCATGCCCGTCCTCACAGGAGGCCCTGCTTTTGTAGGTCGAGATATACCTTTTCCGGCATCACGTTTCCTTCGGCATCCTCCATTTGAACCACCGACCCGTCGTCTATTTGGTTTCTGCTTTGGTCCCGTTGGATCTTCTCCCAGAGCCTGACGGCCTCCGCTATAGAGGTGATGTCTCGGAACAGGTATGTGTTCGTGATGCCCAACCTCTTGAGGTTGGTAATATGGTTTGTCTCGTTGAAATGTTTGTCGAATGCTCGCCGGCCCCGGTAGACGAAGTTGCCGCAAATCTCGCAGGGGAATTCCTGCCCTAAACCGTGCAATCTGTACAACCAGAATGGGATGGGTTTCCCATCCCATGCGAGCGGGAGCTTCAGCGGGTTGTAGAGCTTATCGTCACCATCTTCCTTGTCCCCGTCTTCCCCGCCCTGGTGCTGCGCACTGGATGTCATGTTGTAGAGGTTCTCTAACTCCTGCTGCCGCTCCCGCTCCGTCATTCCCTGCCGGCGCTCCACGTTCACTCTAGTGTCGTCCCTCTCAATGTTCATCGCACCGACGAGTTTCTTGACACGGAACTCCCGCTCGGCAACTGCTCGCTCCTTTAGTCGATGTGTGGATGCCGGAAGAGCGCCATTCATACTGCCGTCAGGCGTAGCTTCTCGTTGTGCTATTAGCTCCGCCGCCCTGATGTGTTTCCGACCATTCAGATGCCCCTTGTAGACGTTCTCGTTCTTGAACTCCTTTTCGCACGCATCGCACCAGACCGCCTCGACCGTGCTCAAAGTGCGCTCCGGTGCGTCCGGCTTCGCCTTCTTTTCTTTTTGCCACCCTTGTACTTCATCCTTCTCCCACGCTGACTCGAACTCTTGTTGCCAGCCGTTGAGGATTTGGTCGACATTCTCCAAAGGACGCGTCCGCCGCATGAAGGACTCGAGGTATTCCATGAGCTCGCCCAGATACTTAAAGTACTGGTCCTTCAATTTGTCTGCCCTCTTGATCCCGCCATACCCCGGTTGAAAATTGTCAAAGACCTCGAGATACTGCATGTATCCGAGACGCTTTGCGTTAGGGAGGTTGAGATAGGACTCGTGGCAGCTATGCAAATCAAAGAATCGTCCGTATGCCTCTTCGCCAGAGAACATGCTGTCGACGATAAAGGGCTGGTCATCGTCTCCCTTTCGCGGCCGATACCATTGTTCCGAATTTTCGGCTTGCTCATTCGGGTAACGTGCATGGTGCTCCTTGATTCTGGCCACTTGGCGGTAAAATTCCTCGAATGGATCGCCGGTGCTGATTTGGAGAATCTCTTTCGACCGTAGCCCGGACTTGTCTTCATAAAGCGGGAGCAGCTCCGCTGATTGGCTCTGAATCTGGTCGAGCAACTGTGCCACTTCATGATCTCGGTTCAGGCGATCGCGGATCTATTAAAAATGTGAGATTGAACTGCTGCACCTTGGAGGAAGGGGCCACGGCTGGCAGGTGGGACCTACGTGTTTGGGCTCCTCGCCCATGCGATCAGCGATGCCCTGTTCGAGGCGCTCGAGGTCCTCGTGGAGATACCTTTGGTCTTCGAGTAACATTGTTCCGCGAGTTACCTCAATCGAGGAACAATAGAAGCGTAATGCGTTGGGTTCGTAGTGCGCGCGAGACGACGATGTTCCGACCTCTCCTTGGCTTTCAATTTGAAGCAGACGGTGGTCGTGATGTAGTGGTCGCGTCCAATGTTACTGTATTCGCAAGTTTGCCGAAGTTCTGCCTTTAAGGTTCAAGGTGATGTGGGTCCACGCAAATCTGCAGAGCCACACACGCCACACCACACCGTACACGAAGACGCCGGAGGATTCGCCTCCGTCAACCTTCACATCAACACCAAACGAGCCTTAGGGAAAAGCTTCCAGTGTTAAAACAACAACCTCACCAACGAACTTTCACTGAGACCCATCATCACAATGGCTGACAGAGCCGGTATTGACCGCAAGGCCGATGAGAAGATTCAGTTCTCAACCTCGAAAGAGGTTACGGTACATCCGACCTTCGAGTCGATGTCACTGAAGGGTGCGTCGCTGCCCACTTCCCACTGTCAATCAGCGGGCATCGCGTGCTGACCATCATACGAACAGAGAGTCTCCTTCGTGGTATCTACGCCTATGGCTACGAGTCGCCATCTGCCGTTCAGTCGCGAGCGATCGTCCAGATCTGCAAAGGCCGCGACACCATTGCCCAAGCGCAGTCCGGAACGGGCAAGACAGCTACCTTCTCAATCAGCATGCTTCAGGTTATAGATACGGCCGTACGAGAAACACAGGCGCTCGTCCTCTCGCCCACCCGCGAACTTGCGACACAAATCCAGAGCGTGGTTATGGCGCTAGGCGACTACATGAACGTGCAATGCCATGCTTGCATCGGTGGTACGAACGTAGGAGAGGACATCCGGAAACTCGACTACGGCCAGCACATTGTTTCTGGCACTCCCGGTCGTGTTGCCGACATGATCCGCCGCCGCCATCTGCGCACACGCCACATCAAGATGCTCGTCCTCGACGAGGCCGATGAGTTGCTGAACCAAGGCTTCCGCGAGCAAATCTACGATGTGTACCGCTACCTACCACCCGCGACTCAGGTTGTTGTGGTATCGGCCACGCTACCGTACGACGTTCTTGATATGACCACGAAGTTCATGACGGACCCCGTCCGCATCCTCGTCAAGCGTGATGAGTTGACCCTCGAAGGGTTGAAGCAGTACTTCATCGCGGTGGAGAAGGAGGATTGGAAGTTCGATACTCTGTGTGATCTATATGATACCCTTACCATCACGCAGGCGGTCATTTTCTGTAACACGCGGCGGAAGGTAGACTGGCTCACAGAGAAGATGAGAGAGGCCAACTTCACAGTCAGCAGCATGCATGGCGACATGCCACAGAAAGAGCGCGACAGCATCATGCAGGATTTCAGACAAGGAAACAGCAGAGTCCTCATCTCCACCGACGTCTGGGCTCGTGGTATTGATGTGCAACAAGTCAGCTTGGTCATCAACTACGACCTGCCCAGTAACCGTGAAAATTACATCCACCGGATTGGTCGGTCCGGTAGATTCGGTCGCAAAGGTGTCGCCATCAACTTCGTTACTAGTGAGGATGTGCGCATTCTGCGGGATATTGAGCGTAGGTGTTGTCCATCCCTGGATTGCCGTGCTCGGCTAACGTCTCGCAGTGTACTACTCGACGCAGATTGACGAAATGCCCATGAACGTTGCCGATCTCATTTCATAAGAGATGCCGCAGATTAATTCATATCAGGAATATAGCGTCAAAGACAAAGCTTCTTCGTCTCCATGACGCTATTCAGAGGATCTGGTTTAGCAACTGCTGTGGGAGGAAAGGGGCCTGTTCGTTGCAGGTAACGTGGACTAGCGCCTTTCCCAGTTAACCATTTCGCTTTCATGAGCTGACAGTCAAGGTAGCAGGTCATTTCAAGATTGGAGTACACATCTTGCCGCCACGAGACTACGGGAAAAGTGAGGACTCATTCGCTCGGAACCCAAGGAGAGAGTCCGCCTTATGTCATATTATTTGGGATCTTCGCACACCCGCGATTCAGGGCTAGCTGCAAATAAAATCAAGTGGCAGTTTGAGCGGAAGAGTATAACCCCAATCTGCTAGTCGGAATAGGTCAATACCCAACCTCTATGACTGTAACATCTTGAGCTGTCCTCGACCACATCGACCTTGCATTATTACACTTCTTTGCGTGGAAGGCAGGAATGAGAGAAAGCCAGTACACCATCCCTATCGCGGCACAGACAATGATATGGTCCTGGTGATCTGCCGTTAGGAGTGAGATGAGATCTGACGGAAGCAGTCGCCTGTCCCTTTATTCTAGTTCCACGGGAGTGCCACCCTCGAGGTTAAGGGAGAAAGGCCATCTTGAATAGGAAGGTTGAGTAGTGACCGCAACACCTGTCGCGGTGTATGCTTTGAATACTGTGTGGTAGAAAGTGATAGTTAGGTAACAAACTACAATACTCAACCTAAAGGCTCTTGGTCACGCTTTGAGTTTGCTTCGAGGTTGGGACTGGCGCAAAGATGGTACCTTGCAGGTGTACCTTCCTCAGATGCCGTGCCGAGTGCTTCTCCTACCTTCTTTACTCCATACGTGACTTGCACCAGCCATCTTGAGGGTGTTGAAGAAGCAGATGAGGGCCCTTGCAACGGGAAAATGAAGGGAATGTATACATGTTGTATTGTAGGGGTTGACATCGCAGGGTGCCCTCTGATGTCAGCACTGATAAGAATCCTGCTTCCAGGTTGTCATGGAACAATGTGGCAACACAGGGTCAAACAGGCCGTACATCAATTCCCTCAAGTTCGCTTAGTTCAGCTGCAGATCCAAGCAAGTCAGGTTAGACCAAGAAATGAGAACGGTATAATAAAAGAGAGAAAAGATTAAGACGAGAAGGGAAGAAGAAAAGGCATACATATGAAGAAGGAAAGGGAAAAGGAAGAAAGTAAACAAAGGGAACGAAGATAAAGGAAAAGACCAAAATGAAGATGAAAAAGAAAACAAAAAATGAAAAGCATTAAGAGAACATATGAAAGGAAGATATTAAAAGATAAAGAGGACGAGAAAGATGACAGGAAAGAGTATAGAGATCAAAGGAGAATCAGTTGCTGAATGGAATCCGTACTGTTTCCTCAAGATGTAAGTCGAGCGAACGTTGATGCCGATTTTCGATTGTACATGGCTTTTAGCCAGGAGACCGTGGATGACTTAGTCAAGACTGCCTCGGCTATGAGGCCCGCGGATTCGGGCGTGTTCCAATAGTCGCTGGGGGCGTGCTGCAGAGCTGAGTTGAAAGTGGGAGGTAGGTAGGTGGGCAGAGGTTGCCATTAAACGTAGAAGCGAGCTGCCTAAGACGGCAGCTCCCGTCCAAGCGATGGTAGGAACTGTGGAAGCTAACCTTAGCTTCTCCGCCCATATCGAACAAGCCTCGCTGCATCGGAGTTAAGCACCCCAAGCTTTCCTCGGCAATTGGGGGCCGCCCAAACTAGAAGCCCTCGCATTGAGAGCACTGTGGAGGCTTGCATTCGGAATTTCGGATTGGCCAATTGGGCTGCTATTCAGCCTGCCAAACGTCGGCGATCGGTGCCCCGAAAAGGAAGTTGCGTACCGGATCACGCATGCCTGATTAACTGTGCCTGGCTATCCATATTTCGATCCCTGCCGTGTAAGCTTGACGAGGGCTTCCGCCTAAGTAGGGCAGTGAGCTGCCTTATTTATACTACTTACCACCTATATAAAGATTGTCAGCTTCCCTGGGCTTGTTGCTTCGATGGACTGCCCAGCTCCTCCCATACCTCCCCGCCTCGGTCCTCACGCGGCTTATTAGCCTCCATTGCCTGGCTGTCTTTTGGAGCCGCGGAGTTACGGACTGATCGGATCGCGGCAAAATGCTTCAGCACTTTCTTTTTACGGCGGCCCTTGCGGCCGTGGGGCAATGCGCGTCCACCGTCCTCGAGTCGCTCCCTGCGCAACCCCGTGGTTGGACGCGTCTGGCAGATGCCTCCCCAGACCACACGCTGAAGCTGCGCATTGCGCTGCACCAACCGGACGAGGCCTTGTTCGAGCGGACTCTATACGAAGTCTCAGACCCCGCACACGCCAAATACGGCCAGCATCTCTCGAGGGATGAGCTCTCGGCTCTGTTGGCCCCTCGGGCAGAGTCGACGTCGGCTGTGCTCTCCTGGCTTCGCGACGCCGGCATCGAGAGCTCTAAAGTTGAAGAAGACGGCGAATGGATCAACGTCAGGATTACGGTCCGAGAGGCCTCCGCCCTCCTGGATGCTGACTTTGCAGTTTGGGGCCACGAGGGCACCAAAGTGAAGAGAGTGCGAGCTCTGAAGTATTCCGTGCCCGAGGAGGTTGCTGGCCACATCAGGATGGTCGCCCCTATTGTCAGGTTCGGACAGGTCCGCCCTGCCAAAAGCCAGGTATTCGAGGTGGTCGATGCCAAGACGCCCCAGCTCAAGGCCGCCGCAATCCCGCCTCAGAACTTGAATGTCACCGCCTGCAATGCGACCATCACGCCCGAATGTCTCAGGGCCCTGTACAAGGTCGGCTCGTATCAGGCTGAGCCCAGCAAGAACAGCCTCTTCGGCGTGTGCGGATATCTTGAGGAGTGGGCCAAGTACGACCAGCTCGAGCTGTTCACCGACAAGTATGCTCCGTATGCTGCCGAGTCCAACTTCACCGCTGTCGGCATCAGTGGCGGGGTGAACAACCAGGCGCCCTCGTCACAGGATGACGTCGAAGCGAACCTGGACATGCAGTACGCCGTTGCCATGTCGTACAAGACTCCCATCACCTACTATAGCACTGGTGGACGAGGACCTCTGGTGCCGGATCTCGAGTGAGTTCTAGATTCCTGGGCCCTGGAGGTTGAGGTGCACTCTAACAACATACGCAGTCAGCCCGATGCGAACGATGTATGATGAGATTTCCAATCCCAAGTTTTCTCTTCGTCTACCTACTGACACGGGCCGCAGAGTTCCAACGAGCCGTACCTGGACTTCTTGACATACATGCTCAAGCTGCCTGACTCCAAGCTGCCGCAGACCCTGACGACATCCTATGGCGAGGATGAGCAATCTGTCCCTCGTGCCTATGCCGAGAAGGTCTGCCAGATGTTCGGCCAGCTCGGTGCTCGTGGCGTGTCCGTCATCTTCTCGTCCGGAGAGTAGGTGCACCTAATCCTCGCTCGATTGCTGTGACAACTAACCCCGTCCGCCCCCAGTACCGGCGTCGGTTCCGCATGCCAGACGAACGACGGCAAGAACACGACCCGCTTCCTTCCCATTTTCCCAGCGTAAGCCCCCTTTCTGTTCCAAACCCGGCCCTCGCAAATCAAAGATGAGCTGACGCGCTCCGTAGCGCCTGCCCTTACGTCACGTCTGTCGGTGCAACGCGCTATGTGGATCCGGAATACGCTGTCAGCTTCTCGTCGGGCGGTTTCTCTGACATCTGGCCGCGGCCGTCGTACCAATCAGCGGCGGTATCCAAGTACCTGCGCAAGCAGCTGGGAGACCGCTGGAAGGGCTTGTACAACCCGGCAGGCCGTGGCTTCCCGGACGTTGCTGCCCAGGGGGTGTACTACCACGTTTTCTCCCGTGACCAGGACATCCTCGTGTCGGGCACCAGCGCGTCGGCGCCCATGTTCGCCTCCCTGGTCAGCCTGCTCAACAACGCCCGTCTCGCGCGCGGCATGCGCCCGCTGGGCTTCCTCAACCCGTGGCTGTACGCCGTCGGCTCGGCTGGCTTCACCGACATCGTCCACGGTGGATCGACCGGCTGCACCGGCACGGACATGTACTCGGGCTTACCGACGCCGTACGTGCCGTATGCGTCCTGGAACGCGACGCCTGGCTGGGACCCAGTGACAGGGTTGGGAACACCCATCTTTGACAAGCTGCTGGATTTGAGCACGCCTGGCGGGAAGTGGAAGCATATTGGGGGCAAGAATTGAGAAGACAATCTGTCTATTCCTAGACACTTGGGATGAGTTAAGACACCACCATGTATTGTGACTCCCTGTTCTCTTAGATGATGCCGGACACCACATAGTCTTGCGTGGTTTAATATATCTCGTCCGACAGCCTGCTATATTCAATATTTTCACTATCCTCGACCGGGTGGGAGCCGTCGTCAAGAAACAAACTGCCAAAGCAGTGTATCAGCCATTTGTAGGAAATTGGCCGCAAAGTCCAGGTATACCACACGGAACTGGGCCCGGCTTACGAGCTGGGGAACCGTTAGGTAACGATTTGAGCATCTCGGTGAACCTAAAAGTGCATTGATATTCGGTGCGGCCTTGCCAAGCGGCTCCTTCATATGTTCATCAGGGCTGCTTGGCCGTTTGAAATCTAGTCGGTACCTACATACCTAAGGTAGGAACTATGTGGTCCACACTCATGCTTCCCTTTTACATCGCATAATCGGTCGTTTGCTCGGTTTTCACTACGGGTAGCGTATCTTAGCTTGGGAGCGCCATTCGGACGTAGATGAAAGTGAGGGGAATTGTCGTTTACAGCTCCATTTGGGGATCTCACTATTCAAGGCTCCTGTGTTGTGACATGTGAGGTGATAGATTTGGTTCCGTTGTTACTAGCATCAGAGACTACTTGGGTACGGTATGGAAGCCAGCAAGTACTTATACTAGCAAAGGCTTCTCACACAGTATACTCCAATAGATTATAGCAGGCGCCTAAAGTACCTGGTACCCACGCTATCACGGCGTCGGGCTTTTGTGCCAGTTTTGCGCCCATCCGGGCAGGAAGGAAAGGTAGGATTCCAAAAGCTACTACCGACCACCTACTGTGTAAGGAAGGTTTTTGAGAGAGCCACTCGTACTGGATGGCATGTCGCATCCCGTCGTGCGACCGACATCGCACGCCAGATTAGGCAGGTGAAGTTGGCGGCTCGGGCAACCCAACCTCGGAAGGCGAATGACTTGGAAAACGCAACTTTTCCGGAACCCCGCCGTTCTCCCCCCGCGTTTTCTGATCCACAATCCAATGCGCACACGGTAGTTGTAGCGGGAGCGATCTAGAAGCTGGTGACTCCCGAACTTTCTGGCTCCGTAATATTACGACTTGCAGAGAACCGAGCGCTTCTGTTTTAAAGTTGAGTTAAATTTGCAGCTGGCGGATTTCCAAAACTGGCTTCCCAGTTCAAAGTCACCTAGCATCTCGCACGTCGCTTTCGATAATCCGAACATGTCAAGAGATACCCCGCATGGCCGACATGATCTCACCGAGTTGGGATGACTGAGCGACATCAACTGATAAAAAAAGACGGGATTCTTTTGGTTCGCTCTTGGCAGCCCCCAGATCCTCCACGCTCTCCCCGCCCTTGGCAACGCATCAAGCTCTGCCAAGTCGCCTGGCAAGCCACACCGGCGGCGCTTGGCAGTGTGGGACGCCCCTTGTCGCCCAGGATCGTGACGAAACCAAGCGATCCATCCCATCAACGTAGCTTCGCATTCCTCTGCCAACCTCGGGCACGGTTCGCCGTCGGCGGCCCTTCTACCCCGGTCAATGGTAATACCTGACCCGATGCCGGGAGCACCGTTACCGGGTCACTACACAGTATGTACCCTAGCTGCATCAGCACGGCATCTGGAACCGGCAGGCGACGACGTACATTACGCCATTGCGTTTCGCAGCAATTGTCAGAGACGCGGTGTCACAACCATTTGCCCGAATGTCGGCGGGGCACCTAGTCGGATCTGCACTCAGCCAAATTCAGGATTCCAGATGCTCTGCCAACATGCTGCCCTCGGGCCGGCCTTGAAATCTATATGACTGTTCCGTCCGCTTGTATCCGGAAGCACCTTGTTATTCTTCCTTCACCCTCCAACCAACTGCCGTAACCCAACCCTCAGGTCCTTGGGTGTCAGCCTATTCCCGCGCTGCCTGTAGAGTTGCACCTGGCAAATCCCTTCGAAGAGACACCGGAAAGATGGAGACAACACATGAGCCCGCCGACCCTATTGTCAAAGGGGTAATGGCGACTGCGAAGCAATCATGGCGCGACCTGTTCGTCTTCAAACAGCGTGTGGTCGTAACCAACTCGCTTGGCGAGACGACCACGGAATGGGCGCGCCCTGTCCCGCTCCGCAATCCCATCAGCCTGCTTGCCCAGCTCTCGGCGCGAGACTGGCTTTTCTTCCTCGTCGGGTTTGCAGCATGGACTGCCGACGCGTTCGACTTCCACGCCCTCTCGATCCAGCAGGTCAAGCTGTCCGAGTACTATGGGGTTTCCAAGACGGAAGTTTCCACGGCCATCACCCTGACGCTGCTGCTGAGATCTGTCGGCGCCGCCTTTTTCGGTCTGGCTGGTGACAGGTGGGGGCGCAAATGGCCCATGGTGGTCAACATGATTGTGTTGGGCGCCCTGCAGATCGCGACAATTTGTACGTGACAGCTCGCATTGTTGATCCCCTGTTCTACATCCCTCTTGCTGGAAACGCATCATGGTTTAGCTGACATGTGTGGCAATTAGACAGCACAACATTTTCAGAGTTCCTAGCAGTGCGGTCCTTGTTCGGCCTCTTCATGGGCGGAGTGTACGTGAATCCCGCTTTGTCCCGCCCCTGTCTGCCGTCGCAACTAACATGGCCCAGCTACGGCAACGCCATTGCCATGGCGCTCGAGAACAGCCCCGTTGATGCTAGAGGTCTCATGTCCGGCATTCTGCAGCAGGGATATGCCTTCGGCTACGTCTGCGCCGCGTGTGCGAACCTGGGCGTCGGAGGCGGCGACAACAGTTGGAAGACGGTTTTCTGGATCGCCGCCGGCCTTTCCATCGGGGTTGGTATCGTCCGTTGCTTCTTCCCCGAGTCGAAGCAGTTCCTGGAGGCCCGCAAGGCTGGCAAGGCCCAGGCCACCCCGTCGGCCTTGTGGGCGGAAACCAAGATGATGCTCGCCCAGGAGTGGAAGATGTGGATTTACTGTGTCATCCTCATGACGTGGTTCAACTGTGAGTCCCAGAGCTGTTCTTCTTCGATACCCGCCACTCACCCCGTGCTTGATCACCAAATGCTAACATGGTCTCCACAGTTTACAGCCATACCTCGCAAGACAGCTACACGACCTTCATGCTCACGCAGAAAGAACTCGACAACTCGGGCGCTAGTCGCGCGAGCATCCTCATGAAGGTCGGTGCCTGCGTCGGCGGCACCATCCTGGGCTACACCTCGCAGTGGTTCGGCCGGCGTCGCACCATCATCGTGGCCGCCATCATGAGCGGCTTCATCATCCCCGCCTGGATCCTGCCTGAGGGCGAGCGTGGCCTTTCTGTCTCTGGCTTTTTCCTCCAGTTCTTCGTGCAGGGCGCGTGGGGTGTCATCCCCATCCACCTGAACGAGTTGGCCCCGCCGGCGTACCGCTCCTCCTTTCCCGGGCTCACCTACCAGCTTGGCAACATGATCTCGTCACCGTCGACGCAGATCGTCAGCGCCATCGCCGAGAGCCACTTCGTGACGAGCAGGTCGGGCAAGCGCGTCGACGCGTACGGTCCAACTATGGGAATCGCTACGGCTATCATTGCGACCGGCATCGTCATCACGACGGCGTTCGGCCCGGAGAAGCGTGGGCGGGAGTTCGAGAAGACGTTGCCGGCGGGTATGAACGTTGTGCGAGAGAGCGGTAAGGACGTTGACTGCAATGACGACTTGGAGAGGGGAGAGAAGGGCCAGGCCGGAGAGGTGGAGGATGTTGTTCATCCGTCACTAGAGAGGAAGTGACTTGGGGACTGTACGTACCTGCAGTAAATCGTGATGTGCCGAGGTGGGTGTTGCTATCTCGGCATCTGCCCTCAGCTCTGCCAATGCAAGGCAGGCCTTCTCGTTCCCATTAACCTGTTTTGATGCGCCCCGCGGCAAAGCATCTCTGCGCCAGCTCCCAACGACAACGACTTTTCAGGACGTTTTTTCAAAGGTGCTCTGGAACCGTTAGTGCGCCATATCCCACGGCGCAGGCAGAGGGCGTATATACAAGGCGCTGATCACCTGGTGCAACAAGGTAATCTTCGGGTGAACCCTTATCTGGCCACGAGAGCCGACTATTTGACTACGGAAGGCAGTTCCTGGGACTCGAAAGGCATATATGGTGCCACAAGGGAAGTGTCCCAATGAAGGCTGGGGCAGTGGCTCAGGAACGACGCCTGGTGTAAGGCCCTACCTATGTACCAGAAGGTTGATTCGATAGGCTCCATCTGGGCAAGAAGAAACCGCCAAACCAAACATCGATGGCAGGAGATTCTACACCAGCTCCGGGGGAAGCCGTACGTGCTTGTCTGCGTCGGCGTCATCATGTAATTCAAGACAAGGGCGACGGAAAAGAAGTCTCGTTCAATGGCAGGGTCACCTGGCATTCATTAATAGTACACCGACAGTTGCGAATAAACAACATGATGATTGCTTTTGTCCCTTCGATGCTGTATGCTTACTGATTGGTATGCGAAGGGGCTCCCAAGGGGGAGCCCCTTGGGAATCACGACCACCACCTCGTAGATATAGACTCTGGCCGACATTTCAGGAATAAACTCTGTTTTCGTATCGGTAGTAATGTCAATTCGTTGATTGTAGGAGTTCTGGTTACAAGCAACCCGGTATCGGTCGGAGTGTCAGTTCGTTGGTTATATCCGTAGGGGTTTCAGTTCCGAGCGACCCTTCACGGACACGCAAGACTCCCGCATCTAATTTCACACTTCGAATTGACATCTCACAACATTGCTCCACACATCGCATCATGGATACTCTCTGAATCTTTCGGTAGGTAGTTACACAGCGTCGGGTGTGGCACGCGCGGTTGAGAGCCACAGTTTTCTGATGGACAGGTAGTTACGGTAGGTACCAGCTATGGAAGGTTAACGCGGTGGACTGTGCTTCCCAACTTGAAGTGCCAGCTGCCATCAGCAGAAAGTCGCAGGCGGCGTATCAATTAGGTATACATACTGTGTAAGCCCTGCCATAGTACGAGGTAAGGTACCTCAGGTACCTCCCTAGTTAGTTATATGAGTAGAGTCGGATCCGTCCACGTACAGCACATACCTAAGGTAGTGTGGGTAGTATGTATCTAGGGGTATGAAGTTACCAGACCCGTGATAGTGGCAAATGCCGCGTGGGCTCAGTGGGGTGGCCGAGTGTAAGTCGCACCGTGCGCACGGTGCGGCCAAGCTGGGTGATCTGACCTTGTTGTGTGGGTCCCGTCTTTTATAGGCCCGGGTGACGGAACCGTGCTTCTGCGATTCTGGGCTCCCGCAACTCGCGCCCGCGCAATCAACCACAACGGCAACGGCGACAGCGACAAGAAACAAACACCATCCGCCCCGTTCTCTTCAAACGTTTAGTCCGCGACCCGAACGTGGAACAATGTCTGCGAACGACGGCCCAAAGTTACTATGGAATCCAGACAATGTTCGAGATGTCGCAGACTCGCAGGGCATATCGCTGTCTGATGAGCCGCTACGAGTGCTGGCCCAGGACGTCGAATATCGAATTGGGCAGGTCATTGTCGAGGCCCTACGCTTCATGCGCGCCGCCAGCCGCACGACTCTAACTGTACAAGACGTCTCCCAAGCACTCAAGGTGCTCGACGTCGAGCCGCTGTACGGGTACGAGTCGACGCGGCCGCTCCGGTACGGCGAAGCCAGCCTCGGCCCCGGGCAGCCGCTTTTTTACATTGACGACGAGGAAGTGGACTTTGAGAAGGTCATAAACGCCCCCCTGCCCAAGGTGCCGCGTGACATGAGCTTCACTGGTAGGTGTCGATCCGGAACTTCACTGGTATCGTGGGCTGCTTACACCGTCTTACAGCTCACTGGCTCGCGGTTGAGGGCGTTCAGCCCTCAATACCCCAGAATCCCACCACCGCCGAGACCGCTTCCAAGGATCTTCTCCCGAAGGGTCCAGGTGCAAACCCGGCATTGGCAGCTCTCGCAGGAAACGACAACGTCTCGTTCCGGCCGTCAGTCAAACACGTTATCAGCAAGGAGCTGATACTTTACTTCGACAAGATTCAAGCCGCCATACTTGACGACGACCCTGACGAGGAGAAGAAGAGACTCCGCGAGGCCGCGTTAGAATCCGTCCGCTCCGACCCAGGCCTCCATCAGCTCGTGCCCTATTTCGTGAACTTCATCACGAATCAAGTAACTCACCATCTAGACGACCTGTTCGTCTTGCGTCAAATGATGGAACTTGCGCAGGCGTTGATTCAGAACCTGAATCTATTCCTGGACCCATACGCCAGCGCCATCTCCGCACCCGTGCTTACCTGTCTGATGGCTCGCAAGCTCGGCGGTGCCGCGCCCGAAGACGGTTCCGATACGCTACGCGAACAATACCGCCTCCGCGAGCTCGCGGCGAGCCTCCTTGAGATGATCGCGCGCAAGTACGGGGCGACCAACGCGCTGCTGCGTCCCAAACTGACGCGCACCTGCCTAAAGCACTTCTTGGACCCCGTGCGCCCGCCAGCCGTGCTCTTTGGCGCTATCAGCGGCGTGGCTGCGTCAGGCGGCCCTGAGGCCGTACGCGTTTTAGTTCTTCCTAACCTGAAGAGCTTCGATGCAGCCGTACTGCAGCCGCTGCAGGAAAAGGGCGAGGCACACGGACTTGAGCTGGAGATGCTCATTGGTGGGATCATGAAGGCGATCAAGAGTATCGTTGGGGGCACAGGTATCCCGGCCGCGAACGGAGTGAATGGGATCGACCCATCAAGAGAAGCCGAGCAGGTTACGGAGTTCCTGGGCCCCGTTATCGGGCGGAGAGTGTCCAGGCTAGCTAACCACGCCCTGAACAGGGCGATTCTGGACGTCAAGCATTTGGATTAGTTCTCTTCTGGCATGCGTTTGGAATCATGGCGCTACGGACAACGGGAACTGGCAGGAACGGCGTTGAGGAGTTTGCCGGGTTTCACTGGTTTGGGAAAATGCGTTTGGCCACACATGGTGGATTGAGCCGGCGAGTTGCTGGGAAAAAGCATACAGTGGTAGTCCAAATAGTCTCCCGTTTGTGGGACCCATCTCCGTTACGTCGTGCCAAACAAACCAGCCCGATTGGGAGTGCGGTAATCCGTACACGGCTTCCCTCCTTGTCTAGCCTCTCCTGGCCACTAATCTTAGAACTCTCCCAGCGCCTACGGCCTTCCGCCGCCGGGTGCAACCCGGTGACCGCTCACCTGGCCGGTCCCTCTTACACTGGCTTTGCAGTCAAGTTGCCTAACCAACCGCACCACGCCCAACCCCAACCCAACTCCTCCCCCCACATCTCCAACCCCCGGGGCTTTTCAGAAGAAGAAAGCAAGGTACAACCCGGAGACCGCCGACGCACCCCAGATATACCACCCCGTTTTCACGACTGTCTGCCTCTTGAACCCAACCCCAATATCAAAAAGTATATGCCGCACTCCGTTGAACGCATGGAAGGTGAACGGCCACGCGGCGAGGAACTTGAGCCCACCTTTGACCGCGACGGGTAGCGCCCCGAACGATGCCGCCAACGATGCGCTCTCCAGGTGCCACCCCATCATCGGCGCGACCAGGTAGGCCGTCGCGAAGAGGTAAAGCCCGCCGCTGAAGGCCGATCCCGTGATGCGCTGCCAGATCGAGCCGCCGAACCAGGTCTGCTGCTTGTCGTAGATGGCCAAGTGCGGCGACACGGGCCGGTTGAGGCGCTGCTTCGCCAGGAGCTCGGTCTCATCTGCGAAGCTCAACTTCTGCGTTGCGACGAGCCTGTTGTGGGGGTCGCGAAGACTAGTGTGTTAGTTGGCGTGATGTATGTGTTGTCGGTTTGGAGAAGATGCAGATTCTCATCGTGGGCTCGGCAAGGCGCGGAATGTACGGACCTGGTCTGGGTGGTGGACAGTGGCTGCGCCAGCGCGAGCTTGGCTACATTGGTGGTGAAAAAGCCGTTCGACTTGCCGGCCACTGTTATTGTGATGCATCGAGTTAGCGCCTGGGTAATCTGGCGGCGGTTGGCGCTTCCCGCCTGGGAGGAACTGGCTTATGTCCAGCTGGGTCTGCATACCTCGGCGCAGCGCCGTCGTTCCTGCTCGCTGGGCAATCATGATGTGGTGGTCTGGCAGTCGAGCGCGAATCCAGTAACCAGGCAGGTTGTCGTGGGCTGCGAGATTTGAGGTCGATGATGTCGAATCGCTTGATCGGAATCGAGCCCCGGCAGGTCGGCACCTCGGCTTCGTAACGGCCAATAGGAGCTCGGATAATTCCAGCGTCAAAGCCAGCACGTGAGTGCTGCCCCACTTTCGGGGCACCGCTTTTTCAACAGCCAATGCTCCATGGAAATTTCGGTTTCCTTTTTTCTTCTCTTTCCTCTTCAGATAGTTCATGGGCGTCCAGCCATGGCTTTGCTGTCCTCAATCGGCGATGCATAACTGGCATTCGGCGCTTTGGCGTCTATGGATACCCAGAGAATAACAGATCCGTCGTTAATCACTGTCGTCAGCCTTTCAGTCTGGCGATTGTTTCATTTTTGAGATCTACATATCCTTGGCACAAGACAGGAAGGCTTCAGGGGTGAAGTACCAAGGGGCTGCTCAAAGACAAATCATCCACGCAAACATTCGACTTCGGTGTCTGTCCAGCGCTCTACCGTTCCGCTTCCTGCAAAGCCCATAGGTCGGCGGGGATCTTAACTATGTACAACCCCGGAGGGTTGTAGCTACTTAGCCTTCAGCATCGACCCACCGGAAACCTGACTAGAGTTCGCTCGATCTCAATGGGATACGGAACTGAGGCTTGCCTCGCGATACGAGCCCAGTTTTGGGATGGGGTCATGCTGCTAGAGGTCCAAAATGTCGACCCAGACAACCAGACCAGGTCTTCTCCGTGCATCTTCAATTCGTTCGGTGGGATGAAACCGAAGTAAATGGCGACATACTCTAAACCTGAACGTGTCCTTGTCTTTTGTGACAGATGCTCACATTATGTTCCACGCCATTCGACCACCGATTTGGAAAACATTGCGCCAGCATCGGAGACCCATGGGCTCTATGAGGCGATGCCTAGGCCGCACAGCACCCAAGACTCAAGAGCCACCATTTCCCAGCTGCTGACTCGCCGCAACGACACTTAGGCTTTCAGGACCACCAGCAATGCCAAAGAGGGTTGGCAGACGGTTGATTCCGAGCTCGCGGGCCTTCCTGCCCTCCGTTGGTGTGAAGCGGACGCTTTCGGCCCGACGACCTGACCAGTCAACCGTCCGCTAGTTCAGTGGATGTTCTAAGTTAGGTAACTGAGCTTATAGAAGACGTCACGGAAACTCGGGGTCTGCCATCTGCCAAGACGCCATATAGGACTGGTACTGTAAGGTAGGCAGTGGCCGGCTACGAAACCCATAGAGGACTCAAGTTTGCTGCAGGGCGTCAAGTGGGGCGGTTGTGGGGTTGGATGATACTGTGGTTGGGGTTACATATGGGCCATAGTCCTTTGGGACCGGGTGTCATAGTCCCAAAAGATCATCTCTTCTACAGACACCTGACTCACCAAGGTCAGGGGTCATCATTCACCTACCGGGGCTCTTCCTCATCTCGATACCGCATTATTGGATGAGTTCCTTTCAAACATAGAACGAGGTGTCTAAACTTCATCTTTATTGTTGCTGGTATCCGAAAAGCGAAGGTACTAGTGGGTATCTAAAGGACGCGAAACCAGACCCGAGCCTCAACACCACTGCTCAAAAGCCATGCCCCGTCTATCAACGTGATCATCTATCCCAAGTCTAACTTAACCAGGCGCAGCAAAAAGGTCCAACTCCGTTGTAAGTTCCCGTCTAGATCCGAAATCCGTGGTGTAAGACTGAAAAAGACGCCCTCGACCTTCTGAGCAGAATAATCATCCAGGCGCTCCGCTGTGTCAGTCACGGACTACAGTCGGTGTCGTAAAGCATTTCTGAAGACAACCCCCACTCCAACCCCTGTATTTTTCCCCGACAGTGACCCAGGTACTCTTCCGGCTGCTCAACATTCAAAAGGCCTAGCGTGAGTCCGATCCTGAGCCGTCCAGTCGGGATGTTACGAGACCGATAAGACAGGGGGCTGGGTGTAAAGTCTCCAGACATCAATCGGCTCCGCTAGGGTTGAGACCGATCATCGATGTATGTTGTATCCCAGGAGAAGGGCCCATGTCTCGGCCGGGTAACACGAACTTCATGCACTGTGTCTCGTCCTTCCAGAATGGAGGTTGTGTGTACAGTGTGTGTGTCGACTGATCGGGCCTCGGGGCCAATCGGCTCCGGCCGGGGACGACCGGCAACGGCAGCCACCATTGTGAACGGCTCTACACCAGTCTGGTTCAGCGCCGGCTTTCCCTCTCTCGTCATCACATGTCGATGGGCATTCGCGTCTTAGTCCGCGTGGTCCATGACCGCCGCCTGCTCTTGACGAGGGGCAGAGTCCGCTGGATGATCCTGATGATGGAGCGGGAGAGACTCCGTTTCAGGGGCACGGGTCGGAACATGGCGCTCTTGTGCGGGAAGGCGGGCGACAGAAAGAAAAGAACAACGGTAGAGCAAAAAGGAGATCAGGTAAAATCGACCAGCGACACTCCTCGACCCGGAGAAGGGAAGCAGAAGGCAAGATGGCAGGGCCGGCTGAACCAACGATGCCGCTAGCGTCATGCAGTAATGCACGCCGAAGGTACATGACATGGAAAAATTGGGCCCGGTGGAGGCAACCGGGCAGTATAAGAAGCCCACGATCAAAGCCGGCCGGCGCGCCATTTTCCTGCGAGTGACCGTTGGTCAGCGATTCCGGAGGATGGTGCCCGTGGAGGGGGCCGGAAACCTCGGCCTCGACACGCGCCTAAAATAGGGCCCTGCGAGCGGCGCGGGCGAGCGGCGCCGTGTCTCGCTCGCGTGGGACATCCGTCAAGGCGGCGATAGGGGGGCTGTGCCGCAACCGCAAGGTGTCGTTGGATTGAAACACACGGTGCTGAAACCGTGTTACATGTTCGCTCTGGCTTCTCCAAACACCTAAGAAGCTTAATGTGAGGTCTGGGTATGATTAATGGGTCACTGTTTGGGCTTCGGATCAGGCCAAAAAGGGTGTTGTGCTACGAAGCTATTCCAGGTGCTGAAGTCTCCCTTGCCGCGACGGAATCTCGTGATGCGTCTCTGCACGAAGCCAGAATCCTCCCTTTCTCCGTAGGGAAAGATCTGGTACGATTCGCGTGTTGGTGCCGTAAGACAAACAAAATCACCTAGGTGACTTGTCCCCTGTCCGGATCGAAACTTTACTAGATGGCCCAGTTACGGCGTCCAACTTGGAACATTCGGACGGGCTGTTGTGTGTCTCAGTATCCGACTGCACAAGCAACGTCAACTTCAAGTGATGCCTAGGTACCTTCCTCAGCCCATTGCATGGTGCCCGTTTTGTATCTATTAATTCCTTTTCATTCTCCTGTAGGCAGTGAACAGTCATGTGTGTCCCCGCACAACCGCTCATGCTAGGTAGCATTACTAGTCGTAATTTTCATAGTTCATTAATAGGGTGAGGATCATGTGTATACGAGTCGCCCGGCCCGCCGGTCCCCGAGTATCCTCGCATCGTCCGGCAGTCGAGGTAGTTGTTCTCAATGAAGGGCGTCGCTATTTTCACGCCGTAGATGTCCGCCCACTCCTCCTCAACCGCTTCGAACGGGAAAGCTCGTGCCCTTACCCTCCCATGGACGGGCACCGGCGCGTACTCGTCGACTGACATGGTGGTGTTGAACAGCCGAATCATGTTGTCGCATGACAATCCATTCGCAAACGTGGGTTGGTTGGTGATGTTCTTGAACAGTTCGAGAGGATACGGGTTTCGAGTGGGATGTGAGATCCGTGTCATTTCCAATTCAAAGTGTTCGGACGTTGTCAAACTGATACCCCTGAAGTATGTTGCTCCATTCGCCATACGCAAATAGGCGTCACAGAACGGCACGTACTCCGCTGGGGAGACGAGGGTGCCATATTTCCGAGAACCCTCCAGGGCAATCTCGTTGGTCGCGCTAATGAGCTGCGCCGGGGCCCAGCGGAAAGAGGAGTATCCGTCACCCAGGAGATCCAAGAACGGAAACTCGAAGCCAACCCGCTGAAAAACTCGTCAGTCTTGTCCCTAAAGAGAAGTCTACCCGGATGGGGCACAAACCGAGAAGTCGTCAATGGTAACGCCGTAGGCTCGGAACTGAACGTCATGATCATGTGCTGCCTGAACCATGACTGGATACATGCCGCCCGGGAAACTTGGTATGAGGGCCCGGTAAGCCTTTTCGAGGATCCCATACTGAGGCGGGATCAGACGACGAGCTGTCTCCAATGGGATCGGAATAATGGCCAGCGTCGCATTGAGAACCCCCGTGGCATTGTTCGGGAATAATTCAGCCAGCGGGTTGGGGTGATCATGAGTTGAACAGACACGCTGTGTAGTGGCCGACTCTCCATGGCTGGGAACGAGGGAAAAGACGGCAAGAAGGATGATAGCCGAGATGTGGAAGAGGGAGAGCCGGAGAGCCATCGAGGACCACCGCTTGTGGCTCAGAGATGCCCAGCGCAGCCTGAACCGTTGAACATGAGCTGCGAGGGGAGCGAGGCGTGGCATGCTGAGCGGCATGGTGGACGATGGGCGTAATATGGGACGATGGCGGGCTCAATTGAGTCTGCCAAAACCCACATTAAGGTCGACCGGTTCAAGGAGTTGAGAGGAAGGGTAGAACAAATAAAATAAAGAGAGAGTATAGTTAAGCAAGACAAAGGAGATAGGCAACGGAGTCGGATGAGTTGACAGGCCTTTTAGACCGGAACGGACCCCGACGGGCAGGGATCCGGCCATAAGGCAAGACAGGAACCGTCCGGGATGTGTTACATCGTCAACGCTTGCAACGGGTAGGGCTGGAAGTTAACAAGGCGGCGCCGAGGCACGCCGACATAGCCAGTAGCTTTCCTTTGTTTCGGATACGAAGGGAACTTCCATGCCTTCGACGATGCCGACCTAAGCTGCCTGGGGCAGTTTTGGTGCGGTGGAAGGTGGACGTCCAGGTTCCATTCGAAGCGGCTGAGAGATCCGCGAAACCGGCTCAGGATGGCAGCGCTATCAGGTGCCGTAGGGGCGCGGAAGCATGCTTGCCGACAGTCTGAATGGATACCGCTGCATGTTTGTTGTATGTACCTTAGTAGTCATTCTTCTGTCCCGCCCGCATGGGTGAGAACCTTAACCAGGGGCTCAAGTACAAGACGGGTAAGTCGCGGCCAGAAAGCCGTCCTTGTTTCATTCGGATGTTGAGACTTCCGGCGTCCCACTCACGCCGCGGCCAATCGGGCGTGCCTTTAGCGCGGAGGGCCTGCCGAGCCGGAAAAACTACCGAAATTCCAACGGCGATGCTATCCAGTGCTCTACACCACACTTATTGTCAATGTGCGTCCTCTTGAAGAGTTGTAGAAAGGACCAAACTCCTCTCTGCCCAAGGTATGTACATACTGCCAGTCTGCCACGTCGCGATTTGTGGGGCGGCGCTGCAAAACTGCAAAACGCATTCTGAGGGCGGTGTGGCCGGGCAGATCCAGCTCACTTGGGCCCCTTTCCCCCTGTTTCATGCCATCGATTCATCGGCATTCACCCGCAACCATCCTTACTGCCACTACCAAACCGCCAAACAAACAATTCATGGACATAGAAAAGTCATTTCAATAGCGTTATGTCTCCGAGATCCAATGTAAACTTCCTAGTGGCATTGCTGGCTGGTAATCCAAATGTATCACGATATGGGGACAATGCTTCCTGTCGTGTCGCATGTCCCGACGTCCCGTCGATCCTGTTCCAGGGACGGGAGTGTGGCTTGTGTGAGGCAGACTATGCTACAAGACACTGAGAAACTGCCAGTGGTGACCGCCAACCTCTCTTAATCCGAATATGTGTAGCTCTAGTTTAAGTGAGCTCTGGTGACTGCAGTGGGTAAGCTCACTGAGCAGTAAGCTCCCTGCCCTCATGTCAGCTTCGCATTATGTTCTCTCGTTCATTGTCACTTGGAACGGCTTTTTATGACATGCCCTTTTAGGACTATGGCACTCGGTCCCAGGGACTATTAGTATCCTATGATTCCGCGGATATAAACTCGCAACGCTAGCACTCTATTAGTGACTCTTGCTCTCTTCTCTCCGTTCTTATCTTCTTCCTTTCCGACCCGCCCGCTCCCGCCCGCCCCCTTTTCCCTTCTATTCTGTTCTATTCTGTTCTTTCTTTTATTTTCCACTTTCTCTTTAGTTTTCCTCTTCGTCCTCTCATTTACTTTTCCTTCTTCTCTCTCCTCCCATTCCTTCTCTTTATCTTGGTATTGCTTTTCTTCCAATATTTATGCTCTTGTTTGAGTCACTGTATATACTTGGGTTAAGAAGTTTGATGACGGCCTCAGAAACGGCCAGTGGCAGGAGATGGATGATCCTAGTGGTCGAGCTATATTTGATATGTACTCCCGTGGGACCAGGTATCATAGACCAGAAAGGCCATCTCTTTCTTCATTCACGCTTGTTATCCCGCTCCACTGCAATTTCGCCGGCACTTTCCTCTTGATAACGGGCACCCACAGGGTGTCATACAGACTCGGCCCACCGTTCGCAGCCTTGCTCCCAGGCGCCAAGCTGCCCCATTGCTTTGAATCCGTGTAGCACGGACTGTTGGGAACCCAAAAGCGCCCAGCGCGATGACGAGGTTCAATCGAAGCCATGGCCGAAGAGATTGGGTCATATGGGGCCAACTGTCAGATGATCACGGTCAATGATTGAGAGCGAAGGAAGACAATTCAGATGTTCCTGAGCAAAGCCACAACTGTCCAATGATTGAATTTTGTTACCGTAGCTTCATCCAGCTAAGCTACCTGGTACCTTACACCGCGGTCCTGGTCTTCTGGAACCCGTTGGGTGCGCCACCTCGACTGTAAGTACCAATCACACTACGACCTTCCCGTGTCGTGTAGTTGAAGTTTAAGTGTCCGGGTCTACCTGTTGAAACCGGCTTGCCAGGTCCCTGTAGATCTCCCCAAAATAATGGTAGAGGTCTGCCAGTGTCACGAGGCGACATCCGGCCGTGCTCTCGGTCCAGATATACTGTCCACGAGAGTTGTAGACGAGGTTGTGGGTCAGGACTCTGTGGGGTAATCCAATAGATTTTCCTTATGTTAGTCAGATGCACCGGCACGCACATTAATCGTTGTTTTAGAGTATCGCTTACGCTTCGATTAAGTGCAGTTCAATGAAGTGGTAGAAATACACCAGTCTCCGGAAGCGAAGATTGTTTTCAGTTGTTCTGAAACATCTATCCACGAACATCCTGCGGGTTCAAGCCTTGAACAAAGTTAGGATGCGAGCTTTGCTGGATGAGACGCATGCAGAAGAGGTACTCACAGTTGAATCGTGTTGGGGAGGAGGAACCTTGCACGTTCTCGAATTGGCGTGATGAAAGGCGGAGGAGGGTAACCTAGAGGTTCCGGGGAATGGGCGAAGTAGACGAGTGGCGAAGAGCGGTGGGTAAGGATGGGGGGATATATCATGATGTGCAAGAGGGATAGTTGCCTGATGAAGCTAATAAATGGACAACGCCATATGCCCTGGATGTGAAATCAGTCTTATCCACCGAGTACGCGTGTAGGCAGTGGGTTCAAGAGAGAGTGACAGAGGACCTAGGGCTGCCAGCTCATAGCAGCAACCGCTTTCTTGGTTGATAGGGAAGAAGTCGGTGGCAGGTGAGGTGAGGGACATTGGACGGTTCATGGCTCGACTGACACTGTACGATGCAGCTGACATAGCACAGCACGCTCATATACCTACCTTAGCTTCTAACCCGGTCAACTCGGAGAGACCGGCGCAACTAGACCTCTGCTCTGCAATTCATACCTGTCATACCTCTGAGTCATTACAGTCTCACAGACCTCTCTTGACGTATTTGAAGATCCGAGCTTCACTCTCCGGCTTTCCCCTATGGTACGGCTACAAACCCCCATGGAGGGGGAAGGGGGGTAGACAACATGTTATAGTTAGCCTGTTCTGGAAGGAATGGCTCCCCCAACCAAAACCAACACGATTCGTGTTTACGGAACATGATGTTTCGCTCGGAACATAGGAACATCACACTCAGGAAACGAACATAACGGAGGTCACCAGTTCTAATATTCGTTCGTCATCCAAATATAAATGATATCTCCTATTAAAACCAATAGAGCGAAGGTGCCAGGTTAAGATATCTATCTAGCTATTATTTTATATAGGTATTATACTAAACCTGACGATTTTTATCAGAGTGGTTTGAATATTATAGCTGTAATATAACGATACGAGTAATGCTGTAACCTGGGCTTCTAATACTGTTGGAAAAAATGGCTCCCCCAACCCAATTCGGTTAAAATGCTGTTTACCACCTGTTACGATGACTGGGGTCATAACTGGAGAATGTTGTCTACCCCCCATCTCCCTCCATGGCCGCACAGGATGAGGGTTCTATGATACTGTTACTACTATTAGGCGAGCACTAACATGGCGACCGGCATCAAACAAGCTCAAAGGGAAAGAGAATTCGAGAGCTTAGTGGAACTTGAAGGCTTAGACCTCTATAGCACAAGGGTGAAATAAGGGTGAAATGTTATTTCACTTATATGATTTCGTTATATTCCAGTCACAGTCCCCTGAATGTGATACCCACTATGAGCTTTGCCCCGGGATGCGACTGGGGCGTGCAAATCTATGTCATGCCGCATACTTGTTACAAGTAGTGATGTCACTGATTGCCTCGCTACTCGGGCGCTGTGAACATCTACGACATATCTTACCTCGCAAGACACGCCGCTTTCAAGATACCGGTCTGTTAACTTACCAACGTATGCAGTAAAAGGCTGGCATCTCTGCTTTGGACAATCCTGCCGTGTATTACTGATGGATAACCAGGTATCGTAAGTCCTCGGAGAAGGTGGTTGCGGCTCGGTCATACGAAGTAGATTTGGTATTGTAGGTATAGTGTCTGGAGACATCTGCCTCCTCCATGAAAAAAAAAAAGAGAACGAAGAAAAAAGAAAAAAAAGGAAGAACACAACTTCGTAGTCGCATCTATCCGGCTGACAGCGTGTTACTGTACGGCTTACTTCGTCAAGAGGCTGCCTGCCTAGGTTAGGTAAATATCATGGATATATGGGAGCTTTTATTTCCTTGGTGAGAGTGAACCGAGGAACTTCTGCAGAGGTTGCTACACAGGCTAGGGGCTAGCCGAGATGGCTGTGAGCGAGAGCCGCCCCCTTTCACTTCGCTTCTACACCACCTAATCTGACAATTCGGTGACCGTCGGCCAATCCCTCGGTTCTCGGAAATAGGAGGCTTAGGGCCCGAGCTTGACTCTTTCCATGTCGTCACTATTATGCTACCCTGTATATGTGTTCGCGCCGAGGCTGTTCGCAATCAGGAAGCTGCTGGGTGTTGCGAAGCGTGTCACACACTAAGGTAGCATCGCCCCACTGGACCCCACCCCCGCATTCTGGCTAGAATTCCCGGATCGGCATCTCCACATGCCGTCGGGGTTCCAGAAGCGTGAGTTTAGTACGGCAGGAAGAACCCCACACAAAGGCGTGTGATGGCCCATATTTGAGGCCAGCTCTACATGGATATTATTGATGACCAAGGCTGAAGAAGTTCATCTCCGCCGGATATTATGGGCTTGGGTGTTCACCGGAGCATGGGCGAGGCGCGAGACCCCGCACGGGAAGGGCGGGGTAACGTTAGACTTCCTGCTCAGGCTCACAGATCCTCCCTTGTTACCACTGGTGGCGTCCCCTCGCAGGCTCGCACCACTTCATCCTGTTTCAAAGCGCCTATGACCTGATACCTGCAAGCCACTGATGTCGCACACAGACACCGTGACACAAACTGTTACCAGTCTTTAACAAACTCTCTCTTATATCATCAGTCTTGTAATTCCTACCGATACCTGCTGGCCGCCGACCTATTCCTGCATGTGAACTCATGATACCATCTCGTCGACTCTGCCTCGGCGGCACAAGTGCTCGCGAGTTGGGTGGCCATGATGTCTCGATGTTCCCTTCGGCCAGCTCTGGCCAACATCGGCTGTCGCATCTTGCGACCTGCTAATCAACACGTCTGCTTCAAGATGGCGCTCTCTGTTCTCTGTGAGTGACCCTTGACGATTCATATACCACAATCGAAGAAATCGAAGCCTAACTCGGGCCAACTATAGACTCCGGTCCTATCCCTACTAGCACTGTCGCCATGCGCAAGCGAGCATTGCATGACACGCCCTTGCGAGGCCAACCAACTTTGACGAGCCTGGCGCTAATTGCCCCCAAAGTTCAGGCCCTGCAGCTCGTTCGGCGTGCCTCAGTTCTGTCCGCACTTCCAACCCAGCCGCCTCAGGGGAACCAGGCGCCCTACTCGACAGAGTCATCAGCCGCAACAACTCCTACCACTCCCTTTGCAGAGCTTTGCGTTGGGGTGCCCCGGGAGACGTACCCTAATGAACGCCGAGTTGCCCTCACGCCACAAAATGTAGCGCTTCTCCTCAAAAAGGGGTTCGCAAAGGTGCTAGTCGAGAAGGGGGCCGGTGCGCAGGCGGACTTTCTCGATGAGGCCTACGCGGCTGCTGGGGCCACCTTGGTCGACAATGCCTCTGCTGTGTGGGAACAGGCAGACATTGTACTCAAGGTGCGAGGTCCCAGCGCTGCCGAGGCCGACATTGCCAGAGAGGGGCAGGCAATCATTAGCTTCCTCCAACCGGCCCAGAACAGGGCGCTGGTGGAAAGGCTCGCCTCTCGAAAGGCGACAGTGTTTGCTATGGACATGATTCCTCGGATTTCCAGAGCTCAAGTCTTCGACGCCCTAAGCAGCATGGCCAACATTGCCGGCTACAAGGCGGTACTTGAGGCATCGAATAACTTTGGCCGCTTTTTAACCGGCCAAGTCACGGCCGCGGGCAAGATCCCACCGGGAAAGGTACTGGTCATCGGCGCTGGAGTTGCTGGCCTCAGCGCAATCGCCACCGCGAGGAGACTGGGCGCAATTGTCCGCGGCTTTGACACACGGTCTGCGGCCCGCGAGCAAGTGCAGTCGCTCGGTGCCGAGTTCGTCGAGGTCGACCTACAGGAGGAAGGGGCCGGCGCGGGTGGCTACGCCAAGGAGATGTCCAAGGAGTTCATCGAGGCCGAAATGAAGCTGTTCACAGAGCAGGCACGGGAAGTAGACATCATCATTACCACCGCCCTGATCCCCGGCAAAACAGCCCCCAAGCTCATCACCAAGGCCATGATCGAGATCATGAAGCCCGGATCCGTCATTGTGGACCTCGCAGCCGAGGCTGGTGGAAACTGCGAAAAGACGGAACCGGGCAAGATGATCACATACAGAGACGTCAAGATTATCGGTAAGTATATATCCTCCTACTGATAGGGTCTTTAGCTAACATTCACAGGCTACACCGATCTCCCGTCGAGATTGCCAACGCAATCTTCCACTCTGTACTCAAACAATATCACCAAGTTTCTCCTGTCCATGACCCCTAAGGAGAAGGAGTTCGGCATCGACCTCACCGATGAGGTTGTCCGAGGTGCAATCGTCGCGAAGAACGGAGAAATCCTTCCGCCCGCTCCTCGGCCCGCTCCGCCGCCTCTACCTGCTGCGCCAGCCGCCGGAAAGGAGGCCGAGGTAGTTGCCTTGACGCCGTTTCAGAAAGCCTCGCGAGAGGTCGCGCTGGTGACGGGAGGTATGGGTACTGCTCTCGCCTTGGGCAAGCTCACTGGGCCCCTCTTCATGGGGAACGCCTTCACTTTCGCTCTGGCATCTCTGATCGGATATCGGGTCGTGTGGGGTGTTGTCCCCGCGCTGCATTCACCGCTGATGAGCGTCACCAACGCTATTTCTGGAATGGTTGGCGTCGGCGGGCTGTTCATCCTCGGTGGCGGCTACTTCCCGGAGACCATCCCCCAACTGTTCGGCGCAGCCTCGGTTCTTCTTGCGTTTGTGAATGTTGCTGGCGGTTTCGTCATCACGAAGCGCATGCTCGACATGTTCCGGCGCCCAACTGACCCCCCCGAATACCACTGGCTGTATGCGATCCCCGGGGTTCTCTTTGGAGGAGGGTTCATCGCAGCGGCATCCACCGGCGCTGCTGGCCTCGTCCAGGCTGGTTACATGGTGAGCTCGGTGCTTTGCATTACCTCAATCTCCGGACTGGCCTCACAGGCAACGGCTCGCATGGGTAACATGCTGGGAATGCTCGGTGTGGGCTCCGGCGTTCTTGCCTCGCTTTTGGCGGTCGGCTTCTCCCCCGAAGTTCTAGCCCAGTTCGGGGGACTGGCGGCCATTGGTAGCATCCTGGGCTTCCTGATCGGAAAGCGAATAACTCCTACTGACCTGCCCCAAACCGTGGCTGCGCTTCACTCCGTCGTCGGTCTTGCTGCGGTCTTGACCAGCATCGGCAGCGTCATGGCCGACGTGGCTCATGTGTCAACGCTTCATCTCGTCACGGCCTACCTTGGGGTCCTTATTGGCGGCATCACCTTCACCGGCTCCATTGTTGCCTTCCTGAAACTCGCTGGCAAGATGTCTTCCAGGCCCATGATCCTGCCCGGCAGGCACGCTCTCAACGGTGGGCTGCTCGCGACAAACCTTGCCACCATGGGTGCTTTCGTGACGATGGCACCTGGCTCCCCCCTCATTGCGGCTGGCGCGCTTGCCGCCAACACCGCCATGTCGTTCCTGAAAGGTTTCACCACTACAGCGGCCATTGGGGGGGCCGACATGCCCGTCGTGATCACCGTCCTGAACGCGTATAGTGGTTTTGCCCTCGTCGCCGAGGGTTTCATGCTCGACAACCCGCTGCTCACCACGGTCGGGGCCCTCATCGGGGTATCAGGCTCAATCCTTTCTTACATCATGTGTGTAGCCATGAACCGCTCGCTCATGAACGTACTCTTCGGAGGCATCTCAGCCCCGGGCACCACAGACTTTAAGATTGAGGGCAGCGTGACGCAGACCAACGTCGAAGAGACAGCCGACGCTCTCACCAACGCCGAATCGGTCATCATCGTTGTGGGATATGGCATGGCTGTCGCGAAAGCGCAGTACGCCATCTCAGATATTACACGTATGTTACGGTCGAAGGGCGTCAAGGTGCGCTTCGCCATTCATCCTGTCGCCGGCCGCATGCCTGGCCAATGCAACGTCCTGCTTGCTGAAGCCAGCGTGCCCTACGACATCGTGTTGGAGATGGATGAAATCAATGATGATTTTGGCGAGACAGACGTCACGCTCGTCATTGGCGCGAATGATACGGTAAACCCGATTGCGCTGGAACCGGGTAGCCCGATCGCGGGCATGCCGGTGCTGCATGCGTGGAAGAGCAAGCAGGTTGTGGTGATGAAGCGAAGCTTGGCCAGCGGTTACGGTAGGATCAATCCCGTGGCTTGCGATGCATTGTATTGGTGTGGTTGCTGACTGCTGCATAGCGGATGTCCCTAATCCGATGTTCTACATGCCTGGAACCAGGATGTTGTTTGGAGATGCCAGGGTTACGACGGAAGGTAAGCCACCTCTGAAGTGCCCTCTTGTGTGATCTGGGGGAAACTGACCGGTTACCGTTACAGCTATCAAAGCAGCCATCGAGGCTCGGCTCAAGTAGTAGACCCTGGAGGATACGTCTGCACATATACCGCCCGTACATATGCACCGCCTCCTTGGTTGATTGATCTCGTTGCTAGAGAAAGATCATCTCGCATGCATCATCAGCTTGCATTTCAGGCGCGGAGGAGACTAGAGGACTGACTTATTGTCTTCTTGGATTTCTTTTCTTGGGACCCTCCGTCGTCCGCTTTGGCAGATACCTTTTTGGTCTTAAGTCGTTGCTCGCCTATCTAAGTAGCCTAGTTGTTTGCGTACTTGAGTCATACCGACGGGATACTTGTTGCGCCTCCCAAATTAGCTTTTGGAGGCTGGAAGTGGCATCAGCCAAACCCGGGAGGCTCAACAAGCAGTCGGCTGAATGAAGATCCTGGATATTCCCTTACGTTTCTATTGTCCGTAGAACTCGTATCGAAAGTCCCGGTGCCGTGCAAAACTGGAATGTTTGACAGACCACCCCGCAGATCCCATGAAGCATGACGCACGACAACGATAGTGGAAATCGGCGATTTATTCACCTAGCCAATATATACACTCTAACATCCTATCACCGGGTGCTACCTCGCCGCTTACCTTGGCGCGGCGAAGGGCTCCCAAGACTGGATCTTAGGCTTCGTCCTATGTTGTTGTCAGCGGTAACCAGACCCACATCCAAGTATCACAGGGACGACCCACGTGTTATATGTTTTAAATGCTCCCCGAGTGAAGGTCTGGTTCGGCGTGTGTCCTTTCGGGTTCCACGGCCGGGCGGCCGTCGCCTTGATAGGGTCTTGGTTGGGGGGAGTGTCAACCATGTAGGAAATCCAAGCGTGCCAAAGCGGCTCGATGTGGCCTCTTTACATAGGTACTGTTGTCAGCGACAGTGCTGTGAGGTGGATAAGGTGGGCGCTGCCGAGGATACTAGTAACAGAAGGGCACGTACGCATCATAGTCGTGCTTGGCGTAGTCGACCCATCTCGTACGAACTGCGCGTCGTCAATCATTAGCGGACGGATAGTTGGCATGCGATGAGCAAGCTGTTCGGCGACGTACGCGGCAACTCGTCCTTGTTCTCGTAGAACTTATTGCCAAAGGCGTCGGTGCCAACCAACACTCCGGCCTTGGTGTCGCCTGTGTTCCATCGTCAGTTCCCTGTTGTCTGACTTGACCTAAACTCAACTTCCGGGCGTACCAATGTACTGTCGTCGGGAAACAGCGTGGTTAGCTGCGGCGACGTGGTCGGATTGGGCGAGGAGGGCTCACGTTCAGTTGGTGCCAGTATTCCTGCGGTCCGCATCGTCAGCGTCTGTAAAGTCCTGGTGGATTTGAATGATGACAAACCTTCAGGCCAATCTTGCGGATATTGCCTAGGGTCCTTGTGATGGTCGACATCTTGGGTTCAGCGGAGCAGATCAATCGACTGTGGCGCGATGCTGAGACTCAATTCGAGCATTGGTGGTGTTGCCGCGTGATGGAGCAACTTGACGATGCAGCGGATCAAAACCGGGTATTCCCGATCCAATGAGGAAGCTCGCTTAGAGTCGGACGCCAAGAAAGGGCATTCAACTAAAACCCCTGTCTAAAAAAATCGCTGACGTTCTCGGCAGGTTCAATGGCACCAAGATCTCAGATTCCGACGACAGATTTGCAGCTTCTCGGCAACTGCACCCTCAGCCCCGGTTTCCGACCTCTGCTGCTATGCTAGCTAGGAGCATTGCGCGATGCTCAAATAAACTCAAGATCTCGGCCTCGCGGCCGTGCGTACGGCTTGCACAACCGCATTGCCGGCGCTTTTCAATGCCTACGGCCGGAGCAACACCGGGGTCCTCGCCGATGTCGAGTGCCGGAATGCTTGCGCCGTTCGTGGGGGAGCTGGACTGGATAGCACCCTCATTCAAGATCAACGGATCGCAAGTCCGGGTTCTGCAGTCCCCCGCCGAGTTCTACGAGACCCTCAAGCAGAAGATTCGGAATGCGGAACGGCGCATCTTCTTGTCGACGCTGTACATTGGCAAGGCGGAGAAGGAGCTTGTTCGTCTTGACTGCGGATTGTGGCAGCTACCGCGTACTGACGTGTCTAGATCATTACGTTGCAAGAAGCCCTGCGCTCGAAGCCTAACCTAAGGCTCAGCATCCTCACCGATGCTCTGCGAGGGACCCGCGAAGCTCCTGACCCGTCATGCGCGTCCCTGCTCGCCCCTCTCGTCGCCGAGTTTGGCCCGGAACGAGTCGAGATTCGCATGTACCACACACCCAACTTGACGGGCCTGAGGAGAAAGTACATACCGAAGCGCATCAACGAGGGATGGGGACTACAGCACATGAAGCTATACGGTGTCGACGACGAGATTATCCTTACGGGAGCCAACCTGTCAAATGACTACTTCACGAACAGGCAGGATCGATACCACCTATTCTCCTCCAAGGATGTCACCGAGTTCTTTGCGAATATTCAGGATGCTGTCTCGTCGCTGAGCTTTCTGGTCCGGTCCTCGAACTCCACAGTTGGTTTCGAAATGATCTGGCCCGAGGACAATGCGGCCCCGTCACCTCTAGAGGATCCCACACAGTTCATCAAGGAGTCTACGAACCTGCTGGCTGGCTTGATATCTCCTAAGACTGCGCCGCTGACCGCATACGATTCCACTCCGCCCGAGAAGAGAGATACCTCAGTGTACGTGCTCGCGCAGTTCTCGCAGCTGTTGGCGCCCGACACTTCAACTGAACTCCCCGCGGTCACGCATGTCCTCAAGACTCTCTCGCTGCCCCAGTACGAAAACTCGTCCTGGACCTTTACAGCAGGCTACTTCAACCCAGCCCCTTCACTCACTAAGCTTTTGCTGTCTACTCGGTCGCACAGCAACACGGTAATTACGGCCTCGCCCTTCGCCAACGGTTTCTACAAGTCGCCAGGCGTTTCTGGTCTTCTCCCTGACGCCTACACTCTCCTTGCTCGCCGCTTCGTTCACGCTGTGCACCAACACCAGCGCGAGGCATCCACGGTCCTGCGAGAGTGGCGCAAGGGCACTGTCGGCGAGCCAGGGGGCTGGACCTACCATGCCAAGGGGCTGTGGGTGACGCTACCCGGGAGCAAGGACCCGTCCATCAGTCTGATCGGCAGCTCCAACTACACGAAACGGAGCTATTCTCTTGATCTGGAAGCGAACGCTCTGATTGTGACCGACAATGAAGAGTTGAAGAGACGCCTAGGCGAGGAACAGCGCTGGCTGCAGGAGCATACGACCATTGTCACCCGGGATGATTTTGCCAAGACGGACCGGCGGGTTGGGCTGCAGGTCCGTATCGCCATGATGATTGTGCAGCTCCTGGGAGGGGCGCTGTAAAGCGGGATGGATAACCATCTTCACTGACAACCCTTTACCGCCTAATATACGTATCCCTACTACCGAGCCAGCGAGGAAATTGTGTGAACAGTGTAACAGCACCTACAACTTGGCATTATACCCGGAACAAAAGGAGTTCAGTACCTAGCCGTAGCCCGGCGGAATATTCTCTTTGTTGTATTCGCAGTAGGGGCTCTCCTCATTTTGTGATCAACAATCTTCGACGTAGTTTCTACAGCAGCTTGCAGCAAATGGCTGTCAACAGGCGCGATTCTTTCGCCAGAGCGCGAGAGAGTTCCCCTAAAAAAGGCGAATTGTCGATGACCCAACCAGACGAGTCAATTTATACGACAGACAGTCATGTCAACGCCGAGGCATGTAATAATGAATGTGCGTTCCCGGTTATCCGCCCTTGTCGCCGTAAAAGGTCGGCGGGCATCCTTACTACCTAAAAGCGTGACGCGCCGGAGGAAAACAAAGAGCCTTGCAGCTCGGATATCATTCTCGCTCTTCCCATCGTACAGCCTAACGCGTGGTGTATTACAAGTCCATTAGGAATTTAAAAGAAATTAGGTATCACTGTGAACTCAGAACTTCAAATATGCTGCCCATGCTGGGGATCGTTCTGATGCTTCGCCCGGACGAGAAGCTCGGGGTCCGTGTCGGCGACGGTTCCAGCAGATCGAGACCCGGGGTGTTGGGTTCTTCGAGCTCGAAGTCGGACGAGAAGGGGGAATGTGACATGCCGAAGAACTGCGGTGTGGTGGGTGATGGCGTGGCCGTCGTGGTGGCGGAGGCCGGCGTCTCTCCATTAAAGAAGGCCAGGAGTAACAGGTGCAGCTCGGCAGTGGCGGTCGGCGAAAGGAACGTGGGGCGGCTGATCCTCTTGTACGAACGGGGCCGAAAGCCGGAGGATGATGCCTCGGAGGAAGACGGCTGGGGACGCTCGACATGTGTGGGCGAAGGGAGTGTTAACAAGGACTGGTCGTTGTGTCCGGTATAGTCGGATCGGCCGGGTCGGTCGGTCGGCTGCGTTACTGGTAGCGAAAGGCTTGTCGGCTGCCGCGGGGCTGGTGGTTGAAAGGAGGCTCTCTTGGCCCGAGGTCCTGATTCAGGTGCAGCCGAGATCCTCCTGCTGTGACGTCGCTCCAGTTCGACCTGCAGGGCCCGTACCGGCGACGGTGACCGAGTGTTTTTCCTTATGTCCTTGCTTGTATGGTGCTCAAAGAGTGCAATTGCGTCCGACACAGGGACATTGCTCGAGGTGGTGTGGTTCAGGTCGTCCAGGAGCACGGCGATCTGGTTCTCCTCGAGATCTGCCAGCAGATCGATAACGCGGTCGATTGACGACCGCGACCGGTGATGTCCTTTGCCGGGCATGGCGATGGGTGGGCGAGCAGAAAACGAGTGAATTTGTCTGGTATAAGGAGTGGACGGTGGGATCAAGCCCAAAGGAATGGCTCAACTGCTCTCGAAGAGCACGTTGCTGGAAGGCGAAGCGAGAAAGAGCTCAGAATATCAAACAGATGGAAATTAAGATGGCCAGAGCTCGCTTGAGCTGGCACTTCAAACGAGCAGCCTGTAACTAGCGGACTGTGGGGGCCTCCACTCCACTCCTGACGGGCCACCTGATTCCTCACCCGAAAATGCGCTAGTAAATTCGGTAAGACATCCCTGTTCCCTGGCTCGTCATTCAAACCCAAACGGGTGGGTCAGCCGTCCGGGCAACTTCATGGAAGCCAACCACCATTTCGGAGCATAGAGATGCCTCCATATCGCTTTTCTACCGTTATGGATATCAATCGAAGTCCGGTGGCCCGCTTCATTCCGCGCATCAGGCGTAACCGGTCAAACTCGGGGCAAAACGTGTGATGCATACACTATATACAGTATACTCCAGAATACATCGAGATCTAATGAGTTTCATTCATAACGTACATGATAAGCGAGTGACCCAGACAAGCGAATGACCCACTCTCCACTACCCTACATACATTATCCTCAATTACAAAACAACAGAACTATCAACCAACTACAATTACATCAGAAACGGCTGAATCAGATGCTTCTGCAACCTCCTGGCAAGTGCGGGCATTATGACCAGGCTTGCCGCATACACCACAGCACCGAACCTTCGTACGAGCCCCCCCTGTACCACCACCATCTCGCTGCATTTCTTGTGCCACCTCCCCAACCATAGCCTTTTGGTCTAGTAGATCCTTTGCATCTTCCACTGCAAGTGATCCTCCAAGCTGTACACGCGTTCTTTTGGCTCTTCGGCGCTTGCTTAGTGCCTCGTTGGCCTTGCGGAGCGAAGCATTCTCTGCCTATAGGAGAGCCACCTGGTGCATTACAGCTATTGTACTCTTTGTCAGCTGGTCCACAGCAGCCAACATCGAAGTCGGGGAGCTATTTTGGTGGGTGGCAATGCGAGTCTTGATGAGCGTTGACTATGAGTTGGCTTCTTGGGTGTTGTATGGTGTCTGGAAGACTCAAGATTGTATAGTGCCTGGCCGTGAGGTTAGGGGTGTTGGTGTACGAAGCTTGATATCTAGCTTCGAAAGCACCCTCTCTGGATCGTACGGCATAAGGCCAGCCCCTGTAAAACCGCCCTGTATATTCCTCTTGGTGATAGAGGTAAAGAAGGCCGTGCGAAAGGTACAAAGGAACTCGAGCTTGCTTATGTGGTTGTGTCACGAACCAACCATATAGCAAGACCCGGTGGGGCACGACGGAAACAGGCAGAACCAATCAGCAGGGGTAAAAGCCGCAGGCGGCCGCATAAGGACGACCTGGGTAGCTCAGGGTCGCCGGCGAGCGAGAGCGATCATGATAGACTTGGGTAGCCGCCTACCCAAGGCGATCGAGGGTAGACCGCGGTAGCCGTCGAACGACGGCGAGCCAACAGGATCGGCTAGGTATATAGTCATTCGTTATGGAGGACTCTGGGAGTTCTCCAGTGAGCAATATTACAAGCAATAGCCCATACCTATTGTGCAGACATTGCGGCAAGCATTGTTGTGAACCTTTTGGCTTCACCGAGACCTACAGTCCGACCAGCAGTTACCTTCGACCGGCGAACCCTTTCAGAGGCAGGACTGCCTGTGGTTTCGTCACAGGTTGATATGCGCGCATATTAAGTCCTCGATCTGGCGACCGTACGCCTGCTTCAACGGCCTAAAGCAGCCAACATCGAGCAGCTGGAGGAGGTAGGAGGAATGTGGAGGTATACAGAGCGTGATAATGTTGTTCTACTGGCAATAGAGCTCGAACTCGGTCGAGTGGTAGCTTTCGTGGCCATCGAGGATTAACAACCGGTATTTACCCTTTATATAGGGTGCTGTATGGTAGTTGAAGTGCTTAATCCAATCTAGGCCTACTATGTTAGTAGTCCAGCCGTTCTCGGTGGTTGCGATGCGCCAGTCGGCCGGGAGGTTGCACTCGGTATACTAGTTGGCAAGGTGGTATTGCGCGGCTAAGATAATAAACAGAGGGATAGCCCAGCCGAGAGCATTGACTCCCTGGATTACTATTGCCCACTCGCGATTGCCAGGCTGGGCCAGCTTAGCCTTGCTGCGGCCATCTGAGGTCGTAACAACCATGCCCGCAAAGATAATGCACATCATAAACCCGGTCTCGTCAAAGTTATAGATATCGTCATCTACGATACCGTACTTGGCCTTAGTATTCTATATAAGCCTAAACCACTTGCGAATAATGTCTAGATCTTCGCATCTAGCCCTCTGGTAGTCGTATCTACGTATATATCGCGTATAGAACTCTGGCCGGCGTTTGACAAAGTTATAAGCCCAGCGTTTGCTAACAGGGGGCGTATCGCGTTCGTGCAGTAGTTGGTTGGCTATATCTTCTATACCATATAACCTAGGCGGGAATGCACGTGCAGATAGCTCATTGACATATTGAACTATCGCCTTCTCTTCTAGATCTGTAAGGTTGCGCGAGTTGGCTGGAAGATTATGTCGTGCAGGCTTGCCGGCGCGTCGGCGCCCCAGGGTCCTACGGTCGACCCCATAGATCTTAGCTGCGGCTCGTTCGCTTAGATTCTTGTCGTTTTGAAGAGCTTGGAGAGCCAATATTATCTGGCCTTCTTTTGAAGTAGAGGGCATTTTGGATGGTAGAGGAAATTTTGTTGTTGAGTGCAAAGATGTCGCGTCGTGTAGGAAGTGGGTCACTCGCTTGTCTGGGTCACTCGCTTATCATGTACGGTAGTAGTTAACGTTATATGGCTGTTTTTTTCCCATTTTCTTTTTTTACCTCTCTTCCTCTTCTTTTCTTCCACTGCTTTCCACTCGATACAAGCAGAGCAGAGCAATGCCGTTCGCATCCGTTTGATCCTCGCAATGATATAATTCGAGGTCATCAACCACCTTGACCGTCTGTTGGGAATGGAAGCAAATACAACGTTCTTTTATCGTCGTACCGGACACTCCCGCCATGCAAGAGCGACAGACTCCCGCTTCCACCCAGCCCTCCTCCGGAGCCTCTAATAGGACGTTATCGTCCTGGTTTGGAAGAGTTTGCTTTCAAAACTATGACGAGTCCGTCGGGCTAGGAACCCAGTACGACATCACAGGAGGAATCACCCCTCTGAATATCTGGCGTCTCATACCATGATTTTCACTCTCTTCCGCTGCTCTACTCAAACACACCCAATGGAAACCCATTGGCCATAGCCTGATATCCCGCCACATTAAGATGAAGATGGTCACCGCCGTCATACTGGCTGGCCAGCTGACTCTTGGCCGCCGAGTCGGCCACCATGCCCGCGAAATCGACCGTCTTGTCGAACGCGCCGCTCTTGAGGATCCAGTCGTTCACTTTCACGCGCGTCTGCTCCCGCGTCGGATTCGAATACGCCTGCCCGTTCCCGCCGAACGGCGTGATGGTGGCCCCGATCGTCTTCAACCCGGCCGCCTTGCAGTCGCGCACAATCTGCTGAAATGCCTGCTGCAGCCGGCTCGCGATCCCGTTCTGCGACCCGGAATCCGTCCCACCCGACCCGATGTCGTTGACTCCTTCAAACACCATTACATACCTCACCCCGGCCACCTGCAGCGCGTCGCGCTTGTACCGCGACAGCAATGTCGGCCCCAGCCCGCCCGACAGCACTGTGTTGCCCCCCGCTGCCTGGTTGCACACCGAGATCTGGCTGAGCTTGGTGGTGGTAGTGCCGCCTCCCCCGCTCGCGCCGTCCTTTTGCATCCGCGCCAGCAGCAGGTCCGGCCACCGGTTGTTGGCGTCGTCGGTGCTGCCCCGTCCGTCCGTGATGCTGTCGCCCAGGATGACGAGCGCCGAGGTTGTGGGCGGTGACCAGGCTTCTACGGCGCTGAGGAAGTACCAGTGCTTGGTGTTGCCGCCGCCCGACAGCGTGGCTGCGCTGACACGGTTGCCGGATTGCATGTGCGAGGTGGTGCGGCTGCCCGGGTGCCCTGTGATGCTGTTGCCGGACTGGCCTGCTTGTGAGTAGAGCGTAATGGCGATGTTGCTTTGCGGGTCGACCCTAAAGTCGATCGGGTCGGTGTAGGCGACCTGACCTCGTGGGATCGTGATGGACGCGGAACCGTTGCGGAAGGTCAGGGGCTTAAGCGTGGAGGAGTCGACGCCCGGAACACCGGCCTTGCCACCTGTGGGCAGGGCGACGGATGCCGCGCTGATGGGAAGGTCGCTGCCGCCGAACGTGTTGCTGATCTGGATGCGCAGCCGCTCTCCGCCGATGGACAGATGCAGTGTCTGACGCAGGGTGGCGTCCCGGAAGACCCCGCCGCCTCCTGTCTGTGGCATAGTGTATCAGAGTCCGAGACCATGGTGTATGAGAGTGTCTGCGTACGAATGGTGACGGCGGCATATTGCTCTGCTCCACCAGTTGCGGCATGGATGTCCAGGTGGCCACCCAGTGCCAGCCATCGTCCGCTCGCTCCACTTCAGCGTTCCCCGATATTGGCACACCGTTGGCGCCATTAGGAGACCAGAGCAGCAACGAGGCAGCAATAGCTGCCCAGTGAAAGGTAGACAGCATCTTGTGTGAAGCACCTCGGGAATTAGACCTCGGTCCTGGCTACCAATGCAATGAATGCTGCAGCGCTTCTCAAGCAGCGGCGGCATGACTGGGCGAGATTTTATCTGTGTTGATGCATGACCAAGCTGCGGATGTTCGTTGCCCGAATGTTAATCTGCTTGGCATTTGGGTGTCTGGGGGAAAAGGGGTGCTGATTTAGCCATAGTCGTATACCGCGCGAGCGGAAACGGATTGGGGCTACAGTAGGTGGTAGTCAAGCGGAATCATTTACCCAGTGGGAACCTGCAGTCAGGCATCTGCAATAATGTCCCGCCTATCGGGGTAAATCTAGGGAGGCGGGAGGAACAGGATCTTGGGACGCTTTCAGCTAGTACAGTAAGGCAGCGGAGGGCCTTTCGCTTTGGAGGTCCTCAGGCAAAATCCGCTGGTTGAACACAACTGCGATGATTGATTGATTAACGGGTTCGTCGTTCGAGCCCAACAGCAAGTCTCCTAAAATACATACATACGATGGGCTAAAGAAGTAGTAAGATGTGTCGTGACCGGGACATGATGCGCTGGCCAGTGATCATGGCATGATGGCACGAGGCTTTGTTAAGATAGCATCACTGTTCCGGGGTCATCACCGACTTACCGTACTCGCTACTGCTTGGATGTAACAGTCCTCCTTTACGCGACCAGGAAGCATTCATCTCCGTCATGTTTAAACCATGAACCCTGACCCAATGTCTAATGTAGCCCTCAGGTTGCCATGCCTTCAAGCCGGGAGGAGTCGCCAAACCAGCAAGAACAGCAACAGCAGCGTGCTGATGCCATGTTTACATTGAAAAACAACCATGCAGAGGCCGTAGAATCCGGCCACGCCTACCTCTTCGGTTTCCGATGTTCCCCTCAGACCGAAATCTGCGAGTCGTACATCTTCCTGCGAACCATGGCAGGAGGATCATAGCACGGTGCAGCTTGTGGCCAACATAGTCAGCCACGAGGTCGCCGTCCGAAAGGTGCACACAAGACGGAAGTGTCCTTGCAAAATGCGCATGACCTGATAGAAGGACAGGATGGCGGTGGTTGTGGAGCGGGACACGGAGCAATTCAAGGCGTTTGTCGGCTGAGTACGGCAAAGCTCGTGCTGAGGAGAGTATGGCGAGTTGAATATTGAAGGTCCCATGGGGCTTGGTCGAGTCGGTCGAACGTGGAGGCTAATTCAACTACTACTAGTAGTACCTGGTACGGTACCTTGTCTAGGCACCTAGTACTGGAGGAGGTATTGGTAGAGGGGTACTGGAGCTAGCTAATGAAGAGAGGCCCAGTCCTAGGTAACTGCATTCCACGTAGACGCAGTCAATCAAATAACCTAAAAACAGGCTTTTGAATAAAGAAATGTCACAGGTGCCAAGAGCTCTCTAGTCTCGTGTCGCTCAACTTAGGTAGGTACCATGCTCCACGTGAACCACAGCACAACGTACACTACCTTCGACTTTCCATTATACCATCCCATCATGTATATCCTTTCAGAATCCGAGCTGAACAACACGGTGGCAGAACTCGTGCATCAATAACTGCTGAGTTGGCATCCGGCCCATGTCTGGGGCCACCTAGACTTATGGAAGGCAGTATTATAAAACAGCCCTTGGGATGTTTCCTTCCTGGGACCGTTGGGACTACTTCTCGAAAACCCTCAAGGCTACCAGTCCCGTCGGCTCCGGTGAAAAGCAAGCAGCTGCCAGTCATAGCTCTCATCGAACTTATAGCTACTACTCTTATACTACTAGTAGTAGTTATACCTACAGAATGTCGTCATGGCGCGTCAAATACTGCAAGCACACATTCACGGAGTGCAAGGCCTGCATTTCCAGTCTCGGCCACTCGTACTTTGACTACTGCGATCCATGCAGGGCAAGCCACCCATCTCTACATATACATACCTCCATGGCTCAGTTGGAAGTTGGATGTCTAACCTCTTTCCCCTTCTTGTTAGGCCAAGGGTTGCGACAGGTCGGGCGAGGGACCGTGGACGCCCCCTAGGGGGCCCACCTTCCCCCCTGCGTCGAGGGGAGAGATGTCGTGCACTTGCAACAGGGATGGTTCGTCCTGCAGAGCCGGCGGTGCATGTTTGGGGAGGGTTCGAGCCCCCCATACGCAGTGCCAGCCGTGCAGAGTGAGTCCTCCGAGTCCGTTCCCATTGTTTATGAGGTCCTCCCGTACTCCCGGCTCCGAGAAGGCTCATTATCATACATATACTTCCAGGATAGTAGATGCCACCATATCACAAGCGCAGAAACCAGCAGGCCATCCCCTCCTGTCTTGACTGCATCGACTGCAAGCCCCAGATATTCTCCAGCATATACCAGATCCAGAATTCCCGGTCAAGAACCGAGAGAGTCAGTCGTCTCCGACTACCTCCGGTCCCGCCGTCCCCCGGCATCTGGGTTAAGCGCGCTCACTTCCAGTTTCCTTTCTTCCGCCAGGCGACCCCCTTCTTCCAGCTTGCTCTCCTCTTCTCGCTATCTCCAACCTCCTTCTAGCCATCCGCCTTCTTCCGGTTACGTCGCTCCTTCTACCTACGTCCCTTCCACCAGCTATCCACCCTCTTCTACTAGTTACCTCTCCTCCTCAAGCTACCTCCCTCCGTCTCCCTCAAGCTACACCCCTTCCCGTTCAAGCTACCTTTCCGAGCCGCCCGCCAAGCGGTCCCGATATAGCAGCTACACCCCGAGCACCTACTCCGGCGTCAGCTATGCGCCTAACTCCGCCCTGAGCTACAGCAGCTGGCGGCCATCTTATACGTCGAGTACCACGCCTACGGGGCCTGGGTATTCAAGCTACGGGGACACCCAGATGCATACCTGTGCCTGCCTGTCACGCCTGACGTGCAACGACATGCGCGGCTGCACGAGACGATGCACCGTCCAGGGTGGGCACTGTGTCGTTTGTATTGTGAGTACTGCCATATCCACACCGTGATTGGAATTCAATCCCTCAACAAACGGGGGTCAGTTGGGTCATCCCGTGGCTCTGATTTGATTTCGTGCTTATTTATTATTATTTGCGTATTAAAAGCATGCTGCTGACATATCCGTGTTCGACAGGCAGCTGGATGTCCTTAGAAATGGAGGGCGAGATCATACGTCGCTGTACATGATCAGGGATGCTTTGTTTTTAAGGCATGGGAACGAAGTTTAGGAGGGACCGGGAAATGCCGTCTTGGGTCGTGACTAGACCAGATGCGATGTGATAGCATTTTGCTCGCTGCCTCCGCGTTGCGTACCTCATTGTTTAGCTTGCTTTGCTTTTTGCCTTGCATTCTTGCTTTTCTTCCCCCATCCTCTGTGGTCTGGTCCTGGAAAGCGCTGGTTTTGATGCTTATTATCATTTCACTTGTTCGGCAGGAGCCAGGGGAGCATGGTGAGTTTCTCGATCCAAGGCAGGCACATAAAGGTTCTCGCAATGGGGTCGGGTAATTTCTAATGGCACTGCAGCCGCTGGTAGGATCACCTACTGGACTCCCTATTAGTATCTACGTTTTAGTTCCCACCTTGAACTGGTGGAGTAGACAGGGAGGCTCAAACCCAGTGGTATCTTGGTCGCGCGTCCGGCTGCCTCAGGATTTGACATCGGCGTCGTGCCGTCGACATGGCTTTGATGTATCCATCATCCATGTACCTGCAAATGCATTATGCCACTCGGGACTCGAGTCGACAGGTTTATTAGGCATCACTGCGGACTGAAATGTGAGAGGTGCAAGAGTCTGTTATCATAGGTTGATAACCTACTAGGCATTGCTGTAAATAGGCCTGGTAGCCAGCGGAGCTGCCGGCATTGCCGCATTCCCGGCCTTTTGGAGGCCAGGAGTCACAGGACTTCGTAACGAGTTAACGAGATCAAGATTGGTAATTTAAATTCTAAATATCTAAGCGATCCGGCGGATCAATTGCTTGGTTGAAAGTGTTTTCAAAATGTCTGGTTACTCTTCTTACCGAACAAGGTCAGCGTGATGACCTCGAGGTCGAGGCGGTTGAGGTCGTCGAGCGGTCGTATGCTGTCGCTGTCATGGTAGCTAGTATAGGCTGGTAAGATACGGGCGGCTAGTGTATGCTTCGCGTACAATACGTGTACAATACAATAGGTACCTAGTGACACCCGTCTTGAGGTGGGAGGATACCTGGTGATTTTAGCAAGACCAGATCTTTGACCGGTCATTATAATACGTCTGAGCGAATCAAATACAATCTCCGACTCCGTACGCTTGTTTCTAACGGTAGGTAGTTACCGTACAGGTGTATGTTTGCCCAACTGCTGAAAAGAACGTCATAAATTTCATTTCCGTCCCGGGTGTAAGAAATCCGAACGGTGAGAAAATCGCGGAACCTATAGGCTATGGAGACGATGAGCCGCATTGAAAGTACTCAAAATCTCACTTTACCACAATTCGAAAGAACTACCCCCGGGGCAACGGTCGCGCATGCCGATCATGGCGGAAGGCAACGACGCTCGGAACGGAAACGTTGACTCCCTCATCAGCAGGGAGCACGGGAGAAAATACTGGGAAGCAACCGAAGCCAACGTTGATGGCATGCTCGGCGGTCTCCCCCACACCGACCACATCAGCAGGGTCGACATTCGAGGTTCACGCAACTTCCTGGCGAAGCTCGGCATCGGAGCAAAGCCCGGGCAGCGTGTTGCAGCCAGCGCTCTGGAGGGCGGGGCCGGGTGAGTGGAAATTTACAGACTGATAGGGCTTCGAAAATCCGGCGAGTCCAAAATGTGATGGCGCGCTGATCTGACGCGGACTTCCCACCCAGCATCGGTAGAGTGACCCAGGGCCTTCTCCTTGACGGCATTGCCAAGCAGGTCGACGTCATTGAGCCCATTGCCAAGTTCACTGCCGCGATGCAGGGCAAGCCTGGTGTGAGAAGCGTCTTCAATGTCGGCCTGGAAGACTGGCAGCCCACCGAAGGCGCGCAATACGACCTCGTCTGGATTCAGTGGTGTGTGGTGCACCTGACCGATGAGCAGCTGGTCGAGTTTTTGAAGAGGTGCAAGTCGGCTTTGAACCCTGACGGGGGGTTGATAGTAGTCAAGGAGAACAATTCGACAGGTGGGAAGGACGAGTTTGACGACATTGACAGCAGCGTAACGAGGTACGTTTCTCCTTGAATTTCCTTCCTTGCTGCTCACCAGTGACTAACACACGCCGTGCAGAGAGGATGGTACCTTCCGACGCATATTCACTGAGGCGGGCTTGCGCCTCGTTCAGGTTGAGCTGCAAAGAGGCTTACAGGCTCGCGGCATGCCAGCGCTGTTGCCAGTCAGGATGTATGCACTGAAGCCAGCGCAATGATACGCCCTCCCTAGCCGACCCATTCTGAATGTCGAATATCATGATGAAGCCTCCTTTTCCTTGCCCTTCCCCTTTTGTTCCGCTTCCTCTCCTTGCTTCTCCTCATCGTCAAGCTGCACTCCCTCAACAGCATTATTCGATACGCCTTCACCCGCAGCATTCTCCTCCTCTAGCCCACCGCTCTGGGCTAGGAAATAGTCGACCACCTCGAACTTGTCGCCAAAGCTCGCCAAGTCCAGCGGAACGTAGTTCTTGTCGTTGGCCAACGCCACTGATGCCCCGTTCTCAACCAGCAATTTCACGACAGCCAGGTGGCCGCCCAGCGCAGCCCAGTGCAGACCCGTGTTCCCATACTCGTTGGGCGCATCCAAGAAGGCTTGCTTTTCTTCCTTGGGCCGGGAGGTGAAGTGCGATAGGAGGTGGGTTACAATATCTGCATGAATCAAGCAGGTGTGAGCGAACTTCATCAATCCAGTTCAACACTTGAAGGTAAGAACAGAACATAAAATCGCTCACCAGCATGGCCATTCCCAGTCGCCATATGCAGGCATGTCGACTTTCCCTCGTCCCTTGCACTTATGAGAATCTCAGCGGGCGACAGCTTTTCCCGCTCTGCCAGGGAGGAGAGCAGGGACGTCAGCTCATCCTTTTCTCCTGTCCGAGCCGCATATAAGAGGTCGTCAATCTCGTCTTCGGTCAGTTGCGGTGCCATTTTATCGGTTGGCTTATTCAACCGCCAGGGTTGTGGGCAAAACACAATGCGTGGGATAACGTTATGCTATGAATGAAACAATGAGTGAGTCTGCCCTTGAACCGTCATACAGCTCCCAAATTTTTTGACCGGCCACTGATAGAACCCCGTGCCCAGACAGTGCGGACTTAGCACAACTGAACTCCACACTGTACCCCTGAGTTGAAAAGCCCGTACATGGTACACCAAACTTGATTTGACGATAAGAATTCAAGCATGTAAGAAATGATGGGAGTGAAAGAAAGGAAAAGGGATAGTCAGACAGAAGAACGGAAAGAACGAAAGAGAAAGGGAGGAGAAGATACTTTGTTGGCAGCCGCATCTGTTTGGCTGGTGGTGATGCTGCTGTACACAATATTCTGTCAACAGGGAGCCTGAGGTACGAGTAAGGGCGTCTATGAGGTGATACCTAGGCCGGCAATATATGTACATACATGATACGGTAGCTTGGGATAGCTCAAGCCATTTACTCATCAACGTATCGAATGTTGAATGGGCAGAGATTTTCCTGATCTTATCAGCCATCTTGACCCCGAGACAACTTACTGCTTCAGCGATGAATGGTTAAAGCGGGCAATGTCATACACTGACAACGTGCAATGCCGCAAGGGAATCATAAGCTTTCATCATCCACTCAACTTATCGTCTAGCCACTTCGCAATATCTCCGTAATTGTCAACGGCCTGGATCTCGGCTTTGATATTGAGCATCAGCATTCGCTGTAACTCTTGCACTTGATCGGACCCGCCAACGTCGATCGTATGGGCAACGGAGATCTCTTTCAGGAGTTCGACGGCCCTCTTCCTGTCATGCGCAGTGAGGGGAAGAATCGATTCGCTAGGCGCCTTTGCTTTGCTGAACCTGACTCTCTTTGTACGCCTCTCGTTTTGTGACTCTGAAACATTGAATTCAGTTGGGTCTTTTGACGGCTATTGTTGTTATAGATCTGCTCACCATCAAGGTAACGCGCCGCAGCATCCTTGCTAGCAGATTCAGAGATGGGCTGACTCTGGCTGTAGTCCTGGCTCTCGTGACGGTCGGTGTCCACGTCCAGCAATATGTCATCGCTGCGGATGCCAAGCCACAGAATCTGCGGCGTTGCAGCATTCTGTTCGTGGTCAAGACGCTGGCTGCCATATCTGTAGGTTCGCATAATCGCAAGTCCATGGGGGTCGTAATCAACCAGTGCAAACATGGCCAGGTCAGGCCGCATTGAATGAAGAATGCATATGAACCGCCTAGTGGCCAGGTCCGGGAAGCCTTTCGCCTAGTCATGTAGAAATTCTTTCAGCTAACCTTCGCAATGTCATGGCACTGAGATGCAGGGGCTCTGGCCCTCCTTACCGTTATGATTATGCCATGCCCTGCTTGGGAGTTTTTACAGTATGCAGACGCAGCCAGCGTGCGGAACGTAGCCTTGAGCCGTGAGTGAAAGATCCAGGTCGGCAGTCGTTGTGCCAAGTCATATCATACGTACCTCTTTCTCGATGACCAACAACCATTGTGTGGTGCGGAAATCGATCTTTTGTATCGAAGAAACGGATGGCAACAGCATGCCCTGGAGCAGTCAGACAAATCCACACCTGTCAAAGGGCGCATTCCGTACCGTGTTGCCCGGGATATCACAGCTGTGGATGGAGCCATCATGGAGAATCATATCAATCGGCCCAGAAACAAGGCCCTTGGCTGCAGCGACCTATAATCATTCAACAGAGTGTGCCGGGTGAAGCCAACAGCCAATGCTAGGCACTTACGATGTTCAGATTTTCTCGACCAACTCCAAGTGTGAAGGCAAGGTTGTCCACCATGTCATCGACCGCGCTCTGGGATCGGAACAGATCAGGATTCTGATAGTAGATGTTCCTGGATATTGTCAGCGATGAGCGAACCGTCGGCCGGTGCAGGCGCAATCCAACTTTCAAAGTGACAAGTTGCGTGTCGACCTCACCTCTTCGTAATGAGATTTCCGGAAAGCAGCGCTTCATGCGACAGTTCGATGATGCGGAAGAGAGCCTCTGCGAACAGGCAGCGATGTGAGCAAGAAAGCACCCAAGCTCTGCTAACAATCGTACCGAATTTCTTGGCTTCCTGGACTGAACGCCCCGGAAACCGCACGTAATCAACCGCCCGAGCATCTCTTCGGTTGGTGGTCTGCACTGCACCATCTTGAAGCGATCGAACGCTTGCATAAGGGATGACGAGCTCCTTGCCGCTGCTGATCGCGTCGACGATAGACTCCAGCAGATTTTCAATCAGGGAAAGCGTGCCGTTCTGGGAAGATGGAGGGACTTGAATGACCCGACTTGAGCGATCGAGATTGATCCTGGCCGACACCGATGATGGACCTTGTGCAACTACGTTGAGAGACCGGGACCTGGTCCCAATTCGGCGCAGCTCCCGGGGTTTTGAAAACATACTTCCAGATGCGGTAAGTCTACAACGGGTAAAAGCCGGGTCTTGGCGTGGTTCAGGGGGCTCAGGAAGTGTTCCCGTAATCCCATGGCGAATTCGGTCAAAGTTTGAGATGTTCCAATGACCAAGGCAGCTCCATAGTTACCTCCATACCGGATTTGCAATCACTAAGGTAGTACATCAACAACTTCATTCTCGTTCGAATCTTGGGTCAGCCGCTCCTTCCTTTTGGAAGAAAACGGGTTTCCTCCGGTGCGGTGGGCTGCCAAGGCCATAATAAAGGGCTGCTACTGGCTGAGCCGCTGCTGCATGTGAGTATGTGGGCTGATTGACACCAATTGGCTCATTTGATTGGCAGTCGAGCATTTGGAGCAGCAGAACAACACACAGCGACCCGTTAGCCAGTGATGCCCATAAAAAGGACCCTGCGTCCAAGAAACTCAGTGGAACCCGCGTCTCCCGGTGCTTTGAGGTAGGCCCAGGTACAGCTGCCGCCAACACCCGATCACCAACGGAAGGCGCCGTAAGGACAGATACGACTCAGTATGGCGCGAAGAAAAGCGAATGCGGCAGCGGCCGACACGGAGCAAGTCCAAGAAAAAGGCACGACCCGGAAACGGTTCAGTAACGCCGGAGATCCAGACCATGCCGCCAAGAGAGTGCGGTCCGGTATTGAGGAGAGGACGGACTATTCCAGATGGCGTCTGCGAGACGACCATGGCAGGCATACCTGGCGCTATCTGGAAGATGACGAGGAGCTGAAGAGCTGGCCGCAAACACTCGCCGACAAGTACTTCCTGGGTCTTCCGCTGGTAAGCACTTTGTACAAGTATATGTCTTTTCTCAAGCTAGGATGTTTAACCCGATCCAACAGGATCTGCCCCCGCTCCCGAAGCCTAAAACCCCCCTGGACGCGGTCCGCAACGGCCTCAACTTCTTCGAAAAGCTTCAGCTCCCAAGCGGTCATTGGGGATGCGAATACGGTGGCCCCATGTTTCTCCTTCCGTGCGTCGTCCTCGCGTGGTATGTGACGAAGACGCCAATCCCGTGGTACTATGCTACCGAAATCAAGAACTATCTATTCGCCCGGGCGCATCCGGAGGATGGGGGCTGGGGCTTGCATATCGAGGGCGAGACCTCCGTGTTTGGCACGTCGCTCAACTACACCGTGCTACGCCTGGTTGGGGTGGACGCCGAGCACCCCAAGATGGTGAAGGCCCGCGCCACCCTGCACAAGCTTGGAGGCGCAACCCATGCTCCGCACTGGGCAAAGTGGTGGCTTGCGGTCCTAGGGGTGGCGAACTGGGATATCGTCAATCCTGTACCTCCAGAGCTATGGCTTCTTCCAGATTGGGTCCCCTTCGCGCCCTGGAGATGGTGGATTCATATTCGACAAGTTTATCTGCCAATGAGTTATTTGTGGTCCAGACGATGGCAGGCAGAAGAGACCGAAACGATCCGCTCCCTCCGTAAAGAACTGTTCGTCGAGGATTGGGACAAGATTGACTGGGCCGGCCACCGCAACACCATTCATCCCAGGGATAATTACCACCCAAAGACGTGGTTTCTGAACACAATCAACTGGCTCCTCGCCAACGTCTGGAAGCCGTTCTTCAGAGTGAATCCGCTTGTCGAGAAGGCGGAAGCTTGGGTCATGAAACAGATCGAGATGGAGAACGAGAACACTGACTGCTTAGACCTGGCCACTGTGTCTGCCCCAATGAACCTTGTCGCTCTCTACGCCCGGGAAGGCCCGGACACGTATGCGGTGCGTCGGCACAAGGAGAGATCACACGAAATGCTCTGGGTCAAGGACGAAGGTCTCCTTGCCAACGGTACCAACGGAGTGCAGTGCTGGGACACCGCATTCGCTATCCAAGCCGTGATGGACGCAGGGCTTACTGAAGACCCGCGTTGGCGGCCCATGCTACTGAAGGCTCTTGAATTCCTTGACGACCAGCAGATCCGTGACAATGTCAAGGATCAGGACAAGTGCTACCGTCAGCAGCGCAAGGGAGGATGGGCCTTCAGCAACAAGGACCAAGGCTACGCCGTAAGCGACTGCGTGTCTGAGGCGCTCAAATCTGTCATTATCTTGCAGAAGACGCCCGGATTCCCTACGCTCATCGATGACCAGCGCATCTTCGACGCCATCGACACCCTCCTGACCTACCAAAATTCCAACGGCAGCTGCTCATCCTACGAGCCACCACGGGCCGGGCCGTGGATGGAGATGCTGAATGCGGCCGAGGTCTTCGGCAACATCATGGTCGAGTACGAGTATCCAGAATGCACCACCGCCGTCGTCACCGCTCTCTCGCTGTTCCACAAGCATTGGCCCGACTACCGAGCCAAGGAAATCGAACGCTTCGTCGAACGGGCCGTGCGCTGGATCAAGACCGCCCAGCGACCGCATGGTGGCTGGTACGGCAGCTGGGGAATCTGTTACACGTACGCAACCATGTTCGCTCTCGAGAGTCTGGCTAGCACCGGAGAAACCTACAAGAACAGCTTGCACTCTAAGCGGGGATGTGACTTCCTCATCTCCAAGCAGCGCAAAGACGGCGGTTGGTCTGAGCACTACAAGGTACCGATCCATCTAACCTAATTCAACCCCAAACCCCAAACCCCCTTTCTTTTTTCTTTCTTTTTTTTTCTTTTTCTTTTCTTTTTTTTTTTTTTTTTTTTTTTTTTTTTTTTTTTTTTTTGGCTTTTACTTAATAGTTAACCTTCATCTTTCATAGTCTTGCGAAACGGGCGAATACATCGAGCACTCATCTGGCTCCCAAGTCGTCATGACGGCCTGGGCACTGATTGGCCTCATGAAAGCAAACTACCCGCACATAGAGCCCATCAAGAAGGGTATCAAACTGATCATGGACCGCCAGCAGCCTAACGGTGAGTGGTTGCAGGAGGCGATCGAGGGCGTCTTCAACAAAAGCTGCATGATATCGTACCCGAACTACAAGTTCACCTTCCCGTTGAAGGCGCTGGGCATGTTTGCCCGGAAGTATCCCGGCGAGACCGTCGTCTAGTCTCGAGCAGTTGGACACAGTTTTGTGGAGGATGTCGGTTCGGTTTGCAAAGAAGTTTACGGAAAACTATAAGCCCCCTTTCCAAATCCTGCACCTAGAGCCAGGACGTCATAATGCATAATAACATGATGATCAGAGTCCATGTGGACGCATGCGTTGCCTATTACAGATACGGCGACAATACATAGAACGCCCCCATAATGTCCAGAGCACGTCCTGCAATGGGTCTAGGTTGAAGCCGAGGCCTCGGGACCGGTATCCCTGCTCTCATCCCTGATGCTCTTGAGCTGGCTTGCAAAATCCCTGTTGACCCACTCCCAGTAGCTAGTCCAAGCTGGGCTGGGCCCGGCTCCAGCCCCTCCGCCACCGCCACCGCCCGTGTTCAGAGCCGACTTGTTCAACTTATCTCCCAAGAGTAGCGTGAGGCGGAGGACGGCTTTGTTGGCCTCGTCTTGCTTCTCGATCTCCTGTTTAACGGCCGTGTCCTTAAGTTTGTGGGACAGAGTCTTCCTGAAGCCGTCAGCGATCGAGTCGAGCCGGCGGATCGTTTCGTCAGGATCGAGATGAATTAGTTTCGACACCATCAGGTTGCAGAGCGCTCGGATGTCGTTGTCGTCCGAGAGACCAGCAACGATGCGGTCGTAGAGGTCGATGATGCTCATGCGGGAAAATGCTGTATCTATGAGGGCATACAAAGTTTCGTACGCCGCCTAAATGTCGCCATCTGTCAGAACTGATAACGTTACTCGGCAGAGGAACACGCCACGCATACCTTTCGCACTTCCAGGCCGTCGTCAATTATGTGCTTGAACGGCCCCATCTGAACCTCGCGGACCAGCTCCGGTTTGATGACCGTCTCGCTCATAACGAACGGCATCAGTTGGTTGAGCTGGGCCAGAATCAACTCCGGTTTGTTATGCGCTGCGGAGGTCAAGGTAGACATGGAGTGCCGGCGGATCTCCAAATCGGGGTCGTTCATCGCGGTCTTTAGCATATCGACAAGGGAGTTTCTGAGCAACGCATCAAACGTCTCGTTGTCATCCGGAAGAGTGTACCGGAGAGCCTGGACCGCTATATCCCTCAGCATGCTTGACTCGTTTCTGAACAAAGCCTATATAGTCTGTTAGTAATGTAGAACCGAGAACTCCGAAGGACGACAGGAATCGGACCTCGAGCTTAACCATATACGCCTTGGGATCAATGATGACCATCCGTCCGATACATTCTGCGCAAACTGCCTTATTGTCCTCCGCGCCACTCGCAGCTAAGATTTGCTCCCAAAGGGAGGCAGAATACTGACCAATCTCAGTAGAAGAGACGGCGGCTTGTTGGAGGATCTCCTTGATCGACTGTAGAAGCAGGTATTGCTTTCCACCTCCCTGCTTCAAGGAATCGAGGATGACAGGAAGATAAACCGAAACATTGCCCGCCCCAGCTCGTCCAAGGGCAACGGCAGCCGAGAGCGAGACCTTGTCGTACGCGTTGGTAAATCGTTCCAAAAACAATGCCGGTTGGATCGGAAAGCTACTGCCGAGACGTAAACCAGCTTCGCCGATGACAGCCAATGCGAGACTGCTTCGAGCCTGATCTCCGGAACTGGCACCGACCTCGACTTCCCGAACGAAGTCATTGAGCGTGACTCCGGCTGAGTCGCCACTCGCAACAAGGAGTGTACCTATGACCTTTCCCACGACTGCAGGCTCCCCGCCTACGCCAACATCCTTTAGAAGTGCCCCCATCAAAGGCTTCCCTTGGCCCGCCTGGCCTGCTTGCGTCACAAGTGCTAACAGAGAATCGAGGACGGAACCGGTAACAGCTGTCTGCAGAAGTCTGCAGAGCGATTCGATGAGCTCCGGCGTCACGACGGTATCAGGCATCTCCTGAGTAAGACGGGCAAGCACAGACAGCCCCGGGCCAAGAAGCTGAACGTCATTGTTAGTGATAACCTTGATTACCGCGGCCACGACGTTCTGCACGGTCGCCTCGTCTAGGGTGCCTTTTGCAGCCGGGGACAGGATGAGATGCTTCAATGCCATGATGCTTGATCCCCTCAGGGCGCGGTTGGACTTTCGTAGCTGAGACGCCAATGCGACGACCACCTGGCGGGTCCACTGCGTCTCGAACTGGACAGCATCCGCGGACATGGCAGCAGCAGTATTGATGGCCCGGACAGCAGCCAGCCTAGTCGTCTCGTTCTTAAGCCTCTCAAGCAGACAGACCAGAGAAGCCTTGCGCTTGTCATCGGGGAGAAGGGCTGATCCTTCCGCGCCACTTGTCCTAGCCAGAAGCGTGCCGAGAGCATGGATGGCCTTTTGCCGGACCTCAGCATCAGCATCGTTGGCAGTGGCTCGGTCAATGGCGACATCATACAGATTTTGGAGCTCGCCTTTGAACTGCTGGGCCGTCGCACGAGATCGCGGAGGAGTGATGGCCTTGATTAGCTCCTCAGCCGTCTGTATGGCTTCAGCAGATATCTTGTAGAATCGATCACGAGCCACGGCAACGATCCCGGCGACGATCTTCGCGAGATATGGTTGCAGCAGAGCGGAAGAGTGATTCTTCGCGATGTCGCTGGTTAGTCGAAGAGCAGCAATTCTCAAGGTGGTCGCCGTTGCAGAAGCACTGCCTCCAGCGGATGAAAGAGACGCCGAAGTCGACGCAGCGCTCGACGGCCTGATGGCGTCAAGGACGGGCCCGATGATCTGGTCAAAGTAAGACTCGAGCCCACCTCTCTGCGCGCATACCATGTCGTCCAGCAGACTAATACAGGCCTGCCTGGTCGAGATGAGCTTTCCCTTGAGAAGTTTGGTCAGCGGCTTGATGATGGCTGGAGTGAGAGCGGCCAGTTCGGCCCGCGGGCCCGTAACCGGGACCTTCGTGGTTGGGGAAATAAGGCCGGTGCCAGAGAGATCCGCCGAGGCCATGGTGCCAGCCACACTGCTCTGACGGCGCCGCTTCCGAGTCGGGGGTTGTTGGCTCAGATAATCGCCATGCGAACCATCTTGAGAAAACCCGGGCAGCACATCTTCTCCAGTCTTCCGGACAAGCAGTGCCATTGCCGACAGGACTTCGAGGCGCACGTTTTCCTCGCGCTCGCCGAATCTCTTGATTAACGCCGGAGCCACTGTCCCGTAGAGCACGCCACTATCAAGCAGGTCGCCGCTACTCCTTGTCGAGATTATGGTGTGCAGCGCTTTGGCTGCGCAGCGCCGCACCTTCCAGCTCGCATCATCGTCGTCGTCGAAACCACCAACAGCCTCAAACTCATCGTCTTCGTCGAGCTCGTCTTCCTCCTCTTCCTCGTCATCCATCTCCTCGTCCTCATCAACAGCATAATTTGGGTCAAACTTCAGGTATCGAATGCAGGCTTCGATGGCTTCGTTGGTGAAGAGCCGCATGGGTGTTGGACACGATGAGAGGAAGGCGTCCAAGGCGACGAGCGCCGCTTCCCGCACTTCGTTGAACTCGAGAGCAGCTCCTCCCCCCTCGCTAATCTCATCCAGCTGCGCCTGGAGCTCGTCCTCACTCAGAACGCGAAGAACAAGGGGCGCCAGTCCCGCCAGGTGGAGGCCAAATCGGTAGGGAATTGACCGAGCCATGGAGCCCAAGATGGTGATATAGAGCCGGCGAGTGGTGTCCTTCAGCTGAGGTTGGCTAAGCACGCCGGCGATACGCCTGACGAAGGCATTTAGGGGGGCGTCGGGAAGGTAGTGGGCGAGCATCGAGACTGCGACAACTGCCCTCTTCTTCACAACAGAGCTGCCCTTGTCCTTCTCTAAGATCGTGACCACAGCATTGTGTAACGCCTCAATCTCGACCGACTGAAGTAAGGGGCCGAAGCATCGCACTACGTCGATGAGTACATCAACGGAGTCCGAACTCGGGTCCTCCGGATCCAGCAGACCCGGGAGGAGTTTGCCGGCCGAAGTCGCACGTCCAACGAGCCTAGGAATGAGCACCCTGCTGATGCTGGCATAAGCTTCGCTGACCTCTTTTGTGGGCGCCACGCCTGGCACTGGACGAGGTAGCGCTTCTACCACGGCCCGGATTGCCAGTGAGGGAATCGAGTTGTCGAGCGAGTTCTTCAGCTTAAAGCCACAAAGCTTCTCGATCATCGGCGCAATTAGTTGGGGGGTGACCTTCTTGACCAACGGGCCGAGACTGTAGAGTTGAGTTAGCTCCAGCCAGTGTATTTCCCCAGGAAGCTTGGACAGTGAAATCCCACCATTTGATTGCTTGGTTCTGGACCTCTCCGTTCTGGTCATCCAAGGCGCGCACCACGTGATCGACGGTGCGCGCTGCTGTATTGTAGTCATGGTTCATGAAATTCGGGTTCGCTATGGTGAATACCTTGAGAAGATCATCGAGGGCCATAAATCGAAAATCGGGGTCCGGATCGTTGATCTTCGTGAGAAGCTGCTGGACCATTTGCGGGGTCGGGTTTGACGGGATCGTGGTCGCCATGGTGACTACCGGACAGATCTATCGAGCTTCAGAATGAAAGTATAGTGGCCGAGAAATGTAAGGTAGTTTCGTATTCCGAGATTGCGGAGTCGTCAAGAGACCGCCGTGGTTGCGCAGCTCCCGTCCACCTAGGAGCCCGTGCGCCAACTGACAGTGGACAGTCAGTGGACTGCGGGTTTCACCAGAGCAGTAACCAACTCCAGAGTGCCAGTAGACGGACACAAGTCGGGAACAGGTAGTAGTCAGTGTTATAGTTCCGGTTCAACGGTGTAGATGCTCAACAAGAATACTTGAACCGTTGTGCCATTGAAGGTTTAGATATGGAGTGATCAGGCAGCTTCAAGGTGGGATAGACCCATGTGGAGAAATGCTTGGAACTTCCATTGAATGCGGGGCACGGTACGTCTCAGTGGGTGTGCAGGGCTTAGCTGAGTGGTCTAAAACTACTGGTACATACCACGTACATACAATACATATTGGATGCTCTCTCCGTACAGCACGTGAAGGAATCCAGGCAGTCGACCAGGAAACGCAGGAACACAAGGTGGATGGGTATGGTGGACTACTTTCGAAAAAGTGATTGAATGCATAAGGTAGCGATATGGTCATCACATTCTCTGTTTATCCTCGATGTACTGCCTATGAAGTATCTTAGCAGAGGTACCTTACAATGGCGGCTGAGAGCTCAGTGGTTGACCTAGGTATCGACACCAGGCACCTCATCGGAAACCGAGGACTGACTGCATCCATGTGCTACACACGGTAAAGGGAATACGTCACTGTCAGCCCATGGTATACTCTCCCGTAGTACCTAATTGCATCGGAGCTATCCTCTTGTTCCCCGCACCCGAACCTACCTGCTCAGCTGCGAGGATCTCGTTTCTCGAAGGTTAAAACAACTCGAAGACTTGTCCAACGAGCAGCTGCAAGTCATGATTGCAAACAGGACCTCTATGCTACGCCCGAGTTTCCGCGTAGCCTACCACCAACATGTTCTACCGCGATTGACCCGGCCTGGAGGTCGAAGAACCTATGCCACCCTCCAAGAGCGAGTCGCGTCGTCCGGTGACAGGCCATGGTAAGCTCGTAGATCCTAACGTCTGGCAGCACCCGTTTTTCTTTTTCTTTTTCCGTTCAAGAATGAACTGCCATAGTCAGAAATTTGGAACTGACAGCTTCTGTATCGCGCCCATTCAGGCAGATTGCCGCATTAGCGGTCACACTTCCGGGCGTGTACCTTTTGCGGAGAACCGACGACCCGAAGGCCAAAGTCCAAGCCCACGGCCATCCAGGAAGGAACGAAGAGGTACAGGACCGGCACTCAGAGCCAGCTGAGAAGGAAGTGAAGGCTGAGGCGAAAGCCGAATCACCGCCGGATGAGCCCATGAGGGAAGAGGCGTCTAAGCAGAAGATCGAGGGTGCCGAGTCGGAGAATGCAAGCAGCGAGTCTGATTCGGAGGGTGCTCCGACACCGTCCAGCCCTGTCTCGGAGCAAGGCGACTCCAAAGAAATGGATGACTCCCAGGAAAGTGTAAGTTTCAGGAACAAATAGCAAGGTTAGGAACGACGACTGATAGCCCTGTCTGCAGCAAGACCAGAAGCTGACTGACAAACAAGACTCCCAGCGAGGTGATTTCACTCAGAAGTAGAGGAGATGGACGAAGAGGGTCCAAGATGAGGGGCCGGCCTTGGCGGAACCAGCGATGCACTGTACAGTACAAGTCAGTAAGATATGAAAATTGGAACTAAAAATGTTATCCCGTCTCACCCACTTGTTCGATCTAAATCCCTTGATCGGATTAGCTAGATCCTAGGGACTCAATTCTGATTGAATCATGTCTCTCACTATATTCATGCGTCGAGGAGTCCGGCCGGGGCAGTTCGGAGTCTCGGAGCCTCGGAGGACCCTGGAATTTGCCCCGCCCCCACGTTTCACGGAAGACCCGACATCTGTGGACGGATAGTACTAAATCTCTGCCCCGCCGGGATACACTACACAGTACACTCTCCGTTACCGTCCCGCCCCGCGCAACGGTACGAACGAACCTTTTTCAGGTTCCAGAACTTTGGTTCATTCTACATTGGAAAGTTCACTACTAGTACACTCCAGTCGCTTCTCAATCTCACCCGCTCCCCCCTCAGAGGATTTACCGTAAAAATGGCCCCCCACCCGGAACCTCTCACTGTCAAAGTCGGCACGCGCCGGTCCGCCCTGGCGCTGCGCCAGACAGACCAAGTCATTGACGCGCTCAAGCAAGCCCACCCGCACATCACTTTCGAGGTCCACGCCATGGCGACGATGGGCGACCGCGACAAGACCACCCCGCTGCCCGCGCTGGGCAAGGGTCTCTGGACCTCGGAGCTCGAAGCCAAGCTGGTTTCGCGCGAGCTAGATATGGTCGTGCACTCACTCAAAGACATGCCCACCACCCTGCCGCCGGGCTGCGTGCTCGGGTGTGTGACCGGGCGGGAAGACCGACGGGACGTGCTGGTCTTCAGCAAGCGGCACGAGGAGGAAGGGCGGTGCAAGACGCTGGGGGACCTGCCGGAGGGCGCGGTGGTGGGGACGAGCAGTGTGCGCCGCGCGGCGCAGCTCAAGAGGCGGTACCCGGGCCTGGTGTTCCGGGATGTGAGGGGGAATATCGAGACTCGGCTGAGAAAGTGCGATGAGGAAGGGTACGACGCGATTATCCTGGCGGCGGCCGGGTTGTTGAGGTTAGATTATGGCAAGAGGATCGCGCAGTTTTTGGACTCCAGCACCGAGGGCGGCGGATTGCTCCATGCGGTGGGCCAGGGCGCTCTCGGGTTGGAGGTGCGGGAGGATGATGAGAGGCTGAAGGACTTGTTAAGGGTAGTGGAAGATACGCCCACGATGCTGGCGTGTTTCGCGGAGCGGAGCGTTATGAGGACATTGGAGGGAGGATGTAGTGTTCCGATCGGCGTGGAGACGTCGTGGGTGGAGGCGAAGGAGGAGGCTGGAGGAGCGAAGAAGACATTGAGGTTGAGGGCCACGGTCGTGAGCTTGGATGGGAGCGAGGCCGTCGATGGCGAGAAGACGCAAGAAATCACCAGCCTGGCACAAGCGGAGACGATGGGCAAGGAGCTAGCAGAGAAGCTGGCCGGGATGGGAGCCCAGAAGATCTTGGACGATATCAACAAGGGCCGGGCGTTAGGGACCGCGCTCAAGGTTAGCGACGCCTGAGAGGGTATGGTAGTGGCACTACCTTAGCCGTGTCGCGATGGCTTCGCTTGCGTACCTAGATATCTCCTCATCTGCAATGCTCTCAACTAGATTTCTTTTTCCTAAAGAAGCGTTGAGATCTTCCTCTTCTAGGGAATGGGTTAAGTCTCTGCCCAATCACCCGCCTAATGAGCGCCTGTTCGAATTCGAATACGCAAGACCAAACACCGGTTGCCCCATATGGCCCGTTATGGTACAATCCCAGGCCCGTGTATCTATCAGGTTGAACTGTCCGAAAAATGCCGATGTTCCTCGCAGCTTGCCTGAGTCCTCCGCCCTTGATAGCGTCCCGTCGCCTTAATGCTCGCCTTCCGCCGCAGTGAACTCCTCATACGCGGTGGAGTCCATCAAATTGTCAAAGTCCTTCAGACCCTGCTCGGTAACCTGCACCTTTGCGATCCAGCCGCCACCATGTGAATCGTCTTCGGGGACCTGGTTGACGGTGCCGGGCTTCTCCTCTAGTGCCAAGTTGACCTGAGTGATCTTGCAGGAGATAGGGGCGTTGATGTCGGCAGCACTCTTGACAGATTCAACGGCACCAATGGCATCACCAGCCGTTACCTCCTTGCCCTCGGCCGGCAGCTCGACGTAGACGATGTCGCCGAGCGCCTTGGCAGCGTACTCGCTAATGCCCAAAACGCCCGTTTTCTTGTCAGCGGAAAGATCGATCCACTCGTGTTCCTTTGTGTATTTCCTTATCGCGTCTGTGGTCCCGTGGGAGGCCAGGCGGTCAGCATGGTGAGATCAGAGGTTTGCTTCTGGCGTTCTCCTCACTTGTAGCGGTCACGGAAAAGGACCGGGCGCCGATTGTACGAGGAGCCGAAACGATGGCAGAGAATACCGCGGGCCGGGCGACCCTCAGGCACCGCGCAATCGAAGCCATTGTGAAGGGGATCGTGTGGTTGCTAATGGCTGGAAGAGCGCTGGACGCAAAAAGATAAGTCGAATGACGCGGATCGAGAACAGCACCGAGGGGCAGTTGCTGAATCGGAGTGCCGGCAATCGCCGGCAGCTGTCAGCCATCGGGCCAGTCACGGCTCTAGCAGCGGCAGTGCTGCCGTGCTTATATAATATCGTACTTGGGTACCATACGTATGGTACCTGGTACATTACTACGTAATTCGTACGCCCGGCGTTCACGGACAACACCTGGTGAAACTGAGGATTAGGCGGATAAGAATCGCCAACGCCAAAGGCTGTACTGGCAGAATGGTCGCAGCAAGGACATTTCATTTCTTTCGTCGGCACTACCGTACATCTTGTTTAGGGGGCCGACTGTCGTCATGGTCGTCTCTCTAAGCTGAATTCATTCAAGTTGCTTGATTCGTGAACACCGCAGACCTGCCTTGGTTCTCTTTGCACTCGAGACATTGATCACCGGCCGATTCGCGTCACGTCATCCAGATGTGCATGAAACGCGGCAAATGACGAGCTGGGGCATTCAATCAAGGGCGCTGCAGCAGTCAAGTGTAGTCACTCAAGCCGGTCGGAATGTGTCCCTTGTTATGGCGCCGAGCCCCGCCATGCGGCCATCACTGTCGCGCGAGTGGGTAACTGTGGGCTCTCGCTCGGCTTTCATCCGCATTCCAAGGTTGCAGTGGCTTCGATTAGGTTCCCTCCTCCCGCCTGTCTGCGACTTGAGGTTCAATATCACATCCTCCATCGTCGTCCGACTTCCAGTATCTATTTACCGGATACCTTCAGCGGATCTAGCGAATATCCAGCTGTGCACTTGAGAGTCTGCTGTCCTACCTTACACCCGGACGATCCACTGGCGGGAGAGACCGACAAACAGTTGACAACGGAAACTGATCTGACGGAGGCCCAACCGTTTGGCCCGGCTCCGCACCGCATTAGGAACACTGCTTAAAGAAGGACGTGATTCAGCTGGCATTACCCTGCCCAGGTTCCATGAAGTCGGTCGTCATCCGTATTGAGTAGCCAGAGGCCACACCGCCCATCAGTTCCTCCGCTCACTACATCAGACGAACTTCATCCCGACTCTGCGCTCGGTCTCGAGGCAAGGCGCCGCCCACTGTGTTTACTCCGCCCCACCTTGTCACTGTAGCACCATCGTTCAGCTCCCACACTGGATTCTTCAAATCTCACGCCGGGCGCTCCGGCCCATCTTCACAGCGGTGTGGATAGCATGGACCACGACCAGTTCTTAGGTGCGGTCTCGGATCCGGGCCCCGACATTACCCCAATGCCAACCGACCCGCATGATGATACCCTTAGCGGCATGGATAGCGACCAGCACCATGCAATACCAGACCACAACACCCGCGAACAGAACGGCTCCCACGAGCAGCAGCTCCATGCTCAATCACAGCCTCTCGACCAGAGTCTAGGTAATTCACCTCGCTCGCACTACCTGCCCGACAACTTAGATGGGGAGGCGACTGCCCGATACGCGACCCCGCCGGTCCCCGCGCCCCCGATATCACGCCCTCCATCCGGCCTTTCGGGACACGGCGCTGCCTACGGAGCCGACCAAGCATCAAGAGCGGGCAGCAACGGCGCGCCGGCCGAGCAACAGAACACTGGGCGCAACCATGTCGTGATCAAGGTCGGCATGGTGGGCGATGCGCAGATCGGCAAGACGAGTCTCATGGTCAAATACGTCGAGGGTAGCTGGGACGAAGACTACATCCAGACGCTTGGTGTAAACTTCATGGAGAAAACGATCAGCATCCGGAACACGGAAATCACATTCAGCATCTGGGATCTGGGCGGCCAGCGCGAGTTTGTGAACATGCTGCCACTGGTGTGCAACGATGCCGTAGCGATCCTCTTCATGTTCGACTTGACGCGGAAGAGTACGCTGAATAGCATAAAGGAGTGGTATCGGCAAGGGCGAGGGTTCAACAAAACGGCCATCCCCGTTCTCGTTGGGACAAAGTACGACCACTTTGTTAACCTGTCTCGCGAGGAGCAGGAGGAGATCTCAAACCAGGTATGATCACGGCGAGCCAACTTTTGTCCTTTTCCATGGTTGGCGGCTGACAATCCCGTAGGCTCGGCGTTTCGCCAAGGCGATGCGCGCGGCGTTGATCTTCAGCAGCACCAGCCACAGCATCAATGTTCAAAAGGTATGTAAGTCCGGTCCAGTACTTATTAGCTACTATCTAATTGTCCACAGATCTTCAAGATCGTGCTTTCAAAGGCCTTCGATCTGAAATGCACAATCCCCGAAATCACCAACGTCGGCGAGCCATTGCTCATCTACCAGTCTTGCTAGAGAACGACCACGGATCTGGTTACCCACTCAAGTGGACTCTGTCGACCGGGTCGCGAGGGTGCGCTTGAAAGGCTACTTCAGCTATTCCCATGGAGAGCGAGTCTCCCGTCGGCGGGGCATTTCGCCTACCAGTTTTTTCAGTCGGATTGGCGTTCTGTTAGGGCCGAATACACTGGCCCGAAGGCATCACTGCCAGCCCCAAGAAGGGGCCGAAAGGACGCTCGAGACTCGCCTGTCATTAATGTTCCCCTTGTGCTCGGAGAAGCAACTGATATGGACAAGACATTTCTGTTGAAGGTTGATTTCGGAGGTGAGAGGGGAGAGCGCATTCAAAGCATACATTCTCCTCCGGTCAAGCATGGGAGGGCGGACGCGGAGGGAGGGGACAATACCACGGAAACGGGAACACCCGGCCCTCTGTCTTATTAGTCTGCTGGTTGGGAGCGTCTCTGCAGAGGATTGTCATCTGACCGTCGTCTAGATTTTAATTGTTGAACTCATCAAGTTGAATGGGCCTACCCCTAACCACGCTGGCGGTCCACGATTCGGCGATGAGAGTCTTGTACATGTGCAGCATAGGGAGTCACCAGAAGTGACCCGAACATGCTCATCAGCTCGAGTCTCATGGGCAGCGTACCGACACTGTCCGTGCTGCCACTTGAGATTGGGGTTGTTATCAGAATATGGCCCAAAACACACCGGTACCGTCTCGGAAATACAGCCCGTTTCTCCGCTTCGCCGTCAATCGTGCCCCATGTCCATCCATTACCATAGCGAGCCGCTGGCTGAGAGTCATCACCCAACCTGGCCCTTCCCAAAAAGGCCATCCCGTGCATCTTCCAACGCCCATGCTATGTCAAAAAGCAAGTTACTCTGCGCACACGGATTCATCCTTCCATCTCCCCTTCCTCGATGAGTCGACCGAGGATCAAACTCTGAATTACCAACTCGTCATTCAGCGTTCGAACCCGCTTCACCGGATGGGCGGCCATCCATGAAGTCCTTTTCCTCTTCTTCCCGCCGGCGGGGCCGCTAGCAAACAGTGCCTCCTCATCTGGCTTCCCATCCACATAAACCCAGTCAAACGGGCGTCCCGATTCCTCAGCGGCCTTCATTTCCGCTCTTGCCTCCTCGACGCTGCGCACACGGGTCAGCGATGCACCCAGCACACGCGCGAGAAACACGTAGGCCATCTTCTTCCCCTCTGATGACTTCCTCATCACAGTCAAGATCCTGCTTCCCTCCAGCAGCTTCTCTCGCTGGCTGATGACGTCGGCCAGTCTCGCCGTCGTCGCATCGTATGGTGTCAAACTCCTGGATCGTATGGCATCCCCAAGGAAAGCAGACTGGCCAGCGCACAAGAGGTATGGCGACCAGTCCACAAGCTCATTCCGACCCAAACATGTCGTCACCCAACGGGCAGCAATGCATGGGATCCCAAGGGCTAGAGCCTGCATGTACTTCACCTTGCGGGAGTGCCCATCTGCGATCAGAGCGGTGAATCCAGTGGAACGACCATCAGGAGTGAGGCTGATCTCCCCTTCGGTACCTGCGTTGGACATAGGGCTGCTGGACAAAGGTCCAATAGTTGAGACTTCGAAAAGCTCGTCGAAACCGTTCTCCAGAACCCGACCGCCAGCCTGTTTAATCCGTTTTTTGACCATGATCGAGTAGTCAGTGCGTGCAATGTATTGCTCGTTGGTTTCACCGGGTTTCCTGGACTGGAACGATATTGCAAACGCCATGTTATCAAATAGTTTCTGGTCCCGCTGGACCGCTGGCGGCTTCATGGCTGTACGGCCCATTCGGGATGCTGACCTAGACACGGAAAGCCGGGAGACACGCATGCTCTGCTCGAAAGTAGGCGTTGCCGATACGGGCCTGGACAACTCGTCAGTCGAGTTAGAATTAGAATCCCGTCTAGCCACCCTGACAGACTGTCTGAGGCTCTCGGTCGAGCTGGTTTTCGGTCTCGGTAGCCTTCCCCGCGCATCACGTCGCTTCGCATGGGCAACAGCCGGCGAGGAACTGGCGATTAGGGTAGAACCGGTCGGAGACCCTGCGGGAAAGGTGCTAGCAGTTTCGGAAGTATTGCTGGAGGGTAGCTGGGGAGTCGATGCCAGGTTGCTCAGACTTGAAGTTGGGCTCGACTCACGGGCGAACACCCTTCGAGCCGTGCCGTTTCTCGACCTTACTCTCAACGCCGGCGGAGAAGACGGAATATTCGGGGTCGACTTTGCTCCTGAGCTAGGGGCCTCTCCAGAAGGCCGTGACTCGGCGGTAGGGCCAGGGAGCTTGCTAACGGGGCTTGTCTCCGGTATGGCTTCTCCATTGGACGTACCTTCGATGCCGGAGTCTCGGGCGGGTTGGTTAGCCGACCTCGTCGACGATCTCGGAAGAAGAGGCATTGCGGTTGGCATTGGGTCGATCACCGGCTCAACTTCGTCTTCCTCGTCTGACTGGGTCGAGTCCTCGTCCTCAGCGGTGCGATGTTGAAGGCCTGGGGGACGACGCTCCTGGGAATCTTGCACAGCATCCGCATCTTCCAAATCATTTCGGGTTAGGTGTTGTCCATGGCTCTTACCCGAGTGAGCCTCTGGTTCACTCGTGCGCTTGCGACGGCTCGTTGAGGGCACTTCAACGTCCTCTGACTTGAACCGACGAGCAAAACTGATAGCGGTCAACTGCTTCAGTGCAGCTTCTTTCTTGAATTTGGCTTTCCTCCGTCTGACGAGCGAATCATACCCATCGTCGTCCTCGCCGGAATTATCGGGATCAGAGCGGGCTTCGGAAGATGAGCGCCTTTGTTGAGATTCGCGCATGGGCTCATACGTGGTCATAGGTTCCGGGCCTGGTTTCTTCATAGTGCGGAGATCGTGGGAGGACTCTGGAACGATGCCATTTTCGGTTGATGCAGTTTGAACAGGGTTGGATTCGCTACCGTCGAACCTTGAGGAGGCGGTCCCCGGCAGGATCTCTGGGCTTGAGGTCAAGTCTACAACGGGTGAAGAACGTAGACCACGAGCCTTGAGCGGGGACGAGACCACGGGGTTCGGAGAGATAGAATTACCCGGAAAGTCGGCTGGTGAGGGCCGCGACGAGGTGGGGCTGGCGAGTTTGAGTGGCGATGAGAATTGTGTGCCCTGGAAAAGCTGGGAGGTCGGGAGAAGTTGAGAGCGGCTGTGGCGAAAAGGGTTCTGCGGTTGGGCGGGTGTCTCTGGCAAATGCTGAGTCGGCGACTGGCCCGTCTTCTGCAGAGACCCGGCGCGCCGTAGATGAGCGAGGCTCCCAAAGACTACAAAGCCCAAGTCGTCTTGGCCTGGTGAGGCCGTTTTATTGGTATCAACAGTAGTGAAGTCGAAGCGGCCAGCATCCGTGTCATCAGCATCACCGACAGCGCCATGGCGCGGAGAACTGCCCCCAACAGGTTTAGGTGAGCCCTGACCTCGAGTGTACTGGTCGTAACTCCGACCAACATTGGTTTGAGTGGACTGAGTCGAATCCATCGTCTGCTTTTCAGGCACACCAACAGCTCCCGATAAAGGATCGGGCGGCTGGTCGAGGCGCTGGGGAAAGGTGTCCGACAGGTTCAGAGTCTCCACGACGCCATCCTCATCAGCCGCATCGCAGCCTGGCGGAACAACTGCTGCCCTTGATCCTTTGTCAACGCCGACGTCTTGGGTCTCAGGAATAGACGACGCCTGGTTCTGGCTGTCGACGCCACGCGTGCCCCGCGTCTAGACGAAATGGCTGGTCAGTGCGGTTGGGGCAGAGGGGGGGGGGGGGGGGGGGGGGGTTGGAGGAGCCGTGCGAGGAGACTGACCTGCTCGTTCACTTTGTCCGTGTCATCCGGGTCTGCAGGCAAGAAATCAGCGATTGATTCTGCAAAGATCAAAAAGTCGAACACACTGTTTATTCTGTCTATTTCACTGGGCGGGCGGCTTCGCTTGGGTGAAGGGAGCGACCGTGGTTCTCCTGCTGGTGACGAATTGCTTCTCTGCACGGTGCCTCAAGAGGTTAGCCCCCAGGCGGGATCGGCCGGGTTTCTGTAAGGCGCCACACTCACCAGGCCGACACCGTAATTCATCATAAGGCAATGCGCGATGACCAGGGTGTCTTGCGACTCATTGGCTCCGTCCAAGGCTGCCTTCTCGGCTTGAGGGAGGGTTTCCGACGGCATCTTCACTGATCGTGCAGCAAACGGACATCCAGGGATAGATGCAGTGGCAAGCTACCGATGCCTAGCGGCAGGAAAGCCGCCGCCAGGTTGCCGGCTTGCCGACTTGCCAGGTTGATAACAGCTCCGCTGATGCTGGAAAAGAGTTCCTCATAGAGACTCAGAAGCACTGCAAGGTTCTTGTCGACCGAATTCCTGTGGAACTTTGCTTTGTCCGAAAGCGCGACACGCACGCGCTGTCACGTGCTCGAGCTATCACTGCACAATACACCATGTAAGCGTGTGTGGTATTTTCATTGTTCGCTGGTACTGTATCCGTAGGTAGGGAACTTTATTGGTAACTTCCAGTTATTAGCGCTCAAGGCGGCCCCATATTGCACGCGTTCGGATCTGCAGGGGCTGCATGACAAATGTGAATTACCCATACAGTACAGTACGGAGCTACATTCGAGGAAACTCATCTAGTGTGGGAGCCGGGGACTGCTGCAAGAAACAGCATATGCACATGGTAGGCAACGCTCCAATATGCCTATAACGTTCAGCTAGGTACTCTGCTAAGCACATTACGGACCAGCGCAGGTTTTTCTTTGAGTGCTTGGGACAGTACACAGTATTCCGTATGGATGTACCGTAAGGATCACTGAGAACCGTCACGAGAGCTGAGCCAAGCGACCCCGGTCACCCCTATCTCACATTCTAGACGCTTGTCTATTGTCCGACTTTGGGTGGCCCCTGCTGGTTTCCATGTCGAAGTCGGACCTGCGCAACGTACGTAGTCGAAATGAAGGCCAGCCTCCATTCTCTTAAGAGAATATGTACGACCCCCATCCGGGCTCCTGGAATTTCCACGCAACATCCTCGACAACACCCCGGCTCTTCGTCGCTCACTTGATCATCCTTTTAAAACACACCTCAATCCATAAGTTGTCGCGCACCTGAGTTGTCAACTACCATTGACTCTGACCAATTATTGGTCGCCTCTGCTTAGCTTAGGTACTCTTGTACATTGCAAGTCATTCCCCAGCGGTACTCTGCCTGCACCGCGAGGTATCTACGGATAGTCGAGGCCCAGAGCAAGCATCAAGAACAGCTACGTAAACGAAACAGAACGAGGCGGCGAAACAACGGCAGAGCCGAGCCCCGCCAGCTCGGGACCCACGCGGCCCAGGAACCGAATCCAGCCCGACCGGTCCCTGCCCCAGAATTGCCAGAACACCCCAGCAAAGCCAGCGGTCAGGGGCAGCTACACCAATTAAAAGACAAGGGCTGCATGAACTCTGAGAGATGAGGTTTCCACTTGTCGCCGTCTTGGTCTGAGCTCTCCCTTCTTTTTCTCCATGACCTCCGCCGTCCTCGTGCGGACCTGCTTCGTCTCGGCTTGCGCCAACGCTCTTTTCAACAAACGCGATCGCAATCCGCTAGATTTTCACAAGGTAGCCGTCGTCGCCAGAAGAACGACCCGTTCCACCGCTCTTTCGTACGGATATCGCTTCCGCCGACACTCGCTCACCACTCCAGCCGGCCCCGGTCGTCGACGGAGGGCTCCGTGGTCCGTTTATTATCCCGGGACTCTGCGCAAGCCGTCACATTCTCTTCGCCCGCCTAGACTAGGCACAAACCAAGCCGGGATAACCCGCCGTGTCCCGCTGAACACAGAAGCTATGGACGAGATGGTGCTGCTCCAGCGCAGTCTGAACCAACCCATCGGGAATGGGACCCCGACCCCTGAGCCCAGGCGTCATCAGAGCCGTGGCGGGAGCCGCGATGAATCAAAACCGCGGCGCTTCCCCGAAGAACCTCTTGCATCGCCTCATTCACATGTCGACGATCTGATAGAGACTCGTTCAGCAAGGTCTGCCTCGACAGCTTCAAGGAGTACCAACAGATTATCCCTGACTTTGCCTATTGTACCCCCAGCCACCTATCCTTCACGGCCAACCCCATCCTCGTCAACAACGCCCGCATTCCCGCCGACGCCGCTTGACACTCCCTCATTAATGTCACCGGTGGATCCCAACGACTTCATCACCGCGATAGCAGCGCAGGAACGCCGCGTCCTGGAGCTTCGGGAAGAGCTCAACCGTGCAGAGCTGGACCTTGCAAGGCTGAAGAAGCAATATGCAACACATGAGGCGTACAAGAAGAGGGGAGCGCGACGAAACATTGAACCTCTTCCAGGCTTCGCACCTGCCGCCGAGCTACAGGACGAAATTGCCATCCGACGAAGCATCGAGCTTGACAGAAGAAAGGCCCTTCTTGGCCAGCAGAACCAGCAGGCCACGCCTGAAAGGAGCCGGAGGCGTGTGTTTACAGGAAGCCACACACGCACTCTCTCTTTGCTATCCCCAACGAAGCCGAGTGGCGGGTTCGAGGATGAGCCGGAGACCTCCAGGATCGACTCTAACGCTCGTCTTGCGTCCGCTACGGCAGCTGTTCCCGCTAAGCGCGCATCGTGGACTTCCCGGCCAGCGCAGGCGAGTGGAATGAAACAACTTGCCGAAGATCTCAAAACCGGAATCTGGACTTTCGTAGAGGATCTACGTCAAGCCACGGTCGGCGACGAGCCCATTACCGGTCAAGGAGTGTACATGAGAGGCATGGATGGTAATATGAGGCCGACTATGACTGGAAGCCTCAACAATGGTGATCAGGACACTATCCGTGCAAGAGGCAACCCGAGGGCCCGTGCGTCATCAGCCTTCGAGGAGACTTCCAGGGCAACAAAGGTGGAAAAGGGAATGGACGCTGGGAAGGAAGAAGAGGACACGAGCAGCGATGCCGCGCCCCCCAAACCGCCTCGACCCCTTCAGCGATCTAAAACCGACGCAGACACCTCCAGGCCAACCAAGCGATTCTCTTGGGCCCCGCTGACCATCGACTCATACGACGACAACGACTGGTCCAACTGGGACAGCCCAAACATCTCATCGCCGCGGTGGAGCGGCACGACCGTCAACGGCGACATCATACCCACCATCCCCGAGAAGCGCGACAACGAGAGCGAGCTGACTCCTCTGTAAGGTCTTCTTGTGCTCTCACCCAACAACCCCCCATCCATTCACCACATCCCACGAAACGAACGACTGACATTCCGTGCCGTGCCAATCATTAGGAAGAAGACATCCTCCAGGGATTCCCGCACTACGCGCTCCCCATCCCCATCATCGTCCTCGTCCCTGAGCCCATCCAACAAGCTCGAGGAGCTCCTTCCGCCAGTGCTGAACAAGTTGACGCCGAGCAACATCAAGCGGGCGGCGGGTGACTTTATGAAAGAGTGGGAGCGGAGTCTGTCACCGCCTGATATGGCCTCACCCGTTGGTACCGGTCATGATGTGGGAAAGGAGAAGGGCGCATGAGATTGCCCCTGTCTCGTATACTTGTGAAACTGTGGCGTCGTTCTTGGGCACATGACTACGATATACACGCTGATTGGAACCCGTTGGAAGGTATTTGTCGAGCATTGGCATAAAACAAAGTGCAGTTGTTGGCGGTATAAGATGTGCATTCCGCATCAGGAAGGGAAAGGGCGGTCGGGGTCTGAATTTTCTTGTCCGGGCTGCGTATGTTGGAATAATGATAATGACTAGATGAATGTATGAATGCGACGTAGGAAAATCGTCATTCACCAGGCGTATAAGACCAAAATCAGTCACTAGGGCATTGTAAAGAAAGATGCCCTTCTCGGATTTTCGTGGTCTAGTCTCTCGGGACTGAGCACCACAGTCCCAAAAGGCCATCTTAAAAATAAAATAAAAAAATAAACAAATAAAAATAAAAATATAAAAAATAAAAAAAAAAGGGGTCGTTGTGCTCAAAGATTCACCTAGTACTGCATGGTCCTAGCCACCAAGTCGCCAACGAGAAAACAGAGCTCTCTATGTTGAGTATTGGACCCGCGCCTTTCGCAAATGCACAGTTACATTCAAGCCAAAACGATGACCGACCAACCACGGTTAGAAAGTGCATTGATTTACCTCAGCACACCAGAGACACGCTATGCAGCATTACATGTATCCACATAGCTCAAGAGCCTTCTACTCTTACTCATCCACGACAGAGGCAAACTTGTCAAGCATCGCTTGCTGTATCGACTCATACTGTTTGTTGTCAAGGACAGACTGTCAGCTTCGGATCCCAACAATGGATCGGGGGCCGCGCAAAGCCGGATGAGGGAAGGTAACGGGAGCACAAACCTTCTTGCAGATCTTCTCCTGGCCCTCCGTCGGCACCTCGAACTTCAAGCTCCGCAACTGCGCCTGCAGTTCCTGGGTCGCCTCGCGGACCTTCGCCCAGCTCTGGCCCGTGGCAATCGTCTTCTGGGCCTCGTCGTGGAATCCGATCATGAGCTTCATCATCCACTCAGTCTTCCAGATGGGACAGAACTGATCGTAGTCGGAATACCCGTTCTGCTGCAGGAAGTCTTCCTTGATCAGCGTCGCCATGTCCAGCGTGATCTTGTCACGGTCCGAGAGCGCGCTCTTGCCGACCAGCTGGACGACTTGGTCGAGTGCCTCGCTGTCGGACAGCAGCTGGCGGACGCGGTCGCGCAGGCGGGGGAAGTCCGGGTACTCCTTCTCGTACCACTTGTCGAGAACCATGGTGTACTTGCTGTAGCTGAGGGACGTGTTGATCGAGGGGAAGTGCTTGCGTTGCGCAAGCTTCTTGTCCAGGCCCCAGAAGACCTGCACGATACCTAGTGTCGCGGAAGTGACGGGGTCGGAGAAGTCACCACCGGGAGGGGAAACAGCGCCGACGATGCTCACGCTGCCATCGCGCGCGGGGCTGCCGAGGGCAGCGACCTTGCCAGCACGCTCGTAAAAGGAGGCGAGCTTCGCGCCGAGGTAGGCCGGGAAACCTTGGTCTGCGGGCATCTCGCCTAGACGGCCGGAAATTTCTCGGAGGGCTTCGGCCCAGCGGGACGAGGAGTCGGCCATCATCGCGACGTTCATACCCTGGTCTCGGAAGTACTCGGCAACCGTAATTCCGGTGTAGATAGAGGCCTCACGCGCAGCGACAGGCATGTTGGAGGTGTTGGCGATGAGGGTAGTGCGCTTCATGATGGGTTCCTTCCGGCCTTCAACGTCAATAGTAAGCTCGGGAAAGTCCTTGAGAACTTCAGCCATCTCATTGCCGCGTTCGCCGCCTACAACAGTGTCAGTCGGGTGGTTCCGCAGTCTCGTTGGCTTCAAATGCAGCCCTGTAGGGCGATGAACAGTCAGGGGAAGATTGCTTACAGCCCACATAGACAATCACGTCACTGTTGGAGAACTTGGAGACTGACTGGCTGATGACAGTCTTGCCACAGCCGAACGCGCCGGGGATGGCAACCGTACCACCTTGGACCGAGGGGAACAGGGCGTCGAGCACGCGCTGGCCGACTAGGAAGGGCTTATCCGCCGAGTGCTTCTCCGTTGTCGGGCGCGGCACCCGCACCGGCCAGGTCTGCATCATGCCATACTCTGTCTTCTTGCCGTCGAACTCGACCTCGAGGATCTTCTCGTCAACCGTGTAGCTGCCCTTGTCCGCGATCCTCGTAATAGTGCCACGGGCTCTCGGCGGGAACAGGATCTTGTGCACAGAGATGAAGGAGTTCTCGAAGACTGTCCCCCACACATCGCCGCCCGTGATGTGGTCGCCGACCTTCATTGCCGGGGTGAAGTCCCACTTCTTCTCACGGTCGAGTGCTGGGGCGGCAACGCCTCGGGGGATGTAGATGCTCTTGGACATGGCCGAAATCTTCTCGAGTGGTCGTTGGATACCGTCGTAGATGTTGTTCAGAAGACCGGGCCCAAGCTCGACAGATAAAGGCTTACCTGTCCGCAACACAGGATCGCCAACCATAACGCCGGCTGCGGGAGCTCATGTCAGCATCGCAGAGTAGCGGATTCGACAGCACGCGACATCCATCTTACCCGTCTCTTCGTACACCTGGATGGTTGCCTGATCGCCGCTGATTCGGATGACTTCGCCCACAAGCTGGTCATGGCCAACTTTCACCTATTCGACGTCTTAGCCACATGATCCTCCTGGATGGGCGCGGAAGCGCGACCGTACCAACTCGTACATGGCAACACCAATCATGTCTTCGGCGACGATCACGGGTCTAAGTGCTTCGCATTAGCTATCGCTAGTGGCTTGCATTGTCTGAGCTTGGTGGCGGCTCACCCTGAGACCGAGTAGATCTTGCCTGCTAATCTGTCAGTAACCCAACGCCACGACAGGAAGCTTGATCAGAGCGAGCCTGGGCATACCTTTGTGGACCTCATCCCTGTCGCCGTTCGTCTGCGACTAGAGAAATGTATTGTCAGTCTCGCAAAGTACAGACCAGCGGCAGCTGTTGGGCTAAGATACTGCCTCCAGAGAAGCTCGAGGATACGGGTGCGGATGGGGGTAGGCGAGGAGCTTACGGGAGCCATGCTGGGCGACGAGGTAATTGAAGCAGGCGCAGGTTTCGTCGGCGTGGGTACTACTGGTGCACGATCAACGACTATCGTGGGAATGCTGTTATGGACGGATGTCGACGCTGGCGGGGCGGATGCAGATGCAGAGAGCGACCGTTTCTTCGGTGATGGTGGAAGCGGGATGGTTACAGCTTGTTCCAACAGGGCAAGCTGCCGGTCGGATGCCGGGACGGTGCCCGCCGGGTGGAATAGTGGAGGCGATGATGCAGTGGCCGCTCCCTCGTGCGGCGGGTCGGATTGGCCCGCTCGAACCAACAGCTCAACCAGCGACGGCCGCGCCTTCAGTCGCGGTCTGAGTCCTAGTCCCACCTGCATCCAAGAAGCCGAGCTTGAACTATTCGCGAAGAGACAATTATGTTGTCTCGGCTGTGGTGCACAGACGCCAGTACCTTGTTCAAGCCAAGCCGATATGCACTTGTACGCTCATGGTTCTTCTCCGGATTGGCAAGCCTAAGTCCAAAAAGGGAGATCGGATTAAGAGCAGCGATGCTGCAATCCCTTTCGGCAACGAGAACAGAAATCCGGCTCGCAGGTAAGGTCAGTTAACTCGGAATTGGTGCGCTACGTCTGCGCCGCTGTGTTGGTTGCAGCAGTGGCACATGCCGATACCGTAGATTGGGATTGTCTCGCTATAAGGTGGGGACGTATAACTCACGTACTACTGTGTGCCAGTAGGTACGGATCGTACTCTAATAAAGTTAGAAACGGCCTTCCCGTTACCACGTAGCTCAGGTTTAACTCAACACCTCATTACCTCACCCTTCGATGCTAGTCTGTCTCTTACCAGGAATTCCATTGTGGCCTGGGAAGGATTAAACATTCCTCTTGCAGATGTCTACTGCCTGAGAACACAGCTCCCAAGTCCCGGGCAGAGAGTTGACCTGACCAAGTTAATGAGACCAGATCCTCGATTCACGATGGTACACGCTCTCTGGACGCTAGCAGGATCTCAACCCGACCGTTGAGCCGTGATATCAACCGAAGGAGTTCCACGAAGGAGCCCCAAACACATTCTCCGGTTCAACCATTTATTATGTAGTCAACTGCATCCATTGCACTAGTACACACCAGGAGTCCCTATACAAACAGTATATCTATACAAGCTAACTCCGACTACGCAGCCTTGAGTCAGCGAGAAGTCTCTTGTTTTCAACCAGATCACCAACACCGCCGAGTAGGCCCCACCCGCTGCGATGAGCAGTCATTCGTCTCTCCAGAGCGCGACAACACCACAGAGCACACGATATTGGGACCTTGATGATCACAGCAATCCAACTGTGAGAGAATAAGCTGGAGAAAACTGGAGTGAATTTTCTGCAGACGTTGGATCCAGGGGGCCGGACTTGCTGCCTGCTTCTTCCCCAAACAGCGTAAACCCTCCGACCGCGGCCCTCTCTTCCTGGCTCGCAGAAAGGCGAGGTAGGACTATTCTCTCCATGACCACGATGCACTCTGCAAACCAACGCTCGACTGGCGGGGCTCGGTGTTATGTGCGCGGCGTAATATGCCGCGAATCTCTTCCCAATCCCGACCGGATGGCATGTGATAAACAGCCCACGCTAAAGCGGCGCTGAAGGCAGACAGACATTATGAGGATTAGGAATCGAGTTGTGAGGCTTTAGTTGAGGAAGCCCTTGCATGCCGCCGTTCCGCAAAGGCAAGGTATCCGGTCTGTGCTGCCAAGCTCGCGTTCGAATTTGTAGTCATACGTTAACTCCTCGTCTGTGGTACGATCTGCGTTAGCGGCAACCAATCACGCACTGTAGATGTAGGCATATAAAACGTACTCTGTGCGATGTCCCGGAGGGCATAGATTACGATCCGCTTGCTCCCCTCCACCTTGATGATCTTCGCCGTGCAGTTGGGCGTGCAGCTGTGGTTGATGAACCGCGCGATGCCGCCCTTCTTGGTCGCGTCGATGACGGTGTTGTCGTCAATGCGGAAGAGGTAGCTACTGCCAATGCCGCTCTTTAGGTATCTGTGTTCGCGGAGCTCGGCGATCTGCTGTCGGACCTCCTCGCCGACGTACTCGATAATCATGTCATCCTTGGGGATGTTCTCCATGGCATACAAACCCCAGTTGTGGATAGCCGACCGGGCGAATTTGACAGGCTTCTTTCGCTTCTTGAGCTGGTTGAACCGCAGGACATCGGAATCCTGACCAAGTGTCTTCCTCTGGTCGTTGAGGTCGGCGACGAAGCGACGGTTGTTGGCCCTGTTGGCCCGCGAATTGCCCTTGGCAACGAGGCTCTCCGCGGCCAGTCTGGCCGCCTCCGCCGCAGCCAAAACCGCATCCTTGGCATTCTTGCCTGTTTGCGCTTGGCGCTCCTCTCTGGCCTTCTTGACCTTCAGGTGATGAGGGAGATACTTCGACTTCTCCGAGTTGAGGATCTTTTTGACTCCTTCGGTTCTGGCGCAGCCTGTCGGGTTGGGGACATAATAACCCTCGATGCGCACTGGATTCCTCGCTGTCCCGTCGGCCGAGTTTAGCTCACGGATGCGATCCCGCCTCCATAACCAGAGCTCCGGCTCATCGATCTTGCCGCGGCCGAACCTCTTACGGAGCCTATCAATGTCCGGCTGGTCTGAATCTGCAAGCGCCAACTCTTGCAACGCCGCCACATCGAACCTGAAATCCGGAGGAAGCTCAAGAGCAGAGACTTTCTCGGACGGATACAGATTCTCATCCAGGTCCGGTCTCTCGTCCTCTTCCGCCTCGGGCTTCTTAAGCTCAGTCTCCGCCTCTGGTGTTGGCCGCGCTTCGTCAACCTCTTCCGATCGCAGAGCCTCTTTCTCGAATATTTCTTGCTGCTGCCGCTTGAGGGCTTCTCTCTCCTCAAACAGCTGCTTCTTTGTTTTCTTCTTCGTCTTCGAGGCCGCCTTCTTCTTAGCAGTGACTTCCTGCGGCAGGGGCGTTGGCAACCGCGAGCCGTCGGTATCCTTCCCCACTACGGCTTCACCATCTGGAAGAAGAATATCCTCCGAGAAAGGTTCCCTAGATGGGAAGTCGATTTCGAGGCGATCGATAGTCACTCCGAAAAGCTCTTCATCCGTCTTCTTCTGCCGTTTAATGGCTGTTTCGACCTGGAGATCCAGCTTCCTCTTCTTGGGGAGCATCGAGCCATCGTTGAGGGCAAAGCTCGCCTCCGTCATGGAATCTTCGTCCCCGGGGCCCCAAGATGCGTAGTCTTTGTCTGCCTCGTCGTCAGAGCTCATACGGCTCCGAGGCCGAGACTCCGGCTCTTCTGTGTCCCTACCGAGCGACGTTCTATTCTCAGTTTCGTCCTCGGATTCAGCTTCACTGTCACTCCTCAGGCGGTAGTGGAGTGACCGGAACGCGCTGCGCCTTGCCACGGGCCGATCCCGCGCAAATGGGTCGTTGAACCCATGCTTACGGGTATTCAACGGTGCGTTCTTGAGCTTGCGAATACGAGGCAGCGCAGAAACATCGAGACGGGCTGTTCTTCGCTCGATAGGATCTGCCCTGGAATTTGGAGTGCCAACCGGAGATCGGTCTTCGTAATCGTCCAACACGATAGGGGGAAGCCTGGCGCCCTGTGGATCCTCGATATTCAGCCTGCGTCGCTTGGCAATGTGGTTGACAGGATCGAGAAAGTTGAACAGAGCCGGCGCCGCGATCTTGGTGCGGATATGCTTGATCAGCTGCTCCTTCATCTCCCGGAGAACCACATCGGCGGCTTCTAGGACTGGATCGAAGTTTTTCGCCCTCTGCCGCTTCTCCTCCTCCAGATCTGCCTCCTCTTCGCGCCTGCGCCGCTCGTGTTCCTCACGCCTGGTTCGCTCTTCGTCGCGCCTGCTGCGGTCGTGCTCACGATGCAACCGACCATCATCAAAATGTTGCCTGTCCGGTGTGCGACTCCGCCGCCGAGCGTCCGAGTTACGCGAGCTTTTGCCAGCGGTCCCGTACAGGTGGAGATCCATGACCATGGTGTAGGTGAAGAACGCAGTACGATCCGCACATCTGTAGCACCGCTCGGCCTCGGCACGTCCATATCCCGAATCCTGAAAGACGATGTAGTACCCACTCCTGTCTGCCCGGATATCCTCGAACATGTAGGTCTTCAGACGTCTCTTCATGTGTGCGATGGTGGTGGACATCACAGGGACATGTTCGTGCGCAACAAAGATGTACGGATCATGCTTGAGATGTATCGCGATGGGGTCCGCCTCTATCACTGAATCCGGTCTAGGCTTCGGCAGCCAGGCACCCTGAATGTTCAGGGCACGATGCGCTGCAGGGCCCTTAGGTGCGGTCGGAGGGGGGCCGGGTATGACTTCTTTAGACCTGGGGCCCGTGGGAATTTTTGGCTCCCCCAGGGTTTGTGCTGACGTCTGCGTGGGTTCTTCACCTTTATTCAGCACCTCTTCGAGCATACGAGAGCTCTTTCTACCCTCAGCGTCATATTCAACGCGGATCGTGTTCGCCTCAATTCTCTTCCCATGCATTGCCCGAATGGCGCGCTTTGCCGCGTCGACCGCGGTGACTGGAACAGGACGTGAGCGGCTCGGCTTTGAATCCCTATAGCGAAATGTGGCAAAGCCTAGGTAGCAGCCAGTCTCCGGGTGCATCTTGTTGCTGCTTTCGGCGATATCGCCAAAAGAAGCGAATACTGCTGTGACCTTGGAGAAGGCAATGAGCGGGTTGAAGCCCGTCACCACAACTTGGGTGGGCGGCCCCGGGCCACAGGAGGTTTTTGGATCATACGCCCATGGCTTCAGGTTGTACGGGGCATGGCGTAGGCGAGCCTTCGGAAGGTGGAAATCGACGTTGATGTAGTTCAATCTCCCACCCTTAGCCAGGCGAGGGTCTGAGGGGGGAGCGTCATCTTGATCGCCCTATGCGCAGCATTAGCCAATCATCCCATACTTCAGATGACGCTCCCCCCTCTCAGTGTAAAAGTAGCAGTTGCACATACCAATCCAAACTCTTTGTATATCGGTTTTGCCTTCCTCCTCTCGGAGCTCGAAAGCGAAGTATCCAGAAGAGGGTCATATGTGCACCTGATACACGTAGTCGAGCGGGACGGGTCTCGGGCAGGCACGCGTTCGGCAGCCGGGGCCTCATGAGCAGTTCCGTTGAGCATCGGGGTATGTCCGTGTCCGTCAAGTCCGTCGGGACGGCGGGGAGTAGTCGACTGCGCCTTTACAGGGCCACTTGTAGATGGATGATGTGAGAGAGAAGCGATTGTAGTGGCAGGGCTGGGTTGGAGACTGGAGCTCTTGTAGAGACCGCAGTCGCTCGGTTGCGCAGGAGCACTAAAGACGGAACAGCTGGAGCTAGTATGCGAGCTGGCCGATCCAGCAGCGTTGAGAGTATCTCCGGCAAGCGACTCGTTCTCGTCCGTCGAGAAGTGCGCTGCATCGCGTCCAGCGCCATTCATCGATGCTCTTGATGCGAAGCCGGTTATGGGGATGGGGCCGTTGTCTCGTTGAGACGATTGTGAAGGGGTCAACGTGGTGCGCTGGCCATTGAGGCCGGCTGCTTGCGCAGATGGAGACTCCTGTGCTTTCGCTTTCGCCCTCTCGCGTTCCATTGCCCTGTCCCTTGCAGCTCGAGGCGCAGCAGGGAAGAACTGGGCGAAGCTCGCACCAGCAGGGCGAGTCATGGCGAGAAAGGGTGATTAGTACCGCTCCCAACGTCCTCTAACCATCATCTCTAATGCCGTTAATTTTATGGAATACCATGCATGAGTGCCGATGATCTTGGATCGAGGCGTGGTTGGGAGAGCTACGCGCGCATGTGCGTCCACGCGACAGAGCTTTGCCGAGACTGTCGCTAGCTGCGCCGGGAGAGCTTAGAGCGGTTGAGAGGGCGCCTCCACGTCGGAAAAAATGCCGAGAAATTTAATCGATGATTGGGACGAGCGGCTACCTGTGCTGGTAAGAAAAGACGTCGCTCAGAGGGTTGAGCTAAACCACCGAAAAATGAAGTGGACTGGAATGAAGTTGAAAGTTTAGGGAACGACCAGGGCGTGACTGAAGTCGCGAGCCATTCCATTGTCTCGCTAAGCCGGAAAAGGCTTGGGCGGTGTGGATGTGCCAAGGTGGCCCGAGCGCATTAAAGGACGTGGCAACTAACCTGTACTAGTACTAGTAGTACTAACATCATCAATGGGAGGCTTGAATGAATCCGATAATTGCAATTGGAGAGTGTTGACTGCTGGGTCAGTAAAAGCACAGAATACGATGTAGTATTCTAGCACTACATGCGGGCAAAGGTTAACATCGGAACCTGAGCGTTGATCAACGACAATTAACACCGAGCCTCTGCATAATGCTACTCTTGGCCCTTCAATAATCACATAACACACATACAGTAACCCGAACCAACCAACCAGCCGGACACGCCAACAACAAAACCAAAACCGCACAACCCGTCAACTCCGTCACTCCATATTCTACAACCACCTAGTTGCGTATCGCCAAGGCGGCACACAGATGAGGAAACCTGTAACTACCTCAAGGTGCCGGGACGTGCCGCCTTTTGCCCAGCGGGAACTTTTCTGCCGGTAACTGCTCTGGGCACCTGCGCTGTTTTGGAGGCCTGGGCTGCTTTCGGAACTGGCACTGTTTTGCGGGCCGGCGCTGTCTTGGCCTTCTGCTTGGGCAACTCCTTGCTCTCAGGGATATCGCCGATGCTCCAATCGAACTCGTCCATATCCCTGAGGATCTGCTCTTCTCCGCGCTGAAACCGCTGCTGTTGCCGCGCTTCCATTTCGCGCTCCATTGCAGTCTTGCCTTCGTCATCCACACGGTTGAAGTAGTACTGGTAATATCCCTTGAATAGATTCTCGGGCTTCAGTCCCTCGAAGGTTAAGACGCCGTCGGGGAACACATCGGATTCATACTGAATATCGTGTGGCCTTGGCGGCGCGTACTCGATTTCTTCTTCGGCCGAATTCGTGTCTGCGTGCACTTCAAGCTTCGAAGGTGAGGCTTCAGCTCGGGGCGCGGACGGCTTCGGCCGAAGATTTGTGGTCGGCTTGATGGTAGTCTTCTCGAAGTCGCGGGCGAGTCCCTTGACAGCCGGGGTCTTGCCGGCCGGTGTTTGGTGCGTCGCCCTGGCTTTGGCATTAGTGGTCTTGTTTCCAAGAGGTGCCCGAGCCGTCCTTGGTGCTGCAGATGGTGTTAGCTACAGAATCAACTCGGCGCATAGGAGCTTGACGCACCCGCAGGCGTCACCAGCGCCGGCTTGCCTGATTTGTCGAGGCCATTTACACCCTTTCTAGCGGTGAGAGTGTTCTCGTTGTTGGCGGACTTGCCGAGGCCATTTCCGCCTCTTCTAATGGCGAGTACGTTCTCGTTGTTTTCTTTGGCTGCGAACATCGTTGTGGGAATGCTGTGATGGCCTCCCAGCTGGCCGCTGCGTGGTGGTTTTGTGGCAAATGAGGATGCGGATTGATTGATGATCTATTGAAGCCGTGCGCAGCAAGTCAATGACTGGGTCGCGGCGTTGCGTGGATCTGTCAATTAGTATAAGGAAACGCACGGCGAGGGTTGGCACAGCAACGGCGCAGTTGATTGCCTGCAAGTGACCCCACCATTAGCCGGGCCAGGGCGATCAGACAAAGGGACAGCAAATGGAAACGGTGAGGGGCAGTTGCGGTTCCTCATTTCTTCCCCCATTTCCTCCCCACCACCGCCTGCCTGCGGATACCGCTCATCTGCTGGCATCCACCGACTTCTCTTCTTTTCAACCTCGCCCAACGAGTTGCAACATTCCAGCTGTGATCTTTTGCTTTTGGAAATCTAATCTGCTTCCCGACTCGAATCTAACTCGACCATCAACATCATGGATCGCATCAAGGAGGTGAGTGCTTAATCTCTAGAGCTGGACCCCTGTTTGGCCCCACCATTGGGTTCACCGTCAAGTCTCTCGATATGGCCACGACTATCGCTCGTCCGGTGTTTCCACACCCGCATTCCCGCGCGGCATCGTGGCTGCTTACTATAGTGCGAGATGTTCTACAGAGAGCTAACATATGATGTCCGCCTTAGAAAATGAACCAGCTCCGCCTGGAAGCCGAGGAGAACTCGGCGAAGGTCGAGGAGCTCCAGAACAAGGTCAAGGCGCTTGAGCAGGAAAACCTTCAGAAGGAGCAGGAGATCATCTCCCTTACGCACAAGAACAGTGTGCTGGAGGCCGAGGTAGAGAAATACGAGACGCAAGTCAAGGAGCTCAAGGCTGCTGCCAGCGAAGGCCAGCAGCACGGAACCCAGAACGAAACGCTGACTCGAAGGCTCCAACTTCTCGAGGAAGAGGCCGAGGAAGCCGACAGGACTTTGCGCGAAGCCAACGAGAAGTAAGCCCGATGTTCCCGGCTCGGATGTTCCAAGCCCGGCGCTCTCTGGATTATTGCTGACCGCCTGCTCTCTAGGCTGCGGCAGACCGACGTCAAGGCCGGACACTTCGAGCGGAAAGTCCAGGCTCTCGAGCAGGAGCGCGATCAGTGGGAGGCCAAGTACGAGGAGATGGCCAAGAAGTATGCCGCTGCGCAAAAGGAGCTCGAGGACTTCCAGAACGAGATCAACACCATCTAGCGGTTACGCGCGTTGGTCAGGCGGGTCAGGCAGCGGGTTTGGTAGCACTGAGTGGCGTGTCCTAGGTTCAGAAACTTTCTGTGCGGCATATCCCACCGATGGAGGAGGCTTGGAGACGGACCGGTCGTTAGCACCGCTGAAATACTTACAGTGTTGCGACACTCAAGTCACGCCTACACACCCTCATAAACCCCGTTTTCGCACAGTGTATACGCTCAAATAATCCGGTAATATTTAATTCAGTCTTTTCCCTGTCTGGATTATCTTTTCCTCCGACGCGCCTTCTGTTTTCGTGCTTCCACGTCCCTCTCAAGCTTGGTTTCGTACCGGAACTTCTCCCTTTTCTTCTTGGTCGGGTCTTTCGACCGCTTAGTAGTTCCGTTGGCGTCCTTCCCGGGATCATCACCGCCGTTTCCATCCTCGTCTGGAGCCGAGTCTCCATCTTCCGAGGATTGCTCCAGTTCTGGCTTACGCAGGCCATCCCGGTCGACGCTAACTGCTTCCACGGTGACTGTCGTGTACTTGTCCTCATCGATGTATTCCTCTTCTAGGTCGATCGGCGGTTCCGGAACATTTGCATCCGACAGGCCTTCCCACTCCTCCTCAGAGCCGGCATTGTTCTGATCACTCGTGCCGGCGTGCTCGGCCTCTCGCAAGATCTTGTTGATAGCCTCGACATGTTCTTCGACAGCTTGTCTCCGTTGTTCTCTTATCTAACAAGACTTTTAGCATATGTTACAATAGAAACTGGACGTCTTCCTCATACCTGCTTGCGCATTTCAATTCTGTCCTGCCGAGCCTTTCGCTCGGCTATCTCTTGCGCATGCTTGATCCGCGCCTGCTTGCGCTTGTGAAACCCGGTGAGGTACTCGGCGCGAGCATCTTTATCGAAGGTGATCTCCTCAATAGCATGTGTAATTTTCCTTTTCTTCGGCGGCGGAGGCACAGCTTTTCGTATCCTCGGTTGCGCAAACATTTTGGGTTCTTCCACCTCTGCCTGCTGGATGCTCTCTTAAGGTGAAGGAACCTTGTAAATTTAGCTGCAAGCCGGCAGCTCCTGCATTTCACGATTCTCGTCGGCTTATCGGCGGTTCTGCCGAGCTTGACCGCCCTGTCGTGCCGTTGGTGCTGCATCATCCATCCAAGCCACCCAGGAGCTCCCGCATCGGCGCATTCAGCCTCTAACCTCATCCACCGCTGTCAATGCCGACGTAATACTTCGGCATCACCGCAACAATGAAATCCCACATAGCAGCGTCGTTGCTGGCCTGCTGGGCAGCTCATGTGCAGGCGTTTTCGGATTCGTCTCCCTTTATCCTGTTTTCAACCGCGAAGTACGTCCATCCATCCGTTGGATCAGGTTTCTCCCCATCCGAAGTCCCCCTTCACGGTTATACAGAGTGCTCACCAAGCATTTCTCGCAGATTACCACCTCCTTCGTCAATCACTCAACTGCAAACCTCGTCTCAAGTTCTCACTGGCGCCAAGTCCCTCCTCGCATCATGTCCTACACGGCGGTACATTCTTGTCTCGCAACCAAACATGCACGCTGCCGACATCCGCGACGATGGCGACAACGGCTGCAACATGCCGAATCTTTGTCGTGCAGTGCAGTCAGCAGGTGCCCAAGAGAATGTCTGGGCCGTTGCTGAGGTGGTTGGCCAGGTTTCCGGGCAACCGCTAGCTGAGTATATCACACAGGCGTGTCAGGAGCGCCGGGGGCAGGCGCCGACGGTGGAGAGAGTTGAGCTGAGGCACTTGCCTCCCGTTGCTTCTGGGGAAAGAAGTGAAGAGGCGAGGAGGGATATCCTTGGGGATAATGGTACGTTTCTCCCAAGCAATGGAGCGTCAGCGACGGACTGCTGACGCGTCGGAAACAGACCATGAGCTGGGCAAGCTGCTCGAGACCCTTGACAGCGATTACACTGTCATGCTTTTGTCGGATCCGAACGAGATCAAGGCATATCAGCCCGATTTCGCTGAGCCCGTGCATATGGACATGAAGCGCTGGTCCGAAGATCGGGGGGTTGCTGCACCAAAGAAAGGCAACTCGACTTCGAACTTGCCGCTATTTGAGAAGTATCAATTCTTCACGCCTGGTAAGTTTTTGTTGTTGGCGTTCTCGCGGTGGCCTACTAACTCGGAGATAGGCATCTTCATGTCGTTCATCGTTCTAGCGATCCTTCTGTCTATCCTGGGCGTAGGCCTCAAGGCCATTTCCAGCCTGGAGGTATCCTACGGTGCGTTTGACAAGGAGATGGGACCGGCTGCCCAAAAGAAGCAGATGTAACAAGATCACGATGTCTGTGCTTTCGCAGAGTGAATGCGGCCTGGCTTGTTTGACGTTGTAATATTTCTCTCGGAACGGAGTTCGGAGGCTTGGGCATAGCTTTGGTATCATCAATCCTATCTAGACTTTGGTTGAACATGAACCATAATGAGCCCCGAGGGGATATCTGGTTGTGGATGCCATTGCATGGTTCAACATAACCCCTGATTTCCTTCCAGCTACATGCTCGGATGCATGCGGAATGCCATGGCATGTACTTCATTGCTGAAAGCTTCATGTCGTCAGCAGCGTGAGCCGACCCTGTAATGAATGCCTCTCCCGTTGCGGATGGATGATGAACGCCTTTTCCCCCTCCCAACCTCCACAATGTACTTTCCGCTCATACCAGGTGACTTGGCAAGAGGAAATTTGCAATCCCTTCCCGAATAGCATACTCGTGTCCGCAATGCCCGCACACTAACTTGCCCTCGTTGATTTGCGTCTCCATGAGCAACGTGTGCAGGTCCTTCAGCATTTTTTCGTCAGCCCGAAGCTCCTCAACCGTGGGCGGCTGCTCAGGCAGTTCAGGGAAGCCCAACTACACATAAGGTTAGTAAAGATGGTTTTCGTTAAGGCTCCATGATGAGTTACGATGGATATGAGCGGCAGAAGCCAAGTTGACCCCGACCCGGCATGATGAAACGGAAATGATGAGGACAGGGCATGTTCCTCCAAAACAACGACTCCGAGCTGAAAAAGAAACATCAATTTTACTTGCCTCTGTCGATGTTGTCCGCAGCGCATTCCAATCGATGCGGGGCAGCAAGTTGACTAACAACTGAGGATTGAGCTCGACATCATCACTGACAAGCTCTGCATCCTTAGGGTGCAGCGGAAATGAGTCGGAAGAAGCCTTGCACGTCTTGACCGCGCAGGTCAGAAAATTTAATGTCAGAACCTTCATTTTTGGGCACTATTGCTGTATGTAGAACAGATGGCTCGCAACTTTCAGTCTTGAAGGTGACGGAAAAAAAAGTTACGGATGCCTAAAACGGGGCCACTTAATGCGTCTAACGAAGGTCTGATGAAATCCCATCTTCAACCACTTTTTTGGAACCACGACGGCATCTAATCAAATCCCCGAGACAGATCTGTATCCTGTAACTCAGGCCAGAGACTTCCTATGGCCAACATCGTCCCTCGTCTGCTCACTCCTCGAAAACCGAAACCACATCGCAATCACCGCCACCACGATGCCGTAAAGCAGCAGCTTGGCTGAGAGGGACCAGTCTTCGGCTCCTGGGCAAGCACGAAGGGCGGAAAGTCAACGATCAGCACATTGTCCCTTAGACAAATTCAGGATCCAGCGATAGGGGACTGCATCTTGCTATCGTCGGCAGACCCATCTACAGTGCCTCCTTTTCCTCATCCCGCGGTTCTCAAAGGGGATTGTCAGAAATGGCACGCATTGTAGAAGGAGCTAGAGTTCCACATGGATACCTTCAGGTGGGACCTCGAGCTCGCCGCTCTTGGCGATCTTGACAGTCTTGACGGGCTTGTCACCGGGTTGGGTCTCGACGTTCTCGATCTTCTCAACGACATCGTAGCCTTCAAGGACCTCGCCGAAGACGACGTGACGGCCGTCGAGCCAACTGCCACCATCCACATTAGCAAAGCGTCCATGTAGAACCGCTTCCCGGACGACACTCGGCGACTTACGAGGTGACGACAGTGGTGATGAAGAACTGGGAGCCGTTGGTGTCCTTGCCCGCATTGGCCATGGAGAGAAGGCCCTTCTTGGAGTGCTTGAGCTTGAAGTTCTCATCAGGGAACTTCTCGCCGTAGACTGCGACCATGGATGTCAGCGCCTCGGATCCATCCGCCAATCGCGCAAGGCCTAGGGAATACGCACTGGACTTGCCACCAGTTCCGTCGCCCTTGGTGAAGTCGCCGCCCTGGATCATGAACTGCTTAATGACCCGGTGGAAGGTCGAGCCCTCGTAGCCGAAGCCCTTCTCGCCAGTGGCAAGAGCACGGAAGTTCTCGGCTGTCTTGGGGACAGTCTTGCCGTAGAGGCCCATCACAATGCGTCCGAGGGGCTCATCGCCGTGCTCGATGTCGAAGTAGACCTTGTGGGTGATCTTGGGGCCCTTGACGGCGGCAGCCGGCTGAGCATACAGCAAGCTGACGCCCACCACCAGCGTGGCGGCGAGGAAGAGCCGCTTGAGATTGAACATTTTGGCAGTGTATTTGTCCGTGAGGTGGGATTCAAGGTTGATGGCGTGTGATGAATCGAAGTCAATTGCAATAGATAAGCGGAGAAAGTAGCGGAAAATAAGGCCAGAGTTGACTGTTGTTGAAGCTACGTTTCAACTTAGCAGGAGCTCCAACCCCAAACGTCGTTGGCGGGACGGATGACAGGGGTTTCTGGCGCAGAACGGCGCACGGTGTTGCATGTTGCCAGTTGCAGGCTGCGGAGTACCTAAGGCGCAGTCGCATCTTCTTCCGCTACGAAATACCCCGGCCGTGACTCTATTGAACACGGACGAATCCCAGCTCCATCAGCGTGCAGGTAGAAACGATATCCACCACGAACGCAATATCCATGGATGAGTTCTTGAACTCCTAGCTGAAGTACTATCTTCCTTAGTACTGCTAATACGTATCAAATAGCAGCGTGTTTACTCATCCTGCGGAATAGCGAAATCGAGCGTAGAATGCAGATTGGCAGCGTCGGAATCAAACGAACCTGGGACGGCCACTCCGCGCAAAAAGAGTTGAGACAACAGAACATTAATATTAACAGCTGGTGCTAGTTTGCTCAGATACAGACCTTCACGCCATGCCAGTTGCCAGCTCGCAGCTTGTAGAAATGAAGAATACAGTTGATGCTTGGTTCATCCTGCTGGGGTCGGAGACCTCGCGCCAGCTGGCATCGACATTGTCGTGTTCGTGCTTAATGACAGTGTGATATATAGATGCATGAGATTCTGTATGACGAAAAGAGACCCAGAGTTGCAGTCGCGCTGAAAGGGGCACTGGACGTGCTGCCACTGGCCCGCTGCTTGTGGCAGTCAATGGTTGGTCGGGCAGCCAGTAGCCCTCCTTTGGATGGCCTAAGGTACCCATCCCCATCAGTTCGACGAGTTCATACGGAAGACCAGCAGAAGTCTTCGACCGCATGGTGCCCTACATTACGGATTGCCAGCCACGTACCTCGGGGTATGTGCGTAGTCTAGCAGCCAAGAGCGTTTCACGCTGCCCAGGAATCTTGAAAGGTCTTTCAGCATGTGAGAAACCAATGAGCCGACGAATCGACCTACCCTCAAGCAAGTAAGGGCAAATTCCATCGTGTCTTGACTAACCGACGTAGCGATGGTGTCGATAGTGGCGGGAGATCCGGCAAATGCCTGGTCGATATGCCAGCACATTAGCAACCTTACAAAGATACAGTTATGCTCTCCAGCTTGGGTTAAAGAAACGGACAAGCAGGTTTATTGAAGAGAGTGAACTGCACCTGGTCCTAACTCGGGAAGGAAAATAGATGAACCACTCGAGGAGCTTCCTTCTGGCTGGTTTATGTACCTGCCTCCCCACGTGCTGTAAATATACGCTCGTATTCGTGGATCTGCCCATGAATCCCATCGTGGGTGAAGCTATTTCGGGGAGGGGATAGTGCCTAAATGGTGAAGTTACGGAGGAGCGGAAACAAGCAAGATAAGGTACGCAGCCGAGGGCGAGCAGCCAGTCGCCTCCATACGCCACTCAATCAAAGTGAAGAAGTGCGGAGTGTCCCTATCCAACCAAGACCAGGGGCATGAAAGGGCGGCTCTCTAGATGACCCAAAGCGCACCATGGATGGTGTCACGTTATGCAAAGCGGCAGCACCAAGTATGAGGCGCTGATGTCTAGATAGAAGCTCAGACTGCTCAGCCAGCTCATGTTCTATACTCTTGGATTAGATAGTAGTATCATTGCCAAGTCAACAAACAGCCCTTTCAAATCGCCAAACGCCACCCCCAGATAATCCCAAAACACAAGAATTCCGATTTTCCAACCCAAGTCTTAAGAACGAACCCAATTCGGGAGCATTGTGTCCGAGCCCAAGGACAGACTAGACAGGCGGATGGGCCGCAACCCCCCGTGGGTTAGCGGATCTCCCAGTCGACCGCCGGCAGGACGAGCGGCAGGAGGAGCGGCGGGTGTGGGGACCGGTGCGGGAAGCGGAGGAGGAACGGGACCTGGCACGGGAGGGAACGGGCTTGGGTCCTCGTAGGCGGGCGAGGGAATCCCAATTGCCGGACTCGAGGGCTGAGTCGAGCTCCCCTCCTGGGAAGCATCGGACGGTGTCGGCAGCGGACTCAGAGTAAACTGAGCCTTCCGGCACAGTTCGCGGAACCGCCTCTTCTCCTCGGAGTCCATGCGGTAGCGCTCGACCCCGGGCCAAGGCATGGGGCCCCGGACGGGAGTGCGTCGGTGGATGGGCCTGCCGGTTGGTGTTGGGGCCGGGGCTGGCGCCTGGTTTGACTGTCCAGGCGCACTGGGACCATTGCCGTCGGGTCCGGATGTGGCGGGGGCAGCCGGCGTTGTTTGTTGATACTAGTTTGCGTTAACCTCTTTATCATTTGTCGTTTTGGTGAAAACGTTTGGAGAACATACTACTTTGCACACACCTGGGCCCGCATAGACGCCCAGCGGGTGGCTGCGGCGGGGGGCCGGGACACCTGTCGGGCTTGCGGCCGCGGCGCCAATGGTGGCGGCAACGGTGGCGGCAATGGCGTCCGCGGTGGTGGCACCCGTGAAGGGCAGCGACGACCGCGTCGAGGTTTGGTTGGCCGTGCCTGAAGCACTGACGCCAGTGACGAGGACGGAGGGGGCAGAGCGTGTCCGTTTAATCATCTTTTTCAATTCTTGCTTGATTTCTGATTAAGGATGAGCAAGCTGACAGCCCCTCTGAGCGGACGGGGCCGAGAGTCACTGCTCTTATACCACCTGCCCTGTCTTCCTCGCCACCCTGGGCCCGGGCCCGGGCTCAAGCGCTGCGGCTGACTGGAAGCTCCAAGGTACACGGGTGCTGTGCATGCTGACAGTCTTACCTACATTTCAGCTTTTCGCACTATGCGGCCTCCTGCTGAACAGCCTCATCCCTAAAAGGAACAGGCTACCTTGGTAACATCCAATAGAGACCGAAAACTTTCAACGCACACCCGACGCACCGAAGACTCCGTATAAGCGCGCGGGCCCCATGATGTAGAGCATGACTATGGCACTACGAAGGCCATTCAGGTCAACTGAAGATAATGGGGCAGTAGGCTAGTAAGAATATTCTAGGAGGAATATCCCTTCTAACACACTTCCAAGTCCCTGTCACTCCCTATGACAGTACGGACAAGTTCAATGGAGGGTGTCGCTGCTTGTCACCTTTCGCAGCAAGGGTGATGGAATCCGTGCATTTCAATAACGATGACTCTTCGGGAGTAAAAGCCTATCCAATCTATTGTCTACTAGTAGTTGGGCAAGGTACCTTAGCTCCCCATACACAGCAATTCGTAGCTTGATGTTTTTCCCTAAATGTCACCTATAAAGTGTGACGTAGAATAAGATATTTTGAGCGTAAATACCTACCTAAGCTAAATACCAATCCTTTTAGGGTACTCTCCTCATCGTAGTCTGTTACTGGCAATATACCTACCTTATCTGTGATTGTCATGGCATGCTGCGTCCCATCCCAGGACCTTCTCTTCCTATAAACTGCTGCGTCGTTATCAGTACTCCTTGGGCGCCCTGATGCCCATGAACCCGTGATTGCTTGCTCTCGAATTGATTGTATTTTGACTTTGCATAGTTCTAATGGACTGCAACAATGATGACTGCCACTTGGCGACCTGCCAGGCTGTCTTCCTATCACGTGTCAGGCCAACAGGCACAGCCGTAAGGACGGGAGTTCCATGAGACCTTCACTTCCAGATTGTATGTTGCTTGCTATCTGGCATTAATGCACATGGGCACGCAGTAGTTGAGGGGATCTCAGTACTAGGGCTTTATACAAGTTTTAACGTATACTATATAACATACGTTCGCTGTATATAACAGTCTTGTTCGCAACATCCCGCCCTCGGACTTAGGCTTAGGGCTACTGCTTGCATCATGGCGCTTCTGGTGAATGTCACGATCGTGAAGTCATTAGCCCAGGCAGCACCTCTTGCAGTTGTTCTGAGGTAAACAGTATACCTCAGACATCTCGGTACCCACTAGCCACGGTCATTTTATCACACCGTACTGGTTACCTGCCTACCTCTGCCAGGTACCCGACCTTATCCGGCGTTAGTAACGTTATTGTACCTGTAGAACGGAGTTCCAGTCGAGTTACTAGTACTGTAATATACGGAGTATACTAGTAGCGGCAATTTCAAGTACTACTCGTACCGTGTAATTGTACTCGTGTACGGTATTGTACAGTACAAGCACATCCGTAGAGTACACTAGAACGCGTATGACCGGAATAGTGGACCTCTAACGAGTGCCCCATAGGTACTCCGTTTGTATTGTACGGATTACATCCATCACCGTGACACAGTTGCCGCACTTATTGCCAGGTACATCGCAAGTGACTCGGATAGCTGGTCTGAGCACTCCAGACTACAACCGAGTCAATCGCACACCTTTGCGACACAGCATCTGGCCGACATGTCCTGAAACTGACTGTCTAATGCCACAACTTAGCTTATAGCGTGACCCACGACGGTGCGGGATGATGTCTTCGACGAACGAGGAGGACCCGTTCCTCCAGGTGCAGCAGTGCGTCCCGCTCCGCTCCCTCCTTTCCGCGCGAGAAGTAACTGACAACGACGTTACCCACAGAGATGTTTTGAACCAACTGCAATCGGCCCGCTCCCTCTTCACCTCCTACCTGCGCATCCGCTCCCTCGCGACCTCAGCTACCTCGCCCGAGCTCGCCTCGGCCCGCGCGGACCTCGAATCCTCCCTCAACTCCCTCGCCGAAGACCTCGCCGACCTGGTCGAGTCCGTCCGAGTCGTCGAGTCGAACCCGTCCCACTATGGCCTCTCCGCCGCCGAAGTCACCCGGCGCAAGCGCCTCGTGCAGGAAGTCGGTGGCGAGGTAGACGACATGCGCGAGGAGCTCTCCAAAGTCGCCTCCTCCACTTCCGCAGGCGGCGCCGCCGGTCGAAATCAGAAAGGGAAAGGGAGCAGTGGTACCGACCTCCCAGAGCCATCCTGGTTTGCGATTCCCGACGGCGAAGGCGGGGACGCCGACAACGACTACGCTGCCGAGTTTGAGCGCGAGCAGCAGGTCGTGATGATGCGCGAGCAGGACGAGCATTTGGACGGAGTCTTCCAGACGGTGGGTAACCTGCGGCGCCAGGCGGACGACATGGGGCGGGAGCTGGAGGAGCAGGTCGAGATGCTCGAGGTGGTGGATCAGCTGGCAGATCGGGTGGGCGGGAGGCTGCAGACGGGGATGGAGAAGCTCAAGTACGTGATGAGGAGGACTGAGGATCGGTGGAGCAGCTGCTGCATAGGGGTCCTAATCGTTGTGTTGATTATATTGCTGATACTGTTGTTGGTTCTCTGAAACAAGCGTACCGTAGGGTCTGGGCTGGGGCGGTTTGGGTTCTTTGGGATGTGTTTTGGCATGGAAGACATTATACCTGAGTGTGTAGAGATGGGGGTTCCTAGAACTAGGCGTTTTGGGTTTGCCTTGGTCAGCTATTCTGACATGCTGGGTATCTAACACAATGATACTCTCCGCTTCCGTTTGCCAAAAGTCCTTACACCTTCTCTAATAAAGACGACCACTCCTCCTTGTTTTTGCCCCATTAGTAAATTGACATGGCATTCCTTCTCTATCCCGAGCCCATGGTGAGGGAGCCCTCTCACGTGCCATTCCCGTACCCTGATCAGACCACCTTATCCAAGAGTAAGACCCATCTCCCGCTTCAACACCTGGGCCAGCACCTCCAGAGAATTCACCGCCGCCGACTTCTGTGGAGCCCTGGCGGGAAATTCGACCAAAGCGATTTCCAGAGCCGCGATAGCGGCCGACCCGTAGAACTCGATGAACTTCTGCTCGTAGTTCTCTACCATCGCCTTCAGGACAACACATTGGGTGTTGGAGATTTCAGCAGACGGCGTGTTGACAATTCGCGCCATGGCCGTCCAATAATTCCGGGCAGGATAAGGGTTCTCCTTTTTGGACGCCATAAACTTTCGTAGAGAAATTGATGCGAAGCCGGCCCCGAGACCTGTCATGCGGTCCATGTGCTGCTGCTCCGTCACCCATTGCCCGTTGTCTTTCCACCAGCCTAACCTCTGCCTCCCCTGCTCCGTTCTCTCACTCCCTCTGTAGCCAAAGAGGACCGGACAAACTATCCTGAACTTAGCGAGCAGGATATCGATCATCGATGCGCCCCGCCAGAGAAAATCTGGGTCGGAAAGGACGGCGGCAACGCAGACACCAACAGGATCCGCCGTTTCTGGCCGTGCGCTGGCCTCGTTGATGAACTGGGAAATGGCGGCTTTCGCAAAAATGTTGATTAAATAGAGAAAGATTGATGGAAGTATCGGCTCGTTGTGCCTAGCCCCTGCAACCGGATTCCTCGGCTGCAAGACGAAGTTGCTGGGATCTACCAGCTGCGACTGAACTTGGTTCGATAGCGCCTCGCGCAGCAGCGCCAATATCCGTTGTTGCTGTTTCAATCACGTCAGCGATGTTTTCCGCCAAGAAAGACCCTGATTCCGTACCTGTGTCTTGTTTACGCCCGCGACTCCCGAGGACACGGTGAGTTGACCGATGGATTTCCGGATTTCCCGCCGCATGTCACCCATTCTTGCTTTGAGAGCCGCATTTGTTTTGGCTTGTTCGGCCACGGACTTCCGCAGCGCCTTGAGATTCTTGTGGATCTCGGTATACCTGTCCGGAGGCGGTTGTGCAGGCGGCGGGGCCGGCGGCGGAGCGGGCGACCGAGCTGCCGCGGACGTGGAAGCAACGCCATTCGGCTGCGGTGTGTGATTGAGAAGACTGCCGACCCCTAGAACCGAGCTTGCCGGCCTCGCAGGCTGCGACGATTTGTTGGGAACAGACGTTGGTGCCTGAGCTGGTGGCCCTGCGACCGGAAGTCTCGACGTGACGCCGGCAGGAGGCTCTGGAGGTCGTGGCGATGGCGATGGCGTCCCGTTCGTCTGCGCGGGCGCATTGTTCTCGACTGGTGCGGCAGCAGGTGCCCTCCCATTTATTGTAGGTGGCGCAGCAGGGGCGGGGCTCGGTAAAGGGGACGGAATCGGAATCTTCTGCGCCTTGAGCGCATTCAATCTCGTGCGTTCCGCAGCGAGTTGTTGCTCGAGTCTGATTCTCTCTTCCTCTTTCCTTTTCTCCTCGAGGAGTCGCTGCCGTTCCTCCCGTTGGAGCTGCTCCCAGTATACCCGTTCAGCATCCTCTCTGATACGGGCATGTTCCCTTTTAGCAGCTTCAAGAAGCTGTCTGTGTCGCTCCTCGGAGTTCCTGTCATCGGCGATGATTTCGTCAATGATGGAGCGCGGGCGCTGCGGACTCGCCCAATGGTTGCTCTGCCGTCGGAGAGGAGATGAGCCTGCCATAATTGATATCGTGGGACGTAATGTCGCGTATCGCGCCTATAGGATCATGTTTCCCAGTGAGTTGTGAGGCTGCGGTGCAGGTGCGGAACCAGCCATTGTTTGTTGATGAGCTAACGATAGAATGCCTGACGGTCCGATTTTTACGAGATGCACACCTGGGCCCAATGTTTGCCTGCCTACCTACTGTGTAAGGTACCTTACGTATTCGTACCTACTATGCTAGGCGGTACAAACTTGTAGGTATTGTACTACTACTGTACTTGTACCTCATCTACTACCCGGTGATTAGTATAGGTAATGATTACGGAGTAACGGGGCCCTTATGAATTACCGTACCATCTCGATCCATTGTCACACTGGAAAGACAAGTACCGTATCCACTTACTATCGAACCAAGAATTGGCGAACCTCCTAGTAGGTATGACTTACGTATTCAAAGGTAAGGTAAGTCCTCAGCGACCGATATGTTCCAACCTGGGAACCACCTAGGGAGGCACCTGGTAGGTTAAGTAGAGAACAAGTGGCCATCCTGGATAAGGTCAAGGTACAATACCAAGTAGTACCTGGTAGGTATCATGCACTGCTCTTGTTCCTTATATTGCGCATCTTCATTTTCTCCCCTCAGCCCTTACGCCGCAGTAGACTTTTGCGGATGCTGCTATGCCAGGATGCTAGATTGCATATCCATCGCGCCTCACGAGCCCCCAGAACATGAGACCTGCCACTGAAAGTCTGAAACTGTTACTGCATGCGCCATCTGACCCCAGCAGCTAGGCTGAAAACAATGCACAGGCTTGTCTCGAGCTTGTATCAGCTACGGCTAGATAATGATAAACATAAGTAGCACTGCATTTCCACCCAAAAAAAAAACGCTGAATTGACAACGATGAAGCTCGCCGCCGAGCAATGATACCATATGATACCATGTCGTCAACAAACGTCGGGTGTCTTGCAGCCCAAAGGTTGCAGTTATTGAGAGCTGAAGTGGAGGTCTCTTATTAAGGTACTAGTACTAGTACCTTATGATTACACGGTTACGCCCCAGTACGAGCTTCAAACCTCAACACCAAGGCTCTCGTGCGCAGCTGCAAGCACGGGCCAAGCCCCTCGCCCCCTCTGTGCCCCACTTTCCACCTATTCCCTTTCAGTGCTAGGAGGGTTCCGCTGAAGCACGGAGCACACCCAAGGAGCAACCTTCCCGCCGCTTTGCCTCGATCCCATCGTCATCACCTTCCACCCTCCTTCCTCAGCCACCTACCTACCGTATTTTCCCCCTAAAGGCATCTGCCAATTTTGCCATCCGCGCATCAAGCTCGTCTAGCCTGTCCATCTCTCTTGATCAGCCCTCCCTCCTTGCCTTTCTTCAATCTCTCATTAACCTTTTTGGGCTCGACATCGTGCAGCAAAATCGTCCGTGGGCAACGCCTCCGCAAAATCATCCAAAAGACAGCAGCCAGATCCCAGTCCCGTAAACCAGATACGCAACTCCTGTCTTTCCCGCTTGCAAACGCATCCGAATACAGTTTGTTCCGCACTTGACGTGCATTTATCGATTTGCTCCGCTAGCCTTCCCTGCATCACCAAATGCCGCCATGGAGCAGCAGCCACAACAGAACCAACAGCAACCTCAAGCCGGTGGCGTTCCTGGGCCTACTGGCCGCCGGCTGCACATCGCACATCGCAGAAGCCCGTCGGAACTGACCCCATTGATGAGTATGTTTGTTGCAAACCCCGGTAGTAAGTTGGTGTTGCTCTCTTGCCACCTCGCTACATTGCAACCCCCGGCCCCCCCCCCCCCCTCCTCCCCCTTTTTTTTTCTCCCACTCCGTAGCCATAGTGTGGTCCCCCTACAGGGCACCAAGCTCGAATGCTTGTCGCTCTTCTCAATCCATCCTGAATCGTGTACCATGGAGGCTAACATGACTCTCTCTTCTCGCAGTGGAGCAGCTGGCCATCCAGCAGCAGATCGAGATGCTGCAGCAACACCAGCAGCAGCTCCAAGCGACCTATCATCAGATGGGCATGCTGCCGAATCAGGCCCTCGGTCCCGGCGGCTTCAACCCCCTCCAAGCCGCCATGACAAATATGTCGCCGCAAGCTGGCTTCCAGTTCCCAACCCAGCTTCAGCAGCAGAACGTGCCCCTTGCCGCGCCAACACAACCATTGTCACATCGCCGAAATCAGTCAGCCATACCCAACATGGGCATGGGCCCGCCTCCAGCACCGTCTTCTGGCGCATCTGGAGCCGCCTTTGGCAGCTTCGATAATATGCAAGGACAGGGCAGGGAGAATACTGGCGGCCGTGGTGGCCGAGGCGGCGGCGGTACCGGAGGCGGCCATCAGAGACGCCACTCTCTGGCCCTTGCCGACGCCAAGAAGGCTGCCGAGATCGCACAGCAGAAGCGCACCACGTCGGGCTTCCAATTTCCCGCTCCCGGCGCCTCGGGCTCGGTCGAAAGATCGGAGGACGAGGCCAAGAGCGCAACCCCCTCCCAGGCCCCAGCGGAAAGTCAGCCAGCGCAGGCCCCGTCCTTCCGCGGCGGCCGCGGCGGCCATGGACGAAGCCAAAGCATGGCTGTCGGCCCGAACGGTCGCGGCGGCTTTGGTGGCGATTTCCCCCGCCGCGGTGGTGGAGGTCATGCCCGCACCTCTTCTCGGAACTTCGACAGCAACTGGCGCACTCAAAACCAGGGCCAGGGCCAGGGCCAAGATCAGACAGGAGGTGCCGGCCAGAATCAGGGATTCCAGCCGGGCCACCGCAGTCGTACCTCCATCAGCCACCAATCCGTCGCAAATATTGGCGCGTTCCAGTATCCCGGTCAGCCCCAGCTTATGCAGCTTCCTGGTCAGATGATGATCCCCGGTCTGTACACGGGGCAGCAGTTGAACCCCATGCAGCTCAATCAGTTGCAGGCCCTCCAGGTTGCGTCCATGAACGGGCAGCACATGGCCGGGCTTCAAGCTAGCCAGCATGCTCCTCCCATGGTTGCTCAGCAGCCCCAACAGCAGCAGCAGCAGCAGCGCAAGACTCTCTTCACTCCTTACCTGCCGCAAGCCACGCTTCCAGCCCTGCTGGGTGATGGGCAGCTTGTTTCTGGCATTCTCCGCGTGAACAAGAAGAACAGAAGCGACGCGTATGTCTCGACCCAAGATGGCCTCCTTGACGCCGACATTTTCATCTGCGGCAGTAAGGACCGCAACCGTGCTCTTGAGGGAGATTTGGTCGCGGTCGAGCTTCTGGATGTTGACGAGGTCTGGGCTCAAAAGCGCGAGAAGGAAGAGAAGAAGAAGAGGAAGGACATCACCGATACCCGTTCTGGGTCGACTGCCAGCACCAGTCAAGTTGGCGGTAATGGTGACGACAACGGCAATGGCGAAGGCGGTATCCGCCGACGTGGCAGTCTAAGACAGCGGCCTACACAGAAGAAGAATGATGATGTCGAAGTCGAGGGCCAAAGCCTGCTGCTTGTCGAGGAGGAGGAGATCAGCGACGAGCAGAAGCCTCTTTATGCTGGCCACATCGTCGCAGTCATCGAGCGTGTTGCGGGTCAGATGTTCTCCGGCACGCTGGGTCTACTGCGTCCCAGCAGCCAGGCGACCAAGGAGAAGCAAGAAGCCGAGCGTGCTGCACGGGATGGGAGCATGTCGCGGCATCAAGAGTCCCGCGCGCAAGAGAAACCCAAGATCGTGTGGTTCAAGCCGACTGACAAGCGAGTTCCGCTGATTGCGATTCCCACAGAGCAGGCTCCTCGCGACTTTGTCGAGAAGCACCAGGAATATGCTGACCAGATCTTCGTGGCCTGCATCAAGCGTTGGCCCATTACCTCGCTGCACCCGTTTGGCACGCTGGTTGAGAAACTGGGGAAGATGGGCGACCTGAAAGTTGAGACCGATGCCTTGCTCCGAGACAACAACTTCTCGTCTGACGAGTTCGCCGATGCCGTGTTGCGCAGTGTGGGTCTTCAAGACTGGTCGATTGCCAAAGAAGACGAGGCCGCCATGGCGGCTCGCCGGGACTTCCGCAACGAGAAGATTTTCACACTTGACTTGGACGGCTCGGCCGAGCTTGGAAATGGCGTCCACGTCAAGTCCCTGCCTGATGGCAAGATCGAGATCGGCATCCACGTGCCGGATGTGACGCACTTTGTCAAGCCAAATTCGCTGATTGACCGCGAGGCGAGGAAGCGTGGCACTGCCGTTCACCTCGTCCACAGGTTCTGCGCGATGCTTCCGCCAAAGCTCTCGACCGAAGTCTGCTCGCTTACTCCGAATGAGGATCGGCTAACCGTCAGTGTCGTTTTCCATGTCAACCCGCATACCGGCGCTGTTGCCGAAGGCGATACATGGATTGGGAAGGCTATCGTGAAGAGCGGCGGCAAGCTCTCACTGTCGCAGATGGACGAAGCCCTTTCGGCTGCCTCTGAGTTTGCGCACGATGTTGTGGAGGCCAAGGACGTTCAGCTTCTCAACGTAAGTAGCGATCCAATAGAAGCTTTCTACCTAACGGCAGTTACTAATGTTTACTCGCAGGTCCTGACTCAGAAATTCCGTGAAGGGCGTCTGGATGCTGGCGGTGAGCCCATTGCTCCCCTCCGGCTCCTCCAGCAGCTAGATGACGAGAACATCCCTGTCAAGCACAACATCTTCGACACCACACCGGCGACGGAATTGGTCGAGGAACTCATGCACAAGGCTAACGCCTATGTTGCTCAACGCTTGGCCCGCGCTCTCCCCGAGAAAGCACTTCTGCGAAGGCACGCCCCGCCTAACCCTCGACGGCTTCAGACCATCGTCGAGCGCATGACGGCCCTTGGCTACGAGATTGATCCCACCAGCAGTGGCTCGCTCCAGAATAGCCTGTTTAGGGTCGAAGATGCCGAAATTAGAAGGGGTATGGAGACGTTGCTCATCAAGTCTATGCAGCGCGCCAAGTACTACATTGCTGGCAAGACAGCCAAGCACCTCTGGGCTCACTACTCTCTCAACTTACCGCTGTACACCCACTTCACCTGCCCGACCAGACGCTACGCGGATGTCCTAGTGCACCGGCAACTAGAGTCCGTGCTTTCCGAGGGCAAGATTGAGTACAACGAAGATCTCGAGAATCTGGTCAAGGTCGTCGAAGCATGCAACACAAAGAAGGACTCGGCACAGAATGCTCAGGAACAGAGTGTCCATATCGAAGCCTGCCGCGCCATGGACAAGAAGCGTCAAGAGGTGAACGGCGATCTGATCAGCGAGGGCATTGTCCTTTGTGTGTACGAGTCGGCTTTCGACGTGCTCATTCCCGAATGGGGCTTCGAGAAGCGGGTGCATTGCGACCAACTGCCCCTCAAGAAAGCCGAGTTCAGAAAGGAGAAGCGGATTCTGGAGCTCTACTGGGAGAAGGGTGTGCCCAGCTCGGCGTACGTGCCGGAGGACGAGCGGCCCAAGGCTGCTGTGTCGCAGCGGTTCTCTAATGCCCTGGCTGCTGCTCGCCAGGCCGAGGAGGCGGAGAGAGCCAAGAAGGAACGGGAGGAAGCAGCCAGAAAGCAGACCGAAACGGGCACAATTTCGAAGGATGAGGAGGATGCCCTTTTCGATGACGACGACGAAAACGTGTCCGATAACGCATCCGACATCACCGAAGCAATGGCGGGGGCGTCGCTGGTGGAGCGACCGACGCAGAGCGTTCCCGGGTCGCCCACACGGCCCTCGGCGGATGCAGCGGGCACTCTTCACCGGACGCGGTCAGATTCCAAGGTGCCGACTGCCGATGTACCGGAGACACGCTTGACCAACAAGGAGAAGTACTTGAAGCTCTTCAAGCTGAGGGAAGAGGGTGGTGAATACATCCAGGATGTGACGGAGATGACGCGCGTGCCGGTTATCCTGAAGACGGACCTCACCAAGAGCCCACCGTAAGTGCATACAAAGGCATCCGTGAGAATGGACTTTGCTAACCAAGACCGTAGGTGCTTGACCATCCGGTCTCTCAACCCATACGCGCTCTAGATCGCCCATGGTCCCTGCCTGGTAACCTCAGCCGTGGCTCAACGGCGGAGATGAACTAGGCAAAAGGAGTCTCGCACAGCTGCAGCACCTTCAGATACCCAGGCCCCCAAGATATCGTTGGAAGAAGCGACCGATTTGATATGTAATAACCGTGCCTCAGTGTGTATAGCACACAGCTCCGAGATGATTCACGCGGTGGTTTGGTCGTATGGATCAGGTTGAGGGAGGTCGGTCAAGGCGAGAGGAGTGGGAGATTGATAAGGGGGGAGCTCTGCGTTTAAAGCTCGACCAAAGCTGCTATGGGTTGTTTTAGTTGTTTTATTGGCTGATAGTCGGAAGGTCCATTCACATAGTATTTGCGGAAGACTTGTCCGCGATGGCGATACTGCTGCGAATGGTTCAAAAGGGGAGACGGAAACAGAAGAATGATGGAGGTGCGAGGAGGGGAAGCGGCGGCGGACGTAAACGTAACTATCTAATAGTGAAGTGCATCGTTTTGTGTTGCCGGTTTGCATGCGACTGCTTGTGAATTACAATACGGGTTGCGTCCCGTCCCCTCCTTTCAACTTTGGTCCCGACATGCCATTACATTGCATTACGCGGTGACAAGTTCCGCACGTGGTAACCATCCACATGGCTAAGTTCCTTCTCAACAATGCCGTGGATTGAAACGGGATAAGGTAACTTGAAGCGAGTGAGACACAAAGGGTCCGGCATAGTTGAGTAGTACATGCCGAGAGATGCTTATCATTTGGATCTGATGTCGAATACTACCAGTATCTATCTTATGAGCACAATCTGATGTATACAGGCAGAGTTCGGATCGCTAGTCCAGCATTGGCTCAGTGTCCCTCCACCTAGTGTTCCGGCTTGCGTCCTGTCTTTCTACTCCCCTTTTATAACGTCTGGTCTAGATGGTTGAAACTAGGGTCCTTTGGTTCGAACCGCCCGATAAAGGTGGATTTGCCTGCAGCGATGATGTTTTGGGAAAAGCACGTCACACACCGGCAGCACCGGCGGGAATCACTCCGGGAGAACGCCGCGAGTCGTGTTCTCCGACTCGTGTCCCGCGCCGGACGAAACCGCGACTCAGAAGGCAACGCTGATCGTGGGCCAGGTCTCTGCGCAAAGATCGCTTCTGGTGGCGAGAACCCCGTCTACTAACGCATTCTTCTCGAAGGCTGTAGGAATTAAAGATGCCATGCATGTCACTACTCTTGGTCTGAGTCAGATAGTATGGGTTGTACTGTGCAGGAGCTGTTCGAAACTGGAGGCATGCGTCCACCCAACACAGGCAAAGACTGCGCGCACGAGTGCCTGTACGAGGCATCGTCCGGAGGAAGATTGGTGTTGTCGCAGATTGCCACCAGAACCTTTCCGAGTCATCGGCGATGGTGCGGTCCGTCATATTGAAACAAGCCTGAGACGAGCCCTGTGAGCGCCACTGTCGCAAATCTCTCGTCGCGGTAACCGTTCAGCCTTGGCTTTCTGTGCAGCGGCCAATCGGCGGCTGCCTGGGCGACCCGCAGCAGACCCGCATGTTTTTTGACTTTTAGCTTTCTCCACCATTCGCGCGAGCAACCGGATTCCGAGCAAGGGTTGCTTTCGCCTGCGTCTTAACCTTAAAACATCCGCTCACGTCTGATTGGCCATGTTCAGCCTCCAGCGCAACGTTCCGCAACCACGGAAGGGTCGCAGCAAGGCCTCCTATCACGGATTCACGGCAGCTGCAGCAAGGAAAGCGGGTGTCTAAGTGCACTAGAGGAAGAAACGAAACATCACAACGTGACTACCTTCAGTCCTTGCCATCTGAACCTTTCCCTTGGCTAACCTTGGCCAACCTTGGCTATTCGCGACCTCGATGAGGAGAGCAGTCGCCCTTGCAACGGATGTTCTGGATGCGTCCTGAGCACCCGCACAACGAAGATGAAAGATGACCCCGGCATGCCTTTGCCCCGGCAGCGTTGCTCTGACATAGGTAGCTTATTCTTGTTCCTTGCTCCCCCTCCCCCGTCTGGGCCTCGGGGCCTCGGGATGGGGGTGGGGGGTGGGCACTCGACGCGATGCGGGTCCCGGAACGGGCAGCAGCCGCTTCGTTCATCAGGGACGCAGACATGGCCAACTTGGCAGGCCGTCTTTATTCAAGCCGTTTCCCACTTACACATGCCAAGGTCCCTTTTCCTCTCCCCTCCCCTCCATCCCACGCCCCTGTCCAGTTCGCTCTTCTCGCCCAAAGCGCTGGTCTGCTTTTTTTCTCTCCTTCAAGCAGCTCAGTCTGTCCGTCTCTCTTTCAGTGCTGTTTGCTTTCGGCAGACACCTATTCTATCTTAGTATATTTGTAATACAATATCTCCTCAGGCAGGCCTTTCGATTCTCCAGCCAGGCTGGTCTTGCTCTTGTACGCTCAGGGGAAAGGAACGGAAGAAACGGCAGGGATAACCGAGACCTTAATCGACCGAATTCCGGCAACAAAGATGCCTTCCATCAGGACAACACTTGGGGCAGTCGTGGCGGGGCTAGCGGCCGTCTCGTCGGCGGTACCAGGGATCCCAAAGTTGAACAAGGCACAGGTGCAGATGTATGAGCACGCAAAACGCCAGAACGAGGCTGCCGCGGCCGCGGGCCTGACCGATGTCGACATCTTGCAATTGTACGATGACAGCTTCTCCCTCTCTGCAATTACGCAATGCTAGTACTAACCGAGCCCCCTTCCAGCGCTCTCACGCTCGAGTGGCTTGAAGCGACCTTCTACCAGCAAGGCTTCGCCAAGTTCCCGGCGACCGACTTCCAAGCACTCGGCCTCACGCAGCAAGAGATCGATGACCTGCTCAAGATCGGCAAGACGGAAGAGGAGCATGTCATCCTGCTGCAGAGCGCCATCGCACAGGCCGGCGTGCAGCCAGTGCAGCCGTGCACCTACAACTTCGCCTTCACCGATGCCGCGGGCATGGTTGCCACCGCCGCCGTGCTCGAGAACGTCGGCGTCTCGGCCTACCTGGGCGCCGCGTCGCTCGTCTCCGACGGCTCGATCCTCACGACAGCAGGCTCGATCCTGACCGTCGAAGCCCGCCATCAGACCTTCATCCGCGCCGCCAGCAAAGCCCTGGCCGTGCCCCAAGCCTTCGACACGCCCCTGACGCCCAAGCAAGTCTTCTCGCTCGCGGCCCCGTTTATCCAGAGCTGCCCGGACGGGAGCAACCTCATCCTGACCGCCTTCCCCACCCTGGCCATGGCCGCCGGACAGAGCACCACCGCGGTAGCCGCCGGCACTACCATCCAGCTGCAGAGCGATGCCGCCGCCACCGCGACCAACTGCGCCTTCACCACGGGCGGCATCCCCGGCGGCACCGTCTTCACGCCCTTCGACCCGGCCACGGGCTGCGTCGTGCCGCAAGGGTTGGCCGGCATCACCTATGTCAACCTGGCGAGCGCCGGCCCGCTGACTGGCAAACTTACCGACGACATCATCGTGGCTGGGCCCATGGTGATGCAGGTCTCGTAAGCCACGAGGCTGGCTGGCTGAAAAAGAGAAGGGGCCTGGCTCGTTTTCGCCTGTGTATATGTGCGTCGTTGTTGGTCTGGTCTTGGAGCGCTGAGCTTCACAATTATTCTCCTGCACTTCTAATGAGTTTCGGGTGGGGGCCAGAAACAACCCCTAGCTTCTCTTGTCGGGTTGAAACGAGGTGCCGCCTTGTTTCTCGGGTGGGATGCAGGGCCAATCAATGGCTCATGTGTTTGTTACCAGACCAGGCCAGACACACAAAACAGACTTGTTCCCTTTACATAATGGTTTTCTTTGTTCACTTCGTTTCATGGGCGATATTGTACCGCTAAGGGTGCATCAGCTTGTATATCTCAGTCCCCGTCACCTCGCTCGACGAGGGTGCAAAGGGTTTATTTATTATGGGCATTGATCCGTTTATCGTTCTTGTCCCTCCTGACTCTTATTTTCTCCTGAACCACGTTACTTGATTGTAGTTGCTAGTCTATGGGAGATACCCACCATGCGTTTTCAACGAGAAATAGGGCGGTGTCTACAAAGCATGTGCCCGTTGGCATCCCAGGGGTCTTGGAAGTGGTATACTGGTGTAGGGAGGTCGATGATCAAACATGTTGCTCATGAGTGTAGTGAAGGAGCGCAAAGTCATCGCTAGGCTTGAATATACTCTGGCAGAGGCAGGTTCGATCGTCCGTAGTGCATAAGCGAAAGGTCTGTCGCCGTGAGTTACGTGGCGGTCATAACAGTCATCTCAATGGTCATGGGCTGGCTAAGATAAGTTGAAGCCCTGGTTAGCAAGTTTCCCAACCCATACAGCATACGGAGCAGCACTGTGATCCTGCCATGGTCGAGTTTGTATGCATGTATGGAATGGTATGTGGATGTGCATATCATACATACCCTATTACGCAGAGTTGTAGTGTATGTCCCCAGCAGCCCCAAGAAGGCAAAGAGACCCTCCCGGTGTCCTTGCCGCTCTCATCACTCTCAACCTTCGATGTCGAAAGAACTACCTTAGGCTAGCGTATCATACATGCCGCCATTGGGATTTAGAGATCCCTGTCAGCTTGTGGAACCTGAGGGACCTGGAAGGCCCGAGAAGCTCGGGACGGGTTCACGCCATCAAGATATGAGTGGGTTCTATCAAATCAATAAGGTTATCTCGGACCAGGACCCTGCATTTCCGCGCCACCACTAGCACGTGTCGGTGGACGACAAGCACGGCGCGGTAGGGCGGATGCGAGTTTGGCGCGTCGGCGTGTTTCGATCTATATCAAGATTCGAAGTACTTTAAAAGACATGAGGTTTCCCATGTTGTGCCCGATGTCCACATAACTGGCCACTCCTCAGTTGCTCGAGGGGGACCGAAGAGCCGGGGACGTTTCACGTCTCCCAAGATTGGCGAAGCCGCAAGCTTGGCTATCGAACCTTCTGACTTGCTCTACTGGGCCCAACTCCCTCATTGTAAAACTCGAGTGGATGGCGGCGTTGTGTCTGTTGTCTGGGAACTCAGAGGTGTCTCGAGAGCGACTTCCACCGCCAAGGATGAATACGTTGCCGAAAAGATTGGGTATACGAGCAAAGCTTGACGGGCCGACTTCGAGTTCCCTATCAACGGTGATTGCCAAATCATTATTAGTTGCCATTACGGTTCGATTGAAGTAGAGCCGCCGAGACGGAAGATCTGACGTTGAGGCTTGGCTCTGCCCCTTGAGTGGGGACCTCGCTGAGCGGGACACGCCTTCACTTACCCAATTCGGGATGAACCGGAGGGAGGTTTCTGCGGTCAGCCCAGCGAAGTCGGAGGCGGGCGAAAACAGCCCGGGTGAGCTGTCAGAGATTTGACATGGACGTTGGTGGCCGCCGCGGGCCTGCCAATTGTCCTAGTGGTTGGACTCCTGTCGACCCCACCCCAAGAACGATTCCCCAAGCGTCGGCCTTCAGTTCCATTAATCCCGAAGGCGCCCAATCGATTTGCTTGGATGTGTCTACAATTGGGATTGTCAAGCGTAACCCCCACATGGGATTGTGCAGGAGCGCACGCGAGCAAGCCTTGAGCATGTGAAGATGCTTTTCCTCAGCTGAAACGTATGCGCCAATCAGTGCAGGCGATATCACTATCGATAAGAACGGCGGCCAGATCAACGAATCTCGATTCAGCAAGCGTTCTGATGGTTGTTGCCAGGAAATCGCTCCTACAGCCGATGTCGTCACCGTGACCTTGGGAGATGGTTCTCAGAACGATCACGGCTAGTTAGACAGATCGGCAATCAATGAGGCCCGGTGTATAGTGGTGCCGTGCAGGCGCGGGATGTTAGTGTGCCCTTCGCCCAGAGGAGAGCGAAAACCGGCGGGTTGAGCAGCATGCCCTCGCCAAGACATTGCCAGTTAACCCGCAGGGAGGCCCTGGGTGGGTTCGACGTAGACTTCACTGCCATCCTGGTGGCAACGTCCAGCATCCGCCTCCGAACTGTCCTCCGGAGGAGATGCAACATGTCTTGTGCTACCTCCCCAAGGCCGCTGGTCGGCGTCTCCAACCCCCACCCGTCTCATCTCGTGCTATGCGTATATATTCTGGGTTTCCTTCTTGCTTCGCTTTCTCTTCCCGGCTTTACCTACTCTATCCTTTTGCGCTCTCGTGGTCGAGCCCGGTCTGATATCGATACCCTTGAATCTCCTCCCATACAGAAGAAGATTTGATTCGATAAAACGTACAACAGTCAACCGACCGCCCACCACCATGTCCCACCTTCCTTCAGAGCCCGAGTTCGAGCAGGCGTACAAGGGTAAGAGACATGCCGCTTGAGCAACATGATTTTGCAGCTCGAACTGACACTGGCCTCGCAGAGCTCGCTCTCACTCTTGAGAACAGCTCGCTGTTCGATAAGTACCCTGGATACCGGGACGCCCTGAGGGTAGTCTCGATCCCCGAGAGAGTCATCCAGTTCCGCGTCGTCTGGGAAGACGATGCCGGCAGACTCCAGGTCAACCGGGGCTACCGCGTGCAATTCAACTCCGCTCTCGGCCCGTACAAGGGTGGCCTGAGATTGCACCCCTCGGTCAATCTCTCCATGTAAGTCATCAACCATGGGTTGGAGATCAAACGGGAATTCTCTCGCGCTGACAAAAAGCGCAGCCTTAAGTTCCTCGGGTTCGAGCAAATCTTCAAGAATGCTCTCACAGGACGTGAGTACCTTCCATGGTCCATCTCCCAAAAAAACGGAAACTGGCAGCACTTGCTGACAGCGAGGTATCAGTGATGATGGGTGGCGGCAAGGGCGGTGCCGACTTCGACCCCAAGGGCAAGAGCGATGCCGAGATCCGGCGGTTTTGCGTCGCCTTTATGCGCGAACTCGCGAGGCACATCGGTGCCGACACGGACGTCCCTGCCGGCGATATCGGCGTCGGCGGGCGCGAGATTGGGTACATGTTCGGTGCCTACCGCCGCGAGCGCAACAAGTTCGAGGGCGTCCTGACCGGGAAGGGTCTCGACTGGGGTGGCAGTCTCATCCGCCCGGAGGCCACCGGCTACGGTCTTGTCTACTATGTCGGCCACATGCTCGAGGTCGCAGGTGCGGGCAGCTGGGAGGGCAAGCGCGTGGCCATTTCGGGGTCGGGCAACGTCGCGCAATACGCGGCCCTGAAGTGCATCGAGCTCGGCGCCACTGTTGTCTCGCTCTCCGACTCCAGGGGCTCGCTTGTTGCGGCTGACGGCGGACACGTCACCGTTGAGGATATCGAGGCCATCATGGAGCTAAAGGTGAAGCGCCAGGCTCTCGCCGACTACACCCCGAAGGGCAGCCTCAAGTACATTGAGGGTGTCCGGCCTTGGCTGCACGTAGGCCAGGTTGATGTCGCCCTGCCTTGTGCGACGCAGAACGAAGTCAGCCAGGAGGAAGCGCAGGCTCTGGTTGCCGGCGGTGCCAGGTTCATCGCCGAAGGGTCCAACATGGGCTGCACGCTCGAGGCCATCGAGGTGTTCGAGAAGGAGCGGAGAGAGAAGAAGGGCAACGCCATCTGGTACGCTCCCGGCAAGGCTGCCAACTGCGGTGGAGTCGCTGTTTCGGGTCTCGAGATGGCGCAGAACAGCCAGCGTCACCCCTGGACCAGGGATGAAGTCGACCAGAAGCTCAAGGACATCATGAAGAACGCCTTCTACCTGGGGCTCAACACTGCCAAGGAGTACGTCGAGACCGCCGAGGGCGAGCTTCCCAGCTTGGTTGCAGGCAGCAACATTGCCGGCTTCGTTAAGGTTGCTCAGGCCATGCACGACCAGGGCGAGTGGTGGTGAAGATAGGGCGGCTTGTAACTTGGGGTCCGGGGCGGCAGGCTGTGCGGGTTGCCTGGTTGATGTTCGTCTCCTTCCCTATTTTTCGTTGGCGTTCTCGGTGTCCCATTAGGACGGAGTTGGGGGTGGGACGAGGTTCTATAACATGATTCCCTGGGTTAAATTGTCGGCGAGTTCTCTATATCTAGACCTTTTAGCTATGATGCCTGATTCTGCTATTAACCCTGTTTTCCCCATTGGTCCACCAGTGATAATCTCCGGGAGAGGGGCACGGCCGGCAGGCTACCTACTTACCAAGGGGCCTCGTGGGGGCGGGCTCTCTTAACCTTTAGACGACCTCAAAATGGAGGCTGACACTTGCTGTGTAACTATGTACAGACGGGAATGGACCGGTAATCAGCTCCTTGAAAGCCTACAGAGAAAGGGGCACAGCGCAAGCCCTTTTTTCAACCCGGGCAGCATAGATAGCAAAACGAATGCAAGGGGAACCACCTCAAGGAAAGGAAAGGGTAAGATAGGTACATTAACCGAATTGCGCGTGTTGCGCCAAAGCTCGCACATGGCCATCTCTCCGGGTCGTGCCTTCCATTCCCTGGTCATAGGGTATCGACAAGCTCACCTGCAGCGGCCGGAAGGCGCCTGCCCGGGGCGTGGGAACCTGGAATTTCCCGTAAGCCAGTAACGATCATTTCAGCCGGTTTCCTCGTGACCCTAGAATAATTCGATGCCTCATCTAATACCTGCATCACCTCATACCTGAGGTTTCCCCTGATCACTGCATTCCGATTTGCAGTAGCGCCGGTGGCGTCGAGGGCCTTCAGGTTCCAAGCACAGCACCGCACTATGTAAGGGGTATGTTCGTATGTACGGAATATGTGCATACTTGTCCTACCTACGGGAATATATACCTGCATCCCGGATGTCGCCCAGCAGATGCTAAAATAGGTCAAAAGACCCAGACCCAATCAGCTCATTGCCTCGGGTCTTCTAAAAAGACATAGGTGAGGGTGAGGGTTACGCACAACGGACTTGCTGACACGCGCTGGGCAGGCTGCCATGTCGCACGGTACCTTTTTCGATTACCAATGGTCATGAGCATCGTTTCTCGTCCGACGGACCGGGACTCAATGGTCGTTTGTTGGCCTGTTTCGTGCGAGTACGTTGAACCCGGGGCAACCGACTTATGTACTAGTATGTACGTGCCAGCTCTACAATATGAACACTGTGGGAGACGCTGTCTTTTGTGTAGCTGAAGTCAAAATCCCCGGTTGGCCAGCTGGCCCCGCAAACCCTGTCTCCCGCGCGGATGACAGTTGCCCCAGCGGCTGAAGGAACGCGGGCCGAACTCCTTCCAGAGCCGCGCAGTTGTTAACGCTTTTCAGTTGCAGACCTGCGGCAGCAGCACCTGCTGACAATAACGCTCAAGGTGTTAAATCGCGGTCTGTGGCTTCGGCATATTATATTACCTTACCTCTGCAGCCGCATCTGCCCTTTATTGCAAATCTACGGATACAATGGCAGTTGTTCGTGGGGAAGAAGGGTTGCGGACTTGCCGAGCACACCTGCGATTTGCGCTCCAACGCGGATTGGCTGCCGTCGAATCCGAGGACTTTTCCGATGACAGGATCCAGCTCTTCGTTCCCCGTCCAATAGTTAGCGCGTTCAGCTCCGTTCAGATCCTGGGCAGGGTGCAATGGGATCCGAAAGAGGACGTGACGACCCCGCATTCAGCGCCGAGTTCTTGACTCGTTGATCCTGAGTCCTAACCGAAGCATGAGAGCTTGACGGTTGACCTGCCTTCCTCGGACCGCCTGGGGGTCGATCTGTGTGCGACACCATTCCTTCCCATGGCTGAGTTCTGAGCCTCTGGTCTGCAGAAGCCGCGCCGTCGGAGGCACTTGGGGGCCCCGTCTCGAAAGGATATGATCGGCTGTGGAGGGCACGATGATAGCATATGTAGGGCAACGGGCGCCGCTGCCGCAAGGCACTTGTGAGTGATACCATACCAAGGGTATATCGTGGCTGTACTCCGTACTATGGTAACTTCAAGTTCCAAATTCGGGACTCCCGACCCGTGCTGACGGGTGCCCAGTGGTGCCCCACAACCGTGCCCTCCTGGGATACCACGCTCTCTCCACCATCCCAGAACATCACCCTTGGCCCGGTATCCTAGCCAATGGCGATGTGCGGCTCCAGGCATGCTTATTTTTGCCCAGCCCGGCCACTGGCGGGCTGCAGACCGCGCCGTGCGCCGCGATGGTCATGGTTGATGCTCGATGTCTCTTGGGAACTCGGTAGGGCGGGTGCAGACTGACGATGGGCGGATCCGTATGTATCCGTACAGTAGCGTTTTTCAGAGCCTCACGTATCCACCGATGATCTCGGAAGCGCTTGGCCGTACAGTAGAAGGCCAGGCTATGATAGGGCCCTGCTCTGTGGACTTTCAGATAGGAGTCAAGGACTTCAATGGGGCTGGGATTCCATGGAATATCATCCCTAGCCTGGCCGTGGCACGTCTCCTCCGTTCCTCAGACATGCGTATATCTTACGCTCCTCGACTCGGCCTGTCAATACTGGGGGAGAGAGCACACTCACTCAGCTCCTACCTGTTCCCTCTGGCACAGTCCGACGGAGTCTGGACCAGTGTGTCTCTGTCTCTGTCTCTGTCTCTTTCTCCCTGGACCCTGGATCACCTGGATAGGAATCCCCAAGGGAGCATATCGGATCAGACCTAACACGCCAACCTTATTAGACTGTTGTTCATAACCCACAAGGATGGACAAGAAGCCGTCCGGGCAGCACCCGACAGGGTCGTTGCAAGCCAATGGCCCTCTCTCACCACCACTTACCCCAGCGCTGAACGTTAATGGCGGCAGCCTTGGTATTCTGGACGGCGACGCCACCGCGACCAACAGGGTGTTCCACAATGCCCGCCCCGTGTCTCCAGACCCGAGCAGCTCCCACGCGTCCCTGAACCCGTCCCCGTCCAGCAGCCCCAGGCCGCGGCACGCGTCGCCCTTCCCAACGCGGGACACCTCCCTCCCCTCGTCGCAACGGTCGGCCTCGCCCTGCCCGCCCCCTCCGACGTACAAGCTCCACGACGATGACGCGCCCGCGGTTCCCTCCCCGCGTCGCCGCGGCAGTGCCCAACCCAAGATGCGCCATTACAGCGACGGCAGGGAGGAGGCGCAGGCCTTCCCGCGGCTGTCCAAGCCGGTCGAGCTGCTCCGCACCTCGTACGACGTGGTCGTCATCGGGTCCGGATACGGCGGCGGCGTGGCGGCGTCACGCATGGCGCGGACGGGCGAGTCGGTCTGCCTGCTGGAGAGGGGCAAGGAGAAGTGGCCCGGCGAGTACCCCAGCAGCACGCTCGACTCGTTCAAGGAGCTGCACTGCTCGGGCGTGCTGGCGCCGGGGGCGCTGAAGGGCAAGATGGTCGAGGGCGGCGATCCGACGGGCTTGTTCCATCTGGTGTTGGGACGCGGCCAGAGTGCTGTTGTTGCCAATGGTGAGTGTGGCTTTGTCCCTCATGTGAGAAATGGGAATGAAGAACATGAGGATGACGATGCTGACCGAAAATGATGTTGCAACGATTGTAGGACTTGGCGGGACGAGTTTGATTAATGCAAATGTGTTTATGGAGGCGGATAAGGAGACCTTGGCCATGCCGGCTTGGCCGCCTGAGCTCAGGGATAATGTGGATGAACTGGACAAGTGTAAGTGTCAAAACGGTGACAGTGTGTCTGTGTGAGTGTGTGAGTTAGCTGAGTCAACGCATGCTGATCCGGGGCAACAGACTACGAAAAGGTGGCGGAAGTGCTCCAGCCCGAGGAGTACCCGGCCGAGTGGCCCGAGCTGGCCAAGGCAAAGCTGCTCCAGAAACAGGCCGAGGCCATCAACATGGGGGGCAAGTTCAAGAAGGTGCGGCAGACAACGCGTTTCATCAACGGGCCCAACAGCGTTGGCGTCGAAATGAAGCCGTCGTCCCTGACTGGGCAAGACACCACGGGCGTCAACGACGGGTCCAAGAACAGCACGCTGGTGACCTATGTTGCCGACGCCTGGAACTGGGGCGCCGAGATCTTCTGCGAGTGCGAGGTGCGCTACATCGAGAAGATCGGGAAGGACGAGGGCTATCGTGTCTACTTTGCCTGGCATGGCCGCAACAGGGGGCTGTTCAAGGCGAATCTGCACGGCGACCTCATGTGGGTCGAGGCGAAGAAGGCCGTCTTCCTCGGTGCCGGGGCCATCGCCTCGACCGAGATCCTGCTCCGGAGCAAGGCCATGGGGCTCGAGATGAGCGACATGGTCGGCCAGAATATGAGCGGGAACGGAGACATGTTGGCGTTTGGGTGAGCTCTTTTTTTCCTTTCTTTATTTCTTTTTCCTTTTTTATTTTTCTTTTTTTTGTCAAATTGGGCTACAGTTGATTAGTAGGTTGTATTGCTGACGCCAGCCCAGATACAACACACGTGAGACGGCCAACGCCGTCGGACGGGAGAATCCGTCGCCATACAACCCGATCGGCCCTACCATCACAAGCGTGATCGACTGCCGGGAAGGCCACGACAACCCCCTGGACGGCTATGTCATCGAAGAAGGCGCCATTCCGCATGCACTCTCCCACTTCTTCCAGGCGATGCTGGATCTCATGCCGGGGAAGAGGGAGCCCAAGAATGAATCCATCGTCGAGAAGACCCAGGCGGCGCTGGCACGATACGGCAGCAGGTTCCTCGGGCCCTACCTCAAGAACGGAGCTGCGGAGCGGACGCAGGTCTATCTCATCATGTCCCACGACAGCAACCAAGCCGTCCTCACCCTCAAGGACGACAAGCCTGTGCTGGAGTTTCTCGGCGTCGCGCGCAGCCATCACGTCAAGAAGCTCAACGAAGTGCTCGAGAGGGCTACGGTAGCGGTCGGGGGCACCCTCGTCCAGAGCCCTTTTTACGAGCTGCTGGGCCAGCAAATCACGGTGCATCCCATCGGGTATGTAATAACAATTTCACTCGCGGCCCTCTCGGTACTGCTGCTGTGCTGCGCTATATAAGGCTGTGCTGACCCGGAGACTTTGACACTGGCAGGGGAGCATGCATGGCCCGAGACAACACAGGTAGGACGGGTGTAACCGACCACGTGGGCCGGGTGTTCACGGGGAGGGGAAGCGAGACATACGACGGCCTCATCGTCACGGACGGCTCGGTGATCCCCACGGCGCTGGGCGCCAACCCCTTCGCCACGATTGCGGCGCTGGCGGAGCGCTCTGTCGAGGCGTATACCAAGCGCAAGGGGCTGACCATCAGCACGGAGAAGAACGGCTTCCTCAACCTGCGCGGCGAGCCGCAGCACGCGCCGAAGCACGACGAGCCGCGGCAGAAGCGCGAGAAGGCCAAGATCATGGAGGAGCAGGCGAGCATCGACACGGCGCACAAGGTGATCCGCACTGCGCGGGACGTCTGCGCGAGCGGCTTCGGCTTCACCGAGGTCATGTCGGGCTTCCTCCACTACGACAGGGATGCGGTCGGGGACGACATGGAGACATACGAGCTCGCGCATCGCAGGGCCAAGTCGCTGTGCGAGACGGCGCGTTTCTTCCTGAGCATGCAGGCGTTTGACACCGATGAGCTGGTGCACCACGCACAGCACCGGGGCGTGCTCACGGGCACGTTCGTCTCGCCCGTCATCCCGGGCTCGCCATTCATGGTGCACCGAGGCGAGTTCAATCTCTTCATCCTGAACAACAAGGCGCCCGGCACCAAGAACCTGACGTACGACTTCGACATGACGGGCGTCAACGGCCGCAAGCTGCACTTCCACGGCTACAAGGTGGTCGACTCGTCGGTGGCCCTGGCGCCCTTGCGGTTCTGGAAGGCCACCAGCACGCTGTACGTGACCATCAGCGAGCACGTGCCGGGCATGTGCGCCGATCTGGACGACGAGGATGCCTGGCGCCGCGGCACCGTCCTCGCCAAGGGCATCATGCACATCCAGCCGGCCGACTTCGTCTCGCAGCTCAGCACCATGACGCCGACGGGCAGCAGCCTGCTGCGCAAGGCCGTCAGCGCCGCCAGCTTCCTCACTTACTTCACCCGCAAGTCGCTGTCGCTCTTTCTGTCGCCCCTGACCTCGCTGCAATATCCCATCCAGAACGCCAGCGGCTTCTTCAACGACACCCCGCCGACCCGGTCCTTCAACATCAAGGCCGAGGACGGGGTCTGGTCGCGCATGCACATGTGGGAACCCACCCGCGTCCCCGGCAACGACGACAGGAACATCCGCAACCTCTTCATGATCCCCGGCGCCTCCGTCGACCACCAGATCTACGCCCTGCCCACCATCCCCTACAACGCCGTCAACTACTTCACGCGCGCCGGCTACCGCGTCTTCGTCACCGTCCACCGCATCTCGCAGCTCATGACGGCCGGCAGCGAGTGGACGACCTACGACGCCCGCCTCGACCTGCGCGCCTGCCTGGATACAATCCGCGACATGTACGGCAGGGACAAGATCTACACGGTGGCACACTGCATGGGCAGCGTGGCCTTCGCGTCGGGCCTGCTGGACGGCACCATCCCGGCCGACTACATCCTCGGCATCACCTGCAGCCAGGTCTTCATGAACCCGGTGTGGGGCCCGGCCAACATGGCCAAGGTCATGGCGGGCCCCCTGCCGCTCGACCGGCTGTACAGCCTCTTCGCCGGCAGCTGGTTCAGCTGCAGCACGTCGCCCAACGACTCGCTCGTGCAGCACGCCGTCAACCAGCTGCTGCGCCTGTACCCGCAGTCGCGGCGCGAGATGTGCAACAACGCGGCCTGCCACCGCACCTCGCTCGTCTTCGGCCGGTGCTGGAACCACGCGAACCTGAACGAGGCCACCCACCGCCAGATCGACCGCTTCTTCGGCGGCGTCAACATGCGCCTGCTCAACCTGCTCATGAAGATGGGCTTCGACGGCCACGTCATGACCAACGCGCCCGCCTACGAGCGCCTGACCACCGAGAAGAACATCGAGAGGTTGAAGGGCATCCCCATCCTGCTGTGGGTGGGCCGCGACAACGCCGTGCTGTCGCCCGAGGCCACCGAGCGCACCTACGAGACGCTGTGCAACATGTTCGAGGACGGCGAGTACAAGCGGAAGGTCGTGCCCGGGTACGGCCACCTCGACGGCTGGATGGGCCGCAATGCCTGGAAGGACGTGTACCCCTTTGTGCGGGAGGAGGTGGACCGCGTCACGAGGGGCGCCGACTACCGGTTCGAGGAGCCGGATGATCGCTTCAAGGCCATGGTCCACAGCGGGGAGCTGTTGTACTGATTGGAAGGCGCCTAATGTGTAACAGGAGTTGGATGGTTGGCGTTTTTCTCTTTTATGCTTTTCTTTTCTTCTTTTTTTGGATACCCCCCCGGAACACTCTCGTTTTGATAACTGAGATGTTCGAAGTTGGATCTTGCTTTTGGGTATTATTGGTCCCGGTGATTTCTCTTCTCTCTACACTACGGATATATACTGGCTGTCTCAGGACACGTTTTGAAAAGTTGTGCAAGGAGGGCAATCACGGGAAGGGACACGCGCCTGTATCACGATGGCAGGCCCAGATTTTGGTATCAAATCGCAGATAGCAACGGGACTGAAATAACAGAGATACCTAAGGTATAGATACTTGAGGACTTCCAACCTCTGTAAATGACCAACCTCCAGCTGACTTTATGTTTCTATCTCCCGAGCACTGTCACCCCAACCATGCTTGGTTATATGCGCACTATAGTGACCATACATATCGGGCTCGAGGAACCCGTGTATGTATGCATAGCGCATGTGTAGGTAGGTATTGTATTGTACAGTACATACATCGCACGGAGCAGATAACACCAACCTTACCACCTCGGACGATATAAGTTCTGTGGAGCTCAGAATACACACACCTTTCGTCTCATTGACAATAACACATATCAGTACTCTCCCCTGTTTCGAAAACCAGACGAAAAACAAAAGAAACAGAGACATGCACAACTCGCATTACCAAGATATCACTACATTCCAAGCCATCCCACCCGTTTAGCACATGATACCATCGATGACCCCCTCCAATAAAACGCCTTTGCGCCCCCGTCCTCCTCATAACCACTCGGAGTGTTTGTGCTAAGCCCCGTTTCTCACCAGATGGCAGCCTGGTCAAAATCAAACCGCTTCAGCTCCCGATTCGCATCCTCCAGGTCCTTCTTGGCCTTCATGCGCATGTAGAAGATGGGGCAGTCCTTGCTGCTGCAGATGACCTCGCAGTGCATGCTGCCCTGGCAGCGCTGGCACTGCGTCCACAGCCGGCCGAAGCGGACCTCGAGGTCCGACACCTTGTCGAGCGTCTTCTTGTAGAGCTCGCCCACGCGCGGCGCGTCGTCGGCACACACCGCCCCCTGGCTCTCCTCCTTGCCCGTCAGCGGCTTCTTGCAGCCCATGCACGTCTGCGTCTTCTTGGCGAACTTCATCAGCCCGCCCACGGTGGGCGCGGCGACCGAGATGGCCCTTGTGTGGTCGCCCGTGAGGAGGGACTTCGCTTTGGTCTCGCCGAGGATGGGCTCGAAGATGCGGCCCAGCGGTTTGGCCAGCTGGTTGTCCAGGTAGTACTTGGTGTCGACGGGCACGTTGTGCTCTAAGACGTAGATGGGATCCTCGGAGCGCTCAAAGTTCTTGGACCCGGCGGCGCCCTTCACCATGACGTAGGCCACACGGTCGCCGAGCCCTGGGGCCGAACCGGGGTCTCGCTTCTTCATCCTCTGCGCCAGCTCGACGTGCGCCTGCTTTGCTGCGTAGTCGTCCTTAGTCAGTGCCTTGGTGATGACGAGCTTGGACATGTCAATCTTGTTCTGCAGAAGGTCCGAGATAGTGTCCTTGACGTATCTATAGGACCCCGTTAGCACAACTCTCACCGTGGTTCTCAGACGACATGGGGCTTCTCAACATACTCCTGCGCACCAGGCACGTCTTGATCGATGAGGATCATTCTGAGCACTTTCTCAATGACCGTCTGCACCAGCAGACAGTTATCACGACGGACCGTCTCAATGCCCTTGGTATCCATCTTGTCGTACTTCTCGGGCTTCGTCCAGTACAGCCCTGCGTAACGCTTCTTGTTGATCAGAAGGTAGGGGAAGTACACCTTCTCGAATTCGAGCTTGATGGGTTTGATGAACTTGCTCGAGACAAACTGAGAGGCGTCCTGGCCAAGCTTCATTGCCTCGGCCAGGTCCTTGGTGCCGAATTTGACCATGACGGAATCGGTATCACCGTAGATGACCTGGGCGTCGTGCGAGTAGCCGTTTGCGATGCAGTATCTCTTCTCTACCTCCTGCTTCGTCCTCTCGATCATCTGACGGCCAAAGCTGGTTGTGCTACTGGCGATTTCCAAGCAGGGGAGCTTGCCGTTCGTCGCGCCAGTCAGACCGTAAACGGAGTTGGCGCTGATTTTCAGAGCCAGCTGGCGACCGTTTAGCACGGCCTTCTTGAACGGGTCCGTCTCCGCAGCGAGCTCCTTCTTCGCCTGCTTTCTGGCGGCAAGCAACTCCTCGAGGATCTGGGCTAGTAACCCTTTCCTCTGCTTGGTGGTCACGAACATGTCGCCGTTCGGAGTGACGATGTAGTCTTCATCCTTTTTCAGGTTCCACTTCTCAATGTCCTTCTTTTTGATGAGCGTCGTGTAGCAGAGATTGTGAGCCTGGATGATACTGGGGTATAGGGAGGCGAAATCCAGTGTAGCAATGGGCACATCGTAGTAGCCTCTCGTGGGCTCGATGACAGTGGCGCCCTCGTATTGCTCTTCTGATGACTCTGATCTCAGATTGGGGATCACCAGCTTTTGCTCCAGAGCTTTGCGGAAGAGCTGACTCAAGAACTTGACCTGCTGACCTCTCGCGAGAAGGAAATTGAACGGGACGCCCGTGACTCTCGCCATTTCGGTGTAGTTTTCGAGACATGACAGCTTGTCCATCAGTCTCTGGGGAAGGTACGCATCTTTGAGACAGTACAGTGCTAGTCTGCGCCTGGATTCGGGTGTTCCCTCAAAAAGCTCTGTAATCATCGAGTGGTGGACGTCTTCCTTCTGCTCGCCAAGGAAATGAGAGCAGACCGAGTTCAGCGTGTAACTCCGGAGTTGGTGATCACGCTGAATGAGCTGCAAGAGATCAAGCTGGAGCCGTCCGTTTGTATTGGTGGCCTTGGTGTCGCGGTTGCCCATCTGTTTGCTCGAGAAATTGGTCTCCTTCGATACAGACTTGACACGGGTGCGGGACCAGTACTCGAAACCTTGGACCCTCAGGTGTTTGGCCCTATCGAGAAGGTAGGGAAAATCAAAGTTGGCGATGTTGTAGCCCGTCATGATGTCCGGATCTACCCTCTCAAGGAAGTCCCGCCAGGATGAGAGCATTTCCTCCTCCTTATCGAACGATAGAATTTGTGTGGCCACGATGGGACTCGTGTCATCGAGGCAGAAGACATTGCGAACAAAAGGCTTCTTGTCTCCGTACTTGGTGACAATATTGGCGATCTGGATCACAGAATCGTGGTTTGCCTCTGGAAAGATACCCTTGCGGCCAGCGCACTCGATATCGAAGGAGAGGATCCTCAGCGGCGCCATCTTTGACCACTCCCCAACGGGCTTGTGGGAGATCAGGTCTCTGTAGCTTATTTCAGCCTCGATTTGACAATTCGATTGCTTGTCGGTCACGAGGCGATACCGGCCGGCCGGCGCCTCAACCCAACCCATGCCCGCGATCTTTCCCACTTGTTAGCGTCTTCTCGTAGCGTTTCCCATGGGTGCCAACCTACCGAGCAGTCGACCATGAAGCGAAGCAGGTACTGGATATTGTCATATGTCGCAATGCTGCCATCGGCGCTCTTCCACATGCCCTTCCAATTGGCCTCGCCCCTTTCGATTGTCGTGCGGACCCTGCTGATAAACTTTGGATCTGTCACGGTGATCTTGAGATAGGGGTTCTGGATGTTCCCTTGGAAACCATATATGTTCTCCCGCATTGTCAGGGTGACGGAATGTATGACAGGCTGGTGCATGGCGAGCTGTGTCTCGAGGTACGTCTTGAACTTCGGGCAGTCCTCGGCGGTGAAGGAAACGGGAGCAGCGACATAAAGGTAATGTTTGAAGTCCTTCACGTGCAGCAGGACCGAGTTGCCATGATCGTTGACACCGAAGAGCTTCACAGCAGGTTGACCGCCCGCAACTGTGCCCTCCTCGGCCTCGATAGCCTGGAAGGAAAGACTGGTCTTTTCTGGATCGAAATCTCGGGGAACGGGTGGCCGGTCCCATATTTGGTCCTTCTCTGCGTTGCTCTGCTTGAGGTCCGAGATGTCTTGGCTCATGCGCTCGAGCACCTCGCTCTCGAAGATGCTCTTCTGCTGACTCGCAGCCAGCTTACCCTTGCCATCATTCTGGGAGCTGCCAAAACGCACTGCAGGAGAAGATGGCGGCCCATCAAGACGACGCTTCTTGGAGGACACTGGAGTGGCAACAATGTTGCGGCGGGCGCTCGATGTCTCGCCGAGCACCCGCTTCTGGGGTAATGTCGCGGCAGGCATCGCGGTATTGGACAACTTCAACTCGGAAGGACTGCAGTAGTGGTTTCGTTGGATTAGTTCATTAGGGAGTCAATCCGCTGCGTCAGAGGCACGCAAAATAGGGTGGGAGGGTGTCGGAGACGATGTTGTAGGGGGCACAGTCAGAAAGCCATTAACTGGCGGCACGCCAGAATTCCGTTGACGCGCTCCTGCCATTGTACGTGACTGCCCCACTTCACCACGCGAACAACTTAAATGAGTGGGGTCAACGCGTTGCATGATCCTGGCGAAGGTATTACCCCACCAACCAAAGCTGCTGTCCGCAACAACGAACATTGACACTGGTTAGTGTAACAACATCCGAGTCGCTGATTGCCATTAACTTCACTCATATAGCCTTACCTTATATTGCAATCAAATAAACCACCATACTTGCTTCCCATGGCTGACAGACATGCGCCCTCTTCCCGATTGTACACGTCTGGTGTTTCCAGGGCACGAAGCGGGATGCCCTCGACAACGCAGAGCGTGCGCCGCAACCTCTTCCAAACCCAGCAACTCGCACGCCGACCGCCAACTAACGCCCCCACACCATCCGATGCACTACATCTTGATCCCGATGCGCAAAAGGAGCATCAGCAGCGCTCGCAGTTCCAGTCCCACGAGGGGCATTTGTCAGAGGATGACATCGTAGTGCGAGACCACAACGGCGAGATCGAGCTGGACGACCCGCCGACGCCCGTGGACGAGACCGTGGATATGGAGGCTCTGAACGCGCAGCACGAGAACGAGAAGGAAAGGCAAAGACTGGCCGAGGCAGTTAAACAGCATCAAATTGGCCAGCATAATGTGCCTTGTCATCCCGAAGGTAAGGAATGCTCCTCCTGCAATAGCAGCAGTCCCGGTAACAGGTGCTCTGGGGGATCCATATCGTCTGTTACTAGCTTGGCTAAACCAGATATTTTTGCCTTGACTCCAGAGCTCCTCGAAGCCGTCAAAGCCAGCTTGAGAGCAAAAGTCGCTGCATTAGACGAGGATAGCTGGCTGTACGAGCGCCAAGAGCCATCAGCGCAGCACCAGTGACCGCACAACCTCTCGAGACTCATTATCATCGGCACCAATACTCCCATCCTCCTACCACATCTTCATATTGGTACCGGTCAGTCCAAGCCCTCGGCAGCAGGCGCCTCTACCCGACGAGCCGGCGCCCGACCTTGCCCACCAGCAGGTGCGCCGCCTCCGAACAAGCTGCCCATCATATCTAGCAAGGGATTGCTTTGCCTCGGCCGCTGAATGCCAAAGTACATCTCGGCAATCATCTCCAGCGCCGTGTCCCACAACCCGCCCAACTCATTGATATTGGTAGTGTATTTACTCCGCAGCTGCCGGAACAGGTCCGGAGCACCCTTCTGAACCGCGAGGAGGAGCAAGCCGAGGAAGTTCAGGAGCGGCAGGCTGGGTAAGATGCGGATATCGGAGCCTTGGGAACTCACATCTTGCACTGCAAGGCTCTTATTATCCTCGGTAAGCGCGCTGACGAACGTGCGGTATGACGCATTGGCGGCGCGCACGTTGGCGACAAGAAGATAGGGCAAGACGGCACGGGCGCAGTAGAGCGGCGCCGTGTGGGCATCGTCCTCCTTGTACCACGCATATTCCATGCGACTGAGCACCTCGGCGGAGTCCTTGGTCCCCAAGATCAGGTGGCGTTCCGCCTCCTCGGCCTCATGCTCCTCGGCGTATAGCGAGCCAACCACGTGGTGAAGCTCCGGGTCGCCGGCGGGGTAGTCACCAAACTTCTTGGACCACCTGTTTAGTTAGGGTGTACAACTCGGTCAGCAACAGTCTGTACTCAGAAAGTAAAATGATTCAAACGCAATAGGCACATACTCCATCATCTCCTTAATGAATTTCTTCCGCGTCGGCTCCTCTGGCGCAAACAGCCTCAAGCAAGTCAACAACTTCCCCCGCGACCCCCCGTCGGGCTTGAGCTCCGCCTGTCGGTACACGTCGATCAGCAGCACGGCCAGGTCCCCACCGCTGCCGCCCTGGCCCGCCCGCAGCAAAGTCTGTGACACATTCGAGAGTATGTCGATGGCCGCCGGCCAGTTGGCCTGCTTGGTGTAGCGTGCCGCCACCAGCCGTGTCTCTTGCGCCGCCTCGTACTGCTCCTCGAAGGCACCCTCGGCGATGCGCTTTTGCAGACGCGCAATGATTTTCTCGATTTTGGACGACATCGTTGGCGAATATGTTCTTTATTTTTCGGGTGGGTTTACCTGACTCGGAGGGTGTTGTCGTGCTCTGACGTAGCAACCTATTCTTTGCCAGGGTATATTGTCGGCTTCTGTCGGTCGAGGTTGGATCAGGGATAACCTGTAGTAATTTTGTCTTCGCAGTCGCTCAGTACCACCTTGCGTCGTCTGTACAGTGGTTCAGATCCTGGGGGGACTGGAAGACAAGAAAGGAGAACCAGGGCGGTTGTTCTTCGCTGATGACAAGCCTCTAAGTCGCTCAACTGAAGGTTAGTATGCGGTCTGAAGCTCCCCTGCCGTGCTTGGCCATCGGCCCCACCACGATATCTGTAGAAACGAACTGCCCCGCATTGCGTCTCAATCCCCAAGTGGGGCCCACCTCGGTGCCACCCATCCCGTGCCATCGACTCAACCCCCCGAGAAGGAAATCGAATCAGACGTGATGCTGTCTCGCTACAGACAGCCACCTCAAATCAACACGATGCGACGTTGGTGTAATGGTTAGCATCTACGCTTCCCATGCATATTGGCTTGCGTAGGATTCGAGTTCGATTCTTGAACGTCGCAGTGAAGCCTTCTCGTTTTGATACCCAAGGCTTTATGGTTTTTGGTGTGGAAGTTACCCATACTCCGTAACCATCTCCTTTTGTCTTCAGCTACCGTGACGGATACCATAAGTTAGGCGGTTATTCACCACAACATCGCGTCTTGCTCTCGTTTCTAGCCGGTAGAAGCTCAATCACCAGAGACGTCATGTCATCTTGTCGGCACACTGAAGTCAGAACTCCTTCTTGACAGCTTTCCACTCAGAAATCTCTTTCGCAAAGTGCACTGCACTCAAGGATATCATCCCTCCATGTGTTTCCGGTCCCAATGCTACTTCCAAAGTCCTAATCTTAGCAAAAACCAGTCGCTATGTTCTAGAAGGAAAACAACGTCACAGCCCTCTTTTGTCACCGACTTCACGGTGAATGCATGTATGTACGCAATGCTCATCAAGTCACCTTCCGCATCCGTTTTCTCGGGGACACATCCACATCCCATGAGTCTCTTGTCCCATGCTCCATTACCCTCTTTAATTTACCCCCCTGAACCCGATATGAACCGGTTTCCCTCGTCGGCCGCCGTGCTGGTGCAACCCCGTCATTACCACAATCTCTGCACTGGATAGGTGAAGATGGCCTCCCATCGCCAGGGACAGAGAACACTTGTGACGAACCATCTAGGCTCGGCTGCTAAGCGAGCCTCTGAACGCCATTAACCCTGGGCTCGACAGCAGTGTCTCCGTCGTCGTCATCAAGATCAATAAGCGGGCCCTCCTCAGCAGCAGAATTGCCGGCAACGCTACTGCTGTTAGCAGCACTGTCGTTATTCGGTCGCGTGAGGAAAGGGACGTTGGGGCGCTCTTGCATCTCTGGTGGCCGAGGCGGGCTGCTGCTCTTAACATCATGCAACGACACCTGGGCAAGCCGCGCCGACTCGGGATCAAGCGCCGGAGAAACGGTTGTCTCCATGGCAACATCGTCGTAAGAGGGTAATGGCGCTTCCCCTGCCCAAGGGGGCGGGAGCTCCTCGAGGTCGGGAATATTATCATCCTGGCCGGCTGCCCTGCCCGCCTCAGTGTCAGAGGCTTGCCCGAAGACAGAGTCGCTATCAAAGGGCGCATCGTGCATCTCTTCGTCAAAATCCCCCGCAGATGCGTGATTTGTGGCCATCGAGTCCATACTGGATGATCTTTGAAGTCTCTTTGACTGTGAGTCGTTTCCGATGACAGCGCTTCGCTTCTTATCCGGCGCGTGACCTAGCCGCTCCGACTGCGAGACCTCTTGTTTGAAGTGCCGATTGTCGAGCTTAACGAACGACCTCAGTGCGTCTGAGAGTGGAAGCCTTTCTTGGTCCATGGCCTTGCCTGTTGCATACACTACAATTGGTTGGCATCCAGTTGCGCAAGCCTCGCGCATGACTGCTTCATAGGATATCGGCTGCCACACCAAGTCAGTCAGTATGAGCCAGACTCAAGTAGTGGCGCCAGCTTACAATGTGCTCCACCGTAGCATCCTCTACCCTAAAGGACGTTTTCCACCAGCGCTCTTCCGCGGATGCGGCACCATTCCCAGCAGCCGTGGACTCGAGTTCGCCCGCTGGACCCCGTATCCGCTGATATACCGTGTTTGGCTCATTGACAATTCCACGAAGAATGTATTTTCGTGTGGGATTCCATTTCTCGTCGGTAGAGGGTTCTGTAAGGAGCGAGGACATCTTGCGGAACAAGGTGTCTAATGACTGTTTCTGTTGCGTGGTGGTTTCTGAGGCGACACTTGCTGTCAGCATAACAGCTGTTTAGGGAAAAGGGATTTTACGTACCGTTCAGGACACGCTCCCTCTCAGCGATGTCTTCTTCCAGCTCTTTTGCCTTAGCCTCGTAGTGAGCAACGACCTTGGCCTCTTCCGGCAGCAGTCTCGGCTCGCCTTCATGATCTGGCAGATAGTAGTCCCCTTCCCCGTCGGCAGGCGCCTCCTCGTGGTTCCTCCAAAATGCGCGGTTGTTTATTGTCTTTATTCTCTCTCGGCAGCGGCGTACAGCGGCTTTAGCTAACTCCCTACGGTCATACGTCTTGTTTGTTTGGGGATTCGTCCACCTTATTAACGTGTCTTCCCTCTCCTTAATAGCGTCGTGCGCCGCCAAGATGGTAACGGTGTCCATCTGCAACTCCTGCATTTTAGTACCGTTGGTACTCATATACCGGTCAAGATAAAAGGTTTCTGGCATCTCAATTGGCCTGGGCAGCTTGTCGTCTGCCTGGAAGCGGAATGTGAGAACATCGGCGGCGCGTGTGACCCAGGCCATCCGGGCGCTATGGGGGTCTTCCCTCGCCAGTCTCGGGTCGACAAAGAACAGCCAGTCCAGGATATCGTAAAGACTCTGGGGCGGTGGGTTCATGTCTTTGCTGAGCTGGAGGTCCAAAAGGCCGAAATAATCGCCGCCCTGCAGCGTCAAGTCGTCAAAGGCCACTATCTCGACTAACGAGAGGAGCGTGTCGACGTTCTCCTGGAGGCCTTCGGCCGATTGCAACTCGGAGAACTTCTGGAAAAAGTCTTTTTCTACATCGCCTGTATCCCATCTCGATTCCGGATACATAGCACGGGAAAGAATGTCCGCTGTTCCATAGGAACGTTCCGATGTCTCGAGAAAGGCAATCAGACGGTGGAGTTCGTCTGTCCAGGGGGGAAGCGTGGCTTCCCCATATTCATCGAGTTCCGATTGTCCTGGAGGCAGGATTGCCTTTCCGAGCCACCAGTCGTTCTTGCTGCCGTATCCGTAGCTTGGGGACTCGCCGGTCCGAAGCAATGCATTGCGCACAGTAGGGATCTGGTGGAGAATCATCAGAAGGGCCCCAAGACGGTGCTTCTTCCATGCTTCCTCGGTGCGGCAGCGCAGCAGCACTGGTGTCCCAGCCTTCCGCGCTCTAAGAGACGGTTCTGGGTCGGTCAGCTGGCCCCCCACTCGCACTATGGCCCAGTCGTTCGGCTCATAGCTCGGGCGGTTGGCTGGACCAAAGTAGACGGAGGTGTTCTCATTGCTGATTATACCAGACTGTTGTGGTAGCGGAGGAGGGCCAGGGGGCGGTAATATGCGGGGACTGGACATACTCGGGGTATTCAGCGACTCGTTGATGGCTCTTCGTAGCTGGTCCTCCTCCTCCTGGTGATTGCTCGGTGTGTTTATTGTGCACTCGCTGTGGGTAAGGCCCGGCACATTGCTCAAGGGCGACTTGGTGGTGGCTCTGGACGGGGGCCGAGAGGGTGCACCATAGAACGTCGTTGGCTCGGTCCCGTAAATAACGGGCGCGTGGATCGCAAATGCTAAGCAGACCCTCGTTAGCAGAGGAAACGGTGTTCAGCCGGCAAGGAGGAGATAACTAACAAGGGACGGTGGCGTCATTTGCCGGCGTAGCCTCGCTTTCCAGACCCGAGGAGAAGGCGCTCTCGTCCCAGCCATACTTCTGCGCGAACTGCGATAGGAACGAGCGCGCATCAGTCGCACCAGCCATAGCAGGAAGCTGTAAGGTAAGGCCGGGCAGAACGAACTGACCTTATCAGGCTCGTCAAAGTATGCATTTATAACAGAGTCGACATTGCCGCCAAGACTTCGCAGCGCATTGGAAATGATCCCGTGGTCACTGAAGCTGGTGATGGTCGCCACCGTCTCGATGTCCTCGGCGGGGATAGGGTTCCCGTCGGTGGCCATCCTCGTTTGTCCAGCAGTAGGGGCGGTGCGTGGTCTGGTGACGTCGAAGTTGACTTATTTCAGAGATCTCAAACAGCTTTCAACGAACTTGAGAAGCTAAAACAACTCCGGCGAGCTAAGCACCTGTGGGAGGCGCAAGATGGGTTGCCGTCGGGCAAGGTCGCATTTGGAGGGGAGCTCTGGGCCTTGGCACGACTTCTTGGCTTGTAAGCTTGTAAGTGCTGTTTGAAGATATGGGAAAGCTGATGTTGCAGTTAAAACTGAAGAGTCTGAGCTGAGACTTTGTGCCCTTATCAATGGAAGAAGATTGCCCGGGCTTGGTTATCATGTAAACAAGGGCATACAATTTTAGGATTCCATACTGGGTCACTTGGCTTGGGGTCAGGTGGTTGATGCAATGCACTCAGTGGGATCTCCACTGACTACTAATACCTAGGTGGTGTTCAGGAAGGTGCTGCCGGGCCAGGTCATACCCTGGTAGCTGCGTCTGTGAAAGGGTTTCCTGTCGGTTCCAAATGTCAGTGGTGATAAATACCCCCAATGTTTGGTGCTTCTCTGTACACATCAGGGATTGGGCTTTCAACGTTTAAATTCACGGAATGTACTGTCAAAAGTCGCGAAGGTTGGCCCCCAATGTGAACCTCCTTCCTGGACACTTAAGCAGACGGGAGAGATGCGAGCTTCCTCCATAAATAAGTGATTTACTAGTATGTACTCCCATCGTGATGTAGTATTACCAGTAAAACCCATCCCTGAGTACGAGGCGCGAGCTTCAGGTAGATACAAAGCAAATTCCCGTTTCTGGAGATCAAACCATAGAACGCCCCACCTGTGGTAATCCCTCCGCGCTATGCATGTTCCCAGATAACCATAGGAAACGACCCGGGAGAGAAGAGAAAATAGAGAACATATTAAGAAAAAGAGATGTAGAAGAGACGGAAGCATCCAATGACACAGCGTGTCAGTGCCACGAGAATCAGCAGGCGAGGAGCCCCTCAATGACGGTCATCATCATCACCATCATCATCATCATCATCATCATCATCATCATCATCATCATCCTCATCAACCTCCTCGTCGTCGCTGCCTTCCAGCTCCTCGTCCTCTTCGCCTTCTCCATCCTCAAAATCCTCCATTTCGTGGTCCTCATGGTCATCATCGCCGGTATCGCTGCCGCCAAAGTCGAACTCCCCTTCGCTCTCCGCCCAGAAGTCGTCGTCGTTCTCGGTCCTGACAGGGGGCGGCGCATCGAAAGTCGTCGGCATCTCGAATCCAGCGGGGATGTCCTTCTTGGACCGCTCGACAGCTTCGCGTGCCTTTTGGTTGTATTCATCGCGGCGGTCGCGGTACATGACGCCGGCGTCCACGTTGGCCGGCGAGTTGATTTCGGGATCGTCGAGTAGCAGGAGGACGGAGCGGAGCACGCTCTCAACGCCCTGCAGCGGGGACCACCGCTCGCTCGCATCCTCGCCAGACAATACGTCCTCGCCGGGCTTGTGCAGGATTGAAATGCAGAGCTGGCCGTCTGGGTAGATATTGGGATGGTTGATGGGGATCAAGAAGCGGAACTTGGGCGGTTGATAGGGATACTCGTCGGTGAAGTCCATCTGGGCTCTGAAGTAGCCACCGTTGAACACGCTGTCCGAGTTGATAACCATCAGCGCGAAGCGCCACTTGAGGATGTTATCTTGTTCGTCCTGCCGGGAGAACAGCTGTCAGCTTCGAGGCCTGCTTAACAGTACAGGTTCCAGCATGAACCGTGGCTCCTTACGTCTTCAAAATTGATCCACCTCTCTGTCCGCAGCGCCTTCATCTCGCTCATGAGGCGCGTCTTCGCGCCAGTTGGTGCCGTGGCACGAGACATAATGCCGACTCAGTATGTACAGACCCAAGGCAAAGAACGCGGGTTCGTTGTTGAATATTGAAAACGGCTTGGGCCTGTACGTGTGCCCCGAGCGATGCGGTAATTCAAGCTGGTAGGGAGGGAAGAATGAATGCAGCAGAAGATTGGGCCCGACTTTTAAGGGCAAGACGAAGTGAGGTGGTGTGGTGAATCTACACTGTAAACAGGCGGTGATGTATCGCCCGTTATTCAGCGGTCTGGAGCCTATTCAAAGAATCTTAGAAACACCAGTCTCAGATCAAGGACGTGCTGGGCTTTAAAGGGTTGGACAATAGCAGGTGTAGGGGAAAAGAAGGTTGGGCCACGGCTTTATTGTGTGTAGGAGGGCGCCCGACACGATACCGCTCCCTTATTATCCTCGTCATGCACAAGTCACAGATCGATCATCACGACGGATCCGCTCCTGTCATGCGGCATGCCTCCAAGTGGCGGGGCCCTGCTAGTGGCGAGCTAGCGGTCACCATTTTTGACCAAGCCCCGCCGTGCTCGGCGCTCCCGGTTTTGCGAACAGCCAGGGCTGCCCCGCCTTGGCGGACTTCCAGGCCCCACAGGTACGTACCTTACCTCAGCGCAAATTGCAATCCGGCACGGGAAGTCGCCGCTTTCCTGGGCATTCACCCAAAACGCGATGCGAAAGGTCATCTGCTCGGCATCACATGTGTAGTGCTTTGTCTACACGGTATTGCTGTGTAAACTGTCTCGACGGTGAAGCTGAAAGCGCGCACTAAAGTTCTGTGCCTCGGTAGGTAAGGTAGGCAAAATCTAAGTCCAGTGCAGTGTTTACCGGTCTCGTTTAATGGACACGCTCTTGACAAAGCACACTTTCGCCATCTCGCCTTATAAGCTTGGGAGAGCTCCAGGCCGTTTGCCCCCTTGTAGTGCCGACCAGCAATCGAGTACTAGTAGTTACATATGGTAATCACTTGCCAGGATGCCCCTCATTCGGGCGAAGTTAAGCCCGGCTTTCATCTCCACGGAGTATATGTAGACGACATCAACATGGGACAAGCCCGGCGAGATTCAGAGACGGGTCGGGTATAATAAAACATCGAACCCTCTCTCTCTATAACTAGCCCCTACTCAGTGTGGAAAACAGAATTTGTTTACCGCCTGTCAACTTCACGTCAACTCAAACTTGCTCTGTGCTCTTCAGACGAAAAACGCGCTGAACCATGTCGTTCAAGTATAAGCGCATCCTACTCGTTGGCGCCTCCTCCGGAATAGGCGCTGCCCTGGCCGACAGGTTCATCTTAGAGGGCGCCAAGGTGATTGCCGTTGGGCGCCGTCAGGAGAGACTGGATGCATTTGTCCAAAAGCATGGCCCGGAGAAGGCGAGCGCTGTTCAGTACGACATCAACGACAGACCCGGGTTGGACGCCTTTGTCGAAGGGTTAGTGTCACACAGAAATCTCCCCCCCTCCCCCCCCCCCTAAATAGCATTAGAAATTAGAAAGAAACCCGTTCATGGATCCGCTAACAGCAGTCAAAGCATCGAGAGCAAGTACCCGGATCTCGACTGCGTCTTCCTCAACTCGGGGGTCCAGGGCCAATTCAATCTGTCGAAACCGGCAGAGGTCGATCTGGATGCCTTCCATCAAGAGGTCAACACCAACTTCCACAGTCTGGTAGACCTCTCAATCAAGTTTCTACCTCATCTGCTTGGGAAATCATTTCCCACCGCGCTAGTGATCACCAACTCTCAACTCTGCCTTGTCCCCGCTGTCCTGTCGCCGGCCTATTCGGCTTCCAAGGCAGCATTGAATGCGTTTGTCTACTGCCTGCGCCGTCAGAATCGGGGAACAAGCACAAAGATCATCGAGATCTGGCCTCCTGCCGTCCAGAGTAAGCACCCCACGTCCCTCTTCGTCCCAGGACAGTGTTGTCTCACCGGCTCCAGCTGAACTCCATGACTACATGGGAACCGAAAGGGGTCGGGCCGTTGGTATGCCGCTGGCGGCATTCGTCGAGCAAGCCTGGTCGCAGCTTGCAGCGGGCTCCGAACAGGTTACTGTTGCGGCAGACGAGGACTATTTGAAATTGCTGGACCACCGCCGAACTCGCTTCGAGGCGATGTCAGATCTGATGGAGAAGCACTTCGCCACGTAGAAGGGAGGCAATACTAGTGCAGCGTATACGCTGTGGGGACTGCTCGCCACTCAAAGGTTAATCAGACCGGTGTTTGCACATCCGACGTCCTTTGATGTGATCACCGGCAATGAATAGATGGCCTTAGAAAAAGGCCCAGGTGGCGAACAATGCACTCAGACCCGGCCTCCTTGGCCATGACCGGGTCAGCACCCACCTGCGGCGAACTCCCTCTGCCGCTACTCTCCAGCTCTGCTTTGGTCAAAGTATCGGTAATCCGATTCCCATTTACAACCCCGCAATCTAGACCAGATCAGACTGATCATCTGGGTATCAAACCGACAAGAGTATGAGCAACGCGAAAACGAGAAACAACAAGGGGTAAGTCGCCAATGCATGCAACCACGCCAGGCAAGCAAGCAATCCCTGACCCAAACGCCAAAACAGCCGAAACCCCAAGCAGAGTAGAGCAGAGAATAGGTAGATGCCTCCCCCATCACGTCCCAACCGAAGACCATCGCCTCTCCTTCCTCGAGGGCGTCGTCGTCGACGACGGGGCCGCCTAAGCCCCTAAGTCATAGTACACACACTTGCCCGTTCTGAAATTGTAAACAAAAGCGTTGCCGGGTCCGCTTTTGGCCTCAAACTCCCAGCGCCACTGCTTGAGCATCTCGTGGATCTCCCTGACATAGTTCTTTTCCGCTGTGCCCACGCTGTGTTCCACCTTCTTCCAGCTCTCCGGATCCGACAGGCTGGTGCCCCTGATCAGGTCCATGACGACATCCGAGGTCTCGATCGCGGCGATCGGGCCCTCGAGGAAGGACTGCACCAGCCGGGAGGCGCTGGCCTGGGCCTGCTCGACGACTGCGCGGCGGTTGAACTTTTTGGATTTGGTCTGCGCAACCAGCACGTGCACGTCTTGCTGGTGCTCCTGCTCGCCGCCCGCCGCGGTGGGTATCGCGTTGGCCGACTCGGAGTGCGGCACACCGGCCGTGCTGCGGAATCGCGTACCTGACCGGGACTCGCGGTCACGGATCTCGGATTTGAGCCAGCTAAGGAGCTCCTTGGCTGCAATGTCCGCGTCGGGCGCGTCTTTGCGTCCCATGGTCTTGATCTTCAGCAGATTGTCCTGCTTGATGATGACGATCCAGCTGTAAGACTCGTCCCGGTAGCTCGAGAGCAGGTCTTCGGGTGAGCGTGCATCACGGGCCAGCTCGGCGCTGATGCCGTGTGCCCAGAGCGTTTGCAAGAGCTCGATGCCGGAAGAGCGGAGAATGGATGGGTCGAAGCTGGCCACGAGCACATCGCACTGCCTCCGTTAGCCACACGCTCTCGAAGTTAGAGCAAGATGCAAGACCAACCCGTTTTGCGCTGAATATCCCTTGGGTATCTTCCTCGACCGCCTTCTTCAGGAAGGCCTTCCCGGTCGTCTTCGGAACCTGCTTGGCCAGTTGCTTTTCCCAGTTCAAGCTGAAGCCCACCGCATGTCGCTCCTCGAATCGGCTGCCAATCTTGGGGCGATGCTCCTTGATCAGGCCGTCGTAGCGGCCACCCGCTGCAAAGACATCCTTAACCTTCTTATCGTAGAGGCAAGAAAAGAGGATGCCTCCACGGAAGAACGATTCGTTGATACTGCTCAGCGGGGCGATATAGATCTTGCAACAGACACCAAATTTCTTGGTGTACTCGTAGACTTCCCTCAAATGCGCCAGGGTGGACGATACCTTCTCGAGGTACTCTGTCCCCTCAAAGAGATTCCTCAACTTGGTGATGGCCTTAGTCGGCGTGTCTAAGTAGAAGGTCAGCGCATCTCTACCGAAACTCAAAACAATCACAGTAGGTACTGACCTCGAAAGTCGAATCTCTGCAGCTCATCGACGCTGGTAGCCGAGATACCTACCAAGGGCGACCTGAGCTCGCTACGGACTTTCTGCCAGGTAAAATTCCGGATGTTTAGCTTGCTGAGTACCTCGGCCGCAGCCTGTCTCGCACCAGCCTCGACGCCGCAGAACTCAAAGATCAAATGCAAAAGGTCCGAGTGTCCGAGATGGAAACACATCGGCGTCGAAGACGTGGTCGGGAATGCAGCGATGATTTCATCCAGCACCTTGATGGCCTCTGCCTCTTTCAAGGCAAGATCCAAGGCATCCGTGGTGACAACGTCGAAGTCGACCTCACCATAGACGTCGGGCTGTCCGCCGTCATGGCGGTCTCGAAAGATGTTGCCGAAGGAATACGAGCGTTGTGGTACCTGGCCGTTCGTAATCCTGGCGAGGGAGCGAGCATGGCCCATTACCAAATCGAAGGGGAGCTGGAGAACACTGCCGCTTCGGTCCAGCAGGTGGACGGCAGCCTGGCCGTAATGTGACGACCGGGGATAAAGGCATGCAGTTGGTGCCTCGACCGCGCCATGGCGTCTGAAAATCGATATCAGCGTGTCCTTCACGATGTACCTACGCATCAGGTCGGCCGGGCTTGGGGTCGAACTGGACATGTCCCAGGCGTAATCCTTTGCTTGCTCGATTTGGCGGGCAAACAGAGTGCTCATCATCTTTTCGAAGTAGGGAGAGCTGGGATCCGCCACATCGGCGATTGCGCGCCGTAGCGCCTCACTCTCCATCTGAACCGGCATCTTCCCGCTCTTGAGCAGCTCAACACTAGAAGGTCGCTCCTTCGGGTTATGGTTCAACAGTGATAGCATGACCTCGGTGTGGTTCTTGTCGGCTGGCTTGAAGTCTGATGGAAGGGTTGGTGGGTTCCGACGTACGCCTTCGAGCACCACAGCGCGCTGCATCCCAAGCATTGGAGGATACGACATCTCAAAGAAGATGACGCCCAGGGAGTACATCTGTTTATGTTAGATTACCGCATTCCAGAAAGTCAGACAGAGCCGCAATAGTACTCACGTCAACTTTGGCAGTATACGAGCCGCTTCCACCAGTCCTCACCTCTGGGGCGACATAGACGGCAGTGCCAATGCTCCTGGTCATCTCGCCTGAATCCATGCTGGACGGCATCTTGTCGAGAGCCAGCTGCCCGCTTGTTGCCAACCCAAAGTCTCCGATCTTTACGTTTTCAACCCCGTCTGGTCCAGCGCTGATGAAGATGTTCTCCGGTTTCAGATCCCGGTGGACGATGTTGAGGCTATGGATATGAGCCAGCCCTTCGAGGATCTGGCGGAACAGACGCCAGATTTCCTGCGTCTCCTTATACAGGTTTCGGGAAATCAAATCGCGGAGGGTCTGACAACGATTAGCTTTGATCGAGGGGAAGCTGATGGAAGGGGTCATAACCTACGCGCTTTTCGCAATACTCCATGGAAATGTACATGATTGTCCGAAAAGGGCGAGTGCTTCCCATCCTCACGCGCTTGTTGGGGACAGCCAAGCGATCCTGCGGAGCCCTGCTATTTAAGGTAGAAGTATCTTCGTCCGATGCCGACGCATCGCTGTCTCCTGCGTCGTCGTCATCGTCGTCGTCGTCGTCACTCTCAATGGCGGACTCGTATCCCAGCTCGATATATGGATGCCCACTTGACGACATGAAATCGAGACCTCGGCTCTTGCTTTCGGCGAATTCAATGTTAATCGCTTGAGAAATTGTGCCTCTTGAAGCCTCGGTAGTAGCTCCTTCTGTGGACGTATCCCCGTCGGTGTCGGAGAAATCAGGGATCTCCTCGAGCCAAGTATTGAAATAGCGGACCACTGCAGGGTGGTTCATCTGCGAAAGAAGCCTAACTTCCTTGAGCATCTCTGACAAGGTTTCCTGCGATCGTTGCGTGATCTTCTTGATTGCATAGAGGCGGCCATCGATCAGTTTCCTCGCCCTGACCACCTCCCCAAACCCACCCTTGCCCAAACGAGCCTCTTCTACGTAGTCTTGAAGATACCTTGAGGTGACTGCGCTCCGGTTCATGGAATCGTGACGCAGCCTCCGGGGCACGCCCTGAGAATGAGAAATCATGGAACCGCTCATCATGGCAGGTTCGTCTTCGGCCAGAATCGGAGAATTGGTTGCCAGGAATTCGGAAGAACACAGCTCAAATGCTCGAGGCCGCTTCTTCGGGTCAGACTTGAAGAACTTGGCGACTAACTCCTCTAGCGGATCGGACAGCGAAAGTGACTCCATAAGGGCCGACGGAGAGTGGTACTTGTCAGCGACGCCCAGGCCAAAGAGCATCTGTAAGAAAACTATGCCAAAGTCCCAGACATCCGTCTTTTGCGTGTATTGCGGTTTCGACACGCCAGCAATCTCGGGTGGGAACCAGTACGCCGACTTCGCTGCTCTCGTAGTAGTCAGAGTAGCTACCTTAGTGCAGATGTTATGCAGTTCCCTCTGATAACCTGCATCCGCAAGTTTAGGGACAATATCCCCAGCTGCTTCCCTGCAGAGCAGGATGTTCCCAGGATGGATGTCCTGATGAACGATACCATGGTTATGCAAGAACGCCAGCGCGTCTAGAAGATCAGCGGTCCATATCTTGGCTTTGCTGATATCTACTTGACCAGCAAGATCCAGGAGTTCGTCGAGCGGGCCCTTGTTGCTGAGAGGGGTCAAAGCACTGATACTCCAAACCGCAGGCGAGGACGAGTCGGTTTCGCTAATCGAGCGGTCAATCTTGAAATCTATGAGCTCGAGGAGGTTTTGATGACGCAGCTTCTTGAGCGATTCTAGCTGCGCTTCCAACGATTGGAGTTGCTTCTTGAACAAAGCGGAGTCCTTGCCATTGTATTTCAAATCCACCTGCTTGAGAGCAAGACTGGGACGTAGGGTCCGCGCAGACAGAACTGGTTTGACCTTGTATACCGTTGTGACCGGACCCTCACGGTAGACCTGCCTTCCGATGACCGTCTGGAAGTAGAGGGCGTTGCCGGTTCCGTCGGTCAACTTGCATGGCTGATCGAACACCAGGGCAACATCGGTTTCCGCAAGGTCCTGCGTGGAACGATCAGGAGATAAACGCTGGCTCCTGTTCTTCTTCCTCGACTCCTTGGCCTTAGTCCTCTGCCGTTTGAGCTCTTCTTGAACCATGTCTCCGAGGACACGTTCCTCTTCCTTGCTCTCCTCGAGCTTCTTGCGCCTCTCAAGCTCCTTTTCAGTCTGAGCTTGCCTCGCTAGCTCAGCCTCGTGAGCCGCTCGTTCTTCCTCGAGAGATGGAAGTTCCAGTCCCTGCGCCTTCTTCAGCGCAGCGGCTTCTAAGATCTCGCGGACCCCTTCAACGATGCGGTCAATCATCTCCTGTTCTTCTTGAGCCCACAGCTTCGGCTGTGTCTCAATGAACGTGCGAATCTTGAACCTGACAGAGTCTCGAAGGTCGCCGTCACTTTTCATAACCAAGAGCGGTGGAGACTTTGGGTAAGTTGCAACTAGAACCACGCCCAGCGTCATAGCGAAGTCCTCGTCCGAGGAAGCCTTGATTCTGATGTCAAAGGATGGCTCGGATTTCTGTGCAATCACAATCAGCCACACATAAGCCATACGAGTTTAGACGTACTATTCATTGAGATCTTACCTGCCATGCGCTATGCGCACCACTGTGAAGAGTAAAGTCTTCCCCATAGATAGCCTGCAACACCATCACCTCGTTTCCTTGCAGCTCTTGGTAGTGTGTCCTGGATGCAGATTCTCCCGGGCCACTGGGCCCGGGAAATTTCTGGTTTCCATTTGGTTTAGGTTTCGGGAGGGCCTTTTTCTTTGGCGCCATCGCGACTTGGAGCAAGACTTAGGATGAGGCGGTTGAAGGCACCCAAGAGAACAACTCAGAGGTAGTACCGAAAATGTAGATTAACACAGCCAAAAAGGCTGTGGAAATTTACCGAGTTGAGCCCATCATATCTTTGATGAGTCCCTGGTTTTCTGAACGAAGAAAGCAACCCGTAAAAGGTGCTTCGCAACATGCAATGTGGGTGAGATGGCGGGGACCTTCAATGTTTCTTGGTTCTGAGACTCAGCTCCCCTGCATCCATGCACGCTTGCAGGTGGTTCAAATCGGGTTGAAGTGGACCCACGCAGCCCGCTCATCAACGTGCCCGTCCCACTGGCTGCATCCGGCAATCGAGTAAACAGCCCCGGGGGAAACACGACTCTGCGCGCCAGACCTGGTCAACCACAAGTTCTATCAACAAGCAATCTTCGCAGAATCGAACAGTGAATCGGTTCTTGCGGTTGCATTTCCCTCCGCCATACAGCCCGTCCGTTCACAATGATCAGTTGGGCGCTGAGGCGCAATACGGACAGCGCGCGCGACGCGCAAGCGTTTGGTATGTCGAGTCGAAGTGACCGCGCATTTGAGAAGGCTCATTTCGGACAATTCACTTACACCACTGCAGACGATACCACACAGATTGATGTGCCGGATACTCCTGCCCCTGTATTTGCGGTGCGCGCGTTGAAGACCGCCCTTTTTGGCACCCCCGCACCGAAGACCACGAACGATAAGACACAGCAGCACGCAAAGCCGGCACCTATATCGGACAAGTCGCCAGCGAAACCTCCTGGCATTCTTCTTACTCCCGGCACTGGCACAGCACGTCGAAAACGTGTCTCCTTCAATCATGACGTGAAGAAAGGCTCGGCTGGCCCCTCCGATGGGCCGGCGGGAAGCAGCACCACAGGGCTACCAGACGAATGCCCAGGAAAGTTCCCTAGTCCATGGACTGACCGCAGTTCTGATGGAGAGCAGTCTCGGTTGAAGACCAGGTTGCAGTTGGCCATGGAGAACGCACGGAAGAGCAACGGCAAGGAAAAGGGAACGGAGACGAAAGACTTCGCTTACTCTGCAAAGGAGCCAAAGGAGCCAGATGAGGTTTGGGAGGAAGTCGATGACGACTCGGAATTCGAGGCCGATGTCACTACCGATCTGAACGAACCACACTCACGCTCCGGCAAATACTGGAAATCCTACTTCGAGACCTACCATAGCGATGCAAAGGCAGAGATGGAGAAGCTTGTCAAGTACAAGCAACTCGCCAAGTCTTATGCAAAGATGAAGGATACAGAGGCGCTCGAGCTCAACCAAAAGCTCAAGGAGGAGCAAGAGAAGGTCAAGATGATGGAGGAAAAAGTGGCCGAGCTGGCGCGTCAGGCAAGGCTATCTGCCAGGAGAAGGGGAGATGAACGCAACCCGGCCTTGATGGACGAGCTCGACAAGCAGACGGCTCTCGCCGAAGAATACAAGAGGCAAGTGGGAGAGTTGGAAGCCCTGCTTCAGGATAATATCGACGACGCGGAAGACGAGCGTCCTCGGCGACGGCGAACCGCATCACCTCGCACGCAGCGAACCCTAATGGAAACCCAGCGAGAGTTGAGGCGGGCGAGGGCACAGGTCCGCGAGCTGGACAAACTCCAGGAGGAGCGGGACCGACTGAGATCCGACTTGAAATTCGCCGAGCAACGAGCTAGCAAGCTCGCTGAGGAGAACAAAAGGCTGTCGACGGAGCTGTCACAGAACACGTCGAGGATTCGAGACCTGGAGAGGCGATTGGACGACTCGAAAGGCCTTTACGAGAAGCTGAAGGATGACGCAAAGGCTCGCTATCTGGAAGCTCAGCAGGTTCTGCAGAAGAAGAACGAAAAGGTGTCGGAGCTTCAAAGGGAGATTGAGTCGTTGAGGAAGGACGGAGCGGACTCAAGGCGATCGAATCGGTCAACCCGGGCAAAGAGCTTGGACGAAAAGGCCCCAACGCTTAAGCCCATGGAGTCGCTGGAAGATGGCGGCATCCGGCCGCAAAGGGAGTTGAACGAGGCAAGACGAATACCTAGTCGGAGGTCACAGGCCGACTTTGCGAGGCTGGAAGAGGCCGAGCCCAGACGAAAACGAGACACAGAAGTTTCGGACGAGACTCTTGCCAAGTCCCGAGCTCTTAGGGAGAAGCTCGAGGCTGAGTTTGGCACCAAAGGGCTCCCTGCCTCTTCCGTCTTCAACGACCGTGGAAACCTGCAAGACAGCCGAAGTTCTGCATCCAGCGGTCGATCCGCCCACACCAGGGAGGACCAGCCATATTCAAGCCGCTCCGACAGACCATCTCGGTCTACCTGGGCGGCTACGTCAACGGAGAAGACGACTCTCGAAGACCTGCTTGCCGATACGCCAGAAAAACGCTTTGGCAGTGCCTCGTTGGAGCAGCAGGAGCGGCAGCCAATAAGGAGGCGGGCGGCCCGTCCGCAATCGCAAGTTGGCACAGCATCACATATCGAATTTGTGCAGGGTCCGTCCGCACCCGTGAGGGATACGAATAGGCAGAGCGGTGCTGTGGGGAGCACCATGAACACTGCACGGCCAGCGATCTCTGAAGATCGGAAGGCGGCTGCACTTGCACGTCTCCAACGCAAGAAGGCGGAGCGGGCGATGCAGCGGCAGCTTGAGCAATAATGGATCGGTGTGGGCAGATGTGGTGAGGGTTGTGCTGTCTTTTGTATGGCGTTGGAAGGCGGGTTATTGGCTGGCTACGGGCTTGTTGTATGTCTGTCGTCCCTCTGTACCCGGGGTACTTGGAAATATCGGTCTGTTTGATTAGGGTCTGGCGCGACGTTTTTGATACCATTTATGACCTGTGGTGTTTTATTCGGGACTAATGATCGAGTTAAAGCACGGGAATGGCATCCATTGACTGTAGTCGATTTTCAAGAAGAATTACACCTACGGATAAATAACTCCCTTACCTAACATAAGATAAGCTTCTTATCGGAGATGGCGCGTGTCTTAGACGAACTGACCTTCATCTCATCCCCAACCAACAAGTGTCCCGAGTGGTTCACACTCAAGATGGAAGATGACTACGTAGACTTGTCCGATTACAACGACGATAGCGTGCTAGAAAATGAGATTGCCGATCTTGAGCGTCGACTAGCAGAAGCCAAGGCAAAACGTCGACAGCTCACGCCCCAATCCGACTCTCCACCGTCTCACACTCCGTCAAGTAAGTGTAACAGCCCAATGAATCGCTCATCACATCAATTGACCTGGTAACTAACACACCCCCTTCATTCAAACAAAAGAACCGCCAACCTCCAGTCTAAACTCACCAACTCACTTCCTCCTCCTCCTCTCCGACTCCGCCCTCCCCCTCGGCAGCTTCGCCTTCTCCTCCGGCCTCGAGAGCTATCTCGCCCATCACCAAAAGACCCTGGCCCCGCAACAGCCCGCCTCCTTCACTTCCTTCCTGCCCTTATCCATCTCATCCTACGCTTCCACAACCCTCCCCTATGTCCTTGCCGCCCACCGCGACCCGTCTCTCGCGAATCTCGCCGCACTCGACGACATGCTCGACGCAAGCATTATCTGCACCGTCGGGCGGCGGGCATCTGTCGCGCAGGGTAGGGCGCTGCTGTCGATCTGGGAACGGTCGTTTGTTGGATCACCGGGCACGGGCACGGGTGCGGGCGGGGAGACGGATGGGGAAAGGGAAGGGGAAGGGGTGAGGGGGTTTTCGGCGTTGCTACGGTGTTCTGCCGCTTCTTCTTCTCCTTCTTCCTCCGGAGACGGTGGCGGCGCGTGGGACGTAGACCCGCCGGCGGTCGCGGCACATCTGCCTCCGCTGTTCGGAGCGATCTGCGCGCTGGTTGGGCTCGACCTGGAGCAGACGGCCTATGTGTTCTTGCTGGGGCACGTGAAGGCGCTGGTGTCGGCGGCGGTGCGGGCGGGCGTGTTTGGGCCATATCAGGCGCAGAGGACGCTGGCGAGTGGATCGGTGCAGGGGTTGATCCGGGTCATGATCGAGCGGGAGTGGGAGACGAGAGTGGAAGATGCTGGGCAAAACGTGCCCGTTATGGACTTGTGGGCGGGGAGGCATGAGGTGTTGTATTCGAGGATATTCAATAGTTGAGCAGGGGGAAAGGGGTTGGTGTTTTTGGATGAATGAACTGCGTTACCCCTTGCCGAGGGGCAGTAATTAGTGTTGCACATACCATACAACAGCCGTCTCCCGAAGTTCTAACTACTATCATCGTCGCTACCATAGGCTACTAAAGGCCCAGAGGGAGCAGTTGTCTTCGGTTTTGAAGAGACAGCCACCTGGGCTGCCTGGAGAACCGCCAGTGTGCTGCTTGAGAGAATCCCCCCTGTCTGCGGCTCACCCTGTCTTTGCGGCTGTTCCTCCGCGATTTGAACTTCCGCTGCTCCAAGCATGAGCCGCTGTTGGTGCTCAAGCTCATAGCCTTCCCGACCCCTCGGGTTGACCGCATTCGGTCCCCGCGCGAAGTGCACCTCATCTGGCGCCTCGTACCCTTCGAGGCCATAACTGCTTTCCAGCTTCCGCCGTTTCCGTGCCTCTGGATCCTTGCCCTCGATCTCGGCGACAAAGTCGGCTGGCAACGCCTTTCGGATGGCCTCTGCCGCTTGCTCCTCAATCCGCCGCGCCTCACGTTTCTGCGCCATCGGGTTGGGATCCGCTGTCGCCCACCGGACGTTCAAAACCTCGTTGTGATCGAGAGACCTACATCCTGTGTCAACAAGGAACATCAAGGATGTACATGCGACGCTTGGAAACATACTGATGAGCCATCGCCTCCTTCGCGAACTGGGCATTCGCCTCATTGGTGTAGGTTATGAAGGCGACCCCCCTGGTATTGAGCACGCGGATGCGCTCGATCTGCCCCCACTCAGCAAAGTGACGAGCCACAATCTCTTCGATGTCATCTGTGACATGAATCCGGCCCACGTAAATCGTCCGGTTTTGGCGAGTGAAGCTGCCGACGCCGCCCATGTCATCCCGGTAGTCGCTGAACTTGTCGCGGCCGAAGCAGTCGACGTTCGGGTTGAAGATGTCGTGAAGGCCGGGCAGCCGGTGAAGATACTCGCAGTCTTGGCCCTTCGGACTGTATGTCAATTGTTAGCGAGCGCTCCGGTTAAAGGCCGCCGGCCTGATGGCTGGAATCCAACGTACCATATCCCCCTGGCGAAGAACAAACAGAAGTACGAGCCCGGTCGCGAATCAGCGCGCGTGAATCCCGAGTCCAACGCAACATTGCATCTCCCCTTGGCATGTGTTTGCGATAGATATTTGTCTTCCCGGTCGCCGCCAGACCATTTGTTGTACCAAATGTTGAACACGGTACCCGTCTGTGGCGGTGGCTCTGATTTGACCAAGGCTGGGTCGATCTGCGGCCGCGCCGGGCGCTTTTTCCGCCTGATGATCTTCTTCACCTTCTTCTCTGTTGGCGGCGCAACCTCGCTGCTGATGGTTGTGAGGGCGAGCTCCTGCGCGTTGGATTGCGTGTCGTCGGCAGCTGTCGTGGCCGCGTCGGGCCTTGTGGCGACTTCAGCCATGTTCGATAAGTGGTTTTCGCTTTCGGCTTGGGGTGTTGAAGAATTAGGGGTATGGAACCGGTGCCTGTCACGGAGATGTGAACTTTAGAATGGAAGATGACGGGAATGTTGAGTAAATCGACGGGACATGGAGCTGATCTCCGATAAGAACCTGGCACGCCTGGATACCGTAATAATAAAACGTTACCGAAATTACGAGTTCATCCGTAATACGGTAATGATCGCGACCGAAGGCGGTGAGACACCGCGGAGCCGCCCCGCCACCCCTCGATATTCTGCCGCTTTACGACGTGGGGTCTAAGACTTGTACGGCTGGCCCCAGGATTGAATTCATCGAGTTGCAGTGAAAAGACAACCAGCTAGGATTGGCATTCCTGTCTTTTGGCTTCAGAATTTCCACAAAAGGGCGTCAGGAGGGCTATTCACCCCCTCCGTGACTCAAGATGGTGAACATCACAGATAAGATCAAGGAGTACGCAATTTGTGATGAGACGAAGAGATGAAGAGATGAAGAGTTCGAACTGACAGAGGGCAGGATTGAGGAGGAGATGCGGAGGACCCAGAGTTCGTTCTGCTGTATTCATATATTTCAGTGAATATAGCTTTGCTGACATATCCCGCAGAAAATAAGGCAACCGGTACGCGCTTGCTCCCTCTGCTATAGTGTACAATACAGCCTGAGCCCTGCGGCTGACATTGTCTCGTCAGAATATCATCTGGGTCTGTTAAAGGGGTGAGTAACTAGTATCTTTTTGCTTACTTGAACCTGCCTCCTGACTGTCTTCAGAAAGCTTGCACGCCTTCGCGCTCAGTTGCTAGAGCCAGGGCCCGGGTCTGGCGGCGGCGGCGGTGCGGGTTTCGATGTGAGCAAGAGCGGCGATGCTCGAATAGCGTTGGTCGGTTTCCCATCTGTGGGCAAGTCGACCTTTCTCTCCAAGGTCACCAAGACGAAGTCCGAGGTCGCGTCTTACGCCTTCACAACGCTCACTGCCATCCCTGGCGTCCTCGAGTATGGTGGTGCCGAAATCCAGCTGCTCGATCTGCCGGGTATTATCGAAGGGGCTGCGGAAGGCAAGGGTAGAGGGCGCCAGGTCATCTCGGCAGCAAAGACCAGTGACCTCATTCTTATGGTTCTCGATGCAACCAAGCGGGCGGAGCAGCGGGCATTGTTGGAAGCCGAGTTAGAGGCGGTAGGCATCCGGCTGAACCGCGAGCCACCGTGAGTCCCAGTCAGGTTCAGGGTGAACTGCGAAGCTCGGCTCTGACAAAACTACAACAGAAACATCTACCTCAAACCTAAAAAGGCCGGTGGCATGAAAATCACCTTTCAATCTCAACCGAAAGGCCTGGACGAAAAGATGATTCAGAACATCCTCCGCGACTACAAGCTCCTGAACTGCGAGGTGCTTGTCCGCGACGAAAACTGCACAGTCGACGACCTGATTGATGTCATCATGAAAGACCACCGCAAATACATCAAATGCCTATATGTCTACAACAAGATCGACAGCGTCTCGCTCGACTTCCTGGACAAGCTGGCGCGGGAGCCGAACACGGTGGTCATGAGCTGCGAGCTGGACCTGGGCATTCAGGACGTTGTTGACCGGTGCTGGAAGGAGCTCAACCTTATACGGATATACACGAAGCGGAAGGGCGTCGATCCTGACTTCAGTGAAGCACTGATTGTACGGAGCAATAGCAGTATCGAGGATGTTTGTGACCGTATCCACCGATCACTCAAGGAAACTTTCAAGTATGCATTGGTCTGGGGCGCGAGCGCGAGGCATATTCCGCAGAGAGTAGGGTTGGGCCATCCGGTGGCAGACGAGGATGTGGTGTATATAGTCAGCGGATGGAAGGCATAGTGTGTTGAGAGATGAGTAGGAGCGTTGTGTGGCGGTCACGAGCAAGCCAGCCAACTGCACGAGGAAGAGTCGAATAACCTTCCTACCCTGTTCTCCGTGTGTGTCTGCATATCCCCGTCATAACCAGTCGTTAACCCCCCATCCCTGAACCGTGATGATGATCAAAACGATCTGCCATATCAGCAGAGACACCGGAAAGCAAAGGAAATAAACAATACCCTAGACGCCTCGGACTAGACCAACCCTTTCCTCCCGCAAAACAGAAAGACATTCCGTCATGTGAAAGCATTGCAAAAAGAAAAAGATATTAACAAAGTGAGAGACACAGTCGTCGGCCAAACGTGGAATATCCGCTGTGGCAGAAATCGCTGTTCGACCGAAGACCGCCCCGAAAGAAAATCTCACTTGCTACCAAAAGGGTTGTTCTCAGGTTTGTTCCCAAATAGGGCATCCCCCTTAGGGCTGCCACCGGCCTCGAGCTTCTTCGCCGACGCTTGGGCGAACAACGACTTTCCCTTGACCCTGGATATGGCCACATTTGGTTAGCGTTCGTGCCCGAAATCTAGATCGGAGGAACTGTGGGAGTTCTAGGTGGAGGACAAGGACGTACGACTTGCCAACCTGCTTGTTGCGGAAGGCGCTCAACTTAGCCGTGCAAGGGCTCATGATGTTGTCCGATGGGGAGATGTACGTTTTGTTCCTGGAGAGAGGAGGGTACAACAGTCAGTGTCTGTTTCGGCCCGACAATCCTTTTCATTCCTTTGATCTCATATTTCCACTGCTTTGTGTGGGAAGTTGATGGTTACATACTCTCCTTGCTCCATCTTCGACTGAAAGACCTGGCGGTGGTACTCCATGCTCATCACATCTGGCTTCACGGCCCCGCCGGTCTGTGCACCGGCTTGGTTCTGAGCAGGCAGGGACGTGTTGACGTCCCTGGCCGCAAGCACGTTGGAAGACATCGCTGACATGGTTGTGCTTCCGCTGAGAGTGTCGTAACCCGTTTTGCTGGATAGCTCGGAGCTGCGCTGCGAGGAAATGACAAAGCACAATTGCTCAACTGCTTGGAAAGATGCAGTGTACGACAAATGCCTTAGGTTTGGGTTGCGTGCCGGGGGAGAAACATAGGACGACGGCAATGTACCCAGACTTTTAAATGGTTGCGGGAATGCTGAGTAAAGTCAACTCAACCCTGTGCAGAAAAAGAACAACAGTTTTCCGGTTTAGGCAGGGTCGCCCGGGCAACATCAGGGATGCACGGGTCCACATAACGCATTTTCATGCACTGGCAGGTTTCACGGAATGGGAAGCCATGACTCAGGCAACGCAGCCTGAGATCTCGGTAAGACTAGTAATGGCAACAAGAAAATGCAAAATGTTCATTTTGCAGCAAACTATGCCAAGTGTACAATGACACTTGTCTCTACCTCTACACAGCACACAACCTGGTATTTTATGCCCAAGATTAAAGTTTCGACCGGTTGATATTGGACCCGAGCTCGATGTGCTTCGCACCGTACTGCTTCATCAGCTGCTCAGCCTTCCTCTTCTGCGCGGCAATCTTGGCGGCGACTGCCTTGCCGCGCCGGTTCTCATTCCTGCCCATCTGGTTCAGATGCACCTCATCCGGGCCATCCGCAAGCCTGAGGGTTCTGATACCCGCCCACATGCTGGCCAGCGGAGTGTCTTGGCTGACGCCAGCTCCGCCAAAGGCCTGCACGGCGCGGTCAATGACCGTCAGCGCCATCTGTGGGACCAGCACCTTGGCCTCGGCGATCTCGGTGAGTGCGGCCTTCGGGCCTTGCTCGTCCATCTTGATGGCGGCGTTGAGGACGATGAGACGCGCAGCGTCGATTTCGATGCGCGACTTAGCGACCCACTCCAGGATGACACCGTGCTCACGCAGTTGCTTGCCAAAGGTCGTCTTCTTGGGGTCGTTGATCCGCATGAGCATCCACTCCAGCGCCTTCTCGGCTGCGCCAATCGTCCGCATCGCGTGGTGGATGCGGCCGGGACCAAGACGGCCTTGGATGATCTCGAAGCCACGGCCCTCCCCGAGCACCAGGTTGCTCGCTGGCACGCGAACATTGTGAAAGGTGATGTGGCCGTGACCGTGAGGGGCATCGTCGTACCCGTAAACAGAGAGCATGCGGTGGATGGTGATTCCCTTGGACTCCGCCGGGACGAGGATGACCGACTGCTGCCTGTACGGGTCCCTGTTCGTTGGGTCGCTCTTGCCCATCACGATGTAGATCTTGCAGCGCGGATCACCGGCACCGCTTGACCACCATTTCTGCGTAAGGTACGTATGGAGTCAGCTCCGTAGTGAGCGGCCCAAGGATAAGTAAGGTGTAGGGAGCAGTAGGGAGCATACCTGGCCGTTCAGCACATAATGGTCGCCATCCCGCTCGATCTTCATCTCAATGTTGCGCGCGTCGGACGACGCAACTTGGGGCTCCGTCATCAAGAAGGCCGAGCGGATCTCGCCCTCCATCAGCGGTTTCAGCCACTGCGCCTTCTGAGCCTCGTTGCCATACTTGGCTAGCACCTCCATGTTGCCCGTGTCCGGAGCTGCGCAGTTGACAGCTTCGGAAGCAAGCCGCGACTTGCCCAACCACTCCGCCATCAGGCCGTACTCGAGGTTAGTGTAGCCCGGCGATTCCTTATAGTGGCCCTTCGGGAGGAACATGTTCCAGAGACCCAGGGACCGGGCCTTCCTCTTGAGGTCCTCGAGGACTGGGGGGTGGGAATTCCATCTCGCGTCACCAACACCAATCTGGGCTTCGAAGACGGCGTCGGCGCTGACGATATCTCAGATCGAAGTGCATAGAGTGATAAGGGATGTCAATTTGGGCTTACGGGATGCAGTCCTCCTCGACAAACTTAGCAACGACGTCCAGCGTCTTCTTCGCCCGCTCGCTCACGCGGTCACGGACCTTGTATGCTTGTCTTAGTGTATGGTTCAGGAGATGGGGCCAAAGGAACACGGTGCGAGCTCTTACCGAGATTGGGATCTGGGCCGACATGTTGAGTGCTGTTTGAACTGTTGAAAGTTGTCAAGGAATGATGCGAAAGAGGTATTCTTCAGTCTCGTGGGACTAGAAATAAGGAGCAATCTCTCGGTGACCAGCGGAAAGGACATCCACTGATGTTGAATCAATGGCTCAGGGCCTCTGGCGGCCCTGGCCCTCTCAGCTGGTACGATGAACCGTGGCCCATGCCGAGGTCCATCGGCACCCACCGGCTCGGGCTGAGAGTATGGAGTGCCAAGCATTGTGGCTGATGGGAAATGCGGAGGTGGCGTACTAAACAAATTAACGACCTGCAAGACCGGCCCGAGGGGCAGAATGGAAACGGACGGGAAACAATCCGAGACGGTGACCTACAACTTACAAGTATGCCTGGAACTCGGTAAGGTACTTTACATACACTGAGAGGGAACGTTCTGCCAAGCTATGCGGCCTCGGTATATCAAAAAGCACTCATGTCTCGCTCTGGCGTGCTTGTGTAACGTTACGCGAAATAGGGACCATTAGTTCTCAACTTTACCGTCCTGCTAACGGAAGGTGAAGCAACAACAAAATGGAGTGACAATTCTTCTAAGCATACATACTCAACATAGTATAGTAGTAGGTAATAGGTACTGGCGGTATATGATAGCCTGTATAACTCGGTCAGGGGGCCCCGCCGACCGGGCCGGTAAGGCGCCATCCAGGCTTCGGTTGATTCGTGCCGCCGGGAATCGAGGCCTGCTGGTGAGCCTCCGAGACATTGTGACACCCACCAACAACGCACAGGTGAGTGGCAGCATAATCTGTACCTACCTTACATAAAACACGGGTCTTGGAAGTCCGTGCAGCGGCAACATTCCGCTTCATGTTGGTAGAACAGCTGATTGAGATTTCTTCGAGGAACAGTATGTATGTACAATACCTAATAGGGCCCGTACCTTGGTAAGGTGGAAACTCCCACTTTGGTACGGTTAGAGCGATTCTCCAACTCCACGATAGCACCTTCTCTTCTTTGACAGTGGGCCTCAACTAACGGCTCCGAGTTAGAATACGTCACTCATTTTCGAATGAGCAATTTTATAGCTACCTGTGTACCTATTTGGACTAGGGATGGCAGTTGAGTTAATGAAACGGGTTGCTGAACTATAAGGTATTTGTTACTCCTACTAGTACTAGTAACTTACTATGGAGCACCTTGGATAAATGAATGACAGTTTCCCCGCTCTCCCAACTCCTCCAATCATACGCAAGATCCATGGCAACCGACCGACTGTTGAGACTGGTCGTAGCCTCATAGGGAACCCAGATTACAAGTAAATGTAACCTGCTTCATATAGTGTAATGTACTGCAATAGTTACTTTGCTGGTGGAGGGGGCAGGATTGTCAGCAGGGGCGCAAAAACAGTGGTGGCTCTGTTGTGGTCCTAACCTGACTGGCGAATATGGCTATCATTTAAGCCCTGGTTCTTGATAGCGGTTCCAATGCAGAGAGAGGTGTTCAATTTTTCGTCTCACAGAAACTGCAGGGAAATTTACGGTCACACTAGAGCGATTATTAGTCGAAGCCCTGCAGAAAATAGATAACCGACGTTGTAGCGCTAGGGGGCTGCCGAGAGCATTCACCTTTTGCTTGCGTCGCTTGCATTCGCAGCACGGACTGCTGTGGAATGAGTTGAGGCTAATAATGACGGCCGGGGGAGGGCCCGGGTTCAATTTGAGGTGAGGGACCGTAGGTAGCCGGGGACCGGACGCCCCACGTCATGTCTTCAAGACCCCGCTGTCCGTTGGACTCGCGTCCACTGTCCAGCCTTAATGAACAGCTGAGCTTTTCGCCCCATGTTTCCATTGTGCAAAGCACGTACAGACCTTTGAGCGCATGTTGACACCTGCACACCTACGATACATTTACAGTACTTACCGCCCGCTAAATGCTAGGCCGGCTACCTCGCAACCAACAGCTCCATGGATGACTGCGATTAGAACTGCAGCTATCAAATCCTCGGCCTTCCCCACCGCGGCCTTTCCCGTCCGACTGCCCGTTCTTCGTCAGATCGATCATCATCCTTCGCCGCGCTGTATTGCTTGGATCTCCGTGTTGTGGTCGCGTCGCGTTGCTAGACCGTGGATCATGTCATAATATTCTTTGCCGAGACTTCGACCCTTGTCTCAACCGCCAATCTGCGACACCGCCCTCGAAGCAATGGAGATGGTTAGGACGGCTGGTTCGCTCATGGTTCCCAAGAAGTTTCGAAGCGTGCGGGACAAAAATGGCAGTCATCATCGCAATAGATCGTCGGAGTCTAGCGGCAGGGTGTGTGGACTTTGTTAGCCATAGCAGCAGCTGGGACTGTGTACTGACTCTTCCCTAGGCTCGACCCCTAACCGCCGACTCGTGGCTTTCGATATTCAAAACCGACAGCACGAAGCAGGCTCCGAAGGAAAAGGAAGAAGATAAAGAACCGGCAAAGGTCTATAGACTCCAAGAGAAGCCAACCGTATTCGCGTCCGTCCTCATACTGACACGGGATACAGCTCGAAATCATAGCGAAGCGCCTCGAAGAGCTCAACTACCTCGAGATCCCCGGCGACATCATGCGCTTGGCGCTCCGTTCCAAGTTTGCCTCGGGCGATGTCGAGAAAACCATTGAGCTCTTGCAACTTCAGCAGCAGGCATTCTCGGGGATAATACTGCCCTATAATCCGGACGTTGAGATGCTCGGCGCTGAGAATAGGGGGAATACCACCTGTTATCTCGACTCATTGCTGTTTGCTATGTTCGCCCATCTCAAGGCTTTCGAGTGCATGCTGCAGAATGACTTGGAGAACGGGCCTCAGAGGAAACTGGCCGCTTTGCTTCGACTATGGGTTAACATGCTCAGAAGTGGGAAGCTGATCCACACAGACATGGTTTGCCGCACCCCTCCCCTTTGTGGTCTCGTTCGTTGGGCTGACTATGTTTCCAAAGATGGAGCAGATACAACAGGCCTTAGCAGAGTGCGGCTGGAAAGATGCTGCGCTCCTTGAGCAACAGGACACTTCTGAAGCCTTCGCCTTCATCGCTGATGCACTGCAACTGCCTCTCCTTGCTTTGCAAGTGGACCTTTTCCACCATGGGAAAGGAGATGCAGATGACCATAAAGTTGTTCACGAGAGGTGTCTCAACCTGGCCGTACCCCCCGATCCTGATGGAAAAGGGATCAAGCTTGAAGACTGCTTGGAGGATTACTTCAACAACAAGGTGGACGTGCTTCGGGATAGTGTGGCGGAGGAGAAACCTGCCGGCAAGTCGGCCTTGAGCTCTGGGAGCACGATACGGGTAGTCCCCGCCGACGGCGATGGAACGCCACGGGAAGAGAATGAGGATACGCAGCTGCGACGGAGGTGGACGACGCCTAGCGGCCCTGTGCAATCTCCGGTAATGATATCCTGCCGTCATCCGACAGATTTGGATGCACCGTCGGGTTCCCGTACGAGGTCAACCAGCATCATACAGCGATTCGTGCTGAAAGGCGAAGGGGGTTCAGCAGCACATTCCGCGGACCCGGAAACGAGAAGCCTACTGGAACGAGCTAAGCGTACTGGCTCGTCGGTGGTCAAGGCTGTCACCATTCCAGCTTGGCAGTTCTACCGGTTGATACGTCAGGTTCCCCCTCCTTGCGAACATTTGCTTTCCCGAAGAACTGGAGCTGACAATGTGCACAGCGTGGATTGCTACCTCTGAAAGCGCGCCGAACAGCAATGTGGAGCTCGCCCGACATTTCGATCAACGCCCCATCGTGGCGATCTGCTTGAAGAGATATACCATGTCACCACAGGGCATCCCCATGCGGCAGAACACCCTCATCGATATTCCCGACAGCCTACGTCTCCCGCATTTCATGGTTGTCGACGACCACGACCCGAAGGCAGAGGAGCAAGATTCGAACGGTCTTCGTCAAGGATATAGGTTGGTTCTGCAGTCGGTTATCTGTCACCGGGGCGACTCGCTTCACAGCGGGCATTACGTTGCCTATGCTAGGGTCGCGCCCAAGCTCCTGACGGACAATCGGAGATACGACCATGACCCGCCTCCTGATTATGAGGAGCCGCAATGGGTGAGATTCGATGATCTGGCGATTGAGAAGCGTGTCGAAACCGTGGACGATATCCAGCAGTGCCTTCGGCGACAAGAGGAGATGCCGTACGTGCTGATCTATCAAATTGTCCCCATGGTGGACGTCACAACGGCATCGAGCGAGCAATCTGTGACGCGGCCTCCGTCATACATCGAATCCGCACGGAACGTTCCGGGAACACCAAGCGTTGAAGCGGCGTCTGAGCGTACTGGCGGGATCACAAAGTCGGTCAGCGGTTATTTCGATTCTGGAACGACTCTCGTCCGAGACGGACAGCATCTTCGGCCTAGCACCGAGGTTGAACGGCCTTCGCGATTGAGCTTCGAGGAGGGCCCATCCTTTCTCTCCCGACCCGCGAGCATCGCGTTCTCCGAACCTCTCGCCGCCCCCAGCCTGCCTGCCAGCCCCGTTGCCGTCTCGCCAGCCGTAACCCCACAAGAGGAGACTACGGCGACGAGACTATCACGAGCGGCGGCCGTGTTCAAGGCGGGCGCAAGCAGGTCCCGTCCCACAAGCCAAGCTGGTGAGGGCAGGATTAGTTTGACTATGTCCCGGTTCGGGTTTGGGCGGCAGACTAGGGATAACGCTAATGGCGCCAACGGTGTCACTGACTCTGACGTGTCGGCTGACGACCAAACCGCGCTTGTGGATGGCGAGGACGCTAGCGGAAAACAGAAGGAGAAGGAGCATCACACGCCGCGCCATCGCCACCGCCAAAAGAAAGACCGCTCCAAGTCCAAGAGCCGCGATAGAGAGCCGAAGAGGAAGGGGAAGGGCAAGGACTTGGGGAAGGAGTCTGACAAGGAAGGTGGCGCCGATCGCGAGTGCGTTGTCATGTGAAGAAACTGCGAGAGCTTCTGCACGATTGATTTAGCCAGCGTTGGGGCAAAGCCGGGTGCGGTATGTCTTCTAGGTTTGCATTGGCTTGGTGCTTAGATCTACTTAGCAACTGGCTGGTCGTGGGGCATTTCATTCAATCAGCGTTTGGCACACGGCGTTTTGGTGTTTCCCCGGGGAAAGGATAGCATAGGGGCGCATAGTGGAGCATCAGCGATACCAAACCCAGAAACAGATGGAGGAGAGCTTAAGCGACAGCTGGAATGTCGGGAGCATCAAGTAAAGGGGGAAGTTAACAAAATGTACTATATATGAATATGCAGAGCTCCTGTACCGAACAGGCAGAGTCATCCCAGGTTATGTACGTGTATGTACCATACGTACAATACATGAGTACAGCTGGATAACGGCCAAACTGTACCATGGTATTTAGCACTGGCACATGATAATGCCCCGTTAGATCGAGTGAGCGTTACAACACCCAAAGACACTAAGCTCATTCCTGTCTTGCCGGAGTACATACAAAATCAAAACTGCGTGCGTGTTAAGCCACGTCGCCCCTTTCACACGAGCACAGCCAGGGGTTGACAGACTGGCCTACACTATAGAACAACACTTGTTAACCAAGGGCGTGCAAATCTCGTGGCCGCTGCGTTTAGACCACCTGGGAGATCACACGCATCCCACTGCCTCCTTCAGGTAATATGGCAGTCACGCCTCGCTGAACACATCTTGTCTTGAGAAGTTTGTCTTGGGTTGCTGTCGGAGAGATTCATAGCCTGAGATGCTTCCAATCAACCACCGGGCACATGCTATTTTACATCCCATGAATGGCTAATAATATCTACACCGCGGCCACCGCTAGACTTGAGAGAAGGGGCGACGAAGCGTCCAAAGGAGGTTAAGACAGAGGACCCTCTTTTCCCTGATAGCCGTGGCTCTGCCGACAACCGCTCCTCATAAGGGCGGAAGGCAACTCCTGATTCACCTTTCCCCAGCCATCTCATCACAATAACACATATCTATAGTACATATCTCATCGTCCCACTTCCTTTTACCACCGGACGTCCAGTAGGCTACCCGTACATGGAAAGAATCAGCTGCGGATACAAAAGCCCCGTGCCAGATCACCGAAAGATGGAGGAAATGTCTAATGATTCGTCAGGGCCCGATATGCAAGAAGCGGGCGGACCGACATTGGGGAACCGAAATGTCCCGACTGTTGCTGAGCAAGGCAGTCCAATGGTCGATTGTTAAAACAGGAGGCCGAGAAGAGAGAGTAGAGCGAGCACGGACAGACAGATGGAAGCTCGCTCGTCCTACCGCCAGCTATGCAGCCGGGTGGTAGTAGATTAGGCGACGGGGATATACACGCAGTAGAGCGGAGCGAGCTCAGGCGCATCTGCGCATACTTGGAACGTCATGTCGTTCCGCTTGCGAGCGCAACACCTCCGCTTAGAAGGGGATGTTCGGAGGCGGCTGAGCGCCCATGTCCTGCTGTTCTTGGAGCTCCTCGCCACCGGCCTCAATCGAGATGCCGACTCCAATCTTCGCTTGTTGCTGTTCACGATGTTAACTTACGGGGTTTCACGCAACATGGAAGATTCCTTACAGTAAAGTGATCGACATCAGCGGCAAACGTCATCATCACGGGGGCAGCAACCCGCTTCTCGAGCAGGCAACTCAGCTTGCCCTTGGTGTCGATCTGGGCCCGGAAGGTTGACATTCTGAAGTCATACTTGGCGCCAAACGTTGTGATTCCCTCCTTTGTGAGGCCGCCCATCATGGCACCACTGGGAGCCACCTGAAGAGTCATGTCAACACCGGCCTGAACCTTGTCCGACAGGCGTTGCCAGTACGAGGCATTAAGGGCGCCCTGAGCCTGCAGCTGGGCACTGGCGATGAAGCTGTCCGACTTGTACCGAGCAACATACGAGACAGCCGTGTCCGGACCCTGTGTCAGACCAGCGCGTTGCCAAACAGCCTCCAGCCCCAAGGCAAGCTTGGGAGTGACAGACTGCAGGTATTGGCCGATGAAGATACCAGTTAGGCCGCCATCCAGGAAGGAGGGGTTCAGGGCCTTCAGTGTGGCGGTAAAATCGTTGCCAAGATATTCGTTTTCGAACTGCGCCATGTCCTGACCGGTGGCACTGGGAGCGATCTGGAATCGTGACTTGGTGGTGAGAGCATTGCTCCACCTCCAGTTGAACGTCGCTGAGAGGGCACCTTGGTCATCAATGTTGCCTTGAGCAAAGACCTATATCCGCTGTTAGTTGAGCCCACTTTTGACCAACGGCAGTCGTTTGACTCTGTATTCCCGATCTAGGGCGCTAACCTTGCTGGTACCGTAGAGGGCGGCGAAAGTATAAGGACTCAATCGCTCGCCCATGGCGAACTGGTGAGAGACTTGGAATCTTCACTCCATCAGCACCGCGCGGTAAAAAGGCAAGACATGTTGAATTTCCACGCCCATGCCGTTCGAGTGAATCGTGGTGGGACCTGCGAAGGGACGTACAAGGGATTGAAGCTGAAGGCCTTCGTAAGGTCGGCCCGCAGACCGGAGAACATCAAGTTCGATGTGAGGACATCGCGCTGGACCTCTACGGAAGCGGTCAGCAGGGGTTGACATGTCTCTTCAACAGCATGCATCCCAGATGTGCCGTGACGTACCCTTAGCAATGTTCTCGACCAAGCCAGGGTTTGAAAGACCCAGCCGTTGCCTCCTTTCTTGAAAGGCGTTGTAGGCATCTGAGAACGCGGATGCTATCGGGTTCTTGAGGAGGAACGCCAGCGGCGCATCGGACGTGGAGGCCATCGTGACAGCGGTCGCGGCTGTCGCGCAAGGTCCGCCGCTGGTCCTATCGGATTCTGAAGGATCAATGGACCTTCAGGAAAAGGAGTCTGGTGTTGTGAGTCTAAAAGTTCCAAGGCGCCTTTGATGGGCTCGCCGGCGCAATCCAGGTGGTGGATGTGACTCTCGAAGTCGGGAACACTTGAGCCGTGGCTGAAATGTCGATGCTGTTGAACTGGCTTGAAGAGCTGGGCCAAAAATTTCGCGGTGCTCGACTGCGCTGACCAGGTTTGCTGGCCCATGCGCAATTGTGGAGTGTGGAGGCGGCTGCTAGAGCGAGTGACGGCAGGGCCGCTGGTGGTGCTGATGCTCGGTCCGCTCGTCACTACTCAGCAGGGAAACTACCAGTACCTATTAGTAACAAGCTCGGAGAAATGAGGCACCGATGCCACGAACCTGTGTACCATACCTACCTCACTGGGCCTCCTAACGGACTGGATCGGCCGTTTTAGGGGGCCCAAGTAGCCGGGCACCTAGGGAGGCGGGCCTGGCAACTCAACGAGAGTTATGCCATTGATAAGAGACGATAACCGGCTACTCTTTACTGTGTAGAAGCGCCGTGACCTCTCTGGCCCTCAAGTTGAACGGTTTCGACTGCCCGATCCATAACGCGATGCTTTGAATTAGGCCACCTGTATCTGGCTGTGAGGAAACATGGTGCTATGTATAGACTAAACTGCCAAGTTATACTCATAAAGCCACCCAGCAACCTACCTACTACCTAAGCAGCATCCGCTGAGTCCCAAGGTTGAACGCCACACACGCACGGGACAATTCAGAGCCCTGCCCGATCCAACCCGAGATTCCTTCCGGCGTCGAACCTGAAGACCTTGCACGCAGCCGTTCGTTGGTGCATTGTGTGCGAGACTTTGCATAACCCCACGCTGCTTATTTCCAGGTGTTCGATTAACTATTACTACCTTGCAACTCACAGTGTTTATGTTCTGTGTAAGTAAGGTACTTTAGGGCGAACTTGCGAAGTCCGTCACCACCTGAGTGGGTCCCCTTGGTGTGTCGAGCTACGACTGTGTTGAGAGAGGCCGCCTTCGACTTGCCATAACTGAGACTACATTATCATCCGTCATCACGGACACGCTCCCACAAAACACATAGCGGCACTAGGAGCGAGCACTACGTCTCTAGGGTACCCCACCACCTCCCACATCCAAGTGGAAGTCTATAGCCATAGACCCATGAGTGGTCACATGTGCCACAGATTCTGATGCGTGGGGTTGGGGATACAACGATTTGAACCTCCGAACGCTTTGGCTTCGCCAACATATCTGGACCGAGCAAGCATCAGCATCATGGATACTCTTCTGTAAGTTACGTTCCCAGGCGCTTTGGAGGCCGGCTCGCCGCAGAGCCTCATCCAAGAAGCCGCAGTAGCATAGTCGCTTACACGCCTGCAGTACGGCTGAGATCGCGGCCAACGCGCCGCGGTATCGTCGCAAGAGCTCGACCTTCATCGATGGCATCCATGATGTCCCCGAAGATCAGGGGAATATGGCCCCCGCCCAGCTCTACAGCACCATGTCTGGCAGGTTGTTCCATTCCGGGAGAATCGCCATTGTCATGGTTGGGCTTCCGGCTCGTGGAAAGACGTAAGCGAAACCTTGGAATAACTGGTGCCGCTGGAGACTGACCCAGCTCTAGGCACATTTGCGTCTCGATGGCTCGCTATCTTTCGTGGTAGGTTCTGGCCTGCTAGTCTACTACACCTCATTTCGTGAGGCTCATTCATGATTCATCGCAGGCTTGGCGTCAAGACCCGCATCTTCCACCTGGGCGACTATCGCCGGGCGACCGTTCCAGGAGGCCACGTTCCTCAAGACTATTTCTACCCAAATGCGTCTCCGGCTTCGGTCATGCTCCGGCAGAAGATCCTCAAGAAATGCCGAGAAGACATCTATGCCTGGTTGAATCATGAGAATGGCCAAGTCGCCATCTACGATGCTGTCAATCCCACTGCGGCCGGCCGTCTTGCCCTGGCCAAGGAGTTTGCCAAGCATGATGTGCAGGTGAGGTCCCCTTCATAGTGCAAACGGCACGCTTATTGACAGACTGCACCGATAGACGCTCTTCATCGAGTCCTATGTCGACGACCAGGAGATTCTTAAGGAGAATGCACGCAATGTCAAGATACATTCCCCTGATGTGGGTATCCTGCTGCTATTCCGCGTTTGAAAATTGCTCTGACTTTTCCAGTTCCATGGCATGGATCCCGACGAAGCCGCGAAGCGTTACCTCAAGCGGATCGAGACCAAGATCCCGGTGTTCGAGACCATGGAAGAGCAGGAACTAAACTACGTCAAGATGATCAACGCCGGCCGGGCATTCTACTACAACAACGTCAGCTTCAACTACCTGTCGCACAGAATCGTCTTCTACCTGACAAACCTTCACATCAAGTCACGCACCACCTTCTTCGTCCGCGCGGGTCCCGCCACCGATGAAGATTCGTACAAGGCCGATGCCCCGCTCTCTGAGGAAGGCATCGCCTATGCAAAAAAGATGACGGAGACGCTCCTCAGACACAGAGAACAGGAGCGTCAAGCCTCCATTGACCAGGGCGGGCCGGATGTGCCGTTACGACCGCTCACTGTCTGGACATCCACACGACTCCGCACGATCCAGACAGCCGAGCCGCTGAAAGAGTTGGGATACAAGGTCCGGCAGCGTTCGCAAATGAGCCAGATAAACCCCGGAGTCTGCGAGAAGCTGTCTGAGCGGGCCATCCGCGCCTTGTATCCCGAAGAGGTGGAAAAGCACGAGCTGGATCCCTACCACCACCGGTACCCGCGAGCAGAGGTATGGCAGCTCATTCACCACCTCCCCTACCGGTGGCTTTCAGAAGGGATCATACTAAGAAGAAGCCACAGTCGTACCACGACCTTGCTGTCCGGCTGGAGCCCATCATTCTTGAGCTGGAGCGGGAGCAGAACGATCTCCTGATTATTGCTCATGAGAGCGTCTTGCGCGTCCTGTATGCTTATTTGATGCATTGCAGTACTAGGGATATCCCAAAGCTTAAGTTCCCGCGGGACGAGATCATCGAGATCATCCCCGCCGCCTACCAGAACGAGGCCAAACGCATCCACATTCCCGGTCTCGATCCCAGGACGATCCCCGGTTCGCCGGAGGACATCAGGATTCCCGTGCCGAGTGATCCTAGCGCCAACCTCCCACCGATCCCTGGCATGAGCAGCCCAGAGCCTATCGAGGCCATTGCGACGCGGCCCCCTGAGAGGATCATCAACAAGGCGAAGGAGATGGTTTCAGACAAGGTGGCTGATGAGGACTGAGTGAAGAGGGGCAGGTTGGTAGAAAAGAGCATCCTACGCGAAATGATAGGCAAGAATCGGCAGCGCCCGGGTCCAAATATGAGTATTAATTGAATAACCGAACCTACTTACCTGTCGAGCTGCTGGGACATTGTTGAGACCCGTCCGAACAACGCTAACCCCAACCCTCGCTTGTGAGGACGATGACGTCGAGAGTCTTGGCGGAGCCCCGCGACAGCTTCACAGCTCAACCCCGCAAAGGCTGAATTGGGAGAGCCTGAGCTCCACTGGACCTGCAATTGGAGGGAAGTGATTTATATGTTGAGGATACGTGATTAACAGGATCAAGTGCATTACTGCCAATGTCCAGCAAAACAGCTCTCGTCACCGGCGCCACAGGCCTGCTGGGCAGGCAGGTAGTCAAGGTATTCACCTCCCGCGATTGGACCGTAAAGGGCACCGGCTTCTCACGCGCCGACGGCACCAGCATTCTCAGGGTTGATCTTTCTAGCGGCGTCGAGATAGAGAAGGTCCTCAATGAGCAGAAGTGAGTCAATCAAACTCATAGCTTCTAATCAAGCATCGCCTGCTGTGTACTGTACCTCTAACTCCCGCAGCGAAGACCACAGGTCGTCGTCCACTGTAAGTCCCGCGCTTGCCAATTCTCTCTCTCCAGACCTAAACTTCTATGCACACACTCCACCCAGTCGAGTCTCATCATTGACCCGTCAAACTTTCCCAAGGCGCCGCAAACCGCTTTCCAGACAAAGTCGACAAAGACCCCGCCGGTACCCGTGCGCTGAACATTGAAGCCTCGCGCACTCTCGCACAGCTATGTGCCGCCCGCTTCGTGCTGCTGATCTACATCTCAACGGACTATGTCTTCCCCGGACGACCCGGCGACGCGCCCTACGAGGCTGAGGCTGAGCCGGCGCCGACGAACCTCTACGGGCAGACCAAGCTGGATGGGGAGAGGGCTGTGCTGGACGAGTATCGGGCAGCGGGGAAGGAAGGGCTGGCTGTTGTCCTGAGGGTGCCAGTGCTGTATGGGGGCGTCGAGAGCAATGCGGAGAGCGCGGTCAATGTGCTCATGGACGTCGTCATGAAGGCTGCGGAGGGGGATAAGAAAGTCGGGATGGACCACTGGGCACTGAGGTATCCGACGAATACGGAGGATGTGGCTAGGGTTTGCCACGGTGGGTTACCTTACCCCTTTGCCTAGGATGGTTGACGTGGGACAAAGTTGGCTGATGCTAGACGGTGTAGATGTGGCTGTCCGGTATCTTGGCGCGGACAACAAGGCCGTGCTGCCGAGGGTGCTCCAGTTCTCGAGCGAGGACAAGTACACCAAGTACGAGATGTGCCAGCTGTTTGGCGAGATCATGGGCGTGCCAATCGACCGGATAGAGCCAAATACCGAGGGCAACGACCCGGCGGCGACTGTTCAGCGACCGTACGACTGCCATCTCAGTACACGGGCGCTCAAAGACCTGGGCATTGATGTGTCAACGCAGGACTTTGTCGGGTGGTGGAGACGCGAGTGTCGTGCATTCCGTCATTGAGCAGGGAGCGTGGGAGAGGGTGGGAAGGTTTCATTCTCCGACGTACATACTGAGACCCTAGGTCAAGCGCGCCAGTGACGCGCAGGAATTATCCGAGATCCTGCTATGTATCGTACACCAGTTCTATTCAGAGAGAACACGCGTCAAATCAGGGCATTGTGGTGAACGGAATTTGGAGCGGTGGCTGGCAGGACTTTTCACGAAAATCACGACGGCCTGGCACCCTTGTGTCTCGCCTTTCTCCAATCGGGCTCGCCCGTCCATCGGCTAGGGACACCGCGATGCAACTCTCTAAAGCGCAGATCGATGCCGGTGTCTCGGTGTTCTAGGGGGCTGCTAAACACTCGCATTCCGGAGATGAGGCCAGAGCAGCGCGACGTGCTACTGAATGTTTCTCCCTCCGAACACGACGCGCCCTTGACGGCAAGCCATGCGAAGCGGTCTGTTCATGATTTAATCCAGGTTCCCTCGTATTTTCTGCGTGTTGAAATCACCGCTCTGGATGCAAGAAGCCTGCAATTTGTGTACCTTACATACGATCTCCACACTTGCCTGATCCCCTGGACCCTGAGATCTGCCCCCGAGATCCATCCTGTCCCCGCCAAACGCTGAACGATCAGCCCAGTCAACAAGGATTCCCGCCCCTTGTCCGCAGGCCCCAACCGCCTAAGGTTACACAGAGGTAACACTAATGACCGCCACATCCCTCACCTCTTGTTCCAACGCAAACAACAAGAGGGCAATTTCCAGAAAATTCAGCCGGAAGGATAGACATGCGATTGGAGGGAGACGTGCAGCGATTTCCGGCCGTCCACTGCAGGTTGGCGACACCATCAGGGGAAGATTGAAGTCGAGTCCGTCATGGTCGCCGGCGTATTTGCTTGCAGCTCTGGAATGGGCGGAAGATGGAGAGAATAAGGAGCCCGCAGAGCCCAGCAAGGCCGATGCGCATGTTGCGCTGCCGCAACTGGCGCGCAAGACGGCGGCTTCGACCCTGGGGCGCAAACGGGTGGTCGATGACGTGAAGGGGATCACACGGCGCTTTGCAGGGCCAACGGTACCTTGCATGGATTTATTACCCGAGAACCTGGTTCCTCCATCCAACCGAAACTTGAACCCTGCATATTTTCTACCAGCTCCCTCCTGCATCTCGCTCAGCGCGGCAGTCAAACCTGCGCTCTCGTCACCTACAACAACCACTGGGCCGATCGTTCCTGGCCCACGGTCTCGATCCCGACAGCAGCAGCAGCAGCAGCAGCAGCGACGACAGCAGCAGAGCAAAGAAGCAGTAGGAAGGCGGCGTGGGTCCGAGCAGGAGTCGGCCGCGGTCCCGACCAGCGGCGCGGCACAGCAGGCTGCCGAAACCGACAGGATTGTTCTGGCCCCAGCGCGCAAGGAAGAGGGGAGCGAAGGCAGGCAGAACGAGTATCAGTCGGTGCAGTCATCCGGGATGGTGCCCCCCTCAACCAGATCGCCCAGCCCACCACGCCAGCTACAGAGCCCCGTGCGTGAGGCGTTCGGCGGCTTCTTCTCTCGAGCGCGCAAGAAGAGCAACAGCAGCAGCGACTCGCCCCGTTCAACTCTCACGAAACGCTCTCGCACACTACCAATTTCTTCAACCTCGACTTCGTCAAGTGACCCTTATGCCACTGAATCCCGATCGCCGCAGTCTGTTGGCGTCAACCCTGACGCGGAGATGCCGCGCAGCCTGACTGAGGCGCATGATCCCCAAGCCAAGGTAGGCTGAATGGAGTGACTATGATTTACCTTCAGTTTCGGCGAATTAGCATGTGTGCTGATGTGGGCACAGTCTGTTGGCGTGCGATGTCGAGGCGTCACGGTGCCAGTGGAATTCACCAAGGAGACCACCACAGACGATCTTCTGATGGCCTGCTCTCAGACGTTGAATAAGCTTAGACGGCCGATCGACTCTGAAGCCTGCGTCGTCATCGAGGCATGTGCTCGGCCGGGTCTCGAGAGGAGGCTCCGGCGTTATGAGTTGGTTTGGCATGTGATTAACTCCTGGGATGAAGACTCGCCAAACGCCCTAGTCGTGCTACCTGACTCCTCGGATCCCGATGGGAACTTGAGTTTGTCTAGTGTTCCGAAGACACTTGAGGAGCCGGCCGGCTTCGTCCTTCCCCTCTACCACTACCAACACCAGGGGAGATGGAGCCAGCGTTACATCACCTTGAGGGAAAACGGGCAGATATTCGCCTCCAAAAAGCGAGACGCGAAGCCATCCGACAAGGATGTTGTCAGGCTATGCCACCTTTCCGACTTTGATCTCTACATGCCGACCGAAACCGAGATGAAGAAGCGGCTGAAGCCCCCTAGAAGGTACTGTTATGCCGTCAGAAGCCAAGAGAGGGCCTCTCTGTTTGTGGATTCAGACCATTACGTGCAGTTTTTCTGCACCGACGACCCAAACGTAGCGCGGAAGTTTCGCTCATGTGTGCAGGGTTGGCGGAGCTGGTATCTGGTGAACAAGAAGCTGAGGCTGTACGAGCCAGAGGAACCCGCCCTAACGTCTCCGACCACCTCCCCCACCGACCGCTCAGGGGCCGATTACAGTATGAGGGGCAGGGTTTCGATGGACCACGGTCCCAGGGGAAGACGATCAGTCGATCAGCCTGCTTCAGCTCGGCCGCTTCCATCCTCCTGCCAGGACATATCGCCCACGACGCCCGGGCATCCGGCGATTCCCTTGATGGCGCCCTTGACAACATCCCTGGTGGACAAGAACGCTGCGGTGTTCGCAGCCAACGGCCTACTCGGTAACGGCTACGACGAGCGTAGGCAGCAGGCCGCGCGCAAAGAAGCCGTCGCAAACCAGCAGCGAGGGAGGGCTATGTCATTAGCAGGCGACACCCCGTTCGTTGACGGGCCCAGCCTCCTGAATAGTCGCGCGGCGGCGGCTCCCACTTCCGATAGTCGCCCGCCAACCTCCGGGTCAGACACGTGCCGCCAAATACCATTAGCGAGACCGAGCAGTCCCGACCGAGCAGGCTGGTTTCCCTCAGCGGTCCAACAATCGGCCGAACAACGAAGCGGCGGTCGGACTGGTCCGCTGACACGACGACCAAGCACTTCTTCGGGCACCCCATCCCGCGCCCGCTCTGTCCGTAACCTTGAACAGCACCACCGCCAACCCTTAGCACAGCAGCACTACCCACCCATAACCCGCCAGACCCAACAACAACAACAACAACAACAACAACAACAACAACAACAACAACAACAACAACAACAACAACAACAACAATCCCGCAGGACAGGCGCCGCACCACCACAGCAACCACTGATCGACCTCACACCAACCTTCGTCGAACCTCCGCAATGGTCCCGCGAGAAGCGCGGCCACGGCGTTCGCGCTCCGCAGGGCAAACCCCTCGTCGATCTCGCCACAGGGCCTGCCATGCCGCCCAGCACAGCAGCCCGCTTCGCCGCGAATGCCGCCGCGCCACCCAAGAACCTCGTGCGACGCCCTGAACCAGGCCCGGGTCCTTGTACAGGTGCTACAGGCACAGGCACGACGCTGCTACAACAGTATGACGAACAGCAGCAAAGGACGGCGGCTAGGGGGCGGGGCAACACCGTAACCGAAGTATCGTCGGGAATGGGAATGGGGTTGGGGCAGGGGCTATGGAGGAGGAATACGGTTAAGAGCAATGCTAGTGCCGGTGCGATGAATGGGAACCTCCCGCCGCCGCCTGTGCCAGCGTCGACGGTTGTTGGATATATGCGTGGTCGCGGGCCGGCGACGGGGGTTCCGGAGGGAGGGCAGAGGGAAAGGGCTAGGAGCCGGTACCGAAGTGTTGAAGGACGGGCACGGGTGCCTTCGGGGGGACAGGGGCAGATGGAATTGCCTTTGCGGAGTGGAAGGGCGTAGTACCGATCATACTCCTTTTTTCGTGTTTTCTTTTCCCTTTTTTTTCCCTCCTTCCTACCTTTTCCTTTTTTTCTTCCGTTTCCTTTTCCTGTTCCCCTTTCCTTCTGCTACCCCTATTTTTCTTTTCTTTGTCTCACGCTCTTTCTCGCCGCGGATATTCATTTGACTGCTTGCTTCTCGTTTCCTTGATGTGTTCGCTTCTGTTGCCCGGCCTGTGGCTAGCTATTCAGCCTTGTTTTGTATTGTTTGACGAGATGCGCGGAATGAGAACGAGTTTATGTATGATGAACGGCGTCAAAGGGAAGGTCGGAATGGAAGTACACGAGAGGCTCGGGGAAAAGACCTGGCGTCAGTGTTTCTTGGTTATTTTTAGCTTTCGAATTCCGTTGTCGAATACAAAATAGGCAACGTTTACTTTTTGGAAGTTTGGTCCAGGAGGTCTGTATCATTTGCCACTACAACCTCCGATTAACTGGTGGGTATTACATGATGTTGGGAACCTGCAGTACACCCGCTCCCAAATGGGCGGGCGTCTTCTTGCCGAATAACGACTCAGTAGCAAACGGATGTTCCCCTCTACAGCAGCTTATTTATTTGCTGCGCTTGTAGATCTTGTCCAGGAAAGTCTCAAACACTCCCTTCTTCAAGCCCTGGGTCTCGTCGACCTTAGCGATCATTCCACGGATGTCACCAACAACCTTCTCCTCGTAGTCCTTGTACCGCTGCTCCAGCTTGAGCTCGTCGTACAGCTTCTTGACGGCCGCCTCCTTGTCCTTATCCTTGCGCCCGTAGTTCTCCTCGAGCACGCGGCGCTGCTCGGGCGTCACGATGGTCAGGGCCTGGTTGACGAGCCAAGAGCACTTGTTGTCCATGATGTCGGTGCCGATCTTGCCAATGTGCTCCGGCAATCCGAAGTTGTCGAGGTAGTCGTCCTGCACTTGGAAGTACTCGCCCAGCGGGATCAGGATGTCTTCAGCCTGTTTGAGGTTCTGGGGGGTCGCGATGTTGAGCATGTACAGCGCGAGCGCCACGGGCAGGTAGAAGCTATAGTAGGCGGTCTTGTAGATGACGATGAAGCGGTACTTCTCCATGCTGAAGTTGTCCAGATTGACGTTGTCCTCGGGCGCCGTGATCAAATCGCAGAGCTGCCCGATCTCGGTCTGGAACGTCACGTCGTGAAAGAGCTCGAGGAAGTTGACGTAGCACGGGTGGTCCCGGAAGTACTTCTTGAGCAGGTTGTAGATGGAGGCCTCGAGCATGAACGCGTCGTTGATGGCGATCATGCCGACGCCCTCCTGGCGGTACCAGCACGGCTTGCCACGGCGCGTGATACTGCTGTCCATGATGTCGTCCGACACGAGAAAGAAGGCCTGCAGCAGCTCCGTCAACCACCCCAACGTCGCCGCCTTGAAGTACTCGTCCTCGTTCAGGGGCCGCCCAAGCAGCAGTGACACCGAGTCTGGCACCGACATGCCGCGGTTGCACTTGCCGCCAATCGAATTCACCTCGAGGGACTATATGAGCAGAATGTGGTCAGTGGTCGTTCTCTCTGAGGCGGGTTCACATAAACCATATCCAATTCTCACCTTCTTGTACCACTGCAGGGCCTCCTCGGGAATTTTGTAGGTCTTGGCATGTTCGAGGAGCGCCTCCTCCAGCTTGGGGAAGACGCTCTCGAATTCCTTGAGGGTTGTTTTCTGGGCCATACTCGTGTCTTGGTGATCTGATGTCCTTCAATGACTATAGTGCGGGGGGGGTTGGGACGGAGAGGGGAAGTCCAAACAGTTGGTCAAGGAGTTCTTTGGGAGCGTTGGGCAGCTCGAGCGGTGTAACGTACTTGGTCCTACCTATGATTTCTCCCCGGTACCGCAGGCGGTGGAGAGAGAGAGACAAACTTGGCGATGTACGGATACGGTAACCTCCTTGGTGGCTCCAATTGACCCCTCCTTCCTTGTGCTATAGTGGGGTTGCAGTTGGCGATATCAAAGACCCTTGAATATCCCCTCACATATGGGCGGTGAGGAAACTCGGAAGTGGGACACCCGGCAAATCCAGGGAAGCTTCATTAGTTCCCCCCACGCGTCATCTCAGTGGCAGGCGCGTTGCTGCCCACATATCCAAACGCCGACGGGAGCTGGCCGCCAGTCGACAGCATTCCACCAGACACAACAAGACGCAATGTCAGGCCGAAATTCGCAAAAGCACTGGCGCTGACACTCAATTGAAAACTTGGCTTCTGTCACTTTAATGCCTGCTATATCGAGTTTCCTGTTGTCACCTGGGCCACCCTTAAGCTCTCTATGACCGCAACAACGACCGCCAGAAATCATCTACTCAATACCAACCCCGACTAGTCCAATATGGTGCTCTCGGCGAGAGATGTTCTTCAGTTGAAAGAGGCTCTGCAAATAGCAGTGGTGAAGTGTTCAGAAAGATGCCTTTACCAGTCAGGGAAGTGGTATGCTCTGCGGTTAATGCCCCCCACAGTGCTGGATGGCGCGGCTGACCCATACGTATAGGGCAGCTGAGCTCCTTGACGCTCTTCCAGAACCCAACGTTGACGCGGCAGTACCTGACGCCGCAGATAACTGTGTGCATCCCGTGTTTGCGCCGAACCCCGACTCCGTCGAGGCCGCCCTGGAGGCCCAGGAGCTCGGCCGGTACCTGCTCGCAAAGTCATACTTCGATTGCAAGGAATTCGAGCGATGCGCTGCTGTTTTCCTTCCCGACTCGATGCTGGCCAGCTCGTCAAGGACCAATGCGAGCGAGGGTGGTCCGGCCAAGGGAAAGGACAAGGGAAAGGGCAAGGCGGTCGCCCCATCCTTTGCGTCTGAACCCACCCTGCCCCAAATCAGTCAGAAAAGCCTGTTTTTGGCTCTATACGCCAAAGTCATGGTTGGGGAGAAGCACAAAGATGAAGAGGTCGAGATGATCATGGGGCCACAAGATCTGGGCTCCGTGGTCAACAAGGAGCTAGTTCTTGTCAGCCGCTTCCTCACTAGGTGGTTTGCCGAACGAAAGGCCGACGATGGCGGCTACCCTGCCAGCCAAGGCTTTCTGGAGTATCTGTATGGCATGGTTCTGGCAAAGGAGAAAAATGACAACCTTGCCCTGGACTACCTCATGCAGAGCGTACACTTGTTTCCATGGAACTGGGGCGCTTGGCTTGAGATCACAAACCTTGTTTCCAGAGTCGAGCAAGTGAGCAATTCCTCTTTACGGTCGTCCCTTGACGTTGTTTACTGACTTTTTTCCGCATAGCTCAACAAGATTGCGCCGCACCTGCCGCAGAATATCATGTCCTTTATCTTCCACGCCAACGCCGCAATCAATCTCTATCAGCAGGGGCCTGATCTTGCGGCGTCGTTGAACGACCTTCTCGGTATCTTCCCGACGTCATCGTTCCTCCTGACGTGCAAAGCATTGCTATGTTATCACTCCAAGGACCTATTCGGAGCTGAGCAGGAATTCAATCGCGTATTAGCCCTTCACCCACACAGGCTCGATGCGCTAGATCACTATTCCAACATCTTGTATGTTCTGAACCGTCGGCCTAAACTCGCCTTCCTGGCACACCTCTGCTCCAACATCGACAAGTTCCGGCCGGAATCGTGTGTCGTGATTGGGAACTACTACTCGTTACTGTCGCTCCATGACAAGGCTGTGCAGTACTTCCGCCGAGCTCTCACGCTGGACCGTTCCTGTCTCTCCGCCTGGACGCTCATGGGCCACGAATTTGTCGAACTCAAAAACACGCACGCGGCCATCGAGTCTTATCGTCGAGCTGTGGACGTCAACCGGAGGGACTACCGCGCGTGGTATGGTCTGGGCCAGACGTACGAGGTGCTCGAGATGCACACATATGCGCTATGGTACTACAAGAAGGCCGCTGGTCTGCGGCCCTGGGATTCCAAAATGTGGCAGGCTGTCGGCTCGTGCCTACAGAAGATGGGTCGCGAGAAGGACGGGATCAAGGCGCTCAAGAGAGCGCTGCTGGCCGACAGCTACTATGACACTACGGCGAGCAGCTTCGGCAGCGTCGGCACAGTCGACCGCATGTCGCAGATGGATCCGGAGGTGCTGCTGCAGATCGCCACCATGTACGACCAGCTCGGCCAAACGGAAGAAGCCAAGGCATACATGGAGCTTTGCGTAGCGCAGGAAGAAGGCGGAGCGGGCGCTGATGAGGCTGCCGCGGCGGGCCTGAATGAGTCCATTGCGGTTCGGGCCGGCTCTCCCGGTGCCGGCTCGGATGGGGAAGGCGAAGGGGATGAAGGCGGCGCTGGTAATGACGGAGGCACCGGAGTGACGTTTGCCACCAGCAAAGCGCGCATGTGGTTGGCCAAGTACGCCTTGAGAGAAGAGGACTATGAGACAGCCAACCGGCTTGCCATGGAGCTCTGCCAGGACGGCGTCGAGGTAGAGGACGCGAAGGCTATAATGCGGGATGCCCGCTCGAGGATGGAGCAAACGAGTCTGATGGAGCGTTAGAAGCGGCCAGACTGGACATTCCGACTCTAATAAGCTCCAGTGATGCGGTTTAATCGAACGATGCCCTTTTCGACGGCCCAGGCAGGAAATCAGTGGATGGGACGAGACCGAGCTGATGGCCTGCCCACGCGCTCCGATGCCCTACTCTACCTTTACCGTATCACTACATGGGCCTCAGCCGTCATAGGCCACGGCTGAAGGGGTGGCTTTAGCTTCGATTGGAGACACCCTATTGTTCATGCCCAGTACTGTTCACAGTTCTGACATGTGGGCAAACTCAGAAGCCCAACGCGGTCCTTCCCAGGCCCTAGGGTGCAGAGGCTCAGCACAAACAAACAAAGTGCAGGCGCATAACCGTCAATAAGGCTGGGCGGCGGCCATTGCCAATGGCATAAGTGCCCTTGCCTGGAGATGCTGTGGGAGAGACAAGATCAAACACACGGCTGGCGCGGCGATCCTGTCAAATACGTGCTTCGAGGGGCGTTCAGACGACCGTTGCGAAGGGCACCGCTACCGATACAGTATACACTCTATGACTCTCTCCGCACTAAGCAGCGCGAGAACCAGGATGCCCGGTGATGAGAATACCATTCAGCAGCCTGGGACCTTCACAAACCCGACTAGGACAGACTCGGAGATATAGCCGGCCCTCTAAAACTTTGTCGGGACTCTTCATTCAAAATAGGGGTGTGTACACCAGCATACGATATCTATACAACAACCTATGCATAGGCCATTATTGGACCGCTCATGCTCCACTTCCGCACGTCTTTTCAATCAGTAGCCGTCCATTTCCCCTTACGCCGTGCTTGCCTCGTTGGAATTCCCGTTCTCCTGTGCCTGCGGCCCTACAGTAGGCCATTCCGCCGACGCCTTCCCTTCTTCCCCTCCAGATGTTGCGGGTGCCGGTGCCGATGCTGGTGCAGGCGGTGACGTTGAGGGTGGCGGCGGCGTCGTTGTTATCCCCGTTGTCGAGGATGCGGGTTGCGGAGCTGAGGCCGGCGGTGGAGGAGGAGCGCTGATTTGCTTGCTCTTGATAACACTGACCAGATACTCGCCTGCGTCCTCGAAGCCGTCAATCTTGCCGAGGCGAGATTGGAAGAACTCAACATCCCGCAGCATCCTGACCCGTGCGTTAGCATGACATGACGTATTTGGATAAACTGGGGGCTACGCCAACGTGGCTATGAACATACCTCTCCCGACCCTGCTCGGTCTTGAGTTCCACGCCTTGGTATGCCGCGCCGAACGTGTCCTTGTAGTTCTTAAACACGGGGAGCATGATCATCCTCACCGTGCTCTCTGGCAGGTGTTTGGTCAAGTTGCGGTGCAGAGTCGTGGTCTCCTTTACCAGTGTCTCCATGTACTCATTGGCCGCGGTACTGGTTTCCTCCTTCCAGTCCAGAGCCTTCAGCTTTTTCGTACCCGCCAGCGCCCGGCCGCTCATGATCTCGACAAGTTTGTCGTAGATGTTGTTCTGATGCTCTTGGAAAGCCCGCCTGACCTTGTCAAACTCGCCCATCACCGCAGACACGGCCATTCCGGAGCCGCAGTGCCGGCGGACAAACTCGCGGACGTGTGGGATGATGGCGGCTATGAAAGCGAGCGACTGCGACGCCAGCGCAAGGTGCTTCGTTGTGATGTTCCTGAGTCCGGCCGATTTCGTCGCTCCGGCCCCGAGGATGAGTTGAGTGCAGCGGGAGTTGAAGAGCTGGAGATACGCAATGAGCGAAGCTGAGATCTCGGCCGTCATGGACGGGATGGCAGCCATCAGATGCAAGAACCGGGCCATGCCATGCATGCATGAGATGGCCGAATTGGGAAGCAAGAAGCTCTCGGACTCGACGACAGCACTTCTCGTCTTGGTTTTCCCGGTGCCGTTCGTCTGGACAGACAAAAGGTCAGGTTCTTTCCCGGCTGCTTCTGTGTCCGGGTGCGGGATCCATATCTGAGTGCCTTCTATCCACGCGGCAGCGTCCCTAGTGCTGCTCTCCAGTATCTGGTTGAGCAGCTCAGTGTCCTTGTCACCGAAATCGGCGGCATTCCATTGGTCTGATTCCATGCCTTGTGCGAGCTTCTGGTTTTCGGCGTCCCCGTGATTCTGGATGAAATCCTTGATATGGCTGTTGACAACAGTCTTTAGCGTTATCCCGCTGCGTCCGGAGACGGCCTCGCACTCGTTGGCGAAGTGCAGATTGAGGCTGAAGTACCGCAGGAACCAGACCAGATCCAGCCGTTTGTTCTGCTCTGACCGCACCCGCAATACTTTCACGATCTTCTCGTGCGCAACGTCGACCGCTTGCCCCAGCAGGTTGGCGATGTCCACAGCCCTGTGGATTTCTTCTTGAGCCTCGTGCGCGGGCCCCGGTGTTTGCCCCGCCAGAGGGCTGAAAGGGGGTGACCTGAGTGGCGGCGACCGGAGACCAGAAGGAACTGAAGAATCGCCGATGGAGCTTGCCACATCTAACAAGACCTTAACTTGGGTGCTGAGCCTCCTCAGCGCCTCGGCCACACCAATGTACATCCTGGTCATGAGCTCCTCGGCCTCTTGGGGCTCTAGGGCGCGTAGGTTGCGCGCCAGGATGATCGATCTTTCCTGCTGCGAGCGCTGCCTGCCGCCAGTTCTTGTAGACGTGGACATGAGCGATTCATTGTCGTCGTCATTGGAGCTGGGCATTTGCCGTCGAATGATGCCTCGGATCTCTCGTAAAGCTGTTTCCCGATACGCGGTAGCTGCAGCTGTGAGATACCCCGCGCGCTGCAACCCAGTCAGGCTAAAGAGGAGCTCAGTCCGGATCTGGTCTGTGCCCGCCATGTACGATGGGAAAGCCGACGGTTCACGGCTGTGGGCACCGCGCACGCGCGCCGAAGCACTATTCCACCGTATCAGAACCTCTTGAGTTGATACTCGCTCAACATGATTCCGGAGGTCTGTGAGAAGCGTGTTGAGGAACTTTGTCTCGTACGATTTCCCGATCCGCAGTCGAAGGGTATCTAAGTCGTTGCTTACACCCTGAAGGGCGGTAGCGCCCCTGAGGTCCCTGAGCTGTATATCCAGCGGATTGGCTTCCGACGGCTCTCCAGCTATGAGCTTTTCGAGATTGTCGATATTGTCGAGAGCGTCACTGACTTCTCCAGCGTCAACCAGCGATTCGCAGACGGCCACCCCGTCTACAATCTCCCTCAGCTGCATGACCGCATCGTGAAGTTGCTTCACATTCTCTCTTCTCCTGCGCTGCTGGACGAGATGAAGCCCGCCGGTGGCAATCTCCTCATCCAAAGCTTCCAGCTCCTTTCGTAGCCCCTTGATCCTCTCCACAGACTCGGCCGCTTCGGAGTGTAGCTCCCGAAGGGACCCGAGGGCCGTGAAGAAAGTGGTCGAGGCCGTCGAGATCGATTGGATGAGATGCATTTCGACAGTATCCATGTACCACGACAGCTTTTCTTGCAGAATAGCATTTGTTGCCAATGCTTTGCGCGGTGCGGCTGCCTGGCCGTTGGATCCACTCTTGTCATCATTCCCTGGCGTCGGGCGCACCACCTCGGAGCGCTCGCTGACCACATCGAACGTGCGCGGATTCTCCAGATGGAAGTACTCGTCGAAGTACACGGCGGGGATGGTGGATAGTGGCGGCGGCCCATGCGCTTGCCCTCTCTTAGGGCGTGAACTCGAACGATGCGTGGTTGGTGCCACTTCTATTGACGATAGGGAGCTGAGAGAGGCAGTAGAGGTCCGTCGCGACGACAGCCCCGGTCGCTTGCCGGGTCGCAAGTGGCCCTCGTCCAAGGCCTCGGGATACTCATCGGGCTTGGGACTTCGGCGTTGAAGGTTGCTCGGCCCTTGGTCTTCATCTGCCTGTATTCGTCGCAGCTGTTCGTAGAGCGTGCCGACCTGGGAGAGGTACGGCTTGAATTCGGACGCTTCGACATGAGGGATGTTGGTCAGGGCTACGGGCGGGATGTCTCGGGTGGTAGGAGGCTTGTGCGCGCTCGAAGCCGGGGGTGCGCTGTGCGGGAGGAGGCCGGTCCGCACGATGGGGGGTTGCAGTAAGGTCGAGATGGCGTTCTGGCCCGACTCGAAGAGCGTGTTGGACAAGCCCCCCGCAGCATCGAGTGAGCCGCCGATCGAGTGGATAGAGCTTGCGGTCGAATCTCTTCGCTGGTGCGGGCGCTGCAGCCCCTGCGGCGCTGCTCTTGGAAGGGTTAGCTGCCGGCCAAGAATGAGTTGTTTGAGCTGCTTCCGGGGCATGCACACCCATGGAAAGGGAAGTCACCCCGATGGCCAGCCGACAGCGTCGAAGACAGGCTATCGACAGACTTGCGGGCTCCCTGGTTTGAGAACATTGCGGCTCCCCAAGTCTCCCCTGCCACGAGGCGAAGCGCGGATTTCGTTGGCGACCATCCAGGGCCGGGCCACGAGTCAATAGGAGCCTTGTGCAGGCGATGCAGTTGAGTTGATTGGGAGGCCGCCGTCACCGAGGTATCATTGCTGGGAGATGCTCGAGGAAATGCGCCAGACTGTTTTCGATCGCTATTTCAGGCGCTGTGTTGGACTGTTGCTTCGTTGAGAAACCCTGTGCTCGTGAGAGTCCCCTTCGATCCCTTGCACTAGGTCCTTTTTTGAGGTCGTCGTTGAAGCTGCTGAGGTGAGCTCCCGCCGCCGCGTGTCGCTCAGTGGACGCCAAATGGCAGGGAGCTGCGTGCCAAGCCCAGCTCGAGTCCACTAAGTAGCCTTATCCACTTCTCTTAATTCCATATGCCAGCTAACGTATGCCTGCGGCTCAATATGATTATAAAGGAGACTGTTGTGTCTTATCCGAGTCAGAGCTCGCAGAGGGCCCGCGGCTGGATAACAGTGGGTACTAATTAAGATCCCTGCCAGGAGCGCGCCCTGGTCGCGTTGGGCCGTCAGTCGCTTTTACGCGTCACGCGATTTCCCCTTTCTGCAGCCTTTGCCACTCCGTCATGACACGACGGCCTCTCGCCTGGACAATTTGAACAACACACCCGACAGCGCTCCTAGTTCTCTCGCGACTTTTACATTGACATCACTTGTCCAATCGATTCGCTTTTCCTAAGATGGATCGCCAATCCGTCTTCACCAGTCGGCTCTACGGCGCCCCTGCCGAGAGTGAAGATTCACCAACGCGCATACGCACCCTCCTCGAGTCCTTCATTCTCGACTTCAGACTCGACAACTCCTTCATCTACAGGTCCGTCTTCCGAGCGCAGAATAGAAGCCGCTCGGCAGAGACTAATAATCTGGTACAGAGACCAATTGCGCGAGAATGCGCTCCTCAAGAAATATTACTGCGATGTCAACATTGGCGATCTGATAAAGTTCAACGAAGAGATTGCCCATAAACTCGTGACAGAACCCGCAGAGATTATTCCCCTGGTATGATTCGTCCGACACCTGCCCTGCTGCTAGAGGTTCCCTAACCCCCACTAGTTCGAGGCAGCTCTGAAGCGTTGCACGCACAGGATCGTGTACCCCCATGAGGCCAAAGTCGACCTCCCCGAACACCAACTACTTCTCCACTCCAATGCCGAAGATGTCTCAATACGCAACCTAGATTCCATGACCATCGCGAGGCTGGTCCGAGTGCCTGGCATCGTCATAGGCGCCTCCGTCATGTCGTCCAAGGCAACGTTTCTCCACATCCAGTGCCGGAGCTGCGGTCACACCAAAGATGTTCATGTTCTCGGCGGATTCAGTGGTGTGACGCTGCCCAGGACGTGCGACAGGTTCCGAGCGCCCGGCGACCCGACTGAGAAGTGCCCTCTCGACCCCTTCTTTGTCGTGCACGAAAAGTCGCAGTTCGTCGACCAGCAGATCATCAAGCTTCAGGAGGCACCCGACCAGGTACCGGTCGGAGAGCTGCCCAGGCACGTCCTGATATCTGCCGACCGCTACCTTACGAATCGCGTAGTGCCCGGATCGAGATGCACCGTCATGGGTATTTTCTCCATCTACCAGACCAAGGGCTCCAAAAACTCAACGAGCGGCGCCGTCGCCATCCGGACGCCGTATCTGCGTGCGGTGGGCATCCAGACCGATCTTGACCAAACCGCCAAGGGGCAGGCCGTCTTCTCAGAGGAGGAGGAGCAAGAGTTTCTTGAACTCAGCCGGCGGTCGGACCTCTACAATATCATGGCCGACTGCATCGCTCCCTCCATCTACGGCAACCGGGACATCAAGAAGGCCATCTTATGTCTTCTGATGGGCGGTTCCAAAAAGATCCTGCCAGACGGAATGAAACTGCGCGGTGACATCAATGTCCTGCTGCTCGGTGACCCCGGAACAGCCAAGTCACAGCTGCTCAAGTTTGTCGAGAAGGTGGCCCCTATCGCGATTTACACCTCGGGCAAGGGCTCGTCCGCCGCGGGTTTGACAGCTTCCGTCCAGCGAGATCAGTCGACACGCGAGTTTTATCTCGAAGGCGGTGCCATGGTTCTCGCGGATGGCGGCGTAGTATGCATCGACGAATTCGACAAGATGCGTGACGAGGACCGCGTGGCTATCCACGAAGCCATGGAACAGCAGACTATTTCGATCGCCAAGGCAGGCATTACGACCATCCTGAATGCGCGGACATCAGTACTCGCCGCCGCCAATCCCATATTTGGCCGGTACGACGACATGAAGACGCCTGGCGAGAACATCGACTTCCAGACGACCATTCTCTCACGTTTCGACATGATCTTCATCGTCAAGGACGAGCACGAGCGCGGCAAAGACGAGCGCATTGCCAAGCACGTCATGGGCATCCATATGGGTGGCCGGGGCGTGGAAGAGCGCGTTGAGTCTGAAATTCCCGTCGACAAAATGCGGCGCTACATCAGCTATTGCAGATCGTGAGTTTCATCCTCTTCCGCCGTCTTTTCTTTGGGGACCAAACTAACCCACAAACAGCCGGTGCGCTCCACGTCTCTCAGACGCCGCGGCGGAAAAGCTCTCCTCGCACTTCGTCGCCATCCGCAGGCAAGTACACGCGGCCGAGCTCGAAGCTAACACCCGCTCCTCCATCCCCATCACGGTCCGCCAGCTGGAAGCCATCGTGCGCATCACCGAGTCGCTCGCCAAGCTGTCCCTCTCTCCCGTCGCGACCGAAGAGCATGTCGACGAGGCGATCCGCCTCTTTCTCTGCTCGACTATGGACGCCGTCAGCCAGGGCAGCAACCAGGGCAGCCGGGAGCTGAACGAGGAGGTCGCGCGGGTCGAGGCGGAGCTGAAGAGGCGGCTGCCCATCGGGTGGAGCACGAGCCTGGCAACGCTCAGGCGGGAGATGGTGGAAGGGAAGGGGTTCAGCGAGGCGGCGCTGAATCGCGCGTTGATGATCTTGCAGAGGAGGGATACCATCATGTTTAGGAACCAAGGGGCGCAGGTTTATAGAAACGGGGCATAGGTAACAGGAACAGCAGAGTGTTGTCATGTGTTTGTTATGGATTCATGGGGTCTGGTCTGCGTATGTGCATGACGGTTCAACGGTGTTGGGTAAAGGCTGGGAATAGGCGTACTTTACTACCTAGGTACTACATTTTACTGTGATGGGGATTTTCACATGTATCCAATCGAATGTTTCAAAGGCCCTCGTGTGTGTATTCTCAACCATTGTGACGCTAACCCATGCTTCTAAGACTCTCATGACGAACTCACAACAGGTAGTCTAAAAGGATTTGAGACGTCTGCCCTAAGCAGATTGGCAGGCCTCATCAAACTCCGGCCTGGTTGAGACGCCCAGCGGAGTCGGATCAATACACAAAATATCATGGTGCAACCCCCCGAGCCTCTCAAACGTACGCCAGGGTATTGTCATCCCTCATCATACCCGCCACGCCGAGGGCCGCCTCATTACCAGCGACACAGGGGCCTCTGACAATAATCTGCCGCAAAACAACAAGTCAGCCACCGAACCCAGGGCAACAGTCCAACAACATAATAAGGTATGCTGGTGATATGAAATAAGCTTACCTCTCCCTGACTCCGCTCATCCGTCGTCTTCCACACGCCCATATCCCTGAACAGAATCTCGGTGCTCGTCAGCGGCGGACCAAAGTGCGAGCCGCCGCCCGTCTTCCCCTTGTCATCAAACACCCTGTAGTCATAGAAGCCCGTCTGCGTCGCGGCGCCCGCCACCTTGGGGGCCGTCAGAGCGTACATGATCCGTGCTCCCGTGAACGCCCGCAGATCGGAGAGCACGGAGGACGACAGGCGTGGCGTGTCGGCGCCGACGCGCTCGGCGGTGTAGATCAGCCGGAGCTTGCCGCTGCCCTGCGGCCGCACGGCGCTAGTGTAGGTGTGGGAGAAGAGGCCGCCGCTCGCAGGAGGCATTACGCCGGTTTGTGCGAGCTGGCGGGTCTGGAAGCGGTGGAGGGTGCGGCCTAGGAGGGACGAGTTGAGCCGGGCGGATGTTTCTTCGTGGGTCTTGAGCAGGGCCGCGGGCGTGGCGACTAGAATGGTCGGGGAGACGCCGCCGGTAGCGATGGCGAGGTCGTCGGCCTGCGCGGCGACGGAGTTGAATGCCACTGAGGCGTTTGAATACAGCGCGGCGAGGGTGAGGGCCAGGGTGTGCGTGTTGGCCAGCGAGTCGGCGGGAAGGAACAGGTCCGAGGGCCCCATCCGCTGGGCAGTGGGAACGGCGAAGAGCTGGCCGGCAATGGCGGAGACGAAGTTGGCGGATGTGAAACGAACCATCTCCTCCTGCTGGCCGGGCTTGAACTGCCAAAAGACGGTGATATCGCGGAGCTCTTTCTGTCCTTCAATCGAAGGGAGTTCTTTCCCGGCGTCTACGGGGCTGTCATGGATGATGTCTTGCCATGTCGACACGTTGACACTGCTTCCGGTACCCTGGGGGACCTCGTTCCAGTCCATGTGCTTGCTGCCCTCGTCGACGACCCAGATCAGCTGGCGCAGGGACGGGTAGTTCTTGACGACGGCCTCATAGGGGAAGGCGCCCGGAGCGGTAATGACAGTGTCGGCGGCGGACCGGCGCAGCATCGAGATGACGGCATCGGCGGGCTGATCGAACGGCAGGATCACGGTGGTCAGGTTGTAGAAAGAGCACGCGAAGAGTGTCACGATTAGCTCGACCGAGTTAGGGAGGTAGATGGCCACGCGGTTGCCGCCCTGGTCGAGAATGTGTCGTCCGACCAGGTTGATTTGGCGGGTGATGTCGTCGAGGCGGTGCTCGATAACCTTGTCGGTGCCCAACACAGTCAGGATGCGGCCTTTGGCCCCCTTGTTCGGACCATCCTCCTGCACGCCGGCAATGGCCTGGCGCCAAATGTCCCGCAGATCGCCATCACGTCCTCTTGCCCACTTGGAGGCGCCCGGATCCTTCACATTCAAGCCGGCATTCAGGGGCATGCCATGCGGGGCGCCCTGCGACCGGTAGACAGGAGACTCGCCGGGTTGGCGCACGGGGGAGCCTTGGGCCTGCCGCGCAAGCAGGAAAGGATGTGTGTCCGGTTCCTGCCGCGTGGCGATCTGGTAGGCAAGAAAGCCGGCGAGCACCGAAACGATCACGCTGGTCCAGAGATTCCACTGCGCGAAGAGCCCGGTAACGCTCTCGTCGAGATGGAGCAGCAGGTTGTCAAAGAAGCCCATCTTGGTCGGTTAAGAGCCAGGCGTTATCTATCATTTGTCGGCAGTTCAAGTCGAAGAGGGCCCCTTAGCGGTCGCCCGTAGCATTGAATATCAAGGACGGTGGAGTCGGAGTCCGAGGCTGCAGCGGGAGCCGCACTTGGGCTTGGGATACCGGGAAGGACTGAGTAAATGGCGGGGCCGGGAGCTGCCGCTTCGAACGATGGGTCCCTTAGTACCAAGAGTGGGGTGGTGCGACCCGCATGAGACGCCCGGACGTGAACAGCTGCGCACAGCTGATAACTAGTATCTGCCGAGCGGTCGCCTGGGGATTGCATTGTTGACTTCGCGCCAAAATCGCGGGCAGCTAGCAGCGCTGCTCTTGCCGCAAACACAAACAACGACAACGAGCAACAAATGAAGACATAATAACGGCACATCGAGACGGGACGCCACTCAAGCGGCGGGACTCCGGCTATTGACCTTACTAACCCCACAGCAGGCGGCAATTACTTCAAGCCTCCCTCTCCTCGTTAGCTTTTCTACTCCTGTGGCCTCGACAATCTGAGTCGCTCAGGTATCGCAACTGCTGGAAGCTTATCCGCAACCGTTGACGCCTTCTGCGCACTATCCTTCAGGTCCGGGCGAAGGAAGACGCCGCACTCATAACACAGCAGCATGTCGTCCTCGGCGATGTCTGTGGCGCAAGCCCAATCCACACCTGTCAGACAGATCGCGGCCCCCTCTTCATCTGTTCAGGATAGCCCAGGAAATTGGAAACACCCTCGGCTTACTGAGATCACGCGGCGGCGAAATCTAAGCACTTTCGGGGAGAAGAACATTAGGCAAATCGTCTACAATGCCATGGCTCTTTTTGCGATCGGCTTGCTACGGCAAATGTTCCCGTACTTTGTGCGATGGTTCTTGTTAGTACACTCCCTATCGTTCAACCGATCTCAAAGACAGAATGATGCAGTTGGTATCGCTGATCACCATGGTTATGTTATACTGACATGTCCATTGGAACCAGCCCCGAATTGAAGCACTACACCAACTGGATTTACGCCGCGCTTACTGTATTGCCATTGATCAACATTGGCTTGGCCCTGCTGCCTCTTCTCCGGACGCAGGACGACCTCTCAGACATCCCACTCACACCGGCTCAGCGGAAGCTGCTTGGCTTGCCACCGAGCTCCAAGCCGGCAACGCCAGATTCGGTGTACAGCACGCCGCCCAAATACTCCAGAACCCCGTCCATGGCTGGATCGCCCGCCAGCATCAAGAGCTACACCAGCTCGCCCCTGTCGAACCTAGCCAGTCCGGTCTCGGCCCAGTATTCGTCGCCTCGGCCGGGGACATCTCCATCGAAATTGCATCCCTCGCCGTATTCGCCCTCGGCAGTTAGCCCGTTGCTTCAGAAGGCCGTGGGAGGGGGCCTCAATGGGGGGAGGAACGCGTCTTTTGGCTCGCCCAGTTCACTCGGCGCGAGCACGGCATCGAGTCTCTTTGGTGCAAGTACTGCGTCGAGTATGTTTGGCGATGGACCTCCGACTCCAACGCCGGCGACAGGGAAACGGTCTAGCGTCAGCCTCAACAACAAGTGGCTGTATGAGAAGGGCAGGAGGAGCTCAGGGAGCGGCTGGTTGCACCAGAACTTCTCATGATGACTTGATTCATTCATCTTGATGGGTGATATCCCGGTATGGCTAGCTCTGGATCGGTTTTTATAATCAGAAGACAGCCACATACCGCGTTCTCATGGTGCATTGTTAACGAGGGATGTACGGCATTATCTGTGAAGTTATTACCAACGTGGCGCTGAAGACGCCCAAAGCTTGGGAGATCGTGCAGGAGGAATCATGCACATGGTCTCCTCCAGCATCCAGCTCATGGCACCCTATCCAGGTACACGCACGGCTGAGTTGAGAACACGGCCCTCTCACACCAGAAGGTCATCCGGGTCGCGTAAATCTAGAAACACGCCCCATTAGGCTAACTGACCTCTGGGAAGAAGCCGGTGGGTGTTGGCCGTGCGGACCGTGTGTATACATGGCTACAGTAGAGACGGAGGGCAATTGTGGTGTTTCTAGGGAGTTTGGTACTTATGGTAGACTCAATTTCGTATTGCACATCAATGGTACTTGGGATAAACAGGCTTTGTCGCTGAGATGGCTAACCCAGGTGGAATTAGGTCCCGGGGGACCAACTGGGCTGATTGGCCTGAACATGCAAAGCTACCATCCATTCAACAACGCTGACCAACCCGCTCTGTCACCCGTGAGTGTCCCAGCCTGATACCTCCCATAGTTGTGTACTCCACGAAGCATGCACCTTGCTGTATTCCACCTGGAACGTGTATTCCGTTAAAGTGAGCTCTCCATGAACCTGTTACGCGGCACGGGCTGGAGGCAGCTGCCCATTCCCGGGCATCGACGGTGTCCCAACACCACGTAAGTTGATGGCTCCAATGCGGGAGACAATATTGCTGCCCACCGCATCCACCGCGCCGCGCGGCGAGGTCAGCGTGGGTCCCTGTGGCGCCGTTTCCTGAACCCGGAACAGCTTGATTTGCGTCGTGTTCCAGACGCCCACAGTGCCCTTCGACACTTGCATCTCGCCGGCGAAGATGAAACCCCAGAGCAGCGACTCGTACCACCCAAGCGCCAAGGGCGACCACTCAAACGAGTGTACCCGAATGGGCGACGGCTCGACGCCGAGCAGCTGCACATCGCGGATCTTGGCCAGTACGGCCGGGGGCGGCGTGTCCGTCACGAGGGCTTGACGGGGGATCAGCGCCGAAAACTGCTGCAGGACGGTCAGCACCGTGTGGAGCGGTAGTTCCGGCAGCCAACTGTCCATCCACTGGGCGGATGGCTCAAACAGCCCAGACTGCGACTGGCCAGTGGCAGGCCCCCCCAGACTGGTGGTACTGTTCTGACGTGAGAAGTTGCCGGTCCCCGCCGGCATTTTCCCTCTTGCCTTCTCTGACATGCCCTGCAGCTGTCTCGGAACATCGTCGTCGGCCGCTGATGCTACCGACGAAGCTACCGACGGGTTGTCGCTCGGGCTTGAATTTGCCGGTGTCGGCCGTGCTTCGTCGTCGCTCTCATCCTCATCCTCCCCAACCGCAAATGTTCCGTCCTCCTCTGGGACATCGCCGAGCGTAGGCGCTCGAGAGAGAGGTGCAGTCGGACTCCTTATGCTCTCCACCGAACTCCTAGTCGACGTGGGCTCTAACGGGTCGTGAGAAGCCCCACTGTCCTTACGTCTCCGGTTGCGCCTCTGGATTTCCTCTTGACCGCTTTCGAGCGTCAAGGAGCGCAGCGCTTCGAATCTCTTTCGGTTCCTGAGAATGGAGAAGATGAACTGCGGGTTTTCTGTCATGCTGTCAATATGAATGGTCGTTTGACACCGCACCGCTGCTTGCGAATAGCTTACCTCTGTACTGGTGCTCAACTATGGCATTGATGGCCTCTAGCAATGACCTCAAGAGGCTGTGATTTGTTTCATTGGCCAGGAGAAATGAGGGCGAGGACATGGAATTGAACAGCTGCATGATTTTGGAGCATGTGGCCGCGCTTAGCCCTTCCAGATATGCGGCAATGTTGTTGATAACCGCTAGAAGGGCAGGGTAGATAGCGGTGAGCTTCCCCTGACTGGTCGTGATGAGGCTATAGATGGACTAGAGCCGTATTAGCGCCGCACTGGGGTTCAGCGGTTTCCGGCAGACTCACTTGGATGAGGAAATCACCATATGTGCCCTTGAACCCTGTGATCCGGATGGCAGGGGGTAATGTATCCTGCGCCTCGAACGACTTGTTCAGGTTCACCCCGAAATTCTTCTCTACGCTGAGTGTCTGCAGGAGAAAGGCACACATCCTCACAACGCCTTGTTTAGCCGCGTCGGCCTTGTTCTCGAGGGCATAGAACAGGACGAGTATGATGAAGTCGTGAGCTCTCTCCGTATCGATAATGAACGATCGGAACCGCTTGTTGCATTGTGTCATCTCCCAGAAGAGCATGATGATTTCGGGAGCGAACCTCACCGAGGTCTGGGCTCCTGGCAGGTACGAGGAATTAGTCTGAAGTGGCTGGTTCAAGATCCGCGTCATACCGTCCACGACGAACTGGAAGTCCTGGGGCCGGTGAAGGCGGCCGAGGAAGTGACGGTAATAGTTCTTGGGAGCCATGGCACCGGCCTGCTCAGGGATGGTGTACAGCAGCGTGGTCAGGAGGAACTGGAGGGTATATGTAACGAGAATCTCTTTCGGGTCCTTGAAGACAAGAGCATTGTATGGTACCCGCCAGCTGGCTGGGTTGTATTTGAGGGTCTGGTAAACGTCAGCACTAACCAGCCGCCCTGATTAAATAACCGCCCACTCACTGTGTTCAGCAGCGAACACAACACAGACAGGACCACCTGCTTGTCTGAGCACGTGCAAATGTAGGTGAGGGCCTTGGTCCCCTGTTGTGGTAGGACGCTCGGTGACAGATACATGCTTTGACTTGCTAGAGTTAAGAGCAGACGCAGAATCTCGCAGCGGTTGTTCTCGTGCTCCTTGACAGTGGGTATTGACGTGTTGCAGCCTACACCGCTTTGCCAGATGGCGTAGGTGACCCTCGGCTTTCCCTGAGCGGCGTTGGGCACCGTGAAGTCGGAGAAGAAGAGCAAGTCGAGGAGAGTGTCGATCAACTCTTCGGCCAGCGGCTTCGCATCCTCAAACTCGTCTGTCGCCTCTCTAGGTTGCCCATCCTGACCTCCATCAAACAACACTTCATTGGAGATGGCGGCTTTCCGGGTTCGCCTGCGCCTCGGTGACCATAGCACGTCATGCTCCCACTGCTGTAGCGACTCCTTTTCGTAAATAAAGGGGAGCACTCGTGTTAGAACGCGGATGCAATTCAGCGCTTCTCGGTCGGGAGCAAACTCGGGGTCCGGGAAGGAAGGGTGACGGCAGAGGAGGAACAGGCGGGTCGTTACGGCCTGTATCAGGGTCTCCAGGTTCTCGAGCGCATTGTCGCGAGTGCGGCGCACATCGGCTGGCGCAAAGAGGCTGAAGATATCTTCGGCAGACTCGGGGAGCTCCCAGAACTACGGAGATGTGTTAGCGCAAAATGTCCAAGGCCAATCCACGACGGACGGGCCACAGCTCACAGAGGCCCAGTACGCATCGCCGGCAGGAATGTGCCTCTCCTCGGAGAGCCTGAAGATGCCCTTTTTGAAGACAAGCTTAGAGTCGCTGGCACCCATGTTGGAGGCTCAAGATACTCGCATCGTGTGGTCGGTTGCGTCGGGGTGCCGGGCTGGAGAATGCGCGAACAGGATCAAATGCGCAGTCGACCCGGGACAAGCTGAACTTCCAACTTGGCAGTTACATCACAGGCCAGCGAAAGTTAACGCAGGAAACTTGAAGTGTGAAACGCCGCCATTTCTACCCTAACCCTGCACATACTTGCTGAGCCCATGGTCTGGACCGCCCCGATTGCTGCATCAATGCCAAGCTACAACCTACGATAAGTTTATGAATCTGGCCTTATCGCTAATTACAGGTCTACGGATACACTACGGAGTACATATCGCGATTCGCGAACATCCAATGCACTGGTCGCAATTGGAAGCTGCCTGCGACAACCTGGCGTGAGCTCGCTGACATTGTCTCTTGCCATTATCCGGCCCATGACAATATCCGGGTGACGCCGCGTAACCTCTTTTTCCAAGCCGGGAGCCCAATCTCAATCCCAGCTCTCTTTCTTCGGGTGTAAGGGCGGCTTCCCCCGTCATCGCCCGCCATGTACTCGTCCGTCGTCCGGCTCCAGAACACCTTTGGCTTCTTCACCACAGTAGCCTTCGTGATTGCTGCCTTCATCGCCGCCTCCGACCTCATTACCCCGCGGACGCCTAGCGTAGGCGTCCTCAAGCCCACCAATGTCCAAGTGTACGGCCCCTTCGTCTCCTGAGCAACCTCTCCCACAGCTAACACAACCTGTCCCCCTGCTCCAGCGTCCGTGGCCGTCCGCACTACTACTCCTCCAAGAAGGAAGAGTACGCCATACTCAAGTTCTCCCTCGACGCCGACCTTTCCTCCCTCTTCACATGGAACACCAAGCAGCTGTTCGTCTACGTGACGGCCGAGTGGCCGTCGGCAGGCGGGTCCGGGTCCGGGCAGAACGCGACCAACCAGGCCGTCATCTGGGATAGCATCATCACGGCGCCGAGCGCAGACCACCTGGCCAATCTGGGCCCCATCGCCATGAAGAAGCTGAAGCGGAGCGCGCAGGGCAAGCCTATCGATCCTAGCCGGTAAGCGCACGCTTTCCTACATCTACTTCAATTTCCTGTGCCTGGTTGACCCCTCCTCCTCCCCCTCCCCCCAGAACCCCAAACCTTCTACACGAGACCGGTTGGTTGACATTAAGTAGCGGGAAATTGTCGATCAAGAACCAGCGGCCCAAGTACCAGATCACGCACCCCTCGGGTAAGGTGGCCGAGCAGGAGGATGTTGTGTTGAGGCTTCACTACAACGTGCAGCCGTGGGTGGGCTTCTTGACGTGGAATCAGGACGCCGACTTCTGGAGGTGGAAGACGCTGAGGAACAACCTGAGCAAGAAGTTCGCTTTGCCTGCGATCAAGAAGAAGGATGAGAAGAAGGCAGGGGCGTCGAGTTGAATCACAGAGTAGTTCGTAGTTCAAACGACCTAGAAAAATACAAGCCCCTTCTTGACGGCTCAATGCAATGGTTCCTCTCGTGCATAGGCATCTATCTGGCCAGGGGCCGCACACACCAAGGTGAGCATGATGAGACAATCCGTCGGGCGGGGTGATGTTCGGTTATTGAGCCCCCATGGTTGTGTAGATACAGCAATCCCACCAAGATGTCAGGGGAAGTGTACGCAGATATCACATAGGGTATACTTCATTGGCACTTTAACCTTTTACGCTTTCTGTCTGACATGAACTCTACAACACAGTCCAAAGCCCAGTGCCCTTCCATCGCTGCCCAAATCGGGCCTATCTACCACGTATGCAGATAATCAACCCTTTTCATTCCCCGAACTTGTTACCAACAGTCAAATCTCATCATCACCTTGCCATGATGCACATCCAGTGCTCATTCTCTCAGCCGAACGCCGAACACGTCCTCTTCTCACTCCCAAACCAGCCTTGTCTCCTCTTACACAGCTGTGAGGACATGCAGGTTGCCACTAGCCCTGAGAAGCCGTCGCCGCCTGCGGTTGCTGCTGCTGCTGCTGCTGCGCGCCTCTCCTTGCTCCACGTCCCCTGTTGAAACCATGCCCGTCACCCCTTCCGCGACCACCACTACCTCTTGTCGGGGTAGCATATCCGCTTGCGCCGTTACCAACCCTGCCTCCAGGGTGCGAGACGTATCCGCTGCCTCCGCGCCCCCTGAACTGGCCGCCGCCACGACCACGTCCCTGGCCATTGGCGGGATTGAACGGGGGTGTGCCGGTGCGAGGGCCATTCGGCGGCGGCTGGATCTGCTGCTGCTGGTGGTGAGGGCGATAGGGCAGATTACCCTGGATGGCTCCCCGATTGGGCTGACCGCTGCCACCACGACCACGGCCACCACCGTTTGCCGCGCTGCGCCAGCTACCCTGCAAGGGAGGCGGTGCGGGCGCGTCTTGGTAGCGCTTGCCGTTCATGTGGTAGCCGCCATGGGCGGTCAGGGTCGTAACTGACGGGCTGACAGCCTGTCTGGCGAGTTGTTGTTTGGCCCCGGCCACAACCTGCCTGTTGGTCAGGTTGAGTAGGACGGTCGAGGGGACCGTCTGGCCGCGGAACGGTGGGCAGCGGTCGCCGAGAGTGGTGCCACTCATGAAGGTGACGTCGAAAACGACGTCGAGAAGCTTGGCGGTCGGGGTGCGGCTGATACCCACCACAGTGCCGCGGAAAGCGATCGGCACTTTGCCTGTGCGCGCCACATACACGACACGGTCACCCAAGGCGAAGTCCTGGCCGCCCAAGCGGTGCTCTGCGTCCTCGGGTCGCATGACCGCGTTGCGAGGCACGCCGTTCATTTTCTTGGGGTTGGTGGGGATGGCGCTCAGCTGCAATCGGTCGGCTTCGGCGGCGAGCTGCATGACGACGTCCGAGTCGAGCTGCTCGGCATCTAGAGGCACCCGCTCCATGGAGCTGGTCTTCAGAGTCTTCAGCCAAGCACCAATTTCCTTGACTCTCGCCGAAGCAACAGCCGGATCAGACCAGAGATCCGTCTCGGTCAGTTCGGCACCTGATGGGTTACGCTTCACTCCTGCGAAGAAGTCCGGAAAATGCTTCATGTACTCCACGATCAGGTGGATAGCAGCGGCGCTGAACTCCCAGCCGGATTGGGACTTGCGCGAGTAGCCCAGCACCTTCTGCTTTTTCGCCTCAAACTTGAGGTTAAGGCCTAGGTTCACCCGCAGGTCCCCGACCGTCCGGATAAAGTAAGACGATGTAATCTTGCTGAGGGTGAGCGGATGCAGGTCGAGTTGCTTAGCCACCATGTAGGAAGGCAGGTAATGCATGCCCTTCTGCGCGTCGTGGATGATCTTCTTGGCAAATTCTGGCTCACGGTTTTGTAAGATCCCAAGCCAGATGGAAAGCTTTCCAGATGAATAACCGGCCACCTCCAGAGGCTGGCCGTAGTTGTAGTCGCCCAGGAAGAAGCCGACAGATTTGACGGGAAATTCTTCCTCGACAGGCAGAGCAGCCTTCTCGATGAAGCGTTCATCTTCATTGACGACCTCGTCTACAATGATCTGAGAGGCGTACTCTGTCTCCATTCCGGGAATCTCGCCATATTCCTTCACCGTTGCTCCTTCATCCGTCTTGACGAGGCCTTTCAACATGTGGACAGACACAAGTGACTCGACAGCACCGATCAAGATGCCCAGCCGCTTGCTATAAAAGTTTTCGATCCTGTCTGCTTTCTTCGTCCAATCTTCAATCTCGCGGGTCGAATGAGGCTGAGAGATAACATGCCCGCTGTCATCCAGTGTGTAGTCGAATAGCTCGTCCGAGACCTTCACGATCTTGGCCTCTTGGAGGAAAGGATAGCCGACGAAGCAGCGCTGACCAAGCTTGACCTTTGCGGACTCGGCCTTGGTGCGCAGTTCCGTTTCAAGCAGGTTGACAATCATGCTCTCGTTGCGACTGTCTTGCTGAAAAACGTTAACCCCGTGGAAACCGAGATTGGCCGTGTACGGCAATGTAGCCAGAGTCGGGAACCCAGCCAAGGCCTCCACGTTAAGCAGGGCGCCATCGGTCAAGCCAGCCCGAAACTCTAACCCTTCCACGGGCGGAAGATCGAAAATGTTTTCCACGCAATGGCAGTGGGCGATGGGCGGAAAGACATCGACCAAGGAGGAAGGATAAACGAAGTCCACATCCTCGGAGTAAGTGAACTTCAGTGGTACTCCGAAGTCATTCCGTGCTTTCTCGGCTTCCGAGAGGAGCGCGTCCTTGGGGGCCATTGCCGCCAACAGTCGCTTCTCATCGATGAAGGGAATCTTCACGACGGCCTCCCAATCCATCTTCTTGCCGTTCATATCCAATTCAAAATCTCTGGGGTAAAAGTCGATGATAGGTGACTTGGGATCCGTCATGAGCTCCCAGTAGACAGAGGGGACGATCTTCTTGCTGCGATCCGGTAGCACACCCATAAGCTGCTCGTTCGGTCTGAAGGGTTGGCCGAGCTTGAAGTTGAGGTCCGCATTCAGACCTTTCATGACGTCTGAAATCATGGGCGAGTAATGATAACCATAGAACCAGGGCCAGGAAGCAATGCCACGGTAGTAGTAGTAAAGCACCCATTGGAGGCCTTGGACATAGTTTTCTGTCAGCTTCCGGAGCTCTTCCTCCTTGTTCTCTGGCGTCCAGTCCTCGAACTTCTCGAAGTAGTACTTGTCCTTCCATTCCTGGAACTTCTGCTTGTACTTGGCCTCCATCGCAGCCTGCGCATCAGCCGAGGTAAGGTCAAGGACCTGGGCATTGTCGTATCTCTTGACGATGCGCAACACTGCTGACTGAGCTTCCTCGTCGTCCTCGTCCTCCTCGTCTCTAGCGGGGAATGACAAAATAAGATGACGATGGCCCTCATCATCCGGCTGCGTGGACCACTCGAGGTGAGCAGCTTCGGCAAGATCTTGGACAAACTTGCGATCGGCGGCCTTGAGCTCGGCGCCAAGGTCCAGGGTCTGAGAGGCGCGGTTTGTGAGGAACTTCCGTATCTTTTGCTTCCATAGGGCCTTCTGATCCGAGCTAACGATGAGCTTGCCCCTGGCTTTCGCCCTCATCTTCTCGACCTCGTCGTTCTCGAGCATCTTTTTGCCCCGGAGCCAGCTGGCATCTTCATTCTCATGCTCAAAAAAACGATACTCCTCTTTTCCAAGCTCATCTAGGAGAAGTCCAAGCCTTTGTAGGTTGACCTTCCCGTTCTCGTTGATGTAGCCATCACACTTGGGGAGGACGGCTTTGTAGATCCTGAACATGGTAGCCAATGCGCCCTCGTTGATATGGAGGTGTGGAAGGTTTGGGAGGAAGTCGTTTCCGACGAAGAAGGCCATGAGAATGAAGTCGTCGATGATCCTCTCCATGTCGAACGGAAAAGGCATCGCGCCTTTGGCCTTGAGGTCCTGAAACTCAAGCTCTAGATACTCCCTGACTATGCAAAGATGCATCAGATAGAAGTTCTGATGCTCCAACTCTTTTGACTTGTGCTTAGCCTGCCGGCCAAAAGTCACCTCCTCACGGAGGAGGCAGAAGTGTGGATCGTGGCTCAACAAGCCCAGCATGATCAGGTCGGCATCCAGGCCATACAAGCAGTGGCGGACATTGGGGCTGTAGTCCGGCTGAGCGCGGGCATTCCGGATGTACTCCATGATCTTGTGCTCGCCCTCCCCTGGGACTTCGTGGCCGGACAACACGATTTCCGGCGCCTGCCAGTCACGATCTTCTGATACCTTCTTGTTGATGAAGTACTTAAGCTGCTGCGACAGCTTAGCCATGAACTCGGTTCCTTAAGGGAGCGGAAAGTTAGCACCCGGCTTCATCCCACAGGCGTAGAAGGCTAATAGGTCATACCCGGCGTGATGCAGTTGCTATCAAACGGCTCCTCCTTGGGCAGTTCTTTGCCCTCCCTAATCGCCTTCTCGCGCGCTTTCTCGGCGTCCAGAGCAGTGCGGAAACGGCGCGCTCGCTGTTGATTCATCTTGGCGCGCGGGGCAACGCCGTCGATGGCCATGAAGAACAACTTCTTGGGCTTGATCTTGCCAAAAAGATGTTCGATGTAGTTGAAGATAGCGATGAACATTTCCTCTTCACTGAGACGAAATTGTACATCATCTGAATCTTTGTGTGTACAGTTGTGGATGATACCGTTCATATCCAGCTACGAGAGTCGGTTAGCTATCTGTGGGGAGAGGGAGGCCGCCGGGCTTCCGGCAGGCTGGGAGGCTCGCGCACGTAAAGGCAATCGAACTCGGGAATCCGGTTCTCGGCGATGAGCTGCGAGATGGCAGGATAGCGCTCGGAGAGCCATCTGAAGAACTTGGGGACACTGCGCAACTGGTCAGCACATCGCCGCGAGTAAGCCAGCAGGATACACACCCCATATTGGCAACGACAAGCTGCGTAATGCGTCGCTACTTTCACTTGAGCGGCCGTGGAATCGTACGTCAGAAAGTCTTGCGAATGCGAATTCCGCTAGCTTCCCACGTTCCAACCGATGGTCGCGCTACCACAAGCAGTGATGACGACGATGGATTAGGTTGTGGAAAGTCAGAATGCCGACACTGAATAAAAATGGCCGGACTTTGGGTTTCGACTGGAAGAGCGCAGAGAAATTGCGAAGAAAATCGAAAGAGAGCAACGTTGTTCAGGACCCGTAAGATGCCAACAATCCAGTCTAAGAGGGTAATGGGTTTCGGTCCGTATAGGGATGAACTAGTGAGGACGGCGCCGAGCCAGATGCGGCGGTAGACTGTCGGAATGGGGCCGCAGAGGTGGTGATAAGGTGATAGGTAAGGTAGGTACCGGTAGTGATGTCTTGTTGTTCCGCTTTTCGCCCAATGCTTGGTAGAGGTGAGGCTGCACTGAACCGCCCGCCCTGTGCCGATGACTGACTGGCCGTCGGCCGACGCCCGGTTCCCCACCCACCCATTTCTGCCAGTGCGTTCAAATCGCCACTTGCCAACCCCACCATTGCTGCAAGGCTGCTGCTTTGCCATGCGCGAACCGCTATGGATAAAGCGACGGTATCTAACCGCTTTTGGATGAGTGCCACATAACTACAGCAGCCACACACTACATATGCCTGTGCCTACATGGGAGCAATGCTGTATTGGGACTGCAATTGAGGCTATTCATAGTTAGCAATCGGTGCCTCGAATGGCGCCAGGACCGACTTCAAAAATCGGGTTAGAACTGGCTTGTTGGCGACGGTGATACCTATCGAGGGAGGTAGATAGTTCTTGGGAGAGATCCGGACGAGGAGGTTGCCAGCCAAATTTGGTGTGACTTTGCCTATGTGGCACTCATCCGAAAGCGGTTAGATCAGGTACCGTCGCTCTGCCAGGAGACACCGTCGCTTTATCCACAGTGGCTCGAACTCGTGCACCGCTCCCAAGAGAATCCGCAGACCGCTCTAGGGAAGGCGTGCTCTTGGCAACGCCATCACCCTCAGCCTTGTGGCAGGGTCGACACATTTAAGTTCAAGCGCGTCGCGTGCACAACGCTCCCTCACGACATCTGTGACGAACCTGAACTCACAATCGCAGTTTTCACAGCAAGTAACAGCAGGCCTTTGATGTTGCCTCTTTGCTAACAGGGAACCGCTTCTCTACCACTCAAGTAGATTCCATCGAACTTGAACCCTCCACCTATCAACAAGAAAAGATTTGTCCATCCAACATGGCTCCTGGTGACGTCGTGGACAGCGTCGACCGTATGCTTGCGGCCATATTTCCCGTTTTCTGCTGAAACTGTGAGACCTAACGGTGTATGTAGTTGGGCTGGACGACCAGGACGACGCCGACATGGAGCAGAGGCTCATCAATGAGGGTATGTCTTGCTTCACAACCTTGCTGCCGCCTTCGCTGACGTTTTCCAGAATATAAGACATGGAAAAAGAACAGTCCGTTCCTCTATGACATGATTCTGAGGTAGGAGGATTTGGGTAGTCTCATCAAGGCAAATCGGCTGACCCGAGCAAGCACGGCGCTGGAGTGGCCAACTCTCACTACTCAGTGGTTCCCTGATATCAAGGATGTGAAGGAGAAGACATACACAGTCCACAGGCTGCTCATCGGGACCCACACCTCGGAGGGAAAGCCAAACTATCTCCAGATCGCGGAACTCGAGATTCCCAAGTTTGTTGAGCCCAACCCCCGTGACTACGACGAGGAGCGCGGCGAGATTGGCGGGCATGGGGGCAAGGCGTCGTCTGGAGAGCCGCCGGTCATCAAATTCAACATCACCCAAAAGATCGACCACCCTGGCGAGGTTAACAAGGCCCGATATCAGCCTCAGAACCCCGACATCATTGCCACCCTCGCCGTAGATGGCAAGGTGTTGATCTTTGACCGCACCAAGCACAGCCTAACCCCGGCCGGCACCCCCAATCCCCAGATTGAACTGGTCGGGCATAAGGAGGAGGGCTTTGGGCTTGCATGGAACCCACACGAGGAAGGCTGTCTCGCGTCAGGTAGTGAGGATAAGACAGTACTACTCTGGTAAGTGCCAACCACCGCGTCAGAGTGCTTTCATCTAATTCTAATTTGTATGGCAGGGACTTGAAGACACTGCAGGGGACAGGCAAGACGCTCCGGCCGGCACGCAGATACACGCACCACAACCACATCGTCAACGACGTACAGTACCACCCCATGGTCAAGCACTGGATTGGCACCGTGTCGGACGACTTGACACTCCAGATCATCGACGTGCGGAGCCCTGAAACTACGAGAGCCGCTGTGGTCGCACGCGACGGCCACAGTGATGCCATCAACGCGCTGTCGTTCAACCCACGGCAGGAGATTCTCATCGCCACGGCATCGGCGGACAAGACGATTGGTATCTGGGACATGCGCAACCTCAAGCAAAAGATCCACACGCTCGAGGGTCATAACGACGCCGTCACGTCGCTCGCGTGGCACCCCACCGACTGGGGCATCTTGGGCAGTGGCGGCTACGACAGGCGTGTCCTCTTCTGGGATCTCAGCCGTGTGGGCGACGAACAGACGCCCGAGGACCAGGAGGACGGGCCGCCGGAGCTGCTCTTCATGCACGGCGGGCACACCAACCACCTGGCAGATTTCAGCTGGAACCTCAACGACCCCTGGCTGGTGTGCAGCGCGGCCGAGGACAATCTCCTTCAGATCTGGAAGGTGGCCGACTCCATTGTCAACCCGGCTGAACTCGACATGCCGATGAACGAGATGGGCGCGTCCAATTAGGAAGGGGATCGTAAGAAACGCCGGTCGCGGCGTGCAGCTAAAAACAGTGCGCGTTCGTCGCTACCAGTCAGTTCACGGGCATCGTCGAATGTGGCCACGCCAGCCTGGGACAGGGGACAGCTGTCGTATGTAACAACCAGAAGCGCGTGGGCCAGACAAACCGCAAGAGATAATGGAAAATGATAAATATGGAGGGCAGGGACGGGGGCTCACCCTGAGCAAAAAAAAAACAGTTCCACATCAATATGCAACTGAACCACCACACAAGTTATCACAACTAGGTCAAAAACACATGCAAATTGAGCTATTCAATGCCCAGTCATTATCCTTTCCAGTTCTATACATGTTTTGATATCTAGGGGATTTAGTCCACCCAACGGTTGATAGATTCCTGGCTCAATGAAGCCCAGCTTTCCTCTGAATGTTTGGGACGTGGAACTGTCTTTTTGCTCAGGGGGTAGATTGACAATCCCGGCTTACCGGAAGGCGTTATTGGTGTTGGCAGATGGCCAGTGAGGGTCGGAGTCTGATTATGTTGTAGCTATCTTACTTAGTAAGCGTCGTGTTTTTCTTGATTCTAATATCTCCCTGAACCCCTTGGCCCGTGAGACATCTCAATGGAGGCTGCGGGACGTGAGACCACGTTCTCCCAGAGGAAGAGGGTATGGGTCAGTGACCAGGAGCCGACTATATTCAGCAAACCGCAGCTACCAAGTCCCTGTTGACCTTACGACCGACCAACCCGGTAGCCTTACGTTTTCGTGGAGCACGCTTGGTGAGGTCATGATGGGTGGTCTGGCGGGCAGGTGAGGTTAAGTTCGAGAAAATGTGGCACTACTATTGTTCCCATTGACCGACTAACCTTTCTATTCAAGTTACCGACTGCTATTGTCGTTTATTGACACACCAGGAGGCCCATGACAATACCATCACCCCAACACACCCACCGACCACAACTGCGAGCGCCTATATTAACTTCTTTGCAGATGGATTCCCACAGATTCGAAAACACCTTCTCCCATGGTTTTTTCTCCAGAGCCGAGTCACTGCTGAGTGCATTACCCCAGTCAGTTCTCACTTCCTTCAGATGATCTGCAGCACACAGTCTGGACTTCAGAGGCTTTATTTTTTTCCTTTTCGTCAAGACCAGCACGTTCCGTCACAGATTTCGGCCTACGATATGTCGGTTCCTCAGGGAATCGGCAATGGCAATAATCTGCTGCCCAATCTCGCCGCCCTTAGCGTCGGCGGCTTGAACCCCGGCCAGCGCAGACTCGCCGTTGCGCGGGCGGCCCGCCCAGATGCCACTCGCGAAGAGATTGAAGCGCAAGTCACCAGAGGCAACGTCCAGCAGATTGCACATCACATGAACAGGACGCTCTCTCACTCTGTTAAGCGGGCCAGGAGTAACACCTTTGGAAGGGCCCACAGGATATACGAAGATGATTCTTACGGCGAAGAGGAACGTGGTGGGCTCGGGGAGGACAGTGAAGGAGAGAGCCAGGAAGAAGGCTTTGAACTAAACTGGGAAGAGATACTGGCCAGAGAGGACCTGCAAAACGCCAACATGTTTGTCCTTGCCGAGTTCCACCAAACGGCCCAGGAGCGCATCCGCAGGCTCAGGCGAGGCACTGCCGAGTGGCAGCGTGCCACGGCTCAACCTCGTCCCAAGAAGCGTCGCTTCGACCTTCTAGCATCGCTGTGCACATGCACCGAGCTCATCGTCGAGGTCGGCAAGCATATGCGGCCGGTCGACATCGTCAACTTGTACAGTGTCAGCAAGGCCGTCCGTGTCACGGTCGACGACCACATGCGCAGCTGTGTCTTCGCCTGGGCACGCCACATGGCGCCCACCTCGGCTCGCATTTTCTCGAGCCCGGTTTTTTGGCGCTGGTTCATCGAGGATCCGGCCGGGCGTTTGGTGACAGCCGCCGACAGGGAGCTGAGCCAGGCACAGCCGGGACAAGCAAAACCCATCCTGGGCGAAGCGGCCCTGAATGACGACGAGACCCAGGTCCGCCGGGTCCCCGGCCTGCGCTGGCTGCAGATGGTCGTCCACCGCGAGATCCGCGTGCGCGACATCATTGCGACGCTGGCGAGGAAGGGCCACCGCCTGCCCGAGGGCGCTCACCTGACGCTCAAGAAGATTTGGGTGCTCATGGACGTTGGTAGAACCGCGGGGCGCGTGCAGTTGATGAACGACCCGGACTTCTTCTCCGACGAGGACCTTTACATCGCGCAGCTGTTCATGGTCAAGCTCGTGCTTGCCTTCAATCACCCCAACTTCGGCCCGCAGTCGAGCATGTTGATGCGCCTCATGATGGGCCAGCGCGGCCTCTCGCCGCTCTGGAAGCTCCTGCGCGGCAAGCAGTACCGGACAGCGGCGGAGATCCGCCAGCTCAAGCTGCGCTATGACTTCGACCCCCGCCTGATCGCCGCCCAACGCGGCATGCCGCTGCACGGCATCTCCGTGGACCAACTGGGCGTCCTGCACCGCGAGGGGTGGGGCACCGGCACGAACCATCTGCTGAGACCCGACGAGCTTATCCCGCTCGAGGCCGCCCGCCGCCAGCTTAACTTGGACAACTACGTCGAGGAGATGATGCTCTTTGGCCACGTCGACTTCAACACGGGCCAAAGCCTGGTGCCGAGTCTGGATGAGATGTACATGAGTGACGACGAACTGCCCCCGCTTGAGGACGATTGGAAGTCTCTCAAGCAACAGCTCATCCGCTCCGGCTGCGGCAACGTCCCCTTTGAGCCCGGCATGTGGCAGCCCAAGCATGCGCGCAAGGCCCGGTGGAAGACGCTCACCGACGAGGAGAAGGCGGCGATCCTGGAGGCAGAGCAGGAAGAGATAGACGAGGTCAAGCAGCTCGACGGCGTCTTCCTCGAATTCCAAACTGCCCGGGCCAAGCTGTTGAAGATGGCCATGGAGATCACCTACCGCACGAAGCAAGGTGTCAAGGACAAGTACAGGGTTCCGCCCCCGTCCGCAGAGGACCTACAGGACCAACTGGACCAGTTCAACCAGCCGAAGCGACTCCAACTTGCCATCAATGAGGGCACCTACCACACCAGCCCCGGCGCCGACGACGCGATGGACGTCGACTCCGAGCACGCTTCGACAGCACAACACACGGCGGCAGAGAACCCGGACGACCTCTCGACCATTCCCGACGAGTCGCTGGACCTCGAGCCCATTCCGCAGGCCGAGCTACGCCGCATATTCGCCGCCTTCCGCCCCCGGAACAGTCCACGGGATATCTACTCCGAGTCCGACACCGACTCGTATCCCAGCTCTGAGCGCGAGTTCGAGTTGCGCCATCAGGTCGCTCCATTCCCTGACATGGGCCAGGAGGACCTCCTGCACCAACTCCAAGCACTCCAGGCCAGCATCCAGCAACCCCAAGCCCAGCCCCAACCAGCGCAGAATAACGAGAACGGGGATGGTGATGGCAATGACAATGACAACGATATGGAATCGTTACTGTCCTCCATAGACGAGGACGAGGACTTGTCGGCCTGGTTACCCGTCGCTCGCCACCAGCGATGGGAACCGGATCCCGACCTGCCCCAGCCCCGCGTCGTGTGCCAGGACCCGCAACTCTACCTCCACGCGCCTGTCTCCCGCAAGCCCGAACTGGTCGATAAGATGCTGCTTGCCCAGGCGGACGAGCCGTATTCGGATGACAAGTACAATGGGCAGGGTCTTGTACGGAAGTGGAAGGACAAGAGGAAGGGGAAGCAAAACAATGAGGATCGGGCTGCTGCGGAGGCGGATGGGGATGGGGATGAGGCTATGGCTGATGATGGTAGGGGTCAAGAGGGTCAGCTTCAGCAAGCGCGGGATGATGATGCTGACCGATCCGAGGTGGATTGGGATGACTTTTTGAACAATCCCGGCGCTTATGTTCTTGGGGATGTGGGTGGTTCTGTTGCTGCCGCCGCTTTGGAGCGGGCCGATGATGAAAACGAAGAAGATGGTGAGGGTGAGAGTGAGGGTGAGGATATGGAGGAGGAAGATGGCGATGATGACGATGATGGCAAGGAGGATATGGATGGTTGGGATGCCGATCGCGAGGACGATGACATGTCTGAGGACGAACTTGAGGAAGGAGAAGAGGAGGAGGAGGAGGCCGAGGAAGACGACCAGGAGGATGCAGAGATCGAGATAAACGTGTTGGTGGAAGGCATCCAAGGCGGTCTTGCTTTGAACGACGACCAGCAGGAGGAGGTAGTGCCATTCTCGGATTCGGAGCTCGACAGCTCGCTGTACACTGCCCCCCAGAATGTAGGCGAGGACGAGCGAACGAGGAGGCTCCGGGATTGGTACCGGCCATGGTAATCGGGATACGGCTCTGGTCCGACAGCATTTGGCTTCAAAACTCGGGGCGACTCGATGATGGTTAATGGGTCTCGAAGAAGCCTGCATACGCCTACCATACCGGCACCTTTACCGGGAACAGGGGCATCTTCTTTTTTCACCCGGAATTCACGGGGATGATTTCTTCGTTTGCGTACTCGTTAGGGGTTGTTTGTTGTTGCTTGGAGCATTTTCGCCTTCGTCGAGTCAGGCGGCATGATCGGGGGCGGCGTACGGATGGCCCAGGTATATCTGGCGGTTCTGGATGGCTCATTCCCGATCTGGTCATTGGAGACATCGGAGCATTGGTCGGGTTGATCTCGTATGCCCGGGTTGTCCTTCTGGATGAGTGAGCTGGAGTAGGGCGCCGCCGGGTTACAGAGGGTACACATTCCTGGGCTTTCTCTTTCTAATACAAGCCTTTCATCTTGTTAGATAGGTAGTCTCGCTGGCCACCGACAATGAAACTGAATCATCTTAATGCCAAGCAAAGACCTTCCGGCATTGGCGACTAGGTAAATTCATCACTTGCAGACAGCATCGTACCAAGAGCCTCCAGGGTCGTCGAAAGATCAGAAACATCCCCAAACCATGCAGCTGCGCCGTATTCCCAGACCTGCAGCTGCCATCGCCTTCTGTTTTTGTTCCCTCACACATTAGTCTACTCACACATTAGTCTACAACCCCTTGTGCCAGTCATTCCTTGCCTAGATCTCCGTATAGAAATCACGAGTGAATGCTGACGTGCAGCTCCAGTTCCGAAAGCAATTTTTAGATATTTGAGATGGCGGGCATGCATGTAGCCGGTATATGTGCGAGTCAGCTCGAGAGCAATGGGAAACGAAGTTGGCGCAATAATAGCTTGGAATAATTTGGTAAACACATCAAGGAGCCTCGGAAAATAAAATAACCCCCTCACCCCCTCCCCTTCCAGATCGAAACCAACACCCCTTCGCCCCCTGATGTTCCGCTTTACTCCCCTTCAGCCCGGCCCTGACAGCGGACTTTTTACCTCGTGGGAAAAAATTAATGAAAACTTCCTCAATCTGGAGCAAACTAGACAGGTAGATGAGGAAAAGAGGGGAAGACAGGATTTGAAACAGCCGACAAGCAAAGAGGACAAGATTAACGCACAGAAAACGGGGCACAGGGCGTCCATCGCCAGCCGCCGTTTATGAGCACCAAAGGCCAAGATATAACCCTGTACACTCCCTCGCTATGCACGCCGCTCCCCCCTTTCCCACGCGGACCCCAGATTCCAAAACCTGCCCACCCATGCCCCAGTCAACCGATCCTGCCCGTTGTTGTTGTTATGTTCTTGTTGGTGTGGTTGTTGTTTTGGTGTCGCAAGTTTCGGAGTCGACGATATTGGAAAACAACTGTATGCGTGAGTGTGAACTCGAAAGCGGGCGCCGCCCCCAAGGCGATTGACCAGGCGAAAATAAACAGGTCCCCCTTTGTGACCCCTTGCCGAAAAGAGAGCCAATACAGCATTGTTGTGGGTTCGAAAGAAACTCCGCCCTGAGGGGACACTGTAAGAATCGCAATTTTCCTTTTTTGTCTTTCCGGCCCTCTGTAAACTTTTGACCCTGCCAAATCCATCCGTCGCCGTCCACTCGCCCCCACAAACCCAGTAACTGACCGGCCGCGGTATCCCCTCCAAAAGCCCATTCCCCGCACCTTGTTGAAGAAACAGACGAAACTTGTAGTATTTATTGCCAAGGCCAAAACAATCTATCCCCCCCTTCCACCCCCTCTTCTCCCCCAACCCCAAATATCTGTTCAAATGACAAAGACGATGTAAGAGTGAGTTGTTCGGCGGAAAAATCCAGATCCCGCTGTGCCGGAAAATCGGCGTCGTCGGGCTCATGTCTGGTGTGTTGCCATGCGTGCGAGGGAGTGTAAGGACTCGGCAGCTCTCGAGAGACGGACTCATTCTAGCATCACAATGGGCAACAGCGCTATGTTTGGGATGATGGTCGACCGGGTGCTTATGCGGGCGATTTGTTCGGCGGCGCGGCACCGCCGTTTTGACGAGCATCCTGGTTGCTGACTGAGAGGCTACCGATACCCGAGGAGAGGAAGGCAAACGGGTCGTTCTCACCCTGGGAGTAGAAGTTGTTGCTAGGGCCGGCGGAAGCGGGGCCGTTGCCTGCGGATTGGAACGCCGCCTCGGCCGCGCGGCTGTCGAAGGGACCAGCAGAGTGAGAACCCGGCGCAGGGCCAAAGTGGGTGTTCAGCGGAGGGTAGGGCGCAGCACCGCCGCCAATGCCGGATGGAAGAGCGTATGTGCTCGGCGGACCGCCGAAGTGCTGGCCATATCCAACACCAGAGCCAAAGCCAGCGGCGCCGGAAGCGAAGGGGCCTGGACCGGGAGTGCCACCCATGGAGCCCTGACCCATGCCGTACGAAGAAGGCGCGTCCATGGGAGAAGGATAGCCCGAGTCGGCAACCACAGCAGCACCAGCACGGCTGGCTCCGCACCGAAGGCAGCAGACATTCTTGGCGAAGTTGTGGTAGCCACACACCTCGTTACCGCACTTCCAGTCACCAGCGCGGAAAGGCACCACGCCGGAACCGCCCATGCGACCGTGGCCGCCACCGTGGCCATGGTGGCCCATGTGGGGAGGCGGGGGCATCATCGCCGGTGGCGTATACCCATACCCATAGCCCATCTCGCCTGCCGGGCCGGGAGTGACGGCAGGGAACGAGCAGCGGAAGCACGCGGTGCGGCGCTGGAAGTTCGAGAAGCCGCATGAGGGGCAGGTCCAGTCGCCGGGTCGAGGCCGGTTCTTGCTAGGGGGAAACGGGGTGAGGATCTCAGCAGCCCGATCCAAGACGCGGCTTGACGATGGGGACACCTCGATCGCCTTCTCGTTCAGAGCACGGCCGTTCATGCACAGACTTTCGGCGGCCTGGATACGGTCAGGGGTCAGCGGGTGCCAGTTGCAGATCGAGACTGGAGGGAAATGGAGAAGGGGGATGCTTGGGAACTGGGTAGGGCAGGTATCAGGTATTTATATACCTCTTCGTGCGAAGAAAAGACAGCAAAACCAGTACCAGTCGGCTTGTGCTGCTCGGGGGTGCGTAGTGTCCAAAACGCAATGGGGCGGCCACCAAACTGGGTGAACCAACTCTCGAGTTCCGACTGGGTGGTGTCATGGGGCAGGCCAGACATGTGCAGGACCTTGCTGCGCTCAGACAAGAAAGCGCGAACATCGGCGCGGGCATCCATCGGGCGAGTGAGCACATCGGGATGGTCGTGGGGCGGCTGGGACTTCCGGATTAAGCCGCGGAGCACACGGGCCAGCGTCACAGCTTCCTCCATGGCCCGACGAGGCGATGCTGGAGCAAGAGCCTGCAGGTGGAAGGGCAGGTTGTGCTTGATGGGGGCATTGGATTGAACCGGCTCCACCTCCAGCGCCGCACATATATTCGCCAATGATGAGGGTCCGAACGGCAGCGATTCAGGGTGGTGTTGCTGCCACCGTTGATATTCAGTGCGCAGCTCGAACGTCCGAGAATGCTGCAGATACGGAGGAAGCACGACGGACTTGTCGCGAGCTTCCCGGGGGAGCTGGACACGGAGATCCCATGCTTCCAACGTGACGAAAACGAAGTCGAGGTTGGGGCCCGTCAGGTGCTCCGAGGCGAATGCATCAAAGCGGTTGATGGCGTCCCTGAAGGTGCCGGCGTTCCGAACATGCTCCCAGGTCAGGGTGGTCAAGCTCGCTGGCACGGAATTGGTCAGCAAACCCGGCACTGATGTAGTGGTACAGCGGCGAATTGCCCATTCGGGGAGCCGCCGCTGAAAGGAATCTGGTTCAGGACTGACTCACTGCAGAGAGGAGTGATGGGAGTGTTGACGGGCTTGACAAGCACGCTCTCGCGGTGGAGCTAGAAGGTAAAGCTGGTGAGAAACCGTTGTTTGGACCTTAGAATTTTCAAGGGGGGGGGCGGCCTGGCCCACCTCGTCCAGCGAGTTTGCGTCGAGGAGAATCCAGCCAAGCTCAATAACCTCGGCGGAGTCCTTTGTCACATAAACACCGTGCTCATCGCAAGTCGTAGCGACGTGGATGACGACGTATCGATCGACCTTGAAAGGGGGATTCTGCTGAGAAGCCATGGCTGCGGTCTGGGCAGCGTCGAGCTCGCGATGTCGAGCTCGTTCGGCGGGGATTGCAAAGCTGGATGATGCCGCTATCCGAGGATGTGGCCTGGCAATGGAGACAGCTTCTGTCAGTTAGGCCGACCCATCAATTCCGTGATGATGGTGTAGGATAGCGCTCAAACCTTGTCACCTGGCCGTCCGTAGCAAACAGCGGGTTTTAGGGAAAATGTAGCAATACTGTGGTAGGCTAGCAAAGGCCCGGAGAGAGGTTTGCCGAGTCCACCCTGCTAAACTAGCCGACCAACCTAGCCAGAATGCGGAGCTGAGCACGGGTCCGAGTCCTTGCTTCGTAATGTAGGTACCTGCGGCAGGAAGAAAGCCGACGTGTGCAGACGAATAAAATGCAGAGCACTCTCGGCTTCGAAGACACGAGCACCACGCACGCGTCTTTCAGGAGAGGCGGTTGAGTACCTAGGTACGGATGTATGTCTCGCGACCCTTCCTCGAAGCCTACGAGGGAGGTTGGAGAGAAGTAGGATCAGGCCGGAGGGCGAAAAGGGGAAAGGCGAGGAAACTGGACACCTGCAAGAGGGAAAAATGGCTGCCAGGTATTCGTAGCGAGGATACAAGGTGAGGTACGTGAGACGCTGGCTCACCGTCGCAGGAGCGACGGAGATACATATTTACCCCAGTACAGATTACTAGTAGTTGGAAGCCCACCCCGTCGAAATTCTAGGTAAATACATAAGATAGTGGAACAGAATGCCAAATCCGACTCCTTCTTTACCGCTCAATTAAGCCAGCTATCGGATATGCTAGTTTCACCAGGAAGGAAAAAAAGAATGAATCATACCTACCTACGTAATAAGGTACCTGGTAGGTAACTGTTCGGACGACTTTGTACCTATTTGCCAAACGAGTTATCGTGAACGGTGCGTCATGTGGTCCGTGCCCCTGAGGAAACGTTTATCCTTGTAGCCGACTCGGGTCCACGGTTAGAGCAACCGTCTTCGAGGTAGAGGACACTCTATATTTTATCATCGTGTGAAGATTTTGGCCGGCCGGAGATATCTTTGGCTAATAAAGGGCCCCTCTTCAATTGATAAGATCCCAGGGAGTAGCAATTGGTTTGGCGGAAGGCGTTGGCACCTTAATATGTACCTTACCAGGTGTGTATCGTACAGTACATAGAAGCAATTACCTAAACCACTCTTACGTTGTTTACACAGTACAAGCGCCTGCCAGCTTCCAAACCAATGTTGGGCGCCGTGGCAGTGGCAGTGCAGTGACAGGTACGGAGTACGGATAATAAACGGCAATCCGAGCGTCCTCAAGGCCAATCCGGTGCCACCCCGTTGGCGGCCCCTTTTTTTATCTCCACGAGGCACCATTTGCCTCAAGGGGATCCCGCCTCAACCCCGGCATCTCAGCGCCGGAACCTCATCCCACGGTTGTGTCCCCTAGTGGCACGAGTGGCTAGTGCAGCCGGCTCTATCTCCGTGCGTTTGGGCCTGGGTTACGTACATGTGCAATCCTTCGTACGAATACCGAATATGAACCTCACCTCAGCCTCGTCCTTCAATGTCGCACAGCATTTGGGGCAGCCTTGCCCCTTTTGAGACGGGGCTGGGCGGAACCTGGACAAACCTTCCCTGTTGTGGAGGGACACCACATCAGTTGAGGTCGGGTCCAAGGCAAGAACGAAACTTCAGCTCATTCGCTGTACGGATTGATCTAGGCACCTTTCAGGTAAGCAACGTTTTTTGCAGGATCTGAAGTACTACGCAAAGGTGCCAATATGTCTAATGTACATACCCACCTACTATGTTTTCGTCAAAATGAGAAACCATGTCTCCCTACTTGGTATACCGGCTTATCTACCGGTGTTTGTATCCTGATGTGGAACTGGGAGCGGAAAGTCCATGAGAGGGCAGGATCGGAATCGGCCATGGGACATATCAAGGCACGCATACGGCATAGGTACCAGAACTGTCCTCGCTCATCAAGTGGAACAACTGGAAACTTAAGGTACCCCGTCTACCTCAATGTTGCCCCGGGACAAACTGGGAATCAGACCATCACACCACTCATCGCATCGCTTCACGACGGCTAGAAACTCCAAATGCTACACCATGCATTGGCATACTCGAATATAGTAAACAACCTAAGTTACTTCTCAGCCGCAATCCATTCATTCACCCACTTACGCATCCACTCCGGACCAACTGGCGGCATGTTGCGCAGGGTCGAGCTGGCGGCCAGCGCTCGCCCGACCGACAACATGACGACGGGCGAGGCAGCATTGTTATTATTAGCAAGCTTAGCGGACGGGTCGTCGCCTCCGCCGGCATCGCGGGGCGCCCACAGTCCGTGGCGGTAGAAGTCGATCAACTTGACGGCCGGATTGGACACGCCATCGCTGCTCTCGCTCTCGTGCAGACGGGCCAGCCAGACCGCCGGCGGCACGATGTCCGGTCGCGGTGCCCCGTGCTTCAACGCCACGTCGACAATGGCCGGCAGCAGCGTGCGCCACGGCGTGGTATGCGGGTTCCGCAGGTGGAAGACGCCGGCGCCGGCGCCGGGCTGGTCTTCTCCTCCTCCTCCTTCTTCCTCCTGGGGGAGGTCAGCCGCGAACGCGAGGTCACAGACCGCCTCGGCCAGCAGATCCGCCGGAAGCCAGTCGACGTTGGAGAAAGCCGGGCCGAGGCTGTCCGGCAGGCAGCGCAGGTGGCGCAGCGAGGTGAGGACTAGGCTGGGCAGCCACTCGGCGCGGTTCCACTGCATGCCGGCGCCGGCGCCACCGCTACGCACCGAGCCGGCAATCTGCCCGACGCGCAGGACCGACACCGGCTGGCCGAGGTGGCGCGCCGCGGCATCACACAACTGCTCCGCGAGGAACTTGCTGCGTGAGTACCCGTTCGGGAACGGCGTGTCGAGCAACTCGAGGATGGCTTCTCCCGCGGGGCCGGCGCGGTGGGCGGCCACCGCGCCGACAGACGAGATGAAGACGATGCGCATGGGATGGTTGGCGGCGGCGGCGAGCGCGAACAGGTTCACCAGGCCGGCGAGCTGGGGCCGGAAGGCCGGCAGCGCGAGGTTGAAGTTGACGGGCCAGGCGTTGTGGATGACGAGGGCGGCGCGCGCGCGGATCGAGGCGTACGTCGCGTCGTCGAGACCCAGGGACGGCCGCGCGAGGTCGGCGTGCAGGAAGCTGATGCGGTCGGCCGCGATGCCTGCCGCGGCGAAACGCTTGGCCTGCGCGGCGCGCCCGCCGTCGGCGCTGCGGTTCAAGCAGAACACGTGGCCGACCTCGGGGCGGCGGAGCAGCGCGTGCAGGAGTAGCGTGCCGAGCGCACCGGTCGAGCCCGTCAGGACGACGTCGACCGGTTCCGGGAGCGGTCGTGTACTGCTGTTGGCGTCTCCGAGGGACGACAACTTGGTCGTTGTTTTCGGAATCTGGTGGATGAGGCCGCGGTACGTGGACAGCAGCGGTTCCATGATCTCCCTATCTGGATCCTCCATCCGCGCGCCGTTGCCCCTCCGTGATATAACGGCGGCGGTTAGCTGGGGGACGGTGGGATGCTGGTAGACAGTCGAGATGCCGAGGTCGGAACGGTACAGACCGCGGCGTAGGGTACGGGTGAGCTGAAGCACCTGCAGCGAGTCCATGCCGCGCTCGAAGAAGTTGACCGAGTCGTCGACGTCGTGCCAGCCGGTGACGGCACCAACGCTCTCGCGGACAAACTGTGCTACGGCGTTTGTGTTGGAGGGATCGAGCCTCGGGCCGGAGGCTACTATGTCATCGTCATCGTCCAGGATAACATCGGCATCCGCATACAGGCGGTCGATCTCGGCGGAATACTGGGCGATGCTGGTAGCCCGCTGGATGGTGCCCTTGGGAGTGCGGATGAGCGGGCGGTCTGGTGTGGTCACGAGAACCAGCGGCTTCTCGACGCGGGCATGCGCAGGGGCTGCACGGTTGGCTTCTTCCACGACGGGCCAGATGCGCTCGACCAGGGCGGCCTGCTCGGCTGTCGTCCGCGTGAGGTCGGCGTCGGCAGGCTCGATGAGCAGGGCGGCCTGGAACCTCTGGGCTCCCAGGACCAGGGCGCCGCTCAGCTCGGGCGCGTGGGCCACAATGTAATGCTCCATCGAGACCGGGTTGGTCTTCTCGCCGTTGAGGAAGACGATGACGTCGTCGGCGCGAGCCCGCCAGCACCATGCGTCGGCCACCGTCGGGTGCGGCTCGAACAGATCCCGCGTGCGGTACTCCTTCTCCAGCCGGTCCAGGCCGCGGATGCTGAAGGGCAGCTGCGTGTCGGCCAGCGCCTCGTCCCGCCGCACGACGAGCTCGTACATGCCGTCGGCGACTTCGTCGAAGACAATGCCGGCGTCCGGATGGAAGCGGACATAGTGCCAGTCGGAGCGCCCGGAGAGCTCGGCCGGCAGCAGCTGGTCGGGAACGCCGACCTCGGATGCGCCCCATTGGCAGCGCAGCGGCACTTTGGCGGCGACTCGGTCACCGAGGGCCTCAGGCAGATCGCCCCCGATGTAGACGATCAGCTCGAGGTGCTCGGCGCAGTACTCGAGGAGATCAGGATGCTGCGCCAGTTCGGCTACAACTGAGGGGGGCAGCAGCGCGATGTCGGCCGGCGACCGCTTCAGCGCCTCGACAACCCCCTGGGCCGTCGCGATGGTGGCCGTGGCGGGCGAGATCATGACGTTCCCGAACGGAATGCCAAAGAACAAGTACTGGCCCAATCCGGCTCCCTGCGCCATGTCATGGTTGGTTAGTTACCTTAGGTAGCTTTGGCAATTGGTGACAAGGCAAACGCCCTCGAACGAAAGGAGAGGAATCCTTTCCGCGCAGTAGGAACTCACATGAAAGGGCGGCAGCGTGTTCATTACGCGCTTGCCAAGGTACAGGCCGTACAAGGACGGTACGCCTTCTGGGGGAGCAAGGGCACTGCCGTTGTGCTGGCGTACGCCGGACTCCTGGGTCCAGATAAGGGGCTTCGGCATGCCGGTGGACCCCGACGTGTGTCTGGGCTGCGTGGTCAGGCTGAACCTCACGATGCTTGGAACAGCAACAAGGGAGGGCGCTTACATGATGAAGAGGGGATCCCACCGGGCCTCCTCAAACGGCTTGCTATAGCCATAGTGGGGGTATTTCCTGCTGAGGAGCTCGTCCGCGGGTGGAATGGCCAGCCTGCGCAGCTCGACGACGGCTTCCAGCACGGGCTCGGCGGGCGCCGGCACCGGGTCCGGAGTCAGCAGGACACGACACCGGAGACGGTCGAAGAGCGACTGGTGCGCCGCGGGGCTGTTGCGCGGCGAGGTGAAGAAGATCACATAGCCCGTCTTCACGGCGGCGAGGATCAGCGCCGTGAGCCGCACATCGTTGGGGCCTATGAACGCCAGCACCTCGCCGGTCTGGCTGGGGTGGCCGAGCTGGTCGATGAGCCACCAGGCAAGCCCGTTGACAACGTTGGCCAGCTCGGCGTACGTGACGCGGCGGAAACCGGCCTCGTACGACGCCGGCAGCACCGGCCACTCCGCGTATACGGCATCGGGCAGGTCGCGCGCCAGCCGGTCGACTATGTTCGGCAGCAGGCTGCCCTGCCACTGAGCGATGCGTGCGTGCTCGCTGTCGGCCATGATCCGCTCAGACTGTCTGTCCAACAACCAAGTCGGGATTCCTGGGAGCGAGGGATGCAGGGAGGAATTCGGGCCATCCGTATTATGGAAGGAGAGACTCTGAAAGGCTCGGGCGCGGGAATAACTACCTCCTTGACCTATTAACGGTGTTGCGCCTGCCAAAACGAACGTCCGTTGGCAGGTGTTCAGCCAACCAACGTTATATCCCCGCAACCAACTGATGGATAAGCAGCGGAAGCATGGGTGCCTGGCAGGAAGATCGGGAATAACATACCAGGTAGTAGTTACTAGTACTACTTATAATCTGACAGCCTCATCCTACCGGAAAATACACATTGTATATGTGTGCTCGTACCTAAGTAGTCCACAGCATGTAGCCTTTATTAGTGCTGACTGACGATCTTCCTCGCGACCCGAAACAGGGAAGACAGCGATGCTCCCAGCCGTGGGGTTGATATAGCGCATATCATGATGCTGCCCGCCGAAGAACGAACCACAGCAATAACACAAGTAGAGAACTTGCGCCCCCAACTCTCCGACTGTGACGTGTATTGTGAGGCACCGTGTTAAGACTACGCGTCCGCATAGCCAAACCTTCGTACCGAATATCATCTCCACCGTATAGAAGAAAGATGCACTGACTTTTCTTTCCTTTTTTTGTCCCCCCCTCTCTGCGCCACAATGCGACATCTCCGGCATATCTTACTTGCTATCATAGCTGGCTACTTTACATGCTGGTCACATACCCTCAAAATGCTGCTAATAATGCTGCCTGTTCTTTTGCTCTTCGTTAGAAGGGAAACAGCGCGTCTACCCACTTCCCAGTCCTACAACCAATGTCGGTTACTTGTGCAGACCTAAGTTTCTTTCATCATATCCAGACATTCCACCACAATGCTAACCGCCCGCCCCTGACACTCTCCTCTCAGCCGACGGCGCATCGCCAGCAGACCGCAGCAGCTGTCTCAAGCTGCCTTCGGCATGACTCGTCGTCGCCGTCTGCTGCTGCCCTGTCCGCCACGGGATCCAAGCGCCCCATCCGGCTTGTCCTCGCCCTGCGTCAGCGGATCCGTGCTGGGGACGACGGGCCCCGCGCGCCGGGTGCATTCGGGGTTGTTGTGGTTGTGGTGCCCTTACAATGGGCGCCCGCCGGAGTGGTTGAGACGGAGATGCTCCAGCATCACCTGGCGCTGTACTCACGCCCAGATGACTATTCGATGTCTGCGGTTGGGCTGGCTCGCTGAGCAGGGCTGAGGTCTGTGCGGCAGGCGCGTTCCGCTGCGCTGTGGAGGACGAGGTGCTGGATTTCTTCGAGCTGCGGCCGTTATCCATGATGGCGCTGGCGAAGGAGGCCGACTTCTTCCGGGCCAACCTGTTCGTTACCTCTGCAGCGGTTGCTTCGGAACTTTGCTGTCCACCTTGGGCAACTGCGATTCCGTCGTTTCCGGTAGATGCTGATGCTGATGCCGATGCTGATGCCGATGCCGATGCTGATGTCGATGCCGATGCCGATGCCGAACCTGATCCACTGTGTTTGTCCCGAGCCCTTTTTGTTGCTGCCCTTCCGCGGACTTCGTCAACTAGTTCGGCCGCCGGCTTCTTTTTGGATTTGTCTTCCTCGGAGGACCGGCTCGAGGACATGATCGTCTCTAGCGTACCGTAGGCCGCACTCTGTCGCCGGCCACCATTCCTCCTCCTGGGGTGGGATCTGGCCGAGCTTTCGTCGTCCGATGTGATGGCCTGCAGCGTCGGGCCGCCCGTGCTTTGACCGTGGCTGCGGCTGCGGCTATGGCTGTGTCCTTTCCTGCGGGGCGCGGATGCGGACGGCGGTCCGACGCCTGACGTGAACGAAGCGCCTGAACCATGAGGCGCTACGTGGACTTCGTATTGATTGCTCAGCGAGTACCGCGAGCGGGCACATATCTCGGCGATGCGGTCTAGGTCGGCCCCAATATCATTGTCGCCACCCTGAGCCTGTATATCAGCCATGAAACTCTTGAACGAGAAGGCTTCCAGTGGAGGCAACTTGGGTTCCTCGGGCTCCTGGCGCGAGGACGAGTGCCATGGCCATGGTAAGGGCAGCCTGCTGCTGCTGGAGGGTTTTCCGCCTTTGTGCGGGTGCGACATCTTCATGTCGTGGGGATTGCTCTCGTTCATATCTGCTCTGTACCCGAGAGAACCGGCGCTGTTCCTGCTCGTAGTACCAACGCCAACGTCGCTCAGCGTGGGCTCAATGGGTTGGCGGCTCCCCGATGTCGAAGATGGGGGTAGCGGCATGCGTCTGGGAAACTCCCGGCTGCTGCTTGGTGGCCTGTAAGACCGCGACTGGGCGCTGCGAGAACCTCGGGACGGCGGGGGTCCGCTGTAAGTGCGCACAAGCACCGGCTGAGAGTAGGTGCTGCTCTGAGCAGCAGGAGCTTCGGGAGTGTAGCCCTGGCGACGGACTACCGACGAGTACTTGCTGTTCAGCTTCTGCAGCGCAGACGTGTGCTGGGACTCCGTGGAATCGGCGACCGGGACTGGCCTGCCCTCAGCAGTAGATGGAGCGAGCGTGGCGGACGGCGCCTTGCTGGGCTGGAAGAAGAGAGGCGGGAACGAGATAGGGAAGGGCGTCCGCCTGGGCTTAGACGAACTCTCAGGAACCGGCCCAGCCGGTGAAGAGGTAGAAGGGTTGGAGGAACGAGAGGAAGAGGGCCCATGGACATGGACAGCGGGATCAAGAGGCGTCGGACGGTCCTTTTGTTCCTCTGCGTTGGCAGCATCCGCTGCGGCATTGACATCTGCATGCTCGGAGGCCATCGGGCAAGGGGTGTGCGGCTTATTGGATGTATAAATGGCAAGCAGGAGAGCTCAATGCAGACTTAGACGAGCAGCACGGGTAGGTGTCGCACCATGCAGACGTGTCGTCGTAGTAACCGAAGCAGCAGGCGCAGCAGGCCAAGCTGCGAGCACCAAGCACCAAGCACCTTGCAAGCACCAAGCAACAGGACGATCCGGACAGCGGCGGCGGCCCGTGAGACTCGGAGGACGGGCAGTAGCGTCCAGGGGGTCAATGGGTCAGTGGCGGATTCAATGAATGCAGACGACGTGTTCGCGCAACTCGGGCGGCACGAGAGTGGCAACGGGAGCAGCACATGGAGTGTCTCGAGCCTCCGGGCGACGTTGGGATATCGGGCGTTGACGTGGGCGTCGGCTTATGGATCCGACAAAGCCAGTTCCGCAATCGCCTTGCATCTCGAACGATCCCGTTTCAGCAGCGTCGCCCCTCTTTGCCTGTGTGAATCTGATTGATTCGATTCGATCAAAGATAAAGTAAAACTGATGCGTTGTGCAATTGCTAGATTGGCGGGTGCACGATCTGCGCTCGCGTTCTATTCCGTACTCGCCATCGTGACTGGTTGAGAGCCCGCTGAGCGTACCGGAGTGGGAGCTGTTATGTAGTAGTTCGCGTCCTGCAGGCAGTCGTGGCTGTCGTCTAAAGGTCCTGCGGCAGGCCACTTGCAGCGCACGAGCAAGGGTTCGTGAAGCGGGGTTCAGAGTCGCCCCACCCGGATTCAGATGCTGTCTGTCCAAACAGGGGCCCTATAGAACACCTCACCTACCATTGTCTTTGATACCTAACTTCGAGTTCCAACAAGACACCAACTCCCGACTTGCAACCTTGCCTCTCCACGGATTGTGTCACGTAGTAGGGAAGGTATCACTCGCATCTTTCCTGACCCGTAGTCTCGGTTGGGGATCCGGCCTCGGTCCAGGCGCACACACGTATGCAAGGTACAATTATCCGTACCTCAAAGGCTCAACACCCTCGGTTTGCAATGAATACACTATTTGCCACAACCAATCTCGTATGGCAGGTTGACTCTCCTGACTCCGCCATGCCTCCCTTTCGTGATAAATACCGTCCGGTTGCTAGCAGTTGCCGACCGAGCCACGAAACAAAGCGGCTCGACGCGATAGCTTCCGTGACCAAGATTCGCCCGGTCTAGATCCGTCCGTAGGCCATGGCGACTCCCCCGGATTGGACCTTGTCGCTCCACACAAAAGGCGCTCGTTGAAGAGGAGGACGGCCCGTCTTGTATTTGTCGCGCCGGTCAAAATAGACGAAGAAGAGGTAAAAGGAGTGGATCACACCGGGAAACCACCTGGTCTTTTGGTTAGCAGTGTCGTTGACCTGGTGAATTACATCAGGAGAACATACAGCCAGATTGTCAACAGTATGTTAATAAGTAAGTCGGCACCACAGCCGGCAATGAAAGCGACACCCAGAGGGGGGACTGGTGGTCAGTCGTCATGTAAGCAGGAGGCTATTTGAATAAAGGGCACTAGGGCAAACAAGGTAATGCGCCGGCACTTACACAGAAGGCAGAGGATACCGACTAGGATTCCTGCGACGCCGTCCATAGCTGGTCTGGTGGGAGTGGAGTTCTAGATGTTTTCTGTAAGTTGTTAAAATCTCCAGTTCAATATTTCTTTGCATGAAACGATTATTGTGTTACTTATTGGGTTGTCCTCACCACCATAGTACCATCTCAAAGGTCGTTGTTTCCGTCAGTGAAGCGCTCTTGCTATGACGTAGTGTTACCCAGCGCACGGACCACGCAAGCGTGGTATCTGCTGTTCTCTGCTAGCTTCAGTTGAATCAGGTCAGGACTCATGAGTTACAAGATGGGTGATGGGATTAGAACGGAACAGTCTGTCAAAAACTGACAACTGTCCATACGCCGTGAGTGTAGCGCTAAGCTTGAAGCGAAGGCGACCCTTTTGCATTTCCCGTAAGGTGATTCGCTTCGGGTTGATAGATCAAATCTATGCACGTAGCTTCAAAACGATGCAATGTACGGAGTAGTGAGGAACAGAAAAGTGAAGTATTGTACAATACATGAGAACGGTATCAGTCAAGTACTTAGCGCTATGTAAGAAACATTCCCTGGTGGTATGATACGCACAGCAGGTATACAAGCAGTACTGTACCCGGATTACTGATACTGTGTACTGTACTACATGGTGTGCTGTATGTAGATTGCATTACATTACATACATACGTGTATTTTCTTGGTAACCATATTACAAGTCTTAACCGTGCAACTTAGTACAAACGGACTTTCTCTCCCCTCTAGTTTCCTACGACGTAAACGTGGGGCTCAATTGTATCTGTTCTATAAGTCAAGTGTAGCCACCAGATTTGCTGCAATTTTAGACGCTCACCTATTATTGCTAACCAAAACGACGTTACTGTCGAGGTCAGGTCTTACGGTAATAACCTCTACGGTCAGCGAGTAACATTCGCCCTCCGTCCACGCGGCTCTGAGAGTTAAGACACTGGTTGCTTGAAGTATATATATGTAGCTCCTGCAATGTCCTTCATGTCTATTGACCGTGATTGCGGACGGTCAAAATAGGTAAACACCATATCCCTTCTAAGCTCTCGCCCGATGACATGACTTTTACATAGTATAGAGAATATACTTTGAAAATGGGTTCCTATAACATCACTCGGAAGATGGTCGCTCTGAAAAGCATAAAAGTACGAAATATGTATCGGTAGAGGTCGGCTTAACTCCGCGTTGGTCATGGACCGGCTAGCATGAGATTCATAAGCCTGGTTAAGCATTTCTCTATACAGAAGGTCCTAGGTAGGAAACAAGGTCTGCCTTGGTGTCACCATTATTAAAGTCACATATCATGATTCGTTTCTTTTCAAATATAGCATATCCTATCAATCTGTCAGATTCAACCAACAGACACAAAACTCGTCACAGCCCCATGGACTTGGCGATTGGCTTTTCAGGACGAGTGACTTCATCACTACTAGCAGATGGCCAACATCGGTCTCACTCGATACCGCCACGGTCACAGTCTGTCAGTAGCACGCTTAAGGTTTACTATGGCCTATGGCGGCTGTGATGGTTTCGGTAGAGCCGTCTGGCCATCACTCGTGCCAGTCGCAATCTTGAAACCCGCGGCCACAATATCTGAGCCCTTGATACACCAGTTTTCGGATCCTCTCATCCTCAGAACGCTAATAAGTTGGGAAAACATAAGAACATACAAGTGCTGAATGACAAACGACAGTTTGGCTGGTTCGCGAGGGGTTACCAACACTCGAGGCATCCAAACTGCCCGAGACATCTGGTATTGCACTGTCAAGTACCTTTGCCTGAATACGAGTAGGTTCACGCAACGAGAAACATGCAGGTAGGCGATGAATTTATTACCCGAGTGAACTGCTTTCGTATCAGCAGGTATATCCGTCTAAACCGGCCGCTATTTGGCTCTTCAGACATAGAAGCATGTACCTCTTCAACACCTTATCTACACTTGCACATGCTTGGCTTGCCCCTGGCCTGACCTCCCTCAGCAGTCCATCGCTCATGCCCCTCTGCTTCCCAGGTTGTCAGCTCACCGTGGCCCAGTTCAACGGTGTCTGCGACCAAAGGGTGGACATGTAAAAGGCCGTTATCCCCCTCGTATAGTAATACACGTAGTCGGACATCTAGATTTTCCTGTCATCGACCTTGTTGGCCCCATCTCTTTGCGCCGTGCTGACTGTCACGGCAATGTCTGGTGAACATCCAGACGCCCGGCATAGCTCCGATAACTCCCAGGGGGCGCTCCTCCGCTCTTAGTGTTCCGAGGACGGTAGGTCCCTTGAGGATCCGCAAGCCCACTCTTTCCCAAAGTTTTGTTTGGAGGCCGCTCCAGACTGATGTCATCCAACTTGGCTTTTGCTGCCATTCGCGTCAATATGAGGCCGCTTTGCCTCCCGCTGTGCTTCAACGCCTTCATTCGGCCGTTTACGCTCCCTGTCGCGGTTGCTGACGCTTTCGGGGCCTTCATCCCTTGAACCAGAATGCTGCTGGGCGGCACGAGCGCGCTCTTTCTCCTTCTTCTCCTTCTCCCTCCGGAGCGCTTTGGATTCTAGCTCGTGCCACTCGCCGCCAATGTCTTTGAGTCTGTAGTCGAGAAGTCAGCATGCGAGTCAGAAGCCAGGACAGGGGATATATTAAGCTTACTCAACGGCCTGCCGCGGCGCGGGTTCCTCCGTTGTGAAGTATGGGTGCTTCAGGACCTCGGCGGCACTGGGGCGCTTATCCGGATCATATTGAAACATCGAGATGAGCAGGTCGAAGGCGGCAGGTGTCAGCAGCTCCTTGTACTTTTCCTCGAAGACGTTTGGCTTCCGGTAGGTAGGCCGGAGGAGAGCGAACCAGGGCATCTCTATCAGGTTCGGCCAGTCTTTCATGGTGGGCGTCCCAAGGATGGAATAGATCTTCTCCAACTGGTTGATCTCACTGCCATCCCCGGGGAAGATGGCTCGCTTGTTGAATATTTCTACCATCACGCAGGCCGCGCTCCAGATATCCACTGCGGGACCGTATTGCGTCTCTCCCAGTAATAGCTCCGGCGACCGGTACCAGATGGTGATGACACGGTTGGTGTAGTCGAGCTGGTGGTGCTTTGCGTAGAACCGCGCCAAGCCGAAGTCAGCCAGCTTGAGGATGCCGTCGCTGCTGACCAGGATATTCGCGGCCTTGATGTCGCGATGTAGGACGCCTCGAGTGTGAAGATAGTCAAGACCCTCAAAGAGTTGCTGGGCAAGATGCTTCTTATGCCCGGGCTCCAGCGTGTAGGTCGGGTGGTTGAGGAGACCGGTCAAGTCGTGCGACAAGTACTCAAACACCATGAAGCAGTCGTTCGCCTCGACCATGACCTCCTGTAGCTGGACGATATTCTTGTGGCTGAGCGAGCGGAGCAACTTGATTTCCCGCACAGCTGTGACCGGGAAGCCGTCCCTCTCGCCTTCCATTCTAATTTTCTTCAGTGCCACAAGCTTCTTGGTGTATACGTTCAGGCCTTTGAAGACCTTGCCGTACGTGCCCGAACCCACAACTGACTCGTTGCCTGGCTTCCTGAAGAACACAGACTTGGAGGCGGCCAGATCCCGAGGAAGCGTCGGCTTCTCCTTCAGACGCTTCACGATCTTCTTTACTTTCCGTGTTTTCGGGGTCGGCTCTGGGTGCCTAATCGGCTCGGGCGGCCTACGGTCGCTGGGACCGCTGGGAATGCCGGGACGTGATCGTGCAGACGCGGGTTCCGTGGGGGCATTCTTGGGAAAGCCGCCTCGGTCTCTCTCGGGCCTCGTTGGGGGTGGTTTCTGGGCCGGCTTGCTTGGAGGCTCTCGCGATGTCGGAGCGGCATTGAATTTGGACGATATCTCGGGCCTTGGCGCCGCCACGGTCGGTTTTGCCGCATTTTTCATACTAAAACTAAACTTATTAGGTGTTGAGGATTGCGGCCCAGTTGGAGGCTGCCGGCTCGCAGGTGGCATCTCGTCTTCCGTTGGCTTCTCTACCTTGCTCGTGTCTTCAACTTGCAAGTCTTTGGATGGCCTGAAAGGGTTGTCGCTCTCTACCGTCGAGACATCACCCTTGTCCGAGGGAGGCTCGGCATGGCTGCCGGACGACGGTTCCAACTCCTCAGCCTGCCCAAGCTGGCTTCGTCCAGTACTACTTTGAGCGTGCCATTGTGCACTCTTGAAGCCACCTCGTAAGCCACCTCGGGGGGAGAACGGTCCACCCCGGAACGAGCCGCCCCTGTAACCGCCACGGTACGGGCCCGAGGGATATTGAGAGGAAGGGCCAGTCGGCGGATAAGGAGGCGAATGTGCTTGGCCAGGGTGATGATAATGGGCTTGCGGCCCAGTGGGAAGCCCATAACCACCATGATACGGCGGCGAGAATTGGTTACTGAGATATCAGTCAATGAATGGCTTCAGCGCGAAAGGGACACGAGATTAAAGCTGACTAACCCCTGAGGAGAGAAATGAGCTTGACTGTTCCAACCTCGTCCAGCACCGCCATACGGCGACTGGGCCGTCGGAGAGCCGTGAAATGAAGAGATCGGGGTTCCATGGCCTGGAGATTGGGCATAGCCGCGGGTATCATACTGCCCTTTGGGGAATCCGCTTTGCAATTGGGGGTTGTGACCTCCGCGGTAGCCGCCTCTGGCCGCCATGTTCACCTCAATGCTATTAGCGCCGGAAGCTGGGTCGAACTTGGATGACCGCGGACCGTCGTTGCCTCGTCCTTTTTCGTTCTTTTTCGAACTCCGAATTTCACGTGGGGAAGTAAGTGGGGCCGGTTTGTCGGGCGCACGCGAGGAATCTTGGGCAGGGCTTGGTCTGCGGCGCGATCCAGTATCGGATGAAGTCGGCGGTCGGCTGCCCCACGTCTGAGGACTTCGAGCAGGTCGAGTATCAGGGCCAGGCGAGCGATGTCGATGCGTGGGGGACCGGCTCCTGCGGCGAGAATCGCTCTCGAATAGGGCGCGAGCGCGACGGTTGCCACGGGATGATCGAGACCTTAGTCGGCGAGGATGACTGCAGGACCTGGAGCGGCCCGATCGTCTGCTGTGCTTCGAACGCCGGTCGCGGGATCGAGGTGAGTGGTCGCGGGGTGGTCGGGGGGAAGGGCCACGATGGTCTCTTGGCCGCAGAGATTTCGGCGCCTCAATTCTGTCTGGTCTCGTTGGGCTAACGCTGTGCCGGGCCTTTTTCGATCGAGAGTCACCACCAAGCGATGGGCTAGGGCTTCGCTGACGCTTGCTTGGGGCTGGAGATCGAGATGCACGTCGGCGAACGTGAGAATCTGCGGCTTCGCGACGTTCCCTTCCAGGCCGTGGGGAGGAGCGGGTGGCTGCGGAAGGGCGTGCGGGCGAGGCACGAGGCTCTCTACGGGGAGCAGGTTCACGAGAAAGGTCTCGGCGACTGCGGCGGGAGCGATGAGATGGTTGAGGTGGACGGCCGCTACGACGCTCGGGGCTTCGGGTCCGGTCACGGCGACGGTTCTGGGAACCAGGGTGCGATGGCTCGACCGACCGGCCGCGACGCTGATGAGGAGGATTTGAGGAGTGAGGTTCGCCGGCTCGCTCTTGGTCTCGCTCACGAACGGATCCTGACAACCGAGTCACAGGCGAGATGGATCTTCGTGAAGTCGTCATGCCGAGGTCAATCCCGTCCCGGCGGCGGTGGTGGCTTCCTCGCTGGCTGCTGGTGCTGCCATCTGGTGGTGCAGCGTTGTCTTGGGGCCGGAGGTGTGCAGAGTCGTCCATCGTGGACGATTCCGATACTGAGTTTTAGTTGGTCAGGGCGGTCCGCTGACAGGGGTCGCAGCGAGAACGCGCTGTGGCAGCCTTCCGGTTGTGGCGCTCGAGAGTCGAGAACGCTGTGGAGAGCGGGGCACTCCCGATGCAACCGCCCGGCTTCTGAGCTGGAACGTCCGTATCAGAGGTCCCAATCTGAAGCAACTGCTGTTGACTGTGTTGTGTAAGTTGTCGGCAAACCACCGGATTCAGAATGGAAAGCATAGATGCCCGGGTCGTTAAGGCGAGGAACAAAGCTGCAGGCGGAAGCGGCACTCGAGAGGACCCGTACAGTGGTCGGTCCCGTTGCCGCCAAATCTCCAGGGCTGTTCCCGAAGAGGTGATGCGCAAACGCCTGCACAACCACAGTGCCTAGTGGTCGAGTGTCTAGCGAGCGAGATTCGACATATTTTGTCCCGGATCCCGGCGCCCTTTCCCTCTGCTGCATGCAGTAACGGCAAACGAGCCGCCGATCTGGGCGCTGCTCGACGTCTCGCGTCGATGTGCAGGTGAGGGACAAATCCGCCCTATACCCGCAAACCTCTTCGAGGAGTGAACGGCGGCTTGCTTGGCGATGTCCAGTCCGTCCGTTATATCAGATTAAAGTCGTCAGTCGCCAAGCCACCGCTGAGTAGTCGGGTTATGTGCCGCCCGACTTTGCTCACTTGCCCACCCAGGGTCCCTCATTTGGGGACAGCCTTTCCGGGTCTTCAACAAAGCAGGACGCCGAGAGCACGTCACTAGCCATGCTTGCTCCCCAAGCCGCGGCCATTCCCTTGTCCAGCCAGCCCCACAACTCCCAAGCGTAGATCTGCCAGCAATTTGCAGACATTTGATCACCACAGACCACTAACTACGGCATGTTACCTTTACGAGTTCAGCCAGCCCAATCCCATATCCATCACAGCGAGAGGACCTTAAGCTCTCCTCCACCATCGCCTGATGCCTGACCCGACCCCTTGGTCGTATTGTAGTCAGACTGACCTTGGCCGGCTGTTTGCCCTTGATATCTTAGGGGACAGACCGAGAGCACCGTCAGGTGTTGGGAGTCAGTTGCTCAGATGAAGGATCAAGTCCCCCGTAGCGGGTCGGTCGGTGTATGGCCGGAAACTTGGCTGGAGATGGGTAGAAATCCGTGTCCAGCGGCACGGTCGAAAAGCCAGATCAGTTTCTGAGCGACTTCAATGCTGTCATCTCTGGGTCTCGCTTTGTTTAAGAAACCGGTGGCGATGGGCGGGCGTACGTGGACAGGAAAGTGTCACGTATTGGACAGCGGGATGCACTGCTGTCAGAGGCCATAGAACCGGACTCTAACGATTCCAATGTGCATTCGCAACAAAACCCACGCGCGACTGTCCACCTTCATCACGAGAGCTATCGAGCGTTGTAGATGGATATCGGAGGCGCATCTCGTAGTCGAAAGTGGTGATATAAAGTGGCGCATGACTAATTGGAACTGGAATCGGGGTGCTGGTGCGGTCCCTTCAGTCGACCATGAAGCTGCGACGAAGCGAGCGCTTTCGTGTTATGGTACTTAGCCGCCGGCTTTGCAGCACGCCAGTTGAACCATTTCACCACAGCGACCTTGAGGGTCTGTTGGATCAGAGATGGCTCATTGGTGGTTCTGCGCCGAACAACACCAGCCCTCCGCCTGCTCGCCTGCGAAAGCCCCGCATCTGTTGAAACATGAACATAATTCTCGCCATTTGATGGTTGAAGCGCGTCCAGGCGGGGAATTGGCGGGGAAATCCTGTATCAACAATGCTGGTGAAATATGGTATGCGGCAAGCGATAGTTGAGCTCAGGCCAGTTTAGGTGTAGCGACGACCTGGCCAAGCGCGAAAAGCATGCCACGAGAAAGGACGTGGCTGCTCGGGTCGATCGCGTGGTTGGTGGTGGAGAGCGAACGCAGCACCCGACCTGAACCGAAATTGAGGAACAGCCTGGTCGATGGACAGTAAATTCATCACGTGACTATCCGAGCGGTTCGCGAAACGTTTACAATACGGATACAATTCTGGTATTGTATGCTTCTACACTACCTACCTTACGTATCGACCATATGGTCGCGGAAAAGAAGAGGAGAAAAAAGAAAAGAGGTCGGACAAGTTCGAGCAGTTTGAGAAATAAATGACCTGTCGAGCAAATGGAGTCATGTCACGGGGAGGCGGACTAGCTGTTCTGGAAACATGGATTTGGTTTGCCGCTGCCGGGTTAGCCGACACCCTTCGAGTCAATGACGGTAACTGAAGATGGGTTAAGGCCGAGAAATGCCGCAGTTTCTCAGAATCTTCACCAGGCACGATGAGTTCCAGGCCACGGAGTGGTTATTTTAGCATTTGACGATCGTGTGGAACTTTGATGTGCGCTGCTCCCCAGAATTCTGTACGGGGCCCCGCGATGCCAAATGTCGTCATTCTCGGGCCCGTGCACCGAGACCCACTGGCCGATCAGTAAGAACATGTAGGTACCGTGGGGTATTGGAAAGTCAACAATAACCGTTAGGGACTGCTATACACAATCACAGCACTTCGAAGACATAGAAAGCACTGTTGGAAGTATCGGTAGAATGAAGTCCAAGACACTTTGATTACATGGGTAGCTTGATGGCATGAAACCCTCCGAATGGCACTGAGGACGTTCAAATTTGCAACTGACAGGCAGGCATGCATTTCCACCAAGCTTCCAGCCTCTTCTCCACTGCCAACCCTTGAGAGCTCTTGGGCTGACCCCACTTCGCTCTGGCGTTAGCTGCTACCAAGTACCTAGTAGCTTCACCTAGGTATCATGCACTGCCCTGTCCCACAAGCAACACAAACAAGGCGTAAGCTCTCACCAACCCCCCAATCTGCGGCAAACGCCTCCCCCTTCTATTCTCGACGTCTTTCTCCGTTTCGGATTTGCGCTGCTTAACGCGCTTTGCCGCAGCCCAGTCGTGCCCGCAGCTCCTATAACGAAGCTGCCAGATCCAACGTCACCCCACGTTGGGTTTGGCTGCATCCGGCCAAATATAAACACCCAATTGGCCCGCCTTCACCCAACTTCGTGAAGCTTGGCTCGCTTCGACCAACTCCTCCCTGAATTACACAAGTACAAAAGATTGCCTCTTTCGGGCGGGGGTGTTCCTGCCGTTCCAAAATTTTCTCAATACCTACCTTACCTTACCTAGTCTTGCTACATAAGCAGTTGGTCGGCCTTGACTCTTGGTTGCTGGCCTCAGGTGAATTGCATCAGCATTGTAGCCGCGACGTCGCATTTCCTATCGACACCAAGAAGCAATTCACAATGGCCAACGAAGAGGCGGATCGCGGACGTCGCGAGGTGAAGAACCACGTCCTTTTCGAAATTGCGACCGAAGTCGCCCATCGAGGTATGCTTCTGGCCAGTGGCGGACACGAGGCGGCAGTCCGACTAATACTATCTGCTCAGTCGGCGGTATCTACTCTGTGATAAAGTCCAAGGCTCCAGTAACCACCGCAGAATATGGCGACCGCTACACCCTCATTGGGCCACTGAATCACCAGTCCGTATGTGCCTGCCCCGCCAGCCGCGAGCTTATTCCACTTAGTTGGGGAGCGTCTCTAACAGGAACCCTAGGCGGCCGTAGAGGTCGAGGCTATGGAGCCCACACACAATCCGGAACTTGCTGCGACCATTCAATCCATGAGAGACCGCGGCATTGGTATTCTGTATGGGCGGTGGCTGATCGAGGGCGCGCCCAGAGTGCTGCTTTTCGACATAAAGACGGCGTACGGCTACATGAACGAGTGGAAGGCCGACCTATGGAACGTGGCCTCTATTCCGTCGCCTGATAATGACGAAGAAACCAACGAGGCAGTCGTTTTCGGCTATCTTGTTGCATGGTTTCTCGGAGAGGTCAGTGTTTGAACTCGCGGACGCAGGGACAGCTTTGATGGCTAACGCCGCTGCAGTACGTGTGCCACGAGAAGAGGAAGGCGGTCATCGCGCACTTCCACGAGTGGTTGGCAGGCGTCGCCCTACCCTTGACAAGGAAGAGACAGATCGATGTGACGACCATCTTCACAACCCATGCGACACTGCTGGGTAGGTACCTTTGTGCCGGCTCGGTTGACTTCTATAACAACCTCCAGCACTTTGATGTGGATGCGGAGGCGGGGAAGCGCGGAATTTATCACAGGTACTGCATTGAGAGGGCTGCTGCCCATTCGTGCGACGTCTTCACCACCGTGTCGCACATCACGGCCTATGAAAGCGAGCACCTGCTTAAGCGCAAGCCAGACGGGGTCTTGCCTAATGGTCTCAACGTCACCAAGTTCTCGGCCGTCCATGAGTTTCAGAATCTGCATCAGCAGTCTAAGGAAAAGATTCATGATTTTGTGCGCGGTCATTTTTACGGTCACTATGACTTCGACCCTGAGAACACACTCTACTTCTTCACGGCAGGGCGGTACGAGTTCAGGAATAAGGGTGTTGACATGTTCATTGAGTCGCTCGCCCGACTGAACCATCGCCTCAAAACGTCTGGCAGCAAGACGACCGTCGTCGCCTTCATCATCATGCCTGCTCAGACGTCGTCGCTAACGGTCGAGGCGCTGAAGGGGCAGGCCGTGATCAAATCTCTCAGGGACACGGTGGACACGATCGAGAGGAATATTGGACGGCGCATGTTTGAGCGGTCGCTGAAGTGGCATGATGGCGATCCAATGCCGGAAGAGAAGGAGCTGATCTCCAGCCAGGACCGTGTCTTGCTCCGCCGGCGCCTGTTCGCCATGAAGAGGCACGGACTGCCGCCCATTGTCACGCATAACATGGTGAACGACCACGATGATCCCATCCTGAACCAAATCCGCCGGGTACAACTCTTCAACCATCCCAGCGACCGGGTCAAGATTGTGTTCCACCCAGAGTTCCTGAACTCTGCGAACCCGGTGCTCCCGCTTGACTACGACGACTTTGTCCGAGGTACCCACATGGGTGTCTTCCCATCCTACTACGAACCGTGGGGTTACACACCGGCCGAGTGCACTGTCATGGGCGTACCAAGCATCACGACAAACCTCTCCGGGTTCGGCTGCTACATGGAGGAGTTGATTGAGAATTCCAGTGATTACGGCATCTACATTGTAGATCGCCGCACCAAGGGGGTTGACGACTCGGTCAACGAACTCACTCACTATATGTTTGAGTTTGCTCAGAAGAGCCGCCGGCAGCGGATCAATCAGCGCAACCGGACCGAGCGGCTTAGCGACCTTCTCGACTGGAAGCGTATGGGCTTGGAGTACGTCAAGGCACGTCAGCTCGCCTTGAGACGGGCGTATCCTATGTCGTTCGAGGGAGAGGACGAGGAAGACTTCATCCCCGGCGTGGAGCGGAAGATTTCGCGGCCATTCTCCGTTCCTGGATCTCCCCGCGATCGGACGGGCATGATGACCCCTGGCGACTTCGCGAGCCTTCAGGAGAGCCACGAGGGACTGAGCACTGAGGATTATGTCGCGTGGAAGCTTCCGTGAGTCATACCAACTACTCTAACCCGGAGATCCCAGCTAATGATCTTGAGTAGCGAGGAAGAGGACCCCGATGAATACCCGTTCCCACTCACCCTGCGAACGAAGGTGTCGAGCGCTGCAAGCGCTCTGGGGGGAGCTCCTCTCAATGGCAACTGATGGGTTAGCTACGGGCCCATGCAAACATCACAGCCAACAGATATTCCTGAGGCGAGGCACTGCCTCATCCCGGACTGCGTTTTATTCTTCGTTTGAGCTGGCCTAAGCACACAGACGGCATCAGATTTCGTATATATCGTCTTCACGACTAACCGACGGACTGTATGTATTCCTTTCACTTTATCTTTGCAGAACCCGAGACGATGGCATGGCATGACGGGAGGGAGATGAGGGCCAGGGGAAGCCGAAGCGTGTCGTGCGGTAATGAGCAGGCGGTCATGTCCGTGTATCTATGTGCCACTTGTAACATTGGGTCGCAAAAAAGTTCTGATTTTCACTGATGGCCTACTTTGACACATGGAGGAAGGTGAGTTTATGCTTAAGGGCTTCCAGGTTGTGGTTGCCCCAATGCGCCTGCTTGCTGGACATCCTCAACATCATTCTTTCTGTCTTCCTTTCGAGACATGTCTTGTACTTCGGACAAACCATTGTCATTGACAGGGCTGAAAGAGGCAGGTGCTTGGGGTGTGCTCGGCTCCGTCTTCCGTACAGCAGGGGCAGAACAGTGAGCAACCCCCACTTCCACAATCCTGACTTGATCCTGCAAGTGGTACGGATGTACACAGAGCAAACATATCTCAACCGTGCAACGGCTCTAGGCTCTTTGTTATTGTTCCGGCCCACGTGCGGCCTTCGCAAAGCGTCTCCGGGTCGATATAGAAGAGGGCTCCTCCGCTTCATACCACCTAGCACTGTTTTAATCAGTTCCCCTATGACAACTGTGGTTGAAGATGATCCATGCCTCACGTTGTTGTAGGATCCGGTAATCACAGCAATCACAGGCGTCAACATTCCTCCGGAAAACTTAGCGTCGTCGGAGCCTGATTTCGCGCCAAGGCATTCATCATCAAATGCCCACCCTGCCGGAGACTCCAAGGATACCTATCTTCGACAAATTCGACATGCACTAGACATCAACTGCACTGGCAGAAGCTCTGAGCCGTCGTGATCACAGCAATCACTGTATAACGGCCCCGCACCTCCATACCTACCTAGGTAGTTAGCTCTCAACTGCCGGTCCGCGTCCGCAGCTAGGGTCCAGTAACCTTCGCGCATCGAAACGTTAGCGGCTAGCACAGGGCGACAGGGCCCCCGGTCAGTGCCCAACGGTAGCGAGCGGCAGGCTGCGGAGAGCAGTGGACTGAAGCTGCATCATCCCCGTTCGCCCCACCGCTTTCACCTCGCGCATCCTCTTCTTCCTCCGCGCGCGCTTGCCCCTCCATCTGTCATGGGCATCGCCACCGCAGTCCTGGGCACAATGAAGTTCTTCAGAAGGAAGGACAAGCGGAAGAACGACGGCGGCAGTGGTCCGGGCCGGATGCCAGGTTTTGGCAGCAGCACGAATAGCAAGCACGCGACTCCGGTGTACGGCGGGTACGGCCTCGGCGATTCCCGCCCCGACAGCTATCGGCCCTTCGGGTCCCCTCCCTCCGGATCCCAGGACCCGAGGACGTACGCGCAGTCCGGCCACTTCCAACCCAGCCCAAGTCACGCTTCTGCCGCAGCGCTCGCCCAGCTCCCGACAGCCATTCTTGAGCGCATTTTCGCCTTCGTTTGCCCCCACAGTCGCGACGAGAGCTATGAGACCTGTGAACAGAGCTCGGTCGAGGATGGCTGTATGCTGTGCGACCTGCGTGACCTCGCACACTGTGTGGCGGTCTGCAGGAAGTGGAAGGGGGAGGCTGTCAAGCTGCTGTATGTCAGACCTCGCCGCCTCCTCATTACCCGTGTCTCAGCCTCCCCTGTTTGCCTCTCGGCAAGGGCCGGCAACCCTCTCCTCCCAGTGGCAGCCCGCTGACCAAGCTCTTGGCCCCGCAGATACCACAGCATCCGCATTGACAGCGTTCACTACTGCGTTCTCGAAGCTATTCTGGCCGAGCGCCGGAAGCGGCGGTCTTTCTTCGACCGCAATGGCCAGCCCGAGGACCCGGCGCAGGCCCGGCTGAAACTGCTCTGCCGCACGCTCCGCGAAGACCCCGTGCGCCGCGGCCGGCTTGTCCAGTTCCTCAAGATGCCGTACATGCTGCGCGAATCTTGCCAGGCAGACTTGGCGCGGACGATAGCCGTGACGCCAAACCTGCGTTACGTGGACCTTCCTGAGGGTCTCTTCACCGATGACCCCTCGTTCGTGACGCTGCGGCTGGAGGTGCAGGCGCGCTGCCTCGAGCTGCGCAAGATGACGTACATGGGGGGCTCTGAGAACAGTCTGCAAGCTCTGGCGACGGGCAGAGTGTGGACCCAGCTGGAGGTGCTCGAACTGATCCGGATAGAAATGGAGCCCACCATGCTGCGACAAGTGCTGGCCTATCTCGGCAACCTGCGGGCGCTCAAAGTCAGCCGGACGGCATCCTTTAGCGACGAGACGCTGGCATGGAATGAGATGATGCCGCCGTTCCCGCCCCTGGAGGAGTTTATCCTCACCGATGTCCCCAACGTCACATCCGAGGGGCTCAAGGCATGGTTAATACTTCCGGAGGCGCGGCAGTCACTGAGGGTGCTTACATTGAGCGGGACTGGCGTGCGGCCTTGGACTCTGCAGGAACTCCTGGCCTATGTCCCGGGGCTCAAGCATCTGTCCATCATTGACAGCGTGTCGGCGACCATGCCCGCCGCCGCCGGCTCACACAACATCCCACCACTCTCCTCCGCCAGCCTCGAATCCCTACATTTTGAGATCACCGCAGCGCCATCCACGCCGAAATACTCGAGCGTCACGGCGAGCTATTACAACTACCTCGCTGGCTCTCTGCTCTCAGGCGGCCTGCCCAACCTCCGTGCCGTCTATGTCCGAGACCCCAACTTCCCCGACCTCCTCCTCGGCCTGCCCCCGCCCGCCCCCGCCTTCGCCGAAGGCCGTCATGCCCGCCCAGCAAGCAGTGGCTCGACCTCGCCTTTCTCCCCGCACAAACTCTCCCCGGGATATCCAGGCGGGGGTGGTCCGTTGTCACCCCCCTCAGCCCCCTTTGCCGGCGGTCTAGGCCACCGCCCGCAGGGCTCCCTTTCCTCCCTGAACGGCGTCTTCAGCCCCGGCTCCGGGCTCGGTGTCAACTCTAACACGACCCCGTACTCAAACCCGCGCTTCAGCAGCAACAACCCCTTCGCCTCGCTCGCTTCCCCCACCGCCGCCTCACAACCGCAAGGTAACTTCCTGAACCTCCCCGCCAAGCTGGAGGTCTTCACCAAGGGCGATGACGACACCCTCGGCTGGTCATCCCTGCAGCTCGGGGGACGGCACGGGTCCGGAGGTGGCGGCGGCGAGCGCCCGCTCAGCAGCTACGGGCTTGGCGCCGACGTCCTGGGCGGGAGTGCGGCCGGGTGGAGTAGCGGGGCCGGCGCGAGACGTAGCGTGCTTGTCGGCGGTGCGGGGGCCGGGGGTGGATTCCTGGCGGTGCCTAGTGAGGGCTCAACTCCGAGGGGGGCATTCAGGGGGAGGAATAACTCGTCTGTCTCGGTCGGCGGGTTTAGTAGTGGAGGAGAGGATGAGTGGCCGCGGCCGAAGAGCTCGGCGGGCGAGAAGAAGAGGGAGCGGTTGGACCTGTGGCGGTGATGATCCTGATAAGAAGGGGGGTTTGTTGTTCACGGTTAAAGGGGCGCGAGTGGAGATATAAGGTGCCATGGCTGCGCGACTAACTTCTACGAGATAGAAGTTGCGTTGTTTGACTTCTGATGAAGGGTTGGGGGATCGGAGGGTTTGCGCAGTGCAAAGGTTGGAGCCAAGAGGGAGGGAGGGAGGGAGGGAAGGAGCCTGGAATTTTGTTCGTTTTATATTGAGTCTTCCGTTATTGATGGGAGGCGGGATTACACTGTAGGTTAGACGCGTTTCATGTAGTATACCCCGGATCTGCTGTATATGTTGGAGTACATCCATGACACCTACTTACCAGTAGGTGGCGTGCAAAAGCTGAACCAGTCAACTTGTGCTCTTTAACTTGCGTGGTATGTGAAACAGGTGGGTTGACCCAGATCCAAGGCAATGCTGGGGTAGGTAACGTTCGCGGGGGGGTGGGGGGGTTCGATGCAAGAGATCGATTGGCTTCACCTGACCTAGCGGCTCTCATGGAGATGGTACTCCTCTAAAGCCTCAAGAAGAGCCGGACGGATCCCGAGATCCCTCTTCGGATGGACGGACATCGTAGAGTTGCAGCCTCTGTTATAGCTCACAGAGCATATTTCAAGGAAGGCAGTGAACGTAGTGAACGCAGCCTCTGTCCCGGTATAGATCAGGGACCGATTCAGAGAATTTGCATATTGGATGGCCATTCCACCCCCAAGGCGGTAATGATAGCCGGTTTACATCAGACAACGAGGCCAGCCTCAAAAGACTTGACTTCCCTCCTGCTACAAACGGAGAGTGAGCTGGCGGGTTGATGTTCGCCCTCACTGGGCGGTCTCAGACATCTACGTCACCCAGCGATATAGCAAGCAATATATTGACTTGCACGTTGTTGGAGTACCCAAGCACATCACTATACACTTCATTTCTCCAGTTGCCAGACTAATCAGATGGCTCTCCTGTTGTTGAGTGAGTATAGGGGTGTCATGCCCTGCGCCGTTGCCACACCATGCTTGGTCGGCACTGCATAGCTGACTCGTCATTAATGGTCCTCCCCGGGTGTGTCGCGACGCGGAAACGGCGCTCAGTTGAGTTGGGGACGGCCAGTCTGTCGAGCCCTGGCCGGGTTCAAGTCCCACTGGACTCAAGGTATCAGATATACTGGTGTATGTACTGTAACCGCACCAGAGAAGTGTGGAGGTGCTGGCAATTCTGTGCTAATTTTACACCGCGTAGCATACAGTAAGGAACCATAGCCGTCGGCGGAGCTAAGGTGCCTACCTAGGTACGGTAGCTTACATATGCGGACCCAAGGCGGAGGTCAAAATAGGCACACGGGAGAGCTTATTCGGCGGGTCTGCGGCACAGTCGGTTGATCTTCCGCTATGGCTTACACGTAGTTGTATGTCACATACAGAAGAGAGTCTGGTCTGAAAACAGTTAACCACCGAAGGATATCAAAAGGCAGCTCCATGAAGAAAGGAGCAAGCCGTATAGGTGACTCGATGTGGACCATGCGTTCTGGTAGCGTTACCCTTGCACAACCTCGTAAGATACCAACGGCATACAGTGCCATATGCATCACGATGTCTGATCTGTGCAACACCAAAGGGCACCACGACTATGGACCCGGAACGGGAAACGGCCGGTGGTATTGTACCATATTCGGACGCATGCAAGATCGGGCGGTGTCTAACCCATCATCGGACGGCTCCAGGACTAGTACTCATGTTGGCTCTCGTGGCTTTGGCTCCTGACGGAGCAATGGTTCGTCCTCTGACGTTGCTCAGCCTAGTCAGCCCCAGCACGTTGGACGCACAACAGCTGCACTTCTCCACAGAGCACTGGTAGTGTAGGGTTGGAACCAGTTTTCCTGTGCCGCACCCAGCCGTCGGGATTTGTTAGCTCCTTTGCAAGTCCTTCCATCCTCTCGAGGGCTGTCCTCTTGATTGATTTTATCTACATCCCTTTCGCCTGCACCGGGGATGGACATCTGGCCTCCCTGGATTCTCCGTGGGCAGATCGAGGAAGCAGGTGACACACAGATCTTGATATGGATCAGCCGTGATGTGGAGAGGTCAATTGGAACGAACATTTTTAGAAAGGTGCGCTAATCCATAACAGGTTAGTCAGCTAAGACCCTGAGCTGCTCAGGGAGCTTGGACCAAGCCATCTTGTCTGCAACCCTCTATGCCCATGACGCAATGCGGACAATGTGCGAGAAACCGTAACTTACGGTAGGGGACTTATCAGACTCCTTGATTAATTGAATGCATCAACTCCTTGGTTCGGGTTTAACTACAGTAGACCACGCAGGTAAGCATGGAAGAACGGAGCCGAATGATGGGTTGACATCACTTAACAGCTCGCACAGTCCTGGAATTTTGCTCCTATTCCACTCTAGGCATGCCGTCTCCGTTTACCTAACGAAGCTTACGGTGACACCTGGGCGCGGATTCCGTCGTACGTACGGAGTAACTAATTATTACTCGTGAGTCCGTTGAAGCATCTGAGATGTCGGGTGGCTGTTCCGAGCTCTCCTACATGCGGGAACCAAGAACACTCTCAGACCGAAGCATGCAGCCCTTCACTCCTATCACCGATCAGGACGGCAAATGAATGGCTTTTAACTAACTAGCACCACGCATACTCAAGATGGTTGTCGACCGACAGAGTCTCAAGATCCGCCGGGAGTAAATTAGACAAAACGGAGTGCACGGGACACTTTGTACAAGCCAAGGTTAACTATACGAATTCGCTGATAGGCCTCTACGCAGCTACAATGCGTGGCTTATTAGGGATAATTTACACTCAAGCTCGTGTCGTGATCTAACCCCCCAGGGTACGACAAAACGGAGAATATGGTCCAGCTATTGTGCGCAATGCCTGCAGCCTTGGCTGTTCGGGGATACACACTGCTGGATAGTGTCCAACTTTTAGTTATCGTCGAGGTAATGAGCAGATGAAACAGCGGGAGTTGAAGATCCGATCGTGGGTAACGGTCAAGATTCTGGAGAGAGCTTCGGTCACTCTTGGCTGAAAGTTCCTGAGTGGTTTGCATATGAGGCGGCGCCAGTGCCGCCACAACCTTCATCGCCTTAGCACGCGCAGTAACACCCAATGTGAGGTGCAATCATAGTGTAGATACTGTAGATATTGTACATAGATAGCTTGGCCCACTGACCGTCAATACTGTCGATCATTTCCAGGCCTGCCGCCATCTTCTCGACCGATGTATCTATTGCTGTACCTTGCAGCCACAAAATACAGGTTTCTCTCAGCACGCTTCTCTGCGCAGGTGACCACATAAGTTTTAGTAACGAAGACAACATAAGCGCCTCCTCGAGCGGCCACTTTGCCGTTTCGGCGGCCGGACGCTGGAGTCAGAGTTCGTCCGCTCCTGAAACGACTTGTAAGTTCATGCCGCTAGGCATTCGAGACAAAAGCGCAGCTAGGCGGAAGACCGACAAGGTCCACCGCGATTGTCAACAGGATAAAGATGCGTCCTGGCCCGCATGCGAGTCCTCCTAGGATAGCGGGAACGGGAGAGCTGCTAAAGGCGGCCGACAAGGGCGGGTTGTCGGGTCGGTCGGGCTCAGTTGGGACTTCCGGTAGTCTGAGGGTCGGGCGGACTGGCGCCGGGCAGGATCGAAAATCTCAACCCGACTGCCATGGAGGTCTCCCAATGTATGCAAATGCAGAGATGGTGTGCAACTCGCTTCGAGTACTTCCTCGAAGGTGAGCGAACCTGTTTCGCCTCCTGTCGGCCGTGGGGGAGCAGCCCAATCGCACGCTCATTGGCAGCGTCGCTCGTTAGGGGAAAATTCCCGGCCAGCGATGATTGGCATGATGATTTCAGAACGGCGGTAACTGCGCACCGGCCCTGATTGGAGAAGTGATGGGAGGCCCCGGGCCAAACTTGGCTGGGGCTGAACCGAAAGATGACGAAAGCAGCCACTGTGCGAATCTTGGCCTGGCAAACAAATTCACGAGGTACGGTGGCTGTGAAACGGAAAACGAGAGTCCCGTACTCGGAATACTCGCCAGCCGCGATGTGAAATGTCGCGATGCAAAATGCAAAGCTTTACACGTGTAGGTGGCCGGGAAACACAGAGAGATTCGGTGCTACACAGTATACGTAGTCTTCCTGTCGCACTTTGTCGCCTTGGGGAGGACCTATCTCCACGTTTTACACAGTACGGATTACCTATCCCAACTGGATAGCCTTTGCTGCCCACGTTGACGAGTCGACCGTCGGTTTTACCTGAAACAATTCGACCACGGCCAACCAGGGCTCGCCATTCCACCAACCCTCGGTCGTAGCCCAGACAGCAGCCCCAGGCCACACCTGGCTCTTACAGCTGGTCAAAAATCGCTCCGTTTAACGGTACCTTACTTATTTAGTAGTACCTATGCAATAGGCGCTGAGCGATTTGAGCCCGCGCAGTCTCGAACCGAGAGTCAAACACTGGTGACCGCAGCAGAAAATGGGCAGACCGAGTTCGCAGCTCACCGTTGATGCTGGCGATATGTGGAGGTGCGCGGGCAGGGGATCGCCGGGGCCAGGGGCAGAAAGCAGGGGGCAGGGGTGATGTGCGAAGCCCTGTCATGCGAGTGCAGGCCGTTCATCCGTCTTGCCCAACAAGTCCCCTTCGTAACGGACCTGCTTTTTCCAGCCATCTGGACGGAGGCACATCATTTCCTGCGCACCATCCACCACAGAGATCAAGCGGCCGGCCTTGACGGTGTGGGTCCAGTCACTGCTGGCCGTTATGGGCTTTCCTTGGCGTTCGACGCTTCTTATTACGAGTTTATGTATGCGTAGGCGAGGTTGTATAGCTCCGAGGGGTCACCCACCTTGGGCAGCAGTCCCATGCATTAAAATATTCTACCCCCCTCAACCTCCCCAGACGCGTCCCTTCATGCCAGTCTTGCTACTATACCACACCGCCATACCTCGCAACATTCCATCTCGTCCAGGAGACTGAGACATTGACTACCGAACCCAAGCTCGGCCGGCGCACCATTACAGTAGTTTCCTCGTCTGGGCACATTTTCTCCCTCGAGACAATGTCTCTTGCATCCCGACCCCTAGCGACGGGGGAGGCAAGCTATCCGATCGACATGACAAATACCGAGGCGCTCGACGACAGCACCGAGTTCCCTCTCACGTCCAGATCAGGAGCGTTCGACGAGCCCATTTTCGACAAGTTCTACGAGGCGGATAATCAGCACACCATGCAGCACACCATGGCACCTAGTCCCAAGCGACTTCGTTCGAGCGACGACGCCCCGGAGCTGCCACCGAGGAGTGCGCTCAGAGCATCGAAAATGCTTGACAATCACGGCCTTGAATTGGGGGTTGCCGTGGAAGCACCCGAGCTGAGCCAAACCCCCACGCCGCATGATGTGTATCTCTCGTCCGAGGAGGACGCCTCGTCAGATGCCGGAGACGTCTCCGACTTTGACTACGATTCGAGTGTCGAAGACCCGACTTCGCCCACGCGGAGGAGCAGCCACGAGGATATGGCCCGCGTGGTGTCGGTGGTATTTGCCGGGAAGCCGTCGATTGTGGATCTGGCAGCCACAAGGAAGCGACCTGTGTCGAGTAGCTCCCAAGGCACGGCTAGGTCACGAGCAAGCAGTGCTTCGTCCGGGAAGCCAACTGCAAGCACGTTGGATTCAATACAAGAGCGGCCGGTTACACCGGCTAGCACCACCTCATCGCAGTATTCGCAACCCCGACCCACACCGAGCCGGAGAAGCTCTCTTCTTTCCGAGATCCTAATCAAGAAGAAGCCGCCGTTCCTCAGCATTGACCCATACGCGAATGGTAGCAGCTACGCGCTCGACATGCCCAAGGCGCTCGACAGCCTCGAGGGTGAGAACAGCTCCGCCAGAACACCGCGGACACCAACGGCGTTGCTCAAGGGCGTGACGAGGTCGTTCAGCCTGGTCCGGAGACGCAGCAGACCCAACCTAAGTTCGCCTCTGACTCCTGTGCCAAGGCTGGACACGGCATTTACGTCGAATCCGAACAGGGCTTCGGTACAGTTACCAGCCCTGGCCCTGCTCCCCGAGGAGCAACAGCAGCAATTCAAGGCGGAGGGTGAACAGCAGCAGCAGCATGACCAAGCACGGAAACTAGAACAACAGCCAAGGACACCCATGACACCAATCACGTATACCGACATCCTTAAGGCAGTCAAGAGAAACGCTACCATGATGGGCGCTGCATCGCCACCTAGCGATATCTTGTCGCCTACATCACCCAATGGTCCGGCTGCGACCACGACAAGGAGGGGGATCCTCAGCGGATTATCCGCCAGGAGGAGGAGCGTCAAGTTGACTGGAAAGACTTAATGGGAGGCAAGATATGGACTTTGCATTCAACGGCGTTCAATTGAGGGTAACAGGGGCGGCTGGATAAGGGAATCCAGCGGCGTTCATCTTTTGGAGAATTGCTAGTATGTGAGCAGAGGAAGGCGGCAAGGGATAATTTCGGCGGGCCCATTGCATAGGACTTCGGATGATGATACCACGGAGAATGATGATCTCAGCTCTTTCTTTGCTCCTTCTGGGCATACTACTAATACTTGGAAGCAATTGAGCGAGCAAACAATGCCGACGTTTCTGCATCCAACGTTTTGCTGCGTGCAGCAAGCACTCATCCGGGACTCAGTTCGAAGTCCAGCTTGTTTCGCCTCCCGTTTCTCATTATGCACAACTTACTCAGGTCCAGCGTGAAGTCTTACCAGTAGAAGGCCGCACTGACAAGATACTTGTTTTACATCGCTTGGATGCCGCGCCGATGAGACCGCATATCCCGGCGTTGCAACGCCCAGCTCCAGAGGTCCGAGTGAGACAGACACATGAAGCAACTATACCCTTTCTTGCCGCATACAGCAGCATGCATTCTTGCTCAAGACAACTTGGTGCTTCTTTTCCATATATTGATTGCTCCGTTTCCTGGGTACCAGCTCCGTCCCGGGTCGCCTGCCAAGGGCAGCGGATGTTTCAAACAACCACCAGCGTCCCTGGGCCGGCTCGAAGCGAAGGGTCACCGTACCGGACCCCGACTTTCGCGATCCCTTCACTTCTGCGGTCGTCTCCGCATCCCTGAGCGCACATGGCTCGAGTCAGAAATCTCGGAATGAGAGTCGATACGATACACTACGCGTCTTGATAACTCATCCCGCGCGCAAGTGGATCTAGCATTTCGCTAACGAGCGATCCATCCCGAAGAACAGCGGATTTCGCGAGCAGATCTCGTCTCGCTTCGCCTCAAGGTTTCTCGCCGCTCCACTCCTATCGCACATCGCGATAGTGTGTGTAACCTTCGACGCAGGTACGGAATCCGAACGGCGACAGCGGGACGAAGACAGTTGCTTCAGGAAGGCGAGCCCTTGCCAACGGAATTGGTCCTTCCAGGGATCGTTCAGAAGTTCAGGAGCTTTACCCCGCCTTCTCAGACACCACTCGATCCCTTTGCATTTCTCACGGCCAAATGTTTGCTCAGACCAATTGCAGAAGCCAAACCACTGCTCCTGAGACATGCTGGGGGTGATGGCCGATCTAGATCTCCAAGAGGTGGCAAATGGCTTGCTCGAAGCCATTGGTCACAGTATGGAATACGTATTCGTCCTCTCTTCCACTTCTTAAACCAACTCGCAACTCCGTATCTCAAGCGGCAGCAGTCCTACTGTGCGGAGTACATGTTCCTTAACGAACAGAACCCGGTACCCACCTCCAAACTGTCTTTACACCGTCGTCCGGTGTATAAAAAGGTGATAGAAATTCCTCCGAGTGCCGAGGTAAGCATAGCTACACTATAAGGAGATGCAAGCGTGCCGCGACTGCGCAGCGACGCACCAGGTCAGATAAGGTTTCGCCGCCGCACCCGCGCATCCCTTGTTGGTCTGCGCCGATGACAAAATCCCACCGACAGGGTGAAAACCCAACAATTTTCTGACGCTACGCTACGTCCCTGGTTCTGTCAAACGCTTTCCCCCTTCACTCCGTCACAGGGATGAGGAGGATGCGCCCGTCCGCACGGGTAGGTTTTGAAACAAAATGCAACGACAAAGATCTGCTCCGCAACGCAGTCTGGACCGGGCAGGGAGGATGCCGGTGACGGCAAGGACGATCGCGGTTTCAGGGGCAGACGGGATCTTTGCACAAGGGTTCGAGTCGGGAGGGATTCGACGAAACGGTGGCTAGACCGGGACTGACACAGCCGTTTTCTTCATGATATTGAGCTTCGGGTACTACTACATACCTACCTTACTAGTAGCCTACACAGTACTACTACCTTAGTACCTATCATCCCTCCCGTCGCGCTGAAAAGCCCATGAAACACACCACAAATGTGTGGTAAAGACCCGACCTTTCCCAATGACCCGCCCGCCCTCTTTGCGCTGTGACGGCCCCGTCCGAGACCCCGAACTCATGCATCAGCGCAAAGCAACCCTATCACTGATCGGTATCATGGGCCGGAGGTTGTCCTTTTGACGCCAGCCTACGGGGCCGGCCCTTTGACTACACATAGGAGCCCAAACAATGGTGACCGAACACGATGCCAGATCTATCTATTGCATGCAAGAGCGTGGCACGGAGCCAATACATGGGAAAAAAAAACAGAAAATAAGCAGCGCCCGAGCTTGTTGGCCGTCAATGCATAATGCCGGCCCCCAATCACACCGAGGGCCAAAGCTGACTACCGGCCCGCCATGTGGACCTAGGTGCCCGGGCCCGGGCGCCGAAACAATATTGGGTCCCGTTCGATCCGGGCCCGATGCGACCCGGCGGCCGGCCGGCCAAGGGTCGAGATCTGCCAAATAGGTGCACAAGCCCGCCCGCCCAACCTAGGTAGGTAATTAAGGTACGGTAGTTACCATTTATGCGCAGCCTAGTTTTGCGAAAACACGAAGCTAGCTGGAGAACAGGGCTAGACACTCACCATGGTGTTGTCCTAATATTTCCGTTCAGGAGGAAGGTTGATTCATCAAGCTATGGACATGAAACGAAGTCGCCTGTATACAGGACAAGCGGACCAAGTGAGAGGTATGTTATGTACTAATCCCTCCCAGATCTGCAATCATATATCTACCAGCCACCCGTGGCTCAAATCAAGGCAGGCACTGGCTATAGTATTGGTTCTGCGCCTTGCAGGTGCCCTGCGCACAGGTAGTCGGCCCGCTGTATCCCGAGCCGCCGCACTGTCCGTAGAGAGGAACCGACCCGCTCCCTCCGGTAGGGGTCGGGTTGGACGAGCCGCCGTCGTCGACGGCGGAGTGCCCGGGTTGGACCCGCCTCCGTTGCCACCGGAGCAGGCGATGGGGTCCGGGCCGGGGATGGGGTAGGGCTTGCCGCCGTTGTCTGCGACACCGCCCGTGCCGTAGATGTTGAGGACGATGCCCGGGTCGTTGGCCGGGTAGGCGCCGGGGAAGCTGACCAGGTTGGCGCCGCCCGTGTTGGAGCCGGAGCCCGTGACCTCGATCTGGGCGCACTCCATGTAGAACTGCGCGCCGCCCGCGCTGTAGGCGCTGTGCAGCGCCAGCAGCTCCACGCGCATCAGGTACTGGCCCGGCGCCACGCACGACGGCATGTCGAAGTAGTGCCAGCCGTTGTTCGCGATCATCTCGTCGACCGCCCACACGCCGTTATTCAGCCCGCGCTCGGCGATCTTGAACCATTTCAGGCCGGACGTCGCCGTGGTGGCGGCGTTGTCGACCTTGGCGAGGTAGACTTGAATGGGGCCTGGGTTGTTCATATGAGCAAATATGCTACTTCACTTTTCTTCTTCATTTTTTCTTCTTTTTCCTTTTTTCCTTTCTTTCTTTTTCTTATGAGGTTGGAAGAACATACATACCCTTGTGAGATTTGGCGATCGGGTGATCAGGGTCGTTGGGCCCAGAGGCGCCCCCGATCTCGTGGCCCCACCATGCGCCGACTCTGGCGCCTGCCGGGATCTTGATGACGGTGTTGTCCTTGTACACGATGTTGGTGTTGCAGGCGAAGTCGCGGTGGTTGAGGTCCGTGATGGGGAAGTTGCTGGACGGAGCGCGCACTCCCTTCAGCTGCCCCTGATCGACGCCGTTGACCGAGACTTTCTGGAAGATGGCGTGTGCGCTGACCGACGCCGCCGAAGTCGCCAGGGCGACGAGAGTGAAGGCCTTCATTCTGGATGCCGGTGTCCTTCCGAGTGGGCAAGTGGGCAACAGCTGGTTTGAGGGAGTGTCGCTTGCCTTGGACGCAGCAGCCAGGCTCACGGTTTTCTGTCCGGGCCGGGCCAAAGCGTCCCCTCTTATACTCTGTACCCCGTCCTTGAGCCCTTGATACCCTTCTCCTGGGGTTGCATCGCCGTGAGGCTACCGGCTGCCATCTCGCCATCCCTCCGGGCTTTGCAACTTCTCAAATAGGACGCGGAGGTTGTTGGTAGTCTCCTTGCCGAAAAGCACACTGGATCGTCTTGGCGCTCCCCTCCCCTTTCCTAGGTAACCATTGAGCGATGCCATCTCAGGCTAGGAGAAGCGCCTTGTGGATGCCGGTCTCGCCATCCTGCCATGCAAACCCGCCTGGATTCCCTGGATTTTGCCTGTTTGGTAACCAGGAAACCGGGTTCGATGAGATTCTCAGCAGCCGCAAGAGATCCAAGGCGCCCGACGCTGGCGTGGTACTGCCAAGGCTATCGATATTATCCTGTGGGACGGCATCGGCCCGGACTCCGGTAAGGTGAATCCGACGGCTCATGTCGCATGGTCATCCGTTCCAGTCAGCGCCTTGGAAGCGACATCTCGGTAGTAGTGTGTTTCTGATCGGCGGCAACCTCCGGGTTCAACCTGGCCAGTATGCATGTATGTATGTACAATACAATAGGTGATATGATGGTCGCTCATCAATGGGGTCCACCAGATATTGTTACATCGACATGGTGTTGTATCGCGGATGTTGGATATCTTTCCTTTGGCTGTTCCCCGTGCTGCGATGGTGCTTCCATCGGATGCTGTGCAGTAAACTAGTACGTATGTCAGTCGGTTAACAAGACGGCCTCGACGGCCACGTGGAGAGAGGCTCACAGATACACTAGTTAGAGGCTGGAAAGACGATCCGAGTCCCTGGCAACGGGCCGGATTGTCCCACTTCTATTGCACAGCAAAGCTCATTGCCCGGCCTTCGCTGATTTCGGTATCGTCCAGTGTTGCGCACGACGATCATTCGCAATGCTCCGCCACCACGTCGACCAACGATTCGAGTATCTAACCGGTGGGACAGTGGGACGTCGCGAGGATCCCATCACTGCATGCCGGGGCTTCACCCCTTGCCATGTTCAACTGAATGCTATTAGAACTGCTTATGGTGCGTGCCGCGCTTGTATCCGCTCAGGCCAGTAGTACAGGACAAAAATATACACATAAAAGAAACAGAAACAGGAAACCGAACGTCCCGAAAGCGGGTTGGAGGGCAGTCCCGCTGGGCGAACTGCTGCTCCCATCCGATAGACCCGGCTTGGGGGCCCCTCCTTCTTCCCACTCCGGCGAGAAACCGAGCTGCCGCTGTCCGTGATGCCAATGTCCTATTCAAGCCATCCATCATTATAACACGCGCCGTGGACCGCCGTCATCGTGTAACCACGCCCTTCCATGTTAGCCACCCTGAACAGCGCTGGCCCCCCGGATGGATCGTCCCGTATGTTTGTCATAAAACCCCGAGCCCCGCTGAAATGACTTTCCCCGCGTCTAACTCCGTATATGAAGGATACCGAGATGCCCATATTATGTTACTGAGGAGATCGCGCCTAACCTTCCCAAAGGCATGTGGACTATCCGCCGCCGGGCGCGTACAAACTCTCAATAGTATCCTAACCTGTGATGCCCTGCGCCTGTCAGAAGACGCGCTCTCGCTGGCAGTACCGATGGCCAAGATTGGTGCCTCATAGCATCTTCTGAAGCAGCCCGCCGCCTAAAGTGATCGCGGCATGCTTCGCATTGATCGCTAGCTTAGGCTCTGCGGGACCTAGTTGCAGTGCCGTTTGTCTTGACACCAGACGCCTTCGCATCACCATTGGCCGTCTTGCTTTCGAGTATGTGGTGCGGGTCAGGAAGCGGGGCTTGGCTCATCCTCCGCAGACTCTTGCGCCCGCTAGGCCGCTTGCCATCCTTCCTATATGTGGCGAGGTAGAACGAGATGAAGAGGAAGAGGTACGAGCTGAGGATAGCAATGCCGGAGAAGGCGGCGAACTCCTCACCAGCACACTTGCCAGCATTCGGCATCCATGGCCAGTAGGTCGACGTGAAGTATGTGTATGAGGCGAAGTACACAAAGCCTTTGCCAGGATTAGCGATAGGCCAAGCCGGTTACGGATCCCGATCTGCTTACCGAGGTCGATAACGAACTGGATGATCTGAAGGCGGGTGATCCATTCCTTCCACCAGATCCTGATGCCGCGCGCGCTCTGGAAGTAGTACCAGTACATGACCACGTGCACCGTTAAGTTCAGCGTGATGGGAACCCATGATACCGACGTCGACCCAATCAGTTGCGTGTAGCACAGGAGGGCCGTCGCGCCGTGGTGGTAGCAGTGCAGGAAGGTCAGGGGCTTCTTCTTGAGGAAGAGGAAGCAGGTATCCAGAAGTTCCAGGTACTTTGTAAGGTAGTTCAACTAAAGCCGGCGTCAGCACCATGCAACTTCTGATAGCCCAGCAAAACCGGTACTAACGTAGTAGAGAACCACCAGGGGCTGGGTCCAGCCGCCATCCGCGTCGCAGATGGCATGAAAGATCCCACCGCGGACGACAGTGGGCAGGATCTGCTCAACGAAGAGCGCCAGGAGGATGGCGCTGATCGCGGTGAGATAAAAGTTGTGGACCAGGAAGAGCGTGCGCAGCTTGAAGGGTTCCCGGTTGCGCATCAACTCCCTGCCGCCAAAGATGACTGTGTAGTAGAAGACGATGAAGATGCCCGTCTCCTTGAGTGTCGACATGGGCGTTACGCCGGGCTGGAACCTGAAGTCTTCGGCCGGATAGCCGACAACGTACTCGAAGGCCTTGCTGAAGTAGGGCCATAACTCGATGCCGAACGGCCGGTCCAGGGTGGGGACCGGCAGTTTGTCGAAGAGTGCTACAGGAGACGCGGACGCCATTGTGACGGGCTATTAATGCTGTGCGCACCCATTGAGTCAGTATCTGCATGTATGTCGCGGTCACAGGAAAGCGTGGATGTCTCGTGTGAATGTCTACACCTTGGGGAAGAACCTACCTAACGATGCAGCACCTGACGCGCGGCACGTCGAGAAGCGATGATGATGGATATTAACGTAACCCGAAGCAACCGCCAAAGAAAGTAGTTAATAGCGACGGCTGAGAGAAAGACCCAAAAAGAAGAGAAGTCAGATTGAGCCAGACACCCTCGCAGCCGGAAACCTTGACACGAGAGACCTGCGGAGAGTGGTCAACGGAAGGAGGATTGCGCAGTGAGAGGATCGCGATTCCAGAGTTTGCGGGACAGGAAACCAAATATTTTCAGCAAGTCCGACCCAAAAAAGGAGACAAGCCTCGCTCTCATTTCCTGGTCCTGCATGTGAAGTTTCCCGCCCAATCAGCGTGCCGTCCTCCGCGGTGTTAAGATCTGCCCCCACACCGCGAACCCCGGCCTCTCCGATCTCTTTCTCCCGAAGTTTTGACCGGGACTTCAATATCTGTACCATCCATGGGGCCGAGTTACACAGTATAAGCGTTACAAGTCTACCTCTAGTCCTCTACATGTGAGATATGGTACCTTGAGAGTTTGCTTTCCATAACACTTCACTCTCATGAACAGCCTAAGGAGAGTTAGGCGCATTTTGGGTGAAGCTTCCTTCAACCCCTTTTTGCGGAGCGGACGGCTCAGCTCGTCTCGTGTGCCTCCATTCTCAACCGGTAATTGGCCAATTGCGCAAATCCATCACTCGGCACAGCCGGTTAGACGTGGCTCGGGCGTTGCCGTAGGATATCAACCGTAGCTTTCGGCGTTCCGAAGGCCGATGATACCTAGTCACCGCCCGGGCTCCGCGGCCCCGTCTTATGGCCACGTCGTAGCAATGACGGACGGAGCACAGGCACGACCTCAAGACCAGTTTAAATGTCGTCTTTCAAGTCATTCATCTCCAAGCGAGATCTATCACTGGTTCAAGCATGGAGAGTTCACTCATATTGAATCTAGGACTCAGCCTTCGTCACGATAGATTTCTGGTCTCGCCCAGACTATATATGCCGGTACCAAGCCGTTCTTTGAGTGCAGCAATCGTCCATATTGAACTGCCTGATTACCTAAGCCCCATCACTATGGGCAGCCGCAGCAGAGCGGGAACTGCTGTCAATGCGTCGCATCTCATTGGCGGGGTCACCAGGCACGCCTTAGCAACTAAGCGAGCAGCGAGGCACGCATAGCCGAAAGATCATTCGATGCGGATATCCGTTACTGCCAGGATCAACATCAGACGCACACTGACCTTGACTGTACCGAATTCAATTGCCAGACCAAGCTCCTGTTGAGCTCCCTGCTCCGCCAATTGCCCGACTCACGACTCCTCCGCCTCGGGACTCTTAATTTATTTTCCAGTCCCTCAAAATGTCGGCTTCCCTGCTCCGCTTCGCCGCTCGCGGCCCCTCCAGTTTCCTGCGTGCCAACCTTGTCGCTGCCCGGCCGCAACCTATGGCCGCGCGCGCCGGCCTTGTCAGCCTGCCGACCAACAGCTTCAGCACATCGAGCCGCATGCGCTCCGAGCACCAGGAGGAGACTTTCGAGGAGTTCACCGCTCGGTAAGTCGACCGCCGGCGATTCAGGTGTCGCGGTTCGGAAGCGAATCAAAGCTTTCCCGAGCTCCGCTGCTAGCTCTCGATCTCATGATCCTACTCGTTGCGATCCACCCGGCCCAACATCGCCCACGCCCAACCTGGACTGAGCCGATTCCTGACGACCGAGCTTTGGATAGGTACGAGAAGGAGTTCGACAACGTTCAGGACGTCTTCGAGCTCCAGGTATGCCGCTCTCGAACCATGTTGCTGTCCGTCGATTGCTCCGCTGACCCCAACTTTTCTCTCCCTAGCGCAACCTGAACAACGCCTTCGCCTACGATCTCGTCCCATCCCCTTCCGTCGTCTCTGCTGCTCTTAGGGCCGCGCGGAGAGTCAACGACTTCCCGACCGCCGTCCGGATCTTCGAGGGTACGAACCAGCGCATGCGGGATTATCCATATTTTCAACTACACAGGCGACCTAGGACGCTGACTGATATCCGCGAATAGGTATCAAGGCTAAGGTCGAGAACAAGGGTCAGTACGAGCAGTATCTCCAGGAGCTCAAGCCCCTGCGCGAGGAGCTGGGCATCGTGCTCAAGGAGGATCTGTACCCGGAGGAGGCCAACTAAGTCTATCAAACTCCTGCGTACCGGGAAAAGTCCGTCCCACCGCGCCGTGGTTACCGTAGTCGACTACATCCTGTCAGGGCGTAGGGGCACCGCCAAATCGACCTGTATTTTTTCTACTACTGCTAGACCTCCACCTGTTGCACATCTACCTGGGATGACACCGGCACGTCAGTGTGAAAGTTGGAGTGAAAAAGTGCTAGAGCTGAGTTGGTCAGGGGTAGGGGAGCTTTGATGTAAGAAGCTGAGGACTGAAAAGCGAACATATGTTCCATTTCTTACACATTGTCAGTTGATGGTTGAGGTGAAACCCCTGTTGCTCTCACTCACTCATGCACATCGTAGGATCAAATGTGTCTGAGCACTTGTTCGTTACCGCCCGACCCAGCCTGACACAGCTCCTCTGCTACAGCATTGCTACCAATATACCAGAAAAAGCTTTGCCTACTGTCAAAAGAGTGGGAGCGAGAAAAACCAAGGACACATAACCTGCTTCTCAGGAATGAGAACCAGGAAACCATGCTCTCCTCCCATTTCTCAGACACAGCGGTTGTCACCACACAGCATCACCCATCGCATCCCTCAAACAAGGTATACTCATGCATTTCTGATATGCATGTATCCTATTCGCATACAAACACGCTGCAGCTCCTGTGGTCAGCTCCCCAAGCTGCCAACTAGTCAGCAAACCTTGTCCAAGGCCCCGAAGGCATCGTCCTCTTCCCTCTCTGCCAAGGTGACCATGATACTCTGGAATTCCCAATGCTATGCCCCATGCAATTGAATCCCAGAACTTTCCATACCCGTCTCCGAGCGCCGTCGCGCCTATAACCAGGCGAACATACAGAGAGAAAAAGGAGGAGCGGAAGTTGGAAAGATGCAAGAAAAACCGCGATGAACATGCGGTCAAGGGCCGCGTGCGGACCCCTATAGACTTGCTGCCGCTATTCCCGCCGGCCATGCTGAGTCCGACGAGCCGGCCGCTCCCGGGCCGCGCGCCTCCTCCTGCGAGGGGTCGGCGTCCCGGGACTGCTGCTCGGCAACGAGTACACGTCCCCTGAGCTGGGTGTCGTTTCTGTGCTCGAGCCGGGCGACACACTGTTGCTGGCACCCCTTCGGTGCTCCTAATCCCGGAGGTGATTCCAGCGGCCACCATTGTTGCTGACAGCATAGGGGAAGAAGCTCGAGGCCAGGTTCGGCATGCCCGGCGCAGCGGCACCGGTGGGCCCGTCCGAACTGATGAGCGGCGCGGGGCTGGTGCCTCGGCTGCCTGCACCCCCGATAACACGGCCCGGCCGGGGACTCATGACGCCCAGCCGTGGACTGCGAGGAACGCTACCCTGTCGTGTCTCACGGCGGCCGTTTCTGATGACCTTCAGTTCTTCCTTGGCGCGTTCCAACTCACGCTCGCGGTCGTCCAGCATCGCTCGCAGCTCGTCAACTTGCCGGTTGACCTCGGCCATCTCGTTCTGCGCCTGGATTTGGTGGATCTTGAGCAGATTCTCACCGGCCCGTCTCTCGAGTTCGCCAATCTTGCTCCTCAACTCCTGGGTCTCCCTGTTGAGCTCGGAATGCGCGTGGGAAGCATCCTGGTACGCCTTGCGGCTGTATTCAGCCTCCTTTTCGGCTAGCCGGACCTTCTTCTCCAGCTTCTCTACTGTAGCGACGGCTTCCGCACGCTGGATCTCGGCCTGAGCGAGCTTCGCGACTTCGGGGACGCTGGACTTCTCCAGCATGGCGTTGGTTTCCGCAACCTTTGACTCTAAGAGCTTGTTCTTCTCTTTTAGGGCCTCTATCTCAGCCTTCTGAGCCTCGAAACGTTCCGTCGCGGCATTTGCCTTGTCGACAGCCGCCTTGCACTCCTTTTCGAAGTTCGCTCGATCCCGAATAGCATCCTTAAACTTCGGCTGGAGCGACTGGACGGTTCGCACGTGAGATTGGAGCTGTGACTCGAGACTCGAGACTTGTTCCCGCAGCTTTGCCTCTACGGTACTTTGTGTCGTGAGGCGGCCTTCCAGCTCAGCGATCTAACCATTGGTGATGTCAGCATTGAGACCTGGGTACTGCAGAGCGATCTTTTTTCCTTACCCTTTCTGCCATTCGCTCGAGTTGTTCTACAGGCACTTGAATGACTTGCGTAGTCTTGCCATCAACCGGATGGATATCGAGGGTCATCTTGAGCAGGTCACTCATCCGTGCCGGTGTCGTGTTCCGGGAAGGTTGTTGTGACTCCAAGAGAAGCTTTGGACGTTTCGGGATCCCCTCTGCGGCATGGTCCTTCAACCACATTGTCAGTACGCTATTCTAATCCGATATCACAAGGGCCTTACCAGATGACGTTTCCGAGACACGGAACCGGTCAAAACATCTGCCTGATGGGTGTGTTCCTGAAAGTCTTGTGTGCGCTCTTGCGAACTCAGCCAGATCTCAAAAATATCAGCAGGCAGTGGGTGAGGCTCCCAGTCCAGGCCATTCTCGGGGTTTCTCAAAAAGTCGGCAAAAGTTTTGGCCGCTTCGTGCGGCTCGGGGTACCGCCTTACTGCCGGATCTCTCAGATACTTCACTGCGGCGGCAGTTGCCAGGTTGAGCGCATTCTTCCTTTCCAAGACATCCAGATCTTGCTCGACCTCGAGGAGTTGCTGATCGATATGCTCCAGCGAATACGTGGCGACCAGCGAAAGAACAATGGGTGCCATACTCTCATAGGCCAATGTTGCTGGGAGCTCAACGGATCTAGCAGCCTGGTCAAATGCGATTACGACATCAACCCCTCCCTGTACTTTGGAAAGGTCCTGACCCGCCACGGCCAAAATGACCGACGCTCCATCTGTAGGCTGTCCCGAGCCCTCGTTCCCTAAGATGGAGTACGTGAGATTCGCGGCCGAGACGACCGCTTCGATGTAGTCAAAGACGCGGCCGGGCTGAGAAAGAATCAGGGCACGGGCGTTGATATCCCACAATCCGCTTAAAAATTCGTAGACGAACGAGAACTTGCTGTTTGAGTTCGTAGCATGCTTCATCATGTCGTCCTTGTTCAATTGCGGAAGGGAGTCATCGTACGCAGGGAGATCGCAGAGATTCAGCAGCCGCTCGAAAATAGCGTCCATCTTCGCCACCAGCGAGGCATCGGGAACGCTCGAGTCTGAGTTGGCAAAGATGTCGCCAAATTTGATCATAGTCGCCCTATTGACCTTGATGGCATCGAGGTAGATGGCCCGGGTGTTCGCAGCCATTGGCAGGGTCACGGTGAAATGCCTACCAAGGCTATCGTCTTCTTGCTCGTCGCCGTCGACATCCGGGCGCACTTGAGGGGGTTCGACGCCGGCGGAGATGGGGCTGACACGCTCTTGACCGGTAGTGAAGAGTTGCGGGGCCTCTGTCGATACACCATCGTCAGGGCCTGATATGTGTTCAATCGAGGTAGTCAAGTCCGCCGGTGCTACCGTGGCTGGTGGGTGTTCAAACGCTATGCTGTGACCACCCATGACAACGTTTTCATCGTGGATGCTGATATTTGTTCCAACGGCCTGGTTTAGATCTCCAGCTGCTGATGGAGGTTGTTCCCGAGCTGGAAAGCCTGCTGGGGACGGGCAGATAGGGTCATCTGATTTAGAATCTGTGGATGTAGCTAGGTCAGGGGCTGTGCCAAGCATCTCCGCCTGTAATTGGCGTATCATGTCGACCGCGGAGAGCGGAGTGTGCATCGTGGAGCTGTCCATCTTCTGATTTTGCGGAGTGGACAGAAGAGGTGCGTTATTTCTCTTCGGCGCCGGGGTCGAAAGACGTGAAGAAGTGCTCTCCGGACGGTTGAACCCCAACTCCTCACCCTCTCTTCCCCGTGGACTGCGCTCGCCTGGGTTGGAATGTCGATCAGTTGACCTTCCCCTAGGCGCCTTTTGGACGGTGTCGGGAATGGTTTGTTCGCCTGGGGATCCGACGACCACAGAGACTTGGGTGAGAAAACCCCCCGGGTTACTCTCAGGCAAGAGAATCCTTTGAGCAGCTTGAGAATGAGAGTGAGACTCCCGTACGCTGGGGAGAGAATGACTTCCAGGCACAGTCAAGTCTTCCGGGCTCTGTTCTTGCTCCTTGTGAGGGTCTCCGGTCTGGGTCTCGTTGCTCAAAAGTACTTCTCCCGTATGGGAAGACTCGAGCTCGCCCAAGGAAACCGGTGGCTCGTACTCTGGCTGGGTAAGGAAGCCTTCGCCCCAAGAACTCTCTTCCGGCTGCTCTAGCGTGGAGCTCGGTGCGCAAAGACCGGTGGAATGTGCTGAATCGTGATCTACTGCTTCAGGTTGGCGAGACGGTATGTCCAAGTCGGAGCGACTTGTCTGGACCTCCTTGTCTGAGGCCGGCCGTTCCTGGTCCAATTCCTCCTGTGCAGCACCAACGTCAATAAGATCGGTAGTGGGTCCAGCCGTAGATTGTGTGTGCAAAGAATCGGAACCTTGGGAATCGGGAATCGTCCTCTGGCTGATTCGGCCACCGGCTTGTAGGTTGTCCTCGCCGTTCTGGGCAGTGACATACGAGGAATTCGCTTGCAACGATGGCGCGGATTTGGGCAAGCTGACTATTCGATACTCTGACCTGTTGAAATCAGGGACGGCTGGGATCTCGCAGATAATCTCACTTGTCTTCCGCGGAATCGACTGCACCGACGCCCAGCTGCCTTCACCGGCGCCGCCTGTGTCGGGACTGGATGTGTAGCCCGAGTCAACGGACTCCCTGGATCGTTTCTGCGGGCTCTCCTCTCCTTCAGTCGCCGGGAGACTCCTGCGACGCTTTGCTCTTTCGCTTGTGGTTAGCACAGGTTGAGGGTCGCTTTCGGTGGCGCCACTGGAACTCTCAGGCTCGAGGCCTTGTCGTCGGCGCTTCTCTCTCTCCCAATCGGCAACTGCGACTGCTGATACGTATTCTGCTGGCTCCTGTCGAGGGGCAACAATGCGATTAGGCGGAGGCAAGGTGGCTACAACAGCAGGGCAGGAACACATACCCAACTGGGCGGGTAGGGCTCGCCGGTGATGGGATTATCTGCCCAATCGATTTTGTAGTGTAATTTGCCCTTGAAAACCTTCTCGTCGATGATGTCCCGAACTTCGTATACGGGCGACTCTCGGGCTGCCGATTTTCGGCGTTTTGACTTGGTCGATTTCGAGGCCCGAGATGGCATTGACGCGGCGTCCGCTGCAGATGGGAAAGTGACCGTGCCGTGCCCGGAAAACTGCCCCGCAGGCTATACAGCCCTTCCAGCAGTCAGAGTGGCGAGCGCGCGGGAAACGCAACGGTCCGGGCGCGCTTCGAGCTTGAGGGTCGGCTCTTGGGCGAGCGATGTTAGCCTCGAGTTTCCCTTTGTAGCCGGAAGCACTGACACTGGCTCGGCCTCGCATGAGTCGCATCACCCCACCAACGCAACTTACCGCCAATTGATTGGCCAGCCTGCTGTTTAAGAAGTCGCGAAACGGCTAATAAGGGGCGGGCGACACTCAGCCTTGTGAAACAAGCTTCTCTCAGACCAAACTGAACTGCTGGGATTGGCGGGATGCGCAAAGGTAGTGTAATTCTTATGATGGAAGTCCGACCGGACGACGAGTAAGTCGTAGTTTGATAGTTCAACCTAAGAAATCAGTGGAGCTGATGTTTCGCATTGTCTCAAATCCCAAGCATATTTTTCGCGGTGGGAGGAAACCACAAGTTACACAGTTTCTGCGCACTCTTATTCAGAGGCAAGAACAATAGTAACTCCCCGCTTTGAGTGAACTCTCGATGGGGGCTCTTCCGTTCGCCTATCGTTCTACCTCGCAAGCGATTGTTGTAGTTGGTCCGCCCTTGAGTGATTCAATTCTCGGAGTGGCAGAGGACGTGGAACGCAGCAGCGCCTGCCGTATACATGGCATAAATCACAACCAAAGATCTCAGTGTGTTAGGGTAGAGATCAGTTGACATTCACCAGGCCATTACCCTAAGCATACTCGCTCCTGCTTTTCACCTGCCGGGCTTGAATACCTCATTCATTCACCACAGGCATATAACTACTCTCCCAAGGCATAGCCTCCCTTCCATCGAGAACCAAAAAACCGTTCGATCTACGTAATCTGATGCATTGCCAATCTAAATGCCTCAAGTGTGCGATGCTCGATGCAAACGGAAAGAAAACTTGCCGAGAAAGCGGGACAGAACGACGAATGAATCGTCCTCGGCATGCCGTTCAAAACAGAATGCCACGATTCAAAGCCAAAGAACCTCCAGTCGACCCTCTCCGTCAAGGGGCACATCAATATTTCCTTCGCTTTGCTTCGTGAACTGTAATCTGCCCCCTGCCAACCCCTACGACCCAGTCTCCGAGTCTTTCTCACACTTTCCTTCCCGTAAAGCTAGGTACAAGCTGAGGAAGAATATCAAACAACTGTGCCATGGCGCACCGCTATAGCACACCGCGTGAAACTAGGTTTCGAGGATATCCTTCTCCTCCTCCGTCGGCAACGCGGGTGTCGTATGAGTGGGAATGTCTTCGCCTTTCTCGAATGCGAGGCCGGGGCCCTGATAACTCGCGACGTCCCGGGGCTCAGTCGCCGTGGTCGCAACCTGCCGTGACGGAACAACATCAGGGGCAGTTTCCAAGATCTTATTGACAGGACTTGCCGTTGTGTGTGGTTTGACCGGCTTGGGGCTGACCACAGGTACCTGAGGAGCAACATAGGTCGGAGACCGGGCGTCATCGGATCCGAAGGGCAGGGGGCGAGAGGGGAGCTCTCGATCTGCCTGAGCCGTTCCGTCACCCAGCCTTTGGAGCAGCACCTCAGACTGCTCCCTGGCCAGCTTCTGCAGCTGGGCCGCAGGATCCTTGTGGTAGTGAAGGACGTTAGCCAAATCACAGAGAGAGTCTGCAGGATCTCACCGGGGTTCCATGCACACATACCCATTCAGACTGCGCGGGCACCCCTTCGGCGGCCGGCAGCTGTTCGTCGTCATTCTGGGCGCTCCCGCCGGAGCTGGTGGCGGAGCCATTACTGCCCCAGCGTCTCGGCCTCCGAACCGGCGCGGGAGTGACCGGCAGGCTCGGCCGTTCGTCCTCGCCGGGGAAGTCGGTGACCTTGGAGCCTCGCCTCGACCCGTCCAAGTCCAAGCTCTCGGGAAGGGTCTTTCCGCCACCCGAGGCCGTATTTCGGCTGCGCGTACGGCGATGCTTCTGAATCGTGTCGACGTACCGGTTGATTTCGGGCACGGTATCCCAAGCATTAGTCCGCGGGAATGAGGACCAGATGCCCGAGGGAGCCGAGAGCGCAGTACGGGAGGTCGGACCTGGTGGCGTCTCTTGCTCGGCTGACGCGCCGAAATCACGCGAGTCTGTCGACGTCGTGGGCTTCTCAGGGGCGCTGGGTGCCCGCTCGGAGTGCGGAAAGACCCGAGTCGGCTGCGGCTTGTGAGTCTCCCAAGGGAAAATCGGCTTGGGCCTCTCAGTGAGGTGCGCCGGAGGCTCATTTGGCACTTGGTACCACATGTTCTTAGGAGGGCTTGGATAGCGCTCCGGAGGAACGAATGGAGCAGGGTCCGATGACATTTCGTACTGCGTGTGGGGGAAGTTCATCGCTTCAGGCTTGGAGCCCGACGGCGGGGAGTGTCTGACACGTCTAGTTAGCTTTCAGGTGCTGCTTGCACTGTTGACGCAACGACCAACCGTTGAGCATCCCAGCTTGGCGCCGTCTCATGGTGAAGCTGGGGCTGGGGCTTGCGCTCCGAATGCGACGAACTTGCAGGTTCGCCGACAGGGACTACGTAACTGATCGTCGGTTGGTATTCGCCCTTTACGAAATACTGCACAATCTCTGGAGCAGTTCTCTCCCCTGGTTTTGTCTACAGGAACAAGATCAGCAGTAACTCTTCGTCAAGCCTGTGCGTTCGACGTACCTCGTTTCGGTAGTGTCGGTCATAGACAGCCCACCACCTGCCAACCATCTGGTCGAACGGTGAGCCCCCGGCGGTCCTGTCTCTGCCCTGTATCCACGGTTTGTCTGGGCCAATGAAGTGTACCATGCTTATGCTCGATTGAAAGTGGCTGTAGGCGGGTAGGTACTGGTAGTGAGCCGAAGGGGTGACGTTGTAGCTGAAACTGAGGCGGTTGAAGTTGTCCTTGTAATACATATTCAGGAGGCCCTGGTCGGCCCCGTCAAACGAGATGCCCCTCTGGGCCATGGCCATCATTGCGTAGTAGTCGCCCATGTTCGGGGTCAAGACCATGAGACCAGTGTTGAACAGATCCGGCCAGCCAATGTCGGGTGCCGCCGAGAAGGCATGGTCAAGGTTGAAGAGCTCATCGGGCGCTCGGAAGGCCACGATGTCGGCATCCACATAGACGATCTTGCGGAACTGTGTCTGCTTCCATAGGTTGATCTTGGTGAAGGCCGAGTGCAAGTCCGGGCGGTTCATGAGATCAAGATTTGCAGGATGCTCATTTTGGATACGGGGGACCGGAATGATGTAGTCATACACAGTCTGGGGAGAGTTGTCAGTTGGACGCCCCGGGTGAGCTGGTGAATTGCCGAGTGAGCTTACCCTAAGCTGCGTAACCACATTGGCGGACACCGTGTCGAGGGTGACCAGGATCGCCAACTTTTTGGTGGTGCCACCATCGCGGAGTGAGTGTGCTAGCACAAGGGCACCTAAAGTGGGCTATGTCAGCAACCATGTCTGCGACATGTCTAGCAACCGGTAATTCGAACTCACCGGGAAGATAGGTGTCTGTCAGAAGAAGCTATTCATGGATCTGTTTAGCATTCTCGTGCGATCCAGGGTTGAGGCGCAGGGTTGGGAGCTCCCGTCGTGGTCTGACATCCAAGGGCGACGCGGCAGCCCATGTCAAGGTTATTAGGCACTCGCACTTACACTCGCATACACATCCTCTCCCCCTTGTTCGGCCATTATGTCGGTGTACAGAAACAGTTCTGCACTGGTGTCGTCGGAGCAAAGCCACGCAGAAGAACGCAGAGGGGGGAGGCACTGAGATGCTCAGATGAGATTCCGGCAGAGCCAAGGCAAGGGGAATCTGAGTCTAGGAAGGAACAATCAACAGAAGGGAGAAGCTGGCAAGCAGGGGACTGGCAAGGTAAAGTAACGTGGAGGAATCGATGCCCGAAATGAAAGAAGTTTGTGCCGCCCGCTAATCAACGCATGGCTGCCCATTGAACGTGACCCTGGTCGCAGCTCATCACTGTTTACACTGCACAGGTCCGTATCAGAAAAGAGCCATCGAACTTTTCCATGTAACGATAATCGCGAAGTGCAGGGTTTGTACAACAGGAGCCAATTGCAAGAAAGCGGGAGCACCCAGAATCCAGATCGAGTTCCCTGCGGCGACACCTCCCGTGTGTCCGTCCCTGCTCGCAGCATGCAAGACGGGGACCTCACAATCAGACTAGGTACGCATGCAGCCGAACGTAACTCGTAGGGTGCAGTGTCACAAGAGCATTGCCATGTGAGCGTCCATCGTGAAATGGCCGGCTTTGTGCAGGTTGTTTTGCAAGGCGCTCCTCTGCCGCTCTGCTAGAGGGTACTAGAAGTGAGACGGAGAGCTTAACTATCGTTTGCCAAGTTTCACCGCTAACGTAGGTCTCTCGAAGTGGTTATTTCACCTCAGACAGCCAAACAGGGCGTACCCACCACTGCGAAAGCCACAGATGGTCCTTGATGTGAGGCCCCGAAGCTAGCTGCCACGTCTACCTTCGTTATGTCCAGGGCCTCACTGCCTCATAACCTCCATGAGCCACTGCAGAAAGACACTGCGGGCAACAGATTGTCTACCGGAGCTTTGCAGACGCGCTGCCCCACAGTTGGGTAACCTGAGCGCCTCGGCCTAGGTAGTGGGGCCTCAGATGCGCAGGGGTGGGGCCATTGCATCATGCCTCATGTGGACCTGCTCCGTGATAGCCCAGCAAGCCCAGCAGTTAAGCCCACATGTTCCAGGTTCGGCGCAACGGCGTTCGTCTGTGTGCTTATCGATAAGACGCTGCCTTATATCTTGGCGCTTCCCAACCACCACCAACTGCATACCTACCTGAGGTACTGCGTACTTACACCTCATTGATACCACACAGTAACGTTGTGAGGACAGCTGCCTGATGTGACCACTCAATTTAGTGTTGCGGAGCGACTCGAGAATGGGGATTGTGACCCCAGGTTCACATCTCTGCCTCCGCCTTCGTAACAGGCCCGGTACCTCGGTATCATTAGATCCATTGCCGCGTTACGCCTGGCCGGAAGTTCAAGGAGTCAAGGACCACATCCTCCTGGCCACAGACTCGGGTTGCATCGCTGTGATCGGGCTCCAGTAGAAAAACGCTTCTCCCGTGTCCAGTTGGAGCCGTCTGGCAGGACTGGCATGCGTCGTGTCGTACCGGGCCAATACTGAGCCGCTGATCCCAGGGGAAGAGCCTGTATTGTTGCTGCCTCAATCGAGAGAAGCAGGCTCGTGTACGTGCTCAACTGCACTGCGCAGGCCGAGGACACACCATATCGTCGCCCTTCGAGGCCCGCAGAAGTGGTATTCCCGTGCTCTCATCCCTCGAAACAGATTACTTGAGCTTGGACCAGGATGCATCCGCCCTATCCTATCCGGATGTCGAACTGGTGTACTACGAGCTGGATCTGGGGGTTGGGCTATATAGCCCGGAAGTGGTCGGGCCCCGTTTATCCAATGTCCTCGCTCCTCTCCAAGTTTCCGGTGGGACATGACGACCCAGGCGGCGTGCTCGTGTGGGAGGAACTATCATATACCGGCACGTCAGCGAAGCGTCGTTCTACGCACCCGGACCTCGACGTCGAGGCGTTGTTGGGGATCCACAGCGGAGGGGTACAATCGTCTGCGGGGTGATGCATAAGCTGGAGAACAGTGCTGAGACGTTCTTCTTTCTACTGCAGATAGAAGATCTACTCGGTGTGCGGTAGCGCTGCAAGGAGCCGATTCCCGTTGTCGAGGTATGGACATCGAGGCCAGCGAGATCGTAGCATCCGAATCGCCGGGCACAGTTTCGGCTGTCTGGAGGACGAAGCTTACATTGTCCTGACGTCCGCTACCGATGCACTGGTCTTGAGTATCAAGGGAGAAGTCAAGCAAGTCAGCGGCTCGGGGTTTCTCACGTCGGTCAAGAGCCTTGTTATCCAATAGATCGGAGACGACAGTCTGGTTCAAGTCCATCCAGCTGCTGCCACAAACCAACGACAGATCGCTATCGCCTTGAGTTCAGGGCCGGATCGCGCGGCAGTTTGAGTTCAAGAGTAGGTTCAATGGCGCATATATTCAGGTCCGTCAATGTGTTTGGCGATATCGTTCTGATGGGATACTCTCTCAGTTTCCAGCTCTCTTTCCCTACACGGGTCAGGTATGCATAGATGTTCGATACCTAATCTGGGTAGTAGTGGTAACATTAATCACTCCGGGTCTCAAAGCCCATGGCCTCCCACTCGGCCCGAACCTTGTTCTTCACCTCCTGCGGGTAGCTCTCCTTGAAGCTCGCCGCCTCCCAGTTCTTGCCCGTGGTGAACTCGCTCTTGAGCAGGGCCCCGCTGACCACCTTGCCGCCGCGCGCAGGGCTGTGCCAGCTCTTGCTGTTGTACGGGATCAGCGGGAACGCGCGGACGTCGTCGAAGAAGGTCTCGTCGTCGCCGGGCCGGCACCGCGTAACAAAGGCCCACATGACATCGGCGCTGTAGTACACGTCGATGTCGTCGCCGACCAGGATCAGCCGGTGGATGGTGTAGCCGACCTTGGAGGTGTACACGAGGTCGCCGACCGTCCTGCGGAACGCGGCCGGGTCGGTGTAGCCCATGCGGCGCATCGCGGCCGTGTCGACCCGCAGCGCCACCCAGGTCGCCTGCGACTCGAAGGGCGAGAAGGCGTCGGTGATGGGCAGGCCGGTGTCCTGGCACAGCTGGCGGATCTCGGCCGCCGCGAGCGAGCTGATGAGTGTGTACGTCTCGTCGGTCAGCCGTCCGCAGGCCGAGACGGGCAGGATCGCGTCGTCGCGGTGCGTGATGCAGTGGACCGTGTACTTGGGCTGGTCGTGCATGTCACCCGGGAAGACGTAGCCGTGCATCTCGCCGAAGGGACCCTCGGGGGCATAGTCGGTCGTCGACAGCGTGCCCTCCAGTACGATCTCCGAGCTGGCGGGGACCAGAAGGTCGTTGGTCTCGCACTTGACCACGTCGAGCGCTGTCCCCGTCATGGCGCCGATGTAGTCGGCCTCGGTGACGCCGTCGGGCAGGGGCATGCTCGCGGCCATGATGGCAGCGGGCGGCACGCCGAAGGCCAGAGCCCACGGGACGTCCTGGACCCCTTCTTTCTTCCACATCTGCTGGATCTGCCAGATGTGCTGCGGCGCGACCACCAGCCCCACGAGGTGCTTCTTGTCGTGCACCATGGCCCGTGCGACGGACCAGTTGGTCCACTTGCCGTCGGGCGACTGCACGACGTGCATGCCGTAAGTCTGGATGTACTTGCCGCCGTCGCCCTGGTGGAGGAGCGGTGCCTTGTCGTCCCTCTCGTTCGACCGGCGGATGATGGCCGAGACCTCGAGGTTGGGGTCCTTCTCGTCGTTGATCTCGGCAATGTCCCCGTCTTCCTTGAGTGCCTCGACGAAGGACCGGAAGTTCAAGTGAGGCGCGTCTTGCGGTGAGCTGTGCTGAGCACTGGCATGGTACATCGGCCAGGATGAGTAACTGCTGACCCCCCCTGCCTGATCGATTGCGGCTCTACGAGCTGTCGACGTCAGTCGAGAGAGCATTGCGTATAGTATTAGTCAAGTACTAAGTAAGGTTACAGAAGGAGGCGGAAGGTTACTAGTCGTCATCGATGTCATACGGTACGAAGGAGTGGACCAGCGGACGGCATCGCCTCTTATATGCCCCTGAATCCGGCTCTCCCCCCGGCTGGAGAACGCTCGCGATTATCTCGGCCTACATTCCGTGCCGCTGTCATCCGAGACTCGCATTGTATTATTCCTGATGCTTGTTTGGTTGATGTACACTCACCAGGAACGTATCCCGGTCAGCTCGGCTTCGGGATCGTTTTCGGGATCGGTATCGGTATAGGGGAAGCCAAATATCTCGAACCATACGGGCATCCACTATCATGTCAGTCTCGAAGAGTTGGAACGCAAGGAGATCTACTCGCCTCGCTACTCGGCCTTGCCGTTGTCATGCTCGAGTGAGCTGGCGTGTACTCCGTTCAATCCTATCGGCCTCGCGCTCGGGTCGCCCTTCACCGACGGATGCTAGTGCCTAGTGGACATCCACTTGATACAAATATAAAGCTTGAAGTCAAGCCAGTGCCTTTCAAACTTTTGATAGTATATGGAAATTGTTGGATAAGTGTCAGGTTCTATCTTCTGCGGTACCTTTTATATCCGCGCTCTTCAGCTTCACCTTTAATGCCTACCATTCCGCCCCCCGGAATCATATACAAGGCGCTACAAATATGACATTGACGGCGAGGCTAATCCCTCGTCTCTTCCTCTCAACAAGCCGACTTGGAAGACTCCGCCACAATTTACCATCAGCGTCCCTGCCGCCGTTCCGCCAAGCAACAAGCCAAAGAGGCATCTACTATACAAGCGCCCCTCTGCCTCCCATAAACAACAGCAGCAACAACAACAACAATAACAACACCTATAACAACCCCGTCCCCATCGTCCAGCGCAACCCGCGTATTATCGTCGGCGTGACCGGCGCAACAGGCACCATCTTCGCGGTGCGCCTGCTCGAGCTGCTCCGCTCACTCTCCGTCGAAACCCACCTGATCCTCTCCAAATAGGCACAGGCCACGCTCAAGTACGAGATGGACGGCAGCAACAGCATCACGCCGGTACAGCTAGCCTCATTCGCGACATGCCACTACGCGATCCGGGACCTGTCGGCGCCGCCCGCGAGCGGCTCCTTCTAGCATAACGGCATGATCGTAGTGCCCTGCTCCATAAAGACGCTGGCCGCTATATAGGCCGGGTACTACGACGACCTAATCGCGCGGTCGGCCGATGTGTCCCTCAAGGAGCCCGGCCGGCGGCTGAAGTAGGGCGGCTTGCTGGGTTGATATCGCCGCCGGCTCTGTTCCGGCCCTCTGCAGGCCTTCTTGGATCAAGCGCTGTAGTACCTTCAGCGCGTTGATATAGGCCAGCGTAAGAGACCTTTTGGTGGCGGTAGGTGCGTCGTCGTCCTGCGCCCGAGAAAGAAGCATATCAACCAGTCTCTTCTGTATGCTGCCGAGGCCGGGATTCCTGCTTGTTTCGCCCAGGATGGTCAGGAGGAGCACCGAGCTAACGGCCTTATAGATGCAGGTCCATATGCGGGTGGGATAAACACTGACTGCATCTAGGTCGAGAAAGCACTTGACCACTTATACAACCGCGTCTTTCCTAGCAGCAAAAAGATGCGAAAAGGAGGCATCTTGCTGGCTGACAGGCGGCGGCCACGGCAAACGAGCGATGCTGGGACAGCAACAGGAATTCGATCCTTTCCTGCAGATCGTGGCAGCTGGACGTCTCCCGGAGACAGGGCGCAGCCTTGAGCAGCAGCTGGTCGATTTCTCGGAGCCGTCCCAACATGCTCTTAGCGCTGGCATGTCTTGAACTGCCTCCACTCAGAATGCCGTGTCCAATCCTGGAAAGCTCCCCATGACTTCCGGCAGAGCGAGTGGCTTCCCGTCCGCCTCGCCGATGCTCTTTGGCAATAGGTGGGATGCAACGGCACTGGGCCTGTTATAGCATAGCGATAAGACACAATCCTGCTGAGATATGGCCAGCCTAGGACGGCCGGTCATCAGCAGTCTGCTTAAGACAAGGGCAGCATCTCCGTACATACTATACCCTCCGTCTTTCAATCTGCTTGGTCTCTATATCCGAGATATAGCAGCCCCCCTGGTCATCTAAATAAAGCCCTAGGCTCTGTATAAGCCGCATGGTTGTTCCCGTCATAACCCAAGCGGCATCGGCGTTTCCTATGCCAGTTCAAGCCCGTCAGTTGGCCAACTTTGTTTAATGACCTAAGGATGCTATATAACGGGCCGGCTGTACTATCGTTTTATAGGAAAACCCCGAACATTAGGAGCGCCTAAAGACTCGCAAGCAAAAGGCAGAGGAGAAAATTAGCAAGACAGAGAGCATAGAAGGATCTCTTAGCTTTCGACATAAGATAAATAGACAATTAGCAACTTCAGCCTTTTAACTCCTCTCCGAATATAGGTTACTTTTGCTAATATACCAAAGTCCCTTGATATACGGCGCCTCTCCTACGTGTCTCTGTCAGAATACTAAGCGCCTACTATAAGAATAGCCAGAAGCAACGCTATATATATAGCCTCTTCGTACGACGGTGTCTTAGCCGCTAAGCTCTGGTTCGGGTCCAGGGGCTCTAGGGCACCTGCGCTCTCCTAAGTATCTATAGTGCTCTTACGTTCCTTAGCTCTTATCTTAGGGGCCGGCAAACGAAGGCCGTAAAGACAGATCTCTAGATACTGCCTGTTCATATATATATCGTATAGCTTGCTACATGGGTGAGTATAGGATATAAACATTCTGTTTGTATAGTATCACTTACTTTATATCGTATCTTACCTTCCGCTAGTTATATAGGTAGCACGCCCCTTTTCCGCGGGCCTGCTTCTTTATAGCTAGCGCACTTCTGATCTCATCCTCGGTTGGACGCCAGCGCTTTGGCATGGTCCTTCAAAAGACTGGGAACTCCTAGATGTAATGGCAATCCTTAAAGATAGGTACTAATTGAGAACTTTCGGAAGTCCTGGGACCTCACCTTATAGTGTTGGATATAGCAACCGAACGTGTCACGAATTAACCAACGGCAGGCTGCAGGGCAGACGGCCGTATGTGGGGACGCGGGGGCGTCCCGAGCCAATCATTTGGACAACTAGGCGGACCAGTCAGAGACAGGCAAAGGTGCTAAGGTGCCAATGTCGCTGAGCACTCTGCAGGATGTAAGCGATCAGAGTGATCAGGGGCATATCACGATGAGCACCTGGGTGCTCACCGAATCGAAGCACTGAGCGCCCAAGAAGATAGCTAGTATATAGTCACCCGTTCTGGAGGACTCTGGGAGTTCTCCAGTGAGCAATTACAAGCAATAGCCCATACCTATTGTGCAGACATTGCGGCAAGCATTGTTGTGAACCTTTTGGCTTCACCGAGACCTACAGTCCGACCAGCAGTTACCTTCGACCGGCGAACCCTTTCAGAGGCAGGACTGCCTGTGGTTTCGTCACAGAACGCCTTCGGTCCTGGAGATATACTTACAACCCTGAGCAGTGAGCCTATACTCCTAAGCTCCACCACAAACTGAGCATTGGGGATACCTATAAACCTCCCGAGCCCTAACATATCCTGCTCGGTATATTGCTACTCTTGGGCAACTCGACTAGACGCAGGTATTATATATAGCGAACGGAGGCAGCTGAAAGTGGACTGCTTCGGGTTGCTGGGATTGTATATAGGAGATGCTGGGATGTTCGTCCAAATTATTCGTAGCATCGGTTGACTCCGTCCCGCATCCAGCAACTCACCGGCTGCGACCACGCGAGGTTCCGGAGAGGCGCCGACCCGACTGAACAGGTTACGCCCCACTGCAAAATCCACAACGTATATAAGAGAACCTACCGGACGGCACTCGATCAGTCTGATCTCAGGTGCCTCGAATTATCCTCTTTCTATCCGTAACCCCCTGTTCAAGACAACACAATGGCGCGCTATGTGAGCACCGGCGCCCCGGCTCTCCGATCGGCAATCACTGCAACGCACTAACGCCGCTGACGTCGGTCACTACCGCCGCTTTCGGCCGCTTAGGCCCGAATATGCGGAGATGGCCACCTCAAAGCTTTAATGCTTGGTGACCAACCACGTGCCTACCTACAGTATATCCAGCTGGGAGCCTGATGCCTCACTATGGAGTCCGGATATCATCAGTGTGGCAGATGCCCCTTCTTATTAGCCTGCGAGCAACGACTCACATCATGAAAATCCCTCTTGATCCTCGCGCCAAGCCTGCAACCCCTTGCTCACTTCATGCGACATGATCGATCTGCGCGGGGGGCCCGACCTTTTGACGGTGTGAGCGGCGAGCCACAAGACTTCCTCCCCACACTATTACGGCCCTCTTAATGATGCGACAGTTGCGCGGCCTGGGTATTCCGAGAAACTCAAGTTCAGTGACGCGATTTACACTGCGTCTCCGAAGGAAGTCCGCTCCATCGCTGGTTTGGGAGAATAAGCAGAGGTCATTGAAAAGGTGGGCGCTGCGTCTTAATAACTTATAAGTTCGCGATTTATCTGTACCAAGCAATTCGTTCATTTCATCTTATCAATCAGGTCGCGGTGCCACTGACACCCCACGTGTTCATCCCAGCACAGACAACCTACCGGTACCTTATTATAATTACAGGTCAACGCAGCGCTCCGAGTCTTGCGCCGAAGAGAGCCCAGCTGACTCGAGAGCAAACGAGCGCCTGCCATGGATTCGCCTAACCTCTCGAACAGCATCTCGCTGCACCCGCATCCTTTCAAAACGCAGTCGGACTCGGCGAGCCGCTTTGCCCGGCCCCAGTCACCCGCCGTGTCAATGGCAAGGGAAGGCGCCAGTACCGCCGTCGAGGCCACAGACGGGGGCGACGACGCTGCAGTGCCCCGGCATCAGGCCACCATACCAGCGGGCGACGTCGAGATGGAGAGTCAGCGGGCCGGCGGCTTCCCGCTTGTCGGCCCCGAGAATGACCCGTACGGCCTGTCTCGGAGATACAAGACAGCATCGGAGCTTGCCGAGATCAAGGCAAACACGTCCAGGAAACGCGATGCCGCCCAGCAGCCCGCCGGTGCGGCCAACCCCCCGAAGCTGATTCGAACCGGCAGCCTGTCGCGTTACATCAAGCCGTTCGGGCGCTCTGCGACCACAGCACGCCGCCTCGAAGGCTTCTACCAGGCGCAGAACGAGACGATTGAGCGGCTGCTGAAGAGCGTCGAGGAACACCGGGCCGAGGCGCGCCAGGAGCATGGCGAGGACCACCTCAAGTTCAAGATCGCCGTGTGGGGATCTCTCGTGGCCAACATTGTCCTGACGGCCCTCCAGCTCTACGCCGCCGTGTCGTCCGGCTCGCTCTCGCTCTTCACCACCATGGCGGACGCCATCTTCGACCCGCTCTCCAACGTCACGCTGATCCTCACCAACCGCGCCGTCCGCCGCGTCGACCCCCGCCGGTTTCCCTCGGGCAAGGCCCGTCTCGAAACGGTCGGCAACATCGTCTTCTGCTTTCTGATGACGGCCGTCTCGCTGATCATCATCGCCTTCGCGGCGCGCGAGCTTGCCGAGCACCGCGACGCCGATGCGCTGAACCAGTTCCATCTGCCTTCCATCATCTCGGTCTGCGCCGCATTCGGCACCAAGCTGGCCCTCTTCCTGTACACGTGGTCCATCAAGGACAAATACTCGCAGGTGCGCATCCTGTGGCAGGACCACCGCAACGACCTGCTCATCAACGGGCTCGGTATCCTCACCTCGGTCGGCGGCAGCAAGCTGGTCTGGTGGCTCGACCCGGCCGGCGCCATCGTCCTGTCGGTCGTCATCTCCGCGCTGTGGCTGCGCACCGCCTTCACCGAGTTCCTCCTGCTCGTCGGCGTCGTCGCCCCCGTCGAGATCCAGCAGCTCATCACGTATGTGTGCCTGACCCACTCGCCGGCCATCCGGCAGATCGACACGGTGCGCGCGTACCACTCGGGCCCGCGGCTGATTGCCGAGGTCGACGTGGTCATGGACCCCGACGCCACGCTCATGGAGACGCACGATATCGCCGAGGAGCTGCAGATCAAGTTGGAGCAGCTGCCCGACGTGGAGAGGGCCTATGTGCATGTGGATTATGAGACGACGCATAAACCGGAGCATGGGTACAAGAAGGATTTGTGAGCGGCGTCTGTGTTTGGGGGGGTTGGGGGGGAAGGCGTTGATCACAGCTTTGACGTGTTGTCTGCTGCATTGAAGTTGCATTTCGCCGTCGGTTTGTATGATAAGTTATATGCGCCAGCTTCTTTGCACATTTACTTCTCGCAACGTCTGGAAATTCAGCTGCTCCGGACACTCTTCCTACCTAGTCCTTTCCGACTTGTTTTTCCAGTGTTCGACCTTGGTCTCATCTCGTCCTGTTGTTGGCACAAGTTGTTGATGACCGCTCTATTTTCATGCCTTCCGACGTGCTGCACTTGATGAGCGCAAGGTCAATGAAGGATCCAGTTCACAGAAGCTCATCCACAACTGACAGAAGGAATCTCAAGCGGCAACAACTTGTGATCTGTGGTAGCCCCTACAGTCAGTCTGTTCAGATCTCGTTGGTCTGGGCGCAATACTGACAGTAGATACAAGCATGCGCCGTTCATCCTTTCCCCAGCCATATTATACCTAGGTAGGGTAATGGCATATATTCGAACATCCTTTTCAAGTAGGTAGGTATGCCATACGGTCGGATGGTTTCCAATGAAGACTTTTCTCTCCAAGACGTAAATACAATAGATACGAAAACATCCGCAATGAACAGATAATATATCTAGATTTAAATCCAAGCCCCCCCCCCAATCCCTTACAATGTCACTTCAGAGCTTCGCCTCCGGCGCATTCTCACACCGCGCCAGAATCCAATCCCCAACATCCCTGTAGAACTCCTCGCTGTCCGGCCCATCGGCATGCAACTGGTGATACCACCCCTCATACGCCTTGAAGGTCCGGTCCTTGACCTCGGCCGTGCACTCATCAAAGTACTTCTTGGTAGCATCAAACCAAGTCGTCTTGTCAGCCGTGCCGTGTCCGACCCACAAACTGCGCAGCGCCCCTCCCGGCAACGGCCGGACCTGGCCCGTCGCCAGCGCCGCCGTCCGGTCCAGCAAGCCAGCCAGCCCCTCCAGCGTGCCCGTGTTGTGCATGAGCGGGTCCTCGCGGATGCTCCGGACGACCGCCGGATCGCGGCTCAGATGCTCCGGCTGCACCTCGTGCTTCAGCTGGCGGTGCGGCAGCAGCTTGCCGGCCAGGCGGCCCGCCAGCACCTTCACCGGGTTGGGCTGCTCCTCGGGCGAGAAGCCGATGAAGGGGGCCTCGAGCAGCCAGCCGCGGACGTGGCGCACGAGCTTCTCCTGGTAGTCCGGGTGGCAGGCTAGCGTCAACACCTGGCCGCCGCCCATGGAGTGGCCCATGACAAACACGGGCGGGTCCGCCGTCGCGGGGGAGGTCGTCGGCGTCGTCGTCGTCGCTGTTGTTCTTGTTGACAGGTGGTGGGTGATGAAGGCGGCCATGTCGGCGAGCACCTGGGTGGTGGGGCCCGTGAGCCCCCTGTCGGCTGGCTTGCGCACGGAGCGGCCCCAGCCGCGCTGGTCGAGCCCGTGGACGGCGATGCCGCGGGCCGCGAGGGATGGGAAGAAGTTATAGTAGCGGCCGACGTGGTCGCTGAAACCGTGGATGAAGATCAATTTGGCCTTCGTTGGGCCGTCGGGCTGGGCAGATTTGTTGGACAACGTAATATGTCAAGGTGAGATGGCATTGGGTTGCATGTGACGACGTACCAGCCATGACTTGGTGTAGAGGCTGACACCTCCAGTCTGGAAAGTGTCTTCCTTCTCGATGACCATTTTGCCGAGCTGCTAAGATATAGACGCAATCAACATTGAAACAAGACGATTGAATATGCAATGGGGAAGTGTGTATGACACCCTGAGTCCTGCGGGGCTCCAATGGATGTACTAAATCCGATGGCGTTCACGTGCTTATTGACAAACAAAAGGCGCAGCTCAGCGAGGTAGGTGATGTTGTCCATTCCTTATACTTGGATTGAAAACAAATATGAGCCCGAGATGTTATCGACATTATAGCTCCGTTGAAAAACTCCGCTGTAACCAAGATACAGTTCCCTTTACGCCGAACATCCAGCCCGTTTGCTCACAGCCAAAGCCAGAAAACTAATACCTCCCCTTTCCTGAAAAATCATCGACAACGGGAGTGCATAAATCAACGATTCCTGTGCCAAGCCAGACTATCCTCAAAGCAAATGCCCTGGTACCCGTTCACTTTGTCGTCCGAGTCATCCCATCATCCTATCGTTCATCGTGACATGAGCGACCAAAGAACATCCCCAAGTGGTGACACCCAAACTCCTATTCCGTAATAAAACAAGATTGAAAACCTCCTCGACGAAATGGTTGGCGTTGGCATGGCAACTTATATCTCTCCAAGGTGGTCTTGCAGTTCTGCGCTGGTAAACAAGCCTGGAGTGAGACTGTATTTTTCGACCGGCGATTCCTCATCCGGCGTTCGAATCCCGATTCCACTATCGTCGTGGCTCGTCTGCTGATTGTTCCCTGCCGGAGCAGAGGGGAATGGCGCTCGATCTGGCTGTGGTTCCGTCATGTGGGAGATGTCCAAATCCTCGCTCGCGCTGCTATACCGAGACTCATGGTGGCTTATCTGGCGCTCCGTTGCCTGCCGCTTCGGCGCGGGAAGCGGACTCTGGCTAGACCTCTGTTGCATGAAGCCGCCCTGCTCCGCCATGAACTGGATCATCTCGTCGATCCAACATTTTGTTACCCACCATGACCCGAAGCTCTTACCCCCGGAGATCGTGATGTCCCTGACGAGAACCGTGCCCAACCTCTGAACACACCACACCAGATCTGTCGCCGACGCATAGGGGAACCGGCTGGGAAGAGAACGCAGGAAGTTAACCCAACGATCCAACACATTGGAGGAATCTGAGTCGTCGCCGTCTCCCTCACGCGGTTGCCGGCCACTGCGTATGACCACCTCACCATGCACTGTCAAACACTCAAGACCCCATGGAACGTTGACGGGATCGATGAGATCTCGCATCTCGTGAAGCAGCAGGTTGACGACATCGTCCATGGCGCGAGACGGTATGCTCTCGGCGAGTTTCCGTACGCTGACCATGTTCATCCACTCCATGTACATCAAGTCGCGGTTCGCGGGGTTTGCCAACATGTTGGCCGCGGCGTGGGCTGTGAGGTTCACACGCAACGCCCGGTCCAGCAACGCGGCAAAAATGGTTGCCGGTGCCTCCTTGGCCCTCACCACATGCTGGGGCTGTCCGTGGAAAGAGTCCCGAATGTGTGGAACGAGGCGGTCAGAGATGCTGCGCAACGTGTCGAGGACGGGCTTGGGCACGACCTGGAGTGTCAAGCTGGAGACGATGCGCATCATCCGTTGGTACAGAATGAAATCGCATTCCTCGATCCACGGAGCGATGGCCGGATTCGCAAACAGCTTCTGGACTGGCATCGTAAGAGTGCCTTGGAACGAAGTGAAAAGGTGGAAAAAGGTTTTCTCCTTGCAGTACCGTATGCACTCGACCAAAGATGTACAGTAGGACCGATAGAGCGCCATGAGCGACTTCGCCGCATCCGGATCCGTGCCTCTGGGAAGGTAGGGTTCGATAGCAGGAAGGATGACTGGGTCAGACTGCTTGAAAGATTCGCCGGATTCCGTCGAGAAATGAAGTTTCTGGGGCGTCTTGCTCGCCTGCTGCAACTGTTCATAGTTGGTGAGATGCGGCAAGTTGTAAAGGCTGTGTCGAAATTCGTGTGATCGCATGGGTTTGGACACAGATTCCTGTGCAAGCGGGGTGGCGGAAAGCGGTGATTTTTCAGGACCCATGGTTCCGGAGTGGTTTGGAAGGGCACTGAGAAACATTAGCGCGTGCGTTTACGTCTAAACTGAGAACAAACAGACACATACTTAAAAGTCTGGGTCAGAGATGGACTTTCCCCGAGGGGCACCGTAGGTTGGGAGGTGCTGTCTCGAAAGTCGGGTTGCTCTTCTTTCAGCTGGAAATTAACGTAATGATATTTCGATTCACCACGAACACCCAGCCGTCGTGTCTTTAGACCCGGAAAAAGCACCCGGACCAGCTTGCCGAAGCTGGCCGGATTCAAGACGGTGATTCTCTCGGTAGCACATTTCGACGCGTAGTTGGCATACACCCGTCCCCTCGGTACCGACCCCTTGCCAGCAGAGCATGTTTGACTTATCCTATTGGCCGGTCAGCATGTCATCACAGAAGAAACGAGACAGCGGTACTTACCAGAGCATCGCGAACACTTGACGTGCCCGCTCCGAGTTTGGACCGCGCTCGTTGCCGATCAATTCCTGGGCAACATCCTGGAGAGTTCGGTGCTTGTTGGCGTGGAAAAGCTGCCGCATCTCCATCTCATTATTGGCGTTTGACCGTGAACCTGCCTTAACCGGTCTTGGTAACCCGTGAAAGGAGTCGCCATCGTCATTCCCATCGCGATCTAGCATCTGGCTATCGTCTGCGAAACTCGTGTTCCCAGCGAATGAGTCAGCTGATAGGGATTGCCGGCTCATGCTGTGGCTGTGATGGTGGAACGAGACGCTCTGCATGGGCCCATTCACTGGCGCATCGATTGTGTACTCGCGGCTTTGCTGGAGCTGGGACGCTAGTAGCAGGTCCTCGGGGGTCATCTGGCTCGACCCATTGGGAAGTTCGCGAGGGTGGCTGGTGTCATTCGAGAGCCATGGCGCAGAGTAAACCTCTGCAGATTCCGCGAAGCTGTGCTCGATGTTGGCTTGTGTCGTGGCACTGTGTATCGATGCTGTCGAGCCTCGCGACCGAGGACGCTTCCTGGCTTTGACATGGGCGAGTGAATCTGCACAACAATGAGTACGTATACAATCTAGTGCACCACTGACAGACTGCGAATCCGCAGCATATCGCGCGTTGTGTTCGCAGCGAGTGGGGTGGATTCCTTACCGTGGGTCGAGTCCATTGCCACACCAACGTAAAAAGAGTCAAAACAGATATGCACTCGTAGCAGCAACAACAAATGGAAGGCTACCTGCGCTGCAAGGGAAAACAATAACCAATCTCAATGATGGAAAAAGTATATCGCGCCGCCAGGGGCTCACAGTGATACACTGGCAAGGGAGCAGGGAGCGAGGCAGAAGAGGCGCTTCGCTGTCGACCTTGGACGTGCTCAATTCCACACTCTGCTTTGCAGGAGGAGGAGAAATCAACAAACATGGGAGGCGGTGCCCGGGCAATGCGCCATCTCGTCAGCTCCCCACACTACAAGTCCCACATTTCTGGAGCACGTTCCAACCATTGGTCCATGCCATCATCGGTTCTGTCATTGTTCACGATGCTGCGTCTGAAAGTCGACCGTGCCGGTTTCACGATAAATAAACCGCCCATAGTCTTTCGGCCTAACTAGTACCTTCACTTCCTATCAAAATTCGCGCTGCGCAGGGCATGGAAGTTACATCGGTGTTCAGTCCCTTGGAAATTCTCTTGTCTAACCGCGGTGGCATGGAGAGTTGTGCACACTATACTGCAATGGGTCCAGTGTAACACTTTATTGTTAGTGATCTCTTTTGCGCTTACAGGTATTGTATTTTGACATCTCTCCGGCTGATGTCAATGCTGATGAACAAACACGGTTCTATCTTACATAAGGTAAGGTACGTACTTGTATTTTGCCAAGCGGGAGGCTAATTGGGATATAGGGGTTAGGGTCTTCCAGCCCCAGTAATGCTGGTGGTCTCTGTCGGCTTGGCGATTGAACTTTGTTGCACGCTTGGTTTTGTTGCCATTCTGAGCGGCTAAACATTAGGCAATTCCAAACTCTGTGTTGATTCTGTGTTGTATATGTTCCAATCTTGCGTCTGATCTTGTATCTATTTTGTGATTTGAGGGGCTTGGAACCGATGTAGCTTTGCTGCAAAGTTTGGTGGGGAAGTGACCTCGCTAGGCTAAGCCGGAAAAGATACGGGTCGAAACGATCGTGAGGGGTTGCTGTTTTTCAAGATGGACAACAAGGACGGTGGCACACTGTCGGTCACAAGTCTATCATCAGCCAAACTTAATAGTTACACCTAAGTTGGAGTTTGAAGGTAAGGTATTTTGTGATTTATCTGGAGCAGACATCCTGGAGTCGTGACCACGTGACCTACAATCCCCCGTTTCTCTACGTTGTGGCATTGGAGCTTCACAGCTTCAGAACCAGGATGAGCTGGCGGGGCCAAGGTTTTGTGTCCAGGGTCTTTTGTGCACACGTAGCAAGCGTCATACCTTGCACCCACCGACAACCTGCCACCCACAACTTGAACCAGACTCGAACTCAGTTCTGCATTTCTCTCCAACAAGTTTCCAATCGACGACAGCTATCCTCAGCCTCTAACTGAATATCAACGTGTAAGTGCTAAGGACTCCAAAGACCACCAGTGTCTCAAAGCACCCCTCACTGCGCCTTGCTCGACCAAGGAGCTAGTCGAGTCCCCGCCGAAGCTGCCGAGAGCTCTCCCGAGCCCAATCTTCTGAATGCCTTAGATGGCTTCTGACATGAACTCCTAGAGCGGTATACAGAAACAAACCAAGCCTTCAAACCCAACCATGTCTTCGCCCCAGGACCGTGTTCAGCACTATGTTGCGCAGCTCGACAAAGAGGTGTGTGCCGCCTTCCGGATTCGACCCTTCACTGACTGGCCTTGACCCTGACTGAATGGTTGTGCAGCTCTCCAAGTACCCCGCCCTCAACAACCTCGAGAAGCAGACCTCTGTCCCAAAGGCGTATGCCGTGCTCGGCTGCACTGCGCTCTACTTCTTCCTCATCGTCTTCAATCTCGGCGGTCAGCTCCTGACCAACATTGCGGGCTTCATCATCCCCGGCTATTACTCGCTTGGTGCGCTGTTCACCGCGAGCAAGGCGGATGACACGCAGTGGCTGACCGTAAGTTGCCGAACCGTTCCTTTGTCGACTGTTGCTTGTTGCTAATCATGTTCATAGTACTGGGTTGTCTTTGCCTTCTTCACGTAATGACCCACTACGGGTGGTGCGAACCCACGGCGCAAGCTAACTCTTCCCCAGTGTTCTTGAAAGCCTCGTCAGCGTCGTTTACTGGTTCCCTTTCTATTACACCTTCAAGTTTGTGTTCCTCCTGTGGCTGTCCCTGCCCGCCTTCAGGTAAGTTATTCCGTCTTAGCACAGCCCTCTGGGAGCAGACTGACGCCTGTTCAGGGGTGCCGACATCATCTTCCGCTCCTTCATGGCCCCTACCCTTGGCCGCTACTTCAAGAACTCCGGTTCCACTGCCAGCGGCCTGCGCGCGAAGGCCGATGCTGTCCACACCGAGTAAACGATATTCGAGTCCTCGAGTGCCAGGCCTCCTCCCGTTAAAATAGAAAGCGTCTAGCTTTAGCGTGGCCTGGTGAGGGTGTTGGAAGAAGTAGAATACACACAGAGATGAATTTGCGGGTCTCGTTGCCGGCTTTTGGGTACCGCGGTCTCTGGGAACTTGATGACACAAATCGGCGGCAGCTGGAGGGATCGCTCGGACAACTCGACAGGCATGGAGTACTTCTTACTACAACTGTCGATGGAGTGGATGGGATGTACACTGGTGCCATATCCTTTGGGCCAGAAGTCAATTTTCTTTGGGGCAGGCAGAGCGGACTTGTGTGTGGATGTATCATCCATGTACGTCTCGAAAGTTGGGTTCTTCAGGAATGGGAAGTTATGATCCAAACCGCCTTGGTTTCTTCTTCGTTTCCGAGCACCGACATGGAGCTTCTGCAATCTGTACCGGGAATTTGTTCTTACCAGGGGAAGTAAGCCCTCGGTCTGAGTGTTTTCAGGTAACCCGTACATGTGCTTGCAGCCGTTGATGTCTGATGTCGATGTGAAATGCTGGCGACCCGATCTCTTGGCAGAACGCCCCACCCAAACAGTTACGGAATACAGTTTACAAACGCTGCAAGGGGCACCGGACCCTTGCCGATCCGGTACGCAACAGCTTAACCATCAGGCTCGTCTCGTGCATTTCATGCTTCCTCGCCGGTCAGGAATAGGAATCACCAATTGCGACAACTCTCTCGGACAAAAGGCGGCAGTCACCACCGGCAAATAATACCAGCGAAATCCAATACATACCAGCAATTCGCAAAGAGGATATCATGGTAGAGTGGCTGGCGGCCTCTTATTAGTGGTCAGTGACAGCGACAGTCCGCGACTGAAGACATCGACAGGAACGGGGCGGGATAGACGGGGCCCTCTCAAATACTTTGGCGACCCATTATTTCCAACAGTGCCGACGATTGAGATTCGAGGCCCCTTGGGGCCGTATTCCTACGATGGCGCTCAGCCCTCTGCAGTCGCGCCTGGCGGCGTCCCTTGTCGCCTCGTGTCTGCTGCTCCTGCTCTACTTGATCCTGTCACCGCCCAACTTCGCCCTTGCTGCCGAGTTACCAGAGGCATGGCCCGTCGTGCTCGATGGAGGCGACCTCCGAACGGCCCCCGCGGCGCGTGGCCTGCCCGATCCGACATATGAGCCCGAGTTCTCCCCTTTCGACAGGAGCATTATTGGCAGAGCACCGCCAGGTTTTACGTCGCTTACCAACAATGAGCCCATGCCCATGAATGTGGATGAGGGGGCGACACAACGATTCGTGTTTGTGCTCCCCGGAGTATCCGGACGACAGACAGTGGAGGACCGGTTGGAGCTGCGGGACGAGCCTCCTGTGTCTACGGACCAGAGTGGTGGCGCTGGCGTTGGCGCGGCGGAACATCAAGAACAAGAACAGGACATTGTCAGGAGGCAAGCGTCCGAGACGGTGTACATATCGGCGAATACCTGCCAGCAGCCACAACCCGTGGACCCCTCCAAAACGACCATGGATCCTCCCCAACTCACGCTATACGTCTCGACTTCGGCGGAGAACCAGGCTCCCGGCCCTCTCGCAGATCCTGGCTCCCAGGCAATGATCGTGTTTACTGAGGGCGCCGCTACGTACAGTCTAACCACCAACAGGGAGGTATACATTGCCGTGCACGCATCGAACGTGTCGGATGTTTTCTCCGGAATATACAATTTCAGAGTTGTGGCCTCGACAGACCGTTACTACTACAGCTACAATGCCCAGGAGGGTGCCGACCTGATCTGGGTTAGTGACTCGCAGGGTGCGCTGCTGACCACGCACGATCTGCCGAACAATACGGACACGGAACCATATGTGTTGTTTGCACATAACAAGAACGATCGAGCCATCAACGGACTCAGGTACTCGTACTGCGGGCTGCAGAACTATGCCCAGATTGCGACCACGCGGAATGCAGACATGGTCCGGACGAGCATGACAAGGAGGGGGGGTGGCAACCGTCCGAAGCAGCAGTTCCTTTTCAGCGGCCTCAACTCGAGCGCCGAGTATGTTGGCATCTTGGCGACGGACGGCAGCAGGCTAGGTAAGAGGCAGACCACCGGCACAGCAACAACCGTCGTCTTCAACGCAACGAGCTTTAGCACAAAATCCGGTAAGCCATCCCCTTCTCCCATTCCATGCCAGCATCATGTACTCATGCGTGGACCAGGCCACGGCAACTGCCGCCTGATCGTCGACCTCTCCTTCTGCGACCAGGTTGCCTATTCCGTGCCGAGCAACCCGACGACTTTCGGCAACTCGACCCAGCTCGCCCAGTTCTACGACAACTTCGCCGCGACCATGTACGCCAACTTCGACAAATCCCTCGCCCAAATCGCCTGCGAGGCGCCGTCTAGCCAGCGCTACTCGCTCGCGCGGAACTGCAGCGACTGCGCAACGGCCTACAAGGACTGGCTCTGCTCCGTGACCATCCCCCGCTGCGAGGACTTCTCCAACAACGCCTCCTACCTCCAGCCGCGCGCCATCAGCCAGCCCTTCCCCGATGGCAAGCCGCTGGACGCGGCGACCCTGGCCGCGCTGAACTTGCCGAATACCACGGCGTTTAACTCGAGCCGGAACCCGCGCATCGATGAGGTCATTCGCCCCGGTCCCTACAAGGAACTGCTGCCGTGCGACGACCTGTGTTACAAGTTAGTGCAGAACTGCCCCGCCGCGTTGGGGTTCGCATGTCCGTTGCCGGGTCAGATCGGGTTTGACGGCCACTATGCGCGCCATGACCCGTCCAGCGGGCTGACGTGTAATTCCCCGGGGTCAGCGAATTTTCGTTCGGAGAGTCAGAGGGCGGTGATGAGTTGGGGGTTGTTGCTCGTGGCGGGAGCCGTGGGTTTGTTTTTAATCTGAGCTTATCTCTAATGGACGGGTAGGGGTATCAGGGCTGGCGTTGGGTGTCTTCTTCTGGGTTTAGGTAGCATTGGTGGCTGAGGCTGTCTTAGAACAAGGGCATAGGTAGCATGTATTTGGGTTCGAAATACCGGTGTCAGGTGGCGTCACTGATGATGGGCGGGCCCTAGGAAATCGGGTAGATTTGGTTGCCTATTTCATAGGTACTTGCTCGGAGCTTTGTAGGTTGCCCGAATATGTCGAGATATGGGTTGACTTTGATAACCCTTTGCATGTCATGTTCTTCATCTACAGGTGAGCTATGATACAGATTCTGAAGTCGTCTTTGCTGTGCTTGCTTACATGTCATAAATCGGCACCCAGCCTCGAGGACCCCTGCAGACTTATTTCTGAGTCCAACTCAACCACACCCCTCAGCTAAAACTGCCAATGTCCCACGCTCACACCTCGCCCACCAGCTTAACTCCATTGCCTCTCAAAACCATTTCACCTCCAACTCCACCAACTCCCTCGCGCCTTTGCCTCCTGCTTCCTATCATCACCATTCCCATCGCTTATACTTCGCACACTATCACTCGCACTAGCCGCACCCCTAGCCTCTGCAGCCTCAGCAGCAGCCTGAGCAGCCTGTAAACTCCTGATTTGTGCTTCAAGCTTGATAATTTCAGCTATACACCACCCTCTCTTGTCAGCATACCATACTCTGTTTATAAGCCCTTCAGGTAGCAACCCGACTGCTGACCTTCCAACCTTCACTCACCTTCCCGCTCTTGCTTGAGCTCCTCCACCTCCAGCTTGGTCCAACCAAAATAGACGAGCTGGTAGACTAGTACGGCGAGGAGAGCGCACTTGGCTACGGGGCGTGTGAAGGTTCTGTAGAAGGCGGCCTGGGTATTGAAGAAACGGGCAAGTGTTAGTGAGTGAATGAATAAAAGGTGTGAGGATGGAGTAGTTGGAGTAAGAAGCCGGCTCAGTACAGTTGGTGATGGTTGTTGCTGGGGTCGTTGTTGGATGTATCCTCTGAGTTGGGTTTTGTAGAGGGATACTGCTGGTGGGAATGATGATGCCCTTGGGAGGGCAGCTCTGAGCGGAGCGAACATTGCGAGTTACTAGTTTGAATGCTTGTTATGGGGATGAAAGGCACTTGTCCGTTATGGCTTGTCGACTGCGATGGTTAGATTCTCCAATACACTGAAGGGACAATTTAAGTAGATAACCTCTTCACGTGAGAACGCGAGGAGAGCGTGAGGTGAGCTGAAAGCCAAGCTTGAAGATCTGCGGCCTTGAGCGCGACATTGATTGGCCTGTGATAGGCCCGCCTGGAACTCCATGGGCCCCTGGCAAGGGCGGTTGCCGTTTGCGGGACCTGGCAAGGGTCTCAACTGCGGACGACCCACCTCAGCTGCAAGGGGCTGTCAACGACAGATTGCCAGAAGTCGATAGCTTGCAATCTGTCCCATTCTCTAGAATCGACGCTCTAGAATCGGCATTAACAGGTCGAACTTCGCAACCTCACCAGTCTTTTGTGTCTTGCGGGGCTTGACGAATACTCGATTCTTGCTTCTGACCTCTCAGTTATCTTACATCTTGTAGAGCCCCGAAGCGCTCCAACTTCAACCCCCCTTGCGGACCGTCTCGTACAATACACCTCCTTAATACTCTCCACAACTTCACAAGCCACGATGGTATACGCGCCACCACTAGCTGCGTCCTCTCGCCGCCAACTAACGACTCCGGCAGGTACAAACACCGCAGCAAAGGAGGGCAAACCTCAAGTTCGCCAAGGAGAATGAGGCGCGCATGGGCAAGTCGGAAGACCAGATCAAGAAGCGGGCAAAAGTCGTGGCCAAGTCGCCTATCTCTCCTATCTGGCTGGGTATGGGTGCCTCCTCGTTTTTCGTCATTACAATCTGTACAACATCAGCGGCGACTAACGTGGCATCACCCCAGGTCTCCTCGCCTTTGTCGTCTTCGGCGGTCTCGTTTTCGAAATCATCTCGCGCATCTTCCTTCGGTGATTCGCTATAAGGGAAGGGCACATCGAAGGATACCCGGGATGAATTTAAGTGAATCAAATATACCTATATGGAGTACAATCCTCGGGCTGATCGCGCCAGCGTGCACGAACATCATGCCTGAGGAGACTTGTCGACCCGGTCTGGGATCGAGCCAAGGGCAGGCAGGCGCGCACATACATGTATCATCATTTTCTGCCTTGTGGGGGCCATCGGGGTATGGATTGTTTTGCCAGCATTACCGTCTGCGCTGAGAGCCTGCAAATCAGCAGTGGCAAGGTTTTATTTGGCCGTGACATTTCGGAGTTGATACTGTCAGGTAGTTTCAGCAGTTTATTAGCAACATCAAAACGGCGTATCGGCGATGTTCCATCAGGCGCCCAGACCCCGGCGCTGGCCGCCGGTCCCAAATTTCATCTGAACCCCAGCGTTGAACTGCTTCTCGAGCTCCTGTGAGACCTGTCCGATGTCGAGTCGTTTGCGGGCGCCATCCTTCGCTTGGCCGGTGCCAGCCGTGGCATTGGTGGTGCCCTGCTTCTTTCCGCCAAGGAGCCGCATGAACTTGTCTTGACGTTTGGCGCCGCCGTCCAGTTGCTGCACGTTCCATCGCTCAGAAAGGTTCGCATCAGGAGCTGCGCTTGGAGCTGAGGTTGAGGCAGGAGCAGGAGCATCCTGCTTGGGGACGTCTTCAGATCCGCCTGACGCCTTGCTTTTCTTCCCCTTCTTCCCCTTCCCTCTCGGCCCGTACTTTGCTTCCTTTCTCCTCTTTTTCTCCTCCCTCATCCTCCGCTCCTCCTCGTCTACTTCCCTCTCTGCATTCCCATTCTTGCCCTTGCGCTTGAGCTTCTTCTCCGCTTTTTCAGCCTTCTTCCTCTCTCTCTTCTCTCTCCTAGCCTTCTGCCAAGGCCTCTCCTCCTTGACTTCGCTCGGTGGAGCATCGGTAGCCTCGGCCATGTCGACTTCCTTGGACTCCGTTTCCTTCTTCACCTTGTCGTCGTACTTTCCTCTATTGTCCGTCTGGTCGGTCTTAGCGATGTCCTGCTCATCCTTGCCTCCTGAGACCTGTGTTTCCTTCCCGCTGGCTTGATCCTTGGTCTTTTTCTTGTCCTTATCCTTCTTCCTCTTCTTTTTCTCCGCCTTGTCATCGGCGTCAGGGCTGCCGGCCTTCTTCTTTTTCTTCGGAGGCTCGGCTTGTTCCGCCTCCGTCACACCCTTCACCTCAGACGTGGTCTCAGTCTCGGCAGGCAAATCAGTAGCCTCCCGTTTGCGTTTGCCATGCTTCTTCTTCTCCTTTTTGGACTTCTTGTCGTCATCTTTGTGCTCCTCCTTGGGTCTGGGGACCTCAACGGTCTCTGACTCTGGCAAAGTTGACTGGTCGGCATTGGACTTCTTTATCTTTTCCTTCATGCTTGTATCTGCGGCGCCTTCAAGAGCAGCGGCATCATTCTTGGGCTCCAAGGCCTTTTTCTTCGACTTCTCTCCCATCTTGCTGATGGAATGTTATGAGAGATGTGTTGGTGAGAAGTGTAGATAATGAGAAGTACTAGTAATGGGGAGTGAACGAAACGGTTCCGAAAGATCACTGGCAGTCCAAGAGATATGTGTGTTCTAGAAGCTTCATTCGGGGTTATCCGATTTGCAATTTTGTTTGTTGCAGCTGGGAAGGTGCAGTCCAAACTGAAGATGGGATGATTTATTAGCATGAAGGTCGGTGCTCATGAAAATAAAACCTGATCCTACCCTAACCCTCACTGCTTCGTTTAAAGAGATTCACAGCATTTGTCACAAGTCCTTAGATTACGAGTAGCTGCACGGAAGTGAAGGATGGTAACGGATCGAATTGATCACTCCACTAAAATAATGGTACTTTTTTATCTGAACAGTGCGGCTCAGTTCTATGTGCCATGGTGGCTTGAACCATGCAGCCAAAAACTCCAAATGACTTTGATGTGGCCACTACAGTAGTACTCTCTATGGCCTCTGAAACACCACGCAGCCATGTTGTCCCCTTTAGCGAGTTCTGTCGTTTATTCACATAACCTGGGTATCAATGCCAACAATACGCCAAACCTTCCACGTCCCAGCTGTGACATATCCCCGTCTACCTCGTCGGACTAAGCGGCCTGTTGAACCCACCCACGCGGTTCATGTATTGCCGGTACTCGGTCTTCTTCTCCTTCCTCGCCCCGCCCACGTTGTTGCCCAGTACCTTCTTCCCCTTTGTCGTGCCGAAACCGCCAAAGCCCATCATAGCCGCCATATCATCCAAGCCGTCCTCCTCGACCACAACCTCCTCGTCCTCGTCCTCATCCATAGCATCGGCATCAAACCGATTCTTGGGTTGGTGTCGGTCCCCATCGCCATGGTACCCTTGCTGCTCCTGGCTGTTTTCCTGTGTCGAAGTCGACTGGTTTCGCGGTTCTGGTCCATGGCTACCGTCCCGGCTCTTAACCTTGAACGACAAGGGCGCTGTTGGAGTGGAACCGCTGGCACTGGCAGGTTTTGAGCGAGTAGGGAGTTGTGCATACTCCTCCGTCTCCCTTTCAAAGGCCGCCTGAGGACTGGCTGAGCGACGGGGTGAATCTGTGGCGCCGTCTCGAAGTCGGTCCTTGTCGCGGCTAGGCTTGTCTTGGGGAGCATATCCGTCAGCAGCTGAGCGGCTAGCGTGGGTGGGTTTGGAAATACCTCGTTCAGGCCGCTCCCATTCCCCTCTCACGCTCCTATCCCCACGCTCCCTCTGAGGCTCAGCTCGACCTTCGTCTCGTCTCCGGTGACCTCTGTCTCTCTCGTTGTCACGCCGATCGTGGATCCTCTCGCGACCGGGAGACCGAGAACGCCGGCGATCTCCTCTATCTCTGGAACGCGAGCGGTATCGCCTGTGATCCCTGTCCCTATCCCTATCTCTGTCCCTGCCGTGGTCGCGTGCGCGGTCGCGGTGCCGGTCTCTATCGTCGTCACGGTCTCTGCCACCCCAATCCCGATCGCGCGGTCTGTCTCTATCGCCATTGTATGATCTGTCGCCACCTCGACGGAAATGCCCGCCTCGTCGATCAGCCATGCTGTTATGGTGATGGTGAAATCGTGCTATCAAGTGGATGAAACAGAAATGGTTGCGCTTAAGCAAGCCTGGTAAGGCGTGCAGATGACGTCTGAAACTGAAACTTCCAGGTTGGTGACACCATGAAGGAAGCACTCCGATTGGCATCTTCACCTGGGCTGTCAGGTTGGTACCGTTTTTCTAGCCCGTACCCAGTAATATGTCGTAAGTTACCAATACTTCGCCGTTTTGGTGTCGGGTATTCAAGGTAAGTAATCCCAAATTTTGAAATGTATGTACAATACAATACAATACAATACATACATACACATTGACGTATCAGGGTCCTCTAGCACAAAAGAAAGCTAAGGAAAGAGAAGTGTGAAAAATAGTTGAACCACTTGAGTTAAAGATAGGTATTTTCGTCAGACATTCTGGGGTAGAAGGTATCATATATTCCAGAAAGTGGTGAGGGAATCGGGGCCGTAACTTCACATAGGTTTTCAGGCAATTATAGCAACTGAAAATCACCTAAATCTCGTCGTCCTCCTCATCAAAATCGTCCTCCCTCCCCATGTCATACAGAATCCTCCCCCCTTCTCCACCGCCGATCTCGACCTGTGCGTCAAAGTAGGGCAGCACCACCCCCTCCCTATCCCGCCTCTGCTTCTCCGTCAAACCGAGATTGAAAGTCGCCTGCATTCCTCCTTCCCCCTCCTCGTCCTCCCCTCCCTCGCTCCCATCATCACCACCAAGAACCGACTTGCGAAAAGCAGGATGATCTGCCATCAGTATGATCCCCCACCCGACCTCCCGGTCCTTCGACCCAGAACCGCCCTTCTGGGCCAAAACGAACCGCTCCTCCACGGCACGCCCACTGCGCCTGCGCATCTCCATCTCCACCACGACGCCATCCGCATTCTTCATCATTCTATCCCCTCCCTTTCCGCTTCCGTTGCTTCTTCGTAACCCGATCAACACACCCTCCCTACCCTCGCGGAGGCCCCATTCCGGCTCGGCAAGGCTCCGTTCCCGGGCGCGGCGGGACTCGATGGCTTGGTAGAGGCTTGAGACGCGGAAGATGGCCGTAGCGATGTGGGTGAGGAGGGTTAGTGGGTCGGGAGAGTATTCGGAGACGGATATAAAAGATACAGGTGAGTGTTGGAAGTGGTGGAGAGGGAGGGGAGGGACGTCGATGTGGTAGACTGCGACGAGAGAGACGGAGTGGGTGATGATGGATGTGAAGAAGGAGTGAAGGAGGTGAGCAAAGTGAGAGGCGAGGGGGTTGAGGGTGTCGATTATGATTAGAGATCCTGGGAGCCAAGTTAGTCTGAGTTGTCCGTTTGAGCATCTGAGAGGGAGGTGAAGAGGCATGGCCAGGGTGCTTACTCTGAAGTGTACTGGCCGGAGTGTTTTGGCTGTTAGTTCGCGGAGGCGCGACATGAGAAACTATGTCTGCTGCGAGTGCCTTGAGGGATTTGCCCCGGGCCTTGATGAAGACGTCCGAGATAGCGGGCTTTTTTATTGTCGCAAAGGACACGAAGACAACCTTTGCCCGTTCATTCTGCCCGATGAATGCGTATAAGTGCCTGACCAGACTTGAGCTCGCGAGTAGGGGACTGGGTCCTGTTTACCCACCTTAGCCCTCCTCATAAACTCTTGGAGCAATGGCTGAGCGCTCTGTTCGAGGTTATCTAGTATGAGGTTGAGCGGACTGGCGCTGTCTCGAAGGTTGAGCAGCTTCTCAAACAGCAGCAGGCTGTGAGCCCTCTTGTGCGCCTGAGCAGACGGCGCCATGATTTAGCTGCGGAGTAAGACGTGGAAAAGTTAAGTAGCAGGAATGTTAGCAAGGCTGTAGTCAATACCTCGAAATACAAGAATAGAGGGTGAATATACGGGTTGCCTGAAAGGTGTAAGATATAGTGATCTGTGGAGTCTTGATTTCTTTCATGCAACTAACGTCATGAATGAATTGTCTCATGTCAGTACCGTAACATTTGTATTATACAATACGGTCAATGTCTTGTATAGGTAAGTACGGTACGCACCCTAACTCCAACACACACAACGGTCTTCAACCAAACATTCAGCCAGGGTTCGAAGGCACAATCCTTACACATCCTTGATCTATCTTATCGTCACCACCTAAGGTAGGTACCAGGTTGAGTAGGTATATATACACACAATAGCAGTACGCATCCAGCAGCGATCTCACTACCGTCGTGTTAGATACAGGTAAGGGCGTCTCGGAACATTGGGTAACGGTAGTGTTCCTTGACGGTCCTTGAGCAGCGGAGGTCTGATTCTCCTCAGCTTTGTTGGCCTTCAGTAGTGTACGGGTAAAAGTGTAGCGTAATGGGCGAGCATCTGGAGAGCAGCAGGATCCCGTCCCCTTCACCTGTTTGATCGAAACACTAATCTCTTAGGTGCACTAGGCTCACTTAATAAATCCGCCTGAATTATCTGCATGTCTATGGAATGACTCTCCATTCAGTGTGAAGTTCTTGAAGACCTCGGGAACGTTACTGCGAGGATTACACCACTTTACCTCCCGCTGCGTTCGCACCCATCCCCATGCAAGACTCTAAATGTTTTCTTCGGCCAGCCGTGTGTCCTTACCCAATTTGACCCAAGCAATGGGCTGCTTGGGGAGGGAAGCAGAACTTCGCCGTCATCAGTGACGACCGGAAGTGCTGTGTGGTTTTAATGGTACCATGATCTGATATTGTAGTCGGACGCGGTAGGGGGTATCTCATAGAGGCGAATAACACCAAATCGTGCGGAAATCCATCACACTCGTCCTCACATCCTTCCTTGTCGTCTTCTTTCCTCTTCTATCTTTCCCTTCCGTTCTTCCCCTGTCTCGCATCAACCCTTCAAAGGTTGCCCACGGTCAAGGAATCGGAAGCCGAAATGGGCCGTCTCGATGACTGGCGCGAGGCAAGACCGATATCTTCCCCGCGGCCCGGACAGTCGCTGGGGCCCCGACTCGCGTTGCGACTAGGACCAACCTTAGCCTGACGCGTGTATAGGAGTCTCATCATCATCCCCAGTGGGTTGAGATGGTCTCTCTCCATCTTCCACGGCGGGGACACGACCTTTACCCATAGCCACCTCCACGTTCTGCGATTGTTGTTGCGAGCTGCCGCCGCCAGCAGGCTCGGGAGTAATGGGGGTGATGGGGGTGATGGGAGCGCCACCGGAGGTGCGTTCCAGCGCCACCTGCTCAGACTTTGACGGACCGGCCTCCATCCCATGGTCAGACTTAGGACCCTCCGGCTTGCTCTCCTTTGGCAGCTCCGTTTCCCAGTCCGCCTCAAACTGTTCCCTGAGAAACTGATCGTAGTCGCCACGCTTCATCTTTTCGTGGGCAACCCACGCCTGCCTTAACCACTCCTCGTCATGCCACCCTGACTCGAGATTCTCACGGTAACGAGCGCAATCATGCCTAAAGTTGTCGTCATTACGCAGCGAGACTAGGTTTGGGCGGGCATCTGGTGTCCCCACATCCAGAATATGGGTGTCATTCGGGAACTTCGCAAGCACAACTTGCTTCTCTTCTTGAGCCAGGACGTCCCAAGCCTGAGGGAGTAGTAGAATCGACTGTCGAGGAGCATCAGTAACTGGGGCCTGGCGGAGTTTGGAGCGAGAGGTACATACTCTCAGGTCGGCTTTGGTGAGGGGTGATTTGGAATCCGTGTAGACAAATGGAGCCTCCCATTTCCTGTTTCGAGCGGATGTTCTGGCTGGAGGCGGAGGTCGCGACCTCTTTGCCGCAGGGGGAGCTCGTGCCCTTTTCGCTGGTGCTGGCAGGCGGGCCGGTTTGGCTTTGCGCTTTTGGACAGTGGATCGGTCGCTGCCAGCCGAGCGTTTCCTCACGGGCTCACTCGCGTCGGCATTTATGTTTGCGATGACCGCTGGTGAGGGCACTGGTACAGCCGGCGACTCTGCGCGGCCGGCCGAGTCAAGTATGTCTTTGGTACTCCTTGCAGGGCTACCGGTAGCGACATTGATGACACTCTCGGGAGGGGGTGAAGAAAGAGGGCTTGAGGATCTATCTGTCATGTTGTCCGCAGAAGGTGGTGTGATGAAAGAGTTGTAACAAGCGTCTAATGGAAAAGAAGCGTGTGTTTCTTAATGAGGGTGAAAAATATGCCCCCTGATCACAAGTTACATGCACTACCACCCGGTAGCTCTTTTCACTCCGTGACAAAGAAGGGGTGGACTAGCGCTCGGGGGGCGAGGGCGATTGGCACATTCCAGGGTTGTCTTGAGACTGTGGACTTTTTGTTTGACAAACCATGATTATTCGGAACTGAGCAGAACTGGAATGGCAGAGCCACCGGCGAGCACTAGCTCGTGAAGAAGAGGACAAGCCAAGGTGGCTGCGAGTACTAGTACGTTGAGATCACAAGCCTGTGGCCGTGGTTATGGAACCTGGAGGGTGACGGTGAGTTCCTCGCAGCCCTCCCCCTTGAACCATCAAAAAATAATATGATTGGCTAGCCTTGTCACCAAACTCCACTCAGACAAGGGTAGCTGTTGCATGCTCTTTCATCCGAACCTTAGGATATGCGCCTAAGCCGTGATGATAACGAAGCCTGTTACCCAAGTCGCTGGATCGTCAGCTCGTTGCAGTAGGGATTTAATTGAAACGATTTGGCTCATATGTCACTTTGCATCAATATCTATTGCTAGCTGCTCAATTATCTTGGCTGGCTGCCACACATAGAAGCCGTCGATGACGACACTTTAACACCCGCCGGTCTAAGAAGCCACGTTACGGCAGGCGGGAGCTACCTCCAGAGCTTCCAGGTTCCTTGCACCGCGGCTTTCCGAACAGCGAAACCCAGCGCCGCATAACAACCCTGAGCTTATACACCTCAAACCAGCCCAAGATGATCCGCTCAACACAGATTGCGAGGCTAGACGGTAGGCCCTCGCCTCCTAGATGTTGGCCCTTCTCCCACGACCTTACTAACCCCCCACACACTTAGGCCTCATGCTGTGCGCCTCAGTAGACGACTCTGAGACGGAGCTCGCCCTCTCCGAAGTAAAGGGCCAAGTGAAACTGGTCCTGCGGCGGCTCAGCAGGACGTCGGAGCCGCAAGCGTCTATCGAGAGCGGCGCGTACACACTGCACTACCTGATCGCATCCGACATCGTCTACATGGCCATCACGGACCGCGCCTACCCGCGCAAGCTCGCCTTTACGTATCTATCCGACCTGGCCACCGAGTTCTCGACGACCTACCCGGCGCAGCAGCTCCTCAGCCCTGTGCTGCGGCCGTACGCCTTCATGGAATTCGACACCTTCATCAGCCGGACCAAGGCGACGTACAGCGACGCGCGGGCAACGCAGAATCTGGATAAGCTAAACGACGAGCTGCGGGATGTGACCAAGGTCATGACCAAGAATATTGAGGATCTGCTGTATCGCGGGGATAGCCTGGAGCGGATGGGGGAGCTGAGCAGCAGGCTGAGGGACGATAGCAAGAAGTATCGGAAGGCGGCGGTCAAGATCAACTGGGATTTGCTGATGAAGCAATACGGGCCATTTGGTGCTCTGGGATTGATCATACTGGTGTTTCTGTGGTGGAGGTTCTTTTGAGTCGGCGCGGTCGGGGGTATGGGATTGGTTTTTGGTTCAAGCATCGGAGTTGGCGCATGAAGTCCAGCGGCGGGTATACCGTTGGTCCTGTATATTCTGTATGACTTTTATGTATGCATCTCATGCTAGACGGCTCCATAGTGCATGGCGTGTGGTGCCAACCCATGGAAGGGTTTCCCTGCTGGATTTCACACAGATATCTGCTCGCAATAAGGAGAGGATCGCAGTCAGTACCATGACACAACCTCACCAAAGCTCCTTTCCCCGAACGCCACGCTTTAATGCTAGAGCAATCCCCCGTAAATCCAAACAACCGAACGCCATTACATGACCCTGCAGCTCTCCGCCGCCGGCAGCTTAGATGCCAATGCCGACAGCGGCGGTACCGGCATGGCCGTGTGATACCACTCCAGATGCGCACGAAACGCCTCTAAGTCCGGAAACCCCTTCTCATCCTGGACATACTTCAGCTCCGAACTGTCTTCCCCCTCATCGAGGTATGTGTCCTCCTCGCAGTACGGACACATCAACCCGGCCTGCCAATCCCCGGGTTCCGGTGGCATATGGTTCGCTATCGCCAGCGGCGCGAACACGACGGTCTTCTCCTCGCCCCTTTCCGCACTGATCCCCTTTGCTTGCCAGTGCGGGTACCCGGACACCGCCGTCGGGGCCAACGGCATCCTCTCGGACGGCATGCTGCTCAGATCCGGCCAGACGATGTACCCCTCGCAGAAGTCGCACACAAACGCCGCGTCCTGCGAACCGCCTTGCAGCCGCTGGAACCGCCCGACAGCGTTGCAGTTCGGCACCAGCTCCTCCAAGCTCCCCTTCCTGGTCCTCCTCCCCTCCTGAGGAGGAGGGCTCATCGAAGCTAGCAATTCCCCCATCGATGACACCCCATGCTGCCGAGCTGCTACCGGATCCTCCTCGTCCTCCACCGCGCCAGCCTGAGCATCACTACTCCGTTGCTGCTGCTGCTCCCGCTGCCAAGACGGCAGCTCCTCCTCCCTATCCCTCTGCCGCCGCTGCCGGCCCGCCTCGTTGCGCTTCTGCTGGCGGTAGACCTGGAATGCGCCCAGGCAGCGGTTGCCGTCCTGCACGGTGGCGAAGATGCGTCGTGCGGCGCGGCACTGGGCGCGGTGCAGCTCCCGTCTGAGCTGGACTGTCTCGCGCGCCCAGACCGGGTTGATAGGCCCTCCCTGGCGGGCCCAGTCCTTGAAGTTCTGGGCGAGGAACTCGAATTTGGCGAGGAGGCTGGAGAGCTCTTGGAGGGATTCCGCTGTTTTTGTTTTATTTTTTTGGTTGGGATATAAGAACTGGGATGGAAGGGGAAGGGAGTTAAAGGAAGACAGACGTACGGGTTCGGTCATTTTCATAGTAGAACTGTCCGTGGACGAGCGGCCCCATCTCCTGGAAGTCTTTCTTGGCTTCGTCGAGCGCCTCCTCGAGCACACGTGTCTGCTCGAACTCGTCGGGACCCCATTGTCGCTTGTCGGCGAACATGAGGATGCGGAGCGAGTCTGTCATGCATGTTGCGATGGCGGCGAGGAGGGTGCCGACAGTTTGGGGCTCGATGCTGCCGTCAATGACGCTGGCGCTGCTGAGGCTGCCCCTCCGGCTCGAGCGGCCGACGCCGCTGTTCATCGCCCGCTCTTTTCTTAACCTAGATTCTCGCCTTATTGTGTGCCTGCTTGACTTATTTGAGCCCAGGCTGATCCAACCTGGCTGTCGAACTGTGGACCCTGCTGGATTCGCTCTTCTCCCTAGGGTGATACGTATGTAGTTGTTCGGCACCGCAACCTAGAACAGTTCTCTACATGTGACTGGGGCTTTCATTGGGAAACAATCTGTTTCTGGTCTGGATCGCTGCAGAAAAAGTGCGCTGTTAGGTTGGAGCTGGAACTCCGGGGATTGATGTCAACTTATGGGCCCAACACTGGCGGTTGATCTAAGTCGCAGGAGCCCGGACAGGGGTAGCATTGGCGGCCTCGGGTCGCCAAGATACCGAGTAAGATTGTAGAAATCCAAAGGCAGATCTCAGCGGTCGATGAACGCTCCGAGACCGGGCGATTATTCGCTAGTAAATTGAAGGACGAACATGTCTTTCCCTCAGGGCGAGCGTCTTCTATGGGTTAGTCGCGTACCTAACAACTCACTTTGCTTAACCCGGGACGAAGTGGCCACTTGGAAGGAAAGGTACGGTACTACTGGTACCTAGTAGGACTACCTACAGTAAGGTCTCTGCGGGCTGCTTGCCCCAGCTGGAAGGACTCCAAGGCAACTGGCGCTACCAGATTGTGGGGAGTTACATTTGTACTGTACCGTAATGTACTGTAAACGGCGTTAACTGCGCAGGAATCACCTCAGTTGGTCAACCTCAACTGACTGGTATTCATCGAGCCGGTCTCGATTCCATGAATCCGGGCCGGACAGATGTCTTACTCGGGCATTTGCAGAATGCAAGGGCTGTTGTCTGGAAAGAGGCCCCCTTTGCCCAATGGCATCGTGCAATGTGCATTCTCCACGCTGGCTGCCGTGCCGCTCAGCCCTACCGGGCTAAAAGGTTCAAAGCGGCTGGGATCTGCCGGGGTGTCGGGTCGCTGTGCAACTTCGGTTCGGCTTCCGGAGCTGGATGATAGATTGGAGCGTTCATCCTTACATTTTTTTTTTTTTTTTTTTTTGCGGAGAGGGACCAACAGTCTGAGGCCTGATACGGCCAATTTTCATTATGCACTCTATCTCATCTGTCAGTGTTCAAACAGGTCTATTACGAGTAGCATCCTCCAGCCCTAGACTACTTCCTCTTGGTCGCCTTGGGCGCATCGGCACCCGTAGCCATGGCAGTGGTGCCTGCAGCGGCTGCAGGTGAGCTTTTGTCTGCCTCTTTCTTCTCCTCCACCTCATCCTCGCCGCCCTGGCCAAACTCGTTGACGCGAGTATAGTCAACCTTGTACGCCCACCGCTGGTACAGGTACACAAAGAAGATGATGTCGTCTCTGAACGTGGCCAGGCGGTGGAGAATGGGCATCTTGATGGTGAAGGCAAACAGGTCGTCGATGAAGGTGTTGAGGAACTTGTACATCATGGCCTTCGCCGGCATGTGCGCCACGCTCTTGAGCCGATAGTTGATGTAGAGCGATGGCACCATCATCAAGAAGCCGTAAGCGTACACGGAGCCGACCAGAGTCGTGATGATGTACGAGTACCATGATTTGTGTGACTCGTAGATGAGCGAGTAGACGGCGTACGCGACGAGTAGGGGAACACCGGCCCAGTACATGTACTTGAAGGCAATCTCGTCGTACTCCTTCGTCTTCTCTTCGGTCTCGCTGAGCTTGTGCTTATCCTCGAACGATATCCGATATGGTATCAGGGACCCCGGCGCGGGGCGCATCCGAACATTAACCACCGTGGTGACCTTCCAGAGCTCGATAATTATGCCGATGGCCTGCGAGCCCAATATCATCCAGCTGGTGTTTTGAGACTGGTCCACTAGGTAGAGGAAAATGATTGTCTGCATGAAAACGTTGGCAAGGATCGACCGCACAGAGATGCCCACATTGTCCTTCTTTTTGCGGTAGTGTGCAATGTCGGAACCGAACGCCAGCGTTTCGAGGATCATGTGCGCAATGCTGACGACAATGGTGACGCCGAGGAGAATCGGGTTCGTATCAATGAAGATCTCCTTGATCATTTCAATCTCGCTTCCGTCGCCACCGCCCGGCAAGGGGTTTCCGTAGGCGGCCTGGCGGGCCGTTTCCTTGCTACTCAGATCGATGGATGCCATAGTCTTGAACTTCCAGTCGGCCAGGTTGTTGAGGTCAAACCGGATGGGCATGCTCTTGACCGTGTCGTTGAGCAGGGTCATCTGGGACTTGAGCTGCCAGAATGTGTTCACGAAGAGGATCGGATAGTACCATGAGTTCTGGCCAGTTCCGTCACGTGCACCCGTTGCCTCGAGGCGTATGAACTGGCGAACTGCAGGGTGCGCTTGTGGAAAGGGAATGACCCCCGAGTTGGGGATGAAAGAGAGCGACACGTTCGGGTGATAGTAGTTGGCAATGACCGGTCCAGGCTGCGCGGGTTCTTCCTCCGCCGCTTCCTCGGCGACCTCGGTTGCATCGCTTAGAAGATTCCTCGTCTTTGCCTCCTTTCTCTTCGGAATGTACTGGGTAAGCGGGTAGACGAAGTGGTAAGCCGAACCCGGGTCGTAGCCTGGCTGGGTTGGGTCCAGTGGGGCTCCTGAGAGCCCGACATAGAAATGACCCCAAAGCGTTCCATTATGCTGAACAGGCGTGGGAAAGTAGACAGTTCCCTCTGCGACACGCTTCTCGGTCCAGTTGCCAATCCGGAACTGCTTCTCCTCAAACACGATTGCATCCTTAGGAAGATCCTTGATGGGACTAGGGGCGAAGCTGGGCGAGACCGTGACAATGACATCGACTACGCTGTTGTCGGGCCAAATCGGCGCAACCAGTTGTGGTATCTGGTTATAAGCGGCGCCCTCGTCCAGATGCGTCGGCCGTTCGCTATAGCGCGGTATTTGACCGGGCCCCACAACCTGGACAGTGTTTCCACTGGCGTCGCGGACTGTTGCTGTTTTCGGGCCGCCCATGAACTGCTTCATGACAAACTGCATGGCCATATACATGGCAACACCTTGGATGAGTGTTCGGAACATGGAATTCTGCGCAAGTGTCAGCTCAATTGGCAGCTCCTGAGTCTCGATGCACCGTTCAACATACTCCTTGCCGCTCCTGTTGTGCGGGCTGACCGCCCGCCTGTCCATCGTGCTCAGGCATTTTGACGGCTTGCCAGTAAACCAATCGTTCCTTAGCCGGTTGGTCTATGCAGTTCTGGCGTCGCCCGACTTTGGGTGAACGAGAACCATGTGTTTGGGGCTGAGGTTGCAGCAGAGGCGAAAGGACAGAGAAACCCGAAAGCGCGATGGTGAGCTGGATGACCAAGTGGGGCACTGCAACCCATCCATGATGTCTATGTATCCGTACCATTGTATATTGTATTATACAAGTATTCCGCACATGTATGCTTACCGTTATTCTTTCCGAGAGCATGTGATCACCCGCTTGACGACGCGCTTGGACCACGTACACTATTTACCAAGGCGTTCGGACCACTCGCTTATGATGCTTGACATAGGTCAGCATTCCTTTTCTTCGACCTAGTTGGTAGTTATCTGAACGCGAATGCTCATCAACCATTGCGACCTTGGCTACGCTACCTAGCGATGGCTTGCATCACTCAGAACATGCCCCCGACTCTTAGAACCTACCCCAACAGTGCGCCCAGGCCTCCCTGTGCCTGACATCGCCGGCCGGACACCCACGTGTATTACTCCGAGTCATAGGCGCTCCCCGTTTGGCGAATCCAGATCCTTTGCAAGCACCAGTGTGTCGATGATTGCGTTGCTCCCGCTTACCAACGCGAGACGCATACTTGATCAGGAGCTCGTAAACACGAGGGCGTAGAGCGCAGGCCCCGACTGTAAACCTTGCGGTTGCCGTAGATTCTGTTCTCCAAGGCCCGCATCCTTCCTCAATGGACTGAGTATGGCTAAGAGGTGTGGAAATGGCCCTGGCGCCCCGGGTCGAAGAGGGGCTGTGGTTGCCAGTGCTTAGGTGGAGGCCGATGTTCGTAGTACGTTGGCAGATGACGGCCATGTCGGGTGGCTAAGGTCGCTGCACTACGTCACGCCCTCGTATCGCCGGCCTCCACCCGTTCCCTTGATGGCATTCACCCGCGGGTGGTGCCAGGGACCATCTTTAAGGTTTTACGAGGTCTTATGGTCTCACCACGACAGGCATGACGGTGCGAGGTCGCCGGCTACTTCTTTCCTGATGAGTGCCGCAATGAGTGCTCCCTTGTGGCCAGCGTGTTGTCCTGGAGGAAACTGAAGAAACTGGTTTGCCTGATGTAGGAGATTGGCTCAAGCGCAGTCCTCACTAGTGGCAACATATATTAGCAACCAACTCAACTCATCTAAATGAAATGGAATGAGACTTACCCCTTAGATCTCGCCTGATATCCCGCTCCTCATTCACCTTCTTGGCATCGCACTCGCCGTCGTCGTTTAAACGCTGCGAGCTTGCTACGGTAGTGGTCGAGGGTCGGGTTCACGCTGAATTCGTTGTACGAGCTTCCATATTGGAATTGAAAGCCGGCCGAGATCAAGAAGTCCGACTTGAGAGTGGCCGAGAGCTGGTTTGAGATACCCTCACGAGCGGTTTCGCTAGGGTCGTAAACGCGGTTCGGTTTATGGTATCGACGAGTTCGCGTATCTATAGCAACAGTGTCAATATGATTCCATGGCCGCCCACAATCATTGTCCGTCCCTCACCGTTATCAGAAAGCTTATGAATGACGGTGTTATGGTTCCAACCCTCGTCTGTAAGCTCCTTTACGATACGGTTTGGCCTAGATCTGTAACCGTAATTTTGGACAGGGCGTGGGTATGTACAAGTACAATACATCACGGCGCCCTGCAACACAGCCAGCTGGCCTGAGCATCTGAGACCCCATTCTTCGGGCGGGGATAACGTTACCACAGTCGAGCATTGTACCTGTCCGAGTCCAATGACCAGGGGCTGCCCAACCAAGAACCTCTCGCCGGCTCCTGAGCAGCACGCCGGGTTGGGCTGCTGAGTTGGAGCCACTGCATTATGTCAAATAGGGTTCGGTAATTTCCTCATTTTGTTGGAAAGACGTATTTTCTGAAAAGGCCTGTTTACGACATTTCCGCCAAGATTTCACCTTCCATAATGGACAGGCGGTATGAGCCCCGGGTTACGGTTGTCTTAGCCCTTCACGCCCCTCGTTTTCTACCCTTTTTCGGGCGCTCAGCCAACTCTCCTAAAATGTCACACCGTAACAACACACCAGAACTTTACCGCCACTAATAAAATCACTAAAGCACTATAAATCTATTACGGATATAGTTTATACCATTCTATATAGGGGGCTAGATAGGTTAGCCAATGGAAGATCTTCTATATCTATGTAGACCCACCTATAAAGGCTGTAATGGAAATTCAATGGTCTCTCGGTAATGTCACATTTCCAAATTTGGGTTGTATTTCGGAATTTGTCAATTACATTACCGAACCCTAATGTCAATGGATACTATTAGCCCCGCCATCAAGACCTGGATCCACGGTGAGCTGAGTAAAGAAGGCAACCGCAATCAGTGATGGAGCAACAGGAACCGGCGGGTTAGCGCCCGGCGGATGTTTGTATATAAGGCAGAGCCTACCTTCCCATGCCAACCAGGAACTTAGTATGCTTTTCTCGGCCTTACTCCATTCACCGTCGGTTGGCCGCGCCCCCCATTCGATCTGAAACTCCCACAAGGCATCTTGTCCGACCCGTCCCTGGTGTCCGTGACTGATCTTCGACCACCGAGAGAGACATACGTGGCACTGCCCTGCCTCTCACCAAGTGACTTGGCCAGTGAGTCGACACAAGTCGAGTATAAATTTCACATCTCTGTCATACCAGGGCGGGAAGCACAAATATCTCGGACCCGGTATCCCCAGTGGCCTCCTTTCTCCCAGTTCTCTGCGAGCATAATGGAATCCGGCGGCGCCTCCCCGTTCCCGGCGGCGTCGCGCACATGGACCCCCGCCAGCGCCACGCCCAAGCGGACGAAGATCTGTGTCTACTGCGGTTCTTCTGCGGGAAACAAGCCCGAACATGTAGAAACCGCCCGCGCCCTGGCCAGGGTCATGGCCGCAAACAACATCGCGCTGGGTGAGTCACGCAACGCAGCGTTGTAAATCACGCCATCATCGCGGAGCCTAACACGTACCTTGCTATCCAGTCTACGGGGGCGGCACAGTCGGGCTCATGGGCGAAATCGCAAAGACGCTGGTCGCACTCTCTGGGCCAGACTCGGTGCATGGCATCATCCCCGAGGCGCTGGTGCGGTACGAGCGGGATCCGACCTACACGTCGAAGCAGCTGGACGGGGCCACGGGCGAGCACCTGGCGGTGCCGGAAGAGGCCGTGTTTGGGCGGACGACTCTTGTCAAGGACATGCACACGCGGAAGCGCATGATGGCCCAGGAGGTGCTCGAGGGCGGCCCCGGCAGCGGCTTCATCGCGCTGAGCGGTGGTTACGGCACCCTCGAGGAGTTGTTTGAGACGGCCACGTGGAACCAGCTGGGCATTCACAGCAAGGGCATCTGCGTGCTCAATATCAATGGCTTCTACGACGGGATCCTGTCGTGGATCCGTAAGAGCGCGGAAGAGGGGTTCATCCACGGGGACAACACGCGCATCCTGGTCGAGGCGAAGACCGCCGAGGAGGCCATCGAGGCGCTCAGGAATTACAAGGTGTCAGAGGCAGTATTCAAGCTGTCCTGGGGCAAAGAGTAGACTTAGACCAGCTTAACGGGCTCTTCGCCTTGCCAATTAGACAGAGCCGAAAGTGATACCATCCTTGGCTCTCACTCCCGGTTCAATTTTAGACCTTTCGGCTCTAGCCAGCCCAGCGAACCGCGGAACCCGATAATTCGGCACCACGGCTCTAAAACGTGTCGTACATGGCTTCGGCACGGGAACATAGTCCTCTGCGCAGGCGCTATATTCACGCCATCGCAGTCTGTCTGTCCGCTTATGAATCGACTTCCATGCTCTCACCCTCGGCCGCGGCCGCCCCTCCCTCCGCACCGCCCTCTTTGTCATCCGCCACGCTCTCTATCCACGCCACCACCTCTTGGCCATCGTACACCCGGAAGGGCTCGATCTTGATGCTGCCGTCGTCCGCCTTCACGATGCCCGAGACACCAACGCTCGTGTTGTCCACCGTCAGCTCGCGGTCCTGTACCAGGCTCTCCTTGAGGGCGCGCAGGCCGTGGCGGATCAGCTCCTCGCGGTCGCAGTCGGCAAACTTGTCGATGTTCTTCTCCAGGTAGGTGCGCGCCATCTGGGATCGGGCGCCGATCGCGAACGCCACCATTTCCTCGGTCATGCCGCTCGGCTGGAACTCGAACAAGTGCGGGCCCTGCTCGTCGACGCCCGCCACCAGCAGGCCGACGCCGTAGGGCCGCTTGCCGTAGTGCTGTGTGTTGACCTGCGCCTTGGAGCCGATCATGTCGACCAGCGTCCGCACCGGCATGTTGCGCCCGTACGTGAGCCGATGGCCCAGGCACTGCTGCTTCATGAAGTTGGAGAGCACCCGCGCGTCCGACGTGAGCCCCGCGATGGCGATGCCGACATGCTCGTCGATGGGGAAGAGCTTCTTTTGGTAGGATGAGAGTTCTTCGGCGTTGCGCTGGAGGAGGACAGCTGTTAGATGGGGGGGAATGATCGTCGTGGAAGGGGCCCCAGGAGAGAAGTGACCGCGAACCTTGATTGCTACCAGCACGGCATGTGTCTTGCTCGCGATCCCTACGACCACTGATCCTTGCTTGACTGCCTCTGCTGCATACTCGACTTGGAATATCCGCCCTTGCGGGGAGCTGGGAGGGTGGTTAGCGGAGGTCGAGAATAGCAGCCCAAGACTCAGATGGCGGGGATCAGACTGCAGCTTACAATGTGACGGAGTCGTTGTCGTAGTTGTTTCTGAACATGGTGCCGGTCGCTGCACTTCAAATTGGCAGACACTGAATCGTTCGCTATCGTGGTATCCGTTGAGAAACGCAGACCGTCTCACAATACAAATTGTTTGCGGGATGTAGAGGGGGGATCGCGGTCCTTTGGATGGAGCTTGGTTTCGCCGTGAGTGCTAGGCAGCTCCAAGCTGCGTCGCCCTGCAAGTGCCAAGCCCAGACAACGTCCCTTGGACCCGATATTGTAAAACCTCGCCTATGTGCATAAAGATTAAGAACAGCTAATACTGAAGTGGTTAGCGTGCTACTACTAGGCCTCAGCTCGGAAACCCACCAAGGCTACCACCGGGCCTGGTTTGCAGCTCCGCCGTCATCGCCAGCATCGCCAGCCGCCAACATCCGATCCATGATATCAAGCCGACAACCCACAATTGCTGCTTCACGATCGCTTCATACTCACGAACCCTTGGGACTACTCTAATGACAGGGACTTCCAAAGACAGATCGACTCTTTGATACCCACCAACCGAAGCCGCTCAAGGCAGCGCTACTCTACCTCGAGGCTTACGAACTTAGGACACACACACACACACTCACACACCTTTCCCCGTATCGACTTGCATCCGGACGACGCAAGCTGGAAAGCCAACAAGCCGGTGTCGAGTATCGAGATAGGACAACAAGCAAAAGCCCAAAAATGCCGACAGCAGGCCTTAAAACGATAATCGCGCTCTCGTTCGTGCTGGCCGTCGGCTTCCTCTTGGTCATCCTCTCGTGCGCGCTATGGCACGCCTACTACCCACTGCTGGTCGTGGCGACCTACGTGCTGGCGCCCGTGCCCAACTGGATATGTAGCCACTGCGCGAACCCGGACGACTTTGTCGAGAGCTCGGGCGCGGCGGTGCTTGACCTGGGCCGGTTCTGCACGGGGTTTTTGGTGGTTATGGGCATCGGTACGTTTCCCGGCATACGGAAGACGGTTATTGTTGGATCACGCGTGGCATGATGCGAACAGTGGACTGACGAATGAAATGAATAAATGAAATGCAGCGTTGCCCGTCATCCTCGCGCACTCGAACCTCATTTCTATCCCGGCTATGATCATGTCTGTCATCGGGGGCCTGTTGATCTACGGGACGATCATCAGCTTTGCTATGTTCTTCCAAGAAGAGCAGGAGTTTTGAAAGGGGCCGAGTTAAAGGGTCGGTTGAAGAGGGTTCTCTAGGGTATTATGGCATGATGATGGGACCGGATTTGAAGAGCGAGTTCTCCTGGGCGGCATATTTCTCTCTATATGGGCTGTACAACGCGGCGCTCCATTTGACACATCACGGGCGGGTTAGGACAGCCTCTTTGCAGACACTATTCCTCAATGGGACCAGGAGGCCAGGGAGGTGTAAAGGCTGAGCGTCATATTGCACCTGGTCCTCTTTTCGAGCTTATCTATTCTTCCCAAACCATCCACATTACAACGCGTTAAAGCCTTGTATTTCCAATGCCGGCGTTGAGCCCAAACCTGTCTATGAGTGACAAAACGCCCTCATTCCCAATATTACTGTAACGCACCAAGAAGATACGTTGAGTATCCCGTTTCCATCCTCTCTATGCAATTTCCAGATCCTGATGAGAGGTCCCACTCTAACTCTTAAGTTCCCCTTAGAGCAACTCTTTATCACCGACACGCCTCCTCACCAAACACGCGCAGCGGCCCGGCAAGCTTCGTAAACATCTCCTCCCTCTCGCCCTCAGGGGTACTCAAGATGGTAACGGCCCCTCCGGCCCCAATGCGCCACACCTCATGCTTCTTGGGTCGCCCGTCCTCCCCATTCACCACAACCTGCTCATCATCATACCGGAATAGACTCCGGATCGTGACGCTCCAGTCGCCCCGCCCCGTCGCGCACATGTAGCCGACCACGCCCGAGTACAGGCCCCGCTCCTTGTGGCCCTCGATCTCCCGCAGGATCTCGCAGCTCCTCTTCTTCGGCGCGCCCGTCATGCTACCCGGCGGCAGGCTCGCAGCCAGCACGTCCAGCCCCGTGTACTTCCCCTTTTCATTCCCGCCCCGGGGTGGTGACGAGGGCAACTGCCCCTCCACGACGGTAATCATCTGGAACACGCTCTGGTACTCCTCGACGGCCAACAGCTTGGGGACGGTGACGTTGCCCGCACCGCACACGCCGTGCAGGTCGTGCCGCACCAGATCGACGATCATGAGGTTCTCAGCCTCCTCTTTGGGCACGTGCAGGATGCGCTCGGCCTCGGCCAGCGTCGGGACCGCCTCCGACTTGCGCACTGTCCCCTTCATCGGCCGCATCGAGCAGAGCCCGGCGTGGTCGTAGGTGAGGAAGCGCTCGGGCGAGGCGCTGACCAGCGTCGCCGAACCGATGCGGAGGTAGGAGGCGAATGGCGCAGGCTGGTGTTTGCGGAGGCGCTTGAAGAGCGTCCAGGACGGTGAGGCGCGGCGTAGCTGTTCTCGTTGTTGTTGCTGCTGCTGCTGCTGGTGTTGTGTTTTGCGTGGGTGAGGGACGGAGACAGGATTCAGGTGGGGTGCTTCCTCGCCCAGCGGCCGCGTGAGGGTGGTCTGATCGGTCAAGCAGAGCTCGTAGGACTCGCCGGCGGCAATGTACTCTTGGCAGGTTTTGACCTTGGCTTCGTATTCTTTCGTTTGGGGCGGCTGCACCGATGCGCTCATTGAGGGACGCCGCGTCTTTTCCGGGGAGTTGGAGGATGGCCGGCGTCGAGGGCGGTGCAGACTCCGGAGCTTGTCCGCTGTCTTTCCCACCCAGTTTTCTCGTTTATCCCCGCGCCTCGCGCTGAGGTGTTGGACGTGGATCAGTCCCAGCTCATGGTCCACGACAATGCTCTTGTGCACCCAAGCCAGAAAGACATCGGGCCGGCGGTGCGCACGCGGCTGCTCTATGGGAACGCCAATGTCGCTCAGGCCTTGTTCGTAGGTGATGTAACCCATGAAGCCGCCGATGAATGGAGTGGACGATGATTCCGCAACGGGCATACGCCTTGCTTCGTGGAAATGGGCAAGCAGACCCCAGATGCTGCCGTACCGTGCAAGCGACACCTGCTCTGGGACTACGGCCGAGCCTCCGACAGCCCGAACCGAGATGGTGGCGTAGGCATCGCCAACGTGGTACTCGATACGCGTGGCCTCGTCCAGGCAGACCGCAATGATGCTATACCGCCCACGGACATCAGCCCTGGAGGTCTCCGATGCCGCATTGGACGAGTCGAGGATGATCTGCTCGGAGCAGTTAAGACCGATCGCCTCAACGATGTCTGGAACCTCCAATCCAGGCCGCAGCGGCACCGTCTGAGACCGCAGCACAGGGTTCAGAGCGTCGGCATACTCCCACAACCATTCCGTACCGCCGTCATGCCCGCTTCCAACACGCTGCTGGGAGAGCAAGCTCGCTTTCGTGGCCGCTCTTGCCCATCCGTGCCCATCGGTCACAGCTGTCCTCTCCCTCGACTCATTCCACCTCTGTGCCTCGCGGAACCAGTTCAAAACGACCTTGTTCCCCTCCTCCTCGGTGCACACGGATTCCGGATGGTACTGAACGCCCCAGAACGGCTTCGTCCTGTGCTTGACCGCCATGAGGATCCTCTCCTTCCTCCCGTCCTCTCTCTCCTCCTCCGCCCAAGCAAGCGGCAGCAGATCCGGACACCCATCGAATGCCCTCCACCTCGCCGCCTCCCACTCCTCCTGGCCAACAACACCACCACCACCACCACCATTCTGCCCAATATCCCCGCACAAACTGTGATAAAGCGTCGCCCTGAACCGCCCAACCCCGCGGAAGATATCCCCAATCGCGCGCCCATCCTGATGATCTCCGCGATGAACAATCTCCCTGACCATACCATGCAAACCCCTGCGCAGCCTGCCCACCCGCCCGCCGTGCGCGCTCACCAAGCTCTGGAACCCGAGACACACGCCGAGAACGGGCAGCATCTCGCTCTCTGCGAGCCGCCACACGCACCCCATGAGCCCGACATCGGCGCCGTTGTCCGGGTGGCCGGGCCCCGGGCCGCACACGAGCGCGTCGTACCGCCTTAGCTCGGCGACGAATCTCTCTTCTCGAGATGGCGGGGCAGGAGAAGAAGAAGAGGAAGAGGAGGCAACTGTGTCATGGTCGTCAAGGAGGAGGGGATCGTCGATGGCGAGGACAGACACGTCGGCTTCCAGGAGGGTGGTCAGGAGGGAAGTGATGTTGTTGGAGAAGGAGTCGTGGGCGTCCAGGAAGAGGATGCGGGGCCGGCGCATTGTGTTTTCTTGTTCTCTCCCCCCCCCCCCTCCCGCTTTGCTTATATCGCCTTTCCGCAGTGCGCCCCTGACTTAGCACGCTCTCTTGGGCGCTCGTTGTCCGATTACGTTGCTCGGGTTGGTAACTGAAGTCTGATGCAACAATACCGAATTGTCTCATACCACCAGGAACAATTCAACAAACTCCTGTCAACCCAGAACAATAATGCGGTCCGATGAAATTACTGGGGAGGAGTAAGCATATTAGCAGCCGGTACGCAAATGAGTGTCATAGAGTTCGCATATTGAATGACCAATGGCCAGAATCATGATATGAGAGAGAAGTGGCAATAGGTTGTCGAGCCTTTTCATCTACTGTGTAAAAGAGCAAAAAGCATAAGCCGGTCTTTGCCGTCCTCATAGACAACCCTAACCCCGGACCTAACGTTCCTCTCCCCATAGTACTCAACATAGTTTACCTACCTGATTCAACACCGGATGAAACAAACAGGGGCCGAGCTGTGGAATAACATCACTCAATGAGCATTGTAATTCAAGGCAGTCCCGTCGGATGCATTATCCAACCAACCCCAACCAATGCATGAATTATACTCATTCAAACACACTCGCCCCTCTCCCATCCATACAAACCCTAAACCCCGTCCTCTCTCTAGCCCACCCGATCTCTAACAACCAACCGACAAGGCCGCCTGGCATGCCACACCCTGCGCTCCCTCTTGCCGAGCGCGGCACCCAAGATCATAACCTGCGCCTCGGCCTCGGACTTGCCGCCCTTACGCCTGGCCTCCTCCTCCTTCTCCCTCTCCTCCCTCGCCCGCTCGTCCGGATCGACCCATAACCTGGTCTCCTCCACGCTCGCCGCAATCTCAAACTCGCCCCTGCACAGCGCCGTGATGCCCATGGCCACCTCCTCCGTGCCGCCGTTCCCGGGCAGCAGGGGTAGCGCCTGCTGCAGGTTGCCGTTCCACGCGAACTTGGCCATCTTGCGCGTGAAGTCGAGAGACACGTTGAACGGCCGGTGGCACAGCGCCGGCGTGAGCCGGAGCAGGGGGTAGACGGGGCGCGCGGAGCGGTTGGTCACGCGCACGCGCAACTGGAGGAACTCGTCAACGGCGACCAGGTATCGGCCCGAGTCATTGCCGCCACTGCTCAGGGCCTCGCCTGTGGCCGGGTCCACCACGGCGAGGTCGATGTCGACATCGTCGATCTTGATGGCTTCGATCATGCGGGCAGTGAGCCGTACGGCGCGCACCTCGATCTCGCCGGATCGCCGGTGGTGGTGGTTGCCGGAGGGGGCGGTACGCCATGTGGCGCTCAGCGTGTCGAGGACCTTCTCGCGGTACCAGAAGGCTTCGCGGCTGGCGCGCTCAACCTCCGGCGAGATCTTGGTGCTGACGACGAACTGGCGCTGGCGGGCTGGGTTGAGGGCCGGTATGAAGGCGTGTGGGTCTTCGAGGTAGACGCGCCTGATGGGAAGGACGAGCCGGGAGGTGTTGCCAGGCAGGATTTGCTCCTCGACTTGCGCACCGTCGGAAGACGTGAGGGTAATGGCCATTTGGCTTGGCCAGGAATTACGGAGGTCGAGGAGCAAAAGGCAGTGAGTGTCTGGTGTGAGTTCAGACGACGGATCTGTCTGATGGCGGGTGACGCGGGACCACAGTGGCGCAGGGATGCTGCTGGTGAGCGGGAGCACATCCACCCGCGTGATCTCGACGCTGGCGTTGACAGTGACGGTGAGTTCCATCGACACTTGGCGCGTGTAGAACTTCTCAGCCACCTCATCGTGCGGCATACCAAGGTGCGCGTAGTCCACCTGGATGAGCCCGTGCGTAAGACCCGGTCTCCCAAGGATCTCGAAGTCAAAGGTAGCCGTTCCACCTGGAGGAATAAACCGCTTGCTATTATCACGGTTCCGCAGCCGAAGCGGGTGTTTCTTAGCAAGCACGAGCTCGTACTCGTAGAGTTCGGAAGCCGTTGCATCGCGGTTGTTCAGCGCCAACTGTAAGGGCTCCTGGGTCGAGTCTTTGAAGGAGAAGAGCAAGAAATCCACGGGTGTTGTGGGAGAGAGGTTCTGTAGCGTGACCGAGAAGCATTGCCGCTCCCCCTCCAGGATCATGACGGACGACTGGGGAAGCGTCGACGACTTCACGACCACGACAGGCTGCGGGGCAATGACGTTGAGCTCGATGTGTTCCGGCTTTAGACGCTGGATAGCTGGTGACACAGCCGCAGCATTTACATCGAGTGCGCCCAGCCCGATCGCCTTGATCCTGACCTCATCCTCAGGTGCCCAGGGATCCGCGAAGATAGGGAACCTTCTCTCCCGGCACCCCCGCACCTTGACCATGGCGCCCGTGACCTTGACTGTGCCTGCACCTTTTGGCGTCCCCGAGATCCTCATGATCTGCGTCCGGTAGGGCCCAATGACGGTAGCCTCCACCGCGGATTCAAATTCAACCCCGTCCGTGTCAAGCCGGATACTCTCCAGCTCGACTTCGATCTCGTACGGGTTCTGGAGAGTCAGTCTAAAGTTCGCCGGTTCGCCGGCTACCAGTGTGCGGTCGACCGTCGCTGTGTCGGGCCGCTTCAAAAAGGGGTTGTAAATAAAGGGGTCAACATCTTGGGAACTCCTGGCTGTCGTTATTCCCGGAAGAACCGTCTTGGCATGATGAACGGGCGTCCTCGTCGGCGGTAGCGCCTCCAGCGTGATGCCTCGGACGAGGAACTCATCCCAGTACTCGGCCGTCAAGGGTCCCATTCCCAAGCGGAGAGACAGATTCGATGTCTTCAGGATGTTGCTGACCAGGCGGGCCTGCTCCTCCCTCGTGATGGAAGGGTAGGCATTTTCCCTTCGCGGGCCAGGGGCAATGCCGCTGCCAGCCGTGCGAAGCAGGTCGCTCGAGTATTTCAATACTCCTGCAAAGTCCGGCAAAGCCTCTGAGAAGTTGATGCAGGCCCGGAGGATGTCGAGTTTGACCCCTTGCATACCAAAGAACCTTGCGGCGGACTGCTTCTGGATCCGCGTCATGACGGCCTCATCACAGTCGTCTTCCGGTTTCCCTGTCGCGTTGCCGGTAACGACTCCGTACGTCTTGAGCAACAGCCCCAGGAAGGGCCCGATGCCGTGCTCGATGTCTCCCTCGGCAAGTTCCAAAGCACCACCGGCCCCTTCCCGAGCACTGGCGCCGTTGAGTCCGGCCAGCCCCGCAGCCGGATGGATGCCAACATCAGCCGCGCCTCTCGTGCGGGCCTCGACTAAGCCGCCCACGAGGACCGAGACCACTTCCCTAATAACCATGGCCTTCTTCCTCTGAAAGCCGAGATGCCCCAGCAGCGACGCTATCCCGCTGAGGATGACGACTCGGTCGATGGTGGTAAGGAGCTCGGAGGAGGATGCCGGAAACGCTCTGAACAGCGTCGTGACGATCTGCGTCCGGGTAGGCTGGATGTTGAAGCGAGGCGACGTGGTAAGTGGTGTCTTTGGTGGACGACCAAAGACAATCATGTCCAAAGACTCGGGACAGAGCCTACCATTGGCGGTGTGTATGGCGGCCTGCATCCTACAGAACCTGATGATGGTCTCGGAAAAGGGCAGAGGGGGTAAGTGCTCGGCCGATATTCTCGAGTAGAGGCCGGTGATGCGATCGAGCAATTCCGGCATGTGCACCTGGAGGTTCCGCAGCCATCGAGGTTGGTTTGAATCTCGCGCTTCGGCTTCCTGGATCGCAGTAGCGATGCTCGAACTCTTGTCGTGCGGCGGAAGCATCACGGTGGGGACCTGAAACTCGATACCTGCCCAGCCCAGCAGCAAGAGGCAGACGAGGGCCAGCTCTAGGGCTTTCCCGTGCCAGAGATGGTCATTAATCGACTTTGCCACAGTTGCTGCATCGGCGAGCTCCTTGAGCGCGTTGCTCCACAGGCCAGCCTGGAGATAGAGCGATCCAACTACGACCTGGACCCGGCACCTTCCCTTGCTCCGCCACCGGTCGTTGAGACCGCCGGAGCCAAAGCCTTGAACCGAGACGCGGTCTTGGCTTTGCGTTCTAAACCCGTCAACCACATCCGGTCTTGAATGGCCGCTCTGTTCGGGGCTCGTTGGGGCTTCCATGGGCCCAATGATGCTATCGAAGGTGGAGGGCGGCGATGGGAGAGGCTTGTTGCTGCTGAGAGGTGTTGAGGGCCGAAGTGGAGTGGAGCTGGAACTAGTCGAGGTAAACGGTTGCCCCTTTGAGTTGACTACGGGCGGCATGGACATGCGCGCGTGGTGGCCCCTGTCCGGTAATCCACTTGTAGAACTCGACCGGTTCACGGGCAACGAGAACTGCGAGTTTCGCCTAGAGAAGGCGGCAGTCTCTTCGGCGCCGTGCTGACGGGCTGAAGACTGTCCTGGAGAGTCTATGAAAGACATACCCTCGTAGGACTTGGCCAGAGTGGTCATCTCGGCCAGGATCAGGGCGGAGATGTCGCACATGACCGTCTTCATCGTGGTTCGCTTGAGCTGTTCGGGAGGGGGGATGGTAATGATGCCCTCGGGTATCGGCACGGGCTCTTCATTGGCCGGTTGGTAGTCGAATATTAACACCTGGTGGGCCAGAACCTTGGGGTACCGATCTCTCAGATCCTCCAGGTCCTGGTACAGTGTCCGGATGTTTGCTTCCTCGACAGTCTTGCCACTTGAGTGCCTCTTGCTAAAGACAACGTTGGGCAGTTCAGCTCCGTCCGCCACGGCGATTACGGCGAGAGGCTCGCGGAAGAGATCGAACGGCGAGAGGGAGAGGTGCGACGGCGGCGGATGATGCGTCATGAGGTCGTAGAACATGGCGCCGTCCGGGAATGCGAGGGGCGAGAACATGTCTACATATTGGACGGTCAGCAAAGGCGTCGAGGGCGGCTTACGACGGACCCCTTACTCCTGTGTGGACGGCCATCGGGGCTGACATCGCGGAGGAAGACGACACTCTCGGCATTGAGGCGGTCGACGAAGGCGGTGAAGCGCTCGTGTTTGATGTGGCCGATGGGCAGGACCAATGCTCTGACCCTCGCCGGGGCGACGGGCAGAAGAGGGTCGAGAATCATCGTTGGCCGCCGTTCATCTCCGACGAGTCGAAGTCGCGCTAGGAATCAGGGAGAGACGGTCAAATCAGGGGCAGGAACATGTTGACCGCAAGCGGCAGCGCTGCTTCCAAAGACGCGCCCACTGCCTTTTCTGTATGAACCGAATGTCCCCAGTGCCGCAGGTGCCGGTTCGAGTGCGAGGGCGCAGCGCCGCTTTGTTTCAACCCTGTGATGCGTGATAAGAGTGTCCGTGCAACGTGAGATGTCGAAGTTTCCCAAATTCGGCCTCAGAGATCGGTGACGGCGAATTGGCCCTGCAGCTGCCGCCTGCGCGGTCTGGGGCAGGCTCGGGTCTCGGGACGAAGCTATGACCACTCAGGGCTATGATTGGTGTGCTGCTTCCCCCCGGCCAAAAGATCCAGGAACCCCTGCGCTCCTGTATGTAAGTCTACACAGTAGGTTCACATGTACCTTACCTGCCTTATGTATTGTGGCTTAACACCGGCCGGCCTCAAACTACCTTATTAGGCAGGGCTGGGTGCAATCATAGAACTTCGGTTAATAAGGTACCTAGGTAGGTAGCTAAAAATCCCATTAGTCTGACCTCGGCTCCAGGCTACGAACCGTCATAATTCCATACTATTCCAGTACGTTCAACAATATATGTACGGCTAGTAGAATATGGTATCAAGCACTGGCACCCGAGCTGCACCTTTTTCTCAACCAGAACCCACGTAATAACCTCTGCTCCGCATATGATGAACCGTCTCCGGTTCCTAGATCTCAGCATATCTGGTACATCTCTCATGCAATGACCCCATTAGCCTTCAACTTATTCCCGACACAGAACCCTGGGCAGCAGCCTCAATCGTTGACCCTCCCTGCCTGGCCTCGGCATTGAGCTCGCTCTCAAAGATATCCACGGCCAGGCTAGCCTCGACGAAATCTTCTAGCTCCTCCGTCACCGTCTTGAGCTTCTCCTTGACCGCCACGGCGCCCTCGAAGCCCACGATATGCCTCGCCGGCGGGTTCTCATGCCCCCCAATGGCCGTCAGTGCATGCACCGTCTCCATAACCAACTTGTCGTAGGCCGCCGCCGGCAGGCGCGGGTAGCGATACTGGATCTCACTCTCGGACGGCTCAATGGCGGTCTCAGGGTTGGCATTGAGCACGTTGCTAAGCATCTCGCGCATGCTGGGCGCCGGGCTGATCTCGGCGTCGTAGAATGGTAGCTGTGGGGCGAAGATGACCTTGTTGGTCAGGGTCTGGATCTCCTTGTTGGGCTGCACGATGGTGATTTTTATGTTAAAAGGAGCAATCTCGTACGCGAGGGAGTCGCAGTAACCCTCGAGGGCCCATGTGGCGGCCGAGTACATGGGCATGCAGGGCGTGGCGATGTGGCCGCCGATGCTGGTCAGAATCATGATGTGCCCCGTGTGCTGGGCGCGCAGCTGGGGCAGCGCGGCTTTGATGAAGTTGATCTGGGAGAAGAAGATGGTGTCGAACTGGTCGCGCACGAGGTTGCGGGTCGCCGGCGTTGCCGAGAGCTCTTCGACGGTGCCGATGACGGCTGTGGCAACGAGCGATTAGCGATCTTGGATCGATGATCCATCTCTTGTAAGACTTCGGTGAACTCGACTCACCCTCGAACTTGCACAGGAGCAAAATGTCTATCCTGCCAAACACCTGCACGGCCTCGGCGACAGCGGCACCGCACTGGCCCATGGCGCGGCCGTCGCAGCGGATGGTGCGGATGCGGTCCTTCCATCCCTCGCGGTCCTTGCGCGTGCTCTTGCATTCGTTGACCAGCTCGCGGAACTCGGCGCTCCGCTCCTCATCCTCAATCTCGGCGGGCGGCAAGCAGGCCACCACGTAGTCGCCGTGCGCCAGCAGCAGCCGGATCAGCCGGATGCACAAAGGCGAGAGCGATGAAGTGAGGAACCACGTGCGCGGCGAGTTGTGTGTCGCTGCGCCGTCCATTAGTAGGTGCCGGGTACCGGGAAGGGAGAGGGAGCAACAAGGAGTGGGGCCGGGGTTGAGGGGTGGGCGTGTGGCACGGGAAGGATGTAGATGGGAATCGCTTACGGAATGAAGCCGCTGGTGTCGAGTGCGCGTGTCGAGACGGCCCAGCTTCTGCCGTTCTTCTCTCGGCCATAGGTGCTGCCCGTGATGGAATAATAAGCGATCTGGCCGGCAGACCTGTAGACGCTGGTAGTTCCTCGACAGTCAGTCAGCTCCGTTGCGCGGCTCGATTGCACACTATCCGAAGCGCGCTCCGACGGGCCGTTATGTCATAGCACTGGGCTGCAGTGAATATCCCCCAGTGGACGAAAGTGAGACGAAAACAGCTGCTGCATTACATGGGGCAATGTTCGGTGAAGAATCTTGTGACGGCGATTTGTCTATCATTTAAGCATCGAGAGAGAGCATTCATGGATATCCAAGGTGAAGACCACCGAGATGTCGGGGACAGGGTCACTTATACACTGAGGCTGCGGTTGGCGTTAGTGGATATCCTTGCTCCTTAGCGCCTGCGATTCTCTCCCAACCGTTAACGTTAGGCCCAGCAAACTCACCTAGTCATTACGGTAGGATGCCCGGCAGATTGATCGGCCGAGGCCTGAGAGTCGGACAAAAGTCCGGTAGGCTGCCGAACTCAGCCAAGAAGGTGAGCGTGTCTGCCTTTAGCCTTGAGATCCAGGCAAACCCAAAAGATTTTGACTCCTTCAGGGAAGGGAGGGGATGTCGACGAGGCGAAAGTGAGCGCAGGAACACTCTGAACAGGAAATGCCCGTCTCCACCACCCAAACATGCGTGCATCTCTTAGTCAATGAACCAATACCGCACCACTCTTCTCGCGGACTCGAGGGTGATGGCTAGCGGTCGATTTATCGTGCGAGACATGACTTATGTTCCAGAGCCAACACAAGTCTCGGCTGTCAGATATAACCTCCGACTTACCGCGCCCGTCCCATCAGTTGCCCTGCCCCACCAAATGAGAGACAAAAGAACTTGAAGAGTTAGAGACCATCCTGCGTCTTCAACAACCAAAGGTGTCAGATAGGATAAAAGAGACAGGGGAATCTACCTATTCTTCCTTCTCGCCCTAGCCTATGCGGAATTCAGGAACCTCGACCCGGAGCTGGCACCTACTAGCCACCAGATGTTTTGGGGCCGGGAGTCGGGACGAATTCCTAGCCCGCTCGCCTCACAGCTGCATGGTCCCACCTCCCACGCATTCGGCATGCCGGACCCCACGGAGCGGCACCTTATAACCCCTGTTAAAATTCGCAGAAAAAGGCTGGGGAAGTCCCGTGTTGAGTCACGTCATTTGCAGCGGCGGCTTGCCGACACCGGGGAGCGGGAGACGCATCGGTTCTCACCTTTTCCCACCCGCTCCGATTCGGGCCATGCGCCCATTGGTCAGTTGGTCCATTGGATAGGAGAAGGGGGCGGCAGCATGGAAGTTCCCGGGCCCTGCGGGGTCCACACCCAGACGACTCATTGAGCCATGAACGAGGGTCCGCGACATCTGAGAACATCTGAGTCAGAAACGGGATTGTGCGAGTCTTTTGACAGTTGGTTGACTCAAAGGTTGAGTAGTGGGACGTGTTATAAAAGGAAGGCCAAGGGGAAGACTTAAGGGAAAGCCAACAACACTCTCTAGCCTCCAGCAAGAGAGAGAGAGAGAGAGAGAGAGAGAGAGAGAGAGAGAGAGAGAGAGAGAGAGAGAGAGAGAGAGAGAGAGAGAGAGAGAGAGAGAGAGAGTTAAAAAAGCAGCAAAATGCCTACTCGTGCCGAGATCACCTACTTCGGCGCCGGCCCGGCCGCCCTGCCGACCGATGTGCTCGAGACGGCCGCGCAGGCGCTCCTGGACTACAACGGCACGGGCCTGGGCATCGCCGAGCACAGCCACCGCTCGGAGCTGGCCACCAGCATCATCAACGAGGCCAAGGCCGACCTCGCCAGCTACCTGGACATCCCCGTCGCCGACTACGAGGTGGTCTTCATGCAGGCCGGCGGGACCGGCGAGTTTGCGGCGTCCGTCTACAACCTGGTGGGCGCCTGGGTGGCCCGTCAACACGCCGCCGTCGTCCGGGAGCTCGGGGGAGCCGGCGCGGCCGACGACGCCGTGGTGGCTGCCCTACGCGCACGCGTCGAGCAGGACCTCAAGCTCGACTACGTTATTACGGGCAGCTGGTCGCTGAAGGCCTACCAGGAAGCCGTGCGCCTGCTCGGGCCGGAGTACGTCAACGTCGCGGCCGACGCGCGCACCATCAACGACGGCAAGTTCGGCAAGATCCCCGACCAGAGCACCTGGAAGCTGAGCAAGGACGCCGCGCTGGTCTACTACTGCGACAACGAGACGGTCGACGGCGTCGAGTTTCCGGAGTTCCCGTCGGTGCTGGCGCCGAAGGCAGGCGCGGAGGGCGGCCCCGTCGTGGTGGCCGACATGTCGAGCAACATCCTGTCGAGGCGGGTGCCCATCAGCAACTACTCGCTGCTCTTCTTTGGCGCGCAGAAGAACCTGGGCTGCACGGGCGTGACGGTCGCGGTTGTCAAGAAGAGCCTGCTGCCGCCGACGACGACGCAGCCGAGCCCGGCGCTGATGCGGAAGCTGGGCCTGCCAATCCCGCCGATTATGCTGCAGTATGAGACGATCGCCAAGAATAACAGCTTGTACAACACGCTGAGCATTTTTGAGTAAGTCCCTTTTTTCTAGACAGGGCTGTTCAAGTAAGGAGGGAAAAGATGGACTAACACGTTGGCGCTCCCAGTGTGTACATCGCCGGGCAGGTGCTCAAGAAGCTGCTACGGACCTTCCCGGACAAGGTGGATGGCCAGCAGGCGGTAGCGGAGAAGAAGGCAAGCATCCTCTATGCCGCCCTCGAAGCGCACCCAGAGGTGTACCGGATCGTGCCGGACAAGTCAGTGCGGTCGAGGATGAACATCTGCTTCCGTGTGACCAAGGTGAGTAGCGTGCATCAGGACTTGATATGAACGACACAACCCTAACATCAATAGAATGGCAACGTCGACGAGGCCGAGAAGGCCTTCCTCAAGGAGGCGACCAGCCAAGGGCTAACAGGCCTCAAGGGGCACCGCAGCGTTGGCGGGATCCGGGCGAGCAACTACAACTCGATCCCGCTCGAGGGGGCAGAGAGGCTGGCTAGATTTATTGAGGCGTTTGCCAAAGCGTAAGGTACCTAAGCCATACCCTTTTGGCAGGACGGTACGATACCGGCGGGCGAGATGCCATTCTCACAGCACAGGGAAAAGGACCTACAGTTTTTCAACAAAGCGGATTTTGCATATACCACGATTAAATTGCAGTGCTCTTTCTCGTTCAACGCTTGAGCCAACCGAAAAAAGCATACCGTTCTCTTCATTTTCAACACGTACGCCTCATAGAGTTTGCCCCTTTCAGCAAACCACAGCCTTCCCGTCCCTCACTTTGCACCCTCCATCTCCTCCTTCAACCAACCCGGAATCTCGGGCGCTCGATCCCAGCCGCTGAGATACTCCTCCTTCCTCACGCCCGGCCCACTCGGCTTGGCGTAGATGCCCGTCACATACCACACACTCTCCCCCCTCTTCACCGTCCCCTGCAGGGTCGGGATCGTCGTGCGACTCTCGACCAGATTCGAGTTCGGGTCCGCATTCACCAGATTCGCCATCCTTCTTGCCACGCTCTTCCCCTCCAGCGCCTTGATCCCCACGGCGCCCGCCTTCAGCGACACAGCAAAGGCGCCCTCGGCGCCCTCGGCCCACGCCTCGGGCGTGGCCAGGTCATAGTTCCCGATCAGCTTGGGCCGCGTGCCCTCGCACTTCGCCTCGTCGTAGAGATCGAGGTACCGCCCGTCGGCGCGGCGCTGGTTGCTGATGGCAAAGGACCCGTCGGCGGTCATGACGTCGCGGCCCTCGGCACGGATGTGGTGGGCGCGGAGGTGCCAGTTGGGCGTGGCGGGCTGGGGCGGGATGAGGTAGGTTGTGACGTGCACGTCCGGGAAGGGGGACCAGCGCGAGACCAGGACGGGAACGCCGCCGCGAGCCTGGAGGGAGGATTCCGAGAGGCGCCGGGTCTTCCAGTACTCCCCGCCGTCGTCGGACAGGCCCAGCTGCGAGGCGAGCGCATACTGCTCGAGCGTGAAGAGGCCCGGCGGCACCGAGTAGCCGTAGGCGGAGGAATAGGCGAAGGCGCCGTACTTGGCGTGCGTGCCCTTCATCGGGTAGGAGCAGGCCTGGCCCGATGAGAGCAGCATGCAGTGGCCGCCGAGGTTGCTCATGATATGTCCCGGGTGCGGGAGCGCCTTGACCTTGGGCAGCACGTCCCAGTGGTTCTCCTCCGGGGCCGTCCAGAAGGGGTGCGTCTCCGGCACGGCGAGGCAGATGAAGGCCAGGCAGGCCCAGTACGGACTCCCTGGGCTGTTGTAGTTCTCGGCCATCTAAGTACCATCATCTGTCTGTGAGCATCTTCCCATCGTCCATCATCCAGCAACATTCTGGAGAAAACTGTGTCTGTCCTGGTACTTACATACATATTTGGGTACGAGTACCCAATGGTCAGGGTGCCGCTGGAACTCCACATGTCGTGCTGCGTCTGCCACCAGCGCAGATGGCGCATCACGATGCCCTTGACCATGCCCCAGGTCAGCGGCGCCGGCAGCTCGACGTCGGCGTAGGCGAGCGCGCCCCAGAACGAGACCATGGCGAAGCGGTAGCCGACGCTGCGGCCGAAGGGGATGGCCCGTCCTGCGCAGATTTATTATCAGCTTTTCTCCGTTTTCTTTTTTTTATTTCTTTCCTTATAGTATTGTTACTCTTCCTTACCTTCCTCGTCGTAGTAGTGAGCCAGATCAAGCGCCGCCATCTGCGCCCGCCTCCTGAACTCTGCCGCGCGCTCGGGCTCGTCCTCCCCGGCGAGCTTGGCGTAGAGCAGCTGGAGGAAGTGGATGGCAAAGCTGGACGAGTAGTAGTCCATCTCTGGCCGTCCATCATTAGCAGGGCCCGTCTCGTCAAGCAATTATTGGGCGAGGTAAAAGAAAAGAAAGAAGAAAGAAATGCAGGGGGCAAGGGGCAAACCCACGATGAATCCCCTCGGGCCCGTCATTCGACCAGCCCTCCCCGCGGTAGAAGGTATTCAGATGCTCGATATCCGCATCCAGCCGCTCCTGCGAGAACTTTCCGCCGTTCTTCTTCAGGCCCAGGTTCGCAAACACGCGGAACCAGAGCCAGTTCGTATTCGGCATGCTGGTCGTCACATGCATTAGCAACGAACTTGAAGAGAAAAGAAAAGAAAACAGATAAAAGAAGAGGAACAAAAAAGAAAAGAAAAAAGGAAAGAAAAACCAGAACTGACTTCTTCTCATTAATACTATTCCCCAACCACCCCTCCACGTTCCCCCTCTCGCGCTCACTCAACCCTGCCCAGATCTGCGGCGTCACGGCCAGCGCAAAGCCCAGGGGACACATCTCCACCATCCGCTGGTCATTGTCCCTCGGATAGCCCCAGTACTCCGGGCTGTCCGGGTCGGTGCCGGCGCGGATGCCGTCGATCCACCACTGCGTGCCGCGATAGCTGCCGCCGCCGGCCAGCAGACAGGCCAGGCCCCACAGCGGGCGGCAGAAGCCCTCGACCTCGGATGCCGTCTGGTCGAAGCGCACCGCCGTCGCCCCCGGGCAGCGCACGCGCGCCTGGAGCGGCGAGAAGAAGGGCTCGAGCGGGTCGAGCAGCGTGCGCAGCAGCTCTTGCACCGACGTCCGGTCCGTGAGCGAGACCGTCGAGAAGGGGTGCGCCGAGGAGTAGCCCAGGACCAGGCCTTGGCTGGGCGGGTGTTGGGAGGCCATGGGTGCTGTCGGGGTGTAAGTCAGGCTGGGTGGGTTGCGACGTAAGTACTCCTAGTAGTACTGCCCTTGAGGGACAGAGTCAAACGCAAAGATATAACCAACGAACGAAGGGGAAAAACATGAGTTGAACAAAATACGTATATACATATACACATATATATACTATCATAAGAACATCTCCGTCTGACACAGCCAATCCCATATTTCTCCGTCTTCCCAAGCCCGCCGTCCCGAACTAACACCCCATGGTGGAGCCGCCCGCTTCGGGGATAATGAGGGGTTTGCCGTTCCTTCGGGCCTTCGTCCGATCTCCCCCTCATCCCATCGTAATAAGGGTGGGGGTAACGGTTCGCGGCTAATGTCATTTGTGCCGCTTCTACGGACGTACATACTAGTCTTGTAACATCCGCTGGGGTGTGAAGCGTGAAGGTGACAGATGCCGGTGTTGCATCCCTGGCTTCGACTTTGAACTAAATACGTAGGTAGGTAGGGGATTGATGTGGAACCTGGGGAAGGGCAACTCATCGGAACATCCCACGGGCGGCAGCCAGCTGACTGATATTCAAGTTGGATTGTAACCTAGCTGATCCGCTAAACATTGAACCGATTGCCTAGCAGCCTCCATCCATAGATACATGGCTCGATACCCGCGCCCCTTGCCTTATTCCAAATAAAATGCCTAATGTGCCGGACAACGCGCCATGCCTTCCTTGCCTCAAAATGCCACGCCACCCATTTCTTTCCTCCACAGGAGCTCAGAACCTGAGCCCACGACGGCCGTACCCCTCTTTCCTCTACAGAAAGAACCCAAGTAAACATTACGTACAGTATAAGCCTGGGTATCCTTCCCGCTTGTAACACGGCCCGTACTCTTTCAGAGCAACTCAACTCCCACCATTCACAGCCAGCCCTTCCCCGTCCACGGGCACAGGCACGGGCACGGGCATCTCAACCCCGGCCGCCGCCGCGGCAGCAGCCATCTCTTCCAACCCGGGTGTAGGCGGCACCTCGCCGTCTCCAACACCACTACCGTGAGTGCCAACACCAGCAGCGACCGAGCTCTCTCTGCTGACACTCGTCCCGCCGCCGTTCCTGTCGTCATTACTCGCGCTCGACTGCGCCAGCTCGCGCCGCCGCCTCCGCATCCTCCGCTCCTCGTCCGCCGTCTGCCGCCTCGACCGCCGCAGGTTCTCCCTCTTCTCCGCGTCGGCCGGGTCGTCGGTCCCGTCCGCGCCGCTGCGCATGCCCTGCAGGAGCAGCGCCGCACGCTGTGCGACGTCGTCCTCTTCGCCTCCCGCGGCGTTTCCGCCTTCAGCAGGCTGATGATTCGCCGTTGCGGTGGGGCTGAGGAGGTCTGATTTCGCCTTGTCACCGTCTCCCTCTCCGTTACCCGCCGCGGCGGCAGACGCCCCTCCTTCTGAGGCGGCGCTCTGGACACCTTGCAAGCCCGTCTCGACCGACGGTAGCTGGTCGAGGTCGGGCATCTTCTGGCCCGACGCGATGCGCACCTGGTGCCGGTCCTTCAAGCGAGCACGTCTCCGCCTGTCGCGCTGGTCTCGGGCCTGCGGCGCCGCGGCACGGAGCTTCTCCAGCAGGCTGTCCATGGCGCCGGTGCTGGTTGGCGAGGCCAGGGGGCCCTCGGAGGCGGCCTGTGCTGCCTTGAGCGCAGCATTCTTGCGCTTCATGGACGCCTCGTTCTTGCGCCGTTGCTCCTCGAGCTGCACGTTCTTCTGGTGCGACTTCTTCCACTCGCTGATGAAGAAGGCCAGCTTGGCGAAGAAGTCGCGCCGCGCGTTCTCGTCGGTCGGGTCCTCGCCGTAGAAGGTCATGATGTCCTTGTACGTGCGCATCATCTCCTCCAGGTAGACCTCCATCTGCTCAGCCTTGCGCCGTGCATCCTTCATGCACCGCCCCACGATCTGAGCGACGCGGTCTTGCGGGTGGAACTTCTTGGGGTCCGAGAGGCTGCCCGAGTCGAGCGCCCTCTGCACGTTGTTGATGTTGTCGATGTACTTCTTGGCGTCCGCCTGCAGTTGCTCGATGTTGATCTTTTGCGCCGTCATGACGCCAGATATGTCCTCGATGAAATGCTCCCATTCCGGGTATTGGTTGCGGACGATGCGTTCGACGAGATCGGCCAGTGTCGACTGGTTCTTGTCGTCTTTGACCATGCCCAGCCGGGCAAGCGAAGACAGCTTGAAGCCACGGGCCTGCTTGTTGGGGTCATTCATGTAATTACCGATATCCAAAATGAGGCCGAGGACATTCATCAGGGCCACCGAGTCCCGAAGCGACTCGGACACGGAAACGACGTGGCGCATCTTCTCTGTGATCTCGTCATAGTCGGGCTCGAAGGTGCGTGTCATGGAGAGAGCCCGCATCCTACTCTTCCAGTAGTGCCGTAGTTCAAACGCGGTTTGCAGGTAGATCTGGTCCTGCCTAGTCAGTTCGGATGGGTCTTGCTCCCGGTTCTCCTTATTCGCCTCCGGGCCTGTCCAATCCTTGCTGTACGGCGCCAATTGCTTGGCCGTATTATCAGGGATATTGCAGAGCTCCTCTTTCTGCAGGAAGTCCAGGACCACCGAGTTATCGAGGACTTCGCTGTCGCAGTGAATGATCATCTGCACGACCCTCTCAACAGAATACTGCGAGAACTTGGCCAGGGCGATTTCTGCATACAATTGTGATTAGCACCTGTTCGTAGTCCTTGTGCCCGAACGGACACGGAGTCGACCTACCGAAGGCTTTTCGCAAATCGTTCGAGATGATCTGCTTCTTGTCGTCCTTCTTAGCTCCACCCTGGCCCAGCTGCTTTGTCTCCTTGGCCATGAACAGCTTTTCGACCTCGTCGAGGATACCCTTCCGACTGAGCTCGAGATACTTCTCTTCCCTTTCCTCCACCGACGGCGCGTGTGCGGCCCAATGGGTGGTAAGCGGTGAATCGACCTTCTCCCAGTGGAGCGCCTTGAGCTTCTTCTTCGGCCGGACAATTGACAAACCGAGCGATGGCGATGGCGTGATGTCCACTTGCCGAGACAAGAAATGGCCCGACATTGCACCGGGTAGTGGAGGCGGCGGCGGAGGCATACCCTTGGCTCCGGGCAAAGGCGGCGGCGGCGGTGCCCCGCCCATTGGAGGCGGTGCGCCGGGAAGCCTGCCGGGCATCGGTGGTGGGGGTGGAGGGGCGGGTCCGCCCGCGATCGGGGGTGCCGGAGGTGGCGCACCAGGGAGCTTGCCGCCAGGCGGCGGAGGCGGCGGAGGGGGCGGGAGAGGCGCGCCTGTCGCACCAGGTGCACCAGGGGCCGGGGGAGGCGCTCCTGGAATTTGGCCGGGCAATGGCGGCGGAGGTGGCGGCGGAGGTCCGCCTGAGACTGGCGGAGGTGGAGCAGACGGAGTCGTGTCGGTGACCTCAATCTTGGGTGGTTCGTGTTCGCTCGGCGTAAGAGGAGTCTGCGACTCCAGGCTTGGATGAGAGGGTCCGGTAGTAACACCGTCCCCTTCCTCCGAATCGCTGGCATCGTATTTCTTGACGTTGTCCTGAAGCTCGTTGAACATAGCAGCGGCTTTCTTGGGATCCATAACGGGCCGTTTGAGTTCGACCAGCCGAGGCTTCTCGTAGATGACGCCCTCCTCGTCCTCCGCTGTATCTTCGACCTCTTCTGAGACGCTCCCCGCCGCTTCCCGAGAGCGGACGGGTTTCCTGGGGATGCGTGTCGATCTCTTGACGCTGCCGAGCATACTGTTGGCAAAGTCCCTGGGCGGGCTGCCAGCCCCGAGGCCCCCGTCTCCATAGCCGTCCATCTCCTCCCGCAGGGCGCGCAACCGGTCCGACGGCCCAACGGCTTCGCCCCAGACTTTGCCTTCCAGCTTGTACACCGTCTTTTGACGCTCGAGCTGCATCTGGAGACGCTCCATGAGCCGCTCCCGGTCCAGAATGCCCTGCATGTGGGCCGGGTCGTCGTCGCCCAGTTTTGTCCCCTTGGCCGCATTCGACGCTGCGACGTCCTGTGCATCGCGAAGCATGAGATACAACTCACGCGTCTCGAGCTCGTACCGCTGTGCCTCCTTGGCTCTGAGGGTCTGCAAGTTCTCGAGCTCTGACTTGAGGCCCTCGGCTTGTCTCCTCTGCGCTTCGATGAACCTCGCCTGCTCGTCGATTTGCTTTTGCAGCTTCGCAACCAACCCATCCGCGCCCAATGCCAGTTTCTCCTGAAGCTCATCCCTCTCCGCCAGTGCCGCCTCGGCGATTCGCCGTGTCTCGCTTGCTTCTTCAAAGGCCTGGCGGGCCTCCGAGTCCGTATGCAGCTTGTCGAGCAGGCTCTGCACGGTGAAATTGAGGCTCTGCTTGAGGTCCATATCCGGCAGGCGCCGGTCCATCGCCACGTAGCTCAGCATTGAGTCGACGAGCTGGAACATGCGCAGGCGCTCCTCGCTGTCGTTCTCCCTGATAAGGAGCAGATGCTGCAGAGCCGAGATGAAGTAGTCTTGGGTTCTGGTCCCCTTCAGCCGCTGCTGGATCGCATCTACGATCTGGACCGGATCGTTGAGGTCCCTAACCTCTCCGTCTACGCTGTCCTTGATGCTGCTATTCTCCCGCTCGAGCATGTCCTCATAGTCGATAGCCTCGTTGGTCCGGAACCGCTCAATCTGCTTGTCGATGAGCTCATATTGGAAGGCCTCCATCTTGGTCAACATGCGCTTGATGCCGCACGCTGTGAACTGCGCCCGGATGTGCATACGCATCTGGAGGTCCTTCTCGGGGGCATCGATCAACATGTTGATCAAGATGAGCGTCGCGACGGCGTATTCCATCAACAGGTTCTCCATACCAATACCGCCGCTCCGTACCTCCTCGCTTGCGCCGACAAGGCTGCCCATCTTCCCTCGTCCATCGATAGTGACTTCGACGAGGCGCATCCAGGCATCGAACCGGCCGTTTTCTCCCTGCTGATTCTTGGCTACGTCCATAGCCTCGATCACCTTCAGATGCCCTTTCCCATCGGACCAATGGCAGAGGAAGGTCAAGACTTCGCTGACCAGCTTTCTCGTCGTGAGCCGGGGTGAGACGAGGGACGTGGCTAGGGCCACAAGAACCTGCTGGTGCGCCAGCGCATCGTCTGCCCCGAACTTGTTGTTCATCAATGCCTTGAGGCACTTGACGATATCGTACTCCCGGTCCAGGTTCTTGTCTCCCTTCCCCGACTCTGGCGCCGGACCCATGGCGGTCCTGCGGTTGATCTTCATGAGTACGTTGGTCAGAGCCACTTGGCCCTGGCACTCAATGAAGCGCTTTACCCAGCCGATTTGCTGCGTCCGCAGGTTGACTTCCAGACTGAGAAACCCCTTGCTGTCGAGCGCGTTCTCCATGACCTTGCGGACATACCATTCGGGACTGCCCTCTTCGTCCGGCATCTGAGTGAGGTCGACATTGCTGTACTGGCCAACCTTAGCAGTGTGCCTGCGTTTCTGTTCCCCCTGCCACTCTGTGAGGCGATCCTGGTAGATGAGAGTCCACTTCTTCGCTGCGGGATACGCGATCATTTGGCGTTTAGCTTGATCCGGAAGATTGTGCCATCCACGTTTCTGCATCAACGCCAGGAACATCTGCTCGATCACGTTGTCGTCCTCGGGTTTCGGGAAATAGAAGCCCTCGCTCGTCTGATATCCGGTGGGAAACTTGGTCAGGCGATTATCCCTGGGCGAATGAGGGGACAAGAAGGAGGACTGGGACGAGGCACTAGGTAGTGCTACTTTGGATGAGCGATGGGCTGCGGCCGGATCAAAGTAGGGTCCTCCATTACCTGATACTATGCTTGCATTGTCGCCCGAATTACGCCCTCCGGAGGTCATGTACGAGTTGTATCGGGAATTGAAAGACCCTGACAAGCTGCTGTCTCTGGGCGGGCCCCATTGTTGGTATTGGGCCTGGCGGCCAGTACTAGCCATTGTGACGTTGGCAGAGGGTGGCGGACGTGGTCCGGACATATAAGGGCTGGTGGGGCGAACTGTTGATGGGTCGAAGGTCGGATACTGGTGGAAGTCGCTCGTCGCCTTGTTCAGCTGGTGAGGCAGCGGCTCTCTTCGGCCGGGAACCTGTTCGCCCTGGGGCAGGAAATCAACGGGGACCGGCGAGCGGCCGTCCGTGCTGACGCTCTCATATGGGATCGTCGTTATTACACCGGCCATCATGTTGATGCCGGATCCGGCCGAGCTCGGGCGGTCTAATGATACAACGGATGATTCTCGTCGATGGTGCGAATGGCGCGAATTCACAGAGCTCGCGGCGTCGTTATCGGCGGAGAGGTGCCGGCCGTCATCGCCCGCACTTCGTTTGTCGGCTTTGTTCTTCGATCGGTGGAAGAAGGACGAGGCCTTCCCGCTGGAAGCCCGGGACTTGTCGTAGGAAGACATGGTGTCGGTGGGGGTTACGCGAAGCAGCCGCTTCTCTCAGGGCGGACAACAAGCCGCCTAGGTTTCGTTTCTCAACAATAGCCGGCGAAGACAACTGCCAATCAATGCGTGTGTGAAGCGGGCCGACTCGGGAGCAGTGGTAATTGCCGTCAGTGGACTCGGTGTCTCGAACCCAGTACGCATCGCATCATGTTCATGTAAAGGCGACCAGGGTAGGGGAATGTCAAGTCGCGGCGCCGGGGGTTGTGCTTCTCTGCATAATTCGGGAAATGTTTAGCATGAGGACTGGCCGATAGCGCACTATGATGCTGCGGCATAACGGAAACCGACGGGAACCCTGACATACAGGCTTCAACTTTCCGGCTCCTGTGACGCTGGGACCGTCGACGGGTTGGCCGGTTTATGGAGTTGACAGGGACCGTCTTTCGATCGCGTCGTTCGGGCCAGGTCAAACGCAAATGGCCAACAGCTTTTCGCTTGAATCGCACAGACTTGGCTCCCCGCGGCAGTGCGTGGAGGTGGAGACTGGACCGTAGCAACAAGGGACTGTGAGTTCCGGCTTCGAAAAGGAACGGTCGAGGGGCCCAGGAACTGCCTCCGCGATGTTCTGCAAACCTTCTGGGGTCGGCGGAGCACGCGTGGTGGTGCAATGAATTCAATGCGAGCTGACTCCCTGCGAGATGCATGATCGCAGAATCGATAAGCAGCGAAGACAGGGTGGCAAAGGGGTCCCCGTCTGAAACTGGCTAGCTCCGTTCAGCCCCTCGACCCGTCACCCGTCCGTGGCGTCTTTGACCGACAGGGGTAAATACCGCGGCCTGTGCGCTGCACTAATCCCGACGTGACGACATATTTCGATTCACACACTCGACAGGATCGCAGGACCTGGACGGTTGAAGCACCCACGGAACCTCATATTAAGAGATGCAAATATTGCATTGGGTAGGCTTGCTTCCAGGATACATGTACGGCGAATTCTGCATGCTGGGTGTATGTACAAAACCTCATCTGACATGGACTACCCGTGTATGTAACGCGGTAAATATCGTGTAAAGACGGGCCTTGTTACCTGCAGTGCTCTAGTTATATGTAATGTACTAGCAGTACCTAAGTACCTTATCCGAGCTGGACCTACACAGTCTGTATGGCTTTCATCCTGACAATTGCATCCGAAGTTCCGAACAGACCCCGAACAGCTTGGTGCATCTGTCACCTTGCATGGATGGCCATTTGTGAACACAGCATTCGGTGCCTCGTACATCCGTACACTTTACTAAACGACGTCCGATCACCCCAATGTTCAGCTGGGCCTTAATCAAGATATCTCACAGTCCATAGCCCAGGCTTGCAGCGCCTATCGATCCCTCAGGTATATTTGGTTGAGTTATTCGGCAATCCATCTCTTGTCCGCAATCGCCCAGGGGAGCCGACGCCATGGGCGCAACAGTCTCGGCTATCAAGGTGAGCGCCCGGAAGCCATGTATGTTTCGATTCCTGCTAAGACCGCTTGGCAGACCCTGATTGTCCCGGCAATTGTCTCGCTCCTTCTTTTCCTCATCTCGACTTTCGTACTCGTCCCCTTGTGGCAACGATACCGCAACCGATACAGCCAGTACCTCCCGCTCGAAACGATATCGAACCAAACACTATCACTTCGCGCAAGGATGCAAGGCGCGATGGCCCGTTTTATGACACCGTCAGTGTGGAGAGCTAGAGTTTCCGAGCGCGTCGCTGTGGCCGAGCGAGGCTCATTCGACTCGGAAGAGGGGGAAGAGCTCAGCGAGGTGGATGAGCCTATCGGAAGGAGGGTCCTGGATCAGCAGAGGGGTAGTAATACTATCGACAGCTCGAGGAGACTAAGTAGAGAGTCGGTGTGAATGGCCCACCCTGCTAGCGGACTCCCACGCTAACTGTCCGGCAGCTTGGAGGAAGGGTTCATGGACGATAGTGACGAAGAGGACTGAAGCGCCAAGGGCTGGTAAATCGTTTCTGCATATGGCGTCCAAAATCAAGGTACAAGATTTCTCGAGTCAAGGGGGTCCATCTCTCTGGAGTTGGTGGTACATTAACGGCACGGGTTTGATACCCAAGACCACAATAGCAGTGCAACAGCAGCCTGGACATATCAACACCAGGTCCTGCCTCTGTTTCTTGCACTACAGCAGACGGCCTTATTTACCCTCATTAAGGTACCTTATCTTAGTTGGTGCACCACCACGTGCATACACGTCGAGGCGGGGCGAGATCTACAGATATAGGCCTATGTACTTCGTACTAACTCACTTCTTTCCTCCTTTCTACCCATTCCCATTCTTCCTTCCCTTTGATTTTAGTATCTCCTTCTTTCATATTTCAGTTCAATGCTATCTTATTGACTCCTTGCCGACCTATATTTCCGAATACTTAGAACTCCTTAGGTGAATACATAGGGCAGGTACCTAGTATTTGTTTACAAAAGCCGAAAACACTCATCATTCATGTTCACTTAGGTAAGGCTGGATATCCGTCACATGTCCAGCCCTGCTCTGCTCCACAACAGCGGATACTGTACAACAAGCATGCGGGGTGTATCATTGTAACAGGATTATAGCCCGCATCGTCTGCAAGCCAAGATTCTTGCCGCCGATTTGCGCAGGCCCAGCCCAAGGCAGAACTCAACCGAATTTCTATCCAAACTTGCGCGCGGATTAAAGTGCGCTTACCCAGCACCGTGGCTTCAGCGTCTCTTCCTGAAGGTTCTTTCCCTGAGTTGCGTCCTAACCGCTTTAGCGATACCGTGATACCTATTGAGACCTTCTTTTCCCAAGCCCGCGCGTATGTTCCGGTATTCCAGGTAGCCCATACCCGCCCCAGCAAGCAGACAGCATGGCCACCCCCGAGGAGAAGGCTACGGACCTTAAGAACCAGGGCAACAAGGCCTTTGCTGCGCACGATTGGCCGACTGCGATCGATTTCTACACCAAGGCCATCGAACTGAACGACAAGGATCCCGCCTTCTGGTCCAACCGTGCTCAGGTAAACCGCTACCGTTGCGCCCGCTCGGTCATTGAGGTCGCGTGACTAATTGCGCGCGTCTGGCGGTAGGCATATTTGAAGACAGAAGCATACGGTTTTGCGATCAGAGACGCCACCAAAGCCATCGAACTGAAGCCGAACTTTGTCAAAGTGCGCAATGCTCCCGTCCCGGATCGAAGCGTGTCGCAAGGCTGACGGTCTGCGACTCTAGGCCTACTATCGGAGAGCGACAGCATACGCGGCCATTTTAAAACCCAAGGATGCCGTTAAAGACTTCAAAACCTGTGTCAAGATCGACCCAAGCAATAAGGATGCCAAGCTCAAGCTCATCGAGTGCGAAAAGATCGTGCGACAACTCGCCTTTTTCGCCGCTATCGAGGTAGGGGACGAGCCGTCCGCAGCCGAGGGGCTCGATTTGGACTCGATTGCCGTGGAACCCGCGTACGACGGTGCCCGGTTAGAAGGGGAGATGACACAGGAGTTCATCGACGACATGACGGAACGATTCAAGAACGGAAAGACATTACACAAAAAATATGTCTACCAGATTGTTTTGGCCGTCAAGAAGCTCGTGTATGATGAGCCCACCATGGTTGAGGTCGAGATTCCCGACGACGTGGAGCTCACGGTTTGCGGTGACACCCACGGTGAGCCCTAACCCCTGTCCCCATGTACCATGTACACCGGAAACAACCCCACGTGCTGACGAGCTGCCTGCAGGCCAATACTTCGATCTGATGGAGCTTTTCAGGTTAAACGGTGCGCCAAGTGATAAGCACTGGTACCTGTTCAATGGCGACTTTGTCGACAGGGGTTCTTGGTCGACCGAGATTGCGCTGCTTCTCTACGCCTACAAGTGGCTACGGCCGAACTGCTTCTTCATCAACCGGGGCAACCATGAGACAGACGACATGAACAAAGTCTACGGCTTCGAGGGCGAGTGCAAGGCGAAGTACAACGAACGCACCTTCAAGCTGTTCTCAGAGAGCTTCTCCGCGTTGCCGCTGGCTACCCTGGTTGGCAATAAGTACCTGGTGCTTCACGGGGGCCTCTTCTCAGACGACAACGTCACCCTAGACGACATTCGGAAGTTGGATAGGCACAAGCAGCGGCAACCAGGGCAGGCTGGACTGATGATGGAGATGCTGTGGACGGACCCCCAGCCTCAGCCCGGCAGAGGCCCGAGCAAGCGTGGCGTGGGCATGCAGTTCGGCCCGGATGTCACCAAGCGGTTCTGTGAAAGGAACGGCCTGGAGGCGATCATCCGCAGCCATGAAGTCAGGATGGACGGCTACGAGGAGGAGCACGATGGGAAGTGCATTACCGGTATGGTTACCATATTATCTGACCTCGCTCGACCGGCGATGCTGACATGGCGTGACCCGAAGTCTTTTCGGCGCCCAAATACTGCGACATGACGGAGAACCGGGGGGCATACATCAATATTGGCGCCGATTACAAGCTCAAGTTCTCGCAGTTTGACGCCGTCCCGCATCCCAACATTCGACCTATGGTGCGTACCTGCCAAGCCAAGCAAGGAGTTCAACAGACTGCTAACAAATCTCCGCATAGGCTTACGCCCAGAACTCCTTGATGTCTTCGCTGATGTAGGCTTCTATTCACAGGTGGAGGAGTGAAGTGAGGCGGGCTCGCCCGCAGGATCAACAGGTTGCCGCACGCCCCATTGGTGAATGCCATGGAACGGCTTGTCAGATCCTTGGTTAGACTGATCATGACAGTGCTGTTCCTCCGGACAATCCCGGATAAGTACCCACGGAGTACATATTATCCTAGTCCGTCGGATCGCAGCCAGAACACGTCAGAGCCGGAGAGCAAGCAACCGAGCCGATAGGGCTCCGGTTGCGCAGCCCTGCCAGATTCCCTGGCAGTTGGGCATCGCATGGCATAGCTGCCATACCTCGCTCACCAACCCCAGCTCGATGCCCCTGCCGTGACCTAGACATCGAAGCATCATAGCTTAGATACCAAGAAGAGGGAAAACTCTCAAATCAAATTCCTCCACAACCCCGCCTGCTCCTCCCGTCCGATCAAACTGCCCAGCCAATCTCCACACGCCCTCAACTGCAACAGCATAGTCCCTCCTCCTGCTTCCCCCGAACTGGGAGGGAGCCCCGGAAACGCCGTAACGCCCGCCGCGAAGGCGGCTAAATCCTCGCGCGGCACCCGCACCCATGCTGACTGGCCCTGCACAAGGAGGATGTCGATCGGTATGGCGGCGCCGGTGTCGCCAAGGAATTGCCGGAGGGCGGCGGTGAGGTAGGAACGCACTTGCAGTGCGTCTAAGCCTGTGTCTGCCGAACGGGCTGGGGATGGTGAGAAAGCCGATGTTGCCAGCGAGAGATGGGCGTAGGCGAATGGTGGGTGTTTGAGAGTTGCTGTTGCGAGAGTGAAGGTTTTCTTGGATTTGGTTCTTTGGGACGACGGCTCAAGCTGTGTGGTTGTGTCGTGGTCGAGGTCCATTGCCTCGGCGGCTTCAGGGCCGGACGTGTGTGGTTTGTTTGAAGTCATTCTAGGTCCGTATGAAGGGTAGCCTTTTTCTTGGTTTCGATGAGAGGTGCGAGTGGTTGAAGGAGGTAAGATATAAACCGCAAAGCCTCAAACCACACTCTAACGTGTATGAGCCGTAAATGGTGAATGATCGGAAACGGCACTTCAGTACTCGACGCCCCAACACTGCTCTAAGGCCTTCTCTGCCGCTGGAAACAGCTGCTGAGTGTTTAAACGTTTGTCAGGGATCGTGTGCAAGGCGAGCAAGATATTCCATACATCCATTGAGTTCAAGTTTTTGTCATGCAGAAGCTGCTGTTACCATAAGTTACGTACAGTACATAAGGTACCCAAGGTCTTGTATTGTACCTTACAGCAAGCGCAGTTGCATGTATTGCACATATGTTGAATACAATAATGGTGTAAAGCGCTGTTGTAACAATCGGGATATAGCCCCGATTGACGAATACCCCAGATCAACCGCCAAAGATCGACGTCATGCGTCTGAAGTGGAGGATCTGCAGACGGCGAGGTGCGCAGAGGAAGGTGCACTTTGAAGATATGAAGCTGCGTATGAGGCAACCACAGTCTGCACAGAGTCGTCGTTTTGCCCACTCTCAATGGATCAATTCTCCGGGCGCAACCCTTAAAATCAGACAGTTCACTACACTCTCCCAGCAAGTGCCCACTACAAAGAATGCTATGCAACCCGGAAATACCAGCATCCCTGGAAGCCCAACACTAACCCGCATATCCTGTCCTCTCTTCAGCCAACAAGCACTTACTGGCACAAATCTGGAGCTATGGGCTCGTCCTTCCTCGTTCGGGTCCCCATAGATAGGAGGAGCTGGCCAGGCAGCCCTGCCCTAAAGGCCAAGAATAAACTAGCAGCCTGACGGCTACGCATGCGGTTGCTGGCGCCATGGATGTTGAATTCTCGGAAGCCGTCCGATCTATCGGGAAGCTCCTCATTCGAGCTGTCTCGTTCCCAGCGGTCATACTCGCTAAGGCGTGCTATACAATCCTAATTGCCCCGGTGCTGAGCAGTCTGTTGTTCCCGTTCGTCATCGCCTGGCGATTGGTGACCTGGCCGATAGAAGTGATGAGACCCTATTATGATGACATCTTTGTGAGTACTTTCGTGGCTAGTTCATTATTCAGAACGTTTCTGATATCCTCTATCTAGGTACTAGCCATCTGCGTAAGTCGCACGGAGAGCCCTCCATCCTCACCGTGAAACCCGCCAGGCAGCCCCTAGCCTAACCATCACCCCTCTCCAGAGCTTAATTCTCGGTGTAATCAGCCTCTTCATCAGCACCATACTGATACTCGTCTGGGTACTCATGCTGAGCCTATCCGCCTACTGCTTTCCGTGGCTGTCGTCTGCCGAGGATGAACAGACCGAACCACCGCCTCCTGCGGATTGGCGCAGCTCCAGACAGGGACCCAAGCACCGACAGCAACGACGCCAACAACACAACCTAGAACGACCACTGTACCACCGCTCATCCAAATCGGGACGAACCAGCACCAGCAAGGCACAGCCATACTACCTGCTGCAGGACGAGCCACTGTCATCAGACCAGACAAGCCCAACAGCAAGCAGCAGCTTATTCAACAACGTAGGCACAAGCGAGTCCTACTCCCCTTTGCTAGCTGTGAGCGGAGACCTGGACTCGGACTCGGACCTCTCCCCGCCAAGCGTTAGGGACAAGGGGGCGGCATTGAGGTCGAGGAGGAGGAGGAGGTGGGTCAGGAGGGCAATGGCTCAGCCGTCGCAGTCCGCCGCTGCCACCGAGGGCTTGCGCCGGCGAAGGACGAGGACAGCGCTTGGGAACCGCGTGGAGGTCGATGATACAATTCATGAGGATTCTTTGTCGGGTTAAGGTTGGAGCCAGACGTTGAGTGGGCCTACCGAGGGTCATGGGTTGTAGGTGAACAAGAGAGGTTATGTCGTGAACGAAGGCACATTGGCGGCTTGGATCTGGTCGTTTACGAGTATGCATTCATATGGGTTGTTGGTGGGTGAGTGTTTGTTACCGCAGTTCCAAGCGAGTGTATGTATGTCTACCAGCCGTGAAAGGGGCCAACGAGCCCACGATCGGTGAGGATGGGACAACCCGTCATGGGAAATCTTGAGCGAATGGAACACGGAAGGAGTACTCGTTAGTGTGCAATCAGTCTTCAGTAGATGTGTCGCAGTCGACTCGCCAGCTGGGAGCGACTTTATACATTACCTATGGCCGCCTATGGGCTCAGAAAGGCAGTGCAGAAAAAGTACATGCTGCTGCCTCGGGCGTGCTGCATCACACAGTCCTACTCCCATCATCATGAGCCAATGCCCACACGCTAGGCCTATGTCCCGGCCAATGCAGCCACAAACACCCATCTCAACCCGTCTTTCGACGAAACCCTGCCCTACCCATGGGAAGACTGTAAACCGGCCCGTGGTACTACCTACGGTACATGTCGCGGTCTCTGTCTCTGTCCCTATCCCTGTCCCTATCGCGGTCCCTATCCCTGTCGCGGATCGGCGAGCGACTCCTACTCCTCGTCCGGCTGGTGCGTCCCCGGTCGTCATAGTCTCGCCTCCGATCCCAGTCGTGTCGCCTATCGTCCCTATCATCTCTCCGCCGCCGATCATCCCTCCTAGGCGCATCACGGTCGTAACTCGGGATGTACGTGTCGACGTCTTGCCGAGCCCCGCCTCCTCCGCGAGGTCTCCCACCACGGTCCCTGCCGTCACCTCTGTAACTGTCGAGGTGGTCGTCAGCGGGCGGAGGCGGCCGAGGCGGCAGCCCACGGTCTCTATGCCATGCTGGTACGCGCTCTTCCGGGCCCCGACTATTGCGTGGGTAGCGACTGCCGTTGACGCCGTTTCTGCTGTTGAACCCGTCGCCGCTGAAGGAGGCGTTGGGCCCGTCATGCGGGCCACGGCCGACGGTACCGCCCTTTGGAGCCGGCGGAAGTGCCGCTCTTCTGTCATGGAACTTTCGCCTATCAAGTTCGTGACTCTCTTCGAAAGATGGGAGTTCGTGAGGTTTGGCTGGTAATGGCGTGGTCCGGAAGTAGGGGTGTTGCAGAGCGTCGATCGCATTTATACGACTCCGCCAGTCAAGCTTCAGAAGTTCCTTGAGAAGTGACACCGCGACTGGAGCTTGGTCCCTGAATCTCTGAGTCAGGGTCCCCGGTCTGGGTTGCGGCCGCAAGGCCTCTGCGCCCGGCAGCGATCGCCAGCCGGGCATGTTCTCGTCATTTGGCGTTCCGCAGAGCTCGAAGATAAGTTCAAGCTGGTGGCCGTCGCTCTCTCCCGCAAGGATAGGCTTGCCCACAAGCATCTCGCCAAACACGCACCTGTCGACGGTCAGTTGTCGGCTACGCGGAGGAATCGGCTCGCGAGTCTTACCCAACGCCCCACATATCGATGGCTGTAGTGTAACGCTTGAGATGCATCAGCAGCTCAGGAGGTCTGTACCAGCGGGTCACTACCAAGCTCGTGTAGTCACGGCGCCCCTCGCCACCGCCCCTGCCAGGCTTCGGCACTTCTCCGTCATAATGCCTCGCGAGGCCGAAGTCTGCAATCTGGAGGATGCCCTTGTTGCTGATTAGAAGATTGGCAGCCTTCATGTCCCTGTGCAGAATGTGGTTGTCGTGCAGGTACTTGAGACCCTCGAGCAGCTGGAGCATATAGCACTTGACCTGGGGCTCAGTAAAGTGCACCGAGGGGTTGTCCAGCAGGCCTGAAAGGTCATGATCCATATAAGGCGTGACCATGTACATGATTGGTCTCTTCCGTTTGTCGTCTGACGAGCATGTTAGTGAAAGGTCGCAGAGACAACAACTAGACGAATGGGTCGACTTGCTACTCCTTGTTGGGTGTTCGATAGCCATGTCCTCTAGCCGTAGGACGTTCTTGTGAGAGAGAAGTTTAAGAAGCTTGATCTCTCTGAGAGCGGTGATCGGGAACTGCAGGCTGTCAGAACAAAACCAGAACGGCGAAAGCACTGCGGACGGCCACATACACCATCCTTCTCGTTGTGCATGATGATCTTCTTGAGCGCAACCAAGGCACCGGTCTTTTTAGATCTCGCGCGATGGACCTCGCTGTAAAAGGTCAGCAGGCAGATCGGAAGATGCAAATGGGATGCGAGATGCCCGCTCGCAACCTTACCCGAATGTGCCCTCGCCGAGCTTGCCCAGGACCTCATAGTCGGTAATGCGCGAGCATCCCGCAAAGCTATTCCTCGGGCGCTGGTGGGCAATAGCGAAACTGCGCGGGGAAACTGCGCCAGCGGATTCCCTGGACTCGAGGACACTCATGGTCGCGCCAAAGTGCCGTTATCTGGTCAAACGAGCTGAGCCACTACCTTCGCTGCGTTAAGTGCTCGGTGGGACGTGGATTGGCGACGCGCTTTGCGAAAGGGTGTACTGTGTGTAAAGTGCAGGAGCCAAAGGGGAAGCGAGAACCCGTGCACTCCTCAACCAGGGTTAATAAACAACATGGCAACGCGGAGATATCAACTTGCGTTTGCCACTGATGTATGCACGGTGGAAGATCAGGTGAAGGATACACAGTGTGAAGCAAGTTAATAATGAGAAAGGATGAAGGTCGCAAAATACCTAAGGTACCCGGTAGTTAACGTTACAGGTAACTATCTGCCTACATCCGTACAGTAGGTACCACTGTTACCAAACGTCCGTGCAGCACTGCGCTTGGTTATGTGCCTCGAAAGAATTCATGGTATTCACGGCTGCCCCATCATGATCGAACTTGAAATATACTACTTACCGTAAGGTAGGTATCGAGCCTATCTGGTTACGTCTACCACCCTAACCCTGGTCAATTGGACCTTCATTGGCACTGCACAATAAGCCGACCTGAGGACCTCAAACGCATCATCAATCAAGCGCAAACGTGACGAACCACATCACGCACCGCCCTTGCGCACCGCCATTGCGCACCGCCAATCCAACTCGGGAAAGGTTAGGCAATCAACTCACCCTCAAGCTGCGCCGAATTGGTTCTCACAGCACCGCCGCCAGACGCAGATACGGACACGATGGCCGGCGCCGGACCGCACGTTAAACCTGTCCACCAGTTCTTGGCCAAGGGCCTCGGTGCGACAATGTGGTTCTGGGTAGGTTGTGGGACATTGCAACAAGCACGGCCAATTGTAGGGTGAACTGCTGACCGAGGGCTCCAACAGATCTTCTACAGGGCAAAGAAAGACGGTAATGACGATCGACCCGCTCGAAGACAAGCAGCAGCTGACACGACCTCGCAGGGCCCGTTCTTCTCGGCTGGAAGCACCCTTGGGAGCACTAGAAGCAAGATAGAGTTGGACGGCGGATTTGCTGCGAAGAAGCATTGTACATACCACACACCGTACGATACGGCGCTCTCGGGGACCCTCAAACAAAAAAGAGGCTGTTGATTCCAGTTGGCGACTTTGCCCACCCATGTTGCACTTCCTTACGATTGTGGCTTGGAAAGCCTGAGTTCCTGCTGGGCCTTTCGATTGTGGAAGAAGGTTTTCTACGCTGAGCTTCTCTCAAGCCCTGAGAGGGGGCCGGGGGATAGATCGATCCTAGGCTTGGTGGCTTGCCCTCCTTTCGTATTTCCGCACTGCCATCTTATGTTGCGTAACTCACCATTGGCATGCTGCGAGAACTTCGAGCCGGGAGTCGTTGTAGTCCCAGTTGTCCTTTAGTTATGTAGTCAGCGGAGTTCCTTCTTGATCCCGGCGAGCAGAGTACCTAGGTAACTACTAGTAGTGCGGCATTCCGCACGAGTAGCGAGCAGCATAGCGACTCTAAGGAGGAATGCTTACATGCTTCCTCTCCTTCGGTTTTATTGAAAAAAAAAAGTGAGCAAAGCCTAGAACAAGAAGGAAGTACAAAGCAAAATGTCGTTGTAGTGGCGAAAGCTCACCGGCTGGCCCCTTCGCGGGGCTTAGCCGGCTACGCAACACCTAGAGGGTTTACTTCGAGTCAAATCCAAGCGGACCAGCCACTAACCGGCTACTCTGGTGTCTCAGCAAGAGCCAAAGCTTTCGCCGGCGTGCCCGGGCCTGACCTCCTCCGTTGACCGCTTGGCTAACTACCGTACTTCCATGGGGGAGATCGTTGGCATAGTAGACTGCGGAACTTCCCTATCAGGACTTACGGCCCACACTCGCTATTTCGTCCATGTACCAGCCTGGACTAGGTGAGAACCTGCGTCACATCCTGCTTACAAACCACTTAATCTAGGTACTTCCGACTTAACTGTCTTCCTTCGCTACTGTATACCACTTACCTGTGTGGTTGTCGAAGAATCCCATGCAATGCTTAGCTATTCACATCGATCAATCATTTCCTCGTGATGTTCAACTCTATAAACCCTAAATCAACATCTGCTCCTGTATGAGCTTGTACTGCTTCCTCTCCTTCGGCTGCTTCAGCACCGCCTGCTTGGTCCTCCCAATCAACCGTGCAAGCGGCTGGAACGCCCAGTGCTCCCCTGCCCACGCCAGAACGAGGTAGAACACTCCGAGCCCGGCGATGAACAACTTGAAATCCCCGCTGAGATACGTGAGCTGCATGAAGCTGGATAGCCAGCCTGGCGGGCTGGCCACCATGAGAAGCGTGAAGCTAAGAGTGAGGACGATGGTAGCAACGAATGGCCCTGGAGACTGCTGTTAGCATAGGTAGTAGGTATCGAGACGCAGAAAAACAAGAGGTAAACAAACATACAGTTGTGCAACGCAGAGACTCTGAAGGGACGGCCTGCGTTGAGTACCACGCCCGCCAAGATGTATTCGAAGCACGACGTCAGGAACAGCGCCGTGTTCTCCGAATTCTCGATGTTTGACTTCTCCGGGTTGACGACGGGTGGGATGAACCAGGGCTGACGGCGCACAGAGATAAACACCAGCGCCTGGATCATGACGCAGATGTATATCTGGCCCAGTAGCGGCGTCAGGACCTTACGCGAGACCAAGTCGACGGTCGGCCTCTTGCGGGACAGTTCAGGGAACGGCCCGGCCCAACTCATGAAGACGGCGATCGGCAGGATGAGTGCCAAGTCGATGAACAGAAACTGGAAGTCGCCGAGATTGGACGCCGAGGCGTACAGGAAGCTAACCGACGTGAACTGGATGGCCGAGTACAGGCTCATGTACTTGAAGCAGCTGAAGCTGGTGACGAGCGCCGCGCGGCCCTCCCGGATCACCTCCGGCACACACCGAATGTCAAAGACGCGCGACGTGAAGGGAGCGGCGACGGAGGCTTCGGCCTCGGAAAGCGAGATGCCCACATCGGCAGCCTTGAGCGCGCCGCAGTCGTTTGCGCCGTCGCCGCAGAAGCCGCACGAGTAATCGATGCTCTGCAGCTTCTCCACCAGCTCGTGCTTCTCGTCGGGCGACATGCGCGCAAAGACCTTGCTTGTGACCAGCATCCTCCGCATCACCTCTGCAGGCGCAAAATCGACCACCCAGCGGAAGACATCCCCGCTGACAGCGACCGAGTAGTTGCGGAGATTGGAGATATCGTATGGCAGGGAGGCATCCTCCTCCGGAGGAGGTGGCAGAGGAAGCAAAGTCTTGGGGTCCAACCGGTACGCCTGATTGTCTATGCTCTCCCACTGCAGACTGGCGTTTCCGTCCCTCGCGTCGCCTGTGAGGAACCGAGGAATGAAGCAGTGCGCTGCCTTGCTGATCATCCCGCATTCCCTCGCCACGCTGATGGCGGTCAGGATGTTGTCTCCAGTGACCATGACGGCGCCAATATTAGACTCGAGCAGCTCCGTCAGCACTGCTGTGGTGGTGGGCTTCAGCTTGTTTTCGAAGATGATGAAGCCCACAAAGTCCAGGTCAGATTCCACCTCGTGTCGCTTCATCTTCTGCGCCTTGACCCAGCTGAGCTTCTTGATGTGCTTCGTCGCACAGCCGATCACACGATACCCCTTGTGCGTGTACTGCGCCAGGAGCTCCTCGTAGTCGGCGGGGACTTGCGGCATGTCAGCGCGTCGAGACTCCTGAATAGGCAGAAGGGCCTAGCACTCACATGTCTCCGATCTGCAGATCTCCCGCATGCACTCCGGTGCTCCCTTGACGTAGATGTCTCCACTAGGACGCCCAAACCTCCTCACAATGACACTGGCCCGCCGAAGTTGTGAGACGAACTCAAAAGCCTTCAAAACGCCGAGCTCGAAGGGAACCTATGGAGCGTCAGCCGGACGAACAGGGAAACAGGCCGAATACTCGACTGCCTACACTTTGACCAGAGCCGTGCTCAACGCCGTTGGCCAGCTGCTTCAGCCCAGGTGGCGGCCTAGCAACGGAAGGGCGAAGGTTCCCTTGCTCTTCGTCATCAGCGGTGCCGCCGCCGAGATTCCCCTCCTCAAACGACCACCCTGTGAATTCGAACATCTTGAGATCGAGAGGGTCGCCGACTGGCTCTCCGTCCACAGTTCGGAGCGAGTGACAGGTTGCCATTGTGTAGAGCGCTGCACCTCTCGTATCGACGTGGTTCTTGCCTCCGGCTGTCAAGTCTCCCTCTGGGACAAGGTCGGCTGGTTTAGTAAACAGATCGCTGAACCTGTTGTTGGCCCGCGAAACAACTCGCACACCAAGAATGTCCAGGCCCTCCTCCGTCAGGGTTCCGGTCTTGTCGAAGCACATCAGGTCGAGCTTGCCAGCCACATTCACTCTCTGTGGGCTGATGCAGAAGATCTGCTTCGACTTCAGTCGCCTAAGCGCGAAGTTGGTGCCGATGGTCAGGGTTGCGGGCAAGGCTGGCGGGACAACAATCGTGATGAGATCGAGTGCGCGGATAACGATCAAGTGCCATTCCAGTCGAAGTCTGATGAAGTTGACGAACGACGCAGTGAATCCGACTAAAGCCACGCAGGCCATCACAGATATGTACCGAAACGAATCCCTGTAGAACTTGAAGCCCGAGGGCTTCGGGAAGAGCATCGAGCGGACCAGGGCGCCTTTGGTGGTGTTGAAGCCCGTCCTGACGACCATGGCAAGCGCCACAGCCTCCTCGCCCTGGTCTTCCTGCGGGCGCCGAGCACGGATGATCTTCGTCCCGCAGAACAGGAAGTGCTTGGCCGCCTGTGGAAGCATGGTGGACGCTGCCAGATCAAGCTTCCGAAGCGTCTCGTCAGTTGCGGGTGTCTTGGACACCGGCACGGATTCGCCGGTAAGCATGCTCTCGTTGACTATGCAATCACCGCTGAGAAGAAGGCTGTCGGCAGGAAACTGGACGAGACCCGGATCGCTGACTTCGTAGACATCGCCCGGGACGAGATCACTCGAGGAGATATACCGCCCTGAGCATTGTCAGTACGTTGCCTACCTACCTGCCTTACGCGAAGGGGCAGCTGGACATACAGAAGCCGTTCCGGAGAACTCTGACGTCGCACACGAAGCGAGATATCTCTCGCAGTCTTCTCATTGTCTTGTCCGGTCAGCATATTCCAGATCAACATGCCCTAAAAGGCTCGCCTGGACTTACGGATCTTGTTTCGAGTAGTGTCGCCGTAATACTGCCCGCAGACATGAGGAATATGGCGATAGCATAGTAGTAATACTCATCGAGGGACCATAGGATCAAGCTAGCGATTTGGAAGACATAGAAAGGATGGAACACCTAATTGTGATTAGGCACTCCCGTTCCAAAAGTTTGGTGCCGGGGGCGGGGGCGAATACTTACCTCGTCAACCAAGAGCCGAAACATCGATTTCTGTTCAATGTCGATGAGATTGTCGCCAAAGACGACGTCTCGGTGACTCTTTTCCTCGCTGTCAATGCCTGCGCGGATTTCCCGGACGTTTGACCATAGAGGGTCCTTCCACCCGTTACAGATAAGGAACTTGTCTGTAAGAGGATGGAAGTAGAACCGAACGTAGCGGTAGTTGATCATCCGGAGGTGCTGCAGAATCGGGTCCGGGTCTTCGTCCATGAGGTATGAGTTCATTTTCCCAGGCGCCCCGAACACCGTAGACAGAGATCTCCCATAGGGAGTTGAGTCCACCTCCAGTATCGCCATCTCATTCCACTGGTTCTCGACAACGACCCATCTGCAATCCCTGAGCGGTGCCGGCTCGCCGACCAACTTGACATGCCATCTGGGCAACCAGCGGAAAACAAGCCAGGCCACGCCCAGCGTACACAGACAGAGCAGCATGTAGACGGCAAGGCCAATAGGGCTGGTCCGGAACCCGGCAATTGCGACGTACAGGTCCTCGTTTACCATGTACACCTTCTGGCTGTAACGGTTCCCGCCGTATCCACTGCCGGCCGATATCCCGCTGTCCCGCCTGAGAAGCCTGCTGTGAACCGAGCCCCTGTTAGATTGCGTCGAAGCCCTGCGCAGGAACACATGATCGTCGTAGGAAGCATTACGCTCCAGATCGGTCGAATCCTCCTCCTGCTCTTCACCAGACTCGTCTTCAAACGGAAACTCGTCCAGATCGCCCAGTGACGCCTGCCGCCCGTCGGCAGAAATAGCGAGCGCCTCCCGCTCTTCGGCATCTTCATCCTCTTCTTGGTAGAAGGAGAAACTCTTTGTGGACTCGCGGTCGTAGGGGCGGCGGTGATTGAACGCAGAGACACTCGACGGGAGGGACTCAGCGACAGGTCCGGCAAAAAGCTGCATTCCCACCGTGCCATCTGTTAGCCATGCTGTCCAGCTGCAAAAGGGGCCACAGCACTCGTAGCGGACCTCGTCTTGTGCCATCTCCACGTCCTCAAATATGCTTGCGTTACTCTGGTTCGTCCCCAGCCGGTAAAATCCGGGCCCGTGGCTGGTCTCCGGCGTTCGGTCGAGGTCCCCATTGGGGACCGCATCGTCGTGTTTGTCCATCACCGTTTTTCCTCTCAGGACTCGGAATTGTGCCAAAGTCTGGTGCGGCGCGTATGCATCTTAGCAACTATATAGGGTTGATATGAGACAAGATATCAGATGATTAAATGCATTGGTTGAGCTCGGACAGTTCCCACGCGTCTACTTTTCGCCCCTCCAAACGCGAATGGCAGGATCGGGGCACGAGCGGTTGGTGGAGTTGGCTCCGATTCGACCGTGGCAGTGGAGTGACGTCTTTGTGTGGATATCACCCGGTAGTTGCATCCACAAAGATCGAGGCCCCGCAGCGGTTGCTTGGTGATACCTACCTTACCTGGCACCTTAAAAGGCAAATACACTCAACTCGTGAGTGAGAGCATACGCTAGATCTCCTGTCTTGTTTTCACAGTCCAAGACTATCTCACCCCTAACTTCGTCACTCAGCCACTTCCCACTGATCGCACGTAACATGGACTCGGACATTGATCATTTTCAACGCGCCGTCACGGCCGACCGAGAGACGGTGCTTGCCTTTTTACGCGACATTCCTCCCCCAACGGAGCCTGTCCACGATTACATCACCGACATCGACGAGCGCTGTACTCTTTCCAGCGAGATACGGCAGCTACACGAGGACCTCGGCCTGCCAGAGCCGAATGCGGCGACATTGGCTTTCTTCATGGTTGCGCCCACCTCGCAGATCCGAGAACATCTGGCGATTCTCCGAAATACCCCGCCGGAGTTCATGGCAACCCATGTTATTGCTTTCGACCTCCAGGCCGCTAGCACAATATGTGATTGTATGGTTTGGTCCTCACCTTGTCAAATTAATCTAACATTTCCCCTAGACGTTCCTACGAATCGTTCCTCGCCTCCTGAATCATCGACGCTTTTGGCACCGCCGACTATGATGCTAGGAAACCAACACGAAGTATCAAGGAAGAGGGCGGTAGCGGAAGTAGCAAGACCTACATAATCTATCAAACCATCTAGGCTCTGTATACTAACAAGGTACAAAGGCCGAGGCTCGGGATGGACATGCTTGTCTCCTCTCTGGGATGGGCGACCCTGAAGCGGCCCACATCTTCCCATTTTCTCTAAGCAAGAAGAGATTCGGGCAACTCCATACACTACTGCAGGCCTTCTGGGGGGTAGAGAAGGCTGCGACCTGGGCCAAACTTTACCAGGATCCTGCGATGACTCAGTCTATCGCTAATTACCTCTCCCTTAGCCGCCACCTCCATCATTGGTTCGACGACGCGAGGCTCGCACTCAAGCCCCTATCCCAAACGTCAACTACGATCAAAGTCCAGTTCCACTGGCTGCGGGTAGCCACGCTTGAGCCAACGATCCAAATAGACGCCAGCGAGGAGACGCTTGCGGACTGGGCTGGCTTGAGGGTCCCACCCCCCCCCCCCCCCCCCCGCGGACGTGGGGTTCCTCTCTAGCACACCGAGCGAGTGGCGTGCCCATTCGAACAGGCCAAACGTTCGTCATTCGGGCAGAGAAACCCGCAGACTTGCCCTCCTTCGAGCTATTGGAGCTCCATGGAATCTATTCCGAGTAGCCGCCATTTGCGGAGCGGCTAATGTCATCGCCGACGAGCGCAGGTTTGATAGAGACGATAGGGAAGTACTAGAGGCCATTAGGTATGACGAACTCATCGCTAGGCTAAGGTATCAGGAAGCCACCGCTAGGTCATGTGAGGCTGTCTCACCACCCGAGTTGTCCAACACGGAGCGGACACTGCCATACCGAGCCCCCGACGCTGGCGGCTCTAGCAACGACTAGGAAACGTTGCAAGACCGGCCGTCGATAAGACAACAGTCAGAGGCAAAGACCAAGACTGAGCATCGCGAGGCCCCCTCACCGCCCGAGTTGCTTACCAAGGAGCGGACACTGCCATCCCGAATCCCCGACGCTGGTGGATCTAGCAACGACTAGGAAACATTGCAAGACCGGGCGTCAAGGGGACAGCAGCCAGCACCGAAGACCAAGGCTGAGCGTCGCGAGGCCGAGTCAGGCCAGGGAGGAACTTTGAAACTGAGCTTGAGGAAGATGGCTGGGAAACTCACCCGGCGGGTAAAGGCGGATCAAATCTTTTAGCAGAGGGACACATGATGTTGAGGGATCAAGTAGGCCTGCTTGTCCTAATGTTTTCAGAGGCTGTAGGTTCTCTTTAGGTTTGTACAGTCAGGTACGCCACTAAAAGCCGGTGGTTTCACAACATATTCTAGCCTCCAGGGTCGGGGGTGTGTAGTGTATCGGTAATGTACACTGCGATACCCGTGGACGTGTACTAGTAGTTACTGGGCCAAAGATGGGAAACTGGAAAGACCTTCATGCGCATCCCCATTTTCTGAGATCAACTCTTCGGAATATGTATTTCCAGAAGGCGTTCGAGGCCCGAAAATCGAAGGTGGGTCTGGAGGCGAGGAAAATTTGGTGGTTCCCGAAACGTTCACCGTCCGAGTGGATGCTGTGTTGATTGATGGGAATCTCGCCATAGCCCATGGCCGACTAGCAGAGTCGCGGAGCGGTGAACAGATGGTGAACAGATGGCGACGCTCCCACCAGGGTTAGGAACGCCTGTAGAAAGAGAGAGAAACCCGCAAAAGACCGCCACGTCAGCTCTGTCCTGGTGATCGATGTGGAATCGTGGATTCATCAGAAGTGACTTATCGATCGAGAGGCACACTGATGTGGTATGTAAGTCGGTCACGACCTGAAAGGATAGGATGAGAATTGCAGAAAGTCCAGGAAGGCCCGGACCCTTGTTCACCAGAACATCCTGGCGTCGCTCGCACAAGCCAGCCAACTAACTGCCCCGCAAATTTTCTTAGTGACCCATTGGCACGTTTCCCCTCCTCAACATTTCTGAGCAAGGGAAGCCACGCACCCTCCATCATCTTCTGAAATTTTACAAACTCTTCCATCATTCCCAACCCCAGATCTGCTTCTGGTCTCGACGCAAATCCTCCCAGAACCCCCGGAAACCATCTCTTTCATTGCAAGAACAACAGTCGCCATGGCTGAGCCCATCAAGAGCAAGCGGCCCGACCCCGCTGTCGCTCCGTAAGTTTCCCCCATGGTCGGTAACGATGTCACCTCTTCGCGAGTCGCCGCCTGTGATAGAATCGTGCTAACCTAGTCCGCTCCAGTACTCCCCAGAACACCCCGGCGAACACCGCGCCTATCTCATCGCATGCCCAACAGCCTGGCATTTCCAGCATCAAAGAAGGTTCGTCGCGAGTCGCTGCTTGCTGCCCAACCACATCCGGGCTCGCTATCACGTACTGACCGCTTGGATGCTGTAGAGGACCTGGATCGCGCTGCGGCTGCCTCCATCTTCGCAAAGGACCCACGCCTTGTGTCTCTCATTCAAGGGAAGCTCGGTTCTCTTGTCGGCCGGTCGTCTGGCTACATTGAGTCGCTCCCCACTGAGGTCAAGCGCCGCGTTGCTGGCCTGAAGGGCATCCAGAAGGAGCACTCCAAGCTTGAGGCCGAGTTCCAGGAGGAGGTCCTCCAACTTGAGAAGAAGTACTTCGCCAAGTTCACGCCTCTGTATGAGCAGCGTTCTGCCATCGTGAACGGCAAGACCGAGCCCACCGAGGACCAGGTCAAGGCTGGTGAGGAGGATGACGAGGATGCTGAGGGCGCGGAGGGCGCCGACACCAAGGAGGAGAAGCCTGCCGAGGGCGCCACCAAGGTGTCGGGTATTCCCGAGTTCTGGCTCTCGGCCATGAAGAATCAGGTTTCCTTGGCCGAGATGATCACTGATCGGGATGAGGGTGCCCTCAAGTCGCTGGTCGACATCCGTATGGAATATCTCGACAAGCCCGGCTTCCGTCTCATCTTCGAGTTCGCTGAGAACGAATACTTCACCAATAAGACCATAACCAAGACATACTACTACCAGAATGAGAGCGGCTATGGTGGCGACTTCATCTACGATCATGCCGAAGGCGACAAGATTGACTGGAAGCCTGGTAAGGACCTCACTGTCCGGATTGAGCAGAAGAAGCAGCGCAACAAGAGTAAGTTTCCCTAGGTTCATCAAGTTTTGGTAGACGATTCAGGCACTAATAAACGCAGCAACCAAGCAAACTCGCATCGTCAAGAAGACAGTCCCCACTGAATCCTTCTTCAACTTCTTCTCGCCTCCCAAGGCCCCGAGCGATGACGATGACGATGCCGCCTCTGACATTGAGGAGCGGCTCGAGCTTGATTACCAGCTGGGTGAGGACATCAAGGAGAAGCTGATCCCCCGGGCTATCGACTGGTTCACTGGGGAAGCCCTCGCGTTCGAGGAGATTGACGAGGATGATTTGGCGGATTTTGATGAGGAAGACGACGAGGATGACGAGGATATCAGCGATGATCAAGATGATGAGGACGAGTCCGAGGAGGAAGAGGTAAGATCGTCCTGTCGTCAGATCCGGTACCCATACGCTAACCTTGCGTAGGAGGATGGTTCCAAGCCGAAGCAGGAGCCTACGGAGTGCAAGCAGAGTTAGAAAGCACCTTCTCCACCACCTCGACTCTACATTCTTCTTAATCACAGCATTTGATCCCTCCGGTCCGTTAGTCGGGTCCGATTACACATAATCCCCCCATTGCACAGCAATCCGAGGACGGGCCCCGGGCTTGAAGCGAACCCGGCGCTGCGCAGATAGCTTTGGGGACACAGCAGGTCCCAACATGAGGAGGATGTCTGCGGGAGCACGTCTTACATGCATGCGTATCAAGTTTGGTTGATTCCGTGCCAAGCTATCTGAGTGAGTGAGTTCGACTCAGGGGCCCTGCTTGGCGACTTCCTAGGGATGGCATAGACGGCAGTTAAAAAGGAGACCACACAGGGGCATGACAAGTGTCTGCTACGTGGAGGGTTTCTAGCAAGGGAGCAGAGATAGGAAGGCCGGCGCTGTGACGGCTTTTCAGGGCAGTGCAAATTCGAGTTCTTTACCCTGTGAGTAGTGCCAGTGACTTGCGAGTGTGTCGTCCTGAACCGAGTCATACTCAAGAGTACGCGGCGGCCCTACGAGGCTGATGCAGCGGAGCAAGTGATATTACTAAAGAAGGTCCCACGAAGCGGAGAGTTCTTGTGGTATGCTAATAAGGATTGCTCGGTCCACATGGGCATCGAGCCTCATCAAGAGAATAGAATCTTGTAGAGAAAATACAAGGAAAGAGATGGAAAAAGAGGAAGAAACACATGATGACATTAAAGACGATAGTAAAAGATGGAGGAGACGAGAAAGTTCAGGAAGACAGCTTAGTAGCTAAAAGAGGTCCGTTCTATCTCCGAGTAGTGCAAGTCCGGCTGACATCAATGTACAACGATAGCACGATTGCAATTGACGATGGTAGTCGCATGAGAGGAGTTTACGCAAGAGCCCAAGATCCGCCAGCCACTTGCCTCCCATATATATATATATAGTTTTCCACCACGAAGACCAGACGATGCTCATTGGACTAGCGGATACTCCGGTGCTGTTACAGATGAAGCACTTTTCCTTTCTTCTTCATCATCATCTGATCACCGCGAGATAGTACTACCCTTGTCTTAGAATGCCCTTTTAATATGCAAAAGTGTACCTAGCCTATCCATGTGATTTTGTTGAACCTGGTTTTGCCCTCTCTACCCTAGGTTTACCCTCTAGCAGACATCATGCCGTAGGTCGAATGTTGAAAATGGACTCGGTATAGTACCGCAACCGCTTCTTCGCTGACCATCTAATCTAGTACAGAACCCGCGTCATAATCCGCGAGGTGAGCGCATCCAAGCTATCACGAATTTCCTTGATGTCCTCGGTCTTGACATCGCTAACATCAGCCATCAGATACGCCACATCGCCCTTGCTGTCCGAGATCTGCTTGTCGACGTTGTGTTCCGCCAGGATCTCGTTGACCTTGCGCAACACGCCGGGGACGTTGCGATGGATATAGATGACACGCGCGTGGTTGGGCTCGTCGAGCGTCAGCGAGCGCATTGTCACCTCCGGCAGGTTGACGCTGCCCAAGGTGATGCCCTGGTTGATGTAGCGCACCAGCGCCTCAGCAACTTCCACACCGATCGCTCGCTGCGCTTCCTCGGTGCTACCGCCAATATGCGGCGTCAGGATGATGTTGTTCAGCCCGCGCAGGTCTTCGGCCCAGCTGTTGAGACCGTTGACAAAGTAGTCGCCATTGGCGGCCGGCTCGTTGGGGTACACGTCCAGCGCCGCGCCGGCTACCTTGCCCGCACGCATGGCCTTGATAAGAGCGGGGATGTCGACCACGGTGCCGCGACTGGCGTTGATGAGGTATGAGCCCGTCTTCATGCGCTCTAGCTGCGCCGTCGAGATGAGGTTCTTAGTCTCGGGCGTCTCGGGAACGTGCAGCGTGACAAAGTCGGCCTCCTCCAGCAGCGCCTCAAGGGTCGGCACCTGCCGCGCGGTGCCAATGGCCATCAGGGTGAGGATGTCGTAGTAGATGACCGACATGCCCATGGCCTCGGCCAGGACGGACAGCTGCGAGCCGATGTGGCCGTAGCCGACGATGCCCAGCGTCTTGCCGCGGATCTCCCAGCACTTCGAGCTGACCTTGTTCCAGGTACCGCGGTGCATCTCCATCGAGCGGTCGCCCAGCTGGCGGGCAAGCGTGATGATCTCGGCGATCACCAGCTCGGCGACACTGCGCGAGTTGGCGAAGGGCGAGTTGAAAACGGCAATGCCGTGCTTGGCCGCATAGTCCAGGTCTACTTGGTTGGTGCCGATGCAGAAGCAGCCGATGACGAGCAGGTTCTTGGCTTCTGATAGGACCTTGGCTGTGAGCTTTGTCTTTGATCGAATGCCAATGACATGTACATCCCTACTCGGGCATCAGCCAAGTGTTTTCGAGCCTGGTGAAATGATGGTTTGGTGTGGCTGGCATCAGGGGTAAAAGTCCGCCTCCGAAAGCGGAAGGGAATGAGACTCACTTGATCTTCTCAATGAGTTGATCTTCCGGCAGCGACGTCTTGAGGAATTCAACCTGGTAGCCCTGTCCCTTCAGGATATCACGTCCCGTCTGATTTACATTCTCAAGCAACAGGATCTTGACGTCTTCGGTATTGAAGGGCTTGAGCTGCTTGGCCGCAGCGGCCCTGTGGGCGAGAGACCCCGCCATGAAGCTGCTGGAGCGAGGAGAGTGGAAGGTCGCTGTGGGTGAAACGCTGAGAGGGTGTGAAGCTTCTGTCCCCGGCGCACGCTGGGCAATATCCCTTGGAGCTGTCATTTTTGAAGAGGCGAATCTGAATCGTAATTGGGCAAGTTATCCTCTTCTTGATTAAAGACCGTTGAGCGGATGTTTTTGACTGTTGAGTCTTCGAGATCGGATACTTGTCACACAATACCCCACGGCGGTAGTGGGATGTCCATGGTGGGGTTGGGGTTTTATAGTGGGGTTGACTCATTCACGAGAGTCACTGGAAGGAAAACTCTGAGGATGACGGAATGTGGCTTGCTCACCTCATGTCCGATTAACTATGGCCCCAGCTCTCGTATGCTCGTTTACTTACCTTATTCTCCCATATTCATTGTTTTCCTGGAGCCTTAGTAACCGTCCTCAGTGTGGTAATACAATGTCATAATACCTATCCAGTTGATTGGAACCACCAAGTTCAGGTAACCTAATAAGGTACTAGTAAGATCTCAACAGAGGGCCATCCGGCCGATTCTATCCTTAATAACTGAGTGCTGCAGTGGGGATCTCAACAAAGGAACAAAAGTCAAAGTGCATTGCCAGAAATAGTATAGAGAACATACTCAGGGAATGATAGTGGTAAAGCTTTCCTTATTAGAATGATCTCGGCTCTTGTTCCACGCTCATGGACCCTAAGTGTAGGTAGTAGTACCTATATGCTTGTGCACTTCTGGTAACGGAGGTGTTCGTCCTAGTTAGTTGACTTTATGTGGGCCCGGAACCAACGGTGCACGAGCCAGTCTTCCGGAAAGCGGTAGTGTGGGGCTCGAGTGGGGTCAAGAATTACCCGGGTTGTTTTGAAACAACAACAGTGTCGCTGGGTCGCGAATCGGATGAACCAATCTTTCATTCATCACACAAGTGATCGCAGAACACCGCTCTCGGCTCCTAGAAGTGGCCACTTTGGCGCGCATGAATACATTGACGCTTTTACGTCTCAACATTGCCTGCAGTTCTCCTTTCAATCACAACAGCGCCAGTCCAAACCCCGCGACACTCTTGGCTGTCGCGTGGAATCGACAACACACTTTCCAGAGGTTCTCCTGCCCAGATCCATCTAGAGGCGGCTCAGCGTAATGCCGCGCTAAGAGGTCATCTGCTTTTCAAATACATCTCCAGCGAGTGAGCTACAGGACCGCGCAGCCCAATTGGCTGCGATGTCTTCGAAGATGATGGCCAGCAATGTCGACTCTGTGTACGATTTCGGCTTCACTCCGCCTTCAAAGAAGCAAGTCACAACCTACGGAAAAGCAGGGAGGAGGAAAGCCAACGCGGCAAGGCCGGCATTACTGAGGCATGCAGAATCGGCACCAGCGATCCCAACATCCTTTGCCAAGTCGCAATCCAGCTCACCTGAACCCCCTCGCCTCTCGTCGCGCACTGTCAGATCAACAACTGTCAAACAGCAGCCTATTCGTAAATACGGTTCTGGAGCCCGTCAGAAGCCCGTTGAAAAGGCACACAGTCAACCACTTCGCGATGTTTATGACATCGAGTCGGAACTCGAGGAGGAAACCACGAGGACGAAGAAACGGAGAGTTACACGGGAGCCATCTAGTAGTGGGAAATTTACCGGTCCGTATTCAACTCCGGACTCTTCCCCCGGTAGCGCATCGTCGCCAGGACCACCGGCTGGCAGAGAAATGCCGAAATCATCACGGGATGCGAGCCCAACTACCGCGTCACGGCGGAGAACCCCTGAGCGAGACATCAGCGTTGAACATGATGTCGCGCCGTTGATGCCATTCTCGGTGAAAACATCTCGGACATTGAAGAATTTAAGCGTTGGTTCCAAGGACTCTGGGGCAAACAAGCAACAAATTCCCATTCGTCTCTCTGTACAACCTTCCTCTAAGCCCGCTTCGAAGGCATCACGCCCACCAATCGCATCCACCAGTGCCAACCCTCAACCTCCTGTTATTCCGCGAGTTCGAAAGAGGCGCCTGATTGATACCCTTGCGGCACAGGCGGAGGAAGAAACTACTTCATCTGAAGAGGAACCATCTTCCCAAATATCCGAGTTCCTGGATATAGAGCCACCGCCAGCTTTGCAAAGCTCCAGCCCACATACGACATCGTCTCTGGCTCAACAAAAGCTTATCGCCCGTCCCGCCCTGGCCACCAGGAAGACAGGCCCTAAGTTCACGTACAGCCAGCAGAGATCAATGTTGGCTGATGATGACCCCTTGCTGGAAGGGGCTGGATTTGGCGGCCTTGGGGGTGGTTCAACGGGCGGAGCGCTGTTTAACTTTGGGCGTCTGACGAAGAGCTCCACCATCAACACATTTTCATACCTTGATGAAGATGAAGAAACCGCCAATACCGGTGCTGTTCGGAGTATCCACGAGCTGAGGCAAGCCGGCGCAAACAGTCGCTTCGCTGATGAAATGGATGATATTCTCGATAGGGTCGGCTCACCGTCAGACGAGACCTCGTCTTTGCGGAGAGGCGCATTGCTTGAGGTAGCCCAGAAGATGAAGCACAAAGACTTCCGGCTCCAGTTCCGCAATCACAGCGGCGGGGAGAGCTTGTTCAAGTCTCTCGGGAATGAAACAGATCTGGTCTCTGGATATGCAATCTTGGCCATAGTCACGACACTTCTCGCCTCTACTACCTCCGGTCTCCTAATCCAACGGCTTCGCTCACAAGGCCTTGCCACCCTCGTGGGGAAGCTCCTTGAGCATACAGCAGACATCGCCCAGCTAGGCAAGGACCGGAAGCAGAATGTTTCGAGGAATGGCCAGCTGACATTGGCGGCAATAAAATCCTCGATCCTGGGGCTGCCTGTTTGGGAGCCTTTCTCGCCAACGTCGTTGTCGCCCCGGACCCTGGCGCTGAAATGTCTAGACTTACTTATGCGGCAACCAGTCCACGCGTCTGCTGAGGATGAGTTGCTTTCCAAGGCAGTTACGGATCGCTTGTTCTCGATCCTGGCTGATGGGGTCTCGAATTCGGCGTGCTGGGACTTGTCAAATCAACAAGAGTCCTGCGACTTATACTTCGCACTCTATGTCCTCGAAGGCCACTCAGCCAGCGCCATGCAGTCCCCGCTACGCTCGGCATGGACCAAACAATACGCCCCGATTGCGGCAGATGTTTTGGAAACCGCCCTTAAACAACCCACTGAACAGCTCGGCGACCTCGCCAGTCTGATCCTCAGGATATCTCTCAACATCACGAACCACAACGGCGAGGCTTCTCAGCTGTTTGTTAACAAGGGTCTACTCAAGCGGCTTGCCATTTCGGCCTGCGGCGCCTTCGGAATGGTTGTGTGTTCGATGAAGGTCGACTCGTTTATGTCCAAAGTCCTAGAGTCTCTCATCATGATGCTGGGAGCAATGATCAATTTCTGTGTATACTATCCTCCTGCGTCAAACAGCCTCGAAGAACGGGGCGATGGCGCGGGATCGCCCCTGAACGAGCTGATCCGCATTTTTGCCGACAACCACTCCAAAACAGCAGAGGTACGTTGGTGGTAGGGGCTCATAGTCAGATCCAGTCGCTGACAAATCGCTAGGCCGACTCGATGGAGAAGACTCAGCTCAATGTTGCTTTGGGCTATCTTTCAATCCTCCTTGGTTACCTATGTCTGAGCGACTCGATCAGGGACAGATTCGTCTCTGTTCATCCCAAACGCAACATCCAGCCGCTGATTGACTCTCTCAATGAATTCATTGCTTTCCATCGCAAGGTTGCCGAGGCACAACCTGCAGAGAGCTCCGGATCTGGTTCCCTCACTCGTTTACAGAATCTGGCGGATCAGCTCTCAGCTCTGCGTTAAAGGCCATTGGACTTCTGCTGTATATCTTTCTCATGGGGCGTTGGGGAGTTGAGTGAGGCTGGGCAAATACATGCCTTGCATAAGGGGCGGCGGTTCCGACGAGTCTTGGTTTTGATGTTATGGGTGTTGTGACGGACCTTGCTATGCTTGGACGAACCGAACGTTTACATGACTTGGAACAAGGACATGACACAGGCACGAGGGAATGATAATGGCAGAGACCTAGGTTCTCCGGAGATGCAATGGCACAATGATCTTAGGGCTCCAACGGCAGTTCGGCATTGAATAGAAATGTGACTCTCCAATACACTCATATCTATGGGTGGCGAGCGAACATCCACTCGAGAGGCCATCACACTCCTTGTGGTTTGGGACGGACCGAGTCACATGCTGCTATCCATGCGGCCGTCAACAAAACCATCCAATGGCATCCACGCTGGTTGAATTCGGATGCAGACTTCCATCATGCCATGAGCCGCAGTGGGGCCGCTGGCCCAGTGCCAAGGCCGCTTGGCCGCGCGCCCCTCCCCACCGTCGGGCCTAGAAGCCCCGGAAGGTTGGTTATCGCGGTTATCGGAACTGCGTACGACTCGTGAATGATCAGCTTGGTGCTGCACAATACAATAAGAGCTGTCGAACTCAACACGCATTGCGTAACTTGATCTCGCTGCTTGATCACCTCTGGTGTACCTGGGTGAGGCATGTCAAAAGCATCGACCTTTTTCCAGCTTCTGGTAACTTGGGATTGTTGCCGACTTCAAGTTGCCCATTGTGACGTCGTTTTCCTACCGACATTCGTTTTCTGCCCCTCACTCTCATCAAGCCAACCACTGCACCAATTTAAAGTCGGGTACTCTGATCTAATCGCATCACATCGCACCAAATCACCTCACATCGGATCGCAGTGCGACCGTAATTCACGAAAATAATACCATCAATCACCGAAATACTGTCGCGGTACCCAACAGCACAAATGCCATCGACACTCGCCAAGCAACGGAAGATCGCCATCGTCGGCAGCCGTTCAGTCGGTGCGCGATTGTCCTCTTTTCCTCCTTCACTCCAAACCCAGCACGTGCCACTAACATATTTGCGACTTGTATAGGCAAATCTTCTCTCGCAGTCCGCTACGTTGACGGGCATTTTGTTGAAAGTTACTACCCGACAATTGAGAATACCTTCAGCAAGGAGATTCGTTACAAGGGCCAGGAGTATGCGACCGAGATCGTGGACACGGCGGGTCAGGATGAATATAGCATATTGAACTCCAAGCACTTCATCGGCATCCACGGCTACATGCTCGTGTACAGCGTCTCGTCACTGCCCTCATTCGAAATGGTCCAGGTTATCAGGGACAAGATCCTCAACCATCTCGTTCGTCACTTTGCTCTTCCCTTTTCATCTCTACCTACCTACCTACCCCTCTCTCCTGTCCCTTCAGCACATCAACTAACACTCTTTGACCTCGCCACGCACAGGGCACAGACAGCGTCCCGATCTGCATCGTGGGCAACAAGTGCGACCTGCGGCCCGAGCAGCGGCAGGTGACGCCCGAGGAGGGCAAGGCGCTGGCCGACAAGTATCACTGCGCCTGGACCGAGGCCAGCGCGCGGTACAACGAGAACGTGGCCAAAGCATTCGAGCTTCTCATAGGAGAAGTCGAGAAGTCTCAAAATCCAAGCGAGCCGTCCGGCGGCGGCAAGTGCGTTGTCATGTGAGCGGCAGGAATGTGAGGCTAGCAGTTGGGTGGAACAAGCCTGAGGCATCGGTCGGCTCATTCTACGATGACATCACCCACAAGGCGGAGGGGGACTAACTGGGAAAGTGAGAGAGTGAGCCATGCGTGGACAGACCGGCCAGACCCCGCCCCGGCCCTATTACGTTTGAGGGTACCAAGGCTTCGTAATGGGCTCGTGCCTTGTGAAGGAGACGTGTGGCGGGCGGTCTCTTTTCCACCGTGTCCCCATCGGCGGAACAACATTGCATTGGCAGGATGGATGCTAGGAGAGCTGGCGTGAGATTTGGAGATGATGGCATTCATGATGGCTCATCGGGTTGTTCGGCATGACAATGCTGATGGATGGGCATAATCAAACGTTTGATGTACGATGAGGGGTCGTGACAGTTGCACCCTGCTCTGTCTCTACGTTTACAGCTCCTAATTAATGGGAATTTGGGACTCATCGAGGACAAATAGTATCGAGATACAGCAGCGCTCGATCAAATCCCAGTGATATGACGCCAACTCTCCTTTCTATTCCCGGATATCTTGATCGCATGATTTAAATCAGCCATGCCAAACCGCAGGTGGTCCTGACCGACCCCCATCATATCGCAGATAGAATATTCCACCCACCCCTCATCTCACAACGACCTCCTTCTTCTCCACCACTGGTTTCGAAAAGGGAATGAAGTCGGGAGCGCCAGGGAGGTACTAAGTGCGTCAGTATTCAAAGCTCCCTAGATAATCATTCTCGCATTGCCTTACCTTCCGCAGGGGCTCGGGGATTCTAACACCCTGAACAATAGTTAGTCGGGCCAGCAAAGGAACGGCACTCATGTAGCTTACATCTTCGGTCTGGAAGTTCTCTAAGATGGCGCAGATTGTCCTCGTTGTAGCGCAGAGAGTAGAGTTCAAGCAGTGGACATAGGTCTTCTTCACATCCGTCTGCTTCTTGATACCGAAACGGATCTCCAGGTCGCGGCTCTGGTAGTCAGTGCAGTTGCTGCGTGGCAAGGTTAGCACCATCAACAGATTTCATAAAGTGCTGTTGCAGTGGTACTCACGAGCAGCTGACTAATTCCTTGAACTCTCCTTGGTGCTATGGCACGGACAATGTTAGCATCTAGGGTCTGTCAAAACAGAGCACCTTGTGGCCTTACGGGAAACCAGGCTTCGAGGTCAAGCTTCTTCGCGGCTATAACTCTGTTAGCAAGAAAACCAGGCCCTTCTACTAGGCCAACATACCGGCATTATCTAGAGGATCTGGGTTAGTAGGCTGCTTAGTTAACATGAGACTGAATACAGTACTACGTACTCAAAGCGCCAGAGACGATTGCTACGACGCGGTAAGGGATGCCAAGAGACTTGTAAAACTCCTCCGATGTCGAGATCATGCTGTCAAACATCTCCCAGGACCTATCCTTGCTGTGAGATGACGGCTCAGTGTTGATTTCATCCCAGCGGACTCACTTCTCGGGATCCGTGATGCAGAATTGCTCGACCTAGCAGAGGTTAGGGAATCATGTAGGAAAACAGCATGCTCTGTTACTGACCTTGGTGAACTCATGGACGCGGAAAATACCCCATACATCTTTCCCGTGCTACGTGAGGGTCAGTCAAGTCGCGCACATAGCGACACACAATCCCAGAGACTTACCGCGCCGGCCTCCTTGCGGAAGCAAGTTGAATAACCCGCATACCTGTGCACGGTAAGTGAACGTCCCGTGATTGACATCCTGCGCTCCTTACTTCAGAGGAAGCTGCTTGGGTTGCAGCCACTCATCGCTGTGGTAGGCACTGATGGGCTGCTCCGAAGTCTGTCACCAGTTAGCGGGGAACATGGCTTGAATTCCAGAGAAGGGGGCTAGCTGGAGCATCACATACCGCGATGAGATACTTGTCGGCCTGGTCTCCCGTCACCTTGTACAGTTCCTCATCAAATCTAACTCATAGTTAGAGCTAGCTATTCAGGACGGGTCGGGGTCGGCGCCTACTGTGAGAGCTGGGCAGTCTTCGCCATCTGATCCCGGAGCATGAGTTGCGGAGTTTGCAAAGGAATATAGTCTCTGTCGTTCAGGAACTCAAGCCCGTAGTTGATCAAAGCCCTAGATAACACTGTCAGAATACTACAAGGAATGTGTGAAAAGAGGAGCCATACTGATTCAGGAACACGCCCCATTTACGCAGGAAGTACCCACGATGGCCAACAACTTTCACTCCTCTTTCGGGGTCGTAACCTTCAAGCTTGTCGAGAACCTCGTGGTCTGTTCCCTGCTCTGTCAGCCCGATATTACCTGAGCCATTCGGACGCGGCACTGTGCTCACGGGACAGAACGTTGCGCTTCTCGAAGAGGACGCCCTCGGGCGCCCAGGTGCGCTCGACCCGGTTGTTATCCTGTTCATGGTCAGTTCTCGGTCGGCGCTGGATAATGGATCGTCTGGACGGACCTCGTTGTCGGAGACAGGGACAGACTCGTGGACGATGTTGCCAATAAGCCTGACTTTGGCCTTCAAAAGCTTCTCCTTCTCGGCTGCCGAGGCGAGCAGATCCTTCTTCTCCTTCTCCAGGTCGGCTGAGGCATGTGGTCAGCATCAATCAACCCCAGTCATTTAGCCTTCCAACCTTTCTGCTTTAGGAGATCGGTGACATCCTCCTTGGCCTGCGTGTGTCGTCAGAAAATGGCCGACCGAGGGCGATGGGAGGAAGCGCATGCCTTCTTCCTGGGACCAATCTGCTTCTGAACCTCGTTGATTTTGGCATTGATTTGGGTGGCAGCATAAGCGGCTGTATCGAAGCATGTCAGAGATGGAGTCGCCAACAAAGGCATCAGCAGGGACAGTGGCTTGACTCACTTTTGCGATGGTCCTCGAACATCTCGATGACCTCATCGACAGCCGCTACACTGGCATGTCGCTTGCGTTGGCTTGCCCTGATTAACTCGGGGTTGCCGCCGCGCTCGGCAACTATTGGAGACCTAGGTTAATCTCTCGTACGCGGACATTTACTACACCAAGCTATGATCGTGTGCGGAGTGAAAGAGCCCGGCAGTGGACGAAAGGAAGGCTGAGGAACTTCGTACTGAAATCATTGACGTCAAGCATCTTATGGCTGGTCCTACGGCGGAGCTTCACACAATATGAGTTTGGGCAGGAGATGGGCAGGAGAAAGACAGGAGAGGAGAGGAAGGCGCGGGAAGTTGATAGGCGATGGTGTCGCAGTGTTGAATGGCGGGGCAGAATGGCAGAATATTGTTTCGCGGGGTGAAGGGACCGGTGGGGTTCAAGATCAGGGGTCGGATCACAGTCATTGCTTCCAGGTTCTTATCGATAACCCAGGTATACTTATCGGTGTGAGTCAGCGGGGTCAAACTCGGATAGGTGAATACTGTCGAATTGCGGATTATTTCGTACTGTATACTGCGTCCACGTTACTAGATTGAAATTGATGACGGCCATTCACCCAGTGTTGCCGCAAGGTCCTACTAGAGTATTCCATCACTAACATCATAACCTATTTCTTCCATGATATATTGCCTAGCCTCCCACCCTTGCTATTCGCATATTCAACACAAGTCAATCCTCCTAGTCACTCGTCTCCTTCGGAGTCCCTCGTCCGTTTGCTTCATTCATGATCTCGTTAGATCCGCAGGCAAAATCCTACCCTGCCATGGCCTTCTTCTCCTTTGCGTATCACAGCGAGTCAATTTCGGGCTTCATCCTACTCATCCTATCACCACCCCTTTGATCCCCGATATCCAGCTCCCTGTGGCGGCTGCGTCCCAGCCAGTCGGCAGTCCCTACCCAGTTCTTCTTGTTCCAGGCTATTCCAGGAGGCGGCATTCCAAGCGAAGGGTGAACTGGTATGCTGGAAGTCTGGTGCCCACATGGTTGAGGAATCGAGAGAAAGCGGCGGACATATAAATGGGGTTGCGGGTTGTGATTCCAAGTATGGGTTGAAAGCATGTTCGAAGGGCTGGCTGTCCAGCGGGGAAGTGCCCACATCCCATATTGCCGGGTGTTGCAAAGGATTGAGGTACGATGCTTCCTGGGCGGATGCTAAAGGGGCGGCGAGGGTGTCAAAATTCGACTGTTCGGGGTCAAAGACGGCGGCATGGTGTGGGAAAGGCCCGTCCGGAGAAGGCCAGCTCGTTGCGAGAGGAACGCTACTGTCAGTGACGATCACAGGAGCTGGTGCCGCAGGGCTGGCCGGTTTCTGTGCCTTTCTCGACTTCTGGGCCGGAGGTTTCGCTTCTAAGTCTTTCTGGCCTGTTGGTGTCGAGATGCGGATGCGGAGGTTGGTATCGAAAGAGCTGTGGCAGGTCACGCTCATGCGGGAACAGTTCAGGCACGGGTTCCCGCCCAGACACCGCACCTTTCTTCGGCGGCATGTCAGGCATCCTGTCGACTTGCAGTTAGCCTCCCGAGCTCCCATCCTGTTGACGAGTCTTGGAAGCAGAGCTCACCATGGAATGTCCGTTTTAGTGGCTGGCTCATTGCGGTCCTGCTGTGTAAGTGAAGGAGCTAATCTTCAGAGCCAAGACTACGCCAAGACTAACTCTGCGTCTCGACTTACATACAAAAGAGGGAGCGTTCCATCCTCTCGGTATACGCTAAACCTTAAGTTCGGTGCCAAGTTATATCCGCTCTTGATTCCCATGGGTGATGATGACTTCGACCTCACTCCGCATTGAAGTGCACCCTATACGGGAATACCACGATGACAGGACTGCAACGGTTACTCAGCAACATGTGACACAGCCTCCTCTAGAGCTGTCTAGCAGCGTCTCATTCATCCGACCCCTACTTACCTACCTACCACATGCAGTCATTCCGATCCGAAGTCCTTGGGGTCAGTTCCAAGTTAGCTTATCATCGAGTATGCACCGTATTGTGTGGCTGGGAAAGTCCTATACTGCATTCATCCATTATTTCCTTCCATATGGATCTACATCTGGGGCCGCCTGCTGATATTCGAATCTCGACTCTGGTCCGCTTGGCCTCCCACCGTTTGGGCCAGGAACAGATCCATGGTTTACCGCCTCAGATGTGGGATGTGAACGTTGCCGGGTTCTTCAACAGACCAATTGCAGGCGAAAGCTTCAAGTTGCTTTACGCATTCGTCACCTGTACAGCCCTCGTTAGGCACCTACATTTCAGCAAGGCGCCATTTCCGGGGTGGTGGTGTAAGCACGAATGGAAAAGGCATCCCCGCGAGCAGCCGGTGACGGACTTAGGGTGTGCGGAGCGAGCCGAAGGTGTTCCCGCCGCAAGTTCCGGTTGGCATCGAGTACTAACACGCCGGGTTAATTTAAAAGGCGGCCCGTGTAACATCCACTCGGCAACACTTCCAACCACGGTGCGCAGTATTACTAGTATGCATCGGCTTTCGGCGTTGTGGGGTCTTCCGTGAGGGTTGAACGGGTCGGCTCCTACCCGGTTTGACGGTGAGCTTAACACTCGGGTAAAGGTGGCCGACAGAGGCCGCCGACATCCGCTTCCAACCTTCAGGTTCCTCGGAAAGCTCTGACGTTCAGTTTTCCGGCAATAGTACGGAACCCAGCGAAGGCTCCAATCGACTAATGCCCATGGTGTCATTCAATACCGTCCCGTAACCGGATGAGTGCTCGATGCCTTCCTGACCGGCTGGGTCTCGTGCTTAGTCGCGTGTACGTCGCGCTGACAGCTTCGGACGCAGATTTCCCCGGAAATCGTCGACGGTTGGACTGAGATTATGTGGCGCTAGCTGGCGCCGGTCTCTCTCCAAACTCTTCAGCAGGAGGAGAAGAACAGAAGATGTGGTCAACGACTTGAACGGTACCCCAATACATATATATGACGGTACAGTACAGGGTAATATACCACATGGGTGTGTTGCACGTACTTCCGTACTCTTATGTATACCATACTTATATAGTATGTATAGGTACTCTTGACGTACTTTATGTATGTATTGTACAAGTACAGAGCATCACGTATATACCAAGATGCCACGTGCGTGCTCGCGGATCAGAGATGCTACGAACTTTAAGTGCAATAAAGGTTCGGATGCTCCGTATCGGATGAGATCCATCCACCTCACAACCGGAACTTACACTGTGCCTAGCATGTCCCCGTATTTGGGTGGGAACCACGTTTCCGTGGTTAACGATCCAAGGTCATAACACATCGTTCAGGAAGAAAAAGCAGAAGAGCAAACGAGCAAACTGAACGATAGGAGCAGGACATTATAGTACCAATCTTCAGGTTCTCTTACCACACACCGTCGTCTCCTATAGGGTTAGCGCGAACCAATTTGTGCGGGCGTGGCACAGTGCAGGAAGAAACTGGTAACGACTCACCATGTACTTGTACATAGGTACGTTATTAGGGCGCTTTTTTGCAGAGCGTCGACTGGTTCTCAAACCTTCAAGCTTACACAACACATCATTCCCTCTAAAAGACGATTCCTCACTTTCTAGCTCCCCTTTTGAATGAATAGTCCTCTGTCGCTTGATTGTCACCTTGTAGCTGCCCAAGTGAGGTAAGGAAGAAAACGCTTAGAGCCCACAGCCACCGCTTCTTTGTTCCTCGACTAATCTCCTCCGGCGTAGTTTCCTCAACTTATTGTCAACAGCCTAGTCGTACTTGCACTACGCTCCGCTTATCTGGAAGGAAGAGCTCGTTTTCGTACTTCTTGAAGGGTGAAGAGGCCGATGATTCTACTAGTCTTCCTTCATCCCCTCCAACCACCACGCAGTTCATCATCCTACGCACCGACCATGGCAAAGCTTGCACTCTCAATGGAGATCATCACATCTCAACAACTGCATCTCGAGGGACTCCAGGGGGTTGAAGAACTAACCATTTACGAGGTCGAAATCAGCTTTGTTTTTGTTGCTTTGTGCCTTGTTGTGATCCCTGCGATCATCGCCGCCCTTTGCATTATTGTGTCTATGTTTTAGAACCCCATCACTTACCGGTCATCCTCGACGGATGCCCTAGCCGACAGCTTCGAACGAACAAAGACGACGGGGATCAAAGAAAATGGGCGAGGGCAAACCGTTGGTTTGCCCGTTTTGTGGCTGGACCAATGAAGCAGGCGAATATGAAATGCTACTGGTGAGTCTTTGGGCGACGTTTGCAGACTTGCATGGCTGACGGCCCTACCAGCACATGGAAACATTGCACGCCGAAGGGGAATCGCCATGCGTTGTGAAGGAAGATTGGTCACCAGCCAGCATCGACACTCCCGAGGACACCCCGTATACCGAATGTCCCGTTGACGGCTGCGGTGAGCTTCTTCCGCTTCAGGAGCTAGAATACCACATGGAGCTGCACGCCGAAGAGTCTAGCGATGACCTCCAAGACGAATCTGCGCCGTCGACAGAACCACACGCAACAACAAAGGAAGCGGAGCTTTTGTCATCTGGGCCGTCAAGGGCTCGTCGCGAGGCAGAAGGAAACCGAGAGCCCAACCATAGCTCCACGAGCGAGCGCCAGGCTAAAGCCATCTCCTCTTGGCGGCAGCTGCTTAGGATGCCCGGCGCCTTGACCGTCAATGTGTTTCTGCCTAAGTCGCTCACACGAGATGGAAAGCAGGCTGGCGTCGGATCTAATACCCGTTCGTTTACCCGTGGCAGGCGCCTAGGTGTCAGTGGTCTCCATGCACATCCCGCCGATGATGCTGCCGGATCTGGCTAACGGACTCTGCAGAGGGCACAGCTGGGAAAATACGCACACGAGGAGCGCATGCCGGACTCGCTAGTCAACCTGCTGAGGAAAAAGGGCCAAGTCACGGCGCAAGGTGAGCAAGCACATGAGCGCCGTTGATCGAGCTCGGCATTGGCTCCCCAACTAACTGTTTTAGATGTCATCCCGGTCCTGGCCCAGCTGCTCGAGCAGAGCTCGTCGACAAAGTACGCCTACCTCTGCCACCCATGTGTGCAACACGTGTCAAAGCTCAAGCGCGAGGGTATGCGTCCCGACCGTCAAGTTATCTAAGGTAGTTTTGTCCGCAGTAACTAACGCACTGGCAAAGGAGGGTTTTGTGGGTACCGAAACATCCAAATGCTGGCGTCCTGGATCATCAATACGAACTCGAAAGGTCACGAACACTTCAAAGGCGCCATCCCTTCCATCTTCCAGATCCAGGAATACATAGAAACCGCATGGGATCGGGGAATCAACGCGCAAGGTCGTGTTGAGACGGGCGGTATTAGGGGGACTAGAAAATACATTGGCACGCCTGAGGTACATACACCACCTGTTCCAGCCACGCAACCGCCAATATCGCTAACGAGAGCGCTCACTAGGCATTGGCCGTGTTTGCTTTGCTGGGCATTCCATGCGAGTGCCGGGCGATAGACCATCGGGAGCCTGGCAAGTCGGAAGCACAGCTCATGGAATACGTCGAGGAGTACTTCCAGTCAGGGGTTGAGGATCCAACGCAACGCATCCGGAGGACGAATCTGCCGCCACTTTACTTTCAGCATGCCGGTAAGCGATCTTGCTTCACTGTACTGCTGTTGCGAATCCCTGCTGACGTAACTGTGTCAGGCCATTCCATGACCATCATCGGCCTGGAGAAACTCAAGAACGGCTCCAAGCAGCTGCTTGTGTTCGATCCTTCCTTCCACGACTCCTCCTCCATCCTACGTCTTGTTGGGAAGAAGTTTGTCCATCCACTGCCGGATCTGCCTTTGAAGCTCTACCGTCGGGGGAATAGGTACCTTCGAGCGTACAGGGAGTTCGAGCTGCTACGCTTAGTCGCGAGCTAGAGCGCTGGGCCCGACACCTGAGGAGATTTTAGCACCGGTGTCCCGTTCGGGCCAGGTGCATCCGGCATGAGCAAAGCAGCAAATGGCAAGCGTTGTGTGCACTACGGCGAAGCGATTATGATTCATTGTGTCATCGTCTACACCATAGGTTAGGTAGTTTCTCAGGACGTCATTTCTTTTGCAAACCACTCCTGGAGCTTTGCCAGCGCCCGGCCGCGGTGCGAAATCTTGTTCTTTTCTGCCTTGTCCATTTCGGCATATCTGTCACAGCAGTCAGTGAACGGCCCGATGCAAGTGACTGGAAACAGAAGAGCCAGCTTACGTCTGTCCCTCGTACTCGAAAATGGGGTCCCAGCCTTGATATCAATTCCTTATATCAGCACGATTCCGAAGAACCCCCTAACGTAAGGTAGTTAAGCGAGAGCGAAATGCTGTGGTAGACCTACCGAACACTGGCGGGCCCCTAGGCGGCACAATCCTGCCCTCGGTGATACCCTGGAACAGAATCGGCTCATGGCCCGGGCCGGGGGAGTAGGCGAACGTACAGACTGCCTTGGCGGATTTGTCTTCGTAGGCGGCAAGCAGGTTGTTGAGGCCCTCGTGGCCGATGGACTTCATGAACCATTTGCTAGACAAGGCAAGCAGGCTGTTGTCAGGACATCCCTCACTCTAGCTGGACTGCATGTGGTATGATGTATTGCTAGGTAGGTACATACATGTATGGCCCCGGCAACCCGTTCAGCGCGTTGAAGCACAGGCATGTGTCTTCGACCAGGACAGGCCCTTCGATCTGTTTTCATGGGGGCAAGTTTTCGTTAGCTTATTTAGGGTTGCATTGTACAAGCACACATATATCTGAGCGAAGTTTATTAACTTACCAGGTCCGCTGCCCGTCGGCACTTGTCAAGCGTCACTTCCTCCACAGTACCCTGAATCTCGAGCAGATCCAAGGCCTGGCTCTCGACTTGGATCGCTGGCTCGAGGATCGCCTTCACCTCGCCCAGCTTACCGGCGTTGCCGGTTATGAAGTTGACGATGTGGCGGGCTGCTGTTGGAGTCGTCATCTTGGGCTCTGGGCTACTACTAGTAGTGTTCCCGTTAGTAAGGAGTGAGTTGTGGTCTTCGTACGTAGTGTGATTGTTTACGGAAGGGGGCTCCGTTATTTATAGTGGGTTGCTAAGAGGCGCTTTAAACACTAATGGTAAGTAGGTATGGTACAATACATACCATAAGTTACGGTAACTAAGAGCGCATAGTGTATCCGTACGGATTATTCAACCCTCCGGGGTTTGTTTTGTTAGTTTGGTACGGCCAAGCCACTAGCAGAGCAAGGGAGTAACAGGGGCTTCAACTGGCCAGTATGTGGTCGAACCTGTGATTTTTTAGTGTCTGGAACGGTGTTGCATTGACGGGGCTGTTGAGAGTCTGTTGTCGATCGTAGAGTAAGTTGTTCCCCATATAAATTGCTAGGAAAGTGACTTACTGTTGTGGCGATATCGTCGATCGACAGATTTGCCTGTGCCCTGGTAAGTCAATCAGACTAACAAAACAAACCCCGGAGGGTTGTTGATCTCCACTAGCGTTCGTCCCGGCCAGATAGTAACGTTAGCGTGTAAGATATTGTCGGGCCTCGATTGCTGCAGGCCCACCGTCGGGCAGTGAATCTGATGTAAATTGTGACGGTAGGGTACAGCTTACAGGGTCAGGCCGGCTGTATGTGCCACTCAATTCCGTGAAACTAAGCCTAAGGAAGGAAAAGAAGAAGTTCTGGGTGGCCGACCCAGAATTACAAGGTATTCCCAATTTGTGGGTCACGTGACTTTGCCCCACTCAGGCCGTTCAAGTGGGGTCGACTCCCGGCTGGGGCGACACCCGTACCGACCGTGACATAAATATATACATACAAATACGGGGAAAAGCTCTGGGGCCCTGGAGCTCCCAAGTTTCGGGCACTGTGGAATATCAGAATAGTAGTCCATGTTGTTCATCCTGGCATGTCTCGTGGATTTGAGGTTGGACTTTTGCTAGATTTTCTTAACACTAGGTAGCATTGTTCTTCTTCCACTGCTCCAACCACTGCTCAATCCTCTCGACGTTGCTCTCCATCTCGTCCGCCGTCACGCTCTGCAGCTCGACCACAATCTCCTCGTCATACGACTCCTTCGCCTCCTGCAACAAAACGTCCATGATTTCTGAGTCGATATTCTCTTGGAGTTTTACCTCTGGGTATTTCCTATAGAAACAGATATCAGCGCGGCATTAACCCCTCGGATTGTTACATAGCAAGATAACGGATGCATCAAGGGATTTCTCCTGTGATGTCCGGCCTGACTCACCTCGCTGTTAGCCGATCATACAGCGTCGCCGTGTCCACCCGCAGCACGACCACCAGGTCGATCCAGCTCTTTGGGAACAGGTCACACGCGTGCCAATCTATTATGCACCCGCCCTGCTTGACCTCGTCTTCGATGGCGTCAAGGAGCTAGGCCGGGTTATCTCTTTGTAAGTCAACCTGAACATCCCTCATTCCGATCTTGATGCATGTAGAGTAGAACCAGAGTAAAACCAAAATGAAAAACATCAAGAATGATATAAAAGAGATATAGAAAAACCCACCTTGTCCTCGTCCACGATCCAGCTCTGATACTCCTCGTCCCAGCCCTCATGGCACTCGCGGTCCTTCACCACGTCGTTGACAGAGATGTGCTTAAGGCCCGTGCGCTCGGCCAGCAGCTCGCAGTGGCTGGTCTTTCCGGTGCCGGGCGTGCCCGTGATGATGACATTAGGTAGGCTGCGCGACATTTTGTGGTTTTCTTTTGTAGCTCTGTCGTCTCCTCTTCTGCAAGAGTGTGGTTCCAGTTTGTCCAGCGGTTTCGGGGTTTGATCCAGTGGTATGTACATATGTGAGCGGGTGGGTGTAAGTGAGTTGTTGCAGTTGCTGCTGGGCCCGCCCAAAAATTATTTTTGCTAGGTGTAGGTTGCATTTGAGAGGGACTCGGGGAATGTGCGGACACCAGAGATCCCCACTGTGCTCGACTGGAAGCTGCCTGGTTCATGTCTTCAGGACGGTACGACACGGGCTCGCAATTTGGATGAATGCCTTACCCAGTACTGGGTATTTCATTCAGAAGTTCAGGTAGTCAGATATCCGGTAATGCAATGCGTTCCGCCCATACATGCAGCTAAATCCTGCCTGTACACCACTACGGGTCTCTTCCCCTTGAGGCGACTCGTGCGCATCTCATTTACAGATCTTTCCATCGATCTCTCTTCCTCCTCAAACGCGAGCTCTTGACAAAGTATCCTCTATCCTGTAATCACATGAGCTTCATGCCCTGCCTTCGACTTCCATTAAACATAAGACATCAACAGATCGCCCTTTCGGTCCCATCACTCTACCAACCATCCTCATCCATCCATCATCAAGCAAAACAAGCCAAGTCCAACACTGTCGCCGACTATGCGTTCCGGTGGGAAGCGAGCAGGCGAACTGAGCGAGAACCAGAAGGGGTGTGGTTTGGAGAATAAAAAGGACAAGGGAAACAACAGCAGCAAGAATGCGTGATATCCCCGAACCGGCAAAAGACGAACATCCCCATTCCCAGGCTGATGAGTATCCCAGAAGCGCATCACGATAAGCTCTCCCACCCACAATTCCAACTGCAGCTAGCCGTTCACCCACCCCGGCTTCCACTCCTGCTCGTACTCCTAGTCCTCACCATCTGATACCCCATCGATCCATGACCCTCCACATTCCCACCACTACTACCACTATCACCCGCCGTTCTTCGACGGATTGAGCAGCACCGAGGCAGGCCTCTGCCTTTGCCTGGGTAAAGTGGTACTCGGCGGGGACACAGCAGCCGGGAAGAGCGGGTGAGGCTGAGGCTGAGGCTGAGGCTGAGGCTGAGGCTGAGGCTGAGGCTGAGACTGAGACTGAGACAATGTCGTCAGGGCGAATGTCGCCACCTCCTAGGCGGTGCCAGCCACGACAGATCCCGGGCGCTGCTGGCCCTGCTCGTGCCCGTAGTCGCGTTCGTCCACCTCGGTCATGTCATTGAAGCTCTGGCCGTCATAGTCGCCGGCTTCCTCGCCCACCTGGGAGCCATACTCGAGCTTCTCCTGTTGGGCGATCGCCTGTTGGGAGACAATCTCGGCGAGGCGCTTCAGGCGCGGGGTTTGCAACCCTGGGCGGGTCGGCACGTTAGCTGAGATTCCAGAGTTGGGAAGGGAAGAAGGGCAGATGGACGTACAAGATGGGGTGTAGGTCTCCAGGGCGGTGATCACTCTGGGCTCGGCAATCTCGTACATCCCGCTGTCGTCCATATCGACAGCAGGGAGGAGTAGGACATCGCTCTTCTCCGTCACGCGCGACGCAACGGCCTTCATGATCTCGCCGTTGATGGGCTGTTCGTAGTCGGCGACGAGATATTGGTTAAGCAGCTTTTGAATCTGGTTCGGCGAGAGCCTGAAGAAAGAATAGTATTTAGTGTACGCTCAACGGGACCCACGCAGCACGGAATACTCACAGCCAGCAGATATCCTGGATGATCTCGATGTCGTTGAGGGTGGCCTTCTTCAGTTGCAGGAGCTTTGTGGCTTGCTGAAGAAAGGGTCAGTAAAGCTCAGGCGTCGGCCAAGCATGTCAGGATGGGGATAAGCACTCACCATCAAATGCTCAAGCTGGAGAGTGCCCTCGGGCATCTCATGGCTCTTGCACCACTCCTCGATACGGGTGATGTTATAGTTGATCTGCAGGCCACGCTTCCACGAGAGGAAGTTCCTGCGCATGAGCAGGTCGTTGAACGCCGTGACGCCAACAAGCCGGAGCAGCTCCGTGATGGCCTGCATGATGATGGAGTGCTCGAGGTAGTAAGCCTTCATGGCGCGGAATACGCTGTTGAGGAACGACAGTAGGTTGTCCATACTGTACGCCGGCTGGTTGCTACCCTGCAGAAGTTTGCCGAGGAACCTGTTGTTCTCGTTCGTGACGAAGCCGGGGAGGGACTGCGACTCGATGATGGCAGGAATGATCATCTTGTTGAGCTTCCGCTTGAGCGACTTCATCCACGTGTGGTAGATGTTGAACTCGAGGCTCTCGAGGTCGTGCTTGACAATCTCAAGCAGGCGATCATACTCGTAGTTGTCCGTCTTCTGGGCCTCGTACCAGTCCTCCGCCAGGAAGACGAACGAGAGCATCTCGTGCACGTTAGAGAGCCAGAAGGCGCCAGGGTTGACGGCATCGTCGCCGTCGTGCTGCATGACCTCCTGCTGGATCGACTGCATGACGTTGGCGAGGAAGCGCTCCGACTCCTTGACGTAACCGTTATTCCACATCTCCGACGTGACCAGGTTGATGAGGTACGAGGGGAAGAGAACCTCCTTGTCCGAGGGCGGGGGGTTGCTGCCCGGCGACGGGATCCGCAGGTTGCGGATCAGGCCCAGAGTCACTTCCTCGTTGAGACCCTCCTCGTCGGCAAGCAGGGACTCGAGCTCCAACTCGATGCTATCAACACCCGGCATGAAGGTCGACCCGGAGAGCGTGGTCTGGCGGTTCATGCCAGGCACGGCCATCGAGACGGGGCGGGGGTTGTAGGCCATGCTGTACCTATCGAGCTCACGAACCTCAGCACCCGCGCTCCGCCGCTTGGGCTTCTTAGACGACACCAGGTTGATAAGACCAGCGGGCGCAGCGGGAGCGGGAGAATGGCCGTTGACAAGATCGCCGTTGACGGGAGCGTTTCTCCTCGCCTGCTCGAGTGCTTCCTGGAGCTCGAGCAGCTGCTGCCGGAGCGAGTTCTTCTCGGCCTCGTGGCGCTGGCTCTCCTGGCGCGCAGCCTCGAGCTCCGAGCTCGTAGCCCGCAGAGAGTCCCGCAGTTGCCGCTCCTCGTCCTGCATCCTCTTGACGCTGGCCACCGACTCGTCGAAGCTCGCCTGCAGCTTCTTCATCTCGGCCTCCATCGCCTCCAGGCGCGCCGCAGCGATACCGGCCTGGTTGGCCTCGGTCTGCAGCTCCTTGGCCCGTGCCTCGAGCGCATTGTGTCGGTTCCTCCAGATGGTCACCTGGCCTTCGTAGTTCTCCACCTGCGTCTTGAGTTCCTTGTTCTGCGCCTTCATGGTGCCCAGGGACTGCGTCAGCTCTACCACCTTGTTCTCCAGCTTGTAAGAGATCTGCTTGAGGTCGCGCGCTTCGGCACGCATGACCTTGTAGTCCTTGCGAGCACGCTTGCCGCGCCATAGACTCTGGACGATGACAACCTTCCTGCGGTATTCCCTCCACGCCCGGATTTGCCTCCGCGACCGCCAGTTCCGCTGGATGATGAGTGCGGCGTTGCCCATCCGGGTCTCCATGATCTCCTTCCGGCGCAGGTACCCCTTGAAGACGGCCTGGGCGCGGACGACGTCGTTCCTGATGCGCAGGAACTGTTTCCGCTGCTTCTGGCCACGCCACACCCTCTGGATCGTGATGGCAGCCTTGAGTGTCCGCAACTCCTGAGCTTGCATCCGCGCCTTGTGGGCTCTCGTCACAGACTGGAAGGCAACAATCGAGTCCCGGGCGGCCAGATACCTCTTGCGGTAGTACTTGGCCTTGAGATTCTTCTGGATCATGATGGCGCACTCGTTCAGGCGGTTGGTCCGCAGATTCTCGAGGAACGCCAGCATGCCGGCCCTGAAGAAGATCTTTGTCAGGCCCATCTGATACTTGTCCAAGCCCTTGCCCGTGCTGGTGCCGAGGGCTTTGCTCAGGATGGCCTTCGCCATCTCCCTGATCTCCGAGGTCCATTGCGACGACGGCACCAGCATGTAGTAGCGCAGCGCAAACTCCTCATAGGTCCACCTCGTAGGATAACCTGCAGTGCTAATGCGAACTGTTTCCAGCACACCGCAAGCACGGAGCTGGCTCAGCACCATGGGGCCCTCGAACTTCCACGACTCCTTGGCCTCGTTCGGCTTGATACACCGGATGTAGTGCACATCCGTGCTGTTAATCGTGTTCATGAGCTCAATCAGTGACGACTTGAAGATGCCACCCAGTGTCGGCTTGCGGTTAACAGCGACACCGATCCTCCTTCCTGCCGCCGGCTTCACCGCATTCGTCGAGCTTGCTGAGGCAACGTCCTTCTCCCGCACCTGCGAGGCCGCGTCTAGCACCGTAGTGAGGAATTTGTTGGTTGAGGCGCGAAGAATTGCCATGTGTTCATCGGGAACCGTGTCACGGTTCTTCTCGATGAAGCCCTCCGATTCGTACGTAACGTCGATCGCATAGTGGCAGACGGTGAAAGCGGATTTGCCAAATCTGGGCTTCTTGTAGAATTTGTTTTTGTCGGCGGCGTAGTGGTGGTGCAGTTTTGTCACAAATTGCTCGTCAGAGCCCATGGGCAGTCTTGATTCCTCGTCCAGCAGCGACAAGATGCCGAGCTTGCCTTCGATCAGATCGATGCAGGGCTGGTTATCGGCAAAGTCAATGAAGGTCCAGTCGATCTGTTCCCTGAGGTACTCCTCCTGCTCGAGCTTGAAGACATGCTGGTTGAACTCTTGCTGCAGCTTTTCGTTGGCGTAGTTAATACAGAATTGCTCAAACGAATTCTTGGCGAAGTGCTCAAAACCGTAGATATCGAGCACACCAATGAACGACTGGACTCTGTTGAGCACTTCCTCTGTTGCAAGACTCCGGTTGATGACATCGACCAACCAGTCGAACAGGCTCGAGTAGATAAACTTGGCAACCGAGTCCCTGACGACGACAGCCTGCGCCTGGGTCAAGTTTGACGTGATCTTTTCTCCGCGCGTGACGAGTTGCTTCTTGACGATCCACTTGGCGAATTCGGGCGCGTCAATACCGAGGATGTCGCAAGCCTTGACCAAGGACGGCTCAGTCGCCGAGAGCGTGCTGTCATTCCGGGATGCGCCGATCTTGACGTTGCCCAAGTGCAGCAGGCCCGCGAGCAGCTTGAAAATCTCGGCCTGGTCCGCATCGCTTACGCCGATCGTCTTGAGTGACTGCTTCGTCGCGACAAATTCCGCCTTGTCGTCCACACCGTCGATTGTCGGAGTGTTGCCCTGGTTGAGGTACTCGAACTGTTCAATCGGCAACAGGCCAAGCTCTTGGCGCTCCTTGTCCGACACGCCGGCCACCAGCTGGTAGAAGATGTGGTAATTCCTCTCCTTGAGCGGCTGGAAGACCAATCTCGACCGTTCCAAAAGATATGTCCTGATCTTGGCACCGATGATGTTGGTGCCCTTGTCGAACATGATCTCAATGTACTTGCCGAAGCGCGACGAGTTGTCGTTTCTCGTCGTCTTGGCGTTTCCGAACGCTTCCATAATCGGGTTCGTCGCAAGAATTGCCTCCTCCGTCTTGCTCATCGCCTCTGGTCCCTTCTTCACCCTCGAACCCGGGCTGTCGGGGGGTTCTCTTGTCGCGAAGTACCTCATAATGTACTTGGCGCTGACAGTCTTGCCGGCACCGGACTCACCGGAGACAACAATGGTCTGGTTCTTGCCATCTCGCAACATGTCCCTAAGGAACGGTCAGCAACAAGCACCGCATCCATTAGCCAGATCCGGCCTGCTGGCAGCGCAGATGCATACATGAAGGCCTCCTCAGCAATGGCGAACAGGTGAGGCGCCTGGGTAGCCCGCTGTTTCCCGGCATAGACCTGAACCATGCCCGGAACATAGAGGGAGTCGACCCGAGCGAAAGGATTGGTTGCTATTAACACGATGCCGGAGTATGTGTAGATCTCTTTTTGGAGATAGCGAAGCCGGATCGCCTGGAGGACTGATCCGAGGCGCAGCGTTAGTATTCTCCTCCTCAACACTCAGGCAGCGAAGGAGTTTCGTTACCGGCAGGCTCGTTGAGATGGGAGAGGTTCGTCAGGTCATCGCTGGCTTCGAGCATGGTAGGATTCATTAACGGTGGCAGCGATGGGTCATTCCCAGACTGGAGGGCCTCCAGGGAGACCTCCAGTGTCTTGGTCTATGGACACGATAGAGATCAGCCATCAGGACAGGCCAGATTGGGACCTCGCAGCGCAAAGTATGAGCTGCCTACCTCGCCATTTTCTAACTGGAACTCGAGCAAGACTTTTGACCCGTCTATCGTCTTTTTGATGACCTCGGATGCAACCCAGCCCTCGGTCGGGTCGGGCTGCCACGCTCTGGTACCGACATCATAGCTTTCCGACATTGGACGCGGTTGGGTGGGCGGAGCTGGAGGAGCAGCGGTGGGATGCGGAGTTCACACAGTAGTCTGCGGAGTCGGGGTGTCAAAGCCAACTCTCGTTGCGATCGGCCAGCAGTAATTCCGGGGGTGCGCTTGGGAAACGAGGGACGCCGTTCACGGTCAGTCGAACAATGGTGCAGCTAGAGGACGCGGGCAGCGGAACGAGGAAGTGGGTGCGCTGCTCTGGGCGAAGCGGGAAGGCATTCGCGAAAGAATACGGTAACGGCGCCGTTAGGCGGTCACGGTGCCGTAAGTTTCAGTGGTAGTAGTGCGCTTCAGATCCGCCGCTCCCACTCTAAGAGATGGCGTCACCAACGTACGACAGCTTGAGGACGTGCAGTGGTTGAGCTCTTGAGGCGTGAAATAGGTGTTGCCCGTGGTAAAGAAACGCGAGAAGGGAGAGATGCTAGTGAAGTTGTTGTTCATGGAAGTCAGGGGCTAAGAAAAAATGGTTACAAGGGTACGTGTAAGTTAAGCCGTGTAGGAGAAACGGGCGTAACAATCCGTAAGAGGGTTCCAGTGAGCACGGACCTTGAGGTTGGACAAGCACTTGACTCGTGCAGGGAACCGTATCATAGTTTTGCAGCTAACTCGACCAAATACACGGCAACAGAAACATTGAGTTGAAACAACTTGGATAGGTTCTCGAAAGAGTTGTCGGTCTTTGCGCGCAAGTATGCATACGGTAGCTAAGGTACTACGGATAATCAAGGTGAACAATTATCAGGTAGGTTGCGACTGTCGAACCATCAGGTGCTCATGCGGTATGCATTGAACTTCCAAGGGATGCCTGTCTCGTTTCCTCGGTCCCCGGACTTTACACAGTACACCATCCAAAGTAACCTGGAAGGTGAGTAACAAAGCATGGAACACCAGCTAACTCCCAGTCACGTAGGTATCAAGGAGTTTCGGTCACGGTATTCACTTTCTCTAACCTACCAAGTTTCTCTCCAGTCTACTATTGTACTCAGATGCATGAGTCTTGGCCATCTTGGTTACAATCAGGTGGAAACACTTGAACGGGAGGAGAATGGGGAATGGCAAAAGCCATGCAAGGTCAAAACTGCAGGGTTCTGGTCCACTTCCAACCCCAACCATCCTCCTGCCCCGAAGGTGGACAAAAGAGGTTGTATATCATCTCACCACGATACCTTAGTTTAAGCAGTCTCAAGAAGACAGAATCAGAAATAATACCCCAGGTAGCGGAGAAGGATTACACTACGCTAAAGCTCGCTCCGTTTACATTGGCATCGAGATCTACCGGGACTGAACCAGAGGTTATGCAATGAGCTGGCAGTTTCAAGAGCCATTCCGTTAACTAAGTGGTTGTTGTCGGCAACCTTTGTTGGGGAGGTAAGGTAAATATTAATAGGCTTAAATCACAGAGGCTCTGTAGGGAGCGAGCTGGCAAGATGAGAACTTGGGACCATAAATTTGGACATGACGGTTAGCAAGCCTCCGGAAGCCTGAACCTTACATACCTGGTACCTAGGTAGGTTACCTGTGTAGGAACTTTATCGCTGTGTGGGGTTGTTGACGTGGATTTTGCGTCCACATAGTTGAGGGCTGAAGGGCAAGTGACTTTGCCTTATCCGGATACCAGACCTCTGCTTCCAGAACCTGACGCAGTCTGAACAGCTCAGTTGTTCCATACCATAACCATCTGAACACTGTGCTTATTTTTGGGTAGATTTTGTAACAGTTAGGCAGTGGCACCAATCCGTCTCCTAATCTGGAGTTCTGCAAAACATTCAAACTTCTGTTTTCTTCGGTGTTTCCCCTTTGGCTCACGATAAGACTTCAGCGACCACAATGCCCGACGTCAGACCTAAACCGGTTCCGACCCAGTGTGTCGGCCCTGACTACCGCTCAGAAAGCCAGAAACCCACGGCGGCGGTCTCGGTCGGCGTAGAGTTTGACACCGTCACTGTCCTACCTCAGACCCCGCAGCTCATTGCGCTGCTCTCGTGAGCAGTTCCCCGATTTGGTCCAACCGATGCATCGAGTCTAATATTCCCGTAGGATCATTCGCGATAAGGATACCCAGCGAGGCGACTTCATCTTTTACTCCAACAGGATTATTCGTCTCCTGGTGGAGGAAGGCCTCAACCACCTCCCCACCGTTGAGCACACAGTCACGACCCCAGTTGGGCGGCCCTACGATGGGCTATCATTCCAGGGCAAGATTTGCGGCGTCTCAATCATGCGGGCTGGCGAGGCAATGGAGCAGGGTCTGAGGGAGTGCTGCCGATCAGTGAGAATCGGCAAGATCCTGATCCAGAGGGACGAGGAGACGGCCCGGCCGAGGCTCTTCTACGACAAGCTTCCGGAGGATATCGCCAACAGATGGGTCCTCCTGCTCGATCCCATGCTTGCGACAGGTAGGAGCTACTCATCGGCGTCTGAAGATAGCATCGTCACTGACCAGTGGGTAGGTGGCTCTGCTATCATGGCTGTCGACGTACTCAAGTCGCGGGGCGTGCCCGAGGAACGCATTCTATTCCTCAACGTGCTCGCGAGCCCCGAGGGTATCCGGAACTTTGCGACCAAGTTCCCCAACGTTCGGCTAGTGACCGCATTTGTTGACCAGGGGCTTGACGATAAGAAGTGAGCATCCCTCCCACTTCCTAATAACATCCGGATGTCACGCTCACCTTCTCAAAAGCTACATCATTCCAGGGCTTGGCGATTTTGGCGACAGGTACTATACCCGGTGAGGCATGACATGATACCGATAGCATTGCGTTACAGCAGAAAGAAACGACATGATATTATGAGTTCCGCCGACGTAGCGCCCTCCCATGATGTGACCCATATGATGGCATGATGGTATTGTCGCCCATCATCCCCCATCCCATACCCCAGCCCTCAAAGAGAAAGAAAAAGGAAAAGAAAAAGAAATGGAGAGTGCCGCTGAAAGTATCCCACGCTATGATTAAGGCTCGCCCCAAACATCCTCTCCTTGTTCCTCGGGAATAGCGTAGTCCTTGTCCCCTACCCAGTCGTCCTTCTTCTTAGCCGCACCTGTACCCTCCTCCCGAGCCTGCTGTGCTACTGTCTCTGCAAAAACGAGTCAGTCTCTCTGCCGACAGCATAAGAAGCAAAAGCCAGTCGTCCTTACCCGCTGCGTCAACCCATTCGCAGTAGACGTCTATCGGTTGCGAGAGATCTAGAGCGCGAAAGTCAGCTGCTGTCCAATTCCCAGTGACAGCGGCATTGAAACTTACAGTGGATTCCGCATTGGAACTTTTGCCCACACACCCTACAGTAGAGCCTTCCGCAGCCGACCTTCTTTTCCATCTTGATATCGATCGAATCTGTGTGATTGCAGAAGAGGCAATCGAATGTTCTCGGAGTCGTGTCGCGCTGAGAAGATGTGTCAGGCTAACTTCTCGCAAACGCTGGGGAGAAAGGGATCGAGGTTACCTTCTTTGGCCCCTGGGGCTTTTTGGCGCTGCTGCGCTTGCCCATTGCCGATGTTGTTGAAAGAAAAATTGGTAGTGGCGTGTAATGCGTCGCGCGGCTCGGCCGTTGCGGGAGAGCGATTGGTTTGTGCTGGGAGTACTGGTTTCGCGATGATCTGGAGTGAGGTGTCGCGGGGTTGGAGGGTCCCGGTTGCTGGGGCGCAGTTTGGGTTCTCCTTGTACGACTAAGCGCTGGTTTGCCACTGATTGGTTGCGTGTTAAAGAGAATCGCGTTTGGCGTCTACGTCCGTCGTAGGCGCCCTCCAATAATAAGATCCTATGCGTGTAGTTACCTCCTGGTCGACAATGCCACGTGAATGCATGCTGTTTGCGACTCCCTGTATCCACTCGCTACAGGCCGTATCGGGCCGTCGGCTGCCTACAAGAGAGGGAATAAACGGCGTCAGCCAAACCATCACGTGAAAGGGTTTGTTTATCAATGCCGCATTGCGAGGCGTCTCAGACTCTCCGTAGCCGGATGATGAATGCGTATCCTGCTCAAACATCACTCAACCTCTAATTGGCCGGCAAGCAGGGATACCTACTTGTGAACTCAATGTACTGTACAGTAGTGCTTCGCCCGCTTGAACGGGCGCTGCCATGACTTGCTGTGTAGGTATTCATCAACACCAACTCCTTACCTAAGGTACCTACCTACCTACTTTGGCATACGTTCACTCCGTCTTCAGTACCTTATCTAACGATTGTACTGTACCACACAGGAAGCCAACTGAAGTCACCCTTCTCGAATTTCCTTGGCTCACTTTGACTGTGGGTCTATGAGGCCCTTGGATATAATACGGTACTTAGTCGGCTGCTTCAAAACAATTCGACTCCACGAAGTGGTCGACCCTGTCTTTCCCTTGATTCCTCACCGTCAATTCCAGTACCTACCTACGTGTCAAAGGACCAGCACACCAGTGCATCAGCAACCCGAAATCCACTGGAACGGATGTCGATCCGATTGCGGTACCCCGCCGTTGGCGTCCCGAGCGGGGCTTTCTGTGTGGATACCCGGACGCCACAACGCTTGCTATCGATCACCTGCCCAACTGCGCTTCCTACGAAGCGGATGGCTTATCACGGGGTCTCTCCTGGGCCGGGATTTGGGCCACTCCGGGCCTTCCAGTGCTTCTAGGTGTTTCCCCTTGCTTTACTCATACATACACGTGTAGGCTGCCAAAAAGTACCTTACTTGACAACACTTTGGCATCTCAAACACTTTGTGTTTGTTTAGAACTATTCTGGTCACGCCCAGCTTAATCACACCCAGCCTCTGCTCTGGGGACTCATCATTGTCCTAAACGCCTAATAAGTCTGGTTGATCAGATAGTAGGGTGCTTTCGGATCATCCCACCTCGATCCCCTCTTATCGCTGTGCTCCGAGATTTCCACCTGGTTACTGGTATTCTACTGGCCGCTTGCTGGCATCTGGCGTCATGGCATCGTCGGGCCTAGAAGACGTGAAAGAGGCTCTGAAGGTCATCTCCCAGGGGCAGACGAAACTCATGTCCGCAGTCGAGTCCGTGATGCAGCGTGTTGCCGAACTGGAAAAGGCTGAGGGCGAGGCGCACCAGCGTCCGAGCAGCTCCGTGGCCGACGGCATCAAGCGGGCTGAGACACCCCTCGCTGGCGGCTTCACCCCCTCCCCGTCGACGGTGATGCCGGCCGAAGCGGGCACTCAGTCGCCGCCACCGATGGCCGCCTCTCCGGACCTCAAGTCGAGTTTCTCGTCGCGCGTCGTGCTTACTACCTATCCCAAGCAGATCGGCATCAAGCCGTTGCCCTTGGAGTGGGGTGCCGCCGACCCCCTTCAGCGCGGCCCGGTCACGGTGTCCAGGTCGCCGTCCACCATCGGGAGACGGAATGCCATTGGAGCCCACGGCGGCTCGTATTCCATCTATTATGCCTTAGCCGTGGCCAGTAGGGAGCTCAAGGCCGATCACAGGCCCGACTTCACCAATACCGAGCCCGCTGTAAACATCGGGCCATTCCCCCAGTGGTCTGACCCGAAGAAGATCGTAGCCATGGATCCTTGGGGTCACCTGGTACCGTGGATTTACAAGGATATTATCCAGAAGGAAAACGGCATGTTCATCAGTAATGGCCTGGTTCCGCCCGGAAACTAACATCTGCTAGTGGATCTCCGTCCGACCATCGCCGTCACTAAGGCCCACATGAAGTTGCCTGAACTCGAAGAGAGCGTGAAGGGCGGACGGCTTGTTCCCGACGGCAAGGTGTGCCTCAACGACCAAGGAGAGCTCAATGTGACCAAGTTTGCAGTCGAGCCAGTCTGGTATCTTCCGGGTGTCGCGGAGCGGTTTGGCATCGACGAAGGCACCTTGCGGCGCTCGCTCTTCGAGCACACTGGCGGCATGTATCCGGAGGTAATCTTTTGTCTTCAAAGAAAAGCAGAAAAGCAAAACGCGGAAGACCCAGGAAGCTGACGCAGCGCCCAGTTGATCACTCGGTCCGATATCAAAGTGTTCCTGCCCCCTATTGGTAAAACAAACCTGCTCCCCACGCACGGCACCCTCTGACGTGTTCTAACTGAATTGTAGGTGGCTTGACGGTTTACTGCTTCGGTGATCCGGCGAATATGTCTGATCCTTCCAAGAAGCTCGCGTTGCGCATCCACGATGAGGTGGGTGCACATGACTCTACTCCATATGCTTGGCTGACATATCCCGTAGTGTAATGGAAGTGACGTCTTCTGTTCCGACATCTGTACTTGCAGACCTTACCTCATCTTCGGCATTGAAGAGGCCGTCAAGGAGGCGCAAAACGGTGGCAGCGGTGTTGTGATCTACTTCCGGAAGGAAGGAAGGGCACTGGGCGAGGTGACAAAGGTATGTTGTCCGTCAGCCCGGTCTGTCGTCCCACCAGAAGCTCACACAAACACAGTACCGTATGTTGGGATTTCTGGTGCTACCCGGTCCTCTTCGGTGTTTACAATTGGCCATCTAACGGAGATCTGCAGTCGTGTACAACGCCCGCAAGCGCGGGGAAGATCGCGCATCAGACTACTTCAAGCGGACCGAGAACATTGCGGGGGTCAAGGATATGCGTTTCCAGGCCCTCATGCCGGATATCCTGCACTGGCTTGGCATCACCAAGATTGACAGGATGCTGAGCATGAGCAAGTGAGTTACACGTTTATCCACGTGCACCTCTTGAGCTGACCAGTCTCGGCCATCAGCATGAAACATGATGCCATCGTCGGGCAAGGGTGAGTGCTAGATGCTCTAATGCTGCTTCGAGATGGGCCATGCTGACGGTCCATATGATAGTATCCCTATCCATGAGCGAGTCGAGCTCCCGGAGTCGTGGATCCCCGCAGATTCGAGGGTAGAGATCGATGCCAAGATCAACGCCGGTATGGTCCAACAACTGCCAGCTTCTCTTGGTCCCTTCTGACACGACTTCCCCGCAGGATATTTCACGACCGGCCACCGAATGACGGAGGAAGAACTCAAGACTGTGCAGGGCCGGATATGGGAAGAGTAAGCAAGCTTTGCTGACGAATCGCGGGGTGTAGTAGGGCTGACAGGAGACACAGTATCGACCACTAAGGTCCGTCGAGGCTCGTCCGCCGCATACCTCAGGGCAGTGCTGCGGCCCTTGCAGTATAAACCCGCCCGCACCGCTGCGACCCGCGGCATCTTCACGGCCGGTCCATCCAATGCCGTTTTGACCCCGCGCCACGAGGCCAGCAAGAGCAGTTGATAAGAGTAGATTGGCCCTCAGGGTACCCCCATATCCCCGTCCTCCATCCCGTCCAAATACTTTCAGATGTGGCTGCAAGAGGCATTTCGACAGCGACAAGTTGGACTACCCCCACGAGGGCGGGAATAGCAAAGATAGACAAACAGGCTGGAAATACCTATCATCTCTTGTCACGCGCTCACTCGGGCTTTTTCGTACAACCACGAGATCCTGATTATCAACGCAGACGCGATTGTTTGTTATTGGCCAACATTGTCTGTCTATCCAATGCCACCTATCGCCTTTGATCGCCCTGTTTTCCCCGCTTGAGGAGTATCTGATCCTGTCGAGCAAGTCTTGTCTCAGGCTCGTGTGCACACCCCATCTTGGAATTTCGGTGACACCGTACCGAGTAAGGCTGTTCGGGTTTGAGTCGTCTGTTTCCAATTGTTCAACCCCTGAAAAAAGTGTCACATTCCAGGTTTCCTAGGACATTCGTACCAGCCAAAATCGCAAGTTTCGAAAGCTGCTAGGTTGACCGCAAGCCGAGTCTCCCGCTGTCGCTGGGAAATCGTTACGACTTTATGACGTGATGTGCTCTGCTTAATAACCCCTGCTCATTCTGCTTGTTGCTTACCCCTGTCTCCTCGGTTCCAACCTCTGAAGGCTTCCGGATGCAGGAAATACCGTTAGGTCCTCAGTGTTGTACATACATACATGTACATACATACCCGACGGTACTCCGCAGTACACGGAAGAATGAAGTTCTAGTTTATCACCGTTCAAGGGCTTGCATGTCGTGACATCGGACGGTTAGTTCGGATGCTTTTCCAGTCTTGGATCGCGCATTGTTCGTTCCTGAGACTCTGTTTGCTTCACTTCCCTCCCTGGGGTGATGGTGACACGATCCGGATCCGGGGTAGGTTCTTGTTTAGGACGGTAAGCCCGGGCGGTGAGGGAAGCTGCTTTCTCGAAGAGAGCAGAACATCATGCGGCCAACATGCGGAATTGTAATTGGGCATTGGGAAAATCGCGCAGTCTTTGCTTTTTCCGTGTGTTTGGTGCTCGAATGCCCTGGCAGCGGGAAGCAGCGCGCCGGCTGTTGTCCATCCGGGGAGGAAGTCAGCTCCCCACGTCCCTCGTGGGAGCAGGGGAGCCAGTGCGGGCAGCCCCGTTACGCGACGGGGGGTTTATGGAGTCGATTCCGGCAATCGGTCACCGGCCCCTGTCTCTTGTGGTTGTGAGACTTTTGATGATTCCCGCACTTTTCAACAATTGGGCCAGTTGATCGAAAGGAACGGTCAGACACGGAGCAGATTGTCCACCGTCAAATCTCATCCCCCGCCGTTTCCGTGCTCTCCACTAATGGGGAGGCAAGTGTGGTTGCTTCGCAGCACCGGTGAAGTGAATCCCATGAGAAACAGAAGCGGAAGTGGTGTGGGATTGTAACGAGATCTGGACTCTTGGGTCGGGAGATGTCACGAGGTCGGAAACGGAAATTGATGAGCATCTCTTCTAGCGCCGAGGAGCCATGAGCTGCTGCGCTCCGCGTTGGAGACTGTTCTGGGCAAGCATCTGGCGGGATGTTGATCGTGGGCTTGGTGCCTGGGCACTCCTTGACACATGTACAGTAGTACCTGGTGAAAGTGGGCCCGCATCCGACTTCTTGGCCAAGCGTGGCCGGCTTGCCAATGGCCGTGATCTGTGCGGTCAACACCCATGTACCGCCTGCAGGATGCTTCACAGAGCTCCTGAAGTGTCATGTCTTGAATGGCTGGCGTTCGCTTGCCGTACCCACTCGGTAGTGTCTGGAAGCCTGACGGGGCCGCCATGGCGCTCGTCCCCGCCTCTGGATAGTTGGACACCAAATCTGCAGGCGTTCACTTTGGGGGTTGGTTTGTTTGGGTGCCCAAACACCCGAGCTCGGATGCCACGGCCAGCAGTGCTCAAGCTTGTCATACCGGGCTTGTGTGGCTCTGTACGATGTTGCGGCCCACGGGATACCAAGCAGGTGGGTGGTATGGGGGAACGGCCATCTCATAACCGTAGAGTAGTGTAATGTATGTAAGCAACCATTTGCAGCCCGGTACCAGGTTACTAGTACATAGTAGCCCGACCAAGGTGGTGGTGGGGACCGACAGGTGTTGGTCTCGAAGGGCGGTCCAGGCCGGCCAGGGGAGCCAAGACAGGCAACGCCGTCCCACTTGTCGCTTGTGCTTTGCCTTGGTCGAGGAACAACAGATGCGAAATGGCTTAGCCTCCCCTCCCCTGCCAAATAGCTCGTACCATGGCTTGACAAGTGGCAATGTCGCCCGAGACTGCCGTCACTCAATTCGTAAAAAAGTCCAGGTCATCAATGGTATTTCAACCCAAGTGGGCTGCTTTGTTATTAAAATCCTCGTCGGCTTCTGAGATCGCACCCACCCTCCTCCCTGTTCTGTCCTTCTGTCATCACCTTCTGAATATAAGTCAGCCTGAAATTCCAAGAGTCGTGTTAGCCCTCGGCAGTCCAAAGCAAGCGGCCACAACGACGATCTACCCGTCCAACAAGTCAATCAAACTCATGATGCCGTCCTCAATTACTTCCGACTCGGGTCGTATGCAGAGAAGAGATTCGTCGGCCGCGAGGAGGCCAAGGCTCCTCCGGGCAACTGCAACCGAGCCCTCCATCACGACTTCGACCGCCGAGTCGAATGCCCTTGCGACACAGCCAGGCCGAAGAGCAACAGAGCTGTTGACCCGAATGGCCTTCGTCTCCGGCTCGCCACCAGACTCCATGCTGAGATCTACGTCGCTGCTGTCAACTCGGTCACCCATGTTCGACAGCATTGATAGGCAAGGCGACTTGTCATCCTCGCCTGTCAGCCAGGCCTCCTTTGACGACCGCCATCCCCACTCATGTAGGTCTTTTTCGATGTCGTCATTACTAGAACAATGCTGATAAGGTCAGATTCGGGACGATACTTCAGCTTCCCTAGCTTCGACTTATATGAAGCAAGCCAAGAAGACGGAGAGAAGGAGCCATCGGGGACCAAGTCGGTTTGAGGAGCGGGATCCGGATTTAGCAACAGGCCGAGCAGTGGGAGAATCTCAATCGGCGGGCCGTCTTTAGTAACACGCCTGGCTGGCCCGCAAAAAGAGAAGGGCCAGCAGCGCTTAGAGAACGCCAAAAGCTTGTCCGCCCGGGGGAGATGATCGCCGCAAGGCCGCGGTCATCATATCTAGGGCACCAACGGACCCCATGCACCGCGGACGTGGAAGCAACACACGATGAGAACCGGGGGATTCGGTTGGGAAAGCAAGGCGCAGTTACCTTTCCGGCGAGTGGTACCAGTGCCCTCGTCGCTCTGGATACACGAGGCAAGCGGAGGAGAAACAGCGGCAGAAGCAATGATGGTACCCTCCCACGCACTCCGGAGATATATCCAAGGGAGTCGGACCGGGCGATCCCGGCCGATTAGCGGGAAGAGGAACACGAATGGTACTTGACCTCCCTCACCATGGAAGGGTTGTTCAGGTTACTGCCAGATTGGAGAGACAGGGGACAACGGAGCCAAGACTGGGATCGAGGTGGATCTGCAGGATGGAATAGGATGCACCAAGGGGAGAGACCCTTTCATTCACTAGCTTTCCATGTGTGTGAAATGCGTGGTGTGAATGGAGTTCCAGCGCCGCACTGGCAGGTTCGCAAGTAGTAGGACCTTGGAAGCCGAATATGAAATCAAAGTTGAACTCTGCCAGTTGATTGTCTGCTCCATTTGTTTGTGATTGTCGACCTTGCCACATTGGCCCAACGATTTGGTTCCAGCCAAGAAGTTGCAAGATACTCAACTGCTGCGCAATCCCGTCGATGATGCAGCCGCCGATTGAAACGCACGGGCCGCCGAGCCCTAAGATCCGACCAACCAATGAAATCGTTTTGGAGCTGCCCCACATAATGAGTTTTTCCGAAGGTGGGCTGCGCCCACACAACGAAATCACAATTTCGAACCGAGCGAATAAACCCCAAATTTCGTGACCTCGATTCCACGGTCTCCCATACTAACCAAGCAGCACATCTGTCCCGCCGTTGACATCGCTGCTCCGTCAAGATGGCTGTTGGCAAGTACGTTACGCCCCGAAAAGTCGAGTTCTCCGTCGTTGGCACGGTGCCGAGCATTTGTACGGCAACCTGGCGGATTTCCGATGGCTGATGCTCCGGCACAGGAACAAGAGACTGTCCAAGGGCAAGAAGGGCCTGAAGAAGAAGGCCGTGGACCCCTTTACCCGCAAGGACTGGTACGGCATCAAGGTGAGCCGCTATTTTGCCAATCTCGATCGGGTTGCATCGAATACGTTGAAATTGACGCTCTTCGACCAAATAGGCCCCTGCGCCGTTCGCCATCCGAGAGTAAGACCCCCAATACGCTTCCGAGACGCGGGCTGCGCCAGAATGCTTCGAATCACGAAACTGGATTCTAATCTGAGATCAGTGTCGGCAAGACCCTGGTCAACCGGACCACCGGTCTCAAGAACGCCAACGATGCCCTGAAGGGTCGGATCATCGAGGTTTCGCTGGCCGACCTGCAGAAGGATGAGGACCACTCCTTCCGCAAGGTCAAGCTCCGGGTCGATGAGATCCAGGGCAAGAACTGCCTGACCAACTTCCACGGCCTCGACTTCACGTCGGACAAGCTCCGTTCGCTCGTCCGCAAGTGGCAAACGCTCATTGAGGCGAACGTCACCGTCATGACCACCGACCACTACCTCCTCCGCCTTTTCGCTATCGCCTTCACTAAGCGGCGCCCCAACCAGATCAAGAAGACGACCTACGCTGCTTCTTCACAAATCCGGGCGATCCGGAAGAAGATGACCGAGATCATCCAGCGCGAGGCCTCGAGCTGCACCCTCACCCAGCTCACCTCCAAGCTCATCCCCGAGGTTATCGGCCGCGAGATTGAGAAGGCTACCCAGGGCATCTACCCTCTTCAGAACGTATGTGGCGTGTGCGAATCGGTGACGGCGGGCCTGCTTCACAGTGTAGCTAATACGCGGGAAATGCTAGGTTCACATCCGTAAGGTCAAGCTCCTCAAGCAGCCGAAGTTCGATCTGGGCGCCCTGATGGCCCTCCACGGCGAGTCGAGCACGGATGAGCAGGGTCAGAAGGTCGAGAGGGAGTTCAAGGAGCAGGTCCTCGAGTCGGTATAAAGGGGTGTTGATATTGGGAACGCACTGGGCAGGGTTTTCATCAGCAATACCTCTCTGGGGCTTTGGGCTTGCTTTCGTTGCATTTGGCGTGGTATCATGGTACAGTAGTCAAGGTAACGAATTTCTTCCGTCCCGACGGCGGAGCGCGCGGAATCAAAAAGGATGGCCAAAAGACCGTGACACAAGCACCACAGCATTTCGCAGCGAGGGCCACCGCGATCCTTGGGATGGGACGGTCTACGGTACCGGGGGGGAAGGGGGCATTGTGATGTGTCGGGTGCGGGATGTGAGCGGCTCAAAGGGCGATTTGGGGAGCCATAGCAAAGGGTGAATGTGCATCCGGCTAGATCATCCCCAATCGATGTCAACCAACTCAATCTCTGTGTGTTATCCGGTTCCATCAACTGGCTACTACTATCTGTGGGTTATTTGAAGCGAGGAGTCATGGGCATCTGTCCGCTCGAGTGCTGCGGCCATGTGGGCCTTTATGAGCCCAGCTAATATTGAAGTGCTTTTTGCTGCAGCTGAATGAGAAGCAAGAGGCTTTGCAATAAGTCCCGTCAATGGGTTGAGTTTGATGTTGAACGACTTCCGCACTGCAGCTTGCTTCATTACCTTTGGTGTTCAGGACTTTGGGCTGCCAGGAATAAGGGACCTACTAGTACCTTACCTACGGTACTTGAAGTTCTGACTTTGAACTGACACAGTGACACCGAAATCACAACCCGAAGGGCCCACATCCCACGTCGTCCGTTATGCATACTACCCCGACCACCTGCCGTTTTGTCACTGCTTCCATTGAAGCTTTCAATGCACGTCCTTGTACGACCACAGAGCAAGAGTTCCTATTTCGATCTTCATTTTCCATAAAACATTGAGTACATACCGATCGCTCTCTGCAACCACACTGTTAGCTCTGCCCTACAGTCTCTTACATCACATCGCAATGGCTCCTGCGTTATGAATCCGTCTTATAACCAGACCGCCTCTAGCATCTTCAACAGACACCACCATCGTTTTTCTGCGCAGCCCGGCGGGCAAAGGCGGCCAGGTGTTGGATGCAAGCTGTATTCTCAGACTAGCTAGTTGGCTGGTATGGTTTGAGCTATCTCTGTGTCTTTTAGACAGCTGCCGGCTCTCGCTCGGGGTATACTCAGCTGAGGCCAGCCCGCCAGTCCGTTAAACCAAAGCAGTCATTATTGAAATACAACCTGTATTCGTCATGGAGGAGTCTCACGGCCAAGCGGAACGACCCTCCCCCACCTCCAGGGGGTTACGCAGCACTCAGCAGCCCAGTTCTCAGACACAACAACCACCACCACCAGGAGGACGGCAGCGGCGGGGAACATTCATCGTCGGTCCTGACAGCAGCAGCAGCAGCAGCAGCAATAGCAGCCGAACAAACTCAGGCCCCAGCACGGAACCGAGCTCCCCCTTGCCCGGGCAGAAACCGGAGGAGCAACACCACCACCAACAACAACAACAACAACGAAGACCGGAATCAGGAGGAGGAGGGGCTGGGGAGACGGAGACGGCGGTGCTGGACCAGACCCAGACGTGGCCGCCGCACAAGGAGAACATGTACCTGGCCGAGGACAGGGACAAGCGGGTGAAGGCGATCCTGGAGGTCGAAGAGTGGGCGGGGACGGTCAAGCTGGTTGTTATTGGGTCTAGTGGGGTTGGGAAGACGGCGTGTAAGTTCCCCCTTTCTCGTTTTTGCCCCCCTTTTCATGTATTCTTCTTTTCTTTCCTTTTTCCCTTTTCTTTTCTTTTCTTTCTTTTTTTTCTATGGTTAGGGAGGTGAAGCTGAGAGGTCTCACTGACGAGTTCGTTAACTGTTGTTTGTATTTTGCATACAGTGTTGAGGCTGTACTGTGATCACGAGTGGGATCCGAGACTAGCGACTTCGACGATTGGGATTGACTTCAAGGTGAGCTCGCTTTCACAATGGTTCCATTTCTGGCTCGCTTATTACTAGTATGCTGAATCCGCTGGATTGATTTCACCAGACCAAGCGCTTGTTAGTCGGAGACGAGCCGTATAAGGTCAATATCTTTGACACGGTGAGCCTTCCATCTCTTGGGATTTCGACAACGTCCCGCTAACCGGTTCGGTCTTGCTACAGGCCGGCCAAGAAAGGTTCCGCACGCTCTCGGCAAGCTACTACCGCGGCGCCCACGGCGTCATTCTGGTATACGACATCACCAACAGGAAGACCTTCCTGGACCTCGAAGGGTGGTTCCAGGAGGCCAAGACTTGCAGCACCGAAGTCGTGGTTCTGTGCCTGGTTCGTATCCCTCTGTTATCCTAATAAGTGGATCGTGAAATCGACTGACGGTTTGGTTCTGTTCCAAGGTCGGAGCCAAGCTAGACAAGGCCGCGGACGGTGGCCGGGAGGTCACGACCGAAGAGGGCCGGGCGCTGGCTGAGAGCCACGGGGCGCTCTTCTACGAAGTCAGCGCCAAGACGGGGGAGAACTTCCGGGAGCCTTTTGTCGGGATCGTGCAGCGGATTGTGGGCACCCCGGGCCTCTTGGAGGCGGTACGGAGGAAACCGGTGCCCGACACGCTCCGATTGAATAGGGATGATGACTATTACACGAAGCCCATAATAGTAGTGTCGTTGCTGCACTGTTGTCTGAGCGGATGACGGGGAAAGCGATGGACCATGCGTTTGTATTCTCATACCCCACCCACTGTGTTATGGTTGCCGCGCAGTTGGGATTGACTCCGCGCAGATCTAGGTCTATGTTCGTTGATGTATGTAAGCTGCTGGACATTCCGTATACATTTATACAAGAAGCCAAACGCCGCAACCAAGTCACGAGGATACCTATAATGAGCTCGCCTGCTTCTATTCATTCCTTGGGCTCCAAGAACCGAACCACAGCTGCAAGAAACCCCACGGTTAGCAACGAAGGCCCCCCAAATCGGCATTCCAGCACCAGTAGGACTCACCCTGCCTGAACTCCTCCGGCTTCTCCGAGATGACCCAATGGCCAGCGTCGATGTCGACCAGCTCAAACATGGGGAAGAACTGGCCGATCAGGGGAACGACCTCGTCGGGCACGTAGGTGCTCTTGGTGCCGCGGACGAAGAGCGCCGGCTTCACGAAGCGCACCTCGCCCGGGTTCTTGAACGGGAAGTCGCCCATGTGGTCGAGCGCCTTGCCGAGGATGTGGAGTGGCACGCGGAACTTTTGCGCCGTGCTGTCTGGGGAGGAACGGTGCAGGTTGCCGAGGAGGAATTGGCGGATTGGGAGGGACTATGGAACCGTACGGGGGGAGGCGAGTTGTTAGTTGTTGATAAATAGTTGTATTTGTCAAAAAAAAAAAAAAGGAAAGAAAAGAGAAGAAAAAAAAGGAAAAAAAGGAGTCGGATGCTATTTGTTACCTTCTCGTACTGTTCGAGGATCTTGTCAGCCTCGGCCTGGCGGCTGATGTTCGCCTCGTCGATCTTCTTCATGCCCTGGATGTACCGCGCGAAGTCGGAGCCAAGGCGGGCGTCCACGGGCGCGTTGTCTACCGCAATGATGTTGGCAATCATGTCTGGCTCGTGGAGGGCCAGGGTCATGGCTGTTTTGGCACCCCTTTCGTCCGTGATTTTGTGTGAGCGCTGTTCTCGGGCGTAAATGTGGGGGACTGAGAGAGCTTACTTACATCGAGTGCCCAAGCAGTGTGGGCTCCTTCAGCCCATGGTGCCGGATGAAGTCGGCCACATCGGCGGCCATGGCACCATAATCGTGCCGATGATCGTGGGGTGAGTCGCCATGGTTGCGGAGATCCTGGGCGGGCCATTGAGCACAGAACGAGGGAGGCAGTAATAAGGGATTCGGCAGTACCACTCACCACAGCGTAGACATGGCGGCCCAGGTCGCGTGCTAGCACTCTACATCACAACCAACGTAATGTCGTCCGGTTAAGACACGCCCAAGCCGAGCCCTTCCAGCTGATAGAGGCTAACTCACTTACTTATCGTCCGGTTGTTCTTCTTGGACCCAAACAGTCCGTGCATAACGATGATGGGCGAGGTCTGCTTATCTGCCGCAGGCTTTGCCGGCTCATGCAGGTCGTATGCTAGTGGAACCGTAGAGAACGGCGAGGACGTCCGGATGCCGGCCGCAAACACCGGAACCGAGGCCGGAGTCGGGACCCGGATCCGACGAGCGCATCTGGAAAAGGAGGCAGCGCGAAGTGCGGGAGCAGACCGTGCAATCCCCATCATCATGTACCTGAGTGCGTGCAACGGAACGTGCCTCAAAACGCCAAACTCCACCGCCCGGATTATATGAAGATACGTCAAAACAAGCGCAGATTCATCCTATCCAAAATGTGTTGAGATATTCCGCGTGTCGGAGCCGGCGCAATTCGTGAGTCAGATTTCAGGATGCGCACGGGCCATGTACGTCATTTGTTTACTTTAGGCCCAGCGAGGAAAGGGGGAGCAACCGAGCAAGGGGTTGGGTATGCGGTAGATGAGAAATTTCAGGTTACAGAGCAATTGGAGGTTCAACCACTATTCGCAGCTCGGTAGTAGGCGACGTGTATTCTCATCTTCTCGGGTTATATATAATGTTAGGGGCCTTGCAGTCTGTTGCCTTATGTCATGTAGCTGGTTAGTCCACAAACCTAGCGCATGACCCCAAGTCTTGGTCTTTCGCCTTCTGTATCGGCTGTGATCATTCCATTCCATGGCTCTCCCCATCTCCTGTACGGAAGACCCTACCAAAAGTATTCGTACACCGCCTTTCAGCGTTAGTGGTTCTGCCCAGCAGAAAACCCATTGTAACCCGCTAGACTAATTGGACGGTGTACGATTACTTTCGGTAGGAGCATCCGTATGCTTTCCTTAAACTCGGCTTGCTCCCGGGCGAGTTGGCGTTGTCTTGTACGTTCCCACCAAAACCAGCCAAGAACCACTAGTCCAGTCAAAGGGGTAGTGAGGGCGAAGTAGATCCATAACTATGAGGAAATCGTCTGGTCATCTTCCCAACACCGGATGCTAGTCAACCCTGGAAGCCGACCCAACTTGGATAAGCCAGATTGACTTACTTGGCTGAAGGTCAGGGTCTGCCTTGAGCGGTAGCTTACAGTCCCTTAGGCTTGAATCATTGGCCTACCGAAGCTGATCCAGATGTAGGGTTTAAGTTATATGCTAACCCCATCATTGCTCCATGTACGCACCAAGTCGCTTTCATACCAACCCACGTTGCGGCGGCACTCAGCTCGTCATACACGGCCTGGGCTATCTTGAGCAGGCCCGTACAACTTGTTGACATGGCTCTCGGCCTAGTCATAATTGATGGTGCTGAAGGGATGCGGAAGCATGCTGAAATCCTCGTTCTTCATGCGAGCTGTCAGCTTTCCATACGTGGTCATGATGGATGACGCGGCCTCCGCCGCTGTCCAAACTGACGTCCACTGCAGCTCTTGAGTCAGCTTCTACTCTCTAGTGCTGTTCAAGACAGGACAGATGATTCGGTCCCAGGCTGGCGCCATGAAGTGAGCTATAGTAGTTCCTACGCCAGTCCGTTATTTGGCGTTGGGCACCTCTACCTGTGTCAGGGATCCAGTTGTAGTTGCGAGAGCTTCCGACATCGGCAAAGTGGTAGTACATGCCGAATGAGCCTCGAAGGTAACCCCGTGGCTGAGAGCTGGGAAGGCTGGTCGCCTGTATCTCGACCGGGCCACAAGTGTGAAATCATGAAGACAACGCTCGACGCCGGGAAGCACAGAATACCTAGTCTAACGCGTCCTTAATCGGGATACACACACGGGACGTGAAGACGGCAGGAGGACACCCCATTCGACACTCTATGTACTGATAGAGAGAGATATACTAGTAGTAATGAGGCATCGCTTGGAGTGCCACCTGCTTAAATCAATATCGGTCCGTGTATTGCTGAACATTTCCAAGTTCTGTGAGTTCAGGATGAACAAAACGTGGGAATACGTACATATAACCCACATGCACATATGCATACGACTCTACTGGAGTCATTCTGTACGCGGCAGCGTTGCAAATGTTGTGATGCCCCCATTCTCGACATCAATGTCTTGTTCGTCGAGGAAGACTGAAGCGAGAGTCCACAATCTCGAAGCTTGGTATGTGTACCCCTGCAAGCTGCGACCCCACCCGATGGCCCCACAAAGCCATCGAAAATTGCCCACAGTTGCCCCGCCTTTCACCTTGTCCACCGCACCGCACCAGCAGTTCACTTGGATCAGAGCCGCACTGTAGCCCGCCAGCCCGCGCCCGAAGCTGGAACCCCAAACCCTGACACCTGGAGCTAGCCTAGAGACCCAGCACACTCATCAGTTCTCCCGAAGGTGGAGAAATCCGACCGAATGCACAATACCAACGCTAAACGGGCATCAACCTCAACCTCCTTCCCACCGCCGTCATGGGAGACGCCTCCGTCGTCGCGCTTAATTCCCTCCTCCGGAGCGCCTCCATCGAAGACCATGCCGAAGCACTCAACCTCGCAAGTGCCGCCCTGCGCGCTGCAAAGGGCCGTGGTGCCGACCTGGCCACAGCCCAGCACACGCGCGTGGTCGCGCTCCTAAACCTCGACCGCTTCGACGATGCTCTGCGCGCCATTGCCGAGGGCGGCGATGCCCTCGAGAAGATTTGCGTGTTTGAGAAGGCGTATGCGCTCTACAAGACGGGCGACCTGGACGGTGCGCTGGCGGTGCTGCGGGATGCCGGTGGGGATACCGGCGTTGGCACCGCGAGGGCGCAGAGGGCCCTGAAGCATGTGGCCGCACAGGCGTCCTATCGCGCTGAGGATTTTGAGCGGGCCGCTGCCCTCTACCGGGAGCTGAGTGCGGACGATGGCGGTGCGAAGTACGGCGAGGAGAACGACCTGCGGATCAACCTGTCTGCGACCAATGCGCAGCTCGAATTCCAGGGCAAGAGCTGGGCGGTGCCGGAGCAGGAGAAGCAGCCGAGCCGGGAGGATTTGGAAGCCTTTGAGACGGCATACAATGCTGCCTGTGGCTGCGTATCCCGCGGAGACTTTGCCAAGGCTGCTGTCTTGCTCAAGCGCTCGAGAGATTTGTGCGAGGCGACCGAAGACCTGAACGAGGATGAGAAGAAGGCTGAGTTGGTGCCTATTCTTGTGCAGCAAGCCTACGTCTACACAAAGCTTGGGAAGGTGGACGAGGCTACGAGTCTTCAGAAGTTGATCAGCCTTGACGACATCCCAGATGGTTCCACAAAGGTTGTTGCCCGAACCAACGCCCTAGTGCTTCAAGCTGAGAGCAACCCCTACATGGCACAGAGGCTGGCCGAGTCTTTGCCAGAAATCAAGGGAAACGACAGGCTCTTTGAGTACCAGAGCTCTATCCTGCGACGTAACAAGTATATCCTTGACCTTCAGATGCAGAAATTTCCCGGTGTCCAGAAGTCCACGTCTCGAATCCTCTCGAAAGAGCCTGTCCCGGCCATCTCCAGTTCTAAGTGTGACCTAGGAGTGCTTGGTGCCGCGGCTGCTAGCCGGCTCCAAACTGGCCGGGATGCTCTGCGCCACATTCTTCCTCTTCTCGAAACTCGGCCCGACGACGTTGGGCTCCTACTCACCGTCATCCAACTCTATGTTCAGCTCGAGAACCCGGGCCCCGCCATCAATCTCCTCGAGGCATTCCTTAAGCGCCTTGAAACGGCCACCACACCCGATCACGCCGACGTGCGCTTCGCCCCGGGTCTGGTTGCGTTGGCTGTGTCCCTCTACCGCACCCAAGGCCGGCACTCAGCCATCCGCAGGGAGCTCGCCAACGCCGCGGCACACTGGCAGAAGAAGACGGAACGATCCTCCCCTTCGGGGCCCGGCACCTCGCTCTTGCGCGAGGCAGGTATCGAGCTGCTGCGCTCATCCCACCCAGCCGACCTCGCCGCGGCAGGCGAGGCCTTCTCCCACCTCGTGGCCGCACAATCCGCCGACCGTACCGCCAAGGCAGGGCTTGTAGCCAGCCTCGCCACAACCGATTTTTCCAAGGTTGAGCCCTACCTTAACACCCTCCCATCAGTCGAAGACCTCACCCGCGGTGTTGACGTCGCCGCGCTCCTCGAAGCAGGGGTCGTGGTAGCACCCGCCCCGGCACACGCCCAGCCAGCGCGAGGCAAAAAGCGGCCGCTCGAGGCGGATCTCCAGGTTACTAGGGAGAAGCAACAGCCGGCAGCCAAGAAGCGGCGGAGGAGGAAGCTGCCCAAGTCGTACGACCCCGACAAGCAGCCTGACCCGGAGCGGTGGCTGCCACTGCGCGATCGCAGCAGCTACCGGCCCAAGGGCAAGAAGGGCAAGAAGCGGGTGGCCGAGGCGACACAGGGCGGCGTCGTACGCGATGAGGAGACGCTTGAGCTTGCCGGCGGGGCTGGGTCCGTGAAGGTGGAGAAGGCGCCTGCGGGAGGCGCTGCCGGAGGCGGCGGGAAGAAGAAGAAGAAGGGAAAGAAATGAGCGTTCCGCCCTAGGGAATTGAAGTCTACAACTCGAGTTCCTCAAGTACTGGCGTCTATGAAACCGCCGAGAGTCGTAGGCGCCGCTTGGATTGGTACATATGAGATGAGATAGACATGAGAGGTGGCCGAGTAAAAAGCATAGGGATTTTAGAATACTCTGGATTCCATAAGACTGCTCAGTAACGGTCTATCGTGACTCAAATCCTACCTATCTACCTGATGGTACCCTTCGAAAAACCAAGCCTGACCCTCCTGACTTGCGCCATACCCCTTTTCTGCCGGTCCGTTCCCTAACAAAAAAACCCAGACCAGCAAGCCAGCCGACTTTCAAACCAACAAACCACGACGACCTCGACATGTGAGGGTCGCATAGAACACCACGATCCTCATAGGCACAGGGAGACAAAAAGAGAAAGGGATTTTGAACGACTGCCTCGCTTTCATGCCCTCCCTTCGATGCCGTCCACCGACAGCTGAAACCTCACCCACAGCCGTTGTTGACCGGCTATTTCCAACAAGCGGACGACGGTTGGCCAACCGGGCCGAGTTAAAACCACTGGCCGTTCTTCACTTCGACGAGCCCTGCAAGACCTATATCCGGGTTTATCCTGCCCGCCAGAAAAGAGAAGGGGAAAAGTGGGAAAAGGAAAACGGAGATTAAAAGGAGTGTAGCCGTGTGGGAAACGTAATGGATCCGCCAGGCGCGATGTGTAAACCGCGCCGGTTGCCGATTGTAGACCGAGGAAGGAAAGCGGAGGAAAAGCAATAGGAAAAGCAAATGGAAAAGGAAAAGCGGAACGAGCGTTGTACGCGTGAGCATGGGTGAAAAATGGGGAGAGATGGAGAGCCAAGAGAGCGACAGAAAATCTATAAGATCCGGGCCTTCGTCGGATCCTCCCTCTTTTTGATGTTCTTCCTTTTGCTTTTCTCTTCTCTTGCCGTCGAGCGTGTCCACGTTACAGTACATTATTACAATGCGGATGCCGAAAAGGGGGACCGTCATGAATCAAATCGAATCGAAAGGACGTTAAGGGAATGTGAGAGAGTTGAATCCCACGATCACTTGGCGACCGAAACGAAGAGGTGGTAGGGGCTAGGCGCTGACAGCCTGCAACGGCGGACTCGGGAGCGGGTCGCTGCCCTCAGTCGTCTCCTTCTGCTCGACCTCTCTATCATTATCATTGGATGTCTCGGCAACCGGAGACGACGGCGGTTCCGGGGTGAAAAACACCGTATCGCGGCCTTCGCGACTAGGCGGCGGGCTGAGTTCAAGGTACTCGGCGCCGTCTTTGTCCGCGCTATCGTTGCTTGCCTCCACGATCGATGCTTGCGATTGTTCCCGTTCCCGCTCCTCCTCGCCGTCAATAGGCGGCAGAGGCGTGTGCCGTCCTTCAGAAAAGCTGACCGCAGCATCGCTGTCCTCGTCGGATGGCAAGGTGAGGTTACCGCCCACGGTCCTGTTGGCAGCATGGGCAGACGAGAACTTCCGGTGCAGCTCCCTGAAGCTGCGAGCCGTCGCGGTGCTCGCGCTCGCACCTGACCCACGATGCTCCCGATCGGAGACGGACCGTGCCGTAAGAATCGACTGGAAATCCGTACTTTCCGCCGCGGCGGTGCGACTGCTCGCTGCGTCGTCTCGCTGCATTCTCTGGCGGATGCGCTCTTCGGAAGCGAGGGCTTGCATCTGCAGCTCGTTACCGAAGGTGATCACCGAAGCTTTCTTGCCGTGCACAACGAAAGATCCGGTGCCGCGCGGTAGAACATCCGGGGCGTCACGGTTCGCGTCATCGGACAGCGTGGCGTTTGACGTCGAGTCCTTGGCTCTGCGATGCCGGTGGTGCGAAAGGCCAGCGCCTTCTCGGAGTGTGCGCTGCAGGCTGCGGCGGATCTTACTCCTGTCGCCCCGATCTCCAGGCGTGCCGCTAGCAGGACGTTCGCGCCGCTCAAGGCCCTCTTCCGTGTCTGCGCCGCTGCTTGTGACCCTATGATCAGATGTCCGCGAAAGCTCAGGCTCAAGCAGCCCTGTTTGTTCCAGTAAGTCCCGCTCGTCTGCATCCACGTCATCCGAATGGTCAAACTGGGACTTCTCGGGCGATGCGGACGAAGTCGCCTCGTTTCTCGTTGGCGTGGCTGGAATGGATGACTCAGATCCAACTGATGCAGAGACCGAGGATTTGAGGGGATCGTTGAGCTCGGACACTCTCCAGGAATCCTCCCGGCTAACGGTTGCACTGGTGGGCGGGGTTTGGAAGGTTTCTTCGACGGCTGAAGAGCTGTCGTCGTCGTCGGACTTTGCGGTGATAATGGAACTTCTTTCCCGGGAGAGTTGGACCGGAGACCGTGGACTTTTGTGGGCAGCTGAGACCTGGCTGACCTTGGACTCCTCCCTCGTGATCGGCTTTCCGAGGTCAATCTGTGTGTCTGAAGACAGGTTAACTGACGGCCCTTCTTCCTCGAGATCCATCTGCAGGATGTCACGGTGACATTTTAGCTTCCAAATCTCCATCCGAGTCCATTTCAACTGCGCTGCCATCCGTGCTGCTGACAGCAACATTTGCTCTCTTGTCTTTGGGGAAATCGGGGCCAGGATCTGGAGGTGTCTCGAGTTCCGCAGCTGAGATTCAAGAACCGCCTCAGCCTCCTTAAGCTTCTCATCGTAGTCGACAATCTTCTGGCGCATGATATCCCTCCGAGCCGTAATGATATCCTGAGCCATCTTGTGGTCTATCCGACTGCGAGCGACAGTAACCTCACCGTTCGGTGTTTGAATGACTTGAACGTTGCCACTGCCCGAACCCCTGATGGCTCGCCGGCTCTGCCCGTCGTAGTTACCTCCTATTATGCCTCGCATCCGGACGCCGGATGTCCTGAAGGCGGCGGCATAGTTGAGTTTTGCCAACCAGTCGTTCATCTCCTCGTCGTCTTCCGCGAGTAGGACTTCCTCGAAGCCGCCGTGTCTGACATACACAAAGGCGTGCTTGTGCTTGTTGTAGCTTGAATCCAGCAGCGCCACCGCACCGTCTGTTGACATCAGTCCGTCGGGCTTGAACTGATCCAGGGGTGGCTTGAAGATGCACGGATCGCCATCATGGCCCTTCCTAAGGTGATCCTTCTGCTGGTGCATCAATCCCTTGACCCAGGTTGTATTGCGGAAGAAGTAGAGTTGAGCACCGGTGAGTATGGCACCCCATTCCTGCCAAGGAGACCTTGTCCTCTTCTTCTTGGTGTCCTTCCGCCACAACAAACCGACCTTGGTGATCTTGATGTCGACAATGCCAGGGTGCGCCGCGTCCGGATTTGTGGCCGTCTTTTCCGTCATGAAGGCCTCGGGACGTGATCTTGCCGAAATTATCTGCAACACGCCGGTCTTGAAGAAGGTCCTCTGGAGCTCCTTCATGTTGAGAGACTTTGAGGTTCCGAGGTAGCTGTAGGGGTCATCCAGTTGCATCACTTCCTTCAGGTTCGGCCTAAGCAACTCCAGCCTGTTCTCAAGGATGAGCGCATATGGGTCTACCGGCTCCTTTGCGACCCTCTTGGCCGGATCGGGAGCGCCGTTTGGAAGTATTGACCGCTTCCTGGCCTTCTGGACACTGATGCGGTCGCCATTGATATCTAGGTCGTCCTCAACGCGAATGAAGGGCGTGTAGGTGATGTTGTCGTAGAAGACCTCGAGTATCTCCTCAAAGATGCCTTCCCCTCGCGTGTTTTTCAGGTAGTCGGCTTTTTGCATCTTGTGCTTGTTGTTCTTGTTAAATACATCGGTGTGGAGGATAAGGAGAGAGAAGGCGATGAAGTAGGCCTGGTCAGGTGAGGAGTAGATCCCAGGATTGCATTCGTGGTAACGGTTGGCAAAGGCTTGCAGGAAGCGGTCGATCTGCTGAGTTTCCTTCGGCAACTCCGCTTCCATCAAAAGTTTCCTTAAGGCCATGTCCATAGGGTCACCAAAGAACCTGAAGCCACGCATATAACTTCTTAACACCGATAGGGAGAAGGGGTCGGTACTCTTGGAGAGGGCGGCAGCCACCACACTCCGGTTGACAACCTCTAGCACACGTTCAAGGTACCTTGCCGGCGTATCGTCATCCCGACGCTCTGGTAGAACGACCGAGTCCCGAGGTAGCTGCAGCGAGTTGTTTTTGGAGGCGTTGGAGCCGGGTGTCACGGGTGTTAAGGAGCCCTGCCGAGCGGACATCATTTCTGAATTCTGCCGGAGCCGGCTAAGGCCGAGGAGGTCACCAAAACTCTTTCGTCCTATCGAAAGTGATGTCCTGGTAGTTGGAAGCGCCAAGTGCTCATCTACCGACTCCCGTGGCGAATTCCTCCCAAGCGAGCTCATAGTAGAGGACCTACCCCTTCTGTGTATGTAGCTCCGGGTCGGTGAGGACTGCCCGGATTGTCTCGAGCTGGGTCGAAACAGCGCGGTTGCGGGGGATGCGGCGGGCCTGCTCACCGTAGCGGCAGCTTGGTTCTGGGGAGGCGGGGTCCTGACACCATTTCTTGATGGTGTCCTCGATTCCGTCTGGGCGGACTGGCTGGCCCGAGAAATGGTGGCAGAGGACCCGCTGGCGGCAAACGAAGAACTCGAGACACTCGCGTTTTGCGCGAATGATGGTCGGTTCTTCGGTTGGAGGTGCGAGATAGGGAACAAGGGCTCGGGTTGTTTATGTTTCCTGCGTCCAAGTCTGAAGAAGGCCGTTGTCGAATGCGCCGTTTGGCTATTTGCTACACTACCCCCGTGGGACCTGTCACCGGAGCTGGCATCCGACCTCGAGGACTCGGAAAGCCTATGGGGAGGTAGCGCTAGTGTCGAAGGGTGGCTGTCCGTATGAGCGCGCAAGGACGATGGCCGATTAGTTTCGTCGAATGACACGGTATGTTTGCTACCGGTGCCATCCTCGGGAAAACGTGGCTCATGGCCAGCAGGTCGACCGTTTGCTTCATCAGCCTCCCCGGTCCTGGGCAGTTCCCCAGACCGGCGGAGTCGTGATGTGAAGTTCATCCGCGAGGGCTTCTTTCGGGGCGCGACGGGATTGAACGCCGGCGCCGTGGTGATGATTTCAGGAGCTGCGAATCCATGGGTTAGTCTCCCAACTGAAAACCGGGTCTCGCTCAGGCTGGGCAACGTCTTAACGCGAGGGAGGGGCACGTACGGCGCGGTACAGGGGGGGGTTTCTCCGATGCCGCCGCATGGAGCTTCGCCTTCGCGGCCAGCTGAGAGTCTGACGCGTTGCGAAATCTCAACATGGAAAAGCGCCGGTGCTTCTGTGTGTAATCGGTGGCGGCGGCTGTGGACCCGGAGCCACCGGAAGGTTCGATTATCGAGGGAACGGCATGACTTGAGGCTACAGAAATGCTATCTCGAGGGAGGTCGGCGGGAGAAGGCGGAGCATTAGGCTGGGCAGAGTCCTCTGCTACAGACGTCAGGGTGGGCAGGTCGGCGGCAGATCCGGAGTGAAATGGCGGCTGCTTCGGGGTGGGCACCGCGAGGCTATCGAGCAGCGAATGACGCCGCATGTCACTCTCGCTGGCCATATTGCCGCGGCGTCGTAGAAACGGCATGGCTAGAGGTCGCTGCGCCTGTCATAATCCATCGGGACGCAGAGGATGCCGGGCCACTCGATCCACTCCGCAACTTCCAGCTCGTTGACAACTGGGTCAGGGGCCCGCTCCCAATCAGCCGTCGCGTGCAGGTGGCGGTTGCGATGTGCTGCTAGGAAACGAGCGAAGTGATGCGAACGACGCAAAACGCGGACACAGTTGGCTGACGGTGCGGTGTGTGCGTAATCGCAGTCGGAATGAGGTATCGTCTCGAATTCCAATTTGCCAAAAGGATGCAGTTGAGATGACGAGCCCTTGCAAGGGGCGTTGCAACTTGGGCAGAGGAGCGGCCGCTGCCAGAGCCAGAACCCAAGAAACTTAGCATGGGAGGTGGGCTGCTGTGGAGCCGAGCCTTGATCAGCTCTTCCCAGATGGAAGCTGAGCGGCCCCGCCATTTCAGGGCTCCCCTAGTCCTCATCCGGTAATTTCACAGCTACCAATTCGACTTCACGACGACTCTCGAGTCTGACGTATACGGATGAGAGTTTCCGTATCAGAAATTCGCTGCGAGCCTCATCATATGCCTCTATTACAGATTCCGAAGGGAAACTAATCAATAAACTTGAGTCTCTTGTTTCCTGAATCATGATGCAAGTCTTAACCCCGCCGCCCCGTTACTGAGTCAAACCAACGCCATTCGCCCCTTGAGGATATAGATACCAAGGTGGCTATCCAGCCCGCTCCCATTAAACGGCATGAAAGCTTGAATGGTCATACCGTCAAGCTACTGCACGAATAGTGTCTGCAAACATTCTGACGTCGTGATGCCTCCCCCGGCGTGTTCTCATCGCCTTCGTTTCTTTAGATCCTTCCACAGCTCGGACGGCTGCTGAAAGGGAGCCTCCTCTATACCATTGTTCCCAAGAAGGTAGTCGCCGAGGTACTTCAAAGCGTTTAGCACCTCCTCCCCAGTCGGGACAATGTTGTCGCTTGGGACCAGAAATCCGTAGCTCCCGGTATCTCTCAGCTTGATCTGGTAACTGTATCGCGCTTGAAGCTCGTCTACATAGAGGCGTCAGCTCAGACTCGTCATTGAAAAAAGTCAAAAAGAGGCAGAGTCAGGAAGCATACGGTAGAACCAATCAATGGCCGAGCCACCACCCGCCTCCATGCGGGGGAGCGAGTCACCCGCACTGTGAGCGTTAACAACGGCTCCCTCACACGCTGACGTGATGGTGTACGGCTCCCCGCTTGAAAGCCGGATAGCCTTGGCCAGCCCCACAGCCAGCTCTTCGAGGTTCTCGCGATTCGGTGGCTCGACCGAGCAGGTATACGCGTATGGGTAGAGGATTTGCTGCGAGTACGAGTGCAGGTCGAGAAACGAGACGAAGCGGACCCCGTTTTGGGTCTCGTTCCTGGCCCACTTTTCCAGCACGGACGCTTCCACGGCCTGGAACGGCTGGTCTCCACCGTAACTCTCGGAGCAGGGGTCAGTCTGGTGCCTCACAGCGTCCCACGCGTATCCGAAGGCGTGGTCGAGGTCAAGCCCGCGACAGAAACGCATCTTTGTCTGCTGTCGCGACTTGCGCCAAAGCCGGTCCGTCTGCCAAGTGTATTCATAGCCGTCCGGGTTGAGGACAGGGATGAAAACAATGTCGAAACTCCTCAGAAGTTTGGTGGCTATCGGTTCTCGGTCATACGCTGCCAATATCGACCATAGGAGGTAGTTCACGGAGCTCGTCGAGATCCATTCACGACCATGGAGGCCTCCAGTAATGAGTATGGTCTTCCTGGGGCCCTTGGATTCGCCAGAATCGTTCCGCATACCGACGCGCATGGCATAGATGTCCCTACCCTCGTATGACTTCCCGATGCTAGTCATATTTGCGATGGATGGGAACATGGCCTCAAGAAGGCGCATCCAGCTTGTAATCACCTGCCAGAGTCAGTCCCCGAGCTATACGCGATCGGGGGAGGTCCGACTCACCGGCAGGGTCTGGTAATCGCGAAAGAAGATATTTCCCAGCCCATCCGGCGACGTCCTTATTTTGGCGGCATCGGCAATGCGCGGTTCGAACCGTTTGTTCTCTGCGGCCGGAGGGTATGTCGCCCATACTGCCGCGGCCAGATCCGGAATCAAGACCGAGGGCTGCAAGGTGCCGGGCAGCAGAGTAAGGAGTGCCGGCACATCGTCCTTGCCTAGCCTAAGATCGACGTAATCCGGTGTAAAAGCCCAGACATCCAGGAACATCTGCTCGGCCGCCCTCGCGAGCGCACCCTCCTCCTCTGAGTTGGTGACGTTGAAGCGGACCACAACATCGTTCCGGTATCGAGTGGATAGTTGTGCGATCGGCCACATTGTCTTTGTGCTACTCGATGGCTTTCCAAAAACAACTTCAACGGCGCTGTCGCGCAGCCATTTTAGGAATGGGAAGACATGGCTTGGTGAACCGACGCGAGCGTCAACCCCATACTGAGCTCGCTGTAGCCCCGCGCCGGCGGCGGTCGGCAGCGTGAAGGCGACAGCGAGGACGAAAGCAATGCGTGGCGTGGCCGAGAGCCGCAATGGCGATCGCATCTTCGTTGTCTCGAATGTCCGGTGTCAAAGTGCATTTGCACTGCTGTCTTTCAAGGCAATGGCAGGCGGAGAAGGACTGGCTTGTCGCCACGCCGTGCCAAGTGACAGGGGGTTGCGCGGCGGGGCGGGTCCACGGTCTCGAACAATGAACCATTACCTATCCGCATTATGCAGTCCGTGCTCCGTATCCTTAGTGTCTCCGTATGTAATGTACTACTACTAGTAATACATACTGTACTGTACAACCCCTAAGAAATCTCATACATTGTAACCCCGAGGGTTGTAGTAACTAATATTGATATTGCCAACGAGTCAATCTCAGTACTCTAGGTAGGTTTGCATAACATCCTCTCCAAATTTCCCAAGCGGTCGAACTTGGGGTCTCAGCTTCAAGTTCCGTGTAAATGCATGAAGCCCGAAAATGAACTCAAAGCACTCCCTAGAGCCTAACTACCTAGGTAGCGACAGCATGAATGCCAATTGCGGAAGAGACGTTTGAGAACTCGATGAGACGATGTCGATCACACCAGCTGGATGTCGAGAAGATGGGTCAAACTCGCGTCTTTTTTTTTTCTTGCCGCGACTCCGATACGGCTTTGGTGCTGATCACAATACGGCTATCCTGTGGTTTAACTGGATAGGCTGTCTCAGCCAACATGAAGGAGACGAAACTCAGCTTGAAAGCCATGCATGTGGTGACTGGTGAGACTGCTGTCTGATATCGGTCTGCTAAGCAGGAGTCCCTGTGCTTATCAGATCCCGCCATTACCAGCATCTAGCGCTGGACACTAGGTCCTCGACGTGGTATAATGGGATGTAGAACCGCTCACTTGATATTGCAAGACCCAACTCGCAAACGTCAAAGTCACCGCTCGCCGCTCGCCGCTCGGTTCCCTCTACGATCTGCGATCGTTTTGTTCTCACGCTCCCCCTCACTTTGCAATTTCAGCCCGACCCGGAGTCATTCGCTTCCCCCAGGAATCTAGTTATAGTACCTACCTACCGTAGGTGGTATTACCGAAATGGTTCGCACCGCTCTCGCTGCTGTCCTGGCTTGTACGTCGTGCCTTGTCTCTTGCTCTCCGCGGCGCGACACTACGACGGCTTCTATAGTCCGTACTAACCACACTCATCGAACCCAGTCGCCGTCACTATGATCAACGCCCAGGCCATCCCGAACCCGGCGGGTGCGCGGGACGTGGGCAACGGGCAGGGCCGACAGTTCACGACGGGCGGCTGTGTCGCGAACGCCGACTGCCAGGAGGGATGTTGTGCCAACAACGGCCAGGGCACGGGCATCTGCTCGGGCATCGGCGCTGAGTTCCAAAACGGCAAGCAGGGATGCGGCTTCGTCGACCCCAATGCCGCTGCTACCATCGCCGAGGCGAAGGCCCAGGTTGAACGGCAGGGGTTCTGAATCAAAGGTACCTACGGGGGCCCAGTGGACAAGAGGACGGAGGACGGAAGAGGGTTGTGGTTTGATGGGGGCTGAATGAATGTATGTGACGTGGTTGTGTCCCTGGGAGTATGACCATTCATAAGGTGGAACGTCTCGAGAAAGCACGCCTCACTGGAAGGACTGATTGATTATTACGACTAGTAGTATGCCATACTCATGGAGTAATTAGCCAACGTACGGGTATCTGATACACGACGATCCATCATCCCCTGCACTCTACACCAGCTTGATACATTCCATGTACCGGCATTGAAAAAAGAACAAAGAAAAAAACAAAAAAGAAAAAAAGAAAAAGAGGGGAAAAAAGGAAAAAAGGAGAACTAAAATAAGGAAAGAATCAAGCAGATCAAACCAACGAAAAGCAACCCCCATTTCTCTCACCACTCCTTCGCACTAAGCGTCCTCTCCCCTCTCACAAACGCCGCCGCGTGGTTCGTGCCAAGGTGCTTGCCCTTCAACCACGCAATCAGCCAGCCCCAGAGCCTCATCTTCCCCACCTGGCCGATCCCCCTGTTCTTCCCCAGACTGGCGGCCAACACGACCTTGTCGGCGGGCTTGTAGTCGGGCACCTGGGCTTCGGCCTCGGCGCTGCCGAGCAGGCGCGCGTCGATGAACTTGACCACATGCACGACCTGCGCGTCGGTGTGCAGGCCCTGGGCGTCCTCCAGGTTGCCCGCGTCGCCGACCACGAAGATGTTGTCGTGGCCCTCGGCCCGGAGGCGCGCGGTTTGCTTGACGAAGCCCCGGCTGTCGAGCATCGCAGGCGGGAGGAAGGAGGTGTTGGGTGTGATGCCGTACGTGGGGATGACGAGGTCAGCCGTGATGCTGGTGGTCGTCCCGTCCGGTTTTGTGAGGGTGATCGTGTTGGGGGAGGTCGAGGAGGCGGCTGCTTTGGCGTTGGTGATGACTTTTACCTTGAGCCGCTCGAGTTCCTTCTTGGCTGTCTCACGCACTGCGCGCGTGAACTTGGAGGTGAGTGGCAGCTCTTGGTCGGAGACGAGGATGACCTGCTTTTTGCCCGTTACTGCGTACTCCTGGCCCAGTTCGCCGGCGATTTCGATGCCTGTGGCGCCGGCTCCGGCCACAACGATGGATTTGGCAGACTTGATGCGCCGGGACCAGTCATGCAGCGTGTCCTTCGTCTTTTCGGTCGAGGAGAGGTTCTTGAACGGCATGTCGGCTTTGAAGCTGCTCCCTGTCGCGATGACTCTGTTGAGGGCTGCTTAGCACGGGTGTGGATCCCGTGTGGGAGAACCGGGCACCCCGGGGAAGCGTCTCGCTCAAGACTTACAGCTCGTCGTACTGGATCGTCTTAGTATGGCCATCGTTCCCTCGCACCTCGACCACGTTTCTGCTCGCGTCGACGTTTTCGGCGACCCCTCGTACGAACTCGTACTGATCCGACGGGTACTTGGAGAAGGCTGGCGCGAGGGGGAGGAAGAGTTTTTCGTCAGGCATCATATCGGGAAGAATGCCGCGCACCGCGGCGACATTCCAGTACATATGCGTGTTGGGCGCGACGATGATGACCTTGAGGCCCTTGACCTTGGCCGTCGTGTGCTTGAGAAGGTAATGAGCGATGGGGATGCCAGCATAGCTGGCCCCTAAGATCACGATTGTCTTTGCCATGGCGACGAGCGGCGTGTAGTGTGTAATTTGTGTATGATCGGTTGCTGAGGTCTTGGGGTATCTATGCAAACGTCTGTGTACCGAACTCACGGGACGGCCTAGGCAAGGTATATAGATGGTCCTCCATGTCGTCCTGATTCTGACAAATTCCCTAGAGCTTTCACAGTAAGATGCCGACATCGAAAGTTCTCCCGATTCCGCATCCACTCTTGCTGTATATGATTAGTCATTTTTTCAATAATCGATCGGCGGCTGAGAAAGTCTCCGACGATGCCTTTCCCTGTTGCCATGGTATGACTTTAAAAGTATATTATTTAGGTAGACCTCGGCGGCATTTGCAACTCGAGCGCGCGGCGGTAACCGCGCGGTGGCCGAAAAAGGCAATTCCGCCTTTTCTTTTTTAAGGCTCCATTGAGGGAAAGGCGAGCCGACATCAACCAGAAATGGGAGGGCGAGCCGATCTTGGCGGCGCGGGCTCTGCTCTTCATGTTACCACAGTATATTCCTAAATACCTTAACATTACTACATAATGTCGTTATGGGGTTATAGCAATAGCGAGAATTACCCATGGCCAAAATGCTGAGAGCTGACCGGCCGCTTCTTCATTCGGACCCTCGGTTGTCTTCCATCGCCGACGGTACCGACGGTAGGCTGCAGAGCCTGTAGCGCAAAGTGTGCCTGACAGTTGCTACCCTACGTCCGTCAGACGAGTCTAAGATGCAATTCTAGCCAGTGCGCCTATTGGCTTTTAAAGGATTTAAAGGAAGAGTACAGCCTTACGAGAGACGTATCAAAACACTGAAAGCTGACCGGCATTATTTTCATTCGGGGTCTCTACAACATGGTGTCTACGACGAGGCTCTAGTGATACAGATGTTCATAGTTCCATCCAACCTCCCCTCCGATCTCTCGTATTAATAGTTCGGGATTCTCTCTAGGACAACAAGCACCTTAGGCACTCACTTTATTTTTTCTTACCAAGGTAGACTGCCCCGTCCTCCGCTAGCTCTCTTACCCTATATCAACAATTCATACTCAACACGCAACACAGTAGCCTACACTTTTGTGATACTATAGGGAAGCCCGGAGGTAAAAGATCAGTAGGAGCATATAATAAAGATAGGTGCATTAAAGTAACTAATTAGAAAAGAGATCGAAGGAGGGGACAGATCAGGGAGATCACTACTTATATATATAGGAAAGGTCCCTATAGTAGTAGGTAGCCTAGGAATTATTACCCTAGTCTATACTAAGTGCTCTACTATATCCGATATACCCCTTAGTTACTCTCGATTAGAGAGCGACTACTATAGCTAGTATAGTTAGTAATTCTTTCTATAGTATTAAGTATACCTACTAATACTTCCCAAGCTCTTGCCTTGCCGTTGCGCATGGTGAACGTGGGGGCTAGTACGAGATCGCAGCAGAATCAGATGTTGGTAACGCAAGCAATGGCGCTCTAGGCTTGGCGCCTCCGGACGAAATAAAATCCTATCCACTCTATTATGCTGCCACCACACGCTCTTTTCCACTGTACTTCACCCGTCCCAGACTTCTTCATCGCCCTTCACGGCTATGGCCACATACTACAGCCTCGACAAGGCGATCAGCTCATTTTTCAAATTAAACACAACGGTGACAAGACAGCAATGCGATGAGTTCGCACTTTCTCGTGCCGGTGAGCCAGTCAATCCTGTGCAGCTACAGGGAACGTTCAGCTACACTTTGACGGCGGGGAGTGACGCATCCAAGCTCTTCCAGTTTCGTGTCCAGGACTCCTGCCTCGACATGGACAGTATAACCCTGGCCAAGAAAATTCATCCGCAATTTGTACCCAGCTGCAAGTATCTTGGAATTATTGGCCAATCCCGACCCCTTCACATTTACGAGATGGACAACCTTCCCGGGACCACGTACATCATGGCGCGCGATACATCTGTCATACAGCCACCAGACGCTGTTATCCGGCAACGCAACACTGTGAGCGACCTCGCGAGGTACGTCAGATGCTTGGTGCTTTTATTCAAGCAGGGGCTAACCAGGGTGGCTAGCTTCTTTGCTCAGTCATGGAACGGAAGTCAACAGTTATCCCCAGACGATACCGCTACACTGCTGGCGGAGTTTCAACTCAAGCTTGACCATCTTGCTCGATCGCTACCGTCGCGATTTGTGCCAACCTTGGACAGAGCTCGCAAAGATCTCCCACCACTCTTCTCAGGGAGACTTCCTTTCGTCCTTGGTCACGGGGATCTCTGCGAGATGAATCTCCTGATAAACTCCAAGACTGGCAACATCACGGGGATTGTCGACTGGGCCGAGGCCAGGATCCTTCCCTTTGGTTTTTCTTTGTGGGGGCTCGAGAATATTCTTGGGTACATGGATTCTAATGGGTGGCATTACTATGATAATTGCCACGAACTGGAGGATCTCTTTTGGCAAACCTTCAAGAGAGAAGCCAGAAATGCCTCGAGTTCTGATTTGCAGTCCATCCGCGCTGCGAGGATGATCGGCTTATTCTGCCGGTATGGCTTCATGGTGGAGGGCAAAGCTGTGAAAAGGGTGGTGGAGGAGTCCGATTTTTCTTATATGGCGTATCTTAATGCATTCTGCATGGCTGATAAATGGACTACTATAGATTGAAAACCGGGCCTGGAGAGAGAAAGCAATGTAGTTGATGCAAAATTCTCCGAATTCTCTTAGCACGTGCGTTATACTATCTTCTCACCAAATGCATTGGCGAACGAGATAAAATGCCACTTAGCAGACGATACCCTCAGCCTAAAGGACTTCCATAAGTGAATGCTCAGTTCCGATCTTTAATGAACACCTATGGGTACCCTTGGTAGTCTTGGCATGGCTTTGACCACCCTTGAGCTCTTTCATGCCTGGACCGACAGCGAATCCCGTGACTCGGTGAGGCGTCCGTTGTCATGAATTAACCTGCAGAGGCCGGTGGGGCCGACCTGCATGGCCCGCGGGCGGCGCCCGCGTCCAATCATTCCGGTCCAGGAACGGACCAATCAGAAAAGGATCACGCTTGGCCTAGGGAAGGCTCGGTGATCCAGCTATAAGGATCACAAAAGATCACTAGTGATCCAAGGTGATCCAGTATGAGGGATCACCAGAGGCAAGCAGTGATCCATGGAAAGACCGTAGTATATAGGCTAGCTAGTCATTCGTTCTGGAGGACTCGGGGGAGTTCTCCAGTGAGCAATTTACAAGCAATAGCCTCTACCTATTGTGCAGACATTGCGACTAGCATTGTTGTGAACCTTCTGGCTTCACCGAGACCTACAGTCCGACCAGCAGATACCTTCGACCGGCGAACACTTTCAGAGGCAGGACTGCCTGTGGTTTCGTCACATCCGTGTCTTGATATGGTCCTCGTGCAACATGACGGTGCCGTTATTTTTGAGGTCGAACTCGTACATCTCTGGAACTTTGGAGAGGACTTGAAGCCCAAGGACATTTGTCAAGTCGTTGACGTCAGCGTACTTGATCAGCTCCCGGAAGAATGCGAGATCAATGCCATCCAGGTTGGTAATAGGTCCTTCATGATACTCGTAGGCCTGCATCTCGCCATTTGGAGCCAGCCTGAAGATATGGCCGTGGATCTCAGCAGGCTTGACCTCTGTAATTCTAGTCGGCTTGGTCCAGCACCTACGAACGGTCGTTAGAGTAGTTCCGAGCATGATGTTGCCTTCGTCCAGCCGGAAATGTCCATAGATAAGATATATTCCGAACTTCTCCTGGGCATTAAAGCGCGTGAGGATGTCGGCTAGCTTCTATAGGTGAATCTGGTCTACCTTAGGCTGGTCGTCGACATCTGGGAGACCGTTATAACTAGTCTAGTATGGTCAGCAAATGGTTCTTCCGCTACCTGGCTCAGACCTACGCCAGTGTGACGGTGGAACGCACCGACCATGATGATGATATCATTTGTATGTATAATGATTCATCAGACCAAGTGATGATTCATTATGCATGTTCCATTACATCATGCATGCAAGCTCAGACCTACTCGCATCCTGTATCTAAAGCCTACCTTGCAGTCTCGAGGATTTCTTTCCTCCTGCAAGTTCAATATCCTTGCAATGCAGTCAGTTTACCACCAGAGGCTTGACCCTGGCCTTGAACGACGGCCCTCGTGACAATAGTACTACCTCGCCAACTGGTATACTAAGTATAACCTCCTAAGCCGACTGGCGCATTGTAACTACCGAGAATGGCTAGACTACTAATGCAATAGGCCTTGATTGGATCAAGCATTTCGACTACTATATAGCGCCTCGGACAAAGGGCAAATACCGGTTGTTGATCCTCGATGGCCATGAAAGCCACTACTCGACCAAGTTCGAGCTCTACTGCCAGTAGAATAACATTATCATACTCTGCATACCTCCACATTCCTCCTACCTCCTCCAGCCACTTGATATTGGCTGCTTTAGGCCGTTAAAGCAGGCGTATGGTCGCCAGATCGAGGACTTAATACGCGCGTATATCAACTACATCAGCAAGCTCGAGTTCCTTTGTGCCTTTCGCGCAGCCTTCTTTGCCTCTACCACCAAGAGGAATATCCAGGGCGGTTTTGCAGGGGCTGGCCTTGTGCCGTACGATCCAGAGAGGGTGCTTTCGAAGCTAGATATCAAGCTTCGTACACTAACACCCCCAACCTCACGGCCGGGCACTATACAATCTTGGGTCTTCCAGACACTATACAACCCTCGAGAAGCCGAGTCATAGTCAACGCTTATTAAGACTCGTATTGCCAACCATAAAAATAGCTCCCCGACTTCAATGTTGGCTGCTGTAGACCAGCTTACCAAGGGTACGATGGCTATAATGCACCAGGTAGCCCTCCTTCAGGCAGAGGTGTCTTCGCTCCGCAAGGCTAACGAGGCGCTAAGCAAGCGCCGGAGAGCCAAAAAAACACGTGTGCGGCTTGGAGGATCACTTACTGTGCAGGAGGCACAGGAGGTGGTAAGCCAGGGGGCTGTAGGTGGGGAGGCAATGCAAGAAGTACAGCTGGATGGTAGTAGTGCTGGGGGGGGGGGGGGGGGGGGGGGGGGGGGTCGCACGAAGGTTCGGTGCTGTGGTATATGCGGCAAGTCTGGCCATAATGCCCGCACTTGCCAGGAGGGTGCAGAAGGGTCTGATTCATCTGTTTCTGATGTAATTGTAGTTGGTTTTTAGTGTTGTTGCATTGCAATTGAGGGTAGTTGTTATAGAGTAGTGGAGAGCGTTCGGCTCGCTTATATGTTCGGCTCGCTTATATGTTCGGCTCGCTTATAATGTACGTTACTGTATACCGGCCATTCCCTTCTCCATTGTTGGGTCCCTAGCCATCTCCAGCGCGAACACCACCTACATCAGCACAATTATTCACAACAAGTATAGCAACCTCCGAACTCAGGAAGTCTCAATCTTCATCACGGCACGCAACTTGCCCACCATCATTAGAAGCCGAGTCTGAGTCTGAAACCGAATCTAGCACGACCTTCGGGAACGCGGAAGTCAAGGAAGCCCTGCACCAACATCAGGAGCCAGAGCGTCGAGCAAAAGAACCGACTATTTTGCGCCTGCCCGACGAGGAAAGCGGTTAGCGGTGCTGCGTCGGTGAGCCGGCTCTGGCCTATCCCTCACTGGGTTGGTTGGCCTGGGGATAGCTTTGTTTGCTTTCCGAGTGAAGTGGGAGGAGGCGACAGTATGGTGTCTGAGTGGCTTGGGTCACACGTTGGACGAACGAGACCGCCGAGGCTATGTCCCGATAAAAATGATCGGACGGTCAAGCATCCCGGCGCGAAAGCTGCGTACGCTGTGCACGGGGTCTTCTCCCGCAGAGCTGGCGGCGCGTCTTCGGCGCGTCTGCGTACCACCGCGAACTCGTAGTTGTACACCAGCTCGTGTCGGCGCTAGTCTCGAACGCGTGGACGGGCCGGAACGAGCGACTGCTGGGTTGTAACATGGTCCTTGGGCAAAGGTCAATGAGTCGGTAATAGGATATGTTTGAAACCGGGGCTTTCTAATGCGGAGGCGGCCGTATAAATGCGGCCAGACGGCGAACGATCTTCGTTGCTCGAGTTTGCCCCTGAGCAAGGCGATGTGTGGCGACGATGGAGAGATCCTCGAGTGCACTATATTGAAAATGAACAAAGACTCACACCGGCAGGGAAGCGCAATGACGCTAGAGAGGAGAAAAACGAGAATATACATATAGGCCGCATAATGTGGCTCTGAATTGGCCTTGACCTCGCCCCCCCCCCCCCCCCCCTGGTGGGTGCTGGTGGGCGCTAACTATCAGGAACAATCCCAGCTAGGAACATGAGGCACAAAACATGTTACCAATCTAATCCGAAGTCTAATTCCAATCCCTTTTAATTAACAATACCTTTTGTTGTCTAACTCTAATCCCCTCTATCTGATTCCGGATCCGATCCCGAAGTCTGCTGCTCCCCTTCATCAGTCGCACGGATAGTGAGCCGACGTCGGGGACCCGTCGAACGCAACCTTCCAGTTCTTGCGCGCCTCTTGGATGGTGCAGATCAGGAGGAAGACGACGCCCGGGGCGGTGACGCTCAACTCCTGGAGCGTGCCGATGGACTCGGGCGACAGCATGGTGTTGCCCGGCTCGCCACCGTTCTGGTTTCCGTTGGCCTCGAACGTGTTGACCGCGCTGTGAGCGGAGGTTGCGGACGTTAGCAATCATATCCAGGTATTGAGGGGATGCGCGCCTCATCAGGTAGGTTCAAGGCAACGGAGTCAACTCACCCCTGCACCAGTTCTTCCTTGGTCAGCCCAGCCCATTTCTCGCCGTCCAATTCCTTCAGGCCCGGGGGGAAGCTGAATTTGTTGGGTGTCCAATTCCATTGACTGCCACCACCGGAGAAAACTTCGCCCGTCCTCTGCTTTCCCCCTCGCCGCGAGGAGAAAGTACATGCGGTCCTTGTAGCACACCCACGAGGCGTTGGAGTCCTCGGTCGACACTTCCTCCCCCAGCGGGTCGATCGTGCCGCACGGGACCTGGGCGTCGATGACGACGCCGCCAACGTCCTTCGAGAGCGACCAGGCCTGCGGGATCAGCAGCGCGTAGAGCGCCTTGGAGAAGACCTGCTGTATCTCGCCGGCATCCAGCGGGTCATAGCCGTTCTGGAGCAGCTTGCCGTCTTTGAACAGGTTATCGAGTGTCGATATGAACTCGTCGGACCCGTCAAAGAGCTTTTCGTGCATGGCATCAATGCTCTCGTACCAAATGCTGCACATCTCGGCGACGCTCTGCGCCAGGTTGCTGCTAATGGCGGCCGGTGTTGTTCTGGCGTTACCCCCTCTTTCATCAATATCAAACTTGAAGACAGGCCTATAAGGGCAATGCCATGGTCAAACTCACGGCTGCTTGTCCTTGACGATTGTGATGGTGTTCGCCACGACGTTGTTCGCCGAGTCCTTCAGCGTTGCGAGTTCGTTTCCGTTGGCCGCATAGTATGTTGTCCTCTTGAGAGCTGAGAGCCATTCCATGTTTAGCATACGGTAAGAGGTGGAGATGGAATGAGTCGACATATCATACCAATGTTCCACATAGGCGCGGCGCCCAAGGCGAATCCAAGGCCAATGATGTCGAGTATGATCTTGAGCTTTTGTGGACTGTCGGGTAGGACGGCAAATGTCTTTTGTAAGCTGTCGACAGTGGCGACAATATCGACCTCCGCCCAGACGATGCCGGCGTAGAAGTTCCATACCATCTGCAACTAGTTGAGAGACTACTGGGCTTATTGAAGGGAGAGAGAGAGAGGAAGGGAGACCCACGTTATTAAGAGCAGTCATGGAGTTCAGTATCATATAGCCCGCAGGGTGATTCGTATCGTGACACTGATAGAAGGAGCTGCATCCGTTTCTGTCTGAATTGTCGTGGCATTTCATGCACTCCCGGCCATGGAAGAAGTTGCTGGCTCGTTCTGAGAAGGAGAGCCCGTCAGGGCTGGGGTTGTCTTTCCACTTCTTTATAGCGGCACTCGATAGCTCAGTCAGCAAAAGTTTCAGGGGACTCGTGGGAGACAAGCAACCCAGGCAAGGGAGGCAAGGTAGGTTAGGGTCGATATTACTCACTCCCACGCCTGCGGTGCAAAGACGCCGTTCCATCGTTTGGTCGGATTGATGGCCGCGTCTACAACGACGGGGTTGGTGCACTCGACGGTCTCCCACTCCGCGGCCTTGGATCCGCCGGTTCCGGGGTTCACGATGTTCAGGGGCGGACTGCCGGCACACTGGTTGATGTAAGCGCGCACAGCAGCTGTCTCGCGGTCGACATTGAGATAGTCTGCCTTCTTGTCTCCTGGTTGATGTGGCATTGTCAGCGCCGAGAAAGCCATCACGCATAGCTGCTGTCGTTCTTACCGTTTAGATCTCCAAACTCGACACGCCCTTGGTTGCTGACACCAGCCGCAATGATACCGAGCTTCTGCCAGCTCGGCAGCTCAGGCTTCTTCTCCAGATTCCCCGTATTGCGCCAGGCCTCAACCGCGCCGCCGTCCCATGCCACAAGATATTCGGCGATCCCGTCTCCTGTTTCCGCTTCAGCATCGTCCATGTCGAGTAGACTGATCTAGACCAGTACAGACTGGTAGGACGTGCCGTTGATGTGAGCAAATCTGACCTTGTCCCCACTGGCGCCAACTCCCGTCGCGATGACACCCAACTCCTGCCAGATTCGACCCGCCGCAGCGTTCAAGTTGCCAGTTGCCCGGTAGCCGAACCATCGCTGTGGATCACAATGTAATCATCGAGACGATCGCCGTCGAGATCCGCAAAGACAACGGTGTCAGGTGCCGCTCCGTTGACTCCGGATGCGATCTTGCCGATCGAGGTCCAGGACTGCGGGCCGCCTCCAGCATTAAGCCACGCGTCGACAGCGCCGCTATCCGACATGAACAGGAAGTTATCGAGGCCGTCCCCGTTCAGGTCAGCAAAGCGCACGGCTCCCGCAGCCTTACTGCGACCCGTATTTAGCCACACATCGACAGCTCCGACGCTCGAGACAGACACGTAATCGACCCGGCCGTCTCCGTTCAGGTCAGCGAATCTGACGGATGCACCCGTGACGCCAGCAACGCCGGCCGCGAGCGTGCCTAGTTCCTCAAAGTTCCTCTTTGAGGAGTCCTTGCCAAGACTCCCCGTGTTGCGGTAGCCCCTGACGGCGCCGCCGTCGTACAAGATCAGATAGTCGGCGAGGCCATCCCCTGTTTTTTTTCCTTCTTTCTTTCTTTTTTTTTTTTTTTTTTTTTTTTTTTTTTGTTGTCAGTCAACCATCCATTAATTTCACATGAGAATCGGAACAAGAAAGAAGAAAAATAAAAGAATTAAGAGAGAGTAAAAAGAAACAAGAAGAACGGAAAAAGGAAAGGAAGGGAAAAGGGAAAGGAAAAAGAAAAGAATAAGAAAAGAGATAAAAAAAAGAAGAGAATTGAATTTTACCATCGTAATCCATCATGCGGACTTTGGAGCCCGCAACTCCGGATACTCCAGCGGCAATCTGGCCGAGCTTCTCGAAGTTCCTTCCCGATCCCTTGTTGAGGTTGCCAGTGTTCCTCCACGCGCGCACTGATCCGTCGTCGGCCAGCACCAGGTAGTCGGCCCGCCCGTCGCCATCAACATCCGCGAACCGGACCTTGGACCCGGGCTCGCCAACGCCGGTGGCGATGGTGCCGAGCTCCTCGAACTTGCGACCCGTGGCCCCCATTTTGCCCGCGTTGCGCCACGCCGAGGCCATCTTGCGGTAGCCGGAGTCGTTGGGGTGCTTCTCGTCCGCGAGGTCGGCCCGCGTGAGGAGCTGGCTCATGTCTACGGCCATGACGTGGCGGCGGCCCTGCTCCTGGCGCTGGCGGACGAGGTTGGCGATGGCGGACGAGGTTGGCGATGGCGGCACTGTAGCGGTCGGTGCGCGCTTGCATGGCCGCGTCGGTGGAGAAGATGATTTGCGCGACGAGGACGCTGGCGTCCGGGCACTTTTCGTGAAGCTGGTCGATGATGGCTGCCAGGCGGTCCGGGGCCGTGGCGACGTCCCGGTTGAGGTCCGTGTCGTTGGTGCCGGCGTGCACGAGGATGACGTTGGGCCGGGCCGCCACCGACAGGAGCGAGTAGCCCTTGATCTCGGAGAGGAAGGAGACCGAGTGGCCCTCATTGTCGCTGTCCACCATCGAGCCGTGCTTGCCCGAGCCGATAAAGTCGACGTCGACCCCGGAGAGGAACTCCTCGAGGGGGCCCCGGTAGCCGTTGCCGGTGCTGCTCTGACTCCCCCAGGTGATGGAATGACGCAGCGGCATGATCCTCAGCGGCACGCTGATCGGGGCACGCGCCGAGAGAGCATGATGGCTTGGGGCGTCGGCCCAAGTGACGTTGAGGTCGTGTAGACTCACATGTGTTGTGCCGGTCGTGGGGAGAGCTGCGACAAGTGCCTGGGAGAGGACGGCAGCCCCGATAACCCAGATTGCTGCCATGGCGGAGAAGTTGAACAGCCAGGCGCCTCAGTTGCGAGAGGCTGAGCTGGAGGAACCGCAGGCACCTACAAAGTGCAGACACTCTCCATCTTGCGACCAAGTCACGATGGTTATATACTCCCGTACCAGAGTATGTCGTCTTCAGCCATGGGTGAGAGAGCCATTACGGTTGGAAGGCGGACCCGCTGAGGAGAGCTGAAGCCGCCTGCTTAGTTCACCTGAGTTGACAGAGCCAATGTAACCCGACACCAAGCCCCACGTGGGATGTGCCCGTTTGGAGGTTCGGTGTGATCGATCTGCATGAGATTGCCCAGCGTCGAGAGCTTTGACATGGCGTAGCGTCGGGTCCGACTAGTCTCCCGCGCCGCTATCCGGGAGCGCGTTGGGAATTCCGGCCCGACGTCCTCGCTTGGATATCAATGGGATCTGGCGGGAGCCGCAGCTGCTAGTAGCGCTTCTTGGCGGTAGCATCCGGCGAGAGAGAGACTCATCTTTTATGAAGCCCCTTGTGCTGGCAAATCCGCAATTGACTGAAATGTTTCCCCCCTGGCAGCCTCGACACCCAGAATAAGAGCTCTCGTTGGCATGGGTGCCCGAGTATTGGATATCTCGGTATTTGCAGACACGTCCATCGAGACAAATAGGGCAATCCGACCGGCGAGCTTCTCTTCCAGCACCGTCGAGATGATTGCTTTTCAAGCCCCAATAGGGACAGAGGCCGTATGTTTGATTCCCGGCGCCATCAAGCCGTGGGATGATTTGTCGGAGCCACTCAAGCACACTGGGGCCGGGACGACGTAAAACGACGGCGTAAAGAAGGATATAAGGGATGCCGATGAGAACATCGTGCTCTTCCAAGGAAGCATTTAGATCGAGGCCCGAGATTGCCTGGAGAATTAAAATGACCCATCGACCTGTCTGGTCCGTCCCTGGCGGAAAGCGTCCCATGAGAACGTTCTTGCGCGACCTTCCGATGTAGTCGTTAACGTACGCTGTCAGTAGCACGCGGATGTATAATAGCAGTTCTAGAAGGGCCTTGTCGAGCCGTATTTCGAGCGCTATGACGAAGCTTGACGATAGCCCCATGCCCGTTCCTAGAGGCCCGTAATAGCGGCTAGCCCGCGAGGTCCTTCGTATTGGCATCGTTGCTATTCTCGAGCATCGGCTATTGCAAGATCGCGTAAGGTTAAGACGTCTCTATGACTTATAGTAGACGATCCTTAGGAATCTCGCTAGTCTCTATAGCGTCATAAGAAGTTGAGTCTTAGCTAATATTTCTGAGCCGCTTCGAGGGCCGTACATAGCCGCGCTTTGGCGGCCTTCTTACTTGTATAGCGGAGCTTATATTATCTACAAGTGCGCTAGGTTTAGCTCTCTTCCCATTCAGTTGAATTTTCAGAATTCTGTACAGGTGACATGGGCGCCACAACCGTAGTAAATATGAACTTTCTTTTCGATCCGCCCTTTTCGTGACTTGGATCTACTTACTTCCGTTGGCACACTAGCAAGGCACGGTCCACGCCATAGTGCGCGAGACGCATTCCCTGAAAGTGATACCGGGAAAGGTAGGTCCAGATCATTCTCCCTCACAACGCCAACACCGCCATCCCAACCATCACAAGGCCTCCAACTAAGACACCCCGGGGCCTCAAGCAGGCTGTCCCAGCGACTGGAACCGGAACAGGAACAGCCGTCTGACTCGCGCCTGCCCCGGTCCCGGATGTCGGCCCTACTTGTCCCCCGGTCCCCGTCGCACCGACAAGCCCGGCCGCATCCGTCACCGTTGCGTTCATCACCACCGTGCCCGCCCGTGCCGGACCGGGATTCGTGACGTTGTAGAAATTGCCCGCCACCACCTTCCCCTCCAGCCCGGCCTGCGCCAGCACCGCGGCCGCCTCAAACCCGCTCCTCGAGGCGGCGGCCGCCGCACGCAGCGCCTCGCCGCCGTCCTCCGTCATCCCGCTCGTGTCGACCAGGACCTGCGTGTACCGGTGGCTGAGCGGCACGCGCGCGGGCGGGTTGGGGCCGAAGTACGGCTGCAGCGCGGTCGTGTCGGATCCGTCTTTCTCGAGCAGGAAGGCGCGGATGGTGCCCGCGGTGGTGTTCAGCTGCGTGGCGGTGCTCGAGGGGACGAGGCTGGTTTGCATCCAGTGCAGCAGGGTGTTGGTTTGCGATGGGTTGTTGGTGGGGATGTCGAGGTCGATCATCATGACTGCGTAGGATGTGCCATTGAGGCGGGCAAGTGTGCCGATTCGCGGTTCGGAGGATGTTACTTGAAGGTATCGAGGGTTCTGTAAGCTGCCGGAGGAAGGAGAAGGAGGCGCGTGAAAGGGGCTGACATGGCTCTGCTTACCGCTTTTGCTAACCACCACCCCGTTAAGCGCCGCGAAGCCGTTGTACTCGACGATGAGGTCGGTGTCGGATGCAGGGGCGAAGCCGTCCGGCGTTCGCGCCACCGCTGTGGTGGCGGCAAGAAGGATCGCTAGACATCTAGAGACCATCGTGACAGCGCCGTTTATCGAAGAGACGAGATGACGACAAGCCCAACAAGCTGTGGAAGTGTGAATTGAATCGAATCGACTGCCAGAGGAGATGTGACCGGCACGCTACTGAGAAAATATAAAAGGGGATAATACGGCAGCAGACTCGCAGACCTGACATCCAAATCGACGAGTGGACAAGTAAAACCGCTGAAGCCCCAGGATTGTGATAGTTCTTAACCTTCATCACCCCTCCATCCATGCGTTATAGAGTTCTTGGCACCCAGGGTCTCCATCAAGCACTCACTCGGAGCACAGCAGGCTGAAACAGTTCTCCGGCTCGTGCCGCGTAATGCTGCGGGATTTGGGCGGTTGCCGTTGCACCTTGCCAGGGTCGCCGTTGGAAAGATCTGCCGGTTCCAGCGCACTTGTTGATCAGCAGTTGGCAAAGTTGCCGAGTGAGCTGTTTTATTAGCGCCCGTTTTTGAAACGCTTTGCGATTGAGACTTCAATATCAGAGGGAAACCGATTCGACCGAAGCTCGGGATTTCAGCCGGTTGCTCCACAACAAGCTCAAGTTCGTGTCCAACCTTGAAGAACAACCTCCAGATATTATCATGTCTTACTGTACCAGCGGTCATGGCTCATGAGACATCTCGAGATATCCCGTCATACCAAGCTTCGCAGTTCCCAGAAAGCACCACGAGCAAAAATATCACCCTTCCCGTCTCCGACTGAATAATCCCCAGAACCTCCTCTCCTTGACCTCCACCGTGTATGGCTTCAGGGGGAACATGGGACGGACATTGTACTCGTCACCATCTACATCCGTAGCAGTATATTGCATGGTTGACTGCCACTTCCTCTGCGGGATCTCACCGAGCTTGGTGCTGCCGGAAGAGAACGACAAGATAGATATCCTGTTGGCCCACGCCGACTTCGGTGCCTTAACGCCTGGACTCGTGGTTCTCGGGATCGGTGTCTGCGGTTGCGCATTCCGCACTTTGGGCGGAGCAACGGACAATGGCGGTGGACCTTTGCGTAACCTCTCCGCGTCATCTGCCTTACACTGCCTGCTCGTTGCCTTCCCCTCTTTAGCTGTGGTCCGAGGCTTCTGGCTCTGTAAGTCATGTTGCTCGGTCGCGTTATCTTGCCTGGAGGCGGAAGACCGTGTATTGGATGACGATCCACGTTTATGTTTATGCCGAGTCGCAGACGATCTCTTAGATGATGATTCAGATAACGAGGAGGCGATAGAAGATCGGGAAGGACCTCCTAGCCGGCGTGAGAGGCTATCGATGGCCTTGATCGCCTCGACTCGCGACGCATTCGACAGAGACATCAGAGACTCGTAGTCCAGATCGAGGCCATCCCTTCTGCTTGAGAGACGTAGTAGGTTTGCAATCGCGTTTCTCAACCTCTTGAGGATGCGATCGACGGCGGTTTTTGCGCGGGCTGGCTCACATTAGCATCGCTGCTATTCGCGTCGTGACCATGGCGCTCTCAGGGCCCCTCACCATCTCCTTTCTTGAAGCGTTTCCCAGACTCAGATACCCGAGATGAATAAGCCCGCTCAACCAGAGAACGGTCGCTCCTCAGACACTTGCGTAAGTGTGAATGCCGCTGCTGAGCGCCGACACTAGCGCCTGGTGCTTCATCCCGGTTGCGTCTGAATGTTTTGAGGAGCGAAATGCAGTTGGCGTATGTGTCAAGCAGCGCCTTAACCCCGTCTCCAAATGTCATTGTTAAATGTTAAACAATGACTAGGATGCCTTGCGCGGAGACCACCTTTGACTTATCCCGAAGTTTTTACCACGACTGTTTCGTAGTTCGGCAGGTTGGAAATTTGAAATCAAAGTGCGGGGGAATATATCACAGTAGTTCCCAGGTTGCTAACTAACCGCATCCGGGAGCTCAAGTCAAGCTGTCAAAACGTCTGGACGGACACGGCGCCTAACGTATTTTATAAGCGAGCTGCGCATATAAGCGAGCTGCGCAGTCCCCATCACAACGCGTCCTCTTTACACTTAACATCGAATTTTCCCATAACCTAATATGCCCCCTACTTCAAAGGATACAAGGGTAATCTTGGCCCTTAAAGCTATCCAAAATGACGAAAAGTTAAGCCTTCGAGCCGTAGCCAAGCTGTACAATATACCGGAATTAACCCTCCGTTCCCGACGCGCTGGTACCCCTGCACGACGCGATACTACGCCTAACTCGCGCCGGCTCATAGACTCCGAAGAGAAGGCTCTTGTTCAATATATAATTGAGCTAGTTGCACGAGCTTTTCCACCAAGACTACGTGGTATTGAAGATATAGCCAACCAACTGCTATACATACATAACGCGCCCCCTGTTGGCAAGCTCTGGGCATACAACTTCGTCAAACGCCAGCTAGAGCTCCGGATGCGTTGGATACGTCGGTACGACTACTAGAGGGCCAAGTACGAGGATCTAAAGGTCATTGGCGAGTGATTTACGCTTATATAGAACACTAAGGCCAAGTACGGTATCGTAGACGACGATATCTATAACTTTGACGAGACTAGGTTTATAATAGGCATTATCTTCGCAGGCATAGTGGTCACGACCTCAGATAGCCGTAGCAAGGCAAAGCTAGCCTAGCCTGGCAACCGCGAATGGGTAACAGTAATCCAGGGCGTCAATGCCCTTGGCTGGGCTATCTCTCTGTTTATCATCTTGGCCGCATAGTACCACCTCGCCAACTGGTATACCAAGTGCAACCTCCCAGCCGACTGGCATATCGCAACTACCGACAATGGCTAGACTACTAACGTAGTAGGCCTAGATTGGATCAAGCACTTCGACTTCTATATAGCGCCTTATACGAAAGGCAAATGCCAGTTATTGATCCTCGACGGCTATAAGAGCCATCACTCGACCGAATTCGAGCTCTATTGCCAGCAGAACAACATTATCACGCTCTATATACCTCCACATTCCTCCCACCTCCTCTAGCCACTCGATGTTAGCTGCTTTGGGCCGTTGAAGCAGGCGTACGGCCGCCAGATTAAGGACTTAATACGCGCGCATATTAACCACGTAAGCAAGCTCGAGTTCCTTTATGCCTTTCGCAAGGCCTTCTTTACCTCTATCACCAAGAGGAATATCCAAGGCGGCTTCGCAGGGTCTGGCCTTATGCCGTACAATCCAGAGAAGGTGCTTTCCAAGCTAGATATCCAGCTTCGTATACCAACACCCCCGACCTCACGGCCTAGCACTGTACAACCTTGGGTCTTCCAGACACCATACAACCCCTACGAAGCCGAGTCGCAGTCAATGCTTATTAAGACTCGCATTACCAACCATCAAAATAGCTCCCTAGCCTCGATGTTGGCTGCTGTAGACCAGCTTACTAAGGGTATAATGGCTATAATGCACCAGGTGGCCCTCCTTCAAGCAGAGGTCTCTTCGCTACGTAAGGCCAACGAGGCACTAAGCAAGCGCCGGAGAGCCAAAAAAAAACACGTATATAGCTTGGGGGATCGCTTGCAGTACAAGATGCAAAGGATCAACTAGACCAGAAGGCTGTGGTTGGGGAGCTGGCTCAAGAAAAGGAGCAGGATGGTGGTAGTACAGGGGGGGCGTATACGAGGGTTCGGTGCTATAGTATGTGCGGTAAGCCTGGCCATAATGCCCGCACTTGCCAAGAGGCTGTAGAATCGTCTGATTCAGCTGCTTCTGATGTAATTATAGTCAGTTCTTAGTGTTGTTATCTTGCAATTGAGGATAGTTGTTGTAGGGGAGTGGAGAGTGCGCAGCTCGCTTATATGCGCAGCTCGCTTATAAAATACGTTAATCGCAATTCGCATCTTAATATAAGTTCGTTGACTGCAGCCAACCCCCAAGGCCTGCCAGCTGCATAAACGGTTGACTAGATCGCCGTACATCGACTAATAAATTTTCAAAGAGGGGAAAGGATTAACCAAGGCTTTAAAATTCACAAGTTGGTACTATAGCAACAATGACTAACGTATCTTATAAGCGAGATGAACATATAAGCAAATTGAACACTTGCCACTATACTATAACAGTCAACTACAATTACAACACAACAACATTATGAACCTACTATAATTATATCAGAAACGGCTGAATCAGATGCTTCTACAACCTCCTGACAAGTGCGGGCATTATGACCAAGCTTGCCGCACACACTATAGCACCGAACCTTCGTACAAGTGTGACGAAACCACAGGCAGTCCTGCCTCTGAAAGGGTTCGCCGGTCGAAGGTAACTGCTGGTCGGACTGTAGGTCTCGGTGAAGCCAAAAGGTTCACAACAATGCTTGCCGCAATGTCTGCACAATAGGTAGAGGCTATTGCTTGTATTGCTCACTGAGGAAGCTATCTATCTGAATGAGTGGCAGAATGGTAGAACTATATATAGCTTCCTTCCCTAGGTATCCTGTACCTAGATCTTTGGAACATTTGGAACAATTGTTGTTCTCATTGTTCCATCTGGAACAACGTTCCTTGGCGTTGTTCCTCAGGAACAATCGTTCTTGGCATTGTTCCTGATTTCCCCAATCCTCATTGGTTCTTTCTGGCTCGTAACGATTGGATGCGGGCGCCGCCTGTTGACCATGCAGGTCGGTCCCCACCGGCCTCTGCAGGTTAGTTCATGACAACAAGCCCCCCCTGCACCGCCACCATCCGGCTCCTTTTCTTGCGCCATCTCCCCAACCACGGCCTTTTGGTCTAGTAGATCCTTTGTATCTTCTACTGCAAGTGATCCTCCAAGCTATATACGTGTTCTTTTGGCTCTTCGGCGCTTGCTTAGCGCCTCGTTGGCCTTGCGGAGCAAAGACACCTCTGCCTGAAGGAGGGCCACCTGGTGCATTATAGCTATCGTACCTTTGGCAAGCTGGTCCATAGCAGTCAACATCGAAGTTGGGGAGCTGTTTTGATTGTTGGCAATGCGAGTCTTGGTGAGCGTTGACTGTGAGTTGGCTTCTCGGGGGTTGTATGGTATCTGGAAGACCCAAGATTATATAGTGTCTGGCCGTGAGGTTAGGGGTGTTGGTATACGAAGCTTGATATCTAGCTTGGAAAGCACCTTCTCTGGATTATACGGCATAAGGCCAGACCCTACGAAGCCGCCTTGGATATTCCTCTTGGTGATGGAGGTAAAGAAAGCTGTGCGAAAGGTACAAAGGAACTCGAGCTTGCTTACGTGGCTGATATATACGCGTATCAAGTCCTCGATCTGGCGACCGTACACCTGCTTCAACGGCCCAAAGTAGCTAACATCAAGTGGCTGGAGGAGGTGGGAGGAATGTGGAGGTATATAGAGCGTGATAATGTTGTTCTGCTGGCAGTAGAGCTCGAACTCAGTTGAGTGGTGGCTTTTATGGCTATCGAGGATCAACAACCGGTATTTGCCCTTTATCCGAGGCGCTGTATGGTAGTCAAAGTGCTTGATCCAATCAAGGCCTACTGCATTAGTAGTCTAGCCAGTCTCGGTGGTTGCAATACGCCAGTCGGCCAGGAGGTTGCACTCGGTATACCAGTTGGCGAGGTGGTATTACGCCGCTAAGATGATGAACGGAGGGATAGCCCAGCCAAGGGCATTGACACCCTGGATTACTGTTGCCCATTCGCGGTTGCCAGGCTAGGCTAGCTTTGCCTTGCTACGGCTATCTGAGGTCGTGACCACTATGCCCGCGAAGATAATGCCCATTATAAACCTAGTCTCGTCAAAGTTGTAGATATCGTTATCTACGATACCGTACTTGGCCTTAACGTTCCGTATAAGGGTAAACCATTCGCTAATGACCTTTGGATCCTCGCATTTGGCACTCTGGTAGTTGTATCTACGCGTATAATATATCCGGAGCTCTGGCTGACGTTTGACGAAGTTATACGCCCAGAGCTTACTGACAGGGGCGCGTCGCGTACGCATAGCAGTTGGTTGGCTATATCTTCCATACCACGTAGTCTCGGGGGAAAGGCTCGCTCAGATAGCTCAATTATATACTGAATAAGAGCCTTCTCTTCGGAATCGGTAAGCCGGCGCGAGTTGGGCGTAGTGTCGCGTCGTGCAGGCTTGCCGTCGCGTCGGTTTCGGATGGTATTGACTGTGACGTTATAGATCTTTGCTGCGGCGCGAAGACTAAGTTTTGGGTTCTTTTGAATAGCTTCAAGGGCTAAGATTACCCTAGACTCTCTTGAAGCCGAAGACATCGTTGGGTGTAGAGGATTTTGGTTGTGGTATGGAGAGAAGACGCGTCGCGGTCAAAGTGTTCAATTCGCTTATATGTTCATCTCGCTTATAAGATACGTTACAATACATTATAATATGTTCTGGTTTTGAGCCTTGTTTTCTATCTATTGTATGATAAGCGGGAATGAATGTAGCTTTGCTATAAGTAGATGTAATGCAAGGTGTCTATGCGGGACTTCGGAACTTATTCACTCGTCTAGCCAATTCTTCTTTTCCTATCACCCATTGGCAGTGGCATATTGACGTGGTGACGCCAGTATCACAGACTCAAGACTACTAGTATTTAGCATCCTATATGGCACCTACGTCACCTCCTTCGTCCAAGGTGTACGACAGTGTGGTATATTTAGGGATATAAATCAATGGCACGCATTACATCTGATATATGACATGACAGTTGTCCAGAAAAAGAGCCGTAGAGGGTACGAACATATCCGAGGTATAGACGTTGCACACACCCCATTCTCAGCCATGGTCGCAAACAAGCCGTGGTTTATTTATCCTGAACTCCCATCCATTCAAGTCACCTCCTCTAAACCCCCAAACGAGCTGGGGGATCTCGGCACGCCCACCAGGTGACTTCTAGGATCTGCTCATGAAGGGACTCAATGCCCACGACTCCACAACCCGATCCCCGAAAAGCGCTTCGGACTAGACCATTACGACCCTACCGGCCAGCGAAGGAATACGAGCCAGGTACAGTACGGGTAACGGCTGTTGGTTGAACATGCAGATGACGCCTGCCTTGACAGCGCCCAGTGTCCAGTGTCCATGAGAACTGCGCGTCATGGGGCGCCACAGCCCGTACCTCACCACGCCGCACGAGCTCAAGTGCGCGCTGCACGAGATCACAACTTCCTACCTCGCCGAGGCCCGCCGCCGGCAGCCCAGGGGTCCCGTCCACTCGTGTCGTGGCATAGCATCCCGCAAATGAATTCCTGTAGGGCTGTCTCATCTCCAGAAACGGTTTAATGTATGGTGTACCAGGTAATCTAGACAGTTAATCTGGACCGTCCATAGCTCCTAGACTTCGTGGAATGCCCCTACCTAGGGTGTCGATTGTAATGAGAAGCGCCAAGTCGGATACAATTCCCTAAAGCCTGTCACCCGTAGTCGCTGGTGCAAACAACTCCCATCGTCACCATCGGTCCATCGGATCATTAATTTTCTTGGGTACCACTTAGCTGAATTTGCGTTTGAGTTACGGGTAGTCATTCAGGCCAGAACTATGGTACACAGCAGCAAGAAGTGGCCTCTGGGGATGCCATGGCCTGAGCAAGTTACCCAGACTTACTGGCCTGATATGAAGTACATGTAGAGTCACCTGGGTAAAAGACAAAAAGTACACTACACATCCAGCCCGAAGTCCCGGTCTCCGGACGGCACGCCCATCATATTTAGACTCTAACTCCATCATATAAGTATGGAAGTAAGTTCCAATCCACCGTCTTGCGCCACTTCTTTTAAGTCCCGGTCTCTCTACGTCCACTTCATTTGCGGCTTCCGTCGGTTTATTGCATAGAGGCAAGCTCGCCGGTTGCAGCGATCGGCCCACCATTTAAGATACGTAAGATACGTATTGTATGTACGTACCTGAAAAGCTCGGGCCGAGATCGCGATCGCAGCTCCATCGGCCCTCCGTACCTTATCACCCCACATCGAGATTTGTGTTTCAGCCCTACGCGGTGCCCGAATTTTATCCGATCTCCCGACGTACATCCAGATACGCGCCTCAGTATGCACCGTTATTGCCTTCAACAAACATCAACACCGTAATCAAGGCCTTCTGCGGGACGCAGCTCCCGCGACAGAAAAAAAAGCAAGCCACTGATAAGTCCTTGCACCGCACACCAAATCGACCGTAAAACGGCCTCGCGCAGAACAGGAAAAGGCTCCATCATGGAGGCGGTCGCCAACCCCCGCATCACGTGCGCGTATCTCAATCAGTACGTCGGCAAAAATGTGATCATCGTGGGCAAGGTCATGCAATTGCGAGGCGAAGAGGCCATCATTGACGCCGATGGCAACGTTACGGCGCACCTCAACCGCGTAAGCCGCTTGCCCCCCAGCTTTCAGCCATCCCCGTTCATATCCGCTGCGATTGTCCTGCCTGGGGTTCTCTTGTCGGGTGATCGCGGCAACGTCGATGCGGTGCAAATCGAAGATGCCGGGATATACGGAACAATACTGACACCACGCCATCCGAATCCCAGGAGGCACACCTCTCGGCTGGCAACGGCGTTCAGCTCATTGGCAAGGTGAACCCCGATCTCTCGATCAAGGTGCTTAGCTCCATGGACCTCGGGACCGGCGTCGGTAAGTCGAGCATCATCACAAGCCGATGCTCCGTCTTCCCCTTGGGCTGTGCCGAGTCGGTCACGACGCAAAAGCCACAACAGCTGATTTTGAAAACAGATTACGATCTGGCCAACACAGTTGTCGAGGTTTCGCAGCAGTATCGGAGTCTTTTTGTCTATGACTAAGGCTGGTGGATTGGGTATGCTGGGCCTGAACTGATACCACGGCCCACGGCGCACAAACAGACAAGGGGAAGCCACATGTTCTTTCTTGCCACTCTCCCGTCTTCTTGAGCCGTCGGAGAACCGACGGAAGAACCATAGAATCGCTGAGTCGGCCTTTCACAAATTGTCCCGGAACCTGGAACCGGAGACGAGGAATCAGCCGATAGCGGCAACAGATATACAGATACGTAGCATTTGACATCACAGCGCGGGCCGTGTCAGGTAGCAACGTGTGAAACTATCAAGAACACCAGTGTGCAATGATGCTAAAACCAGCCAAATGACTCGACGAAGCGTGTGCTTCCTAAATACACTCAATTCTAGAACCAAACACAATATGCTCGCTGAAACGAGTACAAAACCTGTCCCAAAATGCCATTAGAACACCGAAAGAAAAGAAAAGTCTCAGTACCACGATTCCGGTTGCTCCAGCAACGTCAAAAGCTCGGTGTTAAACGGTGATATCAAGCCCAACTCCGTCGGGATTTGCTGCTGGTCGGGCGATCTCGGGATGTGCCTAACAGACCGGGCCGACCGAGAAATGCTCCTGGTAATCGGCCGATGGCTGGGCGGCGTCCGCCTAGTGGGCGTCTTAAAAGGCCCGGATGCCACCGGCGGAGGCGTAGACGGGGGCTTCGGCGGGGTGCCGAAGAGCTCGTGGGCCAGGTCGTCGTCTACCGGAGTACCGGGGCGCTCCTGGCGCGGATCGCTCTCTTCTGCTGCCGCCGCGGACTTGACCTCCGGGGCGTTGGTGCCCGCTTGGACCGTGTTTGGATGCAGCTCCCCAAAGACCTTCTGCGCCCCATCCCTCCTGGGCGACGAGAAGAGCAACCGCCTGGTGCTGCCCAAATCGTCCTCCTCAACTGCGATGGGGCTGTCCGCAGTCCCACTGCCCCGTCGCACGCCGCCGCCACCGACAACCTTCGGGGAGTCCTCGTACGCCGGGCCGACCGGGTCGGTGGTGAAATACGCCTCCGACGTAGGATTTGCTCGGGCCTCATTTTTCGTGCGCGTCTTTTTTGAACGCGAGTTCTTGTTGACTTTGGAACCCCGCTTTTGGCGCGGCGCGTTGAGCCGCTCGGCGTCCTTCTCCCACCTATCTGGTGGCCGATGGGACTTGAACTTTTGTAGCCAGATGCCACAAGGGTTGCACAATAAACTCGGAGTCCATTGGCTTTTCTCGTCCAATGGACCGAGGTTTTTCTTGACCATTCGGTACGCAGAAGGAAGACCTTCTGCGTCCTTCGCCAACACCTCAATCATGATCAAGCCTCCTGGCTCATTCTCAAGAACTTCCGGTCGGCCCTGGAAGTGCCTGCTCCATATCTTGCGCCAGGTCGGCGTTTGGATGGCGCCGCAGTTGGCGCAGAACTGCGGCATTTCTCCTTTTTCGACGGCCATCTCAAGCCGCTCTTTGATCGACATCTTCTTTATGTAATTTTTGCTGTGCCGCGGGGCCTCAACGTCGCTGGACGGGCAAGGCGCCTCCGATGTGACTGCGCGCGGCAACGATAATACCGGGGTTGCGGTGTGGGCAACGGGCTCACTTGCCGGGTCAGCCGAGGCTGGGGCGGCCGGGGCTGGGGCGGCCGGGGCAGGAACGTCTACGGCGTGGAGATGCCTTGAACCGGGTCTCGACGCCGGCTGTGTCGGCAAAACTGTCTCCGGCCGGGGCCGCTCCGGCACGGGCATTGACCTGACGGACGCTGGACTCCCCGCTCGCTGGGGAATGCCGGTGAAGCCGCCTTCTGCGGCGTGTCTCGAAGGCGGTAGGGAGCTGGTCAACCCCATGGACGTTTCTGGGGCAGACTGGGCCGAGGCGGTAGCGGTCTGTCGATTCAACGCCCTGGCCTTTCCGGCGGGGTTGAACAAGCTGTTAGACGGCAGCAGCTCGGGGGGCCCCGGGATTTCGTGTTGGAAGCGGAAGTTTTGCTGCTGTGGCAGCGTCTGGTCCTGTGACTGGCGCTGTTGCAGGGTATGCAACAGGTTCGCGTCGAAGAAATCTTCGACGCCGCCGCTCATAAAGCCCGAGTCGATCTGGAGTTCGGGACTCAGGGCTGGTGGTGTAGACCGCATGGAGGCAGACGGCGATGAAAGAAGATCGGCCGCGCTGCCTCCCGCGGAATACCAGTTGTCTGGTGACGGCGTGTTTGCCATGGACTCGGACCTAGCTAAATTCGAGATCACCCTCTCTCTCGGGTGCTGCTGCATTAGGGGCCCAGTAGGGATCGGTGTAGGTGCCCTTGGGACGTTCTGTAGGTGGCTGGTGGCAGCGGAAACACCACCCCCATCACCAACCGGCCTCATCGTCCGCAGGGAGCCCGAGGTGCTTGCGGCGACCCGCAGTGAACCCGGAACAGCGCCGAAAGGCACGATCGAAGGGTACTCCGTTCTGACGACTTTGGCCCTCTTCCGTTGCGGTCCTTCGTCGCCATCGGTGGCTTCTTCCGCAGCCGATGTGTCCCCATTTCCTCGGGGGGTTTTCCGTGGCCGTCCTCTGGGTCTACCGGTTGGCTGTCGTGACCTCGTTCCATCCACAGCAACCGTGCTGGGATCATCTGTACGCCGGACTTGCCTCGCAATAGCGGTAAACCTCAGGTTTACCTCCAGTGTATACTGGCATCCGTGATTTAGTAGGGCTCCCAAGAGGTTCCGTGTGACGTATCCTGTGATCATTTGTTCTCGAGGTTCACGCTGCGAGTCCAGCGCAGAAGATAGCCTGCCTTGCCCAACTAGCGGCACGTTGGGCTCGGAGTAGTCTGCCGAGTACACGCTGTAGTCGTTCTGTTGGTCGAGAAGCTCGGGGCTGCTCTCGACAACGGCTTGCAGGCATGTTCGGAGATCTATCAGGCCGATTGTTGTCTGTTGATCCAATGGTACTGTTTGGATCTGGAGCGTGTGGGGCCATCGGGCCAGGCGTTGCACCTGGTTGTCCGGGTCGAACGTATATGCTACCTTCACTGTAACTGAGGTTAGAGAAGGCGGGCCGGGCGTCGGGGCATTCACTAAGGACGTACAGCCCATGGCCCATGGCTGCAGGCTCAATTCGGCACCGCCCGATGGCTGGCCGGCGATTAGGTGCGGAGTGGATTTTGATTGTGTATTGTTCGGTGAAGTCATTGTGAGTTTGTGTTTGTTGCAGAGAAAGGATTGAAGTAAGGGTTATTCGCAATGAGTAGGAGTCTGCGGTAGTGAGACAAACGAGCGAAAGATGTGTCAGTTGACGCTAAATCTGCGGCAGTCGGAAAGAAGAGAGGGGTGGGATGGAGTGGACGGAGTTGGGTGGGCTGAGTATATATTTGTTACACCGCTGGCTGGTGGTGGGTGGTGAGGGTCGCAACCCATCCTTGTTGAGGCGCGTCCGCGTTGTGTCGCGTCGGTGGGTCATCTCACCCCTGGCACACCACGCAACCTTAATTGCTCCCGTCGCGTGCGTAGGTAAGGTCTGACGTACGGACTACTACAAGCTCCCGTCCACACAGCAACCAATGGAACCGCTTGTTTCTTATTCTGTGGGGCGCACACCACAACGGCATACGCACACTTACAACACATGTTCAACAATACTAAACCTTAGGGAGGAAAGCTCCTCCCTTTCGAGGGCGAAACGCCCTCGTTTCCAATTGACATGCTGAGGTGTTGTCTCGCCACTGATGATTGCTCTGCTGCATTTGATCCCCGTGCCTGTGCTCCGTAGTGCTGATGGTGACAGGAACTTATGGTTGCCTAGCAACACAACGGACCCCGACATAGATATCCAGAGCTGCAAATCATTGCCAACTTGCACATCTGAAGATGTTGGCAAGAAGAGAAAGCCGCTCGCTAGATCCCCTCTTTCAACAGCAAGACCCTGAATCCCTGACACCCCTTGACCTTTCTTGCCGAGGGAGTGATTTGGCAGGGGTATTCAAGTCATCGGGCCGTCCATATATGCTTCCCTACGACTTGGTCCTTCCGTATCTTTGACGATCACAGCCGGTCTTCTGGAGTACGACCTGAGCCGCAGCTAGGCTTCTCATCAAGGACTGCGCAGACTGGAACCGGTTTGCTCAAAGTTGACCGGCTCTCCGAGCATATCCCTAGAGAACCTCCTCCTCCTCCTCCTCCGCCTCGACAGGCGCTGTGGCTGGCACGGACACTGACTGAGCGGAAATGGCATCGACATTATTTGGCTTCTCCACTTCGTCTTCAGCCACCCCTTCCATCTGCGCATCGCCATCTTGATCAGCATAGAAAGCCGCCACCATGGCATCTTCTTCCATCTTGGTCTTGGCCTTTTTGCTCAGCCCCGCCCGCTCCTCCCGCTCAAACACTTCTCTGTTGATCTCTTCCCACGTCTTCTTGCGCGAATTGATGACTTTGGCATGGCCTTTGCTCTTCTGCACCTTGAGTGCTGTCCGCTCCATGACGGCCTCGGCGCGGCCCAAGTTCTTTTCTTGCCGCCGCCGTGCCTTGGAGCTCAGCACCGCTTTCCGGCCACTTTTGGCCTTCTTGGCCACGCCACCTGAGTGGTGCGCCGCAAGCACAGCCGGCCGTCGGTCGATTGATTCCTGGGGTGGACGGACTTCTTTAAGGGACTTGTCGACGTCGATGCTGGGAGAGGCCGCGCGCCTTGCCGCGCGGGAGTGTTTTGAGTGGCCTATAGAGGATCCGGGGTTAGTGTATGTTTTTTGAACCGAGAAATAAGTGCCAATAATGCATTGTACCCTTTTTCCCTTTGGAGATTGTGCCTTTCGCCATCTTGTGGTGTTGGGCTGCTGTTATCAACCCTTGTATCGCGGGGCTGTTCTTCGGAAATTCTTATCGCTGGGAAATTTTATGCTTGTCGCTCAGCTCCTAGCTGCAGGGATCACCTCTATGTAGTGCCAAGCGGCAAGAGAGGTGGAGCGCTCACATGCTAACTTCCGCACGCTGCACAGTCATGATTCATAAAGGCGACCAATCGTTGCGCGTCAGCGACCGCTCAAGTGCGAAGGCTGTTGCCCAGACCCCGGAAGTTCAAGCATGGGGCATTTTCTCAACGCAACAATTGCACCTCGAATCCCCCCGTTGCTTTTGTTTCAATAACCCCAAATCCGCAGCTCCCATTGTGTATCTCATTTTTGGTTCATCCCAACTTATTGTGCTATCAGATATGGCCTTATTGTGTTCCGTCATTATCTCCACATTGTCGGCTGCGTGACCCAGGACGTTCTTCGCGTCGGCCAGGTGAACTGACCTTCTCATTTCCTGCTACCATCCCTCCTTCAGCAGAATGAATTCCGACACGAGACGTATCCCGAGCCAGTTCGACACTTCTCATGGTTCTGATTTCTACGATTACTACGTGGCGGAGCAACCGAAATCCCGGTTCATCAGCCTGACCGCTTTCGTCACCATATTTTCACTCGCCGCTACCGTCTTGTGTTCTGCGGCGGTCCAGCAGGGCTGGCTTATTTCGCTTTCTCATCTACTCTGGGAGGCTCTGGTGTTCATCATCCCGGCCCGCCTCCTTTTCGCCGTCGACCGCTCCATCAATCCATCACTTATCCCACTCCACATGTACCGGTCGCAGCAGCGCACCCGCGCCGCCAAGAGCGATGCGCTCCAGAGAATCCTCGGGCTCAATAGCTCTGGGGGGATACGCAACTCCGTCTCTCAGGTCGGACGCAAAGGTTCCAATAGGCTGTTCAGCTCTGCTTTAGACTCGAGGGCTGCGGGAGACCGGCCGCCTGGGTTGGGCAACTACGACAACTCTTGCTTCCAAAACAGCATCCTCCAGGGCTTGGCATCGCTCAAGCCGCTCCTGGAGTATCTATCTGCGATCTCACTCGAAAGAAGATTGGACCTGTCCCCGACCCGGACCGTGGACACGCTTCGCGAATTGATAGCCGAGCTCAGCAGCCCTTCCAGCAACGGCAGGACTCTCTGGACACCTGGAGTGCTGAAGAATATGAGCACGTGGCAGCAACAAGATGCGCATGAATATTACTCGAAGCTCCTTGACCAGATCGACAACGAGATTGCAAAGGCTACCCGCGCACTTCACGACTCCCCAGGACTGGAACCGGACGTCGGCGGCCGCGGCTCTCCGAGCAGCCACCACAGCAACGACAGCGGGTACCATAGCTTAGCGGGACACTCCAAAGGCGGGGTTGAGCCCCGTCTCATCCGAAATCCTCTTGAAGGGTTCATGGCGCAGCGTGTGGCCTGCGTGAATTGCGGCTATTGCGAAGGGCTGAGTATGATTCCCTTCAACTGCTTGACATTAACACTCGGCAACCTACCAGAACATGATCTGTATGAGAGGTTGAATCATTACACCAAAGTCGAGGCAATCCAAGGAGTTGAGTGCCCCAAATGCACCCTACTGGTATGCCGAGACGCGGTCAAGACCCTTGCCGAACGCACCGGAGACATTCCCGAGATACGCCAGAGATTGCAGGTTTTGGAAGAAGCATTGCAGGAAGAAGCGTTTGACGACGAGACCTTGCGAGACAAGTGCAAGGTCACGGCAAAGGCGAGGATCACCTCGACGAAGACGAAACAAGTGGCTCTAGCTCGGCCCCCGCAAAGCTTGGTGTTCCACGTGAACCGGTCGGGTTTTGACGAAGCAACGGGCTACATGTTCAAGAACTCGGCCGCCGTCCGCTTTCCTATGATGCTGGACCTAGGGCCCTGGTGCCTTGGCAGTTCCGGCGGAGTGGCGGGTGTGCGGGAGGACAAGACTGCTGCGCAGGACGTAGAGCGGTGGACGCTGGATCCCAGGGCATCCATGGTAGCGGGAGATGGACGGCCGTCTAGGATAACTGGGCCGATCTACGAACTGCGCGCCGTGGTTACGCACTATGGGCACCACGAGAATGGTCACTACGTCTGCTACAGGAGACATCCTGTTTCTTCAGCTTCGAACGCGAGCAGGGTCGAAGGAGCGGAACGCGAGAGCCCGGTCAACACTACGCCTGAGGAGGACGCAGTTGGTGATGCGATGGGATCGGACCATGAACCGCAATCGGCGCCCAACACGAATGGTTCGTTACTGAACCAAGGCGATCGGCTTTCTCAGTGGTGGCGTCTTAGCGACGACGATGTGACCGAAGTGGACGAGAAGACAGTCCTCTCCCAGGGCGGTGTATTCATGCTCTTCTACGACTGCGTAGATCCGAATTCGGTGCTTGTTTCGGAGCCAGAGAAGCCCGTCAGAGCCGAGAGCGCTTGCCAGGGTATCATGAACCTGGACGAGAGTCCCACACATCTTCCGGCTGCTCAAGGCCTAGGGATGGTGCAGGACAGGGACTGGGACTCGACTACCGATTCAGGTGAAACACTGCAGCTTGACGAAGTGCTTCCATTTTCGGGTACGCCAACAGTCCCCGGTACTTCCCCAATAATCGCGATGGCGGATGAGAGGTTCTCAGACATTACCGGAATAGCCAGCGAACGGCAACTTTCGTCGCTGGACAGCGAGGCAACCCCGGAGAGGTCCACCACCGCTATCTGGAACCACAACTCGGAGCAAGATCAGGAGACAATCTCGATGTGTTCGGATACCACGGTCGTGGGTGACGATGAGTTCCCATTACCGCGGTACTACCAAATGTGCGCGACGTGACGTACCAGCGGGGGGCGTGTGTGTTTTGCAGTACATAGCGACCGGCGTTTGTGGATCGGGTAGTCGTCATCCGATGGGTTCCAATTTTCCCTTTCGGACTCTGTCGGGGACTGGGGCAACGGGCAACGGATGTATTTTGGTGTTGGGGCCGGTTTTATATGGGGATGTCTTTGGACCAGTGTTTCTGTGTGTTAGATATCAGCGGGAATAGTTACCTAGGCTACGCAAAATGTTCTAAACCCACTCGCTGGTGCGTTCTCCCATCCTCGGTCCCATGACCTTCTGTGATGCCAGTGCTTGGATAGACAAATCCAGCGTGATGGAATGATGTTGAATCCCCTGCTGTAACGCTGGAGAATTATACAAACCAATCAACAACCTGCAGTCGGGTAGCTTACGTACGCTTTACTTAGCCCTTCGAATGTATCTACTCCATCATAGCCCATAGATTTCACCTCAGAGGTTTGTTACTATCCGGCCAGCCTGACAAAACCCATTTGGAGTTTTGGACGCTCGGTATTCGTACCTCTGTAATTTTGAAAAATCACAGCCCTACCTACCAGGTAGGTACTGTACCACAGTAGTGTAGTCAATCCGCCCCAGTTACGGTATGCTTATTATCCGATGATCTAGTGATATCACAGACCTCCCTGTCATTAACCGACGAACCATTACCAATTCTCGGGCATGGGCCGAGAAGCACAGGCCGCACCCAACAAACCTGCTAATCTGGCCAGTTGCTCTTGCATGGAGATAAGAAATGCCTATAGAATACCCAGCGCTGTCGAGGTATTAAGCGTGAAATCTGGCCCAGCATTGCCCCTTTATTATAAAAGTTACCCCTTTCTGATGACCTTTTTGTGTGCTGCTTCTCTGCAAGCGATGGCTGATAGGACTCGAACATGCTCAAACGAGACAAGCTTATTGGGTAGCGGCAACAGCCAACACGACTACCCCTGCAGGCCGCTGGCGTCGGATCCTTTTTGGGCATCGCGCAAGCTGAAGGAACAAGGGGCCGCCAGCAAGGGGCCTCTCAGCCGCCAGCGCCACGGCTCCGTGTAGCCCTTTTAGCCCTTCAAATGACACTTTGCACCGCGAACACGAACTGCCAGCCTCCGCTGCTTGGTTCTCCCATTCCGATCGTCATCCCCGGCGATAGTTTCTTTTTCTTTTCCTATCCGCTCTCCAGTCAAGTCTTCGTTTCCTGTTACAAGACCTCTAATCAAGCGAATGCCCGGCTGAGAAATATTACGCTCCTTTTTCCATTTTCCGACTCGCTCGCTCGCTCCTTTTTCTCTTCTCGTATCGGCCAGAGAGGGGACCTTTTGATCCCGGAATCTTGTCGATCGCTTGCTTGGTCGTCTGCCCCGAGTCCTGACCCGACCGAGTTCCTCCGCTCCCCACGACAAACCCGGGAATTGTTTCCTGTCGTTGCAGAACCGACATGGCCGAAGACGATGTTGAGCGCCAGGTTGAAAAGCCGCGCCCGGCGGAGCGACAGGTTCATGCGATATTCTATATCGCGTACGTTTGAACTTGGCCAAAAAGATTGTCGGTCGAGCTTGTGCTGACGGCTGCCCATGTGCAGGAGTTGGATTTTCTTCTCCAACTTGACCATTCTCTTTAACAAATGGATAATAGATAGCCGCGGATTCAGTGAGTGTCTTGAAGGGAAAAGAGGGAAAAATGCTACGGGCAAACGAGCTAACCGCTGCTTACAGGATATCGTACGTTACTCGAGTCTCCCGCATCCTTCCACCCAACCGATTCACTGACATAACCGACAGCCGTGATCCTGACATGTTGGCATCTTATCTTCGCAACCGTTGCGACGCAGATCCTGGCGCGGACGACCAAGCTCCTCGACGGGCGCAAGAATGTCAAGATGACGGGGCGCACCTACCTGCGCGCTATCGTGCCGATTGGCCTGCTGTATAGCGCTAGTCTTGTCTGCAGCAACATGGTCTATCTGTACCTGAGCGTGGCCTTCATCCAGATGCTCAAGGCAGCCGCGCCCGTGGCGGTGCTGCTGTGCAGCTGGGCCTGGGGCGTTGAGGAGCCCTCGCTCAAGCGCTTCCTCAATATCCTGCTTATCGTTGCGGGCGTGGCGCTCGCCAGCTTCGGCGAGATCGATTTCAGCCTGGCCGGCTTTTTGTTCCAGGTCGGTGGTATTGTGTTTGAGGCTATGCGCCTCGTCATGATCCAGGTGCTGCTGTCCGGCGATACCCAGAAGATGGACCCGCTTGTGAGCTTGTACTACTACGCGCCCGTCTGCGCCGTCATGAACGTCATCATTGCCATCGGCTCTGAGGCCAACAGCTTCAACCCTGCCGACCTCGCCAAGGCCGGGTACGGCCTGCTGCTGCTCAACGCCATGGTAGCCTTCATGCTCAACGTGAGCAGTGTCTTTTTAGTACGCAAACCACCGCTCTGTTATCCCACACCATGTTTCCCAAAGCTTACCCTCTCTTCTCTAGATTGGCAAGACCTCCGGCCTGGTGATGACCCTGACAGGCATCCTGAAGAACATCCTCCTGGTCATCATCTCGGTCATGATCTGGCACACGACCATCTCGTGGCTGCAGTTCCTCGGCTACTCCATCGCGCTCGCCGGTCTCGTCTACTACTCGATCGGCTGGGACCAGATCGTTGCCATCTCCCAGGCCATGTGGGTCTACGCCAAGGGCGGCTACGAATCCGTCCGCGGGTCACCCGCGAGCGGCGGGGAAGAACAGGCGCAGACCGGCCAGGGCCGTCTGCCCTCAGCTGTGCGCAGGGGGTTGATCATGGGCGTCGCAGCGGTCACGGTGCTGGTGCTTGCCGGCGGCTTTATCTATGGAGGGGGCGCAGCAATAGTCGGGGAGCAGTTCGGGGCCGGTGAGCCGAGTGAATGAGGGAGAGTATGGCGGAAGGCGGCCGCGTACCATGAGTTGGGGCTTCTCCGTCGATATGTTCATAGCAAGCAGGCGGACGATTTCGGGTTTACTAATGCGGCATATGTAATGACTAGAGCTCCTTGGGTACGTTAATCCATGATTTTGAGGGACTGTGGATGGCGCAGAGTGAGAGGGGTATGCACTAGCCAGTGTCCGTAAAAGCTGTCTTTGGGGAATAGGGGCAGCGGATGGGCCGAGCGCAACGGCACCCAACTGCCCGTAAGGTGGGAAGAAGCAAGTTATTGTTACACAAGATATGCCTGTCCGCTTTCCGTGAGCATTAATGATCTATTTCCCTCAGCGTGAAACCCATAAACACACCGGTTCGATTGTACGACCATCCGAAACTTCGCTCCCGAAACCGCCCAGGGTATCAAATGCCACCGCTCTTGACTTATTCCCAAATCCACGTCAGTGCAGTCCCAGAAATCCGCTGCCGGCACAAGATACGACGGACGCCGAACTCCGTAATTCCGCGCGATCCACGTGGCAGCTGCGGATGGTTGACTTTATCGAGGCACCTAGCTTCGACTTTTACTTCGTCTCCGACTGTGGTGTCGGCTCCGCCCATGCTCTCGATCCCGATCCCGATCTCTGTCCCGGTCCCGGTCACGTCGAGAAGACACGCTCCGTTCACGGCGGCTGCGCCGGTAATGGCTGTCACGATCCCGATCTCTAGACCGGTCCCTGTCGCGCTCCCGGCTGCGGCTCCTCGACCGACTGCGGCGTCTTGTATCTCGGCGGCTGTCCCTTGCTCGATCGCGGGAACGGTCACGGTCCCGGCCCCGCCTGTCGCGATCCCTATCACGGTCCCTGTCTCTATCCCTTGGCCTGTCCCGATCACCATCATAGCGGTCCCCGCCACGATAGTCGATAGTCCAGTCTCGATCTCGGTCTCTATCGCTAGGTTGGTAGCGATCGTGTTCCTCCGGGTCACGACGACGCCTGATATCCGGTGATCTATCCCCAACGCGGCGGTCATCCACGCCCGGGACAGGCAAGCCCTTCTCCCGCGCCTCTTTCTGGGCAGCAAGATAGGCCTTGGCTTCTTGCTCCCGCTTTTTCACCTCAGCCTGTTTCCATGCCTCTTTCTCTGGGTGGCTCAACCGAGAGGGAGGCCGAGCCGCGCTCGGTGGCGAGCGCGAGCGACTCCTTGGGCGTCGTTCCTTATCGTCCTCATTATCTTTATCCTTCTCCCGGCCTCTGTCCCGACCGTAGCCCCGCTCGCGACCGCGGCTATGGTCCCTCCTGTCACGATAGTCACGATCCCTGGAGCGAGAGCGACTACGGTCTCGGCGGCTGAAACGCAGTCGCGAACGAGAGCGGTCGCGGCGCTCTGTTCTAACGCGCGGTGAGCGGCTACGGTCGCGGGCGTCACGGCGTCGCGAGCGGCTTCTGTCTCTCCGGTTATCGGACCTAGCTGTTCGAGGGCGAGATCGACTCCGGTCACGATGATCTCCCTTAGCATGAGGCCGACTATGATCTCCATGTTCAGGTTTCCGGCCGTCTGTAATACGATCATCTTTAGCGCCATCGCGAGAATCGTCCCGACGGGCGTGACGGCGATCGTCTCGATCATCCCGACGATCGTCTTTCCGGTCAGACCTCGGCTTCGAGCGGCTCCCATCTCTCCGGTCGTCCCTTCTATCCCTCAGTCTGGATCGGCTCCTTCTGCGAGAACGGCTCCTCGGCCGGGGAGATCGCGACTGGGCATCCCGGCGTCTCCGCTCCTCGTCCCTCGACCGGCTTCTGCTCTTTGCCCGGTGGACCCGGGAAGAACGTGAAAGACTCCTACTCTTCCGTTTCTCGGCTCGGGCGTCTGGGTCTTTAGGTGTCGTGGAAGATTTGGAACCTTCCACGTCTTTGATTTCTCGGTTCAGCTCCTTGGTTTCCGCCGGCTTCTTGGACTCAGATGCCTTTGGAACCGGCCGCTGAATGGGGTCTATGGCCGAAGCAGGTTTTGCCTTCTTCGGAGGAGGAGCTAACGTTTCATCGACCTCGAGCTCAGGGGCCTTCTTGATGACTCGCTTGCTTTCCCGAAGGAGATCGGCCAGTGCTTCTTGCTCCAGACGTTCATGGTCCTCCTTGGTTAGCTTCTTCTGGACTTCTTCTGCGCGGCCTTCAGTCGAGGGCTTCGGTTTGATGTCGCGACTTTCTCGCCGAGTCCGATCCCGGGTTCTGTCCCTGTCCCTGTCCCTGTCCCTGTCCCTGTCCCTGTCCCTCTCCCTCTCCCTGTCCCTACCTCGCTCTCTCGACCGATCTCTTGGAGTGCCTCGGTAGCTGTCATAGCCTCGCTCACGGAATCGATCGTGGTCCCGGTCGCGGTCTCGATCCCGATCACGGTCCCTTTCTCTGTCACGGCTCTGGTCCATGTTCTTTTCTTTTACGCGTTCCAGATCACGGCCCTTCTCCCGCTCCCTTTCCCGCTCCCTTTCCCGCTCCATCTCCTGCTCCCTCTCTTTTTCGCGTCGATCCCGCCGTTCTTGTCGCTCTTTTTCTCTCAGCTCATCTTCCTCCCGCTCTCGCTTCCTGCGCTCCTCCCTAGCAGCTCTCTCGGCCTCACGCCTCTTAAGCTCTTCTTTGGCCTTGATCTCCCGCTCGAGTTGTCGTTTCTTCTCTTCCACGGCCTTGAGCTCCGCCCGAACGCGCTCCCTTTCAGCCCGGCGGGCAGCCGTTTCAGCGGCGTACTCCTCGTCTGTCTTGGCGCCGCGCACCCTTTCCTCTTCGGCAGCCTCGTCGCCGATTTCAGCGCGGCGTAATTCGCGAATGTTAGTCTCGATGGCGCGACTGTCGATCAGCGCGCTTATCACCTCCTCGGCTTTCTGGTAGACGCCGCCGCGGTCGAGAGCACCATCGATAAGGGCTGCGGCCTTCCCACGCTCTAGCGTCAGAAGTTGCCGTGGATTGCGCTCGACTTCCTGCTCAGCGACTTGGAGGATGGCTTTGGTGACTTGTGCTTCATAGTCCTAAACACCTATCAGTAGCGCGAAAATGACAAGAACCGTGTGTGAGCGGCAAGTCATACACTGGCTTCAAACTTCTCCCACACCTGTTTGCGGATCGCGTCGTAGCCTCCCTTCTTTTTGAAGGCGTGCGCGAGACCCTCAATCGCCGTTCGGGTCGCAGAGGGAAGGGGAAGGTCGGAGGCTTTGAACTTTCGTGGAACCGGTGCAGCAGTCACATCGGATCCCCCGAGAGTTGAATGCGGTGCGGTTGGCTCGGCGGCTCGGGCCTCGGCTTCCACGACCGCGAGCATGATGGCGACTGGAGAGTTGTAGCTCACCAAGCTGGAGGGATTGACGAAAAGGTCAAGAAGCCGACAACACGGTGCACCCTGGTTCCGTGCGAAACGAAGACACACGCGTTGATAACGAAGTCCAAGGGTATTTAGGTCATTTTGGGCGTATTTCGCTGCACATATGTTGTGCTTAGGAGAAACTGTTTGATTCAGACGGCGACTTCTGGACACTTACAGTAGGTCAGGTATGGAACTACGTGGAGAACTACTAAGTACTATTTATTGGAAGGGACTTGGCACGTGCTTGGGTAAACCAGGGGTAGCGACTGCGCAAGCCACAGCTTCAACAGGCCCCTCCAACTTTCAAGTCCCGCCCAAAGGGAACAACGCACAGGGCACCAATTGTGGCTCGCCAATTCATTGCTGCCGAACGTCCGCATCCCATCGCAACGTCAGATCACGCAGTACTAGTAGCTTCCGAGCAAATCGACAGCTCAACCCGAGCGCAATTCCACTCTTTCGTCGCAGGAGCGAGCGCAAGAGGGGGAATTGAATCCCAGAACGCCTTAGAGCGCCCACGAAAGAACGCTCTTACCCTCCGCCCTCGAGCAATTTCGAGTCACCAAGTAGAAGCAAAATGGTTAATCGAATCATCTTCTGGACAGGCTTCGGTAGCTCCCGCATCCATCGGTTCAACATCAAATTTGAGGGAGACTAATCTGGCTGTTTGCTTCAGGCCTTGTCGTCCGTTTCTGGCAGCTGGGCATCGAAATGCGGCCATTCTTCAACAGGAAATCGTTATGGGCATACCCCGTGTTCGGCGGCGTCGGCGCGAGCTTCGGGTACTGGCTTCAGGGGGTGGATGAGCGGCAGACCAAGATGCTGGAGGAGCGGAAGCAGGCCATCTTGGAGAAGCGAGCTCGGCGGGCGCAACGGGAGGCTTCAGCTGCGGCGGCCGCGCCGAGCCAGATCGCTGCATGAGGTCGGTGTTGGCTAGAAGGCTGTGGATAGATAAGGGGCTATATGGGAATCGACTTCTTGTCGATGAGACGAGGAGCCAGGCAGGATCGTTATGCCACTTGGCAGGATATGGACGAAGACAGAGGGCAAGCCGCGGACGAGCTAGATTCAGTGTGCAGGAATATTTTGATTCCAAAGATGAATCAAGGGCCTCGCGAGGCGGATTCTAAAGACGGTAGAAGCGATGCGCCATCAATGAACCCTCAAGGCCACGAGAAAGCTCACTTGGTCTGGACCAGCTAGCTCCCGTTCAACCCCCCGTCCGCCTCTCCCCCTCTGCACTTCTCTCCTCCAGCCCCAGGGACGTGTAATTGCAAGATTCCGGTGCTTTACGTCGGTTGACCTACCCACCAACCACCAACCTAAGCAATAAGGGGGTCTTCCTGCTTCCTCAAGAGAGCCAAGATGGCCTGGGCGGGCGAATTGCCGCCACCGCTCTCGAACTCGGTGACAACGCCTGTGATGTATTTATCGTGTGTCACGTCAAATAACAGCCGGAAACAATCCGCCGAGTTCCTCTCAGGATCGATCTCGTTGTAAGTGAGCGCATCAACAGACACGCGATCCCGGTCAAAGTTGATTGTTTCACACAGCACAATCACCTTGACACCGGCGTTCATGGCAGCCATGGCTACGTCCGCCGTCCCTGATGCTGCGTGAAGCGAGCCATTGGCAAAGATAGCCTCTCCTCCGAGAAACACGTTTGACGCCTCCGCCACCTTGGGTCTCAGGCCACCCAAGTTGGGCGAGTAGAGCACGTGAATATCGGCCTGTCGTAGCGCCTTCGCAAGCTCCTGACCACTGCGCTCGTATGGATCGTCGATAATAGTGACGTTAAAGGACTTGCCGTTCCGCTTCGCCTCGAGGAATGTCTTTTCGACAAGCCGATGCCGCCCATATGTGAGGATCGTATCGCCCTCGTTGATCGACTGAGCCGCATTCCGTGCAATGGAGAACTCCGCAAGCGTGATTCGTTCGTTGATCAAGAGATCAATCCATTCCAGGAGGCCCTCCTTTGCTTCGTCCTCAGCAGTGTCAATGTCGAACTTGTTGACCTTCCCTTTCAGCAGTCTGATGGCGTTGCCCATAGCAAAGCACATAGGCCTGCACTCGGTTAGGTACTCAATCTGGGGGTTCAGTACGTGTGGTACGAAATGCCGAGAGAGCGAGTTTCCCTTAGGTGTCTCGTACGACTCAATCACCTATCTGGTGTTAGCAAGGGTAGCGGGCAAGGCACGGTCTACGCAATGCAATACTAGCCTTCCTAAACGCCAAGAGAGTTGCTTTGAGACGGGAGATGCTGTCTTTGAGCGCAAATGTAGCCATCTGCTGGCCTACCGCGAGTACTGCAGGGTGCACGTCCTTGTGCGCCTGGGACATTGGCATCCGTTTGGCCATTGGCACATGGCTGAAGGACTCGGGAATGCCACTCCTGGCGTCCTTCTCAACAATCAGCACGGATGGTCGCCGCCCGCTGACTGACGGCCGGGGTCTGTTCGGTGCCTGCTGCACATCCTGTTTCCCCTTGCCCTTCCCACCCTTTGCGTCTGTACCCGCGGCAGCTTTTTCTTGTGTTGGCGTCCCTGGCGCAGCGGCAGCAGCTCTGGCTTCCTTTACTTGGGCACGTCTCGCGGCTTTCTCAGCCTTCGCTCTGGCTTTTAGCTGGGCAGGTGTAAGCTTCTCTGGGTTGGTGTTGCCCGGGGTGGCTGTGGCATTAGCAGGAGCTGGCGCGCTGTTCGGTTTCGGCCCATCCTGTGTCGTAGAGGCTCCGCTAGGAGTCCCGTTGCTCTCGCCTGCCATATTACGCGGGGTCGATGCCACCGAACCGGGTGAACTGGAATTCTGAGCGTGAGGGGGCGACTTGTCGACGCAAGGTGGTTTTGACTTTTGAGTGTGTGTTGTTGCCTTGCTTTGTAAGTTATCCGTCAGGATAAACCCTAGTCCCGTCCCTGAGAGGTACTTCTTCACGCACAGGCTATATGATCAGTGTCGCGTAATTCGCCAGTAATTTTGGTTTGCAAGTTGAGAATTAGGGACTGAGTCACAAGGAAGATATCGCATGTTAGATGTGCCCCGCGCCCCACATGATGCGGGCCGTTTCAATTCAAGCACAGACCATTGTTCATGATGGAAGCTCGAAACTTTGATTCCGCATCCGGATAGGCTAGTACTACGTACATAGGAAAGGTAGTACCTCTAGCCAGAGAAGACCAGGTCGTTACACTTATTTATGCACGGATTAGACCTTGGGCTCGCGACAATTTGGGGTAGGGCAGGCCGTTACAAAGGTAAGCTGCCCACTGAATCTGAAAGAACTACCTTACCTCCACTTAGTTAAGGGGGTACTGTACATACTAGGATAAATCATATACATCATGCTATCCGTAGTACCTTACCTACTACGATAAAGGGGCGGGCCACTTGTTGCAGGTCAATGCAGGACCCACAGTAGGTACTATGCCGCATTCTCAAAGTCCTGGAGACTTGAGAGCTTCAAACCACTCACAACAAAGCCAGAACCGGTTCGAGCACGCTTTTCTTTCACGACCGTGACGTATGTACAATACTACCCACCTCGAATAATTTAAGGCACACGACTCTATCTCACAATACTCATGGTATAAGACGCCTTCCCTTGGCTTAATGAGAGCGCACGGAATCTACCATCAAGAGTGACGGGAGGAAGGACGGACATATTGTACAATACACGAACATCGCATCATCGAAGCCCTACACCTCGGTCGCAGCGGGTTTCTCGGCTTCTGTCACCGTCGACGCCTCTTCGGCTTCTGCGCCCCCAGCGGGCGCATGTAGATGCAAAATGACGACGTCTCCTACCGTTCCCTCCATTCCCTTGGTTTCCTTCGCCCTGGGTACCTCGGCCACCGTTTCCTTTACGATCCTGAACACCTCCTTCGCCTCATCCAACGTAGCTTTCCTCTTGTTCCTCTTCTTTGGGGTCAGCATCCTAACCTGGACCTGGTACCCCTTCGAGAGGAACTTCTTGAGCTGCGCCATCCTGATCTGCAGATCGTGGGGCGCGATAGCCCAGTTCAACTCCAACTCCTTGGACACTAGTTTGGGGCCCTTCTTCTTGTTGGCGTCCTCCTTCTCCTGCTCGACCTTGCGATCGGCGATGCGGCAGATGGGATACTGCGGGCCTTTGGACGAATCGTCTGTCCTCGGAGCGGCTAGAAGGATGAGCGTCTGGCTCTCCATGTTGAGTTTTTTGAGGACATTTGTTGTTCGTTTCGGTTGTGTGAGTGAGCCGTCCTCCTGACGCAGTTGGATCCATGGGTAAAGAATGTCGTAATCGCGCATGGAGCGGTCGGTTGCGGGTTTGGCATCTCCCGAACCCGGAGCTGGACGGCTCCAGCGGAGCTGAGCCACATGGTGAGTGGAAAAAGAGCGCCGCGGCGATGGCGAGTAGCACGAGGGTTGGAAGAAAGGGCGCACGCTGGGCAGCAGTAGACGCTGCAGCTCCCCTGGTGCCTGAGCATCTAATGCTATCGCATTACCAATGAAGACATTACGGAGGGCGTTGGCCGAGTTGAAAAGACATTGCGAAGTCCGCATGGTAGGCTAAAAAAAACCGGAGGGTGACTGGTAAGAGCACCGGCACAAATCTCGAACCACTGCAGGATGGAACTTGGCCTTGCAATCGGGACGGGAGGGTTCTTTGCTCCCACGTGGCCCCCATTCTCATCGGAAATTTTCAACCAATAACATCACGATTTTAAAAGCTTCCAGGCTTGGCATATTTCTGCGGGTCCTGCGGTATGTCATTCCATCGAACAACGTGAAGTTAACAAGACCAATGCGAGGCTCATCTCACACTTCAACCTCACCACCCAGCACCACAGCCATGCGCCGCTAGTCAGCCAACACGCTGCCCTTCCCATGCCCTACATAACTCCAATCCTGCGCAACCTTTTTAGGTCGTCCAGGCTCAGGTTCACGACCAAATCCACGCCACCGTCGCCGCCATCAGGACCACCACCCCCTTCCAACCCCTCCCTACCCGTACCACCAGATAATGGCCATCCCAGGGACGCCCCTTCCTGGCTAGGCCACCCCTTCCGCGTGGCGCTGCACACGCTCAAGTTTATTGCCTTCGCCCACCTCATCTGGGAATACGGCATCTCCATGTCGCCGGCCTCGGGCCCGTCCATGCTGCCGACCTTCGAAGTACTGGGCGAGTGGCTGCTGGTCTCGAAGCTGCACCGTTTCGGTCGGGGGATTACGGTTGGCGACGTGGTGGCGTACAACATCCCCATCAACGAGGAGGTTGGCGTGAAGAGGGTGCTGGGCTTGCCCGGAGACTACGTGCTGATGGATACGCCTGGGGAAGGAGGAGGGGCGATGGCGATGGGGACCGGGGGCGGGAACATGATCCAGGTGAGTGCGTCTTCCATTCAATCTCAACCGTAGGGGTGAAGATGTGCGCTGATTTTGAGTTTAGGTGCCACAAGGTCATTGCTGGATTGTGGGAGATAACCTGGTTGCGTCCCGAGATTCGAGGTACTTCGGTCCTGTGCCTCTAGCACTAATCCGGGGCAAGGTCATTGCGACGGTCCGGCCGTGGTCAGAAATCAAGTGGATTACCAACCCCTTGCGAAAAGCACACCGGCCAATCGAGTAATAGTTCGGGGACTGCTATGTATGTAATAAACAGTTCATCTGACAGCTTACGACCTTCGAGAACGTCTCCACATACAGATAGGTATTGTAAGTCTTCTTTCTTGCCAATGCTGAATGTTCGCGGCAATGTGTCTAATTACATTTGATTAGCAAAGGCCAAACCCGCCGATACAGGGTGGCCGTGCTGTAACTACCTAAGTTGAATGGATAACAAGGCGTCCCTGAGGCCCGCGGGGTACGGGTAGTAGCCTGCTCTTCTTGTCCGGCATCGTCCATGTCACTCTTCCGCGCCGTAATACAAAATACGCAAGAGCCCTGCAGGGGCCGAGCTTCCGAGCGGAACCCAACAACCCCGTAACATCACCCTCCAAACAGCCCTTCCCAATACTCATCCGCAGTATACATATCTTTCAAGCCCGCCCTCTCGCCCATGTCCCAATCCTGTGTATAGACAATACTGACGCCACCAACTCCGTGCCGCTTCATGATGCGCAATGAACAAGCAAGGAATATGAGTGAAAAAAGAACACACGGGTGCAGCAGGAAGCCCGAGCATTCGTGTCAGCATCAGCCTTCGATGTGGCTTTTCGACACGCCCTGTCCGAGCAGCTCCATACATCGTTGAGCTAGGTTGACGACCTCTCCCTCATCATCATCTTCACCCTCATTGTCTAGCTCCATCTGGCGATTGGCAATCTGCTTGATCATCTCGACAATGCCATCAGATTTCCCAATAAGACCGATCAGCTTCTTGTCTTCCGATTCGAGTAATTGAAGGAGGGTCCAGATGGCAATGTGCTGGAACGTAGCATCTCCGCTGGCAAGGAACCTGCTGAGGTAACCGTGGATACCGTCGCTTGGCTCTGTCCAGTTCTGTACAAATATGCTATAATCGCCCACTGATCCTCGTCAGTACGACATACATCTCGAAAAGGGATTTGGTAAACTAACCTTTCGAGGACAGGTTGCCCAGGGCCGCAGCGCTGTTCCCTTGTACCTCAACGCTAGGAGACTTGGTCAGGGGGATCAAAACCTCAAAGACCCCGAGTTCCAGGAGATGAGTCTTCAGCTCGTCGCTCAGGGCAAGAACCGCGATCGCAGCGGTCATTTCAGACTGAACAGCAACAGGGACTTCCAGGACGAGTTGTTTGCACTTCTGAACTGCACCAGCCTCGAGAACCAGTGACTTGTTCCGATCCGAGCTGGCGGCCAAGTTGCGGAGCGTCGAGATGGCGTGGCATTGGATTTCTTCGTTATCTGTCGACCCTAGCAGATCGACCAAGGGTCTCAGAAAACCCGCTTCGATAATCGGCGACTCGTTCTGCGGGTGGATCGAGATATTCCGGATGCATGCTACGGCAGATAAGATGAGCGGGAGATACGAAGACCGCAGCAAGCGGAGAAGCGGGCCAAGTCCGTGGGCCTGGACGATTTCGAGCTGGTACTTCTCATCGGACGCGAGGTTCCGAAGCGCCAGGGCAGCCTGACACTGAACCTTTGGCGAGGAGGACTCTGTCAGATTGACCAAGTACTGCACCAACCGAGGCTCGGTCTCAGCCAGCTTCCGCCTATTTGCAGCATCGACAGCGATGTTGCTCAATGCAGTTGTGCAATAGTACTGCACATCCACATCCGCCGATGAAAGAAGCTGGACTAGCACAGGGATGGCGCCTGCATTTACTAGCTGCTGTCGGTTCTCGTCTGCAGGTTGTTAGCTGCGGGTTGCCGCTACTCTCGACTAACAAACGTACCAGAATGTGTCATATTGAGGAGAGCGCCAGTGGCATTCCTTTGAACCCTCATATCCTTCGATTTGGCTAACCGGGTTAATGGTCCCAGAGCCCCCGACCTTGCGATCTTGGCCTTGTTATCCTCGTGCGTTGCCAGGTTCGTGATGCATCCGACAGCATTGCACTGGACCTCGACATTCGGCGACATCATCTGTTTGATAAGTGGTTGAAGGCCACCAAGCTGGACGATCAAGACTTTGTTTTCAGCTAAGCCCTCAGTCAGCCACATCTTCTAGCTGAAATAACCGTATGATGGATCCTACTGTTTACGGCCAGGTTACCAAGAGCGGCGCTGGCTGCTCTTTGTACCTCAATGTCCGGGTTTTCAAGGAGGAAGAGGATAGGGCCGAGGGTGTCACGGTCAACAGCTCGGACATCTGACGTAGCGAGGTTAGTCGTGTTAGTCGAGAGCCAGCTGCTATGAGCAGAACGCCGAACACGCACCTCGCTCTGTGATTTCGGCAAAGGTTAGGCTCGCGCTCCGTTGAAGGTCGATGTTATCGGAATAAACGAGGATGCTTAGAGCTCGAAGGGGTTCGCCTGAGAAGAAGTCGGTTTCGGCACGCTTCGAGAAGGTCAGTTCGGTTCTCACAACGTTGGCGGTCGGGTGAACGCGATGCTGACATTTTCAAGATACTGTAGGAGATCTGCGACGGCCTCCCGCTCATTCTCGGCGAGGACATTCTCGTACAAGGCATCGCGGGATTTGCCTAGATTCATTAGCACGCCGGTAATTCAGACACGGGTTGAAGAGCGGCCGTACCTCCGCAGCACGAGGAACTGCAGATACCCATGGCCGCTGATACAATGACAGCGATGGGCCTAACCTTGGGGCCGGCTTTCGAGATATTTGCGACCTCCCACTACAGGCCGGTTTGTGCTTCGTGCTTTGTTGAGAACAGCGGGAGCGGTCGGTGAGCTGCACGCTCACAAAACAGATCGGTCCCACGAAACTTCAAGTCGATATGGCAAGATCAAGAGTCTTCTGCAGGCAAGTTCTTCGTGCCCAATCGCGATGGCGATGAGCTTGCGCCGGCGGGCGTCAGTTGCCTAGTCCGATGTTGATTGTTTGGCCCGGTCAGCTGCGCCGAACAGAAACACAACGGGAACAACACAACCCATGATGGAAGCTGCTTGCATGTCACGGTCACCACTTGCCCGGGGTCCAGAAGGACCGTGCACGGGTGGGTCTGCGCTAGGCAACTTCAGGTTTGTATCCGTAAATTGGTAACGGTCCATTATCCTCCACAACCAACAATACTCGGACTGCTGGGAACATTTCCAATGAGATTTGGACTTTTTGGGCACATATAGGCAATGTTGTTAGGATTGTGTGCCAGCTGTGCAACCAACGGCTTCCCATGGGGCTAGTTAGTGGCCGCATAGAAGGACTGTCTCTGAAGAACCTAGGTACCTACCTACCTTAGTTCATGCCTGCCTTACGTCACCCCAGTTACCGAAGGCGCACATTGAGTTGTCGCGGTCCAACTGACAACCTGGAACAAGGCCTGCACGGTTATATGGAATTGATAGGATTCCAAACACAATGCTGGGACACAATACTGCATCAAGCGCTTTGGCTCTGTTCAAGTTTCCGGCGCCTCCTCGCCATCCCTCAGCTGGCATCTCTCTTATTCGGGACGTCACGGCCTCCCTTGGCCTTATAGGCAGGATCTGCTGGGACCTGACCTCCGACTGCTCGACGTATTAGCTCTGCATATGGTACACTAAGGTAGGTATTAATTGTCTGAAGAGTGCTAGGTGAACCTGACAAAGTAGGCAGAAGATTAGCACAGCGCACTTATTGTAGAAGGCACCATGACAGCACGACGTCTCACCTCTTATTGTAAGGTGCCGTCATCGACATACAGTTACGTTCATGGCACACATAGGTTCCTGAGGCAGTACCTCCGTACACACCGATGACCGAGTTGTACGGTACTAGTAGTGTATCCACTAACAGGTAGCTCCCCGGCACAGCGTCACATTTGGGCAGCCCTACTAGTACCGGTCAGTGCCAGGGTTCTTATCAGAGCAAAAAAGTAGAACATGTACGGAATACTCGTGGTATCTACAGAGTAGGTAGTGACCGTACCCACATCACTGTTGAATGCGGGAGCTTATGTCAAGGCTCAAGACCAAGGCGGAATATGCTCCTGTCCAAACTCGCGGGTGCTAGCTCATTTTCAACCTGGGCCATTAAGGGATCGAACACGGCAATATAGCAGCAATCATTTTCCGAGGTCCTGCGGCGCCGAGCCCTTGATCTCTCAATTTCATTTGTCTCTCCGGTCCTCGGTCCGCTGAAGAGGGGCAAGTTTGCTTCAGTGCTAGAGCCCGCCCTCAGCAGACAACCCAACGCGGACGGGAAGTGTCCCCGATGTACGTTCCACGATCGCGATAATGGACGACCCCCGTGCTTCCCCCGATGCGGCAAATCCTGCGGCCAACAGCGCTCCCGCCGCCACCACCTCCAGCGGAGAAAATGGCAGGCTGCCGCTGCGGCCAGGTCACGAGCTCCCTTTTGTCGCGCCGTCGTCGTACCTGCGCCCGAAGCCTCCCAGTCGCACAATGTCGGAGAGGAGTCCCAGTGGCCTGGATAAGGACCAGATGCAGGGTCTGGTGAGCCTGCCCATCCCGAGACAGCCGCCCTGGCTCCGCGCTCGCTTTCGCTTGGAGGAATTTCCACCACAAGACTGCGATGCGGGGTTCCGGAACGCTTGCAAAGTCCCCACGGTCATCTAGCTAACAAGAGCAAACAGCGTGGGATTCGCGAGTTCCTCAAGGTCCGGACCAGCTACGATGTGCTTCCCCTATCCTTCCGCCTCGTGGTGCTCGACAACGACCTCCTGATCAAGAAGAGCCTGAACATCCTGATCCAGAACGGTGCGTGAGCCGCCGATGGTTGCACAGGGCCACGAAGCGCTAACCGACACGCGTTGCAGGCATCGTTTCGGCGCCGCTTTGGGACTCTCACAATTCTACTTTTGCCGGCTTGCTGACAAGCACCGATTACATCAATGTGATCCAATACTATTGCCAGTTTCCCGACGAAATTGACCAGGTCGACCAGTTCCGTCTCAGCAGTCTCCGAGGTGGGTCCAGGCCTCCGTTGACCCCGAGGGTCAGGCGTGGATGGGACTAACCCGGTGTGTCGGGGACCAGATATCGAGCGGGCGATTGGAGTGCTGCCCCTTGAGACGGTGTCAGTCCACCCCATGCGCCCCTTGTACGAAGCGTGTCGGCGCATGCTCAAGACGAGAGCAAGGAGAATCCCGCTGGTCGACGTCGACGACGAAACGGGCCGTGAGATGGTGGTCAGCGTCATCACGCAGTATCGCATCCTTAAGTTCATCGCCGTCAACAACGAGAAGCACACGATTCTCCTGAAGAAGCCGGTGAGGGAGATTGGGCTCGGTACCTACACCAACCTAGCAACGGCCACCATGAACAGCTCCGTTCTGGACGTTATCCACCTGATGGTGGAACACAACATTTCGGCCGTGCCAATTCTCGACAAGAGCGACAAGGTGTTGAACGTGTTCGAGGCCGTCGATGTCATCCCTTGTATCAAAGGCGGAGCCTACGACGAGCTGACCGCCACCGTCGGAGACGCCCTCTCCAAGCGGGCAGACGACTTCCCTGGGATCTACACATGCAGTGAAGACGACCGTCTAGACGCCATCTTCGACACAATCCGCAGGTCCAGAGTCCACAGGCTGATTGTGGTCGACGACGACAACCGGCTCAGGGGTATCATTTCACTTTCAGACATACTCAAGTACGTTCTCCTCTACGGAGAGGAAGAAGATGATATCCGGGGCTCCTAGTGTGATCCTCTGGGTGGGATGTCGGTCTGTGATGATCCGGACCATAAAGGCGTACGCTGTTCGCTTGTCTAACTTCCTGCATCACTATCGGCTGTTCTTGTGCCCGTCACCCCCCTCCCCCCTCCTTCTTCAATTTTTCTCCTTTCCTTTTTTTTTTCCTTTTTTCTTTGTTCGCATTGCATGGCGTCAGGGCCGGATGTGGAATACAAATACCATGGCTGCATATGTCTGTTTCTATCCATAAGGTAAAGAACTGTTTTGTTCTGTCAGAGATGCGACACGAAAGCCTTCCAGAACCAATTTGGCACAGTGGATATGCAGTTGTGAAACCGTGGAAAGGCTCAACACGAACGAACCCACCGATGTCCAAAGTGCGGAGCGAGCACGATATGAAAAGAACCAAGCCGGTTCCGCGATCTTCTCGACGCTGTTGCTTGATGTGACGGGATGCACCCTGCATCGTCCCTCTTCCCACTCTTTGGGGGGAAGGAACATAGCACGGTCTGTATGAGCCGTCCAGAAATGTAAAACGGGAAGCAGCAGCTGTCTGACCACAACAATGTTCCAGCCGAGCCAGGCTTCATTATATGGGCACTTCGCGAACCGTTTGCATTTTATCAAGGCCCATAACTGGCCAACATCCATATCTGACTTAACAGATACTTGGCCCTGTTCATTGTTGCAGCGCATCTGTCGTTGCTATCGGCTGCTACTCGACGCATTGGGTCGAGGACAGCAAATCTGTCTGCCACCGCAATGCTGTTGCAAGCAGCCACGGATGCCTCGTCTAGGCGCTCATTCGATCTGTCTTCAAGGGACTGGGGCGCAGCCTTCCATCCGGTGCGACCCTTCCGCAAGTCTGAACCGAACGCGGCGACTTGCAGGCGGCCTGTTCACCCGGTTGCTCAACTTTCTGCTTCAGCACATGACAGGCGCGCAATTGCAACCAGCGCGACTTGGACTTCGTCCAGTGGAGACCTGGCCGAGCTTACCGATGCCGACGACGTTGGACTTCACGATGAGCTTGTGGAGGAGTACAACAGATTAGCCCGGAAAGTGCGTTCCAGCGCCTCGATGTTCGGCGCGAGATGGACTCTGCTGACCATGGCAGCATGGCATTCGAACGCTAGCGCCCGGAAATCACGCCCCATCTCTGGTCAGCTATGCCTCTGGCCTCCAAGCTGCCGATCCCCTTCTAACCTTAGAATAGCCAGACCAGTCCCCGCGGCAGAGAAGAAGCTGGTTCTCGCGCACATTTCTCCGTCAGGTTTCAGTCACAAGCGATGCCAGCTCCACGAAGTCGGAAAAGAAGATCAGACGCAAGCGCAGTGTCGGCGATCTGGCCCTGCACCTCATGAACGGGGCAAGGAGGGACAATCTCAAGGACGCGGGCCTCCAGTCTCTAGTCCGGCTTTGCGGCAAGAGCTTGCTGTATTTACCCTCGGAATATTCCCCCGGCTCTCTTGTCCTTCCCACCTGCTTCCGCGCAACTGCTCAGTACCTCGTCCAGCACGGTAGGCGACCTCGCGGGTCTACGGCTGTTCACTAGGGTGCTGACACGGCGACAGGCGCGGAGACACGAGGTGTGTTTCGGATACCTGGGTCAATCCGCGTCGTCAACGCTCTCTACAACCATTACTGCGCCGATGGAGATGCGGACGAGATCGCGAGCACCATCTGCTGCCCAAACCTTCCCTCGCACATCAAGGTCGGGACTCATGATGTTGCCTCCACGTTCAAGCGCCTCCTCTCAGGCCTGCCCGGCGGCATCTTGGGCTCCCTGCCTCTGTTCGATGCGCTTGTCGCGATCCACAGTCAGCTAGACGGAGAAGCGGAGCTTACCAGGACGAAGCAGACCAAGGTCAGGGCGAGACTCATCGCTCTGGCCATAGGCGCCGTCAGGTCTCAGCTTCGCCGCGACTTGATATGTGCTGTCTTTGGTTTGCTATGCCTGATCGGACGCGCGGCTGAAAAGGCACCACGGGAGGATGAGCATGGAAGGCCGCTGCCCACATCTGCCCTGATGGGTTACAACGCGCTGGGGATCGTATTTGGTCCGCTCCTGATCGGTGATCTTCTCACTTCATACACGATGAAGTCTGCCGGCCCCAGCTGCGGCTTGGCATCTTCCCCGGCTACACCTACCAGTGCGAGGAAGGAGAGGCGGAAATCCAAGGTTCCGGAAGACACTCAGCCACCCGGCCGGGTGGTCGACAAGATCCACGTGGCGAATAGCATTGCGGAGATGCTCATAATAAACTGGCGGGAGGTCGTTAGACATATGAAGAGCCTCGGGCTGCGGAGGGCAGGTCAAGACGGATACCACCTGCGAGCTGGGATGGGACCATCTGCGTCGGAGGCGTTCGCGATGGGAAGACCGCACTCTGCTTCCGGTTCGTTTGCCGGCGTGTCACCAGCACCTTCAAGTCCTACTCCAGACCCAGGTAAGTTTCTCCGCGGATGGAGGTCCCGCCAACGCTAACGAGACGGGAAGCGCGGGGGACACGCCATAACCCGCCATCTTCGCTCGTCATTCCCCGTCGACGGCCTAGGCCGACGCGGCCATTGTCCAGTCATGCACGTACAATGACATCCGTGCTGTCGCCACCTGTCGAGGAGCCTTCGCCGGCGATGCTTGAGCGATCAAGAGGCGACGCATCAACACCAGGGACCCCAAGAAGACATGGCATTTGCCGGAGGACACGCGAGAGAGGCGCGAACTCATTCGAGTCAGCCACGCCACCGGGATCCCCGGCCGCTTTGGCGACTCCCATCAAGGGACAAAAGGTTGAGCAGCAGATGGGAAGTCCGTCTAGAGGCACAGAGACCCCCCTGAAACGCAAGTTTTACAATGATACACCCAGCGCTGCCGCCTTTGCGCGCGGGCGATCCCGGCTGTCAGACTGGAGGTCAGGACGCGGTCCCCTTGCCTCCGCTGAGACTGGAAGCCCCGTTGCCCGACCAACGGGAGCTGCGAGATTGCAGAGCCCGAGGCATGGTTTCAACCAACCCGAGACCGGATCAGAAGTCATCCCGATAGACCGTTCGCGGCACCGTACGAGCCACGATGGAACCAGAAACGGAGAACCCGCAAAAGAGACTGGCTACTCCCCCGACAGAGCGTCCACCGACAGTGTCCCTTCGAGCGCGATAACGCGTCACGCGGCAACGTTTCATCTGAACAAGGGCAACAGACCAGCCCTTCTAAGGTCCAACCGAACCATTTTATTCGGTCCCAGGACACAACCAGCACGACCAACAGTGGACACGGCGCCCCAGTCAACACCGGTGAGCATGGCCGGCAGCGCAGTCAAGGCCATGGCAGCTATGTTCGAGAGTGCCTCTACTGGTCCAATCAGTCCTCCTACTCCGGGAGAAAACAGCAGGAACCGAGCTGAGTTCGGGCCGAGTGAGATCCTCTCTCCGTATGCTGTTAGTTCGTTATCGGTAAAATCACCTAGTAGGTCGCCTAAGCCGACGGATCCCAACGGTGGTGAGCGGCATCCACGGTGGTCGGCAACACGGGATCCGCCTCCGCCAGCATCTGAAGGGACGGCAGAAAGTGCAGAAGGCACGGCGAACACCGATTGCACGTGTGGGAAAGGACGGCTGTCGGAGACGGCCAGAGATGGGAGCTGCTGCGACACCACGAGTCCGCCAACGGTTGAACCGACGGCATATTCAGAATCGCCCGTAAGGGGGAGTAACCCGAACCAGCCACATACACCAGCATCTCAACATACCACTCCCAACCTACGAGGCTCTTCGTCTAGCAAGAGATTGCCGAGGCAGAAAGCCCTTGGTATTGGTCGAAGCCCAGCAGACCGGCCGGATACAATCATATCTACATCCAGGATTGAGCCAAAGCTAGCAACAACGACACCTCGCCTCAGCCCAAGCGTCCCATGGACCAAGTCGCCACCCGCGTCAACAGCTGGCTGCCAGGGCCCCATAACCAGACGGTTTCCTCTGGTTTCTACCCAAGAGCAGCAGCAAGGGGACAAATCCGAAACAGTACCCTACAATGACCAGACGATTCATGCACATGCAACACCATTCATGCCAACTCCTAAAAGGAACGCAGCCCCATTGCCACTATCTGAAACTCACCCCAGCAAGCTCCAACAACGCGAGATAGATGCAGACCGCCCTGGGGAATCCTGCCACTACACATCGGCGGACAAGACGCAAGGCAGGTCCGACGACGCCCTGGAGACCGTCAGTGCAAACGCAGAGGCAAACCTAGTCCACGAACTTGAGCTTGAGCTTAAGCTCGAGCTAGTTAGGCTCAGGGAACGGCTCCGGCAGACGGAACAAGCGTGTGCACTGTGGCGGGAGAGGGCTGAGCGGGCGGAGCGGCGGGTGGAGGAGCTGGAGGCCTACGCCTTCGTTCTGTAGGGGCTTGGGTGCCTCCCACACAAACGTGAAGAGGGATTCGAGAACACGTTCGATGATGGACGACGGGGAAGCGTAGCCGGATTGCTGTCAAGCAGCATAAGAGAGTGGCGTGAGCGTATATTGTGTGTTGCAATGGCATCTTGTCCTTTGGGAATGCTTCATGGTATGGTATGGTATCGTATGGGTAATGGAGGGGTTGCGGATGATGCATTCCAATCTGTGAACGGACAAACGCGGCATTTTATCGTCGGATGGATGAACGGGTCTACCTGTTAAGGAGCAGCAGAGATACTGTTCAGTCGTAGGACATATCTAGTCGCGTATGAGCTGGGGTAGTTGTGGTAGGAGAGAACAATAACCTTTCTGAGACCCGTTACGCCTGATTTGTGTCGAACTAAGGCTTAACATAACCGCATAGACGTTAGACGTTGGACGTCACCCGGAATCCAAACCCATTTTTATACATATCAAGTACACCGAGGATATGATACAAGTCCGTGATAACATGTCTAGCGCCTTTCCCGCTCCCCATGCCCGAACCAAGGCGGCCCCGCCCTCGCCTACTAGTACTTGAGCCCCTTGATCCGCTTGGTGTACTTCCAGAGCGAGCGGTACTTGGGCTTCTGGCGCTTGGCCTCCCAACCGCGTGCCTTGCGCGGCGGCTTGAGCGACACGACGCGCTGCCTCTTGAACTCGGTGTCGGCGCCCGGGATGCCGTGGCGCGCCATGACATCGGCCGTGTTCTCGTCCCACACCGTCCGGAACATATTGAACCCGACGGGCGTCAGGCCGAACTTGTCGCGGAAGCTCTTGAGGCTGAAGCCATCGCGGCCTGCCCCGTCGTAAAGCTCCTTCAGTTTAGCCGTGTCGAGGGGCTCGTTGTTGTTGTGCTGGAGCACGAAGACGCTGAGGCGGTGGTAGGGCGCCCCCTTTTGGGCGAAGGCAGGCAGCCATGGGACGGCGAGGGCACCAAGCTCCGGGCCGTCTTCGGCAGAGCCGCTGCTTAGCCGCGTCAGGGGTAGCGAGGTCTTGGTGGGGCTCCAGGGGACGTTGGTCGCCAGGAAGTGGAGGCGCTTCCCGAACGAGTCGGACTCGGGATCCGGTACGTCAGAGTCCATGACCACAATGGAGAAGAGCCGTTCCCCTTTGTCGAAGACCTGCATGCGGAGCGTCGGCGCCGTCTCGGTCATGCGGCTGTTGAGGATGGCGCCGGGGGACACCTTGTAGCCGCGGAAAGTCAACTTGACATCCATGGTTGGCTCGAACTTGGGCAGGAGATCCGGCACGATGTGGAACTGCTTGATGCGCTGCAGGATGATCTCGCGCTCCATCGAAGACCACTTGCGGTGGGCGAGGTAGCGGTAGATGGGCTTGTTCATGTCGCCTAATCTAGGTCAGCAACAGCGGGGCGGAATGCGCAAACATTCAGAGACACACCCTGGCCGTCCTCAAAGCGCCTCTTCACCATTGGGTCGTTGATGTCCGCCAGGATCTTGAGCCTCTCGACGTATGCCCTCATACTTTCTAACCGCTTCCGCTTGTACTCCTCGCCTCCGCGGAAAGTGCTTGCGTCGGTCTCCTCTAGGCGCTTGATCTTCTCATTCTCCGCAAGGATCTTCGCCACCTTGTCCTCGCGATCCTGCGCTAGAATCTTGCGGGCCTCCTGGAAGCACTGGTACGGTAACTGCTCGAAGGGAACGTTGCCCGTGGTCGCTAAGGCGGCACGTCTTCTCCGGGATCCGAGCTGTGGCGACAGGAACTGAGAGAGCTGCTCCTCGGGTCCCTGCTTGATCATCGAGGCTAAGTGTGACGCCTTCTTTTGGCCGAGCAGAGCAGCATCGGCGGCGAGCTTCTGAGCCTCCGCGCTGGGCTCTGCCGTCGTACTTGTCGTCAGCGTCTCATCCTTCTGACTCGGCGTTGACGAGAACTGGCGGCTGCCAATTGGCCGAGCCGAGCATGTTGCTGTTGTGCTGCCGGTTACTTGTCGTAATGACCGCACGATCGGTCGCGCAACCTGCTGCGGCCTCGACATAGCTGGTGTGGCAGGTCCGGTGTGCGGAGGGAGTCGGCGTCGAAAATTTGGAGCAGCGACTGGGGCTCTCGATTGAGATCCGCCGATGTGAAGCTGCAGGCCAATTTTTGGACCCGCTGCACGACGCCAGGCGGCCAGGGGCCGGCAACCTCCGCTGGCAGGCTGCTACTTAGCGCCGTCTGTGCGTTAACGACTCTAGATCTTTTTTCGCGAACAATCGGCAGCTCACAGCGAACTTCACCCGCGAATCGGGTTGGTGACTTGTCCACGACAGCAAGACCACAAGACGGCGGTAAACGGAGCGGCCGGATCCTATTGCAGCACAGAACGAATTGTTGTTGCTGCGCGTTAGACCGCCGCAATGGCCGGCAAGGGGATGAAGAGCCTCAGTGAGGCCATGAGAGGCTTGAGTCTCGTCACACAGCCATGCAGGACACTGCCTGTTCGTGTTCCTTTCTATGGTGGCTTCGGCGACTGCGTTGACATATGAGGTATTTGCACCAGGTCCGGCAACCTTCCGCGGCGTGTAGGAGGATGATGGCAACGACAGTCGACTCGCAGCCGGCGAACATCACACGGTCCGTAACAGAGCCGTGGAATCCCCGTACGTGAACCGCGGCTCCTGGTCACCCCTCTGGGGACGGTCTATTATTGCGGTATCAACTAACTGCCCGCCAGTCACCACCGTCCCGCTCACCATCTACTCCTTCCCATCCCTCGAGCCCCGCTCCCTCGAGCAATGGTCCACGAAGCATCTGCACCTCCCCTTACGCCGCGACATCCTCCACTTGGCCGTAGTGTATGAAGGCGACAAGACGAGACAGGGTACCGCTTCATCCAAAACCCGTTGGGAAGTAGCCGGCTCGCACCGCAAGATTCGCCCGCAAAAGGGCTCAGGCCGTGCCCGCGCCGGCACACGACAATCGCCCCTATTCCGCGGCGGCGGCAAGACGTTTGGTCCCAAGCCGCGCGACTTCAGCACCAAGCTCAACCGCAAGGTCTACGACCTGGCGTGGCGCACTGCGCTGTCCTACCGGTATCGCCGCGGCGAGCTGATCGTAACTGAGGATGGGCTGGAGCTGCCGCTGCCTGACGATTTCCTTCAGCTGGCCGAGGCCGAGCTGCTCGGTCGCGAGCTCGAGGACAGCTTTGTCCGCAAGTACGTCGGCGAACTGATGACATCACTCCAGTGGGACAAGGTCCACGGTCGAACTACCTTCATCACGGGCGACAGAAGGCCGAACCTCTTCACGGGGATGGATATTGCAGGAGAGAACGGGCGGGCTCTGGAGCTGGAGGATGTTGATGTCAAGGATCTGCTGGAAACGGGCAGGATTGTCATTGAGCGAGCCGCGCTCAGGGAAATGATCAAGGAGCACTCGAGCGATCTTGTTTCGCGTGTGGCTGTCAAGGGGCTGCCTAAGAAGCCAGCACTTGGGGAGGTGCTTATCCGATGAGCAGGAGCCTCGACTAGTATATCCTGTACTGTATCCCCTCGTGCCTTGTGGCAATCTGGATGGCCCTGTAATATGTATAACATGCTCGGCCCGAAAGCCGGATTGTTACCCTCTTTGTTTGGCCATTTTGACTTCACATAGAGGACCTGTGCCCCATGTCTGGAATCTGGATAGTACTAGTAGATACTATCCAGATGAGACAAATTCAGGCAGCGACGCAACCAGGGTGCTGCAGTCATTCAACTTGACTCCTGGCGTTATGGCTGACTGCTATGTTGGAGGATCATTAGGCGTCCGAAGAAAGGAACTGGGAGTGACGTTACAGCCAGCGAGGTCAGTTCAGGTGGCATAGAGTTGCCATCCCATTTAAGTAAGTGGCGTGGCCCTGAGCCAGCACTTGTGCGCTGGTACGGCGGGCGGTGAAGTGCCTGCACTCTGACTCTTCTTCATGGAGCCAGGGCCCCACATTTTCAGGTGTTCCACTGATTTGGGGGTTTGGGGGTGCGCACAGACCACTGTCTTCGGTGTATAAATAATCGCTTGTCCTCCGGGATCTTCCTCCTCTCTTCTTCTTCTTTTCCCCATCCGAGTGCAGGGGTTTTACGCGTATCAGTGAGGATTCGTCCGAGATCGCGTTTTTGCTAGTTGAAAACTACTACCTGACCGCTCCCAGTTGGCTTAGGCTGGCTGGGGAATTTTTGGAGACCTCGATCTCACCAAGAGAATCTCTATCTGTCTTTCATTGCCAACGTTTGCATGCCAAGCGTGGCGAGGAAGGATGAGTGAACGCAAGTGGAGGAGGCTTTGAGTCGGGTATGACTCGCCGGAGGGCGATGGGGTTCGAAACCACGAAGCCGACTTCTGCGACCCGGGTACGACATGAAGGCGACTTACCGCGTCGAGCAAGTTGGGCTTATTTAAGGGTGGGGGGCTTGAGGGATTGGGTCGGCCGACCAATGCACTCGGTCTAACCTGAAGTCATGGAAGTTGTTTTATGACGGCACATGACATGGTCGCCCGCGCCTACAAAGATAGACCCGACCAATTATTGTCCGAGTACATTGACTTAGGTAGATCTGTCTGGCTCTTGCTGCTTAACAGCGAGCAAATTCCGATACGGGGTCGGCTGTTGTTGTTAACGGGCGGTCAGGTAGCCAATATCATAGTTTCTGGCGAAATGGTTTTCACATAGTGTAGGCGGATGTATCTTGCAAAGGCGATCTCCCGCTCCCCTCAACTTCCATGGAACGACTAGTGTAGGTTTATAGAATTGCAGCATCAGCCCCACGGCTAGGTACCCTCCATGTTGCCAAGGCGTGCACCCTCCCGCTGGAGACTCCAAAGCATCAATGGACGTCGTCAAGATCTGTCTTGAAATTCCGTGGAACTCGGCCAGCAAGCGGGATCAAAGATACCTGACATCGTAGCTGTCTCCCTTCGTCGCTAAGAACAGGCAGAGTGAGGTACTTACGTTACCTTAACCCCTAGAAAACGTAAACATCCCAAAACCCGTCAAACAGTCAAATTGATTGCATGCTTTTTGGCGGACTTCGGGCCGTACACTAACTACACTAAGGTAGAAGGTAAGAAGCAGTCAGGGAAGAATATTGAAAGTTCCGATTGGCCTGCGGGCAGCTGGGCTTCAGTTCTTGGACGGGCGTGCGCATACAGTACAGTACAGTGTGAAAGCTCGAACCATGCACTTTGAGAGTACTGCAGACATCAGTTCCGCACTGTGCTGAATGGGCCGGACGTGATGGAAGCTGGGCAACCGGCCCCGACCCACGTCCCTTATGTAGAAGAACCGGAACTGCACCTCCTCTCCTCAGCCGACATCTCACCTTCCATCATCGACAAACCGCCTCATTACCGCCCAACCCCATTTCATCGCGCAGCGACCCAACAAGCCTGAAATTCCGCGTAACGCCGACCGATCAATCGAAAATCGACTTTTTGACATCAGAGCAGTCTAGAGATACGAATCACTGTCGTTCGCCGACTGGAGGAGGAGCGTTGACGGATTGGAGGTTCGGCGATTGTCGTTGCGACCATTTCAGACGGCTTTCTTTGTCCGGATCGGTCGCCACCGGCCGGGCGATCGCTGCGCTCAGAACCTCGCGCCAGTTCACGTCAATTCTCCCACATTCTCGCATTCTCGCATTCTCGGTCCATCATGTCCTTCCACCCTCAAACGCCGCAAAGCCCCTCCCTCTCTCCCGGAACAAGCGATCCGACGACGAGCATGACCGGCTCTTTAGCATCGACTACCACCACGCTGCCGACCCCCGCTCACAGCGTCAACGGAAGCTCGCTCCCTTCGGAAATGGTGCATGATAATATCATGGGCGAAACTTCCCCACGCAAGCGCAAACGAGAAGTTGACGACATGGGCGACAGAGCGCAGAAGAAAGTTCACGTCAGCGAGAAGTACCTTATTTGCAAATTCCGTAAGGCCCCCTTCGACCTGTTCCACGCAACTTCACTTCCAGCAGGCTTTCCACTGCGCACTTACCGTGGCGCATGTGCCCTCATCATGCTCTTTTCAATCGCCTCATATGAGAAGGCGGGGACGGCGTCGATTCGCCGCATCTTACAAGGACTTACTTAGTTAACGTTGATGCAGCGCACCCTCTTCCCCGGCCTCAAGTGTCGGAAGATCTTTTCAAGATGTATGGCTTGACCAGACTCGCTACGGAGGTCGCCCGTGTGCTGCCCAACGGCGAAAAGAATGCGCTTAGGAAAACGTATAAAGGCCACATCAAGAAGCTCGGCGTACAAGGTCACTTTGACGAAGTCAAGGAAGATCCTTACCGACAAGACGGATTGATAGCGCTCATGAAGACACCGCAGGATGTTTGGGACGTTCACTTCACCCGAGGCAGGGCTATGCAGGACGGCTTGAGCCACGAGACACGGCAGATTCTGCCGAGAGCCATGACTATGGCAAAGGGCACGCCGATCACAGGCACTTAGGAGTCTGCCGGTGGTAGACCATGCAGCCAGCCCGTTGAGCTGCGCCGCGGGAGAGGCAGACCCCGGCCGAAGCGCACCCAGAATGCCGCCCGATCCGCCGCCGAGGCGATACGCCATGGCCCAGAAAAGATTGGAGGTACGTCCCAAGCTGGGTTTTGCTACGGTAGAAAAAGTATTAACATTGGCCGTAGTGAAGGAGCAGAACAAGGCTAGGCCGGCCTACTTCAGGAATCTACTAACCCTTGGGTGGACAAAATTCCCCGGATATTGAAGGAATGTATATAAATGGAAGGGGCAATGGCCATTAGATAGGCCAATTGTATGTGTCTTACCTTACTGTTGTGGTGCCTTGTATGGTGGTGGCTCTTTGCATACGGATCCGCCTCCGTTTGTATGGCGTAGGTGACAAGTGCATGTACCTGGCGGGCCCGGTTGACCGAACATTCCTCGCAGCAAAGGAGAACAATATTCCCCGGCTTGCCTGTGCTACGTGCCATCGAGCGTGAGAGGTAAGGGACATGCGAGACGGACAAGGACAATCAGAAAGCTGGTTATGCGGAACGTTTGACTGGAGCTTGGGGAGGATAATGGGGCGATGACCCGTGGTGATGCCCATATGGAGAGGACTCTCCCTCCTCGCAGCTCGGAGCGTATGGTCCTCACACTGCCGGACAGCTAGCCGTGAGGGTGGTGGCGATGAGGGCTGGCGGCGACGAGGGGAAAGCGATCTTGGTACTGACGACCCCTGTTTGGATACTGGTCGCTGCCAGACCTCGTCGCCGCTACCCTATACACTTGCGGCGCCATCGAAACGCCGACTTGGTGTAAGGTATAAACTAGGCCTTTTGAGGTCCGAAGCTAATATGATTACATTATATTGATACTTGGATCTCAAGGTTCCTCTTATCACATGAAGAGGGGTCACCTAGTAGGCTTTGGACGGCGAGCTTCCCTTTCTTGTGCTAGTGCTTCATGTTCAATCCATCCAGCCGCTCAGGTACGCAACCGCCATTTCCCCTTTCCCCGATGGAAATGTAAACAGCCACCCCAAGCCCCTCCCCCCTATTCCCTCCCTATACGAAACCCATGCCCATGCCTTACATGCTGGCATTAAGTCCCCTCTCGCTCCGTAATCCCTATTTCCATCCCCTCCAAGCCCAGAGCAACCCGTCTTGAAGCATCCTCCCACACCCACCCGGCAACCCTCTCCCCGACATCCCCCACCAGCCGCTCGTAGTGTGGTCCGGGCAGGAACAAGCCGCAGTGGGCGCCCACTTCGTCCACGCCCTCCATGAAAACTTCCACCCAGGCCGCATCGCGCTCACCGGTGTTTGGTGACTTGGAAGGGAGCATGCAGAACTTACGCCGTTTACTCTTCTTTTCTTTTCCTTTTTGCTCTTGGGATATTTGTTTCTTGTCACCCTCGGGGTCGGCGTTGCAGTTAGGAGTAGTTGGGGACTTGTGTAGCGTTTGAGCGGGCTGTTTCTTCTTGAGTTCCTTCGCGTCCTTGCGCTGCTGCTTCTCGAGCGCCTTTTGGTGGTCCTTGATGGCTCTGTTGCGGGCTTTGACGGCTTGAGAGTAGGCCTTCTGGGAGAGCTTGAAGGCCTTTTTGGCTTGCTCCCGCGACTCTTTGTCTGGGATCGCGTCTAGATCAGGGGGACTGGGAGGATTGGGCACGTCGGGGATTGAAGGTAGATCGGGGTTTTGGTTCGTTGTGATACTGGGAGGGTCTTTATCTGCGCCGCTGGTCGGGTCCAAGTCCGGGGTCTCACTTGGGGATTTTGTATCGTTAGACGGCTCAAGGGGTTCGGGCTCTGGCATAGGTTCGAGAACTTGAAGGCTCCCCCGCCGCGACCCATCGCTGTACATCTCGACGGATATCCTGGGGGTTGAAAAAGCTGGGTCGATGTCCAGCGATGACCTAGATGGTGGCTTATCATTTCCCCCAGGCACGTCCGGGCCTCTAGAAGACCGACATGGCGATGCCGGCCGGGGCCTCTTCGGGATTCCCGTGGAGACAGTGTAGTAGTTGACAAACCGGACGCGTGCGAGTCTTTGCCCTGATTCGGACGACCGCCAATCGTCAACATCCTCCAACGCCCGGAGGTGATTGTACCTAGATCTCAGCCCAGCATAGTCGGCTAGGCATGCATTGAATTCGAGGTGGGACAGGATATGATTCGCTGCCGCACGAAATAGGTTCTCTTGCTTGTGTTTGCTTGCAAAATGGAAAATGTTCTTGAGCCAGCCGCGGTCTACAAAGGCAACGTCGTTGAAGAACGCTGGGTCGAAATATGGGTCAGGCGAGTTGAGTGCTGAGGAGCTCACCGCTGAACTAGAGGGAGTGGGACTGAGGGTAGGCGAGAGAACGCCCGGCAGCGGGGAGACGTCCGAATAGATAGACGGACCGGGCGAGAGATTCTGGGGTGGACTCGGCGTGGCATACTCGTCCTGTGTACCCTCGTCCGTCAGTGCTGGACCGGGAGTCGGCCGAAAGAGACTCGCGATTCCAGAGACCACGATGCCAGGATGCAGGCCCAGCAGTGGTGCATCAAGGGAAATAGTGCCTAGGATGCGGTGACGGAAGGGAGATGACGCATGGTACGGGTCTCGGTTTGGCTGCAAGGCCATGTCAGCTCGCTCCATTTGATGCGGCGAGACTACCCGCAACCGGGTGCACATACCGATAAAACCACCTCTGCGGCCAGCAGACCACCCATAGAGTGCCCTATCAAGACCACATCGGTGGTGGGGGATTCGTGGGGCGTCAACCAGTTGCTGAAGTTGTCACGAGCGACTTCAATCGATTTGTATGTCTTGTAACGCGGGTAGATCTTGGTGTGAATAGCGTGAGATTCTGCAAGCAGATCCTTCAGAAAGCTATGCACATGGGCTGGGAATGAGCGGAACGAGGAGCGGTCGCCCATGTAGCCGTGGATGTAAACAACAAGGAGTCTCCGTTTGCGGCCGTCTTCCACGCTGCCCATCGACGACATGAGCGACTGTGTCGATGAGGCCCGGGGGTCTCCCGAGGCATACTGTAGGCTGTACGGGCTGCCATGACCGTCGTTGGACGGGCCCATGACCCCGGACGGCCACCCGGAGCCGCCGGGTCCGGCACGGACCGGATCCTGCAACATCGAATGCGCCGATCCCGGGTTCGGCGTCCGCTGGATGACGTCAGGCCATGGAGCGTGCTCCTGAGATGATTCGCGGGGTCGATATTCCACGCTCTTTTGCGAAAACGAAACCTACAAAGCACGTGAAAGTACCGTCCTGTAGTTCCAGGTCTGCCAAGAGTCAAAAGATACGGGCAGTTCGAGCGAACGTTCTCAATGTTTGGCCCTAGTAGTGCGGAGTCATGTACGGAATAGGAGTCCATCCCAGCCGGAGAGAGAACTGGAGTTGGACTCTTGGAGAAAGCCAGACCCACTTTTCCCCTGCCCGATTTCAGGAATAGCCAGATACGGTAGTGCAAGTATGGTATAATAATGACTGTAAAATGTACCTGCCTTACACATATGTAGCAAGTGTACGGATACCTACACTGTAGCCCAGACCAAGAACGAAGTCGTCGAACGAGCGATAAACCGATTAGGTAACGTGAAGCATCCAGTTCTGTACCTACACTAGGTATGTATTGTACACTATGTCTGGTGTGTTGGGATAAGGAACACTGCCCTCCACACACACAGTACTGTACCTTACTAGTAGCTATTACAGATTAGTGTAACAGCAGTCAGCAGCCTGTGTTCGTGTTGCGACCAACGTTCGGCCGCACACAGTGGGGCCATGTTCTCCATCGTAAAATGCAACTTTTAAGCGTCTGCACCAATGGCATCCCAAATGCGCACTCCCGGACCGGGCTCAGCAAGGGGAATTAACCAATGGTGAGCTGCATGGCGGAGGAAAAGCCGAGTGTTGGACGAAGCGAAATTGTCCGCGCATGGCTCTCAGGTGAAGGTACGAGCCCAGTCCGTCGCTCTCTGGGGCCGGCACTTTAAATTAAAAATACTGCAAGATCTTGCACGCGGCCGTGGGTAGGATACTGAGCTACCTAGTTACCAGGTAGATATCCACGCGACGTGCCCGCTCGCGCTTTTCACTTTCTCTGTCCTGTTTTCAGGCATGCCGGTGCGAGCTTTTGACCTCTTCCAGCATCGCTGACTCGAATCCGGCGAGGGAGCTCGGGCGTTGACGACTAGATCCGGTATCTGCACGCCAGGAATTCGATTTCCCAGCTTTTGTTCTTTTTTTCGGCAAGGCGGACGGACGAGATGATGGGATGATTGCGACCATGACGAGCCAACTTCTCAGAATCACGTAGCAGCCAGCTTGGAGTTTACGAGCCGGTAGCCGTCCAGTCCATCGTCACGGGAGCTATCGAATACGGGGATCGCTCGGGCTGCGGCCTGCGATTCGCGCCCATCGCCACGGACGCTCATTCTTCTGGCAGCGCTTGCCCACATTCGTTCACAGCCACGCAACCGCCATGACTAATCAAGGCGAAGCCAGCGGGTCTTCACTCTCTCAGGCCCGCCGCAGCAGCACCCGCCACACCCACAACCACAAGCATCAGCACCAGCATCAACACCTTCACCACCAACACCGTCTCTTGCATGCGCGCGAGGCCGGCAGCAGTACGTCGCCACACATTCGTTCAGAACAAAACGGCAAGTTGCACGACCGCCAAGTCGTGATCGTCCAGACTGTATCCATCGTCCATTACATCGATGCTTCGGGCGCAGTCACGAGCATCGAAACCCTTCGTTCAAGAAGCGCCGATCCTGTTGCATCGACATCGCTCGACCCGCCGGCGACCATCAGCGCCGGCCTTACCGCTCTGGACAACGTACTGCCCAGCGTGTCTTTCTCCGTTTCAATAGGTCTCAGCGATGCCACGCTGCCGACCGACACCTCCGCCGAGCCGGAGACGTCATCTTCGTCCCCTACGTCGTCTACGTCATCCGAGACTTTGAGATCCGAGACTCTTTTGACTTCCACTCCTTTTAGCAGCCTGTCGGCCCTTCCCACGCTATCCAGCGGGGCGTTCCATTCTTGTGCGTTTCACTGCCTCCGTGGGTCACCGTCCTCCTGTCGACTGACACTATTAATAGCACACACAGCGTCATTCTTTGGCAACTACACCACGGGGCTCTTTTCAAATTCGACGAGGACCTCATCTTCATATACCACGCTCGCTTCGACTTCGCGTACAGCTTCAACTTTGATTACGAGCAGCAGCTCTGTTTTGACACCCACAGCGACTTCCGACGACGCTTTCACGATTGAGTCAGACGGAACCGGAGATAGTGCAACTGCCGGCCTCGGATCTCCGGTGACCACCTCGGCCCCCGTGTCACAGACCGCCAAAGCCTCCTCTGGTCTCACACCCCAAACCCGGAACGCCGTTGTTGGAGGGGTCGTTGGCAGTGTTGCTGGCATCGCGCTCATTGCACTCGTTTTATTGTATCTGTTCAAGTGGAGGAAACAACGTGGCCAGGGCATCATGCTCCTCGGCGACGGGGATAGCAGCGCTCGGGGGAGGGGCTTTTCATCCGGAGGAGCAGCTAAGCACGGCGGCGGCAGCGGAGGAGCAGGAGCAGGTGCACCAGCAGGTGCAGGGGAAGGAGGCGCGATGACGGAGCGGTCAGGTCCGTTCGCGTTAGCATCATCCGCCCTCTCCAAGCTGAGCGGCGGTAAGCGAGCGATCGACGCGCCTTGCCAGCCAGCGGCACAGGAGAAGGGATTCTACAGGGTATCTGGCAGGAAACTGATTTCAGTCCTTGAATCCGGCGGCGACGGCTATACCGACCCGCCCTATGACGTCGGCAACTACCGAGACTCGCAGGGTTATCTGGACGATCCCAACGCCCCGCCGTTACAGCTAGGATCTCCGATGCGGCCGGTGAGCGGCGTCCCCATCTTCCGAGACGGACCGCAGCGGAGCCCCGTGTGCGAACAGGGACCCTCGCCGGCCGTCCGGCCGCCTTCGACGTATCCCGCCATGTTACCGGTACGGGATGCGCTCGGCCGCAGCCTTGCCTCGCGAGACGGCTCGCGCGTGTCGACTTCCCGGTTCACGGAGCAGACATGACCCTCGGGCTTTAGACCCGAACAGTCGATTATATTCTACCGTATATGCCACATCAGCTTTATTCTGTAATGTCTGGAACCACCGGCGTCAGCGGCGGCGGGGAAGCGGGCTGTCTCTGCATGGTTGGCAAGCAGCAGCACTGACGCGATCTTGGGTAATTTCCCCGTCTGTCTCTTGAATACACTTTCCATACCCAAGGCCCATCTTTCGGAGCTGCGGGTTGCTATAGATGTAGAAACGGGGTTCGGGAAGGCACCTACTTTGGGTATATTGGGCAGTGGTTTTGTCCCCTTGCTGCTTTATCAGCGAGTCGTTCGGTTCAAACTTTGTTAAGGGGGTTTGGGGGGGGGACCGGGCCGCAATATACGTAGAGAGGGCGCTAGGCGGCTTTCAGGCACTTTCTCTGTACATATTTGGAATGACCAGCAGTATGTTGTGGCAGACATCCATGGGATGGAGATGACCTTCTGGGCCTTAGTTACCGGGGTATAATGCTCGGTCCCGCAGGATTAAATATCACATCGTTTCCGGCCACATATAACCCTGACCCTGGCATTCTAATTATACTGCGGTTATCATTGTCCCAAAAAGATATCTCAAAATTATAAGCATGACAAAAGTGGTGGCCGGGATAAAGGGCTATCCGGCCTGAACTCCGCATTGATAGTACATATCTACGTACTCCGCTGGCAAACAAGTGTTTTACAGATGGTTGAGACTTGAAAATTTGTCATCTGTGGTAATAATGCCTGCGCGCTGGTCGTGGTATGCCCCCGCGCGGTTTCAAGTCTGTCTCAGTCGTAGGTCAACACCCCTGTCGCAACGAACCGACCTCGACCGTTAAGCAAAAGAGGCAGGGGGAGGCCTCACCACGTGTGATGATGGTCGACCTAGAAATCTAGATCCTCAGGGCGATGACGGAAGTGTTAAAGAAGGCTGTGGAAGCTGTCTCATTAACATCTACACTAGGACTTGCAAGAGTTTGCCGGCTTGGACCTCGAAGATATGCCAAAGGCTCTCGAGCCGAGCAGCCGCGCAGACAGATGTTGGCGTCGAACGCCATCGCGGATTGTTGGGCAGGGAGTTGGATAGTGATAGTTGTATTAATGGAAATGCAAGTTCTAATAAGCGTGTAGGTGATGCCAGTTGCTATTACTACTACTGTGTAAGGCAAGTCAAGCCCCTGTGGCACATTGGGCCCTTTGATGAGTCTTGGCCCGATTTGCCGTGCTTTCACTGCCCCCGGCTGCACAGCAAAGTACGTGGGTAGCCGAAGGATGCGTACAGTTAAGTATGTAATGTGCTTGGCAGAAATGCCTGTGCTTTTCGTTCTAGGACTACGGTGTTGAAGTCATAGCCCGAACCTAAGGTACCTTACCCTACACAGTCGTTCGGCTACTTGTCGGCGTGCTGTGGGAGGGGTGGAGGACCGTTCTGCGCACCTTCAGATTAGCTTGGGAGCTCTGTATTGTGGGTTTGTTAGATGTACGGAAGTAGACCATGCATAGGCTCTTTGATACCTAAGTATCCTTAGGTACCTATCTCCAATCACCAAGACGGGAGTTTCGAGTCCGTGTACCTACCTTGCCGTCGGTGAGCTTCCATACCAGCAGCACCATGAGGAACCCCTGAATTTTAGTTAGCGGCCGTCTGTGCTCTCGGCGGCGTGCCATCGGCGCCGTACCGCGCCCCACCTGCCGGTTTAGCTTGATCGACGAGTGCTGAACTGGACCCGAGCCCCCGCCATAATACGCGTCAAGTTCCTCCTCGCCTGAGGTCAATTCCACACTACCTAACATCTGTCTGCCGTCATCTGGTCGTCTTCCAGTTTCTATCCAAGTTTTCCTGGTTCCGTCTATATTCATACTTACTGTAGAGATAATTTATTTGCTCGCCACTAGGCCCCAGCACCTTGCCCCACAACGGCATTCAAGACCCTGACATTGTCTTTCAGCCTTGTCTCGCCACTTGCATGTACCCCGGACAACCTCACTCTAACGGGCAGAATCTCAAAGGACCGTCGAGACATCTACACGTCCGCTCTGCCGCAACCATCGTATTAGGGCCTTTCGAGTTCGTCTAGGACCGTTGACATGCTACGGAAATAACCAGACGCCTTCTGCTAGCGATCATCTTGTGTCAAGCTGCTCAGCCCCCAACATCCCGAAGGTTCCGCTGCATCCCGTCCCTGGGACTGGACGGTAATAATAGCATCTTGCAGTCGGCGGCTACGCTGCGCAACAGTCGGACTTCCCCCCGCGGTTTCCAAAATTTTCTCCCATTTGTTATCGACTTAAGTTCCAGGTTGTTATCGACAAGGCTTGAAATCTCACCGATCAGCCATCAAGAGCTTGGTGATTGAGGCCGGCCATACTCGGGACAGCGCTCACGCCGCACGATGGACCACCCTATGCACGGGGGCTTTCAGATGCCCATCCCTCCGCCTCCACTGATACACCAGCCGCCACAAATATTCGGTGGTTACAACGACCATGGACTTCCGATGCCTCAACTGCCGCCTGATCTGCTTGCTGCGCAGATGTTCGGGGATCATGGGTTGTTGGAGGACACAAACGAAGCCAAGAGACGGAGGATCGCGAGGGTGAGTTACAGCGCCGGTATCTTTTCTTGGGACTGCATATGGTGGAGGTGCGCTGACGCGACCTGACGCTACTGGCAGGCCTGCGACATGTGTAGGAAGAAGAAGATCAAGTGCGATGGCAAGTTACCGGCCTGCACGCATTGCACCAATTACAAGACCGAGTGCATCTTCACGCAGGTGGAAAAGAAGCGGAGTCCTCCCAAGGGGTGAGCATCTCCTTGCGCATCTTCAAGATACAGAATGTCGACTTACGTATTCAATTCCAGGGCTAAGTATATTGAGGGGCTTGAGAACCGCTTGGGGCGTATGGAGCACCTGCTGAGGTTATCAGGTATGACCGCGACCCCTCGCCCTGATTAGCGGATGGTGGCAGCTTTCACGGGCCGGCCTGCTCACCATCTTTCGTGTACCTTAGGCTTGCTTGGCGAGGATGACAACGGCGCCACCGACCTGGGAACACTGGAGAAGAAGCTTGTAGAGAAGCATCAGCAGTCACGACAAGCTTCACAGGCAGCGTCCGATCCGACTTCTCCGCCCCACCCGGCGTCGGGCCAAGAGAGGAGCAACTCGACGCCGCGCAGCTCGCTGGCATCTCCCGAGCCCGCCAAGGATGGCGACAAGGTGAGATCTGTCACGCCCGAGAAAGAGAACCAGGACGATGAGCAAGAAGAGGTTGCGGAACTGTCGGAAATGATGTGTTCGCTCGTCACCAACAACTATGGTGAGACGCGGTATATCGGTACGTCACAGAACCGCGGCCAATGGGGCATGGCATTAGCGCGCTAACCCTTCCGAAGGCTCCTCCTCTGGCTTCTCCATTTTCTCGCCCAAGGGGATACAATGGGTCAACGAGAAGATGGGGGACACGTCCTTCCAGCAGATGATTTCGGATGTCTCAATCGACGACCACAAGTGGACGGCGTGGAAGCCCGATGTCTTTGGGGACGTCTTCCGCCGCACCATCTTCAGAGACTTGCCACCCAAGCCAGAGGCGCTATCCCTCCTCAAGGACTACTTCGAGAACTTCAACTGCATATTCCCGCTGTTCCACCAACCGACCTTTATGCACCTGGTGGAGAGGCAGTACTCGGGCGACCCTTACACCGGGTCCGGGTGGTGGGCCAGTCTCAATGTCGTCCTCGCCATTGCTCATCGGCTACGCGTGATGAGCAACCTGGTCCCGCAGGAGGAGGATGACAGGGCCTGGGATTATATGAAGAATGCCATGGCAGTCATCTCGGAACTGATGATGCGCAACACGGACCTGCTCAGCGTCCAGGCCCTGCTTGGCATGTCTCTGTTCATGCAGGGAACTCCTAACCCGCAGCCGTCTTTCCTGCTCATTGCCACGGCAATCCGGCTCTCGCACACCATCGGCCTCCACAAGCGTGGCACGGGATTCAACCTGAACCCCATCGAGATCGAGCAGCGCAAGCGGGTGTTTTGGATCGCTTACATGTTGGACAAGGATCTTTGCCTTCGGTCTGGGCGGCCACCGGCGCAAGACGACAACGACATGAATGTGGAGCTTCCCGATGTCGACCCTGCCGACGGCATAGGGAACATTCCTTTGGCGGATGGGAAAGGCAAGATGAATCTCTTCAGGGTCATGTGCGAGCTGGCCATCGTCGAGAGCAAGGTGTATACGAGGCTTTACTCGACAAAGGCGACCAAGCAGTCGGACGGTGAGCTGCTGAACACCATCGGGGAGCTCGACAAAGAGCTGGAAGACTGGAAGGACCGCATTCCCATCGACTTCCGGCCGGAGCACGAGATCAAAGCGTCCCATACCCCGCTGATCCTTCACATTGTCATGCTGCATTTCAACTACTACAACTGTCTTACCACCATCCACCGCATGTCGATCCACCACGGCTATTGGACCAGTCGGCTATCCAACTATGCAATTCAGGGGCTCAATGCCAGGCCGTTGAATCCTCGCATCTTCTCGTCGGCGGCACTGTGTACATCTGCTGCCAGGGCATCAATATCTCTACTGAAGTACATCCCGCAGGGAGATTTCTCCTGTGTCTGGTGAGTTGATTCCACCTTTTCTGCCTTGCCGCTGCTGTGGTTGACCGGTTATTCTAAATTGCGCTGCAGGATGGTGTTGTATTTCCCGGTGTCTGCGCTTGTCACGCTTTTCGGCAATATCCTGCAGAATCCCCTCGATCCACGGGCACGGTCAGATACCAAACTGATGAATGTGGTCGTCACCTTCCTGTCGGCACTTGGCGACGAGGCGGAAACGGGCGGTGTCCACCGCATGCTGGGTGTATGCTCCGAGTTTGAGCGGATCGCAAAGGTCGTGGTCGAAAACGCAGAGAAGGACCACGCGTCCCGGCGGAAACGGAAGAACCAGGACCAGTCGTCGAACAGCAAACCAACGACGAATTCCAACAACGACAACAATAACAACAACAATCACAACGCCAACACAACAACAGGCCAGTCTCCGTCATTCAACCCGAACCCGATTCCGCCTTCTTCACGACCCACCACCGCGAACTCCGCAACTCCTCAGCCGATTCCGAGTCACACTGCGAACAGCAACAACACACACCTTACCCCGCCAGCCCACGATCACCGTTCCCCACCAAACGCCAACAATGGATACAGCCCAATGGCGGGCAGCAGGAGCCAGGTCTCGTCGCCTGGGCTTGACGCCTCCACGGGCTGGGCCGGCAACAATGACTTCACGCCCGACAGCAACTCGGACTACTACGGGGACATGGCTGCGTTCATGAACAGCGGACTGACTAGCCCGCCGCTTCCTGGGACAGGACTGGGGGCAGCAGGCGGCTATTTCCAGCAGCCGATGTTGCCGCAAGATCTATTCAGTCTGCCCATGACGCTGGACTGGGACTGGGCCGAGATGAGTGGCGGGGCCTATCCGAGTGTTGAGAATGGAAACTATGGAAGCTTGGTGGACAACTCGGGTGGGAACGGACGTCAGGGACCACCTCCTTCCTGAGAGAGGTGACCTCTGCTCATTGAGACAAGCAGGGTGATGCTATTGAAGGTAACGAGGCAGGCGTGGTCAGTCAGCCCATTTCAACTGTTTGAGCTCTGCAGAGACGGTCTGGATGCTGCGAAAGTTTTATTTACCTTCACTTCATAGCGGGCGCAGGCATGTTCCCTTTTCTCGTTCTCTCGGTTGGATTGTATGATGTGGCCGGATTTTCTTTCTTCGGATTGTGCCAGTCTCAGACTGTTATGTTCGCGCATTTACGACGCCTTGGGTTTTCGGCCGCGGTGTTAGGGTGTCCAGGTTTCAGCTCCTGCTCCTTCTTGCATGTATTCATATCTTATTTTGTTAGACGACTTGTCTCGTGTACTGCTTTTAAATATCTACATAGACGTGTTGACGTGGAACATGGTGATCGAGATTGGCAGTACAGATTCTAGATACTACTACTCCGTACAGACATCCGATGATCAGGTAGTAGATTACCGCATAACCTGAAAGGTCCGGGACCTTGCCTGCACGACTCATTGCCCACCCAATGTAGCACTATTCTCACTGTAATCCAACAAGGTATTGTACCTACTAGTAGTTACCTTAGTACCTTAGTTCTAGAAGATGTTTACTCCGGTTGATCCCGTGAAAACGGAATACTCATCTGTACGTCACTCGACTCCTGCCTAGGGACCTACCTCTTAGGCATCTAGTCTTCCGGTTTCTGACTCGATCCACTCCACAGCACGAGCGTGGTGTAAATTGGTGTTGGTCAGCGGCCCAGCAGCCAGTGCAATTTGTGTGGATGACGCGCTAGTGTGGCACGTTTTAACTCCGGATCACGTGGTCGTCCGTTCTGCGGATGCGACTTGGAATTATTTTCCGACCGAGCCGTTTCGGAGACGGCGCATCGACAAGAGCACGCATCAACGATCAATTACTTCCTGCTGGCGGCGACGCAGCCGTGCATGGGCAACAAGGGGCAACGAGCCCGAGGAAGATAGAGTGGTTAGGAGAGAGGCCGTCTGGGCTCGAGCGTGCGTCGGAGGCCCGGAATCTCGGATAGATCCCGGGTTGGGAGGACCCGCAATCTCTTCAGAGACGTTGCCTTCGCACCTTGACTTCGGCCCCCACGTCACCGAACCAATTCTCCTCCTCAACACCCTCCGCCGTTGCGACCATGTTTCGCACTTCAGCACGCCAACTGGCGCGCTGTTCGAGGCCATCGCTAAGGTCATTAGCCGGGCCGACAATATTTCGAGCCGCCCGCTTCCCTCAGAGCGCGCCCGCCGCGGCACTCCGAGCGGCCCGATTCAAGTCGACGAACTTGCCAAGACCGGATGGACCGAACGAGCACCAAGGCAACGCCTCGAGGAGTCCGAACGATGCCGACACAACGAGCCAGGAGGCGGCGACCAAGCAACGGGCGCCTCCGCCCGGGTTTGTCCGTCTAGACGACGAGGAACTCGAGATCCTCAGGGTCTTCATGGGGACTCTCCCTACGAAGCAGCAGCGGGAGGAGATGGGGGAGATCTTCAAGGGGGTGAGGGAGATTGGCGTTCCAGAAGAGCTTCGGGATATTCTGCGGGCCAGGAAGAACGGGACGCTTAGCATGAGGGACGCTTTGAAAATACCCCGGATAGCGTACAGGATGGCGGCGGAGCTCCAGAAAAACGAAAACGAAGTACCGGATTTTACATCGAACAAGCCGGGCGAGCAGGAGGATGCCAGAGACCAGCGGGAAAGGACTGAAGAAGAAAAACAACAGGGCACCAAACAGCGAAAGGAGGCACATGGACAACGGCAAAGGCAGCAGCAGCAGCAGCAGCAGCAGAAGCAGTCTGGCCAGCAAGGACAGAAACAACAAAAGGGCGCTCCGCCACCGCAGCCACCGCGCAATTTCAGTGCGTCCGACCTCTTGACGTGGGTCATTAGTGCGGCCGTCATGTACCCTCTCACCATGATGTTCTTCCCCGGCGAGACGTCTCGCGAAATCACATGGCAGGAGCTCCGCCGGAACTTCCTGGACAAGGGCCTGGTCAAGAAGCTCACCGTCGTCGGGAACCGCGTACGGGTCGAGCTCTACCAGAACGTCGGGATGCAGTTTTCCGAGTCCGGGCAGCCCGATACAAATCCCAACACGACGTACTATTTCTCGATCGGGTCCATCGACGCATTCGAGAGGCGGCTAGACGACGCCCAGGCCGAGCTCGGAATCCCGCCCTCGGAGAGGATACCGGTCAGCTACGCGCGCGAGGGCGTGGCGACGAATCTCCTGATGGCCTTTGGACCCACCCTCCTGCTCGTCGGCCTGCTCGCCTGGCTGTCGCGCAGGGCCGGCGGCGGCGCGTCCAGTGGCATGTTCGGCTTCGGCAAGAGCAGGGCCAAGATGTTCAACCACGACACGGCCGTCAAGGTCAAGTTTTCCGACGTGGCGGGCATGGACGAGGCCAAGACCGAGATCATGGAGTTTGTCAGCTTCCTACGGACGCCCGAGCGGTTCCAGAGGTTAGGTGCCAAGATCCCCCGCGGTGCCATCCTGTCGGGACCTCCCGGAACCGGTAAGACGCTGCTCGCGAAGGCGACGGCGGGCGAGTCGCAGGTCCCTTTCTTCAGCGTCAGCGGTTCCGAGTTCGTCGAGATGTTCGTCGGTGTCGGTGCGTCCCGTGTCCGGGACCTCTTCGCGACGGCGCGCAAGAACGCGCCGTGCATCATCTTCATCGATGAGATCGATGCCATCGGCAGGTCCCGTTCCGACGGCGGCGGTTTCCGGAGCGGCGGTAACGACGAGCGGGAGTCGACGCTCAACCAGATCCTGACGGAGATGGACGGGTTTAACACCTCGGAGCAGGTGGTGGTCCTCGCCGGTACCAACAGACCCGACGTCCTGGACAAGGCGCTGATGCGGCCGGGCCGGTTCGACCGACACATCCACATCGACAGGCCGACGATGAAGGGCCGGCAGGACATCTTCAAGGTGCACCTAAAGAAGATCCTGACCAAGGAGGACATGGAGTACCTGACGGGACGTCTTGCGGCCTTGACGCCCGGCTTCGCTGGTGCTGACATTGCCAATGCCGTCAACGAAGCGGCACTGATCGGTAAGAGCCCACCGGCTTTTTTTTCTTTCTTTTCTCTCCTTTTTTTTCCCACTCACACGCGCGTTGTTGAAATCTTCTTCTTGGCTCGATCCAGCTGCTAACTGGCCCCATAGCCGCCAGAGCCAATGCACCCGAAGTCAAGATGATCCACTTTGAGCAGGCCATCGAGCGTGTCATTGGCGGCTTGGAGCGCAAGTCCCTGGTCCTCAGCCCGGAGGAGAAGCGGACAGTGGCGTACCACGAGGCCGGGCACGCCATTTGCGGCTGGTTCTTTCGGTGGGCGGACCCGTTGCTTAAGGTGTCCATCATCCCGCGTGGGCAGGGTGCTCTAGGGTACGCGCAGTACCTCCCGTCCAGCGACGCGTACCTGATGACGACCAACCAGCTCATGGACCGCATGGCCATGACGCTGGGCGGACGCGTCTCGGAGGAGCTGCACTTCCCGACGGTCACGACGGGCGCGAGCGACGACTTCAAAAAGGTCACGCGCATGGCCACTACCATGGTGACGCAGTGGGGCATGTCGGAGAAGCTGGGCCCGCTGCACTTCGAGAACGACCAGAACCAGCTGCACAAGCCGTTCGCCGAGTCGACGGCGCAGGCCATCGACGCCGAGGTGCGGCGCATCGTCGACGAGGCGTACAAGCAGTGCAAGGAGCTGCTCACGGCCAAGAAGAAGGAGATTGGCCTGGTGGCCGAGGAGCTGCTCCGCAAGGAGGTGCTGACGCGCGACGACCTGGTCAGGCTGCTCGGTCCGCGCGAGTGGCCCGAGAAGGAGGAGTTCTCCAAGTTCTTTGACGGCCGCAACGGCCAGGAGAGCGCGCCCCCGCCCTTCCCGACCGAGAGCACAGATTCGCCCACCGAGCCGCAACCTGCGTTGTTCGAGAAGAGCCCCGACGGCGAGAGGTGAGAGAGAGAGGCGGCGGTGATGTGGGCAAAGAGAGAACCAGCCGGTCCATGCCTGCGTTCGACTGGGCCAAGTCCAACCCGTGCTACTCAACTCGTACATGTCTGTATCAATAGGTATCGTGGCGGCGCATGCAGCAGCGAAGGGGGTAGAAAAACTAAAACCCTCCCCGCAAGTTGCCAGGAAGAAGGGTTTCTGTTTTCTTTAACGGGAGCGAGCCATGCGAAGAAGCCTGGGTGTGGATAGAATAGTGTGTCTTCCCTCTGCACTTGCGGGTGCCAGTGTGTTGTATGATACAGGTCAACGTTGATGTAACTTCCCGTCTCTGTATTATTGTACTGTATCATCTGTCCTGCCTGAGCGAAGTTCGCATGCGCTGTGCTCCCCTGCCGGTGGCTAGATGGATGCTTTAACTCTATACCAGCGCGATCTGAGCAGCGTTCTGAGTTTTGTCGTCTGTTTCCCTTGACCCTGCTACAAGGGAACTATACAAGATTTTCTCAACGCGGTGTACCCGTTTTCCATCGCGCGGCAACGAACTAGCACCCCGTCTGCGCCATGCACGTACTACTACTAGTAGTAGTAAAACCAAGACTCCGGAGGCTTCCCGGGCAGACAAGGAAGCCAAGATGGGATTGGTCAATCAGCGGCTCGGCGGCGAGTTGCGGGTCCTGAAGTCCTCCCGGCCCCCCTTGTCGCCGCTCCCGAGAACGCACAGGATCGCGGCCGATCTACCGTGTGGTATACGCATCCTCCCACTGTGGCTGCATTTTCCGGACTACTACTTAAAGCTGAAGGTCGCCTTGGTCTGTGCCTGATCGGGCCTCATCTCCCTTCACTCCAAGTCTGATCTCGGAAAACGCAGGGACAGGGATGAGATGAGCGTCATACCGCTGAAGAAGCTGGTTTCTTTTCTTGACGAGCTGCTGTGAGCTTCAGAGTGAAATGTTGGGTTTTGCTCCCCGTCCTTCATATATATATTGATCTCTTGATCTCGGATTATTGTTACCTTTTTATTGGTGTTCCTCGCATTCTACCCCCTTCTCTGGACTGAAGCTTCGTTCGATCTTGGATCCGATGGTCTCCCCGACAGCAGCAGAGAAGTCGACTGCCCCCGGGGGCGGAGAAAGATCGACCCCCGCCACGGCAGCAAACGACCCCAGCCTCCAGGGGATGCGAGCCGGCTCAGCGAGCGGAGGGCCGTCTGTCCGCGACTGGGCGCACTCCTCGGGGTCCGGACCCGGGACCGGACCGGTTGCCGGTGCCGGTGCCGGGTTGGGAGACACTCGTCGCAAAGGCAGCTCCCGCTGGTGGAAGATCCGCCTCTTCCGGGGCATGGCGAACGACCTCCGGAAGCGGGCGCCCTATTATGTGAGCGACTGGCTCGACGCGTGGAATTACCGGGTCGTGCCCGCGACGGTCTACATGTTCTTCGCCAAGTCAGTGAAGCGTTTGATCCCCCCCCGCAAATAGTAGCTTGGACTGACGGCGGCCGGTGATCACATTCACAGCATCCTCCCTGCGCTGGCCTTCTCACTGGACATGTTCAACAAGACCGACATGCACTATGGCGTCAACGAGGTGCTGCTTTCCTCTGTCCTGGGCGCTGTGGTGTTCTCGGTCCTGGCGTGTCAGCCGCTGGTTATTGTGGGTGTGACGGGGCCGATTACCGTGTTCAACTAGTAGGTTTCGCGGACTTTCGTCCCTCTATATGCCCGGTTTGTTTGCTTGTTGCAGCGCAATGCTTGGAAGGGATGAGCTGGGCTGGACTGGGCTGACCTTGCCATCGGATTAGCACCGTGTACGATATCATGAAGCCCACGGGCACCAACTACATGGCGTTCATGTGCTGGATCGGCCTGTAAGTGAAACGGCACCGACAGAGGCACTTGGAAACGGGATACGGGATACGGACGCTGACCGGGCCTCTGCGGCACCAGATGGTCGCTCGTCTTCCACTGGGTGCTGGCCATCACTAACTCGTGCAACTGGCTGCGCTACGTGACCCGCTTCCCGTGCGACATCTTTGGCTTCTACGTCGCCTTCATCTACCTGCAGAAGGGCATCCAGATCCTCGAGACGCTCGGCGACGCGGCGGCCTTCTACCTCTCGCTCGCCGTGGCGCTGCTGGTCTTCGCCGTCGCCTACATCTGCGGCGAGCTGGGCCGGAGCAGCCTGTTCAGCCACCCGGTGCGCGTCTTTCTCAAGGACTACGGCACGCCGCTGACCCTCATCTTCTTCACGGGCTTCGTGCACATGGGCAAGATGCAGCACGTGCCGCTCGAGACGCTGCCGACGGGGCGCGCCTTCACGCCGACCATGCCGGAACGCGGCTGGTTTGTGCGCTTCTGGGACATTCCGCTGAGCGACGTCTTCGTGGCGATTCCCTTCGCCGTGCTGTTGACCGTCCTGTTCTGGTTCGACCACAACGTGTCGTCGCTCATCGCGCAGGGCACCGAATTCCCGCTCCGGAAGCCCGCCGGCTTCCACTGGGACCTCTTCCTCCTCGGCCTGACCACGGGCGTCGCCGGCCTGCTCGGCCTGCCTTTCCCCAACGGGCTGATCCCGCAGGCGCCCTTCCACACGGAATCCCTGTGCGTAACCGAGGCCGTCGTCGTGCCCCCGTCCGGGTCCGGCTCCGGGTCCGGGTCCCCAGATTCGACAGACTGCGACAATGGCAACAACAACACCAACAGCAATAGCGGAACCGGAGTCAAGCTCGCCTTCCGCCCGGCCTACGTCGTCGAGCAGCGCGTGTCCAACCTTGCGCAGGGGCTGCTGACGCTCGTCGCCATGGCGGGCCCGCTGCTCCACGTGCTGCACCTCATCCCGCAGGGCGTGCTGGCGGGGCTCTTCTTCATCATGGGCTTCCAGGCGCTCGAGGGCAACGGCATCACGGCGAAGCTGCTGTTCCTCCTGCGCGACCGCGCCTTGACCCCGCTGTCGCACCCGCTCAGCCGGGCCCGGAGGAGCGGCGGCGGCGGCGTGGAGGTGGTGGTGGTGCGCCGCCGCGCCGTCTGGCTGTTTGTCCTGGTCGAGCTGGCCGGCTTTGGCGCCACCTTTGCCATCACGCAGACCGTGGCCGCCGTCGGCTTCCCCGTCTTCATCCTGCTGTTGATCCCCGTCCGCGCGACGCTCTTGCCGAGGTGGCTCACGCCGCAGGAGCTGGCCGTGCTGGACGAGCCGACGGCCAGTCCGTTTACCATGGAGAGCGTCGGCGGGTCGTTTGGCGGGCCGGGCCGGAGTGGTGAGAGCGGTTGTGATGATGGCGATAATCATGATGATCATGGTCATGGTATCTTCCTCGACGCGCCCGAACGCGAATCCGGCGAGGAGACGGATCGGTCAGGGCGACAGAAGGCGGCGGCCGATTACCTCGGTGGTCGAGTCGGTGGACGGAGTGATGTGGAACTGGCCGAGCTTGGAGAAAGTCGGTCGGGGGCGGTGAGGCGGCGGTTGAGTACGCTGCATCGTGAGGGTTAGTTTATTGAGTTCGTAAGGGGTAGGTTGGCCGGCGACCGGGAAGGTTGTCTCTGCTCGAATCGTAAATAGACCGTCGCGGTAGACTCGTGTACTTAACAAATCGCCTCTCCACAAGGAGTTGACCCAGCGCCGTTGAACCACCCTCAGGGACCATCCCTTCTACTTTCAAGGGGCTGGCTGTCTTGATATTTTAGAACGAATGCCAATGAAGAACTGGCAATGTTCAGAAGGATATTGGCCAACTAATCGATGCAGGCAACAGCCCTCGAGCCAGTCTCGACCTGATCAGACCAGCCTTCTGCGTTTTCCTCCCGCGGCCTGGAGCGTCAGGCAAGGGTTCAGCAGACACAACATTTCGGATCCGAATTGCTTCCATAAACTCTGTAATTGCCAACAGCGGCCTGGAAAGTGCTCTTACGGTCTCTGATTTCCTCTCTCTGCTGACCGCCTATAGTTCCATGTCTCGTCCGTCTTCTTACCATGGTCCAAGTTCATTGTCTTTCGTGATCGTTGGGCCGCCCAACAGCGCCATACACCGGGCAGCAAAGTCGATTACCCGCACCGCCAACGCCTCGCCAACCAAGAACACAAGAAGCCGGCTTAATATACGACTGGCAATCAAGGGCCATTAATGCGGATGGATTTATTGGCCTCTTCTTCATCTTTCATCTACAAGGATCATCACAGATGTTCGAACACACATCATGTCAACGCCCCTCACTCAATGGGAGGCAGATTCGCGCAGTGGTGGAAGAGCCTCCTTACAAATGACATAAAAGGGCTTGTTTTCCTCCCCTGAGCAGAACTTGATGGTTGTAAGAGGAAAATCTCACTGGGCAGACGCCACGGCGACTACCCCCTCGCCAGTCTGTTCGGACTAGTGGGGGTAATAGCGGCTCTGATATGGTGTTTGGTGATTACTAGTAGTAAGTCTCTGGTACTTACTTGCTGCGCTCAACAGCCCATCGACCCATCTCCAGCCCCGGCGGAATGCAACCCTCAAATGGACAAAGCAATGGTTAGTTACGGGTCTGGCTGGTCCCATGAACGGCACCTGAAGTCCGTCTAACCAGCTTGTCCGGGTGACAACTCCTCTCAGGTGTGCTGTCGGCTTCCTCTTCCGATGTGAGCATCCTGGTCCCGGCGAAGTGATCTGGCCCCCCCGGCGATGTGATGACACGGCATGACACCTCCCAGACACCGGCCGAAAATACGGGAACCTGAAGGCAGAGGCCGCTGAAAAGCGGCGACAACCCGATGCCGACTTGGTCGAGAGCGGCTCTCTTCGCACCGGTCCTCATGTTCGTTGGACCAATGTCTGTTATTGTAGCCATTTCATCACTTACCGCTTGCATCTCACCCATGTGCCTTCATACGGTGTCCCTCTTTGATGCGTCAGCTAGCGCAGCCCGAGATTGCCGTGCTGCATGTCTGGAAAGCAGCCGACGCACTTGTCCATGATGGCATGGTGGATTGAGCCGGCCAGGCGAGATTCCATGACGGGTAGACAGACTGGGCAGGGTCTCATGGCTATTGAATTTCGCGTCTGTGCTCATCTTTCCGTCCCGCTTGGTCGCCAAACGTCCGCCATCCACTTTCAATCTTGCCTCGGTATTTGCCGGGCCCTCCGAGACCCTGACGAACAGCAACCAGCTGAAAGTGTAGCCAAGACATGTAGAACAGTCGGTTCCAGGGCTAAGTCCCCTGGGGGAAGGCAGCCCGCCTCCATCCAACAAAGGCGCTGGCAATTTAGCCGAATGAAGCGTAGATTGAATCCCAAACCACCAGACCGTTGAACCCAGGTCATGGAACCAAGGGGACGAGCAAGAAATGCCCGGAATGGCCGCCAGAAAGGGGTATTGGCAAGGGCGCGAAAAACGGGATAAGGGGTACAGTATCAGATATTGCAGGAAAGCGGGAGCCCGGATATTCGCCATCCTGCAGCATCTCGATGCAGTTTTCCAGCAGTGTTTGCTTTCGTTGAGCACCACAGCCTGGGTCGCTTGGCGCCTCTCCGGGACCTCTCGGCTCGTAGATGATGACCCCGAGGGCGGGTCAGGCACCATGACGTCTGTCGGTACCGTCGTCCCAGACGTCGGTCTCCTTTCGGTGGTGCTATGGCACGCCTGCAAGTCGACTAAGAAGAAAACTGCTCCATTGAACCACGCCGAGGCGTCACTTTCTCGTCCCGTCTCTTGTACGGATACGCGAGGCTGAATGTCTCAGATTCTCTCTTTGTCTCACCTCACGTTCCTTGTGCTGTTGGGTGGCCCAATTCGTCCTTATCTGTTAACGTCATTTGCGAGTGTAGATTAGGCAGCCATCTGGCCCTGTCCTGTTGTCGAAAAACAGCTTCGAGCTATAGCGGCGTTGTATTATAAGACGGCCGGCGTTGGATCTGGCACAAGGAGGGTGGTCGTGACCCTTGCAGATGGCTTAACGGCTGTCAAGCTTCACCCTTACCGCTTTTGGCGATAGCGGCTGGGATGCGGACTCCGCCGCAAGTATCAGTGCGGTGTGATCGGAGCCGATGTGGGTCCAGACTCCAGATGCTGGTGGTGGAACCGTTCGCGCAGTACGGAGCATGTAGTACAATGTGTAGTTTCGATTTGCACTGCAACCTCTCCTCCATGTCCTGATCAGCTGTTCGCCAAGCCGCTGCCTTCGCAACAGCTTCTTCCGTGCACTTTTTCATCCATCATCATCCTGGACCCTCACCGATTCACAAGGCTAGAGCCCGGTCCGTGATGTTGGACATGTTGGACGAGCTTGGTCATAGACTCTTCGGCCCACTGGAAGAGGGCGTCCGCCTGCTCTGCGATCCTCCGTTTGTTTCAACCGGTTCCATGCAGCTTCTATAGCCGTCCTGTTGTTTGTCGTTTTTGTTTTGCCTTATTTTGGGTCACACTATCTGGAGCGTTTCGTCTGAGTGCAGGTTGGGGTCTTCCTTTTTCACTGTCCGGATCTGGGCGTGAGATCTTCGGACCGCTCTTGATACTATTTGGCAGTCGGACCCGCTCGATCTGCCCTGGCTCGCCTGGCTGGCGGTTATTGATCTTACGAGGCAAGTGCTCCCCAGTCCCCAGCTTCCTGCAACCTCTCATCTCGATCACCAATTCACGATGCGGTGTATATGCTGGCGGTGGTACACTGTACGTGGGTCCAAAGACTCCAAACCTTGTCGAAGCGGCAGTGCGAAAGACCGGGTCATCTGCCAATCCCGCCAACCATACGGGCACCGCACCGACACTGACCCCGAGACATTTTACTTTACCCCGGGCGAGACCGACGATGCCCTGCAGGTGTCCCCCATTACTTGCAGAAAACCGGCAAGACAATGTGAGACACCGGCACAGTGACACACCTTGGGACTGCACAAGGTAAGCTTCGTGATGCAGCCTCACTGGGGAAGGGTGTCCAACTCGGAGTGACCCGTTCAAGGGTGGTAAGTTTCCCAGAGTCTTTCGAGCTAACTCACCCATGAATACCCCGGGCGGTACTTGGCAGTATTGGCCATAGCAGTACAAGATCAGCCGGCAATTGAACGAATGGTCCGGGGAAAGCGCCTTGAACGCTCTGAATTCCTCTCCACATCCCGGTCTATGGTGTCAGTTGCGAGCCTAGATTCTGGCTGATGAGTAATAGGCTGTATTTGACGTAGCAACGGCACCAACTGCCTACAAGTCCATTGTGCATGCTTGAGACAGGGTGCCTGTGCCTGGTCATTTCTCTACTTCCAGAGATGTTCCAACCAGCGGCAGCCGCGGCGTTCCATTCCGCAGTTAATGACGGCAGCACGTTTCTCATTATCTGCCTTATTTTCCGATCAAATCATTCACCAGACCGTGCCAATGGGAACGGGGAGCAAGCCGATCCTTTCCCGCAGTTTAGTGGAGAGTCTGACAATACTACTCCGTGGCATGGTAGCTTCCTCGAACAGGGAGAAACATGACGTCTGGACATACTGTAGTTCTGTCTGGACACAGGGCGGCTTGCCGGGTTGTAGCGGCGGTCGTAGCAGTTGTGATGGACGGTGACCAGGTTGTTGAGCACTGCCTAACCGGGCAACCTTCGAGATGCTCCGTCAAAACCGCCCCCTGCGGTTCTCGTCACCATACTACCTAACTAGACATGCGTGCTTCCCCAGCGTCAGGGGCGGGGTAGTTGTTGATCATATTCGAGCGACGAGCACAACTGCGCCGTTACCCCTGTCAAGAGCCTAGTAGTTAGTGAAGAGCTTTAGGTTGTTGCATCTGTGACGATTGGTATTGTACAAGTACAATACATATAATCCGTACATTGAGATGGCTCTCCGTTAAGTTACATCCCACCTCCCCTACCACCTACTATATTCGCTCGATCTCGCAGACACGGGACGGCACCCCAGACGACGACCGAAATGAGGCCGTCACCGGCAAGTGCGGTACCAAGAGACGTTTCTCAAGTTGAGCTCTACCAAGGTATGTAACCGGGATTACACTAGTGTATTCAACATATGTACCATGACTTCTGTCCTGCACGGCAATCAAAAGGCCGCAGCAGGTGCGAGCGGCTCTCAGTTGCTGCAAGGAGATGCATAGACCCATGTAATAATGTATAGTACAACACATGTTTCTCTGCATCGGCGTGTGGAGAATTGCTGCAATGCAGGTTGTGATGTGAGAAGTCATCCTACCGTAGTCTAACTCAGGTGGTCGAATCATGCTGTCAACAACACGGACGCCCCCTCTTCGCTGCTGCTGTATACCTTAGGTTGCGAGGCCGGTTTTTGCCGCCGGGTCTCGTGGCTGTGGCTGCTTCCAAGTTTGGTTGCAACCTCAGGTACTACAGATCTGTTTGGGGCACGGCCGTTTTCACTTTTTGACCGCCGTCAGGCATAGAGGGACAGACAGGGTAGGTTGAGACTGACGAGAGTCCTGTTCTCGAAGGGGTTTCTTGCGTCTCTTCTCTATGTACTGTACATGCATGCATCCAGCTGAGAAACCAGTGAGAGCAGACGGAGAGAAGAACATGCTATCCCGCTAACCCCCTATTTCTGTCATGGAGCAAACAAACAAACAAACAAACAAACACCAGACGACACACACACACCGCACACAGGGCCTGCCTAAGGTAAACACTCGAATGCCAAATAAACCTCCCACCAACAAATCTGCCCACGCCCGCCATTGAAGGATAGTTTTTCTCCGCCGTGAGATAAGCCAAAACACGTCGCCGGAATTCTCAAAAGCAGCCCCCCCTCCCCGCCCCCTTCGCCGGTCGAAAAAAAAAAAACGTAAGTGATCATATCCGCTGCCCACTGCAACCGGAACATTGTCCCCCCTCGTAGATGGAAATGAAGCAAAAAAAGGTTTGGGTGGTATCACCGTAATGCCAAACAAAAGGAGCCGATCAAGGGGTATCCGGCCTTGGGTAAAACCAGACAGTCCATAAGTGTATCAATCTCGATGTGGTATGGCGAGTAACATGATAGATTGATTCCGAACCGGGGTCTGGTCGGGGTACTTCAAGGATAACCCGCTCGAAACCAAAACGGGAAGGACAGATAGATGCTCGCCCCCAAGTCCGCCAAGTTATGCCGCACCGCCGCCGTACCCGCCTGTCCCCGCAGCCGTGACGGCGGCCGAAGAAGAAGACGGCCCCGTGAAGCTGCGCTTGCGCCTGATGATGCCCAGCGGGTCTTGGGAGTAGTCATCTCCAACTCCTCCAACTCCTCCTCCCCCTCCGGCTCCGGCTCCGCCCCCGCCCCCTGAAGAAGCATGGCTCTGTCCTCCGCCCCCTAGCCCGAGCGGACCGCCGGCGCCGGGCCCGCCAAACGTATCCCTCAGCGGGGTCCTCGCAGCTGCGGCGCTGGCCTGGAAGAAGTCGGTGGGCTGCGTGATCGGGGCGCTCAGTTGCGGCATCGAGTAGTGGTCGGTCGCCACCGCCGAGGTGGAGGAGGAGGACGAGGTTCGGTATCCGCCGCCGGCGGCCGACGTCCGGGGCAGCGAGAAATCAACGGGCGCTGTGAGCGGCGCCGAGGGAAAGCTCCCCGTGTAGCTGGACGATACCGAGAGGGCGCCGAGGTGCGAGGCGGCCGCCGATGACGCTGTTGCGCGCGGCCCTGCCCCCGACCCCGACGGGGAATGATGGGAGTTGGTGGTGGTGGTGGCGGTGGTGGTGCTCTGCAGACCGCCGGACCCGAAGGGCGACCTGAACTGCGTCCGCAGATCCAAGCCTAGCGGGAGGGAGGCCGACGCGGACGCGGCCCGCAAGCGTGATCCCCGCTGCTGGTTCGCCGCGGCCGCAGCCTGCAAACTGGAGGGCTGGAAGCCGGAGTAGTGTGTGGGCGACTGGACAGTAGACGCCGAGTAGTGGCTCGAGTCGTAGGGGCTCAGGCCGCTTGCAGAGCTGGCGCCCACCGGATCCTGCTGGTAGAGGCTGTGATGCCGGGCCCCGATCTGCGGGGACGGGTTCCCGCCATGATAGGTCGTGTAGTCCAGAGCCTCCCCCTTCCACGACATGCTCGACCGCAGCGGCGACTGGAGCGTGTCGGAGCGCGACCTGGTCAACGTGTCACGGAGCTGGAGCGGCTGTAACGGCCGGATCTGTCGGCGCGCGTGCTGCCCGTACGACCCCATCCCGGAATCGAAGCTTGCCTGCCGGGCGAACGGGTTCGACGTCCTCGGCCCGGCACCCAGGGACGTGGCCGAGGGGTAGCTCGGGTAGCCGTATCGGTGGTGGTCGGCCGAGGTTGGCGAGATGGGCGACAGCATGTCGGGCGTGCCGAGTCCCGCCGGCGGGCCAAAGCCTATGCTTCCAAAGGCCGGGCTGAGACCGGTGGGCGAGAGGTGGTCGTCGCCGTCGTGACGCCGCACGTCCACCATGAGCGGCCGCATCATGTGGTCGGCATACGGCGACGCGCCCAGGTCTACCGGCGAGGTGAGCGGTGTTCCCAGGCCGTGCACTGCGCCGTACGGGGAGTGGAGTGCGCCCAGACTGTCGAAATCCTCCGGAACTGCTCTCATCTTCATCATCCGCTCGCGGTCGTCCGCCGTCAATCGCTTGATCTTGGCGCGCCTGGTGTCACCTCTTTGTCAGCATCCTGGGTGGTGTTTCCAGGGCCTTCTAAACTGGGTTACTGGGTTTTGAGAATTCCTACCGGTTCTGGAACCACACTTGTACTTGACGAGGGCTGAGGCCGGGGATCTCTCTCGAGAGCCGTTCGCGGTGTGCTGCATCGGGATGCGGCTGCTTCGCGAACTCGCTCATCAAGAACCGCGTTTGCTGGTGGGTGAGTCTAAACCGCTTCATCTTCCGGCGCTGTGCCGTTCTCTCGGCCGCGGTTTGGGGTTGAGCCTGCGCCTCTCCTTCTCCTTCTCCTCCTTCTCCTTCTCCTTCCGCTTCCGCCTCCGCTTCGATCATCTCCTCATCCTCTGACACCGCCTCTTCGTCTTCGTCTTTGACGGCCGCATGCCCCTCGTTTCCCGGCTGGCCCGGCGCCGTCTCGGAACCTTGCCCCGCCGATGGCACCGAGCTCAGGGGGTTGGAGCCAAGTGAGATGCTATGCGTCCCGGTTGAGACCAACGATTCTTCGGGGGCTGACTCGGCCGCCTTTGATGCATATTGCTCCCCCTGAGTCTCTGGTTGCTCGGGGATCGGAGACGGCTGCCGTGGTTGCCGCAGACCCAGAGGATCGATGCGGTGGCTGAGGCTGAGTGGCGAGCTCCCTGGCTTCGGCGGCTCGCCCGGCCCGGCCACAGTTCGGGGCCGCGAGTGTGTTTCGGCGTTCTCGGCCGAGCTCGCCACATGCTCGTACGGCTGCGAAAAGATGGTCCCATCCCCCGGCGGGAGGAACGAGTACTGACCCTGCCAGTCAGACTGCGTCACGGCGTCGAAGTTGTTCGACATGCGTAATCTCTCCGCAGACGTGCGAAAGGCCGTCTCAAACTTGCTGATGGACCAAGGACTCTGCTCCGTAGCGGTGTGCCTGGTGACAAGCATTGGGAATCGGGGCGGTCGGTCGACGGCGTAAATAGAAAATAGACTTATCTCCAGCAGGACGTGACGGGCTTTTACGTTCGCCCCAGCTGCGCAAGTCGAACCGCTCACGGGACACTGGAAAGGCGAAACAAACGACAAGATGGCCGAAGAAAGCGAGCGAGTGTATGTTGATGTTCCGTGCAGTAGTGTTCAGGGGCGGCAGAAGCGCATCATCGGCCGCCAACACCAGGTAGCTGCGCTTTCTTTTCCACCTTGCGGGCCTCCCAATCTAATTCGTGGTGATCCCTGCCCAGCCCGATCCGCCGCCGCGGTCTGTATGCGGGTAGAAGATCCGAGATGTGTTGGAAAGATGGGAGAAGAACCTCGCTCAGATGCGTCTGTTGCGGTCCTTCTTGGGCCGTCCCGGAGATCAGACTTGGGGGTTACTGTGTGAGGTAGTGGAAGGAAGACAGCCGGCTGAGCGCGAGCCTCTCGGGCTGATGTGCGGGTGCGTTGTACCGGAAGGCAAGTCCCACCAGTCAAAACGAAGATCAGACCAAGCCGCCGCGCCTTGGAGCGAGGACGAGAAACACCGCGGGGTCCGTTTGCGGGGCCAGTGATCTACTAGACGACACCGAGCCGCACCTCAGCAGGCGAGGAGGAGTTCGCGTTGGCCGGAGGGTGGAATCCTGAAGACGAGATACCTATCTTGGAACGGCCTTGGGTGCTGTCAGCTGGTCGTATGCTCTGCGGCCGTCTGTGGGTGAGTATCGTCTCGAGAAGCGAATAGGCGCGGGAACGCTGGCCTTGTCGTTGTTGAGGGCTGCCCTTGGGATATAAACGCGGCGTCCCGCTAACGTGCCCCTGTCCTTAACGTGGGCTGGATCGAGGTGGGAATAATACCAGTTGAAGAGAGCCCAGGCCATACGGAGCAAGGCCGAGGCCGCACTGGATGGCAGGGGCAGGGAATGCACCTTATGGATAACCGCAAGAATGGGTGGAAGTGGCCGGGGCAACGTCGGGGTACCTGGTACATGCGGATGTACAATACAAGTACAGTCAGTGCCTGACAGGAGACGGGAGCTATAATAACGGTCGCTCTCCCTGCGCGGTTCCGGGGCCGAATGCCTCGATTAGTGTAGACGAAAACACAGGCTATGGGGCTCTGTTATAATAGCATCGGGGTCCCTAGCAGATTGGTTGGCTCAACCACGTCGTGCCCGCCCGCACCTGGGGTTCCGTCTGCCGTCAAGCGTCGAGGCGAGCGAAAGACCGCTGGGACCATACCAATACCAGATCTCGGCTGAATGGCTAATGCCGTTCCCTCGCGTCCATGGAACCAACCGAGGACACGACCAGACGCAAGATGTAGGACGGAGGATGAGTTGAACGTTCGTGGGCCGGCTTCAATGTCTAACAAGGAGCAAGCAGCGAGAGCATGACCTTTCTGTGAGAGGGATGAACGAGGGGAGCAACAGTACACAGCAGGCGTTGCCGGGACTCGGGCGTGGAGTCGCATGTACGTGCTCCGTACACGGTAACGTTATGTGTGCAGCAAAGCTGGGCAGGAGCAGCGATAGGCGAGAGAGTAGGGCTCTTATGCCCGGTGAGGCGCCAATGCAAACATCCGATACCCAACCCAAGCAGACAAGACTAGGTCGCTCAACCACGGGCTACGAGCAGCCACCTGTTACTTCGTAATGATCTTATTGCGAAAGAAATTCCGACCTGCTCCGCGGAGACACGATCAAGGGCACCCATCTCCTCGTCGGATCGTTCAGTTTATGGCAGCTCGCCCACAACCAGAGGCTCTTCTTCCGGGGCCAGCATCCCAGAGGAGCTTAGCAGCACGATGCCCGAACACTCGTAGGGATGCGGGGAGAGGTACAGTACCGTACAGGCCCCGCGCGTGGCATAACTAGCGACAAGGAGCATTGCATGCGGCTAATTGGCCCTTGACTGCACGTTAACTTCTGCGTCGACTCCACGGAACAAGGCATTGACCGTTGTTGAGCGCTCCTCTTGCCCTGAGCCAATCGCGGACATGGATCATCAAGAAGTTAGGTAGGGTTGAGGAGATGAAGGGAAGGGGTGTGGTGCCTGGAGCGGGGCCAGTGTGAAAGAAGCCGAGCCGGGGCAGCAATGGCGTGCAGCAGCACAGGGGGCGTGTGGAATGCAGATCGGATCACGAAGAGCGACAACAAGTGATGAATGCCGGATGCCCCCAACCAGCGGAACCAGACTGCTGAGACTGCTGATACTGGGGGCAGCGGTTACTCGAAACGGTAATTCTGCCTGGGGACGGTCGTGTTGAAGGCGGGGGAGAGTGCCTTTGCGACGCTGGATCTCCCTCCAATGTCGACGGATGTGGACATGGCGCAGTGGGAATCGCTGATGAACAGATCTTTTCATCACTTCGTGCCGGCATCCCAGTGTGTGAGCGAACCAAGAAAAGCCTCTGTGCTTCGCTTAGGCTCAGAGTAGTCGCGGTGGCAGGTAGCGTTGTAATGGCCGTGACGGCGGTGTGCTGCCGCGGTACATACTGTGCCGATTTGGAAGGTGGTTAGACGGCATGCATGTATCCAGCTCCGAACGGTAGCCTTCCTCAGTGTCATGATTTAGCCTGGGACAGCCAGCCCTGCATCGAGCGATTTTCGCACGCCCTAGTACGGAACCTTCACATTCACGAACACTCGCTCGAGTCTTCGCAAAAGGAGAGCGCCTTGTTCCCGTCAACGGGGGCGTGTCCTCGGCGCGGCGAGGAGAGGCCGGCTCATCTACACGCTTCAAGCCATCGTATCAAGCTGACACCGACCAGCAAGCAGTCCGATGGGGCACGCCAGGAACGTAGTGGATTGATCAGACAAACGCGGCATTTGCTTGCAGGGCCAGGCCCCCTCCTGTGCATCTGCTTTCCTGCCCCAGCCAATGCCGATGCGTCCAGGGATTTAAGCATCTGGAGCAGAGATGCGATGACATACCCTGTGAGCAGAGAAAGGCTCTGAATGGGCAGTCGGAGATGGTGGGAAGCAGCGCCGAACAAGCGGCAGGCTGATATGGCTGCGCTGTGACGATCCAGGCGCCAGCCAGCAGAGGGGATTGACTTGGTGGGGTGTGGTGCGATGGCATGGTGTGGTAAATACAGGAGAGCCGTGGTAAGCGGTGGTAAGCGAAACCTTGAAGCAAGGTGTCGTGCAGCCAAAGGGTCGCATTGAGCAAATGGCCAACGCTTGAAGTCTGAAGTCTGTGTCGCGACAAGCCGGACCAGGGCGTCCGAGGCTAGAATGCCGTGGTTTCCAACGGTCGAAGCTTCTTTCGCCGCTGCACACCCTGGCGTGGTTGTAGATAAAATAAGAATGAGATCCAAATCCAAGCGTCGTCTGAGAGGTGGATTAGGTACAATACAATACGGATACCGTGCCTGGCAAACAAAGGTGGCGCTCGGCGCCCACGGTTTCATCAGGGGTCTTGTTTCGTGACAAGGCCGCATAGGGCGAACAACACAGATGCACTGGAACGGGCAAGGAACAACCATTATACTGGCTCAACTGGGTACCTTACTAGTGTACGCAGCCGGTGCGGCAGCGAGATACCTATAGGATCGGTAGGTGGAGCAGTGCCTTGTTTGTGAGATCTCGGGCGTGCTTCCTTCTCGGCCTTTTCCGGAGCAGGTATTGTAAAAATACACTGATCTGCCTTGCGCCATGTGGGCTTGTGTTCCTTAGATTGCCGTTTCCCGTCAGGGTGGCATATGCCTCGTAACGGGCTTGCCTGGTCACCGTGATGGAGAGCCCTGACGTTTGCGTCTCTGGCCGCTGTCGCCGAGTGGGGAAAACTTATTGAGAAAATCGAATGTAGAAAGCCGACCCGCGTTGTTGGGGCGTTGGCGCGATGTGGCGCGGGCTATCGAGACAAACCCACTCATGAAAGAGATGATTGCCGGAATGAAGGATGTTGTGTCACAGTGGCTTGGAGCGACTTCATCAGAGAGCGAATGGCACGGTCGAGGTACCTTTCAATTCATCGTTTCTTAACCGGCGACCTCGACCTAGATTGAGCGAAGCTAGGGTGGGACGGTGGTCTCGTCCAAGCCGCTGGCGTGTTCGATGTGTCGAGTCTCTCAGTGCAGCCTGGGAGGATGGCTCCTTCCTAGAGGTAGGTACCTACTCGGCTCCGGGGCTGTGCACATAAGGAAATGTTAGTCCAAGCCGCTGCCGGCAGACAGGAACCACCTTAGGTACCTTCGGTAGGTACTTGTCGACACAGCCAGATCTGAGATGTCCTTATCACCGTCTTAACAAATTCCCATTACTGCAGTGGCATGCGACTTGTCTGTTTCATCTTTCAAGATGCGATTTGGGATGCTAGCCTGCTCTTACAATCCGCCGCGGGAACGGCAGACAGTGGAGAACCAATCTGCGTAGGGTTGAGGCGGGTGCTTCAGGGCTCCATGTAGATCGGGTAGTGATACAGTACTCCCCTTTTACGTTCCCTACCTTACTACGTCTAAGGATTCCGTACCTTACCCAGTAAGGTCATGCCATGACATGCGCGATCTGTTGCAGCTAGTATTTCAGTTGCAGATTAAGGATCGAAGAGGAGGACAGGCTATACCGGCTTTCATGCTAATTCGCATGGCGCCCGCTGTCACACAACGGGGAGGCGAGTTTGCCTGAAGCTGCAGCTTTTCCGATCTGGACCATGTCCAGATCGGCAAAAGCTGCGAGGCTGAATGCCACTCACACACTGTTCCCTTGATCGAACAGTCGCTGCTATAAGCTGCCGAGACAACGGAGCCTGCCACTCAGATGATTACTACTAGTAGTAGTTAAGGTACCACCTACCTTATCACATCCGGCAGGTTGGGCCTCTTCAGACCGAGAATGTCGTCTGTGACGCGGTCGGTTGAAGCTGCCTTCAGTCGGTTGAGGACGATAGGTCTGCATGGTATTTACACGTCCTGGATACAGTATTAGTAGGTAAGGTACGAGTACCTACCTTAGGGAGTTACGGCAGTGGCCTCGAGGAGTCCAAAAGTGAGAGGAAGGAAAGTAGAGCCGCGCTGAATCCTGATTGGCTTTCCGGGGTAAGATTCTGGAAGCCACCTCAGTCCGTCTTGGGGTTGGCGGGACGGGAAGGCGGAAGGCTGATGTGCCCCCGCCATTCAGATCTTTGACCTGCGCCTGGCGCCATGCCCCTGGGCTATTCCCAAACCAACCCCATCCGTGACGATCATCGTGCAAGGGCCGGGAGTTGACGGCGTGAATCCGCTCTTCGGCCCGGTTCAGATCCTGCTAAGGATCACATACAGAGCGAGCCACTGGTACTCCGTATCCATTACGTGTATTGTCCTGTCTTGTATATACGAGTCAATCCGTCTTGAGTAGTCGATTCGAGACACCAAACATGGGCTGGAATTTCAGAGCGATCTCTTAGCTACTAAGTAGCACTTACTTGTGTGAGTTTACAAGGAAAATGCAGGTCTCTCGCCTATCTATAGTAGGTACTGCGATTGTTGTTTGTACGCGGGTAAATCTTCGCGCGAGGACAGCATGAAGTGCTGTATTTACAGCCTGTGGTGGATGTATTATACTGTATGTATTGTACCTATGTACTCCGTACGGCGTGTGTATCAGCAGTGAGTGGGGCTAGATTTTCCCATGTACTCCGTAGAAAACATTCCTCCAAGACCAAGAATCCGGCGGCGCGAAATCTTTACGGGCAAGACGACAAGCGGGCTTCCTATGACGTTTGTTCCTGCGCTGGCAGTTTAGAATACCATACTGACAACTTGCAGCTTCCGCACGCAGGCTGATCAAAGCCAAACTGGGGGGCCCAAAGTGCCGCCAAACTGACACACTCCAGCTTTCAAGGACAACACGCCGGTTTCGGGCTCCCTGCTGTGCAATGTCATTGCTCGCAATCTAGGAGAGATAAAGAGCTTCGAGGTTAGTTACTAATCTTGTGTTGCTATTCTAAGCCCGGTTGAAGTCTCGGGGCTGGCGGGGCCGAGGTGCTGCCACAAACATGCCCGTTGTGTCGGTCCCGACGGTCACCACAAAGGATTGCCGGCGACCCACGTGCCTCACTGAGTCCCGCAGGTCCGGATGTTTTGTCTTGTGTCAGTGTGAGCCCCAGCGAGCTGGCCCCGTAGCTCAAGACTCAAGGCTGGGCGAGGTGATACACGCAAGCTGCGCTACTCCGAGACGGGGCAACCGGGCAACGTCTTTGGAGTTTTGCTTGACAAGCCCTTGCCGTCGGGACAGCGGACTCCCGGGAGTCACGCTCCTTGGCGCCATCAGAGGGTTTGCGGCCGCGACTTGTCTCAACGGCGGTGCCGAGACAGCAGAGCATGCGCATCGGCAAATCAGGGAAAGGGGACACATCTTCCGGCCGGCCGCGAGTCGCGGCTGAAGAGGCGGCCAGCCCCATTCACAGGAAAAGCCGGTGCCATTAGAACTGCGTACTAAGTATGCTCCCCGGAGCCTTCGCGGCCGCCCGAGACTAGCTCCTCTTGATGGAACCATGAGCATCCCGCTCCAGCTCCAGGTTACGCAAATACGAGCCTTTGCGCCACCGTCATGGCTTGGGCGCTGCGGCGGCTGGTGGTCACAGACAGCATCCTGTACAATGGGTTGGACGAGATGCCAGGAACCCCGGTGACGGCGTCTCCGTTAACGATGCAGTCACCCGCCCCGTTGTTCCAATGAGCGAGGATCCCAGCTCTCAAACAGTGGTCCCACGACCCCAGGTCAAGGGAAAAGGGGCGCCAGACTCAGTTTGCTCCATCCGTGGGCCGCTTGGGTGACGAGATGGATCGCGCGGCGACGCCGCCAGCAGGATGTTCCCGTAGAATGCCACTGGCTCTCTAGCGCCGGGCCGAGGAAAACCTGGCCGCGCCTCCTGCGACTGCCGGGAGAGGAATCGGGGAAACCACTGTGTATTGGGGCCCTTCTCACGATAGTATCTACTCGCAACTACCAGGATCTTCGACATATCATCGTTTGCCTTTCGAAGCCAGAGCGCAACACGTATCTTCTGGCTGCCGGCAGCGCCCTTTTTCCACACTGCACTCTCCATGCCGCTAGCTGGTCATGCGAGCGGCTCAAGCCTCGGAGGGACAGGGACTCTCTACACTCTACACTCCATCAAAGAGCCTTTCTCCAACAGCTGTTAAACGGATGCAGGTGCCATCAACCAAATTCTCAAGCCCTTCGGGCCGCATGCGTGGCCGTAGTGCCGGGTAATACTAGTGCTCCTGCCAATGCGTCTCCAGCATCTCGACAAGTCTGCCAACTCTGCGGCAAGTAGCCATTATATCTTGGATCCCACGGCATTACCCGATGCTTGGGGACCAACCGAAGCACGAAGACATACGGGCGCGGGCCCATAGGCATGCAGAATCCGGCTCTGGCGTGGGCCGGCGGAAGTATGCTGCGTCCCATCTTCTCCTCAAACAACAGAGGCCGGTAGCGTAGGGGGAATGGGACATGTTATCATACCTTGGTCACATGGCAAAGCCGTATGATCCGTATGACGCTTGGGTGGAGGGAACCGGGGAGCGTCGAGTGCTCCTGTGCCGATACGTACATGTACAAGCAAGCTACGGTACAGCTTGCTAGTACATGAATGCATCCACTCCAGCTGCCTGCAGTGCTTCATAGCAAGTTCCGGGCACACAACCCACTGCGGCTCACCACGAGACCGCCCCCTCCAGCATGCCGGACATTAGCTCTTAATATCGACCCGTGTGGATTGCATGGTCGAGGCTCGGGTTCGGCGGCACCCGCGCCTCGACTTCCCAGCCGGGAGGTCATGGGAAGCGGAGATCGGAAGCTCATAGTTACTTAGTACTGTATGAGGACACCCTCGGCACCAACGCTCTGGAGCACGCTTTGGTGGTTTCCATCCCCAAGACAGTGCCGAATTGGGCCTCTGCCGTGGACCTGCCTCGTCACTCGTGCATACCACTACGAGGGGGAGTGCCTCTCAGCAGCATCACTCTGTACATCTCACCTTCCGTTCACGGCATGGTGGTGCGTTCGGGAGACGCGCATTATGGCTGGCGGTATCAACTCCTCTCGCAAGCCTGCAACGGCCAAGTGCCCCATCATCCTGTTCATTACACCAGCCTGGCCAATGACTCCGTCCAGATGCGTGATCGAGTCTGCGCCCTGTCAAGCACAACAGCGTGGGCGGATCCATCTGCTGCGCGCTGGCGTCCTGCAGCATCGAATCTGCAGGCGCCAGTAAACAGGTTGGCGATCATAGCATCATGGCTTGTAAGGATGAAAGTGCAATGAGCCGTGTCCTTGTTCCGTCATGTTCCCCCTTTACCCGGACCGTTCGGTATCTTCAACTGAGGCAGAAAGCACCAGCGTTCTTGGGTCCCCTGCTTCCAAGGCGACTCCATGCTTTACGACCGCCGCGTCTGATGCTGGATGGGTACGACAGGATCTGGACCGAGTTGGGTCTCAGAGAGCCATCGCTCTGCTGTCTCCCCCGCCGACGCAGATTCCATACTTGAGCAACCGGAACACGAACTCTGCAAGGCATTGCCCGCCAGCATGATGTCTGTCGGAAATTGTCTTGGACCAGCGAGGCGGTGAGGAAGACGGAGACCGCGTCCCATGTGCTCCCTACATCGGTCTAAGTAACTCACGGTTCTACAAGATTCCGTCCACGCTAGTGATTGAAGTTGCCTCGCCGGTAGGTCCCAGTGGTCACCGCTCGGTGTACCCCTGGCGGTGCTTTGTTCTGGCAGCATGCGAAGCATCTATGGTCTTTCGAGTACGGCCTTGTGACTTCTCTCTTTCTGGCTAGGAAGACGGCCTATTCTTTGCTATCTTTGCCGCCTTGATATGGAACGTGCCGGCGGGTAAATGGCGTAACAGCGCTCCTATGGCCGTTCTCTGCCTCACACAGCACGGTGTGCTGCTATACGTCGGCTTGGGGGCTTCGGTTTTCAAGTTTCCCTTCCATGTGTTTGGGCTCTGCCGGCAATGCTCCCGCTGCAGGCGACAGCATCGGCGTGGTCCTCGCATCTCTCATCCCATCCACACCCCCTCGGCGACCTTGCATGTTCACGCAGGAACGACATACTACGCCTGTTATTACTCCTGCACGTATTGATCCTCCTCTCTACTTGGGTCCGTCCATTCTCCCTTGTTCAGCTGACGACTGACGGCCCCGTGATGCTTGAGGCCACCTCCCGCTTCAGGAAACAAGCTCCTTGCTTCCGTATGCGGGTTATAACCTCGCCGAATCTGCATATGCATGCTAGACGTGACTGCCCTTTCCGCCGATTACGCCTGCGAGCCTATCGCGACGTTTTAATCTCTTGCTCTTGTACCGGAAGGCTGCACCCGAAGTCTCCCCTGAGTCATCAGATGCTATACCCCTATAACACAGTCTCTGTTCTCCTACCTCCACTAATCCTTTCGCAGGCTTCTAGGATGGAACAGGCCGCGACAGTCTGACGACACTTTGTACGCGGCATGGTCGTCCGCAAGTTTCTTGACACGTGAAGTTGGCGTATACCTCGCTGGAAAGATCCTGTGACAGCCTCACGAGAGAGGAGTCCCTGCTCTTAACAAGCCCGTTGAAGCCCCCCCTGGATAATGAGAAATATATTGCTGGTTCATACACTCCCGCCGTTGGTATGGGGTATGTGCTTCTTGGCCACTATAAGCGCCGGGCGCCGAGACGCTTGCTCGCTTGAGTTATGGACTCGCCCCTCGGCGTCCGCCACCCAGCAGCGGTTGAGGGCGGTAGCGGATGGAGAGTCTGGGGAATATAGTATCCGTGGACGGAGGAGAAACAGCCGGGTGTGTCTTGAGAACCCTTCCTACCCTACAGACCCTGTATTCTCCTTAGCTTCGACTCCCATGATCTTGCAGAGAGAAACAATGGCTGGTGATAGACAGCCCGGAAGGAGGTTGACTTGTTAAATAACAACATGATTCGAACAAGATGAAGAAAAGAAAATCATAGCCAGTTACAGTCAAGCTGCATATCAGGCCTATCGGGAAGGAAGAGTACCTAATCATGGACTCTGCTGCCTTCCCCGGTTTCCGCATGCTGCCGCAATTTTCGTTAAATTTACCTGCTTACCGAAGGTTCGGCGAAGGGAAGGTTGACAGATTGGCGGACGGCGGGGATGCAATCTAGGTTAGATAGATGCCTTAGGGTTCATACGAGTCTGTGCTTACACTGCTCGGTCCACCCTGATTTGACTGTGGCGGACAACATAAAGCTCCTTGAATCCTTACATCTTCTGTTTGTGTTGCGACATACCGTCACGTAGATGACAGTAACTTCAAGTGGTATTGCGTCGAATTGACTTCTGAACGACGATAAGCCAGGACATGAAGTTAACTGTAAATGCGCGCGGCTGCTGCGGCTGCTGCGGCTGCTGCGGCTGATAGCTCTAGCAAGCTTCCCATACATGAGGTACCTGACATCTCTTGCGTTGCAACGACACTTCCTATCCTACCCAAGAATGGCCTGCCGAGTGTGAGGGCACAGTTACATTTTTTCCGCGTCGTCGTCGTGCTGACCCGTGGGCGACTGGACGCTGCGTCCTGAGTCCTTGGAACCCAAAATACAACATGTCACAGCCGGACTCTTCAATAGTCGTAGAAGCCCTTCCCGCTCTTCCTGCCCAGCCAGCCAGCGTCGACCATCTTGGTCAACAGCACGCTCGGCCGGTACTTTGAGTCGCCCGTCTCGGTGTGCAGCACCCTCATGATGGCCAGGCAGGTGTCGAGCCCGATGAAGTCGGCGAGCTGCAGCGGGCCCATGGGCACATTGGTGCCGTTCTTCATGATGGCATCAATCGCATCGCGGTCTCCGACGCCCGTCTCGAGGCAGATGATGGCCTCGTTGATGTAGGGCATCAGGATGCGGTTGGCGAGGAAGCCCGGCGAGTCGGCCGACACGGAGGGGACCTTGCCCAGCCGCTTGCAGAAGGCGATGGCGGTCTCGAGCGTCTCGGCCGAAGTCTGAAGGCCCGAGATGATCTCGACGCCCTTCTGCACGGGCACGGGGTTCATGAAGTGGGTGGAGACAACGCGCGAGCTATTGGACGTGTCGTTCGCGTTGCCGCCGCTGGTCGAAGCGGCGATGCGGGTGATGGAGATGGAGGACGTGTTGGTGGCCAGGATGGCATGCTTGGGGCAGATCTGGGCGAGCTTGGAAAATATGTCGAACTTCAGCTCGGGGATCTCCGGCACGGCCTCAATGACGAAGTCGGCCGAGGAGAGGTCCTCGATGGAGGTGGTGGGCTGGAGCAGGCCACGCGCGGCGTCGGCCTGCTCTTGGCTGATGCGCTGCTTGCTGACATCCTTCGCAAGGAGTTTCTCTGAGCACATAAGGGCTTAGCGGGCGAGTTCCCGTGGCGTCGAGAAGCGCTCGGTCTCACCAACCTGCAAAGGCCAGTCCCTTGTCCAGGGAGGCTTGTGAAGCGTCCACCAGTGTCACTGGCACCTGCGCCTTCTGAGCTGCCACCAACGCAATGCCTAGACCCTGTGTTTCGGGCAAAGCTGTTAACGATCCAATCCAACCATGATCGCATCGCATATCGAGAAGATGGAAAAATCAGAACAAGCCTACCATCTGACCCGCCCCGACGACACCCAATCTCTTGACCTCGGCGGCGGGGCGTGCCGCCGTGGAGCTGAAGCATCGTATGCGGCTGGAAAGCCGGACAGCCTGCCGTGCAGACATCAGTGATGCAGCCATCTTTTGCGGGAAGAGTTGTGAGCTCAGAAGTGAACACAGCAGCTAAGACGGCCGCCAGCCTCAAGGACAACAGCGGCTAACCTCGGCCATCCGTGCCCCGGTCTTGCTGCCGGTGAAGTGGGCCAATGACGCTGCTGTCACATGTCCCGGCACTGGTACGTTAGGACTAAGGAATGGTGTTGACCAGCTGTAAGTTACAGCGGGAGCAGGAATTCGGGAGCGTCATTACCACAGCTCGCGTGTACTATACAGACGATTCGCTTGCCAATGTACTGTACACACTGCCAAGGTTCGTAAGGATCGTCACTGCGCCTGCCTCTGTTGATAACTTACGCAATGCTTCGTAATGACATACATAATCACGTACGCTGTGTAAGTACCTTAGGTTTGTACGTACAATACAAGCACGCACTGCGTAAGGTACAATACAAGTACTGCCACATTGCGTATCAGCGTTAATCGCGTTTCGCAGCGTTTGATTGATCACTGCGACGCGTCTGCGCGTCTCGCGTCGAACAGACGCCCACTTGAGCCAACCTTCCCAAGTTCAAGCCGACTGCCACCCCCGGTTTTTGGATAGTTGAGTTTCACATGCCGGAATCGGCTTGTTCTCTACGGTCCCCGTGATTTCTATCCAACATGGAGGACGCAGAGATCAGCAACGACACGGTGCATCCGCAGGTCCGGGCACACATCAACAGCTTGGTGTCGGCGGTAAGTGACATTCGATCTGAGTAGTAGGATATGGTTTAAGCGTGCGCCATTCGCTGATATTCTGATCTCAGCTCGGTGGCTACAGCATCGACGATGACGACGGCTACAAACTCGGCGACGACGCCCTCGAGGTGTTGCGCGATCTCAAGAAATGGATCCGCTTCTACGACGAGAAGACAAACCGCATGGACGTCGCCCGGTGCCTCGCGGAAGCGAACATTGTCGGCAGTGACCTGCTCCAGATCCTGGCAACGTGGCCGCCAAACGACAATAGCAGCAAGTACAAGGCGAGGATTGCGCTGGCCTGCTTCGAGGTCATGGTGCCGCTCACCTGGCCGCTCGAGAAAGACCGCGAAACCATGACGGTCAACCACCACCGCCACATGCCCGTGCTCCAGCTTGCCCAGCTCGGCTACAAGCGCGCCATCATCAACTTCGACGCCGCTCCTATCCTCGCCACAGCTGTCCGCGTGGCGCTGCCGTCTATGGCCGTGCCCATCGGCGACCGGTCGGCCCGCGACCAGGGCATCATCAAGCTGATCCTGTACTTCCTGAGGAACATCGCCATGATCGCGCCTCCGCCCGGTGTCAAGTTCGACGGCGACGAGACCCAGGTCTCCCGTTCCGCGTTGATCGATGCCTTCTCCTTCCAAGACATCTTTCTGGCCCTCCTGACGCTCGCTTCCAACATGGGCGAGGACTTCCGGACAGAGGACGTGATCGTGATGGAGATCATCTTCCACATCGTGAAACGCGTCGACTCGAGCAAGCTCTTTGTGAGCGAGAAGCAGCTGCACAGAATCAAGGCCGACGAGCTCACCACCGCCATGAAGAAGGAGGCGGCCATGTTGAGATCGTACAGCAAGAACGCGCCGACACGCCACAGCCGCTTCGGCACCATGATCTGGGTCAAGCGTGAGAGTGGCAGGCTGTCGACCGTCTCCGGCCAGGATGCACTGCTGGACGCGGCGACGCGCGAGAGGAAGATGGACAGCACCAAGAGTTTCAAGCCACCGAGGCGGGCCAGGAGAGAGGATATGGAGCCGAAAGATCTGGGGCCGCCGGTGACCCTCGACGAGAGGGCGCGCCAGCAGCTACAGTCGTTCGTCTCCGAGTTTCTCGACTCCGGCTTCAACCCGCTGTTCGGACACGTAAGGAAGTCGCTCGAGCGGGAGGCGCCGCACGTGCTCCAGTACCACCAGAGCCAGTTCTTCTATCTGGTGGCCTGGTTCCTCGAGGCAGAGCGGATGCGCCGGAAGGCGAAGGATGAATCGAAGGAGTCGAAGCAGCCGACCGGGGACGACGTGTCCAGTTTCAACCTCGTAGCAGCCGTGCTTACGCAGGAGATGTTTATCAGCATGAACCGGGCGCTGGACCGGGCCTATGGCGACAAGGACTGGCGGTTGCTGACGGCTGTCATGCGCTGTTTCACCCAGATCCTTCTTATCGTGCAGGAAATGTCCGACTCGGGCAACGAGGAAGACGAGGAGATTGCCGACAACATCCTCAGCCGGCTGTTCTACGAGGAGACAACGCATGATGCGATAGCAAACATTGTCCGGACGTACAAGGACCAGGGGTTCGAATATCTTGATGCTTGTACTGAGCTTGCGCATACTTTCCTTCGCATCCTCGAAGCATATTCGAAGCAGAACGTCGACCTGCAAGTCCGTTCGCGTAAGAGGATACGGCGGAAGAAGAAAGCAGCCAGGGCCGCGGCTCGAGATCAGGAAGGAGATGGCGAAGAAGAAGGAGACGCTGAAGACGACTCGGCAGATGACGAGAGGCAGGCCGAGAAGACCAGTCAAGAGAGGAAGTTCGACTTCAAGCGGTTTACACACAGATTTACCCCACAGGGTGTTGTTGACACCTTCGTCGCCTTCACAAAATACTACCGCGATCTTGACGACTCCCAGCTGAAACGAGCCCACCGGTATTTCTACCGCGTGGCCTTCAAGCAAGAAATGAGCGTCATGCTCTTCCGGCTGGACATCATCCACCTCTTCTATAACATGATCAAAGGTCCTGAAGCTCTTGACAAGAACTCGTCCATGTACAAGGAGTGGGAGGAGCTCGCTAAACAAATCATCAAGCGGTGTGTGCGAAAGCTCGAAGAGCGGCCGGCCCTATTCACGGAGCTGCTGTTCTCCAAGATCAACAGCACGGCCCACTACCTGGAGTACGGCTACGAGAAGCAGACCATCTCCACCAACCCGCGACCCGGGGCCGAGCTCGAGTTCAAACGGGAAGTGGAAAGAGACCGGCAGATCGCCATCGTCGTTGGCGTGCTGCTCGACAGGAACCAGACGGACCACCTGGACTGGATGAAGAAGCAGCTGTCGGAAGCGGAGCTGGAGCGCAGGGCTTGGGAAGATGCGGAAAAGGCTCAGGCGGCCGAGAGGCCAGACGGTGAAGCAGCGGGCGAGCCGGAGGAGGACGGCACGTCGACGACCGCTTCGCATTACACTGTCCGTCCCGACAACGACGCCCGCCGCACGGCCATGTTCAAGAACCCGCATCTCCGCCTGCTCATGAAACTCGCTGGCATGGAGCGCCTGGCCCCAACGCTCGACGAGTCCCCCGACTCGATCTGGATCATCCCGCCCACCGTCACGGCCGACACCCTGAAAGAAACCATCTCGTTCATCAACCAGGCCGAGTTTACGCCTCCGACCTTTGAGGACGGCGAATTAGCCGAGGACCAGCTCCGCCGCAAATCCGCCGCTCGCAAGAAGCGCGCGGCCTATGATGACGATGACATAAACGACCTCATCAACGACGGCTCCGATGAGGAGAACGGCATCCTCTTCCCCGCGGGCGGTCCCACGGCACGCAAGCGCACAGCAGAGGACGAGCCATCCAAGAAGCCGACCCGCCGGCGGCGGCGCGATGGAAGCGAGGAGCCTGCCCCGCTCACGGACGAGCAGCTCGAGGAAAAGGCGCGCGCAAGGCGGAAGAAGGAACTCGAGAAGGCGCGCCGCATCAAGAGCGAGATGTACGTGGATCCGAGAGATGACGAGTCGGATGCCGAGTGGGACAAGGAGTTCTTCGCCAACGAGCTGGCCAGGCAGGCGGCGAAGGACGCGACCTTTGGACTGAGCTCGAAGCCGTCTGGCGTGGAGAGGTCAGCTTGGGACGAGCTGCTTGGAGTGGGCGCCATGAGCAGTGATGATCAGGATGATGACGGCGTGGCTGCCGTATCGACGAAGCGGAAAGAGAAACAAGCGAAGAAGGACACTACCCGGAAGAGAAAGTCGGATGTCGCTCTTGCCGAGAGCGATGAAGACGAAGACGAAGACGGGTCATCTTCCTCGTCGGATGCACCGGCAACGCGGCCAAGCAAGAGAAGAAGACCGGCACAGAAGAGGAAAGTCGTCGAGGTCAGCAGCGACGACGACAACGACGACGAGAATCAGGATGAAGACGAGAATATGGATACTTTGGAGTCCACCCAGTCAAGCCGGGACGAGGTCGTCACAAACGACACACCTCTCTCGTCCAGCCCTAGCCGTGCAGCGAAGGGTATCTCTGAGATGACGGTGAACGAAGGGGATGCGAGTAACGAAGACGAGGATATGCATGTTGTCAAACCTGTCAGCAGAGCGCGGCCGAGGGCCAGGGCAGGGTTTATTGTGGACAGCAGCGACGAGGAGTAAGGGAGTAAGGGAAGGAATTACTCTGGGTTGTAGGTAGATTTGCATGGGAGCAGCCGGTTCAAAGTACTGGGGCGTCCGGTTCACATTGTCATGGATACAGCAGGGCGTTTGGCAGTAATGATAGGCTCATGTGGCTAGGTAACCATGGTGCTGGTCTGAGTTTGATGGGATAGGATATATGAATATCGGCGCTATTCGTCCCACAGTGTGTCCCTTGAGCGTGTACGGCAAATTATCATTTGGATCGAAGCTTGGGAATCCATTTTACTCCTCTTGCCGCGCCAGATTCGAATGCAGCTTGTGTTGCTTCATCAACGAGACGCTAATCAAGCCCGCGACGGTCAAGAGGAGAGCCATGATCCACACGCCCCTGAAGGCCTCCATAAACGACTCGATCACACCGTCATACCAGCCTTCGGGCAGCCTCGCAAGCTCGTCTAGATCATCGCGGATTCGCCTGATCTCGTCTGCCGCACCCGGCAGATGCCCAAACCGATCCCACAGCCTGGCCTTGAGGATGTTCTGATACACGGCTGAGGCGACGGTGATGCCCAGGGTCGCACCAACCGAGCGGAATGCGTATGTCGCCGAAGTGATGACGGCCTGGTGTGAGTGGTCCACGGCAGCGATGCATGCAAGTAGTGTCACGGTCAGCATGCCGCCGTAGCCCACGCCAACAAGCGCCATGGCCACAAAGGGGACCCAGTTCGGTGCGTGCTCGTCGAGCGTCACGACGAGGGACATGGCCACTGTGTAGGTGCAGAGCATGGCAATGCCCAGACCGACGTACTTGCCGGTCCTCTTCATGATCAGGCCGCATCCGATCGACGAGATGGAGACACCGAAGGACGACGCCAGAACGCGGAGCCCGGCCTGGGTCGCAGAATGGCCGAGCACCTGGAGGTACAGCGGTATATAATACATGGTCATCATCACCACCATAGTTCTGATCACTCCTGCGTTAGTAGTTGCGTCTCTTGCTGTCGTAGCTGGGATGGGCTGCAACAAAAAAGGTGTAGTGAGACGTACCCCAAGAAACTGGTGATACAGGCGTTGAGGACGGTCCGGTCGAGGAGCAAGCGGACAGGGATGATGGGCTGTCTCGCACGACTTTCCCACCAAACCAAGACAAAGAGCATGGCAAAACCCAACGGCAGGGTCGTCAGTACCAGCGGGTCGGTCCAGGGCACGAGGTTACCGCCGGCGTTCAGGCCGAGAAGAACCAGGACGAGGAAGCCAACGGTCAAGAAGGATCCGCCAAAGTCGATCCTGGCGAGCAGCGACTTGTTGGAGATCTTGGGCGGGACATTGACGAGACACCACACCATCGTCCCTGACACGACGATCACGGGCACTTGGATGAGGAAAGCGAGCCGCCAGCCCCACGAGGAGGTGTCGTTCATGAACCCGCCGAGCACGCCTCCCAACATGGCCCCTGACCTGCGAATCGCATTCCGCGTCAACAGACCAGAACAACCACCACAATCACACACGCACATACGCACACACCACAGCAGCAGCACAACGGGAGAACCAATACTCACCCGTACGCGATATTCCCCACCCCCTGCACAACGCCCCTCTTCTTCAGCGGCACCAAGTCCGACGCCAGAAAGGTGCTGATACTCATCAGCCCGCCCCCGCCCACACCAGCCACCACGCGGCCGGCAATCATCCCGGTGCCGTCTCGCGCCAGCCCGCACATCAGATTTCCCACGGCAAACATGACGTTGGAAAACACCAGACCCGGCCCGCGTCCAAAGATGTCGGTCAACCGGCCCGACAGCGGCTGGAAGGTCGCGTTGGCGATCAGATACGCCGTCGCCAGCCACGACAGCAACGAGAGCGAGTGGAACTCGCTCGCAATGGGCGCCGAGAGGGTGGCCATGATGGAGGCGTCCACTGCGCCCAGGAAGACGCCTATGTACGAGGCGGACAGGGTCAGCCAGAGCCGGGCGGGGGAGAGGGCTGTCACTAGGAGGGTGGTCTCCTCCGTGTCGCCTTGTTCTTCGTTTCCAGAGCCGGTGTCATCGTCTGGTTTGGGAAGGAGCGGCGTTGTTTCATATGCGGGGAGAGGCCGGGCTTGGGAATGTGATGCTGCCGAAGGCGAGGGTGAGCCGGTGAACCCGGAGGGGGACGAGCCCCGCGGCTCGGAGGCCGAAAGGGCGCCCTGTCCGGAGGCGCTCATGGAATTCGCTGCTTTGGAGCTGGGAAAAATAGAGACGAGTTTTGAGTTGAACTATCCAGTGGTGAAAATGGACCAGAAGTGAGTAATAATGAGTATCGGGAGAAAAATTGTGTATGCTGCAATGCTGTAAACATGTACTGTTGGGTAACAACGCACTGAGAATGGAAGGATCGGCCTGTGTGTTAACCTACCGTTAGCGACATCGGCTGCCTTTGACGAACCGGGCGACATTCCGCGATCCGGGAGCTCAGCGTCCAGGGGTCCAGCCCGGGGTTTATTAGCGTCATCACATCCAATCGCGGTCTTGAGCAGCATCGCACCCGACAGTTACAGTAGTTAGGTGATACTTAGAACCACGGAGGCTGGCTTGTAACAGAGTAATAATTGTGTGCTGTATTTCTCAAGTACCAAGCCTTTGGGAACCCTACTGGTAGTACTCGATGTAGACCCTAACCCTCATCTATCCAGAAGAGCGAGTTGCCTATGTAGGCCCGGTAGTATCCCTGTAAACCTCTTGATATTCTACATCTTCGGGGGTGGACACTAAACCAACTTCCACACCCCGTCCTTGGACTCAATCCTGACCTCCCTATTCTCGTCAATACTCCGCCGCCCCGCCTCGAGGATGGCTGTTGTCGCGATTGTGTTCCGGAGGGTTGGGAGTCCCTTGGCGTCCAAGTCTGCAGGCTTGAGCTTGCCGGCATTGACGGCCTGGCAGCCGTCCACGAACTTCTCAAACGAGACATAGCCATAGCCGCTCTGGCCGTTGAAGTTGCCCTCCTCGTCCGGCGCATACCGCATGTAAAACGGATTGTACCACATCAGCTGCCCGGCCGCATCTTCGGCAACCTCGTAACCGCGCTTGGCCTGGTTGATGTTGATCTCGCCGTCTCTGGCGAGATAGTGGAAGTACTGGTTGGAGTGCACTCCAGCCTTCTGCGGCGCCGTCCATGAGGCAGTGTACACACCAGTCGCCTGTTTGGAGGGGTCGTCCTTCTTCTCCCAGTGCACCAGCAACGAGATGGTGTCCTCGGTGGACTCGTGGCACCCGAGGCTTGTTGCGACGCCTTTCGACGCCGAAGCCGACACCTTGACCGGGACGTAGCCCAGCTGCGAAACCATCGAATCGCAGATGTCGACGTGGTGGCTGTTGAGGTAATACGAGATATCCGAGTCGATCCCTGCCCACGCCTTGAAGGTCTCCAGCTGGGACTTGGGCTGCGACATGTAGCTGTAGAAGTAATTGAAGTCACCCAGCTTCTTGGCACGGGCCTTCGCATCCCAGTAGGCAGGGTCGTAGCGCTTGTGGTGCTCAATGTACACATAAACACCCTTCTTTTCGGCGACTTCGAGAAGAGCGAGGTGGTGTTCCAGGGTCTTTACCGCCGGCTTGGTGATCATGACATGGATGCCCCGCTCGATGGCGTAGAGCGCGATAGGGTAGTGTGTGGTGTCTGGAGTGAAGATGGTGATGGCATCGCCGGGGGACAGGGCATCGATCGCCGTCTTGTACGCGTCCGGATCCTTTACATCGTCGGCCGGGTAAGATTCGAATGACGTGTCCAAGTTGTTGTAGGCCAATGTGATGTTCTTGTGAAGATGTTCCCCTGGGACAAGCCGTCAGCTCAAGTTGCCCCCATCCCGCCACGATTGGATCATGCCGCTTACTGATTGCGGGATACTTCGTCCCATTGACGCCCGCCATTGCGAGCTTTCCCACTTTGCCTCTCCGCCGGAGGTCAAACAAGGTCAGGCCCACCACTCCCACCTTCTTGTCTGAGCCGGAAGCACCACCACCGACGAAGCCGGTGGTGTACTCTCCCGTGCCAACCTTGATCGCCGTTAGCTGAATTCCACAGATCCTGCTGGATTCACTCTCACCATTAAGACATTGAGAGGCTCCATTGTGACTAAAGGTGAGGCTATGGGGGTGATGTTTGCCGTCGAGAGATGTGAACCTGGAGGAAGACCGGGGAAGGAAGGCCGATAGAGTTATTGGAACACCGAGTATATGCTAGGATGAAGATAGAGCTACTACTAGTAGCTCATGTTGCAGCTATGGAGGGGCAGTCCCTAACAAAACCATCAAGAACCATTTCTTGGCCGCCCCGGAAGAATTCATTGTGAGGGGTTCGGACCCAAAAGAGGGGCAATTGGAGCATTGGAGACATGAAACAGTACTTTGGACACATGAGATTGGTATGTCGAGCTTTGCGAACAAGCAAGCACTCCGTGCTGTCATTTGTGGAATGGCCTAGACCCTCCCGGAAGTATTTCACATAGGTACCTGATTTTTGTCGTGCCGGTGCTATGGTGGGAAGTTTGCTCTTGTGAAGTACATTCAATTCAGGGGCAGGATGGCAGCTTGCAATGCTTGGTGGATTGTGGAAATTGGAGAACTTGAAAGCCAAGACGGCTCCGCCAGGCTTGACACTATCCTTGGACCCACCCCCACGCTACTTCCAGGGTTCCCCGCGTTGGCGTCTGAAGCACAGCGCCGGAAATCCTGAAGGGCCAGAGGGGATTCCTTTCGGACTGCTTTACCTTCCTGTTGACCTTTCAGCCTCTTACAGGCTAAATGATTCCTCCCACCTATGCGTACGCATTTCGTTAACAACATAACGTTTTCTGAGCCGGGATGGCGGCCTCTCCGATCTGTAGGGCGCACCACACTGACTCCAATGGCTACCACCTCATGACATGGAAGAGCCGCCTACCGGTGCTTAACGCAAAGAATATGGGCCATCGCTAGTGTTACATGTTATTGGAGGAAAATCATTTTCCGCCTCACACCGGGCACTCACGAGATCATCTCGCCTGAACTTCAGCACATCAGCCGAGTTGTCGTTCTTGTCTTATCTCAGAAACCTACTGCGATGAGAAGTGATCCCTCCACAATCTTTCGCTCGTATACCAGCATGAACTTAGCTTGGTCGTCCGTCTCGCTACTGACACGGCTGGACTAGAGGTTTGGCCCTTATTTCGGTACACACGACAAAACCCCAGGCTTTATTAGGTACCGGCAAGCCCATGTGGTTCCTGTTGTGTCATGTGGAGCAAGTCGATTTGGTTGCTCTCCGCTTGCCGCCTTTTCCACCCCACCATTTTTGCCCCGCCATTCTGCCGCCTTGCCCCTCCAGCCCTCCGATGACAACATAACCCGCCCTCACCACGGCCGACTTTGTCCCGAGGGCTGTAAAAGGTCCTCGGGGACACCTGGAAACAGCCTCATGCATTTGTGCAACCACTTCCTGCTCTCGGGCCCGCCATAGTTGGATCAATCGGGCTTCGTACAGCGAGCACCGAAACGTGGCAGTCAGAACGGCCACTTAGACCGGTAAACAAGGTTGAATCCCCAGGCCAATTAACATGTCCGCAGATCACCTTCAGTTTATACCCCCATACGGTACACAATAAACTCCCGTCGGAACCATGGATCGTCCACCTCTGGCAGCGTTGGCGATCAAGGGGATTCTTCCTCATCCCGAGCTGCTTCTCTGGTTACCTGGTAGCTTCACTTCTGTGTCCCCCATGCCGCAATCTGAAAGTTCAACCACGTCTGCTTCCTGGACCCGGCTCTCTGGGCTGGATGATCCGGGTGTCCGCAGCGTCTGTTGCCGTGGCTCCGGGTTCATGTATACCGTAGCACCTCGTCCCGCCCTCATCAAGAGTGTGTACGTGCGTTATTTCTTCGTCCAATTGGCCTATATATTGCTTCGATATAGATGCCTACAGACTGGTCCTGTGGCCACTTGCCGAGCCTACTACCATCTTACGTGGAGAAATCATGACTGCCCCCAGAGTTCCAGGCCGGCCCGGCACAAAGGGACCCGCACCCACCCCTGCCCCGGTGTGCTCCAGCATCTAATCCGGGTCGTGTACATACAAAACAAATCATCCAACGTCAAACCGAGTCCCCACTGTTCTTTGTTAGCTTGAGGCTGGAGCATGTGCCGTTGGTTGTTTCGAGAGGCCCGGTTTCCCTCATAAGCACCCGTCTTTCCGCCAGGACAGTCCACTTCTCTTCCATCCTACGTTATTACACACGTGCTCTTACTAACCTTCCTTTCCTCCCCACGCCTTCTCACCTTGTGCGTCCTGGCCGTGTTCTCTTCTGTGTCCCTCCTCGCCGAACAATCATGACTCTCGCCAACGGTGCCCCCAATGGGAGCGGGACGACCCGGAGGCCGCTTCCATGCGGCATCTACGCCCCGACCATGACCTTCTTTGACCCGGAGACCGAAGACCTCGACATCCCCACCATCAAGAAGCACGCCGAGCGCCTTGTGAGAGACGGCCTGGTAGGCCTGGTCACCATGGGCTCCAACGGGGAGGCCATCCACTGCACACGAGAGGAGAAGCTGGCCGTGACCCAAGCAACAAGGGAAGCACTCGACGCGGCGGGCTTCCCCGACACGCCCATCATCATCGGTGCCACCGAGGGCAGCGTCCGGGGCACGATCGAGCTCTGCAAACTGGCGCAGAAGGCCGGCGCCGACTACGCCCTGATCCTGCCGCCATCCTACTTCCGCTTCCTGATGAACGAGGAAGCCATCCACGACTACTTCGTCGCCGTAGCCAACGAGAGCCCGCTGCCACTGATCCTCTACAACTACCCGGGCGCGGTCGCGGGCATCGACATGGACTCGGACCTGCTGATCCGGCTCGCCTCACACCCCAACATCGTCGGCACCAAGTTCACGTGCGGCAACACGGGCAAGCTGACGCGGGTGGCGCTCGCGACGGACGCCAAGACGCCCTGGTCCGAGGGATCGGGGTACATGGCGTTCGGCGGCATCTGCGACTTCACCGTGCAGACGCTGGCCAGCGGCGGCAGCGGTATCATTGCGGGCGGAGCCAACGTCATGCCCAAGCTGTGCGTGAAGGTCTGGAACCTGTACGCCGAGGGCAAGAAGGACGAGGCCATCGCGCTGCAGAAGACGCTCTCCAAGGGCGACTGGGTGCTCACCAAGGCGGCCATCGCGGGGACTAAGCAGGCGATCCATAGCTACTTTGGCTACGGCGGCTATCCGCGGCGGCCGCTGAAGAGGCTCGATAAGGCCAGTGTGGCGACCATCGAGGAGGGCGTGAGGGAGGTGATGGAGCTGGAGAAGTCGTTATAGGGCGCAGATGCTGAAAGCTGTTGGGTAGTGGCTGCTGTATGTATGAAGGACTGAAAAGAGGAAACCGGGGGGCTCGAGACCGACCTACCAGGTAGTGTGTGCTACAGCCGTATGGGCGGAGGGCTGCACCTTGGTGAGCACAGCGGGAAATACGTTGTAACCACATCGGCTAGCCGGGCTGAGAGCGGACATCGTGCATTGGGACATGGTGGGCGGCATTGGGGGGGTACTACGCATTGGCATGTTCAAATGGAAAATGGCATTCTCCTACATGATAGGCCCATCTATAGCCCAGATCCCTAGTCAGTGTCGAGAACGTGATATAAGAGGGTATTGTCAGGACTTGCCTGCCTCCATACGGAATGAGGACGGAAAGGCGTTTGCACATGATGGTTACTTTCCAAGGACACTGAGCTGTTACGCTTTTCCCCAGCAGATGCTGGTATCATTCTCTAGATTACTAGTACTACTACCTACATACCCCTCAATGTTCGGAGTTGCATCTAACTGTGTATGCATCAACCCTGGCGCCTACCCTGTTGCTACATCGGTTACATCTATCTCTATGTCCTAGACTGTCGTAATGAACTCCGATATCCGATCTTTGAAACAACTCCTCGGCTTCCAGTACCCGGTTAAAGATATAGATTCACGGGAACTAGAATGCAATGGAAAATCCGCTACTTTAAGCGAGCACTACCCAACGACGAAAGAACGATTTGTCATGGCCCTTACGACTGGACTCCTATGCTCGCTCGTTAGCGGTCTCAAGAACCGGAGAACTCATTACATGCCGCTGAATAGCAGATCAGGACTCCTCGGCTCCCTGGCACCCACCCCTGCCGACTCAAAACAACAAGACCACAAACGGACCCAGAAGTCTTAAAGCTTACATATATAAATCTGTAGATCTCTAGACCTTGAACCTCCTCGGATCTAACTTCCCCACATCCGCATCCACCTCATCCCCGAAGATCATACCAGCCATGAGATACCCCGTCGCCGGGCCGTTCTGGATCCCCCAGCAGGTATGGCCCGACGCCACCCACAGGCCCGGCACAGAGGTAGGCCCGATCAAGGGGCCGCGCTGCTCGCCGAACCGCGTGTGTTGCGGCAAGTAACAGGCTTGGCGGGCCTTGACGGGCGCCGCGGCCAGGGTCGGGGAGATGGTGCTGATGTACGCTATTAGGTCGTCACATTGGGACGGGTCCGTGGCCACTTGGTCGGCTGTCGCTGGCAGTGGGATTGTGGTGTCGGGCTCGCCTTTTGAAGTAAGTTGTGTTAGTTGGGTAGAAGCAGTCAATGGGGTGCAGGCACTGCAGGGGCGGACTGTTCCCCGCCGGGGCTTTGACGTACCGCAGGCGTAAACCTCCCCAAAGGGGCGGGCATAGATCTCCGGGTCGACGTGGCCCTTGTGCCGCCGTTTCTGGCCGTGGCTGGCACGGTGTGCGGGAACGTAGTCAGTGGGCAGCTGGATATCCGTGAAGACGGCGTAGGGGCTGACGTCGGCTTCAAAGACAACGCTGTGCGCACGCAGACCTTCCACCCTTGTTCGAGGGAGGAGTTTCCCGGTCCATGGCCCCGCTGCAACCACGACGTCCGTCACGTCTTCAATGGTCTGTGTCACGCCTGTGTCACGGTCCTCGTACTCAATGCTGTGTACGCCGCTTGCCTTGGTGTCGTTGATCTTGGTTACTTTAGCGCGTAGCCTGATGTCCACGCCCTGGTCTCTGGCTAGCTCAGCCATGGCGTTGGTGAAGTGGAAGGGATGAACCTGGGCTGTTTCCGTGGCGCCCGGCGTGCCCATCTCCTCGTAATGTTGAATTAGTCTCCCATCAATCCAGTCGAGGTCGGATGGTAAGGGAGAGTCCTGTAGCAGGCCGGCTGCTCTGTCATCCTGTTTAGGGAGTTTCTCCCAGTCTTTGGTCGTCTCCTCTGGGATCGTGCTTTGTATGGGGAGCTCGCCATTGTCATTGCCACCGCTATTGCCATTGCCATTGCCATTGCCGTCGGGGTTGTGGTTCTCTTGTTGCGGGGATGACCGCGACGGCGGCCTCCTTTCTGTCGCTTTGATGTCGCTTGTTTTGACGATGGCGGCAAGGCTACCGCACCCCAGGCGGCGGTAACCCCATCGTTGTGCGCCGTTATGTTCGGCAGCCAGTTCTCGGTGCAAGCGGTATGATAGCGGCACAAGACAGCTTGGATAGGCCCATAATGCTAACAACCCTCCAGCCTTGCCAGATGCGCCGGCAGCGATGGAGCTGGCTTCAAGGAGTGTAACGGTGTGAAGGGCTGGGTTGAACTTGGGATGGCGCGTCAGAAAATACGCCGTGGTGCATCCGATGATACCGCCGCCTAGGGTGTGAAAGCTGTATGAGTACCGATTCATGTCTTGCTTAACAGGGAGTAGGTAGGTAGGTACGTAGGAATGACTGGATACCAGGCTGACCTACCAACGACGACAATGTTCCTCTTCTGCTGCGCATCCATGCTTGTGATTGCCCCTTACGACAAAGGCCAGCTTCAGGTCGGACTGGTAGAACTACAACAGAGACAGTATAGCCAATCGAACTCCGCTGTTTCTTCATTCAAGCCCGGCATAAAACACCCCGGGCCATCGTACACTGGAGTCGGTGCCCCTGGAAGTTCAAGTGTCTGTCACAACTCTCAAGGAATGAAACCCCGCTGCGTCATCGTGCTGGCCCGAGCTTCTGGTGGGGCTCTACATGTACGTACATGGTGGGGTTATAACGAACTAATCCTACGGCCGAGACATTTCTTCTGTCCTGTTGCTGCCATGTTCTAATGCACATTCAAGGTGGAAATTGTATTTGAATGATATAAACTTTGGCATTTTCTCAATGTATTTTAACTTGACGCTCGTCCCAAATCGCCTTCAATCTCTGCTTCCTACTCAACGGTCCTCTCAGACGAGCCCAGGGGGGTGATGAGGGGCAGAAACGTGCGGTGGGCCTCGCCAAAATGTCCTTGCAGCAAGTCCATGATTTTCATCCTTGCTCCTTCCCGAGTCCCGTCCGTGTCTTGGCACAGCTGATGCCACATAGACGAGAGTATCGTGATGTCCAACGAGGCGTGTGCCAGTTATTAGCAACTTGAACACAGACTGACCCAATACGAACCCAATTGATGATTTCGGTGCCTGTTTCAACATATGATCAGGAATAGCCAGGCACAGAGTAAACCTGGAAGGTAAGGTAGTGGCAGCATTGGCCGCGAGCATTGGAAACACCTACACCACTGGAAGCAACGGAGTTTTGCAGCGGTCCCCCAGCCTGTATCGGTGTACCAGACAAAGGGAAGTACTAGTACTTACCTAGCCAATAGGACTTCTTGGAGCAGGAAGCTGGTAGCTCGGGTCGCCGTTGAAACCGAAAGCCCGGTTCTACACTCGCCCGTTCTTTTATACCTTATAAAGCACACTCAACTTCAACTCCCGTTCCCTCGATCTTAACATCCATGGTCACCGCTGCCCAGAGAACGTCACGCCTCCAGCTATTGCACATTTCGCGCCAGTCACAACTGAGACAAGCCAGAGCAACTGCGTCCGTTGTGCATCGACATTTACATTCATCGTCTTTGCAGCACGTCGGAACAAAGCCCATTATCACATCGCCAAAGCCACAACCGGCATTCTACAGACCATTCACAGCCATGGCCTCTGCAACAACCTTCTACGATTTCAAGCCGCTCGACAGTTCGTAACCCCGTCTCTTATGCATGATTGCGCGCTCTCACTAACATGCTCACCAGAGAAGGGCGAGGAAGTACCCCTCTCAGACTTCAAGGGCAAAGTCGTCCTGGTCGTCAACACAGCCTCCAAGTGCGGCTTCACCCCGCAGTACGCAGGCCTTGAAAAGCTGTATAAGTCCGTGCGCGAGAAGCACGGCGATGACTTCGTCATCCTGGGCTTCCCTTGCAACCAGTTCGGCAACCAGGAGCCGGGCTCCAACGAAGAGATCCAGGAGTTTTGCCAGCTCAACTATGGCGTCAGCTTCCCCATCATGGGCAAGGTCGACGTCAATGGTGACGATGCGAGTCCCCTATTCCAGTGGCTCAAGGAGAAGCAGCCGGGTCTCCTGGGGCTGAAGAGGGTCAAGTGGAACTTTGAGAAGTTCCTGATTGGGAAGGATGGTAATGTGAAGGGCAGGTGGGCGTCCATCACCAAGCCCGAGAGCTTGGAGCCTATGATTCTGGAGGAGTTGGCCAAGTGAGAAGTGGGATCGCATCTCGCGGGGCTTTCACGTTTCGGGAGGAACTGCATGTTTTACTGCATACCTTACCACTAGTGCTCACTAATCTGTTATCTAGTCTCAGTGTGGCGGTAACGACCAGTTCGGAAGGGTCATCTGGCCTTATTTCATCAATGAGGTCCTAATACAGGTCAACAGCTAGAGGAGGCGGCTCTCCTGGGCCATCCCGGGTGGTACTCAAAACAGGGACGACAAGGTACAGATCCAAAACTGATACCGTAGACAGCGCCGTGTTTCTCTGCTGGTTTGTTGAGCAGGACTGACATGGGGGAGGAACCGTGTGTGCTCAACTGGCTACGAGCGTGAACCTCTAGTTGCTGATGAGAGTTGGGAACCAGGCAGCTGGGAAAGAGAATAATCCTATGAGTCTGTCTACCTCGCCAAGTTCCTACCAGTGTAGCCTCCGTCCTGGCAACGCTATTGATCTCTGCCTCGACTGATACCAATGTATTGTATTGTACATGCACACTCAGACAGCAGCGCAGGACCATTGTATGTCTATACATATTCACTTGGACTAGAGCCTCAATACATCTCAACCGCATACCCAGATAGGCGCCCACCGTGGCGTGTGGACCGAAACAAACATCTGCACAACATTTCCTGGTGCTATTGGACAACTGCCTGGCAGACCGCAGCCGCTTACCGCATCACTACTAGCATATGGCACTAGTCAGGTCCCCTCCTCCCAGAGCGTCTTTTCATGAGGGCACTCTTCAGAAGCTGCGAGGAAGGTGCTAGTAACTGACTGTCCCCTTCAATATTTAAAGAGCTAGTAGTCGGTGAGACCTTACTGGGTCGTAGGAGAACGAAGTCCTTTCCTTTACTTCTCTCCCCCCTTTTCTGTTCAACTCCTCCTGCGTCCTCCTCATTCCCCTTGGCTTCAATCTCTATGTAAGGTATCGGTAGCTTCAGTTCAGTGGTCTCCAGTCTTCAATACACTACTAGTATCCACCAATGTTCGATAAGCTTGTTACATCTCGTTTCATAGGTAGGTTAAATAAGTCATAACGCACAGTACACGGATGCTCTCTGGTGGACTCTCCCTCTTTACTCGCTCTGTTGAAGAAGAACAAAGCAAAAGTAAAGAGATACAAGAGGCTACAGAGTAGTAACAACAAACAACAGACATTTATCCCCCCCCGTCAGAAGCATTGAATAGTACCTATCTATCTTTGATTCACTTGGCCTTCCCCACCCCATCGCCCATGGGCCGGTTCGGTAACGATATCAATATCATGATATCCCACCACGCCTACCAGTACGGACAAAGCAGTCTTGAAATCCACGCGAAACCCACCCGACGCCACGCAAAAGGTTTACATCAACTCGTCTTCTGCCCGTAATTTTAGAACCTTTTCCAGCATCGTGTGACCGGTGGTGTTGCCGGAACCCGCCCCCTGACTCGGCACGTAGCACATACATGTCAGCATGATCATGCTGCACAGGTATCATCTTTCTGGGGCCGTGATGAGGGTCGGGGAATACAACTGACGACACAGGGTGCTAGCCTCTTCGTCGTAACCAGGAGCGGCTCGATACGCTGCCTTTTTCTCCTCGAGGCTCGTCGTGGTAGGTATCATACGATACGGTAGGCTCGCTCCCTCGGCAGATTTGCGACGGACAGAAGAGACGACAGGTCGGATCTGACGATGGCACTCTCATAAGGTAGCGTAGTAGCTGAGTAGTCTGACAAGTCACGGGCGACACATACGGAACGAGAATAACTGAGAGGCAGAGGAATCTGTGATGCTAAGGGCTGACTGCGCAGTGTAGCACGGCAACACAATAGTATTGTAAGCTCCCGCGCGACTGCATAGAACTCGCATGCACCAGGATTCTTCCCCCATTACAGTTGATGTCCACATGCCACGCTCAGTTACTCAAAGGAGCAACCGATGATCTGACTAGGACTCTGGGAGACGGGAAAGATACCTTCCTTTCCGTTCCTGCGGTCCACTTACCACTGGGTAAGAGCTCGCCGAGCCGACAGTAGGAAGTATAAACCAGCCCGTGCTGAGAGGGCCTTCACCGTCCATCTGCAATCTTTATGCAGTGTATCCCACACTACATGAACGAAGCAATATTCGGATTCTGAAAAGTGGGAGCAAGAGGGCATGGCCCGCCTCCGATGTCGAGCGAGCGGACAGCTGGTGGGTGTGTAATGGTTCTCGCACGTGTAAGCGCATGTGTCATGCGTACCTACCGCCGAGCTACGCGAGAGCAAGGAAGCGCCCAGACACGGTCTGATATCAACCACAACCGTTGTCATCTGCACATAAGCGTAGGGCTGCTCTGACGTGATGTTATTCATAGACTGAGACGAAAAGACACATGAGATATGAAGATGCAGAGGAGGGTCAGGTGGGCGTTCCATGATCGCAGGGGATACAGGATATGGCACTACAGTAAAACCATGGAAGGAGGGCAAGCATACCGCCGGAGGCAACGGCAATGGCTTGTTTTCCGCAGGCCTGGTCGGCCATGCTATCTCAGCCCACTTCGATAACATTCACACTCGTGCATTGAGGCCGCGTCTTGAAGTTGAGGCGACGAGGTATTTACAGTATAAACAAGGCAGCGCCGGAGTACATGGTGAGACATTGGATATTCACCATGAAATTGGGCCCAAGCAGCCGGGACCAATGTTGTTGCCGCATGGTATTCAGCCGTATCCGCGGTTCTTTCTCCAACTTTAGAGATCGACTTGCTGGTGGCAAAAGATCGACATCGGTCGCCTCTGAGGATTCGCGCTGTTGACCTCACTGGCCCTCAACATCTGAGAAAGGCGACTTCTGAAAGTGGCTGAGATGATTTGTCCGTCGACTGGCGACCAGGGACTGGCAGGTATGTGGCGCTGGGACTTGACCATGATGAGAGTGAGACATGGCAACACTGTTGAGGAAGAATAGCCGAAGCGCATGATATGTTATGCATCGTCGATCGCTGAGCCAAAGGCACTTTGAGATGTTGTGTGCAAGGGCTCTTGTGCAGTCTGACGACCTTCGAGCATGCGACACTGCAACGGGGCCTTGCCTTCGATCCCGTCTCTCGGTGACGGAAGTGGGTTAGAGGCAAGGCCAAAATGCGGGGAGCCCGTGTGTCAAGATCGAGACCATACTAAAAGCAGTAAGGTGCAGCCCTGATTGCAACGTTCCATTCCGACGCCGTTCTGCAAGCGCCCTGGTTCTTCCTTTTTTTGCGCGGTTTGCGTTCTGAGGAACCGGCCGGCTCCGACCTGCTTGAAGATCGATAAGAGGGTTTCCTTCACAATCCGCGGTTGACTCCCACATGGTTCAGTGCTGCTATGTAGTTCAGCGACTGGGAAGGGAGGCATGGGGTGTACTGGTGATTAGGGACAATTAATTCGGAACGGCCTTACATCCATTGGAAGAGGACGACCTGATGGCGGGCTGATGGTGAGTGATGTCGCGAGGTTGTGCTGCATGACGCAGTGTTCCTCCCGCGCGCTGCACCCGATCATTTCGAAGGGGGCCACAGAGCTGGATAACCCTTCTCGTGGGTTGCCCAACTCAATTCTCCGAGGGAGCTGCAAGGAGAAGTCTAGTCATTGCATGAACGTGAGAGCTGCACTGCAGCCGAGGCTCAACACAGAAAATTGCAGGGCAATTTGATGCCCCGCTTGGTGCGGAAAGTTAGAAGCCAAGACGCGGTGCCGCGAGGCGGCGTTGAAAAAAGGGCCGTTTTCTTCAGCCACATCTTTGTGCTTGCAGCCGCATCCCGGATCGCAACTGGCTCCGCCGGGAGCACTCGCAGATGGGTGTCGAATGTAGCCAATGAAATGCGCAGTCACCCCTCGGCCATCGCCCCAAGCGGTGTAGCGTCGACCAGGGAGCTAGCGAACGATAGAATTGTGAATGAGGGGCCGACAATCATCAGCAATGGCGGTCAATGGCTCCAGCTGTCGGAACCCAACGTCAACCGAAGCAATCAAGCCAGGACGAGATTCGTTGGCTGGCTGGCTGGCTGAGAGCCAGGGCTGTCCCAGCTGCCGATCTGTCCAGCAGCGCTTAGCTGAAAAGGATCAATATCGGCTCTGATTCGCCGCCTATCGCTCAGGGGAAAGTCCTCCTCATCAACCGGTAATTGTCCATCCTCCTGATAAAGCATGTGAGAGCGATGGATGATTGGTATTCTGGAAGAACTCTACCGCATTCGTGAGATCAAACGGTCTCACGTTTGATTGAGGGACGTGGAGAGAAAAGACTGTGGTGTGCAGTCCAGACAGGAGTACGGAGTACTACTTCGTATAGTCGGGTGCTCACTTCAACGCGGCTTCGGACGACTTCCGCCGTTGATGCAGTCCAGTTCATTTTATGGGCAAGGCAACTGTTGATGACCTTCAAACTCTTGATACAAGGACCAGCCAGCTACTCAGCCTAGGTTTCCCCGCCAAAGGTAATTATAAGTTAGGTAGTGACCCTCACCGAGGCTTCGAGGCTTCAAGCCGAAGGAACTTGACGCTGGCGGGGCCCGGCTCATGGAGTTGGACGAAGCTCAAGGCGTTCTGGTATCTGGTGAGTTCTGGAACCATATTTGCTGCGTGCCTGGGTCCGAATTTTCAATGTTTAAGGCGTTCTGCTATTGTTGTATGTAGGTACCTAAGGTATGTACAATACAAGTGAGAGACTGTCGCATCATTCTGACCTGTGTTCGACATCCCGGGGGGAGTGTGTAATTAGTTAAGCGGCGCATGGCGTCCTTGGCACGCACCCGCTTGCGCTACCGGCTGCTGTTCCGAGGGTGTGGCGGCAGGCTTGGTCATGCATGGCCGTTGACAAAAGAAGAAACGCCTTCGCGACGGCGATTACAGTGATGAAATGACATACCGGTAGAAATCGCGAGCTCGAGGTTTGTATTGCTTTTCAGTGACTTGCCGCCCTCAACCCATGTCGCCTTTGCTGTCGAGGGCGCGAGGCTAGCGTTGTGTAACTTCGGTTTGCAACAATCGTCAGCCGACAACGCCGAGGCACCGAGTGCTGGGTTGAGGGAAAATGAAGCTCACTCCTTTATCCGTATTCTGTACGAAGTCGTCAGGCTTCTCGACTCAATCGAGGCCTCGGACCATCTTTCCACCAACGCCGATCCAGTATGCCGTCGCTTTCTTCCGACCCGGCGACCAAGATACCCAATGGTCGGTTTTAATAGACGCTGCCAGTTGTGCGGCGATGGGAACCGACGCGAACGCAATGTATCTACTCCGTACGTACTATAGACCTAAGCATGTACTGTAGAGTGTATCTAGTGGACCCCCACTCCCGGCTCGTGGCATCAGTTCGCGTGCTTTGTCCCATGCCGCGGAGTGGGAACTACAGAATAAATAACAGCCCGCTTCCCGAAGATATCGTCCAAATATGCCATGAGCCCCCTTTCGTCAGCGACACTGACCCTGGTATATCAAATGCTTCGCTTCCGGCTATGGCGATGAGAGGATGGTTGTTGAGGAGGTGCCGTGTCGGCTCTTCAAAGAAGGATCTTTTGCACGCGACCAGGCGATCGGGATTCGGGAAGGTCAGTGCCAACCATGTACAATATGTACAGAACGGGCCCGTGGCTGCGTGGGGACAACCGACAACCGATTTCTCCATGGTCACAGGTTCTGATAACCGAGTGGATGACTGTGGACCGCTGCAACGCACCTCACCTCAGAGTTGGGCATTGTCCGTGATAATGCCAGCTGCATGCGCATGGCGGCGCTGACGGAAAAAAACAGCTTTAATCCCGAGGTTCCGTGGATACCGAGAATGCCTTCAACAGAGAAGAGACGGGACCAGGTCGAGAAGCACTGAAGTTCAAATGTGAAAGCGGAATGCCAGGCCAAGGCGCGCCAGGTGACCCCCACAAAGAACACTCGCTGTCCAATAATAAGCGGGTTTGCCTCGGCTCCTTCCCCAGTTTCCGTGCCTGTGCACCGTGCGAGGGCAGGCGCTCCCCGCAGCTTGAGGATGCCGTTTTCCTCCAATGTCAGCTTCAGGTTTCGCTGATACTACAGGATTGCCGGCGCTGGTCCTCCAGGGCTCCATGTTCATGTTGCCTCGCTCACTTCCAGGTTTCGAGTTGTCACCGCATGGGAGACGGGAACTCTTGTCAACACCTTGCAGTGGGTGGATGGAATCCACCCTGCAAAATCGCGTGCTATCGGGGACCCGCGCCGGCTCCGGTCCTTATCTCTCTCGCAAGAAAACCCATGTTTGCATTCAGGCACTCTTTTTTCCACGCCGCGAAATTTAGAATCAGACGAACACCATGGATCACGATGCTAGCCACAGCTCGTGGGGCATCTCGAGACCTGGCAGACATACTTAATAATCGCGCCGGCAGGTTGGTGCTTACTACCCTTGAATCCGGATTTCCTGTCATTTCTATCAATCTAATGCATGTGTATTCCATGTACATGAACATGTTAGAGGTAACTTCTGTGGTAGTCTTTGGTGTGTTCCATTTGCTGCTGTCCTCCTGCGTCCCTGATCCCCTCCGCCACTTGTTCTGCCGTCCCACACTTTTGCGCCATCGGCCAACCCTGGTCGAGTGGCCAGGGCAGGGTTTCGCTCGATGAACGGGAGTGGGACTGGACGCCCTCGGTCGCTGCGCAAGAAACCTCGTCACCTCTTCCAGGCCGTTGCACCACTCCAGGCCCCGGGCGTCCTGCAACCCCGGGGCCACTTCGCACTTGGGGGGGGAGAGCCATGGAACGGTACTTCGGTGTACCTTGCCCGCGAGAAGGGGCCCCTGCCTGCGGTCGTCGGGTGGGAAACAGGCGCCCTGAATAAAACAAGGCCCTCTGCCCGTGGATCGCCCGCCTTGCGCACCTGCTGTTCCATCCCGACTCCCTCTCTCACCCACCGGTTTTATTGCTACTCCCCAAGCGTGCTATGGGGCTTGGGCCTTGCCATATTACCGGCGATTTACCCAGACCAGTCAGCTGCTACGCATCTGAGGCCAGACCGTGTCTTGGATAGCATTCACTCTGTCGCCCCGTTGCGCTGGATCTTGCCCTCCCGCAACAAGCCCTGGAGACTGGAGCAGAGTCGGAAGCTGCTTCGGCCGAAGCAACGTCGTCCCGACATATTACTTTAACCGCCGGTCCTCGGGGGTGCTCACAGCATGACTGCCCCGATCAGCACACCGGTGACCTCGACGGCGAAGGATGCCGCCTCGGCCAGGAAGCGGCGGAGAAGAGCCCCGGCCGGTGGGGCCGCAGACGACTGCTTTACCTGTGCTAAGCGGAATGTGAAGTGCGACCGGAGGAGGCCGTACTGCTCGCAGTGCTTGGAGATCGGCAACGAGTGCTCTGGCTACAAGACGCAGCTGACATGGGGCGTCGGCGTGGCGAGTCGCGGCAAGCTGCGCGGGCTCTCCCTTCCCATTGCGAAGGCCCCGCCTGTGAGCTCGAGCAAGACAACGACGGTGAAGTCGCCGACGGCCGCACGGGGCCGGACCGGCTCTGTCGCCTCGACTGGGCAATGGACGGCGGAGCAGCAGGATGACAGGGCCAGCAGGGAGGAGACGGAAACAGGCATCAAGCCGGAAAACGCCAACAAACGGAATCTATCGGTAGCGTTGCCACCGCCGGCACCCTTCCACTCGCACTACGACATGTCACACTTATCGCCAACCGAGACGGCACCACCAGGCTGGACTCACATCCCTTTTTCAGCGAGCATGACGGCAAACGATATGCCGAGGTTCGGGCCGGGCCCGCTCCAGATCCCTGTTTCGTCACCGGCAGACATGATGCGGCGGGACATGATTCACACACCGATCGACTCGATGAGCGACGTCGACTATATGTCCCCGCTTGGCCACTCGTTTCCGAGGGAAGAGGTGCCTTCCTACATCCACAGCCCGGTCGTGTACGAGGGGTTTCCGAGCCACACCTCGCCAGCCCCGCAGAGTCCGGTCACCGCCATGATGATCGAGCACTCCCGGGCGCCAGCTTCGTGTCCCAGTCTTGTCTACACCCCGTCAGAACCCGCCTCTAGCCTCCACTCTCATATCTCTCACATAGACAACCTGGAAGCACAATACGGCCGGAAACTGCCTCACGACTGTGACGTCTTGGGTGAGTTTCGCTTTTCCAAGCGGCCTGTGCAACCGACGCTAACCTCCAACGCACGCAAGTCCCAGGCACACCTGATCTAGAGACGTATAGTTCAAGCGCTCAATCTCACGGCGCATTTTGGGCAGCGTCGAGTGCCGACGAGGGGTCATCAGTATCCCAGAGCGTTCCGGACAGAAATCCAGAACCATGGCCCGGTTCGTTTCCCTCGCAGCCACCCTCACCTGTCCTGCAGGTGAGCTCGGATCTCATCACCAAAATGCCGTTTTTCATGGACTACTATGAGAAGACCATGTGCCCGGGCATGGTCTTCATCGACGGCCCCAACAACCCCTTCAGAGAACACATTCTTCGGCTCGGCACAAGCAGCAGGAGCCTACAGCATGCCATCTGTGCACTCGCGGCATGTAATCTGAGGATGAAGAGAAGGCTTAGTCTGGGTCATCACGGCAGGGATGCTGGAGAGAGACGATTAGACATGAGTCCCATTGACAGCGCATCCAACGTTCAACCCAGTGACCAGTCCCTCGCGGAGGAATACCAGCACCGCAATCTGGCCGTTCGTCTGCTGAACGAACAGCTGAACGACCCGGAGAAGTCGACGCACGACTCGGTTCTGGCCACAATATTAATATTATGTCACTATCGGATGGCCGAGTCGGGCGTGGCAAAGTTTCAGACGCAGTTCGCGGGCGTGAAGAAGATTCTAGGATTGAGACGGATGTCGCCGTACCCGCCTTCGAGAGACTCGGCGTGGATGGAAGCCTTGTTTACCTATTTTGACGCCATATCCGCGAGTGTCAACGACAGGGAACCCCAACTTACCACCTCCTTTTACGGCGTCCCGCCGGACGCGCACCTATTGCCACCAGGCGCCGAGAACTTGGTCGGCTGTGACCGGGACCTCTTCAAGACCATCAGCAAGCTCGGCCGGCTAAATCTCCTATCCCAACACCGCCCAGTACAGCATATTCTCACCTCGTCTCCACTACCTCGCGTCAGCGCGTCCTCTCGATCAGCATCACCTCTCAACGCGGCGTTCAAACCGCCTTCTTTACTCAACGGGCAAGACCCTCATCACCACAGCATATTCGGCGGCCCACCGCACCCCATCAACAGCAGCGTCCGATTCGACGGCAGTGGTTTCGGCTCGACGACCTTCGAAGACGACGAGATGCTTAGTCCCACACACCTCCACTCGCCGACACCTTACGACGATCCCCGCACCATGTTCTGGCGCGAATGGAAGGAAGCCCGCCTGGCACTCCAATCCTGGGAGTTCGACTCGGCCCGTGTCCGCGCCTCGCTCACCGCCCGCTCACCGCCAACCTCGCCGACATCGCCGTCCCCGGTCCCGATATCAAACTCCGTACCCACGAGCGCTCAAGTCCGCGACCTCAGCTCGTTAAGCGAAGCCTTCCGCTACGCCGCGCTGCTCTACACCGAACGCCTCGCCAGTCCCAACGTGCCGTCCAACCACAACAACTTCCGGAACCTGGTCAGCCAAGTGGTCTACTACGCTACCAGCCTCGAGTCGGGCAGCGCGGCAGAGAAGTTCCTGCTCTGGCCCCTGTTTGTGGCGGGGAGCGAGTGCGTGAACGAGCTGCAGCAGAACATTGTGCGGTCCAAGTGCAGGGAGATCATGGCCCGGAGCGGGTACATGAACAACCTGGCTGCGCTCGAGGTTCTGGAGAGGTTGTGGGCCGGTGAAGGGTGGAAGGAGGATACGATGAGGAGTTCTCATCATCAGGGAAGGATGCTTGGGAGCGAAAAGGGAGGGCCGTTCAACTGGATGAGGTGCATTGGAGGACCCGGGGTGGAGGTTGAGTGGATTATGTTTTGATGATGATAATGATGATGATGGGCTAATGAAGGGAATGAATGGGGCAGGGAATAGACGACTGGGATGCTGGTCGAATGGGGAGCGGTTTATAAACGGCGCCTTTGGAGAGCGCGTACTCTCTCTGTTGGTTGGGTTTTGTCGTTGAAGAGTAGGAGCGGAGCGGGATCTCTGTCATGGCTTCTCTTGTCCATATCGCGTTGGATGTCAGAGATGTCTACAGGCTACGCGGCGTGTGTCTACGTTTACTCCTTATTTTTGTACATGTACGCATACCCTGGATAATTCGGGACGGCGCATCTGCTGGGTACGGAGGCGGGTATCTAAGCTCATCATGGTCCATAGTATATAGCTAGCTACCTTACGAATATTAGGAGGCAGGTTCCTTGGAACAGGAAGAATAGAATTCCTGATCGCGGCCCATCCATCATCACAATGGTGCCGGTGTTTTGTTGCTGGTGATTACCCGGTCGAAGGGTTTCTTCAATTGCACAAATTGCACATGGATTAAGACAGCCTCTACCACCTCGGTGTGTGTTTTCCCGACAACCAGTGGGACACCCGTCCGTCTCTTCCCCAGTTTCCGAGTCCTCAAGATGCAGCAAAAGCCTCAAGTACCGGCTGGTACCGACATCGATGTCAGGCACTGTAGCCCAACCGGGCAATCTAGCCCGGACGGGAAAGGCTAGTGGGAAGCTCGGATAAGGGACCCCTGTCCGGCGTCCCATCGCTTGACGAGTTTCCCGGAATGTAGTGTTGCCGATATCTGCGTCCCTGCCGCCGGCCCTCGGTCAAGCAGACCCCTGGACAGAGATAACTTTAATAAACACCCATGTGCATAGGGTAACTACCTTACCGAGACAGCATTGATGATAGCCGCCCTGTAACCGGTTGGGTAGAGGAAACAGCGAACAAGCAACAAGACTCTCAGCAAACCAGGTGAGAAGAGGGGTCTTGGTAGGATGGGATGGGTGGAACGGCAAATCGCGGCCGTGGCGGATCGAGACTATCGATTTGATCTACATTCGACAATGGTGTGTGAAGGAGCAGGACGGATCTTCTGGAAGGTGTCTAGAAGGTAGGTTAGGTGATTGACCTTCCAGGCCAGTTCAAGTTTGCTCAACGCATGCAGGCGCCACACCCGACGCTCTCTTCGACAAGCGGTACCAGAGGTGTGCAACTGCTCCAGCATGCTCAACTTGGCAGGTATCTTTGCAGCTTAGAAAAGGTCTGCGACGCGAGAGGCTGGGCTCGTCAGATAACTACCTTAGGTAGACACAGATGCGCAACAAAAGCGGACATCCACATCCCTGGATGGCAACTTCCGACTGCAGGCGCTTCGGCAAAGAGAGGGGAGGTGTTGCTGGCGTCAACATAGAGTTGCAACTTCATGCAGGCGGACGCGGATGCAGCATGGTGCCATCTGCGGTCTGATCCCGTACACGGGACGATCCCACTGTGCTAAGCTTAGGAAGGAAGGAAATCGAGTTGCAAGTTGTCGTTATGTACTGCACCTACATGTGCTTCCATATTATTAGTGCTTGGGTGGGAAACGCGGGGTTGACAGCTCGTCTTTCCCTCGGCTTGGAAAGGAATGACGAGGCTTGCGTCGGCTTCGGCTACCACTATCTCGTGTACTGCCCTCTATCCACGGATGGGACAAACCTGGAAGTTGCGATGCTCTGGAGAATCTCCGACAACCCATGAGCATTGGGCAAAAGGGGAAGGGGGCGAACATTGGGCGTTACAAATGGGATGTGGTGGATGCCTGGTTACAATCATTGATTGAATGGCGCATCTCAAAAACTGATCAAGTGATATGGCCTCGACTCTGACACTCGGTGTCAGGTCACAATCAGCCGAGCTCTGCTAAATACCTAAGCTAGGTGATAGTTTGCTGTATCCGGTCTCGAGCGAATTTTATCCACAGCAAGCGCAAGGTGATTTTTCAAGGAGAACCGACAGTTCGAGTGAGACGGCCCCGGACATCGACGACGCCACACACGAAAGCCAAACGTTGGCACCGGCTGTTCTAACTTCACGACACATCCATCATGTGACAAGAGAAGATGTGAGTGAAATGGTGAGAATTGGCTTAGTACTACCTAAGGTACCCTCCAGGTAGTGAGACTCCCAAACGCATAAGGTTCAGTTGGGATTGGTGAGGAACGACAAGAGGATTCTCCCTTATTACTCCGTAATAGTGCTCGAGGGTTAGGAGCCTGCCAGTCATGTCAGCTCGCGGCCAGCTGCTGTATCCGATAATGATAAGCATCGAACCCCACTGAATCTCGTATCTTATCGAGCAGTGTGTCTAGGAAATTTTGGGATTGCAGGCAGTCGAGCTTGCTGTCGCCGACGCCGACACAGAAAAGGAATAGCAGCCCCTATCACGCAGAATGGGTCGCGAACTACAAAAGCGCAAGCGGCGCTCGTCGCGCCCGAAGGTCACGATGCCCAACCGGCGCAAGAAGGCGCTCAATCCACTGGGCAACGACATCATCGCCAAGAGCTGGTCCGTCTTTTCGCCGCGTTGCGCCTCGCTTTCTCATCCTCTTTTGCTGACTTTTACGGTGCTCTCACAGGAACAAGAAAGAAACCCTCTCTCAGAACTACAGCCGCTTCGGCCTGGTCGCCAAGCTAGGCAAAACCACGGGCGGCATCCTGCCCAACAACAAATCCGTCATCTCCACCACCTCCCGGGACCCGCTCGCCGTGAAGTCCGCCGACCAAGGCTTACTACAAGTCCGCGAAGTAAAAGTCGAGCGCGACGCCTCGGGCCGGATCACGCGGGTCCTGCATGACAGTAACCCGCTCAACGATCCGCTGAATGAGCTGGATTCCGACTCAGAGCAGCAACAGGAGGCAGAGAAGGAAAGGCAACGACAGAGGAACTATGAAGAATGGAGTGGCTTTGAGGCGGACAAGGACAGCAGTGAAAGGCCCGAAGTGCTCCGTGCGCTGGAACGGGAGGCCAGCCGGCCGACCGAGAAGCACGAGCGGCATGCGAGCGACCGGGAGATCGAGTGGCTGCGGCGCTTGGTCGACCGGCATGGAGACAACACGGCGGCGATGGCGAGGGATGTGAAGCTCAATCCCATGCAGCAGACTGCGGGGGACATCAGGAGGAGGTTGAAGAAGGCGGGTTTGCTGGCTGCATGATGCCTGGGTTGTCAGGCTGGGGAGTAGGAAAGGTCGGCCGCAGGGACAGTATGTTATGTTCGTCAAGCAATTGGGCAACTGGAAATTGGAAGCCTATCGAGGATTGCTTGGCTTTTGCAAGAGGACAAGACACAGGCGCTGAATGCAGCCTGCAAAAGAGGACCAACGCTTAGTGTTTACCCATATAACTGGCGTTCGGCGTTACATGATGAGGAAACATAAACCAGGGACCGGTCCTGCAATTCAAGAATAGGTATCAAAGGCTAGAAGACACCGAACAAAATCCAGATGTTCATGGTATCTCCTTGTGATCTACCCTCTATAACGCCGCTAACACCAGAGAAAGCTACGCAAATCCAATATTGTCCGTAGATGACCCTACCAAGCGAGGAATAAAAGGCTCGGATAGTACACCAGCCCGTCCATATACCTCGTCCACAAGGTACAAGAAATCCTCCAACACTATATTTCCCCTCGAAGTCTTCAACCTTGAAACCTTGCAGGCTCATAGTCGCCATCACTCATGAGATTCGGTCATAGGCCGCCGCAGGAAACCTCGCCGGCCTCGCATCATCCCCATATAGGTCCGTCGGCGCAGGCGTCGTCGTGTAACGGCTCCCCGCAGCAGAGATTCTCCCGGAGTGGTATTCGGTGTCGTTATCAAACATGTTCCCCTCGTTTTGGCGGAACGGGTTGTCCTGGTACCCGCTGACCGTGCTGCCGCCTCCAACCTGACTAGCTGCCCCAGTGTAGGGGTCAGAGTAGTCGGAGCGGGGACCTGGGCCGCCGTAGTGGGATCCGTCCTGGTCATGGTCATGGTCGTCGTGGTCATGGTCGTGGTCATGGTCGTTCATGTTGACGGGCGCGTAGGCTTCCTCGTCATGTGGGGCCAGCGAGAAGGCGGCCTTGTCCGGATCGATGTTCTGGCTGTTGAGCTGACCGCGGTCGTAACCCGGCAAGCGGTGATTCCATTGATAGTATTTGAGAGTCCAGACACTAAGGAATGTCGTCACGCCGAAAAATAGACTGCGGTGGAGGGTTTCGTTAGCGAGGTCTCGGCGGGGTTGGTAAAGAGGGGGACAAGGGCTATGGCGTACAAGACGAAGAAGGCCATCCCCACAACGGCCTTGCTGATGTTGCAAGCTGTACCGCACTGATTGGCGGTGTTATAGGCGGCCTGGGTAGCGAAGGCCGAGAGCCAGATGACGGCGAAAACAGCGTCAACGGTGAGCATCGCGTGCGGCTGGGCAATCTTTCGAGTTCGCGGGAAGCGCGGGGCCATCATCAGGTAGATCCAAGCCGGTACCGAGAGAAGGAACTAGGGGTAAAATCAGTGCTCTATGTTCTGGCTTTGAAGAGAGGAGGAGGATGTCCCTACCACTGCGAAGGTCCAGCCATTGTTTCCCACGATCTTCGACTTGTCTGCTCGGAAAACGGCGATCTCGAGCGCCCATGACACGAAGCCGAAGAGTATCTGGAGGGAGTGAAAGACCAACTTGAAAGTCGGGATGCGCTCGGGGTCGAGTTCGAGGTCCTCCCACATCTTGCTCAATTGTCTAAGGTAGCAGAGCCCGGTGTCGCCTAACTCAAAACGAACGTTCGGCTAGTGCTCAAGGTCTCAATGTTGACTTGAAGGGTCGCGGCGCTAGGGCAACGCTGGGCACTTTGTGTCGTCGAAAATCGGCTATGCACAACGTAGATGTAAACAAACGCTGGAAAAGAGAGGCTAAACAAGTAGCGAGCCACTGTATCGGCTCAAGGAAAACCAAAGCAGAGATTGATGTTCGGATTCAAAAAGGCTCAGCTCGCAGGTTTTCCATCGCAAAGAGAATGGATCCTGACACAGCCCGCTTGCGCTTTGCCTGGGCGACGACGGGAAGCCTCGTTCTTGGCAAATCGCACAGTGCAAAGCCACGAGAATGACGACGACGGGGCGCAGCTACCCAATCAGCGCTATCATGTTTGAGCGATCGGTGGGTCCTAGTTGTGTCTCTGCATGTTCCCGCAATCGTTCCCAGTTTCGACAAATCGCACTTCAACAAAGCTCAGTTGGCACAGAAACAGATTTCAACATCTGTCTGTTACAGTAGCGGCGCGAGTTCCTCAGCATTGCCAATTACTCGACGGCCACAAATCGCTCTCTGCCAGAGGAGCAGGTCTGATGCGGGTCGGTGGAACAAACAAGCGAAACATGAAGCAATCCAAGACTTGCCTGCACGTTTGGGCTAGCAGCCTGCAATTTCGGGCCAGACGAGAGACGGCATTCAACTGCCGGGCGGCATGCAACCCTGCCCGCCGTTAAGCACTCAGAGCCGACGGGCTCAACGTTAAACTGAGGTTGGAATGGGGAAACAGGTTGCTATGAATTTCGCACAACTCTTCCGAGTTACACGAGACCCCGATATGCTTTATCGAGGCGGGAGCTGGTCAACAACACAAGAGTACAGATCTCGGGACAAAAATAGCAACCTATCGGTCCCGCTGTGGGTCCAAGCTCGGCACCCGGCCCCGAATCCGGGCATCTGCGCGGAAGTGGTATTCCCAGTCACCGGAGCCCGGGCAATGTCGACGATGACTGGCAATGCCACCATTTGCCTTATGCGAGGTTTACAGCCTAAGTCAGATGGCTGTGGCGTTCAAAAGCCCGTGCTTTGTATTGTGGCCGACACGGCCTGCGTTCACAGCTTACCGTCTCGCCGAAGCTCGTGCTGGCAATAGAGACAGTGTTTCGAAGCCCAGCTCCGTTACATCCGGATGCTAGAACATACCTAGGCTCCTAGGTAAGCGCGCGAGGCTGTGATTCCCAGGATGACACTCCAGTTATCTTTGACTCTGCCCCCGCGAGCGCAAACGTGTTGTAGGCACACATCGGCCGAAGTCCAGTATACGGGACCCGGGGCTGCTGTTTTCTGGGGGCAGGTGTAGAGGTATCAAGTATGTGGAGGCGATATATCACCTCTCCGTCGAGAGGTACGGTTTGATTGCGGCCGTAAATTGTCTCAAATAGGGACACCTACACATGCTACACTTAAGGTGCCCCCATATTAGAGAATAGCGATCGAAGACGACGAAGCGTCGTACGGAAGGAACTCGGAAACCTAGTTACCTAGCTCAGGTGTCGACGCCTCGTCACCTTGTTGCTCCTTGTACACCGAGCCAGCAAGCCGTACTACTAGGAGTATCCCTCGCCTTGATGCTGGTTAGTGTCCCCAACCCCAATTCGCCTCAGACTTTCATTGTCCGCGTCCAAACATCATAACGCTCAATTGCCTCATACCCCCGTATCGTGTGCTGTGCTCTATGTCAGGCATTGAGATTGCGGGTATTGTGCTGGGGAGCTTCCCCATCCTACTCAAATGCCTCAACCATTATCGGGACGGCTTCAGGCCCCTCGAAGAGTGGTGGGATTTCCGTACGCATTCTGTTGCGTTTGTCGACGACATCAGACATCAGATGATGCGATACAACGAGAACCTGATCCGCTTGCTCGGTCCCATCGCTGCGAACATGCGTGACCTCCACGATTTGATTCGCAACCCAACAGACCAGCGTTGGCATGACGGCAACCTCGAGGTCCCGCTAAGACAGAGGTTGGGTAGCGAATACGATAGGTTCTTCCGGATTGTTGAGAGGATGCGCGAAGTGGTGGCCGATCTCGAAGTACTTCTTCAAATCGATGATGGGACCGTAGTTGCTCCAGTACCTATACATAGTATTTCTACCGCGCTGTAACCATATACATGTCTTTCCACCCATTTACGTGCTAACGGGGTGATAGGCTTTGTTGGTGAGCCCATCGCAAGGGACGCCCTGGCAGTGGTACTTCAAGCGGATGCGAATCAGTTTCTCCCGAGAGAAGCACAGGAACGTTCGCAAATTGGCAGCATACAATCAAGAGCTGCACGAGATCCTAGGCTACAGCGAACGGATCACCTCGGCGAGTGTTTCCGACAAGCGAGTGGCATTGGACTTAGAGCTCGCCGAATCCGATTCTCGGCTGCATGCGCCTACGCGGGCGGTTGGGTTGTTTGGGAGCATTCGCCAGCAAGCCTGCGGCATCTACAACAGGCTCAATCAGCGGCGGAAATATGACAGCACATGTCCGCCCGAAACCTATGCAGCCCGTGACGCAGCCCGTCTCAACTTCAGCCCCCTGTCCATTTCCGTCAGCGGGAACGTACTGTTTATCCTCGGCAGCGACTCGGAATTTCCCAGCACAACGCTGCAACAGTTTCGAATCAATATGGCCACCGGCGCCACGCCAGCACCAATGCCAGACATGAGCCTTGCTCAGAAGTCAGCCTTGCTCGCCAGCGTTCAGCAGGCACTGATCGGGGACAACAGGGCGACAATGAGACAGGAGAAGCCCGGGAGTTTGCCATCGCTAAGGTTACAGGCTAGCATCCCGTCTCTGAAGACGTGGTCCTCCTTTACAGTCGGCCGCCAGCAAGAGGGGCCTCAAGTACCCCACGAGCGAGGCTAAATGACATAGCGCCAGGCCCCAGAAAGACCGCTTCAAGGAAGATGAAAAGTAGAAAGAAGAAGAAGGGTGGTCACAGAGAGCGTCGTAAACTTTAGGTGGCTGGTTGGCGGTTGCCCCGACTGCTCTATTGCTGAAGGACAAGGTCTTGTTTGTTGAGGATTGGATGTGAGGTCCTGGAGCAGGGATGACGGTGTTGGTATCCATCTACCTGTACTTAATTTAACCTCTGGCAAACTTCCTCTCGATAAGGGTACTAAGCTAGGAGTGGTGCTGTTTTGGCAGGCATTTACACATCCGGAATAAGGATCACCAGGGAATGGATTATAACACGTTCAATCTGGTCTCGGGTCATATGACTCATATCCTGCTGTGTCACTGGGTCAGTCGCCTCGCAGTGCCCTGGGCCATTTGGTCGAGCTAATTACCATCCGTTGGAAATATACCAAGCATTGATTACCAAGGTACCTGCTTACCGGTGACAAAAGCTAGGCTGGTAGTTACAACAGACCTCGTGGGGTTACAAAACAATCGGAGGATAAGATAAGGGAGAGAGAGAGAGAGAGTTGGCATAGGTACTGTGCGGTATGTATGCAAAAACCAGCACTAGGTAGTGGTAACTGTCCCAGTAAGCTAGGATATATAGTATGATCTCCAATATACCTACCTTATACAACTTGGTATAAGTGAACGCTTCAGCCACTCGGCGACTATGCCGATGACGCCATCGTCCAGGCCCACCAGCCGCCATAGCTCAGCGCGGCAGTTCCCGTCAGAATCCCGACCCAGACCATCGAAGCCTTCATGAAGATGTCCTTAGAAAGCTGCTTGACAGCCTCGGCGTCGTTGGCTCGCGGGAACGGCTCCTTCGGCACGGGCTTGTTGAGGATCTGACAGAGCGGCTCCCAACCGTCCTTAAGCTCAATGACATGGAACTGCTCGGGCGGCGTGATGTCTCGCACCCAGTTGTTGTGTTCTTCCAGCGTTTCTAGCAGAGAATCTTTATTAGCCGGCTCTTGCATTCTTTTTCTCGTTTTTTTTTCTTTTTTGGATGACCTAGTCTGAAAAGACTTACTCGGGGTGAGTGTGCCCCATCCCAGCTCACGGGCTCTTTCACGCGCCCTGATATTTCCTTTGCGTTAACAAACCACAATAGAAAAATTCAGGCACTGGAGGACGGGACTTTTCCCCCAACGTACACATCGGAGACCTGGTCAATGACGGGGGCAAACCAACGCCAGCCGGGACACGGGGCAAGCAGGTAGCGCAGCCACCACGGCGTCGCCTGCTGTACGATGAGCCGTATGCTGGCGAACCATCTTTCTTTGTCCCGGTTGACCACGATGACCTGGGCTTCCGGGTAGAGCTCGCGCAGCTCCGGGATCAGGCAGTTGCCAGGCACGTCGGTGATGGCCACGAAGCCGGCCGTCGCTTCGCGCAGCAGCTTGAGCGTCCGGGCCTTGTCACCTGCCTTCCGCGCCTCGAAGATTTCGTGCCAGAGCTTGACATATGCTATCACGATACGAGGGTTGATTGATTAGTAAATAAACAAAACTATATAGTTAGTGGAGCATGATAAAAATCATAAAAACTGAAAATCGTGTTGCTTACCATCCTCCCTTCCGATGAGCTGGGTGCCTCCATGCATCACGGGGCCATCGAGAAGTGTTTCCAGTGCCAGCGACAGGGAGACTGTTCCCGTGCGTGAATACGCGCCTGAGATGACTTCCAATTTTCTGGTCCGGTCTCTTGGGACTGACGGTACTCCCCCCATATTTATGTTTTATGATTTGAGACTCGCCACTTTTATTAGACTCCGTTTCTAGCGCTCCGGCTAGTATTCAGAGGGTGATCTCTGGTCTGGGCTAGAGACAAGAAAAGCAAGTTGAAGTCGTCCTACTACGCCAAGGGACCAAGAATTTCGAAAGACTTTTTATCTCTCCCAAGCTTATGAGCGGCTGGGCCCCTCTGCTGACCTTTTAATCAGTCAATGAAAATCCTACCCAGCGCTGCCTGCTGTCAGCAATTAGAAGGGGGCTCCAATCGGCTATTTGAGCCGTTGACCCGCCACAGAGGGCCCCTGCTAGTTCCTCTTGAAAGTCCCATTGTAGCAACCCTACTATTCCATACGAAGTTAAACACACCGCTACATACACGTGTACACTGCAAAAAGGGCCCGGGAGAGACAAACTGGCAAGCGTCGGTAGTCTCCCTAAGTACGTACTGCGTACCTATATAACAGGTCACAACTTGGTACATACTACATAGACAGTCAGTGACACCCCAAGGAGTAGCTTCGGAAGGATTCCCGGATATGGAAGGAAATGCCCACAATCGCTCGATGTGCCTTTTCGCACTTCTAGGAGTAGAAGACGCCATGCTACCATACTCATTTAGCATCCGGTGAAGCTTGGGAGTGGTGGAATGTTGGCATATATAAGTCTATGGTTTATGGTTGTCAATGTGAATATATGTTATAAGCTTGATGTTGTCATTTTCTCTTTTGAGCACGCAATCGCCAACAAGTCCACAGCCCTTACTAAGCTCCTAGTACCCAACACCAGGCCACTCCAACCGCCGACTGTATTTCGGTAATAATAAGAGAGATAAAAGACGTGCGATTGCTAGTAACCGCTTGGAATTGGCAAACATACTATGGCGGCCGTCCCGCCGTGCACTCCTCAAGTTTCAACTGCGGCCAACACTTACGTTAAAAAGAAAATCGAATAGTATTAGTTAGTCCTGGAACATGCGCCACTTGACCATCCTGTCCCTCAAATCCAATACCCTCTCACCATCCACAGTGAACGTCCCGTCCCCTCGATGATGGAATATTCCCTTCGCATGCCCCGCTACCATCCTCTCCTCATTCACCCACGCCGCCACAACCTTCAACACCCACAGATTGTACCTCTCCACCATCGCATCATCCTCCACCACGCATTCCACATTGGCTATGATCCCTTCCTTCTCTTCCGCGCCCTCCCGGGTACCGGTACCGGTACCTGTACTAGTAGCCACAAGCGGCGCACCGACCTTACGCGCCGGAAGAGCCGTTAACCCAAACCTCTCAAACTTATTTCTACCACTCTTAGTATTCCCACCCTCGCCGGCACCAGGACCAACAAGATCATCCGCGCTACAGTTGCCCACATCCACCACCACGTCGGCCATGTCGACGCTCGGCACGGCCAGCACACATTCCCGGCTGGCCTTGAGTCGCGCGTAGGTGGCGTCCCACGGGCCGATGCAGACGGCGATTAAAGGTGGCGAGGCGTGCTGCAGCATCATGTGGAAGCCGATGGTCATGAGGTTGATGTCGTTGCTCGGATCTGAGGAAGTAGGATCAGAAGAGCCAGTTGAGACGAGGAGGACGGGGCCGGGCTCGATGAGGCGGTAGACTTTGGATGGCGGGTAGGGTGTGAAGCGGGTTTGCATCTTCGAGGGCTCGGATGGCTGGGACGGTGATGTGGTTTCTTCTGCCTTGGGTTGGGTTGATGTTGCTTTGGCGCTGGCTTTGGCGCGCTTCGACTTTGGTGCTTCGCGCGTCGAAGCAGCGCGGCCGGAGTTGACTTTGCGCTTCTTAGCTGGCATTATTGGTATTGGTAGGCCCAGCGGGCTGAATGAAAGTCCGGGGTCGGAGAATTGGTAGTGAAGACGTAGGTGATAATACGAGGCGTTGCGGTTGTGATATCGGAGGCCTGGGAATGCTGGTCAAAGAATGGTGTGAAGCGGGGGTGTCATGCAAGCAAGGGGTGATCACAACTTAGAACAAGTTGGAAGTCATCACGGCGCGAGGCGAATCACACTTCACCAAAAGGCGCTTTCTGGATCATGTTAGCCAGGGAATGGACACAACATCAAAATAGCGGGCAGCACCGAATTCAACCTGCAGTCTTTCGCGTCAATTCCCATTCCACGGCCCTTCCAACGGCTCCAACTCCCTGCTTTACAGAACAAGTAGGTACCTGAAGGCGACTGACTGGAAAGGATAATATGGCAAAATAAGAACAAGAGAAAAGTAAAATAAGCAGAGCTACCTTCCTGAGCTGGACTGGTACAATACAAATTGTAGCATAGCACAGATAGACATGAGAACCAAACCTAACTGGACTCGCTCCGCCCGCCATCATAATATCATCAATATGTGATGTCCTGCCCTCCGTTCCGACCTTTTTGTCCAGAACACCGTCCGAAGACAACCAATGCCAAGACACCCAGAGGAGTTCACATGTGACCATCACTAGTAGTCCATGGGAGCATCCGTGAGTGTGACGCTGTGTTGCGGGTGGTGTCCCTGCCCTGGCTGCTGCTCCTGCTTGCCACTGCCCGTGCGTTGATGGTTCTGCGGCGGCGGGGTCCCTGTCCTCGCTGCCGTAGACGCAGGCGTCACGCGCCGGCCAGAAGAGAAGCGCGCGCCGCTCCGGCCGAGACTGTTCCGCTTCTCGACCTTGCTCTCCTGCTCCACCTTGGCCAGCTGCGGATCTGTAGCAGGGGCAGCGGCGGCAGCGTTCGCCGCCGCCACTGACGCAACTCCGTTCATGATGAAGTTGCCGTCCGCAGGGTGGCTCAGACCCATGCTCGCATCCGACTCGCCTGGGACCTCGAGGCTCGTCCTCTTGGGCAGCTGCGGGCCCAGGCTCCCCCGCTTTCTCTGCTGTGGGCTGGTAGGGCTCGTGACACTGCCGGTGGAAATGGGGAATCGCGTCTCGGGCCCACCCACACTCCTGTCCCGGCGGTGAGAGGCACGCGGGCTGGGCGCGGGGGATGTTGCTCGGCTGCGGCTACCGCTGGCCTTCTCCAGGAGCGCCCGGTTGCGCTCCTCCATGTGCGCCCTGCGGTTGCTTTCGTCGGTGGAGATGGCCCGTGGCCGGCTCTGATTGCCCTTGACGGAGCCAGAAGAGTTCATGGTGGATAGGCGCTTGAGCTCGCTGAAGATGGCGTCCTTGTGCGCGAAGAGATCGCGGACCAAGCGGTAGGCGTGCTTTTCCTCCATCGTGAGCGACGTCTCCGTGCGCGGCCGCAGAATGCAGGGAGCGAGCATAGTTGCCAGCTTGGAGACGTACTCCTCGTCGGCGGATGTGAGGTCGATCAAGCGCGTGAAATGGTTCATGCAAGCATCCAGTGTCGCAATGTTCGTAAGCCGCAGTTGGGAGAGCGTCTGTTGCAACACAGGAATGCGCGCCGCATCACCGCCGTCAGCTGTGGGAGTGGTGTAGATCGTCCTGATGATTTCATAGACATGAGACGAGACAAGGGAATCTGCATGCTCGTTAGCGCGCATCTCGGACTGGAGAGGGTCATCGACGGAACGTACCCGGAAGTTCAAGGAGGTAAAGCTTGAGGAGGCTCGCAACGGTGGGTATATCGAATTCAGCAAACGTCTCGAGGGCAGGCGGTTTCCCGTTGTTGACTTTGGACCTCAGCTTATGCGTCTGAGCAAGCGGGACCTCAACCAGCCACACCCCCCTCCGGGCCTCGTCGCCCTCGAGATCAGGGTAGTGGTGATCCAAGTAGGTAAGAAGAGTCGTGATGATGATGGGTACCCGTTTCCGGTCGGCTCTAGCGCGGGCCTCAAGATCCACACCAAAGGTCTGGTCGTCTACCTTGTTGTAATAGTTTTCATAGGTTACAACCTTCGGAGCGAAGCTGCCGGTCCGGTAATTCTCCAGGAGATAGCGCAGATCGCCAGACGGCTGCACCGTCTCCTGATAGAGCATCATATTGTCCACGGCGGACTGCAGGCTGGGGATCACGTTGCTAATGGTCCCCGAGAAGTCCAGGATGACGGTCTTGATTGCCTTGAGGCGGTCCAGCTCGCAGCGCTCGAGGAACTTGAGGTGCACGAAAATAGCCTCCTCCAGCTCGCAGCGCATCTCATCCAGCTTCTGGACCCCGGCCTTGTACTTTTCATCCGCCTCCCTCGCTTCCCGGCGCAGGCGCTCGGCCGGCGTCTCGTTTGGCCGGGAAGTGTTCAGGACATCCCACTTAGCGAGGTACTCGGTTACCGTGCCAACTACGGGCGAGTCGTTGCCGTCGGCCCCGTTCACGGGGATCGAAAACGTCCTCCCGAGCGTATTCTTCTGCGGCACGCCCGCCGTCTCGAACGCCTTGGGGCGCCACTGGTAAAACAGCTTGGAACTGTTGGCGAAGGTATTCCCGACGTTGCCGACCAAGCGCAGGAACCCATGGGTAACCAGGTCCTGGCCGATTCTCTCCGCATAGCTCACACTTGTGCTTCCCATGTGCTGCTGGATGTAGTCCACAATGTCCGTGCCGGCGGAGGTGTTTTGGTACGTGCCGAGGATCGGAACCTTCGTCTCGCCCATCTTGATGGTGGCGAGCATGTGCGCGAGGGTCTTCTTGACCTGTTCCGGGGTGTACATATTGTCGCCTATCTCGAGAGGTTCCTCCTCTTCTGCAGGTTCCTGGTCCACCTTGATTGCTGGAATATTCTGGTTCTGCTTCGGGCTGGTCTCAGGATCCTGGAACGCGAGCTTATTCTCCTCTTCGATATCCTCCACGAGACGGCACTTGTTGAAGTACGTGCTCCTAAGCTTCTTGACGGCCTCGGCTTGCTTGTCGTGGGCCTTGATCCGCGCCTGCAGGTCCTCGTGCGATTCGTGTATCCGAGCTTCGTGGGCGTCGCCCCAGCGCGAGAAGGGGTTTACCACGAGGTCGCGGATGTTTTGCGCAATCTTCTTGTGGTTCTTGGCAGCGTCCTCCATCTCGGTCCGCACTCCATCGTATGCCTTCCGCACACTGGCGCCATCGTCACGGCCGAACCCGCCTTGAATCTTGTCAACTGCAGGGGCAATCTCGGATAGTCGCTGGCCATAGACCTCCTCAGCCTCGGCGCGCATTCGGGCGATGGTGAGGACCTGGCGATTCTCGACGACGCCTTGCTGTAGTTTGCCGAACAGGACCCCGAGTCCTTGGATTCAGTCAGCGCAACCTAATGGGACCATTGTGCGAACCTCTGGAGCATCGGCTCACCTGCGGCATAGTCGTTTGACCAGAACGAGTCTGCGAAGCCCGGCATCTTTGCGACGAGTGCCGACCAAGCGCTCGAGGACCTTCAACTCTCCGGCGGACACGAAACAAAAAAACCGGATCGTAAGTCCACAATGTTCGAAGGTCGATCTCCCCCAAGCCAGTCGTGGCACAGCTCCGACTCTGGCGGTTGCAGGGGCCAGGCTAGAATTTGCGAGGCACAATGGAGGCTGGGGGTTGGACTGAACCCTGACTTTGTGGGCAAAGATCCTGTTGGGAAAAAAACGGGCTGGCGTTGCAAACTCGAAGGTGTAACTGGCCAGTTAACAGATTGCGATTGTGCAGCCGGAAGAACTGGAAGGTCGAACAGAAGAGATGGTTGCAAAAAGGGTCCCGTGTTGGAGAGAACAAGGGCACCTCGTGCGTCCCAAGAGACCGAACCCAAGGTGCAGATGCCCAGCGGGTTCCCCGGCCTCACCTATTGGACGGCAAACGGTGACACAGCCCTGCTGTCAGTGACATGGAGGCCTGTCTCCAGCCTTGACGGGCAGGTCCGAGGGTCCCAGCTCCCACCTCAGCCCCTGCAGGGAATGGCGAGCGGGGCCGCAGGGCCGTACCCGTATTCACCGACACTTGAAACAAGACAACGACAGGGAGGGGATGGAAGCATCTTCACGATGAGCCAGGTGCACTGCGTGTGAATTGCACTTCCTAATGCCTGATGGTACACTATGTGTAGGTTTTCCATGAAGCGTCGTCGATTCCCAACAATCTCGGCATGTAGTGTCTCATTCGGATTTGGCCCAATCGTGAAACATGACGTAATTACTATCCAGGTACAGACGATGTGCACTCGTAACCTTGGACGGAATTGCCTACCTAATAAATTAGGTATGGTGGTGTTTTTGAGACCACTCCACGACTCAACATATCATGCAGTGCTAGCTCGAGTCGATTCACAGACGCGCCTTATTACTACCTATACTAGTGTACTAATAAGCTGGTGTTGGAGCATGCCGTGGCACGGATGGCCAAGTGGGTATGAAGACTCCGGGGCCGCATTTGTCATCGGACGGACCGGATAACCGTCCCCTTGGCAACGATTGATAAGTGAACCTGCCCTCCGCGACGGGCTTGCTTCTTGTCACGTCCGTCCTCGCGAATTAGAGCGGAAACAGCCGGACAGTCCAACAGACCTTCAACCGTACCCCTTCCGATAAGCAGAGCTTGCGGACTGATGAAGACTGCCATCCCAGCGCCGGTCGCCGGGACCGGGGGTGACGCCGGTGATTCCGGCCCGGTCCGGCGGGCTCAACGGCTGTCCCCGGCTGCAAGAGCTGCTTTGTATCTGATACTGCCATTGTTGCTGGTTTCAGTCTTCCTTCGACTCCCCGGGAACTTGACGTGCCCGGGGCATAGACCCCGCCCAGGGAAACCCCGAAGCATCGAGGAACGCGTCAAGCATATCTTGCATTACACACCCTTGATCGGTAATGTCACGCAATCATCTGGCCGCACAGACCCTCCCTAACAATCACTTCGTACGTAGATGGCCACAATGATCTCGCCATTCAGATCAGGGCACGTTACAACAACCACATCTACGACGAGACCTTCTCCAAGCCCTTCGCCGAGGGCGGCATGCCCGCGCATGTCGACCTGCCCCGTCTCAAGGCCGGCATGAACGGCGGCGCCTTCTGGAGCGTCTTCTGGCCGTGTCCCGAAAACGGAACCGATTATTCGGACGAGAACTACCGCTCTAGTAAACCACACCCCTTCTTCTTCTTCTTCTCCTCCTCCCACCGCTCAGTCCTAGTGCCCTCCTAACTATGACCCCACCGACGGTTAGTCGTGCAAGACACATTCCAACAAATCGACCTCCTCTCTCGGCTGCGCGCCGCCTACCCCTCCGTCTTCTCCCCGCCGACCCTCACCCGCCATGCCGCGCTCTGGCACTTCCACCGCCACGGCCAGCTGATCTCGCCGCTGGGCATCGAGGGCTTGCACCAAATCGGTAACTCGGCCGCCGTGCTCCGCCAGTTCCACGCCCTCGGCGTCCGCTATGCCACGCTCACCCACAACTGCGGCAACCGCTTCGCCGACGCCGCGCTGTGGGAGCGACCCCTGCGCAAAGCGCCGCCCGTGTGGGGCGGGGTTAGCCCCGAGGGACGGAGGCTGATCCGGGAGATGAATCGCCTGGGCATGATTGTCGATTTGGCGCATACCAGTGTCGATACCATGCTAGATGTGCTGGGTGCGAGGAAGGATGTTGACGATGGGTGGGAGGGGAGCAGGGCGCCGGTCATCTTCAGTCACTCGAGCGCGTACGCGGTGTGTCCGCACCCCAGGAACGTGCCGGATCAGGTGCTGGACCTGGTCCGCGAAAAGGGCGGGTTGGTCATGGTGAATTTCAGCCCGGACTTTGTGTCGTGCGTGGGAGCGCCCGACAGGGAGGATGGGCTGCCGGATTTCTATCCCAAGAATGCGACGCTGCAGCAGGTGGTGAGGCATATTCTGCATATTGGGAAGAGGATCGGGTTTGAGCATGTTGGTTTGGGGAGTGATTTCGATGGGATTGAGAAGACGCCCGAAGGGCTCGAGGATGTCTCCAAGTTTCCGGCTTTGGTGGCCGAGCTGCTGAGACAGGGAGTGAGCGATGCGGATGCCGCTAAGGTGGTTGGCGGGAACCTGCTCCGTGTCTGGGCCGAGGTGGATGCCGTTGCTGAGAAGCTGCAGAAGGCGGGCGAGCCGGTGTTGGAAGATGAGCTGCCTGGGCTCTTCTCGACCGGATCTCACGCCGTGCCGGACGAGCTTTGAGCAGCTGGTGCTAGTAGCCTGGCTGGCGACTTCGGTCAAAAGCCACCCTTGTAGTGTCTATCCCGTATCATACATTTAGAAAACATAGACCGGTGTACCCCTGCGCCCATGGACCCAGCATATTCTACACAGCCTATCAAGGCCGAGATGTGGCGTCGAAACATTTCGTTTAGAATCCCATACTCCATACCATCGTCCCAGCCCATCCGTTTCCATCATCCCCGCCGTTCGATCCTGTTGAGCTTCTTGGCCGTTTCGGTCTGGTTCTTCGTCCGCTGGCCCCGCACTGGGAGGCCCATAGCGTGCCTTCTCCCACGGTACGTGCCCATGTCACGTAGCCGCTTGATGTTATCCTGTATTATCCTCCGCGCGTCACCCTCGATGGTCATTGTCGACAGCTCGGCCGTCAGCGCGGTGAGGGTCTTGGGTGGCAATGTGCCGATCTTTGCGCGCGGGTGGATGTAGTACTTAGCCAGGATGCGTTCTGACGTCTGCGGACCAAGGGCATAGAAGGACTCGAGCGCTTTCTAAGAGACGGTGAGTGCGCCGGAAGGCGAAAGGGAGGGTGCGGTTTGCCGCACCTTGACGAGCTTTTGCTCGTGAAAATTGACGCCGAAGATGAACACCTGAATGTTGCATCAGTTAGCGTACAGTTGTCTTCTCCCGGCATGAGACAATGAAACCGTACCATTTTGTCAGCTGCTGAACACCCTCAGCTAGGTCTCCTTCAGAGCATACCCGGGTCCGGCGCCAGTATTGTTCTCGTCGGCGGTTTTGAGACGGCAAGCTGTTGGAGGGTGGAGAGCGAGCGGATATTGCCGGTGAAAATCGGGAGAGCATCCCGCCAGGTGTTGCCGCTCGACGTACACCTGCCAGAGCTTGGAGCTGCTGATTGCGGAAGGCAGCATTTCCACTCCCACATAAAAGGCTACATAATAAAGTCGCTCTTTCCAACCGCACTTCACAAATGACGCCAGTAGAATATGAAGAACCTTGAGACGAGGCCGGAAAGGCCGCTCCCGTACTCGGATGGGTTCGCCTCAGCAGACGACTATGTGGATCAGCTGTTGCACTTCACAGCCAACTCGGACCTGTTTCGGTTTCTCTGCGGCGGCGTCCACATTCTCGACTTCTTCACGGCTGAGCCCGGCCTTTTTGTCTCAGCTGTGCCCAAGGAATGGCAGGACTATCTCTTACGGACCGAGCCTATGGCTCTATTGGATTTTCTGATGAGGGATGACTTGAGCTCCCTTACTTCCCAAACCGGCTCTGGGGCACCTCCTGAGACACTGCTTCAGTATGTCAAGGACATCAGAAAGTTCTCGCTTCACCGTTCGTTTCGTCCAATCAAGCCGAAGCTCCCTGTTCTTCCGAGGCAAGTGGCGCTCGGTATGAATACCAAGAAGGTCCATGAAGTCACAAACTTCGCTGGATACATCGATCGGCTGGCCGAGGATGTTTCGCATGCTTCGGGGAAGGAGTTCACTCACTTCGTAGACTTCGGCAGCGGGCAGAACTATCTCGGGCGGGCGCTTGCGAGTCCGCCCTACAACAAGCACATTGTTGCCGTGGAGAGCAAAGAGGCCAACATGGCCGGTGCGAAGGACCTAGACATCCTGTCAGGCTTGGCCGAGAGGGAAAAACGTGTACGCAACAAGAAGCTCTACCATCGGATCCTCGAGGCCGTGGATCCATCGTGTCATAACAATGAGGAAGCATTGAAACGTGCGGCAAAGGAACTTGGCATTGCGGACAAAGACATTGCCACAATTGACCTCAGATCTAGAAAGGAGCTGCAGGCGACGTACACCGTCGAGCAAGGAAAGGGCACCATCGAATATGTTGTTGGCCGCCTGGAGCATGCCGACCTAACGGGTGTGCTCTCGCAGCTGCGTGGCCATGAGAACGGGGTGCGGCACGAAGACCTCCGGATGATGGCCATCTCGATACATTCGTGCGGGAATCTCTCACACTACGGCATCCGCTCCATGATCTTGAATCCCTCTATTCGCGCTGTCGCCATTGTCGGCTGCTGCTACAATCTCCTTACCGAAAGGTTGGGCCCTCCGACGTACAAGCCGCCTTTCAGCCGGCCAAGCCTGCAACCCATCAACGCACGGGTTGCCAGGGAGTCGGAGAGGCGGGACCCGCAAGGGTTTCCGATGAGTGAGCGGGTGTCCACGTACGGCGGCGACGGCATCCGACTGAACATTACCGCCCGGATGATGGCTTGCCAGGCGCCGCAAAACTGGACTGACGAGGAAAGCGACGCCTTCTTTACCCGCCACTTTTACCGCGCCGTCCTGCAGAAGATCTTTCTGGACAAGGGCGTCATCTCGAGGGTGTATCACGGTCAGGAGACTGATGCAGAGAGCCCCTTCAACTCGAGCACCAATCCGGTCGTCATTGGATCATTGCGCAAGCAGTGCTATACGTCCTTCAAGGCGTACGTGCGGGGCGCGATAGCCAAACTGACCAGCAACTCCGAGCTCAGCCAATACAGTCAAGTCATCCAGGAGAAGATGGGTGACATCACGGATGAGGAGATTGCGCAGTACGAAGCGGCCTTCCGAGACCGGAAGCGGGAGCTCAGCGCTGTATGGAGCTTGATGGCTTTCAGCGCCTGCGTTGTCGAATCCCTCATCGTTACCGACCGCTGGCTATTCCTCCGTGAGCATTCGGATATCGTCCGCGACTGCTGGGTTGAGACGGTTTTTGACTACCGTGAGAGCCCCCGAAACCTGGTTGTCGTGGGCATCAAGAGGTAGGAAAGACAACACAGGGTTCGACACTGTTTGAACTTACAACCGCCCCCTTTGGGTGCAGCTGGATGGGGGGTTGGCAAATCTTGCCTGTCTGCTTTGCGGGACAAGCTTGAGTTCTACAGCCCGCGACCGTCCACTGCACCTGGCCATTCACCAACTCCGCACTCGAGGCCCGTGCTTGTACGACAAGCCGGCGCCTCCGCAAACCACAGCGTCGACGGATGTCAAGCCCAACCTGTGAGAGCCAACTCCCTGTCAACGATGCAAGCTCCGGTCACCACCTGGGTTGTGATGCGAGGGATGGCATGCTGCTGTCGGAGTCCAGCTCTCCAGCGTTTTCTGCAATTGGACACGGGCATCGTTCGTCGATCTACGACAGCCACCTCGGAACACTTGCCATCAAAACCAGGGATGTTACACATCCTTCAGTCTGGGCGCATTGAAAACGGGGAGGGCGCTGCATCCTCCCCTTGTCGCGTCCCGCTAGTGGCCCTGAGCGAACGGAAAGGCGAGCGGGAAAACAGCGCCTCAGATTAGCGTCGTCTGACGGGAGCTTTTGATCAGCTTCGTGACGGGCAGAAAAGGGGGTTGGGAAGAAGACGAGACATCGCATCACTCAAGTAGCGGTTCCTGCCCCCACAACTATTGTTCCGCCCTGTGCCTGAGATGCACGAAAATGACGAGCTTGGCGGCTGCAGCTCTCTCCCGCGCCTATTCCTCTCTTTCGTGCATGTGTGTCACTACGAGGAAATAGGTTATGTCGGTGTTCTCCTTGACCCATCAACTCCGATGATGCATCTCTGCATCCGTGCCAAACACTTTCCTGCCAACGCGCCCGTTGTCGGCGTCGCGGCCTACTGTGTTGTGCCGGACCAGACTGCAGAGGAGATCAATGGATAGTCTTCCCTTGTACCAATGTTATGTTGCTGCCCCTTCCCTTAGGGGCCACCCATTACACTTTAGACTCGCAGCCCGGCAGCATCGTGGCGTCACTAGGAGGGGTTGGCGCAGGTGCAGAATGCGGGGTGCTTCAAGCGGAGAAATCGTCCGTATGAAGACCACCCGACGTGCAGGGACTGTACATATTAGTACGGCGGAGGACCTACATACAAGTGGTTTCCAATCCATAACACTACTCTCACGACAACCAGACATGATATCTTATTGCGCCAGCGGCACTCTTTTCTTTTGCTCATTCTTCATGTATGTACAAAGTACAAGCACATCCCTCGTCAGACTCCTTCGGTTTCTCGCTGTTCTTGACCCTTGAGCTCCGCCGTCCTGGACAACGGTACAATACAAACTACGTACAGCCCCCCACGCTTACGGCCAAGCATCTGCAGTATGCATCTTGGAAGCTGCAGCTCAATCCCAAAAGCCCCTAGCTCGCTCTCTTGGCTTCAGGCCAGGCTCGCTTTTGCTTGTTGAAAGACGCCATGATGCGTATGCCTACACAACCCGGCTACCGATGGGCCATGGCACACCATCAGGGGCAACGATTTCACCTTCTCTAGCCATCCACTGTGCAGCACATCGCAAGTGGAGCTCCGGTAACTACTAGTAATGCATCAAGGGACTCAAGGCGCGATCCGATCTGGCAGGGACGGTCGCGCCTACCGTATCTATGGAGCTGTCACCGGACCCATAAACTTTGCATCTTCGGCCCATCTCTTATCTATCCCCTTACCTAGCACTTTTTACTACCACTCGTGCACATGTGTTGGCATCTTCGCTGATGATCCCGAGGCTTCTATCTCCTCCGAGAACGGCATCATCCCGCAGAAACGAGAAAGCTTATCGGCTTCAAGTTGAATTCCGAAAGATGTAGTAGTCGGGATCCTGCCCTGCACCCCTGGATCGCTGCCGCTGCCAACTTTCTGATACTGGTACAGCAAAGGAATCCCACAACGCGGAAGGAGACTGTCTGCTACGAAATCTGTTGCCTTGGCATGGACTTGCCACCTTGGGTGTCATTGACGTGCTTTCTCAAAGACTGAATGAAAGGAAACCGCAGCGCTACATCACATTTCACCGGCTTTGTTGCACGCCTTTCCCAAGTCTCAACCACGTTGTGAGACCCAAGATTTGATCCATCATATTTTCCTTTCCTCTTCACTTGGCCACCGTCGTCTATCTGCCTTCTTATACAAGTTCACCGAAGGTCAAATACGGCATTTGCAGGTACAGGAGCCGATTCTGGTTGCCGGGGTACTTAGTCCCCTGAGGGTGATGAGCGGAGCTGCTCACGGCTATCAGATCACGGCCCCGCTTATATCCCGGAACTTCTCCGGGCCTGCGGCTCACCCCGAACTTTATTTACTTTGCACACTCTCCAGTTTACAAGTTTGCACTCTCGTGAACTGTGTGAGGGGAAACAAAGGGAAAAAGCAAGGAGAAGGCGACTGGGGCACAACCTCTCGAGCACCCTTTCCCCCTCCCCCTCGGAGGGCCTAACCATATAGCCATGACCGCGCAGGTGTCGTTTCTCGTAAGTTCCGTCCCTGCATATAAACCGACCATGGCGATTCGATCGGGTCCAATGGCCTTTTTCCGCCTTCTTCTCCCACCAAGTAGCTAACCGGGTCCACAGGACGGCACCCTGAGCCTCATCCATATACCCCTCGACCTCTACACCAGCCTCCTCCAGCCTATCCTCAAGGTTGTCCTGCCGCCCAGCCAGGATCCCACCCAGAGCCTTCAAGCGAACCTGACCAGCAACAGCCACAAGCATGGCTTCCTCAACATAAGTGTCACGCCAATCGAGTGTTCAATCGTCTGCAACTCAGCCTGGGCCCAGTCGGTCTTCGAGCCCGCCATCAAGCGCCTGCCGAGGGAACAGGCCAAGTCGGTGGCAATCTCCAAGGACACGTACGCCGCCCTCAGCGTCTATGGCGCGGGCGTGGACGCCGGATCGCGGGTTGCCGATCTGACGTCCCCGTTGGCGCTGGCCGGCATCCCTATCTTCTTTATCACGACATATTGTACGTGCTTTCGGTTCTGACGACCGAGTAAACTGCTTCGCTGTGCTCTCCCAAGAAGCGGACACAGAAAACTCGGCCGGGACAGAGAAAATATGGCTGACAACGCGACACTAGACTCCGACTTCATCCTCGTACCGATCAAGGACCGCCAGGTCGTGGTTAAGACCCTGCTTGGTCGGGGGTTCGTCTTTTCCGAGGACGACCAGTCGCAGCTGATATCCGCGCAGCCCTCACCCACAGCGACAAGCCACAACCACCACGGTTTCGGCATCTTCGGCGGCTACAACGGACCACCCGCGGACAACCCGCCTTCCTCCCCGGCCCACAACGAGCTCAGCGAACTCCAAGAACGCACCTTCGACCTCCTCAAAAGGCGCCACGTAACCCCGCACGTCGAGCCAGGCCTGACCCTCGTCCAATGCACCGGCATCCGCGGCGCAGGCATCAATCACGCCTCCTCGCTCTCCCATCGCTCGCGCGGCTTCGGCGCCAACGGCGACAGCCGCCGCGGCTCCAAGACGACGCCCAGCTGGGTCGACACGATCGACACCAAGCTGTACACGAGCGTGGTGGCGGCGCTGGTCGCGCAACCCCACTTCCTGAGCGTCACGCTGGCCGACGAGGACCCGCCCTCGCTGCTGCTGGACCGCGAGCTGCTGGGCTTGTTCGGCGACTCGGTCGTCGGCCCCACCGAGGGCGCGCTCGTGCCGATCTTCCTGGATCTGGCCGACCTGCCGTTTGAGGCCACGGGGATAGTGTCGGGCGTGGCGGGGCGGTTGGTGAGGGAGATGGGCATGGGGAACGGTATGGCCGTGGGGATGGGCGCGGTAGGAGGCGATGGTGTCGGGGAGTTGAGTTACCTGTCGACGGCGAGGGCCGGGGCGGTGATTCTGTCGAGAGAGCAGGCGGAGATGGCGTTGCGGGTTTTGAAGCCTCTTTTGGGGAGGGAGGAACCGGGAGAAGCTTGAAAAATAATCTTATGGTGATGGTTGGAAGAAAGGCAGTCTCCTGAGACTTTGAATGTGTACGAAATGATCGTGGATGGGGAGTGGCTGGTCGGGTGGTAGTGCGAGGGCTCTCCAAAAGGTTGTCAAGGCCCAAAGGTCGTGTTTATCGTGGGACCAACCGGCGAGGCGCGAGGTGGTGTATATCCCAAACCATCCCCGCGACTTGAGACCATACTCCCCTCAGAATCTGTATCAATAAATGCCACGTGTTGTCCCTCAAAGCTCATCCCATCCCCAATTGAGACAGTTCACTTGCCCCCCTTCTTCTTCCCCCCGCCCGTGGATACCTCCTCCTTGACCAGCCCGGCCCGCACGAACGCGTCCCTCGCGGTCTGGTTAATCAGCGCAAACCGCCGCGGTCCCAGCTTCACGCCGCCATACCACCGTGTCACCACCACCATGACGCCCCACAGGTCCATGAGCTGCATGAGATGCAGCAGCCTGCCGCCGGCGGCCGTCTCGCCGTCATCGTCGCAGTCCTGAAAGCTCGTCCCGTTGGGTCCCCGGATGCGCCAGGCCGTGATGTTGTGCGTCGCGGCGCGCACCCGCTTATCCGACGCCAGCAGATGGGCCAGATACGAGGCGGCTTGTTGCGGGGAGCTCACCGGCGCGCAGCGGGCCACGAAGGTGGACTTGCATTCGACGAAAGGGAGGGAGAGCGTCCAGGGCGGGGGCGGTGCGTCGCCCAGTAGCAGGTCCTTGGTAGTACCTGGGGATGCTGCATGCTTGTTGTCTTCTTCTTCGGGCGCTGCCGTGGGCGGCCGCTCATCGGTCTCGTGATGTTGTTCGTCCCCGCTACTGTCCTGAGCGGCGGCGGCCAGAAGCTCCTGGACTTTCTCGAGGGCATCGAACAGGCAGACCTGCCCCGGCTCATACGCCTCGCTCACGGCGTCCCGGAAAAGGGCCAGGTCCCGGGCGGCCGACCCGCGCTTTCCTGCCGAGCCAGAGCTGTGGGTGCCGAGGACGGCTGGGGGGACGTCTGGATAGGCGTGTGGGAACTGCACCCTAAGTGAGGCCGTTTCGCCGGGCAGCGTCAGGATGAAAATGGTGGGGTCCGGGTCTTGTGCCGAGTGAGTCAGAGTGTTGTCGCCGTAGATGGAGTTGATGGCTTCTATTTCGTCAAGCAGGGCTTCCGACATTTTCCTTGTGTGTTTGATCGGGTCGTCCGCTATAAAGGCTACTAAGGTGCAGTACCAAGGGGAGGGGCTGGTGGCTTGCGCCCTGAGAGTGGTAAGACCGTACGCCGTAAGAGAGAGAGTGTTTGCAAAGTCGGGTGATTGTTGAGGGAGTGGGGACTGCAAGTTGTCTTTCGGGCCGGCGCATCGCGCATCTTGGTCCGAAGGGCCGTGGGCTAACAGCCCTATAACAGTGACTCAAGTTGTACAAACGGCTATTACTGTGCTACTGGTGTGCTAGGGGTTGAATGCTAGTGCTTTGAAAGTACTAAACCCTTTCTACCAACATTAGGTTTTTTTTGAAGTGACTTCATGTGTAACGCCGTATAATGCGTGACCTGATTGCTGCCAGGGTGTTACCCGGTAGCAAGCCATTAGTTAGGCAAAGACGAATTACGCCCCTGCCTCGGGACCGTGACCGTGCTGGTAAAGTTGGCCACTTGTCTCGCTGCCTCTAGGGATGTATATAAAGTCTAAACCTTTTCATAGATGTTCTCAGCAGTCGCCCTTTCTTGCGACTGGACTTCCAAGACAAAGGATAAGCATGAAACTCGGCGGTCTGCTAAAGGGCCAACACCCGCTGTGCCCTCCATCTCCGATGTCGTCCGTGTTGCATCTCCGGACCTACCTGGCTAGGCACCTAAATCGCTTGGCAGTCGCCGCATATCAAACATAAAGTGAGGTTTTTGCCCACGATAAGAGTCATAAGACTCATTTCAAGTTCAGTCTGTCACGGTAGGGAATCAGACGTACATTTTACTGTCCTGACTCAGCTTGCCCTTCGCATAGGTACAATACATAAAGTCATAAACACAGCACACCCTTTCAGGCGTTTAACAACGAGGCCCATCGTCCCCGCTCTACTATCTCGCTCCTCGACACGGCAGTTGCACGCGCTCACAACACGGCATACAAAAATGGCCAGCCAGAACGGCGCAAGGAGCGCAAAAAGTGATGAGCGCACTTATTGCGCTTTTTTCTACGGTGAGTTGAACACAGTGCCTGAGCCACCTGGCTGAATCCGCTACTGGAGTCTTGGGGTGCTATTGCTAACCAGTGTTGAATGTTGATGGCACTTGATGCTTGATCAGGTACATTGGTATGTTCCAAGAATCCTTAGACCTCGGTATGTCAAGGGATGTGGATGCTAACCACATAACCGTCTGCCGCCCCTCAGATGGTGCCCGAGGTCTTCTACTCTGTCTGCTATCTTGACAAGAACCCGCCCAAAGCCATCACCAAGCTCCACACCTTCCACCCAGCCATCCTTCCTGGCTACTGCCGGCGCCGGGTGAAGTATGCCGACTATCCGGGCATTGTCGCGGACAATGGCCATCAGGTCTTTGGGACCTACGCCACGGGGCTCACGAGGGCGAACATGGCGAAGCTGGACTTCTTCGAGGGGCGTCAGTACGAGCGCAGGACGGTTACCGTCACAGTGCTGCCAGGACAGCCGGGGAATCCGAAGGGACAAGCAAACATCCAGGGCAAAGAGGAGAAGGCGGAGGTCTATGTGTTCTTGGACCCGCGCGAGCTCGAAGAAGAGGAGTGGTGAGTGGCGCCCGCGGCTGGGTAGCCGCTTCGCTCTTTGATTATGGTTACTCATAAGTTGCTATCTAGGGATCTGGAAGAGTTCCGCCGCGAGAAACTGCGCTTCTGGACGCGCGGGGGTCATGCGTTTGAGGGTAACCGAACTTCCGTATTTTCAACCCTTGTTCAACCTCCCGTTGGATCTCTGCAGCTGCTGACCTGGCCTAGATTGCGACCCAACCGACACCGCGGCAGTTGCCGGCGCAGAATCCGACGCTGAGGCCGGTGCAGAGAGGGCCGATTCGTCCATCGCCCAAGCGAACTAAATTCTAGTAATATCTTTCGGGTTGGATTACCAGTAGGCAGCGGTGCCGTAGGATCATTCCAGACCAAGCTACGAGTCCGAGGTAGCTCAGAACCAAGGCTGCCTTACATCAATATCAAGCTATCAATACCCTTACCTGATCGAACCAAAGTGCGTGCTATCTATCGTTGATTGCGCCCTACTGACAAGTAACAACTCCCACGTTATGGAGTCTCTGTAAGTCATTGGTTAGGTACTACCTATAGTAGGTACTAGGTCTGACCTAAACCATCATCTCACGCACCGCGTGTTCCACAAGTCCATTTACCTCCTTGAGAAGGAAAGTATGATTTAGTTGCACCTCCCCCTTCAAATTCCACGAAAAAAACGCATATAAACGATGCCTGAGCAAAGAGATACAAGCCAGCAATGGAAAAATACAACCCCGACCATTGTCCGGCTTGGCCCCCAATTGACCAGCTTCTCCGGTCATCCCCCATACGCGCCCTAGTAGTAGGCCTCCTAACCTGGAACTTACTTACTACAGTGCTACGGTAGCACTCGCCAGTCTTTCCCCGCCAACAATCCGCCGACCAAGCCCAGCTCCTGAACACCGACAGGTCTGTCGTGGGTGGGATTGCGACGGAGGGGCTCGGCTTTGCTCGCAAAAACTTACGTCTTCCGACCGGATATCACTCTGCTTCCGCTGGTGCCTAGGACTACTAGTAGTACTTACTGTACCACTGAGGCTTGGACATAGTCACATAGTACTTGTGCCCTCCTCGTCTTGGTGGCCAAAGTTCCATCATACCATTATACATACCATCAACACGCACCGCACAACCGCGACTGGTCAGCAATTCAACCCCCTCCCCTTTCCTTTCCGATCTCGTCGCATCTTTGCAAGGGGAACGTCGTCACAGCCGCACAACATTTAGAACCCGCGAAACCTGAGATCAAAGCCCAGCCATGGCCGCCCGCGTCGCCAACAAAGTCTGTATCGTGACAGGTGCCTCGTCGGGCATTGGCCGGGCCATCGCCCTGCTCCTGGCGCGCGAGGGCGCCGCATACGTGCTGTGCGCCGATCTGCGGCCCGGCTATCGCCCAAGTGCGAGCGAGGACATCCCGGCCACGCACGAGTTGATTACACAGGAGTACGGCGAGGACAGGGCCGGGTTCCGGCAGGTGGATGTCACGGTGGAGGAGCAGGTGAAGGGCATGGTCGCGGAGGTGGTGCAGCGCGCTGGGAGGTTGGATGTGTGAGTCTAGACCTTCCACAAAGGCGGTGGTCTCATGAGCCATGGCCAAGTTTTAGGGTCGAACTCTGGGTTTCTCACTGTGTGATTAATTGCAAATAGTATCGTGAGCAACGCTGGCGTTGGGCCGCCCTGGACGCCGTTGCACGAGATGTCGGACGACATGTGGAGCGGCACATTGTAAGTTGTCTTCCTAACACTAACTACTAATTTTGTCAAGTCTGGGTGGCTGCCGTGTCCTAGGAGTTAAACTGACCTTGAATCACCCTTAATGGAGCAATGTCAACACACGCGCAACATTCCTCTGCTCCAAATACGCGATTCGGCAGTTTCTACAGCAGGAATTGCCCCACGAGTTCAGGAAACGGGGCTGCATTATCAACATCGCTAGCGCTGCCGGTCTGAGGGAGGTGAAGCTGTCGAGTGCATACTGCGCTTCCAAAGCAGCCGTCATCAGCCTCACCAAGGCAACGGCACTCGAATATGGCAGTGCCAGGATCCAGTGCAATGCCATCTGCCCTGGTAGTGAGTACTAGTATCTCAGTTCTAACTTCTATCCCAATATCAGCCTGGATATTAATTCAATTTTTCCACAGCCGTCCTCACGCCCATGACGGCGCCCATGCTCTCCAATGATCTCGCTATGGACTTCTTCAAGGCCGTGGTACCATGGGGAGATGGCGGCGTTGACCGGGGCCCTGAGGAGATTGCTTATGCCGCGGCGTGGTTGGCAAGTGAGGAAGCAGGATGGGTGACCGGCGTGGCTCTGCCAGTGGATGGGGGCTTCTCTGTCCACGCCTAAGTTGGAATGATTTTTTGTAATCGGCAGGTGCCTTATACCGTCTTTTACCAAGTCACGGATATAATATCCCACCACTCCGTTGCACATCCTGCTGATTATTCATCGTCATCCAACAAACGAACAGCATGTTCTGCCGCCGCCTGTGAGTCCTTGACAAACACTAGCCCTTCCCCCGCCATGAACCTATCATGCAGCGCGTTCGGAATCTCATACACGCCCAGGTGTGTGCAAGTCTTCTTCTGCATATCGACCCACCGCAGAGAAAAGTGCCTAATGATCTCATTCCGGTTCACTTGCACCCAGAGAGGCACCTTGGTCCGAATGGCCCTCCGGACAGGCGAAATATACGGGTTCTCGCCGCTATGACAAAAGCACCCGATTAAACCCACTTCACCAGCCGCGGCGGCACCATATCGTACCGATCCTCCGCCCTCTTCTCCAGCTCCTCCACGCTGACTGTCAGCCTGTCAGGTCTGTCCACGGACTCCACAGCACCACCCCGCCCGGCAGCGGCAGGCCATGTCCTTGTTGACTCTCGTCAGACAGTGACGAGAGCTTGACGGCCCTGTGCGGCTTTGCCGTGGAGAGGAGTCCGTTTTGGAAGGGCGGGGCCGGAGGAGAGCAGGGTGAGGAACTCATCGTTGAGGTGAAGTAGGAGGGAGGTACTATATCCTGTAGTGCTTAAAAGAGCTCTTCTGTTATCCGCTCCTTCGATGTATGTGCACCTTTAGGTACCCTTTTTATTTCGGCGCTGTCTCTGTTAAGCAGTCCTGACGTCTGAACGAATTTCAAGTTCCTAGACTATGAATGCAAGCTTTTTTGTAGTATCTCCTATTTCGCCTGCGTATTGAGATATCATACTCGATGATACGCCGCCAACTGTATTTACCAGGTATAAGGAGAAAGACATCTCAGTTTCACACACCTTAGCCATGGAGTGGCGTAAATTCAAAAGGCGAGGATGCGGAAAAATGTATCGGGCCGGTAGAGGATGAAGTGCCCATCGGCACTCGCTTCCGCTTCAGGCCAAGCGAATTCCCACCACCTGTGAGGGACCGGCTGCTGGTACTGTAGGTACGTAAGGTAGGCTGCGGTTTGGGCGGCGGCCCGCTTGGCATCGTCAGACAAGTGTTGGAGGGCCGGCTGGGCCATGGTCATGCGCGGCGAAGTCGGATACTAGTAGTCATTTACCGCAGCGACGAAGCAGTGCGCTGTATATATGCGTAACTCACTTGACATTTATCCTTTTCCGGGATAGACCAATCTGCACAGTACACATTTCATAGACACATCCACGATCGACGACGATTTAGCCCGAACCCTGCAACGGCTGTAAGGCTGCAGGGCTGAGGGCTGAGAGTGGGGTGATTGGCGGGGCTGTACTGCATGCAACCTTCTGGCGGGGAAGGCACGAAGGATGGTTTCAGGATCCGAGCGTACCTCTTTGGGAAAATGAAGTCCGCATTCCAGTTGAAGGTTCTTGACATTGGATGGATCGCTTGACATACGTATTTACCCGCCTAGCTTGCTCCCTGGATTCAAACTGCCACGATTTGAGTTTGTATTTGAGGATTATACGCAAACCTTCTTGTGGGCAACTCGTGGCACTTCATACATGACACGCTTCTTCACGGATACATCCCGAGGAAAGCGGAAAGGCTTAGCCCTAGTCAGTTTAGCAAGTTACATACTCATCCAATTGGCTCCCCTGCCCAACTTCACACTCCAAAGCTCCACGGGCGCAAGGGTCTCCAGACTCTCCACAGGGACCTCAACTTCCAACTAAACGAGGTGGCCTCGAAGCAGAGTCATCAGCCTTTCTCAGCCGCTCACGCACAACTACCTAGGTTCTCATTCAAAGGAAGGACATAGGCGCTGACTGACTGCCTGGTTTAATTGTAGAGCGATGGAGTTTTCCAACCGCGTCAACCGACGAGATAACTTGCAGCCTTTTAGGAGAACAGCGACTGCTTAATTCCGGCCTGACGCGAGACGTGCTGCTTCTGTTCGTCCCGTTCGCGGGGTCGTTTTGGAAGGACCTGAAAATATGGTCCCCGACTGGGCCTCACGGGCCCGATTTCTGCCAACCAGTCCTTCGGCATCCATAGCCGTGAAATTACGCTGACTTCAGTGGCAGTGGCTCTCTCGTATGAGCTGCCGTGCCGCGTTGGTCGCATCTGAAGTCCACTCCGTCGAGGTCAGACAGTGCAATTCGAATTGGTGCGGCTCGGAAGCGGCGAAGATACCGCTGATGTCAAAGGTCCCAAACACCTGTTAACCTCGGTTGCGTTGCAGAGCGAGTTGTCCTTGACGACCACTAGATCATGTTTGGACGGTCGCCGTCTTGGCAGCCTCGCCTAAGTCACGCCGGAATTTCGAATTCGGTCTCGCAGTCTGAGCTGCTACTGGCCCGGCTGGCCGCCGCCCCCAAGCGGCCTCGAGAGAGCTTGACATGGCTCGCCCCGGCCGTACTCCACCGGTTGAACCGCGACATGAGGGCTCAATCTGATGAGTCTGATGAGCCGTCGGCGACCCAAGACCCACGGAACTGCCCGTCCAAGTGGACTCTGGCAGGGCACCAGTGTGGCACGTCCGTCGCTCGGCTCTGTCCATCAGAGGCGTCTGTGTTTGAAGGCATGTTCCGCAGTAGCCCTGGCCCCTTTCTCTTACTGGCGGCGGCGGCGGCGGGACAAGCTCATGTCCCTACGCCCGTCCCCGATCTAAGGCCACACCCGCCTCCATGGGTGATATAAGGAAACACCGTCGAGCCGGATCCCGAGCTCTCGGATTCCTCACCACTCACTCACTCATCAACCACTCCAGTCCTTCCTTTGAGGCTTTGATATTCTTGTATTGCCTGGTGCAATAACCTTCCTTTTCCCACATTCCTTTCTGTTTACACCGGACTTCGTCGATCGAGTCTGCCATACATTCCTTTTCAGGATACTCTAGTACCGAGTCAGCTCAACGCTTTTTTGAAACCTTCCTTCCAAAAACATCCGTCAAGATGTTCTTCGCTAAGTCCTTCATTGCCGCCGGTGGCCTTGCCGCCGTCGCCCACGGCCACATGCTCCTGCGGGTTCCTGCTCCCTACGAAAACCCGAAGCTTCAGCTCGGGCCCCTGGACCCTAGCGGCAGCAATTACCCGTGCCAGGCTCAGACCGGTGCTACGTTTTCGGGCACGCCGACCGAGATGGCCAAGGGCTCCAAGCAGAAGATGGGCTTCACCGGATCTGCCGTCCACGGCGGCGGCTCTTGCCAGATCTCCCTCACCTACGACAACCCGCCCACCGCCCAGAGCGCCTTCAAGGTCATCCACTCCATCGTGGGTGGCTGCCCTGCCCGCGGCGTCGATGGGAACGCTGGAAACGACCCCAACGCGCAGGCCAAGGACGAGTACGAGTTCACGATCCCTGACGACATCCCTGCCGGCAATGCCACGCTTGCTTGGTCGTGGCTGAACAAGATCGGCAACCGCGAGTTCTACATGAACTGCGCCCCCGTCTCCATCACCGGTGACGGTGGCAGCAAGGATGCCCTGAACGCGCTGCCCGACATGTTTATCGCCAACATTGCCCCTGGCGGAGACTGCAAGACCACCGAGGGTACCGACGTCGAGTTCCCCAACCCGGGCAAGTCGGTCGAGAACAACGGCGGCAAATTGGGCAAGCCCGTCGGCAACTGCGGCGGTGGTGCCGGCTCTGGCTCCGGCTCCGGCTCTGGCTCCGGCTCTGGCGGTGCTGCTAGCACTCCTGCTGCTGGTGCCGCCGCTGCCGCTTCCAGTGCCCCGGCCGTCCGCGGCCGCCGCGCCTCGTGGCGTTAAGCGGCTGCAGCGGTGCAGTCTAATGTTCCGATCTGACCGCAAGGATACCAAGCGGTACCATTCGTTACACACATCCGGCAGGGCTTGCCTCCAATGCATTAACAACAGGGGATCGAGTCACTTTGACTCGGCATGCACTCGTTAACAGGCGCGGCAACTCAGTGGACACATTCGCTTAAAGAGCAGGACAAGAACTTTGACGGAGTCGCTCGCTTTGAACACACAAGGACATTCGCTGACACATTTGTTTGGACAAGGGTTTCGGATAGCGGTGGATTGGCTCTCGAGCTACTAGACGTTCGTTACACCTCAAGATCGAGGGCTAGGGTGGTTGGCGGTGGTGGACAGTCATTCCTTCACAATAAAATCCCACATTCCTTTACAGAAACTTCCTTGAGCGAGTATGTGCGAAAACCCCTGTGGACAAGTGATTGCTTCTCATGGCATGCTCGAGGCCTTCCTTCAATCTCGCTCCTCTGAACAGCAATTATCGCCATGGCTGTCGTAACTTGTGTATTTTGCCCAGCATTGTTCCGTGACCCAACCAGCACGGCGAAGAATGCTCCGTATTACATACGTAGTAGGAACTAGGAACCAGTCATACTGCTAGTTGACGTCGACGTGTTGCCTGCTCGAGGAGACCTGAGAACAACGGCGCGCAACAGGCAAACCCTTATTAGATGTGGTGACCTCCTCCCATCGAGTGAATGAGTCAGGCAGCGTTCAAGTGGGCGACGGTGATTGGGTGGGTAGTTAAAGTGTACTACCTTACGTATGGGAGGATGAGTTGCGGCGGCATAATTGGAGCGTTCGGTGCAGAGGCCAGTAAGTGGATAACGCATTGGACCCAGTTGACCACTGCTTACTGTGTAACTTGCCACCCTCGTTCTGGAGCAACCGAGCAACCTTTGAGAGAGTTGTTCGTGATATCCGACCCTAATAACTCGAGGTTCTGTAGGGAGTAGCTGTTGGTGGTTCGTAGTTGATCCACGCGGAGCCTCAATACCAAGGTACTTTAGGTAGGTGGCACTGATAAGATAAGATGGGGCGTGGTCTCTCAGACTGTGGGGGTGTGTGCCAAGCAAAGACAGGGATGCCTCCAATCAAATGAGCCTAATGTGCCCCACTCTGAGGGAATAAAGATGTTGCGCCCCCTAGCGCACTCTGATTTCGCGGCCGCATCGCCCAGCTTCGCGGTTCTCGGGAATTTTCCCATCGCGTAGCATGGAGCGGTAGCCTCGACTCGTACGGATTACAGTGATGCTGTCTTCCCATCCAACACACCCTTCTTTTAGTTAGCCGTGGACGAAGCTCTCCCTCTTTCTCAAACGGATTTCAACTGTCAATGCAAGGATATTTTTTGCGACTTCCCGGTCTCTGCGCGAACCAACTTAATGAAGTAATCGATCATAGAGGCGTGCATGTGGGATAGGTACTTCGCTTCTCATACTTCACCCTCAGATCTGGAGTGATACCTCTTGCGCAAAGGCAACATTCCGACAGCTAACCGCCCCCGAAAGAACCCGCCGCATCCCGACCTGACGATTCTGTTTCTGAAATATCGGTTGCGGCCAGCGAGGCTGTCGCCCTGCACCCGCTAGGGTGGCCGCAGCCATGGCGAGCAGTCTCATTGAGGATGCGATCAGGAAGCTGAGCGTTCCCGACTTTGGTACGCTGACTTCTACTCATGCGCTCCACGCGCTGTAAGCCCTGTTTCTGTACTAACTATTAGTCTCTCCCGCAGAGCTCCGACTGAAGGTCGAGGCAGCAGCAGCGCTGCGCGACAGTCTCGACCATTACACCTCTGGCGCCGGCTACCCGATCTTCCTGAAGCGAGTAATGCCTACATTCATCAACATACTCCGCCAGCCATGTGTTTTTCAAACCGCCCAACCCGAGCAGATCAACGCGCAGAAGCTGCGGAACTGCGTGCTCGAGATCTTTCACCGGCTGCCCACTTCCCAGACCCCTTCCGAGCCGTTCGAGCCATATGCCGAGGAGGTTGTGGACCTACTGATGCATCTCGTCCGTAATGATAACGAGGACAATGCGGTCCTCTGCATCAAGATCATCTCGGACATCATGCGGCACCAGGCGAAGGTCATGGGCAACAAGGTGCAGATATTCCTGACGCTGATTCAGGAGCTGTTTGAGCACCTGGACAAGGTTGTCCGCGAACAGTTGGACAGCACATCCTCGACTGGGCCGCCAGGGCCCCCGTCCACACCGGGAAGCACACAAACCACCTTCCTCCCGCCTCAACAATCCCCAAGGCCAGGGTCGCCCGTCGCCACAGGCGGCGGTGATTTCAATGTCAGCGTCGAGGGTGGGCAGCAGGCCAATCGCACCTTGCTCAGGGGGACGCAGTCGTTCAAGGTGTTGGCCGAGTGTCCCATTGTCGTTGTCTCGCTTTTTCAAGTTCATCGGCAAACTGTCCCGCAAAACATCAAGGCCTTCGTGCCCTTGATTAAGTCGACACTGCTCTGCCAAGCCAAGGCCCAGGACCAGGCGCACAAGGACGCCGCCGCCAGGGGGACGATCCACACAGGAGTGAGCCCCAACATCAAGAATCGAGCCGCCTTTGGGGATTTCATCACCGCCCAGGTGAAGACTATGAGCTTCCTCGCCTACCTGCTCAGGCAGTATTCCAACTACCTTACCGATTTCCTCCCCTCACTCCCGGAGATCACTGTTCGCCTTCTCAAGGACTGCCCGAGGGAAAAGTCCGGGGCACGTAAAGAGCTTTTGGTGGCCATCCGTCACATCATCAACTTCAACTTCAGAAAGATCTTCGTGCCAAAGATTGACGAGCTGTTGGATGAGCGGACTCTGATCGGAGATGGGCTTACGGTTCATGAGAGCATGCGCCCTCTCGCGTACAGCATGTTGGCGGACCTTATCCACCACGTCCGGGAGAGTCTCTCCCCCGAGCAAATCCGCAAGACGGTTCTCGTCTACACTCGGAATCTCCAGGACAACTTTCCGGGGACAAGCTTCCAGACGATGAGTGCTAAGCTACTCCTCAATATGGCCGAGTTCATCGCTCGAATGCCGAACAAGGTCGATGCTCGGCATTATCTCATCATGATCCTCAACGCCATTGGAGATAAATTCGCCGCCATGAACAGGCAATATCCGAATGCCGTCAAGCTCTCTAGGCAGTATGCCCAACAGGCCGAGGAGAACACCCCCGACACATACCTCGCAGATACGGGGAACCCGCCGGAATGGGATGAGGTCGACATCTTCAACGCCATGCCCATCAAGACGACTAACCCTCGTGAACGAGCCGCCGATCCTGTCGTCGAGAACAAGTTTCTTTTCAGGAATCTAATGAATGGGTTGAAGAACACTTTCTACCAGCTGAAGAGCTGCAATATACCAGGCGCGGTGGACCTGACAAGCGCACCTGCGCACTGGACAGATGTTGCCTGCGGATTCACTGCCGAAGAAGTGAAGGTCATCATCAAGCTGTTTCGCGAGGGCGCCTACGTATTCCGATACTACGAAATAGAGAAACCCGCAAGCGAGTCGCCGTACAGCTCGCCGGTCGAGTACATGGCGAACTTCTACATGATCTCGAGTAGCAAAGAGGAGAAGGAGTTATTGGAGACGTTTGCAACCGTCTTCCACTGTATCGACCCTGCCACATTCCACGAGGTGTTCCAGCAGGAGATCCCACGACTCTACGAAATGATCCACGAGCACACAGCCCTTCTCCACATCCCCCAATTTTTCCTTGCCAGCGAGGCGACGTCGCCCAGTTTCTGCGGCATGCTGCTGCGCTTCTTGATGGAGCGCATTGAGGACGTGGGCTCCGCCGACGTGAAGAAGTCGGCCATCCTGCTTCGGCTCTTCAAGCTGGCCTTCATGGCTGTCACGCTTTTCGCGTCTCAGAACGAGCAGGTGCTTCTGCCGCACGTCGTCGACATCGTGACCAAGTCGATCGAGCTGTCTACCAAGGCCGAGGAGCCCATGAACTACTTCCTGCTGCTGAGGGCTCTATTCCGGAGCATCGGCGGCGGCAAGTTCGAGCATCTGTACAAGCAGATCCTTCCCCTCTTGGAGATGCTGCTCGATGTGCTCAACAACCTCCTCTTGGCCGCCCGCAAGCCTGCCGAGCGGGATCTCTATGTCGAACTGTGTCTGACGGTGCCAGCTCGGCTGAGTAATCTCCTGCCTCATCTCAGCTTCCTCATGCGTCCACTGGTTGTGGCGCTGCGTGCGAACACCGACCTGGTTGGCCAGGGCCTTCGGACCCTCGAACTATGCGTTGACAATCTTACCGCAGATTATCTGGACCCCATCATGGCGCCAGTCATTGACGAACTCATGACGGCTCTTTTTGATCATCTGAAGCCACATCCGTACAGCCATTTCCACGCTCACACCACCGTCAGGATTCTCGGAAAGCTCGGCGGTCGGAACCGGAAGTTCATGACGGATGCTCTGCCTGTCACCTTCCAGCAATATGTCGATGACCGGGCGAGCTTCGATGTCCGGCTCATTGGGTCAAAGCATGAGAGGGCTTTTCCCGCACACCTGGGCATCGAACTTGCCATCCGGAAGCTGATGGAAGTGCCCAAGCCAGTCAAAGGACCACAGCCGCCGCCATCGAAGCAATACGATCCCTACTACAAGAGGCAAGCCTTGAACCTCATCATTGCGCAGGTCAAGTTGCGTGTCGGCTTTGACAACCTGCCGGATGATCTCCCCCGCCTTGTCCGCCTCCAGGTGCAGGATCTGGTTGCTCGTAATAAGGACGTGGACACATCTGCCTTCGAGAACCATGACCGAGAGCGGTCCATCGTCAAGAAGAACGAAGAGGAGAACCTGCTGAAGCGCTTAATCAAAGCGCTCATGTTTGCCCAGTCGATGCCCGATTTCAAGGCGGAAGTGGATGCTTTGCTCCTGAACCTCGCTCGGCACTTTACCATCATCGAAGTCGGGCGAGCATTGATCGACATGAAGAGAGCCTTCAGCCCGTTCGACACACAGTCCGGTGAAGGGCCACTCTTCGTCGACAGCAGGGTCCTCTCTGACGCCATTCTGGAGTCTCTGGCCTCCGAGAACCCGGATATCCGGGACGCAGCCGAGCGGCTCATCAGAGAGATGTACAACTCGGCCGTCACCATCTTTGGGTCTCCCACCCAGGTCGCCCGCCTGACCTTCTTCAACAGCCTGGCTTCTACCTTCTGCCACGGCTGCTACGAAGAGGAGTGGTTCACCAAAACGGGTGGGACGCTGGGAATCAAGGCTCTGCTCACAGACGTTGACCTTGGAGACCTCTGGGTAGCCTCGAAGCAGATCGAGTTCGTCCGTGCGCTCATGTATGTGATCAAGGACATGCCACAAGACCTTCCTGAAAAGACTAGGAGATCGGCACAGGTCACTCTTGAAATCCTCCTGACGAGACTCACGAAGAACATCAAGAAGGAGGACTGCCTACCGGCTCCGCCTCCGGCACCGGGCCAACCGCCTCAGCCGCCGCCTAAACACTCTCGGATTGCCCAGATCGTCATGATGCTCAACGGAGAGCTTTCGCATATGAACCGACATGTTCGAGATACGGCAAGAAGATCCCTCGAGCTGATTGCCAAGGCGGCCGGAACCGAGGTCTGGGAGCTCCTCGAGCCTCATCGCAAGCACATCCTGCAGCCCATCTACGCCAAACCGTTGCGAGCTTTGCCGTTTGCCATCCAGATTGGGTTTATCGATGCTGTCACCTACTACATGTCCTTGAAGCGCGACTTCGTCCCTTGGGACGAGAACCTCCTCCGCCTGCTTCTGGAGTCGCTGGCCCTGGCCGACGCAAGCGACGAGTCTCTCGCAGGCAAGACGCTGGAGTTCAGGACGCACGACTTCATCGTCAATCTTCGCGTCTCGTGCATCAGGATCCTCAGCACTGCGATGGCGTACGACGAGTTTGGAAGCGTTGTCAACCAACCCACGAGGATGAGAGTCGTGGCTGTCTTCTTCAAAATCCTTTACTCCGACTCTCAGCCAACGATCGAAGCGGCCAACGACGCGTTGCGGCAGGTCCTGCAGCATACTAGTAAACTGCCTAAGGAACTGCTGCAGTCCGGTCTGCGCCCGGTGCTTCAGAGTCTGCAGGACCCCAAGCGCTTGACAGTCTCAAGCCTGGACAACCTTGGCCGTCTGCTGCGGCTCTTGACGACGTACTTTAAGGTAGAGATCGGGGCTCGCCTTCTTGAGCATATTCAAACGATTGCCGAGCCGAGCTTCCTCCAGCAGGTTTCATTCACCTTCTTCGAGCAGCACAACTCGATGAAGGTGATTGCAGCCATCTTCAACATCTTTCACCTTTTGCCCGAAGCCGCCAAGCAGTTTAAGGAGCGGGTGATCGATAACGTCCTGGAGCTCGAGGAGAAACTGCGAAGGACTCACCACAGCCCATTCCGCTTGCCCCTGTACAAGTACCTCAACAAGTACCCCTCCGACGTCTGGGCCTTCATGTTGGGCAAGTTGGAAGAGTTGAGATACGGCCGGCTCCTGTCGCAGGTGCTGCGGCATCCGGACAGTCAAGTGCTCCGAGACTACGGTGCGGCAAACGTCGAGTTGATTATCAAGACGTGCAACAACATCATCGGCCAGGGCAAGGAGACCAAGTACAACGCGATGATCAACACGGTTAACATGCTGGACGCGCTCTGCCAGTTTCCCAACACGTTATCGTGGCTGGATAACAAGGAGCATATTGACTGGTTGAAGCAGGTTGGGAAGGAGCTCGAGCGCAACCTGAAGATGAACACTCTGGCGCCAAACCTCCGGCTGCCGGCAGATCAAGCCTCTGAGCAGCTGATGACCATCCTTACCAAGGCACTGGCGAGGAATCCCAAGGATCTGGAGCCGCTCTTCAGTCTCATCGAGTCCATCACCGCGGAGGACTTCCGCGAGACGCAGGCGGTCCTCACCTACGTCTACAAACATATCATCTGCAGCGACTCCATCGAGTTTTGGAGGACCGTTGTCCTCCGCTGCCTCGAGATTTACGCCGGGAGGAGTGCGTCACAGCGGACCAAATGGTATCTGCTTCACAACATCGTCAACCCCATCATCGCCATGGATGTGATGCGCCACTGGAACCGCGGCGAGTACAACAGAGGCCAGCGGTTCCTTGACAAGACGGTGATCGACTCGATCAACACAAAGATCTGGAAGGTCAACCTCCCCGATACACAGGAAGACCTCCTGCAGCCGCGTATCGACCACACGCGCATGGAGGTGCTTCAGCTCTCGGCCATGCTCGTCAAGTATCACCACCCCATCCTCCAAGACGCTCGCAAGGACTTCATCAAGTTCGGCTGGACCTATATCCGGCTGGACGACGTCATCAACAAGCATGCGGCGTATGTTGTGATAGGGTACTTTATCGCGCACTACGAGACCCCGGCCAAGATCGTGACCCAGATCTACTTCTCGCTGCTGAAAACCAACCAGAACGAGGGCCGAGTGCTCGTGACCCAGGCCCTGGAACTGATGGCCCCGGTGATGCCTAAGAGGTGTAACACGCCCCTGACTGACCGGAACCCCGTCTGGGCTGTCGCGCCGCGCCGTATCCTGGCCGAGGAGAGCCAGAACGTGCAGCAGATGACGTGCATCTTCCAGTTTCTCGTGCGGCATCCCGATTTGTTCTACCACACTCGAGACAAGTTCGCCATGTTGATCATCCAGTGCCTCCGCAAAGTGGCCTCGCCGCCCAACCCGTCCAACGAAAGTAGGAAGCTCGCGCTCAACATGATGTGGCTGATCTGGCAGTGGGAGGAGCGGCGGGTGGAGGGCAGGACGAGCGAAGCCATCCGCGCCGCCTCGGAATCGCCCAACACCAGGAAACGGAAGCTGGAGGAGCCTCAGTCCGCTTCGCCTTCTGCTTCGCGGCAACCGGAGAAGACGGAGTTCCAGATCCCTGCCATGGGCCGCCATAAGATGGTTAAGTACTTGGTTGAGTTCATCGCGCAGCTGAGCGAACGGTACCCGCTTCCCTCGGCGAAGCCACGCGATCCGGCGGCACCGGCACTGCCCTCACCGCACACGAAGCTCTGCGAGAAGGCCATGACGCTGCTGTACAATCTCCTCCAGCCGCAGTACTGGGGTGACCTGGATGTGGATCTGTTCCCCAACGTTACCGACGTGGTCCTGGCGAGCGAGAAGTCGGCGTCTCTGCTCACAGCCGATCCATTGGACACGGACAAGTACGATGACAAGTTCATCACCAACATCATCAACACTCTGCAGGTTGTCCGCATCATCCTCAACTTCAAGTCGGACGAATGGATCATCAAGAACATGGCCCACATCCAAAAGATCCTGGAGAAGTGTCTGAAGTCGGAGAACCCCGAGATCCAGGACTGCCTCCACATGGCCGATAGGAAATACGACGGAGGTCGTGACATCAAGCCCATCGTTAAGCGCATTCTAGATGCCGTTCCGGAGGACGTCCCGATGGAAGATGCGGACGCTGATGCGGAGTCTGAAACGCAGACCTCGGAGATCATCGCATTCTTCTCCGGCATTGCTACCGAGAGCATGGCTGCTTCGAACTACGTGTCCGGCATGAACATCTTGTGGTCGCTTGGGCATCGCAAGCCGTCCACCATTGACCAGCACGTACCGGCCATCATGAAGTCGCTGCACACGAAGCTGGCCCGGGACCACGTCTCCCACTATGCCGCATTGGCCCACCAGGCCAGCGGCATCCGGCCGCAGCAGCAGCAGCAGGACCCGAATGCGCCGACCGAGATGAACGCATACGACCTCGAGGTGCAGACAGGCTTGATCCTCAAGGCCATCGAGGTCACAGCGATGCGGATGGAGATTCTGGGCGACAACAGGCGGCCGTTCCTCAGCGTCCTGGCAACCATCGTGGAGAAGTCCCTGCACATGGATCTCTGCGAGAAGATCCTTCAGATGGTCGAGGGCTGGGTCTTTCGCTCCGAAGGCACGTGGCCGACGCTCAAGGAGAAAACAGCTGTGCTGCACAAGATGATCTCGTTCGAGCATCGCCAGGATCCAACGATGCTGATGAAGTTTCTCGACCTCGTCCTCCGCATCTACGAGGACCCCAAGATCATGCGCACGGAGCTGACAGTGCGTATGGAGCACGCCTTCCTGATCGGAACGAGGGCCCAGGACGTCGAGATGCGCAACAGGTTCATGTCCATCTTCGACAAGTGCCTTTCCAAGACAGCGAGCGCCCGGCTCGCGTATGTCATTCTCTCGCAGAACTGGGATACCTTGGCAGACTCGTACTGGCTGGCGCAGGCTTCGCAGCTTCTCCTGGGCGGCGTGGACATGAACCCCGCCATCCAGCTTCATCATGACGACTTCCGGACTCCGCAGGTGTCGCAGTTGTTCGGCATCTACTCCAAGGACACGCGAGAGCCCGGCAACATGAGCGACGACAAATACGAGGCCTTCATGGCGAACCATCGCCGCTTCGTTGCGGAGCTTGGCGATGTCAGGGTGCGCGACGTTCTTGAACCACTGGCGCAGCTGCAGCATATCGACGCCAAGTTTGCCGATGAACTCTGGGTCACCCTCTTCCCGATCTTCTGGGCGGCTGTGGCCAAGGAGGACCGACCGGATCTCGAGCGCGGCCTGGTAGCGCTGCTCACCAAGGACTACCACTCGCGCCAGATGGACAAGCGTCCCAACGTTGTCCAATCCCTCATGACCGGGGTCGTGAAGACGTGGCCGGCCTGCAAGATCCCGCCGCACGTCCTCAAGTTCGAAGCCAAGACGTACGATGCCTGGTACACGGCGCTCTACCAGTTGGAGAACGCGGCTCTCCGGCCCGAGATCGACTCCCCGGCTGTGCGGGAAAGCAACCTGGATGCCTTGGTGGATCTCTACTCCTCCCTCGGCGAGGATGACTTGTTTTACGGGACATGGCGCCGTCGTTGCCAGTTTGTGGAGACGAATGCCGCCCTGAGCTACGAGCAGCATGGCATGTGGGAGAAGGCGCAGCGCATGTACGAGACGGCGCAGATCAAGGCCAGGACCGGCGTCATCCCCTTCTCGGAGTCAGAGTACATGCTCTGGGAGGACCACTGGGTGCTCTGCGCCCAGAAGCTGCAGCAATGGGAGGTCCTGCAGGACTTCGCCAAGCATGAGAATTTCCAGGACTTGCTCCTGGAGTGCGCGTGGAGGAATCCCGAGTACTGGCAGAACCAGGAGAACCGCGACCAGCTGGATACCCTCATCAAGGGCGTCATGGACGCGCCCACGCCCAGGCGATCGTTCCTCCAGGCCTTCATGTCGCTTCTGAAGCTGCACAACAAGCAGGAGAGCATGCAAGACTTCAATCGGGTGGTTGACGAGGCGATCCAGCTGTCCATTCGGAAGTGGCATCAGCTCCCGAAGCGGCTTACCGCGGCCCACATTCCGGTCCTCCAGAATTTCCAGCAGCTCATTGAGCTCCACGACGCGAGCGTCATCTGCCAGAGCCTTGCCGGTACGAACGCCAATAACCTTGACGTGAAGTCCGGGGAGCTTAAGCTGCTGCTTAATTCCTGGAGGGATAGGCTTCCGAACACGTGGGACGACGTCGTGGCATGGCAGGATATGGTGACGTGGAGGCAGCACATCTTTGGTCTCATCAATGGGACGTACCTGCAGCTGCTGCCGCAGCAAGCCCAGGCCACGGGAGGTGCTTCGTTTGCGTACCGGGGGTACCACGAGACGGCGTGGATCATCAATCGTTTCGCACATGTCGCGAGAAAGCACAACCTCCCGGACGTCTGCATCAGCCAGCTCAGCCGGATATACACGCTCCCAAACATAGAGATCCAGGAGGCCTTCCTGAAGCTGAGAGAGCAGGCCAAATGCCACTACCAGAACCCGGAAGAACTGTCGAGCGGGCTGGATGTGATTAACAACACGAATCTCAACTACTTCAGCGCGCCGCAGAAGGCCGAGTTCTACACCTTGAAGGGCATGTTTCTGGAGAAGCTGGGCCAGAAGGAACAGGCGGACGCCGCATTTGGCATGGCTCTCTACTTCGATATCACCGCGGCCAAGGCGTGGGCCGAGTGGGGCTACTTCAACGACAGGAAGTTCAAGGAGAATCCAAGCGACGCCGTGGCGGCGAGGCAGGCGCTCACAAGCTACTTGCAGGCTGCGTCGAGCTACAAGAACCACAAGTCGCGGAAGCTGATTGCGCGAATTCTGTGGCTGTTGAGCATCGATGATGCGAACGGCACCATCGCGGCAGGGTTCGACGACTTCAAGGGCGAGATCTTTGTCTGGTGGTGGATCACCTACATCCCGCAGCTCCTCGTCGGTCTCTCGTACAAGGAGGCGCCGCGAGCGCAGACCATCCTGCTTAAGATTGCCAAGACATACCCGCAGGCGCTGTATTTCCACCTCCGGACCAGCCGAGAAGACATGCTCGCCATGAAGAAGACCCAGGAGGCGAAGGAGCGGGCGAAGCGCAGCCAAGCTAACAGTGCGGCCAGCAACAAGCCAAGCGCGTCTCCCCAACTCACTAAGAAAGAGCCAGGGGCTGACGGCGATGGCTCTCGTCCGGCAACGGCGGGCGGTGAGGCAAGCGGGCAACAAGCAGCGAAGTCCGAGTCGAAGGCCGAGGCAGACAATACTAATAATGCGAACGCGCCGGCGGCGGCAGCAGCAGCAGCAGCAGCGCAGACGAACACGCCCAATCCTAATCCCAATCCCAATCCCAATCCCTCGGCGCAAGGCGAGCAGACGGGCAGCGGGCAGAAGAAAGCGCCGTGGGAGCTGACGGAGGAGATTATGAGCGTCCTCAAGACGGCATTCCCCTTGCTGGCGCTCTCCATGGAGACCATGGTGGACCAGATCTCGAAGCACTTCAAGTGTCCGCCAGACGAAGACGCCTACCGGTTGATCGTGGCGCTGCTCAACGATGCGCTGGCCTACGTCAGCCGCATGCCGCAATCGTATGCCAAGGATGTCAAGTTGCCCGCAGCCACGGAGAGCAACATCACACGCTTCGCCGAGACCATCTTGCCAAGCCATATCCGGCCCAGCTTCGAGGCCGACTTCGTCAAGGTCAAGCCGACGATGTATGAGTACATCCACAACCTGCGCAGGTGGCGCGACAAGTTCGAGCAGAAGCTGGATCGGCGGTTGTCGCCGGTGCCGCTCGAGAGCTTTGCGCACTACTCGCCGCACCTCAGCGAGTTCCGGTACCAGAAGTTCGACGAGGTCGAGATCCCCGGCCAGTACCTGCAGCACAAGGACAAGAACCAGGACTTCGTCCGCATCGACAGGTTCCTGCCCAACGTCGACCTGGTGCGCTCCTCTGGGGTGTCGCACCGGCGGCTCAAGATCCGCGGCCACGACGGCAGCGTCCATGCCTTTGCGATTCAGCACCCCGCAACACGGCATTGCCGACGCGAGGAGAGGGCGGTGCAGCTGTTCCGGCAGCTCAACCAGTCGCTGATCAGCAAGAAGGAGAGCCGCAGGCGGGATCTGCAGTTCACGCTGCCGCTGATGGTGCCTCTCGCTCCTCATTTCCGGATGGTGCAGGAGGATACGTCATACATCCCGCTGCAGAACGTCTACGAGGACCACTGCCGGCGGCACGGCATGTCCAAGGACGAGCCGGTGCTGTACACGATGGAGAAGCTGCGGGGGTTGATGGATACCAAAGGACCGGTAAGTCTTAGGTCACACGTTGTCCAAACCAATATTCAAGGGATTGCGCCGCTAACCAACCATGACCTGTTGTTGCAGCAGAAGCCGCAGGAACACGCAGTCACGGCGCGGCTCGAGGTGCTGCGGGCGATCCAGGAGAAGTACGTGGACCATACCGTTGCGCTGGAGTACTTCCAGGGGGCCTTCCCGGACTTTGCCGAGTTCTGGCTCTTCAGACGGCGCTTCTCGTACCAGCTGGCGGCGCTGACCTTCATGACGTACGTGCTGCACATCGACAAGCGGTACCCGCACAAGATCCATATCGCGCGCGGATCGGGCAACATCTGGGGCTCGGACCTCATGTCGGCCATGGCGACCAACCGGCCCTTCTTCCACAACCAGGAGCCCGTACCCTTCCGGCTCACGCCCAACTTGCAGACACTCATGGGTCCGCTGGCGACCGAGGGCATCTTCGGGTCCTCCGTCATGGCCATCGCGCGCTGCCTGACGGAGCCGGAGCCGCAGCAGCTCGAGCACGCGCTCACGCTGTTTGTGCGCGACGAGATGATGAACTGGTTCACCAACCTGCACCGGTCCGTGGGCACCCTGAGCGAGAACCAGCTTCGCGAGACGGTCCAGGCCAACAGCGACATGATCGTGAAGAAGGCGGTGGCGCTCGCCCAGGCCCCTGCGGGCAACCTGCCGGCGCACCAGACGGTTATTGACCTCATTGCTAAGGCCGTGAATCCCATGAACCTGGCCATGTGTGATTCGTTGTGGATGCCCTATCTCTGAGGATGAGCCCGAGTCGGCAAGTGGTGGAGGGTTGGGTGGGTCTGTTTTTGGTTGCTGAACGGAGTGGGAGTTGAGTGGAGTGATGGAGAGGGAAGGGAAAGGGGAGGAGAAGAGAGGAGAGGGGGTGATCTGCCTTGCTTTGGTTTGCTTGGGCCTGGGATGGAGGAGTTACTTGGGGCTGATGTTTTAAGAATGGTATTACTGGGATTCTCTATTGTCGGCGCATCTGTGTACTGGGTGGGCTATCTTGCTGGTGATGTGACAGGGCGTAGGAAAAGGGGTGTTGGGAGGCTGGATCGGGGTTATGGAGGCGTTACTGTGCTGTGAGAGGGGATGGTTTTATTTCGCTTGTTGTCGTTGCTGTATAGTGAGACGCGACTTATTTATCATCGCCAATTGATGGTCTAGCTTTTTAGTGTTCACTAAGGTACCTTGCCCCGTGAGTCGGTACCTGCTGATTTGAAGTGGTGGAGCAGGCAGGCCCGGCCCGACCCCGATCGGCGGTCCCGAACCGGGCGGGGTCCTCCGGGTACCGCTTTCCCGACGGACAGGGAACCCCGCATTGTGTTGCCGCGGGCTGGTGAGACTTTTGGTCTTATTAGTGCGCTTGTCCTCGGACTCCGAACCATCACAACCTCGGCCCAGGTGGAATGAGTGTGGCCTAAGCTGAGCGGCGCCAAGAAGCAGTGAGAAAGTAGGGCAAAGAAAGAACGGCGGTTTGTTTACTTCCATTTGGGGTCAGCATCGAGAACCTGGAAGTGAATTCAAAATGGCGGAGAGCGGACAGCAGACCGTGTCGGTGCCGCGGAAGTTATGGTGCGTTTTCTTTCTTTCTTTCCCTCACTCATTCCCCATATCTTCATTTGTCAGTTCCCGGTCCCTGGACTCTCATACTCACCGCGATGCAGGCAACATCCGGACCCGGAGAGCACCCTCATGTACCGCTTCATGCAGGACACGAACCGCAAGTACGGGGTGCAGCTCAAGGCAGGTTACTTCACCATCCAAACAGAACCTCTTTAGTCAAACTGGGGTAAACTAACGATTTTGCAACAGACATTCAACGACCTCCACACTTTTGCCCTCTCCCACAGATCTGTCTTCTGGTCCGACGTCTTCCACGCGGCCAACTTCATCTACGAGGGCACCTACACCCGCGCCGTCGACGAGTCCCTCCCCATCGACGCGGTCCCGCGCTGGTTCGAGGGTGTCCGGCTCAACTTTACTGAGAACGCGCTCTTTTCTTCTTCTTCTCGTTCCCCTAGTACCGCTGCTCCTCAAGATACCGCTGAGCGGTGTGTGCGAGACAAAGAAGATGGCAAGGTCGCCATCACCGAGGTGCGCGAGGGCGGCAGCGAGGTGCGGAGCGTCACGTATGGTGAGCTGCGAGAGGTGGTGGGCACGCTCGCCAAGGCGATGAAGGCTAGGGGAGTGGAAAAGGGGGACCGGGTGGTGGTTGTCGGCGCGAACAGTGTCGAGACGGCGGCGGTCATGCTAGCGGCGGGATGGGTCGGGGCTATCTTCAGCAGTAGCTCGACGGATATGGGCGTGAAGGGGATCTTGCAGAGGACGGTACAGGTTAATCCGAAGGTGAGTATTCTTTTCCTTTTTTTTGTAGGAGCTCGAGTTCTGAATGGGTTGGGAGGCTGAGACGAGATGGACACCAGTTACTGTTCATGGACGATGCCACGCTCTATAACGGCAAGGTGGCGGATTTGAGGGCTAAGATGGCCGAGGTGGTGGACGGGTTGAAAACGGAGTGCTCCAACTTCGCCGGCGTGGTGTCGATCCGCCGGTTTGCCGAGGCGAGGGATGTCTCCGGGGTGCCCATGGCTGAGACGTGGGCGTCCTTCGTCGCCGCAGCGGACAAGGCGTCGCGGCCGCCCGAGTTTGTGCGCATCGGCTTCCACGAGCCGTGGCTCATCTGCTACTCGTCCGGCACGACGGGCATCCCCAAGGCGATTGTGCACTCGGCGGGCGGCATCCTGGTTAACTCGTACAAGGAGTCGCGCCTGCACGAGGGCATCGGCCCCGACAGCGTGGCGCTGCAGTACACGACCACGGGCTGGATCATGTACCTGGCCAACGTCGGCATCCTGCTGTGGGGCGGCCGCGCCATCTTCTACGACGGGTCGCCCTTCCAGCCTGACGCCAGCATCCTCATCCGCCTCGCCGCCGAGCACGGGGCGACCAAGCTGGGCATCAGTCCGCGGTGGATGTTCGAGGTGGCCAAGGCCGGCCTGCGCCCGCGCGACATGGCCGACCTCTCGCGGCTGCGCACCGTCACCTGCACGGGCATGGTGCTGTCGGACCAGCTGTTCGAGTGGTTCTACGACGTCGGCTTCCCGCGCGACGTGCACCTGGCCAACATCTCGGGCGGCACCGACATCGCCGGCTGCTTCGGCGCCATGAACCCGCTGACCCCGGTCTACGTGGGCGGCACGCAGGGCCCGTCGCTGGGCGTGCACGTCGCCATCTACGACTCGCTGCTGCCCGACGGCGCCCAGGGCCAGGAGGTCGCTCCCGGCACGCCCGGCGAGCTGGTCGCCGCCGCGCCGTTCCCCAACATCCCCTGCTTCCTATGGGGCGACAGGACGGAGCCCGGGAAGAGCCCCGCCGCGCCGGGCACCAAGTACCACGCCGCCTACTTCGCGCGGTTCCCGCACGTGTGGGCGCACGGCGACTTCTGCGTGGTGCACCCCGTGACGGGCAACATCACGTTCCTGGGGCGCGCCGACGGCGTGCTCAACCCTTCGGGCGTGCGCTTCGGCTCGGCCGAGATCTACTCGGTCGTCGAGCGGCGCTTTTCCGACCGCGTGCAGGACTCGCTGTGCGTGGGCCAGCGCCGGCCGCAGGACGTCGACGAGTCGGTCATGCTCTTCTTACTGATGCGGCCCGGGACGCGGTTTGATCGCGCGCTGGTGCGCGAGGTGAAGCAGGCCATTGCCGCCGACCTGAGCAAGCGCCACGTTCCCAAGTATGTTTTTGAGACGCCTGAGATTCCGGTGAGTTTGGATCTTTTTTTCCTTTTTCTTTTTCATTTTTTCCCTCCTTTTCTTTCCTGTAGTGGTAGAAAAGGAGATGCAAAATGGGTGAAGGCTAACAATTTATGATGCCGCCACACATAAAAAAGACAACTGTCAACCTCAAAAAGGTCGAGCTGCCGGTCAAGCAGATCGTGTCGGGCCACACCATCAAGCCGAGCGGCACACTGGCCAACCCGGAGAGTCTGCAGTATTATTACCAGTTCGCCAAGGTGGAGGAACTGTTTGGGCCGAAGGAGAAGCTGTAGACTGCAAGGAGTTGGACCGGCAGGGTTTTACTAAGTAAGGGATGAGATGGTTGTCGCTATGGTGAGACGGCCAAAGAGATCCCATATCGAATCGGGCGTACAACAGGTTTGCTGAGCAGATGCGGTCCATCTCGGCTTGGGCACCAGTAGAGTCAGCCCGTTGCTCGGTTGGAGCCAGCGGGAGCCAGTCCATTCCATTAATCCTATGATCTCTTCACAGAGAAAACCAGTGTCGCCAGTCCAATGACCCATATAGCCTCCCCTTTTTTTGCCTTGTTCCTGTAAATACCCCGGCGCCATCGCTATGCTATGCTATGCTTATGCCATACCTTCCCATGCAGGCAGTATCCATTCCAGGCCGATTACCAAAATACAGTAGTATCCTTCGTTTGCTCAAAGCAAAAAAAGAATGCTTGTTTCCGCAACCCAACCGACCGACCGACCGACGTCAATCAACGTCGCTCATCTCCATCATACTTTCCACGCCGGGTCCATATCCCCCACCTCCTCCCCCTTCTCCGCCGCCGCCACGCCTCCCACCACCGCGGACATTCCCGCTTCTCGCGACCCCCTTCCCCTTATCCCCCGACAACGAGGACGCCGACGCACCACCAGCTGCGGCCGTCCTGCCCCTAATCCTTCTCTCGACCTTCACCCTCGCCGCAGCCTTCTTCTCTTCCAGCTCAGCCTCAAACCGATCCATATCCGCAATCCCTTCATCCTCCTCCCCTCTAAAATTGCCCGACAGATCCAGCCCGGTACTGAGCCCGCCCGCCAACACCGCCACGTCCCCATTCGACGACTCCTCTAGCGCTTTGTTCATCAGGTCCGTGGCGATGGGATCCTGCGGGTTCACCGCCAGCGCCTCGTGCAGCTCCCTGGCGGCGTCGTCGGGCAAGCCCTTGTCCAGCAGGATCAGCGCGCGCGCGCAGAGCACGGCCGCGTCCTTGCCGCCGTCGCGCAGCACGATGTCGAACTCGGCCAGGGCCTCGTCCAGCAGGCGCAGCCGGCGGTAGGCGTGGGCCAGGTTGGTGCGCGCGCCCAGCCAGGCGTGCGGGTCGGCGCCCGTCTCGTCGGCCACGCGCAGCGCCTGGCGGAAGAACTTGGCCGCGTCCTTGAGCCGGTCCTGGTGGTACAGCACCACGCCCATCTCGTTGAGCAGCAAGGGGTCGGTGCGGCAGAGCGAGTAGGCCGACTTGAGGAACTCCTCGGCCGCCGTCATGTTGTTCATGGCGTGGTTCTGCATGCCGAGAAACAAGTGGGGCAGGTGCGTGCCCGTAAACAGGCGCGCCGCGGTCGAGTAGGCCGTGATGGCCTGGTCGTGCTCGCCCTCGGCCGCGAACGTGTGCGCGAAGCCGATCCAGGCCGGGCCGAAGGTCGCGTCCATCATCGACGACTTGGAGAAGTACCGCCGCGCGTCGGCGATCTTGCCCGTCGCCAGGTAGTAGGTGCCGACCGCGAGCCAGGTGCACGCCTTGTCCGGGTGGTTATCGGCTAGGTTGTGCGCCGCGAGGAAGAGCTCGTTGGTCTGCTTCAGCTCGTACAGGCAGGCGAGGTGGACCGGGTAGGCGGGGAAATTGGTCTTGTCCTCCTTAAGGATGGCGGTGGTGAGCGCGAGCGCGTCTTTGAAGCGGCACTGGGTGTACAGCTGGTCGGCACGGGCCAGGAGAATGTCCGGGTTGTCGGTGAGCCCGTAGTGGGTCGAGAGGGATTCGATGGCTGTGTTGAAGGCCCGCGGGTTGCGGTACTTGGAGAGCTGGGTCTGGTACAGCATCTGCACGTAGTCGCCCGGTTCCGTCTTAAGTTCCGGGTCGTCGCCGCCCCTGGGCGCCCGCACTGCGTTGAAGTCGAGCGACTGCATGAATTCGTCCTCCTCGTCGGGCGACATGAGCGAGTTGCGCACCAGCTGGGTGAAGGCCTCGTAACACTGCACGTCGATGCGCAGTGCGTCCTTGTACGCCTCCTTGGCCCGGTCGAAGGCGTTTTCCTTTGCGTAGCAGAGCCCCCGCAGGTAGCACATGCCGGCCTCGAACCGGCGGGTCGACCATTCCTCCTCGCTGACCTCATCCGGCTGGCGCTCGGGGGCCTTGGGACCTGCGCGGGTGCCTCGACCGGTCGTCCGGGTTGTCTTGCGCTTCGCGGTATTGGTGTTAATCAGGTGAGTCGGGGTGTGCTCGCCCAACAGGGCCAATGCTTCGGTAAAGAGGTTTTGCCGGATCAGACAGTGGGCGGCAAGATAGCGGCACCACGGGTTCGAGCCGATGAGGTTGTGCTCCGTCAGCAGATCGTGCGAGCGCGTGTAGTTGCCGGCATTGAAGTGGACCTGGGCAAGCCAGAAAGCATCGTTATCGTCTTCTGCGGACGGCGTCAGCGGGGGTGCAGCGGCTGCGAGGTGACGGGCGCTGCCCTACTCGTCATTGCCAGCAGCTTGTCGCCGATGAAGATGGCAGAGTCATATTGCGCCTTGTTGAGCGCATCTTGGCGCCAGTCGCGGAGAAACCTCTCCATGTTTGGTTGCGACGAAGCCATGGCTGCGTGGTGCGTCTCGTCATGGGCTTGAGCTGGGCCCGCTCAACAGGGCGGTTGGTTGTAGTGAAAGGGTCGTGCGCGGATAGCTATTCTGCAGGTCAGACTATACAGCAAGCCGCCTTCACATTGGGCCTTTTTGCTTAAGGTTGTGTATGTTTCGCCACAAAGCTTTCACAGAAACCAATACCATGTGCGACTGTTGGACGCGGTTGCCAAGGAGAAGATGTCGAAGTCGCGCTAATAAAAGCGGGGCGCGAGCTTCCTTGTTGCATGGTGGGGCCCACAGCCAACCTAACCTGGAAGACTTCCAGAACCGGAAGCTCAGGTATCGGATTGTCCCAAAAGTCCAACATCATCAACCAAAACTGAATCTTCATGTTGCAAGCAATGAAACAAAGTCCAGGTCGACGATCAATTTTTTCGTTATTATATTATGTACATATAATATGAGGTCACCCTGATTTCTCTTTCTTTTATCACTACCCCATCACCCTAATTACTAAGGTCCCTTACGGATAACTCCTTCATTGAAGATCCCGGTGGCCCAAGGTGCGGTTCTTCGGCTGGCCCAAGCCCAAGCAGCCCGCGATCTTGTAGAACACATCGATGTTGTTGTACGTGCCGCCAAAGGTTTCCTGGCACGGCCCCATGGCGTACACGGGGACATCGGTCAGCGAGTGCACGCCCTGGGCCTCGTCGGTGGGCAGCGTGCCGTTGACGACGAAGCCGTCGGGCCTGTCCTTGGGGTTGACGTAGTACTCGCCGTCGGCGCCCACGGCGGCGGGCGTGCGCGGAGCCTTGCCGACGCCGAACATCTCGCGGTGGTCCGGGTTGGCGCCCAGCCCGGCGGCGATCACGTAGCGCGGGTCCCAGTTGAGCGGGAAGTTGGCGCCGGTGCCGTACGACACGCCCTCCTTGGGCTGCGTGTACTGCGACAGGCCCGAGTTGGCGTACACGCCGATGGCGTTGCGCTTGGCGCGGTCGTCCTCCTGCGCCGCCGCGTATTTGGTGTCGGAGCTGCCGAAGACGTCTGGTGACAGGGTCTGTTAGAATTCTGTTTCTTTCTTTTTTTTTTTTTTTTTTTTTTCCCTTTTTTCCCTCTCTTCGGGAGTGGGAAGAGAAACAAAGGAGAAACATACCAAAGCCGTGGCCGTGGTCGGCCGACACAACGATGAGCGTGTCGTCCAGGATGCGCAGTTCCTTCAGCTTCTCGACGGTGGCGCGGACAGTGTCGTCCAGCTCGAGTAGGTCGCCCAGCGCGCGGTCGTAGTCGAGCGCGTGCATCTGCTTGTCGATCGAGGCGGCCTCCGACATGAGGAAGAAGCCGTTCTTGCCGCCGCGCTTGTGCAGGATGTCGACGGCCTTCAGCGTCATCTCCTTGAGACCGGGCAGGTCCTTGGCCGGGCCGTCGGCGCCCGTCGGGTCGTTCTTGAGCGTCGCGAGGTTGTCCGGGAAGATGTTGCGGTCAAGCCAGACGGGCAGGTTGCTCTTGCAGAAGATGCCCAGCGCCCTCTTGTCGCTGGGGGCGGCCTGCAGCGCCGTCTTGTTCAGGCTGACCGAGTACCCCTTCTTGGCAAACTCGGCGTAGTAGTCCTTGCCGTTCAACGAGCCGGACCCGGGAATGAACTGCTCGGCGCCGCCGCCGAAGAAGACGTCGGGCCCGCCGTGCTGGGTCCAGGAGTAGTTGCTGACGCCGTTCAGCGCCTGGTCGACCAGCTTGCCGTACTGCGAACGCAGGCGGGTGTGTCCCGTCAGAGCGATCGGCGTGGCGTCGGCGATGAAGGCAGTCGAGACGGCGCCCCAGGCGGATCCCTGAGAGAGAAGTCAGCAAGAGGCAACGCTCCAGAGAAGCAGAGAAGCAGAGAAGCAGAGAAGCAGATCAGCTTCATTTTTTGCCTACCCAGATCCGGCGCAGGAGCTCGACGATGGTCTCCACCTTGGGGTCGTCAAAGGCGTCGGGGGAAGAGTCGGCATACACACTGACAGTCGTCGTTGTTAGGACCCTCAGCTGGAACATCTTTGCTGCTCCTGTTCACTCACCCCATGGCATTCACCGTGCTCTTGTGGCCGGAATACAGCGCCGAGGCCGAGTTGGCGCTGTCGGTGATGAAGCTGTCGATCGAATGCGTCTGACATTGCGTTTATTACCGGTCAGTACAGCTCCCGACTGATAACGGCTCATGTTTCTTTTTTTTTTTCGCAGAACCAACCATTTGGTGACCCAGGACCGGGAACTCGTCGATCTTGAGCAGCGTCTGGTACTTTCCGTTGACCGTCTTGTGGCCGAGCAGGCGCGCCGCGGTGATCATGTTGGTGGTCATGCCGTCGCCGATGAAGAAGATGACGTTCTTGGCCCTCTTCTTGGTCGCCAGCGGGCGGACCGTCCACTTTGCCGTGGTCGTCTTGCCGTTGTAGTACTTCAGCGTGACGGTGTAGTCGCCGGGCTCGTACAGCGCCACGCGGCGGTACGCCTTGGACGCGACGTTGACGACCGAGGGCGTGTTGGCGTCCTTGGCGAACAGGTCCTCGAACCAGGAGAAGGTCCATTTCTCCAGCTTGGGCTCGGCCACCTTGAAGAACTCGGCGATGCTCTTGGCCTTGTGGCCGTTCTTGGCGATGGTGGCCGTGAACTTCTCGTCGGGCATGCCATTGTTGAACGCCTCGGTGCCGTTCTTGGGCGCGTGAATCTCGAAGCGGATGTCGAATTCCTGGCCCGGGAGGAAGTCCTGCGCGTCCGGCGGGAGCACGCAGCCCAGGTCCGGGCAGGTGCCGAGTCTCTGGAAGGTCTGGGCCGAGACGGCCGACAGCGAAGCTGCCATGCACAGGGCGGCCGCGTTGAGCTTGAGCAGCATTTTTTCGCCGGAGCGGGAGGCAGAGAACAGCGCTGGCTTAACGAGCTGTCGATCAAGATCAAGTCTAGGTATCCTGCCGAAGCCCCGCCTAGCTTTTATATTGCTCCTGCGGTGTACCCGAACAACGTGCCTCCCCATCCGTCAACGTCACCTCCCATGTCAAACCCGTCAATTGCATGGCCACGGGGCGACGGACAATCCCGCGACTGGAAGCCGTCCAGCCGGCGACCTTCCTAAGTTGGAAACCGAGCTGCTGACTTACACGCCAACGGGAATCATGGTGAGCCAACCTCAGCACGTGCGCTGCTTCGAGTGCATGTTCCGTTCTCGGCCCTGCTCCGGAAAACTGGGTGCCGTTGGCGTCATGATATTGCCTGTCCGCGGGCTTGTCCTCTTCCTGTCTCGCTCGCCCCAATCTCTCCAGCTCCATGCCAAGCACGCGATGCCCATCGCCAAGCACCTTGCCAAGACCGCCCTCCCCAGCTCTGGTGTTGAACGTGGTCCGGCCCGCAAAGCTTATTGGTGACTGGCATGCTCGGTTGCATCAGGGACGGAAAGCACTGCAGGAAGACCGAACAGCTCCGGGGTTTCTGCAGCTCCCAAAAAAAATGCAGATGTGGCGAGATAAACAGGTTCGCGGCAGGATTCGATAAACTTGTACGCTACCTCCGTACCTACATATGTACGTATGCTGCTGCGGGGCTCGTGACACGATGACACAACGATCCGAACTCCCATTCCTTGACGTGATCTCTCATAGGCTTCCTTGAGATGTCGTCAACAATGTCTTCGATCGAGTATGCCGGGAATCAATCCGCTAGCCCCTGAGTAAAGTAAGCAGACCGAAAAAGCTCCTGAACTTCTAAATCAGAACGCGCCTATCAAAGGGTCAGGGAAACCATCGCGAAGTGCCCGGCGGCGCCACAACCGACGGCCCGAAGGCCAAATGGTCTCCTGATATTTTCGCAGTGGGGGTAGAGATGGACGAGAAAGTCGAGACTTTAGCCCAAGTATCAACATAATCATTACAAATGACACAACTGTATGCTTGCCGAGGACTTATGATTTATCAGGAATGAACTTCCAGTCCAACAAAGGCCTATGATAATTTGATAGTAGTATCACAACGTGGACTTTCGGTTCGAGTATGGATGATTTGGAATCAAAAGATCACCTATGACTCTTAAGCTTATACTTCTGTAGGCTAGGAGCAGAGGTCAGCGTACCTACTAGTAGTTGGCAACTAGACTTTGGTGGAAACCAGAATTCTATTTATACGGAAGGGCGACAGCATCTTACCTGCCAAATATAGTCGGGCTACGCGCCATTGAAAAGCCCATCGATCGAAGTCGACATCGCCCCAACCATTCACCAAGTTGAAGACCACGGCCATTTGCTTACCTTACCCAGCGGCAACCGGTGTCACGGTGCAGAGCCAAGAGGGTCTGGAGGAACCTTGATGGCCACGGAAGCTGCACCCATTTCCAGGAACGAGAGATCCCAACGGGAATATGTCAAAAGAACCTTGATGGCTATGGAAGCGGTACCCGTTAATCGAGAGGGACTACTACGGATTGTTAGAGTCTACGGTGCTGTACCTGGAGTCCACCAACAAACCGAGACATTGTTGGATTTCATGCTCCTAACTGTATGCGCAGGACCCTCTTGCAGTCAACGTTCGTCGTATCATGGCGGTAGGAAAGTTAAACTTTTTTGTCTGAATTCCCGTCAGTACCTGTGTTATTCAAAATCAAATTCTCCGTCCCGTAAGCTTCAAGTTCCTCCCAGTCCCATCCCTTGCACTTCACTCTAACGCCACCCTCAGATAAAATCTTCTTCTGCCGGTGCCAGCTCTCCCAAGTTCCGTTCTACAAAGTAGTCGAGACGCACGGTGACGCACCCAGTGTTGATATGGAGAGGCAGTCGTGGAGACCAAAAGGTGGAAGCGAAGGCGGACTTGACAGGGCCAGTCGTGACAGATCAGTACCTTATACTGGTCCTGCAGTTGGTATGGTGTATTAGCGGTGGCGGATCTGATCCCCGTGCAATCAACCCCGCCGACTTGTCCTGTGCCTCACCTACGATGCTCCATCTACAGAAACGCGCCAAAAAAAAATGAAAAAAAAAAAATGAAGAGTTTCCATGCGCAAAGAACGGCAACTTGGTGACCGAGGGTAGGGATGACAGATTTCAAAGTCGCCCTTGTGGGGAGATATGGTTCAAGTCGAAATGGGTGAGGAAAACAGGGAGGGAAAGAGAAGAAACGAAAGGTTATGGCTCGCAATCCGAAGGGATGTTACCCCTGCATGACCTTTCGGCCAGCCATTACTTCTCACACGGTCGGTTACTCAAGGCATCACTTACGCATCTTCTTCAGGGATTCACATCCTCATTCATCCTCGCAACAACCTTCATTCTTTCCCCAACCCATCGATTCACAACCTTATGGCACTGAATCACCACCATTTGATTGCTTTCCACCTACGATTGTGCACCCGAAAGCTTAGCTGCCCTGGGTCTGTTTTTCCTTACTTTCCATGCATAATCCCCTCAACTCATGCGCGAGTCCGCTCGCCTCTCCCTGATCAAACGTCTCCTGTCCCTCCACGCTAATTCTCAAGCAAGACGAATGGAACCAGACCGCTCCAACATTCCTTTCCCCCAAGTCCAACCCCAAGCCCCCAAACAATCCTCTCAGTTTCCCGCTCCTCACCCCTCCGCCAACAATAACCTCCACCCCTTCCCTCTCAGCAGCAGCAACCACCTCCCTCAACCTCACCACATTCCCAGCCGCCGAGCCCAGCCCACCAGAAGTAAGCATCACGTCAAACCCGCACTCTCGCACCGCCTCCATTACCCGTCCTACTGCATCCGCCGCAGAACCAGCTTCAGATCCGCACTGAGAAAACAGGGCATCAACGGCGCGATGCAAAACCGCCTTGAACCCCGCTTTTTTCACCACGGTAACCAGCTCGGTGTTCCTCTCCTGATCTAGCTCTAACGCACCATCGGAAGCCGTTCTCTTCAGGATACCGAACACGAAGCCGTCTCCTTTGGAAGGGTCTAGCAAGCCGGAGGAGATGAACTGCTTGATAGACCCGATCATGGCGCTAAATTCTTCTGGGGTGTAGATGAAATCCTGGTCTTCTGCTAGGTCTTGTTTTCGTCCAGGATTTGATTCGGGCCGGGGGGAAGAGGGAGGCCCGCGGGGGCGGATCATGATTCGGACTGTTGGCCGATTGTCATGGCTGAGGGAGGACAGGAGGGTGGTGAGCTCGTTGAGTGTCGGGGTTATGCCGCCCTGGGCTTTTCCCCGTCCCCCAAAAAGAGAGTGTGAGTTAAACCGAGTTCAGGAGTTTATAGAGCATTGTTGTCATTGGAGGAATGCTTTCTCTGGCAAGATGAAGACAGGTTCATGACTTACCATACGACTCAGCACGGTTCAGCTCTAGGCGGCTGGTGCCGAATGAGGCCGCAAGGGCACCAGTGTCTGCGCCAAAGATGGGCACTTCAAGTGGCGGACCAGCTGTGAACGCCATTATGTGGTGTGCCTGGAATCCCTGGTTAACAGGAGTTGGAAACGCCAAGAGATAAAGAGCTGCCACACGGAATCAGGCTTTAAATTCAATTGTTATGGGTGCTTTTTGCAATTTACATTGCTGAACCTTCACAGAGACTTGTACGCATTGTTGTTCAAGATCCTGGCCCAGTAACAAGACAGCGACCTGAGTTACGGTTACCCCGCGGGGTTGACCCGCTTGCCTGGATCCCGTGGGGCGTAACCTGGTGTTAGTGATACGCCCTAAACCTTATTTTGACGACGCGCGATGCCTTTCGACATCTCAGATCGCAGTCTTTGACTCTTCGGTGATATTGCCGTCGTAATGCCGCAATTATATTCTACTCTACCCGGCGCAAAATAACCCCGCCAGCCGGCTTCCCCAGGCGTTGAGTGAAGCGATCTGACTAACTTACATGATCCGTCCTCAACCTTATTTTCGCTACGGGTGATACCTTCCAACAAGATCAGAGCACACACCATCCTCTTACTTGACTTCCCATTATACGATGATCCCTTATGACCGCGAGCATGTTTGAGACCACGATAGTACGCTGAGACTGCGACGATAGCCGGGGCGGCGATCTAAATACTACTAGTAGTAGTTATTAGGGAATAACATCCCGGCTCGCCCGCACCTGCGGTCCAAACCCCTGGTCACGTGCTACGGAATTCTGATGTTAGTGAACTGCACTATGCCGTATTCCAATGAGGCGTGATGCCTTTCACAGATCAGATCACTGCCTGAGATAGGGGTAGAGTCCGGGCTACGGTCACTATGCCAGGATCTCGATCTGATCTTCCCTAGGGAGTAACCTACCACGGGGAGCCGTTTCCCAGACCTTATGTAACGTGGTTTGATCCTCTACAACTCCTTCGGAACTATTTTAAAGCTTATTCTAACGACGTGTAATACCTTCCACACATCCAGATTGCTGCCTTATATGTAGACTGCACGTCATAGTGACAATGCCAGGACTGCTATTCAATCTTTCCCGGAGAAGAGATCCCGGACCTACTTCTAGGCCTGCGAGATGCGGTCTAATCTTCCAGAACAGCTTCCGGAACCGCACTAAACCTTAACCCGACGACAGCTGATACCTTTCGGCCTATCAGGTCTCTTTCTTGGTTACACAATGATGCGCGCCGGGACCTGCGATCCGATCTTGCCTCCCGGAGCTCCGGGACCGGACCTGTTTCCCCGGACCCGCGTGACGCGGTCTGATCTCCCAGGCCGCACTAATAAACCTTAATCCAACGACGAGTGGTACTTTAAGGGCGTGTCTCTAGGGACGTGTATAGCACGTGTGAGCTCTGGATTTCGCGCTAATGTGCAGAGTTTTCACACTTCAAATTGCAGTCTCTTCACGGTCAAGGAACCTCATCACACAGAGACGCTTGCCATTGAATGCTCTGTGAATGCACCGTGATGAATTTCCCTCCTAGACTAGACTCGGAAACCTCAAACCCATCCTAGGGCCTCCACCCGTCGATTAAGTGGGACATCTTCACCCATCGCCCGCGGTGACCAGTGCTGAACTTGACTTTGTCCCTTTCCCGATCCGCCTACCGAAAAAAGGACCATGTGCCCTTGCCGAAGGCCCGTGACCGATGCTGTTTCACTGCTGGGGGTAGCTAGGGCTCCAGGGAGCCATGGCGTTCACACAGTCAGCGGCAGACTGGTTCACGAAGAGGCCTTCATCCTCGACTTCTGTGCTCTCCAGATGATCATGGTTAGCTGCGAACTCGTTGTTGTCGGAGTGATATTGGGAGTGCATGGCGCCGTGGGGAACAGGATTCGGGATCGCCGAGGAGACCGCGAACCCGATGGGCGCGGGTAGGGAAGAACCATGGTAGGGCTGGGGCAGGGAAGAATCGAGACAGGGCCGGTGCGTGGGGTACTGACAGAGCCGGGCCTTGACGAACTGACAATCGATGGCAATCGGCGAATCGAATGAGCCAGTCGCAGTGTTGTTGCCCTCCTCGGCGGAGGGAGCCTGCGACTGCTCGCCCTGCTCCTCGTTCTCGAGACGCTTCTTCTCGATGGTCTTTTTCTTCTGCTTCTTCTTGAGCGATTGTTCTGAAGGCGCGTGTTAGCTGTCTACCTTGCTTGCTTGCCGACAGAACTTTGGGCGGACGGGCGTCTTACCGAAACGCCAGTACGGAACGGCCAGCTGGCCGACGTTCGGCGAGAACCGGGCCTGGTAAGCGTTCAGGAAGTAATGCTCGTCTAGACGACCGTCAGCGAACTGCTCGAATGAGCAGTGTAAATGCGGGAGACTCACAAACGCCGAGGCCAGTATACTTGCGGCGGGGCACGGTCACGCGCTTGCTCATCTCGGCCGCCACCCAAGCCCAAGGCTTCTCCTTGTTGTTGTGAAAGTCCTCGTCGAGGCGCTTGGGAGAATGAGGGATCAAGTCCTTCCAGAAGATCTGCTCCTCCTCCACACTCCAGATTTTTCCACCCATCTTGCAATGTCGGTAACGGAAAAAGACTGATAAGGTCTCAGTGGTACGCTATGGATTGGTATGTCGAGCAGCGGCTCTCAGCTGTGCGCAGAGGGGCTATTGGCGTGTCGAGGAAGATGGATCTTGTGGTGTGTGGAGGAAGATCGAAGAATCCGATGGGAGGGAAGCGACCTGGCTTTTTTATAGTGGAAGGCGAACGGAACAGTACTTCGTGAGTCCAACCATCCGAACTCGACTGCTGGTCATGAATAGGGCTCCACGCTCCACGCTTGAGGTCAATGGGCTGAAGGACCTCTGCTAGCCTTTGTGGAAGCCCATCTATGACTGGCCGAAACGGAATGGCACTTCCCGTGGCCGGCCACCTGAACAAGACCTCTGTTCATGACTCCACCCCACCCGCCTGTAATAAATGGTGCATGAGGACCTTCGCTCGTCATGGTAGGGCCCCCGAGTGACTGACCAAGGTCCTTAGCCCAATCGTAGCGATGCGAGCAACCACACCATCCGAGCTGCAGTCGCCCTGAATCCCTCGGAAGTGACCTCCTCCTACGCATCATGAGCAAAGTTCTTTGCCCTGACCCCTCCCTTGAAGGCCTGGGCAACAGAGAACACGGGGCCCAGCGCAGGGTCATGCGAAGGGAAGGTGGCACGAAAGACCCGACAGCATCCACTGATGACCAAGGCCTGACGTACCATTGACTGCCTTTTCTTTGCACTGATTTCACAAACAACCCGTCAACTGGTCCACAATTCGCAGGTTCGGTAGCCCTATGATTGCTATGTGTCCTTGAGGGGCAGTAGTTCATTTTTGGCGTCACTCAAATGGGCTCGTGGGTTCGGGAGCGGAGTATCCCCGAGAGAGAAGGTAAGATGCGAGCCTCCTTTCGACTCTGGAGAACTGGTGGCAATAGGTCAGTCGTGCCACCTTCCAGGAGACACTGCTCTTCCAATACTTACAATGCTCTTTTCTTGCAGGGGCACCACGCCGTCCTTGACCCAGACGCCCCAGCTGCCCATCATGTTGGCCAGCATCATGTCGGTTGCCAGTCGATCACCAACAACGGCAATTTGCTGAGGGCTTGTTACTCCAGTTTCGGGATGGTCGCGGAAGTAAGACATGATCTCGTCGCCGCAACCTGGCTTCTTCACGGAATGAGAGAGGACGTGGACGCCAGTCGATTTCTCGACCTCTGAGCCAAGCCTGCCGCCAACATCGTAGCTTGTGGCACCAGCGGTGTTGGATACGATCAGGAGGCGCCGTCCTGGGTACGCTGTCCGCAGAGCCTCAAACCGGCGCTTTTTAGTTTAGCATGGATATACAACAAACACACTGGAACAAAAAGCATGGATGATACCACAGAGACAGAGCAAACATAAGCGGGATACATGTATGGAGACAAGAGACAGAACAGGAGGCAGAAGAACACATGGTAATCGAGGTGTTGACATTGGCTAAGGTATTTATTCACCTTGTATGGTTCATGCACCTCATTGTGGTCAGGGATCGCAAAGCAGTCATCTTTGTCCAGGACAACCGCCCTTATGTCTACTCCCCGGCCCTTCTTTGCGAAGGCCTTGTCGAGAGGAATCGGTAGCTCGTCGAAGGTGGCAACAGTTGCGTGAGGCAGACACAAGGACGGCTTTGCCAGCAACCTGAAAACATTGATCGAGGCCGAGAGGTTCAGATTCATTTTTTGTAACACCCAGCTACTTCAGGAAAGAGGAATTAGCGTCGCAGACTTGAGCCTAGCAGTATGCTGGGCGGTGTGTGAGAAAGGAAATGAAGGAGGCAGGAATCTGGTCAAGGTTAAACTCATTGCTTTCGAGTCGTGCACCCCATGAACTTCTGAACTTCTGAAGTCTTAGACATAGAGCGAGTAGAACAATCGATAAGGCTAGCGCACGGGTCACCTTGTCTTGGCATCAGTACGTCGCGTCCCTGCACTTGAGCGCGTCTCAATGAGGCAAGCGCAAAGAACCGTGCTGGTCAAAGTCAAACGGCCTGGACCATGGCGTTTCTCAGCAACTATCTGATATTGAGACTCAGGTGACACGAATGGCGCGTAGGAAGGCTGCGGCGGAGGCGCCAGTACCGCGTGCCTCTCGAAAGCGGGAATTCCCCGTCGACCCATACGAGGTGCCCGACGAAAACGAGACCCCGAAACGGCGACGACGCTTAGAAGCCACAAGCACAGTTGATGAAGGGACAAATGGAGAGGATGTTGCAGATAACGACGATGACGACGCTATCCCCGAACCAAGTCCCGCCAAAAGGCGAGGGCGCCCGCCCAATCCCGCGGCCGCGGGAACCCTAAACGGTCAGGCAACGACGCCTTCGACCAAGAGGCAAAGACCGGTCAACGAGACCCCGGTAAAGCTCAATGGCATGGACACACCAAGCAGACGGAATATTGCCGACAGGTCGGCCAGGAAAAAGAGCGCCAGAGCGCTTATCGACCGCGTGATAGGGGGAACGGTTAGTGATGACGAGGTCGAGGAGGGCGATATTGCGCGCGAGATCTACGAGTCTAGCGAGGATGAAGAGGAGAAAGCAGATGAGCGAGGAGGCGTGGAGGGAGATCAGGAGCCCACAACGCCATCGAAATCTCCAGGGCGGAAACGCGGGGTGGCAGCCCGGAAGCGATCGCCAACACCGCCTCGGGATCTTCCCCCACATGAGCAGTACTTCTACCAGAACAAACCCGGCCTGGCCAAGACATCTAACAACAACCTGTCGTCCCTGAACCTCCTCACACACGACGAGTACTTCTCCGTCCTCCGCCAACTCGAAAACCCCCACGCCTCCGACGTTGACTTTCTGCAGTCCCTCCACGCCGAGTCCTTCCCGCAATGGGCCTTCGAGCTCTCCCATGGCTTCACAACTTGCCTCTACGGCTACGGATCCAAGCGCCGACTATTGCACAGCTTCGCCACTTATCTCTACTCCCAGAATCCCGCCCACAAAATCGTTATCATCAACGGCTACGTCCGTACCCTAACAACCCGCGACATTCTCTCCACACTAAGCGCCGCTCTCCCGTCCCTTTCCTCTCCCGGCACTGGCGGCGGCGGCAGCAGCAGCAACAGCGTCGGCATCAACCATTCCAACACCCTACAAGCCCTCGTCTCCTCACTCTCCACCAGCACCCCGCCAACAACCCTGACCGTGCTGATCAATTCCCTCGACGCGCCGCCCCTCCGCAAACCAGCCACGCAAACCCTCCTCTCGCAGCTCGCCTCCCACCCGCAGATCCGCCTCGCCGCGACAGCTGACACGCCCGACTTCGCGCTGCTCTGGGACGCCGGCCTGCGCGCGGCCTTCAACTTCCTCTTCCACGACTGCACCACCTTCGCGCCCTTCGCCCCCTGCGAGCTGGAGGTCGTGGACGAGGTGCACGAGCTCCTGGGCCGCAAGACGCGCCGCGTCGGCGGGAAGGAAGGCGTTGCTTTCGTGCTGCGGAGTCTTCCCGAGAATGCGCGCGCCCTGTTCAGGTTGTTGGTCGGCGAGGTCTTGGCTGCCATGGAGGAAGGCCAGCATGCCGGGGAGGAGGTGGCGGTCGAGTATAGGATGGTGTATAACAAGGCCGTGGAGGAGTTCATCTGCAGTTCCGAGATCGCGTTTCGGACGCTGTTGAAGGAGTGAGTCCTTTTTTAGTCCCCTCCTCCCCATCCCTTTCTCTCCCTTTCTCGAGAAGGGTGGGGAGGAGGGGAGATTCTGATATGTGAGGACGATTGGATGCTGACTATGGTTGTCTCCCCATAGATTCCACGACCACCAGATCATCACCAGCCATAAGGACTCCCTTGGCACCGAGCTGCTGAGCCTCCCCTTTAGGAAAGAGGAGCTTGAGTCAATCCTGGAGGAGCTGATGTCATGACCATGATTTACCTTAACGAACATGTTCACGCAGGGAGGGGGCTTAGACAAACCGGGCAGCATAGATCGGGAGTTGGGACACATCGCCGATTTGGAAAACCATAGTTGAACTACTACGGATAGTAGAGAGGAATTTGATACTAAAAACTGTCACAAGTCTGGTGAATCAGGCTTATCCTGACGAGTACTTATACTTGAAATCCTTTTTGCCAAAGGGAGCACTACTAGTATGGCAACTGGCGAGTTGAGTCTCGCGGCGTGTCCGGCTTGACTTCCCAGACCGCGAGTGCACATCATGCAACGCTACCTAGGTACCTATGGAAGCCTGCCTTATGTCGCAACACGCAAACCGAGCAACACTGGACACGTGTACACTGCGGTGACTATGGTTTGCTGTTGGACACAACGTAGATACTTGTCAGGCACGGAGGGGGTTCCGTCCGAATCTTCAACATTGCCTATTTAGTTCCTAATAAGAGCACGGCATGAAGCCCCTCATTGACCAAACAAGAGCCCAGCTTTGGAGTAGCTAGTTACGACAATCAGACAACATTTCACATATTCATCCGGAGTTTCACGTCACCAGCACGAAGGACAGAGAAGGGCACACAGTTTTGTGCTCCCCTCAGCGTAAAAGCAGCATGTGTCTTTTGTTTTTTTGTTCGGACTCCTCAGTTATAACTGTGGTCTCGAGCCACGGAGTAGAAGCACTACTCGAGTACTGTAGTTGCTCGGTCAAAAGGACCGAGGCCTGCCAAAGCCTGACCCAATGCGCGCCCATTCTCCTGCGCGCTTGCCTGCCCTTTCGCAGATCGCAGGTGCTGTTCCAGTGCCAACGATGAGGGCCGGGGGAGCATTCTTCCCCTCCTCTGGCTGAAATCATCGAAGGGTTTTGGGTATCATGCTCCATCAAACCTGCTCCCAGTCCTCAACCGCCGAAATATTACCAGTCCATCTCTCGAGCTCTTGAAGCACCCCCCGGATATCTCCCTGGACCTGAGACCGCCTAGCCGAATTCGGGCCGCCGAACCGACCAGAGATGAGAACCGAGAAATCCACTTTTGTCTATGAGATGATGTCGTGACAAGGAAAGAAGTAGCAAAAAAGAAGAAGAAAAAAAATGCAAAGAGCCTGCGGCGTGCCATGACCCCCATTTCTATGTGAACGCATCGAGCCCTCTCCGAAAAGCAGGCCAAAGGCAGAAACATGACAATCGTGAGGGTCGATCCGAGATCCCGTCTAGATCTCATCAACCAGGCCTGCGAACCATGCCATCCGTAGCATGTGCGCGCAGGGCGTTTGTCGTCGTTTCCAGTCTTCTGGTCTAAGGGTATCAAATCGTCGAGTCGAGTCTTCCCGTATCAGAGAACAGGAAAGCCCGGTCTATCTTCAAAGCCAGAAAGGGGAACCTTAGCATCGAATCCTGCCAGGTCCCCGTCGGAAATGATAAGCCATGTTTTCGCCGCATTAGAAATCCCGAACGTGCAAACGCGAAGCCGAATGTTAATGCTGGCGCGCGCGTAGAACAATGCAACTGCAGACGGAAAGGAAAGGGGGAAAAACAGGTGCTCGGGAGGGAGGCACCACAGTGTGATATCGTCGAGGTCATTACCACCAAGAAGCAGCGCCAGGGCCACCGGCACCGCCAGGGTTGCCGTAGCCGCCCCCGCCGTAACCACCACCGCCATAGCCGCCGTAGCCGCCGCTCGGAGGGCCTCCGAAGCCGCCTCCAAAGCCGCCACCGCCGCCTTGCTGGGGGCCGTTGAAGCCACCGCCGCCGAAGCCGCCGCCACCGCCACCGCCATACTTGCGGAAATCGGTGTTGCCACCACGGCCACGGCCACGACCGCCGCCGCCGCGACCGCGGCCACCGCCACCAAACGATGACTCGCGAGCGATGGTCTCGAGGAACGGCGGGACTTCTTGGTTGGCTTCCTTGAGCAGGTCGAGCAACTCCCGGACAATGCCGCGGTTGCCACGGTTGAAGAATGCAGTCGCAATACCGGTGTTGCCCGCACGGCCCGTACGACCGATACGGTGGACATAGTCGTCGATGTCTGTGGGCAAGTCGTAGTTGATCACGTGAGTGACGTTCGGAATGTCCAAGCCACGGGCGGCAACAGCGGTCGCAACAAGAATGGGGTACTTTCCGTTGCGGAACAGCTCCAAGGCCTTCTCACGTTCACGCTGAGTGCGGTCGCCGTGGATTGAGGTCGCGGGGAAGCCCTGATTAATGAGGAAGTCGGAGAGCGAATCTGCCATGCGCTTGGTCTCCACGAAGATGAGCGTAAGGCCCCCGGCGTGAGTGTGGAGGATGTCAAGCAGAACAGAGCGCTTGTCAATGTCTTCGACATATTCGACCTTCTGCGTGATGTTTTCCGAAGTCGAACCAACACGGCCGACAGACAGGAACACGTAGTCGTTAAGGAAGTCCTGGGCGAGCATCTGGATGTCGCGAGGGAAAGTGGCCGAGAACATGAGTGTCTGGCGCTGACCCGTGGGAGGCATGTCCTCGCCCTGGACGATGCGGCGGATCTGGGGCTCGAAACCCATGTCAAGCATGCGATCAGCCTCGTCGAGAACCAGATACTTGATGTTGCAGAGCGAGATGCGGCCACGCTCGATCAAGTCGACAAGCCTGCCAGGGGTGGCGACAAGCAGATCACAACCGCGCTCGATCTGACGAAGCTGGGAGCCGATATCGGCCCCACCATAGACGACGCAGGGGCGGACCCAAGAGCGGTAGGCGAACTTTCGGGACTCATCGTAGATCTGGGAAACCAGCTCACGAGTCGGCGCAAGGATCAGAGCCGTGGGGTAAGCCTTGCGCTGACGACCGTAGCCACCGCCTTGTGCAGGGATGGGAGAGGGGCCTTGCGTGAAGGATTGATGGAGGATGGGGAACAAGAAACCACCAGTCTTGCCGGAACCAGTCTGGGCGCAGGCCATGAGATCCCGACCGTTGATGACGATCGGGATCGAATACTTCTGAACGGGGGTTGGAATCTTGTACCGAGCCAGTTCAATGTTGGAGAGAAGATGAGGGTCCAACGGAGGGTTGCTGAAGGTCAAGACAGGCTCCGGCACATCACGGCCAGACGGCGTAACGGGAATGTCGTCATACTTCTCAAAGTTGATGCCGGTGTGTTGTTTGTTCGGGTCGTCGGGAGTACCAAAGAGATCCCGCTCAAGACGAGGGTCAGCAGGACCCGGAACGTGCTTGCCGTCAATCCAGCGACCCTCACCGCGGCCACCACCACCGCCAATAGGGGCACCTCCACCACCGCCGGCGGGACCACGGTACGCGTTGCGGTTGAAGCCGCCGCCCTGACGGCCGCCCCAAGGCTGAGGGGGTGCGGCGTCGTAACCGCCTGCCCAGTTGCCACCGCGAGCATCGAAATTGTTGTTACTATCCTCGAGTTAGCAAACTTGTGCCGAAAATTTCGCCGAACTGTTGAGGCACGGTCTGAGGTGACATTGTAACATACCCAGCCCAGGCGCTGTTGTTCAGACCACCCATAGGACCCGGCCCATTCACGGGGGGAGAGGCCATCTGCGGAGCATTGCTCGGGGCCGTATTGCCAGCCGCCATCTTGCTACGCAAGTGGGGAGGAATGTACGAACGAGTGGTAGGCTGAGGAGCCTGGGCACCATCGAGGGACAGGTTGCCCATGTTGCCGCTGAGTTGATCCGCCATGATTGTGATAAAAAAGTTGCGTATGTGATGGATGTTTCTCCCAACTTCTTGATGTAGTACCGGTCGGTCGGTGGTCAGTCGGCGATTTCTCGACTCTCCAAATGAACGATTTGTTCAAATGAGAGTGATTGTAAGAACGAGCTTGTGAAGATCGAAAGTAGCGCAAAAGGTGGCGAAGAAACTGAAACTGTCGTTTCCCTAAGTTCGCGTTCCACGTCTATGTTGCTTGTGGTTGCTGTGTTGTATGGCGCTCGCCTCAGATAAACTGAATTATTAAGAGGGAGCGTGTCTCCTGCAATCCTTTCGAAAAACCCGAAATGCAGATTCTCAAAAAGGACAAAGGAGAGACCAGATGGTAAGAGGAAATGTAACTCGAATATGGTTTGGATCCGAGAATCCTTGTGATGTGTGGGAAGAGGAAGAGTTTTTAAGAAGATGGGGGAGCGAGGAGAGGAAAAGAGTTTTGGATTGGGACGTGGGCCCACTTTTCCGCGATTGGTAAGGCGAGTTTTCAACTTGCAGGATGAGTCCAAGCCGCCACCACATAAAAGGGAAAAAGGGTCCTGCGAGCCTGCTCACAAGTGCTGGGTTTATCGGTTGTGCGGTCTGGGGCTGTGGCCACCCTGAGTCTTCCTTCGAACTCACTGAGATCATTCGGTGGGGGAGAGGACAGGCGAGACAGGGAACTCTGGGCCAGTCCCAACTCTCTCCCTGAGTGGCGACATTGCTTTGGTCAGACGAGCCCGTCATGCTACGATTGAAGATCTAAGTTTTGCGTTGTCCCTCCTTACGAGCGCAATCCATAATAAGGGGTTCTCATTTGCTCACAACACTCACTACCCAGCAATCTATATGAAAGGTACCTCTATGGTACGGGAGATGACGGCTGGTCCCCCACATGGCACGAAGCGCTCGAGATTCGTCAAGTTAAATTCCAAATTCGAAAGAGAGAGATTGTCCCATAACAAAAGGAATAGCAGATAGGATACCGTACTGCAGAATCAGATATGGCTCACCAGCTCTACAGTACAGATCATCCACAGCTCTCGTTCCGTCGCAAGGTGGGGTTCCGGTCGGAGACCCCGTGGATGTTCATCCCAGACAAGAGGCGAAACCGCCACCATACAAGCACTTGCGAATAGCTAGATTTCTGTGGTATAGGCATTATTTGCTTCGGCCTCTCCGACACTGCATCTCATACACTACGTGTAGACAGTCTCGATCACTGTAGAGGCAACTCAGCTCACCGCCTCGCGGGGCTCGCAACCCACTTCATTGATAAGCCTCACTGGTCCCACTTTTGACCATCAAATGCCTTATCGTGAAGGCACAGTGGGAGCGAAGATGTCATCACGGTCATCAATGGGCCATTTGCACGGATGAGCGAAAACTCAAACTGGCTGCAAGATGCCTTCGAATGGTTTAAGCCAGAAATTGATCCTTTTCCCGCAGATCGAGAGTGGGGGTATACTCTTACAATTGTCGACATTCATTTTCCGAATGGCTGAATCGCGGTCAACCGTCCATTAAGCACCTTCCAGCTTTAAGGACAGTAAGGCAGAACAGGCACTGTCCAGAGGCTGCGGCCTTTATGGATACATAACAGCATTCAACTTACGCAGCCGAGCATGACCTAAGTAGTGTCTAACTGGTGCGACGGTTCTGGAGCCGAGACTCCAGTAACATGTAGCGGGCTTCGAGAGTATCACCTGGCTTAAACGAGCACATGATACCGCAAAGCAGGCATTCGGCCGCCGTCCATGCGCGCATTTGGCCGGGTCGGGTATTATACACGATAGAACCCCATTCCCCATTCCCCAGAAAATCAAGCGCTCTTGACTACCTTGTCATCGTCAAAGTCCATGTCAATGATCCCGTCCTTTGTCACCGCTTTCACCACCATGCCCTTGAAATCTATCGGTAATCTCCTCTTCAATTCATCTGCGCATAAGTTGAGAAGCTTCATGCCCTGTTCGATGTCGATATCCGGGTGGTGGTGCTTGTCGAGGATAGAGAGGCAGTAGTACCTAGCAGAGAGGTTAGCATATGACGCAACCGCGGGGCTGAGAGAGTATGATCCAGATGGTACATACTGGGCATATCCGTGGGCCGCATATGGTACCGGGGCTAACGCGGCAAGGTAGTCTAGCCAGTACAGGCTTGGCTTGTGTGTGATGGGGTCGACGCCTCCCAGGAGGAGGTTGACGTTGTACGGCTTCCGCGACCTCAGACTCGACGCTAGCTCGCCGCGAACAAAGTGTGCTAAAGCTGAAGGGGAGAGGTCGGTCTCGTTGCGCATCGAGTAGAGCTGCGCATTAGCTTGGATGTATTCCGCAAACTGCACTATCAGACCGGATCAGCTAGGGCCAATGCGCCCATCGGTCCTGTTCGATATCACCAACCCGTATCTCCAGCCTCTCCAGAGAACGCCATCAATGTGTGCTTGTTCAGCTGCCTCGTCTTGTTGTCGGACGACTTGAGGATGGTAGCCCCGCGCATGGCGGCCTTGGATGCCGCGATCAAGGTGAAGTCCTTGCCCGTGATTCCGAGGAGAACCTCCCTGAAATTGCGATTAGCTGAGCCGTCTCTTGAGTCCTTCGGCTGCACAAGCTTACATGTTTGCGTTGTGTGAGAATCGCCGGTGTGGTTGTTGTTGTGGATAGGCAAGCTCCCTTCCGCTTGCTGTCTTGGAGCTTCAGGCAGGCAGGAGCGAACGCGCACTTGGAGCTTCAGCCTGGGTGCACGGACACCTGCCCACCAACGGACAAGGGGACGGGTAGCAGGGGCTGCAGATCGATCAGCCCCAGCAGAGTGGGGCTGAGGTGTGGCGGCACGGCATCGGGGTGTCTCTCCACCGATGCAAGGCCAACTTTTTTTGCTGGACCCGCTCAGAAATTTTGAAGCTGTCCCAGGCCAGGCAAGGTAGTCGGAATCGTGGACGACAGCAATCACTGGCACCGCAATCTGGCCGGAACCGTCCACAATGCCTTCCTTCTTCACGGCACCCGGCGCGCAAAAGAAAAGGAAACGCCCAACAACAGCAGAAGCGCCGAAAAAGCGGCTTGCAACCACGAAGACGCCATCTAAATCAACAGCCAAGGCCCCCACCAAACCAACGGCCGCCGCAAAGAAGAAGGCCATTGAGCGGGATGAGTCGATATCAGGCAGCGATCTCGAGAGCGACGAGAGCGGCGATGACGTTGGTAACAGGAGCGGCTCCGATGCCGCCTCGGATGATTCGGACAGCGAAGGGGAGACGGCCGCCGAGAAGCGGTTGAGGCTTGCGCAGCGGTACCTCGAGAAGACACGGAAGGAAGTGGAACTGGAGGATGAGTATGCCTTCGATGCGGAGGAGATTGACCGAGATCTGCTCGCGGAGCGGTTGCAAGAGGATGTAGCAGAGGCAAAGGGCAAGGCCTACCGTCGGTTGGCTTTCGAGCTGAATTTCGGCGAGGCATCATATACACAGTTTCGCTGGAACTCTGGCTCGGTGACCTCGGTCGCTGTATGCGCTCCTTACGCGTATACAACGACGAAGGACGGGTATTTGACCAAGTGGAAGTTGCAAGACTTACCCAAAAACCAATGGCCCCAGACAACACGGAGGAAACCCAAGAAGCCCCCTGCACCGCCCAAACGGAAACCGGAGAGGATATGTTTCACCAAAGCGAACCCAAGTAAAACGAAAGACAAGACGTACCAAGGCCACACAGGCGCCCCGCTAGTCGTCAGGGCCTCCCAAGACGGCAAATACGTCGTAACGGGTGGCGCCGACAGCCGGCTCGTCGTCTACAACGCCGCCGACCTCAAGCCGATCCGCGCCTTCAAACAACACCGTGATGCTGTGATCAGCCTGGCATTCCGCCGCGGTACAAACCAACTCTACTCTGGATCTAAGGACCGTTCAGTCAAAGTCTGGTCCCTGGACGAGCTCGCCTACGTTCAGTCCCTCTTCGGCCACCGCGATGAGATCCCGGACATTGACGCGCTGGCCCAGGAACGCTGCGTCAGTGTTGGCGCGCGCGACCGCACAGCACACTACTGGAAGGTCGCCGACGAGCAGTATCTCATCTTCCGCGGAGGCGGCGAGGGAGGGAGCAGCAGCAGCAAGAAGCACAAGCTGCCTCCCAACATCGACCCAGCCTCGGCAGCGCACCAGGGCAGCATGGACCGCATCTCTATGATCGACGAGGAACACTTTGTGACGGGAAGCGACAACGGTGACCTGGCCCTGTGGAGTATCCAGCGCAAGAAGCCGCTCCACACAGTCCCGCGAGCGCACGGCATCGAGCCGCCCCTGAAGCCGGAGCAGGTGTCGGCGGATGAGGTCCCCAACCCGAAGGACATACCCGCACCGCAACCGCGGGGAATCACTGCTCTTCGGGCGCTCCCTTATTCAGACGTCATCCTGACCGGCAGCTGGGATGGCTACGTCCGTGTGTGGAGGCTGAGCGAAGATAAGAGGAAGATTGAGCCGGTTGGTGTGCTGGGCGGCTCATCATCGCCACCAGCAGAATCATCATCATCAGCAGCAGCAGCATCATCATTGCCGAACGGAACACATACGGACGTCTCGGGTGAGCAAGGACAAGACGGAGCCCTAGTCCGCGGCATCGTCAACGACATTGCCATGTTCGAGCGGGGAGAGAGGGGTCGGGATGGGCTTTGCGTCGTGGCCGTCACGGGCAAGGAGATGCGATTCGGCAGGTGGAAGTACATGAAGGAAGGGCGTTGCGGTGCCGTCATCTTCGAGGTGCCCAGGGTGGATTCCAGGAAGCAGAAGCAGGATGAGGCGATGGCGAATGGGGTGTCAGCCGCAGAGGGCGAGGATGAGTGATGTGGGAGAGCACAGACGATTCTCTCCTCTGTGGTGATGGATATATACCCGAGGCAAGACAGTGATTTGTCACCCACCTCTGATGTAACACACATATTAGAGTCTAAAATTCAAGTGCATAGCGAGGGATGCTGCATGTTGTAATGTATGTACATACTTATCTCACCTGCGCCCAAGCCGATTTCGAAAGCAAGGGTTTCGAACCGTCACATGGTCAGTTGCAATTTGCAGCAGCACTCATCGAGTGATTGATCCTATTCATCACACCTCGATATACCTCGATCAGCCGGAGCCAGTCCATCTCTGTTTCTTGTTGCTGATGGGCCCCTCGCCCGAATAAGTAGGTACCTAGGTATCGCGATAAAGCAAAAGGGGAAACAAACAACCCCTGACACCGAATGCCGTGCCGTACCATGCCATGCCATGCCCTGCCCTGTCACGCCAGGATATGCTATGCCGGACTCCAAATGGTCCCCCGTTGCGCCGGCCTCCGATGAATGGGACAAAAGCAAGGAAGCAGTTGCGAGATAGGGTACTCCAACCACAGATGAGAGGGCAAAAAGAAAGGAAACAAAAAGAAAAACAGTACGCCCAAGCCCTGGCCCTGACAGCCAAGGGGGAAAAGCAGCAGCAAAGCTAGGCGAGACATATCAAGAATTGGGCCCGCCCAGAACACTTTCAAGCCTGTTTAAGTGAGGTCGATGGTATCGGAATGCCTTATCAGCTCCGCCTTCTGCACGACTAGGGTATCATCACCGAGCTGCGGACTGGAACCATCAACGACAAACCGGCTGCTAGTATGAACTGCCGGGCTGGTCGTAGCCTTCTTCCTTCGCCGGTGCTGTCCGCGGACAGGGGACGACTGCGCATCCCCACGTTTGCTGGTGGACCGCGACTGGTGGTAGAACGACTTCGGGTCGACTTCTGCGACATGGTCATCGTCCTCATCATCCGATGTGGTCGGTTGGGTGGAAGAGGATGGAAGTTGTGCGATGAACTGTGGTTCGCCATCCCGCTCCTCCTTTGACGGCTTGTGCACTTTCTCGACGTCTGGAGCCTCGATCGAGGGGAGGACAGCGCCGCCGTCTTGAGGGTCTTGAGAGTCTTGAGGCGCGATGATGACCACGCTCTCTTCTTCTGGAGTTTCCACACTCTCCTGGATCTTTGGAGCTGAGACAGCTCGCCGGTGAGCTTGCTGCGGCGATGATGTAGCCACTTCCGGCGTTGAAGAGCGGGTAGCTCCGTCCCCAGCGGCGCGCTGGTCGGTAGAGGAGTTGGTGGGGGTTGTCGAGGTCTTAGTTGAGGTTGTCGGTTCGGAAGAGTCCATCCTGGACCCAGCCGCGTTCTTTTGTCCGTTGGTAGCCGCGCTAGTTTCTCGTGACGGGTGGTAGCTCGGCCCTGCACTCCCGTTAGGTGTGCGTTTTGCGCCCGATGATTCAGACCTCCTCTGTTTTCCTGCCAACTGCCTGTCCAGGTATAACTTATGTTCGATATTGATCGTATCCCGCCACAACTCCCGCAGATCGGAGGGGTTGAAATCCCAGTCAGGCCGTTCTCTCTGAAGTAGAGTTTCAATGAAGAGGTCCGGGCTCTTCACAAACTCTTGGATATAGCCCAGAAGGTAGACACCGCAGTCACAGAGATTGTTCTGTTCCGGGATGTTGGTGGCTCTCATTCCCAGTTGCGAAGGGACGTCGGTAATGGTTTTATTTCGCTTGTGCTTGAACTCCGCAAGAAGATATTTCTTGAGGTGCGTGACGGCCTGGGGGTGACTTGAGCCCAGCGAGTCGAGAGTGATGATCCTCGGGTCTTGTGGGTTGTATGTCTTCCCAGTGGGTCTTGGCTTTCTGTTCTGCTTTGGTCGAGCACGCGCCGTTAGGTCTATGCTGACGTTTTTATTGTCAGAGACCAGGTCGACGATGTCGGATTTGACAAGATCAGGTTCTTCATTTGCCATTCCATGGGTTGATTGCACCGGTCGTTTGTCGACCATGTCTACCGTCGCGATGTCGGACGACGTTTTGTCGCCCTTGTTCTCGACCTCCGTGCCGCTCGAACCATCCGTCTTAGTTGGGGTGCCTCGGAGATCCGGATCCAGCTTGCCGGGGTTGCATATGATTGCTACCCACCAGTGGTAATGCTCATTGACGGGAACCACGATGTAGTCATAGGATAATAGATCCACCTTGGCGGTCCAGCTCTTGACACCGTCATAGTTTATGTTTCTGCCCGCCTTCAGCTTCTCGTAGAAGAACGAGTTGTGTAGGTAAACGCGCTTGTGCAGATCGGTGTGTCTCCGCGCGTAGTTGTCGAAGAGATATCTAAGACCGAACCCGATGAGATTATCGTTCAAGCATTGACCCTCATCCAGTCTCGGTATATCTTCTTTGTTCACGGTTGCGCGATTGAAGATGAGAGGCATCTCCCATTCCTTTTCCCAGTCTGAATGCTCCTCAGACCAGCGATGTATGACAGGTGCGCGGGGTGCCTCGGCTCTCGGCACCTGCCCCATCCTTTCCCCTGTTCTCAAGGAGCGGGAACTGTGAGGGTGAAGCTCAGGGGAGTGCTGGTCCTGGGAGCGTGAGGGAGTCTGCTGCTGCGCTGAGACTTGCATCTGCTGCCGAAGAGGGGTCCGGACATTGGCGGGGACGGCGTGAGGAAGCGCAGGCCTCTCCTTGGGTGACATTTCGACTCTGCGAGGCGCGCCGGCCAGTACCCCATCAGACAGTCGCCTTGCCGATGTTCGGCCTGCCGCTAGGCTCACAGCCTCACTTAGCCGATCATAGACCAGGCCAAGTCTGTCCCTAATCAGTTGTCAGTGTGGCCAGAACGAAAGAGGCAGCTGGTCAACAATACCTGTCCATTTCCTTAGTGACTTCGATCGTCAGGTTTCCCGCAGCCCACTCAGCGACCCATGACGCATCAGCGTTCGTAGCAAATTTGAGGACCATCGACTGCCCAATTGGTGGGGAGAGAGTCTGATCCGTCGCCTGTTTGATTTTAATGATATTGCTTTCTGGATGGTATGTCAGAGTCTTCACTTTCCCTGTTATCTTAAGCCAGTGATAGGGTTCCGCTTGCCCGCCGTCTTCTGTGAAGACACGCAGCTCAGGGCCATCCGCGGGTCGTAAGATGCAATGACTTGGTCTATCGCCCTCAAGATACCGAAGACTCGGCTGACACACGGCGGCTTGGACACGGGCGCCGGTAGGAACGGTGTCCGTTCCCGGTTTCTTCGCCCACTTGGTTGGATTCAAGTCTCCTCTCCTTGATAGACTTGGGGCACTAGGCTTCACCGAGCCCTCCGTCGGCGCTCTGAGACCGGTCTTGACACGCTTTCGGCCGTTGGCTTCCTCCCCTAGCTCGTCGTGGTCATCGATGTCATTGATGGGGCGCTTCTTGTCATGAGCCCGGCCTGGGGAGCCCGCCGGAGCAAGCTTCTGGAGAATAAATTCGTCCGCAGGATCCCCAAAGGAAGCATTGGGCCTGGGCCCGGCCGTAGAGATGAGCCGAGCAGTCCGTTGCTGGCGAGCTGGAGGTTTCTGCGCTGGCGCGAGCTCGTCAAAGCTCTCCATGGATTCTAGCCTGCTGAGTGTCCCGCTCCATCTCGCATGGTTGGCCGTGTTGGCAAATCGGTTCGCTTGCGGCCGGCGGTTACGTCTGTGACCACGTCCCGAACGTAGTTGGGTGGATGCCTCCACGCTCTGAAATTCGGATAGGACAGGCGACATAGAATGTGCAAAGCTCGTCTGGCTTCCGCGACGCTCGGTCCTTGATCTCGCATCTTGTTCGGCGTCGGCAACATCCTCCTCAGGACCCCTGAGACGAGCGTCTTTGTGGTTGAGTTTCCGCCGTTTGGGTGGTGAAGGCCCTCTGGGCGCATGGGCGGTGCTCGACAGATGAGTCTGGGGCGCGCACTCAGGTCTGGAGTCGAGGGTATTCACGTGCGTCTGAGGCGCAAGCCTCTTCTATACTTCATCAGCATGGGGTTCTGTGGCAGTCGCTTGAGAAGCCACACATACCAGAAACATGGAGGAAGGTTGAGGCATTCTGACTGCACCCTTCAGAGTTCTGCGGCGAAAAAGCATTCTTTTCGTCAGTGTCTAGTCAATTGGTCGGCGGGTCGTACATGAGGTTCCGAGATATCCATACCCATACTTCGGAAAAGAGTGTTCGATTCTGTGGAAGTCGAGATTACTCCTGCTGTTCCGCCTGTTAGACCTCAGTTGGAGCGGTTACTTGCAGGTTGACGCACTCTTTCGGTTTTTGCGCATCCTGAAGCTCTGGCGCACCAGCAGACGTCGGTTCACGTTTGGCACCGGCTGCGATTGTGCGTTGTGACTTTGTCGACCTTGTTCGGTCTCGGCCGGGGATGGAGGAAATGGGTGGGTACCCGGCCATTTTTATTCGGCGGTGGGGCACCTAGCTATTGAACCTGAGGGTGAGAATCATCATATCGTGCGGGAATTCAGGCAGCTATTGAGCATGAAGACCGTTCTATTGTTCAAAATGTTCGCAATAGGGTTTTGGAGAATGCCAGAAGGTCATACCGCCTCTGGGGAAGGTCACAAACGGGAGTGTGGTTTTATGTCACGAGGCCGCAATCAGAGTTCCGGTGCAGCGGCGCATGTTGTGGTTGGAGCCAGCTCCGAGCTAATCTTATCTCCAGTTGGTTTGGTAGTACCGTAGTGTGCAGTACCAAATACCATAAAGACCGTATACTAGTAGGTAGTTACAGTTACACAGTGCTATACAAGCCGCCCGCCGGTCGCACATAAGGATGCGTCGCTACCCGATTGGCCTCAGAAGACTCAACAAAGCTGTGCGAAAAAGGCTCAAACGGAAGATCAGACAGGCAATAATTACGGAAAATGCATACATAGCGGATGCATTCTCGCGCCAATGCAATCCATAGCTCAGCCTAGACGCTCCAATGAGAGAGCCCGGCTATGGGAGCACAGATCCGGCCCGGAGGCCCACCATTTCAAGAACAAGCGGCCCGGGGACAGGGTTACCCGCCACGCCCGCTTCGGCAGCCGTCCAATACATATCGGAGCCGGCGGGGCTGGCTTTTGGTGTAAACGAGCAGCGGATATCAAATCCAACCAGACATCATTACTGACGAGAGATTATAGCTCAGCAAGCTTGCTGCTGTATCCTCTGCATCATGATCAAACCAAGCCATATTGAACGGACGGCTAATGAGCCCCGGGACCCGGTAATCCCAGTCTGATGATCTTCTTTTCTTAACCGACACAATGTCGTCTCATTCCAATTTCCATCCTTTGTTTCTCAGAACCAGCCTGTCTAACTCACACATAACATTCAGTCCTTACGCACCCTAACCATCTCCTGCATCACCGAAGTGACACCCACCATCCGCCTCCTCCGGCTCGACATTCCACCAAACGACAGCATCAAAGTGAGCTGACTCCTTCATCCCCTGCACCACACAATCTGATCCGCTCACACGCCCAGTTCCTACCGGGGCAATGGGTAGACCTCTACCCGCCAGCAGACGCCAATGCCGCCAAACCAGGCGGCTTCACCATCACCTCGTCTCCCACCCTTGCCCAGCCATCAACATCATCATCATCACCACACCCCAACGCCACGACGACGACGACGCGAACACGGTCACCCGACGACAGGGGCGGGAACCGGGGACAACAAAATGTACAAGTACAGCATGGCGGCTACATCGAACTAGCGATCCAGGCCTCCCCGCCCAACCCAGCAGCAGCCTACCTCTTCCGCCCCTTGTGTGAGCTCCTTTACAGCCATGTACAGGTTCGCATCGGGGGCAGCTTCACTTTCCCCCCGCCATCACTGTCCGACCACGCCAACCCATCCCTGCGCAAGATAGTCTTCGTCGCCGGCGGGATGGGCATCAACCCGCTGATGAGCATGCTCAGCTGGCTTGGCGAGCAGGTGGTAGCTGATGATGACGGAGGGGGTTTTGACATTGAAGAGGTGCGGGTGCTGTATAGCGTCAAAGATCCCGCACGAAGGACGAACGATGACAATGGCCATGGCGTGGTGCGGAAGGGGGCAGAAATACTCTTCCTGGAGCGGATTGCGGAGTTGTTTAGAGGTTCGCGGCGGTTGAGGGGCGGGTTGCAGCTGTTCCTCACTGGAAGCAATGGGGACACGTCTGGGGATGGTGGGGATGTCGTGAGGTGTGCGGACGGGGTTGAGGTGCCGTTTCTATGTAGGAGGGTGGCCGTGAGGGATGTGGAAGAGGCGGTTGGGTGCGATAAGGACGACGCAGTGGTGTATGTTTGCGGGGTGCCGGCCATGACTGACGAGTTTGTGCAGGCGCTGGTGTCTCCCGACGGTTTTGGCATGGATCAGAAGAGGATCTTGTTTGAGAAATGGTGGTGATCAGTTCAGGGGAATAATCCGGCATCTGATGACGATGATGGCACTCTACATACCTGCTTGCACTACTAGTACATCGCATCGTGTAGGCCTCTCTCATTGCTGTCCGGGAACATCAATACGTAGCTGTATAACCCTGACGCCCTGCTAAAATGGACAATCCATACACTACTAGTACAACACACAACATACCGAGCCTCCCTCCTAGTTATGATCAGTTGGGCCTGAGTAATGCCCAGCACTCGTATGATGACCGCGCACATTCAACCGAGAACAGCGCCACATTGGCCAAACCAACTCGTCACATCCAGTTGCCAATGCCTCGCTGAACAATGTTCTCACCATAGCCCGGCTTGGACACATTGCGGCCAAGAATGATGCCTGCCAAGTTGCGTGGCGACCCGCTGAGGCTCCTTTTACGGAGCCCAGCAAACAGCGACTTGCCCTTCTCTCGGTCTGGCCGGGGGCTACAGTCACGACGAGCAGAACCGTAGACCGATTCTCTCCGAACCGGAGAGGGAGTGCGGCTGATCCATACTGCCTTGCTCAGACTTCGCTCCTCCAATGGTCGAACGTTCTGGGCGGCTGAATCCGATCCCTGCGATGATCTTGGCTGCTTGGGCGAGCTGAAAAAGGCGATGCCACGTTCGAGTGCGCTGCCAGTCATGGGGAGATAACGCCTTGGAGACAGCTTCTCGTCCGTGAAGGAATCGCCCGTCGATTTCGGGGAGGTGTCGTAGTCGGAAACCGAGTATTCCTCTCCTGTAGTAGGATTTGGTTCTGCATCGGGGCTGACACTAAGGCCTGACTCCGACGGAGGGAGCTGCACCAGCCGCGCCACGCCGACCTCAATCTCCTTAGGATTGAGAGACCCCTCTTCGACGTACTGCCGAAGCGAGGGAGTGATTGACGGAGTGGCTGATACAACAGAGCCTGTGGATGAGCGTCTGGATAGCCTGCCAGGTTCCTCCACCACCGGGAGTTCTGGTAGCGGACGCTGTAAGTAGGACTCGCGATATCCGTCTCGCAGCATTTTGCTTGGCTGAGGGATTCGAAACTTGGACGACGCGGTCGGGAAAAGTTCAGGAGGACTCTTGAGGGAGTAGTGCGGTGTACTTTGATCTCTGTCGCGTCCTGTATCCGGGTCCTCCTTGCAATCATGAAACACAGCTTCGTCTGAGTTATATGACTGAGGCGACAGCCGCTCCCGTTCGTCAACCGACCCCTCAACTTCACAATCTGCTTTGAGCATCTTTTTGAGTGCCTTCGGTGAAGCGGCGCAGAGGAGGTCAAGCTCATTTGCCGGGATGAGATTCAGCTCTTTGAGTTTCTTCCACGACCGGTAGTGGAGCCTGAAAGACGCAAACGGGGAATCCTTCGCATCAAGGAGGTGCCAGTCGTAGAAGCACACATCTTGCGGCTGGTCAAGAAGGCCAATACTAGGGGCACTGAAGACTTGTTGTCAGTATGATAGGTGACAGTGACGGATGACTGACAAGAGAACTCACGCAATGCCATAGTTCTCCTGGTATCTGAACTCTTCCAGTCTCGGCGCTCGAGCACGTCTTTCCTTTGCCCGGAAGGCGCGTATCTCGATGAGCCCGCCGTCTTCGGCCACCGACTTGTGGTCCTGTCCCGGAAGGAAGACAAAGTTGCGTCCCTCGAATCCAACCTCGTCGTAGTACATTCCCGAAGGAGCCCACAGCGACTTGGCAACCTTACCCTTGGGCCGGACATTTGGGTCGATACCCCAAGAAGCAATAGATCGGCCGTTCATGTAGAGCCGGAAGAAGACATACTTGCAAGGGGCAGGAGGCACAGTGTTGATGCTGTAGTTGATGGCAAACGGAGTCCCTGAGACGGTGAGCCAACGCGGTCCTGATACTTACGGTGTGTCTGGATGTGTATGACCGACCTGGAATGGAGGGTATGTATACTGAAACCACTGGGTTAGTCTTGCGATATACGGCCTGACGGGCTGGGCTGTCGACCGCATCGCCCAGGAGCCGAGCCGAAGTGCCCTCGGGATGCGGATATTCAGGGATCCGCTCATTGTCGGGTTTCGTGGTCAGCGACACCTCGATGCCTCGAAGGTATGGCATCTTGGAGCAGTCTGGCGAGGGGCAAGCTGCAAGTGATTGGACAAAATCGACAAAGGTGGTGGTGATCAAGACACAAGCTGGAATGAGGCAGGCCTATTAGACAAGGAATACGGAAGTAACAACCGAGTGGGGTATGTTGGCGCCGAGGAAATCTACGGGCACGGTGTTGTGAGGAAATGGGAAGGCGCAGGTCATCATCGCCGCGGCGATGCCCGACACCTTCACGTTAGCCCGGCCCGAGTATACGTGAGTGATGCGGCTGAGCGCCGTAGTCGTCACTGGACTCAAAAGATGCTGCTTCCGGTCAACGAGCAAGACTTCAAGGAGAAATGGTGCACGTATGCTGTGAGCACTTAATGCGGTGTAGCGTGCGCAGGAGTCCGTCAACGGACCCGTCAGTTCGCCGGGACCAACCGCCATTTGATTCGCAATCATTGCTGATGCTTCGACGGTGCCTACCAGCGTAGTCGCAGCCGGATATACACAAACGTGGGCCGCGACCCCATCGTCCATCTAGACTGACCCCAGCACCTTCTTCGTGTCCTCGTCCTTGTCTAACAACCCGAGATTCCGTATTTGGCCAGCGGTTGGGGGGTTCTCTTGCAGCTTCTTTGCCTCGGCCTGCCTGTATGCGGCCTGCAGCATCTTGACTCTCGCAGCCTGGAGAGCGATTATCCCGGGTCAGCTAGTTGGTGCAAGTCTCGCATGACAAGCTTGGAAGCGGTGACGCACCTCTTTTCGGTGGTGCAAGCATTCGTAATAGTCCTCCATTGCCGGCACACACTTCCTCTTCCCCGAGTCGTCGTCTTCGTTGGTGTTGATCACGTAGCAAGACATCAGCTCCTGCCAGAATGGAAAGCACCGGCCCGGGCCTGCGGGTGGACAGCATCAGTACAAATTGCACGGAAATTCAATTTTCTCGTCTGGGTTCCAGCCATTGGATCGCGCGGCTGATCTCACCTCCGTTCAGGCCGTATCCAGACGCCATGTTTGGCTGCGCAGAAGCTCGGGTTGGTCGATGACAGGCGATGTGCTCCGGGAATTGCCTCCGAGGTCGTCGGCGTCAAGTTGCGTGCACGGACTGAGCCGGATTGCTGATGTTGGTGTGGCGCAGGAAGATGAAAACGCCACAGTCTAAGCCACCCTAGAGCTGTCTGAAAGACCCACCTGATCAATCACCCTTAATGTCAACAAGGCAAACATTCCCTTTGTCTCAATATCACAGTCTCCCGACATCGTGATAGGAGCACTCATCTATGGTACGAACCGCTCACCTTTTCCATGGTAGCTACTGAATCTTTTGGGTTTGGTTACGGAGCAACTGCGGCATTCTTCAACTTAGAAGACCAGTTTTCTCACCCCAGCGCTTCTGGTAATCACTATTGATGCAGTTCTCACAAGCTGGCTTGAACAATCGAGTTTATTCCACATACACAACATCTACAAGCCCATCCTGCTTCCCAGTGATATTGCAGTCAACCGTACCATATCCCGATGGCACTCACTGCTCCTTGGGCGAGGAGTTGATTTGGTGTTATCAGCCGAACTCACCATTCTTGTTTGTAGAGTTCTGGAGACCATTGGCAAGCTAGGCAACCTCACAAGGCGCACTGTTGGACACGGCTCGAAGACCAGTTCTGCAGAACGAACCATTGCAACGCTACCGACAGTCTTACCACAGTCAGGTAGTGAAGGTTGACCTCTCGGGAAGACGGCCCCTGGCTCATCACGACACTGCCAGGCACAGCACATGCAACTTACACTGCACTGCGTCACCCCAAGCTAACCTCGATACGGAAAAGAAGTCCAGCCCTACCTGCCATGGAACCTCGTCTGCATTCTTATCGTAGTCGGCAAAAAGGTACGCCCCGCACGCCATCCCGCTCATGCTAGGGGTTGCTTATCGCCGACTTGCAGTTATCAACGACAGCGAGTAAGGGAGTTGAGGATTAGAACTCACAAACCGGGAACTGCTTACACAGTCTGGTAATATGATTGGTGACCTTACCTGCCTAACCCCCCTAGATCAGCTACTACATATCTACCTAGACGATGGAATGTAAAGCAGCTGTGTTCGCAGCTCCAAGCTGGCGCAATGTCCTTTCACCTACCTAAATACATCTTCGGTCAGAATACCTTCATGCAGAAGCCATCACCGTCCCTACCTACCTTAATTTCTCTGCACGGCTCAGGATCTTCAAACAGCCCACGGAACAAACCACAAAATGTCCTCAGTCTCCGTCCAAGAGGGCTGGCAAGCCTGCTCGAAAACAGACACCCTCTTCGTGCTGGTCTGCACCGTCATCTGCTGGACGATCGTGCCCACGGTCGGCATCGCCTACAGCGGCTACGCGTGGAAGCGCAACGCCCTATCGGCCGCCTTCCCGGCCGTGCTGACCATCGCGACCTGCTCGATCCAGTGGTTTGTCGTCGGCTACACGCTGGCCTACGGCGAGGGCGGCGGCCGTTTTGTGGGAGGGCTGGGGAATGCCTTCCACCGGGGGGTGCTCGCCGAGCCCGTGGGCACCATCCCTGCGATTTTGTTTAGTGAGTTCCAGCTTGTGTTTGAGGCTACTGTTTGCGCCATTGCAGTCGGCGGGTTCTGTGAGAGGGGCAGGCTGTGGCCAGTTGTGGCTTTTATTGCCGTAAGTGGTATTTCTCCTGTCTGAACCGCTCGCGCTGGCGTGGTATTTGTCCTTCTGAGATGCTCCTGGATGCGAAGAGGTGGGTACTAATGAGAAGCAATAACTTTTATAGCTTTGGTCGACGTTTATTTACTGTCCCTTGGCGCACATGGTTTGGGGTGGTGGCTTGCTCGGGGAGGACCTGGGGGTGCTGGATTTCGCCGGGGGTGAGTAACGGAGTAATGGCCAGGCCGTCGTGCCTAGCGTGGCTACTAATGGTGTCTGTGTGATATCCAGGAACTCCGGTCCACGTTTGCTCCGGAGCGACGGCCACGGCTCTGGGTGTCTACCTGTCGTACCCGGTATTCCGCTCCCGGAAGTCCCAGATCCGGACTCCAACGCACATCCGGCTCCACAGACCCGGCAACTCCTTCTATCAGCTGCTGTCCATGATCATCATCTGGGGGTCGTGGCTGGCGTTTGATGCGGGCACTACGCTCGCACTGAATTTCCAGTCGGTCATGGCTCTCTGCGTGACCAACTTGTGTGCCTCGGCCGGTGCCTTGACATGGGCCTGTATGACCTTCTTCGAGACGGGCAAGTGGTCCATCGACTCGACTTTCATGGGTGCCATATCGGGCCTCGTCATGATCACGCCCGCCGCCGGCTTTATTGACATGCCGACGGCCTTCTTCTTTGGCGTGTTCGGTGCGCTCCTGTGCCGCCAGGCGCTTCGGATCAAGTTCACCAAGGGCGCTCAGCGCTGGCGCTGGGTAGACAACGGCGACACATTCGCGACGCATTGCATCGGTGGGATTGCGGCCACCATCTTCACCGGACTGTTCGCGCAAAAGAAGGTGGCGGCATACGGAGGTCTTGACATCCCGGGCGGCGTCTTCTTCGACGGTAATATCCGACAGCTCGGCGTCCAGATTATCGAAGTGCTTATCGGCCTTGGCTGGTCCTTCTTCGGATCGTACATCATCATCGCCCTGATCGACTGCGTGCCTGGTCTCGAGGTTCTCGCTGTCGATAAGTAGGTTTTGCTGGACCGTTTGACTGCGACTCATCTGCTGATGTGTGAGGGAGCAGACATATCCACGAAGGACTCGACCTCCACGAGACGGAGGAATCCCTGGGGGGACTTGAATATCCCGACGACGCTGATTATGCGCCGACAGACAAAGGTACCATCGCGCTGGACTAGATAACAACCGCGCCGCCTAGGTAAATACCTACCGCGGATAGATCCATGGAGTTTGATCAACCAACCACGGCGTGCTCGTACGAGTGACCATACGCGTACTGTCGTCACGAGTCACGACTGCGACTGTCAGCCAAAGCCTGGCCCAAAGGATATTATGGGGACCTTCATCTTGTACGCATCGTATCAAGCCGTGCACCAAATCCGAGTCCGGCTTGCCGACCAGGTATAGCCTTTCAACAGGATGAAGTAGAGCAAGCCGACGGAAGTCGATGGTGAGAATACAAAAGGGACGGATACTGCCCGAAATATACGAGCATGTATAAAGAAGGAGGACGTATATCTCTGATGCCTTTGCCCCAAGAGTCATCGAAGAACTCTCATCTGGGTAGATCCAGCGCAGTTTGACTTGGTAAACTCTTTGAAATGATTGTTTCCATGTTTGATATGCGGCATGCCCGTTCATGGATGTGTAAGTGATAAGGAGCCGGTTCCACAAGGTAGCTCCGGGGCTTGGCACGGCGCGACCCACCGAGGCGGGCCCGGTCCAATCCCTGCAACTTCCAAGCTGGCAAGTGCCAAGCCCGGCGCGATGTCTTGGAAGCTGTCCTGCACCATGAAATGATGGAAGTTCATGAAACGGCCGCACTCCCCTCGCCAACCTATCCGACCCTCGGCATCCCTTAGCGACAGCGACAGCGACCGTGACAATGACTCTCGTGCTCTCACCGGCTAAGCTTGTGCTGCTGGCCGTGCACTTCGCTGTCAGTGGCGACGTCGCTAGCTTGGCGACCCTCGCTGCGCGCCACAACACCGTTCTCCGGAAAGACCTGTTGCTGCGCATCCTCCTCACCTACCTCCCCGAGACGATTCCTTCGAGCCACTACGTCGACCTTATCCAGAACCTCGAAAGCGGCACGTTTCCGGACACGGCTAGTCAAGAGGTGAATGTATCGTCCGTCGAGGGCCTGGCCGAGGACGACGCGGCAAAGAGAGTCAGGAAGCTGCGCCTGCGCCCACTAAGGCTACCCGATGCGCCGGTGGAGGAGCCGGAAGACGCGCTCTCGCTGTTTCTGCTGCGCCGCGCGTATAACGTGGACGAGGAGGCAGGCCTGCTCGACGAGCTGCCTGCCCTGCTGCTGCCCTTCCTCGACCACTCTCCTTGCATACGCACGCTGTTGGTTTCGACGATACTGCCTCTCTTGAGGCGCAACTGCGAATATTACCCCCAGGAACCGATTCCATATGCGCTCCAGGGGTTTCAGCAACTGCCAGACCGCGTTGCTGTGAACCTCCTCTTATCCCAAACCGGCATTCGACAGGGCGACCTTTCTTTGGTTGGACGGGACTTGAGGGGCTTGATCGGCCCTTGGTTGTCGGATGGGAAAAGGTGGAAACCCAGGCAAGATGCCACGGGCGAACCGCGCGGAGGCGAGGCGGTTTGCCCTGGATGGGAAGAGGTCCTCCGCTGGCTCACGAACCACGCATCGAAGAACTGGAAAGTGGCCGTCAGCGCGATCCAGCAGTGGGATGGCCCATCGGATGCCGACCTTTCCTGCTGGGACTCGGTGCAATGGACTGATGACCAACGAGATCATCTGGAGCAGAGCTATGCGCAGGCAGCATTAGCATCTGCATACCTCATCCCGGAGGCGTCCCTGGAAGCCTTGGACGGAGCGTATAGCATAGTCGCGAAAGTTGCGAGGATACGTGGTCTCGAGTCGGTCTCCCCTCTCGCCTCAGCGCTGGCCGTTCTACCGCCTCTCACAGAGCAGATCCCGGAGGATATCATGTCGGCCAGGAATGTGACGTGCATGCGCAACGATGTCACCGCCCCGTCGAACATACTAACCACTCCGTCCGATTCGTCTACAGTCCTTCTGCAGGCGCTTATTCTGAGTGCACATGTCCTCACCAAAGCTGGTTCTCCGTGCACGGTACGGAGAGCCGGGGAGCTTGCACTGCTGCGGGACGAGCGAGACCAGAAGGCCGAAGCAACGAAGCTTATCCACTACATTAGTAACAACGGGCCTAAGACGGACGACCAATTCTGGGTCAGGGCACGGAATGAAATCCTATGGCTCCGAGATTGGGGGGCAGAAGATGGTTGGTCGCCTGACGGCGTTCCCCGTGGCATCTTCAGTCAGGTCAAACGTGAATTCTTGGAGGTGGAGATTCTGAAGGCGTTGCTATCCAACACACGTACGTCTCTTGATTGCTGCCTGCTACAACTGGGAACTAACCTGCGAAGGCTACTCGCTTGCGACATCCATGTACGAGGATGCGCCGGATCAGCCCCTGGATAAGAAGCCTCTACAAGAGGCCATCTACGCAACTGCCTTGACTGCCTATGACAATGCTTCCAACCCCAACCGCACCCGCGGTGGACTCAAGAAGTGCGATGATATGTAAGTTGTCGCCTCGGTAGTTGCCCTGCCTCGGCTCACAATAGTAGACTCAAAGCATTTCCCAAGACGGTTCAGCGGTCCGATCCTCAGGCGAAGCGGATCGAAGCTCTGCTCCAAGCTACGCATTCGCTGAGCGACTATCGCCTCGTCCTCAAACAAGGCGAACCCTTTAGCCCTATTGTCCTGCGGGTTCACACAGACCCGATTTCCATCATTGGCAAGATTCTGGAACAAAACCCCAAGAGTTATACACAACTCCCTGACCTTCTCCGTCTCGGCGAGCTGATGGTAGAAGCCGGACTCACAGCCCACAACAGCACCACCCCCCTAAGCCCCAGTACCACAGAGGACGAACCAATTCAACGAGCAATCGCCGAGCGGCGTATCACAGCAATGTGCATCGACGCAGCCCTCAACGAGGACGACTTCGAAACAGCTTACTCCTACGTCGTCAACCGCCTGCCCTCCCTCGCCACAACTTCCACGGCCAACAACAAGAACAGCACCGCCCCCATCACAGACGACTACTCCTGGAAAGCCGCCCTCCAAGCAGGCAAATACCGCCGCACCGCGCGCACCCTGCCACCAACACACCTGGGCACGACCTCAGCCAACGCCGACATCCGCCACCTCGAGCAGCGTATCGAGTGCCTCTCCGCCGCACTCCGCATCGCGCCCGCTTCCACACTCCAAGAGATCTTGAACGCCTTCCGCCGCGCCGAGGAGGAGCTCGAAGCCGCGCTGCGCGAGGAGGAGGAGCGGGAAAACGAGTGGGACAGGCGGGGCGACGCTTTGCATGATCATCATCATCACCATCACATCCCGGGGAGTTCTCAACAACATCATCATCAAGACCCAAACCACTGCCGCCCGCTCGTCGTCACCAGCGGGGGAAGTCAGTGTCGGCAGACGAAGACGCCGCGCCCATGTCCCTGTTCGATCTGTCCAAGGCGAGCGTGCTCTCGGCACAGAAGAACCTGTCGGCCTTGTCTGCGCTGCCCAGGTCGGCTGGGTTTGGTAGACGGTTAGTAGGAGGAGGAGGAGGGGGAGGGGGAGAAGGTGGTGGTGGAGGAGGAACTGCTGCTGGTGATGGTGGTAATAATGGCGGGGAAAGGAGCAGTCTCGACCAGCCTCCGCTTTCGGCGGCTGGGTCGGTGACCTCGGCCGGGACGGGGAGTGGTGGGGAGGAGGACAAGGGGGCGAAGAGGGTGCGCAAGAGGGATCAGCTTCGTGAAGCCGCTGTCGGGACGCTTGTGTCCGGTGTCGGGTGGCTGGTTGGGGCGCCGCCTCCCGAGCGGACGTCGTGGGAGTGATTTGTATCAGGTACGGACGGAGTAGGCTGGTAGATACCTTACCTCATGGCTCATATACCTCAGTAGGTTAGCTGTTTTGATATCCCACACGGAACGAAGAGATTCACGATCTAAGTAGACATCATTATACAACTCGTCGAGCGCATCCATATAGGGGATCTATTTGGGCAATAATACTGAGACGTGATCCGGTCGCTGATCCAGGCACGTAAATGTACCAAATCATGACAGCTAGCAAAAGCGCGCCTGCGCAAAGTCCCTCCGAAGCCAGCCTTACATTGCATCCGCCCCAAACTCCGTGCCATTACCGAAACCCAGGCCCCTTTTCCCACAGTAATAGTACATCCCGTGGCACACTACCTGTCTAATGCGATCTAACACCGGAAGCACAAAGCAGAGCGAGAGAAAGCGGCTGTGTCTTTCACTCCGAATCAGAGTCCCCGTCCATACCCAGCAACGTCTTGTCCACCTCGTCCAGCTCATCCTCCTCTTCGCCCTCTCCCTGGCCTTCGCCATCATCGGCATCGCCATCGCCCAGTCCAAGCAGTTCCTTGTCGACCTCATCCAAGTCGTCCGCGTCGTCCATGGTCATGTCCCCGTTGGTGTCGGCACGGTGCACCCCGTTTGTACGGCTCCCGCCGACAGACTGCACACGGCGCGCATGCAGCATGACCTCGGCCTCGTCCTCCGTCTCGGCCGGGTCGATCGGCTCTTTGGACGGTGAGCCCTCACCCGCGCCGTCGCCGTCGCCCTCACCGTCATCCTCGTCGTCGTCATGCTGGCTAGCGGCTCCGTTGGTGATGCGGGGCCGCTTGATGGGCCGGATGACGCCCAGCGGCGGACCGTCGTGGTTCTCCCACCGGGTGAGGCGGCGCTCGGCACGCCGGAAGGCCGCCGCGTAGGAGGCCATCTGCTCGCCGAAATCGTCGGGCTCGTCCTTCACCTGGACCAGGCCGCCGTAGCCCCGCTCGCGCATGCGCTTGGCGTCGCCGTGGAGGAAGGAGGCGGAGTGCTTGCCGTGGGCGGCCATGAACTCTTCCTCCTCGCTATCGTCGAACGGGTCCGGCATTTGGGCGAGCCGCGGGAGGGCGCGGATGATGGACCCCTCGGCGCGACGCGATTTGCGCGCGCGGTGGTGGCTGCGCCGCATGCCCCGGTCAAGAATGTACTCAACGCGCTGGGACCTGTTACGCTCGACAGCAAGTTGGTGAGCTGTGGGGGGCCGGGGCTTCCGCGGGGCGACGCCCTCAACCATGCGTTCGCCGCCAGGAGAGGAGCCGTCAAAAACTTGGTATTTGAGCGAGTGAGGGCCTCGCCGGCTCGTGCTGCTGAAGAAACCGCTCTGTCGTCCAAGCGCACGGGGCGGTGGGGTGGATCTCACACTGTCAAGATCGCTTTCGTTTTTGGAGGGCCTAATGCGCGGCAGGATGCCTGTTGTCGGTCCAACCTCGTCGCCGGCAGGGAAGCTGCGACCCCGGCCCCCACCTCGCTTCGTCTGGGTCTCCGCCATGAACTGCTGGTCCGCCTCGATGATCTTAGCCCGCATTTTCTGCTTGGCGTATCCAAAGTCGATCTCTTCTTGCGTGTCGACGTTCTCTTGCTCCTCCTCCTCCTCGGTTAGGCGCTCTAGGCGAGGGACGCCCTGGTTCGCGACGTCGACGCCGTAGTCCACACCGGCCCCGAACGGGTTTTCTTCGCAACCCTCCTCTGTAAAGTCAGACTCGAGGTAGAACCACATGAGCCAGAGAAAGGCACGGGCGCGGCTCTTGCTGCTGTAGTGCGTCTTCATGATGAGGTCGTGGAACTCTTGGCCGGGCGGGAAATGTAATTCGGCGACTTTGGGCGCCGCCTGGCAGATGAGGAAGAGAAGGTGGACGGGGTTCGTCCGAGGGACGTCGAGTGACTTGAACTCCTCGAGGGATGCCGGCTCAGGCCGATCGTCCGAACCTCCCTTCAAGATCGACTTTAGCCTGGGCGCGTCCTGCAACTGTTTGTAGGCGTGCGGGTCTTGCCGGGCTTGCAGACACGGGATGGCATGATAGGTGCGCAGTTGGGCTCGCATTTCCGGAAAGACTGTTGCACCATCGTCAGCGTCACATAGGCAAGGGGCGACAGCAGCGGCGAAGACGTACAGTTGAGCGTCGTGTTCATCCGGCCAATGTTGACCAGGAGGCAGACCATCGCCATTCCTTTCGCAGCATCGCGATCACTAAGCAGCTTGTCGCGAAGGACTTTGCTAGTCTTACTACTCCTGGACATTGTGTCGATGTAAAGGTCGGCAAAGCACTGCTTGCCCAGTCGGTCTTTCTCGTAGCTGTTGGTGAAGACTTTCTCGTCGTTGTCGAAGACGGCCTTGAGGAAGTCGTACTGGATGTCCTTCCGCCAGAGCGGCTCGCCGTCCTCCTTTTTGAGATGCCGGATCTTGCCGATGGTGCTGGTGTTGAGTCCGTCGTCACGGCCGCGCTTTTTACCGCGAGGCTGCCGCTCGGACGGCTCGGGAGTCGCCATGGCCATCCTCGTATCGTCGTCGTCGGTGACGGCCGTCATGAAGGACTTTTCAGCGCGAACAGGCGAGCTTGGCGCTTCGATGTCAGACATCATAGCCGCTGAGCTCGGTGTTCCGGCCATGGCGAAGGGAAAGTGCCCCAGGTGTGGGTTGGGTGGGCAGCGTCTTTGTCAGTTTTTACACGGTGGCAGTTTCTCGGGAGACGCCGATGATCATTGCACGTTGGTGCTGTACTTCAGCAAACGGAATGGGCGCACGGGAACGCGCGCGGCAAAGAGATAAATTGATAACACCTCAGTGATGTTCGGGAGCGACGATGAAAGAAAAGAGCGGGCAGGAATTATGGGTTGTTTGACCAACAGGTTCATGATTTAATGGCAAGGAAATTTCTAGGTTCGGACTTTGGATGGCCCTGGGAGAGGCGTGGATGCCTGCCCCAGCTTGGCTCACGCCGCTGGAATGGATGGCATCGCGTTAGGGACCTCTGCGCAATAACGTTAATTCCTCGTTTCGCGATGGATGCGCTGCAGGTGACGTTTGAAGTGGGGCGTGGTGTCAGCATCAAATTAAACGGGATATGGGTTTAGCGCATACACTGCATATAAGCGGTAAAGGGGTTGTCATTTATACCTAACTGGAGTGATCTCTCTGCGGTGTCCGATGATGCATCCATAATGGCCTGTCCGGTGTTGGTTAAGCCTGTTTACCGTGTACCGTCCAGCTTGCATAGGCAATCATTGTGTTTTGGTGTTTTCCATGTCAGACTGGCACTGTGTGTGTAAGCCGAGTAAGGTACCTAGGTACCTACAGTACCTTATTTGTAACCCCAAGGCAAGCTTCCATTGATACGGGGCGGAGAAGTACATCCCATTAAGTGTCACCCAGATAAGGACGAATGGGTTGTTTGACCTTTGATCAAGAGTTCTATTAGAAATACAAAAACCCTGCAGCCCTCGCATTGCATTGGGAAGCTTGTGGCGCGTATTTCTATAAGTTACGGTGCCAACCTGGAACGAAGACGAGCCTGAGAAATGGCAGAAACTGCTAACATCCCAGTCATCGACATTTCTGGTGACGACCAGGCCCGTGTGGCCAAAGAACTGGTTGCAGCAGCTATCGAGCATGGCTTTGTCTACATCAAGAACAACGGCAAGGACATACCTGTGCAGGCCATAGATGAGGCGTTCGAGATGGTAAATGGACAGCACGAAGACTCAAAATCCAAGTGAGCTGCTGACCGTGAGCCACACAGTCCAAGAGACTCTTCAACGCACCCACAAGTGAGAAGCAAACATGCACGATACAGCAAAACAACCGAGGCGTATGCCAACAGTCATGACTTCTTACCTCTTACCTCGGCTACAGAACTTCAACTAACCCTCCTGTTTTAGTGGTCAGCAATGAATTACGAGACGCTCGATCCGGCAAACCAGCGTGTAAGTCCTCCTCCTCCCGTTCACCATCGCCCTTCTAACTGTCTTGCAGGTAGGGGACTTCAAGGAGTACGTATCATTCTCTCATGGATAGGATGCGATATTCACGCAATCCCCTTTCTCCACAGAGCTTTCAACTTCGGCGAGTTCATCGACGGCAAAGCGCAGCAGCCCATCCCGCCCACCATCGCCGCCGACGAGCCGCAGATCAGCGCCTTCCGCGACCTCTGCTACAACCTCTCGCTCAAGCTGAATACCCTGCTAGGCATCGGCCTGGAAGTAGGATCACCCCTCTCAGCCCCGGCCCCCTTCCTATCCCAGATTACCTATCTCCTAGTACTTAGTAACACCCAAACTCCAAAGGTAACACCGCCCGATTTCTTCACCTCGGCACACCTCCGCGCCCGCGGCCCGTCCGGCACAATCCTGCGCTTCCTGCGCTACCCGCCGCGCGCCGACGTCTCCGGCGACGCCACAGCAGACGACGTGCGCGCGGGCGCCCACTCCGACTACGGCTCGCTCACCCTCCTCTTCCGCCTGCGCGGCCAGCCGGGGCTCGAGGTCCTCTCGGCGGACGGCAAGACGTGGTCGCCTGTCCCCGTGGTGCCGCCCGGCACGGAGGAGGATCCGGCGCCGCCGATTCTGATGAACATCGGGGATTTGCTGTCGTATTGGACGAATGGTTTGCTGCGGAGTACCGTGCACAGGGTTGTCTTTCCCCGGGACGGTGGAGGAGTGCAAGGGGAGGCGGACGTTGACGGGCCGAGGTACTCGATTGCGTATTTCTGCCATCCCTTTGGGGGTGCTCAGTTGGGGCCGGTGCCTAGTGAGCGGGTCAGGGGGTATAAAGGGGGGTTGGCGGAGGGAAATCCGTACGCTGAACGGAAGGTGTTGACTGCTGATGAGCATTTGAAGATGAGGTACGTTGCGATGCATTTACCTTGTCTTTCATGGCGGATAGAGATTGGAGACATGGTGTGGTGCGACGAGTGCTGGTGCTGACAGGTATAACAGGCTGAAGGCGAGCTACGCCCAGTTGTATGACGAGAAACAGTGATGCTGGGTCACTCAGGGCGTACCTGAGTTGTCAACACACAGGTAGAATTAGTTCATGACAATTGTTTGGCCTTTTTCCTATGCTTGCGGTTCCTCCTCTAAGCATGTCATGTGCCATATCGGCCTCTTTGTGGGTATAAATGGGAGTCTAGCACTTTGCACCCAGCCCATCCAGTACCCTCCAAACGCCTGCGGATGCGCATATGATCACCAGTGAAGCGCCAAAAATATCACCGAGCCTTTTTTTTCAACCAGACGCTTCGCCCAGCTTCTCATCCCTCTCCTTCCTCCGCGCTTTCCTACTATTACCCTGCTGCTTCTGCAACTGCTCCCTCTTCTCCTGCTTCCTGGCAGCCTTGTCCACGGCGCCAATGACCTTCTGTTCTTTGCCCACGGGATACTTAGCCGCAGCGGCAGCCTCGTCCTCCTCGCTCCATTCCATGGGGAGCACTGCGAAGACGAGGTATGAGGTGTGCGTCTTGATCTCTGGCTCGCCGCGCGTGATAAGGCGGCCCTCCATCCAAGGGGCCGTCCCAGACGTTGCCTGGTCTGCCGAGACACCCTGGTTGCCCTCAACCGCTGCCGCACTCTGCTTGGCAGTGGGCTGCACATCCCCCTCGTCACCCGAGTCCATGTCCTCATCACCGTCCTTTGGTTTTGCTGCGTGCTCGCGGAAGCGGCCCTCAATTCCTTCTAACCTGGTCAAGGCTTCCTCAACGTCGTGCGGCGAGTTGTTGACGCCCCGGTCAAAGTTGAGGTTCAGCCCGACACGCTCTCGTGACGTGTGTAGCTTCCGGTTGGCGATCTCGACCATGTCGATGTCTACCCACCCGAGGCGCCGCATCACTGACACGGTCCGGGTTACTTGCTCGATGCAGGGAGAAAACGTGCAGAGGTACACGCTCTTCTTGGGGTTTAGTGGCGACACCCATCCGGTCTGCTCGTCTCCTGCAGTAGCGTCGTTCGTGTTGAGCGATGTCTGCGGCCTCCGCCGAGACAAGTGGGGAAGTGCCTCCCAGGGAGCCGGCAGATCCAGAAAGACGGCGTCAGCCTCCGGGCTCTTGCCGTCCACCAGGAAACCGCCATTGTAGACGTCGCGGTGGGTTAGTTCCACGAGCCCGTCTAAGCCATGGTCCGAAAGTTCCTGCTTCATCTTGTGGTAGCGTTGCTCGTGGAATTCGAAACTGTAGACCTTTCCTTTGCGCTGCCCTTCGGTAGGGTAACCGTTATAGACGGCGCGAACTGACGCATGAGTGAAGCTTCCACTGCCGGCACCCGCCTCAATCAGAGTGGAGCCGGGCCTCGCGCGTATCCTGTGCAGAATATAGCTGTAATCCGGGGTGTAGACGACTTGGGTCCGGTGTGGTAGGCTGGTCGTCCAGACTTCGGGTGTCGGCGGGAGGATGTGGATGAAGCCGCTTGTGTCGGCCACAGCTTGTTTAACGGAAGGCGTGGACTCTCCATTCACCGCCGCCGCAGGTGAGCCTTCGTTGTCCTTCCCGTCATCCTTCTCGCCCGCGCCCGTGGCTTCTCGGCAGGCATCGTCGCCCGACTCTCGCTTTCTCTTGCGGCCTCGTGATCCCGTGTCAACTTTTGAGGCGCGGATCTGGGAGCCCCAAGGGACGTTCAACATTGTCGAGTGGGGGAAGGAGCCATAGCGCGTGTTCACAACGGCGCCCTCGGCATAGCCATCGTGCTCTCCAGTCGGTGGCTGCAGGTACACGGGAAGGAGATTGTCGCGCGACAGCTGGAGGATTGCAAGCGAATTGGCTTTCGTTCGAGGACCAGGGTCTAGAAAGGGTGACACCTCATTTCTTGCTGTTGTCGCCATGGTTGTGTTGGTGTTACAGTGAGTCGCGCGAGTTGCTCTAACAGCAACGTATGGCAACTTTTATGCACATTAACGTGAGAGGATGTCGCGAATTCAAACGCGCAGTGACCAGAGCTGGAAAATCCAGCCAACTGTGGGGTGCGAGGAGCGACGGGTATTGTATTGTACCATCAGTGGGGCTGTCAGGGTAATGTTACAGAGCCTAGCTGTATTTACACGCATATAACCGTAAAATATGTAATTATAGTGAGCCGGGATTTGTGCGATAACCGAAGTTCATTAAACTCTACCTCGTCATTTGTAATCGTTGTATAGGGAGTTGATCCGGCCTTATACAGAGGTAGAATAAGAAGCAACCAAGCTGATCACCTTCAAAATGAAATACTGCAGATGTCACTCGCCTACGTGATCGCTGCAATAGAGCGTACCTACTGTATTGAACATCCGCGCGTTGTATGTACTTACATACGTGCATACACAGGTATTGTATTGTATAAGTATAGCTGTATGTCTACGTACCGTAGTACTACTAGTACCAGTACTACGGTAGGATCTCTTGGCGATCAGTGTTGGCTAAGCTTTCTTATGTGGGGACTGTTTGAGTTTCAATGTCCTTGCCCTGCTAGGGGTTCATGAAGAGGAGCTGACCATCGAGGGAAAGCCCTGGGATTACTGTTACTGAGGGCACAGAATTTCCAGCAGCATGGATTGTTGGCAGCTGTCGTAGCAGTTGAGATGTGAGAGTACGGGTAGTTATCTTCTCGGTCTATTCCTCTTACCGATCCGCACTTGCTGTGGCATGGGTGTTGGTGTCGTGCGGGATCCTAAAGCTCCCGAGCCACCAAGTACTAGTAAACATTACCCCTTGGTGAGTCTTCTCCGTTGAAGGGGAGCTTACGCAAAGCTAAGATTTATGAGACTGGAATCCTGCTAACAACTTGAACTTGGTCAGAGAATTGCTAGCCGGGGTCAAGGAGCCGCATCAAGTTCGTGTCTTGCACTTTTCTTTCATTCCAAGCCAAGATACGCGACGCCGAACCCAGGCCAAAGATGTCCAAACGTCTTCATTCCCGTATGTGTCTCCATCTCATGCGTGATAACCTCCAATATGCGCCAATTGCTCCACAATCGACATCCTGGTAGACACTGATCTCCGAAGCGCGCTTTTCCTCCTCGCACTATACACACGGATTCTGCTGAATTGCCGACCCGAATGCGGTGTCGCCTGGGGCTCCGGTGCTAAATCAGGTTGTCCTTCCTTGAATGCCTTGCTCAACGCATATTGCGTCGGTGCTTCAGTCTTTGCTGCTCGAGGAACCGGCGTCGTGGCATAATCGTTGCTTCTCTGGCACAGTGTTACGATTTCCTGCAATTTCTGGACCAAGGCAGGGGTGTTAATCCGCTCCGTATGCTCGATGCGTAGCATGTCATCTTGTATCATGTTCAGGATCTCCTGAATCGCTTCCGACACTTTTGTGTGAGCCCGCAACAATTGTATTGTCTTGAGTTGAGGGCGACGTTGTCAGCGAGGTTGCAAAGAATTAGGGCCAATGTCAAAAACTTGAACTTACCTCCAGAATGGCTTGTTTCAGCGTAGTCAACTCCGTCTCGTCGGCTATGGTTGTCTGGTAGAAGGCATCCGTAGCAAAATGACCCGGCGTCAGATCGTCCTCCCTCGCCCGTCGCTGGCTGAACTTTTCAACACCTTGCCACCCGTAGAGTAACCAGGTGACAAACTCAAGGTAAGCACAACCTAGAGACCAGATGTCGAAGGCTTGGATGATCGACCTTTGCAGTAAGACTTCCGGTGGGGCGTATGTGTTCGTGTAACCAATGTTTACCACGGGTCCGCCCGATCTGCTGTTTTCGGTGTGGTACCTGCTCAACCCAAATCCGTAAGAACAAGGCGTCCCAGATGGCATGCGTCGTCATATCTTTCCTCGGCTTGGTACACTAGGATATTCTCTGGTTTGATGTCGCCATGCCTGCCATATAAGAGATGCTCGTCCCCAGAGTTTGCGTGATTGTCGTCTCCGACGCGAGCTTCATGAAGCTCTGCCAAGCCGCGAGCAAGCCCCAGGCATTGCCTCATCACCCATGGCGTGTACGACGATCCTAGTTCCAGACTCGGAACGGGATTCATGTCTTTCCAGTACCGATAGAGATCAGCTTCCGCCCACGGAAATATCAGATAGTGCCTCTCGCGGTAGCTGTAGGACGCAAGAAGCGAGATGAGATGATCATGTGGTGTCATGCTCTGCTTCTTCAGGGCTTTCACCTCCTGGTCGAAGACATCCGCCGAACCCATTCCAAGCGTTTTGAGACTGCGCAAGAGGCGAGGACATCGGCACCATCGCACCACGCAGAATGGAGATGGCTTTCTCAACCTCGGTCATCTCAGGCGAACCTGCGACCTGCTGGGCTAGACGCGAAGGACGGCACGACACCAAGGGAGGTAACAACAGGTTCATGGATAATGTTGACAGCGCTTCGCAGGATTTGTAAGGCGTGGGGTGACGACCATTTCTTCGTCGACGAGCGTGGGAAAGCGGAGAAGACCGTCGGGTGCGGCAGCATTTTCAACTGGGTTGGGCTCCCGACACACCTCCCACCTCCCTTCAGGCTTCAGCCACAAGCTGTGTCATCGTGCCGCCGTGAGCACGAAGAGTGATTGGCGGAATAACAATCAAGAAAGTCAGGAATATGCAATTATCCAAGCCCCGGACGATTTGAGAGCCTGACCCCCAATTCGCCGAACATAGCGTCTCCAGGAGCGTCGTCAGCCCAGGTGCTATCATAGATTCTGCGATCCAGCGCGCTCCAAGATCCGAGCTGAAAACCAGCTCACGATCACCACCGACCGCAATGGCAAGCGACAACCGATGCAGGAAAAAGCTCACGAAGGAGTTGCTCGGCAGAGATGGAGATTTCCAAGCCTACATCAAAGTATACCAAGACCCTCTTCGAGCTCGGCACCGTGGGATATGTTATCCTGATAGAAAGCCCATCTCAGCAAACACAATTAAGTCACGACACCGTCTTGGCAGCAGCAAAGATTCTGAGAGATAACAGCAAGTTAACGCTAGAAGTCATACAAGAGGTTGTTCAGCGGGACCTGATCCCAGGATGCTCGCCGCGGGAGTTGGACTTCCTTATGAGGATTGCAGTCCAAGCAATGTTCATGATCGACCCGAACGTCAAGGACGCTCACGGTCGGGACTTCACCATCAGAACATATCGACACGTCTCACAGCTTGCCCAAGGAGGCCATTGTAGACTTCGCGATAAGATGTTTCCCTCAGGTCTTAGCCGAGAGAGCGAGCCGAGTTGCCTTGGTTCTTGAAGACAAGAAGTACCTCAAGGCATGGAAACTCCGAGAGCGACTGGGTATCGAGTTCAGGGGCACCAACAATCCAGCCGACTAGCTTCTTTTCGATCCCAAACACCGCATTCTGTACTTGTTTCACCACGCAGCGTATCTCAAAGCCCATCTCGATCGATGCAATGCGCAGCCCGACGGTATGGCAAAGGACGCGGGCATTGCAAGTACCCGTGCAAAAGTACGTCCTCCACCGAGTGAAAACGAAACACGGCTTTTCTAACCAAAACAGGGGAACACTAAGCCCACGACTCCTCGCCGAGACGTTGCACTCCCTTCAGTCTATTCTATTCCGCTACGATGACGAGAAGTCCACTGCCATCTTACAGCAGCCGATCAAGAAGAAAGGTTTCGACGGGGGAAGACTTGCCATTATCCACGACCTGACTCGGGAACGCCCGCCCCGAACCAGCTTCGGAAGGTGGGTCTACTGGCAGACATCCGAGAGCAACTCGTTCCTGATAGCGATGCTTGCATTGCTCATCTCGATCATTGTTGGTGTTCTCTCGCTCGGGCTCTCGGGCTAGCCCCTATCGAATCGGCTAGATTTCTTAGGGTCTGGCTCGACCCTAAGCTATCCTTCAAAGCTCGTAGGGAAAAAATAGGCGCAAAGATGGCGACTTAGATGCTCGCGCTTCCTAAACTCGTTACGAAGACGTGTAGGACAGATGTTACTGTTTGAGTTGTAAAGACCCGAGGTTCACCAGGTGCCACCTTCCGTTTCCAGCTCCGTACGCCATACCTGGATCTAATGCCAAACAAGTCATTTCCCACATACAGGTGAGTCCCTGCTTTAGCTCCGATTTACGATCCAACTCGTATGACCCACCAGAGCAACGACGACCTCACCATACTGACCGTCCAAATGCCCTACCTAAGCTCGCCCTCTTCGCCTCAATCGGTGCGATCATTCCCCAGGAACGGATCCGCACACCCGCTGAAAAGTGCACAGCGTTGGTCAGCGACACTCAACGCGACGATTTCCATGGAATGGAATAGATTGTAGGAACATACCTTCCGTCTTTCCGCGAAGTCTTGGTAAAAACCATTCCACAGATCCCTCTCGGCGCAGGACTCAACGCCGTTCCTTACATGACACTTTAGCTCGCGATCCAACCTCGCCTTTTCTGGTATGTCGAGCCACGGCTTTGGCATGGGCCAGTCGGACCAGTATAAGTACTTGGCCTCATTGAAAACGGCGACTGCGTCCCACTCCTCGCGGTCGTTGCCGAGGTAAGCGGTATGCTGATCGGGCTCCCGGACATACTCCCTCACCAGCAAATCGTAAGGCCGGTAGGGGAGCACCAGCGCGCTATCGGCATAGAGGTAATTGACAATCTCCATGTCGTAGTCGTTGCGTGCCGCCTCTGCGACCCTGTCTATGACGCGCGCGAACTCGGCCGTGCTCGGCTGTATCAACATGACCTGTGAACTCAGGATCTTGGTGTCCGGGTATAGCCAATACGCGCGCGGTATCGCCATCGTGCAGGGCGGTAGCAGGAAGAGCTTGTCCATGTTCTGCAGGACTACCGAGTCCGAGTCAAGCAAGAGCACCCGGTCGTACTATGTCTGGTTGAAGGCAAGAAGCTCAGTGAAAGACTCGGCCTATGTTTCTAATAGACATAGGTTCGGTCAGCAAAGGCAGAAGCACCACGGCCTTTATTTATTTTGTAGAAGAGAATATACTATCACTAACGTCCCGGTATTGCACCTCGATAGGTACTAGCTGCGTGCCATACTCATCACGGGCCTTTATTACCAAGCGGGCGTTATCGCTAACGATACTGTCCCATGCCGTATCGGGGTTATACATATACAACGGGTACATTAGCATACGGTCTGCTCGGCTTCTGACGTGCTGCAAACGTTCGAAGAGCATGACCGAGTTACATAGATAATGGCTATCGGTAACGTATTGCGTATAAGCAAACCGTGACCAGTCGACCTTGCTCGCATCTACGATCAAATCCACTGCCGGCGCCGGCGCCGTCGTCTGTTCGTTCGAGGAGGCTCCCCCCTTGGCCCAGCTAGAGGGGATGCGAGCAAGCGTATCGTAACGGTGGCCAGAGACAACCAGAATCAACAAGACCGCAATCGGCAGACATATGCGCAGTCGTCGCGAAGACTGGATGTCAGCGACGCTGGGGCAGTTCCTCGCGGCAGTCTTGCGTGGGCCAGACCGGTTATCATCTGTGGCAGGTGGAACATTCCCATTGACAGGAGAGTAGGAGGAGAACTGCTGCCAGGAGGAGCTGAAGTACCTGGCAAGCATCTTGAGCGGCCGTCGAAACCGAAGCGTGGTTTGCTTTTCGATATCAGAGAACACGATAACTACGATGAGGAGAGAACTCCAGGTTTGTCGGCGGGCTCAACCCTCAGCGTTTGCCAGGGCACTTGCGGAGACGCTGCGCCTTGGACAGGGGGTTGATGGGGCTCTCCAGTCAGGCGGCATGATGATCAATACGACAAGGGCGTTGACAGATCACGACAAAATCACACGCTAAAGCAGCCGAGGACGGCAAGGAAGGGGCTCTAACGGCTTGGTTCGTTAGCGCCCGAGTTTGGCGCCGGCAAGACTTCCGCGTTTCCGCGCCAGACTGTGTAGTGCGTTTGGGGTATCAGCGGACGCCGGCACAATGGACAGCTAATATACCTAATGTTACCGCCGACAATTCGGTTCCAGGTTGCTGGAAATCAGCAGCCCATGAGCGTCGAGAAATTTCGGCGCCAAGACTCACAACACAACCAACAACATAACCTGGAACACAGAAGTTGAGGAGACACTGTGTGTTCAACGGCCTCCCAGGCCTGCGAGATGAGGTCGGTGAGCCCAAAGTGCCCATTACGCGCGCTGCTGTGGGCATGCCTGGTAGAATTCTCAGTGTTGATACGCTGTGCCACGAAAGACCCCTTGTCTATGGATGGAGCAAGCCTGCAAGTTGAAGGCGCGTATGAGAGTTTGTTGTGTGGTTCTTGCGGCAGGGCTGGAGGCAGTAAATGATTCAAATAACCAATGTCGAAATGCACGGAACTGCACGGGCTTTCCCTTTGAGTTTGCCCAACCCTCGCTAATGCGCTCGTTCATTTCCCATCCCGACGTTCTTTTCGTCACATATACCAATCTCCCTGTTCTCACTGCCACTCGACTTCTCAGCAGGACAACCTGAGACTGAAGAGGCAGGCAGGAGATCATGATCCCCCCTTCCAGCCGCCTAGCACTCTTTACCATCGGCGTCGTGCCCTATGCGTTGGGTGCCGTGGAACCGAGACAGGCAGTCTGGTCCAGCGAGACATTTGGGCCGGACGGGCCCTGGAATGCCGTCGAGGTCTCCCTCGGTACGCAGTCCAAAATCGCCCTCTTTCCTGGCCGCATGTGGAACACGTTCGTCACGACGACCGATTACTGCACCATCAACAGCTCTGTTGCCCATTGCGTATCGGGAGCCTACAACAAGGATGAGGCGGTTGAGGAATCCAGGGCCCGCCCGGCCCAGGATATCGCCTTCAAGCAGCCGACCCAGGAATTATACGCCGGTCTTGAGGCAGGTGGGGACTCTAGCCTGTATCTGGAGTCGATCAACATGCTTTTCAAGGACGGTATCATCCAGAACCATTCGCTGGCCTTGATTGACTCGGCACAACAGATGTTCGCCTATCCGGGTGGGACGTGGTACCCCATCTTTACGGGGTGTCTCAGCGTCGGAGCACCCGAGCGGTTCCAGGTCTTCGCCGGAGACGGCGCCAGCATGCCAACCCTTAACGCAAGCATGATTCCCTGGGCCCTCAAGGACCAAAACATGACAACGTCTAGCTCGTTCGGCCTGCACTACGGCTCGGCCACATCAGCCGCAAAAATGACAGGATCCCTCCTCTACGGCGGCTACGACCGCAACCGCGTTGTAGGCAAGACGCTCTCCATCGACGGCGACTTGTTTAAGCCCGTCACGTTGCAGGATATCAGCATTCGCGTGATCCAAGGCAGCTCCCCCTTTAACAGCGCGACCGCCATATCGGGTCTCCTCGCCCAAGGCAATTCCTCCATTAGCTCGGCCGGTCTCCCCGTCATCCTCGACCCCTGCAACCCCTACCTAACCCTGCCAAAATCCACCTGTGACAGCATCGCCGCCCACCTGCCCGTCTCCTACAACGCCTCGCTCGGCCTCTACCTCTGGAACACCTCGTCCCCGCGCTACGCCCCGGTCGTCACCTCCGCCTCGACCCTGTCCTTCACCCTCATGGGCGCGAGCAACACCGAGTCGCTCACTATTCATATGCCCTTTCGCCACTTGAGCCTAAACCTTACAGCTCCATTCACCGCCACTTTCGAACCTATACCATACCTTCCCTGCTTCACGGGCGGCATCGGTGCCTACGCGCTGGGGCGTGCCTTCTTCCAAGACGCCTTCGTCGGCGCCAACTGGGAGAAGCGCAAAGTCTGGCTCGCCCAGGCGCCCGGGCCCAACATACCCGCGGGTGTGAACGCAGTGAGCATACAGCCCGACCAGGATGCGATTGTGGCCGGGGGCAACGACTGGGAGAGGTCGTGGGACGGCTTCTGGAAAGCGCTGAGTGCCGAGGAGGCGGACGGTACGGAGCCGGTTGATACTACTAGCATCGATACTGGGACAGGGACAGGCACCAATGGTAGTGGTGGTGACGGTACTGCGCCGGGAACCGACGAGAGAGGTTCCCAAGGCCTTTCGACTGCTGCGATGGCGGGAATTGCGGCTGGCGCGGCTGTCGGGGGCATGGCTGTGGTTGCGGCCGGCGTGCTGTTCTGGTGCCGGAGGAGGAAGGCGAGGGAGCCGAGGCAGTCGTTTGCTCCTCCCACAAAGCCCGTGGCTGCGCTCTCCCCGGCTCACGGTGACAATTATGATGGTGCGAAATGGGAGCCTTGGGTTGGAGGCTTGTATGAAGCGCCGGACTCGCGGAACAGGGTCCACGAGATGCCTGGCGATCAACCGATAGGCGCGGTTGGTTTGGGGCTGGCGCAGTAATTCTTTTCCAGATACCTATCTTGTTTACGTTGTTTTCCCTAAATATAATTGGCGTCACTGTCGGTATCTACCTGTTTCGTAATATAGGATCATTAGCAGCAAGTAAAAGTGCCAGGAGCGAGAGTGAGGAAGGAAGCGCCCCGTAGCGAAGCGGCGGGCCGTCGCGACTGACGAACGAAGCGACGCCAGCAATTTTGGGCGGGGCATTTGGCTTATTTGGACACTGTGTTTTTAGATGACAGCGAGAGCAAGCGAAGCGATAATATCCTGTCCGGAGGCTAACAACTCGAATTTCTAACAACTGTCTAATCCTATATACCGGAACTACCCAGCCTAAACCTCAACGTCTGAACTGTCGGTTATATACCCGCTAATGCTACTCAGGTTATCTTCCTCTTGCGGTGCATCTAAGAGATACAGCTTCCTTGTCTCGTAATCTGTGATCTTGAGCTGCATGCTCTGTACTGGTATATCTCGATAGATCCTGCTCCGGTCGAATGGCGCCTCGAACATCAGACCCTCTAGTGTCTTGACCCGGGAAACCATAACGTAAGATAGCCCAGAAGCGAACTCCGGCGCGGAGATATTGTAAACCGCCATGTCAAGAGTAATACCCTGTAAATTATGACCCGTGATCGCGTAGCAGACGAGCAGAGGAAACTCCTTACGGTAACCAGTACCGGCTTGTCATGAACCAACCATATATGGCGGCCGGGTGGGGCGCGACCCCGGGACCCCGGGCCAATGGCCGTCGGGGACGGCAAGATCACCAAGATCAATCGGGAGTTGGTGATCCCGGTGAGCGGCTCACCTATGATCACCGGGCCGAGGTCATCGCTGGTGATCCAGGCACGAAGGTACCTAGGGAGGAAGCGGTATATAACTCTACCATTCTGTCACTCATTCAGATAGCTAGCTTCCTCAGTGAGCAATTCAAACAGTAGTCTTTACCTACTGTGTAGACATTGCGACTTGCATTGTTGTGAACCTTTTGGCTTCACCGAGACTTATAGTCCGACTTGCAATACCTTTGACCAGCGAACCCTTTTAGAGATAGGACTGCCCGTGGTTTCGTCACAAATGGCCTATACTATCGTACGGTGAGTTCCACCGTTATAACTAGTAAAGAATTTATTTGGAACTGAATAATCGTTCTAGACCTATATTATAGAAGATAGAAGAGTAACGTACATGATAAGCGAGTGACCCAGACAAGTGAATGACCCACTCTCCACTACCCTACACACATTATCCTCAATTACAAAACAACAGAACTATCAACCAACTACAATTACATCAGAAACGGCTGAATCAGATGCTTCTGCAACCTCCTAGCAAGTGCGGGCATTATGACCAGGCTTGCCGCATACACCACAGCACCGAACCTTCGTACAAGCCCCCCCTGTACCACCACCATCTCGCTGCATTTCTTGTGCCACCTCCCCAACCATAGCCTTTTGGTCTAGTAGATCCTTTGCATCTTCCACTGCAAGTGATCCTCCAAGCTATATACGCGTTCTTTTGGCTCTTCGGCGCTTGCTTAGTGCCTCGTTGGCCTTGCGGAGCGAAGCATTCTCTGCCTATAGGAGAGCCACCTGGTGCATTATAGCCATTGTACTCTTTGTCAGCTGGTCCATAGCAGCCAACATCGAAGTCGGGGAGCTATTTTGGTAGGTGGCAATGCGAGTCTTGATGAGCGTTAACTATGAGTTAGCTTCTCAGGTGTTGTATAGTGTCTGGAAGACCCAAGATTGTATAGTGCCTGTGACGACTAGATGCAATTGAACAGGGTCAAGCCGGCTGTTGTTGTCATTCTATTTCGTGAATCTAAGGTTGAGGAAAGGAAAGAGAAGTTCTGAGTCGGTGGCTCAGAACATTACACGAAGATATTCCTGATTTGTGGGTCATGTGACCGGTGCTCCACAACAGCCGTCAATCAGGGAGGTCGTGGGTTCGACCCCCGCCTGGGGCGACACCCATACCGACCGTGACACGCACACGAAGGATGGCGAGCAGCAACGGAGCGACGGAGACGCCCAGCAAGCGCCCTATACGGAATGGGTGAAAAGAAATGTTCTAGACCTATACTCATCTGGTTGTCCGGACGGATCTCTACAGAGTTGGACAGGAGTCGGATAGCGGAAGCTTTCGGAGGGCGCCTGTTTCAGGGATGCTTGCCCCTAAGGCTTCGCAACCATGGAAAATGAAATCAAGGAGACTGGAAAACCTGCCGAATCATGTCTCAAACTGTGCCTGTTTCACTGAATCATATTTGTGATTCTAATCGTTTGTTTGGCTCTAAGTAACAGGTTTGTCTGATTATCTGAGCTCGAAAAAAAAAAATGAAAAAAAAATGAAAAAAAAAAAAATGAAAACAGAAGAAAACCCTGCTTAAGAGTAGTACTACTAGGCTCCCATGATGGTCCAAGCCAGGTGCTGATCACACTATACCAACCAAGTGCTGCATCATCCAAGGCCTCTCCTCTATGTCTTTGTCTCCCCGTCTGGCAGAAAGCCGCTCATATCGGTCTCCCAAGATGAAACGCTCGGCCCGTTCGTTTAGTGCGTCTTCCTTCGACTTCGTCCACTCCTCACCAGCTTGCAAACCCAGAAGCTCCCGCCTCGCATATGCCCAATTGGTCCATTTCCAAGGCCATGCAAAGTCGGCATAAAACCGCGCGACACCGTCCTCGCCCCCAAGACAGTCCAACGATTCCAGGATACGGTTGTATCCGGCAAGCACTTGCTCTCCCTGTTCTCGAGAGAGCTCGTAGCGATGGTCGGGTCCGTCGGGCACATGCGATAACGAACCCGCCATGGTCAACCGTAGTGTGAGACCAGAAGCTCTTATTTTGTGCTTGACCCAGTCGACGGTTGCAATCCAGTCCTGTAGAGCGGGATGCCCGTCGTCGGGCCAACACATATGATTGTATGGCGGGAAGATCAGTTCGAGAGAGCGGAGGTAGCCTAAGCAGTCGGCGGGGACCACCTCCCTCAAGAATTGGCTCGCTGCAAAACGCTCGTACGGGTAGGCACGGAGTTGTACTTCGCGCTGGTTGCCCAACATTACCCACAACCAGTCTGGGCGGTGCCAGGCTGGGCGGTTGTTGTCCTGAACAGGCTCATAACGGACATAATCTTTGAGAGCATCGCAGGGGTTGTATCCTCTACTGTCGCTGACAACGAACCGATTACGAGAAAAGAAGACGAACTTGGCGTCTTCCGAAAGAGCACGGCAGACGAGGAACAAGGGCGTAGGCGGGGTCCAGCATCTGCAGGCGGATGAGAACGCGGCGTGTCGAAGGCGGCAGAAACAACCGATGGAGCCATGCCATACTTCGTTGTCCGGCAGCCGTATACGTTCCTGGTGATTGCATCCCCGAAACTGGCATCCATGGTGCCAGTGATCGTCGGAGGGGTATGGGCATGGGAAGTCGCCCCGTGGGTAGCAGCCTTCGGCGGGGTATCGATACCCGCGATGTCGCCTACTCCACATGACTTCCCTCCAAGGGGTGATAAGGTCGGTGTACTCGAGGATGTGAAGACGTAGCTCATGGGGGAGGCTGAGGATGCGAGGGCCCGACGACGGACTTGATGGGGGTTCCGGCGTACGGCAGGCTTGCAGCGCCGCGTTCCTTGCGATCCGGGTGAGTTCAGCATTCGGACTTTTGCAAAGCCGAATGTGACAGTCCTTTAGCTCCGGAAGCGAAGAGAGTGGCGCGAGAACTTTCGTCACGGAATCCATGATGTCGGCCTCTTGTGGATCAAGGTCGCATACCAAGGCAAGCCGAAGGCCACCAGGCTTGATCCTCGAAGATAGGTAATCTGCTGTCCGCCGCCATTCGTCTAGCATCGGGCCGGCCGTAGAGCAGGAGCTCCGGAGTGGCTTATCGTGATGGACTGTATGATGTGTCTGGCAGCGGTCCGGTTCATGCAGACCATTGAATCTTAGGTCGTCGCAGCACTCGCCGCCCCCCTCGTTTGCGCTGCGGTGATGACAAGAAGCCTGGTTCAGCACGATCTTGAGGCTGACCAATGACGCAAGCGACGAGGCGGTGAGGTTTCGCACCGGCTGAAGCGACGGTTCGACGTCGCGCCCGGGTCCGCGCATGTGTCTGTAGTGGATGACGAATCGGTTGGAAGAGTACAGCAAGGCGGACGCTTCGCCGTAGATGAGGCGGCAGGAGAGCAATAGCCCGTGAAAGTCGAACTGCTTCAACTTCTTCAAGGACCAGCTGTCTGGAGTCACTGGACCGTCCAGGTCAAACAGCATCGGTAAACCATCCCAACGTGCTACGCCAAGGTGCAGGTAAATGCGGCGCCGAACGGAACGGGGAAGGCGCAGAAGGAAACAGGGACTTGAAGAATGAGACGCGCCATGCAACGGCGGCGCCATTTGATTTTGGGCACCTGTGCCCGACGCAGTCGAAACCGGGTCGAGCAGGAAGGTCGTATTGAGAACGGCGTGGATGGAATCTTGGCGATGTGGGATGTGGGACGTAGGATGTAATTGAACCTGGTTTGCGTGGTTGGCTCGGGCGGGGTTAGGGTTATCACGCAGACTTCAAGTTGCTAAAAGGGCACTCACTCAGAGTGTGTGTGGTTGGACTTGGGAACTGGTTACCGTACGGTCCTCTTCAGGTTTGCACGGATACTAGTACTAAATAAGTACATTAACTGCACCTTTTTTATCGGGAGTGCGTATTGTACATCTCCCTTTTATCTCGGCCTCATGGGAGTTTTTAAGAGCACACCATAATCAATTATCAACATGAAGCTGGTATCTGTTGACTCGGGGTCTCAGACTTGTCTGATTGTTCTATGATCAACACTGGTTGGCATTAACTGGGGGAGCGCGCATCTCGGGCTGTATATCACGTCGCACAGAAGTCCTTGCATGTCAACAGTCAATCCATTACCTAGATCATTGAGAGTCAATCATCCAAGCGAGGAGAACTGCGCCTCAAGGTATAACCGTATAGGTGCATCATGCATGATACATGTTGGTCAGATCAACATGATCCAAACCACGTTGGCACGTACAGGCCCCAGACCTGACTTCAGATCAATAGTCGGTACTCACCTTAAGTTTCAGACGAGACAGGACTAGCCCAGGCCATGAACCCGCAACGAAGCCGTGTAGGTCAAGTAGGCAACGCCGCAACCGGCAACCCTTCACGGCCTGATCTGCGCCCTGCACCCCAACTGTCCAACGTTACATTGCCGCACTGGTACATGATAACATTAAGCCAACAGACGGACAGTAAGTGCAGGTTGGTATTAGACGAGACCGGCGGGCCAACTGTAAGGACCGCAAGGCCGCAATCAACTGAGCATGATTTCAACTTTCAAGTCGAGTTTCACCCTGCAGGCTACCGGTATTGCGAGTGCCAAAAGTGAGCGGGAAAGGGATGTCACGCCAGAGGCCTTGGGGGCCGCCATGGTTGTCCCTGGGCTCGAGCAAGCCGCCATGGCTCCCGTCAAGCTGGATAAGCTGAATGAACTTCAGGCTCGCCCGGTTTCAAGCCAGGACTGTCCTCGTTTCTGAAGTAACCTAGGGCCAACAGACAGTAGGCTCAGGAGTCAGCTGGAACAGGGAGCTGCAGCCGAGGACGAGCGTCTTCGCAAGACTGTGTCGATGCTAGGATGAAGGGATTCGAATATAAGTTGGGCCACTCCGCTCAACAGTCAGTCTTCTGATTGCCAGCAAGCATCAGACGTCTGATACACCAGGAAACCAGGGCACTCTTAACCTTTTGCTACTTCTGGTCTTCTCGCAGGACGAGAGACTGATTTGCAGATTCAGCACATCGCACCCGACACTACAACAACTCCTCCTTCACTCCTTCATCCTCTCGACTCTCGAAAGCACTCGTTGAACGAGTATCGTAACTCACCGCCTACAGCATCACAGCATTGCCTGTTTCAATATATCTTACCTACTGTGTCGAACTCACTCGCTAGGAGGCGAGTACGTTCCTTCGACCCGACGCTCGCCCCCCCCCCTCCCCCCTCCTCCTTTTTCAACCGAACGCCCGTCGCCGTCGCCCTCAAGCCAGCTTTTTGAGGTATGCAGGAAGAAGACTATTCAGATCACTGGATGTTCAAATTCCCGGACAACAATCCGAAAGGCGGAGCATGGCACAGGAGAAGGCAATATCCCCAGTGGAAAGAATCTATACCGTGGATAGCGCTCATGAAAGAAGCTGGACACGCTTACCACTGGGTCAGTAACCATCGTGATGCTTGGACCAAAGGAGGACCCGCCACAAACGGGGCATGTCTCGTGTCGGCACTCTTTGTCCCCCGGCCCGACGGGGGCTGCATCTTCTTTTCGACGATCGGCAGAGGAAGGAGAGCCAAAGAGATGATAGACCCCGAGTACCCGAGAGAGTGCGCACCTACATGGCTCGCTGCTAACGGCGGCCGGCCAAACGCGATCCACTGTGAAGACGGGTCTTGCTACGACTTTGAGGAATACAACAGCTGCCTCGAAGACGGAGACCCAAACAAGGTCATGACGGACAATGGCATGTATCTTCCGAAACACAAAGACAAAAACGGCCAGCAGCTTTACTTGCAGATTGCCATTTATGGCGCAAAGAACGGAGCCAACGGCTACGTGGGCCTGCAGCTTCCCTGCAAGGACGGCGATCCGACGCCCCATCCCAAAGCCCCGCGATGTCAGACTGTTCTCCGGAGGTTGGGAATCAGCTGGTGCACGGAGGAATTGATCCAGGCGGAACACGAACGGCGCATTAAAGAGGCTGGTGGTTCCGGGGCGGCAGGTCCAAGCCACGGCGGCCACGCGGGAGGTGGTCGCGGCCGCGGTGGCCCTGGTGATGCCCCTGGCGGTGCCCCTGGCGGCGGCGGCGGCGGCGGCAGTTCGGATGCTGCCGGTGCCACCGGTGGCGGCACTACAGGTAGTCACGGCTTCCAGGGGCCCCGGGGAGGCTCCAATGCTGCTTACTTCTCCGGGGCCGGCGGCATGTCACAAGCCCATGGCACGACGGGTCACCATTACGGTTACGGCGACAGCTACACGTCAAACCTGCTCGCCAGTGGAATGTCGGGGCTCAGCATAGGCGCCGGCAAGCCGTCTGCCGGCGCGCCGAAGCAAACCGTTTCCGGGCTCTCCAAGGGTCAGCCGTCCACCAACAATGTCTTCACGGCCTTCCAAGATATTGGCCAGGGAGAGGTCGATAGCCACGGCAACCCGGTCTACGACGGTATTGTGTTTGACAAAAAGGGAAAGCCTACCACGCGACGAGTTTCTGTCAACATCTACGGTATGGCGATCGACCAGCGTCAGTACTTCTGCTTCAATTCCGACGGAAATCCATTTGATAAACCACCAGAGGTTTCCGAGAAGGACCCAGACCCCGCGAGGGCGAGCAAGCTGTACAAGTTGGCGAAAGCGTTATATACGGGCAAAATGGCCGCCGCCTCGACTCTCCGCGACCACCATGACAACAGCACCACCAACAGGCCCTCCACGGCTGGCAGCGGCGGCAGCGGCGGCGAGTACACCACGCGCCCCGGAAGCCGAACCGGCACCACCGGCATCAGTGCCAGCTACGGGTACGCATCCGTCCCGCGTACCGCCGCCTACGGCCAGCACTCGGGAGCTCACTACGACGCCGTGCCCGGCGCGCCGAGCTCCCGCCCCTCCAGCCGGGACGGCGGCCCAAGCCAAACCGCGGCCCAAAAAGGCCCCTCGCCGCCGAGCAAGGTGAAGCTCGACGATCCAAACTCAAAGTCCAAGTCCAAGTCGATCTTCACCGTACACGGCATCGATAGGGGCAAGCCCTACATCAAGGGCGTGAAGGGTGACAAGGACAATCAGCATTACGAGCTATCCTACTCGGATAAGAACAGGCAGTTTTATATCTCGACAGGGCCGAGCAGGAAGGATAGGGTCTACGTCACCGCAGCCTGAGGTACCTACTTTACCAGGTAGGTAGGTCAGCGGCGCTCTTGGTTGGACCACACCACACTGGCGCACAGCGTATACCGATTGGTTTTGTACGATAAGTTGCGTAGCAAGGACTACTAGCATTGACGTTTTTGTTTACCGTTGAGACCAACCTAGTGCCTAAGGTACTCGGGCACACGGGTATGTTACTCCAGCTGTGACACCTACCTAACATAGGTACCTACCTTATGCTTGATGTGTCTTAGCACCAAATATTACAACATTGTGGTACCTGGTTGCTGATAACACCTCCTGGCCGATTGGCATAACCTCTGGAGGTTCGCATTGCTTGGGTAAATTTTGATATTGAGATGAGATCAAAGATATACGTTCCAGGCCCTCATAATCTGGCCCTATGTAGGTAGGTAGGTTACCGTAGGTATGGAACCGGCCGCATTTGGCGTCTCTCGTCCGCCACATCACGCTATAGAAATCTGGTGCGCATCCATCCAACAGGGTACCCGTCGTTCTACTAGTAACCGGGATAGCACCAAACCTGCCCGACATCTGTACAAAATCACGCTACTAGACGCTTAGGGTCCAGGGTTCTCAACGTCTCCGAGAAAGACGCAAGTTTTCCAACTATTTGAGCGGCTCGCTCTATGAAACAGCCACGGTTTGTTTGCTACCAAATAAACGGGGGAGTATTGGGCCCCTAATCGCCTATTACGTTTCTCCTCAGAGCGCTTCCCAACCTGTACACCCTCGATCTTCACACAATCAGTGGCGTGGATCTTTTAGCAAACGCACTCCCGATTGCCGTCACGGTTGGTCTCTCACAGTTGGGGAGGGAAGAAAGACAGCCTCATCTTGCTGTTTTAGGAGGCCCAGTGAGTAGCGCCGGCCCCAAGCGGGCGGGAACAGCGTCGCAGTCACCGTGCGGCGGTCCTGTTGGTTGTTTTAGTTGCAGCTTGGCGATCGCCAGGCCAATCCGGAGTCCGGACCACTCTATCCCTGGATTGCTAACGAAAAGTTCAACACAACGAACCGACGTCACCGGGACGGTGTCATCTCGACTTGTCCGACTTCTCAGTTCTTTGTCCTTCATTAACTGCGGCTATTCGCTCTCTCTGAGAGCACATACACCACAGGACCTGTTGGCCCTTCCGTCGATTTCGACATTCAAACGCAGTCATCGCAAATCATTGAAGTCCTTCTCCTGGTCGACTGAAGTGTCTCAAGATCAACCCAGTGCACTACACCGTTGGGCTTTGTCTTTGTGGGGGGCTATTAATCAAACTCGAACAGACTCAGACCCCAATACATCCTGCGGCCGGAAGTCATGGAGAGCGTCTTTGTGCTCTTGTCGGGAGAACTGGTGATGCATATGGTGGTGTGGTGTGGAAGAGAGGAAGCACAACCACAGGTGGCTGGCTGGAACTATCATACAAAGAGGGAAGCCCTAACCCTCACAGCTCTACCGGATCACTGCCAGACAAAAGCTCCTCGAGTCGGCATGGGACATGTGTTGTTTCTCTCCGTCAACCGGGCAACAAGCACCGCCCTGGCCAGCTCGGCCGTCCACGACGTGACGACCAGGGAGAAGGCCGAGGCGGCAGACTCGATGGAGTCGTTCTGGATGGGCGAGACGCTGAAGTACTTTCCACCTGATCTTCAGCGACGCGGGGTTGGTCAGCCTGGATGAGTTTGTTTTTAATACGGAAGCGCACCCTTTCCGCCGGTTGGTGAGGTGATCATTCTGTCACGCGCTTGGAGTTCAGGGGCAGCATGCTACATCGATTATGAGATGATATTATGAGATAGTAGTAATAAAGTGCACGAAATATGGATACGTCGCAAAGGAGAGAATGCATGAGAGCTGGGTGACTCGCGGAAATTCAAATGTTCATCTAATCAGATCATCAAGAGTATTTAAAATGAAAGGAATAGTAATGCCCGAGACTGTAAAGCTCCATTAGATATCTTTCCCCGCACATCGACTTACATTCTACCTGTGCATATGTCATAATAAAGGTCCACGTAAAATAACTACCTAGATGGTGTGAACCCCAACGGGCCATCGCTAGGGGCCATCGCTAGTGTCTGTCTTTGTGGCTGTGTATAGCTGAATCGTCCACCCGAAAGTTGCCAAGGAAGGAGGTTGACCTGAGCGAGGGTTTTCAACCAAGGAAGATTTAAGAGAAGGCTCTGTATGTTCGTCGCCTGGTGTGACATGTCCAGCAAGATGAAGCCCAATACACCTACTATATGAGAGGTACTCCAGAAATTCAAGGCTTCTCGAATATAAAAGGACGAGAATGTCAATGTCGTCTATCCGGCCTCCCAAGTTGGCTGCACCGGGACGATCACCTCATCCCAAACGACGGCCACGGCGCCGTCGCCTTCTTCAAATATGCAACGCAACCGCTTTCGCTATGGCTTCCTATCCATTGGGGTTTGCGGTGAACTTGGTGGCCGGGATGGGTGATGGTGGTCATCAGGCTGAATGTCCCATGCTTTGGGCTATTAATTCAGAATTTTGAATTTCCAGAGGCTTTCGTATATACCTTACCTTTGCATTCTAACCTCGGTTGATTGTAAGCGAGGCATTTCACTGCTTGGTATTTCTCTGGTGGATCTGTTTGAGTTGAAACTAGAGCCACGGAAGTTGACAGGTAGGCTGAGAATGACGAGATATCATGAACCGAGAACTCGCTTAGTATAGTAGAGATTTAACGAGATACTTAAAAGCTTCATGCAACAATACCGAGCTTTAAGTGGCAGCTTGAATCACGCCGTCTCCGGTTTCCTCCCCCACACGACCTTCTGCCAGTAGCAAACGTGATGCTTGAGCGAGCGCAGTTCGCGCCGCAGATGAGCGATGTAGACGGTTACTTGCTCCCTGGACCAGCCAAGGACGGTCGTCATGAAGAGGATGAAACCCTCGACGTCCGTCTCGATCGCATGCTGTGCGAAGATCCCAATTTCTCTCTGCTTGGGATCCGCCGGCCAGCCACCGCTCGGAACCTGTCGTGTCCATCCATTTAAGTCAGTATATAGATCCTGCCATCAAACCCGCACCAGAAAACGTGAAGTGGGAAGAGAGAGAATAACCTTGATCAGTTTCTCCTGGATATCAACAAACCCGGCCTCCTCCATGGCCTTCCGCTGGATATCCTCATCCACAATGGTGAAGCTTCGGCCGATGGCTTTGCCGCCGTCGACGAACAGCGGGCCCCACTGGGCGATGGCGCTCGTGGGCGGCAGCGTGTCGTCGTCGGAGAAGACGTTGGGCGACGCCTCGTGGCTCTCCAGCCACCCGCCGGGCGCCAGGGCCTTGTACGCCTCCCGGAAGAAGGCATACCAGTCGGCAATGCAGCCCTGCAGGTAGCGGATGTGCACGTAGTCGAAGCTGCCGGCCTCGAATGTCCATGGCTGTGTGCAGTCGTCGATCTCGCTGTCATCATAAGCCGCGGTCAACATAATCTTACATGAGTAAATAGGTAGGTACCTAGGCAGGGGCAAGGACTCACAACTTCAGGTTTGGCGGAACCCATGTGGGTTGAATAGGGCTGATGTCCGTGCCGATGACCTCGCAGCCTGGCCATTTATCGGCAAAGTCCCTGGGAGCTACTGTCAGTACTAGTATATCCGACTTCACACCCGGAGAAAGGTGAACATACATCGCCCAGATTCCTGTCGTGTTTGTAAATGGAGTTAGACGGATATCCAATGCGTTCCAGGTAGGTAAGGTGGACTAACCCGTGCCAGTGCCAATGTCGAGGGCTTTCTGGAGCATGACCGAGTCAGCACACAAACATAGCCTGGGCTCCTGGATAATGAAATCACGCAAACCTTTGGATCCTTGACCGGCGCCGCGTATATCTCGCCATCGAGGCACAGAGTGAACAGATGGTGTCTGTAATACGGCAGTGTAAGCTCTCCACAACAACACTCCCATAGATATAGAGGTCTTGTTCACTCACAATACATCCAACGATTCGCTGTGGCGCTCATCGTTCGTTCCCCTGGAGGAGGTGTGGGAAGTCAGCCCACTCTTTCTTCTTGCACTCTTGAAGAGACCCAGCGAGAAATTAAAATCACTACCAGTTAAACTCACCAGTACGTGGCATTGCCGATCTCGCTGTGGAAGGTTCGGCCGTGGATGGTCCTATACTTGAGGATCGTACTTGAAATTGACGCAGTCGAACTCAACGCATCCTCGCCCAGTGCGGAATCCCCATCGTCGTCCTAGACAACAATAAAACGGGCTCCGGGTTAGATTCAAATCTGAGTAAATGTCTGCGTTCTACGCGCGGCGGGCTCGACGCACCGAATCACCCGCCGGGGCTTCAGTCCAATGTTCCGGCGGAAGCGCAGTCACAGTCGCAGTCACGCTTGTAGTGGTTGCTGCCGTCCCGGCTTGGGGTGGTGCCGACGACTCGCCTGTGGTCGCTGTTGGCTCAGCTTCTGCTGTAGCGGGTGCCGGTGCGGGCGTTGCTGCCGGCGGCTCACTATGTTGCACAGTGGCGCCGGCGGTGGCGCTCGCCTCACCCTTCTCAGACGCCGGCGCCGACAATTTGGACTCGGGCTGTTTGTCCGCCATAGTCGACTGTTGTATGCCACTTCCCTAGGCCCGTGTCTTTTGAAACATGGGGTATGGGAGCATCCGAGAGGAATGAGGGTTGCTAGGTGAACGGAATCTCGAGAAATGGCTCTTGGCGGGGTTAAGTGATGTCGGAATGGAGGGTGAGAGAGGGGATATTGCTAGGGAGGACAAATAACCAACAGGGCCGGGGTCAATTCCTTCCAGCTGTGGTACCGAGTCTACCGACGGGAACTTTGAAGTGGATTCCCGATGCGGTAAGCACCTTACCTCACCTTACCTTAGCAGGAAGATATCGTGATGGCCTTTCCACATGCATGCATACAGCGTTGCAATGGCGTAACCTTCAAGACATAGTCTTCTCCCGTCTAAAATCCGCGGTTTGCTGCTCGTATCCCGGCTCATCGAACGATAGGGGCCAAGAACGACTACTAGTAGTTGGAGATTCAGACAAGACGGAGAGAAGGAGCATCGAGCTTTCACAAACACATACCGGAAGGCTTGGAGTTAACAGGGTTGATGAAACAAAGGTGACGAAGGACTCACAGGGCCAGATGCGTAACTCAAAACATATCAAGTCAATCAGGCACACGATTACATCCAAGATTTCATGTTGGACCTGAACGAGTTGCTTTTGTTGACTGCTATGTGAACGAGTGCTGCGCAGCAGAACTGTACCCAGCGACATGTTCTACCACCCAGCCTTCACTCCCAGAGCATTTACTCGTAGAGCCAGGCCTGCTGGGCGGACTGCCAGCTGAGGAGCTCCTCCTCCTTGAACCACAGAGCAATCTCCTTGTTGGCGCTTTCGACGCTGTCCGAGCCGTGGCAGACGTTGCGGCCCATTTGCAGGCAGAAGTCTAGTTGTGAGTTTAGGTCAGCCTGTCGTTCGTAGCGAAAGACGATTCAGGAAGTTGGAAACCACATACCGCCGCGGATGGTACCCGGAGCAGACGCGAGGGGGTTGGTGGCACCGAGCATGGCTGGAGGGAGTCATGTTAGCTAAAAGCTATTGCTAGATTCAAGCGAGTCAGAATTTTCGGTTCTTACCGCGGCCGGTCTTGACGGCATCAAGACCCTCCCAAACCATGGCGACGATCGGGCCGCTGTTCATGTCTGTCCAAAAGTGTGAGCAGGAAGCCAAGGGGACCGAAGCCGAACGGACGCCATACACTCAACGAGGCCCTTGAAGAAAGGCTTTGACGACAGGTCGGCATAGTGCTTCTCGAGGTGCTCCTTGCCGGGAGTGACGAGCTTCAGGGCGACGAGCTTGAAGCTGTGTCGTGTTGTTAGCATGGGCCGAAGTTTTGGTGCCCAATCTGTCTTACCCGCGGGTCTCGAAGCGCGAGATGATGTTGCCAACGAGGCCGCGCTGCAAACAAAATTAGCAAGGGTGGAGCTAAAAAACTGAAGGCCTGAAAAAACGCACCTGGACGCCGTCCGGCTTGATGGCAATGAAGCTGCGTTCACATTAGCCCGGGCTCGACAAGTTGGCGGGGTAAACAATCAGGACAGCGGGATGGCGGGGTAATAGAGGGCCAGGAACGCTCGAATCAACGGCGAAAATGTCGAGCAGCTCGCGAGGTGAACTTACGTCCGCTCGGTGGTCGACATGGTGACGGGTTCTTGAGCTTTCGAGAATTGTTCGAGAATAGGATGGTCTGGTGGGAGTTGCGGAGAGAGAGGAGGAGGTGGAGGAGAAAGGGGAGTGTGAGGAATTTGTTGTCTCGAAGCTGTTTGGCCGTTGCGGAGGAGCTGCAAAGTGGGGTTTTCGAGCAGAAAAACGCAGATGCAGAGGCCTACTAGCAACGTTATATAGGGGTACATCTCCAAATATAAGGGCCTCGGTCTTGGAACCCGAACTCTTCCTTGCCCGCCACCTGCATGTTGCTCGCGACCTGGTGACCGAGCCGTCTGCTGCTGCATGGCCTCTATCTCCTCTCCTCGCGTGCCCTCCATCTTTGCTCGAATGCGGTCCATCTTCGCTCGAAACGTAGGTACGTAGTAGGGGACGGCCGCAGAGCTTCGCTGCTACCTTTGTGGGCGCAAATGGGTTCTCACGAATCGTTGAACAAGCTGAGTTAACAGAAGGAAAGAGGATCTCACTACCTGATGGAAGAGCCGGGTGATTCTGGCCAGATGATGCCTCAATAGTTGACTGCCAATGGCTCACCAATCCTGTCTGGCGTTTGTTTCGTTAGGATACTGGCAAGGTAACCTGGTTGCTCAGGTATCCAGGTGGGCGATAACACCGCACCGTGCCTCACCAGACACCGAATCAACTCTTCACAACAAGAACTCGCCCTTGGCCCTTACCCGCCAGCAGCATCGGAGGATCGTTCACATTCACCATACACACATGAGTTGGTCGGCAATAAACATGATATTCGGGGATACTACCTTGTAATAGGAAGAATGCATTTATCAGATAATATCGGCCAAACGGGTCACGCTGGACTGCAGGGGTTTGCGACCCCAGTCCCTGATTCTTGGTGGAAGGTGTCCGATCCATTGGAGGTGACAGCTTTCAACTCAAGACGGACAGCTTGACCTTCGGCTGTTGATGCCCCTCGAAACCAACAAAGTCCAACAGCGGACGAAGATCAGTTACGGGACAGCCATTGAGCTCCTCTACGGCCCTGGCGGTCTCTCAATGAAATCAGAGGCGATATAAGTGCCTCTTTTCTCTCTTTTACCGTGCAATCGTTTCGTACACCGTTCAGCTGGCGTGTGAAGCAGCCCGAGCACCGCGAGACTAAGATGCACGTCTCGGGGCCGCGGTCCTCGCGATGGACAGCCTACCTTGGCCTCTTGTCCGCGCTTTCTGCAGCATTCGCCCCTGCAGGTAAGGCCTGCCACTTTGGCATCCGATGAGATCGCGCAATTGACAAATTCAGTCGCTGTCAAGGAGCATGACTTCAAAAAGTGCCACCAGTCCGGCTTCTGCGCACGCAACCGGGCGTTCGCCGACCACGCCCTCGCTTCGGACACATGGCAATCGCCCTACAATATCGTGCCGGAATCGGGAGCATTCAAGGATGGCCAGTACCAAGCTGTGATTCTGAAGACCAGCAATGACGGCAGCGAGACCGTCCGGCTGCCCGTAACTGTCTCCTTCCTCGAATCTGGAACGGCGCGGGTCACGGTCGACGAGGAGAAGCGCCAAAAAGGGGAGATCGAGCTGCGGCACAACAGCAAGGCCAGGAAAGAACGCTATAACGAGGCAGAGCAATGGGTCATTGTCGGCGGGACGACCCTCGACAAGGCCGCCAAGGTCGACTACGAAGACAAGACACAGCTCACCGTCAAGTACGGCCCATCCTCCAAGTTCGAGGCTACCATCAAGTTTTCTCCCTTCAGCATTGACTTCAAGCGAGACGGCAAGACTCAAATCAAGATCAACGACCAGGGATTGCTGAATGTCGAGCACTGGAGGCCAAAGATAGATAAGCCCGAGCCAGAGACGAAGGAAGGCGAGTCAACCGAGGAGAATAAGGCGGAAGAAGCGAAGGGGGAGGAGCCCAAGGGCGAGGACGAGAGCACCTGGTGGGAGGAGACGTTTGGCGGCAACATCGATACCAAGCCTCGCGGCCCGGAGAGCGTTGCGCTCGACATCTCGTTTGTTGGCTACGAGCACGTGTACGGCATCCCGTCCCATGCCAGCTCTCTCTCCCTCAAGCAGACACGCGGCGGAGATGGCAACTACCAGGAGCCCTACAGGATGTACAACGCCGATGTCTTCGAGTACATCCTCGACAGCCCCATGACCCTCTACGGTTCCATTCCGTTTATGCAGGCCCATCGCAAGGATTCCAGCGTCGGCATCTTCTGGTTGAACGCCGCCGAGACGTGGGTTGACATTACCAAGGGCAAGGACTCGAAGAACCCGCTTGCTCTGGGCGCGAAGTCCAAGACTAGCACCCATACCCACTGGATCTCCGAGAGCGGGTTGCTGGATGTGTTCGTCTTCCTGGGCCCCACCCCGAAGGACCTGACCGCCAAGTATGGAGAGCTCACCGGTACCACGGCGATGCCGCAGGAGTTTGCTTTGGGGTACCACCAGTGCCGGTGGAACTACGTCTCGGACGAGGACGTCAGGGATGTGGACCGCAAGATGGACAAGTTCAAGATGCCGTACGACGTCATCTGGCTGGATATTGAGTACACCGACGAGAAGAAGTACTTCACGTGGGACAAGCACAGCTTTACGGACCCCATCGGCACGGGCAAGCAGCTGGACAGTCACGGCCGGAAGCTGGTCACCATCATCGACCCGCACATCAAGAACGTCGACAACTACCCTGTCGTGGCGGAGCTCAAGTCGAAGGACCTCGCCGTCAAGAATAAGGAGGGCAGCATCTTCGAGGGCTGGTGCTGGCCGGGCTCGTCGCACTGGATCGACGCCTTCAGTCCTGCGGCGCGCGAGTGGTGGGCGTCGCTCTTCAAGTACGACTCGTTCAAGGGCACCATGGAGAACACGTGGATCTGGAACGACATGAACGAGCCGTCCGTCTTTAACGGGCCCGAAACCACCATGCCCAAGGACAACCTCCATCACGGGAACTGGGAGCACCGTGATGTGCACAACCTGAACGGCATGACCTTCCAGAATGCCACCTACCATGCCCTGGTCACTCGCAAGCCGGGCGAGTTCCGGCGGCCGTTCGTGCTGACGCGAGCCTTCTTCGCGGGCTCTCAGCGCGTCGGCGCCATGTGGACCGGCGACAACCAGGCTGCGTGGGACCACCTGCAGGCGTCGATCCCCATGGTGCTTAGCCAGGGAATCGCAGGCTTTCCCTTCGCGGGTGCCGACGTGGGCGGCTTCTTCGGCAACCCCGAGAAGGAGCTCCTGACTCGCTGGTACCAGGCCGGCGCATTCTACCCCTTCTTCCGCGGGCACGCTCACATTGACGCGCGCCGTCGCGAGCCGTACCTGGCAGGCGAGCCGTACAGCACCATCATCGCGGCGGCCCTCCGCCTCCGCTACAGCCTACTACCGTCGTGGTACACTGCCTTCCGCCACGCCCACCTCGACGGCACACCCATCATCAGGCCCATGTTCTACACGCACCCTTCGGAAGAGGCCGGCTTTGCCATCGACGACCAGTTCTTCGTCGGCAACACGGGCCTGCTGGCCAAGCCTGTCACGGAGAAGGAGAAGTTTGCCGTCGACATCTGGATCCCGGACAGCGAGGTCTACTACGACTATTTCACGTACGACGTTGTCCCGACGGCCAAGGGCAAGACCGCCACGGTGGACGCGCCGATGGAGAAGATCCCGCTGCTCATGCGCGGCGGCCACGTCTTCGCGCGGCGCGACATCCCCCGCCGGTCGAGCGCGCTCATGAAGTGGGACGAGTACACGCTGGTAGTCACCGTCCCGCGGGACGGCAAGCGCGCCGAGGGCGACCTGTACGTCGACGACGGCGACTCGTACGACTACCAGCGCGGGCAGTACATCCACCGGCGCTTTGTCTTTGACGGCGGCGCCAAGAGCCTCGTCTCGGTCGACGCCGACGGTCGCGAGCCCGCCAGCGTGCAGGAGGGCGAGTGGATGCAGAAGATGCGCTCCGTGGGCGTCGGCAAGATTGTCGTGGTCGGCGCGCCGGCCGCCTGGGCGAGCAAGAAGACGGTCAAGGTCGAGAGCGAGGGCAAGGTCTGGGAGGCCAAGCTCGAGTTCACGCCTGCCGAGCAGGGGCGGGCGGCGTTTGCGGTGATCAAGAAGGTTGGTGCGAGGATCGGGGCGGATTGGAAGGTCGACTTCTCTTAGGCCCTGGCACTGTTTGATGAGGAGAGGGTTTGGGTATCCATCATCATGATGATTTGGTTTCTGTTGCGTCACATGTGCCCATGAAGACCAATTCCCCGCCCGTATACCCTAGTGGTATGTAAGGTAGTACAGTACATATAAAGTTGCGACGTGCTTCGTGCTCCATTTTTTTCATCTGGACCGGAGAGACGACCCGGAGTATCCCGGCTTTGGCCTGGTCCTGCGCCTCTTTCTTCCTCCCGTGTTACCTTGTACTCAGTGGTGAAGTTTTGTGGTGAAATTTTTGGATGCCCGTTTTTGCCTGCCGTCAAGCGGCAAGGTGCAGCAAGCATGACCAAACTAACACGCGTGTGATGGGAGTCGTGTAACCAATTGGTGTTTTCCGGATATTATTAGCTGCCTCCTCGTACCTGCATAAGTACAGAGCAGCCTCTCGCCTGAAAGGTGCTCTAGTGTGGTTTCACAAGGGGCTCTGGGCCCCATCCGTTCTGGGAGCCTTTGCGGAACCTGAATTATCCGTATTAGACTTCGGATTACTTCGGATTGGTGCTGTGCTCCTGCGGTACCTGACTGCCTTGATGTTGCGTTGGGATGATTGGATGATATGGGAGGATTTACAGCTAAACGGTTGCCTTCGCCCTGCCTTGGCGGAGGAGCTGCAAGTATACCTCAGGGGCCAGCATTGCCTATCATCAGTGTTTGTCGTGGTCTTTTGTGGCAAGTTTACACACCCTTGGACGATCTGCTGTCTATTTTGGTCGATCATTTTGGTCTTAGGTCGAAATTTAAGAGAGGGCATCATCCCCCCTTGCTTTCCTTTCTTTTTTTACTTTACCTTTTCTGCGTCTTAGGGTGTTGTCATTCTTTCAACCACTTACACACCTACACCCGACGCTACTAAGTGTCTCTTGGAACTAGGTGCTCGCGATGAGGTCCACAACCCTCCTCACACTGCTCACCAGCGCCCTGGGAGCGTCCGGGGCAAGCCTCCCGGCCCGTCCGCGCGCCACGCCGCGGCTTCTGCTCTTGCACACGTTTTCAGAGTCGAGTCCCTCAAATGCGCGCCTCCTCGCAGCATCCACGGAATCCACCAAGGGCGGCGCCATCCTTACCCTCGGCGATGACGGCAACTCACCTGCGATCTCCTCCGTGCAGGGGACCTTCCGCGTACCCCACGCGGAAATTCCCACCTCGGGCCCGACCGCCGGCAACCCGGTCGGCGAGTACGCGGCCTCCTTCTGGGTGGGCATCGACAGCGCCCGCCCCCGGCCCGCGAGCTCGCCCAACGCGACCTGCGGCGGCTCCCTGCGCGCCGGCGTGGATGTCTTCTGGGACGGCACGATCGGCGGCCAGCAATCGCCTTTCGCCTGGTACCAGTTCGCGCCCGGGATGGGGAACGCGGTCGGGTTTGGCGAGGGGTTCAGTGTAAGCCCCGGGGATCTGGTGCGGTTCACGCTCGATGCCGGCAGTGTGCTGGTGGAAAACTTTGGCGGGAATGTCACTTGTGTGAGCGGCGGCGCGAACAACGGGACGCGGCCGATCAAGAGTGTGAGGCAGGCGTTGCCGTCGCCGAGTGCCGGACTTTGTGGGACAGAGGCCGCTTTTATCGTGGATGACCCGCCGCTCGTCTCCAGGCCCGATGTCCCCGTCGCGTTGGCCAATTTCACGAGTGTCACCTTCGGCACCCGTGTCACGCTTGCGGACGGGTCGGTCAAAGATCTCGCCGGGGCCGAGGTGCTTGATGTGCGACAGCAGCAGCAGGGCGGGAAGTTGACGAGCTGTGAGGTGGTCGAGGGGAAGAAGGTGAAATGCACCAGAGTCGTCGATAGCTAGGTGGGCATGATGCTGGGACTCGGGAGTGGAAAGGGGGCCATTTGAAAGGGTGATTTGGGGTAGTAATGAACCACAACTGTTCTGGGTACGATAGCCATGGCGGATAAGGCAACTAATGAATGTAAATTGTCTGGTAGGAGGCAGGATCTACTTCGTTTCGAGTTGAACTAGTATTGTACGGATATTCTTTGAAGTTCGTCAGTCGCAGCTCCAGTATTGCTATGTACGGTGGTGTGCAGGCGCACTTTACGCAGTTCCATCGCTAATAACCCTCCTGTCAATTGGGCACATTTGCTGCCTGCCGCATGCCCAAGCTTCATCACACTAGACGGATTGCTGGCTTGACCAACGGCATCATCGGCCGAAACTGGGCGCATCTTTCATTGGGTCCGACGCTGTGCAACCTCAGCCGCACTTTGCTTCTTCGAGCATGGCGTTGCTTCATGGCGCGCCGGTATTGAATTGCCCCGTCCTTACCTCCGTACGGCATCCCGCATTAAATAATGGGCCCTGCTGAGCCCGATCCTTCGACTCGTCCCCGTTGTTCGGCAGAACGCTGCCGGTTTGCGACATGCATAAGTATTGAGTGTGAATGAGATCGTGTATTTCGTCTCCGCCCTTTGTGGTTCGGTCGGTTCCTTGCTCCGCGCTGCTCGGGGGACAACCTGCGCCGGCTTCGGACTGTGCCGCTCGCGAGACTGTGTCACTGGTCCGTCGGGTTCTCGATGCCAGCCGCATCGCGGAACTGCCTTGAGCTTTTATTCCTGCCTGACATCCAGAAGAACCATCGGCGGATTTGACGCTGCCAGGACGGGTCAAAGATGGCGGCCCTAGGCGAAGGATGGGAGATGGACTACGATGGTTCCGCTGGTCGCTGGTTCTATCGCTACAAACCTACAAATCACATCCAATACAGCTTCCCCAAGGAAGGCGACGAGTACCCGTGGGAGTATGTCGGCGATGTCGCGGCGAAGGTTGACCTAGCGCCCGAAGAAAAGCTGGTCAGCCAGCAGCAGGTTAAACGGAGGAGCACCCTTGGCGACTCGTCGTCGAAACAGGCGTCGGGCGCCAAACGCAGAGAGCAGGCCGTCTCCAATGTCAGCTCTGAGCAGGATGACGGCGGCAGCCCGTTCTGGCTCCAGCCCGATGCGCTCATGTACATGGGGCCCGGCGCGTACACCGACATCAGCCCGCTGCAGGAGGAGGACGAGGAGAGAGCCGACGGGGGCGGGGAGGTGACCGAGGAGAAGGACGCTGCTGACGGGACCACTGCTGAGGTCTCCCCGGCCAAGACCACAGTATCCCCGGTAACAAGCGCGGAAGCCACTCCGCTGGCTCACAACATCCAGCCTGCTACCGCGGCACCCGAGGTTGAGAGCGCAGTGATCGTCGAGAGCAGTGACTATGTGGCAGCCGAGCCCGCGGTCGAGCAACCACCAGAAATCCCGCTTCTCGACAGCAAGGAGGTGCCGCGCAACCCTCTGGGGTTAGTGGCAGAGCTTTCAAGCGAGCTGACACCTCAGTGCGAGGACGAGATCAACCCGGCGCCTGTGGAGCTGCCGAGCAACGAGATGATGATGGATACATCCGAGCCCGTGCTGAGCTACGCGAGCGCATTTGAATTGGCTCCGGTCGAGCTTCCCACGGACACGGTCCCCCGTCGGCGAAGCAACTTTGTAGAGGAGAAGTCTCTGCCGTCACAGACGACGCTACAGCAGGAGAGACAACAGCATAGAGCGCGCCAAGCGGCCCAGGAATCGCCCAAGCGCACAACCAAGCCTGTTCAGCAGAGCTCAATGCCTCAATCCACAAGCTCCGTCGCCCCAACGTCCAATACAGCGTCTGAGCAAACTCTAGGGAAATATCAACCCTACAATCCAGCGACGGGGCGTGCTCCTGGGGAGGGCGCCGTGAACCGATATTCCGTTGCCGACATCCGGCACCTGGAGCCAGCGAGAGACAATAAGAGGCATTCCCTGGCGGGGTCAGCGTCATCGCATGTTCAGCCATCCGTCATTCCCGCCGCCCTACTCCCGCCGCATGTGCCTCCAAAGCGGCCTCTGGATGCTGCCGATACGGGGAGGCAGACTGGGATCCCCGGCTATGGAGAGCGCCACGAGGGCGTCGTCGGTGCTATCAAGCCTGGGTCCGGCGATCTTGCACACTTTCCGTCGGTCCTGAAGCCCGCCCGCGGTCGTCCCGTCATACGTGCTCAAACCCCTCCACAAAGTCAAGGGGCAAGCCCGGCTCGAAGCTACCAGGCCTACAAGCCATACCGCGATCTACAAAAGGACATAGAGGAGACTGTGCAGCTGTTTTCCAATACCGGGTACAGCCAAGGAACTACAACAAGTTCTGAAGCGTCTCATTCTGACAGGCCTCAAATCTCTCGCACAAGCACTCTGCCGGCGGATCTTCCGGCGCTGCCATTCATGGGCGTCCGCCCGCATTTGCCGGCCTCGTCAACCAGCGCGCCAGTGACCCTTCAGAATCTGCAACCTCGCCAGGCGCATGCCGATGAGTCCAGGGGCGGTGTTGTTGTTGGAAGAGAGGCAGATCCGCGACTGCCCGAAGAACATTCTGTCCCGCTGCCCTCCTCAAGCCCTGACCTGCCACCGCCATTGAGCCTGTCACGCAAGTCGTCGGCGCCCCGGGCCAGCCTACCAACGGCCTTTTCTTCGTCTCAAGCCCCGACTACAACCGAAGCGAATCTGCCTCCCGAGGTGGTCACGCCAGCGGCAGATACTGTGATTGTTTCCCCAAATGTGCAGGCCGGTTCAGGTTCGGAAGAGAATTCTGCGCGTGGTGCCGTAGGGGAGACAGAAAGCCATGCTGAGCGTGCTGTTGGTGCGACTCAACCGGATCTGCCAGCCAGTATACCTTCGGTATCTGGAGAGACCGAAAGGAGCGAAGGAACCGAGCATTCGAGCCAATCTGTCAGTTCCAGGCAATTATCACCTGCAACGTCCACGAGACACACGCCGCCTGAGCAGGTCCCCGGCGGATCCAGCGTGATAGTCGTGGCGGAACGGTCAATCTCACCAGCTGCTCAAGTCGTCGTCTCCACGCAACCGTCTGTTGTCAGCCCTCCTGAGGTCGGCGACCCGTCAGTGTCGGTAACCTCCTCCGCCGTGGAGTCCCCTCCCGACGTTCCTCCTGCAGTGCAAAGCACAACGGCAACCTCTCCTGTCCCTGGCACAAAATCTCCATCTCCATCGCAGCCTTTGCCAAGCGAAGCAGAAACGACGACAGCCGATCATCACCTGGAAGGGTCGGCTTCGGAGGTAGGTCTGCAGCAGACAGACCGGCTCGGCGCTTCTCAGCTCGGTGTGGCTGCTTCTGGCGACATAACGCTGCCCGCCGGCCAGACTGAGCAAAATGAGACACCAAGCGCGGGCTCCGCATCAGCTATCCCGCCTTGGTCTGAAGGATGCCAGCCTTCCTTGGGTAACGCCGCAAATGGGGGGGACATCCAACAGCAAGTAACGCCGGCGCAACCATCTGCCAACACTAGGGCGCCGGATCCGTTTTCAACTGCCCTCCAAAACAATGTCCCATCTATGCCATCGGCTACGGCTGTGGTAGCTGCCGGTGTTTCGCAGGATTCTTCATCGGCAGATCAAGCGTCACTAGACCAAGACGCGAGGCATGCTCCGGCAGCTGCGCTTGCCCCGTCTCCGATGGCTCCTTCTTCGCAGATTCAGTCTTCGGCAGCTCCAGCATACGCAATTCCGGCCGGACACCATCCGCTTGGTTCTCATCCAGCGAACCCTGCGCATGCTTCCCCTTCCGGAGTCTCGGCATCAGTCAAGGAGCATCAAGCTCCGCCGGACGCTGCAGCATCTGGTTCTCAAAAGATACCACAGAGAGCGTTATCGCAGCCAGCAATTTCACCGTCAGCCCAGGCACATCCCGTAATGCTGGGGGCCGCACCTCACCCCGGGATGCCGGGGACAGCACCCCCTCAAATGGCGGCCATGTATCCTCCACCAGCGATGCCTCCAGGAATGCCTCCAGGAATGATGGTTCAAAGTGGTCCATCCGGGTTTCCGCCACAACAGCAATACCCATTTCACCCCGGCGGCATGTTTCCCCAGCTTCAGCAGGCAGGCTTGCAGGAAGTGCAGCACAGCCCCATGGGTCCACATTTCATGATGCAGCCAAGCCAAACGATGCCTGCCGCGGCCTACGTCATGCAGCCCAACCAGCTGAGCCAGCCGCCGAAGGAGAAAAGGAGCTGGTTCGGCCTTTTCCGCAGCGAGAGCGTGAGAACTACCGCGAACACGAACGTGGCAAGCCAGCCAAACAAGCTACAAAAAGCGTCACACCCTCCCATACGGCCGGCTTTCTTACCACCACAACAACCTCACCCAAACCAACCAGTCCCTCACGCTTCATTCGTCCCAGCTCATTCAAACATACACCCGCACGCCATGACACGGCCGACCCATCAGCCACAGCCCGGTCAACACAATCTGCAGCAACAGCTGCAGAAACTGAAGACCCTACCAGAGTCATGGAAGAACAATGCCGGAAATGGAAGCCAACAGGCCGCCTCCGTGAATAAATTCCAGGTTCCAAACCGTGATCCGAATAGTAGCCACAGCATCATCCCGCCGCCTGATGTACGCCAGGCCATCCAGTCACAGGAGCAGCGACTCGCGCAAACAAATTCGGGGCAAGCGGCTCAGGGAGGGCAACAGTATAGTCAAGGTCAAGGTCAAGGTCAGGGGGAAGGTCTCGGTCTAGGGCAGGGAGCTCAAGGGGGCAGAGCTGATCCCACTTCTTCTGGTCCCGCTGGTGCTGCTGGGAATAAGAACGCTGGCGGTCAATGGGGTAATGCAAGTGCTTATGATGGGGCTGACTGGGGGGATGATGGGGATTTTTGATGAGGATTAGGCGGGTGGTTGGATGCGTCGACGGGAGCTTGGAGTTTCGTGTTGCGTATTCATGAACGCGGCGTTTATGGGTTTCAGACTGGCATGGTGTTCAGACTTGGGATTGCTACGTGTGGTACTTGTGCACAGGGACCATGCGGTACTAGTTGATGTTCAAATGGGACGGACTGTGCTCCCCGCGGACCTACATCGTCCTAATGGAACGCCTCATCCTATTCATCTGCATCCTACATCACCCGACTACTGTTTTTTGATTCTGGATCCCGTCTTCCTCAAACCGGCTTTTCTACATGAAGCTTCATTGAGCTCGGATCGTCTCTCTGCTCTCCGGTTCTCCAACGGTGCTAAATCCTCTCTTTAACATATTTAACGCAACATGGATTTGGCGAAGTTTCAAGAGTGCAAAGAACTGGCCGTTCAGATCTACGAGCTGATGATGGATGAGCGCATTCAGCCAAAAGCCCCGATGATCAGCGAGTTGAGAAGGGAGTTCTCTGAGGCACTGAAGGGGGCGTTATCCAGACATGAGGTTGGGGTCAATCCCGCGGGTTGGGATGGTGACACTGGAAGGTCCTACGCCGCTGGAGACCATCCCCGTCGTCGTAGAGAGAAAGCCAGTCAGGTGGAACCAGCCTGTAAAGCTTCTCGCGCTGGTGAAGTCGGGCCAGGACCTTTGCACACCTTGCCGCATCCCCCTTTTCCAATGCTTCTATCTCTCTCACTAGCGGACCACCTGCACCAATCACTCAGTCACTGATACAGATGCGAAGAAAGAAATGGAACGCTGAAGTGCGTGCCAAGCTTGCGCCACCCCAGGGTTCGCAACAATGAGACAGCCTCGTGGCATGGTGAAGGAGAAAGGAGTCCGTGAAAGGAGCGTATAAGGTTATATTGCTTCAACAAGCGGTTGACCAGCGAGGATGGTATAGGATATAAATAGGGTTCATACGTACTAGTATTGATGGTGTGTAACCTTCGAGTTCCTCCTCTTGCGCTTTTCTATCTGTCTTCCCTTCATTTTTCTTGTTGCCTTCATTCTAAACTTTAATTTGTTTGGATTCCCTATTGCTCAAGCCTGGGTACAACCTGGAACCTTTATTTTGAGTTGGGGTGTTTTGCTAGAGAAATGAATGGACGCATGTGATGATATCGATCTAGTGCTAAAAGCTCCATGCAACATGGTCAACTAAGCTTACGCGTAGTTTTGACAAGCACAGTCTGCATGAGTCTAAACAACTCCGCACAAAGCGACAAATGCTCCAACCCAAAATCAGCTTGGTGTGGACAAATGCTGAGTTGACACTTGCCGCTCCAGGCCGTATCCTTCGTTGACTCGTTCAAGGGGTTCAGGGGCTCGGTTGCGACGAGCAACGACCCACGGGTGGTGACAGGGTACCGGGCTGATCCGTGCGTCAAACCCCACCATCCGGCCCCCCGGCCTCACGGTCTCACTCCCTAAGAACCACCCAGACAGAGCAGCAACACAAAGCAGATGAACACCATGCGGCCCCTCCTCGAGTCTCTCGCTGCTGCCTTCCGGCTAACATCACCCCCCTTCCTACCCCGACGACATGCCTTCACAATAGCTTCCCGAAACGCCCGAATCCAGCTCCAAACAGCAAAGCCAAGATCAAGAAGACCATACAGCAACACTCCCAATTCCAATTCCAATTCCAGCTCCAGCTCCAGCTCCAACTCCAAGGCGGACGCTTCTACAACCACAACCACAACCACAACCACAACCACAACTACAAACACCACCACAACAACAACAACAACAGCAACGCAAGCCGAGAAGACAACGCAGAGGGTAGAGCGCATCCTGTCGCGCCTGCCCCGCCCCTTACAGCGCTACGCAACCCGCCTGCGCGGCGCCCCGCTCACCCACGTCGCCGCCTTCCTGGTGCTGCACGAGATCACGGCCGTGGTGCCGCTGCTGGGGCTGTTTGGGCTGTTCCACTATGCCGTGGCGGGCGCGCATTTGCCGGTGGAATGGTTGATGAGGAACTACGGCGGGTATGTGGAAGAAGGGGTCTCGAGATTTGAGCGGTATTTCAGGCGGAAGGGGTGGTTCGGGTTTGGGGAGGACGAGGAGGGAGGGGGGATAAATGGGGAGAGGAACGGAGCGGAGGGGGAGGAGGTGCTCCGTCACTGGAGGGACCAGGGCGGCGCTGATGATCCCAAATATCGTGTTGTCGTGGAAATCGCGTTGGCCTATACGATCACCAAGGCCCTGCTGCCGGTCAGGATCGTTGCGAGCGTGTGGGCTACGCCGTGGTTTGCTGGGGTTCTCACGCGGTTATCGAGGGTTGTCCGGAAGGCGTGAGTATAGATCATACATACATACATATGCTGCGAGGGCGACCCGCTAGATGGAGCCGGATTCCCAGCCAGCTTCGCCCGGTTTGATGGGATGAAGGTATGGCATCTATGCCTGTTCTCGATTACCCTCCAGGGCTGCGCGGGACCGCGCAGGTCACGCAAACTCCATGGCCCTCTTCCACCAGTTTGAGAGCCCCATGACGTCCATAACAGTGGCGAATTCCTGCACCGACGCGACTTCAAACAGCCCTGCCTGTTTCCCCGCCTGGCCGGCGTCTGATTCGATCGGTGCCGGTCGTGACGCCAGCTTAAAGTCTTTGTAGCGCAAACCCTTAAGGGATTCCCGTCAAGTCAGCGAGTGCAACTCTCTTCACTCGGCTCAAGAGAAGCAACTACGGTACCTGGACCGTTGTTACAAAGCTATTCACTCCATGCTCGCTTCCCTGGCAATACATAATGCCCGGGAAAGCCCCGGTGCGGAGAAGGGCATACACGTCGAGCTGCTTTGCCGCCTTGCGCAGATGTGCGATTTTCTGTCGACTGGTGATGTGCTTTCAATGTGTCAACGACGAAGCAAAGGCACCCAACAAGAGGAGCGATTTACATGAGTACGGATCAGAGCATTGTATAAGCTCATCTTCTGTCTCCTTCCTCCCTTGTTTTGAGCCTACACGTGTAGCCCTCCTTTCTGTGGTGGTCACGGGTGAGCCCCTGCGTCAAGGATGTCAATGATGGGACCAGGGGCAGGAATTGTTCCTCGGGTGGGGCTGGATCCCGGATCCGAGGGACTGGAACGGTGGGGCCGCTTCAATGCGCGCCGGGACCCGTGCGTGCCGACCCGATCTCCTCAATCCTCACTCACTCGCTCTCGATCCCGAACCTGAGAGGTCAGGGTTTCTTCACAGGATCCCCTGCAATGCTCGTCTACCTGACCTATGTCTGGAGATTTTTTTGGAGGCGGCTGCGTCTCTTGCTGCCAGAACTATCCCGGATCATAGAGTGAGTCTAGACCACAGAAAGGAATTTTCGGTTTCCGCTACAGGATCCGCACCGAACTCAATGGTGTGTGCCGGAGATAACAGCTGATGCTGAGGGATGGACTATCGAGACGCTAGGCCAGAAGATGTGGACTTGAGCAAGAACTATTGCAATAGCAATTGCACCGCAGCAGGATGAGTTCATATTCATAAGCCTGGGATGGCGTGTCCATGGAGTGAGATGCTTTCCCCTGTTTATCAGTCTGTCTCGCGTTCGCAAGCCGTCTCGCGCATCCGGAGCCTCTCCTCCTTACGCTCTTTTACTCGTTCAGATCGCAGGCCGGAATCATGCCGTTTCTGAACCTCTACAACAATGAGATCTGTACGATCACGCCGTGCTTGTCGCAGGTAATCGGCGAGATCGACAATAACGCTGCTGCCCAGTTCGCAGCGTGTACCTCGATCTTTGGATCCCCGACCATATCGACGGTGACTGCCGCTCCTGCCTTGTCCACCGAGTCAGTTACCGTCTCTTACACCGATATCATCATCGTACCTAGCACCAGAACCGTAACGATCCCCGGGGATCCCGAACCTGTGTACACATTCGTGTACGAGACGGTAACGGAGTGCTCTTCGACATCTGTCTCGACTGCAACCGCCACGGTAACTGCTGGCGATGCCACGACGGAGAGGCAGGTGAAGAGGAGAGGCCCAAGGGGGGAGGGAAGGGGAAAGGGAAAGGGGAAGGGGAAGGGGAAGGGGAAGAAGGGTGGCTGCCACCCTAGTTCTACCACCTCATCTTCTGTTTCGTCAACGCCAACCTCATCCACTTCGACTTCGGATTCTTTGCCGACGCCTACCTCCACCCCTTCGACAACGACAACGACCACTTCGTCATCAACAACGACTTCCGATTCATCAACGACCTACACCGAAACGTCAACGTTGACTCCCGATTCCGCCACGCCCATCTCCACTTCCACTTCTTCTTCGGCCCTGTTCCCTATCGCCTCCAACTGCGGCAGCCAAGAGGAGTATTCGTCGGCCTGTGGTTGTATTTACGCTGTAAGCAGCGTCGTGACAGAGACAGCCAGTGCACCCGCGATGGTAACCACCGTCACCGAAAGCACCCGGATCCCGTCGACATCGACCTCGACAACCTGGAACACCTTCTCCCTGCCAGTCGACGTCGTTACCACGACCATAACTATTCCAACAACAGTGACCACCCTCTGCCGGAGCACAACGACCATCACCACAACTGCACCCCCAAGGCCCAGCGGCACTTACCTGGCGATCAACGGCGGCCCCATGGACGGCAGCTACCTTCTCGCCGGCTCCAACGGGGTCGCACTGTCCTACGCGATGGACTCGCCAGAGCAAGCCGTGCCGTTCGTCATCCTGGCGGATCAGTGGGAGGGCAGCCCGCTCGCCCTGGCGAGCGACCCGACGCAGCATCTGTACCTGCACGATGTGGAGGCCAACTTCAACTCCATCGCCATCTACGTGGGCACCGACGCCGACTCGGACGCGACCGGCTACTTCCTACCCATCGAGTGCCAGCGCTCGGGCGACATTGTCTCGTGCTCGGCGCTCAGCGCCGCCTCCTTCGACACCGTGTATCAGTGCGGGCCGGGCTTCTACATGGGTAACTCGGACGCCGGTCCCGACCGGGACGGTTGCACGCCCGTCACGTTCAGGGTCATTCCGGACCCCATGGTGGATGCGCCGGCCCCGGCGCCGACGTCTGTGTAACGTGTGACGAGCATTACGAGTAGGTAGGATTCGGTGGTTGGGGGGATGGAAAGATGAGTCTGGGGGTTATAAACTTATAATAATGATGCAATTGGACAGAGCTGTATCTGAATTCAAACAAACACATCCCCTCCTAGCGGTAGCTCTGTCATACAGTCCATTTGACAGCAAGCGTAATGTCCGGTATTGATTAATCTGTGTTGTGTTTTGTGATTGCTTTGGGCAGTGATGGCTACTACAGTAGTAGTAGTAGTACTGTAGTACTAGTTTAGTACACGGAGCCACAGAATGTCGCCGTACACATGGTGCCAAGTACCGTACCCACCATTTTTTATCATGCGCACTCGCGTGGTCACGCGTAAACGCGACCACCCATCGCGACCTAGGAATACCTAAATGAGCTGTTCGTGCTTGCTTGAGTGAGACACTGTGAATTGTGGCACCAGCTGGTCAGTACGGGGCTCACCTGCCTCATTCCCTGGATGAAAGCTGGGGACGTCCCGGGTTGCTGCCTTCCAGGCTCTCTTCCACATTTGAACTGAATGCATCACTCACCAAGACGCAAGAGTCAACCTCAAGACCAGTGGCGTTCACTCAAATAACAGCACCTAACAGCGCCCGTGCACTAGCGCCAATCCGCGATCCGATGATGAGCCATGCCGTTTCTCTTCTCCTACGTGTGCGACCTCTTACAACGCCTCGAAGACAACCGTACCGCTCGATCAGGGCTAAGAAACAACGCGGAAATCATCCGTAGCTGGTTCCGAGAACATCAGGCGCTGCTACACCGCGATCATAGCAGCGGAGCTCTCCTCTCTGCCCTGCTCCCGGAAAAGAGGAGCGACAGAGTGTATTTCCTCCGGGAGAAGAAGCTCCAGACCATCATTGGCCGCGCGCTGGGCTTGGGCCGCTCACGTATCGCTGAACTGAGCCGATGGCAGACCCCGGGAGCTGGTGTTGACTTGGCAGACTGTGTTGAGAGGATCTTGACACTGACCGTACTTCTCCCCATTTTCCATCAGAGAAATAACAACACAGACTGACACTCCACTTCACAGCCGAACCCCATATCGCCTGCTCACAAAGCCGTCACAGTTGAAGAGATCGATGAGATCCTTCATAGGATTGCAGCTGCATGCCGATTCAGCTCACCTGCCGTACGCCTCTCGGCATCTGAGAATCGGCCGGCCGACCAGGAGCTCTCCCTCGGGGGGCTGTACACACGCCTGTCAGCGCGAGATGCGAAATGGCTAACGAGGCTGATCCTAAAGAACTTTGAACCCGTTGTTCTCGACCAGCACGTTGTCTGTGCAAGTTACCACCCTCTGCTCCCTCAGGTCCTGCGAGTACAGGACGACTTGGCCGTCGCCGGTCGTATCCTCGACAACCAGCGAAGGGATCGGACGGGAAGCAGTGGGCTCGCCGAGTACCTGAAGCCGACACTTGGCGTGAAGATCGGTCTCCAGACATGGCACAAGGGCCGAAGCATCAAGCACTGCCTGTCCTTGGTCCGGGGTCGGGTCAGCTGTGAGGAGAAGATCGACGGCGAGTACTGCCAGATCCACGTCGATCTCAGCAAAGGCTACGACTGCATCCAGATCTTCTCAAAGAGCGGCAAGGACAGCACAAGGGGCCGCATAGCCCTGCATGAGTATTTCTGTCTGCCCCTGACACTCAGTGTCCCAGACGTGCTGACAGGTGATAATAGCTCAATCCGAAAGTCACTGCAGCTTGGAACGCCCGCCTGCGCCTTAAAGATCGGTTGCATTCTGGAAGGAGAGCTTGTTGTCTGGGATGATAGGGTATGCTTCGACTTCCCAAGGCCGCCCCTAGCAGCATGGTTAACCTTTTCTCAGCACTCCAAGATCCTAGACTTCCACAAGATCCGCAAACATGTCTCGAGATCCGGATCGTTCTTGGGGACCCACAAGGACTCCCAGTAAGTTTACAATTTCTCACAAAGTACCGTTTATTTATTGTCCAGGCTGACACCGGGTCCAGGCCACACCCCTGGGAGCACCTCATGATTGTGTACTACGACCTTCTCATGGTCGACAATGAGTCTTTGCTGGCCGTGAGGCACTCGGAGAGGTTCCAGCGGCTGAAGAATCTCATCACACAAGTTCCGGGCCGGTCTGCGTTGGTGAAGCGTGAGGTCATTTCGGGCGCATCAGATCTCCGCCGAGCCTTTGCAAAGTGCATCACAACAGGTAAAGAAGGGCTTGTTCTGAAAGCGGATGATCCTTACTTTGACTTTAGTACCCCCCGGCGGTCTTGCGCAATAGTGAAACTCAAGCAGGAATATATCGGCTGCTTTGGGGACGTTGGCGACTTTGCTGTCGTCGGTGCCCGCTTCGATGCGGCCAGAGCCCGGACCTACAACATCCGGGGGCTCAAGTGGACTCACTTCTATGTGGGTTGTCTCGAGAACCATGAGGAGGTGTGCCGGTTTGGAAAGAAGCCTGTTTTCGTCATCACGAACGTCGTCGAACTGAATGTTGCGCAACTGCAGACGTTCATCACTTTCGTCAACCCAGAGTCGGTGCCGCCCGAGGATAACACAGCTATCTCTTTGAGGATCGAACCGGGGATTGACAACGGCAAGCGGCCATCCGTCATTTTCACAACTCCGCCGGTGTTCGACATCCGGTGCTTCTCGTTTGACAAAGTGGGAAACACCGGTTTCTGGAGCCCCAGGTTTCCTTCGGTGAGCAAGATCCACTACGACCGAAGTTATCGCGACGCCATTTCGTTCGCAGAGTTGCAGGATATGGCCGCGCAAGAGAAGGAGATGGCTCGTCCGGAAGACAGTCAGGAGCTCCTCGTCTGGATTGCTGCGCTGGAGAGATCCGAGCCGACCACGACCGTCGACGACACACAGTCGACAGTTTCCATGATTACGGAGCAGACGCCGTCACCGCAGAAGCCCGTGAATTCGGGCTGTCGATTCTCTTCGACCGCTCCGATTTCGCCAACGAAAGAGAAAACTGGAGCCGAGAAACAAGCACATGTTACGCAACCGGTTGACGGGCAGCTGACACCCCCACGATCGTCTGCGATCAAGGTGTCTGAACCAACATCTTCGAAACCGACTAACGAGCAAGAGGAGGCGGCGCTCGGTCGGAAGCGATCTCTGGAATCGTCAACAGAGAATAACATTCCCGAAGAGAGAAAGAAGATTCGAAGGTGCACGAGTGATCGGGTCCATCCCTCAGCAAACCACACGGAGCCGCGAGTCGGTCCCCCAGTGACGCTATCGCGCCGCAGCACCGAGGCTCATGTGGCCATGCCTAGGCTGTCAAGCACAGTCCCGGCACAGAACCCGGATTTGGAGAAAGAGGATAGCTCAGAGCGTGGCACCACCCGATCTTCTCTGCAAACGTGCGTCTCGTTCCGCGAGAGAGCACCCGCGTCGTTTTCTGCAGAACCATCCTCCCATAAAGCGAAGAGCTTTTCGGTGGAAGCCGCCGACACAGCACCTACTAGGCCCTCAGATGGACCGCCCCAGACAACCACCGGGACGTGCCGCTACCTCGGCGACGCCTGAAAGTTAGCGACGTACTCCATCCTACTCTCCCCCTGCATCGCCAGCTTCCCCTGGGTCACGGAGGACCTGCTCTCGTGCCACGGCGTGACCGACTTCATCCGCGGCCCGAAGGAATGGCTCCTCGACAACCCCAATCAGCAGCATCAGCATCTGGCAGCACAAGCAAAAAGCCACCTTCCGACTTCAAGCGGAAAAATCACTTCAGCTTCAGTTTCAGCTTCAGCATCAGCACCGTCCAGCACCACCACTACCACCACCACCACGATCACCGGAACCGGAACGAACACTCGGCGAAGAAGGCGGAAGATTGTGCTTGTCGACGCGCGGCGTAGGGAGGCTACCGTTGCCTTCCTGCAGACGATTGAGGCGGCCCAGCTGGAACGCAGCAACGGCGAGCGCGAGTACGTCGCTGTCTACGACTGGCGCGTGCTGGAGAGCATCCGGGAGGAAGAGCGGAAGTGCGAGAGGAATGGGTGGGCGCCGGGGACTCGGTTCGGTCTCAACAGCTCGCTGTGGCGGCGGTTTTGGGTTGGACTTGCGTGAGGATCGCATGGAACATTGGGGGGCGACATGGTGTTGTTGAGGAAAACATGTGTAAGAGGGGTGGACGTGGAAGGAACACAAGATAACCCTAACCCGGGATATCCCGGCCCGATACCGGTGGTGGTGAGCCGAAGATCTTCTCGGCAAGCACCGGCTTGGCACGGGCCTTATTACTTCGGTCTAATCGTCAGTGACACATACTTATCTAGACGGACGATAAAGGCCATGGGGTCGGCCTTGGGAACGGAATGTCTGCTAATGATGAGATAACTGCAGTTAATCACAATGTATTGTATGAGTCCAGGATACCTAGAGAGAGAACTGGTTTTCGGGGGGGCAATTGCTTCTTGCCTTCATCCCAATCATCCGAACCGTTCCGTCTGGAACCCGGCCCGCGATCCTTTTAAGGTTTCCGCGGGGGTGGATCCCGTGCAATTCCTCACCTGAGATTCGCCGACTCTACCTTTAGTAAATATTGCGAGGTTATTTTTTCCTTTCCTTCCCTTTTTCCTGACTCATCCAGAATTGAGGTTTTCCCTCATAATTCAAATTACTTGGTCGTCCCTTGTCCATTCTCTTCTCCTTGGGCTGTATCGGATAGCACGACGCCAATCATATCATATCATCACTCTCGCCACTCGAAACAATGACGCCGGAAAGCAGACCCGATGAGAAACCGCCGCCGCCGGGCAACGGCCCGGAGCAAAACCCGGATGGCGGCCAAACTGCTCCGGCTCCCGCGGTCGGTCGATGGGCCCGGACCCGGGAGCTGCTCCTCAAGGCGGCCACCTTCGGCCGGGTCGAGGTCCGCGGCATCACTCCCATTCCGGTTAAGGAACGGAATGTCAGCCAGACGGTGAATATTTTCACGCTGTGGTGGTCCATGAACACTAATATCCTGGGGTGAGCGAGAATCCCTTTATCTTAAGATGTGTTTTTGTGTAAAGGAAGAACCTGAGTCTGACAATGTCTCTTGTGGACTAGCATTACGTTTGGGATGTTGGCGCCCGTCTACGGACTCAACCTGAGAGACTCCTCCCTGGTGATTCTGTTCTTCACGCTGCTGACCACCATCCTGCCGGCCTACCTGTCTACGTGGGGCCCGAAGATTGGCATGAGGCAGATGCTGCAGGCGCGGTACAGCTTCGGGTGAGTCCAACCTCCTGTCCGGCCTACCCAACCCCCCTCCCCTTATTTTCTTTGAAGAAAGGGCTGGATTATGCTAAAGTCACCGGACCCCCGCCAGCCGCTACCTCGTCTCCATACCGGTTCTTCTCAACCTCGCGACGCTGACAGGGTTCTGCGTGATCATGGCCGTTGTCGGAGGCCAATGCCTGTCCGCCGTGGCAGATGGCAACCTGTCGGTGACGGTGGGCATCGTCCTGACGGCCGTGCTGACCCTCGGCATCTCGTTCTGCGGCTACAGGGTGCTGCACAGCTTCGAGCGCTACGCCTGGATCTCCGCGCTGATTTCCATCATCGTGGCCGTTGGCTGTGGCGGCCGGGACCTGCACAAGCAGGTCGTCTACGACGCACCCCCGCCAGCCTCGTCGGTTCTCAATTTTGGCATGATCGTCGCCTCGTACATGATCCCCTGGGCCTGTCTCAGCTCCGACTTCACCACCTATCTCAAGCCGGATACTCCCCCCTCCAAGATCTTCGTCTATTCCTTCGTCGGACTCGCCACCCCGACGGTCCTGCTCATGGTGCTCGGCTCGGCCATCGGCAACGCGATCCCCAACGTGCCCGAGTGGCAGGCCGGCTACGACCAGAACCTGGTCGGCGGCGTGCTGGCGGCCATGCTCCGGCCCGCCGGCGGCTTTGGCAAGTTCCTGGTCGTCGTCCTCTCCTTCTCGCTCCTGGGCAACCTGGCTGCCACGAGCTACAGCGTGACGCTGAACCTGCAGCTTCTGCTGCCTTTCCTCGTGAAAGTGCCGCGCTATCTGTTCAGCATCGTCTTTGCCGCGATCGTGATCCCCGTGGCCATCCGCGCCGCGTCCGACTTCTTTGTGAATCTGGAGAACTTTGTCGCGCTCATCGCCTACTGGACGTCGGCGTTCCTGGCCGTGGTGTTGGTGGAGCACTTTGTCTTTCGGAAAGGGGACTGTGCGGCGTATGACCCCGACGCGTGGAACGATGCCAGACGGTTGCCGTGGGGTGTTGCGGCGCTGGGTGCTGGCGTGTTGAGTATGGGACTGGTAGTTCCCAGCATGGCTCAAGTTTGGTGGACGGGGCCCATCGCCGAGACGACGGGGGATATTGGGTTCGAGGTGGCGTTTGCGTTGAGCGCCGTGTTGTATGTGCCGTTGAGGTGGGCTGAAAGGCGCTTGACGGGGAGGTGATGGCGGGGTTGTAACTTGTGGGATATAAAGTGTTGCCGGGGAATGAGGTAATCATGGAGGTAATGACAAGGTAATGCCGGGAATGTTATCTAACGATGATGGGGTAGATCATGGCGTTGTAGATGATAGACGGCCATATCGCAACAATATTCCCTTGAAAGAGCGGTAGTGTGGCTACATCCCTCATCCACGCAAATCCACCACTACTAAACTCGTAGCCAATGCCGGCAGCAGCGCAACCGACAAACTCTCCCCTTCCAACTTCCAATCCACGCTTCCCCACGGCGTACTCTCAATGACTGTCGCGTTGGGGACCGACACCTCCACACTGTCAACATCCACGTACCCTCCATTAACCACGCTCACCAACATCTTCCCGTCTACAACCCACCGCGCCACATCGACCACATCTGTCCCCGGCACCTCAACGTCTATTCGGCCCGGCCCGTCACCTCCAACAACAAACCCCGCCACCTCCGTGGAAGTCAGCACTTTGGCCAACGCCCCGTGCGCACCAGCCAACACGTCACTCGTCGGCCAAACCCACGAAATGATGCCCTGGGCGCCATGATTCACGGCCAGCATGACCATCACCCAGCTCTCCCCCGCACTCGGATCCCTCAGCCAGTAATCCTCCCCGTGAAAGGCCTGCGGATTGAACAACCTCGTCTTGCGCCACCTCCCCAGCCATGTTTCATAGCGGTTCCAGTCCTCCAGCCTGCTCACCACATCCTGCACGATTCCCCCGCAGTTATCGCACCCGCAGTCGCCATACGTCTCGTTACAGGGAGTGCCCCATTTCGAGTACGTCGAGTTGATACCGATCGGGTAGACATCGGCCATGAGGAAGCCGGCAGCGGCGGAATAGGGGCCGAAGTAATAGTTCTGGCAGTTGAGGACCACGCCCACGGGATGGTACGGGTCCAGGGCACGAATCAGGTCGTAGGCCGCGAGCGGCGCAAAGAAGGGATCCTGCCACCCGTCGGGCTCGTCGGCCGTCCAGTAGGCGAAGAGCCCGTCGAGGTCGCGCGCCGCGAGGGTGTTGGCGCGGACGTAGGACAGGTTCTTGTAGCCCTCGCGCAGGTCGTACATGAAACGGAGGTTGGTTTGGGACATGTAGTCCAGCATGGCGGGGGCGTCAAAGTAGGTGGTCAGCGGGGTCATGGCGTTGAGTCCCAGAGAGGTGTAGGTGCGCTGGATGAGAGACGTGTCGTTGTTGCGGAGGAAGCCGTCGTACGAGGCGTAGAAACCGTAGGGAAAGAACGGGGTGAAGGTGCGCTTCGAGGCCGCGTTCCGAACCCACAGGCCGCCGTGAAGGTTGTCGATGCGTGTGACGCTGCCATTGGTCTTCTCTGGGAGGTAGGAGAGCGAGCCCGTGACCGTGAAGGTAGGGACTCCTCCCTCGGGAGCGCCATACAGCACCACGGGGATGGGCTCAAGCCTTGGCTTCCCCAGACGGGACAGTTCAAAGCTGAAGAGACTCCCCTTTGTATTGATGCTAACCGTGTTCTGAACTAGGGGCTCGTCGTCTTCGACGAGGTTGATGGAGAACACCAGCTTGTTTGCCCCCTTGGACGAACTGGAACTGTTCGGCCAGGGCAAGCCGTGGTACTGCGACAGCTCGGCATTGACGATGAATTCGCCATATTGCTCGCCGTCTAGGTAGAGGCTATACCGGGGCTGAAACTGGACATGTATGAGCCGGGGCCCGGGCACAACAGCGGGAGGCAACGTCTGGCCGCCGGGGTCAAAGTTTGGATACCTGGGAGAATCAGGGGGAGTTCTGGTTTTTATTCCATAGGATCATCAAGGTGTTTCAACTGACCCTGGTTGATAAGGCTTGCCGCACCACCTTGGCCAGTCCGGGTGGCTCCCTGTTTGCTGCCCATTGACGACGGCCGCGATGAGGATGAGCCAAATCCACGATCCCGTCATCTTGGACACAGCTGTACTACAGTCAGGCGATGAAACCGGAGAAGAATGCAAGAACCAGTTGAGCTTCGGTTATCGCCACGTCTCGAAGATCCCCGCACGATTCGCCCGTGCACCTACTCTTTATCCGGAAGGTGCACAGCGCATCCGACCTTGCGGTAGTAGCCAATTGTATGTACACACATATAGTTGACATCCCAAGGTCAAAAAGTCGTACACCAAAGCACTTGCTCCGAAAGGTGAAGTAGCGGGACAACTAACAATAATAAAGAGAGACAAGAAGTCGGTAGGGGCAAGGCAAGAAGAGAAAGAGAGAAGAGAGAGGAAGAGAGCAAAAAAAGGGAAACCCGAAAAGATAGAGAAGGAAAAAAGAAAAAGGGAAGAGGAGGAAGACAAGGAAAAGGAGAAGAGGGCGAATAGAACAGAAGTAAGCGGATGACTTCCGTCCGATCATTTAAGGTGCGAGTCCCGACTGTATCGACAGATGTTGTTGTTTGGCACTTTTGGTCAGATGGAGGGAGCCTAAATTCATTTCTCGTCCAGTCTACTATCAGAGACTGTATGCCACTGCTGATGTGCACGTCCTCCCCCGACAAGTTGCAACGGACATACAGAGCGGCCATGTTCGCCAAAACCACTCTGTACCCGTCTGGGCCCTCGTACGTCTTGCCGCACCCATCACCGTCCGGGGTGAGAACCGCAACAGCGCTGGAATTTGGAAACCATGTTTCTCCAACCGCCCCAAGACCTCTTGGTAGCCGTCGCCATACGGGAGATAGAAAATCAAGAGATTGTCCTTGGTCGGAGCCCTCCCGGCCTTGTGGCCGTGACACAGGGTAACTTCCAGGTAGCGGACAGGCTTGTTGCCCACAGAGATCCCATCGAATCCTCCAGGTTGGTACACTCGAAGCCCAGACCATCGTAGTAGATTGGCAGAAGCGATTCGACATCATCTTGTGTCCCGGCGATCCAGACGCGAGCTGTATTTAGAGGAATTCTGAACCCAATCCGCGGCGATCCCTCTATTGTTTTATCGTCGACGGTACCTTGACCACCTGAGTACAGGTCGAAGAATCGTGGAAAGCAACCAACTGCCCCTCAGTGGAGCCGGAAAGACGCCGCAGCTGCCGATCAGACCGGGGTCGGGGAGTGCCATGTGGGGAAGGCTCGGGACTTGCCAGCGCGTGACGCCACTAAAAATATCCCTGGCCCTGCCAAGGCCAAGCCCGCCGACCAGGCCCACATTTGGAGGCCTGAGCCATGCTGTGAACGCGCAACGCAGGTTTCACACTCGAGCACAAAAGAGCTGTGCCGTTCCACCAGCTCAGTAGTAATCCTTCGTTCATTTTAATCCTAAACTCAACGCTCACTAGATACTCTGTATTGCCACACACACCATCGACGACAGTCCCCTGTTCGCTCACATCAGCCATAATCCAACCGCCCGGCATCCTCCTGCCGTAAACGGACCCACACTTGTATCTCAACATCTATCCGTCCCGGATCCCGAACTAACTCGGCCGGTGATGGCCCCAACACCGCTCCCCCGGACGGGGACACAATATACCGGGCGCTGGCTCCTCGCCGGCCGCGCCGCCCCGCACATCGCGCGCATGTCCGCGACTACTACCTCAGCGGTCCTCCTCTCGCGGCGCGACCTAACCGTCAACGACGCCCAAAAGGTCACGTTAGGCATAATTGCTGCCTACATTGTGGCCATCGCCATCCTCTGGAACGTGCCCTACATCCGATGGGTCCTGTGGCCGTTCAAGATGCTCGTCATCGCCTTCCACGAGTTCGGCCACGCGTTTGCCTGTCTCTTGACCGGCGGCAGGGTGGAAAGCATCTCGCTCGACCCCCGCGAGGGCGGTGTCACCCACATGCGGGGCGGCAAGAGTGGGTTGACCTTGCCGGCCGGCTATCTCGGATCGAGCCTCATCGGGGCGCTGCTCACGTTTGCTGGGTTCAACATCAACGCGAGCAAGATCGCGAGCATCGCCGTCGGGGTGTGCTTTTTGTTGACGCTGTACTGGGGACGGAAGGACTGGCTGACCATTATCACCATCCTCCTGGCGGTTGGTCTGCTTGTGGGGTGCTGGTTCATTGCGCATGCCGAGGCCCTAAGGTTCGTTGTGTTGTTTATCGGGGTCATGAGCTCGCTTTACAGCGTCTGGGATATCGTAAGTGCTTTCCCCGTTGTATGTGTTCTAGGGGTGTGGAAGATGCTGACTACGGCTCAAGTGCGACGACCTTATATTGCGGAAGGTCAACAGCTCCGACTCCTATGTCTTCGCCCAGCGGTACGGTGGTAGCTCGCAATGCTGGGGCGTGATCTGGTCCATCATCTCACTCGGATTCATGGCTTGCGGCATCATCGCCGGCATAGCCGCGTTTCCTCAGTCCGCCGCTCAGCAGCGAAATGATAGTCAGAATTTTATCCCCACCAAGTTCTAGACAGTCCATTCTGACAGCGTTGCATTTCTGGCTTCACGGTGCTTTCTCTGGGTGTGGCAGCTTAAGGGTATCTGGGGGTTCCACTGGAAGGCGTTCTTAAAGGGTGGATGGTTGAATTGGATGATACCCGCGGTAACTTTTTGCCTGGAAGACAACCTGGACGTTGGTTTCTGTCCTATGACATTCGGCGTCTGTAATGAAGTGACTTATCTAGAGCGTTTCCGCTGTGTATGCCGCGATCTGCGGAAGCGGATAGTCCGAAGTCTACTGTAGCGCGTGGTGTATGACCTTGATATGATAAATTGGGGAACGTTCTGCTATAGAAGAGAGTCATGGAAGGTATTGTACAAGCGCCGTTCATAAGCCTTTCGGGGTCCTCAAAGCATCCTTTGAGCAGCGTATCCTCTATCTTACCATTATTATTTCCAGGATCAAACAAAATCTCCTCCTGGCCCATATTCGGACTCGCCGAATCGCCAACCCAGGTTGACACGGGGCGCAAAGACCGTGGCAACCATCAACTATCGTTGATATTTCAAGTCAAACCAGTTGAGGACCGTCGCTTCTTACCAAGCTTCTTCTGCGCGGTTCATCCTGTGTCAATGCGCTTGCCAACCCTAGCCTCGACTGCGCAGGAAAATCCAGGCAGCTCGTACTTTAATACCACTACCTTGGGAGACGGCATTTAGCAGGATCGCAGAGACGATGTATAGGGGCATCTCGCAGGTTCTCCCGCAGGTCAATATCCTAAAGCAAACCACTCCCAGGTGCTCCCCGCTGCTAAGCGTAAGGAAACATCGGCTAAGAAATGTCTACGGTATACAGAAACGACAGTTACCTCCGGTGGCTCACCAGCCCAAAAGACCTTCTTTTTTCATATGCCTTCCATCTATCTCAATATTGATTCATTTGTATGCAGAGCATTAAATCTATAAAAACCCGTATGCGTACAACACATGGTTGAAATCTGAAGGCAGAAACACCTCTCACTCACAATAGCTTATGTCTAAAGCCTTTCCTCCGTGAGTCTCTTACCCTCCACCCCAACAGTCCTGTGGGATATCTTTGGTCCCATGTGCCTCTCTGTTATCCTGAGAAAGCAAACCGACATTGCACTCCAAAGTCCGTTCTCCGGCTCGCCCCGATCGGGTGCCGACCAAAGAGAAGAGACGCAACACGATCCCCGAATAGTACTGAGTCGAACCGGAGAGCTTGTCTTGGTATAGCTTGATGGAAGCAGATTTGAATCTAACCCGTAAAAGGTAGCTCCTACTAGTCTCCAGACATTTGGAGTCTGAGCCTACATTCAGGGAGGATGTCCTACTTTCAAAACTATCCTGAGCCTGATATACTCCCCCCTACTTATTGCTCGGTGCTCGTGGGTACAAACACCACTAACTATTAGACCTTTGATTTAACATCAGCTGACGCCCCGATAGCATAATAGTAGTTAACTTCACTATGGGGTCCACTATCTATCCCTCGACACTGTAGTGACTGTAATAGTTAGACCAGTCACCGGTAATCCTAACTGCCGTCAATCGGAGTGAAATGAAAGTATAGGCGTGTGTGTTGGGCATAATTCCGGTAGGCGTCCCGAACGCGAAGTCGCGCCCCTTTTCAGAGTAAGGTATCCAACAGTGGCGTGTACATTGCATAGCTCCAAGGCAAAGGAGTCATTTTATGGGCAAAGTCCTAGCGGTGTTATATATATACTGCCACATTGTCACAAACCATGAACACTCTCCCAGCATCTCAATTTGGGGTCAGGAGGGGGGAAGGAGAGCAGAGTAAGCTGGGCGTTCCATGTCTTAGGTAGTGTTGTGCCGCCCGCACCGCAGGCTCAAAAGCTGTCTCCTCACAAATCCCGATACCTGAGGGCTTAACCTTTGGGTAGCGTTCCATGGGTCGATTGGTACCCTGCACGGCGGCCAGTCACGCTACGAATACTTTCCTCCAAACGAAATGAATTGGTGCCGGCTGGCATTCCGACGCGAGCTTACTCCTTCGCCCCTGTTGGGATCATGAACAACACCGATTTGCCATGAGGCCCCTGTCCAGCAGCCTTGTCGACCCTGAAGTATCCCTTGCGCTCCAATTGGATGATGCTGTTCGGCTCTGCCGTTACCAGGTTGGTATCGCACAGCGATTCAGTCAGGCGAAGTAATCGTTCAGGAACGCGGCCTTGGCATGTCCGATATGCAGGTATCCCTTCTCTCCCGTTAGCTACTATTTGTCAGACAAGTGCGTGTCTGGAGAAGGCTCACACTTGGCTCTGGCGGGAAGCGGGTAACGATGCCGTTCTCAGTATTCTTCAGGCCAATATTGTAGTTACCTCCAGCCCTGCTAGCTGCAGCACGCTTTTCTTTCTCCTTGGTCTGTGCTGCCTTGATCTCTCCCTGGATCTCGGGATGACTGGCTTCGATGAAGGAGGACCAACGCGCCACATTGGTCAAGCTGCCTTTGCGAACGATGCCATTTGCCACCTTGTTGGTTCGCAGGGCAGTCCAAATGTCCTTATCGGCGGTGCTCAACTGGTATCCTTGGAGGTAAGTGCGCAATGTCAAATACCGCTCGAGCTCGAGCAGGACAGCTTCGACAGCCTTGAAATCAGGGGCCGACAAGCTCGGCGCCCAATCCATGACTTTAGAGCTAGCCATTGTGTCCCTTATTACCGCTGTTCAAGAGTTCCGTCCCGGAAGCCTGGATGAGCGGTTGAGTCCCAACTGGAACTTGGGTTCGGATAACTCAGATTTGAGTGAGGCTTGAGTGTGGGCAGTTCGTTGCCCCGCCATGTGCAAGCGAGTCACAGCCCAGGCTCCCAATGAAGCTGGCTGTTGGATGCTCTTAATGCAAGGCCCGTATTTATACTCGGGAATGACCTTGTCAGTATTCCCTTCATTCCATTCCAATCCAATCTACGGGACCAGGTAGGCAGGATATTGAACATACCGTTTAGTGTCATACACATGCAAGTCGTAACATGGGGAATAACTCTTCCTCTATATTATACATACGAGTGACAAGAGAACTATTAGTGACTCTGCCTGAGAACTCCCAACCGATCAACCAGAGAGGACAGCCCTGAGTACCCTCTCACACCGCCCCGCCTGTTACTTAAAATGAAGTCTACCTTATATCGACAGACCTGTGATGCATCTACCCAGATGCCCATGCCTAAATTCCAGAAACACAGTTTACAGCTATCACGAAGGAACTCCCACATGGGACGTGCCTCCGAGAGCCGCCGTGTAGAGTACGTTCTCGTCCCCCAAGTCTTCTCCCGGTGATACTGGGAAACGCTCCACGCCGTTCCCAAAGAGGGGAACGAAAAGGACCAAAAAGAACGCAACAGCAACCTCCCGAACTGACCGACCCTCCCACAAGCCCCTACATCATAATCTTGACTGATTCGCCTCCAGGCACGGAATGGCTTCTCAGCATACATCCGAACTCCAGTGCCGTCTTGCGGTCCATCGACACCCTTCACCTTCCGATCCCCTTATCGAACCAGTAAGGCGAAGCCGGGAGCAGACGCCTACTCCCCCTTGACCTTGAATCCCTTCCCGGACTTCTCAAATAGGACGTCGAAAGACGCCTTGATTTGTCCTTTCGCACATCCAGGGTTATTCGCCGCAAAGAGCTCAATGACGCCCAACTTGCTGAGTTTCGGCATCGAGCGAACAATATCCTTCAGCCTTTCCTGCATCTCTAGCGGCAGCGGCTGCTGTGACTTCTTGGTGCCTGCAGCACCGGCACCTGTGGCAAGAGCCTTCAAGGCATCTGACGGGGCGGGGGGCACTCGGTTAGCACGGGCGTCCTGGGTAGAGCTCGACGAGGTAGGGTTAAAGGCAGTCGTGACGGATGCAGACGTGGATATAGGTGCGGATTTGGATGCGGATGCGGTCAACGATTCGTTACCTGCGCTGGCCTTCGACTTGGGCGTCTTCCAATAGGCGCTCGAGAAGGGATCGATGCTGTGGTGGTGCTCGAGGGGCTCTGCAAGCGGTTAGCAGCCTCATCTATGAGTGAAGCATAACATGAGAGACATACCGAGAATAAACTCCAGTCGGTACTTATACAGCGTCGGCTCGGCGGTCCTCCGTGTGCGGTCTTCCCAACATGGTCCAGTGCTTTCCACCTCCATACCACCGGAGAAGGCCGCCCTCACAAGTTCTACTTGTTCGGAGTCGTCCAAGAAATCCGTCATATCTTCGTCCACGTCTCCTTCTTCCTCTTCGTCGTCCAGATCATCCACGTCCTCGCCCTCCTCATCTTGCCACTCTGCCTCCGAATCATAGCCGTAGTCCAGGGGAAGTATATTTTGAGAGACGGGGTTCCGCGCCAGTTTATGTAGGCTTTGAACGCCCTCCGGCAGGCCGCTGATGGTGCCGATGTATGGTGGTCTCACATCTTCCCTGAATTTGATCGACTTCACCGGTACCGACCTCAACGCCTCTAGGGTCTCTCGGAGCTTCGCGCTTTGTGCCTCGGTGGTGAGTTCTGTGGGACCGTTGGAGAGCGCCTCGATTTCCGCCATGAGCCTCCGGACACTCGGGTAAACCCGTCCGCGGCGGACTCTGCATGGAATCTGAAGGGATTCCAACGGGTCAAAGGTGGGCGCGGGCGCTTCCCGTACGCCCGTCATGTACTCCTCCAGAATCTTCGTCTTGGCCTCTCTTGTCTCCTCGTCCATCTGATACGGATTGCTGGCGAGTCGGACGTGTTGTTTGACGAAGAATGGCTTGAACATCTTCTTGTACATCGATGGTTCCTTGTCCTCGACCGCAGCCGTGGCCGCTCCGTGCGCCTCCTCGGATTTGGCAGGAGTAAGTTCCTTCTTCGGGGTTGTTGGCGCGAGGTTGAACATGCTGGTGAGCTTCATCTGACTCCGCGCCTTTTTCGCCTCCTCCTCCTCCTTCTCTCGCCTTTTCTTCTCTTTCTCCTCCGCCTGCTGCTTTTTCTCCTGCTCCTTCTTGGCCTTCTCAGCGGCCTTGGCAGCCTTCTCAGCGGCCTTCAGCTTCTCGGTCTCTTCCTTGTCGCGCCGTTTCTTCTCTCGTTCTTCCTGCTTCTTGTGCTTTTCAGCTTCTAGGGCCGCTTCTCTGGCTGCTTTCTCCTCGGGGGTTAAGCGCTTCTTTTTCGGCGGCTCGCCAGCCGCTTTCTGTGCTGGGGCTTGCTCCATGGTTGAACTGGTTTGTGGCGAGGTGACGGATGTTGAGAAACATACTGATGTCGGCTTCGGGGATGTCGGCTTTTGCGCGAGCGGACTGCAGGTCGGTTCTGTCAACGGAGACGAGGCTGTAGCTCCACGGCAAGAACGATGAACGTCGTTTTCCTCTGTAGACGCAACGTATGCCATTAGATATAGCCAGAAGGTTAATGGCGGGGTCAACTGATACTCACTGTCGCTTAATGAAGAGTCCTCTTCCTCGACCCGCACAGATCCCCCGAAAGCCACAGAACTGCAAGCCTCTTGGTTCAAGAACTCTGTATGAGATCTCTTCCGGCCGGTCAAATCCCGGTCCTGGATGTCGGTTGACATGGCGAGCAGAGACATCAGACAACTCGAACACAACCACTGGCGCCTAAATAAATCAGAACAGATCTAACGAAGGAAAAGGGTAGAAAGAATAAATTAGATCGTAATAATCATAGATTGGCCGTTGATGATAGGGGAGTGGCTCAAAGGTTGGCGAAGCAGTTGCCTCAATCGTGGTTTGGGAGTCGAAGGTGGAGTTGATTTGCTTGGACAAGCTGCGAAGGAAACCATTGGATAGTCGAGTCTGTGCAAGTGTTTGAAACGCGTCAGGAAACCGTGTCGCGTGCGCGTAGCGCGAGATTAAATTAAGACTGTGGCGTATGATGTGGCTGTAACTGAGTGCGGAGTAAATGTTGAATTTCTGACTTGCATTGAGAGTGGCAATTGTTGGTGAGTTGCAGGTGTGTGGCTGAAGACCGGTTGTCGCTCGCTTGGCATGGCAACCCCGCTTGGCAAAGGAGACCGCCTTATCTTATCAGTCCTCCCAGCAACAAGCACAGTCAACACTCGATAATAACCACCAAGAGTTTGACCTTTTGAACACGCCGAGTGTCAAGGCCCAATGCATTATGTAGTACCTTGTACTAGATTGATGTACGCAGTATGGAAATAGACACCTCCTCTACGACGTCGGGCACTTTTACACTTGATAGACAATTACGATCTCACCTTGTAACTATGAGCCATCAGCCAATACGAGTCGTACAGAACTGGTAGCTCAAGGCTGTTTTCATCTGAACAAAGAGGCGAAGTTGGCATACGCGCCTAGACTGTTGGACTTGGCCAGGTACCACTTCTTAGAAGCTGACGGGTTATGCAATGAGGGAGTGAAGACCTCCAACACAACAGACGTCCACAGACTAGTTTGACGCTCGGCTGCAGCTTTCCCGAGGTTTCGACCTACTATGTCCATTCGCTGGGCGATGATGATAGGATCGACACCATGAAGGAACGTTACCTTATCCCGTAGTTATACCGGAGGAGACTGCGCTGTGCTTATTATGGTTTGCTATAGCTTTGTTCCTGCCAGATCTAAATCTCGGTGACGAACCAGCGACCTTGACAGGCCAATCCCTGTGCCAACTCGGACAATAACGGGGTATATTATAGCATCAACTTCCAAGGCAGTCCCGACCAGGAACGGCACCAACGCCAAACGTACAGGATATTGAACCTGTATTTCCATGGACACACATTAATCTTGTCGTCATTGTCCTGTGTGCCATGCTTGAAGCCGGAGTTTCTTCCAGGGGACAGCAAGGCACTTTCCTCTCGACGTCAGGAACACCACACGGGAACTACGAGAATGCAAACGACAGTAACTCGGGTGTGGTATTGGTATCTCGAGGTCGATTCCACTCTCCGGTCAGCCTCAATCCAGGTTCGCTCCCATTGAAACACCAGTACGTGACCTCGTCTCAATCAGGGTATTATTAGATTGTGCAAGCCGCGACAAAGAACGAGCGCCCGTAGAAAAAAACAGAAGATGCCGTAGTGACAGTACACTTCGAAGCGATTGTGAATCACAGCCCCGTCCAACCCAGACTTTGAACTCCCGCGCCTTGAAGTGTATGCGTAATCTGAAGCGATCGGAATAGGCGTTCTGGCGCGCCATGGATTAGATGAAAATCAAGAAAAAAAGACAGCCAGAAGGGGGGGTCTGGGATCCTGTCCCTCGCATCCGTCTGTGGCTGACCATCCCTTAATCCGGGTTCGCAATGTACAGCCGGCCCGCGGTCAAACTCATCGCCCGCTCGTCCACACTGCCCCGTCGTTTCAACTCGTCGATACTCTTCACGCTCTTCTCACGTGTCACCGTGGCATGCTTCATGCTATGATTCGCGAAATGCGTCGTGTTGCCAGTGGTAAGTTCCGGCACATTGTCCAGCCGCTCGCCGCTGCTGCCGCTCTCAAAGCTCCTGGCTTTCCCACTGCGAGCGTCATCTCCTGCGAGTGCCTGCTCGCCCGGCTTATCTTCAACCATGGACCCTGACCTTTCAGGCGTGTCGCTAGGGCTCCACTTGGTTGATCCACTGTGTTGCGTAGCCGTGGTCCCGAGGCCTCCGGATGAACGATATGGGGTCGTTCTTCTGCCGCTCGCGATGCTGTTCCTCCCAGAACTGCCCGTCCGGCGGTGGTGTAGCCGTTGTTGGATGGCCGCGTCATCCTCTTCGCTCTCCTCGCCCTCTACCTCAGTCGCACTGAGCCGGAGAGGGACACCACCGATTCCATTGTAGTTGCTGCCAGGGGAGTAGCCGATAACAGTAGGCTTCCCGTGGTGGCGGATTTTGGCCGCGACCTTGCCACCGGTTGAGCTAAGCCCAGTAGAGGTGCGCCCGGAGCTCACGCCTCCAATCCCCAAGCCGCTGCCCCCAACAACTGCGAGGTTGGCCCGCATTTTGGCCGCCCGTTGTTGCGCCAGTAATCGTGGGTCCTCGTATTGAGCGCGATCGCACCACACTGTGGCTTTCTGTTTCCTGAGCAGCGCGACATAGCCGCTGGACTGCGGCGAACCAGGGGCGCCGCCGGAGCGGCTCGAGGTGGATCTCCGGATATCCAATGTCGGCGGCGTCCCATAAGCTGCTGGCGGTGCCATCCCGCCGCTGGAAATGCTGCTGAATGTGTTGACGCTCGGCGAGCGGCGCTGATGGTTCATCTGCGGCTCGGCGAGGTGAGTCTGCGGCTGGTATGGATTCGGGGGATAGTGCGCCGGCATGCCTGTGGGAAACGTGTTCGACGAAGTCGTCCTCGAGCGACTATGGGTGTACGCAGCATTGCTTGCCTGCTCCATAGGCGGCGCTCGCCTGCGAGCATATTGAGGATCCATGACCGGTTCGGCCGGCCATCGGTGGGACATGGTGGGTATGAGAACACACAGACGCGCAATCTGAAATTCGGATGCGAATGCAGCGCAAAACGGTCGATCTTTATATATCTGGAAATTTGGGCTGCAGTCGGCGTGATGCCGGTGGCCTGAGGATTTTTGTTGGCAGTGCCCGCAGCGGTCCAGTTAAATGCACGGGAGGCACAGTGGAGGGTCGAGTGATAAGCAAGCTGCAGGCAGAGCAGAGAATGGTCGATTCGCTGCGTGCCAATGGGGGAATGTGAAGTTCCAAACTTTCCAAAGCGACGGTATGTCAGAGTGTACCAGCTTTTGAGAGAGCTCAGCTGAGGTTCGAGGGTTTTTTTGAGTCAATGGAGGGAGGGACGCGACTTGAATAGCAAAAGCGGAAGCGCAAGTTGAGACTTTGGGCAAGCTTGGCGCTCCTACTACTAGGGCACGTTGCATCGGCCGCTCGTTGGCCATGTCGCTGATGATGTTATCCTGTGGGGATGGTAATGCAGTGGTCTGAGCGCAGGCCGGCTCGATGGCTCGGCCTGAAAGTCCGATTTCCGAATTCCTTTCGTCCACTTCCTTGGAAGCAGTAATCCGCACGCTCCCCCGTCGGAGGGCAAGCAGCACTCGGTAGAACTAAAGCCTCCACGATTATACATCTCTGTAATGTTCGCCCGCCGTCCTCCTTGTTCTTCCGTCGTTCCCCAAGCGTGTTCACAACGCAGCACGCTTCCCAGCCAACGGGCGCCAAACTCAACAAAAGGTGGGCTCCTCGCCAATCCCAGTCGGGCAGATGCGGGACGCCAGCATTGCGGAGTATGTCCAATACATACCTCAAGTATCCGTTTTGTCACGACACAACTGGCAAGGTGCTTAGATAAACTTGAAAATGAGTCGAAAAGAAACTATCTAAGCTTCCTGGCATGAGCACTAGAAGCACACTCGACGGATCGAATACATACACAGATACGGTGTACTCGTAGTTAAGGCCCTCGAGACAGCTACCTGGTAGGTATTGTACTATACCTCAGCGTACTTGGCAGCTGAACCTGCATCGGTGGGGTTGAGATCTGGTGGGGTAAGGTTGCTTTGTCCACACCACGTTGTCAATGGCTCAATGCCTCTCTTCCGGCAACAGAATGACCTGATCAATCGGACTGTGGAATTATCAGATTTGATTCGGCCTTTATTACACGTGTAGTGCTTCCTTTCCATTCGGCAGTGTTGTGGAATGACTGTATTTCGTGACCTGAACAGACTAAGGTATGCTTCGGCATCGCGTCGGCAATCCTTCAAACTATTCGCCATGGTTAGGCATCTATGGCTGCTTTGAAACCATGACAGTGAGGCACAGATCAGATTGGAATGCGCCCTTTGGTTCCGTGTAACCAACCGAAGCGGCGACTGGAGGCAGCAAGCATAGTCCTATACTATACTAATGCACATACACATACCAGCCGTCCTCAGAGATTGGTACAGTACCTCGTAAGGTAGGTACTGAACAGAGTTCACCTGTCGGCGAACGGGCGTATAAAACATCCGAAACACAGCATCAGCATCAGCATCAGCATCATTCTAGGTTCGCAATCGCCGGCTACGTGTGCCTGCTCTCTGCTCAAGACACCAAGACGGAGATGGGGTTGCTCGGAGAACCATTCTCAGCTATTCTACGCTCTATGCACCGACACTGCCAGCATTAACGCCCGCATGTGAACCACAACCCTCCATTCTGAAGTTTTCCAGCTTCAACTCTCTCTTTCTCAGCCAATGACAGTCTTTCCCAGCTGTTGCCCGCGGGCCGCGACGGCATCCAAGTGTGGAACTGAGTGCTGCGGGGCCATTGGTAGTGTGGGGTGAATGTCCGTTTCCGCTTAGAAAATCTCGTCCAATCTCTTGTCAGATCTACCCGGCCCTTGTCGCTACCGGAAAAGGCATTGTGCGTGCGTGCTTCAAGATCATCGATTCGTTCGGCCAGCAGCAACTGTGACTACCGGGTAAGGCTACTCAGCCAACGTTAACGTTACTAGTGTGAAGATTAAGCAAGCCACCGCAACAATAGCGGATGCTACTGGACATGCCCGGCGAGGACTGTCGGTGATGCCGGTGTCGGCCGGAGAAGATCCAATGCGCTGGACAGGGGTGCTGGGGACTTCGGATCAGGTCCCGCCCATCGGATACGGCTGAGTGCTGGCTTGCCCAACGAGCCTGTGCGGGTTGTCTTACAGACGGGATCCCCGGGCAGAACACTGGATGGTGATGGTGAGGCTCAGCGAGCCCCTATGGTAGTACGCCTCTCCTTCTAGAATGAGTAGCAGCAAAGAAGTTAAGCTGTAGCGAAGCGCAATATCGTGTCTTGAGCGTGTCTATCAAGGTTCCGCCGTTCGTCGTGGAACGAGGCGGAAACCAACCACAACAGAAGGTATTGTAATCCATACAATACATACTTCTGAATTTTTGTTTACCGAGCTCCGCTGCAGGGCCCACTCTGTTGGTTCCAGGTTCCCGCGGCCGTGGTCCGCCAGGTACCGTTGCCTGCCGAGACCGCTCCCAAAAGTTCGGAACGAAATACAGGGACGTCAAACGGAAAGGTTCAGGAACTCTTAATTCTATCGGAAGAGGGGAACATGCAACTTGCGACGCGTCACTCGAGCACGATCTTTAGTCACCGTCTTTCGGCATGCGCTCATTCTCTGAAGGAAAGCCCTTGATCACAAGCGTTTTCTCCCACTGCGCGATGCCCGAGTTGACGTCATGAAGTAAGGAATACCGCACAACGTGGCACCCGAACAATGGAACTAATATATGCCACTCAGATTCGCGAAAGAGCTTGACCAGGACGCTGTTCCAGGTAAGCAGCTCTGGTTTGCGTTTTTGCCGAGACACCGGGTGCATTTGATCATCGCCTTGTCCCACCTGCTCCAAGTTGGAATTGGGCTGTTCACTTCCTGAGACACCAACCGTCGTGTGATCGCCAATGGGCCCGCAGACAGCATTAAGGGAGCAAGCAGCAGACTAATATCACATATGCAGAATGGCGCGTCAAGTATCTCAACTACAAGGCGGGCAAGAAGCACGTCAAGGCCGTCGCCCGGGCGATCCATCGTGCAACAAATGCCACACCGACTTTCGCCAGGAAGGCCGATGCGCCCCCGGCTACTACTCCTGCGATCTTCTTCGGCATCAACCATGCCTTTACGCCACCCCGAGTCACCACTGAACCCCCAAGCGGAAATTACCACGTCCATGAGCCAGGTCGGTTGCGCTCCGGATCCACCGCGGCCAAGTCGGGGAGGAATGCGGCGGGCGATGAGCGGTCGGGCCTGGCTCGGACACCGGGAAGTGGCATCCAGTATGGCAGCATCGGACCAACGCCGTCGCGTGCTAGCGACAGAGGCACCTTCGAACTTCCGGCCCCGGCGATCAGGGTCCCTTCGAACACCGGCCAAAGCATGGCGGCCCATTCTCCGCCCTTAGACCGTCTCACCCCTCAGCGCAGCGCTACGATGACGGCCACCGGGCGGACGGACCACCGTTCCCCGTCATTTCTCACTCTTCCCTCGGGTGCCGGGGGCACAACGCCACGCCTACGCGTTCCTCGTCTCTTTTCGACCAACTCGATCGGCACCCGACAGAGCCCGGACAAGCTGGACATAGGGATGAATAACCTGGATTACGTTCGCTCGGCCGAACGCGACTTCTTTGCGTTCCTCGACCGTGAGCTGAACAAGATTGAGACCTTCTACAAAGAAAAGGAGGACCAGGCAACAGAGCGACTGGCCGCCCTTCGAGCGCAGTTGCATGAGATGCGGAATAGACGGACTGCCGAGATTGCGGAAGCAAAGAAGAGACGCGAGCTTGGACACAGTAATGGACACAGTACCGGTCAAATGGATGATGGCGCCGAGGGAAGGGGCAAGCAGAGCAATCGCGATTGCTTCAGCCCGCTCAGGGATAGATTCTTCAAGCCGGGGCCCAACTCGAAAGCCCTGCAGAAGATGACCCGGACCCCCGTCATGGCTGGCCAGACCATGGACGGTGGCCGCGATTATGCGCGGAGGCCCGAAGATGACGGTGTCCCCTACCGGACGGCGAAGCGCAAGCTCAAGCTGGCGATGCAGGAATTCTACCGAAGCCTCGAGTTGTTGAAATCGTACGCGCTCTTGAACCGGACCGCCTTCCGCAAGCTCAACAAGAAGTACGACAAGACGGTGAATGCCCGTCCGCCGTACCGATACATGAACGAGAAGGTGAGCAAGTCTTGGTTCGTCAACAGTGACGTGCTCGACGGGCACATACGTACCGTGGAGGATCTGTACGCGAGGTACTTCGAGAAAGGCAACCACAAGATCGCGGCCGGGAAGCTCCGAAACCTGCAGAAGCGGTCCGGGGATTCGTCTGACAGTACGTTCCGGAGCGGCCTGCTGATCGGCATCGGCGCCGTTTTCGCTGTTCAAGGGCTCATATACGGCACCGAATTCCTCATCAACGGCGATGACCCCAAGATTGCCCAACAGACGAGCTATCTTCTGCAGCTGTACGGAGGTTATTTCCTGGTCCTGCTCCTCTTCACGTTCTTCACGCTGAATTGCCGGGCGTGGACCAAGAACAAGGTCAACTATCCGTTCATCTTCGAGTTCGATGCGCGGAACTTCCTCAATTATAAGGAACTGGCAGAATTCCCGAGCTTCTTCTTCGCATTGTTTGGCGTCTTTATCTGGCTGAACTTCTCGAGGCTGGGGGACTGGGAGGAAATGTATCTTTACTACCCGGTCGTCCTTATCTGCGTATCCCTCGTCATCCTGTTCTTCCCGGCGCCCGTGCTGCATTATAAGGCGAGAAGGTGGTTCTTGTACTCTCATGTACGTCACCCGCTCCCGAATATACTTGCTTATTTTTCCCGAGTCAGCTGACCGCTTTTTGCAGTATCGGTTGCTCCTTTCCGGACTGTACCCAGTAGAATTCCGGGACTTTTTTCTGGGCGATATCTGGTGCTCGTTGACTTACGCAACCTGCGTACGTAGCCATAACCCCCAATCTCTGCTTGATTGGTTTGAGTGACTGACGTCCTGCAGAACATCGAGCTCTTCTTCTGCCTGTACGCAACCAGCTGGGATGACCCGCAACGTTGCAACTCGTCACATTCTCGCCTTCTCGGCTTTTTTGGCGCGCTCCCCCCGATATGGCGTGCCTTACAATGCATCAGGCGTTACCATGACACGCGAAATGTATTCCCGCACCTTGTCAACTGCGGGAAGTACACCATGACGATCCTGACGGCTGTCTGGCTCAGCCTGTACCGCATAGGGGACACCCAGACCAACTTGAGCTTGTACATTGCGCTCGCCACCATCAACGCGGTATATTGCTGTATGTTTATCCAGGGCTCCCTTCCCATTCATTTCATTCTCATGCTGTATCCCTTGTACTGACCAGAACACAGCAATCTGGGACCTCTTCATGGACTTCTCCGTCTTGCAAGGCAACGCCCGGCATAGACTGCTCCGCGACATCACGGCGCTCCGCCCGGTGTGGATCTACTACCTCATCATGGTGATCGACCCCATCCTGCGCTTCTCCTGGATCTTCTACGCCATCTTCACGCACGACGCGCAGCACAGCACCATCGTGTCCTTCATGGTGTCCCTCGCCGAGGTCGTGCGCCGCGGCCTGTGGACCCTCCTGCGCGTGGAGAACGAGCACTGCGCCAACGTGGCCCAGTACAAAGCCTCCCGCGACACGCCTCTGCCCTACCACCTTGAGAACTTCGTCCAGCGGCCCAGCCTTGAGGAAGCAGCCGCCACGACCACAGCGTCGCTGCATCACACCCCGTCAGCCATGGACGGCGGCCCCGCCCCTCCTACCACCCCGAAGACTCCGCGTACCGTCCCACCACAAACACCAGGCACTGCTTCTTCCCAGCGCCATGGCCCCGTCCCGACGCCGCTGAGCGAAGCCGCGGTGGAAGTATCCGCGCCCGCAATGCCAACCACGACGACGACCGGCGCCGCTACTACGGCTCTGGAAGGTGGCGCAGGGGGGCCAGGCACATTCAGGCGACGGCGGACCGACACGCTCGGGAAGAGGTCCATCTTGCAGGCCATGGCGGAGGCGCACAAGCAGGACTTTGAGAAGAGGCGGGTGCCAGCTGGGGAGGAGAGGAAGGACTCGCCGCTTGGCGGGGATGAGGAGGAGGATGACGACGAGGAGGAGGAGGAGGAGGAGTTGAAGAGTGAGGAGGAGAGGATTGAAGAAGAAGAGGACGAGGAGGCGGATACTAGTAATGACAGTAGAGAGGGGCCACGTCGCGGTGGATTGCGGAGGATGGGGACTAGAGGGGCGAGGGAGGGATCGGGGGACAGGGGGTTGATGCCCGGTGGTGGTAGTGGTGGTCATAAAGGGCCGGATGATACCTATCAAAAGAGCTGGGAATGATGGGATTTATTATTGGATGAAGTAATGACACCTTCGATAGATGGGATGGCGCGGAGTTATGGAGGGTGCAATGTTTCTTGATATGATTTGGAGATTTGCTGGGTGGACAGGGGTGTGTTGGATACTAGATGCTACATACAATTTAATGGCCCTCTTGACCACTCTATATAATGTCTATGCCACCACGCAACACCCATGATTTGGCCAGGGTATCTCTCCTCTACACAACACGCTCAACCAATAATGCCAGGCTTAGTAAATCCCTCTTCTATCAACATTCTTCAAACAACCAAATATATTAATAAGCCCTTCCCTCCCTCCCTACCCCTCGCCACGCCACGCCATGCCATGCCATCCATCATATCTATGCTATGCTCTACTCTTAAGCCCGCCACTCGCGATCAACAGTCTCCCAATGATCCAAGAACCCCTTGTAGAACTTGATGCCCAGCCCAGGATCCAGGCTGCCCGTCGTGGCGCGGATGCTGTGCATGCTCAGCTGGGGGATGCCCACGTCGGCGGCGCGCACGCCCATGGCGGCGCTCAGCATGGGGCCGACGGTGCCGCCGGAGCGGGAGTCGTTGCGGATCATGTGGCGCTGGTTGACGCAGCCGGCCAGCTGGGCCACGCGGTCCAGGATGGCCATGGACACGCTGTCGGTGGTCATGTGGGCGGACGCGTCGACGCACAGGGCCACGCCCACGTTGAGGCGCGGCGAGTGGCCGGCGAGGTTGGTCTGCGGGAAGTTGGGGTGAGCCGCGTGCGTGACGTCGGACGAGACGAGGAACGAGTTGGAGTAGGTCTGCCCCAGCAGGCCCGGGCCGAAGGCGATTTTGTTGTTGCTGTTGTTGTTGTCCTTGGAGGCGGAGGCGAGGGCGAGGCTCTCGACAGCGCGCTCGATGGTGATGGGCAGGAAGTTGCCCCGCGCGCCCTGGCGGAGGAGCGAGCCGATCTCCTCGTCGTCGAAGAGCGCGACAAGCTTGATTCCGCCCTCCGAGGCCTCGTCCTTGGCGTGCAGCAGCGCCATGAAGGCCGCCCACGAGCACAGCTTGTCGTCGATGCGCCCCGCGAAGATGAATTCCTTGTCCATGCCGCCTACCGTCGCCGGCTGCGAGTCGAAGAGCTCGAGCTCCCAGTTGAGGATGGTGCTGTAGTCGGTGATGTCCAGTTGTTTCGCAATGAGCTTGACCAGTTTGGGCGGCTGGGTCGAGGCAAAGGAACCGTGGCCGCCAAGGGGTTGTTCCGCGGTTGCGGCGCTGCTGGCGGAGGCCGACGGGTAGAGATCGCTGTTGTCGAGGCCGATGATGGGCACCATCTCCGTCTCGCGGTTGTTGTGGCCGGTCATGCCGATGCCGAAGTGAGGTGCCAGCGTAGGGATCCGGGCGACTGTCGACTGTTAGCTGGAGCCTCTTTAGATACTAGGATGCTGACGTACTCGGCCAATCGAGCTTGACGAGCTTCACGGTCGTCTTGCCGGTCTCGGGATCCCGGACAATGACTCGGCCGCCAATGCTCAGGTCCCTGTCCCACCATGTCTCGTTCAGGGCGCCAGCGTATTGCGCCACGCCGAGCTGCACGTAGCCGTGGCTGTTTGGCTTCGTGCTTGTCGGCTTGAGACGCGCCGTCAGAGCGTCGATGTGGCCGGCGACCATGGCGACGCCATTCCCGGGCTTGTAGGCCTTGCCGACGGCGAAGGCGATGATGGAGCTGCCGTTGCGGGTTGTGAAGTACTTGCCGCCCGGCTCGAGCTTGCCGGCCCAGCTGTCGCGGCTCGAGAGCTGCAAGCACGCGCGTGCTCAGTTAGCCGGCTGCCGTCCGACTGGCTCAAATGCCCCCTAGCGATGCGAGCACCAACCTCCTTGTAGCCAGCTTTCAGCAGCTTCTCCTTGAAGTAGTCGACGGCGTGGAAGACGGTCGGGTTCTCGGTCATGAAGTCGAGGTAGGCCTTGGTGAAGGCCTCGGGCTTCAGGTCCTTCGCATCCATCTTGTTATCGATGACTTCGGCAGCGCTGCTCATGCGCATCGCCATGGACTGTTCCATGGCCAGGGAGTGCAGCGACAGGTTGGAGCTGCGCGCTTTCACGAACTCAGGGGTGACGCGAGTCATGTTCTTTTGTATGCGCGGTGAAGATGTGAGCGGTCAAGAGCGGCAGACGTGTCAATAGAGCGGACCTACGACGTGGTGGTGATGGGAGGTTGCCGGGTTGGGTGGTGGGTGAGAGAGGTGGACCTAGTGACGCTGAGGTGCATTGATAGCGGTGTCCGTTTCCGTAAGAACACAGTACATACGTTAACATTTCGAGGCGAAGTAAACAGTACCTAGACTTAGGGTTAGACGTGGACAACGTTCTCAACCAGATTAGGGTTATATATGAGGGACACCGCCCCAGCGGTAAGCTCACCGTAGGTCATTCGTCACTTCGTAGTGGTGAACATTCCAATCCTTTGTTCGCTACTGGTAGTGAAGTCATGTGTAATTTCTGCGCTAAGCGCATATGCCTTCAGTCGACGGCCGTCCACTAGACGGGAGCTGGGTGATTTTCTGGAACTTCACATGCAATATGGGATGTTGTGTACTGCACCGTTGTATACCTTACAGTACATACATACAATACTACTACAGGACTCATATCATGTACGCATGTAATTGGGGCTGTGCCAAGACGCGTTGCTGTGGTAACTATCGGAGCTGGAGCCGAGCTTGCAAAGGCACTAATGTCCTGTGAATTTACATTCCAGCCTCAGTAAGACTTAATGGTTCGGTTCAGCGAGGAGGAGAGCTGAGCCGCGATATCTATAGAACGGTCTCTGGATCTAATCTTGGGGGCAGAGCAGCAAATGCATCTCAGCAAATATGAGTTTACCTGCTGTGCAATGGACTCTGCGTGCCTAGACGGACCGGCTATTCGGTCAAGAGGTGGCAGAGAACCCTCATTAATATGCCAGTGTAATAGTACATCGGTACAAAGTACTGTACATCTGTGAAGTACAACAAGTCCGTTCCGTGCAGGGGAGTCTGCGAGCCCCTAGGTCGAACGGGATGCCTGAATTGGGACATCGATGTTGTTGATCCGCCGAGGATTAATACCCTAAAGTTCCCAACACGCCGAGTAGTAACAGTGGTACAGACACAACAGCGATGTATATACATAGACGTTGATGGAGAGCCGAAGAGAGAACTGGGGGCAAGGAAAAGGGGGTATCATCGATAAATAGGAAATCCCTGGGCATCCAAACGGATAGGTGTCATGTCGAGCTCGACGTCTTTAAGCCACGCCTTCACCCTCCGTTTCGGATCCACCTTGAGCTCTTTCTCCGACTTGACTTTGGCGTGCAGTTTCCTCGCAAATGCTTTTGTGCGTTTATTGCCAGGAATGGCATCCCCATCCCCCCCATAGTTTGTGCTATCCCTGCCATTTCTCCCTTCCCATGAAAGCTTCTGGGGCCTGCCGTCATCGAGATCGTTTGTCTTCAGTAGTTGTGCAGTATCATCGACGCTTGACTGGACAGCGTCCGAATTGGTCTTACTTTTGCGGCTGCGGGCTTCTTGAAGGAGCCGCATCACAGGGCCGACTGGTCTTTTGCCGCTACTGCCTTTACTCTTGACGTTACCGCGATGGAGACCGGGCTGGGTTGCTACGGCCACGGGAACTAGTGTCGTGCTCGTGGTACCAATCATGTTGTTGCTGTCAGTCTCTCTGAGCAACGTGGTCATAGTCCTGCTGCTAGAAGCGGATAAGAACTCCGTGGGCTGGCCGGTGGATGTGGTAGCGATTGTCGGCCAGGAGCTCTTGGGCGAGGTTCGGTCGTGGGACTTGCTAGGATTGGGACTAGGAGGTGGCATTTCTGGTGGAGGGTAAAGAGGCCGGCAGGCCTCACCGCTACATGTGGTTGGGGTGGTGTCTTGGAACTGGCCGGGTTTCTGGTGATGGTGTGTAAATTCGTAGTCCCATGCTTCTGGCCGTCTGTCAGTAGCCTGTCGTCCAGGACATTTTCAAGTCCTACATACCGTCCCGAGACTTCCTCGCCCGCCACAGGTATCTGCTATCCTCGCTCACGTACCATTCCGACCACGGGCCAGTGCTCCCCGACCCTCCCTTTTTCGGTCCCGACCTCTTCGGCTTGGACGATTTCGTCCTAGTCCTTGGAGTAGGCGACACCCCTTTGACATCGACGGCTGGGACAAGCGCCCGTCCCGACTTTTGTTCCTCCTTTGCTGATACCATCACAGGTCGGCGCGCTTTGGAGACCCTGTACGGGGATGGCACCTGGGCTTTACTTTTGGCAGTCCGGGCCGTGGCCGACGTCCCAAATAGGAACCAGGTGAAATCCTTGCTGGGGCTTGTCGTAAGGTAATACCCGCGGTCTTTCGAGGGCATTACGATGTACCGGAACGGAGCGAACACAATATGAGCCAGGAACCGGTGTCGAGGGGTTTTCTAGTCACCTCTCGCCGGCGGAAGCTCTGAAAACAGAAATGCTGGCCAAGACTGCTTTGAGGTCGGGGAAGTCGTCGATGTCCAACAAAATGCTGCGTATATCCGGAAAGTATTGGACCCCAACTAGTTACAGAGAAGTGAAGGAGCCAAACTGCAGTTACCGTGAAAGCCAAGGGTGCAGATCTATATGGGATTGTTCCAGGAGTAACAGAAGTGCAGATCATCCCGGGGGTGTAACTGGATGCAAGAGTGAGGCCCATACTTGTTTCAGCTCAGTAAGTGGTTCGACTCTACCTAGTGGTAATGCCGGTTAATGCGGGCGGATAGACTCCACAGACGCTTCCAATGACTCCAATCAACGACACGAAGGCTAAGACCCTTTCTTCAAGGGACTACTCAATATGAGGCCTAAGCCCACCATCTTCGTGAATGGGAGGGATGGACAAATCCAAACTTGACGCTGGCCTATCATGATGGGCTTACAGCAGGGTGGTTGTGCGGGCTTGGTGCCCAACGGTGCCAACATACCTACCAGGTACCTTACCTGGATGGTGGCTGCAACACCAACCGCCTATCATGACACCGCCACCTTCTAGCATGACAAAATTGCCAAACCACGGGGAAGTGATGAAGTCCTAATGTGGTGAAGGGGTTCCACCTCGTCCGAAGTCTTCTCCGTCCTCCGGGTCCCCGAAGCCCGCATACACGGGCCCACAGGTGCTGCTCCTTTGGCCTTAAAGTCCAATAGACAGCCAACATATTGACAAGACTGTCGGGTGACGATTGGGGACGGGTCCTATTGGAGTTTCGTGGTGGCTTATATGTCCTGTGGACTTCAAATTCTGCGGCTGCCTGGCCTCGCCGGTGTTGATTGAGCGCGTCATATCGGCCGCATAAGCTGACAGACCCGCCGATAGCTGACTGAGGATCAATTGCTAAATCGTCATTCTGCCGGTTCCGTGTATTGGCGTCCAATGATGAGATATCGACCGGGATGCACCATCTCACAGTTGTGATGCCTGGGCTAGCCGGGCAAGCTGGCCCGGGGGTGAGGCGGAAGCTGAAGTGGGGTGAGCTTCAGCCAAGAACGTGGACCGGGAGAGGTGGGTTCCTACTGGGTGCCAAGCCGTGCACGGTGCCGCTGCGCAACCTCCAGAAATTCAACGTCGTCGTCGCGCTTCATCAACCACATGCAATCGCGAATCGACAGCTTTCCCCCTCCCGAGCGTAACCACAGACTCAACCACAACCGCGACAATGACGTCCACAATTGGCATCCCAATCAAGCTTCTCAACGAAGCCCAGGTTGGCTCCCCCCTGCATCCCCACCACACGTATACCGCCACTCGTTAACGGTTGCATACAGGGCCACATCGTCACCCTGGAGATCACCTCCGGCCAGACCTACCGGGGCAAGCTGATCGAAGGTGCGCACATACTGCGAACCCCCATCATCCTTTTTCTTCTGGCGCATGACAGATGGGAGAGAACAGCCGAGCTGACAATGACTTTGGGGGGGGGGGATCAACAGCCGAGGACAACATGAACGTGCAGCTGAAGGACATTACCGTCACCGCACGCGACGGGCGCGTCAGCCATCTCGAACAGGTCTACATCCGCGGCAGCCATGTGCGGTTCTTTATTGTTCCCGATATGTTGAGGTGCGTTCAGCTGCTCAGCGGGTGTGATATGAGGGGAGCGAGACAGCTGACATAGTCTCCAGGAATGCCCCGATGTTCCGCAGTCGAAACGTCCGCGGCAGAGGTGTCGGTCTCGCAAGAGGAAGGGCGACCGTCAGTAGGGCACGGGCTGGTGGTCGTAGCGGGAGATAAGAAGGGGACGGTTCTGTTGCGCTATAAGAATGGGCAAAAGGAGGGCTTCGTGTTAGTGGGCATTTATGGCGTTGGGAATCGAAGCGTAGCGGAACGTGAAACAGGTTGCGGATGGGCGCAGGCACGGGGAAATGAGCGCCTTTGCGGAACTCGAGGTGTGAGACACCATGCCGGAACGCGAGCCTGGGTCCTTCGCTGGAGAAGGAAGAGAGAGCGCGACCCTGACGCTTAGGGTACGTATCATATCTGCTCTTCTAGATGTGGTATCTCTTCGTTCAGGGCTGACGCGAGTCTTACCCAAGCCCGGGATTGAGCCGGGTCTCATGACTCACTCAGTCTAAGTCATGTAATAGTACATGTTCTACACGGCGAAACATCTCGCCAAATCTACTTTATCCGCGCAAGAGCCTCCTCAGCGCGTTTGATGACCTCTTCGGGCCTTGTAAGCTCCTCCAACTGCGCAGTCCCGTCGGCTTGAGCATCGGTAACCCTGCCAGCCTTATCCAATACTTGGGCAACACTCATCTCGGTTGCACGGATGGCCTTGCGGCCTTCTTCGCGCACTTCCCCTTGCCAGTACTCCCGCGCCGCGTCCCACTTCTGCTGGAGGCGCTTGAAGCTCAGGGCAATGCCCAAGGCCGCGATCGCCCCGCACTCGTACGCCCCAAATGCGGAGAGATAGGAGAGGCCAGCGAGGGCTGTACTGAGACCGGCAAGGCTGGCAGATTGGACGGCAAGCTTCTGCGCGAGGGCTTGTAGGGCGGGAACCGTCTTTTCTTGAAGATAATTCCTCGTGAATGGGATATGTGTCGGCCACTTGTCGACGGCATTATGTGCGAGAGTGTCTTGCGTCTGAGCGACATTCGGAGCTTGAGAGGTTGAAGTTGATGGTGTTGAGTAAACGGGTTGCCCTTCCCGTCCCATTACAGGGCCCGCTTCTTGTATGCGGCCGGCAAGATATATTATGCCCTTCTCTGCGCCGGGAAGAAAACGCTGGGCAACCATCTCCGAGGTGACCATACCCACGTCGTCAGCTCGCCAGAAGAGCTTCCACCAGCCAAGCTTGCTCCACGCTCCGGTAGTGAACGCGGCATCTAGCTGCTGCTGTAGCTCCTGATGGGCGTTCTGTGCCCAGTCTGACAGTGCTTGGTCCAAATCGGCCACGGCACCCGGAGACACGTTCGCTTTCACTTCCGTGCCCATACCGCGGGCCTCGTCCGCTTGGATGGCTGCCTTAGCATTGCGAAGCAGAGAGCCGATCAGGTTCCGGACCGGCGTCTTCATGCCTCCCTCGTTGCTTGGCAGTGCGCTCTTCCTTAACCACTCACTGATCCGCGCTACGTTAGCCTTAGACCACAATGCCTCATACTCCATCGCCTTCCCGACATCGCCGCGGAAAAGCTCCAGGCCCTTGCTACCGGCATCGACATTAACTGTGACGAGCGGGCAATCAGCCAAATCTTCCTTTGCGATATCCACGAAGTTGACCACCCCAGCAACAGTGTCCATCCCTTCTGAGATAGGAAGCGACAAAATCGAGGCGGCGCCGAGGACCCCGTCCCCCACAAGAAGCGCAATATGCACCGGCGTGGCAACCGGCGCAACATGCCCCGCCGTCGTAGTCGCCACGTCCACAACCGGCACCAACACAGCATCGTCAGCAGCCTCCTCCCTATGCGCACCCGTGAGCGAGCCCGCATCCGCAACTAGCATCTCCAGGTTTGCGCCGTTCAGCAGGGGCGACGAAACCCTCAGCTCGGCAATCACATGCTCCTTGACCGTCCTCAGCCCTGCTCCTGCTCCTTCCCCTTCGCTCATCACTCTTTCTCGAGCGTCCGGCGGCCCAGCGATCCTCACGACAAGCGGTCGTGTCTCAGTCTCGTGCGCCTCGAGCTGCTCCTCCCAGGGCTCGGCCGGCTTGAGAGGGTCGGCTAGCGCAAGACGCACTAACCGCTTGGCGGTGGCGCCGGAGCGATCTGTGACATTGAGGACTGCGACGCGAATGGATTCATGGCCGGGAGGTTCGGAAAGGTTGCGCAGGGCTAGCTGGAGGCGGGCGAGGTTGATGTGGTTCGGTGCGCGGGATTCGAGCTCGAGGAGGGCGCGTTGGAGCTCTTGGCGAGGGTCAGAAGGGGGTGAGCCGGTGGGAGCGGAGGAGGAAGATGTCGATTGGTCGCGGTTGTGCAGCCTAGGTAGAGAGGCGAGATGTTTCCTGCCTCCACTTGATCGGGGCAGCGGTCTTGACGACGAGGTGAGAGGCCGTCTGGAGGCGGCAGAGTAGGAACACAAGAGACAAATTGATGGCGGCTTCAGTTGCGCTGGAACAGCCCGACTCTGACCCAGCAGCCTTCTAATGAGCAGCGGCGGCATGGCGAGCGCGTTGCTGGTAGATAGCCAGCCTAGATTGTCGCGGCCAAAAACGAACGAGAGTCCGGAACTGAGGAGGCTGAAGCTTGGTGAGCTTTTTGCCAGGAACATTCGGCAGGATCCGGCTTCGCCAAGCGTTGAGCTTCAGTTCCATCATTGATCGCAGGGGTACGTAGCCACTTTGACCCCGCCACTCCGAACCCTGGACGCAACCTTAAACGGTCGCGAACCTTCTCGACTTGCATCAACCAGCCCACCCGCTTTTAAACTACTAGTACCTACCTACCTACTCTTATCCGTACTACCAACTGCCTTACAGATAGCCAAGCCAAAAGCCTAGTAGTTTGAGGGCCTCCAGATCACGAGGTGGATACCGGAATATGGCACAATCAACCGCGCACCGGCGCCTGCTCCAAGAATACCGAGCCTTGACCAACAACCCGCCGGAGGGCATCACCGCCGGCCCCGTCTCCGAAGATGATCTCCTACACTGGGAAGCGCTGATTCAAGGGCCGGAGGGCACGCCCTTCGAGGGCGGCGTCTTCCCAGCCGAGCTGCGCTTTCCCAAGGACTACCCGCTCGCGCCACCAACGATGAAGTTCCTGGGCGAGATCTTCCACCCGAATGGTAAGTTAGTACTACTAGTAGTAGCCACCTTCTTCCGCTTCACACGACCCCCACCCATTGTACCGTAATAAACCCGACGGACATACGCTGACGAGTGGGACGGGACAAAGTATACCCAAGCGGACTGGTCTGCATCTCGATCCTCCACCCGCCCGGCGACGATCCGAACCACTACGAGCATGCGTCCGAGCGGTGGTCGCCCATCCAGTCGGTCGAGAAGATCCTCATCTCGGTGATGAGCATGCTGGCGGAGCCGAACGACGAGAGCCCCGCGAACGTGGAAGCGGCCAAGATGTGGCGGGAGCGGCGGTCAGAGTATGAGGAGAAGGTGCGGGAGGGGGTGAGGCGTATGCTGGGGCTGTAATGGAAACGACTGTCTGGGTAGAGAAAGAGAGAGGTTATGACGGCGGCATGGCGTAATAAAGGAAGGGGCGTTCATTAAACGGCGCGTTATGTGCTTTGGCATTAGTAGCAATAGTTCCTAGTAGGGTGCATAATGGCATCTTTGTTCGGGTTTGCAATTTGAGGCTGCGCTCGAACCTAGTGCTTCTGGGCTTTCCACGGCCTGATTTGCACGCTAGGTCTACCTTCTATCAAACGCGGCCGTACTCTTCATTTCCGGCTTCTACTAGTAGTAATCATCATCATCATCATCATCATCGCTCCATCACAGATTATTCTCCGCCTTGAACTTGTCCCACGCTTCGTTCAGCGTGCTGAACACCGTCCCTGCAATCATGCGTACCTCTGTCGTAGCATCTGGTGCGATCTGCCACGGGTGGTTAGCACCCATTCCCCGAAATCAATACCCGACCCAAAAGTACGAACCAACTCACCTTATCAGGATGCGTTTTCGCGATAGCCTTCATGTAAACGATCTTGACCTTATTCGCCATCACCAGCTCGTGTAAGCCCACCTTCTTCCACCCACTACCTTCCCACAGCACACTCTCCAGACTGCTGAGCAGCGCGCGCAGGTTGTCGCGTTTCCCGTCCCTCCATGCCGCGATGCGCGCGTCTACTTTGTCTGTCAGCGCGATCTTCTCGTCCCCTTCCTTCTCGGCGGCCCTGTGAGCTGCCCGCAGTCGCTCCACCGCCTCGGAGTCCTTCTGCGGAGCGGGAGATGGCCTGGGACGGCTCGGCGGCGCAGCAGGGCGGGGTGCCGCCGGTCTGGGTGTGGGCGCAGACTTCGGGGCGAGAGCCTTCTGACACCTCTGTCTCCCGGCCGTGGCCGTTGCCCCGCCCAGCCCGGCCTCGACGCAGAGCTGCCAGACTGCTGCGGCGTCGGCCCACTTCTCCATCTGCTCGAGGGCTTCCGCCTTCCGGGCAAGTGCTTTGCCGTAGAGGTCGCGCATGTCGCGCTTCTCGGCGGGGGTGTCGCCGCTGGCTTGCAGCTCCACATGCTCTCCTTCGCCTTTACCCGGGCCGATGAGGCGGATGGCTTTATCGGCGTCTTCGACTGCTTGGCGCGGCTCGCCCGTCTTGAGCGCAGTTAGCGCGCGGTTGCAGAGAAGGAGGATTGTTAGGGGATGGTCTTGTGGAATGGCGGTAAGTGAGGAGGTATAGGAGACGTGAGCTGCTGCGAAGTCGCCGCGCTTGAAGTGCGCGGTGCCCTCGAGACGATGTCTGGTGGAAGCTTGCAAGGCAATAGGCGAGATGGGCGGTATTTGACGCGCCGGACGTGGAGTGGGTGGTGGCCGTGCTGCGGGCCGAGGAGCTGGGGATGGTTGCGGAGATCTAGCAGGTGGTGCAGGGCTGGCCATTGAGGATACGGCCAAACCGAAAAGCAAATCCGGCTCCGGATCCGACGGGGCCTGCGTCTCCGGTTGCGGTTTTGTGGTGGCCTTCTTCCTGCGTGCCGGGCTAACATACGCTTGGAAGCTTCCATCTTCAGCGGCATGCCTGCGCGGTTGCAAGAGCGGATCGGCAGGTGGGTGCGAACCTTGTCGCCATTTTGGAACTTGAACATCCTGCCCCGGCCGAGGCGGAAGAACTGGCAAACGTCCCCGGGGCCGAGTTTCGGCAGAACGGTGGCGCTCAGGTGCGAGCCCTCCTACTTCCAACATCAGGGCCTCATCTGTGACTTCGGCTTCGGCCGTCCGCATTCCCGCGCCGCTGGCGGTATGGTCTTGGCCGACTGACCGCATCCATTTCGGCTGGCCGGGGTCTCCGTCTTGCTGGAACTCAGCGACCGCTTTCTGGACCTTCTTCTGCCCTGTTTTCCAGAGGCTATTTGCGGTCTTCAGGAAACTTGACCCCACAGCAGCAGCAGTCTTCGCGAAGTCCCCTTCCATAGACGCCGGCGACCGGGCGTCCCTGCTTCTCATCCCATCATCTTGTGATCCGTCTCTCATCCACGACCGCGTACCATTCCGGGATTGACTCGGGGCTCGCTCGTCGCTACCCCTGGGCTGCTCCTTCATGCCTTCCCGACCCTTCGCCTTCTCCTTTGCCTGCCGGTGGGCATCGTCCAACAACCAATTCACGGCAGCCTGCACATCGAGTCCTGCTCCACTCTCTGTAAGCCCTCTCCTGGCGTTCTCGGGGGTGAAACCATAGTCCACAAGCTGGGCGACGGCCCTGTCAAAAGGATCGTCGGGGGGGGCAGCCCCGGCAGCCTCGGAATCTGAAGAAGAATCCTCGATAGGTTTCCCTGGCTCAGGTTCCCGCGCGAATGTCGGCGCTGCCTTCCTTCTCGCCTGATCAACCGGTTTGCCTAGGTCTCCTAGCAGATCGTCTTCCTCATCGGCAGCCGGCGGCGGCGGCGCACTGGGCTTCGTCTTGAGTTGGTTGAGCCCGAACGGGTCGTCGTCCTCGTCATCCAAGGCGCCGCCGCCAGGTGTCGTAGGCTTGGCCCAAGACTGCGGGTTTCGGAGATCCAAGGCTGGCGCGTCCGGTGGGGAAGGGCTAGACGAAGGGGGTGGGAAGTAGCTAGAGTTGTCGACTTTGGTGCTGGCATTGAACGCCGCAAATAGATCATCGTCCGACTCGGCTACTGACTTCCCGTTCTGTATCCTTGGGCTCGGCCCCGGTACCGAAGGCGGCGTCAGTATACCGGGCGATGGCGCCCCGCGAGAGCCCGATTGGCTCTGGCCAAGGGAATCCAGAAACTGCCCGTCTCCATATTGTGCTTGTGCCTGCTTCCGCCTCTCCTCCTCTTTTTTCCTCTTCTCGGCTTCAATCTGCTGTTGTCGCTCGCGCAGAGTCAGATTTGCCGTGCTCTTCCCTGCGGCCAAGCTGAGCAGATTTCCGAAGCTATCCTGCACGGGCTTCGAAGCCGGTGGCTTGGGTCCAACAGGCCCAGAGCCCTGGCTTGACAGCGGCGTGTTGCGGCCGGATCCGAAGGGCGACGGGGTTGGACGCAGGGAAGGATAGGCCGGGACCGCGGGGTTCGGCGAGGCCGATGGCGCTGGCTTGCCTTGGTTGGGCGCCGACCAGCTCAAACCAGCGAGATCGTCCATTGCGTAGCCGGCAATACGGATCTTCGCACGGCATCAAACGGTGAGTTGGTTGGATGGCCCGTGCAGGTGCACGAGAACGCGTGTGCAAAATTCAAGCTATGGTGTAATAACCTGGAAGTTATCAAGCATAGGTACTTGTACCTAATACGGTCAAACAAGGAGGTCGGATGCCGCGACGCATCGGGCAAGGCATCAGGTGCCTCCATTTTATTACGGTAAGGTTAGTACAATTTGTAATTTACTGTACGAAGTACACGGGGCGAGCGGGCTTTGAAGGAAGCTGAGGTGCAGTGGGGAACCTTTATCCATTATAGGTTAAACGGTCAGGTGACCAGATGGGAATTTATCAGCCCGCCCAGGAAAGTTAGAAAAAGCATCGCACTTTCACCCCACTATTTTCAGCTTGCAGAGCCACATCCAGCCACAGGGTATGTGGGTACGGCACAGCCAGCTGAGCAAATAACAAAATCCATATTAAATGTTACCGTCAAGCGTCGCTCTCTCACATACAGATAACAGCCTATCTTGATTTTGGACCCAGTACCTAGCTTGTAATATGATCTTCAGGGTTTTGCGGTGTTTGTGAGGTGTCGATCGGGCCAACACTGAGGGCTCCGACTCCGAGGATCACCAAGCCGCCTGACTACCTCATAATCTTTTCTGCTACACTAGCAGATGATGAGCGGCGGCCAAGGTCGGGCATAGTTGCATTTCAGAGATGGCTCCATCTTGTCATAGCGGTCACTTAATCACTTATTACTTCGTGCGACAACAGCATCTCTTTAGCGTTTGACAGTCCTGAGATCCGAAAACCAACCAAACCCGGGCCCGCCGCTCATTAAGTTCCCCAGGTGTTGTACTTGTACATCCATATCAACATTCGCCTTGAAGAAGGTCGCCAAGGAGTCCCGATAATTTCACCAGGAGGGGAGTAGCTTAGATCTCGGAGTGTGATTGGCTATGCACGCATCTTGGTGGATACCATTTCGTGCATACCAAGCCTGAAACACAGTTTCACCTTTGGCGCCCGTCCGATCCCAGCTGGAGCGACATGGAGGTCATTCTTCCAATTCCACGGCTGTGCATGGGGAACCCTCTTACCCCGCCCTGTGACTGGGAGACTGGGCACCAGCGAGTCACTGAAGTCACTCAGCTTCTGTTTGCAATTTCAGATCACTGGCACTGCTAACAACTCAACCCAATATCACAATGGCGCCACGTCGCCAAAGTCACTGAGCGCAGCATAATGAGTTTGCCGGGCACGGGCTGCCGTGATCGGATGCTGTGTTGAACGGCAGCCAGATCCTGAAGTTGGTAACAAGTAGGTACTACAAATGAATAGATGGTGAGATATCAGCTATTTCACAAGTGCGATGCTTCGTGCATCCTTTAATTACGATATTGCGCCCATGCCATGGAGTTGTGAACCAATTATCGGAAAAGACGCCATGCTTCTACAGTATGGTAGAGTGGTGCTTGTGCAAGGATTGAACGATGATATCGGTGCGCGGTGTGGACCGAATGCGATACGCTCCATCCAGGACACCAGCCCTAATAAATGACTTTGTTTAACTAAATAAAGCGCGGAACTGCCGACCGAAGTGCTGGTCACATCCTGGGAGTCTGAAAATACACTGCCAAAAGAAGAAATGATCCAACGCAAAGTGATAGTAAGAGCAGTTCACAGTTGCCTAACGGCTTCAGTTCATTCATACTCTTATTTCATAGAAAAAATGGCCGTGGTGATGTTTAGTTGGAAAACTTGGGGCTGACTCTGGGGACTCAGTCTGGTTTTCAATTCAGACGTTACGAACATTCAGCGGTTAGGCTGTACAATACATGTATTGTACATTGTGCCAGCAAGAGTGTCCATACCCCGGCATGCCCTGTTCAGCATTACAGTCACATCTGGGCCTCGCAGAGGATGACAGGGCGTATAAACTTATAAACTTCCCCAGATTTGATCCACAATGCATGGACTTGGAAGGAGCGATAACTGGCATTAGATAGTTCAACTGTTGCATTTTCACCTATTGTTGTAATGCATTGTGTGGTGGCGCAAAAGACATGCGGATCTGTCACTGTAATTCCGGGATAGGTCGTGCCAGAGTCGGGACTCTTTCGTTCTCCATGGAGACCGATATCTTTGTGGATGGAGAGCTTTGCGGCTCCTATTTAAGGTTAGTTATTCGGAAAACCGGCTCGATCGCTCTTGGCAGTGCGGCCGTTCCTGCATTAGTTCCAAGTACCTGACTGATCCATGTCAGTGGGCAACCCTGACGCCCCTTAATCCTCCACAAGAAGTCCTGTCCCTTCTGAGCAGCCAATCATAAGCCTCCTTTCTCTTGATGAACGCTGCTTTGGGCAAGAGCAACCTGCAGGACTTGGCAAGGGGTCGTCCACACCCCTTTTGGTGGGGTTTCCCCGTGTCCACAGGGTACATGCCGTAGTATTCGCACTTATCGCAGCGCGCAATGCTGTATCCCGCTCTTGAAGTCGCGCGTCCTCTCCATTTCCATTTCGCAACCCTTCCTTTTTCGCACTTTGCGTAGTCCTTTGCCTTACCGACCCTTTCGTTTTCACCACACAACTTTCACTTTCACTCCCCGATTCGGGACTTACGCTCTCTACCAGTCAGCACGATTCGAGTTCCTCACCGTCATTCATTTATCGCATTTGGGTTGATTACCGATTCCGCTCCTTGATGGACTCGAAGTCTGCCGCCTGACAATTTTCTCTGCCAGCCTTGAAAGCAAGGCCGCCGCATTTTCCATTCTGCGACGTCAGCATCACTTCAACTCGAGAAATCTAAGTTGGGCTTCTAAAGTTGGACTTCGTGCTCGGTCGGCAGGTTTGGCGCAAAGGAGACAGCAAAAAGAACGGCTTTCCCGGTGCCACAAGTTGCAAAGGCTCGTGGACCAAACAGCCGTGGACAGTATTTCGTGGTCGGTTCCTAGGCCGTGTCTGTGATTCCTGATAATCTTAGGCTTGCGGCGCCTGGTCAAACTGGTACGTTGAGCTGTGGGAGTGCGACAGAAAAATCTCTTTGCCGTTTCTTGGGCCTTCGTCAAGACCATGTTTTCATCATCCCCCGAACCCGTTCGTTGTTGGATCCCATCCCTCCCTCCCTACGCATCCATCCCTCCCTCTCCCCCAAAATTCGCCACTTTCTGAAGACGGACGCGCCGGTTGTCATCGGTGCGGAAGGCATTGGTCACGAGACTCGCTTGGTTCGTCGTCATCCCAACTGTCTGTGTTGTTTTTCGTCACCCTTCACCCCTTTGGGCAAGGCTTCCTTTGGTTCGTCATCATCTGAGGAAGTCTTGCTGTCATTCATCGCACCGTGAACCGGCTCCCCACACCACGCCACAAGACTCCCTTGCTCCGTTGTCGTCTGAAGATGTTTGGGTTGTTTCGATCGTTTGCCATGCAGAGTCGGAGGTCAGCAGACCTCCTTGGCTACCCTCACCAACCAGAACATTGCCTTGATGCCTTGTATGGACCGGTATAAAAGCTAACCGATCTTCCTAAAGGACCATTTCCACTCCAACCTTTACCATCCACGTTTCACTCACTTCGACATTCATCAAACGATCTGACATCTCAACCACCTATCTACTTCATTCATTCTCTATTCTCAACAACGATCACTTCGCCATTCGAAATGACCAGCATGTTCATTTCTTTCCTTCTTCTGGTGTTGACCAGCAGCGCGGCCGCCTTTTGGCGGATGGAGTGCCGAGGGAGTGTCGGTATGGCACGGTTGGATCCAATGATGAACCCTGGGACCGCATCCCAGCATGCGCACATCATCCATGGGTCATCCGGTAAGTCAATTCTCTCGAGCATCGCGTTGAAGTCCCGAGTGCCCCAAACCGTGCAATGAAGGAGGACTCGACACTGACGTATTATAGGCTTTTCCAGTAATCCCACCTATGAAGATCTCTCCCGCGGCGAATGCACTTCGTGCGCTGTAACGCAAGACAAGTCTGCGTATTGGACGCCGAATCTTTACTTCCGACACGCCAATGGATCGTTTCAGGCGGTCAACCAGGTCGGCGGTATGTTGGCATATTACTTTTTGAACAAAGATCAGAAAAATCCGGACGGCGCCATCAGAGCATTCCCCAATGATTTCCGAATGATCGCCGGCGATAGCACCCGGCGATCCTATTCTGTCGGGGGCCTCAGTTACCTTGAGGCCGATCCCGACAAGTCTTTTTGGGGACGGCTTGGCCAAATTAACCAGAAAGACCTCGAACAGCGCGCTCTCGGTTTTAATTGTCTTAACTACCAGAGGGCGCCGGAAGGTAGCCTCGCACGCCACTACTTGCCTGATAAAGCATATCTCGACGCCAACTGCCCGGATGGAGTCCGGTTCGAGGTTTCATTCCCCTCCTGCTGGAACGGAAAGGACCTCGATTCTCCGGACCACAGATCTCATGTGGCTTATCCGGACTTGGTCCTTAATGGGAACTGTCCGGAGGGCTTCGATGTGAAGATCCCAGGGCTGTTCTATGAAACGATTTGGGACACCAACGCCTTTAACGGCATGCCCGGGGAGTTCGTCATTTCCAATGGAGATGTTTTAGGTATGTGCACTGAACCTTGTCGTGATCCGACTGTATGATGCTGACAATTCAAAGGCTTCGGGTACCATGGCGACTTCATCAGCGGCTGGGACGCTGAGTTCCTTCAACAGGCGGTGGACACGTGCACCAATCTCAGTGGGCGCGTGCAGGACTGCCCCTTGTTTTCATTGCAAAGCGAGGAGCGGCAACGGAGCTGCAAAATGCGGATTCCATCGTTTGTCGCAAGCGAGAAGGTCGCGGGCCTCATTGGGGACGCCCTTCCGGGCAACGTCCCAATTAAGTACGGTCCCGATCCGGTAAACGGAGAACCGCAGACATCGTCGGTGTCGGTACCTGTGCCGACCGTCGGATACACGCCGGGTACAACTGTAACCGGCTCAGACTACTTGCCGGGAGGTGTCTTCAGGGAATCCTCTACGACAACCACAGCCACGACGACTAGCACTGCTACCAAGGCAGATGCGCTCAATGACGAAGGCCCCACGACAACCGCAGCACCCAGCTCGCCAAATGCTGCTGGTTATGAGGTGGTCGCTACCCAATATGTTACAGATGGGAATATTGTGAGCAAGCTTGTCGTAGTGGAGGCGGTCCAGTACGTAGTCTCTGCGACCGAAACGGTGACGGTCACTGCCCCCACGAGCAGCCTGAAGGCCCGGCGTGGTATTCACATGCGCCGCCAACGTCACAGGTCCCGCCAGTGAGGTACCGGCATTAGCACGGTTGGAGGATAGGGGTTGGGGTATCATGGGTTCTATCGGGTGTTTCCGTTTTCATCATGGCAAAGCATTGATTGCTGCTGCCGCTTGAGATGGATGGTGCATGAGTGGGTGTCTGTGATGTTTATCTGGGGTTGCATTTCACCGGTTCTAGCTCCCGCGGCTTGCCTGCAAGTCAAATATTTAGGTAGATCAAATCCAACCGGTGTTCCTGATATACAGTGGTGATCCTCAACGTGGGGCGGACAAGCCTTCAGTCTTAAGGCCCAGGCCCTCCACAAGTCATGTCTTTAGCTAGGTAAGGTATTGTACGATGCCGCGGAGGATAAGTGTATCCTTTGGCACTGCAGAAGAACAGCAACTGAATCCCCACGGCATCGTATGTGTGTTGCTCACTGGCAATCCTGAACAGACTTGGAGCGTCAACAAAAACGGGACACTGTTCCTTTGCGCCATCATCTCGGTAGTCTGAGACATTCCAGCAGTTGAGGAATCATCACGAGCACAGAACGGCTGGACTGGAATGGTGTCGCCCGTCACGACCCATTCCAGTCCCGACCAAGTTCGACCAACCGGTCAGCCGATCAGCCGCCTAGTTAGATTCCACTCGTGCCAGTCCCGATGGTGTTGTGACCTACTAGCTTACCTACCTACTACCTTCTTACTCTGCGATATCTTGTTTTTTCGCGGCCCCCGTCCTCCCTCCTCCTCTCCTCATTCTCTCTCTCTTCGTCCAAGGTCCTTTTCTTTTTCCCCCCACCCTCTCCTACACCCATCCCACAACAAACTTCCGGGGAGGATCTACCTAACCTCACAGAAACAGAAAGACAGATAGGTAGAATAAGTAAGGTTGGTTCCCATTCGTCTTTATGCCTACCCACCTCCCTACCTACCTTAATCAGCTTTTGTCCCTGTCTAAACTTTGTTTGAGTTGAACAGCATTTCACAAGCTAGCCAATCCGTCAAGGAGTTAACATGACATAACATAAGATAGTAGAGAGAGAAAAGAGTCAAAACACAGCGAGAGAAAAGAGTCAAAACACAGCGAGAGAAAAGAGTCAAAACACATAGAGAGAGAGAGAGAGAGGAGAGAGATTTGCTGGCTGCGCTAGAAAAAAATAAAAAGAAAGAAAAAGAGAAAGAGAGCTCGAAAACGCACACCCGCGACGCGGTCGATCCATCAATGATGATGATGGCCATCATCCGCAGGGGGGGCGACAAGTCGGCAGCAGCAGCAGACGACGGCTCGTTCCACACCCTATTCGGGGTCATCCTGGCCGCGAACGTGCTGTTCGCGCTGAGTGTGGCCTGCCTGCTCATCTGGCTCCGCCGGCGGCGGCACTGTCGGGGCCGGAAGGATGAGGAGGCGGATGATGAGGATGAGGAGGGAGGAGGCCCGGAATATGCTGCCGATGCCAATGCTGATGCCGGTGAGGCTGTTGTTTATGACGCCGTCGGTGGCGGTAGCGGTAGCGGGAACGACACGGACGGGAGCGGCTTGTGCTGCTTGTCTGCGGCGTCGGAAGAAGATGCGAGGGCAAGGGAAAGGGCAAGGGTGAGGGCGGAGAGGGAGAGGAGGAAGCTCACCAAGGCTTGTTCCATGGGTGCCGGTCTCGGGGGCACATCGCCGACGAAGAGGGGGGAGAAGAAGATGATGATGACGGCGGAGGAGGTTTTGGGAGGGACTTGGGGTTGGGATCGAGGTTGGAATTGGAGTGGTGGTGGTGGTGGAGTGAAGAGGCATACACACAGGAGTAAAAGGAGTTGGAGTATGGCGCTGATTCCGAGGGTGTGTACCAGGGGGCATTTCCACTTTGGCTTTAGCCGGAGCGAGTCGTGCCGGTGGCCGGAGGAGGAGGAGGAGGAGGAAGGGGGAAAGGTTTCCGCCGGGGCAGGAGAGGTTGAGATGAGGGATGTGAATGACGACTCTGGGCTGGCTAAGGTGTGTAAGCGCAAGTCGTCGTGGATCGACGAGGATGCGTTGCACGGGCCGAAGGTCAGCAGCGGCGGTGATCGCGGCTTCACGAGGGAGGCGAAGAGGAAGAGCCGCGGATCGTCGTGGCCGCTCAGGAACAGGGCGCCCACGCTGCCGAGGGTGCACCACACTGTCCACGGCTATCCGTATTCGGTGGGCGAGCAGGGAGAGGGGTCCTCGGAGGCGTTGCTGGACTATGCGCAGCTGAGAGACTTCTCCCGAGTCCTGCCGGTGCCGCCCAAGCCTGCTCTTGTTGCCCACCAGGACAGACGCGCCATCCGACCGTCGGTTACCATGGGCTATGTGTACGGAGTCCCGGGGATGCCGAAACCCGTCATCAGCCCTCCGGTCAGTCCGACCCGGTCTCTGCCCGTGACACCGTCCAGGCTCAGGGGCCGGCAGCAGTCGACCGATTCAACGCTGACTGAGATCCTGAGGTCGACCGAGAAGAGGCTCCGCGAGGGAAGCGTCACGGGGACTGTCTGGGGGAACAAACTCGCGGCATCCCCTACCAAAACATCACCGTCCAAGACAGCTGCGTTCCGAGGTGATGGCGTTCCAGCCGGCCGATCCAGACCAGCGAGTCCAGTAAAGCATGTCCCGAACCAGCCGGGCACGCCGGGACACAAGCGCCAGGACTCGCAGCAATCCGTCTCGTCGGAGGCGGACAGTCTCGTGGGCCAGGAGTGCGCCAGTCCGGACACTCCCACGGGGCTCACCAGTCCAAGCCGCCGTCCGAAGAAGCAGGAGCAGCCAGAAGGGCTCCCGGCACGAGCACATTCGGTGCGCACGTCCCTCTCGTCGGAGCTCTCGACGCTGTACAGCGAGGACGAGATGCCGGAAGAGGTGAGGAAGGCCATCCAGCCGCTCGAGGGCCTCGTGGTGCAGCCCCAGCAGCCCGCGAGTGTCGGCGCTCCGTCCATGAACGACCCATTTGCCACGCCGTTTCTGCCGCTGTCGGTTTCTCGGGCGTCTTCAGTCGGCCGCACGGGGCAGACGAGGCACAATAAGTCCCAGGACCTCTTCCGGGCGAGTCTGCAACAGCAACGGTCGCAGCGTCTCCGCAGCATGACGGTCGGACAAGCCCCAGCGCAGCCCGGGGGGCTGATCCTGGCGCCTGGTCCCGTTATGAGCGGTGCGATTCCAACTCACCAACTCCAACTCGCTATCCCGTCGTCTCGCCGAGGCTCGGTGACGATCCCGCCCTCCATCCAACCGTACATCGCGCCGAGAGCATCAGAATCGCTGCCGTCGCCAAACCGACAGTCGCCGACGGCACAGACCCCCAGCGGGCCGCTCTTCCTGCGGGTGACCAAGACGAGCACGCTGAGCACGATCCCATCGCTCCCGCCGCCGTCGGCACCGGGCCTCGGCACCATCGGCGAGCAGAGAGACGACAACAAGCCCTCCTCGCCAGTCAAAATGTCGCACCCCGCCGTCGACCCGCTTCAGGAGGGAATGCGCAACCGCGTTGCTCCGGCGCTCGTGCTCCCCTCCACGGAACGGTCCAGCGCACCGCCGTCACCAACGCGTCGCGTCGGCGGCGAGGTGCGGCTCTCCTTCGTTCTCGCGCCCAAACAGCGAGAGGAAAAGCGCTCCAGCACGGCCTCGTCCGTCTACTCGCAGGACGCCAGGCCAGCTACTGCTGCTGCTTCTGCCGCCGTGGAACTCAACCGCGCCAACTTCCGAGCCAACTCCTCGCTCTACCCGGCGCCTCTCTCGCCACGCAGCCGCGTTCTTGGCCCATCTTCAGCGGCCAGGAATTCCTCCGATCCACAGTCGCCTAATCACGGAGATGCAAAAGAGGATAACCGGGGCGACCACGACGAGGACGAGGAGGAGGAAGCGGAGGAGGAGGAGGATAGGAAACTGGCAATCCCCACGACCATCGCCTCGCTGCGCCGCATGAACAGCGGGATCAGCACCGCCTCCAGCCTGGCGAGCATCACCGACCGGAACCCGAGCCGCAGTCCCAGCCCACCCCCCAGTCCCAGCCCTAAACGAATGACCCTCCTCCACCAGGCTGTGCCCGCAGCTTCCTCGCCTGCCAAGGTTGGTGGTGGTGGTACCAGTGCAAGTGCCAGTGCCGCGAGTACTCCCGCGCGGCATTCTCAGTCCCATCGCAAGAGCATCGGCGCCAGGAACTACTTCGCCATGGGCGAGTCGTCGTCGTCGCCCAGGCTGTCGAGGAATGGGATCGTGCGCTCCTCCCGCGCCGGAGGAGGGTCCGCATCGGCATCACCGACCCGGAAAAGGAGGCGGCCGACCAGTGCTGCTAGTATCACTACTACTGCTACTAGTAGTGCCGTCATGCTTCAGCTTCACTACCAGCAGCAGCAGCAGCGTTTGCTGTTGTCGTCTTTGGGCGGTGGTAGTGCAGGGGATGAAGGCAAGGAGAATACCAATCGTGGTACTGTCATTGATAATGGTAATGATAAGGGTACTAGTAAGGCAGAGGTTGGAGGAGGAGGGTTCTTCAAGCTGGCCGGGGGGGAGTTCACTTTTGAAGTCAGCAGTCCGACTGCTACTACCGCCGCTACGACTGCTATTGTCAGTAGTGCTCAGGATGGCTTGGGAAAGGGTGCGCTGGGGTTGAGGGAGGGCAGTGCGGCGAATGTGAACAACGTTGCGGTGGTGCAGCAGCAGCAAGGACAGAGGCTGTCGCTCGCGTGGAAACCCGCTGTCGGTGAGGGGCCTGGAAGTAATCCCGGCAGCCCGTCGAGGGGAAGTCTGAAGAGTGTGGACAGCTTGGGGTTGTATGACCGCCAGGGGTTTCTGATCTCGGCGTCGCCTGCGAGGGGATTGAGTCCTGTTGGGTTGAGGGTGTGATGGATCTGTGTCTGACATATCCCATGCTTTTCTGTTGTTTGTCTTTCTGTTTTAGAGGGCTTGTTTTGAGAATCTCATCTGGTTAATCAAGTAAGTTAGGAAGGTAGTTAATGTTTGAGGTGTCGCCTGAGGTGCGACAAAGGAAAGTTTGTTTGAGTGTTACGCCCATTACGGATATTACCCGAGAAATCGAATCGAAGAAAGAGTTGGCAGGTGGCAAGCAGCTGCCCTACTGCCCACGCATTTCACTCTCTCCATCTCATCTCCCCTCAACCTCACCTGCATCCACCTCTCACTCACCAACATCTACTAATAATACCAGGTAGTCACTGATAGGTAATATACTGTCACCCCCACACACATACCATGCCTCCCCTCCCTCACCCGGCCCTGCCGCGGCTCATAACGTACTACCAAACGCACCACACCCCCTCGGGCAAACCCATCTCGGTGCTCCCGCTCCTCCAGCAGCCGGGCATCGCCCTAACCCACCTCATCCTCGCCGCCATCCACATCAACGAAGACCCCCTCGCACTCACCCTCAACGATCACGCCCCCTCACACCCGCGCTTCACCACCCTCTGGGCCGAGCTGCGCATCCTGCAGGCCGCGGGAATCAAGGTCCTCGGCATGGTAGGAGGCGCCGCCCAGGGGACCTTCACCCGTCTCGACACGGAAGACGAGCCGACCTTCGAGCGGTACTACACGCCCCTGCGCGACCTGATCCGCGCGCACTCGCTCGACGGCGTCGACCTCGACGTGGAGGAGCCCATGTCGCTGGCGGGCATCATCCGGCTGATCGACCGACTGCGCACCGACTTCGGCCGGGACTTCCTCGTCACGCTGGCGCCCGTGGCCGCGGCGCTGCTCAGCGCCCAGCATAACCTGAGCGGCTTCGACTACGAGGCTCTGGAGGTGATGCGCGGCAGCGAGATTGCCTGGTACCACGCCCAGTTCTACTGCGGCTGGGGCGACTGTAGCAACCCGGCCATGTACGAGATGCTGCTGGCCAAAGGGTGGCCGTCCGAGAGGATCGTCGTCGGCCTGGTGACCAACCCGGCCAACGGCGCCGGGTGGGTGCCGTGGAACATGCTGGGCAGTGTGGTGCCGCTGCTGGTCGGGAGGCATCCCCGGTTTGGAGGGGTGATGGGGTGGGAGTATTTCAACAGTCTGCCGGGCGGGGAGGAGCGGCCGTGGGAATGGGCGCGGGCCATGACGGCGCTGTTGAGGGGGAGCAGGACGGTGCCACTGTCCGGCGGCGGTGTGGAGGCGGTAGACGCGGGGAAGGAGGCAGGGCCGATGATACCTTGGTCTTCCGGGGAGGAGGTAGATCCGGACGCGGCCGGAACGGGGGATGAGGTACCTGTGCCTGGAGAATTCGAGTATCACTCGGCTGACGATTCGGAGTACAACGAGCAATAGAGGGCCGTTCAGCCTTCGCCCCAGTTCTCATCGAGGGAGGGCATCCTTCTGCTACTCGGATGACATGTTTTGGTTGGCCGCTCAGATGACGTAAAACAGATACGGCACCTGTTCCCCATACCCGCGCCACGCCTCGCCGTACATCACTTCTCGCCGCAGCAGCTGACATCATAACATTAGCGCGGATGCTGACGATGACAGGTATCATTGCCGAGTCTCGCAACTCGCATTTCGGGACTGGACACTCGCTGTGAGCCGGCAAGTTCGAGAATCAGTATCACTCGGCCGACGAGTGCAACGACGTATAGACGCCATTTTGCTTCATCGACTATTCCATGTCTGGTAGCATCCGCGAGCATGCTAACGGTGATGGTACCATTGGCAAATCTTATAACTCTCCATCTCGGGATTGCATAGCCGCTGAGGACCGCCGGGTGCGCTTGATGACGTTGCCTTTGTCTTATCCTTTCGTGAGCTTTGTTCCATCCGGTGTGTCTCCAGTTTTATACTTCATTGCTGAACTGCCAAGTCTAGTTGCTGTTGAGTTGGCCCATGGGTCGTTCTGGAGACTGAACGTCACATAGTGCAAAGCCGGAAACGCCTTGAAGCCGGGTGCATGAGGAGGGCTGATGATCTACCACGCCCTGTTGGGCGACATTTCTCCAGCAAGCCGAGCCGCTGCCGTACAAGGAGTCGCGCCCGCTCGCGGTGAGGTGAGCGTGCCGCTGGACACTGACGTATCCGGGTCAGCATACTCATCAGTTCGTCTCAGATGTCATCCGGTCTGGTGCAAGTAGATCGACCCCATTTTGGACATCGGAAGGTATTCGGGACCAGAGCAGACCAAACCAAGCCAAGCCCCAGATCCCCTTGCCTTGGCCATCCGTCCCTCCTTGAGCCTTCAGGTGAGGTCACCAAGCGGTGCACAAGCGCTCTCTTGCGAAGGCTAGTTGGGGGTTTTGCATTCCCAGTACAAACACCCAACAATTATTAGCGGAGTACAAGCTGCTTCTCTGGATACAAGCAGGTGAGTCGGATGATGTCAGATGGTGTCCTTGAGGCCTTTGAGATGCGAGGCGGCGAAATCATACGTCAAGGAGGTGGATGGGTCCCGGGCCCCGAGGGGAGACTCCGCAAAACACCTCCCAATGCGATCCGGTACGCAAACACCAGATCGCCCGGTCCGCTGCGTGCGTCAGTGGGTGCTTTGGCGGCACGAGGAGTCGGTTGTAACTTCCGGAGCTCTAGTTCCATGGCTCTATCTTCGATTACGAGGGCGTGCATCATAATATCGAGATGACAACAACAGGGGGCAACCACAAAACCACTTCTTGGCATACAACGTACTTCAGTTGATCCATATCGACTGGTAGGTTCTAGGGGTAACTTCGAGTCTCGAGTGATTGTACGGTAACAATAGAAATGATAACAAAACATAATTAAAATTGTTTCTTCAATTTTGGCCTCTTCTTTGCTGTGTATTGAGTAGGTGACTCCTGGGTTTGGTAGGCCTGTTTTTGTCTCGATCGAGGTACCCCCTCGTGCTCGTCATGGCCCAGTATGACACATGCGGTGAAGGTTGGGAAAGGATGGTGATGTCAACAGAAGCCCTTAAAGGTCCGCGATGTTTGCTATGAAGGAATGATGGGTGTTTGAAATTGGTGGTTGAAGTGACACAGATCAACATTCTGGGCCTTCATGGGGTAAAATCTGGACCAGGGACGCATGCAATGCTTGAGCTTATCTGGTGGCGGCGACGGCTGGTGTTCCCCGTTTATGTTGATCACTGGCACCTCAAGTGCAAGTCGGAGTACGGATGTCCCTACCAAAAGAACCCGCTCACCGCCTTCAGCGCCAAGACCACCACACTTGTAAAGAAGTGTAAGGTAATTACCTCCTGCCATCTCTCCAGAATCTACTACTCTATTAGGAAACAGTGAAGTTATTCAGTGCTAGGCCCGGGGGACAGAACAACATCTTGACGGCGTTTGTTTGACGTCCCTTCTGCGTATTCGTTCCCGCCCTTCAAGCGAATGACCTCCTGGATATGGTGCGGGATCCTCTCAATCCAACGTTGTATCCTCCACTGTTCTAGATCATCCCACGCCTGTTTCCAGACTATCTCTGCCTGGCTCTTGTTCTTTGGAGCTCCCTTCTTTGTTGTTACCCGCTTTAGATGCGGCCAATACGGCTCGATCATATTAAGATCAGGGGAGTTGGGGCACCAGACGAGTCTTGATACTCCAGCCGCTGAGAAGATTGTAGCTTGTGCGTAGTGGGCGTGAGAAGGTGCCAGGTCTTCCTGAACAAGAGCATCTGGGCCATACTGCTTGGCGTATGGAATGAGCTTCTTCATTAGGATCTCCTTCTGGTAGCGATACCAATCAACGCCAGAGCCTCCTCGTTGTGTAAGCTTGCCGTGCTTCGTATCCCACCTCCATTGAGGAGCTCGTCCGCCTTGATTCCGTAGCTTCAAGCGCCTCATTCTAGTTTCTAGCTCCTACTGCTCGCGGAGGATAGGTTCTAGCTTTGTATTCAGCTCCTCGAGGTCTTTCTCGGCTGCCTTCCTTTCTTGCACGGTCTCTGGATGCCAAATATGATATGGCCCCTTTGAATCGTATGAGAAACAGCCCCAGAACTGGAACTTAGTATATCCCTTCTAGCGCTCGCGAATACAAGACTTGACGAACTTCTCCTCAGGGGTCCTCCAAACGTAGTAACTACCCCGGCGATGGTTTAAGACGACAGATATCTCGTCAGACCAGATAGCTTGCTTCCAATCTTCGAGAGTCCAATGCTCAAAGCGAAGATAGAACTCGAACCGATCTCTCTTTATCTTTTCTATTAGACCAGGCTTGCGTGTTGGCTTCGTCTTCTTCATCCCAGCAGCGCGGAGGATACGCCAGATAGTCATTGGCGAGATGGTATTGCCTAACTCTGCCGAGATATAAGCGCATGTCATCTCACGGCCGAACCGGCTCTGGCGGACCTTCTCAAGAATAGCATCTTTATTATCGCCTTTCTTCGAGGGACGGCCGGTCTTTGGAGCATCACAGACATGTTCGTCGAGGATGATAGGGGGGGAGATATTTGGGTCGAAGCCACGTGCGAGAGCTCTATCGGCAAGGTCGTTAAGAGTCCGCGGCTTAATGCCAGTAAGCTCTTCCACCTGCTTATTATCGAGCTGAACAATCAACTTGAGAGTTAGCGCTTGAGCGCGTGTAGCTATATCATGGTAAACCATAGTAAAAGAGGTTCGTTGAAGAGGATGATGATGGAAAGAGATGTACGATGCGGGGGAGTTTATCCCTTCCTAATTGGGACCGAATACAGCTGTTGTAAATACCGGCTAATTCTGCCGGCTATATATCAGAGCGGTGAGCGGATTCTTTTGGTAGGAACATCCGTATAACCTGGTATGTATCAGCGTTTGGAAGGTACCGTTGATTACAAGCTGAAGACAAGAATTTAGCCTGCAATGTGGGGCTCGACCAGGTTGGGGGTTGACGTGACGTCACAGCGACCCGCTTTTCATGCGTCAATGGCGCCAGCCCCGTAGCCTCTCTACAGAGTGCACGGCAAGACACAGGTCGAGTGGCAGTTTACGCCATTTCAACCAACTCGGAGTTCTGTCAGTCCGAATGCAGATGGTGCGTGCGAGTCGGCTAAGTTCTTCGGAAGGCCATGTTCTGACCGCAGTTCTTGCCTTTGCAAGGAAACGTAGAATAGGTAGCCAACCGATCTAGGGTACGTTTCTTCAGCTGCTGATCTGGAGCTACATGTACTAGTACTAACCCGCAATACTCCGTAATACAAACCGGTATGTGAAACCCTGGACACAGCTACCGTTTTCGTAGAGTGTCCAACCGTTGACATCATGAGACAGCCCTCACATTTCCTGCAAGAGGGCGGATTCGATCATTGCTGGCTGGCTGCCCTCCCCGGTCGTCCCAGGCAGGACTTGCCGTTTACTGTAGAAGCCCGGCCTTCCTCGTTCGAGATACGTAACGGTACATCCATTATACAACATGTCTGACCTCGCCTGCCTTTTCCATACCCGGTGGCAACCCGTTTCCCACACGGCGAAACCGGTCTGCGTGTGATTCGCGGAGTCGGTTGCTCTACAAGGGATCTTTCACTTTCGATCTCCGCGGTGCTCTCACCCATGTCGTCAGAGGTCGTCTCCGTTGGCCCTGGAGTCATGACGGCAGAGAAACGGTGCGGTAATGGTACGACAAGCACTCAGTCCTACCTCCGGGGGATCAGCAGCTGTTCCTGCCATTCCGAGGCAGTTCAAGGACGGCGTTCAGGGTCTGTAGTAGCATCTCAGACGTCCCTTGCTGCCGTGCGACCAAGCCAGCAGTACATATCGTGTGAACCGGGCAATGAGCCTTCGGCTGGACGAATGGCCATGGAACACACAGGAGCGGGACGAAGTACCAGACAGCCGCCTTTCTGCACGATGACCGTAGCCTGGTCCGTCAACCCTTCTCTGGCTGGCTGGTTAACGGCGGGGAAGGACGCTGTCGTTTGACAGCTTCTCTTAGGGGCCGACGATCCATGCCGGCAGGGCACATCGTCGCCGATCTGCTATTGTATGTACGGGCAAAAGCTCAGAGCCATCCGGTCAACGTCGCATCACTACCTGCGGGTTCACGTCTCACTGTACAGTGACAAAGAGCATTCAAATGGGCACGCGAGGTCCCTTGAAGAGAAAGTACCCTCCGAACCGTATGAGTAACCAGCTCGCGATCTGGAGCCAGCCAACCACCCTTGCCAGCGCCTCCCGTCGGTGGGGTGATGACTCGTCGTCAAGCCGCGCTCCACAACCTATGATGATATAGAACGCTTGGGAGGCAACGTTTTCCTCTCCGTTATATAATCTCTGACCCGACCCGCCCCTAACTAGTCCTCTTCATGCTTCTGCACCGGATACTTGTACCTTCCAAGTCATATGACTCTTTGTCTGATCGACACCTTTGTCTAGCCAGTATACCCCAGACCATCAGCCAGGTCTCTCGGAAGAACTCTCATCCTTCCATTGTCCGAATCTCTCTCATATAAGACTCGCACAACCTCATCCACGCCGCGCGCAAATCTACCATGTCGGCTACACAGGGGACATTCTCGATGCCTCAGTTCTCGCAGCCTCCCCCTCCTGACCTGGGAACCTATGCCCGCCTGATGCACCAACACACCAAGCGGCAGATGGAAGCCATCTCGCAATACTCGCAGTCGCCGCCGAGGAGTAACCGCCACAACCAGCACTCCCCGACGGGGATGCCCGATGGCGTCCAAAATCGGCGCCGGGACTCCAGCCAGCACAGTCATCAGTCGTGAAGCCCGCAACGAGTCCAACGGCAGTGCTGGTTGGCGTTCTTTATATCTGGTCGATGCCGGCCTCTTCCTTCCGCGAAAACAAATTAGGGCCGGGCAGTTGCTTGGAGGATTTCGATCAGGAATAAAAAAACCACAAGCTTGACACCCCACGAGGGTTGGACGAATGGGATGACAAGACATGACGTACACTCATGATGTATGTACATACGTCATAAAACCGGCGCACATGGTTTGGGTTTGGAGTTGAGCCTGTTTTGCATTTTGGGTTCTGGTCGGTGTTTGCTCTTGAGGTTATCGGGACGGCGTTGAAGGACACGGCAGGTTAGAGCGCATTCGGGAGCTGCGCCCGGATATCAGCGAGGGAAATACACGATCGTTGTTTGCGCTGCGTGCTGGAAGTCCAAGAATCCCCATCTTCGTGTTCCCGCCAGTTTGTTTAGGCCCAGTGAACAGACCACTGTCTACCTTATGTAGTAATTAGAAGGTGAGAATTTCATGCCAACTTCCATATCGTAGCGACGTTGCCGCCGTTGTGGACTTAGACGAGCGGCTGCTTCTTCTTGATGCCTAACAGCGCAGCGTGGTCCTTCTTCTTTTTAACCACCCGTTTGAAACTCGGAGGCGGCGCTATATCTGGAGTTGTTGCTGCCGAGGCAGGTTTCGAATCAGAGGTCGACGCCGCCGCAGAGCTCGATCCGGACCCGGCGCCGTCCCCCTTCAACACGCCATCGCCCGTCTCTCCATCCTCTTCCACAATCTCCTCCAGCGCCTCCTGCCGTCGCGCAAACGCGAACGCCCTCCTCGCCGCTTCCGCATCCTCCTCCTCCTGCCGCCTCCTCTCCTCTTCCTCCTTGGTCACCAACCCGACCCCGACCTCCAACAACCCGTCCCCTTCCCTCTGTGCCTTCTCGAGCCTCGCATTGCGACTCCTGATCTCATCCAGCGCATCCGCCACCGCCATCTCCCGCTTCGCATCCTCCGTCTTGGCCTCCAACTCGGCCATCGCATTGCGCTCCACCTCGCCCTCCGCCTCGGCCATCTCCCGCTCCAGCCTCTCCAGCCGCTGCTCGTCCGTCTCCTCCATCTCCCCCTCCAGCCCCCTCTTCCACGGCTCGGTATTCCGCTTGGCGCCCCGCTCGACCACGTAATCCTGGTTCTTGGGGTCCGTCCGGAACACGATCTCGGCCGAGCACCGCGTGCAGCGGATGTAGAACCGGTAGAGCTGGATGCCGAGGTATTTCTCGCCCACGGGCGTCTCCTTCCGGGCGTTGAACTTGCGCCCGCGGTACATGTACTCGCCGCAGGCGACGCACCGCAGGGAGAAGGGCGCCATCAGGCGGACGGTCTGGACTTTCGGCCCCGCTTGCGAGGTCTTGGACTTGCGCGCACGCCCGACGAGGGAGGGGTCGAAGTCCGGCGGGTAGTATTTACTGGGGTTGGTTGCGTTAGTATCTATCTGGAGGTTTTGCGTAGATGGAGGGAAAGGGAAGGGGTTGCATACGTAAGGACTTTGCGCTCAGACATGGTGGCGGTATGGGTTTGCGATTATGGGTTGATCTTGTACTCCGTACGGATTGCTTGCTACTGCTGAGTGGGTATGAGGAGTTAGCCTGATGCGTTGAAGGCTCTGAGGGTCGCGGTCGCAAATCGCGGTCGAGTTCTATGCAACGGTGGAGATTGTTGTGGAAGGCAGGTGATAAATGCGACGGAGTGGGAGGCCGGAAGGCGTTTTCTTATCTATAAGTGGTACGGTCAGGGTTAGGGTTGAATTGAAGAAAGTCGCTCTCACGGTAATGTCACTCAACGGTAGCATGAGCATCAACATCAACAAGACCCGAAGCGAGGCGCGGAGCAATATAAGCGTTCTGATCTTCCGCATGATACCTAGAGCGGTGTCGCATATAGGTGTTCTTTGATTCCAGCCTCAAGCATCTCGGCCAGTAGATCCCATTTCGCCGCCGCCTCCTCCCTGCTCGCCCTCGCCACACCCCTGAGGCCTCCAGCGACAAACCTAAAATGCCTCTCAAAATGTCCATTCAACTCCTTCATCACCGACTGGTATGGCTTCCTGGAATCTACGCCTTTCCCCATCCTGGCCACCCACTTCCCACTCAACGGCTCCTCCTCGTCATCGTCATCATCCCGCACCCTCTTCCTCTCCTTCGCCCACGCCTGAACCTTTGCTGGCGATTTGTATGGTGAGGACATTACTGACAGCCGCGAGACCTCCATATCATCCTCTTCCCTCCTCGCCATCTCGGCGCTCTGCGCATCTTCAAGCCGGATGGCGAGATCAATATATCGAGGATGCAGTCACGGATGGGCTGCAGCTTGGGGCCCTGGCAGGACTCATTGATGATGCGCGAGATGAAGGCCGCGTGGGCGTTGATCATGTCGTCCACATCGGCGGCTTCGCAGAGCTCAGTTCGTAGTCTGGCCGTGTTCGGGGCGAGAACGAGAGTGCTGAGGTAAGTTGCGATGGTGTTGCTGAACCAGAGGAGTTTCGCGCGGAGGAGGAAGTAGCTTGCCATGCTGGCTTCGCGCGCATCGCTGCGCTGCAAGCCCAGAATGGGGTGCTGTAGGACGGAAATGGCTCTGCGCGCTTGGAGCTGGAAGGTGAAGATTGTTTGGTAGCCTTGGATGGCCTCCTCCGGGATGACGATCTGCACCGGCCAGCTCAGCCGATAATTGAGTCGGATGGCCGGGAGGCCGAGCCGGACTGAGCTTCGGGAGGCGAGTGCGCTGTGGGCGGGACCGCGCGTGTCAACCTGCGCAGACAACCGGTAGGCCTCGGTGCAACCTGAAAATGCCTCTTGAGCAATCTCGGTCAGCGTGAAGCGGTCCCTCCAGCTGCTGCTAAAGTTGTCCAGATGTCGAAAGATGGACGAGGCGAAAGTATCGGATCTTGAGCCGTCTGACATCAGGTAGATGTGGAGAAGTGCGTTTAGCCCCTGGGATAAGCCATAGGAGCTAAAGAGCAGCTCCCGGAGTGTCGTGGCCGCAGTATGATGCTTGCTCTCGATCCACGCGTGGAACGCGGCGCTGAACAGCTCGCTAAAAGGCGCAAACTCGGAGTCTGCAGGACAGACCGTCGCAAAATCCATCTTCGGCTCGACACTGGCGCGGTATTTGCTGGTCGTTGATTCATGTTGCCTCATGTGCTTCAGCACCACGATGCTTTTCCCCGCGGTGAAGATACGGTGGATTGCTGGCCTGAGAAAACGAGGCGCATGGAGGTTACCCTCAGTCGTGCGCAGCAAGTTGAACTGCTTCTTCCAGATCTGGGGCAACGGGAGCTTTGTTGGTGACTCCGAGACGAAGAACGTCCGGTCTCCAGGCAGAAGCTTTCCTTCCTCCATCCAGAGCCGAATGGGCTTCAGGTACACCTGAAAGCAATCGAAAAAGATGGTGCCAAGCAGCTGGTATGTGGCAAGGTCGCCTTGCGACTGTGCCAACCCAACAGCGTCGTATAACAGCTCAAGGTACCGGAAGGCGTGGGTGTTTCGCTCCTCCAGGACTTGACGCACGATTTCTGCTAACACATACAGTGGTGCCAGTTTGGGAGCCAGCTCCCCTTGAACTTCCATAAGGCTTACGACGACATCCTCCTCGGGAGCGACGAGGCGGGTCTGGATCGAGGACAGCTCCAGATCGAGGGAGTGCATGGCTTTCTGCACACAATCTTGGAAGACTTGACGAAGAGGTGACCGCTCCTTATGCTTGGCAAAGACTCGTAACGGAGCCAGTCTCCGGCCGCACTCGGCGAACGAGGTAACCAGCACCTTGTAGGAGTCCCATGAGACGCCGTCGAGCTGATATTTCGTGATGGGATTGCACCGTGAGTCAAACAAGCTCGTCTCGAGACCCGCTAGCATGTAGAGGACCTCCCGAAGCAGCTGAGGGGTCGAGATCGGAATTTTCTTAGACAAGACCTCCCCATCGGTCGCAGATGCGTGTCTCCACGACTGGGCGTCTTCGATCTGCTTCAGCAGCTCATCACCCTGCGACTTAGTAGCCAGGTCTTGCGCGGTCCGCCAATACCCGTCATCAGTTGAAGGCGCTGTGGTGAGAGACTCGAGGGATCCTTCGAATTGCGCGTCCGGTTCATCTTCCTCATCACTGGAGCCGGGAGCATAATCGACAAGCCGCCAGATGTCCCTTTCCTGTTTCCAGCCATCTTCCCTAGCGATCTCTCGCCAGCTCAACGGGGGTGGTCCATCTTCCTTGGGCTGCTGGACAAGGGCATCCAAGTCGCTAAGCTTGGACTTCTGCACCGGCTGGTCGGCGAGTTCGAGCAGCAAGTGCAATACCTCGGGCGTGGTTTGGTTACGATGCGGCTCTAGGGCGTCCAGCCGTTTGCGCAGAGCTTCTGCCAAGGCATCTCGGCCGACAACACAGAACCGCTCTTCCAGTCCGTTCAGGCGGTCTTGCACCTCGAACTGGTTTGTGCGAGTAAAGGTATGATGGCGCAGACTTCGCAGCGCATACTCGCGACAAGCATCCCGTCTTTCATGTTGGGCCTGGGCCGTGTTAGTCAAGTCATGGATCACGATGAGACCGGGTACCAGGGGAAAAGCCACACACCTCTGGGATTGGCATGACAGCGGCGACGAGTTCGTCGACTAAGGCTCCCAGCTGCGCGAGATATGCCATTTTATTGACCCCGCCGAGCTGGGCATTCTGCTGGTTTGGAGTTCGCCCCGGTCCTCACCGGGGAGCTTACCCCAGTTTCAACGAGACGCGTAAGTTGTAACTTGTAACCACTGGAGTTGGTCAAAGGCTCACTGAACGCCTCGTTGGGACATCACAGAGTACCTAGCGGCTACGAGTTTGATCAATGGAAGCCTTTTACCGCTCAGGACAAAAGGAAGGTATGCAGCTTTCCACTTTTAAAGCGCGTCGACGGGGTGCCGGTTCAGTGTTGGCGAACAACTTGAACCTAGAAGTTGCACTCCCGCAGACACCTGGCAGACGTGTTTACGGCCACGGCGCACAGACCAGCTCTTGTTCTCCTTGGCAGGCTTGGCATCGTCACCCCCGTGCCCCCTTTTCGACTCCCGAAACGTCGGCCCTGCACCACTCCCCTTGTCCGGGTTTCAATTTGCTTGTGATGCGCGGTGCCAAGATCTTGAAACGACGACACACACGCAAGCACAACTCGCATCTCGACCTAATAACGCCTGGACCACGACAGCCTCGCCCCGTAAATGAGGGAGACCCTGATGACGGAGGTTAGACGCCGGTCATCCGTGCTGATAGAGACCTAACCGCCTGCTTCCACACGACGCCCGCCGTCGTGTACTCGATTCCAACATGGCGATTGCTCGCCCTGTACGGGCGCTGGGGTTAGCGGCCGTGTTTATGTGGTGCTTTTTCATATGGCAGATCTTCAAGCCGACAGGTCGCCCAGTCATGCCGGGCGGCAGTGGCTTATCGTCGACTGAGAAAGACCCCAACTTAGATCGTGAGGTCACTGTGCAGCCCGCCTTTGGCGCCAACTCGCTGACTCAGACCAGCTACCGGCGAGCCGGAGGGCATTCTCACATACGCGTCCGACAAATATGCGCCTGGTCCCGCTGGCACCGCGCGTATTAACGCCACGCTGTTGGCCCTAGTACGGAACGAGGAGTTGGACGGCATGCTGCAGTCGATGCGAGACCTCGAGCGGACATGGAACCACAAGTTCAACTACCCTTGGACGTTCTTCAACGACGTTCCTTTCACGGAAGAGTTCAAGAAGAAGACGCGCGCAGAAACGAAAGCCGAGTGCAGATACGGTACGACTTCGCATGGGACAGCCAATGAGTGAAACAAAATGCTGATGGGAATCAGAACTAATCCCCAAGGAGCACTGGGAGGTGCCGTCATGGATCAACAACGACCTATACATCGAGTCGACCAAAATTCTCAAGGAGCAGGATGTGCAGTACGCCGACATGGTATCGTACCACCAGATGTGCCGCTGGAACAGCGGCATGTTCTATAAGCACGAAGCACTGGCCGACATGCAGTACTACTGGCGCGTCGAGCCCAAGGTGCACTTCTTCTGCGACGTCGACTATGACGTCTTCCGCTACATGCAGGACAACAACAAGACGTATGGCTTCACCATCAACCTGTACGACGCGCCGCAGACCATCCCGACGCTCTGGCCCGAGACGCTCAAGTTTATCGCCGAGCACCCCGAGTACGTCCACGAGAACAACGCCATGAAGTGGCTGACCGACAGCAAACGCCGCCCGGACCACAACACCAAGGCGAACGGCTACTCGACCTGCCACTTCTGGAGCAACTTTGAGATTGCCGATATGAACTTCTGGCGTAGCAAGGCGTACGAGGACTATTTCAACCACCTCGACAGGGCTGGCGGCTTCTTCTATGAGCGCTGGGGCGACGCTCCTGTCCACAGCATCGCTCTGGGTCTGTTTGAGGACTCGAATCGCATTCACTGGTGAGGCGCCCCTGACAACTACCACTTCGGTTAGAAGAATCACTGACAGATAGACGTCCGCCAGGTTCCGTGACATTGGGTACCAGCATATCCCCTTCTTCAACTGCCCCAATTCGCCCAAATGCAAGGGCTGCGTCACCGGCCGCTTCACCGATGGCGAGGCCTGGTTACATCGGGAAGACTGTCGGCCCAACTGGTTCAAGTTCGTGGGCATGGGCTAAAACAATTCCAACTGACTCATTTCCACCTCCTTATTTCTATTTCCTCTGAGTTGGGAGAACGAGGCCGTCCCTTAGAACGTTGCGTGTGTTGATGTGGGCAGGTGGGCAGGGTCTTGGACTATCACAGCATATGGGAAAGGTTTGGCGCAACCGGCGGTTTCAATTTCCCCATAAACGAATGACTCTGGGAGTGGTCATGGCTTGGTGGGCTAGATACCTGGTAATGATTGCGTGTTTTGATACAGACCTGGATTGCTTCATCTGTTTCGCTGCTTAACAGCGACAGGAGTATGTAGCGTACTAATAAGGGAGCCCCTGGGTGGGCTTGGCGCCGGCCTCAACCTCCTCCGAAGACCGTCACCACCCCGGAGGTGCCGCCAACGCTGAACTGGTCCCCGAATCCTCCTTCCTTCCAAGCGATGCAGCTCACGACATTCTTGCGTGCTTTCTCCTTCCCGTCCCGGCCAATGACCTTCTTCCGGCTCTCACTTCCGTTGCCCCACGGAACCGGGACCGTGGCAACCAACTTGCCGGTAAGCAAATCCCATGCCCACACTCTCCCTTCGTTCGCTACCGCACCATCACCACCGGCAGGAGCAGTCATCTCATCCCCCGCCACAACGAACCTCTCCCCGCCGCCCAGCACGCTCTGCACCCTCAGCTCGGCATTCCTCCACCCTTCATCCCCGTACGTCCTGAGACAAGCGCCATTCGCCCGATCCATCAACCGTATCTTACTATCCAGCGACCCAACAAGGACCGTCCTCCCGTCCTTCGCTAAACAGACACTCGTCACGCTCGCGGGGAATACATCGGTCACGCACCGCCCCATGCGGATGTCATATCCCCTGACTCTCCCATCCACGCTGCCGCTCACAATCTCGGCGTCGCAGACGGCCAGCGAACTGACGGCGTCCCGCGCCTCGGACAGCACCTGCACGGGCTTGGCGCTGTTGGATCGCGCATCCCACACGCGCACGGTGCAGTCCAGCCCGCCCGACACCACGACGCTGTCCTCGTGGCCGGCGAAGCACACGGCGTTGACCCGCCCCGTGTGGGAGAAGGTCGTGGAGGCGGACCCGAAGCGCCGGATCGTCTGCGCCGTCGAGACGTCCCACAGCAGCACGGCGCGGTCGCCGCCGGCCGAGGCGAAGTGCGCGTTGGACGAGGAGATGGAGAGCGAGAGTACCTCGTAGGCGTGCGAGGTGTATGTTTGGATCAGCCGGCCTGTGGGTATGGTGTGGTTGGCGACGGGCGGAGAGGGGCGGGCGGTGATGCTGTTGTCTTTGCTGGTGGTGGCGGTGGTAGTGGTAGAGGAGGGATTGTACAGGCGGATGGATCGGTCGGAGGAGCCGGCGAGAATGTATGTCCCTGGCGATGCGGAGTAGGCTAGGGCGTGGACGGGGCCTATGGAATGTTAGCTTGATGCCCCCCTGAGATGGTGACCACAACATGGCGAGGTTTGAGGAAAGGGGACGTGTGGGCTCCAAGCGAGTGACTTGTGGGTAGAGGTGGTAACTGTGGGCTTGACAGTTCTGGAGCCTTTTATCTTCCAGTGACTTCCAGTGAAAGCAGCGCTACAGCAGAGCATGAAATCCACAGATGCCAGTGACCGCAGAGTCGGAGGCACCATGATGAGACTAACATCGTTGCATTGCAGGTATCATGCAAGACGTAGAAAACGGAAGGAATTAAAGCAGCCCGATTCCGGGAGAGAACCTACCATTCGAGCCAAGCAGTTGGGCCACCGGCCGCGTGGGAAACTTCGCCGTACGGTGGCTCATGGCAGATACGAGCCGGGTTCCCTTCTCTCACCCTTCATTGACTGATGTGAGTGTCAACAGGAACCTTGCAGATAGCGCTCCATCATCGTCCTACTTCTCCGAAGCTTCCGCAGACAGCTGACACCCGTGCAAGCCACCAGGCACCTAACTCTGTCTTTGACCTCTGGTGAGCGCGCGGACGAGCGTCCGAAGCCTTTGGTGACCCCGTCTTCCGTGCAGAGCACCAACCAGGTTCCGAACGCCTCAGAATCGAAACTCTCCGATGCTGACACCGACAGCAACCTTGCTGCGTGGCTGCCGAATCGACGCAACACGACCCAGGCTAATATTGGCGTTCCTACTCCGGAACCGGTACGGGGTTACTACCGCTCTGTCTTGAACGTTGGATGTTGACCGCTGACTGCATTACACAGTGTGGGTGTGGGCGTACCTTTATGACAGGAATCAGGAATGGAATCTCTGACAAACCCCGTCAGAATTGGCCGCTAACGTTACACTAGCCACCGTACGTATGTATGTAAATACTGTACTAGTACTGAATACAGGGCTAGTACTTCCGTAATGGGCGCGCAGTACGGAGATACCCCACCCGACAAGGCATCCTTCTAGAAGCGCGCTAGAAACCAACCCCCATCACAGTTCTAAAGAAGACGAACGAGCAGCCTGGAGTTGTGACAGATGTATGCAGTGTACGAAGTACGACAGCAAAGGGGATGTTGAGTGTGCAAGGACATGTTATACGTATAATGCTGCAATTCACTTGCGTTAAGACATCCGAGGTGGATGGGTCACGGAATGTGTACTGTACGTGTATTGTACCGTATCACATCATACCATATATTGCATCACAGGAACGAACCAAAAGATGGCGCTATAGGTTTCAGCTTGGCTCCTTGAGACTGCGTTGAGCAAACTTAAATTGACTCCAATGTCATATCTTTCGAGATTTGAGCATTCATTGATTGCGCTGCCGGACTTGGTACCCGAGGTTCTATTATAAGTACCGTATGCAAGGCACCTAGTACGTACGTATGGTAAGTTATATTACTGAACGAGCCTGCATTCTCGGAGAAGTAACCGCCTCCCCGACTCGGGTTACATCAACCCCAACTCGATTCTGCAGCCTACATGCACACTACGCTTTCCCTCGGTTGCCCATCGCTTTCACAGCTGTTTGTCCATGCAGCCTCACTTTTACCTCCTCACTGCCATACGGCGCAACAGCCACAACACACAGCCCATCAATGGCGCGCGCTCTCGTCCAACCATGCATGCATGCGCTGGCGATGCAACGCGGTCGTATCGCCGGTAATACTCCGTGGGAGGGCAGTTGTTGCGCCGTCCCAGATCGTTCCAATGCCAGAGGAAGAAGTGCTGGGATCTTATAAGGGAACAGGAAGAGGGAGCAATGCGGCTGAGACAAAACACGAAGATAAGCTCCGAGAATCCACTTCACCATTCGATCGGATAATGAGACGCTGGCCCACTTATTGGGGCGAATCAGCCAATCGGAACAAAGTACAGGCGGTTTGTTGCAATTTTCCAGATGACCCGGTGCTCATTTCAGCAACGTCTGGATCTGATCTAACGATCGACTTCAATCAAACCCGGTTCTGCGCTTGGTTGAGCGAGGATAAGATTGAGGCGTGTCCGCTTCCCGATCACCGAATCCGTACGTTGGCAGCAGATTGTGAGTGTAGAGGAATCGAATCCGATGCGGACGCGCGATGGATGTTTCGTCTATACCGATATCTGACCCAGATGCCAAATGCGATCGCTATGCGTTGCCCAGATTCGCGATCCGATAGGTGGCCCGGGTGCATGGGTATGATGTCATATCTGGGGCATTCTAACTTGATACGGCTAGTCAACAGGGGAAGACACAACATTGGATGGAAGTCCAGACCACACTTGTCAGCCCCCGGGTTCTGCGATGTCCAACTTTTCACGCATCTTCAGCCAATGCCACTTCGGCGACCTTTGCCGACGACAGACCCTTATTGTTAACTACCATGTGAAGTTATGGCATCGTGACACGGCCTACAATTTCCCCCTCACTGTAGCGGTTCTCAATCTTGGCCCTGCCGCAACGCCAGCCCCACACTTGCGCGCCAGAGCTGGCGCGAGGCAACGGCCGAGGTAGCGCGCCTGGTGCATGCCTACGCCTCTCCTCCCAAACTTACCGTTGACGAGGCGCCAAGATGGATGCTTCAGAAGGATGGCGACAGGTCGGGAAGAAGTTCAATTGGTGGCTCATTGCCGCCGCATTCTTCGTCTCGTTCCTCGGCACCTTCACGTCGACACAGCTGTAAGTCTAATCTGCTCTAACGTCCGAGGTCCGATCTGGCGCGGTAGATGGAGTGTTGCGCCTACGCTCTGTGCTGATGAAGGTGTAAATAGCATGATCCAAGCACAGCTATCGTCGAGTTTCTTCACCGTCTTCACATGGATATCCATCATCAGTCTGACGTTTGGCTTTTGCGCCTCCTGGAGTCTGCATTTTGTGGGGATGCTCTCCTGCAAGCTAGACCTACCCGTCGGGTTGGATGTCGGCTTGACCCTGCTCAGCGCTGTTCTGGCTGTATCATTTACCTTCCTCGCACTTGGGGCCGAACTGCTATGGAAGCGCTATAACACCAACAAGCGGCGGAGTGCTTTCAAGCGCAGACGGAATGAGCTCGCGACCGAGGGAGTAGACCTTCAAGAGGGGGGCTCTTCGGTGCCTCTGCTAGAAGAGGGCTCAATGAACGGTCGACCGAGCGGGGACGACGGGGCCGACGGAGAAGAGGATATTGAAATTGGCAGAATCGACGCGCTTCCACAGCAGTCCGGAATCTTTCCTACAGACGGCCCCCCCGGCATGTCATCACCCCCCGTCAGGTCGCACGAGTATCGCCGTCGTACTTCAGACCCGGCCGTCTCCGCGCAGATGTCATCCAGTGAGCCTCGAGGCTCCGGGTCGCAGTCGGATTTGAGAATCGGATCAAGTCAGCTTGACCTTAAGAGCATGGCGGATCATGGGACTGCACCGACACAGAACGCATTTTCTGCGACATATTACGGCATCCTGAACGGCCTGGGCTGGAAGGCAGTAGTGATGGGCCTCATCTGGTCACTCTCACTGACGTGCATGCACTATGGGGGCCTACTCGCAATGAGCATCCCGGATGGCCGATTAACCTTCAACCCAGTACTAGTGGTCGTCTCCGCCATCATTTCCTGGGTAGTGTGTATTGCGGGATACATCTACATGGTCAACATCGAACCCCATCTCAATCAACAGGTGCTGTTCTCCGCAATTGCGGCCTCGGGCATAGCCGCCATGCATTTCACAGGTGAGGACACCTTTACGTAATACGAACAGGGCTTGCTCGTAGCCGGTTGCCCGCTTACATTGTACGGATACTGATGCCGACTAGGACTACGAGCAACCACTTTCTGGTCTCGGCTTCCACCTGCTCCCGCCGGAGGATATCCTCTGCAGCTTCCGATTGCAGTTTGCACCGTCGCAATCCTGACCTGCACGTTAGCCAATGGTCTGCTGGCGCATAACGCAACGGTGTCACGCAATAAACTCGCAGAGATTGTGTGGACACGGCGAAAGCTATGGCGAGCGCTGGCCCAAAAAGAGAACGCCGAGATAGCTGCAGCTGCGAGAAGTAATTTCATCGCGTCAGCTTCTCATGAGATTCGGACTCCCCTTCATCATCTACAAGGCTACAGCGATCTGTTGTCGAAAGCCAATCTGACTGACGAAGCACGTCAACTCGTACTATCAATTCAAAATGCAACAAAGACACTATCTCTGAGTAAGCCGAACCGTCAGCGTTACCTACCTTAGCTTACTTCTCTGACTCCCCATGTAGTCACGAACAATGTCTTAGATTGGTCCAAGCTAGAGAGTGACAGGGATGCGTCCTGCCGCTTGGCACCTTCAGACATGCGATCAGTTGTCGAATCCATCCTGGTCCTTCTCCCTCACCAAGACGAACAGAATGATGTCGAAGTTCTGGCCGTAGTAGCACCAAACGTTCCGGAGTCGCTTCTCCTAGACGAGGCCTACATTCAAAGAATGCTCATGAACCTGCTTTCGAATTCCCTCAAGTTCACCAGCAATGGCTTTGTCATGCTGAGTTTGGAGATGAATGACGGTGATCTGATCGCCAAAGTACGGGACTCTGGCGTGGGCATTCCATCGTCATTCGTTCCCCAGCTCTTCGAACCATTTTCGCAGGGAAAGAACCGCGGAACGCAGAGGGGAACTGGCCTTGGTCTCAGCATCGTCAGGCAACTCCTGCGCAAGATGCAAGGCGATATTGCCGTGGAAAGCCGGCACGTGGATGATGGGTTTGGGCCTAGTGAAACAGGAACCACCTTCACGATTCGGCTGCCGGTAGAGGTGTCGCCGACGTTTCAGTCTCCAACACAACAAAACACTGAACCGGGCACCGTCGCGCTGTTCTCCCCCCCTTCGCGCTTAGCAGAGGGACTCAAGATAGCGTGGCAGCTTTTCGGTTACGACGTGGTGGTCGTTCATCACTTCTCCGAGCTGGCAAATCTCGAAATCAAATATGCGTGGGCCGAGTTTCGATACTTGTCGGAGAATGCCGATTGTTTGCGGTACTTGCTGAGCCAACCGCAGCTCACAACATTCGTGCCGTTTGAGCACCAGGAGTCGTTGCAGCGCCTTCCTGGCGTGCTGTCAGCGCCACATTTCGTTCCACTTCCAAAGCCTCTAATATGGCATACGTTCTACCAGCGTATTGCGATAGCGTCTCATGCCGCTGCTGCTATGAAAACCTCTCCAACAGTGGAGAACAACCCAAACAAAGGGAATGGGGACGGGTGGAGGAGAGAGCGCTCTCCAGAGAGGAGTATTACATCTGGGACCGTCAATATTCTCCTGGTCGAGGACAATGCGGTGAGTACGGGCCTGTCAAGTTCATATACCTGAGCCTTTTCGCTGATGCACGACTCTTAGGTCAACCAAAAACTATGTATGAAGATGCTCTCCTCTCTGGGATACTCTGTCATACTCGCCAACGACGGCGAGCAAGCGGTCGAGCAAACCATGAAGCATGACAAAGATATCGATTTGATTCTCATGGATCAGTCAATGCCCGCCAAGGACGGTGTGTGTGCAACACGAGAAATCCGTGTTCTGGAAAATAGCGGGAAATTATCCAAACGGCATCCCATCATTGCCCTGACGGCTGTGGTGAGCACAGAATCGAGAGCACAGTTTAAGAGTGCTGGTGCCGACGATTTTCTGGCGAAACCGTTATCATTCGCGAAGCTGGAGCAGACTCTGGCCACGTTTTTGAGGATTGAATGAGCAATAATATACGATTGAAGCTTCTATTCTTTTGTGTACTACGGATATACCTGGTCGTTCCAAGGGGCGGTTGTTTGTATTTACATACATTCAGTCCCCTTAGTGTCTGGGCATCAGGCCACTTTGTGGCCACGGGTTCCTTGGCATCTGGACGAAGAAAACCTAGAGATGCGGTACTGCCATAAAGCCAAGCTAGAAGTAACTTGGCGAAACGTAATGGACAGAATAGACCGAGCGCCGACGATGGATTCCCTCGAATCATTTGTGTTAGACATGCAAGGTCACAAACCCTGGGGCTCGTCGTGTCGTGGGAGTAACTCTGCCTGGGAAAAGCATCCACGCCGTACAGTTGCCGTTGTATTGTACATAAGCAATACGGTTGGTGTCGGATGCTAGCAGTCAGCAACGATCCTACTTGCGGTAGAGCAGGATGGAAGAATCTGCACCAGCGGAACTAGCTTTCCTTATCTGGTGAATGAAACCCGCCGAGATTACCGCAGTAGGCACCTTCACCGTTGGTGAACCAACAGTTCTTGATGACCGAGTCAGGGAGGGTGGTATTGTTGGAAGTTCTGCATGTGTTTGCGGCCGAAAACCCGGAGATCGGAACTCCCCGAGGGATGCTAAATCGGTCCGAGTCACCAGAAAAAGGGGCTTTCACATGTAACTTGCTCTGAGGTTTGGCCGGTTGCAAACGCTGATCATGAGGGGAACCCCAGTCCGGGGACGGCATTCGGCCATTTCAAGGACGTTTCATTGTGTCCAAGTAAGCAACCAACTGGTCAAAGAATAGACATAGATAAATACAGGCGTCCAAAGATACAGAGAAGCATACAGAAAACAACAGGAAGAGGACACTGAGTTCAGCATCCCGGGCCGCCGTCCCCTTACACTTCCACCCCTCCCTTTTCCCCCTGCTTGACTCTGTATCCTCTGAAACCCCCGAGTGCAAAGCAGTGTAAACCAAAGATGAACGAAGCCCAACGCCATACTGACAATGCAATGATGCTGCTCCTCAAATAAGCCACCCGATAACAATCCAACAGGAATGCGCCTGGTATAGAGAGCAAAAGCAAACGAAAAAAGTGTCGAAAGAAGAAATCCGCCTGTCCAGTTTCGCTGTCCATGAAATAACCGGAGTTGGACTCTGATCCCATGCCGTGTGATTCCCAACACGGGGTAGCCCAGAGATGCAGAGAAGTTGGTCGGCCGTTCCGTCGTGTAGCGGCTGTCGCATTACCCCCCTATTCGTTGGGGTCATAAACAGAGTTCATCGCTCTCAGCAGAGAGCCCGTCTCGAGCGTGTCATGTTGTCGTCCGGTCGTCGTAGTTTTCCTCCTCTTTTTATCTACCTTTACGCCCTCTCCACCGTTGGAATCCAGTCCCTTTCTCTCTATGGATATTCCCCTACTCGGACCGCCCCAAGTACATCAGCCCCCGTCAAACCGAATGGTCTGTGGCATCCCGAGCGCAATCTTTAGCGTCGCCTCTGAACCAATAGATGACTTCTGAACACATCATCCCTCGCGCGGTGTCAGCCCATCAGCCGTATCGTGAACTGAGAGCCCGGCATGGCTCGATGGCATAGGTAGGTAGGCAGGCGAACTGCGCACGCTCCAGCGGGATGGCCCCAAAGCCCATGTGTGCCGATGGGACGACGGGCGACGACAGATTAAGTTATACGCGAGTATCGGGTCGTCTGAAGCGTTTCCTTGTGAGTGCCGCTCTCAAAACATATTGCGCGACAGGAGCCACCGCATCTGCCGTGGAGAGACGGCGATGAGATGCAGGTTAGGACACATACGGGTCTGTCTGCCACGGCCGCCGCAGGACATCCTCGTGTATGCGAGGCAACGTTTCTGGCTGCCGCCATGAAAAGGCCGGCGCTGCCGGGTCAGCGATTGGTGCTATCGGGGAACTCCTCCCGGTCGTCGGACTGTAGTGCTCGTAATCTACACGAGCCTGCTTCCGGGGTACCGATGGGCCGAATTCGGGGCTCGCCGGCCGAATCGTCCGTGGCGAGACAGACTCGCTCGAATGGCTGCTAGGCCTCGTGAATTCTGTCGCCGGTCGCATGATTCTCCCGAGACGCCGTGTGTCTTCCGGTTCGATGGATGGGGTGGACGGGGATGTGTTGTGGCCGCCGCCTCGGGGCCTAGTACATGAGTTGAGTTGAGAATCATGAGGGGGGACAAGTGCTCGGGCATGGACATGGCAACTTACGCATTTTTGAATTTGCAGACCCTTCCAAACTTCTCGCATTGTACGCACCGAGGATAGTCCGGGTCGCACTTGATCTTCTTCTCACGACAAGTGACGCAGGCGATGGCGAGACGTTTCCTCGGCTTCCCCGCCTTCGTCACACCCCAGTGCGCGTTGACGGCTTCCCCGTCGATGACCGTCTTGCAGTGGCTCCCGTCATCGTAGAAGTAACACATCCCTTCGCCGGGCACCTCGGCCGCCCTGACGAAGCGCGGCAGAAAATGCGTCCCGGTCCAGATCTTGGGGCCCAAGCCATCCTTGGTCGGAGGAACTTCGGAGCCGAGACTGCTGGTCGGCGTCGCGGGAGGATTGTATGTCGGGGTCTGCGGCGCTGCGAGTTGCTCCCGAGAATCCAATCTTCGATTCTCGTCACGGGCCGTCCCCGGCAAGTGGAGGGAATACCTATCGACAGGCGACTGGTACGTCTGTTCGCGGCTGGCGAGGGAGTATTCCCGGCCGGTGTCGTGTTGCATCGACCATTGGCTTCCCGAGCTGTACTCCGTGCGCAAGCCCTCTTTTTGCTCTTGCCGCGGCAGGGGCGAGAGAGGTCCCGGGAAGATCTGGGAGAGTGAGGGGATCTGCGGACGGTCCTGGAACCTCGCGTCGAGAGGGTTCCGAGGCTGTGCCGCTGCTGCCGCTGAAGATGTTGATAATGGGGGGAAATATGAAGACGAGCCCACTGTCGGTCTGAGGGGGTGGTCAAGTGATGAGGGATGGTGATAGGGGCCTGGACGATCCGAGAAGGCTGATGGAAACTGGTGCATCTGTGATGGTGGGCCAAAGATGCTGCTCAGAGATGGGAGCTGTTGTCGTGGAGCACTGTGCTGGGAAGAGGGCTCCTCGCGGATCAGAGGTTCATGTGACCCCTTGTTGGACGACGACATGTCGGTTGTCTTGATGGTCGGGTCATAGTTGGACATCGGAGGAGACGGCGGAGCACGTGGGTTCCAAGGCCGCTCCTCTGGCTGTCTTGAAGGAAAGGAGGCCGAGTCTGGGGTGAGGATCTCAGGTGGCGTGTCCGGAGCGGCCGAGCGGAATCGTGGTTCGAGAGCTGATGGAATCCCCATTGAGAGAGCTGTTGGTTGGTGCGACGTGGGTGGTACTGTGTATGTAGGGCTGTTCACAGTATCATTCCCTCCCAGCAGCAACGAGGCAGCAGGGCAACGAAGAGGTGTCGAGGCTGCTGGCAGTGGCACTGACACACGCGCGCACCCTCACCCACACACGCACGTACAATACTCGAGACAGTGCAGTGGGTTGCCGCAGGACTTCGTCGGGCCTTCTGGGTGACTGGCAGATAGATATTCGCCGGGTAAACGTGCGCAGTACACACGCGGCGCAGTCGACTCAGGGCCTCCACTGTTTAGACAAGCATGCCGCCAAGGCCCCAGCAGGAAAAGGGCACCGATCCCCGGATAATTGAACAATAACTGCGAGATGCGCAAGCGATCTGTTGGTGGTCTCAAAGCGCCTGGAGAAGCAGGGGGGCGGGTGGCCAGGGTGCAGCCAGCAACGTATGGATACTGATGACTGGGTTGCTGTGCGTCCGGGAACAGTTGGTCTCGTCGTCTGTACTGTGCACTATGAAGTTGGTTGAGAAGAAACGGAAGGGCTGGCAGACAACTACGTCCGAGTATGTATGCATGTATCTATGTATGTACGTGCAGTGGCAGACTGGATCGGCTTGCTGGCTTTGTCTGCCGGTCCAAGGCTGCAAGTGATAGTGTAGTAGTAACGTTATAAAAGAGATGCCGGGCCTTCTGTCGGCCAGACTCTGGAGTCTCCAGATACCACCGCTGGCAGTGGGAAGACCTGGTCGGGTAGGAAGCAAGGAGCAGGGGGGGGGTTGGAGTGCAACCTGGGGAAGAGCTCTCAAGACGGGGATGCGCGGACGGGGGTTGTTCGTGCGCGCGGTATTGGTAACGTTATGCTAGTGATCCTACTATACCGATCTGTGTTCGATGAAAGCCTGCCCCAGCAGTGTGGATCTTCGTCTGCAACAAGAGCGCCGACAATTGCCGTACACGTACACTACACTAGTGTAGTGAATGTACGTTACCCTAGGTTGGGGGCTCTATTTTCCCGTGGGCCGCTGCTCTTGTCCGGAAGGATCACTATACTAGTGTGGCTCTCCAAGCGCATGGCTTTCGGCAGTGCGGCATGACGGTTCGCTCATGCTGTATGCAATGGTGAGCGAAAAGGGAAGGGAAAGCGGGCTACGCGAGCGGGCCCATGAGATCCTGCAATCCCCTTTTGACGGAGCAACGGTTCAGCCGTGACAGTACGTGACGGTACTGTACGGTACATATGTACCTAGTTATACGGCTGCTGAGGGCAGAGAACTAGGTAGGTAAGCCATGATAACTGTTAACTCGACGCAATGCCTTGCGTCCATCCCAACTTCACAACCTCACCATGAAGACAGCAAAGCGTAGGCTTGGGACGAAGGGGTGGGGGCGAAAGGGTGGTGGATGCTTCTGTGTAAGCCGACAACAAGGGTGCGTGATCCTTGGCCGCCTTGGCCTTTGCGACGCACCCCGAGTGGTCAACCGATGGATGGCTACCACGAGGAAAAGAGGGTTCGGGAAGATAAGAGGCTGGAAGGGAGAATGTGTGATGGAGCGGGACCACCAGTCAAGGGGCAGGGACAGGGGTTATACTTAGCGACCCCGGGAACGACAGGCGCCAAGAACGGTGTATGGTGTCTTCCAGATCAGGAAGAAAGTCCTGTGCTTCGGTGTCTTCTTGGTGGTAACTATGGCCGGATCATGTTGGCGAAATCGGGCCGCTTTGCGATGATACGCCGCCGTCTGCACTGCATTCTTGCGCTCGAGAGGTCTTGACGGTTGGACGCAGATCCGACATCATGTACACAGAAACTCGGTTAGCCGTCATGCCACAGTACATACAATGCTTCATGTCAGACGGCGCAGTCTATTTAACCTTTGGAAGCCTCTCAATTGCATCGGTCAGCCGTCCCTGCGTTTTTGTTCTGGAATTTCGCTGTGCCGAACGATGCGAAGGAAGGAGGCGCAGGGCGACCGCTGGAGTGCAACGCTAGTGCCCTGGCTCGCCTGGGTTCTGCAGGCAAGCGACTTGGTCCGAGCGAGGCAGCCTGGTTCAGCCTGGCAGCCCACCCAGCCAGTGAACATCGCACGACGTTTGTACCGCGCCCGTTTAAAAACGCTGCTGGCGATTGACTCTCCAAAGGTTTCTCGATAACGGGGACGTCTAGTGTACATTAGAACCTGACCTAGGTCATACTGCTTTTCTCCAAAGCCAACGGGACCCTCGCTGCGAGGAAGAGGCCGATGATCGATCTGGAGAACGTTAGGTGGGGCTCGGCATGCACCAGGCGAGCGTTGACGACATGGGAAACCACGGCCTTTCTGCACCTTCCTTTTCTCTTCAACATATCCGCCAACGCCGAACGATTGAGAGCTGTGCTCCTTCCTCTTCCCATCGCAGCTGCCCGGGTTCTGCCTGCCATTTCTTCAATGTGATGTTATCTACCAACGGACGTTTGACATGCCAGGTCGAACCTGGCACGTAGACCGGTCCCGAGGGTTTATCAAGTCTCCCGTGTTCCATCCGGCGTTTCTTGTTAGGGGTTCCAATTGTTCTTGGGCTTTCACCAGCCAACAAAAAGACCGCGATAAACCCGCGGCAAGAATGCGAAAGCGGGTAAACCCTGACCAGGCAGTAACTCTCACCGTCAGGCGGCGCTGACATGCCAGGCACTCTCCATGTGGCGCCTCCAAGACAACTGCATTGCCGTGTAGGCATGGTCGTCCACTGCAAATCTCAAGAGTCCACGGAGGCGAGCAGGAACACAGTGCGCCTCGTCTGGAGACCTGACTCGAATATGTTTGAGTGCCGCCCGCTCATGCAAACCCAGCCCCTGCAGCGGGTGGGAACAATATCAAAGAAATGGCTAATATGATGGCCCGGCATCTTTTTGCTAGCTTGATCCAACCCCTCGGAATCTCTGTTGTGGGACGATGGACACGCAGTCCACCTCAACTGCTGGTTATCCCTTTCGGAGCCCTCCGCCATCGCGCAGTGCCGGGATGCGTGAACAAATGGTCTTTACATATGAATTACGACACCGTGACCACCTCGTATGGTATGGTATAATGACGACGTACGTATTGTACAGTACAGTAACTTTCGAACGGAGAGCCGCGTACGTCGCCGAAAGTTCCTCTTCCCTACCATGTCTTCTCATCCACCCACTCATCGATTTCAAACTACCCGCCATGACGCGTGCATCGGGCGAGTGTGCAGAGACGGCCTCATACAGCATGCCGCCCTGTATCCGCAGGCAGGCAGGCCACTCAAAAAATCACCTTCAGCGAACGCCACAAACTCGCTAACTACTGTGTCTTGCTAATACCTACCGGCCATGGCTGCCGCTATCAGCATTGCCTGGCTGAGTCCTGCGTTCCCGAACAGCCACTCGACCGCTGAGGAACATGTCAGATCAGAGGGCCGCAGGCATGAGGCCATCCGTGTGCAGCCACCCGGAAGCGAGGTGCAGGAGCTGCGCTGCCCCAACCAGCGCTCGCGGAGCAACAGCCGAGTCTACTGCGATAACCAAGGCACGTGGAGAAGGAACAGCAGGCCAGGACCGAGTCCGGGTCCTTCTCCTCGTCGAATTCCCAGACTGAGGTGGGTGTAGTGGAGAAGTCGAACCTTCGTTCCACTGCTCCACCCTTAGGCCATTATCATCGCGCCGAAAAGTCATCGCTTGTTGGTGTCAAACTTGTGCTAAAGGCCCTCTATAAAATCCGACCGGAGCTGGCTTATCTCGCTGTCTCATTAATAAGGACCCGGATACCCCTTTTACACCACCAGGCGGCTAGCCGTGCCTTCGTGGAACCGTTTACCGACTACTGCCTTTCTTTGGTACTGTGCAGGCCAAGCAGAACCAACGACACCTCCCACGGGTTCAACCGCACCATCGCTTTCTGCCTGTGAGGCAGATGCTCAAGGGCGTTGTGCATGTTGCCACCCACGGTCGTCGGCCCGGCGGACGAATCCCCAAGTGATGGGCTGATCGATCTCAACATTGTCAGCGAACATCCGTTCTCGAACGACTGGCACATGCTAAAACCATCCCCAAGGCGGCAAAGCAACGTATTGTACATACAGTACCACGGGGCTTCTATGTAGGTAGTTATCGCCTTCCCACAAACCTCGGTTTGCATGGGGGAAGCCCCTAATAAAGGCCCTAGACATCCAATGGCTGGCTGAATGGCTCGGTCTGCGTCTGTTGGGCTCTCATCTGATTTGATGATGCGGGGTTCGAGTGCCCCCAGCCGGAGTTTTGTCCGGTTTTACGGATACTAGTAACCGCCGGGGCACGACCGGGCGGCAACGGCACCCTAATAATGGTCGGTGGACCGCCGTCACGACGAACGTGTTGGATGTCCAGGATCTGGGCCGACGAAAGACGCCATACAACTATCCGTAGAACAACATTAGGAAGGTCAACGGTGCAGAAGCCTTGAAAACAGTGATAACGCTAGCATGAGCTACGGTGGCCTATTCGAGTAAAAAGTAAATATCCAGCTTTGAGGGGTAACTGAGACACGGGGGGACTGTAAGAATTCCTTTTTATCAGCACAAGTGCAATGCGATTCTTGCCTTGGCAGAGACTTTGCGCCTTAAGGAGATGAGCAGACGTCAACTCGGAAGTTACACCATCCCGCAACACAATTACAACATGCTTTATTGTCTCGGGAATTTTTCCCAGATGGTCGCGGTTCATGTCTCAGGCCTTGGTGTTTAAGGCCATGATTGGGCGCCATATCGGCAGCCTTCTGTTGGTGACCGGGGAGTTTCTTGGTAAGTCACTCCGGACGGATGTATGTACGAATTACATACGTGTGTTACACACAACCTCCCAGTTCGCTTGGAACGTGATACTGAATGGTTGCTACGCCATTTATTAGGCCTGTTGTCTTGGTCGCGAAGGGGTCGTGAAGCGCTCCTGCATTGCGAATCGTCGCACCATCTCTTTTGGGCGGCTCGCGGGATTCGTATGTACATAAGGGGCTCGGCAGGGGAGCTTCGACAACCTTACTCACCGTATGTCTCAGCTTGAAGCAAACAAGTGAGATCAGGACAACCCGTGAACGATATCTCATCTCGTAACGGAGAGGGGAAGAGGGGGTGCGTATTCAGCAAGACCATATCTGACCGTTGGACTCATCAACTGTCAAACACTCCAAAAGCAACAAGGCAGACCCTGGAATTTGATTGATTCGCAGTGGATGTTTATTTCCGGTGGCAGGTGCGCAAGAATGGATGTCCCGGAACCCGAAGAGCCTCGCCTCGGCGCCCCGGTGAACCTGGTTGCAAAAGTCGTACGGATGGACCCCAGCTGTTTCTCGTTCCCCCAATGCTCGGAACTTTGCGCTTCGTCCTCTACTGTAACCCGTAGTTTTCTTCCTGTGTTGTCTCGTCCCAATAAGCCCCTGTCCCCGTGGACGTCGTAACCCTTTGTTTGCCCGAATCTGAGACGCACCTCGAGTTGGACAATGTCACATCTGCCGGGGGTTGTTGGTTCAAGCCTGCTGCACGATAGTGTAAAAACAGCCAATTTTGTTGGCGCCTCTGGGATGCAGTTACCTTCTGGAGAAAATGCGACTGAACATAAAGGAAAGAGGGATACAGTCCACACCACTGCACTCAGGCTGCTTGTCGGTCAGTCGTTGTGGGTTATGATAACCAGTTGATGCTTGAGCTAATAAACTCCGGAAGGGAGGTAATTGTACCAGATACGTGGCAGCAGGCACTGCACTGTGTGATACGCGTGTCGGTCTTCTGTAACGTAGCAAGTAGGTACTAGGTAATCCCGACCTGCCTTGGTGGTGGTAAGGCACTCCCCGAGTCTGCAACTTTTATTATTTACACGACAGGACGGCTGTGTGTTGTGTGAGATCACCGTACGGATGAACAAGGATACACACGGGCTTGGCCTGTGCGGAATTTCTTCTCTCTCCAACCTTGCGACTCTGGGGTTAGCGTTGCCCAGGTGGGGAATAAGAAGCAGAACTGCCGCAGCGAGGGGTAGCATTGCAGCTGACAACTTGACGACAGCGGAATTCCAATTCGCAGCTGCCCAAGTCGGGCAGTTCAGGGGTGAGCGTTAAGGATAGTAGATCATGACTCGGTGTGCTCCGTGAGACACCACTTGTTGGTGACAAAACATGGAATCCTTCGAGGATTGCCTTCGAGAAGAGGGGATCAGTTGGCCAGCGCCCGACATGCCGGATACTTGGTATCCAGGACGCGGTAGCGGACACAGATTCAACCAAGCAACTAGGTACCTACTAGTAGTTAGTAGTTAGGGTCTCGCCCCGCAGTGGTCGAGGAGGCAAGGAGGGGAATTTGTGCTGGTCCGGTAACTAGCAATCATCAAGAAAATGCTCGTCATCGTCATGGTCGTACCGGGCAATCATGGCGTCCCCTCTGATGGTTGACCGGATCGAAGACAGCAAGATCCGGCGAGAAAGGGGGGGAAACAAGGGTAGTGGACCTTATTTGGGGGCGCACGGTGGGGGTAGGCCTGATTCCCGACAGAATCCCACCAGCGCTTTTCGTGGCCAGATGCAGAAACTTGTACGGCTTGGCGAGTCACACTTTTGCAACGCTACGGACACAGGCTTGGGACTTCACTAGGCCCTATTGGGAGCAGTGTAGCGAAACTCCACGTGCTGCGAATCCTTCGCATTGCCGAGATGGGCATCGCTGCGACTCTTCGCCGCTGGCGTCGTATGGCAGCGTAGCATCTTCTACATATCTCCTGGTGGGCTGGTGTTCATGGTTCAATAGGTAGTTTCTGGGCAATTAACGTCGAACGATCCGTCAAGATGCTCTTGTAATATTGAGCAGGGAATCATGATAAGATCGACGACGATACCCCAGCCCATGCAGCTGGGTCGTCGCCCCTGCGTGTCTGTAATTACGGTCCGTAAGTAATGGTGGTATTACTTGCTATGAATTATCACAGTGACTTGGTATTGTACGAGTGTGGGTATGCGAAGTACTGTAGGGTTCCTAGACGCTTGGAGCAGTGGGCGTGATGCCGATATCAACCCCAGAATGCTCTCTAAGACACATCGTGTTGATACAACGCAAGTACGAGGTAAACTCGTACTGTGTAATAAGGGGGATTCGTGCTCGTGAACTCGACTGCCGAAGTCCCCGGGCGCCAGAGTGGAGTCGGACTGAATGGGACGAAAAGTACAGAACTTCTGGGTAAGACACCCGTCTCCGGGAATTGCGGTAAACGGTACGGATACATACCTGGGGATTTTCAGGTGCTGGTGGACGTTGTTCTCGTCATCAACGTACACACTCGGCTGTCAGCTTAGCTTCGCGCCACGGAATCGCGCCTAGTGGTTGGTTATTAGACTTTGTCCTTTCTAATATTCCCCGTTCCGGATTAACGAAACGCGCGATGCCTGCGTCGTCAAACACGCGGATAATGTCTTGTTGCGGATCCGTACCGTTGTACTCCGTAATCCGTAGCTACCTACATAAGGTACCTACTTCTGTATGGACGGACAATTTCAGCCCCGTTTCCCGTTCTCCGCAAGCAACCCCACGAGACATGGACAATCTCGGGGCACTTCTTAATGAGAGACAAACTACTCCGTACAGTACAGCTGGCAGGAAAATCCCAACTGCCGTGAGGACAACACCGCATGGCGAAGAAGGGTGTGTCAAGCGGTACGGAAATGCAATGGGAGATCGCCGTCGAAAGTGCCGCATACATAGTAGTGTATGTATGCCTTTGGCATGTTGGTCTGTGGGATCTGCGTCGACTAGTTTCGGTAATAGGCAAGACGGTGACGGAATCCCGAGAACGATGGACAACCGGCCACCAGAAGCCGTGCTGCGGCCGCGGCCTCCGTGTCCTCCGCCTCCCGCATCTTGACTGCCGCGTTGGGCTAACCACTCCGGGGAGGTCGGGAATGACGATCCCACGCCGCCCAGACACCGCCCAGACACCATCAAGCGACAACGGCAACTAGGCTCGATACGTCCAGAGGCGCAGCCTATTTTTAGGGGCGGGCACGACACGGTGGCTTCTGATGTGGTCCGTGTGGTATGTACAATACTAACCGAAGCACGGAATGAGTTCGCTTTGCGGCCAATCAATGTACAGCGGAAGCAACGCCGAGGCTGCCTTGTCGGTGAACTTTCGATGTCGCACACAGGACCATGGAACCTCATCCCGAGCATCGCTTGTTGGAGGCTGTTGACCCTCCGGGTTCGAGAACAGCAGAAGTCCCCTCCCTCATCCCCCCTCCTTTCCGAATGTTCGCGCCACTGCGTCCCGGATGGGCCTCGTCGATGGAGAAAAGTGAGAAGAACACCGTGAGGCACGGAAAATTTGCAGCTTCGCTCAGCTACCGAGCGATAGCGGGTCCTGCGGTTGTCGGTGCCCCTGATGCTTGTCCGGCAATATCGGAGCGGCAATTAGCCTGTTCAGATGGAACGGGTGTAACCTGGTATGGCCTGGAAGAAGTCCTCGCACCGCATCATGCACCTGACTCGGCATTCCGCGCCGTAAAGTGGAAGGGCCGTGCAAACTTACATATTATTGGCTTATTACTACCCCCTTGCCGTCGGTCCCTAATCTTACCTCCTCCTCAACTTCTTCGACCGTCACCGACTCGCCATTGTTGATCATCAGTGAGGGTGCTGTTGGCGGCACTTCCAGCCTTCGTTCCGTGCCCGTTCCCCACTGCTCTCCGCCTCGGAGCGCGAGCCCAGGCCCGCGTACCGGTCCTGCCTGGGTGAACGAAGCGGGGAGAGGCGGCATGAACGCATGTTCACGGAGTTCTCCAGGTCGTTACCAAGAATTACCGGCACTTGACTTCTAATAAAAGAAGAAGTGCGCCACGTCCCGGATCTGGGGAATGCGGCAGAGCTCATCTGTCCGAATCATAAATGTATAATCGGGAGATTAAAAGCCCAGCCCGGTCCTCTCTTTGCTTCCGTGGCAGCCTTATCCGATAGTGCTTTCTGACTCTCACCAAGGCGACGGTTCCGACGAGGACGGGTAATCAGCCTTCAAGAATGGCGTTGCGATGCGCCCAGCACAAAATTAGCCCTCTCGTATGCGGGCCCCTCCCTGGGCTCGGGTTCCCCTCGACTTGAGCAGACGATGCATGTCGACATGAAGACATCAAGGAAGGGTGCTGTGAGCACATCCACTAGCTTCTCTGCATGTTCCTCATGCAATCTCGGCAGCGTGCATGCATGGGATGAGGACCTCGGCAAACAGATTGCGACGTCGAGGTGTCCTGTTTGAGCGGAGGTGTTGTGATCGCAACCTCACTCCCCTAATAAGTTCGCATAGTTATCCGTCAAGGTCCCGATTGGGACCAATAGAAACGCTACAATCCAATGCATCACCGCTTCGCTCCGGGTTACTACCGTGGGGTTGCAACGAGGAGCATTCTGTGAGTGGGAGTTCGCGCTGAAAATAGACTCCAATAGGGAACGGCCGTCCGGGTTCCTTTCGCCAGTATCTCGGTAACAGAGTGGAGAAGGCACTTGCGGAAGGCTAAAGGGTCGTCGGTTTCGGTTCTTTTAAAATCCAAGGCCATAATACACTAGGTACGCATTAATAAAATGTTATACCGTCCAGGGGCTCCAGACAGACAGAAGAATGACATGCAAAGTGGTGTCCGCTCTTCCCTCCAGCACCGTTAACAAGAACAACCTCTGTTGCTCGGAAGCTGGAGATAGGCTCGGGACCGGAAGATCGATGGAACCCATACAGTAGATTCGCCCGCCGCTAGTGACGGGCTAACGAAACCAGATCCTCGGCAATTACGCTAAATTGTTGGCAACAACGAGTATGAGGCAGAGCAGGGGCCGTATCTCGACAGCTTCGGTTAGTAATTGAGGCTTTTTTACGTGGACTGCCGGCTTCCAAGGGATCTTCGCAGGATTTGCCACAATTGCCAGCAAAAGCGTCGCGCATATGTCTTTGCTGGCTTTGCTGCAGCAAAAGTTCCCGCCCAGGAAGCGCCAGGCTGCCAACTCGTTGGACCCGCGTCGTATTGAATCATCGGTTCAGGGCTAATGCGCAACGAGGAATCCGATCTTGGTCGGTGTCTTTAAGGTTCAGAATTGTCGCCCATTTTCGATAACTGATTTGCAACGGCCCTGTCCGCTTGTCCAGTCAAAACCGTTCAGCGTCCACAGTGTGGTATGCAAGGCCCGAGTGTGTAGTGGTGAGAAAGGCGCCGAGTACGGGCCGAGTACGTCGTGAACCGGGCATCCTCCGGGCGCTGCGTCCGCGGTAGCGCCGCTGAAGAGACGTCCTCGGACATTTGCCAAGGCCGTTGCACGAGCTCTGTGACCAAGCACATGTGATAGAAAGTGGTATGGTGCAAGCACTGCAAGCCTCGGGAAAGGGCGCGGACAGAGGGCTCAGGCGATGAGCCCTGGAAGTCTGTGCCGTTGCGAATCGGGCTCCGCCAAGGTCCCAAGTCCTCGGTTCGGCCAGGTCAAGTGTCCAACTGGGCTTTTAGGCCCGTCTTTCCGTACGAGCCAATCTGCCGTTGACCGCTATGTACCTAGTGCAGAGGCACGACTGCTTCTCGAGTGCCGGACGGGTGTCGGCAGTTCGTTGCAGAAAGCTGGAGAAAGGCAATGTTCCCATCCCAGCGTCTCGCCTCGGGCCTGCATCTCCTACTTGCAGGGTGGCTGGACCCCTGGTGCACAGCAGTTCTCTCGGCGACTGGTCCAACGAGTTTCCCGCCTATCGCCCCGAAGATTGCCCAACCACTGCGGAGCCGACCGCCGCCAACCAACCCAACGCCATCAAGCCATCTGACCAGTCCTTCCGGAGGTCCTTACCGGCTCTATGCGGTGCCGTGGCAGAGTGGCATTACTGACCATCGATGACATAGGCGAACTGGAGTAGCCTCAGCCCCTCGGCTCCTTCACCGCACGATCCATCTCCCGGACATAGTGTTGAGCCGTCATGCACACTCAGCCTCAGCCACAGACGAGTCGGCAAGAAGGGGCGGAGTGGACGGTTTCGTTAGGGGAGGTTCAGGGTCGAGACGAGAGCACATCTTGCGAACGAACGGATGCGCAATGACGATATCTGCTTGGTCGTTCGACATGTAGATTCCCGTGCCATGGAGATGGAGGTTTTGGTATCTCGTCGCCGCATCTAATGACCGAGTCCTCTCGGATGATACTCGTGCAATCACCGGGACTGCGGTCGTACAGAGTGCTAGAACACATCAATGCTCCATCTTGCCTCCGTGTCTGTCTGTCACAATGCAGCTCTGTATGACAGCCGCAGTTCTCGAGCAAGAAGTATCCGTGGTCTCCGTGTAGAGACCATTCCCGTCCTTGAATCCGGTATAGAGACAGCATGATGCTTCGGAAACTTAAAAGCCGGGGACTTGACCGTTGCGAGGTTATCAACGGACGCTCTAGACGGAGCAGCTGGCATGACCGGCTGATGTAACACATATCCGGGTTTCGTGGCTTATAGAGGTCTAATGCCGGAATGATGATGAAAGGGGCTGCTTCCTCTCAGCTGCGGTTCCCAAGGTCCCTGGCGTACCCAACATCTCGTTCTTTGATCATTGTGCACTGATGATCTGGCCGCGAAGGGCGGTTTTCGTCGAGCGTAACTCCTCCTACTTGCTGGCCGGGCAACCATGCACCAGGAGGACATGACTACCCCCGGCCTCTCACATTCTTAATCTGATGCTTAGGACCACTGAGATCGGCTCGGGTTCGGCATGGCACAGGGTATTGATGATCGAATGTACATCGGGTAGTACTGGGCTGCTAGGGAGTATCTTAACCTTTATCGTGACTGCCCGAGGCGTTACTCGCTCCATCTTCCTAGGCATGGCGATTAGCAATACCGAGGGCCTGCGCCAGACCGTCCCATTCATCCCAACTGTGAGGCTTCGGGTGGGCGATATAAGCTGATGTCTCTCAGGAGGTCTGGTAGATCATAGCACGAGACGCAGAGGCGAAAGCCGGGTATTGTGGGTTTGGCGGCGCTTTCCTGTGAAGGCCGAAGGGACGTCGATTCAGACCGCACCGTGCCACTTGGCAACCGGGGACGCAATTGATGTTCACAGTCCCGCTCCGAATCATCGATCAGGATTCTGCTATGAGCAATGTACGTCAGCTGGTTTGACTCGAAAAGATACTAGTACTTCATCTGCGAGGCTATGGGGGTAACGACCGACCCGCAACTCGACCAAGACCATCCGATTCTCTATATGGCCAGTAAATATGACGAGAGGATAGGGAACATGAGAAACCGCTGAACCTGTCCGGTGACATCATGTTGTTCGTGGTGGTGAGCACATAAGGAGATCAACAGTAAGAGATGACACCGGGACGGAAAATGTAGCCTCGCCCAGATCGGGGTTGAAGAGAGAACAAAGATGCAACGAGAAGTGAGAAGTGAGGTTCTCGCCTAAGGTAGAGCATTCACTGCATTTCCTCGTCGCATTTATCAGCCATTTCCGTTCTGCTTCGGTGAGAAATGTCGTGGAATGAGGTTGGGAGGTCAGGATGTTCCAGGCTTCCAGCCCGTGCTCGCAGCTGTAGCCAATCGTGGAGGGCGGCGGCTCGTAAGTATGTACCGTAAGGAACGAAGATTACGTCTTTTCATCCCTTTGCCTTCTCTTCTTCCGAGTATTCCCTTCCTTATATCCTTTTCCTATTTTGCTTTTGCATTCATTCTATATGCTTGACGCCTTAATACTTGAACTACTAGGGTGTTCTAGCTTGGCTCTAACGCCTGACCTTCCATCACACCCTTCAATGTGCCATCACCTCGTAAATACCTGATCGTATTCACCGTCATAGGTCGCAGGTTGAAGACCGTAATGGACTTCGAGTCACCAATGTAGGATAATCGCACGATGCAGAATCCAGTGGTTTCGCTCCGTATGAGTTGGTGACGTTAGGTAAGGACGGTATATACCAACTTGGGACTCTGGATTATAAGCCCCGGCGATGTTTAATCCCTGGGAAACCCCGTCTCGGCTATATTCAACCTCACTTCGCCCTGTCAGTCGTCTTTAAATGCATGACAGGCTTGAATACGTTCAGGTCTCAGTTCGTTCATGACCCATGAGGTGCTCAACTCGACGTAAGTCGAGAAGATGCCGATTACAGAAAAGTCCAGGGAGACCCCCCGCGAATTCACCGCATGTGCGCTCGCCGACCGCGAACTGAGCTCCTCGCGAAACCCGTGGGCGATTGCCCGAATGCAAGAGCTTCAGCATAACATGACCATGACCCCGTCCTCGACCTATGCCTGGGGCTCATGGGGATGGACAGGTGAACGATCCCCAGCTCCCTCTCACCCCACCGTTCTGGCTTTCCCCGGGGCCAGGCTGTGCGTGACTGACACGGCACGGCAATGGAAAGTCCTCCGCACGGTCTACGACGAAGAGCCTGACGCTCTGTTCCCCGCGGTCGAGAAGCTCCGGCGGTGGGTGACGGAGTACTGGGTGCACAGGCTACGAACGGATCGCCGGCTTCGGGGAGACGAGGATTGCGCATGCCAGGAAGCACCCACAGCACGACCGTCAACGAGGCGCTGGCGCAGAGATTCCGTATCAAGACGCCCGAGGACAGGGACAGGCTGAACCTGCCGAGCCTGGAAGAGGCTACGGTGGAGGATATCCATGCTCTCTGCGATCGATTCAGCGACTGGGTCGCGAAGCGTGGGCGAGGAGGACCCCTCGCACGGCCCGTGTTCCACGCAGTCCTCTGCTTTGCGACTTCCTCGTCGTCGATGCCCTCGCCCTCCGTGAGCTTGCGGCCCTGTCGGGTGACATGCCTCCGCTCCAGTTTACGGCAGACCGGGACGAGTTCGTGCGTCGGAGGTCCACGTACCACCGCGGGCAGCCCTGGTTTGTCGATTCTCGCGCTGCCCTGTCTTACCGCGAAGGAGCTTCCGATTCGCGGTATCGTTGCTGGGTGACGATCGCTGTAGACAGCTTACTGGAATCCTGGTTCTACTCGGCGAGTCGGCGTGGATGCTGGGGAAGGGAGAAAGGGATGGGAAGATGGAGTCCGTTGAGAACCCCGAGGCGTCTGGCTCGCTCTGGTTCGTTGACAGGCGAGGCCGGCATTCTCTGGGTGTCTAACGATTCCATTTTGCCATGGTCTTCACGACTTGAAGAAACACAGGCGGCGGCACGGCAGAGCTAGAGTTGAAGTGTCATTGCCACCTCAGATCAGGTAAGCTTCTACATTCTTATCCGATCACGATTCAACTACTGGCGCGAGCCTCTGTTAGCAACGTACATTATAGCCATTGAATAATGGATCACTCAAAGGCGCCATGGACTAACGTACATACTTACGAGGTTGGGGTAGTTCCACTGGGTACATTGTCCCCTCGCTGCCGCCGTACTGGGCCGAGGAGGACGAATTTTAGACAGTTAGCAACTGCGCTAGTTCTCAAAACCGTATCGAGGTACTAGATGTATGAGTAGGCACTGGCTCCAGAGCCGCAACCACGGCTACAAGCTCACCCATCATCTGTGTCGCTCGCGCCATATTAGTTAGCGAAGGGCATAGAGGTGAAAATGGCCAGTGTGAGAAAGGGGATAGCGTGGGGCATCTACGGTCCCGCAGCCTGCTTCGCTGACATCGACTGCGTTCAAAGGCAACGCCGCAACAGCGACTGTCTCTGCATCGAGAAGGGCTAAAGACATCAGGGGGTCCGGGCCCTGGTCAAACAAGGACGGCGCAGACCTCCTGGCAGTCCGCACGCCGCACGCAATTCGCATGTGAAACGGCGAGCAGCCAAAAATACGCCGGTGAGAAGTGCAAAGTAGAGGCACCTCGACTCCATATTGTAGCTATACGAAGCAATAATAAAGATGTACAGGAGTTCTCTTACACAGTAACTCGGCGTCGGGACAAAAGGAAGCTGACCGATCTCTCCTCCCCTTTTGTGCGGGTTGCTGTGCTCGCCAGCCGTTTGACAGCTGGTTGGCGCCCAGATCCGAGGATTCCGGCACTTGAGCTTTGGGTTCCGCCAAATCTGCATCTTCCCGTCGATCGTTGCCCCTAGTTAGCTCGAGCCTACTGTAGTTCCACCGCCGGACCCGGTCCGGACTTGATCTCGAATCCGAAATTTCGCAGCGGCTATTCAAGTTTCCACGACGACTATCTCGAATATCTTGTGCGGCGTCGGCGTAGTTGATACTTATGCGGGAATGGCTTGCAGTTAAGAAGTCTGCGCCCCTTTGCAATTCAGCTTCCTTTCTCTGCAAGCGCTGCGGCCACTTCCCCTTCCACGCGCGACGACCCGACCCTTATCTTCGGCCATGGGGTGGTTGACGACGTTGTCGGGGTATCTCACCCCGGCATTCCTCGTTCTCTCTCCGGTTCTCTCGTACAGCGATCAGGCGATTTCGATGCACCGGACAAAGTCCAGCGCTGGCTTCTCGCTCGACATCCCGCTCATCATGCTTGTCGCATCTCTGCTGAGGTTGGTCACACCGCACACCCATGCCATCATACACCCCGCCAACATTAGCTTGTTCGTGACAACACCGGCTAACCCGCGCCCCTGCTACATATCAGGATATTCTACTATCCCGGCGCCAAATTCGACAATGCGCTCCTCGTCCAATCGTTCGTCATGGTCGTGATGCAGGTGATCCTACTGAAGATCGCGCTGGAGCACCGGCCGGCGCCGTATTCGAAGGGAGGCGAGGCTACAGTACCCTTTACCCGCGTTAACGAGACACGACGGCCGTTCAACTTCTGGCAGTGGAGATCACCGAAACCGTGGGTTGCCCCTGGTGCAGACATGATGGGCATATTCGGGACGGGGGAAGAAGTGGCTGACGCTTGCGTGTGGACAGATACTGGCAGTTTTTGGTTTCGCTTTTTGTTGGTCTGGTGTTCTGCGAGTTCCTGCTGTCATCACTTCCGTCGCTATATCAGTGGTACTCTTCTGCGATCGGGTTCATCGGCCTCGGTGTCGAGGCTACGCTGCCTATCCCGCAGATCCTAGCGAACGCCAGATTGCGGTCGTGCAAGGGCTTCCGCCTGTCAGTTTTGGCCAGCTGGCTCATCGGCGACAGCATGAAGATGTTCTGGTTCTTCACCTCGACAACATCGATCCCGTTGGCGTTCAAGGTCTGTGGCATGTTTCAAGCGATGTGCGACGCCGTCCTCGGGGTGCAGTATATGGTGTATGGCGATGGAGAGGCCGGTGCGAAGGCCCATCAGAGCCCTGCTATTGTGCAGCTTGAGCTGCAAGGGAACGGGTTTACTACAGCAAGCGGGCATGCCAAGCCGCCTGGCCGGAGGACTTCAGTGTCGGAAAAGAGCATATGAACTGTATGGACACGAATTTGGACGGATCTCAGTAGACACACGCGGTACCTTATATAGACTAATATTGAGACTCAGAGCAACCTATCATATATGACTCAATAGGCGGGAATTCGTGCTGCGTAGTGAATACGTCCATACTTTTTAGGCCTACTAGTACTCATAGTAGTACATAGGTACTTCGTTTATTATTAGGTGGTCCGTGCAGAGGTGTTAATCAACTCAGATGGAAGCCTTGACAGGCGCCAAGATTGTGAGCTGGTGTTAACAGGAAACTCCCGACCACAAGAAGATAGCTCAAAAGGATCAAGAGCTTTCAACCATATCGCTGCATCCAAGCTTGCATGAGCCAAATAGACATAGAATTTATATAGAAAGTCTTTTTTCCGTGAAGAAAATGCCTTGTGGACCTTCTGCCATGAGACATCCAGCAACAGCAACAAGTTTCTTGCAAACTGTGACTCTAGCGTTCCCCTGGTGATGAACATGGCCAATCGATGCTCTCAGCCTCGTTGATTCCGTTTTCTTTCCCCTTTCAACCTCATTACAAGGCTGAGTGCCACACTCTAACTCGCCCACCCGCTACTGGTACCTACCTAGTCTCCTGCTTGTATCTCTGCATTTATCCGATAGACAAAACAATAGCTACAACCTTCTTCATATGGTCTGCCCTGTGTAGTTGCGTCGGTGTCGCTGGCTCCCCTGTCTGCGCCCTGTGCGCGGGTCGGACCGCGGAGCACGAGTTGGGTCTGGGCATTCAACAGAGATCAGCCACTGAGCATCCGTAAGTTGAGCACCTACTGTACTCCTACTTGCTATCTAGATCCCCTTAGCACGAGGTTTCTTTCACGTCTTAATTTTGTGATGCCATCAGCATGGCCCGGAGCTGACATGGCCTACCCCTTTTCTCACACCTCTTGAAGCCCTCAGTCCTGGTGATTCTCCTAACCAAGTCAACTCGTCTGATGGCTCGTTGAGCCAGGTTCTCTCGTCTGTATTTGAGGAGCTATGTCCTTTTGGAGGATTCTCTAACCGCCGCGAGCAGGTTTCGTCTCAGCCTTCCTTTGGCCGCTCTCAGCGGGCAACCCCCGTTCTTGTTCGGAGAGAGTACGTGCCCCCTTTTTCTCGCTCTTTTACATCACTGTGCTCCGTTCTTTTCTTTCTTCTCCTGCCTCATCCGCAGATTCTGTTCCTCGTCCGATCTGAGTTGGCCAGTCTAGCCTTTCTATGCCCTTCTTCTCCTTCGCAGCCCCGGTTTTTGATTACCCTTGAATCTGGCTCGGAACGGAGTTCTTGGCCTCACTCTCCTCAGCACCAAGCTGCATGCTTCCCGTTCATCGTTTGAAGCCTGTGTTGGCTGACCGAAACCGCAGAAGTTCCTTATCACAACAGCTTCTCCTCCGTGTATCAGGCCCGGCCACAGCCGACTGTCGACGGTCGACGCAGGACTGCCGGAGCTCCCATCACCTACCTTACCGGCGTCGAATCACGCGCTGCGCACCGGACCGGGGCGCGCGGGTCCTCCCTCTGAGCCCACGGCTATTTATTCCTGCCCACAGTTCCGAAATTCAGATTCTTCCTCTTCCTTCTTCCACAACTCGCATCTCGTTCACAGATTCGAACGCTTCTCCAGCCTCGACTTCCAAGCTTGCGGTCAACCAGCGGTTGCAACCTCGCATTCTCATCATAGAAAAGGTATGTAAACCTCCCTGCGTTCTTCCTTTTGCCTGATCTTGGGCATCGTGGCGGCGGCGCTTGGCCGAGTTCCCTGTTTGTTGGCTTCGAATCCGTTTGAAAAACAGCCCCCAATCTGCCTTGAGGATTACCCAAGTGGACAATCGTCTTTCATCGCGCCGATTCTTGATTTGTCTTGTCAGCTTCGACTTCAGCATCAAGTTGGCCGACTCGTCTAAGAGCATTGGTAGGCGCCTCATCTGAACTCATCTTGAAAATAGCCTGTTCTTTGTTTCAGAGTTTTGCAAGTGCTTCGTCTTGTGGCTTTCATGGCTCATTTCCTTCAGTCTCAACTGCTCATATACCAGAGACCGCGGCCGATCGGCTGGCATATGTTTGGTCTGCTTGAACTACATCTACTTATCGAATTTGAAAAGCTGACCTTTGGGGAAATTACAGGACTCGTCAATCGCAATCTTCTGCCAGTGTTGACTCGGCCAGACCCAGGCTTCTCTACTATACCCTCTCCTTCATTTTCCATCTGGCGCTTTAGGCAAACCGTCAAAATGCCTCCCAAGGAAGGAAAGAGTACGAACTTCAAGACGTACGAGGCCCAGCTGCGTCTCCTGGCGGCAATCGTTGCTTCGATGCCGCAGCCGTGGAAGTTCGATTTTAAGGGTGAGTCAAGCTCTCTTAGTCACACCTCTACTACTCCCTCCCATCTGGCTGCCCCCACCCCCTTGGCGCAAACTCACTTGAATGCTACTTGACCAGGGCGGCGTGGCGGGTCGGCTAGCGTGGCGATAAAAACGACGACGGATGGCAACCGCTGTTCTGAGTTCTTCGACGACCCGAACTTTCTTTTCCTCTTTGGGGTGCTTGTGATTGAGGAGTTTGAGGACTGACCGTGGCCCTGTTCAAACTCGCCAGCAATTGCCAGGCACTTTGGCGGCGGCACTACGGAGTCCGCCATGGAGCATCGCATGCGGACGGTCAAGCTTCTAGCCGACGTCCTGATGAAGGCCGTCGAGCGTGGTGTTGAACCCCAGACTATCGAGCTCGAAAAGATCAAGACCAAGGAGGGTAAGACCACTCGCATATCCCAGCTCGCCGTCTTCGCCATTCCCGCCGCCGCCGCCGCCACTGCCGCCGCCGCCACGGGGTTTATTCTGCGTTATGGGATGAAAGAACGGGAGCTAACGAAAGCACAGAGATTCATAAGCTCTTCGGGGAGAGTACCCCTGACGGCATCAGTTGGCAGATGCGGGCGGTAAAGCAAGGCGCAAACGTGCTGAAGACGGCCAGAGACAATGGCGAGGACCCTGTCGCTGCCTTCACCGATCACTTGTACAAGGGTGATGGCAGCCGCGGTGCCGGTACCCCGGCCACGCCCAAGCACCGGACCACGAGCCTGACCAAGCGGGCTCGGTCTGCGGGTAAGGCGCCCGCCTCGGGCACCACTCCGGCGAGTAAGCGGCGTAAGGCCGATGTCAAAGCCAAGGAAGAGTGGGAAGACGACGAGGACTCGCCGGAGGTGGACTACGACGAGCTCGACACCACTCCTACCAAGCTCAAGCCCAAAGTCTTGAGCACGCCGCGTAAGTTTCCGCCGTTGCTTCCTCACGAGGCCTGGAAGAACCCTGAGCCGGGTTCTCGCCCGGCGGCCAAGCGGCACGTCCCGATTGCGCCAGCTCCGCCTCGCCCGGCCGCGCCGTCGTACAACCTGGCGCCGATTCCGGGAGTCTCTTCGGCCGCTGGCCCCAATGTCTACACCAACCCGTCTGATGCCGTCGGGTACCACTATTCTCCCCAGACTAGCATGGCCAACTCTCCGGCCATGGATATGAACGCCACGAACGCCATGCGACGCGGTTCTGTCGTCTCTGTCAGCTCTGGCAACGAGATGTTCAACCCCTTCGATGCTGCCTCCCCATCTGCCTCGGCGTCCGACGCCAACACGCCGCAGACGGTCGCCTCATCCAACGCGATGATGATGGCCGACCAGCAGGCTGCTGCTCCCGCCCAATCGTCGTCCTCCATCAAGGCTGAGGACTACATCAGCCCTGAGTATGCCCATTTTGCAAGCTATGCCGCCAACGGCAACGGCAACGACAACGATGGTGGAAATGGCTCCGTCTACGGTTTCGACTTCAACAACCAGGCGCAGGACAACGGCCACGTCGAGTGTGGCGGCTGGCAACAGGACGCCCAGGGGTACGAGGACGCGGGCGATTGTTAAGCTTGACAACAACAAGATCCACCCGCCCGATCTGCGTTGCGAGGATTTTGCGATTGCGAACCCGCCGCATCAACTCTCGGGGCTCAGGCAAATAGTCGACAAACTCAGCCACAACATAAAATGACCAACGATAACCTGGTCTACGGGCGATTGAGGTTGACATACCAGCACCACACGACTTTTTTTTTTTTTTTTTTCCTTCTGCTGTTTTTATTTTCGCAAAAGTGTGTACAACATTCCGCACAGCATCGACTGAGCAAGACCGCACATAATAATCCCGGACACGAGAGAGAGAGCTAGCTTGGACGCTCCCTCACAGCATCTCATTCATCCGGGTTGACTTGCATAAGCCCCCGCGGTAACCCCATTTTCAGGGTTCTGCCTACTTGGGTTCTCAGGGATCCTATCTACTTACTCTGGATTTGCCTGGAGAGAACCTACGCGGTTTCGGACTCGTTTTTGCTTTTTCCCATCTCACTCTCAGATTCACGAGTTGATTCGGTTCAGTTGGTTGGTTGGTTGCATTTGTTCAATATTTGGGATTGGTTCTGGGTGGTCCTCCCACAATGCTGCCATTTATTAGGCGCGCAAGAGTGAGAGAGGATGAGGCTCAAATCACCACCAGTTCAGGGCGCCTTTTGCAAAGGGCTGGCTGCTGGACTCATGGTGAAGGAATGGTCCTGAGACCACGTCATCATCCCTGAGTCTTGGGGGAACTACTTGACTGACATGCAGTGGGAAGGGTTTTGGTTCCGGATTCCATTGTTGACACGGACTTCGGGCGGTTGGCACGGTCAGGGAGGATCTGACACGGACCACAAACATGGATATGGGACATGGAGACATGGACGGGGATGAAACGCCCACATCTGTTGTTTGCTTTGCGAATAATCGATTGATGCTCAGACGGAGCTATCACCATGTAGAGTACAGTACATAACAAGGCTTGCTATCGCCTCGATCACGACAATGAATTCACGGATAAATCCACGAACTTCCGGTGGTTCTTAATCCCTGGGGCTTGTTGAATTGCGTAGGATGCCCCTACTCCCTCTCCCTCCCAGACTGATTGGGTTAGATGTAATAGTAACCTGCCGCCCTCTCCCGGACAGATTGCCCCAGTTCCCAAACCCATCCATATCCCGTCACCGGCGCACTGCCCAACTTCACTTCAGTCAAGCAGCAACTCCCACAACGCATCGCCCTCGACAAAGTCATGATGGATGATATTCACCAGCCACAGATCGGCCCTGAGACTCTCCAAGAACCGCTCGCTCTCGGACCCCTTGTCGTATATCTTGGCCCACTCGCCCCAGATCCCAAACGCTTCCTCGCTCCACGCCCGGAAGCTGACCTCCTCGATGATGGTCGGCGTGACGATCTCCTTGCCGGGGAAGACACCCCAGGTCACGGCATTGGTGCTCGCCTCCTGCTCCTCCTCCGCCGGCGCCCCCGCCGGCCGCGCCGTCTGGTCCGAGCTGACAAAGTCCCCGGCCATGTTGGTGGCATAGAAGCACACGACGTCCTTCATCTCGGGCCTCTTGAGCTTCGCCTCCAGCCCCTTCCAGTCGCTCGACGGCAGGAAGAACTCGACGAAGGCCTTCTGGAAGACGAACCCGTTCTGCGGGCCCCAGCCGAAGGTCGGGTCGCTCGAGCGCAGGCCGTTGACGGCCGGCTGCGAGGCCAGCGTCCACCAGCCCTTGGAGTTGAGGCTTACCAGCTGGTCGCGGATCTTGTCCGTCTCGGCGCTGAAGCTCTCCTCGTTCCACGGGATAGTCGACAGCTCGCCGCGGATGTGGCGTACGAAGATGGCGCTGATGTCGCCGGCCGTCGTGGGCGCGCCCCAGAGCTCCCGCGCCTGCGCCACCGTGACGTGCAGGCTGACGCCGTAGCCGTCGATCTGCCCGTAGGCGGGCGACCGCGCGTCGCCCCACCGGCCGTTGGGGAAGTCGTCCCAGGTCGCCTCGCGCCCGAGCACGCCCTCGCCCTCGGATATGGCGAGCGTGTTGGCCCGCGAGTTGATGGGCGCAGCGGGCACGCTGGCTTCGAGCGCCGTCGCCTCCCAGTCCGGGTGCGACGCCGCCCGGCCCTCGATGATGACCCGGTCGCGGGGATCGGACCCGATGGACGTCTTACGCCTCATGGGCGCCCCGTGAGACGACTGATCGGGCGTGGAGCCGTTGACGCGCAGCCGGCTGATCTCGGGCACGGGAATCTGCTCGTCCACGATGGCTTCCTCGTCGGGTGTCTCGGGGGAGATCAGCCCCGTCCGCTCCACGATGAACGACACGGCCTTCTCCAGGTTGAGCGTGTAGAAGTGGAACCCCCTCGGGCCGGCGGTCCTGCTCTTGATCTCCCGGATTTGCTCGACGATCTCGCTCACGATATCCACGCCGACCTCCTTCACCTTCTGGTCATCGCCCTTTACCGCATCCAACCGTGCCATGAGAGCGTCGGGAATCTTGGCGTGGCTGAGCTTCGTCGTCCTCTTGATCATCTGGTAGCTCTGGATCGGCATGAGGCCGGGGAGGATGGGGATGTCCTTGAAGGCCGCGCTCGGATGTTCCCGTAGCGTCGTTTCGAAATGCTTGTATGCCTCAATGTCGAAGAACAACTGCGTCATGATGAAGTCCGCGCCGGCTTGCGTCTTCTCCACCAGGTATGGCAGGTCGTGCTCCAGGCTCTGCCCCAGCGGATGGCTCTCGTCCGCGTGGCCCTCCGGGTACGCCGCGACGCCGATGCAGAAGTAGTCGCCGTGGGTCTTGCGGATATAGCGGACCAGGTCCACGGCCCAGCAGAACTCCTCCTCGTCGTCGCTGGGTTCCGGCTCGTTGATGTCCCGGTATTCCGCCCTCCGTGGCGGATCGCCCCTGAGCGCCAGGATGTTGCGGATGCCGAGGGCCTTGGCGTCGTCGAGCGCCTTATCAATCAGCCGGCGACTCATATTGGTGCAGGTCAGGTGCAGACAGGTCGTGAGGCCGAGCTCCCTCTGGCAGATCTCGGCCAGCTCCAGCGACTTCGTTGCCGTCGAGCCCCCCGCTCCCCATGTGACGTTGACGAAAAGCGGGCGCAGTGCCCTGGCCATGCGGTCGAGACGGCCTCGGAGGTTGGAGAAGCCCATGGCCGTCTTCGGCGGGAAGAACTCGAGGGAGAAGTAGTCTGTCCCCGCGGGCAGAGCCGCGATCTTGTCTGTGATTTTCTCCATTGCGTGATTCTTGACGGCCTCGGGAGGCAGTTCTAGGCTCGGAACGAGTGCGCCCATGGGGGATTTACTGGCGCTGAATCAAGGGGAGTTCGCGGTCCAGCTGCGAATAATTCTACTACTAGTAGTCGTTGGCTCTATGAGATCGCGGGGCGGAAGGAGCCAGATAAGGGCACTCAAGGTGACTGCGACTGACGGATCAAATGATCAGTGAAGATAATAGGTCGGGGTCTACGTTGGGTACTAGTAGAGTAGGACACAAGTGAAGCGAGAAATACCTCTTTTGTAATGCAACGGACGAGCTCCGCCCAAGTCCAGTTGCCGACAGGAAATTCTTCCTATCGGGCACTGGCACAACTGGCACTGCGCCCGGCACGACAATTACTAGCAACAACCCCACCTTTTACAATACCGCCGGCAAGCGCATGTGCGTGGGGCAGTGGCACCGCATTTGGCACGGCTCCGGAGGTGGGGACCGGCAGCTGTCCCATGCGTCCTCGGCACGGGAGTTGCGGCGCAAAAGCTTTCCGGGGGGCCGTTCTTGAAGGGTTTCTGACACCGCGAAGGCGTATTGGCCCGAGTCGGCGGATAGAGGTTTGATTGGTAGCGTCGACCATGCGGTACGCGCACCCGAAGATAGCTGCAATGACGCCACGCACCGATTTGGGCTGCGAGGGGACACTTCCATGGACAAGGGGTCCATACCCCCACCCATCCGCGCTCTCGGCAGAGAACGTGCTCTACACTTTCACCATCCTGCATCCTCTGCGCTGTTGAAATGGGGATTCCGATGACATCTCGTGACATGGAGTATTTCAGTCTATGGGGTGCCTATCCCGCATCGCACCCACCTTAGGTATCTCGCAATGATAGCGTCGTGCTCAGAAGCGGGGTTGAAGTCTGTCCAACTTAATTAAGCTCACCTGGGTAAGGTAACGAGAGAACGGCCCTGTGCTCGGAACCGTTAGCTTCCAAGTAGGTAGGCAGGTAGGTAGCATGGAGGACATGAGGGATGGGTTCCGCAGGTAGCTCAGGTTATGCAGCCATGTTTTCCTCAAGCTCAACGCACAGCTTGCAGACCTCCCCTTGGCAGAGGATGTCCAGCTGTTGCTGAGTCGGTTTACCGGAGTGTTTGTGGGTCATCAAGGCAGACGCGGGCGCGGGCAGCAGTTAGTGCAAAAGACCAGACTTACACATCCAGGATCAGAAGAGAAGCAGACGAATAGCTAATCAAGCATCTTTGCGGGAGGGCTTTGTGATCTTAAGAGCCAGCACGCGCCTTGTCTACGTGGCACCAAGAAGAGATGGCAACATGGAGGTTGGGATGTCCAGACTTGCTTCAGGTCATCATCGCATCATGGACGCCGCGCAAATGGGGCTCTCGTGATGATGGTTTTAAACAAGGGCATTAGATAGAGTCAATCTCGACACACGTTCGGAATCGCCAGCAGCGTGGTGAGTTTGTTGGCAGGCTGGCGATGATTTGAGTTGTGGTCTTGTATGATTTGAGAGAAAAGAAAAGGATTGAAAATTGAGCCTGTAGGAAATCCTCTTTGTAATGTTGCCAAGCAGATTTTGTGACAGTCCTCACCGCCCACAACGTTCAACTCCAGAACGGATCTCAGCGGATGTCTCAGGCTTTGAGTCGTCCCTTCCTTCGCACGGGCCAACAACCGTCTCATGACCAGTCATGTTCAGTTTCTGTGGTGGAGTCAAGACCCGCCACACTCAGTCTTTCGGCTTTCAAGTTTTGTTCACACATAGTTACTGCGTACGACTGAGAAATTGAGCTTCCTACATCGCATCCTGCTACCTTACCTACTCTCTAAACGAACCTAGATATTCGAGACGCATACCTCATCCCAAGTTTGATCAATCATCAGCGGATCCTGCATCTTTTAGCCGATTGCCTAGCGCATCAACAAACAGACCACCCGACTAACAAGAATCCATTGTGCGCCGTTGCCATCCCGCCTCTCCTCGTAACGCTATCCACTCTACAATTCGAACCGTGACCGTTATTGTGAAAGTCTCGACCACGGCAGCGGCAGCATATTCCGAAGAGCTGCTGCCTTTCTCGACCTCCCGCGGACCGAGTTTTAGTGGCCGCGTCGTTGTTCGTCCCCTGGTGCTTCTGGTGTAGTGGTGATCCGCTTGACAGCCTACGCTTTCCGCATTGAACCCGAGTTTCCCCCGAGTTACGGTTTCCGACGTCTTCATGGATAATCTATGGAGTCGCCGTGCCAAGTGAGTCCCCCATCAGATTGCAGCCGTCCCATGATTGTTCACAACCCTAACCTACAGCCCATCTCAGCTCGAGCAAGCTCTCTCTCTCCACATCCGGGTCCGGACAGGACAGCCCTTCGGGACGCAACTCTTCCTTCAAGCGATTCGGCGGTGACAGCTCAACGCTCGGAAAGACCTCCTTCGGCCCTATAACACCGGGCGGCAGCCTGGTGTCTCCCATTGGCGGGGCATCAAGCGCCTTCGGCCTAGGCTCAGGCGCCTTTGCGTCGTTCGGCTCCGCCAAGACACCCAAGTCGCCGGGGAATCCGTTCGAGTCGGCCCTTGGGGCTGCCGCAAAGACTCCAACTGGCGAGAAATCGGCAAAGGAAGGAGGCTTAGGCAGCAAAACGATCAGCAAGCCGGGTTCCAGTGCGTCCTTAAACGACGCGGGGAAGGCAGCTGGTCAGTCAACGGCCGGACCGGCTTCACCATCAAGCCACCAGCTGCGCAACAGCTGGGTGTTTTGGTTCCGGCCGCCCATCTCCAAGGCCAACGGGTTCATCGAGTACGAGAAGACGCTCCATCCGATCGCCACGGTCGAGACGGTCGAGCACTTCTTTAGGGTGTATCAGCACCTCAAGCGGCCGTCAACCCTGCCGCTGGTGTCGGACTACCACCTCTTCAAGAAGGGTATCCGTCCGATATGGGAGGACGAAGAGAACAAGAACGGGGGGAAGTGGGTGGTGCGCCTGAGAAAGGGCGTTGCCGACCGATACTGGGAGGACCTGCTGTTTGCCATCATTGGCGACCAGTTCGGCGAGGCCAGCGATGAGGTGTGTGGGGCGGTCCTCAGTGTCCGCAACGGCGAGGACATTCTCAGCATCTGGGCTCGAGCGAACGGGCAGCGGGTCCTCAAGATCCGGTATGTCACTCCTCTCACGCATAGAACCGCCATGTGTGGTTCCGCTGACCCCGTTACAGTGAAACGATGCGAAGGATCTTGTCCTTCCCGCCGGACACAAAGCTCGAGTGGAAGAGCCATGACTCGAGTATCCAGCAGCGAACAGCGATCGAGGAGTCGCGGCGAGAGAAGGCGAATAATCATCACCATGGCGACAAGCGGTCATCTAGCAAGCAGCAGCAGCCATCGCAGCAGCAACAGCCGGCGGACGACCTGAGACACCCGAGCAGCTCGTGATCCCCCACGGCGAGCAAATGCGCGTGATCCAGCCGAGGGATAAAGCAGCACGCTTCTTTCTCCCTGTATGTACAGTACCGAATCAGCAGGCATTTGCAAAATGGAATTCTGAACGAGCGTTGAGTTATTGGGAGGTCGGGTTCCGGAGCGTGTTTCGTTCCTGTTTTTATATTTGTCCCACTCTCCTTGGACACTGTAATGGTCATGGGACGGCACGATCTTGATGAAAACCAAAACTGGGAGGGAAAGAGCGCTGTCTGGGAGTTAAGGGTGGCATAGGGTCGGCTGCGAGGGAAAGGGGGTGTGGGGTTAGCTAAGGGGCTAGGATCAGCGCTGTAGCACTTGACTGTAACCACCAACCTAAACAAACATATCTCTCTGCCCATGAGATCAGGAGGCACCACACAAATCAAATGAAGGGTATGTATGGCTCGGTCTGTCACAATACTTCCGGCCACTATGCATATTTAGATGGTATCTTTTTGCTTGGCATGCATGTACACAGTATACTTCACCACTATAACCCCCTTAACCCCTTAATTCTCTCTCTCAAACCCTCCCCTTCCCCGCCGTTGCTGGTGAAGGCACTCTCCGCCTCTCCCAAACTTGCAAATACGTCTCCCCGAGATACAACAGCTCGCTCCGGATCTTATCCACAAACAGATCCTGCGCCACGATCCACTCGTCCGTCGCCTTGTCCCGCAGCTGCACCTTCCACGTCTTGCGCTCCTCGCCCACCGCGCTGTCGGCCACGTCCTCCTTGGCCCGCACCGCCTCGTGCACCACGTTGGCCACCAGGTCGTACCAGATGGGCTCCCCCGGCGGGTGCTGCGCCGGGTCCGGCTCCACGTAGGGCGACACGTCCAGGTTGTGCGCGTCGAAGGTGACGATGGTCGGGTTGCGCTCCGAGACGAACTTGTTCTTGCTGAAGCGCTTGACGTGGAAGACGAGGAAGGGCGGCAGCGGGTGCATCAGGCGGTAGCGCTTGCGCTGCGCGTTGAGCTCCTGTGCCGTGACGCCGTTGTACTTGGCCAGGATGGTGGTGAGCGGTACCTGCGGGATGATGTTGCGCGACTCCTCGTCCTGGAAGAGCGGCGCGGCCGGCAGGTCGAGGGTGAGCAGCAGGAAGCGCGCGATGTCGACCTTGACGTCGGCGGCTTCCTCGAAGCGCAGCCGGTCCAGCCCGTCGGCGCGCGCCGTGATGGCTTGCGATTCCACTTTGAGCTTGCCCTGGAAGATGCGCTGGATCATGGACGAGCCGGGCTTGCTTTTGCTGCCGCCGAGGCCGAGGTGGAGGTTATTGAGGAACCAGGAGAGGAACTCGACAGGGTCGGATTGCGTGGTTAGGGTGAAGCGCTTGTTGGAGCGGAGCGATATCTCTTGGAGGAGCTCGTGGGGGGAAACATGGGACTTGAAGGCGCGCGGGTTCCAGATCTTGCGGAAGAGGATGGAGGTACGCTTGACGAGCTCCGGCGAGGAGCTGAAGTCTTCGAGGAGGAAGTAATTGCGCAGGGGCGACACGTGGGAGAGCGCTTGTACAATGACGTTCAGATAGTCGTTCTCCTTGATGTTGTTCATGCCCACGAAGCCGGGCGTGTACTCCTTCCCGGCAAGCGTCCACGAGGTGCGCTTCTTGCGATCGAGCTCGGCCACCTCCTGGCGCGTGTAGCGCGGGTCTGACACATACTTGATATCTTCTAGGGCCTTGCTCTTGACCTCATACCCTTCGGGCAGCACATAGACCTTTTGTGTGCTCATGTTGATGAAGACATGGTGGTCCTCGTCGAGCGCGTGGAAGTAGGCGTGCGTTTGCGGGCCCCGTCCCTGATAATACTTGCCGCATACTAGGCATGCGTAGACGTTGATGTTTGACAGTGTTACCGAACATAGCTTTTCAAAGTCGAAATCGAGAACGTTGCGGTCGATGGTGTCGAGGTACAGGTCATCGTAGCCTGCTGTCGGCGCAGCCTGTCTCATCGGCGCCCTTCCCTCACCGTCATGCGCCTCAGAATAATCATCCTCCTCTATATAATCTTCCGTGTCCCCAATTCCGTTCTCTCGTGTTGGTTGCCGTTGGTCATCATCGTTTTCTCGGGCGCTGACCGGGGTCAGGCTCTTGTTGTAGTCGTCGAATCTTGATTTCTTGGACGCCGGTGATTCTGCGCCCGACAGCTCCTCGAAGGCCTCTGACGCCTGGCGTTTGGACATTCCTTGGTATTCGTATCAGGGGCAGTGGTAGGAAGCGTTCTAGGGAGGAAAGCGGCCGTCAAATCTGGAGACCGTTTGCGGCGTTGTGGTTAAGATGGGTTGGGTGTTGAATTTCCTGGGATCACGGGCAGCGTCGCGAACATGAGCCCAGCTTCGCTCCGCTCGGAATTGACTTCTGTGCCCCACCAAAGCTCGAAAGTCTTGGCATCAACGGTCAACAACACAGGACTCGGACACCGCGAGGAAGTGCGTGGGATGGTCTGTTGGATTGCCCGCATCGGAGTTGATATCAGAGCGTAGTTTTATTCCCAAACCAACCAGGTATAAAACCCCAAGCATCCAACACTCTGAATACCTGTTCCAGTACTTCGTACTACTTGCACTTCAGTTGTATCATGCATGGATCTCATTACCCTAACCCTTCCGCTTACACATCAACCGCCCGCGGGCCGTCACGCTCCAGCCATGACAGCATCTCCATCCTGCTCAACCGCCTCCAGCGCCGACGGGGCCAAACTGTCCATCTCCTGCAGGGTATACTCAACAAGATAACTCTCGTCCACCAGCTCCTCCATCCGCTTATAATGCCTCTCTGTGTACACCCTGAGCGCATTCAGCACCTCATTCAGACTCTTCTGGCCCCTGGCCCCCTTGACCGACAAGTTGGAGAATTTGTCGGCGGGGTAGCTTTTAACGAGCGCCCCGAGGATTCTCTGCGCGACAGGCGCCGTCCGCGCGTTCGTGTTCCAGTCGCGCAGCCGGAGCAGCAGCAGGAAGATCTGCTCGTCCGAGAGCTTGGCCAGGACGTCGTCCACTGCCTTGACGCCGCACAGGCTGCCTTCCTCGGGGTTGCTGGTGGTCACGACGCTAGTGAAGAGGCTGAGGAGCCGGCCCGGGTGGTTCAGTTGCAGCGCCAGCACGATGGCATCACGGTAGGCGCCCGCGTGCATGTAGTTCTCTAGCTCCTGTTCTTGCTCGACGAGCCTGAGAGCGGCTTCGGTGGCGGCGGCTTGCGTCTCGGCTGTGATGTCCTTCCAGAAGGTGACCTTGGAGTCGCTTCCGCCCGACACGAGCGTGTTGGTCTTGGGATGGACGGCCAGTGTCCAAAGCCTGTCCTCGTGGTTGTCGAGCGTGCATTCGGTCTCGCCGAGATTGGCATCCCAGACCTTGACAAGGCTGTCGGCACCTGCGCTTGCGAACTGTATTCGCTTCTTGGCAGCGGTCTCGTCAGTGGGAATGTGCAGCCACACCACCTTGAGAACGTTGTGCGAGTGGCCTTCGAAGGTTCTCAAACAGGTGTAGTCGGAGAGATTCCAGAGCTTGATCGTCTTGTCGCCGCTTCCAGTGAGGATCACGCCCTTGCCGGAGACAGCCCCTTGCTCACCCTGGATGGCCGGGGCATGGAGCGGTGCGAATCTGACTGTCCAGACACCTCTCTTATGCCCTTTCAGAATACCTTGGACTTCCAGACTCTCCACGTCCCAGATTTTCACCGTCTTATCCTGCGACGCCGAGGCGAACAGTCGCCCCGAGGGGCTGACATCCAGGGCATTGATGTCTTTGTCGTGAGCCAATCGCTTCAAACTTGCGGACAGTTTGGCTTTCTGTGACTGTCGTGGGACGTCTCTCTTCTGAACAAATCTGTCTTGAGAGCCTGAGATGAGGAAAGGGGGCGGGTGGTCAAGAGGGTTCTTGAAAGCCTCCGAGTTCTCAGGGGGAACCATTTTGGGGAGAGCGACGGCTCCTACTGACTCCAGGTGGCCGGTGAAGACAGCATAGCAGGTGTACGAGTTGTTGGCAGGATCGATACGCCACAGCCGGGCCGTATTGTCCTTCGCACCGCTGGCTACCCAGTGGCCCGACCAGTCAACATCCAGCGACATGACGATGTCCTCATGACCTTGGAGCAAAGCAACGTCATGGCCAAAATATGCACCCCCTTCCTCGTCGGATTGAGCTCCGCTGTCGGCTACCGAAACAAGCCTGATGTCTTCCGAGTTTGTTGCAAGGGCCAGCATGGACTGGTCGGGCAGAACATATGCCAGGTCTAAGATCTCGTCGTGCGTGCCGGATATGCGCCTGAATGGCTCCATGAGTAACCCTCCCGTGGCAGCGATATCTCCGGGTGATGGTATCCGGTACAACGCCAGGGTAAAATCGGACTGCGTGCAGAGAATTAGGGACTTTTGAGGCAAAGAGAGAGCCGAGAGAATGGACTCTGCCTCTGATCTGGCGTCCCGTTTGATGGTAATTTCGTGGTGTGTCGTCGTATCCCATATCCTTAACAGCCCACTCGACCCTGCCGAGTACATCCACTTGCCCCCATTCAAGAACCCTACTGATTCGACCAGCTCGTGACGGAGCATGGGAGTTCCCTGCCAGGTGTTGTCCCGCCAGAGCCACAGCGTCATGGTCTTGTCTCTACTGCCGCTCAAAAGAGCATGCTGCTCGGGCGAGTAGTCTATGCTCTGGACATTGGACTCATGTGCCTCTTTCTTCCTCTTGGCATCGGCGTAAACCGGGACTGTTGTGCGCTTGTGTAGGTCGAAGATACGAATTCTGCCATCCTGCGTGCCCCATGCAAGCCGGAACTTGGGCAACCCGTCCGTCTGCCCTTGATCGCCTTGGCTCTTCCGCGACCCCTTCTTGGATCTTCGCTCAGAGGAGGGGTTCTCGGCCGTCGCCGCAATCTCGAAGAAATGCAGGGCAGACACGAGAACGCTCGGCCCGCTGACGGTGTGGGTGGCATAGCCGCCAACAATATCCCAGATTTTTACCGCACCGTCTGCGGCACCGGTCGCAAGAAGCGTGCTTGTCTTATCAACTGCGAGCACGACCACGGGCGTGGCGTGCGGCTTCGACGTGCGGACGAGAGTTGCTTCCACCAAGTCGAAGTCGGACGATATCTTGAGGGAGTAGATGCGCATTGTCAGGGACCGGGAGCAGACGACGAGATGCGAAGCCGAAGGAGTGATTGTCAGTGTCGAGATTGGCTCGCCATCTCCTTCAATCTCGGCCAGGCGCTTCCCCGTGTTCAATTCTGTCAGGACTGCCGCCTCACCGAGCGTCGATGCGAGGATCCGTGCGCCATTCTCAAGCGCAACGGATCCGCCGGCGAATATCGGCTGAATTACATTCTCGACCTCGAAGGTCGTCTTGGCTACTTGTCTCGTCGCCATGGTGGACGGTAGGTGTTGCGCCGAGGTTCCGATATGTGCCTCCGGTCGCAATCCCAGGTCTTGTCCCAAAAACTTTTGGTTTGCATTTGCTGATAAGGAGGGGAAATAAGGTTATCTTAGCGCAGCATACCCTTGCTCCAAGCCGCAGGGGTGCTGCAGCCTGCAGCTGCCATCTGCCAAGCTGCAATCGACCGCATGTAAGATCATCAAAAAGACATGAACTACAGGCAACAACTCACAACCTCTCGATATGCGCCCACCTTCTTCATGTTACACTGATATTACTCACTCGTACTCGCTTGGGCATTCTTAGTCCCGGTTGCCCACACCGGATGTGCCATGGGGAGGCTAGGACCGTTGACGTCGCTGGCACTTGTAAGGATCGCATGCATCAGAAGGGGCCCCGGGGCATCACGGTTTGCAGTGTCTAATTATATATCCATTTAGGGCCGGTCGCCATATGATGATGTGGTCCCCGGTAATGGTCCGGAGGACCCGCGCGGCCCTCAGCAGCAGTATGACGAACGCGGCCGCCTGATCAATCCGGAGTCGAAGCGCATCAACCGTGACATCATTCGCTCTCACAACGAGGTGATGATGGTCATCGGCGTTGCTGAGCCTGAAAACGGCATTGCTGAAGCACGGGCCGAAGCGGCCCGCAAGCATCACCAGTACGAGGATCGCATCGGGAGAAGGCTGCTTCGAGCGGGCGGTGTGCTGGAAACGGTGGCCGTCTGGGGGGTGAACGGGATGAGGCAGCGCATTCTAGTGAGTACTTTGGCTTATGCTCAACCCCGTGTGTGCTCAAGGCTCACATTTTAGCTCTACAAACCATATTCACAAACAACCTTCTACGGCATGTTCCAGCTGGCATGGAGTCAGCACTCTCCTGCCTCGGATCTACTTGCTGGATTGCCATCGTTCGTGGCTAGTACGATTGTGGACCAACTTGCAGCCCAGGGAGTTAGCCGGGATTCCATGTATGCCACCCTCCTTGACTTGGAGAATGGGTTTGCTCACACAAGGATAGGCTCCGATACGCAATTCTGTACATACGCATGCACCTGTCTATATTCACCTTCTTCCAGCGGTCGAGAATCTTCCCTGTGAGCCAGCTTCTCCCTAGCTGGCGCTTCTTCGTCCCGGGTACCAGTGTATCGCCCATCCCGGTCCCTCCCATCCCGACCTCCTTTCGCCCGCAAGGCCTTCTCCAGTGGGTAGGCGCATTTGCCCTGGGGGTGGTGCCATTCGTGGCCTACTACCAGTATCAGAGCATGTACAGCGCCTTCATTATGTCATTTAGGACCGTCATCTACCATTTCTTACCCCGGCCATCCAACGTCAACAAGTTTCGGGTCCTTCGCGAATCAGCTCCCATCCCGCTAGGGGTAGACACCCTCCCCACGGATATACGAAACGACGAATCGCCCGGAACGCTAGATAGCGAATCCGTTGCAAATGGCTCCTTCCGGAGACAAAGCACCTTCTCCCACCGCGGCAGCAGCAGCAGCCAGTCTGGCCCGAGGCCCGGACAGCCCGACAACTTCGCCAGCGACGAAGAAGAAGAGGAGGTCATGGGCTCCACGCTGATCAGTTTCGACGTGGAAGCCTCCGATGCAACGCCTGATCGCAATTCCGCCGCCACAAACAGTAACGCCGACGCAACCACCACCCCCTCGGCCGCAGGCGTCTGGTCCGCCGAGCTCCGCCCCAACCTCCTGGACAGCAGCGGCGGTCGACCCGCCGGGTCGGGCGGCCAGCAAGAGCCCGTCTACCGTGAAACGGCGCTCACGCGGCTGCCCGCCGTGCTCGCGGCCGAGATGCTGGCTATCATTCCCGCGCGGTTGCTGCTGGCGCCCTTCGCATCCCTGGTTTGGACCAAGCTGGCGAGGTCATACATGGCGAGGCAGGGCTTGTCGCTGGACGGCATGTGGAGCGGGGCCGGGTTGTGGTGGGGGATGCACTCGGGAAGGGGACTGGTGAATCTGCTTGGGCTGGAGCTGCTGTTTGCGGTTATGCAGGGCGAGGCGTGGGCGCTTGTCATGTTTGTTGCTGAGATGTATCGGTACACCGAGGACGAGTGGAACGAGCGGGAAGGGCTGGGACAGGCAGCGGCAGAGGAGGAGGAGGTCCGGGGTTAGGAAATATGCGGGTGAGGTGGGACAATTGCGGCCAGGCCAGATTCGGGCGGAATCGGAGGTGTCGAATTGGAAGGGATGGACAAGGCGAAGTGGAGAGGTGCGTGGTCGATGGGAGACGCCGTCGTTCAAGTAGGTGCTCCATTTTATAGGTTGGGTCAGTGTTAGCCGGCCTGTCGCTGAACTCCGCGACAACCTTTTGTGTCATTGACCATCATTGATAGGGCATAGCAATATACCAGTACATACGGTTCAGCGGGAGAGGAATATTCCTATCAGTCGGTCCTTGCTCATGGGCAACACACCAAGCACCCTGGATTTCAACTGCGCCCCTTTCCCTTCCCTTTCACCTTGGCCGCTTTCTCCTGGTCGATGGAGTCTTTAATGATCGAGTACAAATCCTGGTTGCGCCGCGCCAGGAGGAGCACGTCGTCGGTTGTAACCGTTGTGCGCCCCGCGTGCCGGCTGAAGCTCTCGAGGTCTGTCGCTACGTTTTCTGCAGCACAAGGATCAGCACTATTATTGCCGACGAGCGGTTGTGGCCACACCGGGCCCATTGTAGGTGTGTATGTGTGTGCGCCTTTGTGTATAACTATGCTCGTTAAGATAAGGACACACCAATTTGATGCCAGACCATATCGGTCAGGGCGGCGATGAACTGTGGCGTGGCGTTCCGGTTGCGCTGAAGCGACTCCTCGTCAACCATCTTGCCGATGGCGAACCAGAGGGCTGCTTTGAGACGCTGATGAGGCGGTGTTAGCTTCCAGGTTTATCTGTGTGCGATAGCTCCATTAATGGGGGATTTGAGCCCGGAATTAAGAAAAGAGAGATAGGGACATGAAATATTGGCGACAGCATGAGAAAGTAAGCAGAAGACAAGCCTACCTCTCGCATCTCATCATCTTGGTTGTCAGCCATGACGGTTCTCGCGAGTCTTGGCACTTGATGATGAACTGGGGCTCATCAGAGCGAGGCGCGTGTACACGTGTAGACGCGTCTTAGATATGCAGTTAGGCGAGCTCCTAGAACGCCCATGCCGTTTCTAGGTGTAGCGGCAATATGGAGCCCTGCATCTGGCTCTGACTGCCGAGCATGCCGACGGCAGCTCCATGGTGGGGTCTTGGCTTGGCGAACTACTACGTACCTTCACGTTGAACGCTGCGTCGCAGATTTTCGCGCAAGTCCAATCTTGCCAGCACTTTTAGTATCAAGTCAACTCACTCTCGTTATGTGAGAATCGACTTCACGTTCAGGGATCTCAGCTTTAGCTCCGGATGTACTCGCTACCTACCTGATTCACAGATACTAGAGAGTCTCTTTCCGATTTCAACCTTACAGCTCGCAACCAGTCAATCAGCTCAGCCGGCAGTCGACCCCCATAACGCCCCTTCGTACCCGAAAACATGGACGGACTCGCCGATCTTGCCTCAACAATAGGAAACCGCTTTGCCACGAACCTAAAGGGTTCGTTTACCGACCTGACCCCGGAGAAGTTTATTCGGATAGTCATCATCGCCGGGGCCTGTAGGTACCTTTCTGGGGGTCAATAATACGCAGGACGTGCTGACAGAAAGTAAGACATGCTTCTAAGGCCATACCTGATCAAGCTCGGCGGGCGGGCTCAAATGAAATCGCATGAGGAGGAAGCCGCCCGGGCCGACGCTGAAGCGAAGGCCAAGATCTCGCCCAATGAGTTGCGCGGGAGAGTTGAGATTCCCGAAGACACCGACGAGGAGGATGAAGCGACGGGAGAATCGTCCGGCCCTGACTGGGGCAAGAAGGCGAGAAGGCGACAGCGTGAGATGATCAAGAAGCTGCTGGATGCGGAGGAGCGACGGCTGCGGGAAAGTCAGGAGGAATTGGAAGACAAAGACATCGAGGAGTTTCTGGTCAAGGAATGATATGGCGAGATCTCCTAGTACCAGGATAATACGTACATACACTGCTGCTCCTGCGTCCTGCACCTCACCGTTCAAGCTTGCTAGGCATATGCAACTATCGCATGTCAGAAGATTCCATTATAGGGGAAGTCCATGCAATCGCACTGTAGATGTAGCCAACTCCTTTTTGTACGGTGGGTTCTAACAGTAACTTCTTTTGTCCCTTGCCGCCTGCCAACTTTTTGCCAAGACGAGAGATCCTCCACACTTGAAATCCGAGCTTTCCTGTCAAAGTCCAGGCGCCTTCCCACACATCGCTATTCGCACAACAGAGCTGAAGGTTGTCGCCTCTACTATCCGTATCCGTGGTCGGCATTTCCGAGCGACTATCCTCACCACTGTCGACGTACCGACCATTCATTCTGCCCGACTCTCTAGTCCCTTTCTTTAAGTTGAAGGCGACGGTACCCGACAACCAAGCTCCAGACTCGAAGAGCCAGGGCCGCGCATGCTTGCCGAGAGGCAAGCAGTCGTACCGAAGGTCGACGACACCCCAAGACAACGGCGCGTTACTAGCCTGCGGCCAAACGCAAACCGTCAAAATGGCGACGAATTCACATGAAACAAACGACCGGTGCGCATGCGAAGGTACGACATCAGCAAGACCCCGCGGTCCGGGTCCATGACGAACACCCCCTCCATCATGCGGCACCGGATCCGATCCATACCAGACCCCGCTCAAGAAAGAAGCATTTAATACTCATTCCACTCCAGCTGCCAAGAACTTCGTCGACTGGTACTACCGCCAAGTCAACGAAGGCAAGTCCATAGCCCAGGGATACGTGAACGGCAATGCAACCTACACGGCGGCAGGCCACCCGCCGGCTGACATCACCATCAACGGGCTGCTGGTGGCGACGCCGCAGGAGTGGGAGAAGCTGCTGGAGCAGCAGCGGTACTGCCCCAAGCAGACGGACCCCAACAAAAAGATGGTGCGGTACGACGTCGAGGGCTACAACTGCCACGTCATCAACGGCGATTATCGCTTCGCCGCGCCCCAGAAGATGCTTGATCTGCACTCGCCTACCGACGGCGTGCGCATCATGTTCCTCGTGAGAGTCCACGGGACGGTCTACTTCGGCACCGGCAGGAATACGGGGGACGAGTACTTCACGAAGCAGGATTTCTACGATCTGTTTATCTTGGTGCCGAATTGGGACATTCTCGCAAGGCCGGGTGCGAAAGCTGGGAGGAGGTATCTTGTTATTTCTCAGATTTACCGAGCGAACTAGGAAGGGAAGGTAGCGAGCTATTGTTGGTCATGGCTGGCTGGTGACTCGGTGCCAGTGAGCAACCCTTTCACTGTCTGGCACGCATCTGAGCAAAAGGGAGGACGTGGAAGGCGTTAGTCCGGAGGAGCAAAATAGGCGCATTTTCGTATTTTCTGGGCGGGTTCTTTTGGCAGTATAGGCGTCGAGATAAACGAGGTCATGCCATTGGGGGGCACAAAGACTGGGAAGAAGAAGAAGCGGATTTGCATTCACCTGGGTAGCAGGGTCTGAAGAAAGAGCCCTAGCATCACTACATACGGCCTTGACTACAGGGTGGTAAAGTACCTAGTATTTATATGTTTGATTGCAAACTCGTTGCCCTCAATCCGTGTGTCATGAGGCATGCAGTGATTAGTGAGAAGATAGGCACCGTACCTCCCCTATTCTAGCATTTTCAGTACCACAGGCTATGTACTGGTACTTTCCACCTAGCTGTAAACCCAGGGCACTTTCCTATTCCTTCAGAAAGAGCCAAAGTACCTTAAGTAATCGTAGGTAACACACTTAATCAAGTCTTCAGAGTTTCCTAGTCCTTTCCCTCCCTACGCCGGCGTTTCCAAGCATTTCCGCCGCCACTCCCAATACCCGACTCGAATCCGATCCCACTTCTGGCCCAGCCGTCTCAGACTCAGATCCGCTTTCTCTTTATCCCCTTTCTCGGCATAGATCTCGGCCAGCAGATCCAGCGCATGTGTGCTCTGCACCTGCTCTCCTTCCTCTCCCTGCCCCAACCCCTTCACGAACCCGCTCGCGAATTCTTCCACAGTTCCCAACTTCCGCCCACCCTTGACCAACGCCCCGCGCAGATAGTTCCACCCGCTTTGATTCTGCGGTGCCAGAAGGATCTTCCCCTTGGCATAGTCTACTTCCCGATCCACCACCGCTTGGGGTACCTTGGGATCCGGCTCGGTGGCCGCCACGCCAGGCGTGGCGTGCTCCGGGTTGGAGAACACCAGGAAGAAGCGGTGCGACCACGCCGAGTTGTTGCGCACGTCTTCATCTATCATGGCCTCAATGGCCTGTAGCTCCTCGGCGCTGTCGAACTGGCCCAGCTTCCCGACTAGGTAGGACCGGTATGACCAGACGTGGTAATTCTTGGTGTCCTCGGCGAGAATCTGACGCAGGAACTCGCGCTCCGAGGCGGCGAAGGCGGAGATGGCGGCTGGGTCGGACGCGATGGTTGGGAAGTAGTTCTCCACGAGTAAGTGGCGGTGGTGCCAGATTTGGTAGTTCTTCAGGTTTTCCAGCGCCACCTCGTTGAGCCACGCGATTTCGTCCAGGATCGGTAGCTTGAGCGCGAAGACGTTCGCTGCACGGTACAGCCAAACGGTGTAGTGCGCCGGGTTCATCCCGATGATGTGCTCTGTGAGACGCAGGCAGCGGGGTGAGTGCTCCTTTGCTTGCATCACCGCGCGAAGGTAGGACATAGCTGGTCAGGGGCGGAGTCAGCCATCGTTCCTTCTTTCTTTTCTCATGTCACAGCGTCGCATGAGGACTCACCCTCCGCATACTCAGGCGGGTACGCAATCGCCGCGAGCGCCCCCTCCGGCTCCTCCAACACCACGGGCACGACATCATCCCACTCGGGATCCGCAGCCAGCTTCCCATCCTTGCGCACCCCTCCGCCATACAACTCCGTTCTAAGCGCAGCCATCTGTTGTCGTCTCCCCGTCTCCTCAAATATCTCCTGCCCAGTCACAATTACCCTCTCCCCAGTCTTCTCCTCTCTCTCCCCTCTCCTTTCCCTCTCCCTCTTCTCTTTAAAACAGCGGCTCGCAACGTCCGAGCAGGTCAGCCAAACCTTCCTCTCCCACCTAGCCTCAAACTCCTTCACGCTTATCCCTTCCTCTAGCCCTTTCACGAGAGGCACGGCGGCCGCACGCAACGGCAAACTCGCCTCGTTGACAGTCCGCCAGACTTCCTTAAGCGTCTTTGGCCCTCCGCCACACGCGGCTCCGCGTAGGTCTCTACCGAAGGAGCTGCCGCTGTTGCTGCTGGGAGGTGAGGCAGCGGTAGAGGATGCAAAGACAGGCCTCCTTGCAAGACGGGACGCGATGCGTGCTGAGAGCCAGGCGGACTGTTCTGCCGGTGTCAGAGCGGAGAGCGCGCCGCCCTTTTGCTGGAGGAGGGTGTCGTAGGGGCGGGCGAGGGCGAAGCGTGCTTTGGAACGGTCAAGGATGGAGTCGGTATTGCCGTTGTTAGTGGACGGTAGCGCTGCTGCTGGCGTGGTACCAGTGCTGGTGCTAGCGGTGTCCCTATCGCTGTTGGGTGGGGAAGCACTGGATGGGTCGGAATCTGTGAAGGAGAGGGCTTAGCTGGAACCTTGGAAGGGCAGCGGGTAGTAGGCAATGAGAGCTAGGTAAGGTAGCTCTGGGTCGGAATCAAGACCGCTTTTTGAAGGGGAAGGAGGTAGGAAACCTGGAACTGCAAGCCTACTCACTCTCGGTTGCCTTTATCTTTTTACTCGCTACTGCCTTCCGTTTGGATGGCATGATTCCTTTGGGCAGTAGGGTAGCGGGGTTGCTTTTTCGGAATGCGGCATGTGCTGGTGATCGCCAATGGAGCTGAGGGACTGGAGCTTCGAGCGGGAGCTGCAGTGGGGCGTGCCGCTCGACAGGGGTAACAATTGTAAAAAGGCACCTCAAAGGGAACAATATCAATGATCATCCTTTCGCGAATGTTTGCTTCCGGTCAGTTGTTTGTTTGTATGTCGCGTGCATACGACTGGATAATTATTGACTTCATAGTAAAGGCCTTTGTATGTAGTACCGCAAGGTAAGGTGGTCTAGAATTACATGTACAGTAATGGAAGGTAAGTAAGGTAGGTAGCCTGAAGTCAGCGACACGCCGTTCCCTTCCCGTAACCATCCGCCAAACAACCCCTGAGAGAAGTTACCGTCAAGTGTTCAGATGTCCCTTTTCCCACTCTAGAACCTAGCTTGCCATCTTTCAGTAAGTACCATCCAGGTCCCGCCATCACAGCCCGGTCCGGCGATGTTTGCAGGCATACTAGCCCTCCACCCTCCAGAATTTCCATCCCTCTCTCTCACCGCCGCCTCCATGGACACCCACCAACCGCTCGACCCCCTCATTACCCTCCGCACTAAGGAACTTCTCCAAGTCAATCTCCATACCACCCTCATCATCCTCATCCATCCCGTTTTTCAGCACTGCAGGCCACAATACACCCACCCCATCACCACCAAGCGTCGTCTCAAACTTCTGATACCCTTCCTGGTCAAGCTGTGCCTCCAATTTATCGAGCTTCTCCCTAGAAACTCCCGGCTTCAGCAAGGTAATTGAGCAACCGCCACCTCCTGCACCGGTGAGCTTAGTCCAGCCTATCCCCTCGTGGTCGACCAGCTCCCGCACCCGCTCCAGCCGCGGGTGCGACACACCCAGCGAGACCAGCAGACCGTGGTTGATGGTCATGAGCTCACCGACACGGGTCAGGCTTTCCTCACCCTCTGTGTCAAAGCTCTCCTCGGCCAGGATCTCGGCTGATGTCTGTGTGAGCTTGTCGACGGCGTCCAGGATGCTGCCGACAAGCTTCGGGTGGGCCTGCTTCAGCTTGGCGACCTTGGCGACCTCGTGCGCCGTAGATTTGGGGACCTTGGTGTCGACCAGCAGGAGCGGCAGCTCCGGGAAGTCCCAGAGTGGTCGTACAGATGGGGGCTTTCCGTAATCTGTCCGCTGGAAGAGAACTGCCTTTCCCTGTGTCGAGACGGTGTTGTCTACCCCGGAGGGGTTGCCGTGGATGAACATCTCGTAAACGTACGCCCAGCGGTTAATGCGCTCGATTTGTATGCGTGCCTCGTCCCCAGGCTGGTCCGGATGCGGGCCCGAGAGGGTTCTGAGTTGAAGGAGCAAGGCCGCGGACAAGCATACGGCAATGGAACCGCTGCTGCCCAGGCCAGCGCCAATTGGGATTGTGGATCTCAGCGTGTACTGGCATGCGGCGAATGATGGAGATCCCAGCGACAGGAACATGTAGAGAAACGCGCCGGCTGAGTTTTGGTGTACCTTACGGATGTTGCTTGGCTGGTCAGGGGAGACATCAGCGAGGAAGGGCTGGATGGCAGCGACGAGGTCGGGATCAACCTCTGTTACGAGGGAGTAATAGAACTTTTTCTTGTCTGGGGCTTGGAACGTTGACCAAGGCAGGTCGTCAATGTTCCACGAGTGGCTGAAGTCGATGTCGGGAAATTTCAGGGTCACTGTCCGCTTTGACTTGGAGAGCGTCGTAACTAGAAGATAGGATCGCAACGAGATGGCGGCGGCTATTGCGGCCTACGGCAGCTTAGTGTCAGACTTGGATCGCCGTCGCTTGTGGTCCGTCTTCTAATCTGCACTCACTTTGCCATGCACTACTGCGTGCTCGCCAAAGACGATCACCTTGCCAGGAGCCGACACCATGAACGCCGGTAACATGGGACTCGACTTCTTGCGGTCCATCCTTTTCCGTGGGTTGACCTTGATGCTGCCTATCCCATTTGCGATGCCGTTGACGCTGCCGTTGGTGCTCGGACCGTCCGATTCTTCGCCAGCGTGACCATTCGGGAGGCCGTTTGTCACACGCTGCGTCGTCATGACGTCCCTTCTCTCCAAAAAGCAGCTAACAGTGGTTTGGGGCCACGGATGCGACTACAGACAAAGGACTCGGGGTGGGTCAGAGCACAATATCAAGAGCTCTTGGTTCTCGATCGCTCCTATACGGCAGAGACCAGATATAACGCCGTCTATGCCGGATACAGGAGACGCTTAGCTACTTCAGTGTTGTGCTTGCGATACGTTTGCGATCGGATTAGGAATGCAATCGAAGTCGTAGGGCGCTAGGTGAACGAGCGACGCAACTGTGTGACGCGCCTTGAACGCAAAAGGTGAAGAATATTAAGTGCCCGGATAGGAAGGAGGTGGAATATTAAAAGAACGAGCGGGAAGGACGATTCTCGACGAACGGAGACCGGAGTTCTACGGCGGTGAGGCGGCGTCAAATGCACTCCTATTAGTTGATTATCATGTAAGGATAAGCTGGAAGGTAACGCAACAAGCTGATGTTTTGGGGTCTGTAAGAAATTGGCGCGGCAAGGCGTCGGCACTGCCCACCGCGATGACGAACAAGGGGGAGCAGGGAAATTGAATTGTTGAATCCACAGGGGTTGCATTCTGGCGATCTAGAAGCTCGATCCTTCTTAGCACCGAAGCCCATTTCCGTCGAGCTGGAGACTCTCGGTTCCGTTCGGTGCCCTTGCAGCAACGAAGGGACCTGACTGGCTGACCATTGGCTGCGAACCAATTGTCAGCAGCGACGGGAGCAATTTCCCCATCCAGGACCCCGTGACAGCTCCGTCTTCTCCGTCACAGTTCTTGGCCAGCACGACGACGTCGTCGGCGCCAAATCCGCTTATAATTGACTTGTAGTTTGGTTTTCACAACGCCTTTGTCAATGGTATCGTCTGCGGATCTGGGATGCCACGAGAGCTGGACATTGTGGCAGTGCTGGCTTGCAGGAACATGTCTGTTACACTCGCCAGAGTTTACCAAAGTAGTTTACTCGGTGTCGGGTCCGGCTTACTCGAAAATCCGGGCTACCTTCTGCCGGGGTGTGTTGCGCTCTGATTTTCGAGTGTTGAATTCACGGAGTGCATCGCCTTCAGAGTTTAACTACACTCACTCGTGCAAGAAGTGAATAATGGACGGATCCCAACAGAGAGCTCAATTGCTTCATGAGCATACTTTGCATGACGAGCATGGGTAGCAACCAGATTCAGCTGCGCAGAGTGTAAGACGCATCATCGCTCGGCTGCCTGAGGCTCAACCCAGCTCTCACTATGTATTAACTCGCCCCCTTTCCTCCAGATGTGACACGACGTACCTAGGAAACCATTATAGCCTTGGCTCAAGCTCGTACGCAACTCATAGAATCAGCGCCGTCGCAATGCCCGTCACCGAGTTTGCCATCCTCCACCTTAAGGAACCTACCCCCTTAAACGACTCAGTCCGCGCCATCCTCGCCTCAGCCATGCGTCTCCAAGAAGAATGGCACGCAGCCGCCTCCCCCAATTCCGGCGCAGCTGCCGTGGACCGTGCAGCCGTTTGGTTCACACAGATCGAAGATCCTACCCGGATCATGACCACGGCGAGATGGGAGTCTGTGGAAGCACACTGGGACTGGATCCGGAGCGAGGGCAACTCCCGCACCATGGCTGCTTTGGAGGAACATATCATTCCCCAGGACACGGTTCTATTCCATGTTGGACATCCAGCGGTGAACTGGAATGGCATCTTTGGTAGAATATCTGGTTTGGCTCAGCGTGGACTCTGTCAGCTGCTTGACAGCCCGGTTATCAGCGTTGAAAAGATGTCTGTTAAGCGTGGGAACAAGGAGGCGTTCGATGCTGAGTTTGGCAAAGTCCTGGGGGTTCTGCAGGAGTATGCCCGTCCTCACCTAGTGCAGTCCGCTTGGCGACAAGACCTGGAAGAAGGTGCTGAGGAGGAGTTCTTGGTAATCTGCGGGTGGGACAGTGTCGAGCAGCATCGCGCATTCGCTAACAGCTCTGAATTCTCGAAATACAGCGAGATCCAGAGGCTCATTTCGGGGTTCGAGCTCAAGCACTATAAGCACCTGTCGTTGGAGTAGCGGCCTCCCTGCTCTCGTCAACTGTTTAGGAAGACAGCGAAGCTTGTGACAAAGAGCGATCGGACCCGAGTTTGAGCCTTGGCCGAGGGGTGCGGTTCATTTCTGGGTATACCTCGCTGACTACATTGCTCCCTTTTGGAGCTAAGCAGAGCAAGCAGAGCACCAGTTCATCCTAGTTTCCGATTCCGAGACGCCGTTTGTGAGTGCAGCCCAACTGCGAACCGACAAATGCAATGCATGTTCCCCCATCGTGGTAAAGCACCCGCGCTCAAACCAGACCAGCATTCACCCTTCGTTCCCCATCAACTCATGACGAGCTCTTGCCCTGCTTGTTCTTCTTCGGGACGTCCTTAATCTGGAGGTCTGTGGTGAGGGAAATCCAGCCGTCAGCATTCCAAAAGTAGGGTCCCGGACGAGTTGTTTTATCTTGCGCAACATACTGGGCGGAAGGCTCTGCTTCAGCTTCTCGGCCTTGTCCGAGTCCTTGAGGACCAGGGTGTAGAGGAACCTCTGGCACCGGACCTTGAACTTGATCTGCTGTGTCTTCCGGTTCCTCTTGATCCGGGCGGCTGCACAGAAGAGCATCACTGTCAGAACCCCTGCACCAATCTCTCAAGTCGTTTTTCGCTCCACGTTTGAACATACAAGAGGCATCCTTCCGCCGGCAGATCTCGATGAACTACACCACATCGTCAGTATGTCGTCCGACGCTGGGGACAAAGGTTCAGGATGCCAATTCGAACCTTCTTGATGTCGCTAACTTCCTGAGGCATTTTGACTAGCAGTGTCGAGGCTCCTGTACTGATCAGACAAGGGGACTGCCAAGGGAGGTTTCAAGGTCGGCGAGATTCGATTTCTCAAAATTATTTTCTGTGGGCTTGAGTGGGGTACCATCTGATGTTGTGCAGCGTGCCTGGGTGACAGGGATCAGAGCTCCCCAATGTGGCTTGGGTGACGCGACGTGTGGCGTCAGCTGCCTTGCTCAGGTGAACATCTTATGATAACAGGTATGCCATTCTAAGTCTTCTTAGACTTTGGCAAGTTACTTGTTCCTGTGATTTGTTTCATAATCACCTTTCGAGAAGTTTTTAAGAAGTTGACCGCTCTTGAAAACACGGTTTCCACCATTCAAGATGCCAACGCCGTTAGACCGGGCAATGAGATCCAAGGTGAGTGTGTCCCTTGTCCCATGTGATTATGGCAGTTCTCCAGTGCTGACTCTATATAGAACGCCCTCCTTGGTAAGTAGATCTACACCGTGGCCAGCGCATGAGTTAATCCATAGAAGCCTTCAGTGGCTTGGTGGCAGGTGTTGCCGCATGGGCGATTTGGGGAGGAGACATGTTTCCCTCGGAGGCAGACCCCAAAGGCGATCCAGAGACTTGGACGAAGGAAGAATTACGGAGATGGCTCGCTGCTGTAAGTGATATAGCATGGGCAGGTAATGGCCTCCCGACGCTAACACATGGACAGAGGAATCTGCATCCGCAGGACTCAAATACTAGAGAACAGCTTCTGGAGCGGGTGCGGGCAAATATGAGAATTTCAAGGAAGTAGTAGACTTCACGATGAATCTAGGTCTTTAAGCCAATGCAGCCACTCCCATAGGGTCGATGTTCTGACCTATGCCCAGGAACACCATACGGGACCGGTTGCAAGGGAACATATGCTTGTTGTGTTGACAGCATATTCGAGCTTTGTCGATCTTTCGGAACCTCAAAAGCCATAATAACAGTAATGAATTGATGAGTAGGTATCACAGGTCTGGCGCTCGCAGACGTCGCGAGATTCGGCAAGGTGTAAAATAATGGCTTCGATGCGAAAGCGTGGGGTGTCGGAGAATCACAGCCAATCAACTCACAAATTGCCCCGCTGTTGCCTGCCGCGGTCGCGATCGCTCAAGGACAGCTTGTTCCTCCACGCGCTGCAGCACAGGGACGCTTCAAGTTGTCATCTTCCAACCCCCTCAATCTTCGACCCATCAGCTGAGCTGGATCCGCGGCAGCTGAACCAGTCGTGGCCTCCTCCGCCATGATGGATTTCCTCCAGGTAGGCTATCGATTCCCTCTTGCTTTGGTATTATCAGCTAACTGTATTCGTTCCATAGCGCCTAGCGCGCTTCCTGGATCGGCCGCTGTTCCCTTGGAAGAAGCTGATCATTGGCTTCTCCATTGGGCAATACGTATTTGAAGCGCTTCTTGGCTTCCGTCAGTATCGCGTTTTGCAGAGGACGAAGCCGCCCAAGGTGCTCGAGCATGAGGTGTCGCAGGAGGTCTTCGACAAGAGCCAAGCATACGGTCGGGCGAAGGCCAAGTTTCAGGCATTCAACGGTCTCTACGGTCAACTCCAAAATCTTGCCTTCTACCAGTTCGACGTGCTCCCGAAGCTCTGGTCATGGACAGGCAGTCTTCTTCTCCGCTTCGCACCGACCCGCTTCACTGGCGAAATCTCCCAGTCGATAGTCTTCATTCTGGCGTTCATTGTGATCCACCAAATCCTGTCACTGCCGACCAGCATCTACAACACGTTCGTTCTGGAAGAAAAGTTTGGTTTCAACAAACAAACCCCTAAACTCTTTGTTACGGATCTGATCAAGACCAACATCCTGGCCTTCGTCTTGGCGCCTCCTATCCTCGCCGGGTTCCTGTCCATCATCAAGAAGACTGGCAGTCAGTTCTTCTACTACCTATGGATGTTCGGCGCTGGTCTGCAGGTTTTCATGATCACCATTTATCCCATCGTCATCCTACCCATGTTCAACAAGCTTTCCCCCCTGGAGGAGGGCAGGCTGAAGACGGACGTCGAGGACCTTGCAAAGAAGCTCAAGTTCCCACTTCACGAGCTATATGTCATTGACGGCAGCAAGCGTAGCGCCCACAGCAATGCCTACTTCTTTGGCTTGCCTTGGAAGAAGCACATTGTCATCTACGATACCCTGATTGAGAAGAGCGAGAACGACGAGGTCATCGCCGTTCTTGCCCACGAACTTGGCCACTGGAGCTTGGGTCATACCACGAAGCTCTTCGGTATCTCCCAGGTCAGTCAGGAAAGCAGCTTTCGGTTGTCAGATTTCATGCTAATACACTTCAGGCCCATTTCTTCTACATCTTCGCTCTGTTCTCGGTCTTTGTCAACAACAATTCGCTCTATGCCGATTTTGGCTTCGCCAGCGAGCACCCCATCATCGTGGGATTCCTCCTCTTTTCGGACATTCTTGGGCCGCTGGACAATGTCATTAAGCTCCTGATGAATATCTTGAGCCGCCGCTTCGAGTTCCAGGCCGACGCTTTCGCCAACAGCCTCGGATACAACACGGAGCTCTCGCGTTCCCTGATCAAGTTGCAGATCCAGAACCTGAGCACCATGGATGCCGACTGGATGTTTGCCAGCTATCACTTCTCGCATCCCATCTTATCAGAGCGTCTGAAGGCTCTCAACTGGCAACCCACTCAGAAAGTAGAAGCGAAGGTGGCTGAGAAGGCGGAGAGCAAGGAGGATGTTGCGACGGCGACTGGAAGAGATGAGCTTTAACTGGGCGGTCGTGTTTAGTGTAGGATACATCGATTTAGTTTTGGACGGCCAAATCGGACGATCGAGTTGGCTATATGGATGATCTCTTTAGCGGTCAATCGGCGATCGCTTGATAAGTACTCAACAGTATCACTCAAGTCAAATAGACGAATATGGCCATCACGATGTCCGAACACGTGCCGACTTGTCATTCCAAACTCCTTACAACGGGTGCTTGACACACAGAAACCAAGAATCATTCAGTAGTTGATGTGAAAGGTATAATCACCACTTGGCATCATGCGAGATGAATGCATCCCTTTTGATCTTGCAGTTGCAGTATCCTTTGCTGTTTGAAACTCGAAAGGAGTCATTATAATACAGATTCGAGCCCTAACCCTGATTTAGCTGTCGAAATGTGATTCCGGGCTACGGAGCTGGCAGCTGGTCAAGGCTTTCCGCCAGCTGTTCAGGCCCGAAAAGGCTCGCTCCGACGCAGCGCGACCTCGATCCAAACGTCGTCAAAAGTTTGGACGGATCTTGCCCCCCCCCGCGGCGCATCGCAACAACACAGGAAGGAATTGGGTCGGCTCAGCGCCACGCGGAGAGACTCGAGAAAACGCGGCATAATGTCGAGAATTAGCTCACGATCCCCGCTGCTCCAGGCGGTGCTGCGGCGGGCATCAGCACCGCAAACCCCACGGTGCGCTCCGTCGACGGCGTCAAACCCAGCAGCTGCACGGTATGCCGACTACAACCCAGACCAGTCCACGCCACCTTAGACCTTATATTAGCTAACAACATGGCAAAGGGCCTTCTCCCACCTACCCACCCTCCGTCCAACCCTGTTCAACACATCATCATCATCATCACCATCATCCGTCTTCCGCGCACCAAACCAGACCCTCCTCTCGCGCCAACCAGCACCGACAGCGATAACAACAGCCACAACAACGAGTGCAGCCACAGGCGAAACCCTAGACCTGATTGCTAGATCCTCCATCACCACACACCCCGCGCTGGCCGGGTGTGCGAGCCAGATCCGCTGCGGGCCCCGCCCCACGATGGCGAATGCCAGCCGGCTGGTCCAGAAGCGGCGGCACGGGTTTCTGAGCCGGGTCAAGACGCAGAATGGGCGGAAGACGCTTGCTCGGAGGAAGGCGAAGGGTCGGAAGAAGCTCAGTGCGTAAAGCGGAGGATGCATTATGTGCGCAGTGCTGGGGTTTGGCTTGGATGGCGGTTGAGGGATGAGCGTCCTAGCGGTGGGGTTGCTCGATGGATGGATAAGTAGGTACAGAGGACGGAGTCACTTTGGTGGATGGATGGATGGACGGACGGACGGATGGATTTATAGAAAGACGCAGAGAGAGGAGAGAGGGATGTACTGTACAATACCGTAACCACTGGGCTCTGTGAAATGTACTATACGGGGGATATAGACATGCCTCTTCTTGGCCGAGTACATTGGGGAGTTTACACGGGCATTGTCTGACGATTCGGTCTTGTTTGGAGTATGGCATCCTAGCCGAAGTGTGGGCTTCATTGGAAGAGTTACTCTAAACCCTGCACGCCGTGTTTCAGAGCCCAAGTCAATAATGCCCTGCGCCTAGATATCGCAAGCTGACACTTCATAAGGTAAGCAGGAGAGGGTAAATGGCGGCGGCTGTGGCCCATGCATACCTACCTACCTAGGTCTGTAGTCTATGGGTGACGATAAGGAATCGGTATATAAGCCAGCTACCTACAACCTCCTTCCAACCACCACGGCACCCGCACACTTGCGCTCACACAACAATGTGGCGTAGTGGTCGAGCTGTGAAAAATCGTCCAACACTCTCCACGTGCGCAGCCCTGCTGTGTCCTTTGTAGGACCACATGTTCGATTCATGGGAGCACCTTCTTTTTTCCTCATGTTGTTAACAAATCCTGCAGTGTCATTCATAGCCATGGCCACGTCCGAGTATAGGATTTGGGCAGCCAATTTCTTACTGGGCTTTCCCAATTTCATAGATCCAGACATTCCAATGATATTGTATTATTAGTTCATATTGATTTACCGATGTCACGATCCATCCAAAACAAGAGAATGAATAGTATTTACCAACCGCATTTCGAACGACCTCACCCAACGCTCATCCAGACCACACAGCTAGTGCCTACTACTAAACCAAACAGACCACCTCCAGCCCCTCACCAACCTCAGACAGGCGGCTTCAAGCCTCCCTCACACTTCCCCGTATCGGTATAGCACGCCAAAAACAACCGATCGCTCGCATCGCCGATCCACACGGTATACCGACCCCCCTGGGAGCCAGGCACGACCCAGTTCTGCAGCTCCACGTCCCACACGCTGACATCCTTCCTCGTCAGCCGCAGCGTGACCGTCTCGCTCTCGCCGGGCCTCAGCTCGCGCGTCTTCTCAAAGTCCCGCAGCTGCACGACGGGCGTGTCGTACGGGATCCCCTCGGGATACTGCAGGTAGGCCTGCACCGAGGCCTTGCCGGCGTGCGTGCTGTCGTCGGCGTTGCGGACGGTGACGGTGATCTCGTATGCGACGTCCCAGAGCGCCGGGTTGCCGCCCTCGCCGCCGCCGGCCGCGGGGCCGGGGCCTTGCACGGTCGAGTAGCCCTCCGGGTAGGCATATTTCTTCTCGCCGGCGACACCGATCGCGTACGCCCGGTCGGCTTCGTCTCTGTCCAGCCAGGGGTAGAGGTAGCGCCAGATGCGGTTGAAGTTGTCGGGCCAGTAGGCTTCGGAGGCATTGGGAATGGTGGTGGGGTAGGACGGGGTTGTGCCCTTGGGCTCGCGCGGGGGAGGGACGAGCGAGAGGGATGTGACGGGGCGGATGGTGGCGTCGGAGAAGGTGAAGTTGGCGTAGCTGAGGCCGTGGCCGAAGGCGAAGCGCGGTTTGATGCCCCGCTTGTTGAGCGAGCGGTAGTCGATGTAGAGGCCCTCGGAATACGTGTCTTGGACTTGGCCAAAGGCGAACCCCCGTAGGTTCGCGATGCTGTCGGGATAGTCGGTGGCGGCCTTGGTGATGGAGTACGGGAGGTGTCCACTGGGCGAGACGTCGCCGAAGAGAACGTTGGTCAGGGATTCGCCTGCCTCCTGGCCCGGGAGATGCGCGAAGAGGACGGCCTTGACCGACGGATGGTCGATCCACGATTCCAGAACGAGAGGACCGACGGTGTGGACAATGACCACCACATTGCTGTATTTCTCGGCAGCTTTCTGGACGAGCTTGTCGCCGCCATGCCAGGCCGCCAGCTTGTCGTTGTCGCGATCTCCGTGGTTGCCCTCGACGGTGAAGCTGTTCTCTCCTGAATCGGAGCTGATGAAGACGATGGCGACGTCATCGGGCGACGGCGTGTCCACTGACGGGAAAGTGTCCGTGTTGTGAAACTCGACGTCCGGGACTCTTTTTCTGATGGCGGAAATTGGGTCGTCAAAGTACGGGTAGTCCGCCACGCCAGAACCCCAGCCCATGCCAAGCGTACCCGTGTTGCACGCTCTGTTGCCGCAAGCGTTCGGTCCTGCAGGATTCACCTGCGCGTCAGTGCCGAAGACGCTGATTTTGGCCGAGGTCGACAGCGGGAGAAGGCTGCCGTTGTTCTTCAGCAGCGTTATGGCGTCCTGGGCTACCTGGCGGGCGACCAGGTAGTGGTCGGCCTGCACGTTGACGAACCAGTTGACTTGCCCCGTCGGGGAAAAGAGAGCCGCCGGATACAGGAGTCCATCCTTGTCGCGCGTGTTCGACGAGAAGTTGGGGCGTGGATGGTCCTTGTCCTGGCCCATCTTGTACCAGGCCGCCACGACTCGGGTGGCCATGTCGTTCAGCCGGTCCATGGGCACCGAACCGTTCAGGACAGACCTGGTCAGTTCGTACTGCCACAGACTGAAACCAAACAACGGGATGTTGGTGTCGCCCGGCATGTTCATGTCCAGGCCGGCCAGAGCCGAGTCCACGCCGGAGATGTGGCTCAGCCAGTCGGACATGACCATGCCTTGGAAGCCCAGTTCGTCCTTGAGGATGCCGTTGACCAAGTAGCTGTGTTGGGAGCACGCAGAGCCGTTGACAGCGTTGTACGCCGTCATCACAGCGCCCACGCCGGCATGCACGGCCTCGGCGAACGGCCATAGGTAGATCTCGTGCAGCGTCCGATCGTCAATATTCGCGCTGTACCCGGGCTGGAACACGTTGTACATGCGGTACATCTCCTGTTCGTTGCCGACGTAATGCTTGATGGTGGCGATGATGCCTTGCTCCTGGACGCCCTGGATCGTCAGCGCGGCCGCTTTGGCCTGGAGAACTGGGTCCGCGCCAAAGCCCTCCCAGTTCCGGCCGCCCAGTGGCTTCCGGCCCAGAGGGCCGACGGTAGGCCCCAGATAGACGTTGGTCCCTTTGCCGCGGAACTCTTCGCCTAGGGCAACCCCTCGGGCATAGATCAAGGCCTTGTCCCATGTGGCTCCTGTCGTGATGCCTGCCGGGAACGCAGTGATATTGTCGGCAGACGCGACGCCAAGAGCCGAGTCCTGCAGGCAAAGCTGGGGAAATCCAAGGCGGTCGGCACTGCCACTGTTTCCCACACAGGGCCTATGTAGCCAGTCAGTAACCGTTCGTCGAGTGCGTAGGCCTCAAACTCACCCTGCTAGGACGTCAGCCAGCCATCACACTACGGGGACAAGCAACTATGGTCGGGGCGAGTGCATACCCATCCAATATCCGACTCCCGACGTGATGTTCGTCTTCTCGGCCAGAGTCATCTGCGAGACCAGGGCTTGAGCCTTGGTATAGGCTTCCTTCCACGAGTCGAGCCATCCTCCGTGGGGCGTCGGGTAGTAAGGGGCAGCACGGTATCCTTCCGGGACCGCATCTCTTGGGCCCACGCTCCGAGCGTGAGAGAGGGAAGCGAAGGGGCCCAAGACTAGCGAGAGCCAGATGGCGCTCGTGCGGTGGACCATATCGACCGCGTCGTCGAGGTCTTCACGATCCAGGCAAAAGATGGCTCGTCAACTTGCCGCGGTCCTCCAGGATGAGAACCGTCAAAAGAAGACAGGCAAGCGAGGGAAGAATGTGCACCTCACCGCCATCTGTCCCGGCGTGGTCTTAAGATATCATCTTATTAAGTCGCCCCATACCACACCACACGACCGCCGCGTCGTGGCTGGGCGGGCGGTCCACATGGTGACATTCGGCTCCGCGTAGGGAGGAGCCGACCTGCACATGGCAATCCATCCGATCGACAGCCGGCCTTGGCCAATGGAGACGGATGGGATGGGCGGGTGCCATTTCGAGACGCATGGTCGCAACCTCAGCGTCGCGCATCCTCCAAACAGGAGGCAGAGAACGCGCCCTGTGGGCTCTCATTCGCTGCGGCTGACAGGGCTGGCGCATCGATTAATTTCAGCGTGGGCAACTCCTCCGAGCCACAATCGAAAAGAGCGCACGCCCGCAATTGAGACTTGTCCCTGAGTCGTCATTAAATATGTCTCTCTGAGGAGTTGCAGTCTGAGAACATGTTGGCCGCCCCTTATCTCTCTCCAGTCTCCATTACAGCTGAGCTGGACCCCCAACGGCAACGATCCATATGTCGTGTGTCGAAATCTTACCTATTTCTGTTGCGTACTGCATAGTGCGCGAACGGGGCACAACCCGTGAAAGGCGGGGAACCGAGGGACGAGAAGCCAAGTCGCCGAGTAGACGGGAGAAAAGAGACAGAGTAGTATCGCTAAACATGCTGATGAGTTTCCGGCCGCAAAAGCAGGCTTTGATGCATGCAGTAGGAGGGGGCTTTCGTACGGTCTCATCGGGACAGCCCCGAGTGACCCGACCCGAAGTATTGTCCGCCGGACATGTCGTACAACCAGCGCTGACCAGCCCCGACAAGGAACTTGCGTGTAGTACTAACAAGTAAGGCACCTATGTGCAGCGAAGCACACAACGCCAGAGCTCGGCCAATGCGCCGGCCCGTGTTTTCCTAAAAAGGCAGGTTGAGTCTGTCAGTGTTGCCTGCCAAGGCTCAGGTTCCCGGCTTGCTCTTTCCATCCCATGATTCCCCCATCTTGCATCCCCCGCATCGAGTCGCCGGCATTTATTAAGATGAGGTACGTCCTACGGTACGTTAGTACACTACGGTACCTTGCCTACCTTAGGTACATACCTTAGGTAGCTTTGGAACTGCGAGGGCTGGACTGACACCATCCATGTAACTCGACGTGGCAGCAGTTCACTTACCTTGCAGAAACAAGGCATGTCCGGCTTCAGGCCGGACCATGAGTCCATGACCTCCATTACAGCACCCTGGCGGATATCTGTGGTACGTGTAACGATGGGAAGTTTGGCACCCATTACCTGCTGTGTATGTGAGGCTGCTTCAAACGTAACACGACAACGGCGAAGTTCAGAGATGCTGACTGGCCCCAGCTTATTATTAGCTTACCTGCTTGCTGTGTCTGATTCACCTGGTCTACGTTCTTCCGCCAATGCCGGCTCAAGAACGCTCCCTCGCCAGAAAGGTAGTACAATACCATGGCCAGCTTTGCATGAGATCTGCACCTGCAAGTGCCCCAGAAAACGGGCTATCCCGCGAACGCGGAAGATAGCGACCCGGAATAGAAAGCCCACCTCCTATCTAGTGTACGGAGTACCGCAGCCCTCAACCAGATTCCCGTCGATCATGCCAAGATATGGCATCGGGCATGTCGACGGCGGGGTTTCACGGGACGAAGTCGCCTGAGCAGACATCTACACCACCTACCACGGCTGCGTCCCCCCTTCTTCCGCTGCTTTCGTGTCCCGATAGGTCTTGGCCCGGGTTTCGGGGATCGGACTGCAGCATCAGCTTACACTAACCAATCTCAGGCACAGCCTCACTCCTGGATGGGCGGGGCCGGAATACGCGGGGAAGCCATCTGAACCTGGCTGCTCGTAGGACGAACCATGTTACTATAAAGACTAAAATCATCTCGATGGAACCAGCAATGGCTCGGGTTCCTGCACAGCCGCAGTTCGGACGTCTAAGATTTCGTTGGCCTGCACCCTCAGGGTAACTTGTGTGGTGTTCTGTCCCGTATAAACGGCTTTCGGTCAGACGTCGACTGCTTCCGCTCCCCTGAGCAGCTGCCATGAAGGGGCTTGTCCGGGTCTCGCTATCCTTGGTGTCTCTTGTGTCTCTTGCTGCCGGAGCACCGACCCCGTCACTTGCAACGAGGACGGGTGCCCCAGGTTTGCGTCACACAATGCCACTGTAGTTGACTCGTTCATGTAAGCTCGTTCCCCCCTGGAGCTCGAGACATTCACCAAGGCCGTGACGTGACTGACAAAAGGTCAAACAGCGGGGCTGTGTTAGACACCAGGGGCTTCGTCGGCGTGGACCCCGTCGACAGCTGATCGTGATCTCGTTCAGGGGCAGCACCTCGCTCCAAAACTGGATCGCAGAGTAAGTCTAAAACGCCTCAACCATCTCACCACCCACCTAAGTGTAGTAGTTGCACTAACACCGGCCCGTTCCCTTCCGCACCCCCGCGCGCTAGCTTCCTCTTCCTCCAAGTTCCCTGCGACCTCACGCCCAACTGCCTGGTGCACAGCGGCTTCCAGCTCTCCTGGGAGGAGGTGCGCGACCGCGCCATGGCCGCCGCGAGCGCCGCCCAGGCCGCGAACCCGACCTACCGCGTCGTGGTGACGGGCCACTCCCTCGGCGGCGCCATCGCCACGCTGGCGGCGGCCGATCTGCGTGCCGCCCGGGTCGCCGCCGACCTGTACACGTACGGGTCCCCGCGCGTCGGCAACCTGGCCCTCGCCGAGTTCGTCACCAACCAGCCCGGCGCCGAGTACCGCGTCACCCACACCGACGACCCCGTGCCGCGGCTGCCGCCCATCTGGCTCAACTACCGGCATGTCAGCCCCGAGTACTGGGTTGAGGAGGGCAGTGATGGCGTGGCGACGGCGGATGAGGTTGCGTATTGCCCTGGATACGCGAATGTCCAATGCAACGGTGGGACGACGGGGCTGAATGTCGAGGCGCATCTGTGGTACTTCCAGGAGGTATCCGGGTGCTCTTCGGACATAACCATGACGGGCGGAGAAGGGGGGATGAGCGAGCAAGACTTGGAGGCCAAGCTGAATCAGTCTGCCGAGATGGATAAGCAGCTGGCCAACAATCTGCAGGCAGTTGAACGGCAAGCGTGAAGTTGGATAAGGTATCCATCTGACAAAAGTCTTGACAGATCAATAGGGATGCTGACAGGATGGTACCCATTATATAGGGATATAGAACGTGGATATCACTGACGTCTCGCCATTCTAGTCTTATTGCGTACGTCTCATCAGCGTTCAGCCCGATCTCTATAATATTACCTTAGCTACACAACCGCCTAGATATAACTTCTCCCTCGCGGTAAATACTAAAGTATTACCAGGTACCTAGGTAGCTACCTTATACAATTGCCACAGCAACCTGTCTGAACAGCCTGTCTAGATACTATTTCTACTCTAGAACCCATCAGGGACAAAGGAACTACATACATAAGGTGAAAAAAAGGGGTATAAACTGGCTATCCATGCACCTAAACCTAGAAGATGCCGAGTAGTATAAATAGACATGGGAAAAAGAGGTAAGCAACCTCCCAGGAAGCGACCATATTGCCCCCATTCCCAAGGGGTATCATGCCATACTGTACCTTCTCCTCCATACCTTACACTACCCACCCCTCGTACCAAGGCACAATCACGCAATGCCACGCCGTTTCCGTTTTCCCCGACCCGACCCGACCTAATATCAGCACACCCATGCGCCGCGGTCGATGCCAACGGGACAATACACAATCCGCCGCCCTAAAGCCCCCCTACGCACCTACCACCCACACCCGAAAACAAACGCTCCTCTTCCTCCTCCTCTCAGTAGTCCACCTAACCATTTCGCTCACGAAAACCCAACCCTCTTCCCATCCTGACCACGTCGGAAAAGTCTCTTCGTACTTCCCACCTTGCCCATTTCCCCAAACATGGCCCCCGCCGGCCCGCCCTTTCCCTTACTACCATCCCCACGATCCATCAAACTGGCCTCCAGCCCCGCCTCGGCCTGCCCCAAGCTGCCACTGCTGACAGAACGATGAAGAACCGGAACAGGAGGGGGTTTGGGCCGATCGCTGCTAGCAATCCGGACCTTCTCCTTGACACTCTCCACCCACGCCCTGCTCTCCTCGCTCATCTCGATCTGCTTGGCCCTCGGCCCGGCCATGCCGAGCGCCGACGAGTCGTCCTCCTCGTCCCAGAGGCTGCGCGTGCTGGAACGCGAGCGCGAGGACGCGTCCGACGGCGGGGTGGCGTCCAGCCTGCTGGCGCTCGCGAGCGGCGTCTTGGGCCTCGTGGCTGGCTGCAGCAATGGCAGCGGTGGCTCGTCAGTGCCGCTGGCGGTGGGGCGCCGGGTCTTGCGGAGTCGCAGGGGGGAGACGGGGGAGTGAGCGTCCATCGCCGAGGTTGGGCGACTGGGCGGCGTGGCATCGGCGCGGGCGGCGCCGGTGCGCGGAATATCCTTGACTTCGACCTTGTCTTCCTGAGCGCTGCCGACAGCGGCGCGGCGGAGGTGGTGGCTGGCATACTCCTTGAGATACTCGCCCAGGTCTGCCCAGCCACCGCCGACGCGCACCATGACGCGCTCACCGTGCTCGCCTACACAGCGGATGAAGAGCTTGATGGGCGCTTCGCCGTTGGAGCGGGAGAGGTGGTACAGCTTGATCTCCTGGTTGCTGCGCTGATGGCGGAGACGAGAATTGCGCCCATATGCCGGGGCTAAGGTGAACGACGGAGTGCCGGATCGAGAGTACGCGGATCGCATTGATATGTTAGACTGGCTGCGAGGTATGGCATCCGACCTGGAGCTCTTTCGGGCCGTCGGCATTTTGAAGTCCGGAGGGTTGAGGTTGATCGCGGGAGGCTCCCTGGTCAGACGGATCTTAGCCGGCACTGACTCCAGGATCTCGCTGATTTGCTGTTGAAGTTGGTCATCCATGCCGGAAATGCTCATCTCAGAAGGGCTGTCTGGTTCCGTTGCAACATCATCCTCCGGAATCGCCGACGTTGTGGGCGTGCCTGGAGGACTCGAGAAACTCGGCAGCTCTGTGATTGTGGTCGTCTCGCTGAAGCTAACTGACAATGACCTGCCGCTCGGCCGGAGCGATGGCAGGCTGGGGACAACATCCTCGCGCTCCGCGTCCGTCTGACGACGGTGTTCCGGAGTTCCCTGATCTAAGTCGTCACTAGAAAATGAACCCGTGAACGTGCTGGGAGCTTCGTGTATGATTGTGGAGGCCTCTGACCCGTTACTACCACGCCTCAGGCCATGTCCTGCTTGGCGTGCACCGCACTCCGAAATGTCTGACAACTCAACGTCCGAAGCAGGCAGAGATCGGCCGGCGCCGCCAAGGTCTCCGGTTGAGTGCTGGTGTGAGGCTTCCGAGGCTGATGGCTCTAAACGAGCTGACCCATCAGAAGAGCTTTGAGCACGCTCGTCCTCGGTATCTATGTAGTCATCATCCTCAGGCTGGAGCGCCTGCTCGTCCGCGGTAGGGTGGATCTTTATAACCGGTGGCGGAACATCGGACTGGCGATCAGCGACCCCTGTAGCGCCTTCGTTAAGGGATGACGCCGGTCTTGATGGGAACTCTGTGTCCTGCGATTGGCGGATGGCTGAGTCTCTGGTAGCGACCGTGCTGTTATGTGGTCCCTGGTGCACTGGCTGTTCTGGAGTCGCGGTTACCGGAGCGAACTGCGGTGCCAGCCTGGCCAAGTCCGTCTCCTTGATTCTGCTTTCGCACGCTACCGTCCATTCGCCGTACCCATGCTCGAGAGCATCCACTCGGTCGATCCATTCCTCTGGAAGAGTATCCGGCTGCCCTTCAAGAAGGTCCAGCATGGCGTCGAGGTCGTGTCCAGCCTTGGCCACTTTACGCTCGAGGACTGACTTCATCACTTCGAACTCTCCCGGGTGCAATGCCGCAGGTTCCGTGCCCGGCGTGCTGTTATCGGTCCCAGCGCCATGGCTAGGGTTCGCGCCAAGTCTGATCGCATTCCATCCGGACTGAAGAGCGACCTCGGCGTCGACCAGTGACGTCAGAAATACCGGGACCCTACGCAGCACCAGCAGACGGAAGGTCCAGGACTCCATCAGCTTGGTGAGTTTCGACAGCATTGGAAGCGCCCCCACAGTGGTGGCCGTGATCAGGGCCGTCAGGTCATCCAACCTCGCAATGATAGAGAAGGACATCGCGGAGCGGCCACAATCCATCATTGGCGTTCCCGGCCGTGACAGAGGCATGATGTGGTTGTTCAGAACCTGGTTTTTGATTTCTTCGATATCGAGCTCCTCCAGCTCTTGGGCGATCTTGTCTAATCGCCTTTCGTACGTGGCGACGTCGGCCGCGGGGAGGCTCCCGATGTACTCTTGGTGTGAGTGTTGCGATCCATTGCCTGAGAGCTCGCTGCCGGAGCTGAATAGCCTCCTCTTGACCGTGGGCACCTCGAAACCCGCGGAGCCCCCACCTGCCGGCCATGACCAGGCGGAGAGCTCTTCTAGCCATTCATGAATGCTGTTAGCGGCAACGGCCACTCTGAGCGCAAACGCCTGCTCGGTCGGGGTTGCGGCATCGATGCACGCCTTCAGGCTTCCCGACGGATTACGGAAGGCATCGACTACCGTCCGCGGCGTGAGGTTCGACAGGAGGTCGTCGGTGGTTCGCTGCCGAGCTTGGGAATAGCTGGAATAGCTCGACGTCGACCGGAGGTGGCGGCCTCGGGTCGGCGCAAGGTGCGCGGGGGACTGGGCCGGCGGAGATTCGTTCATCGTTGGTTTGTAAGCTTGTGTCGGTCGTAGTCAGTGGTCGAGCGGACGGGGGCCGCGCAACATAATGATGATGCCCTTCCTACGAGCCAGGCGAGACAGTGGATAGTATTTTCTCGGAGGTTCCCATAGTAAAAAAGAGGTGACAACGACGCAGTCGATGAGGCTTGGAGCCTTGCTGTGATTCGCTGCGAACCGGCCTATTTCTAAGTCGCTCGCTGCTTCTCGCCGCCTTGCTCCGAGCTTCCACCTGGCCTGCAGTGAATTGATTCGCTGAGGGAATGACACAACAGCCAGCGGCGATGGCTGGGTCGTGCGGGCAGCTGCAGCCGCTGATCGGATCAAGAAAGAGTGAATGAGGCGTGCAGGTCAGGGAGGTTGGGTAGCGTGCAACGTCCAACGTCCAACGTCAAACGAATGTGTGTTTCGGCAGGTACCACGTGTAAGTGCGCTGTACGAAGGTATAATGCAGCTTAATGCAATACAATGCAGCGCAAAGAGAGCGACAGAAAAAGAACGAACGACGGCTGTTGGCGGCCGCTGAATGTGGTCGTGTGGAGTTGTAACAAACGAGCGTCGCGCCGTAAACACGGCACAGGTGACAGAAGGTCAGTATGGGCTATGGAAAGAGGAAATCGGGGGCGCGAAGCTCATTTCGAAGAGGCCCCAGCATTGTTAAATTGAGATGCAGACACAAGCTGGGGATCTCGGATCGGCCCAAGAGATTTGATTTCGGAAGCGCTTTGTGCTAAGCCCAAAATGGCGACTACGAGCCGCTACCAAAATGGGGCAGACGTGGCCGGCGTGTTTAACAGCTTTACACTTCAGTCTGGTGGCTGACAGATAGCACAGGAAAAGCACGCTAAGTCGCGTCGTGCCATTTACGGCCGGACTCACAGGGGCATCACGGACCACTTCGACCCCAACGTAATTGGGATGCTCCACTGGGCAGCTGCGCAGCGAACGACGCGACTGACGAGCATCTGGCGGATGGAGATGATCAGAGGCCGCTTGCTTTTTCTCGTTCCTGCCGCTGTCTCGGGACAACTGGCAGAGCAACGAGAATTATTAGACCCCCTTGTTTGACAGCAGTGTACTTATCCGTACAGAGAGCACATAGGTGGATATTTTGTTCGCCTTCGCTTCCACGGATGGGTGTAGGGCAAACGACCTCATACGTATCCGTCTGTATGTGACTTCACTGTTGTAACGACGCTTGAGATATGGTAGCCACGTCCCTCGGGATTGAGCAAGAGCCGAAAGTTGTTCAAATGTCTTCTCTTTTTGAGTCCTACACCTGTAACCAGAGGTGCTCCGTCTACGATGTGCGAGGTACCGTAGGTAAGTAGAGGAAACCAATTCTCAGCCATAACTGAACCTAAGACAACCGAGCCTTTCGATCCTTTTCCGATCCATATTGACCCGACCCATTTCAGCCCTGACGCGCCGCTATCCAACCCGTTGGTATTGCTGGCCACTAGATTCAAAGGCCAGTGGCAGAAAGACTAAGGGGAAGAGAAAAAAAACGAAACCCCATGAACCAGGAAGGGAAACGAAGAAAAGCCCACCCTTCCAGTTCCGATGTAGTGTAACGGCAGCTCATCCATCAAAGCAACAGTGTAACGTGAAGGGGTCAATGGCTGATCCCCTCGGGCAGATTGCCCATCCACCCATGATCGCCACCAAGATCCATCCCCGCCTGCTCACCCCCAAACATCCCCCCCATAAACGTATCGTTGTCTGACGTGTTGAGCCCGCCCTCGGCAGGGAACTGCAGCCACTGGTCAAAGTCAAAGTTGTTTCCTGTGCCCGCGCCGGCACCAGGACCCGCGCCAGTCGCAGTGCCGACGCCGCCGTCCACGTTCAGGGTGGTATACTCCAGCATGATCTGATCGGCCATCGCGACATCGGCATCTCCAATATCTTGATCCCGGCCCTGAGTACTGGGCGGTGGCGTCGCAACGTCCTCGCTATCGGTATGCGGCGGCGTGGCGGCGCCCACAGCTCCAGCCGGAGTTGGGACGGTGACATGATCGCCACCCAGGCTACCGGGGACAAGTGTCTGCGTTGTTGTGTAGCCAAACGGGCTCGTGTTTTCTGCTTCCGTTGAGTTGAGGAAGGAGACGCCGACCGCGTTTTCCGGCGGGGGTGTCGACGGGCGCCCCGACGCAGTGGGCGGCATCATCCCCATTCCCGGCACCATGCCCAGCCCTTGCGGGGTGAGGTTGAAGGCGGGCGCGAGGACGCGGTTGAGCATCTTGCCTGACCGCGCTGCCGATGGTGGCTGGGTCGCTTGTGGCTGTGGTTGGAGCTGCTGTGGCGGCCCACCGAGCATTCCCTTGCGAAGGAGGGCGTCGAGGAAGCCGGTGGCAAAATCCGCGGCTGCGTAGATGTTGCGTAGGTTGCTCATCACGGTGAGACACTCCCTAAGGCCCAGGACGGCCTTGGCGCGGGTCTCGGGAACCAAGCTCTTGGTGTCGAGCATGTGCACGATCATGGCGGGCAGGATCACCGTGACGCCTGTCGTGGGGAGGTACCGCTCGAGGCCGCACCGGCGCAACTCGGCCGCCATGCGAGTGATGTGCTCGGCAGCCTCGCGCACCCGTTGGCGAGCCGTCTCTTGGACCTCGACGGGTGTGCTGGGACCCTCGGTCGGCGACGCGGGGAGGAAGAGCGGTCGGTGGAGCGCCGAGATGGTGGTATGGTAGATCATGTGCAGGAGGTTGCGCTGGACCGCGAGCACCTTGTTCTCGTCGGTGATGGTCACGGAATCGAGCGGCCGATGCTGGCAGCACTCGGGCAAGCTGGCGAACCAGTCTATCAGCTCCTTGTCGACCTTCTCGACCCCTTCCATGTTCTCGGGGTTCTTGTTTGGAAGCAGCATGTGAGTGCTGTTGATTGTCTGATCGGCCCGCACGCCACTGCGGCTGAGGACCGAGTACTGCACCTTGAGCATGTCGCCGATGAACATGCACAGTTTTGCCTTCTCGATGCACATAATGGCGAGCTCCCGCTGCATCTCGGCGTCCCGTATGAGGGCGCACTCAGCTCCAAGCAGCTGGTTGTCCTCCGGTAGAGCCTCTATCTCAAAGTCGGACTCGGTTAATGGAGGCACGTCAAAGTCTTCGCTCTTGATACGAGTCGGCCGCCGCATTCCGAGAGCGACTAGGCGGTCCCGCATCAGGCATGACCACCACACGCGCTTCCATAACTTCTGCTTCCGTGGGATCATGGGCGTCTTCGCCGGGTCTCGATGCAGTCCGATAGTGTGGGCCAGCGAGATGGCAACCCCCATCCAGTGCCAGGTGTCCTTCTGGTCGTCCGGCGTCTCGTACCAGTAGGTCATGAGCAGCAGGCCCTGGACCAGGATCAGGCGGTCCGTTTCATAGTCGAAGTCGTAGAGAAGCCTGGTCCTGGAGAAGAAAGCCCTTCGCGCATCTCTGCGGCTATCGTAGCCTGCATCCTTCAGGAGCGCTTCGTCGACGAAAGCGGTAGCCGCAAACATGATGGCGTGGTACAAGAACAAGCTGACCTTGCCGGACGCGCCGCTGCGGTCGTTGACCATCCTCAGGAAGTCATGCAGCTCCAGGAGCGGCATGTACGGATGTACATACTCGATGTAGGCCGCGAGCAGCGCATTTTGCAGGGGCAGCGGCGGCAGCGTGAAGACCTGCTTCTGTACGAGATACTGCCTGTCCTCAGAGAGGATCCTATCCGGGAGAGGTTTGATGAAGGCAGGCCAGTCATTAGTCTGCTCAAGCACGGGTTTCAGCAACGGGTGGAGGAAATCGGGCGCCGAGTTCGGGATGCCCGGTGTCACGGGAGGGAAGGCCGCCAACGCCGCCAGCGCTGGGCCTGTTCCGGTTGTGCCCAGCCCCGCTGTCGGTTGTTGATCTGTCAGATGCAAATCAGTTGGGAGGTTCTCATAAGCATGTGGTCTACACTACATAGTGAACTATGCTTTGCCCCCGTTTCCCGTCTCTGGCATGTGATTATGCCATGCGCTTGCGGGCCACGCGGGGTCTGGGATTCCAACTTACACAGCAGACGGGTGGCTGATTGTGCGCCACTGGCCCCATTCAGGGGAAGTGTGAACGTTCCATTGTTGAGAGCAAAGGGTGGCTTTGCGAGATTGGCGGTGATGATAGGGGGAGCTGCGCCAATGCTCTTTGCGCGCAATGCCTCGGCACTTCCAGCCCGCGCCCCCACCACTGCCGGGTTGGAGTTGTATGGTAGGTTCTTTCTGGAAACACGAGCGGCAGGGTGTCAGCGATCAGCCATTCCGTTCTCGCAACGCTCCTTTGCATCTGAAAATGACGCAATTGGACGGTGTGAGGCTAGCAGCCGTAGATGAAGATCGAAGCTCAACATCTCGCAGACTTTCACAGATTCCACGGAGGCAGCAGTTGGGGTGAAAAAAAAGGGGGGCACTCACTTCCGTCGACGGCTCTCCTGCACTATGCATTCCACATCGTCCCACCGGCAATTGCCGCAGGGCGCGCCCTCAACCACATCGCAGCGTACCTTGCGGGCTCGACATGACACGCAGGCCCGGGCTGCTCGTCGTTTTGTGACTTTGCCTTCTGTAGAGATCGACGCCCGCTTCTTCGGCGATTGCGCTGTTGCCGCGACGGACGGAGGTGCTGGTGGCGGTGTTCGTGAGCTTGGCGGCGCTGATGATGAAGACCGAGGCGAAGGTGTGTCTCCGGCGTCCGACATTGTGAGGCGAGGGTGTAGGCCGAGGCCCAAGAAGGACGCTTCTAGTATACTTCAAATCGTTCAGTCGTTGTCGGCTAGTGAGTCCCGCGCCGGTCGACCAGTGCCGTGTTTTGAGAAGATGGGTGTGAGGACGGCGCCTGAGTGTGTATGTACCGAGGCCTGTCTGCGGCAGTCCAGTGGCGGCGTAGCTTTCTATGAGCTTCTCAAGTAGAATATCTGGAATACCACTACGAAAAGAAGGCAAGTCTTCTACGTTCGACAGAATTGGTGTGTAGTAAAGACGTTGTCAAAGATTCAGTGGGGAGCATGGGGACCCATCTACTATTAAATTCCGCCATAGCATTCCGTCGAATCCAACGACGATACGTACCTTCCTTGAGGAATGCACATCAGCATGAAAGATGGAGCCTTGGGGCCATCACCTTCATAGCCAAGCCAGCGGACATGGATGGATGGCATTGCCCGGTTTGGGAAGCGTGGGTACTTCATTGACGTCGAGAAGCTGCTGTTCCCTGAACTTCCTTCTTCCGTGCAAGCAAAAATGTGGACTTCCTGGCTGTAATGTATGGCAAAAAAAGGGTGCCTGACTCTGAGGAGCTGGCACGTCCTCGCCTCGTCTCATCGAAGGCAGAGAGTCGTACATTATGTCAGATATGAAACTTCATACCTACAGCCAGTGAAGATAGGTATGTACATCGTTTGCCAAGGATTCTCACATTCTATCACGAGGGTTGTAGGCCTGTCAACTTCACAGAGCTGAGCTGGTGAAGGTGATGACTTCAGCTTTCTGCTTCTGACAGAAAGTAATAAAATAATGCTCCTGTCACCTGGCCGTGGAGCAGCCCCGAATCGAGCCCTTCGTCCGACCCCGGCCTCATGGCGGGATCCACCGCTCCCTTGCAGGCAAGCCCACCCGACTTCGTCTCACGCTGATTGGACCAATTGGGGTCGAAGCAGGAAGTTTCTCCAGCAGCTCATTGCTGCTCGAGCCCCGCACCCCTCATTCCCGCCAAGGGGCTTGTGGAGCAGCCAATCAGGTGACGTCTGCTGTCCCACATGAGCCGCGCGGGATCGCGCCTACACGTGCAGTTTGGGTTGAGACAGGGGTTGGGGCAAGGGAGACATTGATCGGTCAACACGGTCGAGGAATCTCCTTGTTCAGCTTGAATTACTTGTGTATGTCGATACACGTGTAATCGGAGGCTAGGTCGGAGCCCTGCCTCGATGGATCAGCTAGGGGGGGCGCAATGAGGAATTCCGTTTCGGAGGGCACGCGACCACTTGCAAGTTGCAACTGAATAAGTCTCAAACTCTCGAAAGGGGGGAGCGAAAAACAAGCCGTGTGTCCCGCCATCGGGGCTGATTGGGATGGTCAACCTAGGAAAATATGTACAAGAGCCACACACGCAGCGACATTGATTTTGAAGGAAATCTACACCGCATTGTTATGTACTAGTAGGTTGGCAAGAAAAAAAGCGGGTGCGGCAGCGGCAGATGCCATCGGTGTCGTTCTGCTGAGACCCTTGCTCATCGCTCGTTTTTGAGGCGAAAGGGCGAAAGGGCGAATCGCATCGTGGCCATTAGACCGAACCAAACACCTTTGAGGTGATGCGCACTGGTCGCTGCCAACACCTCCCCTTGATCCGGCATTCACCTAATCAAGTCACTTGCCTACCCATCACACTGCTGAAGCACTAGACTTTACAAACGTGTACGAATCAATGAATAAAAGAAAACAGAAGGGCGTCGGCAAGACACGGAGCGGAAACGTAAGAGATTATCAGGAACACGAGTAAGTGACTGCTACACAGTAAGTTAACCTACCAGGTATGTAAGGAAATACATACCTACCAAAACCTGGGGATCAACGCTTTACTCCTCGCGGTTAGTTCAGGACGAAGCTTTAACCTGGATCTTTCTGATTCCTTGTCTCGGCGTCGACGGTGAAGTTCGGATTTTGTCTCGTCACTTTCCAGGCCACAAAAAGGGATCAGAGAGGGAGCAAAAGAACCGCCACTATACGGGTCGTTGATTAGTGGCGAATATTGAGCAGCAATCCTCCCTGCGTAGTCGGCCGATGGTTGTCACAAGCCGACTCTACTTCCGAGTCAGTCGGAAATCCCCTCTCGGCTTCTGTGGGCCGCGCCGGTCGGGAATGAACCCCGCCCACGACGCGCCCTTGAGACTTCAGGCTCCACTTTCTTCCGTGTTCTGCCTCTGCCGGTCCGCTGCCATTCGTGGCCTGCATGACGGCATTGTTCATCATCCTCAATCGACCATCCGGGGGACGGATTCACCTTGTCCTCCCAGTGGTATCTGCTCTATCCCCTATAGATGATAGAGTGGCCGGTTGTATTGTACCGTTCGCGCCAGTTCTAACGAGAGCGAGGTGACGCTTCCACTTGACCGTTTGATGCACCCAACGTCGCTTCCCGAGCCGCAGGCGGGCTGCCCGGCCGTGAACGGTTTCCGGGTTGCATCCAACGGGCGTTTCTTTGAGGGCCAAGATGATACCTGGTAGGTACTATGTATTGTACCTATGTAGAGATTATAATACACTACATACAGTTACTTTTACTGTGGAGAACCACACACTTCATAGTACCGCCTTGTCATTGACATTCTCATCCTACCCTTTTTCTGCGAAGATGCTGCAATGAACTCTGGGGATCAGCGAGAGACTGGTGCTGAAGAAATACCTCCACGTTGAACTACTTGTTTTAGGGAGTATGCGTGTACTGTGTAAGCTAAGTACACTACGAATAACTACGGAGCTCAATTCCCGCGACTCTCACGATTCCTGTCCTCTTGGTCATCGGCCGACCCGCCCCGCTCATCTCCGGCGTATCCCCAATTCCGTCCTTTCCCGGCCGTCGGATGCGGGAGTTGGGACAACCGGATAGGGATTGGCCAAACCGGAGTTAGGCCAGCAAGGTGCATGGTAGGTGCGGTTCAGCTGAGGTGCAAGTGGCTTCGCGGCGGGAGATGGAATCGCGCCGGCAAGTGGTGGCTTATTATAAATAACATAGAGGCTATCAGAATGATAGTCTTGTCGAGGCTCGATCAGGATCAGATCAGATGCTTATCAGGAATGCTATGCAGTGCTTTCGACAAAGTGTGCCTTTTGCGGCGGGTGTGTGCGTCTTGTTGCATGTGAAAACCATAATTGAAGGGCACCATCTTGGCGAAGGCTCTGAATGTCACGCGGGCTGCCTCCTTGCTCTTCAACGGATCTCTCCGTCAACACACAAGCAAACTTGGAGTTTGAACAGTCTAGCTAGTCCTTCTTGGGGAAAAGTCAGCTCGCTTGGCGTGCATAATGCGATCATGTTTTTCTGGGGAATTATTTGCGAATAGTAATAATATCCACCGCTGCACATTATCACACACCTTCTTGGACTCGCCAGGAGCTGCCAAGAGGCCTAAGCTGGGCTTCACCCCGAAGCAATGCGGCGGGGCAGAGTTCGTGACAGCGAAGGATTCTGGGCTGAGCAGACGAGCTCAAAGATACCTAATTCCGTATGTAAGTACATGTACATACATACTCTCTGTACGCCTGTAGATATGGTACTGTATGTACAGAATTGGGATATGAGCAACTAACTGGAGAATCTCCTGAGAAGGGTTCCCACCAGTAGGTATGCCATCGTTGCGGTTTGGAGTGACAGTGACATTGGCCGGGGCTGCTGGGCAACATCTGGGAGATAGAATTCTAATCTTTCCCAGCGACCTACTCCGCGAGCATAAAATCCGGGGCCCCAAGTGAAGTGTTGGGTGCCTGGGTCCATCAAGGAACTGCCGTCTGCTAACGTTTTAGCGTCGTTCCGCGATTAATTTCATCAATATAAGAGCTGAATGGACACACGCCAGCTCACCCCGCAATCGCGACTAGTGGTTCTAGATTCTGGGCCGTTGGTGGATGGGCGACTAACGAGAAGGTGGCTACGGTAACTATCGGAGCGAACAGGATGGAGCACGAGAAGAATAATGGCGGGGACTCGTGATGGCACAAGCCACACATGATAAAGGCGTAACTGTGGCTGGGTCATCTCATGGCTGGAGTGTGCTGTTGAAAGTGAATTACACAGGAGAAGGTAAGTTGGATGTAGACTTATATGCATGTTCGGACAAACAACTTGACGTTTGATCTATGTACGTATGTACTTGATATGGTGAGTAGGACTCCCTTTTCCCATGTCTACTGTACGCCCATATATGCCATCGATTCCAGTTTATTCATTACCGCCGGGGAGCATCTCTCCAAGTTCGCCGAATTAAAAAACTCCCACCATGAGCACAAAGCATCCAAATACTTAGATCAAATCTCTCCAAAATAGCAGCTCAACTACCTACGCCGCCTTGGAATACACACTCAACCTATTCCCGCTCCCGCACACCTGGCCCTCGTCGCCCGCGCACGGCATGGAGCAGTCGCCCGCGGGTGCCTCTTCGGCGCCCGCAGCAAGCTCGTTTCCGCAGTAACACTCCCGCCCATACTCGGCCCCAAAGTACGCGTACCCCTCGCAGTAGGCCGCACAGCCCTCCAGCGTCAGGTCATCAGCGGCGTGGGCGTCGGCCGAGAGCGCGCGGACGCCGCCCGTGGTGGGCTCGGCCACGCACTGGTAAAAGTTCCAGGTGGTTCCGCCGCTGCTGCGCACGGTAGCGGGCTGAGACGGGCCCGAGGGCGCGGTGTAGTTGTCGGTCGAGTACAGCTCCAGCCGGTTGGGCCCGCCGCAGTATTCGTAGGGATTGCCCGAGCAGGGCATGGAGCATTCGTCGAGGGAGGAGGCGTTGGCGGAGGACGGGGCGAGCGAGTTGCCGCAGTAGCACTCGGCGGAGTACTCGGCGCCGAAGTACTTGTAGCCGGCGCAGAAGGCGGCGCAGTTCTCGAGCGTCATGTTGTCGCCCGAGGTGTAGGCTTTGGCATCCAAGGCGCGGGCGTTGCTGCCCTCGGTCCAGCAGCCGACGTGGGTGTAGGGGGATACGGTGGGCTTCCTGGCTATGGTGGCGGTGGTGGTGGTGGCGGTGGTGGGAGAGGCAGAAGTGGTTGCGGTGGCTTTGGAGAGAAAAAAACGAGAGAGATGTCAGGAACCGAATCCATGTGGTCGAGGAGTTAGAGAGGTAGTGTTGGCTATGTCGTCTCACCTTCCGAGGATGACGGGCTAGTCGTGGAGGATACGCTTGTCAGTCTGTAAAGCTCCAGACGGTTACCGGCGCCACAGTACTCGGTCGCATCGCCAGCGCACACCATGTTGCATTCCGTCACAGGAGCGGGCTTACTGCCGGCATTCAGACTGTTACCGCAGTAGCCTGATCGGTGTCGACGTTAGCAAAGCCTGCCATACGTCAAGGGGGATCGGTTCGATCCAGAGCCACTCACATTCCCGGCCGTATTCAGTGCCGAAGTAGGTGAAGCCGCTGCAGTATGCCGCGCAGGACTCCAGCGTCATGGAGTCATCGGCATATCCCTTCTCAGACAGGGCCCTCATGCCCGTCGCCTCCGTCTGGCATCCCACGAAGGAGTAAGCGCCCACGGTCGGCTTGACCGCGAGAGTGGCGGTGGGGGTGGCCGTGGCGGACGCAGACGTTCGGGTCGCCGTGGTCGAGTACAGCTCGAGCCGGTTTCCGGCACCGCAGAACTCGGTGGGATCGCCGCCGCAGACCATGTTGCAATCCTCGGCCGGCGCCTCGGTGCTGCTCGAGTGGAGGCTGTTGCCGCAGTAGCACTCCCTTCCATACTCGGTGGCCCAGTAGTCGAAGCCGGTGCAGTTGGCCATGCACGACTCGAGCGTCATCTCGTCGTAAGCAAACGCAGCGCCGCTGAGCGCCCGCACGCCCGTCCCCTCGGTCCAGCAGTCGACAAACACGTAGCCACCGACGGTCGGCTTGATCGCCGGCGTCGGGATTCCTGTCGAGCTGCTGGAGCTCGTGGTGGTGGCTGGGACGCTGGTCGAGCCTGTGACGGACACGGAAGACGTCGACGTTGGAAGGGAGGACGTGGACGTAACCGTGATATTGGAGCAGGTAGCGCCGCCGGAGAAGGTGCCACAGGTGCCGGACAGCTCGCTGGCCTTGTTGAAGTCATCGGTGTAGGCAGTGGCACCGGAGCCGGCTGACACGCTGATTCTGGCGTTGTAGCTTTGGCCGCCAATGACGGTAAAGCTGGCCGTGTAGAACGTGTACTGGCCCACACAGTCGCCCTCGGCCATCGGAATAGTCGCCTCGGTCAGGGCCGGGACTGGGTTGCCGTTGGTCGTATTCCGCGGGACCAGATACGAGACGCCCAGGTTCACGGGGAGACCCACGATGTCGTTGCGGACGAGAGCGGAAACAGTGAGGGCGCCCGTCCCCTGGAGCAGGCAGCTCTGCGGCTTCTGCAGGACAACGGCGTCAGACATGGGGTACGAGTTACCGTTGTTGTCGTACGTCTTGCTCGAGCCGTCATTGAGGTTGACAACGACAGTGAAAGACGAGATACCGGACGCAGCCGGGATCGTGGCCTGGATGGGAAAGAACTATGGTACAAACTACTGTTAGCACTGCGACTTCACATATTGGCACACCCTGAGACTATATGATACGTACACCAAAGCTGTCGTCAAACCCGGTCGAGACGCCCTGCAGCGTGGCCGTCACCGAGCAAGTCGTGGATGACCCGCAGCTGTTCCCGCCGTTGCGGTCCTTCCAGGTTAAAACAACGTTCTTGATCGAGCTGGCCGGGAGCTCCGTGGTCCGGACTCGGATGTAGCCGCTCAGAGAGAAGGTCGTGCCGCCCGAGTTCAGCGTCAGCTGCATGTCGACCGGCTTGACGGCATAGGGCGCGATAGGGCCGGTCAGCGTGACGTCGGACGGGACGACCTCAATCATCTTTTGGAGCATGGTCTGGCAGACGCTGCTGAACGTGGCGGCATCTGTCAGAGTCCGGATCGTGGCGTTTCCGTCCGAAGCGAAGATCCGGCCGTCCGAGTTGCGGCCGTTGGTTCTCGAAGGCCCAACGACGAGCGGGTTCTTGGTGGTGCCCGAGACATATTCCGTGGCCACGGAGTTGTCAAAGGCCGCGTTCGTCGAGTCGAGGCCGATTTGGCCGTCGCTGGCAGCAACGATTTGGGGAAACTCGCTGCTGTGGACGGAACCTAGCGTATGGCCGCACGCCACGAGCTGGATCATCTCGGTCGGGGTGAAGCCCATGCGGTCAAACTGCTGCTGGAAGGTCAGAAGAGAGTTTTGCGGCTGCGGGACGCCGCTGCCTCCCGAGGTCGCATCGCGGCGCCCCAACTTCAGTGGGATGATGGGACCGCCGCAGGACCGGACCGAGGCGTACACTCCGGCAGCGATCAGGTCGGCCAGGCTGGAGCGGCTGGTCAGGTAGTTGGCAAAGAACTGCAACGTCGTGGCGTGGCCGGGGCCCGTGTTCTCGCCGTTGTTGAGCTCGAACTGGATCGAGCCGTCAAGACCGCCGGTGCCGAAGTAGCGGTTGTGCGGCGCCATGTCGCTAATGCCGAGTCAGCATTCCGATCTAACGAACTTGAAGGCAACATATTCGACAAGTCCTTCCACCCGCACCATAGTGCTTCCGACCTTGACCAAGCCACACATGAATCCAGACAAGAGGGAACGGAACGGCACACATACTGGAAGCCCACGCGCAGCCACTCGCTTGCCGTGATACGGCCAGGCCCCGCCGCTTCATTGTTGCAGGGCGTAATGATGTCGTTGAACAGACTGCCCTGGAATCCCTGCAGCTGATAGACGATCTCCTCCATGTGGTCGGTAGCGGCAGGCCATGTTGGATCGGCCCTGCCGGTCCGGGCCGCGAGGGACAGCAGACCGGCAAAAACAGGCACGTTCGCTCTCATGTTGGACGAGAATTCAAGATCAAAACATTAGATTATGGATAAGGGGCTTCGAGGAGGCCGAAAACGAGTGGACGCGGGCGGTTCGACTGCGCGACACCCAACCTGCTGACAGGAGTAGTTCCGAAGTGAACGGATCCGTACCGCACTCCGTTGCGTGTAAGTGATTCGACGAACCACCGTGAACTTCTGAAGTCAGGAGGAGAAAGCGAGAGTCAAACACCGCAACGGTTGAGGTCGGACAAGGAAGGGAGCTGCCGCGAGTTTTCTCGGACGTTGGGCCTCGTTTGCTTTTTTTCTTTTTTGCCCCCGTTTCCCCATGATTGTCTCTTGCGGCGCTCATCAGCCCTCGTCCGCCTGCGCTGGGCTGCATGGAGCGATGTGACACGGCAGGCGTCCAGATCACAGCTCTTCACCCCTGTCACTCGTATTCCCGCAGGGCTCGGCCCAGCTCCAAGGGACGCCAAGCCGCTCTTGCTCCGAAAAGAAGCCCGTCTGATTGGCTTCGACGCCGCCCGCTCTATCGACGCCATGTTCCAGCCGCACTTTTTCACCTTTTCATGTGTTGTCGTGTCGTGGGCCTGTGGAGCTCTCAGCAGCCCAGATGGATAGGTACCTTTCACTATTGAACGCCCAGTATCCTGAGCTGCAGTTGATGTCCGTACAGGGTAGGCCATGCCACGTCGACGGCGTGGTTCTGTTGCATTTTCATCTTCAGCTCAATCTCTTATCGCTCCCATAGTGTAGCCGGGTATCCGAGGGAGGGTCGCGGTGCTAACCAGAGCCAGTGGGGTCACTTGGCGACGTTCAACTTGGCGATTGGGAGGAAACCACAGCGAACAGCCCACTCACCATTGCTCGTGTATGCGCGCTTATGCGGTAACACAGAAAGAGGGGCTTGATCACGGACATGCGGTCCATGCCCCCGATCGTGGTTCAACGTTCTTGGCGTCTCCCGCTTCCCGATCCCACGTGGGAGTCCTGTCGTGCCGATCCGAGCCGGGGACGGCTCAAGGTTCGAGGTTACAGATTCCGTATGGAACGGACTGGGATATCTGGTTCATGTTTCCTAGGTTGCGTTCCACGTTTGTTAGAACCGGTCCTCTCTGTGCTGTCAAATGGGAAACATCGAAATCGACGATTCAGGCGATCAAAATCATCAAAGCTAATAGGCGAGGAAAGGTATGGTATACATACCGTGCATTCATAAGTCCCTATGGCAGTCGGATAACAGACGACATAGAAATTGCAGGCAGGATCAGTAGCCTCCCTCTCTCACGGCATGAAACGCAGGGATTTATGCGTTCCACAAGAAAAGCAAATCCGGTCGTGACACCAACACCACCTTTCCCACTTTCCAATCTCACTGATCATCCACGAAAACCACGTAACACCGGCGAGAGGCTGACGCCGAGAGCTCACGTGGACGGGTTTGTCTAAAGTGGGCATCTCTAAAGCCCGGGCCATCCCCAGACGCAAGTGCCTTAGGGATGCTGGAAACTCTGGTCACAAGAGAGGGAAACAAGCAGAAGTCAAGAGTCGAGAAGGGAGAGAGGGGGAGGATGGCCAGACAAGGGAAAAAGGGAAAAAAGAAACATACCCCCCCGGGGAGTCGAACCCCGCGCAGCGGAATGCTCTCTCCTGAGAATCCGCTATGTTAACCGATACACCAGAGGGGTCATTAAGGTTGTTTGTTGATGGCAGGAGACGGGGTTTCCATTCATATAAGGTATGTGAAGAGTGGGAAGGAGCGGACGAGAAACCTGTGTGTGTTGCCTGTCGGGATGGAAGGAGCGGAGTCAGCTGCCGCTTCCCCGGAGCAAACAGACGGAACCGGGGAGCTGGTGGCTGGTAGGCTACCTCCTTGAGCACTACTACCTTATTACTACTACCCCAGGATGACTCTTGACTTCAAGCTCCGTCATACCGTCCTTGAGCCTAATGGCGGCACCTTTATGCGTCTCTGCTGCTTTAAGGCTTGAACCCCCGTTCATTCTCAACGGGAATATCATTGTGCGTCGAACCTTGGATTGTTTGATTTCTCCTGGACGTTCCTCTCTGCAGACTCATTAAGACTGATTAATAAAGGATAGCCCTGGTAGGTAAGTTAAGTAGAAATTGTTGAACTTGAATTCGGAGAGCACACCGGCTTTTCAATGGCCTGACCGCCAGGTTTCCATTACTAGACTGAATAAGGGTTCGCACAGGGTTTCGGGTCATGCTCGCTACCATCATCAAGAGATAACTCAACGTCTACGGCGGCAGAGGCCTTCTCTCCATCCTATGCGGCGAGCCTTGCCATTATATTCGAGGATAGATAAGGTAGCTCGCTGCTTAGCAGATTCAGGACATAACCGCCTTCGGCACCTGATACCGAGGCAAGCCAGTACGTCTGGTCCATGGTGCCCAAACGAGTGCAAAATGATGCTGCCCACGAAATTGTATATGGCAGGTTTATGAAATGACTACAAGTAGCCGTTACAATAAGCAACATGAGGGGTTGCTACTGTTCTGTCCGCAGAAGCAGACCCTCTATGACCAAGACGATGCAGTTCTACAACAGAACCTCAACACGCTTCGTCTCGATGATATATCGAGTCTCTTCAGGTCATAGCTGCTCCGATCTCTCAATGAAGCTGACAACTTCCTTGACAAAGCCTTCAAGGTTCTCCTCCGCAACATAGTGTGCAGCAGCGCTTACTGTACGAGCCTCCCAATCCCCATCCTCTACCACCTCCAAGACCATCTCTTCCACCTCGGCAGCGTGTCAACTGTGCTCGCCGCTCAACAGCAGCGTCGGTATGATCAGCTTCCCATCGCTTTCAACCAGGCACTATTCTCTTTCGCTGCCTCGGGAAACGCAGCATACTAAGGAGCTTGTGAAGTGCGACCCTCTCGGGCATTACCTTTGCAGGCTGCTTTCGCGCATGACCTTAGCAATAGCATTGTCATCGCGCGCTGTTGATGAGTAAATATGCCACAGTGGCTGTGCTGAGCAAAAAGACAGTGTGGCTGGAATGTGGCTGAACAAGCTCTCTCATACCTTACTGTGGGAACTGCCAAGACAAGGATTGCGCACCGGTTGACGTCACCGTGGGGCCGCCATTTGGACCCTTGTTCAAAATGTGGGATGAACTCGTCATGCATCCGGCGCAGCCACGGTGAGGTGCAGCGTTTCAGCGATCATGATCCGCGATCGTCAGTTGCAGGTAAGTCATAGACCATGTAGAAACAAAGACGCAATGATTGCAGCCGTTGCTGTATGTGTGGTTGGTCCCAGAATCCGGCCTCGGACGGGTCATTTTACTGGTCCTCGACAGTGATGCAACAGGCGCCACACCGCCCGTAGCCAGCAGGGTCCGCCCACGGCTTTGAGAATCCACACATCACATGGAGATCAGTACCTGAAAGAGTCGATGTAAACTTCCCCTTAAGTCCCAGTTCCCGACTTTCGAACAAACCATTTGGTGGTTCTGTTTGGGTGATCGTCTTTTCCCGCTCACAACAACACATTGAGATGCAGAATTACGCCGACAAGAACTAGGCTATTCATCGATCTTCTGCTCTCACGGAAAGCGAATCTTAAACTCTCGACTTCCCAAACCCTCACACATCAAAACAAGACTCAATCAGCAACTGACTATGGGGCGGGCGTCTGGGGTCGCCCTCCGGGGCCTGCAATTCTTTGTCCGCGCCATAGAGTTCTGCTGCGCGGCTATTGTACTCGCCCTCTTCTCCTACTTCCTAGCGACCTTATCCAACCATAACATGTCCATCGCTACGTGGGTGCGAGCGGTCGAAGGCATCTCAGGCGCCGGCGTGCTCTACACGGTCATCGCCCTTCTCTTGCTCTGTTGCGTACCCGGTCATCCCTTCCCGTCCTTCATTTTGATGGTCCTGGATGTGGCGTTTGCCGGGGCCTTTATCTACGTCGCAGTTGCCAACCGTGCTGGAGCGTCGTCCTGCAACGGACATGTCGACACGGTATTCGGTAACGGGAACGCCGATACCAACGTGGTGGATAACGGAGATGGCGGGTTCACGGCACTGCCGAGTCTCAGACAGGCCTGCAAGATGGAGACGGCTTGCCTGTCCGTGTCGATTATTGCTATGTAAGCCTGCTTCTCCCAAGGAACCCAGCATACCTTGAAGCTAACAACGCGACAACCAACAGCTTCTTCTTCTTCATCTCTGCTCTCCTCAGCCTCGCTTTGGTGCGCCATCACCGCAAGGAGAGGCGTTTTGGCCCCTCGCCGGCTAACGAATACACCGAGGGCTACGGCGGTCATAAGCCTTGGTACTTCTTCGGCCTGGGACGAAAGCGCAAGGGCGGCACCGAGATGGGCACGGACCCGAATGCGCTGCCGGAGCACACCACGCCCGATATGATGCGAGACAGTTATGCAACCGAACAGACGCGGGTTGACAACAGCGGTGGTTATGGTGGTTTGGGCAACGGCACTAGCAAGTACGAGGCGCCGTACGGCAACACCGGGGACAACGTGCCGATGACGAGTTATCCCAACTCAAACGCTGGGTATCGGTATGAGGACAATGGCGGCGTGTACCGATAAAGGGGCAAGGGGATCGGCCGGGTTTGTCGACCTGTGGCGGGGATAATGCACCATTGATCAGTACGGGAGTCGGCAAGGTGGTGATGGCGTACGTCGCCCACTGCTTAGTACGTTAGGGATTTTCAAAAGGAGACGTCATAGAAGGACTCGAATAGGGACGGACGAGCGATAGAGAAAGCACTTGCCTGTGTACAACGTCATCATAACCTACCTGAGCGTGGAGCAGTCTACTTTCTCTACTTCGCCCAGGTTTAATCCATCAATTGACCTTTTTCTCTCTCTCTCGTTCCCTCTGCCGTACTTCCAACAGTGCCATCCTCCGTCTCTCCTCCCATTTCTCCCATCCCGCCTGACACAAATCCTCCGCCACAACCAGATCTCTCACTCGGAGCCACCTTGCAGGCGGCAACTCCAAGGCCCATGCCAGCGCGCCGGTTTCCCGCAGCAGGTAGGTAACCGCAAACCAGGCAGCCGCACATCCCGCCCCCGCCGCGCATCCGGCCAACACCTGCCGCACCGTGTGATAGCCCAGATACACGCGGCTCCACGCCACTAGCCCGGCGACGAGCAGTGCGCACGCGCTCACCACGCCCCGCTCGGCCAGCGTCCACGAAGCATGTGCGTATGCCTCAATCGAGGTATTGAGCGGGGGGAACCCGCCGGTTCGGTATGCTCGGGAGACGTCGGCCAGTCCGCCATGCCTATTCCAGTCGCCCTGCGTCTGCTCCCGCGCATCTGAGGAACCTTTCCCGACAACCGCAGCCGCCCTCTCCTGGCAAGTCTGTCGAGGCCTATGGCGAACCAGCAAAAACAAACTGACCGCCACCGCCCAGAAGACCGCAAACTGCGCATGCGAGCTCGGCATGCCATACCCCTTCCCCACAGCCGTTCCCAGCTTCGGCCGCTCCTCCTTGATCAGCCGCTTCAGCGCGAAGTTGACTGCCTCGCACGCCAACTGGCCCGCAAACATGAGCAGGACCTCGGCCTCGCGCGTAGACCATAGCAGGGTCGCGTAAACGACGCACAGGGCTTGCGGGAGGAGGGAGAGGAAGGCGCACAGGTAGGATAGTGGATCTTCTGGGTTCTATGGTAGGTTAGATTGAGTTAGTTTCTAAAATCGGGTGAAAACGAGGGAGGGGCGAGAAGTGAGGACGGACGTAGTAGACGTGGGTTAGCGAGAGGGAGGCAAGGGGGGCAACATCGTCGGCCATGTTTGGAAGGTCGAAGTCCTGCGGAGGGATGGCTTGGAAAGTTAAATAGCGTAAGATCCAATAGGTATATGTTTGTTATCGCAGCATATTAGCTGTTGAGGAATAGGCACTCCCGCGGGGGGATACGGTGTGCGCGATGTCGTCGCGAGATGGCGTGTTGAAGTTGCACAACCTGGAATGCCGACGGGAGCTGGCCTTGGCGAAACCCTGATTTGTAGCAGCCAATCGGCCGAGGTGACACTGCAATCCACTCGGCGGCGACCCACAGCTGAACTGCGAAGTGCGAACCGTTTGGGCAGGCGGAGACTGCATGGGCCAACACTGTCCCACACCTGGCAATGACCGACCGAGTCATCAAATCGTCGGTCTCGATGGGTCGACTGACAGCTTTCGAGTTGGAGAAGAGCGAAGAGGTTTTGCCACTCGGCCATGAATAATCTACACTAAGTACAGTCCGGAAAGATGCCACCATGACACTCCAGAATCTCCAACCACAACACGACTTTCTTCGGCAGGCCTGACAAATTTCGACTTCGGGCGAGGGCAAAACGCCTGGTGGACTTGGTAGGAAATCGCAGTATCCACGGCTCCGGACGCCGTCTGTCGTCTCTTGCGCATGGACGCTTTTGCCACCATTTCTATCTCGCGCTGTGGGCATTGTGAGCAGGGGTAGAAGAAACCAGCGGTCCTGTATTCTGTCAAGCAGCACTTCTCAACTCGACCTGGGAAGCGTTCGGGACGGTCACACAGCGACGAGGGAACCAAATGGCTGACGACTTCGACAATCCCCGTGATGTTGAGCTCAGCTCCCTATCCGCCATCTATCCCGAAATTCAACAGCTACGGCCAGACGATCCGTACACCATCACACTTGATGTGCCGGTCAACCCGTCAAAAGCCGTTACCGTCTTCTTCCCCGCCGCCGCCGACGATGCATCTCTCCCGAGAGCAAACGGCGTCCCAAAAGGCGCCGACCCTGTTGGTGCAGACCAGCAAGCTCCCGTCGACTCACACGAGCTAGCACATCTCCCCTCGCTGCACCTGGAAATCACGTTAGGGCTCCTCTACCCTGCGGAGCAGCCACCAACAGTCACGATATCGACCGATCCCCCGTGGCTCCCCGCCGAGGCAATCAAGCGGTTGGAGGATGACGCACCTCGGCTATGGGAAGAGATGGGCCGTGACATGATTGGATTTACGTACATCGACCATGTGCAGCAGGCAGCCGACAATGTTTTCGGCCTTGTGGACGATAAAGGGTCGCTGGAGGTCGATCCACGGCACAAGATCGCTATCTTAGACTACGATATCAAGGCGAGAAGAGCGGCGTTCGAGAAGGAGACATTCGATTGCGGAGTGTGTCTAGGTACGTCGTGATCTTTCTGGTATGGCCGTGTGGGAACTAAGTACTAGGGGTGCAACGATGGCCCAAGGATATCCTATGTGGCCCCCCTGGAGCTGTCTCATTGACCAGTTTTCTTTCCAAGGACTTGCTTATTTTCTTCGATTTTTATGGCTATTTGCTAATTATTCCGCAGAACCGAAAAAGGGCTCGGCCTGTCATCGAATGCTAGACTGCGGACATGTCTTCTGCGTCCCCTGTCTACAGGACTTTTACAACAATGCCATCAAGGAGGGAGATATCGCGGCCGTCAGATGTCTGGCGCCAAATTGTGCGAAGGAGCGGTCCAAAGCTGCCTCTTTGTCCACCAAAAAACGCAAGAAGCCCCGGACCTTCATCAACCCTAGTGAGCTGCTACAAATACCGCTCGACCAGGAAACGGTCAAGCGCTACGTGACGCTGAAGTACAAGACGGAGCTCGAGGCCGACAAGAACACGGTGTATTGCCCGCGTCCCTGGTGCAATGGTGCCGCGAGATCCAAGAAGCACAAGAAACCCCAAGGCTTGGAGCTGGCGGAAGCATCGGATGACTCCGCATCGGAAGACGAAGACGACGAAGACGGCCCCGAAGGCGAGGGGAAATCCAGACCCTACAAGGCGGCCGAAGAACTCCTAGCTATCTGCGAGGAGTGTGCGTTCGCCTTCTGCAGCCGCTGTCAACAGTCATGGCACGGCGAGTTCGTCCGCTGCACGCCGCGCCGCGACAAGGAAGAGCTCACCGCCGAGGAACTTGCCTCGCTCGAATACATGAAAATGCACACCACCCCCTGCCCTACGTGTGGAGCGCCGGCACAAAAAACCCACGGCTGTAACCATATGATCTGCTACCGCTGCCAGTCCCATTTCTGCTATCTCTGCTCGGCCTGGCTCGACCCGGGCAACCCATACCGACACTTCAATGAGGCGCCTGACGGGCGTGTGACGGGCTGTTACATGCGTTTGTGGGAGCTAGAGATGGGGGACGGGGACGACGTTGGCATCGGTTTTGCGGGAGGTCGGGGTCATGATGCCGGCCAGGGCGTCCCTGCGCCGGTGCCGATTGAGGAGCTGATCCCTGAGATTGAAGAGCCCGAGGAGGAGGACGAAGGAGAAGCCCATGCCGCAGCCGTGCGACAGCATGAGGATGCACATGCGAACGGTGGGCAAGTCGGCGTCGCTCGCGAGGGCCCGCTGGTCCTTCGGATCGCTGCCAACCAACGTGGAGCGCCGGGGCGTGGGGGGCCTCGTGCTCGACAGCCGCCACCACCTGCAGTACCAGCGCCTCCTGCAGCAGCGCCCCTGCCGGTACCTGCTCGAGGAAGAGCAAGAGCAGCGCGAGGTGTGCGGCCCCAGCAGCAGGCGGGTCGCGGGGCAGGTGCGGCAGTAGCAGCAGGGGCAGCCGTCGCTGGGCAGAGAGGGCGCGGCCGAGGCCGTGCTCATCGGCAGAATAACAATAACCCAGCAAATCAGGGAGAGGTTGCGCAGCACCGTAACCTCAACAACGGCAATGCGAACCTCGGTGATCTCGGCGGGGACGTACTGGATCCGCGGCACGAGGAATGGGTTAGGCAGTTTGTGCAGGCTGCGTTGAATGACGAGGAAGATATCCTCTTCTTCGACGACGATGCTCCGGACTGGGACTTCCTGGACTAATCGACGTCCTTGTCTAGTTCTACTACTCGACTGGAAGATGATACCCCTGATTGATGAGCCATAGACCCTTACACGCAGATTTTAGATTTCTGGTATCAGGTTCGATCTGATCGAACTGCGGCTGGAGTTAGAGGCTTCTACCGTGATCTACATTTCACCGTCCTCGCCGGCGTAACAACGAAACGTGGTCTTGGTCTTGCCTGGCTCTTTCTTGGGGGTGTCCGAGCCACTACGCCCTTTCCGGCTAACACGGAGTCAAGGGACCTTCAGTTCCTCCTTGGGTTAAGTCTGTGCTGCAGGTTCCGCGTCCTTCTGATGGTGCGTTATCACAACTCACTGCTACCTTCCTGCTGCACATACAATCTATCTTGAGGAAGCGTACGTGTGCAGCTACATACCTACGTATCAAGGTGCGTTCACAGACGAATTATACGAGACCAAGAGCAGCCGCACCCGCTGCGGGAAGGGAACTAAGGCACATCCGGGGTCACTTCCTCATACTAGTAGTATGTATCCTCTTGTGCCTAAGTCACATTGCCCTCCGCCCTCCCTGTCCCGTTGCGCGGCTGTCCCAAACAAGACGCCTGGGGAATGATTTTTTTTATGCTGCCCTGCGATGGCTGTGTGACATCCATTGGCAATTCCCCCACGAGGGGATGGATCAGCGCTGCCCCTTCTACATACTTCGGTTTGTGGTGGTAGTCGCTAGCTAGCATGCTATTTTCGTATGAGCTGGGTAGATAAGGTAAGTTACGCCCATCGACTGCGGGATACTACTAGTAGTACATAGCTGAGTCGTGAGAAGGTTCTTGCGCACCATGAACTTGAGAGGCTGGCTGTTCCCGTCGTGGCGTAGTCGCATACATACCTTAGGTAGGTGCCTACATACGTACCTGTACACTACCTACATACAATACCTAGTCAGAAAGGGAGCTGTGATCTAGCAACTAACCGAGGTGTCCAGTCGCAATGTAGTCAGGCTGCCGGAAGAGTCACAGCCTTCCTCAGCGTCGTCCCTACGCACAGACAGACAGACGGGCCTAGTTTCGTCCATCCATCGCCCCGAGCACCCCCGCCGACCACCCGCCCCCTCAACGCCACTGACGACGAAGGGGAGTTTCGGGGCAATCAGGATTGCCCCTTCTGGCCACTATGCACTGACCAAGGAACAGGGCACCTTCTTTTCTTGTCCCGGCTCTTGCCCCATCCATCCAGGCCCTTTGCTATGTACATACACTACAGTTCCATACCAGTGGTGTAAGGTATGTAGAGTAGCAGCGGAGATGGGGGTAACGCAGGCCATCTCCATCTCTCATCGCCTATCCTTTCCGGCCCCCCGGCCTCGCCCATGGTCCGTTCACTCCTCTCTGATCAAGACTGGGGCACCGTTATGTTGAGTTGCATGCCAAGTGGTGCATCTTCGTTGTCGCATGCCACGCTATTGGATGGCATCGGTGGGCGGCGGGTACGGAGTAGTAGTAGTACCTAGTGTACGTTACTGGACGAAGGGATAAGCTCGTGTGTTTTTCTCGCTCCCGCCCAGGCAGTCCTCCTCAGGTTTCCGTGCCCTTATTACGCGGCCACCCCATGATATGGTTTGCCGGTGGTGATTTTCGGTTTCTGAGCTTGGAAGTCACTGTGGTATCGTACGCGGGCTGGACGACGCTGCATCACATCCAGACGGCAGCTGGACTCTCCACAGATCGTGCGATTGCCTGTCACCCTGTAACTGTATGCATGTACAAATACAGTACCTCCGTATGTGTGTACGTATGTGCTGTACACACACTACATAGAGATCGTCCCGCTGGCCAGTTGGATCGACCAAAGGGAAGGTCCGTCTCCTTCCACTCGACGCAGGCCAGAGGGAGTCTGGACCTTTCTCGCATGTCCTCGATGTACTGTGTAAGGCGGACGAACAAGGGATCGGAGGGGGCCCGCCAACTATCCATCCATTCCTCGCTTCGGTCAGTAACGTTATTCGACCTGAACCACCGAAGATGGGCGAGCACTCTCTCATGTGAAGTTTTCCTTTCGTCGGTATTCGTATGATTGATGATGATGATGGTCGTGATTTGGCGCTGCCAGATGCAGCGGCCCAGGGGTAAGGACGGTTCCCTTCGGTACTTCTTTCCGCCCGCAGGCTCGGCCAGGGTAAGGCCCCCCTGAAGTTGGCTCCAGTCCATGGGTACCATTCGGGCCGGGGGAGAAGGAGAAAGGTGCGATCTCCCCATTGTCGTTAATTTCTTCGTTTCCCCCCTTGTCCCTCTGGCGGCTGCTGGTGCATCCTCTCTCGGAGGAGACGTTCGAAAAGGAATGACGACCGACCGTGACGAGGGTAGAAAAACCCTTAGTGTAGTTATTTTAACGCGGAAGTCGAGACGGTCATTGAACTAGGCGCCGTTGCCAGCCGTTTCTTCTTGTGTCTTGGTTCCTGGGCTGCAGGGCCGCCGCTGGTGGGGTGTTTGTCCCTTGACGGTTTTGTCCGTCACTCGCACTGCAACCTCGCCGACCAAAGGGACACTTCCCTCGGCATGGGTCGTGACATTCTCAGGTAGCATTCTGCTCGGCATCGTCGAAGACACTGGGGAACAGGGGGAGGCTTGTGTCGCTGCGCTGGGAAGCAAGCAGACATTTTAGGTGTCCTCACCATCGTCGCGGGTGTTTCGCATGTTTCAAATCAGGGTACGTGTAAACGCCAAACACGGGCTTGCTAGGGCCGCTGGCTATCGCGTCGTAAGATTCTTTGCGATGCCGTTTCGACTGCCCCTGGCATTGTGATGGGCGGTGTTGCAACTTGCAACGGTGTGTAGTAGGAGATCTCTGGTGAAATCAGAGGAAAGGGTACCCTCCTGGTTCTCGGATCAATGCCGAAATTATCACCCCAGAATCGGCTTAAGCGAGGTCTCGTCAAGTCGAAAGGCATCCATGGATCACTGATGTTTCTTTCTGTCGGAAAACCCATGCCAATCGGATTGCGGAACTCACAAGCAAACGCAGCACTGTCTGAGTCTCACACACCAACCCCGATCATAACTGAGAGCTTATCATCTTTAGTTACTCCGTAGTTGTATAGTGATTTGTAGCCGAGCCGAACTCTCAACCATTGGCAGTACCTTTAGTCAACGAGGCCCTTCGAGTCCAATCACACTACACAGCGTAAAACGGCGATGCACGAAGCGTATCTGCCTAGTGCAATGCGGGGACTCACTTACCAGAAGAAGCAGCTGCATGCCATGGACCGCCATGGACTGTCTGATATCCTCAAGTTCTGCTTCCAGAGCTCGGTGTGAGCAGCTTGCCATCTTGAATGGACCTTGTCGGTTTGACGCGATTTGGTTGGACTCGTGAGCTTGGCCTGGTCCACCAGGTTCGCGAACCAGGGGTATGACAGGGACTTTACATAGGGAGGATGGAGCTGACCGGATCCACGGATCCACGGCAAGCCATGGCTTGGCGAACTGGTCAAGCATGATGAAGCAGTGAGGCTTGCGATAACTTAACGTTAGCTCGCTTCACAAGAAGTTCCTGGACGCTAACCCCACACGTGTAATAACTTTGGGCCAGAAACAACCTCGCGAACAGCCGGCGGGAGAGGCCAGGGGCCACCGAGAGGTTTGTGCGCTGATAGCCGTGGGCATGGGATGAGGTTGAGCGAGGCTGGTGTTAGGGTCGAGTCCAATCACAGACAGACAACACGTGAAAAGTCCAGAGGCACCTTGAAGGAGGGCGCAAGGACCACCCCCCGTGCTCTGCGCCACGATCCACGCAGCCGCACCTTGTTTTCCTAGCTGGGCAATTGGCCGCTACCATTGGCCGGGAAATTGCCAGCGCCGCCGAATCGGCCCTTCCAGGCTAAAGTCGCTAGTGTGAGTTCTGCAATAACGGCGCCCCTCCTGTATAGCCTACGGCAGACGCCCCGGTTTCGATTGGCAGGGTGTCATCCCGTAAGGGAGTTTTGCATGGCGCCGATGGCTTCCCGCACCCTAGCAGGCTCGCAAGTAACGTTAACGTTATCATGGCCCCCGGCTTTACCGTCAGCTTCCCGGGACGCCGTCTCAACCAGACACCGGCGAAGATGGGCCCTAGCAGCTGAGAGAAAGTCAAATCCAATCTCCGTACCGCGTACGAAATACACCATGCGGCGTGGCATGGACCCGAAGACGTAACCGAAGCACCAGTGCTGAGCATGGAACTTGCTGGACTGTGTGGTCTCCCGCTGCTTCAGAGAAGACTTGAATCTGCAGCTATATGTTATATACGATAATAGGGAAGCGTGCTTTCGTGGGGTTGGGTGGTATGAGCGCCATGTGTCCATCCTTGGACTTGGGACGAAGGGCTCCTACTAGGTACTGTACTAGTAGTGTACGGAGATGTCTCAGTTGATAAGGCAGTTCGCGCAAGTGTCGGGTGCGACACCGCAAGCGACATCGTGTGTTGTAGTTGTTGCTTTACGGGGGTGCAGCCGCATATCAATGCGCAATATGCGATCGAGGTCGTCTTCCTGCTTCTAGAATGTCTCTGTTATTTCTCCGTGGCTCTTAGGATACACTCTGTTCCAGGATCGACAGCATGAATCTGCAACAGGTAGATTGGAACAGGCAGTCCAAGTCCCAGGATACCGGTGGTGAAGTTTGCCAGCCGGGATTTCTCGTCAGGTAGGGCTGCAGCCATCCTCCTCTTCCCCAGCCCGTATAACGGGCAACGCGGGGCAATATCGAGTGTTCTTTACTTAGAAAACCCTCAATATCGCCCTAACCACTCCCTTGGTGTGCACAATTTGATGATCCAGGTTGAGCAGATAGGTCAGAAACGTGTGAAAGTTGGGGGGGGGGAAGGGGGGGGGGGGGGTTGTTGGGCGAAACTACATCCGTACTGCGCTAAAGGTTATGTATTGTACCTTTCACACTTCTTTTGCAACAGAAAAGACAAAACCGTGACAATATCATCAAGTCGGGGATGTACGGAGTATTGCCTCTTGGGGAAAACCGCTGGGTTAGAAGAAGCACAACGATAGTCCGTGGGAAAAGCTGCTGGGCCTATCAGCCTCTACTGCTGCCACCGTCGGGCAGTCATTATCACCCCGAGGACGACATGCGGACCTGCTGCAGGCGAGCCTGGGCTCCGACATATGTACAATACATACGACTGGGACCTCCGTCAGCTGCCGCATTCTCAAGACGGAAACTTGCTCGAGAACCTGTTTGCCGTGCGACTATCGCGGCACCTGATGATTCAGCGACGGCAGCGGGTCAGACCGCTCTGCGGACTGCGGTCCTGCCCCTCCCTCATGGCGCGGAAACGTGCAAGGGCCCGTAGGAGGTCTTTCTTGATTGAGCAAGGCTCGTCCAAGGGTGGAGCCATGGATCTTCGTTTAGTCGGCAAGCCGGAGAACACTGCTCAAAGCAGCCTAGACCATCCTCCACTCCGTGCCGAGAGATTTGGCGCTGCAATCTCACCAGCCCATCCCACCAACTGCCCAGTCAACCGCTCAAGTGATTGCCGGCTAAGAAGTGACGCTGTGATTTCCCGACCAAGGATCCAGAAAACGGGATAGTACACTAGTTGCGACCTCGGAGTCAGCAGCGATCTCGAGAGTTCCATGATACGGAGCACAAGAAGAGTTGGCGTCCCTGTGCTCGCACAGCGCACACGCTAGGAAGCCTCCAGACCTGTTGTTGGCTTGCATGCTGTCCCCGCCAGCGGCCCGGAGGCAGAGGTAGTCGATCCTGCAACTTCGCACTGTTGCAATACTGGGGTTCGTGATGCGGGGTGGTGTCAGTGGCAGGCCGAGAACTGACAAGCCGGGGGATGTTGCAACATCGACCCATTCGGGGATGCAGGGTAGAGCCGGCAGGTGTGATTGTCTCCGCCAGCCCCGATTTCTGGCGTCAGCGGACAAGAAGGGGCAGCATCTCTCTTTTTGAGGACGGACTGCATTCGTCCATGGAAGACACCACCCTATGGGAATACTATCAGCGGAGAATAGAGGTAGTGTATGCTTTCTGCATTCCATAGCTCAGAAACGTGCGGCTTGCTCGGTGGGGAAAGTACTCAGGGAGGTTCGTGGTTACCGCTATATTGGCCTGGAACTATAGTTTTAAACTGGATGTGCTAAGACGAAAAGCGAGGGCACAATCTCGCGTCGGGTTGCTGTTCCTTACGAACTTTTGGGCATTCCGGAAGTCGCCGAAGGGCCGGTCGAAAGGCCCTCACAAGTAGTTATCGCATACGGACTTTCCATGCTCTCAGTCCCAAGGGCGAGTTGTCCATTATTCCCTCTGGTCGGCGTCGTAGACAGACTCTGGTGGCATTGAGCCGGCAAGCTATCCTGCGGACATTCAAGTGAGCCATGAGTTAGAGTCACAGATCTTAGTGTAGGATTCGGTAACAGTGACGATCAGTTGTTCGGGCAAGTTAACTGTCTTGAGCGAGTCAGCACGCCGAACAGCACACGGCACACTGACTAGTACCGGTAACTAGTAGTGTAGGTAGTTACGGGCCCGAGAACGTGGCATCTGCCCAGCGGGACGTGGGTGTGATCCATGACAGGCAAGGCGGAAACGGCCTGTGTCAACGCATCTTGTCGTACTCAAGCCTAGTTAACTATAAGCTGGTGCTTGCATACCTACAACACACGCAGTAGACGGTTGGCCATCAACAGAGGAGATCGGGCTGCGCCGGGCAGATGCGTGAGCGTTGAGATGCGTAAGATGAGGTCGTACCCGCAACTGCCCTGGGCAGATCTCGCAAAATCCTCCGCCAGTCCCCTGACTTGACCCGATGCGATCGTGGTTGCAACGTTCTCCCACGCACCCAAGCACAGGTCACGAAGTTGCAGTTGCAACGGAAAGCCACCGGTAACAGCCGGGCGGGATTTGTGACGGGCAGGTGGGGTGCGCCGTTTCTCAAAGGATGGAAAGTTTAAATCCTGGTGTGACGGACCACTCCATCCAAGCAGCCTGAGCCATTAATTAATGTTAGCGCGTCATCACACTCGGCTAACGCGCCGGATGTTCCCCCGACGACATCGTGATGCTTTGCGTTAGGTACCTAGTGTATGTATGTGCATGGTCTTGCCGGGCCTTCTGTTGCCTAGATCCTCGCTCCGATGCTTGTCCCTATCGCAGTTGCAGGTTTGTTGGCATGGCTGTGAAACCTGAGTTAGTATCAGAAATTGCGAGAGTAAATCAACAAGAAAAATTGCCTTGTTCAATGAAAAGTTGAAAAAAGTGTGAGCAGTCGCCTCCTGTCGGGCAGGAAGGGCTTCGGACTGTCCTCGGATTTCAGTCGACTGCCATACTTGGCAGGTACTTTTTAGTCCACTTGAAGAGCACGAGAAAGGCACACCCGTTCTCTACGCTACCTTACCAAGGTACTGTACTCGCACAGAACCTTGGGGCTCCAAGTCTGAAAGTGTTTTTGTCATCAATCACCCGCAGGTCGTCACTCGTTGCCGAGTCCGTTTTTAGAAACAGCGGCAACTGAGGTGGTTCTTTGCCCCCGACGTTCCCCAGTCTGCAGCGCAATTTAGAATTTATTGAGAAACGCTGCTCATGTGGCTCCCGGACGCCACTTTACCACTCTGCGACCGAATGAGATCGAGGGAGGCCAGTGAGCATCACCGCGTTGTTTCCAGGTCGACAGCCGCGCGTTGTAGGGTACGCTTTCGCGCCTTTTTGTAGTTCTGGACCTCGCACGGGTAATTACGGACTCTCAGCTTCCAGTCCCACGAGATCTGGAGATGGCATGGAGCACGCTTCCTGCCGCGACAACCAGCCAGCGAGCGCACCTCTGCATGCACGATACAGCAGGGAGCATGTCGTTCAGCAGCGTCCCCGCCAGGATGTTCAGGGATGTTCAAGGCAACTTCGGTTCCGCTCTCCTGGCCCAATCACAGCAGAGGCCGTGCTGGGGCGCCGAGACGCAGCATGCGGCCCATTCAAGCAAGCCACGGATGGCATCCGCTGTGGCGTGACGGTGCTCGAGCTTGCCGACAGCGATCAACAACACACCAGGCAGAGAGACATGCATCACGCGCTGGAGCGGGCTGACTACGACAGTACACCACCTCGACCACTCCAGGAGGTCATGTCAACAACCAAGGCGTCTGCAGGTCTCACTGCGGTCCTGCCGCAGACAGGCATATATGTATGGAACTGCTGTGCAACCACACACCTAAAACTAAATGGCAGTTCGACTTGCGCTCGACCTCGATTTGTGGGTTTGTGTCATCGAGCCGGGGTGCAGCGTCCTCGGGCGGAGTCACTGTGCGAGCGGGTCCAGGCACCAAGTTCCCTTTCGGGCATGTCGCTGAGCGGCGGCGCCTTGTTCCCGCCTCCGCATTCTCGAGACTGTTCGGACGGTGAAGCGCGTCGGGGCTTCCCCTGTCCTGTTGTTCACGGCCGGATCGGGAATTTGCAACGCCGGGGGCGTCCCTTGGCCCCGCGAGCTCTCGCAACTCGAACCCCTCCTGACGTAGCAGCCACTCATCGGCAAGCGTGGGAATGAGAGGACGTTCGCCCTCAACAACCCATCAAAAGTGTTACGGCGACATGCAGTTTCTCTCATACATATAGTAACCATCTGCTCGGGATTTGGGGAACACCGCCAAGCGTTCACAGCAAGAGCACCACAACAGCATCACTCTCAACAAGGCCGAAGGCGACACAGACACATACACAGTACACTACATATACGGATAGATGAGCGGAATCACGATTGTTTCGCCGATCGCTTGTGCGTCCTTCCTGCTTGAGAGATAGAGCGAGAGACAAGCGCGTGGTACACGCGGAGAAGACTCAACCTTGCCTCGGTCCACAACGGCCCCAGCTGCCTCTTTTTGGCGCCAAAGCCCGTTTGCCGGCGAAGGCTCGTTGTTGTGGTCAAGATCGAATCACGGTGATATCCCCAACGCATAGTTGGTGATTTCGTTTACCACGTCTGCGAATTATGAGAGTCAAACAGTCGTCGGCAACAGCAGAAACCATCTACACACAAACGTTATAACAGCCCCGATATTGCCGCGCTCTCTTTGGAGCGGATGGGGCCAGGGGGGGGGACTGCATACAATCTCCGTCAGCCGAGCTTTGGCCGGGGGGCCCTCTGGGCCCTCTGGTTTCGCCGCGTCGTCAACCCTGGTCGAGCGTGTGTTTTGTGAACCAATTTTTTCCCTCATTTTCCCGCCCCTCTAACTCGCAGACGGAGTCCTTTTTATCGGTGCGTTTCTTGCCCAACGGTCTTCTAGAAAATTGCGGGTCTCTTGCTGCCCGCCCAGAGTCCTCGGAGGATTCTCGTGCTAATCAGATGCCCCTGTCTCTTCGGCCGAGCTCGTCGAACCAGGGCCTGCGCTGCCTGACCCAGGATTGGACGGAAGAGGGGGCCGAGAGCGGGTGTGCCGTCCTGTCCGCTCGCCGCTGGCCCCTTTTGCATCCAGTTGAGAGGCCCCCATCCCCCCTCCCCGCTGCTGTTCACGGCCTCGCTCCAAAGGCCATTCCTCATCTAGCCCGCGTTCTGCGATTCCGAAGGCCCTGTTTACGTATGTTGACACACTAGTGTAGTGTGTCCTTACTGATGTCCCTTCCCGCTCGGCAGAAGGTCGAGTCGCGCGCCGCCAGTGTATGGGTGCTTCAACAATCCGCCTACGACCCGCCAGAGAGGTTGTAGTTCACCTCTCGGACGTATTGATAACTACCTAGGGTACATACGTGCCTACCCCTCCGCCGCTAGGTACTGTACTGTGTAGCTCGGTGTAGTCGCCCTGGTGAAAGTTCCCCGGGGTGGGCCGCGGTTCATTAGTATCCACGGAGGCTGGAGCGCTCTCGGTGTCGAGATTAAAGGAAGACTCTGTATGCTCTCGTATGCTTTGCTCGCGTTCTCTTTTCATCATCAAAACCTAGGAGAACGGAGACGATAGCAGTGAATGCTAAGACCAAATCGCACCCTTGCCTCTGATGGAGACAATGGAGACAAACCCTGGCCGGCATCTTGCCCCATCTTGACTAGCAAGGGCCTCGGGAATGCCTGCCAGATCGCCCCCCCCGTTCCTCAACCTCCTTCCGTCTATGGTTGGAGCGCTCCTGCGCCGGCCCTGCAAGCGGTGTTAAACATTCGCTAGGGCCGCCTCGCCTGTTTTTGGCCCTTGCCGCACCCCCCCCTCGGGCCACTGCCGAAGGCTCTTCATAAACGGGGCAAGCCAGCACCTGATAGTATTAGCTTATAATCTGTACATATACAAGTACACGCGCTCTGTACTACGAACTCTCCTCGTCGTATCTCGGGTGGTCTATACATCACCACCACGTCTTGCTTCGACTCCCCAAACAAAGCGAAACTCGAGCTGGTTTGCTGGTTGGAAGTGAACCCGGCTGGCCACCTCTGCGGGTTTTCCTTCTCAGAACCAGGCCCCCAATCTGGACTCCTACCTCGCCATCGACCAGAGGTGGGAAGAGTACTAATCTAGCTGAGATCCGGCGAGAGTGTTGTTGTCAGCAGCCTCTGGAGGAAACGGCATGTTCCCATGTCCGCCACAGCGACCTACACCATGGCAGAGCTGAGGGCTGAGACACAACACGGCGGTCTTTGGTCCAACTATGGCAACCCGGTGCAGCAGATGACGGGCCGGTTCAACCCGCAGGACCCGTCGGTATCCATGGCGGCCCCGACTTCGTCACATCTTGTCCGTCCGCGGAGCCACACGATGGACTATGCACCGTACCAGCCGGGCCGGCCCGGGCAGGAAGACGGCGAGCCGTACGACAGATACCCGCAGCCGTCCATGAACATCCCCAGCATAAACAGCCTGAAGCGGCCGTACTCGCAAGTCGACCAGGCGCCGTACACGGAGATGGTGCAGGACCTGCGGGACGACTACAAGCCGCCCAACCACGACCAGAAGCTCCTGTCGTTCAAGAAGGTCGGGGACAAGCACACCATCGTGGACGGCAAGGGCCGGATCCACGAGATCGAGATCGACGCGCAGCTGCACGGCATGTTCTTCCTCTCTGAGTTCCCCTCGGCGACGGGCGACGGCAACGTGCTCAGCGCCGAGCTGACGTGCTACCGGCGCAACCTGTTCCAGATCAGCGGCAGCATCTGCTTCCCGCAGATCCCGCTCTCGGTGCTGCTCGAGTCGGGCGAGACGAGCCCGATCAAGAGCATGGAGGTCAGCATTTCGGCCATCGAGTCCGTCGACGGCCACCCGGTGCGCCTCATTGTGATCCCGTGGAAGACGCCGCCACCGAACTCGCCCGAGGTCAACCAGGCGCCGGACCAGGAGCCGCCCACGCTGCCGCTGATTCCGCCGTCCGAGGAGGAGGAGGAGACCGGGGGCGACCACTACGCCATCTACCCGATCGGGTGGCGGCGGCTGCAGTTCAGGATGTAAGTGTATAGGGGATGGGGGACCGGATGGGATGGGATAGGATAGAATTGGGATGAGATAGGATTGGGGACAAAGGAAGGACTCAGCATTGCTAACGCGCTTTCGACTTGCAGAGCCACGGCAAACAACGGGAGGAGAAAGGAGCTCCAACAACACTTTGTGCTGCACCTCAAGCTGCACGGGACGCTGGCCAACGGGCAGAAGCTGGTACTCTCGGAGCTGACGACAGCGCCGATCGTGGTCCGGGGAGGAGTCCACGGAACTTCCAGGCGAGGAAGGAGATTCCGCTGCTGGGATCGAGCGCGGGATCGCGGGGACAGACGCTGGTCGAGACGGGCCACGGCATTGTGGCGCAGGCCGTCATCCTGAACAAGCCGCCATACGACTCGAGGCCTCGCTTGTCGAGCTTGGATGTGCCCCGGTCGGCCTTCACCTTCACGGCGCCGAAACAAATGCCACAGAGCCCCATGCAGATGCGGTCCAAGTAGGTTTTAGGTTTTAGGTTTCTTGTTTCTTGTTTCTTGTCCCCCCCCCCTTTCCCCCTCGTTGTACAACGGGCAGGCGACTGACATGACGGGCGCAGCTCGTACCCGACAACATGGAACCCCCAACCACAAGTGTCGATGCCGCACACGCCGGGATCGGCCACCTACCCGGCCTCGAGCCTGCCGGCCGAACCGTACCCCAAGATGCCGCTCTCCGGCACGGGCAGCTTCACCGCCGAGCCGCAAGAGCTGCCCATGCAGCCAACGTCGATGGCGTCGGTACAAATGCCGCTCGCAGCAGCAGGAGCAGCAGCGACCCACGACCCGCATCAACAGCCGCAGCACCATCACCACCAGCACCACCAGCAACAGCCGCAGCCGCCCATCCGTACCCAATACGCAGCCTACTCATCGGCCCCGCCACACCATCTCTCGCTCTCGACGACAGCGGGCCCAACCTCCCCGGACAACTCGCTCGCCGTGCCGCGCTACATCGGCGACACCAACCCGCGCCCGACCAAGTCGCCGCGCCACGCAAGCCACCAGTCGGTCGCCTCGTCTATCTCCAACGAGACCGCCACGGGCGAGTACCGCTACGGGCCGCCTCCACCACAAGGGGCATACCCCGGCCCGGCGGGCGGTGCCGGTGCCGAGCTCTCCGCGCAGTCGCAGCAGCATCCGGGCGCTGCTCTGCCCCCGCCCCCGCTCTCCCACCCGCATGCGCAGGGCGGTTCTGATGGGTCGGTGCAGCAGCAGCCGACAGGGTCTGGCGGACGGGACTATTACCCCTCGAGCCATTCGGCCTGGACGACCACGGCGACGGCGGCAGACGGGTCGTCGTACAACACGGGCGGTTCCGGCGGGGGCGCAGCTCCGGCGCAGGGCGGTGGCAGCGCCGGGGCTGCTGATCGGCCGTATGGCTACCCTGTCAAGCAGGAGCCGCATGCGCACCATCCGGGGACGGCGGCCACCACGGGGAATTACGGGTGGAATCCGGCGTAGGGAAAACAGATTCCATACAGGTAATGAACCTAAAAGGCGGGGTTGGCTCTGGATTGTTCGAGCGTGGCGTGATACCTTACCCCGGTTTCTCCACTCCAACAACGGTGCTCTGCTAAGTCCTAAGGCAACAAGAACGAGGAAGGAAGGAAGGAAGGGGATGAAGCCCGTATTTCTAATACCATTATACTCGACCTCTACCGCGACCGCGACCAGACGCCGAGCATTTCGTCCCACCGTTCCGAGGTGCAAGCGGGAGAGGAAAGGCAGAGTCGAGAAGGACGGAAAGGAAGGATACGGGTCAGGGGAACAACAACAACAACAGCATCATCAACACACGAAACTGGTGTTTTGTGCATTCTGCTGTCTGTCGTGGCTGGGTTAGGGTGGCTTTGAGTGGTGCCATCGGAACAGTTGCCAGTCTTCTTCTGTTTGGCTCTGTTTTGGCTTTGTTTCGTTTCACATAGCAAAGAGAAAGCCGGTTCGGGGGGCCCGGAATGGGGAGAATGTTTCTCATTGATTCTGTTTATTGTTTTGTTCCATACCACAACACTCCGCACATTTTTCTGTCTTCGTCCTTCAGACTCCCCTCTTGGGTTGTGTTTTTACATTACTACACTTCATGGGGGAGCGACCGGCAGTTTGGACTGATACCACACCCTTTTTGTATTCTGTTTCTCCGTCTTGTCCGGTACATTTGGTTTCGATCATTAGGTCAGGTACACACACAAACATTCACGATTGATGAGAGAGCCTGCGGTTTCTCCTTACCTACCTTCACTGTCTTTTCCGAGAAAATCACGGAGGAGAGATTGGCTATCGCTGAAGTGGTTGGTTGGGTAGGGCTACCGTCGTGCTCATCCGCCATGTATCCCATCCATTTATCTGGGGTCCCATTTTCGCACTGTCAGCCAGCAAGATTAGGAATCGGTTCTCGGGCCGGGTGATAGGGGGCTTGACTGCTCTCTATGGTTAGGTATGCCTATCGACAGGCTACTGGGGATAGAAACGACCGGGGCGTGTTTGGCTTCACGGAAAATCATGACAAGTACGGATCCGTACGACTCTGCGAGACTCTTGGCAGTGTCATGCATCCGTTGTTGGCGGTCTAAACTTCGGTCCGCGTATTGCTCATCGTTGCTAGAGACGTTACAGAGTACTCCCATCCGACCAAGGTGTTGTTGACATTTTCCACAGGGAGCAGCCCTAGCCATGCAGAAGTAGGAGTAGTAGGTTTCTAAGTTGTAGGGAACGTGAAAGAGACACGGAGTGCATTGCCAGTGGCGTTCTCTGCCGAGGGTTAGGGCTTGGTATCGCTTGGTTTCCTTGCGCGCATCTGTCTGCCAGCTGTCGAAATGTCACGCTCTTTCATCGCTCGACTTGACAACTGTGGATGTTTGTTATGCTATCAATCTCAATCGGCTCAACCAGGGTTTGGATCTCTCTCAACGTAAGGCCACAGCAAACATCACGACACAACATGTTTGAGCTACCAGATGCCAAGCGGTATGTCTCACATTTCTCCCACCGTCCAAACCGATTGTTGACCCAGTCCTGCAGAGTAAGAAGGGAGGAGCTGTACGATTCATCCTCCGACAGGCATTCCAGCCCAGAGCGGAAAGACGAGGAGGACGCGAAACTGCGGGCGGAGCTGAATGCGCGCCTGTCAAACCTGTTGTCCCTGGACTTGGGCGCTTCCGCCGCCGCCGCCCCAGTACCAGTCGAATCGGAAACAAGCACCAATGAACTCCATCCGGCAAACAGCGAAGGCCAGGAATCAGAAGCGGAAGCAGAGTTTGAGTTCCGCCTTTTCTCCTCGGCACCCCCACAAAAGGTAGCGCTGGCCCCAGATGCAGGGTCGGCCAAGTACGACGGCCCGGCCGTCTCCCAACGGCCACTCTCGCACTACATACGCGGGGAGCTATCGCCCCACGAGAGGGAGCAGCTTCGGTATGCTGCGGTGACGGGGCAGGATGTGCTCGCGTGGGCGAGGCAGCGAGCTTGGGGGTTGGAGGTGCCTTGGCGGGTGACCAAGATCACGGTGGCGGTGACTGGGAAAGGCGCAAGGGTGGATGAGCAGAAGCGCACCGAGGACGCCGCCTCCGCGGGGGAAAAGAAGAAAAAGCGACCCGGGAAAAAGCGGAGGATCGTGCTGCGGAAGAGGGAGAAGGCAGAGAAGGCGAAGAAGGAGGCGCTGGAGAGACAGAAGATGAGCAAGGAGGAGCACTTAAGGGAGAAGAAGAAGCGGCTGAATCACCAGAAGAAGTTGAGGAGGAGGCAGAAGGAGAAGGAGAAGAAACTAGCCGCCAAGGCTGTTACAGGGGGCTCGGAAGTGGCGTCTACTCGAGCGTCTACACCAGGGTCCGAATCGGGGAGTGATGGACTGGAATGACCGCTTAGACCGCTTGGTCTGGCCATACAGGGGGCGAAGCATACGGGTTCGATGGAAGGCCGCCGAGCTACGACCGTGAAGGATGGCTTCTTAGTACATGTCTCCTCTTCACAGGAAGCTCACCGGCCACTTGAGCAAGCTCAAGGCTAGAGCCCGTTGTTAATACAAGGAGCCAATCATTTATGCTTCGCCGAGGACTTTTCTGAGCTCCGTTGACATTGGTTTTGCGAAGCGGCATATCTGAATATATATAGAGGGTCTACAGTCTTTGCACGCACCCCAAGGCGAAGAAAGCAATACACCAACCTGGGTACCCAGTTAAGCAAAGAGTCGAGCAAATAGTATCGGATCGAAAAGAGATCGAAAAGGAAAGAGAGAAGGAGATGATGAATTAGCTGCTAACTTCTGGTCGTCACCGAAGGATGTAGACCCGGCCAACGTCTACCTACCAGGTTTAGGGGAAGGTCTCTTGGACCTCGAGGGAGACACGGATGACCTCCTATTACGCACCCCGATAGTGCGGGCAGTGCCTCGCTGGTTTCCTACTTACCTAAGCTCTGCCAATGTCGAAACGTTGGCATCGGCTCAGTTACAGTCAGCGACAACTTTGAGAATTTACCGACACAATCAGGTATTTACATAGGTATCGTACCGGCTCATTCGTAAAGCCGTTGACATATTATTACACATGTGAAGACGTAATGACTCTTCCTGAATCTAGTTTACTGTAATACCAGCCGTGCTTACAGTACCGCGGTGAAACTTTGAGCTCAGAGCGAAGTTTGAATCGGCCGTGCCTAGCACTACAACATCCGAATGGGCAACCCGTTGTTTTGTCTGTCGCCTAGATGAGCTCTTTTCATCTCTTGAAGTTTTAGTAACACATAGCTAGCTAGGGCGGGAAGGAGCTACACTGGCGTGTGGGTATGAACAGCTGTCGGCGGGGGAACTGGAAGCCAGAGCGAGGACGGAAACCATCAATCTTTTCTATCTGTTTGTTACCAGAGCTATCACTGAGCCATACTCAGCCGGCTGGCTTCCAACAAATCAATTGGGGGTTGACCATCTGGAAGATTAGCTCCGCATCCTCATACTATTACCTGTCTTTTCTCAGCTAGACGTGTATGAGTTGGTTTAACTGTTACGGAATACATAGGTACCTTACGCTACAGACGGATCACACAGTGCGTCACTCCGCTAGCTCAGGGCCGGTGTGGTGGGGCTGGATTAGGTGCCGGCAGGCATTGAAGTCTGTTAGCGTTGCGCCTGCATCCAGCAGCAACAGCAAGTCAACAACCCAGCAACGAGGTTTCCACCATCGGCTTCGGCGTGTCGCCAAGCAGTCGATGAGCTCGGCGCCCAACAGACATGAACGCGCTGTGGTCATCACGCGCCTCGGGCGATGGCGGCGCAGGAAGCGAGAAGCCGTCGACCGACCCTCGGCCCGAAGATGAAGAGATTGATAAGGAAGAGCTCCCGGAACACACCGACAAGGAAGCCCAGCCGCCGCCCAAGCGACCGCTCCTACAGCGGAACCAGGCCTCGGCCCCGCCGCCGACGCCGCCCGCACCCTCCGAGCCAGCACCACCGATTCCCCAACAACAGCCTGACAATGACAACAATGCCGATAGTGTTAGCGACGACACCAACACAAATGCCCCTGCACCTCCGCAGTCGCAGCCCGAGTCCCAAGGGCAAGGGCAAGGACAGGGCCAAGGGCAAGGACCAGGACCAGGAGGGCAGCAGCAGTACCAACAGCAGCAGCACCAACAGCAACAGCAACAGCAACAGCAACAGCAACAGCAACAGCAACAGCAACAGCAACAGCAACATGTACCTCCTCAAGATTCGCTCTCCCTCGCCCAGCTCCGCCGCATCGTCGCCGACTTCCCCCGCGCCGAGCCGGTCGCCTACGACTACGTCTACGCCGACACGTCCGCCCTAGAGGACGAGATCGACGAGTGGTTCATGTACAACTTCTGGCAGTGGGTGCGCCTCAACGCCGCCAACCGCGCTTTCCACTCGGCCTGGGCCCGCTTGTTCCCCGAGTCGGACCCCGCTGTCGGGTGGGATGATGATGATGACGATTGTGATGGTGGTGGTGGTGGTGGCGGGGAGCAGCAGCAGCAGCAGCACAGGAGGGTGTTTGTGCGCCGCGTGTTGGAGGGGTTCGCGAGTGCGGATAGGATCGAGAGAGCCGAGGCTGTTGGTGCCATGGTGTATCTTGTGCTGGGGAGGTGGACCGAGACGGTCAAGGCAGCGGGGACGCTGCCGAGTGCCGTGCTGGAGGGAAAGGCGAGGTCCGCTGCCACGGAGGTGCAGTTGCAGGCGATGAAGGAGGGGGTGAGGTTGGTGGCAGAGTGCGGCGGGATTGAGATCGCGTGGGAGGCGTTGAAGGGCGCTTTTGACTTGTTTTGGTGAGTACCCTATCTATCCTGGCCCACGGCACGGCCGGGGAACGGGACCGTGTGCTGACTTTGCAGGGCTGATGAGCTCCCGCAAAACGTCCAGATGGCTGCCGAAGAGTTGATTAACTTGATGACCATCATGTACATGGCTATCCTGGAGGCCGTGGACGATCCCGAAGGCATGGCCGAGGCTCGGCAGAGGCTCCGTAAGTCGACGGTGTGGAAGCGTCGATGGCAAAAATGGCTAAATGTTTGACGACAGTTGCCCTTAGCCCCAGCTTAGTCAACTTCATGCTCCAGGTGACCACAAGGCTTCGATGGGACGAGACGGGCATTCTTCCGCAAACGCAGGTAGGCAGGCACCATGCGCCTCGAGGAAACCGAGAGCGTGCACTGGATCCTGACAAGTCTTAGATATTCCTCCTCTTTTGGAAGTCCATTCTGCTCCAGTTTGGCGGCTCTAAGGAGATCACCGACGCCAAGGAGACCCTGGGCGAGATGAAGGGCTGCGAAGACAAAGAAACCATCACGGCCTCCCCACTGGACTACCACGTCTTTCGTCAGGAAATCACTTCGAAATATCCTGCTTACATCCCGCCTCAACCGCTTCTGCCCATAGAAGCGGACCAGACATCCATCCTGCCACCGCTGCCCAACCGCCCGGCAAGAAATAACGCCTCTAACGGAATCCTTCCCGCTCCGCGGGGGCAGGGCGGAGGGGCCTCGATCCTCCATCAGCCCGTGCACATTGCCACGCCCGCTCCGTCACCGCCGCCCAGCCCTGGAGTTGGCAAGGGCGGTAAGAAGCAGAACTACCAGACGAATCAGAACTTTCCCTTCATGTACCCGCCTCTCGATGCCACAAGCAACAGCGCGGGCGGCAAGGGACCAGCTGGGCTGCAGGACACGCTGGTAGGCAGGAAGTGGGAGGGCAGCGACGTCCCGGCATCGATCCTCGAGGCCGGCGAGCTTTTCTCCAAGCGAGTGCGTATGACGCGAGCAACCCGGCAGCTATGGGAAGAGCGGGAAGAGTTCCTCAGGTTCGAACGCGGTTACGAGGCCGGTGACGACATTATCGACGAGCTCGATCTCTCATCTCTGACGCTGGAAGAGAGGGAGGAGCTGGGCCTGAACAAATTAGCCGACGACCGGCCACGGAGAGCGTATACATCAGGGGTAGATTATGGGCCCCGGGGCGTTGACCAGCAGACCAAGGCACGGCTGGATGGCGTGGAGGCGTTCTACGTGAGTACCTATGCTACCTATACGACTGTGCTCTGCTGTGTCGGCCGCGCTCACAGCTAACTGCCTTGCAGAAAGAAGCTCTCCCACACCTTCAGTCCTTGGTCGTCGTGTTGCTGAAGCAGATCGTGGCTATAGCTAGCAACCTAGTCTCGCCCGCGACGGCCAACGGCCCCCAAGGTCCACCCAGCGCGCGGCCGGTTGGCGGGCAGCAGAACGGGTCGAACGGCATCAATGGCGCCTCCAAGGGTGACCCTTCCTCCCCGCTGGATGCCGACGTCGACGAGCTGCGCAGCAGGGAGATCGCGGCCAAGGCTGTTACAGGCATCTTAATGCTTCTGTTGAAGTGGTTCAAACTCTCTCATGTCCTCAAGTTCGAGTACTTGACACAGCTCCTGCTGGATGCTAACTACCTCCCATTGGCGCTTAAGATTTTTGCCATGTATGACGTCCAGCAGGTGGTCGAGAGCAGGTCGGACCGGCTCGAACATAGGTGAGCCTCTGCCCCCGAAATTAATTGCACCTGGTTTTTTTGTGTGTGTGTGTGTGTCCAACAACACCTTGTTAACTCCTCCAGCTTCTTCTACTTCTGCGGTTCCCGCGCAGGCGTCATACCCCCGCAGCACACCGTCCCCAACCCAACAGCGACCGAATTCGAGGACGTCAGTGACGACGATGGCCATGAGGAGGAAGACGACGCGGTCCCGCCCCCCATCAAACGGCGCCGCTCTCCTCATAGCGCCTCTTCTGAGCAGCCGGACTCATCCACCTCCACCTCCGCCTCCTCTAGCAACCCGGGGCAACCGGCCCCGTCAACTGAAGCGCCTCCCCGTCCCGAAGTAGACGAGCTCGGCTGCCCCATCAACCCCCTCCCCGCGGAACCCATCACCGACTTCTCCCGCCGCAACTTCTTCTCTCTCATCAACTACCTGCGCATCATGCAGAAGATCTGCAAGCACAAGGCCCACCGCAACCTGCTGATGGTGCAGTACAAGTCGTCCAACTACCTGCGCAAGTCGCTGCGGATCCCACAGCCCGAGCTCCGCCTCTACACGCTCAAGCTCTTCAAGAACCAGGTCCCCTACTGCGGCCGTAAGTGGCGCCAGTCCAACATGCGCGTCATCACCGCCATCTACCTGCACTGCCGGCCCGAACTGCGCGACAGCTGGCTCGTCGGCGCTGACATCGACGCCGAGGTCGACGACGCCGTGCCGCTGGAGCAGGCGCTGCGGAGTCTGACCCACTGGTTCAACCTGAGGAGGTATCCTGAGCGCATGACGGCGGGGAATGGTGCAGGAGAGATGGCGCTGATGCGGCAGGCTCTGAGGGAGGAGCAGGACTTCTTCGTGAGGGAGCTGGAGAAGACGGATCTAAGCTGGCTTGTTGAGCAGGAGTCTGCGGGCGGCGAGGGAGGAGACGCGGCTGGGAGCGTCGCGGGTGTCGGGTGGGAACAGGAGGGTTGGGGGTGAAGCTCGGCTACTGCTACTAGTAGTAGTGATGCTGAGGAAAAAGGGGAAGTTTGGACGATCGATGATGTGGGGGTAGTGCGCGCAGCGTTCGTCCTGTAGGTTCCAGGTTGTCAGCTACCTGACCTAGTGCCTAGGGAGGTACTGTGTCGTTGAGGTCGTGTTCTGGCAGTATACTATACCTAAGTAGCAGTACCTTAGCTTAGTTATGTACACATTGAAGTGCATACTCCATCGATTGGACCCAACAACTAACTACCTTGTGCTTGCCCGGTTGTCTCGGAGAAAAGCTGAGATACATAGTATCCGTTCATTGTCTCGTATACCTCGTAGCTACTACCTATCGTATCATATCTGCTTCCAACCTGGCAATTTGCCCGACTGTACTAACATCTGTCATCCAAAGGCACAGCTTCTAGAAGCTGGCCGAAACCTGCTCCCGTTCCGAAATTTTCCCTTTCGCGAGCCTGGGTTCCGTGTCATGCATACACGGAGGGGGGTTCGATCCCAGAAAGGAGAAGAGAATCCCAACAATGGTTATGGTTAATATAAAGAAGGAAGAAGGACAGAAGATTGGAAAATGAACATGACCTAGTCACCTGCAAGAGTGTCCAGCAACAAGGAGACAGGTGACATGTTGGTGCCCCGCACCGAGTCCCGCCTCTAGACGCCGTCGTGATGCGAAAGAGTCGTATGAAGTGGGAATAGAAACAAAGGCCTTCCTCCCGTAGACAAATTCCTGTTGCCAAAACCGCCAGCAAAAGAAATCTTGGACAAAAAAAAAGAAAGAAAAAGAAAAAGAAAAAGAATGTGCCGTCTTCTAGAGACAGGCAGGTATCCCGACTCCTTCATGAACGCCATGCCATAACGGAAAAAGGAGAAGGGTCGAATGGAATGCTAGTGTCTCTGTACATGTGTGCAATACACTTTGGTACTGCTTGTGTACAGACAGAAGGGGTCATTTTGCACATGAGCCGTGCCAAGCGGCTCTCTATCAGATGGCCTTCCTACCCAACGGCAAAAAAAAAAAAAAAAAAAAAAAAAAAAAAAAAAAAAAAAGAAATTCTCCACTGGAGAAGCCGCACTGTTGAGTGGGTTGCTACCCGGTTGAACCTGGAAGCAGTCTGACCTAAATCCAAGCGCCCTTGGCGTCTGTGCCGAGAAGTGCCGTGTCCCCTGTGGCCCGACGTCGTGGTGGACTTCTTGGTGGGCTTCTTGGTGGACTCCTGGGAGAAGGAGCGGCGCTGGCTAGTATTGGTGCCGGTGTGACGGAGCCAACGCCCTTCGGACTGGGCAACTTGGCTTTCGTTGGGGTGTCGGGGCTGTAGACGCTCGGACTCAGGGTTACCTCCTCTTCCGCTTGTTCGGCCTTGGGGACATTGCTGTCGATCCTTGGGAGGGGCGGAATGGCCTTCACGCTTGTTTCCTTGACTGGGTCTCGCTTGGGGCTTTCGTCGGCCACCTGTAGAGGTGGTATAGGGGCGGCGGACATGGCGCCCAATGCGCCGGCCCGCTTTGGGCTCTGCATGTCTGTTTGCTTCAGCATGTTAGGGCAACCGAGGGTGTGGACTGCTCTTTCGCTGCTCGCTGGTTTGTGCTGCACTGCCGGAGGGATGTCGTCGACCGAGGAAAGGCGGATACCGATCTGGACAGTCGCCGAAGACACGAGGGATGAGTCTCTCCTGTGCCGCATGGTTGCGAGGTTGGCCATCGAGGGAGGCGGCTTGAGGGCGTCGGCAGGCGAATATGTAGTGGCCGGGAGGAGCACCACCGATGTCTTCGAGGCAAGAGTGCTCCTCGGGAACAAGGAATACGAACGTTTGCGCATATGGCTCGCCGGAGGTCTCGCCGGGGCACGTGCAGGCTCCGGCGCCTTGGGCATCAGGGCCGATGCCATGGCCGAAACAAGTTTGGTTGGGCGGAGTGAATCTCGACTTCGTAGGCCGCTGCCGTTGGAGGCCCACATCACACTCTTGATGCCCACTGTCTGGTCCTCTTTCTCGGTGTTGGTCATGATCGCCTCGCTGTCCACAGTGCGCACCCTTCGTGGACCCGTCACCGGGTTCGTCATATGGCTACCAAAGGCATTATCGTCATCATCATCGTTCGACTCGTTTCGCGTGGATTTGTACCTCGCCCTCCTGTTCTCGTACTCTCCAGCCTTGTCTCTTGGACCAATGGTCGAAAGAGTGCTCGATTTGAGAAACAGATAAAGGCCGCCAGTCATCAACCCAGACACGTTTGCCACGACCGAGGCAACCATGCCCAGCGTAAGAGCATTCGACATCTGACCTCGCCGGTCCATGAACCCCTGAACAAAGAAGAATGGGATTAAGAAGCCCTAACGAAGCATGAGCATTGGGTGAGACTGCTGCAAGAGGAAGGTGGCACATACGTTAGAGATGGCTGCCAGTGCCAGATAGTACACCATTCTGGACGCGGCAACCCGGGCGGTCACCTCGACCTTGATGCTGCGGTGCAGTCGGACGAATACCACCACAACGCAGATCAAGATGATAGTCACGATAGCGACAAGCAGGCCGAAGCAGACGACAGAGTAGTGGACGACAAACCAAAAGAGGGACGTCAGGCAGAAGTTGGGGGACTGGTCGAAGTCCGCTATGAGGAAGTTGGCGAGAGTCAGCATGCCAATGAGGGACAAGCACACTGATACATTGTATTTGCCCCTCGGTGCGAAAGGGTGCTTCCGAAGCGCCCTTAATGCGATCTCGGCTCCGAAAACCAGCTGGGCGTAAGGGACGAGAAACACAGCTGGCGGCAGAGTCAGCAAAGGACGTCTTGAATCTGCTTTTGGTCTACCCGACGCACCAGGCAGCATGACTTGGGCCAGCCATGTACAGCCCAGACCGAAGAGGCTGTCCAGACCGGTGGACTGCGCGCCAGCAAAGATGAAGCTCTGGATAAAGATGCAGACGGAGAGGACGAGCGGGTAGAGCTCGGATTCGGGGACGAAGCTGAAGCCACTGCGCCTACTGGCTGTGAGCGACCACTCCGACCAAAGTGTCAACCCCGAAATGTTCCTCCGAGGATCCTACCAGAACCTGAAATTCTCGTCGTTCCTCCTCCTCCTGAAGTAGGAATCACATAATATCCCCAGAGCAGTGGCGAAGGCGGCTATGATGTTGAAGGAGGCTAGGACGATGGTTGAGGTCCTGATCGATCTAGCAGCGGAGAATTTCAACTCGTTTAAGAACATCTGCTGGGTGGCGGTCCGGTTGGTGGCGTGCTGGAAGACCCCATCTCTCGACGTGTTGAAGCTGCTGTGTGCCGTCCACCTCGTGTCGTCGTCGTCCCGCGACTCCAACCACCCAAGCGCCCCGACGACTCCAGTGTATAGCGGCATTGGGCTATATCAGCGTGCACCCGCGAGGTTGGCAATGGCGATCGAAGCCGTAGCAGCGCCCTCGTACTTCCGTCGTCAAGTCATCTAACCCCTTGGTCGATCTCGTAGACACCTCGTCGAGCGGCAGCTGGGGTGAGAAAGGGAGAGGGTCCCGCTAGGACACGGAGAGAAGCTGGTTGTATGCTCTCATCAACATGGAGCCTGCCATGCTGAGCAGCCCTTGGCACTCGGACCCGACCACGGGAAGGACGAAACAGGGTCTGAGCGGGCCATATGAGCCTGGGTTGCTGCCCGCGGGACTGGGATAGCTACATGGGCTGGGGGAGCAGGGGTATAGATCGAAGGAGAGGATGGCTGCGCGGAGGGCGAGCAGCACGAACCATCACCTCGAGACTGCGGGCCCCCTTCCAGAACACGCCGGGTGCCGATGCCGGTAACGACGCATGAAGGCCGAGACACGGTATGATGTGATGTCCAGGGTTGCCGTTGAAGGGAAAGAATACCAACCTCCGCAGTAACGCCGACCAGGGGCCAGTATCGCAGCGAGGGTTGAGGACTTCCCACACACGGGAAGTTTCCTGGAACTGCCTATTACATCGAGCGGCCTATGAGTTCCAGAGCTCACAAGAGATGCACGAATCATGATGGTGTCAGGCAGAATGAGATCACGAGCTAGCTTGGGCAGCAAGCCATCTCAGATCTAGCACCAGTAAACTGTTGATATCCGATCTGATGGAAACCCCAATCGCACGATCTCGACTGGTCCGTCTGCAGCCTCTTGCAGTGAGTGGGTAAGAGAGCCCAGTGCCAACTGCCACGGGGTTTCTTCGCGGCCCAATGCCAATGTCAGAATTGAAGCGCCATTGTTGGGGCGATTCGATGGGAAGAGCTCAATCCGACGTCGAGTCCCCGGTGAGGCACTTGGGCAGGTACGGCTCGCGGTGCACAAGATCGAGGGGCTCAGGAAGCTTCACAGGCATTGGCGGCGCAGTCGCAAGGCATGAGTTGCACTGTGCGCTTGAGGCAGTTATGTGACAACCCCAGGTTTCGCCTTTCTGCAGGAACCATTCTTGGCTCTGGGTTCGAAGTGGGGTGGGCGGGGTGAGTGGGGATAACGTTCTCGACTCCAAGTCGTCCGCACATGCCAAGCTCTCGTCAGCTCCCGTCCCTGGGAGCGGGCAGGGATAAGCTCCGCTCGGATCAGACAAGCCGAACCTTCAGTCCCTCACACCTCCACTCAACGTCCGCTTCCTCTAGGCTTTCACCGGAGTTGCTGCTGCTATCAGACACCGGTAGAAGGCCGCACTGCTACTTGGTACCCAAAGTGAGAAGTCAGACTGAGCTTGCTGCTGCGAGTATTAGCTGCCGTCAATCTAGGCTGTATTGGAATATTGGACGGGGAAACAAATGGGCGTCTCAAATTCAGGGACATAAGGTAACCAAAGCTTTCCCCTGACACATTCAATTGTACACCTTAGCTGCTGCGTAGAGAAGCTCATACAGGGGTATCCGAGTCACGCTTACTGCGACCGGTCCATACCGCACCTTAGGTCCCCCCGGTGGTGGGCAGTTTCTTTTTAGCCTCCAGAATCCATCTCGAAGAAACATCAGACCAATCCTTCGTTTGTCGTAGCAATCTCCCACTCAGATGCGTCTATCCCACCGCGGCTGCCCTTCCCTCAAACATAGCTTGTGTCAAAGGTTCGGATAGTCCACTTCCCGCGGATCCGTGGAGAGGGCCCCGGCGGTCCAGGGAGCCTTGCTTATCGTCAACCTCGACCTTGCCTGCTAGTGCAGCACGGATCCGTATATGCCTACGACAATGATGACTGCGTCCAGGTGGGGTCTGTGAACCTTCGTGGGGTACTAATAAACTGATGCGGGTGAGACCGAAGGTGGCGTTGACCTACCGTAGATGCGTATCTAAGGTAGGCTGGCAACCCTGTTATGATCTGGACTCGGAGTTCTATGAAAATTCCGATGCTAAACCGAGCCGCTCCGAGGAAGCCATTTTAGTGCGGCTCGGGCTTTCCCGAGGCTTGGGACATGGAGCCGTCGCTTCAGATGTTGACGCGACTGAGATCCGGCCTTAGTACCTACTTGATGTGTCGGTCTGTTGGCGAGACTGAGGAGGCTTCTGCCTGCAGCTTATGCATCTGAGTGGGACCCGACGCTTTCATGATAGTCCCATGGTCCTGAGTTGTCTGCGGTCCAAGGACGTGCCAGGCGGTCTCTACCCCCCTCTCCCGATCATTTGGTGAGAATCTTGAACATCAATTAGGTAGGTAGGTAGTAAGCAGCTTGGACTGGACACACAATCCATGCGGTCATAGAACATGGCAGCACTGCGCCTATCAACATCATAATCAGCGCGACATTTGCAAAAGGCTCTCGGAGGAAGCTCGATGGAGGGTAGTAAGTAAGAGTTAAGCCCCGTTTGTTTGTATCGTACAATACCGTGTGTTAGTGCGCCCAAATTTATCTGGCATCCAAGATTCACCCCTCAACTACCGCTCTTAGAAACGGGTTCAAGAGGCGACGCATCGTATCTGACCAGTCTGGATCCGCAGTCTCGGGTCCCGTTCAAATCGTCAAAGTCCGCGCAGACAGCTTGAGACATATGCAGTTTAGCCGACCGTGTCGCCACAACAACCAACACCTCAAACCCGAGTCCCCCCAACTTGCCGTGCTACTACTAATAGTAGCTATTAGTACCTCATTCTACGTCCAGTAGCAGCCGTAGACTACCTAGATAGGTAACTACCATAGGTATTGTACAATACAGTACTCTCAGCACGGCTCACGGCACGCCGCGCTCATTTCGCCTTCTTCTCGCCCAACGCCGTGGCCCGGACCCTGAATGCATCCAAGATGTCGTCCGCTGCAACATAGATCGCATATAGCGGTACCACAACCCATAAGCCATTGAAGAAGATCAAGAAGATCCACTTGTACATGAAGTTGCTCGTGTCGAGGTTGTGATTCCCCGTCAGCCATTCCGGCATGAAGGTCATGTAGCCTGCCAGTGTGCATGTCAGCCCTCTACCACTTGCAACCATCGCGTCCGAGGAGAACTCACCACCATAGATTTCAGCTGTCGCCAGCAGAATCATGACCAAGTTCGCCCTCGGGCTCTTCCGTGCAATGTCGTAGCACGCCAAACATGCCATACACCCGGCAAACAGCACCGTGATGATCTCAATGCTGAGGACGGTCTGGATTTAGTTTCCCTCCCGGTTAGCAACCCATCCGCACTCACACTCTAGTCTAGCCTCCGAATCGCCGTCTGAGAGTACGATTGACATACCAGGTCGACTCCCGCCCATCTATAATCCGCACGCGCGTACACCATCCACAGTTTCGCAAGCGGATTGTCCCCGCCCGCCTGCGCACCGTGCACGTGCTCGGTCGCCCCCGCGCCACGCCCTCCAAGATACATGGCCGGATCAGGCCAGTACCTCATACCGCCGACCCCGGTGTTCAGTTGAAGAGCTGGAGTGGAAGAGAACAGACAGTGGTACACGAAGCTGCCCTCGAGGATGAAATGGATCAGGGCGTCGAAGGCATGCCATACGAATAGGGCACGCAACCGCGCCGGAGTGGTATGCGGGTCCAGCACGCGGCGAGAGATGGCTAGCGCCGCAAGGAGAATGGCCACCGTTGAGGCTAGGGATGTGAGTGTGGTTTTGTCGAAGAGGGATGGAGGTGGTGGGTTTATAGACATCTTAGGCGGCACTTTGCCCACGCATGGGCAGATAAGTAGGGGACCTTCTAGATGGTTATGTCCAGAGTTGCGGTTGTGAATATTGAGGCTTTTCACTTCCAGGAGATGATGAGGTGGAGGGAATTTTGTGATTTCTGGTTTGAGCTGAAGATCGCCAAGCAGCATCGGACATGGCGACCTCCTGAGCGTTGCCTCGGCGACGAAATTACCGTAAATTACCAGTACAATACATGGACAATTACATATAAGCCCGGGCCTGACCTTGCCCGGAGATCACGCTTCATTATAGACGTTCCGCATTGTTACAGAAAACTAGGTGATTTCTTTCTATACAGCAGCAGCCACGCCATCGATTAGAACGATACTACCGTAGTATTTATCTAGCGGTTTAGAAAAGTATCGAGGTCAATATCCTATCTCCCATGAAATACGGTGAGAGGACCGGGTTTGCTTCATCAATTTGATGCAGGTACTTGTACAGTAGGTGGGTGTTAATGTCCATGATTGTACATAGCATATTTGGAACACTGCAAGCCCAGATCACAAAGATGCACCAGTTTGTGTTGGTTATGAGGTGGATTGTCTAGCTACTCAGAGCAAAGGGGTATTGTATGTCATCCTCATCCTCCTCTCCATGAACCGAAATCTCAGGACCGACAAAGAAAACCCCATCCCTTAGCAACGCGCTTCCAAGCCAAGCCATTATCGGGCTCCATGAAGAAGTTGATGTGAAATTGTCGTCACGTCATGATGGCAGGCGGAGAATTGATGGAGAGTCGCTGCTTAGTGGGTGGCGGCCTGCTTGTGGGCCTCGGCCGAGCTTTCATGGCCGTGCTGCTTGGCCTTGTCGGAGACGGCGTCACCAGCAGCCTGGAGACTGTTGTGTCGGTTAGCGAGATGTGCAACCGACCAAGTGAATGGGGAAGTATTTACCGAGTGCCGACACCAGCCTCGGAGCTCTTAGCGGTCTCCTTGTTGGCCTCCTTGGAAGCCTCGTGCGACTTGCCCTGGAGCTTGTCGGAGACGAAGTTGCCGGCGTTCTTGATGGTGTCCATGATGAATTAATTCGTTGGGTTGATCAAAGATCGAGATGGATTTGTGTGAAGTTGTGTGAAGTGATTTTTGTGGTTTGATTTGTTGAGTGGATGATGGGGAGAAAAAGAGAACTTCTGAGCAGCGGGAGGAAGAGGATTATATACACGACCGATCTCCTGTGTGGCAGCAGCTACAATTGGTATCAAATGGGAAGGATCGAGTGGCTCTTGTGTACGACTACTACGTCATACTTGGTTCTCAAGGTTCACGGCAAGACTTGGGCAGGTTGGCGGTTGGCGAGCAGCAACCTGTGACATCATTGTTCTCTCAAGAGAAGTTTCAAGCAGAGCCCTGATAGGTTCCCCGAAATCCACGATTGGGGCCAGTTCATTTCGGATTTGGACCTTCCTACGCTACATACAACTCGCGGCTCCCAGTTGCAACTTCCAAGGCCTTCCGTTTCATGTGATCTAATTAGCGTGGTCCAATACCTGTCTTGTGCCCTGAAGCCTTGCAAATCCCATGTACCTTTTGCTATTCAGCACGTTGGTTGAACTGAATATTTGTGACGCTATGACGTGCATGTATGAAAGGTCTAGACCTGCGCCTTGCTATCATCGGTGCAACATCCGGCCCGCCCCAAATGCGGAGGAACCAAAATCAGTTTGACGCAAGCGGGTCCTCCCGTTTTCACCCCAAAGACTCTAGTTGATTGGTCGCCTGGAGCCATTATTGCCACTATGACGCAATCGCTCAAGGCAAGCTTTCACTTGCCCCACAGCCCCGGCAAACCCATCAGCCAAGCAGGCGCGGGGAGTCTCTTCCGACAAATTCAGAAGTACGGTTATTAACGCCAAAAGTATCGACTGTTGAGGCAATTGACCCCAATGAGGTCATCGCGACTTCGGCAAAAGTCTTGGCTAGGTAGGTACCTGGTAGGTACCGACTGCGCCATAGTATCCCACAGCCACAATGCTTCTGTGTTTGTGCCTACCTATTCTAGCTACCTACCTACAGTTATGTGACACGCGGACAACTCATATATATGGCATAATATTCGTTATTTTGATTTGGTAGGTAGCCTTGAAGGCTTCGGCGTGTCAGAAATCACAGAGCTAATAAGGCACGTCGGTAGAGAAACCGAGGTCCACGGGTTCGTCATGCAATCAAATTCAAAGCGCCCTGTGTCTCCCGAAGGACCCGACGGGTACTGCTTAGTACGTGGCACCCGATAACCGGAAGGCCGTTCACCATGTCGTACGGATCGCATTGAAACTGAGGGCATCAAGGCGATGACGGAGTGTCATTCTCCGATGACTGACCTAGAGGTCGAAACCATGCTTGTTACGTCGTTTGAGGAAGACATCATCGTGTTCTGGACGTTGATTGTTTGCAACTACGTTGCAAAGCACACAGAATCTGTCCAGCTTGACAGAACTTGAAGTTACATGGTTCAAGTTCGCGTTCAGAGCGGAAATCCCGTGGTCTCCAGGTCAGATACGTCCTGGCCACGGTTTTGGGTTTGATTAAGTACCTCCTAGACCTTCAGCCAAATTTCCCGGGTTATCTTAGGTACTCGGGTGAGGTAAGAGAATCACGGGTCTTGTCTGTTAGTGCCCGCGGCATGGCGATGTTTGTCAAGCCCCCTGAAGCCCTCGCATCGCACGCAGCTTTCGTCTCGGTCGCTGATACAGGAAAGTTGTAGATGGAACATGTGGTATCAAACGACTGATAATTTGAACCGTATCCTCTTTGTGTCCCTCTTCCAAGTGTAAGGCGCAGCCACTGAGTCGATGTAGAACCTCAAATGGCTCGACAGACACTGGTACCTCCTGGAAATGAACATACCGCGGTGTCATATGTATCAGCCGTAGCTTCCGTTCAAGGGCACCTAAAGTACCGTAGATAAGGTAGGGAGCTAGGTGACTTGGCACTCTCGCCATACCATCATGATGGGAACACTGTGAGTTAGGAGTTTGCCTTGCCGGACAGTAACGGGACCCTATCGGATCGAGCAATGGTTATACACCAACATTTGCCATAATTTCTATCGCCGGTGGGAACTCGGCGTGTTCGACAAGAGTCCCGCATATTCGCTCGTGATACCAATTTCTGGGAGATTGTCAGTATGGCAGTAGGGACAAGGGTGATTGGCATCACTGAGGGCACTTGCTCTTCACATGCTTGGCCATGCTGGTGGATTGAAAATGCTCCCGTTGGTTCCGATGGGAATTTCAAGCCGGTATGACACAAGTCCGCCGAGGCACTTGACGAGATAAAGTTGGGGAGAGACTTGATGTATTGGGCTGGGACCCGGACAATGCTTCGTCCTGGCGGCGAGACCATTTTTACTACACCTAGTTGTCCTCTCCTCAAAATGACGACTTCTGTTGAACTTGATGGTCGAATTACAATGCTTACAGTGCAGAGGCCTGAGAGAGACTTGATTTACCCGAGCGCTCGACGTATGGGTTCGGAGTTCCATACTGGCAGACGATACCTTAGTAGGTAGACTGACATTGTTATCTAGAACTTCGGGTCCTTTCACAATGCCATCAATAAGATCTCTTCGTTTGGGAATATAAAGAGGGTAGTGTCTTAACCAGAGGTCGCTCTATTCCCTTCTGCTTTTTAACCGTAACGGCCAATCCTTGTATTCGGTGAGCTGCCACGTGTTTAGTGGAAGTTGATCCTTAACATGAATGCAATTTAGGTCAATCAGCATGGAATACGATATGCGGAGGGCTGAGCCGAGAAACAACTGAAAATCAAAGAACGTGATAACATTGACTTACAGAGCTTCGAGGGAGCCGTGGGGGCTTAGCTCCAACCCTAACCCGGATGCTTACATGTACTAAGGACAGTAAACGGATACCGTGACAGATACAATGCATTACTATTAGTAGTATCATGCGGGGCCTTCCGGTGTTCTCGAACAGTTCCAGTACTGAACCGATCACCACCGAGTGAGATGACCAAAGAGTGAAAGACTGATACTTACACACGCCAATTGCGTTCATGGCCTTCGGTGCGATGGATCGACTGACCACTCTGACTGATCGGATGCGAGAAGTATTGGCAACCTTGCCCATGACTTCGGAGCAGTGGATGCCGGAAGTCTGGAAGGAGATGATCAACGCAACCGCATTGCTCGCTCTGCTCTCCTCGGTTGCCACGGTGGCGCCGGTCGCGAACATGACTGTTTACCGGGCAGATTTGTCCATCAGTCCGTCGGTTTTACCTCCTCCCGGATCCTCATCGCAAGGTGAAGAGATCATTCGCCAGTTCGTCAACCTCAGCCGGTTGACAGATTGGAGACTGGTAGACAAGATCAAGTTCGAGGGTGACACCTTCGAGCCCGAAGGGATTGTGCGCCTCGGTGATGATCGATACTTTGTCTCTGCTGTTGATGATATCAACAGAGCCTCCGGGGACGGCTTCGCGCACATGATGGTGTTTGATGGGAAAGGCAGCCGCATTGTCGATGCAACAATCACCGAGGCAGGGGCCGCCGAGTATCACAATGGCGGTATCGACTACGACGGCACGTTCATATGGGCAACGCTTGCGCAGTACCGCCCCGACTCTACCGCCACCCTCGTCAAGATACGGCCCGATACCTTGCAGCCGGAACCCGTCCTCTGCATCGGGGACCATATGGGAGCGGCAATCCGCGATGTGTCCAACGGGAACATATTGACCCTGAACTGGGGTTCCCGCCGCGCCTCGATCTGGAACCTGAATTACAAGCCTGCAGCCCCGCCCGCCCATACTCCTCCGAGAGCCGTGATCAAGAATCCCAGCCATTTCACCGACTATCAGGACTGCAAGTTCTTGGGCCACTCTCAGCGATATGGATTCCGCCCAGTCATGCTGTGCTCTGGCATCACCAACCTCTACAACACGACCATTGGAGGCGTCGCGCTGGTCGACATGGAATCCATGATTCCCGTGTACGAAGTGCCGCTTACCATGGTATCGGACCGTGGCGTGTTGGTGACCAAGAATCCGATGGACGTCGCCATTGTTGATGGCCGCTTGAGGCTGTTCTTTCTGCCTGATGAGCGGAACTCCACACTCTACGTCTATGAGCCTGTGTGAAGTGACCTCACCGTGTCCGACATGGAGATCCCGGATGGTGTGCTTTGAGCGGCCAATAGCTTATGTCGGTGAATCGCCATGTTGCTGCCCTAGTGGCAGGAAGCCGAAAGGGGCGTAGGACTTGGGGTTGTCTTATCTGGCCTTGGGACTGAGTCGGCTTGACAGGGTAGAGGCCGAGCCTGTTCAGTTGTCATGCTTTTTGCTGCCTCCATCCCACCTTTTGCCCGGTCTCCTGGTTTAGATAATGTGGCAGCCGTCTTGTTCTCTTGGCCCCCCCTGCTTGACCGTCGATAGGTACGTTAGGTACCTGAGCGTTCTGCAAGTTCAAAGACAAGCACGCTAGACGTGGTCACCCTGGACGCTCAGCGTGACAACGGCTACCTGGTACATCATGATGCTCCAGCCTGATTCGTGTATTCAGACTCGCCACCGATTAGCTTTGTTGTGTCAATGACCCAACGACCAAGAGGCTGAGCCGGACGCCCGTACCACTCAAGGAGTCAAGGGCCGGTATGGTTCGTCATAGCTACGCCTTCCGCAGCGGCTCGCCCCGCCCCGAAAGTCTACAATCCGCCGCGACGAGCAAATCTCGACGCACTCGAAGCCCATCTCGTTAATGTAGATTACGGCCCAGTGGTCGTATGGTGGTTAGTTGGCTTCAACGGTCGTGGGAAACGTTGGACCGACCGTCATCGGTTAATATTCTTCTCGGCTGACCGCGCTATATGCATAGTACCTGCCACGGAAAGGGAGAATGAGGTTGGAAGCGGTGCTGAGATGACTCGGAAAAGGGAAGTTCAACGATTGAAGGTGTTACTAGAAGTCAACAGATACTGACAGCGTCATTATCTTGTATGTATGTACCGTGTATAAATGCAATAACGTTCCCTAGCCGTATTGACAAAACTGGAGCGAAATCAAGCTCTAATAACCGGTCTGCCAATTGCAACCTTGTAAACATACCTTGGCTATGTGTAAATTACCCGTCTAGGTTTCTGTCGTTACCAAACCCTCCGTCTATGTAAGATACCTGTGTATGTATGATTTCTTTCGCGGCAAAAGCTTGGCGTGTGGGTGAACGTGGTGATTGTGGCACGTGCCCGCAGTTCCCCTCGCCATCTGCTCACTCACCGCCTTCGACGGGGCGGAAGCCTCACTTAACTCGGTGTATGATGCAGGAAGACAACAATCTTCATAGGTGATGTCGAAAGATGAGGAAAACGCCAACTCCCAGTATTGGGGAAGTAATATGAGGAGCTGTATTTGTAAAAGCTTCGCTGTTGACAACTGGTAGTTAACACTTAGTGTAATCTGACTGTGCGATACCTTCTCCCATTGAAAGCAGGTTCTTGTTCCGGTATCCAGCAGCTGCGTCACTGTCCGGAAGCCGATAGGCTCGTCGAATGTTCTACAAGCTCCGCCAACACGACTTCTCGAAAGGCGTTACTGTTACAAGCCTCGCCTCTCCTCTTGTCTGGAAACTCCGAGTCGCCTGACGAGAGCCTCGTTTGAACTTTTGAAGAGAGATCCTTCTTCTCCTTCCGTGATCATTGCACTCGACATCAGCTGTTGTGTGCTAGTGCTCCGCAATTGCCACGAAGCATCCAGAGCTATCTGGAGCTTTCACCTGGCTACCATTGCTACCGTGAGAGCATTGCAGTTCATTTGCCCATTCCATTTACTACCTAGTACCTTACCTTCTAAGCTGCAAAGAGCAACCTGCAGCAGCTAGATATCCACACCACGCATTTTCCAATTTGGCGTCGACATAACCTTGCATATTCTGCAACCCGACCCCATTAGCAGGGACGCAGGACAGCTCACTCCGCACACGACTTACTCTAGACATACCCGAACCTTCAAAAACAACAGACCACCTTAACCAAACTTTCCTCAAGACATCCTCAGAAACCGCCCAAGATGGTCAAGGAGACAAAGCTCTACGAGCAGCTGAATATAAGCCCCACGGCTTCTCAGGACGAGATCAAGAAGGCATATCGGTAAGCTCACAGCCCAATCCCATCCGGTGCTTTCCTTCGGCAGCTCGTCGAGACGTGCGGCATGGAATGTTAAGACATGCAGCTTCTTTCCACATGAAGCTCTCTCGACACTTCTCCAGTGCCGTATCCTCGCTTGAGCTGTCGTCTCTCCATTATCGCATGTTGAGTTGAACCCCACTGGGCTAACCCCTCACTTAGGAAAGCAGCCCTAAAGTACCACCCCGACAAGAACAAGGACAACCCGGAAGCCGCCGAGAAGTTCAAGGAGGTCTCGCAAGCATATGAGATTCTTTCGGATCCAGAGAAACGCAAGACCTATGACCAATTCGGCCTCGAGTTCATCCTCCGCGGCGGCGTCCCACAACCCGATGGAACTGCTGGCCCGAACCCCTTCGCCAGCGCTGGAGCCGGTGGCATGCCGGAAGGCTTCGCGTCCTTCTTCACCAACGTCGGGGGCCCGGGTGCGGGCGGCGGCGGTGGCCAGCGCTTCTCATACGGCTTCAACTTCACCGACCCGGACGACCTCTTCCGGAACACCTTCCGTGACAGTGGCCTGGGTAGCGATTTCTTCGACGACTTCCTAAGCGGGGCGCGCTCGACGACATCTTCTTCCGCGGGGGGCGGGCGGACCCGCATGCGGACATCCTTTGGCGACAGTACGCGCAGCGCGCGGGCGCCGACGCCCGAGGTGACGACGGTGGAGCGGCCGCTGCCGCTGTCGCTTGAGGACATGTTCACGGGCGTCACGAAGAAGATGAAGATCAAGCGCAAGACGTTTGACGAGACCGGCAAGCGCACCCAGACAGATACGGTGCTCGAGGTCCCCATCAAGCCTGGCCTGAAAAAAGGTAGCAAGATCCGCTTCAAGGGAGTTGGTGATCAGGAGGAGGGTGGACAACAGGATTTGGTGTTCATCGTCGAAGAGGTAAGCAGCGCCCTCCGCTGTTCTCCCCCATATCACCGTCGTATTCGGCGATCGATATTGACCTGCTCAATCACAGAAACCACATCCGCTCTTCGTCCGCGACGGCGACGACATAATCCACACCGTCGATCTCGACCTGAAGGAGGCCCTGACCGGTTGGAAGCGAACTATCACAACCATAGACGGCAAGCAACTCAACATTGACAAGGCGGGCCCCACGCAACCAGGTAGCTCGGATTCTTACCCGGGGTTGGGCATGCCCATATCCAAGAAGCCCGGGCAGCGCGGCAATTTCATCGTCAAGTATAATGTCAAGTTCCCTATGACGTTGAGCCCGATGCAGAAGCAACGGTTGAAGGAGATTCTGTGAGCTCCTTCTCCCACTCTGCCAGCTTCTGTCATTGGAACGGCAATTTGGGAATGGTTGCGTAGCACATGGGTTAGCTTATTGGTTTTTTTCCCTCGGCACATACATACAGCAAATCATGACAGGGGCGTTTCTGGAGTCTTTTGACGGTGCACTTTCTGGTTGGCTGGTGAGCGGAATGGAACGAGAACTGGGAGGGAGGGAGATTGGGGTTCAAGCGACGGTTAGCATACCGCCGCAACAGTACGACCCTCCCGCGCCGCGCTGCCATCTAGAATGGTTGGATTCTTTCTGGTAGGCATGACGCTGGGAAACTTTAGTTGGGCCCTTGATTAGCGACGCATTATTACGAAATTGATGAATGAATAAGCCGAGGTTTTGGAAGCAGGTTTGCTATAGAGTAATATATCTTGCATATCTGGCTGTGGAACTATGATTCCCATCAATGTCTTCGAAGCGATATCGGGTCGTAAATGTGTGTGGTTTGTTCGAAGAAAGCCTCTTTCTCAGGGCGCTCTACTATCATACCAGCGAGGTACCGAGCTTTCTCATGCTGGCATGAGTCGAATCCACTGGCATTCCACATACGCCGCCATCTAAGGTAGTTGATCGTTATCCGAGCTGCCTTCCACTCTTCAAACTCCTCTGGAATGGCTCGCGTGAGGTCAAGCGGCGGTCCACTTGTGCTTTTATTACCAGTATACACTACTACATTCGAAGGATTGCTCCAACGCAGGGTTTCTTCAGACCAAATCACGCTTCTCCCTGCAGCAGCCATAGCGTCCATACAAAAGGCAACGAGTGAGCGGGCCATTGGTAGGCTGTGACATAAACAAGCATTGCCATCTGATGTTTCGCATCTCATCCGCCCCCATACTGCCCTGATGCCGGATCCTTCCACGCTTATTGCATACCTAGTATGGGCCAAAAGCAACCAGTGCCGCTCAGTCTAGTGTCTCCTCGCCGAAAGTAAACGCACATCCACAAGTAATAAACGTAGTGCGTATCCAAGAAACTAGTAGAGCAGTGAAGAAACGAAGTCCCTCCGAGACCTAGGCTCGTTTTGTTTCAAACAATTGGTTGGGGTATGTCAAGTGACCAAGAAAAAGCCCCTTTTCCCTACCGATTCAGTACCGGGATGCAGAGAGATGCCAAATCTAGGGCCATATCAACCAATCCCAGAATCCGCCTTTGGGTATATGAATGGAAATTCGGACTGAAAGAACAGAATGATGAACAGAATACGTAGTAGCAATAACCGCCGGCACCTACCACTTGAGCTGGGCGACACGCGTTTTCAGATCTGGCGTGCCGGTCTTCAGGTTCCTCGAGCCGACCTGTATCGCCACCTTGCGCTTACGCAAGTCAAATTCGACTGCCCTGACCATGACCCGCTTCTCTTCGGGTATGGGCATCGCTGAGCGCTGTTGTCGCTGCTGCTGCGGAGAGCGGGGGCCAGGGAGCGAGCTGCTGCTTGAACCAGCGTAGGACGGGGTAGGGGAGGTCTCCCATCGGCCGTTGCCGTACTCTGCATAGGACCCGCTTTGAGGACTGCCATTGCTCGTCGAAGGACGGGACGGCATTTGAACGGGGCTGGAGCCGGGAGTCGGGATCGCGTTGCCATATCCGGAGCCGTCGAAGGGATCGACGTCCTCCTCCTCAACCTCGGCAATCCAAATGCCAATCCGCGCCGCGAGTTCGCTGTCCCACATCCCTTCCCTGCGAGCACTGCTCCTAAGCAGCTGGATGGCTTGCCGGCGGATATGTGGCTCGCGGCACTTGGTAGCGACGACGAAGAGCGGCGGAACGATGCCCAGGTCGGCGCTGAAGCTGGGTTTGATGTGGCGGGCGGCGTACTCGCGGCCGCCAAATATGTCGGGCTGTCCGTGGTGCTGGTGGCGGCAGAATTCTGGATCGGGGCACCGCCTGGCTGCCGCCCGCCTCTCCTCGTCACCGACGACCTCGAGAGCGAGGTCGACGATGCCCTTGAAGTAGGGCACAAATTTGTCGAAGTGCATCTCGCTGTCACTGAAGGTCATTAGGAAGAGAATCTTGCCCATGAGCTGAAACATCTTGAGCACGGCGATGGCGGCCTTCTCCTGGCTGCTTATGCCCGGAGCTGTTCGTGAAGAGAGGATTGGGTCGAAGGCTTGGGACCAGGCCTCTATGTCCGTTTTGAAAGAAATACCGTAGTGCTGCAGTGACGTGGGCAGCACGCCCATGACCCCGTTTTGTGCCTGGGCGAACATAACCTCGGTGAAGCGTAGCATGCGCTCGCAAAGCTTATCCCAAGCTACTCGAGCTTCCATGACGGATGCGAATCGGTCTGGAATAGCATCCCGGCTGATCCCTATTGGTGACGAGGCATCGGAAGAGGGCGAGGTCGGCTCTTGCGCGCGATTGGAGATCAAGCGCACAACATACGGCTGAGGGAAGTGGAACGCCATGTCGTAGGATTTCGCCTGTATCGCTAGCCGGGTGAACATCTGGGTGAGCTCCTCTTCCGCTGGCTCATCCGACGAAGCGAAGAAGTCCCGCCTTCTAACCCTTCTTTCAGCCCGCAACCGTTCCAGCAACTCCAAGCCTGCCTGGATTTGGCGAATGGCTGCTTTGTGATCGCCGACGAAGGAGTCGAAGCAAGCCAGCAGCACACTTGCCATCAACATGGTCCTCTTTGAAGTTGTCTCGGTCGAGTCGACGACTCTCTGGATAGCGTGGGAGTAGTGGTTGAAGGCCGTCTCCCAGTGCCGCCTTGCATTGTCCACCGGATCGCTATCCGGGTACGGGGATGACGGTGGGGATTCGTTCGACTTCTCCAGCGTCTTGTATAACGCGCCCAGCGCGATGACGGCGTGGCGGATAGCTGGCGCAGAGTGGCATTCTTGCAAAACACTGCGGGTCCAGAACGCCGAATCAAAGAAGCCCGAGAGCTCGTTTGCTGTGTGCTCACGGAACAGGTTGAAGTACTGGGCTTCCTGGTGGCTGAAGGGGAGATCCATTGACGGGTGGTACAGCATCACGACGGCGCTGGGTGTACTTGGCGTCATGGGCGGCGTGGTCCGTCGATGGTATTTGACGGCGCGCCTGGTAGGCAGCGGGATGAGCTCGCGGTTGGGTGGCCGCGCCGAGGCGCTTGGTGCCGCGGCTTCGAGCGGCTTCGGCGCGATCTTGATTTCTCCGAATTTTACTTTATCACGAGGAGGCGGTGGGTAGCCGGAGCATATCTTCTTCGAACGGATACAGTTTGCGCACGCAGGCCGTTGCTCGTCACATTTGATTCTCCTCTGCCTGCAAGTCCCCGACGTCAGCGCCGCTACGCGCATCTCGAGGCGGATCCTCTAGGAGCGCACAGGAATGCAGTCGAGAGCTTGCTTACTTGCAGTTATTACACCCGGTTTTGACCTTTGGCCTACTTGTCCTCAGCCGCTTTGGCTTCTGCGCAGCATCTCCGGACGCATCTGGGTTGCTGGTAGCCAGAGCCTGGGCCGTCGCAGCACCCATTGTCGATGCCATGACAGCAGAATGGCTGTTTGACTCTGAGGTCCTTCGGCTTATTGGAGTGAACGGCACCTAATACGTCGTTTCGGAATGGTTTCAAGACCGAAAACCCTCCAACATCCAATTGGGACGCCGAAGATTTCTGTGGCTTGTCGTCAAAGAACCACCAGAACAATGAAGCTCGTCCCTGGTAAGAGCCGCGGAGCCTTCCGGATCTGCGCCAGCCTAGGTAGTCCGCACGATGGGCGGGCGTCGCATGCAAGTCATTGAGCGGTGGGAAACGGTCCGCAACAGTAACCGATATCCGGCACACAAAATTCTAATATATGTAGGCAGAATGGGACTCGGTTGGTGGGGAGGACGACACTCGAAAATGACAAGGGGTACGGAGTAGTAAGGTCCAGGTCCGGGGCGAGGCTTGGGAACTCTTATGAGTTCGATTCTGTTTGGTCACCCCTGGGCCCTGCACCGGCCTCTGCAGCCGACCAGCCCGTCCACTGTATTGCAGGGATCAGACTGCGGATGCTCTGCGGCTCGCTCAGTACCCCTGCAAGTCCTGGAAATGCTGCGAGGATCCAAAGGTTCGTGGGGTTGATAACCGAAGAGTTTTTGTTCGCCGGGAATCAATCGCGTCAGCTGTGACCGGTTCTCCTGGGGCGCTGCACTGAAGGTCAACCTAGAGAATTGTCACTGCGTATCACGAGCCGAAGGGTTGATCATTGATACTCTCATGGTGACCAGGGTGCCACACGCCATCACTTCTTGGATGTCTCACTTTAATGGCTCGCCAGGAAGCCGGAGGATTGGCTCGTTGAGCAGGTTTTGGTTTACTGCCGAGATTCCATCATCGCTGATGGTGCAAGCTACTCGGACCTACTAGTAGGCATTGTACGGACACCAACGTACGTACATATCAGTTGTTCCCATTCATTGACTTCAACTGGGAAGCACTGCGCCCACCCCGGAAGCCAGTCCGTCCAGCGCAAAGCCACAGCACACTAAGAATGACCCGCGTGCCTGCGTTACCTCGGCCAGGGAGCACCGCCCCCGGAGCTTGCATCTCGCAGGTTGCAACTTCCTAGTGCGGTAAGTAAGACAATAAAGAAAGACGCACTCAGCGCTCGGGGAGATGGACGCCGTAGGGTTCGAGGAATCAACCTGGTTGGGCGGTTGCTAACCGAACCTGGGCAAGTGGGGAACAAGGGCTCGTAGGGCTGAAAGACTCGCATGGCTACGACTGCTACGAGTACCGTATCCATAGACCACGGTTCAGAATTTCAACTGCAATCACGGACGTGTCTGACTGGGTATTTCCCTCCCACTCGTGAGCAGACGCCCGTGGAGCGGAGGCCTCGAAGGATCCTTCAGCCAGCTTCTCTCCAAGCTTAGGTCCTCGGCATCCGCCATGACTGGCCTTATCCAAGGCAGAGAGATGGAGCGCAAAATCGAGAGACGGGCAGAGATAGCGCTTCGGTCGGCATTCGGGAAGGGTTCCTCGGGTATACTGTGTTGCGTTATTCCGTTACGCATAACTAATCGGTCCGTTCACATGCTCGCAGATTCGGTTTAGCTCGTTATCGGCTTTGGTGGAAGGATTCAGCCATCCCGCAGCGGCGAGGAGGCAACCCGCTCTGCTGGAACTGGTTCGTCAATCGTCTGCCTTCGCCTGACGGACTCTTGGGGGAGACCGGCAAATGCTCCTTACAGAGCTGCCCTTTACGAGAGCGGGCGAGAAGATTGGTGGCATAACTAACGGTGATATGAAACGAGCTCAAATATCACTTCTTGTGACTGCCACGTTGTGGTACCTCAGACCTTGTCGACTCATCACGAATGGCGACACAGACACGTTGGAGAACCGGGGCATTGCAACATCCTAGGGTGCCAGTGAACAACGGGCGGTGCGATTCTCTCATCCACGCTCGTTGCTCATGGTAGCACAGCCCATCCCCGCATGGAGAGCTCCCTGCAGGCTTGGCGTCCTTCCCCTGCCGGGGTCATTCTCCTGGATTTCCCTTTTCTGGATAGGTACCTACTAGCAGTTTCAAGGTTGCTGTTGCGATATTTTCCGGCCCTGCGCAGCAAGTCTAGCGAGAAGGCATGATTTTGGGTAGGTTCCTAAGGTATACTACACTTGAGAATCCTTGGAGCCCCAGTTGAATCTGAGCTAATTGTTTCCCGGTATCGAGATCCGCTTAGCGCGGAGGCGCTACTGTGGGAGGAAACCACCAAGTCGTCTTGGCATTGCATTTGACGGCACAGGTAAGAACAACATAAGGCCGGGCAGGTAGAACAATGGCCGGGCAGCCAAACAGATATGGTAAAACGCATCAAACTGGCCAAAACAGCGTTTTCTGGGCTTTTTGGGCCATTTTACATAGTTCCATAGATTCGGGCACTTCGAATTACCTTATTCCAAGTGCCCGTAGTCACATGCGCGTGCGCGATAGCCCTGTCCGCTATGGTATGTCAACCGGGTTCGCAATCCGGTATGTCAACCAGGTTCGCGATATGGTAGGTCGATGGTATTCGCGATCGATACGTCGACGGCATTCGCAATACGGTATGTCAGTGGCAATTGCGATATAGTATGTTAACCAAGTTAGTACTACTATGCGAATAGAACTAATATATCATATTACAAGCCTTCGGTAGATAGTTAATCCTAATATACTATCTTGCGAATGCTGTTGATACCGCATTGTGAACGCGGCTGATATACTATATCGCGAATGCCATCAACATACTCGATTACAAATACTATTAATCCACGGCACCACGAGCCTAGTCGACATACCCGATCGTGAATGCCACCGACATACCGTACCACAAACCCAGTCAACATACCCAATCGCAAATGCCACTGATATACCGTATCACGAATGCCATCGACCTACGGCACCATAAACGTAGTCGACATACCTAATCACGAATGCTACCGACATACTATATCACGAACCTGGTTGACATACCGCATTGCGAACCTAGTCAGGGTAATACGCGCGTGTACATGGTATTTTAGATGCGTAAATGGTTAGAATACCGTAATTCGAGGTCCTAGAATCCATAGAAATGCAATAAATCTATCAAACCTTTCAAAAATGCTCTGTTTTGGCCAGTTTGATGCGTTTTACCATATCTGTTTGGCTGCCCGGCCATTGTTCTACCTGCCCGGCCTTATGTTGTTCTTACCTGTGCCGTCAAATGCAATGCCAAGACGACTTGGTGGTTTCCTCCAACAGTAATTACCGTGCCAACACCCGCTAACCTGTTAAAGCATAGATAACCTTGGCACCCCAACCGTCCCAAGAGCCCGGGAGAGCTCGCTCACCGCCTCTCTTGTGCTGGAACGCAACTGATGAGCGCAGCAACTCTCAGCAATGCCACCCCCAGCCCAAATCGTGGCGCAGTCCCTTCCGGAAGATCGTGATCGGACGACAACGGTAACAAGACTTGTGCGAGACTGTGGGCGTGCTCCATCAATGCCCATAGCGACTGGCGTGACACGCTGACTGTCTCTTCGCGTCAAGCCCACCCAACGTCCCGTTTGGGTATCAACCTTCAATCGTGCCGGCGGCGCAATCTGTTTCCGCTTTCGAGTACTGTGGCCAGGACACGTCCAGGCCCGCGGCGGCCGGAGATGAGACGGCGATGGCCGAGCCAGGGGACCAGACGTGAATGATTCCCGGTGGCTTGGCTAGGGTTGGGGTAGGGCTGAAGTCAACTGTGAGGTGGGTTCACATGTTGGCCCATGACTTCAGTGCCGGAGTGCAGGATGCAACTTGCGCCGATCGACTGCGGGTGGCAATCCAGGGCCAATTGGCACACCAAAGATGAGACGCAGGATAGCCACTACCAACTGCAGGCAGTTCGTAGGGCTGAAATGAGGGGCATGCCTTTGGAACGGGCTGTGCGTCTTTCCTGGCCCCCGCGTGGTTTAACCGTCGCTTAGGACGAATTGCCGCCCCTTGAGGCTTCAAGTTGCCCAAACGCTGCCGGAAGCGGCCCGCCTGAGGGTTGTTGTTGTCTAATGTATGCTCTACGTTAGGATCTTCGCCAGGCAGTAGTACCTGCGAGGTTTTGCAGGAGAATGTCGAAACGGTTCATCATAAACAGCAGCAGAGCCGATCGTCAGATGGGCGGGGATCAGGCACGACGGGGTGTTCAAGTTCCCCGCATCCGTGGTGGCGATTGAACAATAACCTAACAAATGATTAGGTTAAGCAAATGCTACCTAGCGTAGGACGGTGGAGGGTTGCTTTTGTCGTATAAGACGTATGGCTGCCTCCGCGCCGTTGCTTCGTCGGCTCATCGTAGGCAGACTCAGCGGGTGTAACAATGCTGACGTAGTGGAGGTGGTGGAAGCACTGTGCAGGGTGCATTGCTGTTCTCCCACAAGAGGGATTGCATACGAGGGTGCTCCTTCTCTTGAGCGGAGGAGGGCTACCACCGTAGATCCACTTTTCAAGATCAACGATGAATATCAGTGACCGGGACCTCGCCTACTAAGGAGTACAACCTAGCACTACCACCCGGGCATTTACCCTTACCCGAGAAACCATCTCATCATGGCACCTCCAACCCTGTCCGAGGTCATTTTCCCCGAGCAGGCCAACCACAACTTCTCGCGCATCTTGGGCGATCTCAAGCGGGCTAACCTCTCCGTCACGAATCGGCTGCGGTCCATAGCTCAGGATGCCGCCTTTGCTGAGGAGGTTGCTTCCGCGCTGGAGCTGCCGCTTGTCGCCAACGAGCGGTGCGGCAGCTGGTACATTGACCCGGAGTGTAAGGTCGGATCGGCGTACTTCAAGAGCACCGACGGGCACACGGGCCAGTGGAAGTTCAGTACCAGGAGGTTGAACTTGCACTTGTTGGAGTTGATCGGGGAGAGGGATGGGTATGTGCTTTTTGCGACGGCTTCTTGGGCGTCTTGTTTCTTTCCGTGGTTGTTTCGTCTCTTATGTCGCTTCATTCATCCTACTCGGTCACTCCGTCTATTCATTCCTTTGCTATGATTTCCGCATACGATCCCTTCACTCACCTACCGGTTGCCCACAGCTGCATCATAGTGGACTCAACCCGCCGAGGCAAGCGTAAGGACCCCCTCTGTCGCCCATCACCGTCCCGTCCCGTACGTGACAAAAACTTCATTTGATTAACAAAAGTCCAGGAATGCCCGACGCGCTGAGCAAAACCATCCCAACGTGGTGTGCCGTCCTCAACCGCGTCCTCTTCCCCTCCCAGCCACATGCGCTCTACGTTCCGCCCAACACTGTCTCCTCATCCGAAGCAAGTCAGATCTCAGCGCTGCTTCCCGACTTTGTCTCCTCCTTTCTCTCACTGGCCATCGACCTCGCCCCGCTTCGGCGGACCCTGAAGAAGCCACTCCGCCCGTTCTGGATCACACCGGAAGATGACCTCTCCCTTACCGCCGACGGCTTAGCAGGGATTGCTGAGGAATACCACCCCGTAGTCTGCTGCACCGCTTCTCGTAGAGTCGTCGGCGCTGAGATGAGCGAGGCCGGGTACATCCAGGGGGCGGGGGACGATACGGAGAACTGGGCGTTGGGCCTGACGGCGGAGGTGTTTTGGCGGCATCGCGAGACGTTGCTTGCGGCGAGTGAGAGTGAGTTGCCTGGTTTGATCGGAGAGTTGGTTGCTTCGGACAATGAGAAGGTAAGGGGGGAGGATGTAGCGGTGGTGAAGAGGGTAGCCCCTCCCGGGTTGTTTGTTGGGACCCTGGCGGCCAAGGAGAGGAGTTTGCGTGATGCAGCATGTGTTGTTGCGGTGGTTCCGGGCAATACGGAGCACAGCGAGTGGGTTAAAGGCCCGGCGCATATGGAGGTCGGGCTAAGAAAGAGCAAGACGGCGAGTCGGTTGCTAAGAGACGCGCTACCACGGATCTGCGATTTTGTGCTACGGTACCTGAAGAAGTCGGAAACGGGCGAAAATGGGCCGTCCGGGGAGAAGAAGGTGGTGGTACTATGCGAATCCGGAAAGGACCTGTCTGTTGGCGTCGCCCTCGCGGTGTACTGCTGGTGCTTCGACGACTCCGGAAACATACGGCCGGATGACAACAGAGTTTCATTCAACAAAACGGCGATCAGGGTGAGGCTGGGACACATTGTGACGTCCTTCCCCGAAGCCAACCCCAGCAGAGCAACTTTGCAGAGCGTGAATAGCTTCTTGATGGACTGGCGGAGATAGAAGGAAGGAAATAGGGATTGGGCGAAAAATAGTTTAAATAGCTGTCTTCCATCTATCCATCAATGCTCCGAGCCTGAGATAAACAACACAATGGCGCTTAATCACGCTCTTCTCAAAACACCTTACCGTCAGGACCAAAGAATCTGACTCAAATCAAGCGAACAGGCATGCTACACCTCGCCGCTGTCGATCTTCGCCAAGCAGTCCTCGAACTCGCTCCAATGCTGCATAATCACCACGGCACCCGCCTCCTTCAGGATCTTGGTCATCTTTTCCCTCTCGCCCTCCGCGTACGGCCCAACATAGCCGATGACCTTGAGGCCAGCCCTCGTGCCGCTGAGCGTCCCGCTCTTGCTGTCCTCGACCGCCACGCACTCGTCGGCCGTCTTCCCCAGCTGCTTCATCGCATGCAGGTAGATAGCCGGGTCAGGCTTGCTCGTTGGCGTCGGCAGGCTGGTCGCGGCGCTGTAGATGTCGTCGCCGAAGTACTTGGCCTGGCCGACCTTCTCGACGCTGGCCTTGACACGGCGCAGCGCGGAGCTGCTCACGACGGCCAGCTTGTACTTCCCGGACGCGGCCAGCTTGGTTAGCACGTCGTCGACGCCCGGGCAGGCGACGAGTTTCTCGCGCAGCTTGGCAATCACCACGTCCTCCTCGCGCCGCACGTAGTCATCCAGCTCGGCCGGCGTCATATCGAAGCCGTACCGCTTCTGCAGCGACACCATCATGCCCCGGAAGTTCTGCCCCACGAACTCGATGATGAGCGACTCGCCCGTGAAGGGCCGCTCTAGCGGGACATTCTTGGTTTTTGCGATCTCGTTGATCAGGTCCGCGCAGCCTTCGAACGCGAGCTCCTCGGACAGGACGAGGGTGTTGTCGCAGTCGAGGAGGATAGTGTTGATCTGGAAGCGGGAAGGGCCATTAGAAGGGTTGAAGAGTGGGGGTTTAGCGGTGGATTGGGAGTGTTGTTTACCTTGCCCATTGTGACGGTTGTAGGTAGCTGCTCGATGGTGTCTTCGGTGTTTTGCCAAGCGGATGGGACCAAGATCGTCTTCAGTTCGATGCGTTGCGGGTGACTCGAGAGGATGGTTGTGGGTAAGAGACTAGGAACTGCATGCGTTTTCTCCAGTTTATGCTCAAACTGTGCCTGGCGGAAGAAGATCAATGCGAAACCCAACAGTCCGAACCCCGCCGCAGCCGCCCCGTCCATTAGTTACCCCTCCAAATCCAGGGCACACTTGTATGCCGATCATGTCGTCATCAGTGGGACTCTAGCGGCTGTCCCTGAAACCCTGAAACAGCGGCCTATCAGAGAGGCCGAAACACGCCCAAATTTAGCGCGTCCGTTTGGGGAGGCGGGGCAAGTTGTCTACACGTGTATCGACGAGATCTTGGCGAAATTTCCACCCTTCACCGTGCCGCTAGAGCCGGCCGATGCTGGCGCCCGCTTTGGCTCTCCGAACTTGAAGCGAGTCTCTGGTTGTGAAGGTTTGGTAGCGCCACCAGAAGACCCCGCGGGGGCGGTTTTGGATGAAGCGTCCTGTGGTGATCTGACTGCCCTGATTAACCCTCCTTCCTGACGTTACTCAGGATTACTGGATCGAGGAGTAAGATCTCCGCCGCAATCCTCAAATTCAGGGTCCAGTTATAAGGTAAGATAGCCCTGCTGGGACTTGATGTCTCTTGAGATGCCTAGGCGAGATCCGAGAACCCCAACCACAATGCCTGTCGGCCGCACGTGCATGGTAAGACATGACATCCATTTCGAGGACAGACATCTCCATGGCATTTTTTTGGTTCTCATACAATCCCTTCAAGTATCATCTGACGGCTCCGGGTCCATGTTCGATTGGGATGGTTATACAGAATTTCAACAACCCAACCATGCGCGACGTGCGCGACGTACAAGCAAGCCCCGATTTTTGGGCTTCCGAGAAGAGAGCTGCAGTCTTAGTGTCGTTTGCATAGGTATACATACCTTGCACTCACCTCACCGGCGGTTTGTCTATCGTAGCGCGGGACCCTATCATAGTTCTCTTGGTGTGTATACATACAATGGAACCCCAGACGTACGCCACTCTATAGCCCTCAACCACCAGGTGAGACATTTCAAACAAGTTCAAGGTTACTGGAAGGTGACTAATGCGCACTCTCGAACCCATACCCCCGTTTCATCCGTTTCGTTAATTCTATCACAAGCCACCCTCACAGTGGCGGCAACTCCTCCCGGCAGATCGGGCACTGCAGCTTATACCTGAACCACCCCTCCAGGCACTTCGTGTGGAAGATATGCCGGCACGGCGTGACCATGTACGCCCTCCGCGCAAACACGCCGACCAGTCCGCCCGCAGCCGAGGGATCCTTGGCATTGGCCCTGACCACGGGGACCTCCAAGACCTCGGTACAGATGGCGCAGTCGATCGGTCGCAGTGCCATGCCGTGTCTCTTCAACTCCTTTTCCCTCTCCCTTCTCTTCGCCCCATCATCGTCCCCACCACCATCGGGCTCCCCGGTGCCAAATGACCACGACCGCCTGGTCCTCCCCGCCACCGGCGAGCTGGCGGTGCTGTCAGGCGACTCCCCTGAGGACAAGGCCGCCGAGACTAAGCCAATGGGCAACCCGCCCGCCTCGACGTTATCCTCCCGCAAGACGGGGTGATAATCCCACACGTCGGGACACCAGCGCTTCGGCACGCCGAACCTCGGGCCCAATACGTCCTGCACGGCCAAGACCACCAACTGCACCCACAGCCACCCGACAAGACAGAGGAAAGACGTGGCGTCGGGCTCCACGAATAAGATATTATCATGCCGGAGATAAAAGTAGGCAAACGGCAAGAGTCGCAGCACGGACTGGCCGATCATGAAGCGCCAGGCGAAGGCGCGGCGGCTGTTGCGCATGATGTTGCGGCGGATCTGCGGGAGCCAAAAGGCAAGGTAAGCGAAGGCGAGGAAGTTGAAGTAAAGCGCGCGGGCACGCGGCGGCCAGGTCATGGACATTGCGGTGACAATTAGGGTTGCGATGCCCAGGGTCACGAATGTCCCTGTTATGGATGCAAATGCGCTGACGCGCGGGCGGGGAGGGACGGTGGTGGTGGTTGCTGGTAGAGGGAGGGCGGCTGCGCCTGTGCCTCCGCCTGAGGCGGTGTTCTCGGCTATTTCGGCGTCCATGTCCTGATCGGAGGGAATTATGATTGGGGGTGAAGGGGTGCGAGCCGGTCGGGCGGTCGTGGGCGGAGCGGCAGAGTTCGCTACCGGCGGGTTGACAGGGGCCGGGGCGGGAGCGGGAGCGGCAGCGGGAGCGGTAGGCGCCCGTGATGTGCCTGCATCGTTGGCTCGGCTTTGCTCGCGCCTCCGTTCCGGCTCTTGATGCTTGTATATTTCGGACAAGAAGCCCGCGCCGATCGTCATTGACATGAAGGCAGCGAAGGTAAGCATTAGGGAAGGTAGGAAAGTGTTGGTTGCGGAGAGACTCCAGGCCGACGAGCATGCGAAGACCAAGCCGTCGGCCAAAAGCATCATGGCAGCCGTGTGGAAGCTGATACGGCCGAGTGTGGAGGGTGTATTCGACTCCTTCATCTGCTCCTTTAGCAGCCATAGCTGCGCCATCAGGACGGCGGCAAACCCAAACATCCATGCCTTGGTTCGCGATAGCAGGACCTCCGATTTCACGCCGACAAGGTGCTGCCCCTCGGCTGAAGGGAACAGAGGTGGGCCTTTAGACTCGAGGTAGTAGGCGCAGTCCGGGGACCAGGCCACGAGCGACATGCGGAGATCCGGCTTCCCATTAAATGGGGCTCCAGTGGGGAACCGAAGCTCTTTCTCCAGCTGATCGACCAGAGGGACATGTCGGCCATCGACTCCGTCTTGGCCGATGTACAGAGGGTCCAGCGGGTGTAGTTGCAAGTACATGACGTACTCGCACCGCGGCACCGGGATCGAAACATCCTCCTCCACCACGGGGGTCCATGGGTTGCTGGGGTCTGCGAACCTGCTGCGCTCCTTCTTGCCGAGAATCTCGTCCAAGGTTTGGTTCAGGAGTCTCTGGCTCGTCTGGTAGAACTCCGGGCTGGGAGCGAGATGAGGAAGGCCAAAGATGCCCGAGAACTTCTCGGTGGTAGTGGTCAGGAGGATCGAGCCCTGTCTCGGCCAGTGGACGCCGTGCAGCCGGACAGCGAAACTAGATGTCGAACTTGTCTCGTCCTGGATGTCGGCCACGGCCGAAATCTCCCTTACCACAGCTGCTGAGTGCGCCTGCTTGCCATCTTTTGTTGGTCCTTCTTCAAAGACACCATCGCCGGCATCTTCGGAGAGGCGCAGTAATATGGTGCCGTGAGAGCCAGTGACATTCCAACCCCATTCGACAGGGCCATCCAGCCAGTCGACACCCGAGGCAATCGCGGTGAGGTTGTAGTCGCCGGCATGCTTCACGACCGACCCTCGCCGGCGCACCCACTTCCCATGCACGGTGCCAGTGGCATTCTGCCAGGTTCTCGGCACCGGCCCATGATCCCACTCGTCGGCCCCCTTAAGCGGCGGATAGGCGTGACGGCTCCATTGACGGCAGCGGTCCTTGAAGTACGCTAAATCACCCCAGGCGTAGCCATCGGTCTCTCGGAAGCCAGTCAGGTTGAGGAAACGCGGCGCCTGCCAGGGAGGGCGCACCTCCCTGGCCGCATGCGGAGCGAAGTCACCCCAGTTGGTACTGTTTAGTACACCAAGCGCGTCCCTCAAGCGGCTGAGGCGAGAATCCCCCCTGAATGGTGCTGAGATCAGGGCAGGGCCGTCATTCCGGGATAAGAGCGTCAAGAAGAAGATACCGAGTAGCAGCCAGATTCGCGCATTTTCCCGTGACAGCGCAGGCATCGCGGCGGCAAGAGATGGTCATCGCTCGCGCATGCAAAGATGGTAATCCTATCGTCGGAGAAATACTGTCATGGTTTCGCTGTTGGCTGGCCAGATAGGTGGCACGTTTTCTGGCGGACGGGTGATGGTTGTAGGTACGGAGGTAATGGCTCGCGGTTCGATTAGGAATACGGACTGACCCGCTATAATGCAGACCCATACCTATACAGTTCAGCGCCTGAATGATTGTTAGCGCGAGACTTGGAACGCCAGGGTCAGCCCCAACATTTCAACTCGGTCGCTTGTTCCGCGCTAATAACCATTCAGGGGCTGAACTGTACTGGCGCACATGGGCTGAGTATGTACAGTATCTTACGCATTCTTCCGTACATATACAGTAGGAAACACCTTATGTATGGAGGTAGCAACTCTAGTCGGGCCGTGCTGTATTTACTATCGTAAGAAGTTACCTGGTACCCAGGTACCTACCAGGTAAGGTTACCCCCCCAACTCCTGTCAATTCGCAACTGGCACTTGTCCCTCAAGTCAACACACAAACACAGTTGCCGAGTCAGCTTAGGATACTTGTCAGGTTACCACAACGTTTTTGGAACAGATCCGTCCTATGCACCCATGGATTCAAACAAAGACTCTACGTCGACAAAACAAGCCACAAGCGTGAGTGAGCCCCGTTCGAGTCTCTATCGGACCAACTCATTGCTTACCTTATATAACCGGCTTAGACAAACGAAGACGCGGCAGCCGAGCTGTCCGCCCAGCTTGAGGATCTGCTAAACACCCTCTCCAACCGGTTTGCCGGTGTGTCGAGCGAGATTTTCGCTAAGAGTATGCTTGTTTATCTCATGCCAGGCTCGAAACCGATAGAAGCTAACAACCAGCAGTGGATGAGATGCAGCGCCGCATAGACGTCCTCGAGGCGCAGTTGGCTAACAAGGACAAGAACTCCGGGTCAAACTAATGCCTGGGATGAGGCTAGGGCATTCTGTCGGGCACGGCCGGAGTTCACGGAGTTGAGTAGGGAAACGCCACCGGTTGTGACAGTGGCTCAGTTATTAGGCCGGGTTAGAGAACCAGTCGTCAGTAAGGGGCCCTTTCGGCGTTTGGTCGGCCAAGTTTAAGAAGCAGCACAATATCCATGTAGTTACACATAGCTGGCTCTACCGCCAGCGTCAACTAAGGTATTCAAAAGACACTTAGAGCTCTTCCTTATCGTGCTCCTTCTCACCGCCAGTCGCCTTCTCGACGAATTTGCGGAGGACGTTGGTCTTGCTCACGAGCTCATCCAGCTTATTCGGCGCCAACCCACCCTTCTTGATGATACCCTCGAGGCGCGCGAGCTCCTTGGCCGCATACTCCTCGCTCTTGCTCAGTTTGTCAAACACACGGAGGTAGTACTCGGCGTACTTGGCCTGAGCCTTGTCCTTCAGGCTCTCAGCGGTCTTCTTCGCTTCGGCCGCTGCCTCGCTCAGCGCGGTGCCACCAACAAGCTTAGCTACGATGCTGTCGAGCGCCTCAACAGTGCCGGCCGTCGCGTCGACACCGCCACCGACAGCGCGGTGGGTACCCGCCTTCTCGTTCAGGAAGGTGACGAACGCCTCCTCTGTCCGCCCGCCGCTGTAGTCCTCGGGTGTAGTGCTGCCTGCCGGGAAGAACTTGATAGTCGGGTATCCGCTCACACCGTACTTGGCCGCAGTCTTCTTGCCGGTCTCGGCATCAGCGTCAACCTTGGCGATCACGACGTTGGGCTCGCTAGCAAAGTTCTCGGCGAGAGTCTCCCAGGTGGGTGCGAGATTCTTGCAGTCTAGGATACTGTTAGTGTGGCCCTTTCGAGAAACCTAAGGAGCGTGCTTACGTCCGCACCATGGGGCTGTAAAGGCCACCAGGACGTGCTTGTCGCCGCCAATCTGCTTCTCGAACGTCGCGTCTGTGAGCATGACGACGTTGCTAGGCTTCTCCATCTTCTTCCTTGCCCGCACACCCGTCTTCTCCGTAATGAAGTTGGACAAGCTCTCCAAGTCTCGCCCGCCATTGTACTCCGTCGGCTTGTCGCTCTTGCCATCAAAGAACTTTAATGTCGGGAAGCCCTGTACCCCAAAGCGCTTGCCCAGATCCCGCTCGGCATCAGCGTCGACTTTGGCGATCTGCACCTTGTCCTTGGCGTGTTCGAAGGCAAGGGCGAGCTCCTCGTAGACCGGAGCGAGGTTCTTGCAGTGCCCGCACCACGGAGCAAAGAACTCAACAAGTGTCGGCTTGCCAGACTTCAATACTACCTTGTCGAAGTTGCTCGGAATAAGGTCGAGAACAGCGGACTTGGCGGTGACGGCAGCCGCGAGACCGGCGAGCACGAAGCTCTTGATGAGAACCATGATGCTCTGACTAGGACTAAGATGGGAAGCAATTGGAAGAGATTCGAGGCAGGTCGCTTCACTGAGGCAAGATCAAAAGCAGAAAAGGTCACCAACAACAACGCAACCAAAAGTCTGTGCAGGTGGCGACAGGCAAGAGGATGCTTTGAAATCGCAGCCAAAAGAAGCCACTTTGCCTGTCAATCGGCTGTCAGCAGGGAGCTTACCCCTGTCCCTGGTTGCTGCGAAGCCCCGCTAAAAGCTACTAAGTGGTACGGTATGTGCATACCGTGTCGTGGCCAAGGAGGCACTGTGCGCTGGTGAGATTCGAATCCCATCTCAATTGCGATAAGACGATAAGCCACACGCCACACCGCACCAGCCACCAAATGCAAGCCCTCCCGCACAAATTCTCCGCCAATTTGACCAGCTCGATTTTCGGCGACCATCCGCGAGACCGACCGCATTTCCAAGACGACAACCCCCGCGTACCCAAGCCGATTTCCCTGCTCTCGAAAGAGAAAAGCAAGCCAGGCCACAAAAAATCGTCAAAATGGCTCACGAATCCGTCTGGAACTCGCGCCCGCGCACCTACGGCAAGGGCTCCCGCGCTTGGTATGGACCTCCCAACACCCACCTAGCCACCCAATCGACCACATCGGGGGATCATCGGGGAGGAAAGGGAACGTAACAACCAGAAGGAGTATGCTGACGAGCGATTCTGAAGCCGCGTCTGCACGCACACGGCCGGTCTGATCCGCAAGTACGGCCTGAATATCTGCCGTCAGTGCTTCCGCGAGAAGGCGGCCGACATTGGCTTCGTCAAGGTACGCCTCGCCCGGTCGATGGCCCTTAGAAACGAGCCGATACCCAGCTCCTGGATATTGGGTCTCATGCTCGAGCGTGTTCGCGTCTAACACCAACTTCCTCAACAGTACCGGTAAACGATACCATGGCAGCGCGGCGGTGAAGATGGGGGTTGGCCTAGGGGATGAGTGGCGGAGATGAAGGATGAGGGGATGCGGCTTACGGCCACCGGATCTACCAGGCCCAAGGGCATGTCATCGGCTCACGGACGGGGAAGGAAATAGAAGGCGCCTAAGGGAACGGAACCAGGAACCGATGCCAACTTAGGTACAGATCCCCAGTTAGGATGCCCAAGTTCGCCGGCTTTGGGAGTTCATACGGAGGGGGTTTACTTGTTTGCATGGCTTTGGGCGAAAAGGGAAATGCAAAATGAATCCAGGAATCCATCCAATGTCTCTTCACTTTCGTCCTCTCGACCGATGGGAAGACTTTCCCTTATTCTACGGGAATTCTGCTTCCGGGCTAAGTTACTCATTGTGTCTTTTGACATGCATTGCTCGACATGCCGAGAGAGTAACATCAACGCGGCGTGCTGGATATGGCTTCGCACGGCGGGTTGCTATGAGCGCTCAGGGAAACCGGGGCCGAGGGTCTTGATCATGAACCTTCATTATTGCCTTACATATCCCGTCTCTATACTACAAGATTTAGACAACTATAGAAGGGAAGGGGAGATCAGTGAGCCCTGGTCCATCCCATACGGGCGGCTCCCCCAGCATGTTGCGTTAAGAAATACATCATGGCATAGATTGTACAGTATATTCTTTCGACTCCCCAGCGCCTGCCCGCCTCCCATAGACCCAAGGGACCCTGTGCCCTGTGTGCCACCGACATCGTATATCAATGCCGCAGGTACTCTACTCGATGATCCGGGTAACGAGACCGGTGGCCACAGTCCGGCCACCCTCACGGATAGTCACACGCATACCAGCCTCGATGGCGATGGGGTTGTGGATCTCGGCGACCATCTCGACGTTGTCACCGGGCATAACCACCTTAGCTTCGGGATGCTCGGTGCCCTCGGGGAACATGAGCGTGCAGGCCTCGTCGGCGGAGCGGATAAACATCTGAGGGCGATAGTTCTGGTGGAAACCGGTGTGGCGCCCACCTTCTTCCTTGGTGAGGGCGTACAGGGAGAGGAGGAACTTCTTGTGGGCGGTCACGGAGCCAGGCTTGGCGACCACCATGCCACGCCTGACGTCCTCGCGGCGGATACCACGGAGCAGCAGACCCGAGTTGTCGCCGGCTCTAGACTCCTCGCAGGACTTCTTGAAAGTCTCGATATCGGTGACCTTGGTCTTGATGATCTCGGTGCCCTTACCGACGAGCTCGACATCGGAGTCCTTCTTCAGGAGACCCCGCTCGACACGACCCGAAACGACGGTACCACGGCCGCCAATGGAGAAGACATCCTCAACGGACATGAGGAACGGCTTCTCGGTGTCGCGCTCGGGGGTCGGGATCCACTCATCGACAGCCTTCAGAAGCTCGTCGATCTTGCTCTCGCCGATTTCAGGGCGCTTGCCTTCGAGGGCGCAGAGGGCAGAGCCAAGGACGACGGGCGTGTTGTCACCGTCGAAGCCGTAGGAAGAAAGAAGCTCGCGCATCTCCATCTCGACGAGCTCCAGCATCTCCGGGTCCTCGAGGGCGTCGACCTTGTTGACGAAGACGACGATGCGCTGGACGCCGACTTGCCGGGCCAGCAGCAAGTGCTCACGGGTCTGGGGCATCTGACCGTCCGAGGCGGCCACGACGATGATGGCGCCGTCCATGCTGGCAGCACCAGTAATCATGTTCTTGATGTAATCGGCGTGACCGGGGCAGTCGACGTGGGAGTAGTGCCTGTTCTCGGTCGAATACTCGATGTGGGCAGTCGAGATGGTGATACCACGCTTCCGCTCCTCGGGGGCCTTGTCAATGGAGCCATAGTCGAGGAAGTTCGCCAAGCCCTTCTCGGCCTGTCTCTTGGTGATAGCGGCGGAAAGGGTTGTCTGGACGGGATCTGGTTAGTGGAGTTGCAGAGGCAGAGGCAGAGGCAGAGGCAGCGCATGCGATGGCATTGGCGAACCTTTCCGTGGTCGACGTGACCAATTGTGCCTGCATTCTGCAGTCAGCACGAAGAAAACCTTGACGGAGGGCAGCAAAGTGCATACCAATATTGACGTGAGGCTTCGTCCGCTCGTAGACGGCGTATGTGCGGGCAAAGTTCAGGACGGGTGTCCTCGTCTGGCGCTGCAGAGAGACCAGAGGGCTCTGGTTCTGACGAAGGGAAAGGCGCGCCGTCCGCAGGAACGGGGCGATTGTCCTTAGTGAGGCAGGCATCTTGGAGAGTCGCTCACAGAAACACCGAAAGAGCGGAGGGGAGCGGAGATGTGGAATCGACAAGTCGAGCTTGTGACGGAGCGTCTCAACGTGGAAAATTTGGCTCAAAACTAAAAGTTCGGCAATGGGTCCGAGGCGGCCATGCACGGATCGCTCTGCACACCGTGCTAGTCCATGTATCTACTTAATCTTCACGTGGTTTCGTGTGCCCCACGCCCAATGCCACGCGTTCCACGACACAATTATGGATAGGGTATTCTATTTCGGCAGAGGGAATCCTGTAGGCTCTAGGTGCTGAATGCACTGAACCCATGGCTGAAGGGGTTGCAATCTGACATGCCCATTTGTACTATGAAAAGAAGGCACATGAGATCTAATGATGATCCAGCTAATGACCGAACAGGCGGGGCAATTGAGTTCACGACAAGATTGTAGAAGGCGGTGACGGGAGTATATCAGACACCGATGTTGGCTGGGCTTGGGACTGTGGGAGACGGAAAAAATTCGTTCTTCTGAACAGTATAGGATGGCTTCATTTTTGTTTTCTCCCATCTTTCATTTCTTCTTCTTATCTCTTCTCATTCTCTTTTACAACGTTGTCCTTCTACCATTTCCTTCACTTGAAGAATCAAGTGCGTTTGCTTCACCCGATCTCGCTTAACTCCCGTCGTCGAGGTACCAGCCAGCAGTTTGGCCCCTTACGTTTACGACCTTTTTTATCCATGAGGAGCCGCTGTTTTCTACCTCACATTTCATTTCCGATTGCACCTTGATCTCAATGTAGTCAATCTCAGACCGGCGTCTCTTGCTCATTTCGGTGCTTGGTTGCCCAAATCCCGGGCCACATCCTCGTCTCTTATCTTGTAAGGGAAAGTGCGACGGGAAACGAACTCGATGAATGTGAGCAGCTCCCTCCCGACCAACATACGCTGCGTATTACTGCGCCTATCAAACGAAGACTCCCAGCCTAGATAAATCAGTCACTATGCCAAAAGCAACTTGAAACGATAGTTCCCTGGGAGAAAGCTCCAGTCGAATCGTTGCGGGTCGATAACCATTGCGGCGTTTAATCGGATGGGACAGATTGTTTGAGCCGTTCAGCCAAGTGTGACGGGATGCCTGGGAAATATTTGTTTACCGCCCTACTACGAGACACATCGTCAATTGAGTGCTGGATATTAGCATTGTTGACTGCTAAGGGCGCAAAGTGCAGGCAACAGGTTGGGATCACCACGATGATGCAGCGCGGAGGGTAGCGTCACTTCGTTGAGGCTATGGCCTCTCCAAGGCCGGGTGATGTTGTTGCACGGGTAAGAACATCTCGGAATGGGCCATGCCTGGCCACAAGCAGCAGATGGCTGCCGTTTGCGAAGACCTCCGGCCTCACTGCTCCTGTCCCCAATCTCTGAATACTCCTGGAACGGCGCCCACATCCCGTCTGGCCTTGGCTCGCCAGCGCCAAGATGTCTCGACGTCGCGGTGGTGTTTCCGTGAGTCCGGGGCAGAGGCAAGCTCAACGCTCTAGACCTTGCGGCTTCTTTTTGAGACAAGGTCCGGGAGAATACAGTCCCGCAGTTGTTTCTACGTCTGAGAGGCCCGGGACGTGCTTCACGCCCCTGCAAGCAGTCAAGCACTGAACATGCTCGGCCAGCCTGCCATTCTCGTTGGCCAAGCTTTGCTGGCCAAGAGATCTTCGAAGTCAAGTCTGGGGGCCGAGCGCTGCCCAGAATCGGTAATCGCCTCGGCAAAGCTTCGCCACTTGGAACAATTGAACGCTTGGCAGTCTCAAGTGCGATTGTGAACCGTGATCGACCAATTCAAGAGCTTGCAGTACACTGTAGTGTAGTAGTATGTCGAAGCAATAAAGCAACCTGAAGGCACTTTTACGCGGGGATGTTGCTCTTGGCGGGGCGTTTGCATTACGCGGCTGACTCGCCTGAACCTTCCTGGCCCCAACGCCCCCGTCTTTTATCTTCATTCTCCGCCTGCAGCAGCGTTTGGTGTGCTAGGACCTCCTCACGACATTCGCTTGTGCTTCCTGTATGCAGTACACCCGGATGCGTGATCGCGATCAACCAGCGTTTGCTCTTGGAGTCTACTTGGCAAGTGTCACCTCCGTTTCAAGCGCATGGACGTTGTCTATCCCCTCTCCTTGCCAAGCACTCTCCCGGTTCCAGCGACAGCAGGCCGGCCCAGGCATTCTCCAAGGCGAGAATGCCTCCCATTAGTTCGAGGACCGAAGTCGTCCAGATGATCTATATAGTACCATCTGCAGTATCCTCCGTTTCCGCTTCCCTTTTCTGTCTGCCTCGTGAGCTGTGCTCGTTCGTCCTTTTGTCGGATATCTTGAGGGTTCCCTTTCTCTTGCTGTGCTCCCTATTTTTCATTTCTTTCGCTGGTCGTCGCCGCTGGTCGCCTTACGTTATTACTACTTAATCCTTTCCCTCGGACACACACGATCCATCTCTTTTGCCCAAGATGGTGAAGTATGCCTTTGTTGCTTTTGCCGGAATGGCCGCGGCACTGCCGCTGAATATCAACCTCGGGGCCTACTCTCCGGCCCTCGTTGTCGGTACGATGCCGCCCTCATTCCCTTCCCACTCGGAGACTCGATGTTTTGCTGACGGACCAACAGGTGATGGTGAAATCAGCTTTGGAGGTAGGCAGGACGTGTCGAATTTAATCACTGCGCTCGAAGGCGCTGCGGTTAACGCAGCCGCAGGCGCAGCAGCAAACACGGGTGCGGGTGCGGGTGCGGGTGCGGGTGCAAACACCGGGGAGGGAGCGAGTCAAGTGGTCGCCGCCGCCGCCGCCGGCGGCCCTGTTGCTTCTACTGTTGCTGCCCCGACCCCGGTGCCCGACACGACCGAGAACGCAGCCACAGATCCGGCCCTCGCCCAGCAGGTTGGTGCCCCGTCCGGACTGCCGAGGACAAGGACGCTTGACTAATACACCTTGGTCCACCCCACTAGGCCCAGCAAATAGCTGGTCTCCAGGGTCTGGGGAAAGCAAAGGCCATCGCACCTCGCATCGGCGCCGACGAGAGCCCCAAGATGGACAAGCGGGACATTGCCGGCTTTGACCGGGCCCTCAAATATGCCGAGGCCGCTTTGACGAAGGGTCCCAAGGTTCAGCTCGGCACCGGTGCCGAGGGCTCCGGCGTCGGCATCATTGTCGACAACAATGCCAATACCGGTATGTCATCTCCGGCTTGAAAATTCTTAAGGGGGTCGTCTATGAGCATGCGGAATCCCCATATATTCTCTCAACTTCGTCTCTTCTTGGAAGTAGTAGGGATCAAAGAGAATACCCTAGAATGCTGACCTCTCCCGATCAACAACAGCAGCAGCGCAACCAGGAGCTCAGCCAGGAGCGGAAGCCAAGAAACGGGACGTCGCCGGCGCCACCGCCCCCCGGCGGCGCGCGAAGGTGACGACCATGTATGTGCGCCGCGGCATTCCTGAAGTCCTCCGATCCCCATCGGACAGCGCCGCCATTGCCGCCCGGGCTCCCGGCCCAGCTCCAGCTCCGGCACCGGCACCGGCACAGGTGGCCGCTGCCGCGGAGCCCGTCGTCCCTGTCTCTGTCTCGAAGCGTGCCGAGAGCACCTTTGACGCGGTCAACCTGAATGTGGATGCCGAAGCCGGAGTGACCATGACTTTCGTCGAGTCTTTGGATGATGACGAGGAGGAGGTGGATGCGTGACGTGTGCCATAGAGCATGTTTTGTCGGTTATGAGTCTGCTTTGTTTTGTGAGAAGGTTGGGTTTCGGTTTGGTTGGTATGAGTGCAATATGGGTATACGGAGTCCATGGTCGAGTTGAAACGAGAGCGGAGCGAAGGAAGTCCGAAGATATTCGCCTGTTGTCTTGGAGTTGTGTATGTATTGTATTGTACAATACACCATTCCTCTCTATTTCCGAACCAGGGCAACCAGACAGCCGAGGGCGGCTGTCAACATGATGGCTTCAAAAAAGAGAACTGATGAACTCATCGCAATGGTAATTCAGCTTAGTACGAGAGGAACCACTGATTCAGATAATTGGTTTTTGCGGTTGTCCGACCGGGCAGTGCCGCGACGCTACCATCTGCTGGATAATGGCTGAATACCTCTAAGTCAGAATCCATGCCAGAACGCGATGATACTACCCGCACGTTGTAGACGTATAAGAATAGGCTCCGGCCTCGTATCCTAGCAGGCGATTCCTCCGCCGGTCTCGAAGTGGCCGGCAGTAATTCGCGTATTGCAATTTCGACACGCGCGGGATCAAATCCTTTGCAGACGACTTAGCTGTGCGAAAGGGTCCTGTAAGCAGTAGAGTAGCCTTGTTGTTACGATCTGCTGAGGGTAAGCCCTCCTTCGCCTAGATTTCCCAGCGAGAGCCCGCCGGCGATGGCACCGGGGGGCCTTACGGGGGACGATGTCTGGCGGCGGCCGAGCCCCGTTGATGGTTCGACCGGCCGGTGGTTGCGGCAGCTGCTGGAGAATGGCGGAATTCGCCGGGGAGTTGGAGAACAGAATCCATCGCTCCAGTATCAACTTGTGCCAATCCAGCACTCCTAGCAACCTTACCTCTATTTCATCCAGCAACGTGGTGTCAATAACGAACAGTACGGGCGTCCAGCCCCTTCGTTGGCCTGGCACCAGCGTTGTCCTCCGGCATTGGCTTGACAAAGGCTGCTGTAGTCCAGTTCCCCGTAAAACGCCATTATGACTCTCTGTCAGCAGGCGGCTAGTGTGTTTTTGGTTGCCCCAGTCATATTTACTGAAGAGGTGGCTGAAGATGAGCAAGCGGATCATCTTTGTGCGGGTGGTTGCTTGAGGTTCTATCCAGTATACCCCTCAACCATGACACACAAGCGCCTAGAAGACTCCTCGAAAAGATACCGCGTGGCCAGCATCAACCAGCTAGCACATATTGTACGCATCACTGCAACGGATAAACTCGGAAAGCGTGGGATATGATATGATTTCCGCTGGGGAAGGCAAGGTACTACTTCTCCCACTGATCGTAAGCCTTCTGTCTCTGCCTGGTATTCCACCCCAGCTTGGCGCTGATGCTGTTGATCCAGTCCTCGCTGCGCCTGCCGTGCGGCTGGACGCACGCAAAGGGATACCTGCTCGCGCTGACGGTCACGTAGTCGCCCGGCTTTAACTCGACCCGCTCCCTCCCGTCGAAGCTGGCCCACGAGCTCGTCCGTGCGTCGTACGGCACGCCGAGGCGCAGAACCATGGTGTCGGGAAGAATCACGGGCCGGAAGGACAGCGTGTGAGCGCAGATGGCCGTGAGGAGCATGACCGGGTTCTCCGGGTGGCACAAGGAGCCGCCGGCGGCGAGGTTGTAAGCTGTCGACCCGGTGGGGGTGCCTACGCAGACGCCGTCGGCCGAGACGGAGGTGAAGTGCTCATCGTCGCCGAAGATTTCGATGCTAGACATAGCTAAACGTCCAGGTCAGCACACGGGGCAGCGCCGGGGAGGATGTAAGGAGCTAGGAACGGAATGCTGACTTGGATTTGGCCCTCGATCCAGGACCACTTCGTTCAGCACCTCGTATGTGCCGTCCGGCCGATGGGTACGCTCGTCGTCCTTTTCCTCCCCGATCAGCTCCTCGACCAGGTCCCTCGGCGGGCCTTGGTCTTCACTGTCTACGTCGGCCTCGGCATGCTTCCCATCGCTGTGGTCCCCATCTGCCAACTTCGATCCCGTTTTCTGGCTGCGCATAACCGTCGCCTCAAACCGCAACCTCAAGCTGACCGCCATCCCTTCGTCGAACGCCTTCGTCAGAGTCTTCTGATACTCCTCGAAATCGAACTTGGTCAGAAAGCCCAAACTCCCCAGCGCAAAGCTCAGCACGGGCGGCACAATCCGCTGGAAGAGCCAGCTGGCGTACAGCACCGTGCCATCCCCGCCGAGCGTGATGACAAAGTCGAACGTGTGCGGTCTGGCCCTGCACATGCCCTCATCCCAATACCGCAACCGCTTCCCGGTATCCCAACTCGCCTCCTCGCTGACCTCGCCGGACGCGACAAAATCCTTGCGCACCTCCTCCACCAGCCCGGCAGCATCGAATTTCTTATTCTCCTTCAGCGCCCGGTCCACGTACACCGTATACCGCACCTCCCGCTCCTTGTCCAGCAGCCAGCGGCACAGCTCCCTCGTCTTGCCCACCAGATCCGGGTCGTAGATCTTGGTCAACAGGAAGATCGTCTTGACCCGGAACCTGAGCCGCATGCTGCCCAGCCGCCGGCTCAGCTGCCTCACGCCCCACGCCATCTCGCTCAGCTGCTTCTTGGTCAGCAGCCTGCTGTTCGGCGCCTCGTCAGACGCCGTCCGGCGATCGAGCTGCGACGGCGTCGGCGTCGGCGGTTCGCTGACCATCTCGCGCCGCCACTGCTTTTCGTCGGATTGGCCAGTCACGCTGCCGCTGGTGGCGTTGCTGGACTCGTTTCCGTCGTCCTCGCTCCCCCTTGCTCGCGAGCCATGTCGGAATTTGCTGCAAGGATGGCTCGTGGTCGGCTCTTTTTCCTCTTCTTCCTCTTCTTTCACTTCGTGGCTGCCGTCGTGTTGCGCGGGCATTCGACCGTGTCGAGCAGAACTGCCGTGACCGCCCTTGGGATCAAGCGGGCGGTCGAGTCCGGCCTCGGACGAGATATCGTCCGCTTCACAGATTGCTGTGCCCGGGCCGTCGTGGTGGACGCGGCTGACGTTGGAGTCAGCGTCGTGGCCGTGCGGCAGTATGTGGTGTTTCTGGAGCCTCTGGCTGGCCAGAAACTGGTGGACGAGGCATTCTGTTCGGCGGTGGCTTGATGGTGGTGGCCTGGTCGACTCGGATCCGATAAGGGAACTCTTGCGGCGGAAGGGATTCGACATATCAAAGACAACCTTTTTCTTCAATTCAGTGGAGGGTTTCCCATAGCAGGGGAAGCAATGTCTGTGCTGACCTCGACCGGAGCCTGGTCCTCGTCACTGGCTGACAAAGGGGGTTCCTCGAACGAGACTCGCTTGGGAGAGCCGGTGTTGCTCATTGTGGGCAACTCCGAATTCTTCCCGTGGTGTGTATGAGTAAGGTAGTTCGAGGTGAGGGCTGATGGTCGGAGAGTCGCCCAATTCCCGGCGCAGTGGTCGCGATTCTGCTAACGATGATGGATTGTCTCCGACTAAGCATTGCGGGTTGCTGACGGCGTCGGAGACGACGGGGCGCGTTCATCGTGCATTGCGTCATAGCGGGGTGTCTTTGTTGATAAGATCGGGTTCCTGTATCTCGACCCCGCAAATCCGTAGGTAAGTAAGGTCCGTAGCCACTGGTAGGGTAATCGTGACCGAAAGCTCGCCAATGACTTTAGTTGCGATCGGTACCGGGGCTTCAAAGAGCAACCGAAGTTTTTCGCGTCGTTCTGTCGAACAGAGTCTCCTTCCCTGACTTGCCATCTGTTTCGCGTCTTCTTGGGCACCGTGCAACAGACTATTCATGGTATGCATTCAGCTACACATGCCGGATGACCAGGTTCCAGTTCCGGTAGTAATCATGATCGGCGAATCTAACATCTCCGCTAGGCGCGGGCTTGTCTCTCGAGCCTTACAATCGTTCGAGTTGCTATCTGCTACTAGTAGTATGTAGAGCTTTAAGTTGAGCTGGGCAAGGCAAATGGGAAGCTGAAAGCCGATAGGGCGACTAAAAAAGAAACTGATCTAAGCAATGCTAATAATAGGGACGACGCATTGGGGAACGTGTAGATCTCACACCGCAGACAACTCCAAGTCGGTACAGCTGCCCGGGAGACCAATCCTCATCATACTCGAGGTCTCCAGGGAGGCAGCGAGGAAGAGAAGACCAGGAAGATGAAGCACCTTATCCTCGTAGGGGCGTGTTACCTAGACACCGTTCTAACGTGAGTCATCTTCCCCTGCATGCCTACGGCGGCGAGGGATGTCAAGCAGTCCCAGGAACGATCACCAATCTTACACAAATGAGCAATGCACCTAGCGTCCCACACTTCCCGGAAGAGGACTCTAAACTGAGGGCCACGGCGGTGCAGGTGCGCCGCGGAGGGAACTGCACCAACTCGCTGGAAGTGCTCGCGCAGCTGCTCTCTGCTGGACCGCACCGGCCCAACGTCAAGCTGCACCTGGTGACATGCCTGCCCGATGCTCAGGCCGCTGCCACGAGCAAAATCCTGTCTTCCTTTGGCGAACGCTCCGAGAATGCCATCGACTTCAGCCACTGTCTCTATCGAGCAGGGCACGAGGAACCGGCCAGTAGTTACATCATTCGCAGCGGTGGCACGGGGAGCCGGACTATTGTGAACTTCAATGGCCTGCCGGAAATGACGGTCAGAGAGTTCGAGAAGATCGCCGATGCATTCGCTGAGCACGGAGAAGGAGAAGGATTTTGGTGGCATTTCGAGGTGCGCAGGATCAGGTTGCTTTAGCTTTCGGCGTCTCGCGGCACGGGAGCGGGTCATCACTGACTTTGTCCCAGGGCCGAATTCCGGAGACAACACTCCGATGCATCCGGTACCTCGGTCAGCTCGTGCCGGAGAGCACCATCAGCGTTGAAGTCGAGAAGCCGGACCGGGAGGGTCTGATCGAGCTTGCAGCTGAGGCTGATGTAATCTTCTACTCAAAAAGCTGGGCCGAGGTAAGTCGGCCACGACATCTCCTCCAGCGTCCGAGACGGGTCGCAAGTTTGGAGACTAAACCACCAACCAGAGCCGGGGGTACACCAGTCCGCAGGCTTGTCTGGAAGCCGAGGCAACATCGTCCAGGGCGTGAGTCTTACCTGCACTCTGGAGCCTGTTGTGGCTGTTGGGAACATCGTAGTACTGACGGTGTAAAAGCTCCCTCATGCTGTGCACATGGGGAGAACAGGGAGCTGGGGCTCTCCTGCTTCCTACTCGCGAGTACATTCATCATCGTGCAACGCTGTCTGGAGACAGGATCTCAGTGGTCGAGTGAGTGGCCATCCTCCCCTCCACCGGCTCGTCCTAGTGGGATGAGTCGCGTACCGCGTATCGCTGCAGGTGAGACGAAGTGCAAAGTGTGAAGAGCTGCAGCACCGAACCGTCGCCGCCGCATCCGCACTTGGGTCCCGTCCGGGTCGTCGCCTTGTACCGTACGGTGCCACTGATCTGTTGTGCTAACGGTGTGTCGAATGGCTCCAGCACTATCGGCGCGGGGGACACTTTTATCGCGGCGATGCTGTATGGGTTGCATGTTGACGCCTGGAGCAGTGAGGCAAAGTTGGCGTTTGCGGTGGGATTGGCCACCAAGAAAGTCCGGAGGGAGGGTTTTGCAGGACTGGTACCATAGCCCTGCTGCAGCCTGTCGTGCGCTTCATGCTGGTGGGTAGCTTTTTTGGCGGTGCCCTCGTAACGATGACGTGGAAAGTTCCAATTCCGTCCGCATTTTTGGACGGCGCAAGGCATGGGAGCTCAGGCCAAGTCTCGGAATCGGGCAGCGTGGCGGGGGTATGTGCTCTGTGAGCCTGTGGAAAGCGGAAAAGGGGAATTTGATGACTCTCGTGATCAACTCAGGTTGTCCGGAAATCATCCCCGCCATGGGGCGGGGTTCCAGCGCAGAGCAAGGAGGTCCAGAACGCAAGACACCCGCCCAGGCGCCGACCGAGGGGAGATATGGCCGAAGGTAACCCGCCTCGGAGGGGATGTCAGGAACATGCGAACCCGTCGACCGCGTGTTTCGAACGCCCACCCGTTCCTGTTGTACGGCGGAAAAGGAGCGGTGAATACGGCGGTGCGTTCGGCGGGGGGGGCAATAGTGGATGTGATTCCTACTAGTGCATGGGGTCGACAGGCCCATGAAGTTAGAGCCACACACCCTGCATGAAAACGAACCGTCTCTCATTCAGGGACGACGATTCGATATGACAAGAGACAAGCTCGACAAGCGAAAACACACACATTCCTTCGGCCTCATCGGCCCAGTCGTACAGGCGGGCAAAGAGTTTTCAGCCTGTGGAGCTCAGACAACAGGCGAAGCCCATGCTCACTCAACAAGCAGCCAAAATCGACACGCCAGCTGTGCGATGTGTGTGAGTTGTCTCTATGTTTGTCGGACGCACCGTAAGTTATCCGCAAGTGCAAGAGGGAGAATCAAGTGATGGCGCGGTGCACCGTCGACGCGAGGCAACCACATTGTTGCAGGGCGGCAGACTGCACTAACTGCAACACTGTGAAAGGCGGGAACCACGGCGGCGAGCAACCGGAAGAGAGACTGTTGTGTGTGTGTGAGAGCGACGGTGTTGGTGGCAGAGGCACTGCGGGATCGGCGGAGTCCAACCATCTCGGTGAAATGAAGTGATGGAACAACTGCGATGCATCCCGAGAATGGAACGGAGGCCTTCCCTGTGCCACGCCCGGGGAGCCTGTGTGGATGCGTGAGCAAGTTGATGAACGGGGGCGCAAGCCATGAATGGGGAGCGGATCATCGGCTGTTCTGGCGATGGATGCCAGACGTACGACGGGCGCCCTTCGGAACTGGGCTCGTCTGCGGAGCATCCCTTCTTCGCCTTCTCCTTCTCTTCCCTCCTTTTACACTACCTGCCATCCCTATGGACCCACATCCACATCCCGCAGGCGCCTTTTGCTGAACCGGCCTTCCACTTGTTAAGGCACCGGCTTCTCCCAATTCCAATCCCGCTCAGCAGGTCAGAACTGTGTCGCATCGCAGGCCCCGGGCGAGGTTGATTCGACCCACCATTGGCACGTAAGCTCCCTCGGCCCCCTGGTATGTACATGCATGTACGTACCTTGACGCTGTGAGAAAGGCCAACACACGGCCCGCAGGCCGCCTCCAGCCTCCAGGCTGATGAGTTCCATTTCTGTGTAAACCAACCTCACTGCAACCCATGGCCTTAGACCAAGCGAACAAGGGGTGCATTGTGTGTGTACCTACGCGACCTTGTCAGACCTCCCTCGCCATGGACTAGGGTATGCACGTAACGAGAATGTAAGGTAACTTCCATTCTGATGGTAATGGTGGGGTCTTGCGCCCTATTTCACGCTAATAAGTTATTCGCTCATTAGCAATTTCGGGCTACGCCTAAAAAGTAAGGTTGCCGTCTGAGTTGATGTCGCGAGTCGTCAGGCTCAGCTGCTTATTCGGCCAGAAGTCACATCCATATCCGGACACACGCCTTACACTACTATGGCACATAGTACTAGCCGGATAACCTACCTTAGCACGTGCTTAGGTACCTACCTGCCTAGGTAGTTTATTTATTACCGATGCAGCCACGCAGCGCCACTCATTCCCAGCTGTGAGAGGATTACTGTGTAAGTAGGTACCTAAGGTACCCGAGTTACTAGTAGTAGCTCGCTTATAGTGCGTACATCATAGAGAGTCAAGATCATCGTCTTGCATCTCGTCGGTCAGCGGTCGGCAACTTCAGCTCGGTGATGGTGGTTACGGAACAACCGGAGATCAACCGCCGGCTAGTTCATGGCAATGGTGGATCAAAACTGCTACGCTCACATTCGGAAAGCCCATGGACGTCCTAGCGCTGCGGTGGCGTCTGTGAAACGTCCCGGTCCTGTAGCCGATATGGGTGCATGCGCTGCAATCTGCATTGGGTGGAACGAACACCCGGAAACACAACAGTTTCTTTTGGCATCCTGTCATCAATCACATGGGTCCCCATGTTGGCGTTTGATGTGATGCAAAATAAAACCGTCTCCTCCGGTGATTCTATGGGATTCCGTTGCAAAGCCGCAAACCTGGAAGGTGAGTTGCGCGCCTACCGTTTCAGGATAGTTAGCTTGACTCCTCGGTTGCACCATGACAGCTCTCAATGGAGCAGCGCAGACGGATAGCATCATGAAGTCGCAAGAACCACTAGAAGAGAATCATGCACTGCTGTGGGTATCCGGAGTCCTGCGCAGCCAGCACGACTCGCCCCGACTTGTACTGTACTGGGGTAGGTTGGTTTACCGGGCTTCGGTCAACTTGAAGTGGGCCGTGGTTTCGTTGATCCTTCGAATACACGGTAGTGTACAGTAGTCTGCAATCGGCGGCTGAGATGGCGGCGAAATAGCATAAGCATGCTCAACGCTAGACATGTCCTTCCGTCGATGCGGTTGATGGTGGTGTCGGTCCTAGCTTGAACCTCAAGGTCAAAGTTCCCCCTGTTTGCGAAATAGGATGGCGCGGTTCTGAGAATCAGGGAGGGTTGATTTTTCAATGATAATCGATGTACATACTCGGGCGGCGGTAGGTACTCTACCATGTAGTAGATCACATTCATCAAGCGGGCCACAACAAGGTGCTGGATGTGATTTCAACATGCATTCACAGTCAAGGAGCCGCAAAAACCGAAAATAGTCCAGGCCGCACCTCGCACTAGCTAGAGAAGTGTCCTTGGCAGTCGCCGGCATGTCAGCCTGGAAGTCTCGGCGGGCTCCTTCACATGGTCGTTGATGCGCTTGACGGTGGGGTTCTTGGACCAGGGTTTTGGAGTCCCCTATGTATAAGGGTTACGCGGTACTAGTATTATGCATTATATGTGTGTACAATACAACGGAGAACTGTGCTCCGCCGGTAGACCGAGCGGAAAAGCAGCATAACCTTCTAGTTATTGTAGTAATGTTACCGCTTTGCGTCGACAAGCGTATGGATGACAAGATAGACCTCAGAACGCCTTCAGCAGGTCTTGTTGTAACAGAGGGTATAGTTTACGCCATCGCTGCAGTTTTCAAGTAAGTGCCCGTCGTAGTAGAATGTGTACTCTGTAAGTCTAGTGGTTGTCTTGTGAAGTATCCGCCATCTGTGGATACTCCGGCTTTGGACTTCAATTGAACCGCCAATGAGATCTCTTAACTCGGATATTGACATAGTTATCTGTACCCGTATTTACCAGCGGAACAAGGCGTGGGGAAAGCCTGGGTCACGATCAGATGATGGATCTGGGCTGTCATGTGGGGTACCATGAGTTGCAGACACGACCCAGCACAGCTATGTTGACCGTGCGGGGTGCGGGCCTCAGGCTCTCCAGGGCTGCCCAATGCAGCGCGCTGAACTCGAAATGCTTTACAACTATTTCGCGCTATTTCAACCCATGACTGTTCTAGACATGGAAGCGGGTGGAAAAATGGGCGCCAGGCAGTATGCATGTATGTACCTAGCTTTGGCAACCTAGTCTTAATTACGGTATTTTTTCACTGTGAGACAGGGTCTGCGATCACTCTTGGAGGTCCCAACTACCGTAGCTATGTAGATTCCTGAGGTGGTCACTTCTTAAAATTTCCGTCGTCTGACCAAACGCCCTTTTCATCACTGTGGTATGTACTCCATACAGTACAACCGGACAACGGCAAAGTGAAAGGAAAACACCGCAGTCCACATACGACAAGAAGAGCACTGCAAAGCCGATCAGAGGAGCCGGAGCGAGGTGGCGCAGTATCCGCCAACGCAGGACCCAGTCTCAGCCAGTTCGAGAGATCGCTGTGGCACATCACTGTGATTTCACTTGCTCCGAGTCATCTCCCAGCGAACCCACACAGATGTCTGATACCAGGTAGTTAGTGTTCATCTCGACATAACCACAATACCAGCAATTTCACGTCTGCCGAGGCTCCGCCTGAGCAGAATGATCGAGACATGGCCACACAGCACAATGCTTAGATCTTGCCTCCGTCCTTTTTAGGGGAGAGGCTAACAAGGGCGATATGCATGTCGCGGCCGAACCCAGCGACTGTCAGGCTTCAGTTGCTACAAGCGACTACAAGTGGGCAGCAAACCGAACGGGATGTCAAGCGAGAACAAGACTATATATGTCTGACATCTTGTGTAGCAGTGTGCAAAGGTACCGAGATGGTGAAAATCTTTGGGAGACAGGTCCCTTACGTGGAGACTTCAATGCGTCGTACGTAGCAGTGTCTCATGCAGATAGTTTAGTAGTACGGTACTGTACTGTACCAATAGGCACGGAATAAGGAGGGACGTGGACAGAGGCACGACCCATCTTGCCGGACGATGGACGTGCTCTGGCCGCTTCCATCGTCGCTAATGACCTGCAAGGTAAAAAATCGTGGTGTGCCAAACAGATCTGTCCATCGATCCAGACACCCCAGTAGTTTGGCCTAGTGTCGCACTTCCTATGCGCCATCCAATCAAACGTCGAGTTAACGCTAGCCTTCCGCTCGCCCTTCGGCCTCGGCGGCACACGCCAGAGTGTCTGTACTAGGCTGCAACTCAGCTCTGCAGCCCCTGCCGGACATGACCCCGCAGAAAGTCGAGAAGTTGCCTTCCACGGAGTACGTACCTACCGCAGAGGCACTCTATACATGTGTGTACATCATTGATATGCAGGGGGCTGACAGCCCGCATGGTCTGAGGGCATGGACAAATTCCCACCTTGCAACCATCTTGAGAGTTATCATTGCTAGGTACTACGTATTAATACACCTGCATGTTTATTTACAATACCTACATTCCTATCAACAACAGTTGTCTTCGACATACTAGTATGTAAGCATGTAAGGTACATACCTCGTCTCTCATGTGTGAGCTGTGAGTACCTAGCCGCCCGCCACGAGGTGAGGGTAGATCGGCATCTTTGTATTCGCCAGAGCTCCGCTTTGCTGTGCTGCGATTGGGCTTGAGTAACTATGTAGGTATCCGTAATGGAAGGTCATGGCCGCGCAGGCGTTGTCGCAGCGTAACCTGGCTGGGGGCAGGCGGAGGTCATACCGTTTCGCGACCATGGCCGACCTTGACCCTGACGACAGGGAGCCGGCTTGGCTTTCAAACGGCCTTGCCGCTTGACCGCCTACTGTGGTACCCCGTTACCTACGTACTGTACAGACGGATCCGTACCTTATAGGCAATGATCCTTCACGGCGATATCACGCTAACGTTAAGTTAGTTACAGTAGTGTCAAGTTACACCTGTTATTCGCAGCGAACCACAGGAGGCCCACCTGGAAAGGAATTCGGTTGGTTTTCCACCCTGGCCTTGTCACAGACCTCCTTTCCCATCCAGCAACGCTACTCTCACCCATCCATGCCCGTCTTGGGCATTCCAGCAAAAAGTGCAGATGCAACCTTGTTTGTACGCTCGACGGCGAAGACGGGGTGATGTAGACCTGACCCTTTCATCAGACCCTTTCTTGCAAGGGTCTGGCTGCTAGACCATTCCCTGCAAGCACCTACACTATGTACATATGTACACAGCATGACGCAGACATCGAAGGCCCGGGTTCATGGAACAACGATCCATTGACACCTCGCCTCGCTCCTGGCATGCCAAAGTGACACTAAAAGGCTCCTTGTCACTCGTATGAGTGTATTATTGCCTTTCCACGCCAAACACGGCCAGGGAGACTGCGTTGACATGTTTGCTAGTGTATGTGGGATCCCACTCTTCCTTTTCCTTCTTCACAAGATCCTGGTGTCCCATTCTTCTCGCGGACTTCCCCCTCCTACATATTTGCCAACGGCAGCCCGTCTCTATCAACCCAAGTCCGGCTTGATACCAACAATATATCCCATCACCCACCGGCTGGCAGAAGTCTGAGCCCTCTCTCACTGCCTTCTTGCATTCTTACCTTTCCATGTCTCAGCAATAGCGCTTGTTGAGGTGCCATCAAACATGTTGCCTTCTCTCTACGGCACCAACAATACTGGTGCCGCTCATGACCCTGTGTCTAGCGGTACCTACACGGTAGACACGATGCTCAACGAACTGTCAAGACAACTCACTGTGAATACGAGGCGGCACTCGAGAGCGTGCAACGGACAACCACGAGGAGGAAACCCGATGAGGATATCCAAGCCGGGCAGTGCGAACAGCAGCCCTAGAACATCAGCATTTCAGTCGAGGAGGAGGACGTTGATCGGCGATGGGTTCCAGGGCAAGCTTCAGACGCAGTCTCCGGTGACGGGTCAGGCCTACTTACCGACTCCGGCCTCAGAAGCGCCAAGCGAGTTCTTCTATGGGCGGGAAAGCAGACCGGCGCGGCCCCTCAGCTGGCATCCGTCATCACAATACGCGCAGCAGACGCCTTTCCCTCAACATGACAGCAGCGGCAACGTACTCTACCAGTTTCCGGCGTACAGCGATGCCGAGATGCTGGCGGCGTTGCAGCAAATGCCCCCTACGCCAACGGTGTACTCGGGGTACACGTCGCCCGCAGAATCCTTCTCGCCGCTGTCGCTGCCGTACTCGAACTTGTCCTCCCAGCAGCAGCAGCAGCAAGGCCCTACCTACCCTCCCGCCGTCTGCTCCGACTACCCGTCGGCTGGTGCTCTCTCGGAAATCCCCTACCTACCTCCCCCTCAGGCAGGAAGTGCCTCGTTTGCCTGGGAGCCGTGCCCCGCCAATACGTCGATGCTGAGCCGGCACACTGCGCCTCCCACACCGGAGGACTTCGCGTGCAGCCTGATGCTAAACCAAGCGGCGGGTGAGGCGAGAGCAGCACTACCACAACAGCCGACGAAGCAGAGCGCTGCGATCAGCAGCCGTCAATCGTTCGAGCCGCTCATCCGCAGCGACGAGAACGACGAAGAATCTGAAGGCGAGATCCTCTACGGCATGGGCCTCTACGACGAACCAGACCATCGCCGGGCTCCCTCACTCCACCAGTCGGTTGTCCTCTCGCTGCTGGGCAGCGCAGTGGATCCGAAGGAGGAAACCGACTCGGGCGAGGGGCTGGGCCTTAAGCTCGAGGACGCTTGGGAGCCACCTGCCAGTGAGGATGAAGAGGATGGCGAGGACGATGGGGAGGGCCAGGAGGAGGCGTGATCTGTGTAATGGACGGGCGGATATGCTGGATTCAATTTCTTCCTTTGCTTGCCCTCTCCACTCAGGATGGCTTACGTTTCCCATGCATGGTCAGCGAAGGCGTTTACAGGTACAGGACAGGTCACGGATATGCATCCAGGAACATGGCGGGGACAACGGAAACAGGGGTCACGGCTATGGTTACGGCTACGGGTAACGGGTGATTACAGGTATTTTAACTGACTGGGTGGAAGGGACGGCTGGGTATGTTGGCATCTCTCAGGCAAAGCCCTGAGATGAGAAGAGACAGTAATCCAACGCTTATCGCGGAAGCATGTGGGTTTCACAACCCAAAAGGGGGCAGGACAGGGTCCGAGGAACACAACATGGTGTGATGTAGCGTAGTAGAAGTCTTAATTGTTGAATGTGACCTAAGTACCGTTCAGCAACCTCACGAGGATGCTTCCCCCGCCTGACGTAAGAGCAAATTGGCTACTTGCATGCATATTGGTGGTACCTTCCCCAAACAAGCGAATGATTGCGGTTGAGCCCCTCAGCTTATTGACACTGGCGTTCCATAAGACCGTGACAACTTGAAGAGAGTTTTAAAGCTCAGGCTAAGTCGGCCGGAACCCACCGACTCAACGCCGAATTCCCTGCCCCGCTAAACCCCTCGTGCCCCTCATGAATTTTGATAACTAGCATCTTTAGGCCGTTATCGGAACACTTTGCGGGAAGACTCGAAAGTAGCGGGGTGCAAAATGAGTCAACCGGTAAACCCGCTCATCGAGAAAAATAACCTAAGTGATTGATTGACTTGATCTTTCCAGGCCGGAGCAGGACTTTACGGGAGAATCTCGCAACCACTTCAGCTAGTCACACAGTCGCTTGCGAGAACGAGCACTGAATTCAGTTGTCTGCCCAAGATGGCCTCTCAACAGTAAACAGCCCCACCATCACCACATTCCAAACCGTAGTGGCACCACCCCAACCAGGGGCACTTCCGGGCAGAGGCTGACACTGGACGTTCCGCCTTTAGCAAGGTGCTTATGCTCGGCGCGGGCTTCGTGACGCGGCCCACTCTCGACATCCTCAGCGAGGCTGGCATCCCCGTTACAGTTGGTATGCTCGGGCACCACCACCACCACCAGCCCACATCACCGTGAAAGGACCCCAGTTGACCGTTGACCCCGTTGTGACCCAACAGCCTGCCGCACCCTGGCCAGCGCCCAGCAGCTTTCCAAGGGCGTCCAGAATGCGCACCCCATCTCGCTCGACGTGACCGACGAGAAGGCGCTGGACGCCGAAGTGGCCAAGCACGACCTGGTCATCAGCCTGATCCCCTACACCTTCCACGCCGCCGTCATCAAGTCGGCCATCCGCACCAAGAAGCATGTCGTCACGACAAGCTATGTGTCGCCGGCAATGCTCGAGCTCGATGCCGAGGCCAAGGCCGCCGGGATCACCGTCATGAACGAGATCGGCCTGGACCCTGGCATCGACCACCTCTGTAAGTGGACAATGCGAAACGAGCATGAATCGAGCACACGGGACTGACCGGCCCTGCCTAGACGCTATCAAGACCATTGACGAGGTCCACCGGGCCGGCGGCAAGATCCTCAGCTTCCTGTCCTACTGCGGCGGCCTGCCCGCCCCGGAGGACTCGGACAACCCGCTCGGCTACAAGTTCTCATGGTCGTCGCGCGGCGTGCTGCTCGCGCTGCGCAATGCCGGCAAGTGGTGGCAGGACGGCTCAGTCGTTGAGGTTGCCGGCAAAGACCTGATGAAGACGGCCAAGCCGTACTTCATCTACCCCGGCTTTGCCTTCGTCGCCTATCCGAACCGCGACTCGACCGCGTACAAGGAGCGGTACAGCATCCCCGAGGCGCAGACCGTCATCCGCGGCACTCTGCGCTACCAGGGCTTCCCGCAGTTCATCAAGGTGCTCGTCGACATCGGCTTCCTCGAGGACGCCCCGCTCGACGTGCTGTCGCGCCCCGTACCGTGGAAGGAAGCCACACAGGCCATCGTCGGCGCGCCGTCTTCATCCGCTGCCGACCTCGAATCGACCATCCTGTCCAAGGCGACCTTCGAGTCGGAAGAGGACCAGAAGCGCATCCTGTCCGGCCTCCGCTGGATCGGCCTGTTCTCCGATGAGGCCATCACTCCCAAGGGCAACCCGCTCGACACGCTGTGCGCGACGCTGGAGCGCAAGATGCAGTATGAGGAGGGTGAGCGCGACCTCGTCATGTTGCAGCACAAGTTCGAGATCGAGCACAAGGACGGCTCGCGCGAGACCCGCACCTCGACACTCTGCGAGTACGGCGACCCCAAGGGCTACTCGGCCATGGCCAAGTTGGTCGGCGTGCCGTGCGCTGTGGCCGTCAAGCAGGTGCTCAGCGGGCAGATCGCCGACAAGGGCGTCCTAGCCCCCATGAGCACCAAGCTTACCGAGCCGCTGATGAAGGAACTGCACGAGAAATACGGCATCACGATGGTGGAGAAAACCCTCTCGTGAGCAGATGACCGTCTCTGTGGGTTAATCGGATCTCAAAATGCATGGATTGAGGATAGAGAAAAAAAAATGAAATCCGCATACCTCTCTGTATTGTCTATGCTTGCCTCCGGCCAAGGGCGTACTCGCATCCCACCCGCATATTGCTCACCATATGCCTGCGCAATTCACACTGACCACCATCAGATTGTTCCCCTCGATCTCACGACTACGTTATTGCCTGGCGTCCGTCTTACTTCCCTCGGCTCTCTGGTGGGTTCAATAGGTGAGAGGGATGTAGCGAAAGTACGGAGTAATAGTTACCTAGGTTCTAACCTAGATGAATCTGGCAAAACAGGAAGGGTTCTCCGGAAAGGTTCTGTTGAGTCTCTCACACAGTCCCAAGCTTGTAGTCTGATAGCTCCATTGAAGGATTTCTGAGAGGATGAGACGAAGTTGCGCGGTGGGAGTACGCTTGACTTCAAATGCAAGAATTGCCTGGTGTAGAGGAGGAGGCCGTCTGCTAACTGACTAACAGTTCGGGAAGCCAAACCCGGAATTATGTAGTGGCGCACTGACCATGCGCGATGGTGTACTGACAGTAAGAACCATCAAAAACCTTTTTATGAACTTACCTTACCAGGGCCGCAGAACTTCGGCACACCGACGTAAACCCAAAGCAGATTCACCTATAATCCCATCAGCTGGGCCATATAAATGCTCTACATGTGTCCTTAGACTGAATCAATGGTGCAATACATCTTCACCCCCTGGCGGGACCGGCGCGAACTGCTCGCGGTACGAAGGCAGTTTTACCCTGAGAATCACTACCACCAACATCAACAACATCAACAACAGCAACAACAACAAACTCCAGCGCAGAATCCTCGGCCCACCAAGGGAAACAGAACCTCCAGCGCTTACAGTTCTAAGAACAACGAGATCGCATCAGAGTCGGGATCAGCATCGCATCCAGAGCAAGATGGGAAGCAGAAAGCGGTAGCGCGCGTCTCCATGTGGATGCAGCGCGGCGGGTGTCCGCACATGGTCGAGTCGACGGCGCTGTTGACGGCTGCCATCCTGAGCGATGAGGGGATCCTCCAGGGTGGTGACGACGGGTCGGCGAGGGCTTCCAGGGGGTATGCTGTCCGCGCGGCGTACTCGGCTGCGTTTAGTCGGTGAGTTTTTATTTTCTCCTTATCATCTTCTTCTTCATCAGTGGCTCTCCCTGGTGATGGCGAGGGCGACTGAGGGGGTCTAAGATGAGAAAAGGGAAGGAAGATGCAATGCCCTTTTCTCCCCCGATCGGTCCCTCGCTACATCATCAGATTTGCTCCGCCCTTTCGTGGTTGTTGTCAACAGCCCCCCCCCCCTGCGAGAACTAACACTCTGGTTCCAACCAGCTTCGTAACAGGCCTCCTAGACTCGCATCAGGACAAACAGCGCAAGATGTCTATGTACGACGTTGCGAAGAGCGTGGGGCTGCCCGCGACTTTCGTCGAACTCCGCCACCAAGCCACCCACGAGCAGCTGCCGTCGCTGACGAGGCTGCGGGAGGCGGCGCGCAAGGCGCTGGACTGGATCTGGGAGTATTACTGGCGACATCTGGAATTTCCCCAGCCTGCCGAGAAAGGAGCGGGCAACAGCAAGGCCCATGGTGCTAGCGAGAAGGAGGACTCGAGGGAGGGAGGCGAACTTAGAGAGATGGTGATGCGGTATCTTTCTGGCGGGGAAGAGGAGCAGGCTGCGTTAAGGAGGAAGATAATGAGGGAATATGACGAGGCGATGGTGCTGGCCGCGGTGGACTCTGTATCCGGGACTACAAGGGATAGTACGGTGCTCCGTCGTGCGGTGGCGCTTGCGAGGGAGATTCTAGAGGATGGGGGTAGAGACGATCCGGAGCGGATGCAGGAGGATGTTGATGACAAGGAGCCTACGAAGGAGCCGCCAAGGGATATTGAGCTGGTCAGGACGGAATTGGGCAAGGCGTGGGAGAAGGTGAGGGAAATGGAAGATTCGAGGCCGCTCGAGGGCCGGAACCAGCAGATGGAGATGGAGGTCGACGTGGCCGAGGACGCCCCGGCTTGGACGCTGTACGAGGAGGAGGCATGGGTGCCGAAACCTATTGGGGTGGTATAGAGAGGAGCGTAATCTAAGTGCACCTACTTCTGCTCCTGCATGGTAGTACCTAAGGTAAGATAGGTACTAGTAGATGATAGGGTGGTCATGTGACTGCTTGTGCGGATCGGCTTTACTGGGTAGCATGATGGATTGGGATGGAATGCTGCGAGGAGCTCTGGCCAATGATAACGTCATCCCATCCCCCGACGGCCCGGACATGTATCTACTAATAATGCATCTACTACGGTTATCATGACCCGGATTCGATGATACCATAGTGGTCGTTCGAGCGTACTCCACGGATTTGTCATTTCTGCGTCAATGAATGCCTTCACTGCTGCAAGGCGTCTTTTCCCGTCACGAATTCACCCGTTAACCGCGACTGTAAGCTGTCTCCGCATCTCGTCTGCTTCTACTCATCCAGCCACTGATCGCTGGTTTCCAGCCGGCTACTGCTCGCACAATGCATATCCAGTCGATTCCTATGTGTAAGTGCTGCTGGCGGTCGGCTCGGGAAAGCCGAACTGACACTTGCAATTCAAGGGGCGGGGAAGAGCGACAACTATGCCTACCTGGTTGTTGATGACAAAACCAAAGAAGCTGTGATCGTTGACCCGGCCCACCCGGCGGAGTGAGTGATTCGGGCGACCGCCGAGTCCTGAAGGGAAGCAGAAGCTCACTCAGCATTTAGGGTCGCCCCTGTGCTGAAGAAGGGCATACAAGATGGATCAATCAAGCTCACTGCCATTGTCAACACCCACCAGTGAGTATCCTAGTCTCGAGACAACCCGCGGGAGCACGGGAGTCGAAGTCTGACAGCTGCAAGTCACTGGGACCATGCCGGCGGAAATGCAGAGCTCGTGAGTACTCTCTGGCCACAAGTCAAATGACTGTGTTTCTGACGTCTGCAGCTCACGGAGCTCGGTCAATCTCTTGAGGTGATTGGCGGGAAGGACTGCCAGAAGGTGACCAAGACACCGAAACATGGCGAGACGTTCAACATCGGCAGTATTGCTGTCAAGGCGCTACACACCCCGTGCCACACCCAGGACAGCATTTGCTTCTTCATGCAGGACGGCAATGACAAGGTTGTGTTCACCGGGGATACTCTGTTCCACGGAGGTGTGTTGCTCCTGGTCATACCTGGGAAACAGCCGTCGGAGCTATCTCTAACGGTGTTGACTCAGGCTGTGGGAAGTTCTTTGAAGGAACCGGCGAGGAGATGCACAAGGCACTGAACGTGACATTGGGCTCTCTCCCCGACGACACTAGGGTCTTTGTAAGTGTAAAATTGTCCTCTGTTGGTGGACATTCATGCTGATCCTTCATAGCCCGGCCATGAGTACACCAAGTCCAACGCCAAGTTCGCTCTTTCGGTCCTCCCGAGCGAGCCTGTCAAGGCCCTGGAGGCCTTTGCCAATGACAACAAGGAGACGCAGGGCAAGTTCACCATCGGTGACGAGAAGCAGCACAATGTGTTTATGAGGCCTCAGGTAAGGAGCCCAGCGGACTGCTGCATGTCGCCGCGCTGACACGTGGGATCAAGGACCCGGAAATCCAGAAGGCAACGGGCGAAACTGACCCTGTTGCGATCATGACCAAATTACGCGAGATGAAGAATAACTTCAAGTGAGTCGGTCATCGTGCATCTGGCCAGAAATCTAGAGTCACCGGGGCTATGAAGTTGATTCGGGCACGGCTGTCATCAGGGAGGTGGTTACCGAGAAATCCAACCTGTGATATAAGACCGGGGCGTCATGACATACCAGCAAGGCAATCCCAGGCAGAAGCAGGTCAAGGGAAGTTCTCGATAGTTGTCATTGACTGCCGCCGGCAGTACACAATCGAAACCAATGAGATGTCTCCACGAACCCAAGCCATCTGGATCCTCGAGGAAACCAGATGATGTGAATCCATGGACGCGTTATACGGTAACACGGAGTTTTTAATCTTGCTTCACTGTCCACACTCGCGCGCCCTGGGGTTGTTTGAAGGCGACAAGCTCTAGCATATTTTGAAGCGATCGTCACTGGAATGACAACCAAGAGCAAAACCCGTCGCCGGGATACCTGACCTACCTTGAAGGCTTCTTTCTCTCTTTATAATGCATTGCTTGCCTGCAGAGCCAGGAAGCCGCAAGGAGAGAAGGAGCCAGCGACCGCAACATGGAGCCGGCACACTGGTTTTGCTCAAGTCTGCTCAGCAGCGAGATTGCGTAGGGGAGACGAATTTTCTGGAGCGGCGGCAGTCTTTTGGAAGTTTTATGTGGAGGTGCCTGCCACGTGACCAGGCGCCCGATTTGCGATAGCAGCCCCACCGTCCAAGTCCCACTCGGTCTACGCCTCGAGCGTCTCTACAACTCCACCTCACGTATACTCTCCAACCCTGCGGGTTCGCCGCGCATTCCATTGCGCGCGATCGCAAGAGGCAGCGGCATCAATTCAAACTGTAGCAAGCACGGGTACAATGATGGTAAGCATTCCTTACCCAACCGTTGATCATGCGATGAAGTCCGTTAACAATATGGCCCGGTAACAGCCTCCGCGACGTCGCCCACCCGCGACCGGCGCGTCCTCCACATCCGCCTCGAAGACAGCAGGTTCTCGCCCCTCAAAGCTCGCAAAAGAACACAACATCACCGCACAAGAAGAGTCCGAGATCCGCGAGGCATTCTCTCTCTTCGCTGAGCCTATGGAAGGCGAGAAAGAAGGCGTCATACCTATAGGCGACGTGCGGCGCGCACTCATGTACTTTTCCTTTTCTTTGCTCCCCCACTCCTATCCGCTCCGGTTTCTCCCCTCTCCCTGTTACTAACTATATGCGCTTTACGCAGCGCTCTCGGCATCCCGCCGTCTGACCCTGCCCAACTAGCCGAATTCACCGCCGCCCTTGACCCCGACGACGAAGGCTTCGCCACCTACCCGGCCTTTCTCGGTATCTGTGCGTTGCAGCTGCACACCCGACGCCAAGCCGCATCGGACGAGGCGCACCAAGCCGAGCTCGACGAGGCGTATGCACTCTTTGCCGGGACGCCGGACGCCCCTGCCATTACGCTGGCCCATCTGAAACGGGTTGCTGCGTTGCTGAGGTTGGATGCGGCGGGGCGGCAGGATGGAGGAGGGAAAGAGGGTGAGGTGGTGACGGAGGAGGTGTTGAGGGATATGATATTGGAGGCGAACGGGGGTGCTGGGGTGGGGAAGGGAGTGAGGAAGGAGGAGTTCGATGGGGTTATGAAGCGGGCGGGGGTATGGCGCGGATGATTGTGATGGAACAGCTGGGAGGCAACGGGACGATGCGACGGGATGCAACTGCTGAAGTGAACAAGGAGGACTCCGGCGGCGTAGCAGGTCAGGCATGGCTTGCGGGTGGCAGGTTCAAGTGGATGTCGGAATAGGGGCCCGACAAGAGGGGCAGGGGGGAAGACCGACGACCGGACGACGACAGGATGATGGCAGACCCCGGCCGCTGCCAGCCGTATTCGTCGTATCGGTGAACAACTGCATCCCGGATAGGGGGAGGCCATGACCGATTCAAGACGAGAGAACCGCGAAGGGGCGACGGAGAGGAAGCCAAATGACGAATGAGACGCCGGCGGAAGCCGATTCCGAATTACGACACCAGACGATAATTTACGAAGCAGCCGCCTTTCCGATTCGCAGGCAATAGTGAACTGGCGGCCAGCTTGCAGCACAGAGGCCGATGAGCAAACATGAGAGAGCCGGGAGGTTTCGGTTCTTTTAGCTAAGACTTCTCTACAAAGAGTAGAAAACACACCCGACGCGGCCATCTGGCCGTCGTTATGCAACGCCGCAAATATGCAAACGTGTTCCCAACTCCGCTGCCGATAGATGACCGTTTTCTAGCGTTCTCAAGAGACCTGGAAGAGGCCCATCTCAAAATGTCCTGAAAACATCCTTACCCTTCAAGTTGTACCGGGCATTTCGCATCCACCCATCCCTATTTCTCCCCGGAAGGCGGCACCTCCACAATATCAGGCGCCGCCCCTTGACCAGCGGCATCCGTACCAGCACCGGGACCAGCAGCGGCAGCCTGCTCCTGCGCGGCCTTAGCCGCCGCCTCCCTCGCCCGCTGCGAGTCAATCACCGCCTGCAACTCGGGCGGGACCTTGAACCCGGCGTGGTCCGAATGCTTCTTGTAGAAGTAGTTGTTCGACGTGGGGCGCAGCTCCGTCGGCAGCTCGTCGAGCACACACTGTAGCATGGCGTCGATAGAACCCTGGCGGGAAGCGTCACGATGCCAGATGGAGATGAGGTGCGAGTTGAAGCGGACGGAGAGGCCAACGCCGCAGATCTGGTCGCCTTTTGAGCCCGAAGGAAGAAGATGGGGTTAGTGAATTGGATACAGAGAAAAGGGAGAAGGACGCATGGCAAGGGGGAAAGACATACCCTCTTCCAGCACGCTCTGCAATTTCTCCCCTATCGCCAGCAGCTGCACTCGCGTCCACACATCCGGCCCGATACTCTTGGGCACGCGGAACGTCCAGCTGCCGCCCAGGATGTTCCGCCGGTCCTCCCAGATGGGCTTGAAGCCGGACTTGAAGAGGTAGATGCTCTCGCGCATCTTGATCTGGTCGACCGGCGTGTTGTTATTGTACCGCCAGAAGTCCTGCACGCTCTCTATTCGGTCGCCCAACTGCTCCAGCTGCGCGTGATACTCGCCGTTGCCGCCGTCCGTCGTCTTGGATTGCTGCTGGTCCTTGGCCTGCCGGTCGAACCACACGTTCCAGTAATGCTGGGTCGGCAGTGGCCGCATCGCCTTGAGGAAGTTGCGCTTGGCGTCGTCCCGCTGCTCGGCCGGCGACGATACGCTCATCGGCGAGTTGGGGTCAGACTGCTGCGACAACCCCGAGAGGCCGCGCGTGAAGAGCGAGGGACGCGTCGACATGGTGGGCTTTTCTCTGTCCGCTGTTGCCCTTCCGTTGGTGTGTTGGGGGCGGGCGCGGGGGTGGGAGGGAATGGAAGGAAATATGGAAGTATGGAAAGGCACGGGTCGGATAGAATCTACCGAGATGCAGCGATGCGGCGGCGGCTGCGGCAGCGGGCGGGATGGAAGGTGAAAGCAGCTGCGGCAGATGGAATTCACGGAGATTTCAGTCAGCGGACGTTGGCGAGTGCAACGCTGGGGCCCCGTTGAGGCTGCGGCGGGAACAATGGCCGGTCTCGTCCCCGGTTCGTTTCGACAGATCACCGAAAGATGGATAATTCCACAATCCACCGCTTCTTAGTGAGGAGTTGGCGGAATCATACACAGTCCAGGCGGGCGTTTTGGCCCGTCAGGGGTTTGACGCCGCGATGGAACGCTGATGGTGGGCAGAACGGGACACGGTGTGCGGGGGGACTGGGCCAGTCCTAGTGTATGTTGGCAGTCAGGTGTCTGCGATGTCTCGGACTTGGAAAAGTCACGGCCGTGTCATACTAAGAGAGCGTCAACAATGGAAACGCATCGATTGCTACAAAGATTGGCCAGCCCAGGTCACGCCTCGGAATGTAAGTTGGGCAAAGGTTGAAATTCCCCTGTCCTGGGCCCATGGAAGAGACGTGGAGCAATCCCCGCCTCTCCTTGGAGTTAGCTCTGTCCCTGTCACGCCCTGAATGCTGAAACGAGCAAGGTGGGGCAGCTCGTTTGTTTCAACTCTCCGGTTCGAACGGCTCACTGAGCTAGCCGCTCGGCTTGGCATCTGTCACCGTTGACAACATTAAAAATGGCACAACCCGAACTTCACTTCATAAGTTCCCAAGCTGCAACGTGGGAGACAACTCCCCGTTTGTTATACACAGTGGAAGAGACAATGCACGTTCGCGGTAGCTCGGGCCTCAGTTCGGCAGCCAGCTCGCTGTGTAACATCCAATGCAAGGGCCCATAGTCAGCTGTGGTCGAGGAGCACATGAGGCTGCGCGGCGGACTGGTGGGTGCCGGTCTTGGCCAGTACATATTAGTAGTTACAGTTACATCTGTAGTTAAAATAAGTTGACTCTTTGGGTTGCGACGTGGTCCGGTGTCCTGACCAGTGGAAAGTCAGTTATTCAACCCGGAATGGACGGTCGCTATCCTCAAGATAGAGAGTCTTGTGCTTGAAAGGGCATGGATTACTTAGCTGTCAAGATAGGTACGGTAAGTTGTATATGAATCATATACTCCGTACCTACCTACGTATGCCTATATTCTAGCATCTGCATATCGGCCTAGTCTTCCGGCCGGTCGAGCAGCCCATGATCCTCTAGGTTTCATTGAGGTTTCGTGTCATATCTTAGGTAGTTTGTTAGCTTGATAGCTTCCTTGTTATCTTTATTTCCCTCTGCTATATTTGTCTTTGTATGGTTCTTTGTGGCCTTTCTCCTAAGAGAAGTCGAGGTTACGTAATAAAGAAATGATCAATGTTGAAGCATATTAATATTAGAAACTAGACTCTTGATTTTACAGATACGGCTAGAGGTGAGAAATAGTAGAATATCTAGTAGTATAATGCTCTTAACTATTTATACTAAGAACTTTGCTAATTATAGCAGTATACTTATAGAGAGACCTATACAGAGTTCTTAATAGAGAGGAAAATATATCTATTAAAATATTAAATTTATTCTAGGCATTTTTATTAGTTATCTAATTATTTTTAGAAGTTATAATAACCTAGCTCTTAGATAATAAGCTATTTTTATATTAAAAGAAAAGATAATATTTATCTTTAATAATAAGAAATCATAAGTTTATCTAGCTAATAGTATTAATATTCTAGATTACTATTATCTATTTATAATTACTAAGCTATCTTAACTTTACTCTTTTATACTATTTAGAGCTTATAATAACTATTATAATTAAGATAATACCTATATAAAATCTAGTTTCATTAAAATTATAGATATTTAGTTCCTAAATATTATATTTTATAATTATATTTTACATAAATATAAACTAATTATAAATAATCTCTAGATCTTTATATTAGTCTCTCCAATAGTTATATTCCTAATTAAAATATCTAGTAAGCTTTAGGTACTATTTAATAAAGATTAAAGTTAAATATATTTTAATATATCCTATATCGCATTTGGTAAATAATTAATTAGCTATATCTTCTATACTAGATAAATAAAGAGGAAATCTTTTAGCGTCTAGATTGAGGATATATTAAATAATAATAGATTCCTCTAAATTAGTTAATTTCTAAGAGTTAGCTTAAATATCACATAATAACTACTGACCATATTAATAATAGCTTAGCTTTATTAGGTCTATAGAAAAGATCTAACTATAGCTCTAAGACTTAATTTGGGATTATTCTCAAAAGCCTAGAGGGCCAAGATAATTTAGCTTTCGTCATTTTTCTGAAGTATATTAGGTTATAGAAAAACTAGGTATAGAAGTGAAATATCGCATTAGTATAGTTTAGTGTAACTTTTACATATATGTAACTTTCGCTATACATCTACGTTATAAGATAATAAATAGGTAAAGTTTATGGATCATTAAGAGCAGAAAAGCGGGGTTTTTGATTGATGGGTCACGTGGACCACCATTAAAACCTTCGCTGAACTAAGAATGTGACAGAAGGTGAAGGCCGACTTGGAAAATGAATAATATCTGCCAGGAATACAGGGGGAAACTCCAGGTACGAGTACAGTTGATGTTAGACGCCTGACCGGAGGTTCGACAGTGTGTTTTGGATTTGGTCCGAAGTTGGCCGGCGACAGGGCCTTCCCCAGTCAAGCTGTTTTATCAAGGCTCATCATCTCATTCTTCATCTTTCCTCCCATTCCGTCATCATTTTCAGTGAAAAATGCATTCAAGCCTAATATAGCCCACGCTCACTTCTACGCAATACAGCCCGCCATATTGCTCTGCGCCCTGCAGCTCTTAGTTGCTGCTGCAACCGTCCATACTGGCCCACGCACGAGCACCACGTGTGTGTGCGCGTCATCGCCTCACCTTATCGCCTCCCGTCCTTCCATCTGAAGTTCTGAACCACCAGATCAGTTGACAGCTGGCATTGGGCACCACGACAATACCATCTCAACTTATCTGGCACTGTGTATGGTTCCCGCCTTTAACCGTCCAGAACAATAGGTATGCCCTGATTATTCGACTCGATATGTTCTCCCCATCCGCTCCCCACCTCCCTATATCTTCTGCTTCGTCTTCCAGTCGACAACTTGGATTCTCCCTCATCTCTACACACATCCATCCTCCTTTGGTGACTTTTCCGAACGAGTCTCACCCTAAGTCTTCCCTCATTTATTTCCTCTCGTTGCACTGCACAGTCCTATCTTTCGTCATGACGCCCCAAATCCGGATCGTGGTGAAGAATAGCGGGCTGCTCGCGAAGAAAAGGCATGCCGGCGTTGACAAGCCCGTCAAGCCCATCAAGCCCGTGCAGCATGTGCAGCCCGTCCAACCGCCTCGGTCAAAACGGGGCGACTTGGCGCTTCTTTGCCAGGGTTTTGACATCGCCCTGGAATACTTCAACAGCGACAGCGCCGTGACCTCAGCGCTGACAGCCAAGGCCAGGAAGTGGGCAGACAGGTACTTCAAAGGGTACCCCTACGCCGCGAAGCGGCCGACTGCCCTCCTGCGGACCTTCCCGAACCTCTTCAATTTGGAGGTCGAAGGTAAGAACGAACCATCGCCCCCCTTGACCGACATCTGACTCACACACTTCCGTAGCACATCTCCGACTGGTTCCGACGGTTATGGCGTCGCCGTCGTCTGCAGAACCTGAGGGTGCCAGCCCTCGAGATCTCCGCCGCATTGAGCGACGAGCGAGGAACAGCGAGCCCTTCCCAGAGTTCGCCGAGCCCACACTTGCCTCCGAAGCGGAGCTGGATCAGGTCGTCGATCTGACTCGGCAGCGCGCTAAACCGACGATGCGGGTTGACCCCGCCATGCTCCGCGGCTCGGGCTTGCTGAGCACCCTGCCGGAGTTCCTCGGCCAGCTAGCGCGGGCCAACCTCGAGATGGAGACGAAGTTGGCCAACAACCCAGAGGCCGTACGCTTCGAGCTCGACGAAGACCAAGCCGCCGCCCAGCCTCATGTCGAGATGAACTTGTTTTCGGGCCTAATCGAGACCCAGCGACGTCGGCACCAGCGGCGAATCATCCTCCCCGGCGGCGAGCCTTTCAAACTCCCGGGAGACGAGGAGGAGGACAGCAGCGAGCACGAGGCCAGCACTATCGACAGGCAAAGGTCAAGCAGCAACAGCAGTGATGCCGATGATAGTGGCGACGAAAGCGACGCCTCAACATCAACAACCGCCAGCCTCCGAGCCAACCTCAAAAAGCGCAAGTCAGCCGCGATCGAGGATGCCGACTCTGGCGAGGAGACGGAACGGCCCAGCAAGATCCGCCTCCAGTACAACTACCCGCCTCCTGAGCTCCGCCACTACGACATGAAGCGGCGGAAGCTAATAACCCGTGCTAACCCGGACGCCGTCCAGAACGACCCCTTCGAGACCGCCCAATCAGACTCGGCGTTGGCCGCAGCCAATTCGCCGGACAGCTGCAGCAGCGAGGACCCGTCATCCACCACCGTTGACGACAAGGCCAAACCCACAACCAACGACAGCAGCAGCTCTTCCTCGTCCAACAACGCCGGTCCGATTCCAATCACCAAGATCCGTCTCCGCAGCCGCAGTCCAAATGGATCACGGTCCGCATCCCCGGATAGGATCATCGTCCTACGGCATCCCGTGCTGCCCTCCTCTTCCTCTACTTCTGTTAGGGGGGCATCCTCCTCGGACGAGTCGCTCGGCTCACAGGGGTCATCATCAACTAGTACCCGCCGACCAAGGATCAAGGTGCTCCAGAAGGGACGGAAGATGCAGCGGGACGCGTCTCCCTCCCGGGCTGCGGAGAAGAGGCTTATTGAGGAGGCTGAATGATCTTCCTTCTGTCGTGGGCTTGAAGGTTTAGTAGTATTGAGACATTCAGGTGGTATTTGGTTCAGTATGGCATCATGGCGTTCGGGGTACATTCTACACTTCCGCGATTGGGATTGCGGATGGCATGCGGGTGTTATGGACCGTTAGACTGGTAGAACTGCGTATATTGCATTATCTTCGGCATGGGGTGGGCGTTGCATGGTAAATACATGGCAGGTGGGATATAGTCTTGGTTCATTCATCACGAATAGCAGTGCATTTAGGAAGGATATTCAATACCTAATCGGAGATACTCGTCCTGCTTTTCCGTCATTCGTTCTCCGCCTTGGATCGAGTAGTGACGTTTACCATCAGAGGCCTTATGTAGGCAGAAGTCTCTAGGAAGTGACTTCCATGTCCTCCTTTCTGTTCACCACGCCTACATCATGCGTTCTCCCACCCTGGATCTGGACTAGGGTCTAATATGAGTGTCCATATATTTCATTGCCGTTCAATATCGAGAGCACTATTTACATCATCGACTGGACTCAGAGACAAGTATATGTCAAGCCATTCGCCATTCCATCTTGGGAGCATTATGGACGTTTTGGACGTGGAGCGTGTACGAAGACATGACCATCTTACGCAAGATGTTCTGTCCAGAAGACCGCAGACACGAAATGAAGATTCTCGGTGCGATGGAACGAAGGGCAGCTGAAGAAACCACCCACACTGACAACGGTGAAGCCTAGCCACAACGTATTACAATAGGAAAAGCAGTAGCAGGACGACTATTGGCAAGGAGCGCACTTCATGGTACTCCCAATCGTCAGACATGAACCCTACAGAACGTCGACGACAACAACTGTGTAGACGATATTCTGAACTTATTCATCGCGCAACGCCGACTATATTGAACTGATATCCTGCCCGGTCGCGTGAAGCAAGAAAGATATCTTATGGAACCCTTCATCAAATAACATACAACCCCAACTCCATGCCGCAACAGTACAATACACAACTCGCTAATACCTGATACCGTCATCTGCCGCGTCATCAACGTAACAGGAAACAGAACTTATGAAAATCCGGCCATCGTCGTGACTGTGTCCCCACCCTCATGTCATCCTGCCCCTGCATCAAGTCATTAGATGATATTCGTCCTGTTTCCCAACGGCCGCCGCCGGCTCAGCTCATCCAGAAACCTTGTCTTGTCGTCTCCGATCTTGCGACGGAACAAGTCCAGATCCCGCAGTAAGCCGCGCATGTGCTCATCCATATCGTCCGCGTGGCGCTCATACCCAACCGCTTCCGTCGTACTACCACCAGAAGCATAGCCATCGTCGTCGTCGTCGCCGGCGCCGGCGCCGCCGTCTTTAGGCTGTGGCTCATTTTCCTTGTTATTTCCTCCATCCTGAAAAGTTTCGCCGACTGCGTCCCCTTCCCCTCTGACGGCGACAGCCGGGATGGGATTCCGCAGGCTCTCCAGCGCCAGCTTCAGATGCAACCGCAGCGCTTCGTTCTCCGTCTGCAGGCTGCGGATCTTGCCTTCGGCCACCAGGCTGCGCTCCTCCATGGCCTGCTGCAGCGTGCGCACCCGCGCCTGGTACTCCTCGAGCTTCTCCTCCGCCTCGCGCGCGTCCTTCTCCCGCCGCCGGCTGTCGCCCACCACGAGCTGCAGCTGCCGGATCTCGGCCGCCATCGCCGCGATCTGCGCGTCCCGCTCCGCCGTGCTGATGCTGTCCACCTGGTTGACCACCGCGCGCGTGCGGATGCGCTTGGCCTGGTCCGCGTACCGGAGGGTGGATAGCGTCTCTTCGTAGTCGGATGGGGCGATGCACGCGATCATGGCCGTCTTGGAGTTCCCGCCGAGCGAATCCTTGAGCAGCCAGGTGAGAATGCTGTCGCGGTAGGGCACCACCGAGTTATCCTTGCGCGAGGAGGAGGAGCGGGAGGAGCGGTGCTGTTTTGGGTCGGCGAGTGCTGCTATCACGCGCCCGAGCGTCGTGAGGGACTTGTTGATGTTGCTGCCCTCGCGCAGCCGCTGCCCGGTGGCTTCGGTTGACTTGGCCCGCTCGCTGCCTGCGAGGTCTACCAGACGGATCCGAGAGCTTCGCTCGGTCGTCTCGTCGGTCTCGAGGTCGTGGTGGATCTGTTTGAGCATGATGGTGAAGACCGCGTGGCTGCGAGAGCTGGTGTCGTTCATCTTGGTGCTGGCCGTCGTGCGGTTGTTGTCGCCGATGCGCATGTACCGGAGGATTTCATGTAGGCTGCGGACGGGCACCTCGGTAAGGTCTTTCACGTAGGGGCCTTCGGTGGGAGACTCGCGGATCTTGAGGTAGTAAGGGGCCTGATTGGGGACAACGGGGACGAGTAGGTCGCGGACGTGTTCGTTGTAGACCTCAAAGTAAGAGACGCGCACATTGTAGCTGATGTTGGGCGTCTCATCCTGTGCCGCCGCAATACGCTCGAACAGATCCTCACAGGTTCGCGGGATGAGGCCTGGCTGGTCTGGTGTTCCCATCATGGTATAAGACTTGCCGGAGCCGGTCTGACCGTAAGCGAATATGCACGTGTGGTACCCCTCAAAGTTGTGATCGAGAAACTCTTCGCCCAGACTGTCATAGACATCCTCCTGTGTCGCGTAATGCTCGTCTTCTGGATCGTGGCTCCAGAAGCTGTTGTCGAAGGTGAAGGACTTCTCCTCCATGACCTTGCGGGAGCGCGCCCGCGCGTTGGCCGGGTCGGAGTCATTTGGGACGAGGAGCGTTGTCCGCTGCGTAACGGGATCCATGCGGATGAGGCATTCCGCATTCCTCTCGATTTCTGCGGGTCGGTGTCCGAGTTAGCAATCGCATTTACTTGATAGCGCAGCACTGGCTCCTTACCCCTCGGCAGGAACGCCCTCACTCTGACCACCACTCTCACATTTCCTCCCGGATCTGGCCTTGCATGCGGCGGGACGGTGCCATCGCGCGAGCGCAGCGATGGAGTGCTCGCACCCGAGCGGACATTGCGCTGCGCGACTTCGAGGTAGCCTGCAGAGTTCGGCATCAGGCGCGGGTCGAGAGAAATGCCAATCAGGGTCTCATTGATGTCGGCGATCACGTCTCGGAAGCGCCGCTCGAGGTTGCTGTACATTTAGTACGAGATCGTGGCCCTGGTCGCCAGCTGGCGCTGCTTGGTGGGTTCCTCTTGCGATTGTTTACAAAGTTCGGGGGTAGTTGCCAGGGTGAGCTGGCGGTCTGCAGGGGGCAGGTTTGGTTGGCGGTTGCACATTGGCGGAAGGGTGGCAGCGCTAATGCGCCTTGGCAGGCATCCCTGATCGGTTGTCGTACCGAGAATTGCCAGAGAGGTTGAACACGCAGGAAAGGCCAATTTACACATAAGACACCCAAAGGATGATAAAACAGATGGCGAAAACGAAATGCCCAAGAAGAGCGCCCAGAGCCAAAATGAGCGTGCCAAATCTAACGCTGGTCTATCGTGTATAAACCCAAAACCATAAATCCACGCCTGCCTTCCAACTAGTTACCCATGTTCAAACGCCTACCAAGGGACTCACAGCGGGATCTATCATCTACGTGAATCTAATCCCTCTTTAGCCCCTTCCCAAGCAGTTCCCCGCCAACCTCCTTCACCAGCATCAACTTCGGAAACACCTTTCCCTTCGTCAACACGACATCCTCGGCATCCATGGTCCTCAGCAAATCCGCCAACTCCCCCTCAACCGGCAACCGATACGCCAAGTAACCCAGCGCCAGCAACATCCCCTCGAGGGCCTCGGTCGACGCTTCCTCCTGGGTGATGGCCTCGAGCGCCGACGCAGCTAGCTCCACCTGATCCGCCTCGGGTAGCATATCTCCCGGTCCGTCACGCCTCTTCCTACTATTGGCGAGTGCGACGTTGAACAGTAGACTCGCTGCAGCGACGCGTACGTTGTTGTGGCTGTCGTCGAGGAAGCTGGATGAGATGAGTTGAGTGATGAGGGTGCGTAGCCGTTCGTGGACCAGAACCTGGTCTGGGTACAGTGGCGAGGTGAAGAGGTTGCACGCCATCTGCAGGGTGACAAGGCGCAGAGCGTAGGGGCAATCTGTTGCCGAGAGGTTGGTGACGTGCTCTAGGACGCTGGTGATGGTGCGTTGATCGCGCTCCTCGGCGAGATACCCGCTAAAGCGTGGGTCGATGAGCCCGCAGCGGAGCAGATCGATGATGGTGAAGAGGATTTCTATTGGGAGGCTCTGGAGGGACTCGCGTATGACAGTCGTGAACGCGTCTATGTCAGGGAGGGTTGTCTCGGCAGGTCCTTGGGACGACCGTGTCTCGATGAAGGTCTTCACATCTTGTACTGCAGGCTTGACGGCCGTGGGCCCCATCTTATTGAGGAGCTTCTGCAAAGGCGGCACCTTGGAGAAGGTGACGAATTCAGCCCCGGGGTTGGAAAACGTGGGCAAGTCGAGCGCTTGATGCGGGTGTGGCGGCCACGCCATTTGGACGAGCAGTTGGACGTTGCCTCTCAGGGCGCTAGGGTCTGCACCGCTCCATCGATTCTCCTGCTGGCCCTTCAAGAAGGTGATGAAGGTTGGCGTGGCCGTGATGGAGTAACGACTGCCAATGTCGAAAGCCTGTGAGGTATCAACCTTGATCAAGGCACCCTTGTCCCCAACTTCGGCCGCCAACTCGTCGTACAGCGGATAAAGTGTCTTGCACGGCGGACAGGTTGCTGAAGTAAAAAAGACAACCGCACATGAGTTTTGATGCTTGGCCAACAATCCATCCAGCTGCGTCAGACTGGAAACGACATGGACTTTGCCGACTGGGTGATGAAGTTGCGATTGAGGCTTGACCGAACTGCCAGGGGTTTGCTGCTCTATGCCCAGGATGCCACCGCCACGCTTGTTTGCTCTGATTTGCTGGTTAAGCGTGGGCATGAGCATCTGTCCAAACGGGGAGTCTCTGTGAGAGAGGTTAGGACGATGCAGAGCTTGAAGGGTTTACCGCGTGGTACTCACAGCACGGCTTGTGGCATGCTGGTGATATACTCGGGTATGCCTTTACCTAGAAGAAAGGTAGCCAAGTCGTTTGAAAAGTTGTTGCAGTTGTGTCTCCATAAATCATATGCCTGTGATGGTCAGTAATCGAGATGCAGTGTTCCCGTCGGTGAATGCACGGCCCAGCGACTTACCTCGACTGTGTAAATCTCCCGCAGAGAGTCAATGTACTCCTCGATCACATCCATAGTCACTTTGCAGACAGCAGAGTTAGCAGCTAATCGCCTGTAAAGACCCAAAATGGGAGTGGCATGTACATTCGGTTTTCCCAAGAAACGACTTCTGCATTGGTTGACCCAAGTGCGACGACCCCGGCTTGATTGCGACAACGTTGCCATCGTAAACATATTCCAATCCGTTAAGCTGAATCGATGTGTGGTATATCGCATCTAGTTGAAAGCCGAGCAAACTCATGGATAATTGCCGGGCAAGGCCTTTCGAAAGGTCGTAGATAAGAAGGTGGACGTCCATGACGAGCGATGTCAATAACTGGACAAGGGTACCTAGGTAGTAATGAAACCTAAGGAAGCCCTCTAAGATATCGACGGAATGGCAAGTACCTAGACAAGCGTTGTGAGATGAGTACTAGGTACTGTACTTTCCACAAGGGAGCGGAGCATGCCATATATATACTACACTGGCAGCTTTGGTTTCAAAGGCAGCGAAGGCATTACGACGGAGGCGAAGCTGCCAGTGTCACTGGAAGGCGAGAGAAAGGAAAAGAAAAGGGTTAGGGTTATTGCCACCAAATCCAAGTTCAAGTTCTCTCCAGAAACGGGAAACCAGCAGACCAGATGATTTGGCTTGGCATTAGTTAAGGTACTGCTGACCCCACATGCGGAGGGAGTGGCAAGGATCTGTCTCCTTGGCTTGCATCCCCGTTCCTTCAATTGGCGTTCTGAGTCGTGTCAAGGCCGAAAATCGAGACCCATTGCTCGACAGTCCAAACCTTGGACAATCTTGACCTGCTGAACCCCTATCCGAACTCCATTCTTACTTTTCATCCTGGAAGACTAGTTAGAACAGCGATTCGATCCGTGAAGTTTGTGCTTTCGCCGACGGCTCGCTTTCATGTCTCTCGTTTAAACATCCGTTCGATTGATTGACTTGCCATTTGGCGGGCCTGCACATGTGCGACCTCGTCCTATAAACTCTCACACCTTGTTCGCCTCCTCGGGACTGCGAACTTGTCCCTATGCGACGCACGTCGGTTTCGCTGCCGACGAAGCACCTCGCCTACGATCCGCACGAGAAACCCGACCGCTACAACTCGAGCAACCGGCATCCGACCATGCTAGCGAAAATGCAGTCCGCCTGGGCGTCGCAATCGCAACGGGCGCGCTACATCAAAACAGGCGCCATCATATTTGTTGTTTTCTTGCTTTTCTACTGCCTCTCGCCGGCGGGGGTCGATCTTTACCATGGCGTGGGGACTCAAGCTCAGGGAAATTCCCAAGGTCAAACACCATCCGACTCTTCATATGGCACCGACCGATGTACAAGGTCCTTTTCGAAGGATAAGCCCATCGTGCAGTACGTCTCCATGATTGATGCCGGCAGCACGGGGTCGCGCATCCACGTCTATAAATTCAACAACTGCGGGGCTGCCCCCGAGCTCGAGGGCGAAGTCCTGTTCAAGCAGACGCAGAAGATCGAGGGACAGAGTAGCGGTCTTAGCGCATATAAGGATGACCCGGAGGCGGCTGCCAAGAGCTTGGATACGCTCCTCGATGATGCCTTGAAGGTCATCCCGGACGCACTGAAGGCTTGCAGCCCTATCGCCGTGAAGGCGACTGCCGGGCTACGCCTGATTGGTGAAGAGAAGTCTGGGAAGATTTTGGAAGCTGTCAGACACCGCCTCGAGACCAAGTACCCCTTCCCCGTCGTCTCGGCGGAAGAGAACGGCGTTGCGATTATGGACGGTAGTGACGAGGGTGTCTACGCTTGGATCACGACCAACTACCTGCTTGGCAGGATTGGTGGACCGGACCGTAGTGAGACGGCCGCAGTGTTCGACCTTGGCGGCGGCTCCACACAGATCGTCTTCCAGCCAAGTTTCGAGGGCCTCACCTCGGGCGGCATGCCGGATAAGCTGGCCGATGGCGACCACAAATACGAAACCAACTTCGGCGGCCGCAAGTTCACCCTCTATCAACACTCGCACCTGGGCTACGGCCTGATGTCTGCGCGGGACGCCATCCACGCCACGCTAGTCAACGACCTCTATGAGGTCAACAAGGACGATTTGTCCTGGACGAAACGAGCAGTCATTCACCCCTGCTTCAATGCCGGCATGTCCAAAACGCTCAAGGTGAACCTGGCCAAAGACCATCCTCTAGGCCCAAGCGTCGAGTTGAACATGACGGGCCCTTCCTCCGCGGCCCCGGCCCAGTGCCGAGCACTGGCCGAGCGCATCCTGAGGAAGGATGCCGAATGCAAGCTCGCCCCGTGTTCCTTCAACGGCGTGCACCAACCGTCCATCGCGAAGACGTTCGCTCGTGAAGACGTCTACTTCCTGTCCTACTTCGCCGACCGCACCCAGCCGCTCGGCATGCCCGAGTCCTTCACCCTGCGCGAGATGGCGGACCTCGCTAACCGCGTGTGCGGCGGCGAGCGGGAGTGGGATGTATTCAGCAGCGTGCCGGGGGCGCTGGACGAGCTGCGGGATCGCCCCGAACACTGTATGGATCTGAACTTCATGGTCGCGTTGACGCACACCGGGTACGAAATGCCGCTTGACCGGGAAGTGAGAATTGCGAAGAAAATTAAAGATTATGAGTTGGGCTGGTGTTTGGGCGCGAGGTGAGTCTTCGTGTCCATTCTTTTCTGTGGAAGATGCCGTGCTGACCCATCTATCCAGCTTGCCGTTGCTTACCAAGGGTTCGGGCTGGGAATGCAAGGTCACTACGGTGCAGTAGACCGAAATGGAAAAGGGGCAGTTTCGAGTCCAAGGAGACTCGGCCCGCAAGCGGAACCATGATCACTTGCGCTTGTAGACATTCCAGGCTGGCCGGGGCTGAGCGCTACAGATGATGTCGTGATCGGATTCGGCGTTCTTGGGGATCAATTGTAAGGCTTCTAAACGGGACTGGCCAGTTCTGCACCGACTGGACGAAGTTATGTAGGGTATGTTTGGGGTAACCTGGAAGCGGCAAGCTGTAAGGTATTGAAAGACGGTTAATAACCCAGCGAGCTAGGTGTTGGCCAAACATGGCTTTGATCCATATTCTGACTTGGGACTGGTTGGGACTCAATCTTGTGTTCAATTTCTCTATCGCCTCTTGAACAGGGCGATATAGCCTATCCATTCCCAAACCAACCTATTACCCTCTAGATTCTATTCCCTACACATTGATTACCAAACCCTCATGATGAGCTTCCCTCTTGTATCCCTATACCCTATCATGTCGTAGCCGAGTACCTAACCTAACCCTACTCAGGTAGGAACGCCAACCATCCCCAACACCTCTTCAATCACTTCCTCCGGTCCCACTCCGTCCAACAACTGCCCCACAACTCTGACATCGCTCCCCCACTGCACGCTCCTCTCACGCGCCGGGTCCGTGACGATCTGGATCCGGTGCAGATACACCTTCCTAACCGCCAGCGCCACCAGCGAGGGCGTCACATAATCCAGCCCGTGCAGCGGCGCCATGGACTTGCACAGCGTCTCGAGGTGTCTGGTGGCGCTGGGGGTGATGCCACTCGCGACGACGCGGTGGGTACGTAGGAAGGCAACGATGTTGGCCTGGTAGCGGGTCACTTCTATTGAGGTGTGTGCCTTCTGCGAGAGCAGAGAGATATGGGAGATGTCTTCTTCTGAGAATAGGGGGACGGATGATGGGGACTCAGGCATGGGCTGGCTGAGCTTGGGGATGCTGTTGCTATGTCTGCTGCTGCGGCTGGCGTTACTGTTGTTGCGGGTAAGCCATGTCTGCTCGGTGGTGGGGATGCCGAGTCCCATTCCGAGGGTTGAGGAATGCTGTTTTACTTTTACTACGCTATTGCTGGAGATCGTGGATGCGTCGTCGTCGAGTACGGTGTTTTCGTCCTGTCGGCCGATCTCCTCTTCTAAAAAGGGAAACCCGTCCTCCTCTGGATCGTGCCAATGCGCGAGGTAGAAGAAATCGTTGAGATGTGGCGTTACGCGGGCTTGTCCGCCGCTCATTGCGCCAACCAAAGCGATGAAGAGGAACTGCTTCGGAGCCGTTTGCCGGCTGGTCCGCGTAAATATGCGCCGCGTGCGTAAGAGCTCGAGTGCTTGAATCTGGACAGCACGCGGAGCACGGTCGAGGTCCTTGGCGAGGATGACATTGGCGATTCGCGGGGCCTGTGAACTGCTTCCGCTGGCGCCGATAGAGGGCGAGGACGGGCTTATGGGACCGCCGATGCGTGGAGACGGTGTGATCGGAAAGTAAGACCCCGGCGTAGCGGTCGGGCCTCCCGTTGAGGACTGAGGTCGCTCATAACGCGGGCGGTAAGGGGAAACGGAGCGTGTGTTGCTCGATGACGGGGCTGCACCAGCAGGGTGAACCAGCAAGCTGGCCGCGAACTCGTCAAGCGTCGTGTGTGCGTGACAGCTGATGATAGCGGAAGTGAGGTTGAAGGTTTTAGAGGCGATCAGGCGCAGCTCCTCGGCAAGCTCGTCGACACTGTCGTGTTCGGTGCTAATCAGGCAGTGCTCCCGGGCGATGAGGCAAAGGAGTGCTGCAAGTTCCAGGTCGCTGAGGCTTTGGATTTTGTCGAGGAGCTGTTCATCCGCCATCGCCTAAGGCTCTGCCAGGTGTGCGAGACTCACCACGGGCCATACGAACCTTCAAGGGCGGCAGGGCTAATAAATGTTTAAAGCTTCCGGTCTGGCCCAGCTCTTCCTTCCCTGGCCTCGCACTCACACCTCTTCGCATATGGACTCGTAGTTCTCCTGCCACCCTCCCATTTCTAATCTCGCCCTGTGACGCCACCCCGGAGATCTAGAGGAGCCGTAAGAACCTGCGAACTTCGACGTATGTCGGTCACGAGGTTCGAACAGCAGCATGGATTTCAATGCCAAATGGAAGAGCTCAGGCCAAGCTTGACACTGTCAAAGCAAGATGTGGAGATGGATAACTTATGGTATCTCCACTTGCTCGGACCAAAGCCGCTAGGCTCCACAACGGGTAGCAGCTGTAAGTCCTGCTATTGGTCAGACTGCCAATCAGGTGGCTGCCCCTGACTTCCAGGCTGCAAGCCCAGCCATCACTTGGCTCCGCACGTCACTCCTGCAACGACGGGTCTCCATAATATCAGCGCCGTCCACTTATCCGTATCAGTGCCGCAGCCTACTGTTACCTACTTGTTGCTGGCGATATCTCCAAACAAACCGCCCCAACCATCCTCCGCACTTCAAGAACACATCGCCTTCTGTTGGTGGCTCGCACACAAGCACTTCTGGAGTGTTTCGATCTGACGTTACTCGACGCGCTTGCTCGCCTTGCCCACGTCATCTGCGGTCCGGCGAGACAGTTCCGCAATGGCTTCCAGAAAGAAGGTCCTATTGAAGGTTGGATGCGCCAGCACCGACGCAGTATGCCAAATGTAGCTAACAACCTAAATCCCAGGTTATCATCTTGGGCGACAGCGGTGTCGGCAAGACGAGTCTGATGAACCAATATGTGCGTTGCGCTACGATGCTGCGACCCGAGGCACCGTCCCACCTGTCGGATGAACGAGTTCTGACCCCCTGTTGTTGGAAAACAGGTCAACAAAAAGTTCAGTGCCAGTTACAAGGCGACGATCGGAGCCGACTTCTTGACGCGGGAAGTGATGGTGGACGACCGCCAAGTAACAATGCAGGTGCGCACGCGACCACGACCCCCAGAGGCCCGATTTCCCTTCTCAAGCATCTCGCTCTAACATGTTTTGCTTGAATATAACAGCTTTGGGATACAGCAGGGCAGGAACGGTTCCAGTCACTGGGTGTGGCCTTCTACAGGGGCGCCGACTGCTGTGTGCTGGTATTTGACGTCAACAATTCCAAGAGTTTCGACGCGCTCGACAGCTGGAGGGACGAATTCTTAATCCAAGCCTCCCCACGAGACCCGGATAACTTCCCGTTCGTGGTGCTGGGAAACAAGGTCGACGTGGAGGAGAGCAAGAGAGTGGTGAGTTTCGGCTATGCCGAGGGGTAGGCGAACGGGTGGCGGCGCGGATGGACTGATGGAGCTTTTAGATCTCGACGAAGCGGGCCATGACATTCTGCCAATCCAAAGGAGGCATCCCGTACTTTGAGACAAGCGCAAAGGAGGCGATCAACGTGGAGCAGGCATTTGAAGGTAGGTTGCGACTGGACTTGGCATCCCGCTTCTCATACTGACCCTCTGTAGTGATTGCGAGGAACGCGCTGCTTCAGGAGGAGTCAGAGGAGTTCAGCGGGGACTTCCAGGATCCTATCAACATCCATATCGAGAACGACCGGGACGGCTGCGCATGCTGAATAAGGAGCCATTGTTTATAACGACTCTGATTTCACTCGGAACATTTTGCTTTGTATGATCATGCTTGGCGTGTTGGCGTGTGTGGCTTAAACTGAACCGGGGGCTCTCGGGCTTCTGTCATATTAATCCCAAGGGACTACAGTGGCCTTTCTGGGTATGCTCCATAGAGCTCCATTGGCATACTGTGGTAAATGGTAGTCAAGCTTCCTCCAGATCACGTAGCACTGGCTCAGCATGCTCAGGTGCAAGTTTCAATCTTGTTCCTAGCGAGTGATTTTAAGTTCTAATTTAAATCCCGGCCGTCATAGACATAGACTAGTTTAAGAGCAAAGTCCAGCACGATTCATGCTACTAGTAAAACTCTATTATCTAATCCTATAGGGTTAATATAAGAGTAATTAGAGCTAATATAAGCTAAATTAGGCTTATATTAAACTTATAAAGAAGATAATTCGCACTTATCTTTATTACTATTAAGTCTTAGTTATTTAATATAAATTAATATATCAGTAAGTAATATTATTCTTATATTCCTTTATGAATTAATCTTGAATTATAGCTTTTATGTCACGAACCAACCATATAGCAAGACCCGGTAGGGCACAACGGAAACAGGCAGAACCAATCAGCAGAGGAGAAAGCTGCAGACGGCCGCATAGGGGCGACCCGGGTAGCTCAGGGTCGCCGGCGAGCGAGAGCGATCATGATAGACTTGGGTAGCTGGCGAATGACAGCAAGCTAACAAGATCGGCTAGGTATATAGTCATTCGTTATAGAGGGCTCTGGGAGTCCTCTAGTGAGCAATATAAGCAATAGCCCATACCTATTGTGCAGACATTGCGACAAAGCATTGTTGTGAACCTTTTGGCTTTACCGAGACCTACAGTCCGACTAGCAGTTACCTTCGACTGGCGAACCCTTTCAGAGGCAGGACTGCCTGTGGTTTCGTCACAGTAAGTTTATATAATAGTTATATAAGGTTGCTAAAGTTCCTAATAAACATTCGGTAGAAATTAGCGAATCTGATGAATCCCTATACTTCTATTATTATTATTAGTTATGGCCACTTCTTGATTACTTTAATCTTCGCTAGCTCTATTCTAATTTTACTAGGCGAGATTTCGTACCTAAGAAATACTATTTTCGTAACGTGGAATTTGCTCTTATCCTTATTAATTAATAATTTATATTCGTAGAATATACCTAACACTACTCTTATATACTTCTTATATTCTTTAAGTGTTTTAGAGAAGATAAAGATATCATCTAGGTAATAGATTATAAATCGGTCGAGGAATAGGTGGATTATATAGTCAATAACTGCCTAGAAGGTTGCTAGTATGTTCGTTAATCCGAAGGGCATTATAAAATACTTGTAATAACTATAGGAAGTATAAAACGCTATCTTCTATTTATCCTCTTCCTTGATGCAAATATAGGTATATACTATTAGAAGGTCGAGGCGAGTAAAGTAATGGGCGTCTGCCAACTGGTCTCGAAGCTACGAGATAAGTTGTGACGAAACCACAGGCAGTCCTGCCTCTGAAAGGGTTCGCCGGTCGAAGGTAACTGCTGGTCGGACTATAGGTCTCGGTGAAGCCAAAAGGTTCACAACAATGCAAATCGCAATGTCTGCACAGTAAGGTAGGGCTACTCTACTGCTTGTATTGCTCATTGGAGAACTCCCAGAGTCCTCCATAACGAATGACTATATACCTAGCCGATCCTATTAGCTCGCCGTCGTTCGACGGCTACTGTGGTCTACCCTCGATCGCCTTGGGTAGGCGGCTACCCAAGTCTATCATGATTGCTCTCGCTCGCCGGCGACCCTGAGCTACCCAGGTCGTCCTTATGCGGCCGCCTGCGGCTTTTACCCCTGCTGATTGGTTCTGCCTGTTTCCGTCGTGCCCCACCGGGTCTTGCTATATGGTTGGTTCGTGACATAAGTGGCAAAGGGTACTAGTTCTTTATCGTTTCTTCGTTCAGCTATTAGTAGTCTATATATATCTAAAGCTTCCTATCCTTCTTTGGAATAAATAGGACTAGGTAGCCTGCCAGTAATATTGATAGTCTAATATACCTTATCTTAAGATTCTCCTCAAGATATCTCCTTAACTTAGTATCTTGCCTTTTATTAGTATAATATACTTTAAAGAACTTTAACTGGGCTCTTTTCTTGAGTTTGATTTCGTAGTCCCAAGGTCCATAGTCTAGTAGCCCCTTAAGATGTTTTGCTTTGAACGCTAGATGTCCCTAGTACTCTTCCGGGATCTTGCCTATTTCCGTATTCTTCTCTATACTCTAGTAGTATAAGAACTTATCTCCGGCTATAATGCTAGCCGCTTCCCTCTAGGTGACCTAATCCTGGAATTCGAATTCTCCGGTCTTGTCGATTAAGATGATAGCGATTTCGGTGTTGTCTATATCTCTCTAAGCCGTACGAGGGCGTTGTCGTAAGTGGCGTTGTCTCTGGCCTGGTCTTGCCAACTCTCGCTGTTCCTTCTAGTAACTGCCGCCTCTTCCTAAGTCCGTAGTACACTGCCTAGCACTGTCTGTCTCTTATAGTGGATCTATAGGAGCCGCCTCTCGGGGCGATCTTCCCTATTGCGATCTGTTATCTATGCTTTCCATCTTGTTAGTCAGATACGGCCTCTGTTCCTAAGGTTATAGGTAGCCACCTCCCTTCCAACTAATGTCTAGGTTATATATTCGATGCTATAGGCATCCAAGGATCATATCCTTCCTAGGCCCTATTTTAATAATGTCAAATATTACTTTAGTGGTTTTCCCTTCCACTATAATTTTAAGTGGTTCTATTTCTTATTATACCTATTGGATATTGAATAGTCCTTTAACGATATACTGTTTTTTCTTGATCCTCTATAGAATCCTAAGTCGGTTGACAAGTATTGGCGAGATAAGGTCGACTTAAGATCCTCTATCTACTAATGCCAATATTTAGAATCTTTTCTAGTATACTATAACCCAAATTCTATTGTCGGGTTTATTATTCTGAATTATAACGGCTTTCTTTTTGCTTGCTAGGAGATTATAGATCCTTTTCCTTACGTGGTTCTTCCTATACCTGTGGATCTATCGTTGCTATAATAGATTTAATAGTTTTTGGGCCCCTTAGAGGGCCCTAAGCCATTTCCTAACTCTGTCCTAGCACTAGATAGGCGTCCCTATCCTCCTATGCCTCTTGGTCACTATCCTATAGTCTAAGTCTCGGGAGTTTATTAAACAGTTGTCGAATTTCGTTGGCTCTTTTTTCTTTCTATCGCTGTTCGCAAGGCGTCATCTATCTTTATATGTATATTTTACATTTATAATACTCTTAGAGCTTTGCTTGTATATGGATTAAGCAATCCTAGCTCTTATATTGTCGAATGCTATTAGGCCACTGCTAGTAGTCTTCTAGCTAGGTTCTTTATAGTATCACCCTAATTCTATAATATATGTTAGTCCTCTCGACCTTCTATAGAAACTAGTCGGCACTGGTCCCTATATCCTAAACCTATGGGACTAGTCGAGGTCCTCTACTTTGGTCAGTAGGCCTATCGGGCCAAAAGTCATTGTCAAATTTTAATCGGAAATAGTATTGGCATTCGTATATAATATACTAGAACTATAGGATATAGATATAGTTATATTACTAGGGTTAGAGTCGAAGTATATCTTGTTTATAGGGTTTATAGCGTAGGCTAAATCTAATCCAAATATATATTGTATTGCAAAAGCAGCCGAAAATGAACGACGTTCCGGATCTGGCACCCGATATTGAGATGGGAGAAAACCTCCCCCCTCTCCCTCAGGGCAATAGTAGCCAACTAGGGCTATATACAAGCCAGCATGCAAGCCAGAGGACTCTAGCCACTATATCCAAACCGGCCAAAACGACCAAGTCTACCAGCCACCTATATACATACGAGCATATCACCAGGCTTGTTAATGACCTACTTGCCCTAGTCTCCAAAGATAAGGGCAAGGCTCGGGCACTTGCAACGGAGATTCAACAAGCCTACCAACAAGCCTACCAACAAGCTACCATACCCCCCTCCCAGGCCAAGGCTGCAGCTACAGCTACGGCGTTGAACCTACCTACCCTACGGAAGGTAGTAGCGGAAGAAGTGCGAGCGGCACTAAGGGAAACCAAACCAGGACAGGCCCAAGCTACCCGGACTTGGGCTGATATAGTCCGAGAACCACTACAGGACACTATAGCCCAGCCAGCCAAAGTTATCCCAGCTAAGCAGAACTGCGAGATCCTTGTTCGGGGGGGCCATCTATCACCTGATCTAGCTAAGAGGACCCCCCTAGAAATTATCCAAGCCGTCAACGGGGCCTCTAGCCGACAAGGGGCTATTGCAGCTCGGAAACTGCCCAGCGGAGACATAGTAGTCACCTTCAACAACTCAGATACTAAGCAATGGCACTCTACCAACTACGACTGGATTCAACAGGCCTTTGGAAGCCAGGCAAAGGAAGCCCGACGGACCTACGGAGTGGTAGTTAAGGGCCTAAGGAAAGCTGACCTCCAAGGGGCTACAGAGGCTAGTTTTCAAGAAGAGGCTGGGCTACGGGCCGTGGAAAAGATCATCTTCCAGTACCCCCACAACCCAGACTTCACCAGGGTCCCTGTGGTTATAGCCTTCACTAGCCAGGAGGAGGCTAAAAAGGCTTGCGACCTAGGGGTCCTGTGACGAAACCACAGGCAGTCCTGCCTCTGAAAGGGTTCGCCGGTCGAAGGTAACTGCTGGTCGGACTGTAGGTCTCGGTGAAGCCAAAAGGTTCACAACAATGCTTGCCGCAATGTCTGCACAATAGGTATGGGCTATTGCTTGTAATTGCTCACTGAGGAAGCTAGCTATCTGAATGAGTGGCAGAATGGTAGAACTATATACAGCTTCCTCCTCTAGGTGTCCCGTACCTAGATCTTTGGAACATTTGGAACAATTGTTGTTCTCATTGTTCCATCTGGAACAACGTTCCTTGGCGTTGTTCCCAGGAACAATCGTTCTTGGCATTGTTCCTGATTTCCTCAATCCCTATTGGTTCTTCCTGATTCGCAATGATTGGATACGGGCACTGCCCGTTGACCATGCAGGTCGGCCCCCACCGGCCTCTGCAGGTTAGTTCATGACAGGTCCTATACCGGGCCCAGCTCTTTAACTGCGAGCCATACTGGGCTCCGCTACGGCCAGCGCAGTGCTTTAAGTGCTGGAAGTGGGGCCATATAGCCCGCTACTGTAGGAAGGACCCCCTCTGCCCCCGTTGTGGTACTGGAACCCATGAGCCTGGTGGTAAGGAAGGCGAAGAGAAATGCCCTACCCATACTACAGGCCAGTTTAGATGCCCAGCCTGCGGGGGTCGCCACTCGGCTAGGGACAAGCAGTGCCCAG